GATGTCAGCCATTACATTACCATTTTACAGTTACTAGAGGCAAATGACAAAAAATCGCGCGCGTTATAATCTGCACAATGTATTCGCTGGCAAAGCGGCCCAAAACCAACCTAATATCAACTTGGACTAGACCGACCATCACTGCACTTACGGAGTAATCACACCTATATAGTATGCGCCCCGAATGGATGCCCTATAGGAAGTTAGGTATGTATCGACGGGGCTGGCTCCCGCCGTCTAAAACCCCAGCGTCATCAGAAATAATAAAAAAATCAAATCTGGAACGGTCACCGTGGCGTTGTCCGTGCTTTGTATCTAGCGGGCACATCCTTATCCCTATAGGATATCCATCGTACGCCCCAGCCAACTATCTCTCTATTGTCTAATAATCGGGGCAAACTATTGTCCTTGGTACTGGGCCAAGACAAAATGAAAATTCTTCTTCATAATTCCCTTATCCTACATAGTTATCCACGCCGATTACCCGAACAATAAATACAAATGATTGATAGATAATCAGTGGTAGTAAACGCCGAGGCAAAATGCCAAATTGCCCTTTAAGGCGACGGTCGAGACCAGTCGTATAATCGGCATCCCTACCTCGGCCGGAATGCCGTCCAGGACAGGTTTCGGCCTACGCGGCACGCGGGTGTCGGCACTGAATGGATATCGAAGCCTGAGGAATATTGAAGTGCGATCAAACGCTCAAAAAGCTCTTTGTTTGGTTCGTACTGTGGATTTTTTTTATGGACATGTGTCGCATGTTCCAATTTTTTTGTTAGAAAATTTCTTCAACATTGACCAGACCCAGTTATCTTGTGTGGTCTCATAGGAGGAAAAGATTTAATCCATGTTATTATTAGCATGAGTAAAAAAGAAATGTTTATTGGTTGCTCCAGCCCTATGAGAGTGAACTATGGCTCTATGAGTTACCCTGTACATTGCACAGGGTAGTACTGCGTAGACATAGTATGTATCTCGTATACTACCACTAGTCATACAAATGATCTGCTAAATATGGGTTTTCTTGTCTTGGCTGCATATTGAACCCCTGCGCCGATCAAAGCTGGGCAGCTTTGTAGTATCTGAACGCGCCCGGAGGGTGTATCTGTATAGTCTACTCGGTATACGTATAAGGAGTAAATAAGTGTAATAAAGTATAAAGTCAATCGAGACTTTGAAGCCATCCTGTCATCTCCGGTAACGTATCTCGGTCTTTCCACAAGTGTAACGAATCACTAAATCCGAAACCGACCCAGGGAGAGCTACTGTAAAGGCTCGGGTACCTACAGTAACTTTACGGGTATCCATCCAGTGTTTTGTTTATTTTGCCGTGTCGTGATGAAAGAACTAAAACATACTCCGGTACATTGAGCACAGAGTATCTCCACATAAGCTCGTTCCCCAAACAAAATAGAGCAATATAATCCTCGTACTCTCCAGACAAAGACACTCGTCCCACTAATGATGAAATGTGTCACCAGAGCACGGCTATGATGACATCGTACATGCCAAAGGAATACAGATTATTTCCCATAACCCCTAAGTAAACAAGGGGACGCGACCGAGCTCACACCATCCCCTATCCAGTAAGAAGGCTCCAGAGTAAACTAAACATCCAACAAATAAGAAACACCAAGCCCTCCTGCGTGGAGAAAAACAAATAAAACAAACCTGAAATACACAAAGCAAGACCACATGCTACCGCCATTTTTGGCCCTTGATCGACAGGAGAAAATCCCAATTAAGGAGGTTCGTGTCAATAACTAGCTTCCTCCCCCCACACCAATCACGACCTTGACGCGAAACAAACTTGCTATTGATGGGGCCAAGTAAAGAAACTTTCGTGGGATGTATTTTTCCCCCTAATTTCTTTTTGGGCAATTTCGGTTCTCGTCTGTGCAGGGGTCTTCTCCATAGCGCATATCACTATCAAAGAGGGAGGATTGGCGCGTTAGAATCAGGTTTCTGGGGTGTTGGGGGCCGCCCGTGATACATGTTGTTCCTGTTCCTGTTCCCTGTTGACAGGAGGATCCATTTGGACCCAAGGATGAGCTCGAGAGCTGTGTAAGCGCTACACTAGAGGAACTATAATTGCTTCGGCTATTATCTTATTATTGTATTGTCTTTGTTGGATTTCTTGTGGCTCGCGTAGGCGCATTAGTTTGAGCGCCAGGAACAACTATGACACAACTGGGAAAAGACAGAGCCGCGTTGATCGGCGTGTCTTGACTGACGCAAGCTCAATTTTGGGTAGGTTCGCCGACCTCCACGATACACTGCATGCTATGTGTGCCATTGATGTCAGGTACCCCTGTTTCGGTTAGTATTGTCTCAATATGGAAGACTATTTGATATCTTCATAATGGTATCTTACATTTGTATACGTGTTCTTACTTGTTTCTTTGTATGTATGCATGACGACGGCTGGCATATGTTCGCCGAGGATTGGGGCGCGGGCCGTCTGACAATTATAGAATGTAACAAGTTGTAGGAGCCGATGATTTGCGGATAGTTGAAGATCCTGGTCATCGAAGCTTGGCTGTGATTTGAATGACGAATTTAATGAGTGTACATGTACTGTGAACTATTCTGGGAGAATTCGATTGCCTGGTAGACTGTAAATAGCTTCTGCATACTGTGCTGCAACTTGAATGTGTATAGTGTTCGGTACATGGTGGCTGAGTCCAAGAGCCAAGAATATATCAACTGCCGCCTAACCTTGATCTGCGACCATAAAAAGCAATTCAAGGATGATGAATATGTATTTTTTCAACTTTATGCAGAAGCACTGCTCCTTGTGCAGCGCTGTGTGCATTTCGTCTTGGCTGCGTGGGCAAAAGCTGGATTCTGCCAAGACAGACAGGGATGCCTTCATTCATAGTTTGAAGATTGACATGCTGCCTACTATCTTGCAGGAAGTCTGTACACCGTATGTACAGTATGGTATGAAGCATGCGTTGTCGTAGGTATGTATCAGGTTTAGGTTTGAAGCTTCGCCACCCACTGGATGGTTCCTGACGATCATCTAGAGGCGAAACACTATCCCTGTCTAAATGAAGTAAACTTCATCTATGGGGTACATGACTCTACGCCCAAAACCATTGAACTCAAGTCGTATCTTGGCTCTTGGCCGGGCGGAATGGGTCAGCAAGATCCATTTTTGATCAATGGAAACAATGCCAAGGGGTTTCTTAACTAAGCTTACAGTGCGTTATATCTGCAAAAGGAGATCTACGATGACATTATTGACCCAGAATCACATTCAAGGTTCGATTTCGCATCATACCGATCCAGATATACATACAATGCCCACTACAGAATCCTTCATGGGGTATAAATTCTAACAACATACAACGACTATCTGAATGAGTAGTAATCATCTTACGAGAGAACAGAGATAAGGACAAGTACGGGGTAACCAGCAGCCAACCATTCAGAAAAGAAACTTCACCTTGGCAGCAATAGTCCCCCGATAAGTCGATCAAGTAAATCACGATCGCCTTTGCAGGTCTTGGACTCTACACATACAACCGGGCACCGGTAACACCCCCCCCCCCCCCCATTCGAGGAAATATAGTTCCAGCCAGGCTCGCAACAACGCAAATCCCTATTACGCATGCACGTCACCGTTCCCCTTCCCCCCTTGATCGACAAAATGCATATAGAGTATAAATACCCATCCAATAAAACAAACCCACGTTCAGTCCTCCGCCCGCCCCCTGAACTCCGCCAAGAAACGCCGTGCATCCCACTCGCATTATTGTCTTGGCGGTCAATGTTTCCTCGGCAAACTCTCTTCTGGCGCTGTGCGTGGATTCCACGGGGCTGATCTGTATCGTATGTCATGTCGCATTATAAATGTCGGTTATTTTGTGGGGCGGGGCGGAAAATAAGGGGCAGTCGGGGTGTATGTATTGGGGGCACTGGCGCTTGGAGGTGATTGCTGACGGGGCCGGGTGAGTAAGGAGTATTTGGATAATGTCTGCTGGTGGACTTCAAGAGGGACGGGTGCTTTAGTTCTTGGCGGGGGCTGTACATGCGTTGTTCTGTGATGCAAGTTGTTGCAGCTGTGGCGTGGTTGTTGGATGTGTGTATCAGGCGCCCGGGTATGATCATGCTGAGGCTTCTCAATTTTGAGATTCGCGTTGCCAAGAAAAGTAGATGCGCTGATTTGGGGGTTGTGTAGGACTTGGGCTTGAAGTCGGTGTGTTTGATTGCCATCTTGTGATCTTGGTGCGTTTGCTTGTGTAGTATCTGTTTCGGGCTGGCTTGAACCTTCGGAGTTACACTAGATATACTAGTATGCAATCAACTGTAGGGATTTAACTTGCCTGAGAATAGCTGGAGAAAGCCTTGTATAACTATTTAAATGGTATTTTGGATATATCAGGCACCAATAACGGGCGTATAGTCATGATGGTCACGGTTTTTAGACTCGATGTAATATCATGGTGCAAGAACTTGAAGATGTAGAGACATTGCACTGCTGCCCGGGGTTTTCACATAGTATACAATCTTCAAGTTCAACTTCAAGTTGAAGTCGAAAGTAAACCCGTCACGGTCGGGCTCAGGCTTTTACTAGTACGTAGTCCAACCTTGAAAGTCCGAGTCTGTAGTAATTTTCAAACTTGAAGTTGTTCTCTGAGTCCTACTACTAGTATTATGTACTGCCTAGTAGTATCCGATATATATCATAACCTTGGAAAAGACTGCCACACTGTCATGAGCTCCAGGGCTGAATATATAACGCATCATGATGCTAGCACTATGTACCCGTTGAGTTTTTATTGTACCAAGTCAATCATGTCATTTCACCATTGACCCGGGTTGAACTGCTGGGTTATTTGAATTGATTAAAAAGTGCTATCTGGTTTCCCCTTCTTACCACGTAGGCTCATAAGGGTCAATAAGGGACAATGAAGAACCTCGAAAGAGATTCATTTAAGAGTCTTGTCGAAGGAGACAGAAACCATCGCAAATCAAGCAACATCTCATACTCAATGAATCGAGAATGACTCGAGTGCAGCCGCCAGTGGCTCTAACTCCGGATCAGCCCAGTCCTCCTCGGTCAGTTGGTACAGAGCTTGCCCAAATTCCCCATCAACCCGATATTTCTCCCCAACCCCACTATCTTCCCACATCAATGGGAAACCATAGACATCGAGCCAATCTGTGATGATATCACTCATAGAATGCTTCTCGTTCAAGTCAAAACGTGTCTCCCGTATGATGTTCCGTCTCGAGTCAAGATAAATCAGACGGCCATGTCCTGTGGCAAAAGCCTTCTTGTCAACAACGATAAGATGTCTGGTGCACCATCTGCGGTATAGAACACGCGCTGCTCTGTGGATCGTCAAGTGGGGGTCTTTGTGCCATTCCCAAGGAAATTTTTCCTTGTCATCGCGAAGATAATATTTGAATGTATCGCGCCAATATGCCATATCGTAGATCTCGGAATCGCTAGGTGGGAAATTTAGTCGATGCCCGGGCAGCCCAGGCGCTGAAAAATCACCATCTGTGAGCTCAGGAATGATCTCGAAGATTTTCTGCCATTGCTCTCCAAAATTAAAAACCTCTGGGTCATCTAGACACGCCCAGTAGGCTTCAGCTGAGAACCCTTCGTCATAGTCAACCCAGTCTGCTAGCTTAGTGTTGTCCATCTCCAGTTCACCTGCGTCTTTGCTGTAATGAGTCCGAAGCATCAGAGGGATCTCATAATTACCATGCAAGTGTTGAATAGCTGCTTTGCGTATTTTCTCAGATCGCCATGGTCTGAGAATGATGTGAACAGCTATTTGCGGAGCTCGTCTTTGGGCGTCTGGGAAATACCGTTCGAGGGGAATCGTGTCCGACTCTAGATGCTGTCTGATGAGCCGGAGGCGTTGCTGTCCTATGCTCTCACTTGAGTAGGAATCCCAGTTCGTCTGGTAAATAGTCAGCAAAGTACTCGCGAGGGTGTTGAATAATCTTTATGTCATACAAGGATGTCCTGTTCCACAGGTAGGCTGCCCCAGGGAAAATTGAGCGTAGAGTCTGCAGGCTTCATATTGACCAGAGACCAGAGACTAGAGATCAGAGTTCGAAGATCAAGCGAGACTTCTATGATGTACGGGAATGAGTGCTGAATATGGGAGCGAAAGAGAATTGAACCTTGGAAGTGAATGAAATGTTTGCTTGACAGGAGAATAGGCAGTAGAGTAAGGTTGAAATATCTTTAGGGATTTGTTCTGTTTGTTCTATGTGAAATCATGATCATTAACTGACTAGGCTCCAGCCACGAAATTCCCAAGTGTACAGCAGTTCTTAATAATACAACAACTCAAAGCTCGCTCTTAAGCCAAAAGACCTCGGCAGAAAACATTCCAGCAATCGGGACCGCATTCCCCGATGTATGGCCTCCAAATTCAGTGGATTCATGGTAAAAGGCAGCACCCAGGGAGAGGTCACTAATTGAGTGGTCTCCTGGTTATCAAAGATATCATCTATCCTATAAACTTATTTTACTTCCAGTATTCTCTAATCCTCTTCCGGCCTCCTTCTGCTTCATCAGGGCCAGTTTTCGCTCGATCAGTATTTTGTTTGATAAGAGCGGCTAGATTAGCCCAGGTAGTACGAAGTGCGGAATTTATAGAGCCTATGATATTGGTACATTCAAAATCGAAAAATACGGGCAATATGCACCTATATACACCGGATTTTGTCCGCCGGGTGGGGTTTTCCTATCTGGGCTGCCGCCGCTTTAATGAGGGCGATCAGGCTCAGGCTCACTGAGTAAATAAATACCTGCATGGGCTCATGCTTAGTGATCTGGTCAGTGCAGTCATGTGATCAATAAGTGGCCAATCATGAGTGCTCAGTGATCGCCTAGTCGTGGATCAGTGCTTACTAGCACATAAAAGAGAATCGTAATAGCAAAGCTGATTATATATTAGCTTCACTGTAGACCCAGAGGATGGATTTGAAGATTATAAAACCGTTGAAGGTTACTTGCCTCTAAGCTATAAAACGGTAATAGAGTTTATTCGCAATATATGAATTCTACCAGTGGCGGACTCTATAAAAGCGGGAAACTAACAGTGAGAATAGCTCAGGCCTAGGCGGAGCAATTCTTCGGTAAATTCAAAGAGACTACCGGTATAGAGATAACTGAAACTGATAGAAAAGAAACATACAATATAATGTCACGCACTACTAACTGGTTAACGTAAAATAGTACGTCTCGTTTGTACTGATCACTGCTCCGACGATCTGTATCCGCAATCGTATCGTTGCCAAGTCGCTGAGGCCTTACACGGGCTTGGATCTATAAGATAGATCGAAGACTCTCACCAGATGAGGGCGCCTAGTCAGATCACAAGTAGTTATGGTCAAACTACTAGGTGTTTCTCCTAGTTGAGGGTATGTCCTTATATATCCAGTCGTTCCTATCAGTGATGAGACCCGAACTCATCACTGATATCTTCCGAGCTTATCGCTGATGAGCTCTGGTCACGTGCTCGCTTTTTACCGTGCCCTCATTCTTAGGGTGTAAAAGGGCGATGCGCAATTGTAGCAAAATTGTATTATCATGTATAATATGTTTCTCCCAAGTTAGGAAATTAATATAAACCCTATAATATCTGTCGAATTGAACGGCGGTCACCGCCTTGTCGCTAGCAACAGGATTATTCATGTAACCATGTGTTTTTGTATGTAAACTTGGATTCGCCGGCATGTATAGCGTTGTAACCTCAGAGTATCGGCCACACAGGCCCCGGAACGCATTCAACCAACTAGCAAATGAATTAGACAGCTTCACTAGGCTTCGAATAGGGGATCTAATCAGGTCTACTAGTTGAGCCACTGTAAGAGAAATAATTGAAAGTACATACTTCGTTAGCGTCAACAAGGTCCACAGGTCCAAGAATTCCCCTAGACCATGTGAGAATTCCGGCCGTTAGCACTTGCATAACCAAACTTCAGCAAAGGTCTCCCAGTCCTGTATACACCTCAGAATAGTGTAAATCTCTCGGGATAGCAGAACTCTGGTCACTTAAAGTGGAGTTGTCTTTATAGGACCCTAGCACACTGCAAGGATTTAATATAAGTCCTGGACCTGAAGATTTCATTCTGCTCAAATATGCACAGAAGGAAAAGATAGGGACATTTCCACTAGCTCCACACTATACATTATTGACAAGCACAGATAGCATCTTCATCCAGCATATTCATTATTGTCGTCATAGTTATATACCTCATCCTAATCCAACTCGACAGTAAAAGGATCGGAAGACTCTGTAGCAAAGCACAAATAATATTCCCGTTGTTCCGACGAGTTCTTCTCCCATGGAATGAGGAGCTTCCTTGGCCCCACGTCAACTAGCTTTTGAAATTGATTGGCGTTCATAACCGTTCTCAGGAAAAACACTTGATAGTAGCTGATGGGGAGTATTTAGCGCACGAGCCAGACATTTGCTGGCCGGCTTCCTCAAGTCTTTCAGCCCAGAAGACTGCGTCTATTAGATCAGACGTTCGTTTTCTGATCCCCTTGTCATCTTCCTTCTTAAGATATGAACACCTCACTTTCACTGCTAATGCAAAGTCTGGCTTTAGAAGACGGACCCCTTGAACGGCTTCAATGGCTTCGGCATGCTGATTGACCTGCTCATAAGAGAGCGTATCGTCGATAGTCGTTAGCAAATCGATTTGAACCGATTCATAATGTAACATTCCACCAACCAACTCGAAGCCGTCAAATTTTTTGAGATGGTGGAGAATGATCGGGTCGCGGATCAGAATGTCTACATCGAGCGTCACTCTTTGGTGCCCTTGCAAGTTTGCGGCAGCTCCGCCAACAAGAATAAAATTTGTGGGGATTACATCCCGCAAAGCATTGACGCACGCAATAATCTTCTCTGAGTGGATCGACATAGTAACTGAAACTTGATTCGCAGAGGAATTAAGCTCCACAGAATATGGGTATGTGGGGATTCGTTGATCTAACCCAATCTGGTAGAAACCCGAGAGCTAAACCGGATATGGCGAAACTAGTTGGTTGAGGCTTATATAAGGAGGAACAGGCAATTCACTGGCACAAGAACCCGAATCTCATTTCCCATAGCTTTCCTCATAACCTTCCCCACTAAGATATGGCAAATGGCTGATTATATAGCCGATCAACCTCTTCAAGAAACACCCTTATGGCGCCTCTACCACCTATCAGAATGTCTCGAGGAACATAGTATCAGACACTGTATCGCTGGTGATGCTATTATTGCGACTCTCGGCTATCCGTTGGTCATTTGCGACTTTTATCTTGCGATCGCAGACAGCCAACTTGAAGATGCCTTCACCATCGTTTTTCAGCAGGGATTCCAGGTTTCCCGCGGCCGTGATGTATATATGGATAAGGATGCCACGGTTAACCCCCTAGGTTGGCCAGGATACAGACTGGTGATGCCTTCTGCATCTCCATTCGCCCCCGGGGTTATGCTTGTTCCCTCGAGTTGCTGGCATATGGATCTCTCGGAATCGAGTTTCTTGACGAACACATTCTTGCATACTACTACACGATGTCGATTTCCAAAGCGGTTGTTCTATTTGGATGGTAAGCAATAGCGTGGACGCCTCTTTTAATTTTATCTTCCTTGGTTCCAGTCTTTCTTAGAGCCCTAGTCATATACTAATCTTCTCTTAAATTCTTAGCTCTGATCGATGTTATTGTCGAAGACGCATTGAAACCCGGCGGCAACCAACGCCTATCTGGGTATTTTATAATGCAGTATCACTATCTAGTCGCCTGTCTCTCTCCGGATACTCTTAGCCTGTCGCCGGAGAATCAATTCTTTGTGGACTTATACGGTCGACTCCTTCCGCCAAAAACCCGGGAAACAGTCTGTTTGAATCGGCAGTGGATTCGACAGGGTCTGATGAACGTTGAGGAGGCATGGAAGTCAATCTCAAGAAGAGCTCTGCTATTTGAAGAGATGCACCGTAAAGCTCTGAATCATCGCTAGTGTATTACTTGGACCAGCGATAGCTAATAGATTTTGGTCTTTTTTGTTCTAGATATGAGGCTTAAGTCTAATCATAATGGAAATTGATGGACATGGACTTGAATAGCACGAAGGGGCCCAGCTATTTTATATCTTGATTTATTACCTTCGTCCTAGTGCAAGGCAGCCTGTTGATAATTACGGCGATATAAGAATGTACTCTCCCAGGAGCTCTGACCAGATTGAATGACCTTGGCTTCCTGGGAGCTGTAACGGGTATTTTTGAAGGGTCTACTAGGATACATGATAAATAGGGAACATATGGTGTAATGTATCAACATAGCTTACCTGGCTCTCTTGAACACTAGATTATCCATTCCTTCGCTTCGGAACAGCCAAAGTCAGCCAAAGCACAATAATGAGGCTAAAACAACTCCCGGGTAATTCGGTTCTGGGCAGTAAGGCTAATAAATCTTATTTGTTTACTATGTCTTGCAAAATTGAAGGACCAGACCCTCCTTAAGTAAAAAAAACTATCAAAAAGCCGTTTAAACGGCTTTTAGAGGCTCTCTAATTATTCTTAACGACTACAACTAAAGTATGGTGTGGTCTGAGAGTAATTATAGGTGCACAGGTTATTCGGCACCTATCGCTAGCCTCGACAAAGAAATTGTTCAAGTACGTTTGATTGTGCTGCGTTATGGTGGCCAAGGATTGAGAATTTGCCAGACTTCACTATAAATGAGCAACGAGACGCTGAAGCTTGATATATGTGGCACAGTAGACGGGCGGTAATTGGTATAGGTCAACGTCTCTTCATCCGAAGAACTATCAGCGAGAGATGATTAGATTAGTTTTACACTCGCTTTCACTCACTTGACAAGGTCAATTTTTAGAGGGCATCGGTGTAGGGAGCCTTGTTCAGATGTATTTCCATTACGACAAGGCAGCATTGGTCAGACTTAAGCTCCCGCCGGGAGCTTAGAATAATATTTCAACTGAACGGATTACATTGATTCGGCTATCTCGAGAACGTAACATTGTGACACTCCCGGGAGCGGGTATTTGGTCATGCGAATAGCGGATCTTACTTCCCGTTTATAACCACCCCCAATCTGGCGAGAATGGCATGACATCAAAACCACGAAAGGTCTTTAGCTTAGTACTAGATTACCATAGAAGGGTATGTCAATTTGTATAGAGAGATCTGAAAGTGTCCAATCAAAATCAAAGAATATGCGAATTCCGTTCTAGGAGGCACACATTTGCCTCCGTACCCCAAATCTGGCCAAGTATCGGGGCAAACGGGGAACGCTCCTAGGAGCATTAAATCTACGATAATTGTAATTATTCAATTGTACGATTTTCACTGGATACATCCTGCTTGCAATGACAAATATCGCCAAAGAAGCGGCAAATTTACGATGCCCGCACTTTGAAAGGGGAAAGCTGTACAAGGGGTCGGGCTAGCTTGTCGCATTTTATTGAGCCTGCTTACTGAGATTGGCCCCCTCTTTGGAAGATATTAGTAAGCAAACCTGGATTGCTCTGGTCAGGCTCAGTGAGCGGATCACCACGATTACATAATGATAACTGAGCAGCTCAGGTCGCTCAGGGGCGTGCTTAATTCTTCTCAGTGAGTAAAAGCGGCGAGGGGGTGAGCACTAGAACGGAAGGAGAGCGCCAAGGGTTGCAGGACAAAATCCGGTATATATGCTCTCCGTCATTTTTACCTATTAGCTCTTCAGGATTACCCATTTTGGGAATCAACTGCCAGTATTCCAGCCTAATCTACCATAGTGATACCTAGTCTCATGTTAATAAACATCCCGGAATGAGACCAACCAACTCGAAAAGTTGGAGACAAACTTAACGAAATATAGTACTAAGCGTTTGTCTGGGATACATAATGATTCCACAAACTTCAAGTTCAACAAAGGTTGCTTGTATATATATAGATGTATTTGAAGATCTCGCAGAACCGCTTACTAGTCACAGTGTTGTCCTTTTCCAACCTGAAGAGTCCTGTCAAAACTTGAACCTGGAGTTGTTCTGCCATATTGACAAATTCCGTCGGTAGAACAGAGACTCGAGAGTCTGATATCCCTTTATATAATATGTGTATTATAAGGAAATTGATGATAAAAAAGGGAGAAATATCCCGCCGTATAGAGTAGTATGTAGTTGATAATAGGATATGTAATAGAAGAACTCGAATCACCCCAGTGTCCCCAGCCTGAAGACTTCAGCGATTTTATAGGCTGTAGCCGAGCGGAACGACCCGCAATGTGCACCTGGGCAAACAACCAAATCCCTTCCAGCCAATCAGAAATCTTTAGTTTACTAGTATTCGCACATGTGGTAATATTCATTGATCAAACATTGAAGTCACAATGTCCATTCAACCCGAGGGAAAGCTATATGAAAAGCCGAATGGGTAGAAGGATACGGGTTACCAAAAGATTAAGAAGATCATAAAAAAAATTCGAATCATAATTCGGTTCAATCCGTATCGACTCCATACCTACCTTGAACCTTCGAAACGCCGGTAGAACATGCACCACAACCCTTGATAAGCAAGGTATAGCGAGTGTGGATAAGCATAAAACCTGACAAAACATACTTTAAATCTCCTACATATTCCCAATCACATGGTAAAGCAATGCAGCAAGGGACAAGCCGATGCCAGATGATCGGAATCCACAGGGGAAAAAAAACAAGTCAAGTTAGCCGAGACCCCTTGATGGAATGTCAAATCGTCAAGAGCAACTAGCGGCATGCAGTTTCAGTTATCAACACGCACAACACGCACTGGACCCTTAATTTTCCCCTTCCCACGTGGAGCTTGATCAGATAGAGTAATCTATGCAAGGTACCAGGAACCGACAACAACGACACCATGCCTGCCGTTTCAAGATAAGGACGATCACTGACATCATCAGAAAGTAATACTTGTACCAACGGTGCACGGTACAAGTGTCCCGGGCATAGCCTTCTCAATAGCAAATTTCGATCGCCATCCAGAGCAGTGGCCTGGCATCAATACCGCAGGATCAAGGCGTTTGAGATCAGCAACGGTTTTTTGGACCTGCATGTCGTCGGAAGTAGCAAGATGGAACCCGCCTACAACACAGTGGAGAAGAGTGTTTTCAGGCATGTGTTTCATTGCGTGCTTTGTCGCATTAACCACGCCACCGTGGCTGCATCCTGTGAATACAACGAGACCCTTATCTGTTGACGATCAAATAAGCGACTGAAAATCAAGACTACGTCTCACCCGCAGCTTTTGGACATACCTTTGACATTGACAGCGAGAAAACGCTCATCAGCGATGAGCTCGTCTGAGTACCATTCCCCTGACTCGGAGTCAAACCGTACAGCACCTTTTAGACCTGTTTCATAAGGCGTTACCCGTGGAATCCCGCCCGAGACGAGAAACATGTCATCGAGGATCGTATGTGTTTCGTCATTCTCCTCGATCACAGCGCCTGTTTGAGAGATCTCTTCAAAGGTTGGATCTGCCTCAAGAGAGACTATTTGTTGAGGAAGAGCAATACCACGATAGACTGGTCTATCGGGATGTAGATCGACCACTAGATTATCAGAGATGCCCTGGGCCCTCTTAGCATCTTTAATCATGCGAATAGCTCGCAAAAGACCGCCTATATTGTTAATAAACATAGTTTTCGTAGAAGGGAAGAAGACCAACCAGAATGATCCCGATGCCAATGAGATAATTGAATAACTTCGACAGAAGCAAGATCGGGACGTAATCGTTGCACGTTACGTTCCCACGCATCTTCTTCAGGGCCAGCATCGAAGAGAACAGAATGTTTCTTATCTCCCTTTGTCGCAGTCTGCGAGAAAATATCAAATGAGCACCATATTCACTCTACCCACGCAGTCCGTATAGGCACAACTGATGGAGTTCAATTATGTGCACAAGGAGTTGATACTTACTATGAGAATGGACAAGCCGTGCGCCGCGCAACAGATATTACCCATGCGCAATTCGTAAATTGCATCGCCGCGACCGGAAATTTTGCTATCTGGTCTGACTGCTATGCTTCCAATTTGTCCTGAAAGATGAACTGTATCGGGTGCTGCCGGGGACATGGGGTCTAGCTCATTGTCGATGATCACTGTGGCTTCAAGTGAGTCCACTTCTTGGAGGAGCGGGGTGGTATCCATTGCGGGGTACGGGTACTTGGGATCAGCAGTGTATTATTGTGAGAGATTTTTTAGGCGAATAAATCATTGTTTAGTCCAGTGGAGAGACTGTATTCGATTGTTTGGGTAGTAGTAAGTGGGAGGGGCTCATCGGTGGTTTGTTTTTCTGGTGGAACCTGGGGCCGTGTTGATCCGATGGAAACATTAACCATGGATGCCTATACGGCGACTTTATACAAGTATACTTCTTTTTCTTTCTTATTAGATTGTGACCAATTTCAGGAGAAGAATTTCTGTGTTCACAACTGCGAGCACTAGGAGTGTCTCCTATTCATGATTCAGCATGTATAAAGTGGATGCTACGAGTACATTGGTATGCAAAAGCATGCAAGGAATCGAGGAGAACAATAAATGGTACAGGAATGCTGAATAGGATAATTTTGAGCCAATGTTATATGCAAAGGCTTGCGAAATGCAAAATGCAAAAGAAACGAAATGCGCTAAACCACGTATCAATGTGCCAAGAAGCCAAAGATACAATCGTATAATCAAGAAGGGTATCTAGATGATCGCTGAAGTGAAATCGCTAGCAGTGCATTGGCATCCATTCTTGTCCGGGATAAGCAGTGGGGGACATGACAATTTCATCGCTTGAATCATCTCTAAGGGCAAGTTCGACAGGTTCAGAATTGCGAGCCAATGTCTGGGTCTCATCACGATGGGGATGCTCTGAAAGAGTCACATTAGACATGCCCGACACGGCAATATTTCTGGGCTCAAGATGTTCGGTGGTGGGTAGTTCGGCATTGGGAAGTTTGCGGGATCGGATGTCAGGATTGGGCTTAAAAGATGGCTGTGTGAACTGTTGGTGTTCGTACTCGTTGTCAGCTGGTAGCTGACTCGCCCAGTGTTGTACAGGCGTGTTCGACAAACCATTTTGTGTTGCGCGTTGATCATCTTCATATAATCGGGTTTCCAAGCCACCACCCTCAGATCTTGGGGAGCCGCTGTTGTCTGAATCGGAGTGGGGTATAGGAGATAGAGGATGGCTTGTTTGGGTCGTGAGAGGCATACTCTTGACGCGAGTATGCTGGGCTGCGGGTAGGCTGTCTCCAGAACTTGCTGATGAATAGAAGCGCCCAGATGCTAAAGCACTGGGGCTAGCAGTCGGGGGGACGTCCATACTTGCACGGTGACGAGGCATAGCTTCGCTAGATAGTCGTGGAGCCGGAGTAAATCCATCAGATGGCGGTTCGGGTAGATCCTTATCTCCAATGCTTTGACGCCCGTTTTGCGAGGTTGGAGCCCATGATCTGTCAGCTGAAGGGCGGCTTGGTAAATCTTTGCCCTCGGAAGTAGTGGGCATGGGTTTGCGATGGGTGACCTTAGCGTCCTCCGGAGGTTGAAAATCAGAACGAGTAAAAAGGCTCTGTGCATTGTTAGTAAATTTGAGACGAAAAAAAATCGAACAGAGGGAAAACAGGGCAAAGAAGCAACCTCTTTGGAATGAAGCACATACACTAATTCTGTTGAAAGTACGTTTCCGTTGGTGCCCCTTCTCCTTCTCCTTCTCTTGAGGCTCTGGTTGATGAATCTTCTCTTGCAGTCCCTGGAAACCGCCTTGAATCCCCGTTAAGAGGTCTCCCACCGAAGCACGGCGTCGTCTCCCAAAGCCCTTTAATTTTTCCATTTTGGATTCGCCATTTTGAGCAGAAGAATTTGATTCAACGCGCATCGAGAGATCATTAGCAGGAGTAGGTGGCCGAGTGCCTTTGCTGTTGTTGCTTTGTCTGCCCCAGCTTCCAAAACTCAACATGCTGCTCCGAGTTGCGGGCGAATACCTCACTTCATTTCTCAAAGGACTCTGGAAATTCGGTGTTGAGGGCGGAAGGCCGCTAATGGATTGACGCTTGGCGTCAAGCACTTGCGCAGAAGTTGCTGGCCTCGGTGGGAATATGTGCTCAAACCCAGTTGTGATTTCCTCGGCGGACGGCAGTGAAGAGGTTGAGGTTTGAGCTTCTGGGAGTTGTTTACCATATACAGGCTTGGGTTCAGGCTTGGGATCAGGCTCGGGTTCAGGCTCGGGTTCAGGCTTGGGTGCTTCCGGTGATGGTGGCTGTATTGGGGAGGGTGGGGTGTTATTGAACTCTTCATCCGCCTCATCAGTTATCTTACGGTCCTCAATACCAAGCGTTGATACCGATGGCTGTCGTGCAGCGTGTCCTGATTTTCCTGATTTTACTGCTTTGAGATGTGCAGGGTCCTTTGGTGGCGTTGGGGGAGGGGCGTCTTCAAGTGCAGTTTCTTTTGGAGGAGTCCTGGGTGGACTAGAGGGCTCAACTTCAACAACAGGGCGAATTGATCTAAATGCGGTCTGCGTCGTCTCTGTAGCGGGCTTATGGATTTCTGCTCCCGCTGGCTCCAGTGAGGATGAACCACCAAAGTCCTGGGTAGGGAGAACTGGCAGGGACTTCTCCTTACTTAGCCGGTGATTATCGCTTGAATCTTTTGTGGGAATCGGCACAGCCTCATCTTTAGATGGTGGCGGCGGCCCTGTTTGATCTGGACTTCGCTCAGCAAATTCGTTCGAAGGTAACGCCAAGCCAGCCTGGGCTGGCGGATCAGGCTGAGCTTTGACTGGAGAAAGACCAAGGGCGGCAATCATCTCCTGCTCGAGGTCACCAACTATGCCGGACTTCCTGGCAGATTCCTTTCGAAGTCTTTCTTGATCTGAAAACATTGGCAATGGCTGTGAGACAGCTCGATTAGATGTGTCTTCGGAATTTATTTGAAGCCTTGAGATATCCATAGATCCGGTTGATTTGAGACGTTTGCCTGAAGGTTCATTATTTCGTTCACCGTTCGCATTTGTTTGGGCTGAAGATGCATTTTTGTTTTGTCCAAACTTGAATACAGGCAGACTGCCTATATTGATAGAGTTGCGTGAGGAAGAGTTACCCTGCGATCCATTGGACTCTGATGAGAAGTTGAAGTGGAGACTTCTGCTGCGAGAAGTCGATGACTGACCCTACAAGCATTACCAACATTAGAAACGGGCATGAACTAAGGTTGGGTGGTTTGGGCGAAAGGAAGATGTGGAAGAGAGAAAGACAGAGATGCATCAATCGTGTCACATTCTAGTGTCCAAATGCCAAAGCGACGGGAATTACATCGTGGTATCGAGAAAGAAGATTGGAAACATAGAAGCAAAAGAGTTTGAGACATCGCTGCACTGGCCGCCCAGCGCGCCAGTTCCAGTGCAATTGACCCCGATTATGTTAAGGAAAAGAAAAAAGAAGAAAAAAAGATCAAGTATCTACCTTGTCTCCACCAGCGCGAAACTTGCTCCTGCCTTTGGCAAACAGGCCCTTAGCTGCTTCACCTGCCTTGCCACCAAATGTGCCCGCTGTATGGAGAAGATCCTTTCCACGCTGTTCAACATTCGATTTATTCATAATGGTTCCAATGTTGCCAGAGGGGCGCCTCAGATGACTTGCACTAGTAGGGGTTCCATCTGTTGGAGTGCCAAGATTACCAAGAGATGTGAGTTTAGGGAATCGAGTCCTACTTGGCGAGCTCCGAGGTATGGCCGAGGTATTTTGGGCTGATTGGATCGTTTCGGCATGTTCGGGTTTCTCATGGACAGTGATTTGCAGCCAGCGATTCAAACCGGTATTGATAGTAGCGAACTGATCCCTGGTGTTGTCGAAAGCTTTAATGCGCTGGTTGGGAGTCGCAAGATTTAAGATCGAACGGAAGCTTTGAAGCTTTTGCTCATCAACATTTCCGGTTCCCACAGCCGAAGTATCGATAACATTATTCTCGTTGTTGGGGCCATCTGTTGGTCCCATGATCTGCACGGGAGGTGAGCTACTTTCTGGGATTGGAGGGACAATCGAAAGTCTGGGCTTCTCAATTCGCTGGCTGCCAGAACCCTCACTGTCATAGCTTGGTAGCTGTTCATCAACAGCCTCCGGGGCGCGCGCAGCATGGTCATCTTCAATTTGTGAGGCCACAGGTGCCACGCTGACGGGAGGAGCTTCTGTGTCTGGCTCATTAGCCGAGGCAGAAGACTCCCACGAGAATCGTCTCCCCAGACGAGGCTTTTGAGGTGCTTCATCAACCACAGCAGCAGGCTCATTGGATACGTCGAGGGCGGCATACGAATCCTGCGAGCCCAGGGGATGGCTGGCAGTCAAGTCGTGGTGAGACTCGGAAACTAAGGTCCTGGGAGCTTCATCAAGACCGGGACCAGTTGGTCCCTCCCAGTACTTCTCATACTGGTTTGGAATGGATTCTGGCTTGGTATTTTCAGTCTGGGTCGGCGGTGTCTCTTCTGGTTCTTGAGAATTCTCTCGACTCAACGAGCGCATAATTTCCTCTCGCAACTGGTCACTGTTGGCATCGTGTGGAGAGTCATTAACATTGGGGGTAGTGATTATGGGTATATTGCCACGGTACCCTGCAGGTCCAGACTGCTCGGACTGTTTCCTTTCGCCAAACTTGAGCGGTGCAACGAAGTCCTTTCCAGGAGTATCTGGGGATGCTTGCTGAGGAGACTCTTGTGGCAATTGAGTTTGTCCTGGAGTAACAATAGACAATTCTGCTTGACCTTCAGAGGGCGCGTCATGCTCGGTAATAATTGGTTGCTTTGAAGGGCTATTATCGCGGTCAGGTAGACTCATATCGCGTCGGTGGCCCGGGATGAAAGGTGAGCTATTATTGGAACCAGCGGTCGGCGTGCTCGATTCAGCCGGCTCCTCGAGAATAGTAGGCGTCCTGTCATCGTAAGAACCCCGGCTACCCATGATGGGACTAATGACAGAAGTTCCATCGCTGTTAGAGCGTGCAACGCTGCCAGTGGTTGAATTTGGGGTTTCTGGAACATCGAAAGCTTGGTGAACTACTGATGTGAACCCTTGGGAGGTGGTCGAAGCTTGAGACGCCTGAGAAGGGTTGTGTTGCAAGGAGGGTTCCTGAGACTCGATGTGGGCTGACTGGCTAGTCGAGTCCCCTCCAAGGAAGTCGGTGCCAAACGAGGACATCCGCTTTATGTCGGGTAATCCAACCGCAGGAGCATTTTGTGCTACTTGCGGGGGAGCACCGGTACTAGAATCGGTTGTAGGACTAGCGCGAGGCTCATTTTCGGCTCCCACTATTCCAGACAAACGCCTAGAGCTCAACTCTGACGAACTGCCAATTCTTTGATTTGCATATGAAGGTCGAGGAACGGCTGCTGGGGCTGGGTATTGTTCCTCCTCCTCGTCCTCATCATCTTCGTCACCCCAGTCTCCACCGTCGTATGAATATTTCTTGGCCTCAACCCATCGTTTCGTTTTCGCGCGGTTCACGTTCGCTCGAAAGGATAATGGGGTGCTTCCTCCGCTGGCTGGGCTGCTCGCATTAGGCGGCGACGGGCTGTACAGCATTGTTTTAGAGGTTGTGCAACAAGACAGTGAGAAGACGATGGAAGATAAACTTACAGGTTCTGACCCACGCGGCCTTGCCCAGGAATATTGGGATTTGCCATCAGAACAATCCCGTCTTAAATAAAAACCACTGTCGGGCTTTAAAGATCCAGCATAAGTTGTTGCCTGGTCTAACTTGCAGAGTGCCGAAGTCGAACTTTTACCCCACCGGAATATATATATATACAGTCCGGAAATAGTTGCTGCAAAGGTATCTGAACACACGAAGCCGTCGCGCGGGCGAGAGCGGACAGGTTGGGTATTTGAGGAAGGACGGGGGGTGGCGTGAGCGACGTTGCCAATGCGGGTGTCGATCAGATGGGCTAGTTGAGTATGGGGGGCGGAAACAAGATATTGTACAGTCCAGGGTGTCAGGAATGACGTGTATCCACAAGAAAGAAGAAGAAAAAGAAGTAAAGAAAGAATTAGCAGGGGAGAACCATGCAAAGACGAAGAACCAAGATTTTTACAAAAATGAGGGTGTACAAGAAGTCAAGAATGTTCCCCTGATTCGCATCCGGGGAAAGGCAAGTGGCATAGATCCAGCTGTTGAGGCGTCAAGGCGGTACGGTACGTAAGGCTCGTCTCATACTATGTAAAATTAGACCAGGGGCGGTGCACGATGATGTAAGCGGTGGCGCATGCATCACGTGGTTTAATCGCGATCGACGTGTTCCGTTTGGAATTGAGGATGTTAGATTGCGAACGTGAGATCCAGTTTCTCTGGGAAAAATAGTGAAGGCTGCGCCGTTAATTTCATTGTCCTATCTAACATTGTCTTTGATTCCGACTTCTGTTCCTCAAATTCCATCTTCGACTCCACATCGCTGCAAGCGGCCACAGACCCATCAACAACCCGCCTCGCCGCCCCTTATCGATTAAAGATTATTTGGTGGTGGATCACAGGCAGCAACTTTCGAAAGACCGATCGAAGCCTTTGAATACCGAACCCTTCAAATTAACGGGAGATACACCGGCTATTCCGACATAAGCGGCATTTGACACGTCGCATCACGACAAAATGGCCGGCCCCTCAATTCAAGATCGAACCAGCGAGTTCAGCTCTATCCTTGGCCAAGCCCAGAAACGTCTCGGCACGTCGAAAGTTGGATCGCAGCGACAGGCTTTGTTGACAGAGACCCAGAGACGACAGGCGAATGGATCACCATCAGGAGCGCAGGATGTGAAAGCTGGTCGCTCGGAGTTTGCGCGAAGGGCAAGAGACATTGGAAAGGGGATCACAGGAACAACAGCGAAGTTGCAGCGACTGGCAGAATGTGAGTGGGACCTTTTATTGAAGCAGACAGGCGACGGGAAATGGACTATGAACTAATTCGATCCGTAGTGGCGAAGCGAAAAACGCTCTTTGACGACCGACCCGTCGAGATCTCCGAGTTGACGTACGTAATTAAGCAAGACCTGGCAGCCCTGAATCAGTCAATTGCAGGCCTACAAGCCTTAACTCAGGCGCAACACCCGAAATCAAATCGATCAAAGACAGATCAGGAGGGCGAGCACAACGATAATGTGAGTGTTGGTTTCGGAGAATGTATTCGGGTTATTGCTAACGAGTCTTAGGTTGTTGTCATGCTCCAAGGAAAACTGGCAGACGTAGGATCTAGCTTTAAAGAAGTTTTGGAAGTACGGACGAAGAATATCCAAGCATCTCGCTCAAGAACCGAAAACTTTGTCTCTTCTGTATCGTCCAAGTCGCAGAACGCCCTCGAATCCCAACGCTCCGACTCACCTCTATACAACCCCTCGGGGAGACGTACCCCCCAGCCTGGATACCAAGGAAATTCATCTGATCTCCTGACCTTGGATCCCTCAAACCCTTCGCCATTGGGTCGCCCCTCTATGCAATCAGATCAACAACTATTGGTTATGGAAGAAGCCCAATCAAGCAATACCTACGTCCAAGCCCGTGGAGAAGCCATTGAGGCCATTGAACGTACAATCAGCGAATTGGGTGGCATTTTCGGCCAGCTGGCTCAAATGGTTAGCGAACAGTCTGAGATGATCCAGCGTATCGATGCCAATACAGAAGATGTTGTAGACAATGTGCAAGGTGCGCAACGAGAGCTGATGAAGTACTGGACACGAGTATCTGGAAACAGGTGGCTCATTGCTAAGATGTTTGGTGTTCTTATGGTATGTATTCCAGAATCACTCACTTTTCTTCGACAAAGCTAACTATCAACACAGATTTTCTTCCTTCTTTGGGTTCTGATTTCTTAATAGACGACCCTCTTTTTCATTTACATTTTGCCCTTCAGTACTGTATTATAATACTCGACCGCACGTTTAAACAGATTGCGGTCTCCATTCTGCATGCCCACCCTCATCCAGCAGTTTCTTTTGTTTTTGTCTTGCGACTAGATCCTGGATGCCTGCCATTCACTCTCTACCTATGTTTCCTTTGCTCCTCTTCCGGGACTGTGTCCTTATTAAGAGTCATCGAAGTAAATACATCATGTACTAATCCAATTAACACTCATGACCTTACCACTGCATTCATTTCTTTTAGATACATGTATTTACTTAGAAAGTATATGTTACATATCAAACGTGGCAGTCTCACGCGGCGTGAAATTGCGCCATTGCATCCCACAGCTCCGATTCTGCCCAACCCAGTGACGGCTGGTTATCAAATAGTTCCCACATAAGACTGTCATCCCATCCCTCCACAGATGGCACAGATGGTGGCACTCCCGAGATAGTACTATTGGTCCCCGGACTTGGCAGCGTCTTTAAAGGATGAGCATTACCCCGACCAAATGTTTCTGCAAAGGAATTACTCATCTGAGAGGGTATTCGTCCATCATTTAGATTATTTTGAATGCCAGGTATATGTTGATCAGCGTTCGAGGGACAGGGATTTTGTTTGATAAGCGGTGCGCACAGGTCCAAGAACTTGGAAAAGAGGCCATAGAGTTTGCCGATAGAGGCATTCGCCCTGGCGAACTGGTGTAGATCGCCCGTGATTTTTTTGATCATTTCGAAATCACGATGATCAGAAGTTGCGACGACATTACAGAATAGAACGAAGAACGGGGAAAGTGGGAAGAGCAGCATTGTCCTAGAGTAAATATGTGGATATTAGTCATGTCATCCAAACTTGGGGTGGTATGGTAGGTGAATAAAAGTAGCATGGAACTTACCATGTCAAAAAGTATGGATAGGAATCAACTGATGTTTCGTCGTCAGAAAAAGCCTCTTGCAAAGCTCGGAGCGTGGTCAAGGCTTTTCGAGCTGCATAAAGACAATCTTCACACACTAGGCGAGATTTCAGGACAGAAGACCGTGCTCGAATGAGTGTTGTTAAAGCAGAATAGTAGTTGAAATCCACTGATAACCATTCCCGGCGCAGCAATACCCATGAATCAGGGAACTCTATCTCTTGACGGCTTCGATACTGCAGATCGGTTAATAATGGATGTTGATATTTGCTTGAAGATGCGTGAGCTTACTATCTGTAGATCCGAGTAGACTTTCTGAGCGCGGAACACGAGATCTGAAAGAATGTTTGCTTTCTCCACATCGTTCATTTCTTTAGTATCCAGCAGGATTTTTAACAGGGTCCCCTTGACCTGTGCCAACTCAACAATGCCGATGATCATTGCGGTCGTGGGTAATTCCGGATCTCTATGGATAAGTTGTGCTGGTTCAACCTTGAGCTCTGGTAAAGATGGCGGTCGAAGGAGAAGTAGGCTGAGAGTTGAATCAAAATAATAGCATGTATAAACACATGCGTGAATCTCTTCTTCTTTTGCGTTCTGGGGTATAGTGTTTGTGATGCTGTGATAGTTCAAGGCGACGATGACTCTTGAAGCAAAAGCCGTGAACATCCAACAGCGAGACATGTTTCCCAAGTATTGCATGAGTCGTTTCTAGGTCAAATCAGCATACTGACCACGGATCATAGATCACTGGCAGGACTTCACATACCCCGGATAATAAAGCCTGCAGCAAAGTTAAACTCGGTGGAGCTGTTAAAGGAACAGAGTTAAGTTCATCCATTGCAGCTGCTTCGTATTGTCTTTTAAGTGTCTTGAAATGCATTTTCAAAGGATGGCTTGATATCATTGGAGCCAACTTGGAAATAGATGAAATAGCCTTTACCCATACCACGATTCGGTATAGCTGGAGAATCTGTTCATTCTCACTGTTTTCAAGAATTGCAAGACCCATTCGCTCTAGAGTTTTATCAGATATGTGATCTGGCCAGACGATTGTTCCCTGTGAATTGGTCTTCTTGTCGGGCCCTGCAGAGATTAGCTTTTTTCGGATTTTAAACTCAATAAAAGTAGACGAACCTGGTAACATCATGTAGAGCAACTCCGGTGTGAGTTGAGGAGGCGCTATATCCTCGACTTCTAATTTTTCTGTAGAACTAGGCTCATGACGATGGATTCCCGGGTTAGAAAGTTGGTTGACGAATCGTTGTGCCAGCTCCAGTGCTGTTCGTCTGTCTTTTGAAAGAGCTGGATTACATTGAAGCTCATGCTCAATATATTCTCTTGCTTCACTAGCATGTCGCGCTGAGCCTGGTGAATGTCGTTCGGCATGTATGTTTGATCCAATACCGTGCGATGCTGTGCGCTTCGACTCTAAATAACCAAAGGGGCTGGTGTCGCGGGCAGGATGACTAGAAGAATGTTTTCTTTTCAAGGAAGATTTTGAAGCATCTATGGACTTCCCTTGTGGAGACAAGGGCGTAACTTCATGCTTTTCATCATGCCCGACGGTTGAGGAAGGCGATGAGAATATAGAGGTATCTCCTTTAGATTTCTCCAGTTTCGCTAGCCTCTCTGACAAAGCATCCAACCTATCGGTTGTTAGAAATACTGCCAGGTTGAATTCAATGAGATACAAACCGAGAGACTCTTGGTCGATGCACTCTTGCCTGGCGAGCACGACCGCATTCAACTTGTGCATCGACGCAGTTCATACATGGATCTTGACGATCACATTTTACCTATGAATGGTTTTAAGTTAGGAAGCACGACGACAAAAGCCAGGGTAATGCCCCAAAGGATTAATTCCGACCTTTCGTGTATGACACAAGTCGCACTATCAAGATATTAGAGAAAGATCCTTGCCCCAGTTATACTTCGTGTAGAGAAAGGGGGACGAACTGCTGGCATTGAGGTCATCATTATTGAAATCGCGCCGAGATTGTTGATTAAAAATACAAACAGGTACCAGGTGTTGTATATGAGTTTAATCAACATATGAAAGAAAAGGAATACGGGTTGAAGTCGTGGACCGTGGAGATGAAGGCGCATCGGGGATCTCCGAAGATCCGAGTTCCGGCCAAATCAAGCCTGGTGCACGGCTTAGCCTAACTCATACCCACTCTAACTATATCCCCTATACAAAGAGAGCTTGAATTGACTGGGCTATAATTCTAGTGAAAGGTTCGTGTATAGTTCATTTTCATGAGAGATCTACTCTTCTATGTCACAATATTTGCAAGTTAGTGCTACTGATGAGCCATGAAGAACTGGAACAGGCTCCTCAGCTGTATGCGGGATGGCCCCTCGCCGGAACAACTCCTGGCGACAAGCCTCAAACCAGACTTTATCAAGACCTGGAGGTTCAGTGAATGTTTGGTTGGGGTCGTGGTTGGAAGCAGCCACATAGTGGCCCAAGTCTTCACGCATACGCCACATGAACTCCTTGCGATGAGACCAGCTTGTAGTGTGAGATGATGAATGTCCTTTCTCCTCATCTTTAGCAACAGAAACGAAAAATTGAAGAATGCGCTCGAGAGTTGATGTCATCAGAAGTAGACTGACCCAGCTTTCCGAAGTTGAACTAGGAAACTCGGGGTGCATTAGTCGTCGGACAGTTGAACAAAGAAGCTCTAGACAGTGTTGAGTCGATATAAGGATATGGGAACTCGTAAAAGGCACATCTTGAAGAATAGACTGCTGATCATCCGTCAATTTGAAGATATTTGCTAAGTGGATAGAGGAGTCCGAGTCCGAACCATCTACTACACAGGACTCCAGAAATAATATGGCATACGCCCTAGCTAAAGATTAGCACTTGACATAAATTAATAAACAAGAAGAATACATACATTGGGTAAAGCAGCCTCACATGAAGTGCTGCGACAGCTTTGCTGTAGACAACCTCCTTTTCTGTCTTTGAAGAAGTCCATAGTGGTTGCGCAATAGGGTCAGTATCCAGATGGTACCGAACTGCATGATCGGCCAAATGATACGAGAGTTGAATACACGTTGTCCAACATCGTTTGAGATCAACCAAGTACGCAAACGAGTAATCGGCATCAACATGTCCGTCGCCGACGGCATACTGAGGCGGGGGTGGCGGGAATAGTTCCGATATGAAGGTCAGATCATCACCCGGTGAGCGGTCGAAACAATCTGCAGGTTCTTGATCTCCTTTTCGTCGAAGATTGATAAAGGAATGTGATATTGCGATTTCGTTGTGGAAAACACGGCGATGCAGTAATCGGCATGTCAAAGCCAACGAGATAATATCATTTAGCTCACATAACGAGACTAATCTGACCAACACATGGTCGGGAAGCCGTTTCCATATGGACTCTTTTGGTTCAACGGAAAATGGGGCTCTTTTGCCCCGGCGAGAGAGGACTTTGCGGAATCTTTGAAATATTGGTGGCATGTTCTGATCATGACAGTGGGGTAGCTGTCATATAGTAGAGCATCGGATTGCCAGAATGCCTTCCTAGGCCTCTGGCATGAAAACTATACGAATTCAAGTCTTTATAGGATGTGAAAAGCCTCTCATGCAAGACCTGGGATAAAACATTTCAAAAACTTGAGCGGATAAAAGATTGAAGTCTGAAACGAGTCCCACTGGTGGGACAGTTCATGCCTGGGTTTTAGGGCATCAATATTATAAGTTAAGTTAGTTACACGTCAAAGCTCCACGTCCATAGCCCCCGTGTCATCATTCTCAATTTCCAGGGACCCACAGCAATGCAAGCCGGATGTTGATATATCCACACTCTCCCCATGGCTTGTGTATGAAAGGTTTATGAGATTTCCACAGTTCTAAAGTGAGAATTGAGGACACGAGCGCGTGTGGATACCCATGCCTGTCATGGAATCGCTATCAGATTCACCAAAGCCATACTCATGTGTAGTTTGCCACAAAAGAAAAGTGAAATGTGATCGCAAAGAGCCCTGCTCGAACTGTGCAAAAGCAGGTGTGGAGTGCATATATCGCCCTCCACCACCGCCACGCCGTCGCAAAAGGGAGCCCGACGCGAGCGGAGACGCCTCACAGGAACGCGAAAAGTCACTCCGATGCAAGAGCCCAGAGTCACCCCAAGGCGTACAAACTACAGCCACTAAAGACACATCTTCCAATGGGCACCTGCCAGGTACACCAGGGCCTAAGCAGGGTGGTTCGGGGAGGATGATCGTGAAAGAGGGAAATTCGGTCTATCTCGATAAGTAGGTGGCGTGTTGAATCCGACTTGCAATTCATATCTAATAGCTACTAGTACACTTTGGACAAGCGTCAGTCATGAGGTTTGTGTTAACATTCAAATGGTCTGACTTCTCCGTTTATTAACAGTCTAATATAGCTTGCAAATGCTACAGAAGTATTAGATGATGAGGCGGACAATCATAGTGATGCTTTATCGCAGGAGGATGAAACCGGAGAGGAATTGATGCTTATGAGGTCGGCTACCAAAGGAAGCCTCACAAATTTGCATCCGAATCCTTTGCACATATTCAAATTGTGGCAGACATTTCTTGAAAATGTCAACCCGCTCATCAAACTATTGCATACACCCACGCTACAACCTCAAATATTAGAGGCTGCAAGCGATCTCCCGAACGTGGGGAAAGAATTAGAGGCGTTGATGTTCACAGTTTATTGCATCGCTTTGGTATCGTTACAGCCTGGAGAAGTTGAGAAGTCCTTCGGAGAAAGCAGGAAGAAGCTTCTAGCCAGGTGTCGGCGAGGAGCCCAAATTGCCTTGAGTAATGCGTCGTTTCTTCGCACTTCAAATCTCATGGTTCTGCAAGCAGTCATACTATACATAGTGAGTGTGAATACCTAGTAACTCCAACCTGGTCTAACGAAACTCCAGCTGTCCATGCGTGCATTTTCAGATCCTCATACAATCTGGACTATGAGTGGTGTCGCCATGCGAATCGCCCAAAGAATAGGTATTCACCGAGATGGCTCCGGATACGGAGTCTCCGTATTTGAAGCTGAAATTCGACGGCGATTATGGTTTCAACTCGTGATTGTAGACTCTACGTCTGCGCAGTTCTGCGGGGTTGCTTCGAATCTATTACCTGCAACAACCGATACCCAGCCACCCCTCAATATCAACGATAGCGATCTAGATCCGCGCATGACAGAACCGCCCAGCGAGAAACAGGGCCCGACCGAAATGATGTTTTGTCTTACTCGCAGTGAGTACGGCAAGTGGCTCCGTCGTTGGAGTAAAAATGCAGGCCCCTCCCATTCCCCTTGGGGCTTCTTGTCCTCTCCATCATTGTCGCTCCAAGAAAAAGATCGCGCCATTGATGAGCTCGAAAGCGCAGTGGAACAGAATTTTCTGAAGCACTGCGATCGGTCAATCCCGTTGCATTTAGCGACAATAATGATGGGCCGATCGGTGATTCATTATACCAGGTTACTTGCCCATCATCCTCGACAGTATCAAGACAAGGGTTCTCGTATTTCACAGACTGAAAAGGACATCATTTTCGAAAATTGCTTCAAAATGACGGAATATGCAAATTATACTCAAATAAATCCTGATGTTCAGCGATTTTCATGGCACACGGTGCATCATATGCCCTGGGACGCTATGATCTTCATGTTATCCGAAATGCGCTTTCGGACTGACGCAGAAGAGAAGATACAAACCTGGGCAATAATTGGAAATATTTACTCTCGCCATGTTCGACAAAGGCGTAAGGGTATAAAACTGCCTCTTCATCGCGCCATAGAGAATCTCATGCTGAAGGCCTGGAAAGCGTATATCGAGGAGTGTAACCATTTGCAACGAACCCCTGCACCCTGTCCGACCGTCGTGGTAAATCTGCTTAGCAGTTCAAAAGTTGCCTCCGAGTCGCAGGGGACAGGTGATGATCTCAACTTAGCGTCGCAGGGATTTGTCCCCGAAAAACAACATGAACCAACTGCACAACTGGACGAGTCAAGCAGAGATTTTGACTTTCTGTTTTCCGAGCACAGCCCCATGGACTGGAATGAATGGGATGATCTCCTGAATAATTTTCAGGAATCTTTAATGGACGATACAGCCTTGATGGCGACCTCTACTTCTTGAGTTATCGCATGATTGACCCGCGCCCTGGACAGCCGAAGATGAATTTATGTCGTGATATTCATTTTGTATCGTGGTCAGAGTATTTGCGCCAGTAATGCACACATTAATCAGATGCTCCAGGTCCATTGGAAGCAAAGTTGGAATCCAACCCTTGAGCAGTCTCAACCCAATTGTACCAATCTATCCCACTTCCACTTTCATCGAGATCCATACTTATGTCAATTGAATCGATAGACGCGTCTGGCACCACATCATCTGCCCATAACCAAGGAATGATATTCGAATCAAAACCTTGATCCCACTGCTGCGGGTTGGTCGCGGAAGAAGCATGCTGTGTAGATGAAGCAATTGGCTCTGATATGTGTGAAGGAGCCGTGGAATCTGATTTCCAAAAGCTTTGCACGGGATTTGATATGGGTGCTGATTCTGGAGCGAGATGACTAGCATTGTGAGTAGCAGCAGGCGAACTTGATGAATGGGTGTCTGCTCCTTGTCTAGCCATTTGATCTGGCATTGCTATGACTTGCCGCCATTTTAATAAGAAAGAATCCGTTGAACTGTGCTCAGAAAGGCATAAGCCCGAGCTAGAGGGCTTCATCATCTCGTTATACTGATTTTCCAATAGTTTTGCGAACTCCTGATCGCCCCTTAGCCGCGTAAGCTCAGAATCGCGATGATGTTGGGCTTTAAGTCTCAATTTCCGCAACGGAAGCCATATGCGGAGGTGCTTGTTCATATGTGACTGATTTGGGATGAGCCAGACACTATGAAACGCCACCCATGCCCTCTCCATCATGGGTGACCATGGACGCCGAGACATTTCGAGGAGAAGGTACACAATTGCATGCCAGTGAGTGTAGGTTTGGAAAACCCATCGCCACTGTCGACAGGCCTGTTCGGAATTAAGAGCATGGTTATATTCGGCCACTTCGATTGCAGCAACGAGTAGTCTGTCCCTGATCTCCTGGGATACATCGTCGTTTGGAGAAGAGAACAGTACAGGCAAGAAAACAAGAAGAGTCATTTTACCCATGACTATTCGAGTTGCGACAGTGCTGGTCCAGTGCATTATGTTGGACTCGGTATTTTTGGAATATCGAAGAAAGCCATCCTGGAGACGGCGAAACATGTCATCTAGGAAGTGGCTTTGTTCTTCGAGATTTGCAGTTTTAGATATTCGAGTCACCATATGTTTAGAAATATCACAGATTTCGAGGTTTACCCTTGAAATGGACATATCGGTGAGGCTATCGTGCTCTGGGGGCATCTCCTTCGATTCGGGATTTATATCCGCGTCATTGATATTAAGAGGCATTTTGGTGTCGAAACTGCCTAATGTAATCGTGTAATCCGTTCCTTGATCTTCTGACGCTCTCACATCGATGAGACATAAGCTCCACCAAACTCTTCGTCGCATCTCAATCTCGAAAGGTGTAAGGTGCCCGAAATGAGATCCATCGCGCTGTAATCCAAGGGAAATCGCCATGCGTATGACAATACCGGTCATCATCCATACATATCTCGGACTATCATGCCGTCGAACAAGGAAAAGAAAGATCGCAAGGGCTTGTACCAGCACTAAGTCTGGTGTGTTCAGGAAGTCAGCCTTGGCCAGAGCATGCTCTAGGCCGAGACGATACTTGAGATTCAGATCTGACTTGGCGACCCCGAAATTGAGCGTGATATCGTCTTCTTCCATGGACGTCACGGCGGCATAGTATATGGAGAACATCAAGGCTTCATTAGACGGGGTGAGTTTCGACACATCACCACGCAGATTGTGCATCATTTTGTTGATAGTAGGGATGTGAACAACCTGTGCAAGGATGTTGACATTTTCGGAAAAGACATTAATAAGAAAAGGAATTTGTGAAGGCAGTGGGTGGTATTCTTGCAGACTCGGAGAGGAGGAATTAAGATTGTGTCGAAACAGGAATGCATGTCGGTCTGACGGTGACCGTCCCAGCTCTTGTGTAGATGGCGTCTTGGAGTAAATCATCTCTTCGTCATCTGAAGACCCATCATTTCCAACGGCGATATTAGATGTTTCTGCTTTCAAGTCGTCAAGCTAAACAAAAAGGATAAGCAGGTCATTCAGTTGCGTGGATTGCTAATAACGCACCTCATCATTAACCCACGACCAAAAGCCACTACCAACATAGCGACTCTTCGAAGCATCATTCAATACTAGCCTCCCAAACTTAGTATTTTGTATGCTGCCCGATCCTGCAGAGTGCATATTGCCCTGATAACCACCATCATGATCATGAGTGGAGCTCCCAGGAGAATGTGACGAACCAGCAGCAGATCTAGTCGCTGCATGAGCCTGCTCCAATTGACCCGTCAAGTCCTTCACAAGGCCCTCTAAATGATGAAGTCTCTCCATAACTTCCCCGGTGACCGGGCGTTCAAGACGTCGCGCCCATCTCGGCGGCCGATCTGCAGACGGATAGATGCAGGCGATATTCGCACGACGACAATTTGAGCATGGCGACAATTTATCGCATCTGACTTTTCGGCTCCGACATATCACGCAGCTGCGCGATTTCACTGCGCGGTCGGGCGCGCCTGCATGTGCTTTATTCTGGCTGCTCGGGGAGCTCGCGCGTTTCTCGGCCTCTGAGACCGAAGTGTGCGAACCTCGCCCAGTTGCTGACTCACGCGGCATCTGCGACATTTTGAACTCACAATGCCACGATTTCCATTTGAAAACTCAACGGCAAAATTATTTACGCATATCGCGCCGTTATTCCCTTCATAGTGGCTCTGTTCATTTGAAGCGTGCGGAATGATGCGGTCGCAACATCTCTTGCCATAAGCAGCCTCACACCCAATAGGGGGAATAGTGGGACCCTCGGACCAGCGAACAAGGTTTCCGAGTGGAGAGTCTTATTGGGCGCGAGAAAAGAGCGAGGCCATCTCTCAAATGCTGATAAAGGTCATCTTACTCGGATACTATTCGGGGCTGCTCTGTGTTAATTTCCACGTATAAAAAGTATCGCCCGGACCAGAAGAATGTTTCTATCCACAAGCTTCAGATTCACCACCACATCTAAACATCTAATATCTACTTTATCGACCCCACGGATCTCAACTTGAACATAATGAGCTCCAACATCAAGACAGTTGCTTTTCTCGGAGGCACCGTTGGCTGCGGTCTCTCTGCACTAAGACATACACTGGCTGCTGGCCATCAATGTATTGCTCTCTGTCGCACCCCGTCAAAGCTTGCAGCTCTCATCCCCCTTGAATCAACACCGAACCTCAAAATCGTTGAAGGCAACGCACATGACATCACCGCCGTTACAAAATGTCTTCAAGCTGACGACAAAGGCAACAAGATGGTTGACATGATAGTTTCAACGATCGGCAGCCGACCTAAAGCCAGTTTAACCCCCGAGGACCCAGAATGCTGCAGAAAAGGCGCTGCAGTTTTAGTCGAGGCTATAAAAATCCTCCGGGATGCCGGGGCCACTGGAAATCCCCATATTGTCGCCTTCAGCACTACTGGCCTCTCCAAGTTTGGCCGTGACTACCCTCTGGTGCTGCACCCAGTCTATGGGTGGCTTCTCAAAGCTGCGCATGAAGACAAAGAGCTTATGGAGCAGCGGTTTATTGAAAGTGGTCAGCCGTTTACTATCGTGCGGGCTAGTCTACTGAACGATGGAGCTACTAAGAAGACGGTTCGAGTGGGTGTTGAGGATCCTAAAACTGGACGAGAGTCTCTGAATATTGGGTACTTTATCTCCAGAGAAGATGCTGGGAAATGGACCGCGGAAAATCTTGTCTTCAAGGAGGATACGAAGTACTTGAACAAGATTACAATGATCACTACTTGATTTTCACATTGTGAGATTCAATGGTGATTTACGAGCTGTCACCATTTTATGAAAATAGTCCAATATCCAATGTTGTTAGTCTTCTGCCATGTACAAGAGCGGTTTTGTTTCTAGTTAGTATTTAGTTCTTTGTTCCAATTGTCAATTTCAGCAGTTACATGGGAAATAATACCTACTAGATTTTCAATTTTGTACGAAATTTCAAGGCCTTCAATAAATTATTGTTGATTTCATTTGTATGTAGCCTTTTTGCTAGTATAGTTAGATTTAACAATTAATGCCCCAGGCAGAAACATAACCAAATAAGGCAACGATCTGATCACGCTCAACTTCATCCGGACCTTGCAATCTTCCCCGACCAAACACCGAAACTCATACCATGTCCTCCTTAACGATGGCAGGCCTCCTTAGTCGCACAAGCCGCTATATGGCATCAATTGAGTCCATCTCATCAAAGCAAATATCCCCCAGCATCCGAACCACAGCCCAACAATGCCGCACCTACACGCAAGCTCAACGGCCCCGAGTCACCGCGAACATCCAGACCATGCTCTCCGCCCAAAATAATAAGTTCTCAACGAGTGCATCCCGCACTCGCGCAAAGACAATGGGCCAACTGCGTCAGCGGAACTCCACCGGTCCGTTCTCGTGGAAGGCAGCCCTGCTGTTCGTCCTCACGGGCGCCGGTATGGTGGTTTATTTCCGGGTTGAGAAGGCACGTCTGGAGCGGAAGCGCATTGCGGAGATGAGCAAGGGTGTTGGAAAGCCGAAGGTTGGAGGACCGTTCGTTATGAAGGATTTGGATGGGAATGAGTTTACTGCGGAGGATTTGAAGGGCAAATATTCTTTTGTGAGTTTTGGTTTCTGGTTGAGACTCTGAAGCTGGGTGCTTTTGCTGACGGTTTTCATTCGCTAGGTCTACTTCGGTTTCACTCATTGCCCTGATATTTGCCCCGACGAGTTGGATAAGATGGCCGAGATCATTGACAAGGTCAACGAGGCTACCGGTGACCCTAAGCTGTTTATGCCTGTGTTCATTACTTGCGATCCTGCTCGTGATACCCCGGAGGTTCTGCGTGCATACCTGCAGGAGTTCCACCCAGGTATTGCTGGCTTGACTGGTACCTATGACCAGGTCAAGCATGTTTGCAAGCAGTACCGGGTATACTTCAGTACCCCCAGGGATGTCAAGACCGGCGAAGACTACTTGGTTGACCACAGCATTTACTTCTACCTGATGGGTAAGTTGAATGTTTCCACGGTGGATTGATACAGGAGGAAAACTGACAATATTGCTAGACCCGGATAACGACTTTGTGGAGTGCATTGGCCGACAGGATACCCCAGAGTCTGCGACCAAGGTCATCATGGAGCACATTAATGACTGGAAGCGCGAGGGCCGACCACTGAAGACAGAGTAGACTGTCTTTAGATCAGCGCGAGGAGGTATATGAAAGGGAAAAATGTACAATATCACTGTTAAATTCTAAATACCCCGCTCAACATCCATCCATCGAGCCCTAATGTATAAACACCAGCCTGAAAGATGTACAAACATGATTTTTATAGATAGAAGCGGAACACAAAAGATCACCGATCACCCTCAACCAATTTCCCCTCCGCATCCCGATCAGTATTCGCCCTCCACTCCTTCCCCCCATCAACAAACTCCTCTCTCTTCCAAATCTCCGCCTTCTCCTTACAAGCCTCCAACACCTCCTCGCCCGCTCTCCACGCCGCACCCCGATGCCCAGCACTAACCGCAATAGTAATAGAAGCCTCTCCAATCGGCACAACGCCCATTCTATGCGCAATGCTCACTCCCTTCAGATCATGCGTTTTAATCGCATCTTCGGCGATCGCCGTAAGCGTTTTCATAGCTAGTGGCGGATAACATGTATAGCTAAGCTGGGAGACGGCACGGCCCTCAAATGTATCACGCGTTGTGCCAACGAAGAGGACATTAGCGCCGGCCTCTGGAGAAGATGTATGTGCTAAGTAGTTATTTGCGTCGAGCGGAGAGTACGTGAGTGTTAGGTGGATGTTTTGCGCTGGGTCATGGCTTGTGCGTGGGTAGGTTGTTGGATCAAGGTGCGCTGGGAGGGAGGATTGTTCTGATGTCATCGTGGATACATATATGTATGTGCAGAGTGTATTGAAGAGATATCGAGTCGCAATGGAGCAGGTATGTGTCGTTATTTGAAGATTCTTCGTGGGGTATTCTGTGGTGGAATGGCTTATCGGATGCGGGGAACCGGTGCGCGAATGAAGTCCGATACTGGCGGAGAGTACCGAAGAGAACCGAAGAGTGGTTCTATGTGGAGATTCATAATAGAACAGCCACGGGCGAAAGTAACAATTAACCAGTGAGGTTTGATAAACGCGTAGTACACGACTCACTAAAACCAAAAAAATACTTGGTAGAGGTCAAAGCATGGTATTCTCCAGGGCTGGCTTGGGAATGTGATTTGCGCAAGACCATCGTAGTCGACTTGGTAGTGAAGACAATCCAAATCCTCATTTATTGTATATCTGAGGATCACGAGGTACAGTCCCAAGTTTTTGCGCCTCTTCACTCAATGATCCTTCTATTTAAATTGCAGTGCCATTGATTTGAAACCTGACCTTCTGTTCATGGCAACTCTCTCAATCAAACCTGAAGATCATCTCTCAACATCGCGACAGAGCTATCTTTCAATATGCGTTTCTTCTTTCTCTGCCCCAGAAAATTCGATTTGAGATTTACTCCTACCTTCTCATCTCGCACAAAGAGATAAAAGTAAACCGGGCTATTGACAAACAAGAAAGGGTCAACCTGTCAGTCAACATCCTCCGAACATGCAAAACAATTTCCAATGAAGCGAGATACATTCTCTACAGCCGAAAGCACTTTGAAATTCGATGAACGATGCTACCATATGATCAAGATCTTTTTTTCAAGCAAATAGGACAAGAAAACGCCAACTATCTCCAGTGCATCTACTTTAGAGTGGCCCCATTTAAGGCTACTAGTATCGACGATCAAGTTCGCCCCCTTATACGGAGTCGTCAATTCACAGCAAATATCAAACAAATGATCAGGATATTTGAAAGATGGCAATTGAAGGAACTGAAGACCCTGGAATTTCATGTTAGATGTTCTCATCGCGGTACTGAGTTGTGTTTGGAAAAAGATGGCCTCGAGTGGATGCTTGCAAAATTAAACACTATTGATTGCATCGAACGTGTCTGCATTAAAAACCATGATCCATAGTTTTGTTTGATTTAGTGTCAGGTTAAAAGCCCGAGGCAGAGGGCTGTCTTATAAAAGAGTGTGAACACGATGGCTTGACAGAGTTGAGGTGGGATATGGATACAAGAAGGCCGGGGGCGAAGCACACTGCTAGTACCTTCGATGAAGTACCTATAGATCTCCTGATCTAGTATATTAATAACTTCAAGCCACTTATCCTGTGGCTTCGGGAGGAGATGGGGCCACTGCATATATTTCCTACATTTGCATATTCTCCTCCTTTACTTATTTAATATCCTTTATTGGCTAGCTTAGTGGCCCTCTGCAGGATCAGGGGCAGGGGCCGCCAAGCTATGTGAAGGCAATTCTCTTGGCATCGGCAAATTCTAAGAAGGGATTACCGACTCACAGTAGGTTAAGAACTATGTATGAAGTATATTATTTATTGGATTGTGGGATATTTGGCCCCGATGGCCGCCAAGCGCCAAGCGCGAGCTTGACATAGTGAAGAATCCGAGTGCACTGCTAACTAACCTAGAATCGGCAGGATCGGCAAAAAATATGGGGTTTTTTTTTTAGAATAAGCAATCCACCACCAGGGGCTTCCAAAGTTGGATATGTGAAATCGCATACAGGTACTATCAAAAAGAGCTCAGCACTCAACACGCTCAAAATAAACGAATACTGCGCATGTGCAGAACAGGGCCTTCTACAAAGACGACCTAGAGTTAGTAAATACCAACAAGACCGCTACCCCAACTTCTGACGTACTCGGTTGCTGAGTAGCATTCAGTTTGGTATGAAACAATTCAGCTACATGGTTAGCCGCATTCAAATTCACTTACAAGCCCAATGAAGCTAGTATAAAGGGGGCCAATAGTCGAGGTTTCATCTTAAGCCTAGCTCAAGTGTTTGCGAAGCCTATATCTCATGACGTCCTAGGACAGGTCAGAATATCACTGACACTGAATTCCCTTGAGTGAAAAGTAGAAATAGGACCACAAATCCCTCGTTTGATCTCCATTCTATCAATCCAAGTCTTCTTCTTCTTCCTAAATTCCAAGCTACTCGAAAGCCTCTAAGCCTCCACAATGCATGTTTCAATCGCTGCTATCCTTGCCGCTGGCATCGCTCTTGTCCAAGCTGCCCCTGTTGGGCATACCTTGACCGACCGATCTCCAAACCCCATCGTCGTCCTTTCGGAGAGGGGAGCATCATCGGTCAATGACTGTGGGGACTCTACCTTCATCAACCAGTCCTCAGGTGGCTCCCCAAAGATAAGCGACTGTCAGCAGATCGCTACGAATATTGCCAATGGTGGTACTTGGTCAGTTGAGTCCAATGGGGCACAGAATCAGCTTGTTCAATATGGTACCTGTGCCTTGGGGGTTACGGGTGATTTTACTATCGGTATATTCTATGTCGGCAACCAGGACATCATCGACGTGATCAATGAGTCTATCAGCCGATTTTCCTGGAATGGTTTAGTTGGGGCCGAGGGCAAGATGTATTGCGAAGGCGGTTCTGATGTTACCTGGGCCATATACCACACCTAGGCTTCTTTTGGCTAGAAGTAAGAGCTCATATTCGACATCTGGATGTTGTCAAGACATGGGGTGCTACATGTATGTATTGTCTTGGAGCTTGAGTACATACATAGTTATCTGGGGGGTATTCCTGTTACGGACATGGAGATGTCTCGCATGTATGGATTTGGAGATACGGGCCTGAGGCCTCCGAGTACGTCTTGGATGCCTTGCCTCGCATGTTTTCTTGTTCTTCGTCTTTTTTGTCCTTTTTTTCTTGTTTTTCTCAGCTTAGTATTTTCGTACGAATACACCGTGTTGCCTTATTTTGATCGCTTCTACGCATGGCTCATAACAATCCCAACCTCCCCATTTCCTTTTTCCAATCAACCGACCATGTTATCTAAGACTCACCAAGGAAAATATTATCATTCATAACATAAAACATTTATCTATAGGTGAAGACTGAAATATGTCGGCTTTGGACATACTATCTGTGCCACCCCCACCAGACTACACTGCCGACATGTTAGCATCGGGTTCAAGTTCACTTAATTGTACTATCAAAATCTGGGATGTAAACAGTGGCGTCTGCCTTCAAATGCTCTCTGGGCAAACATCTCCGATCAGTTCGCTTGTGTTCTCGTCTGATGGTCAATGGATCATCTCGTCCTCACATAGTCATAAAATTATGATTTGGGGTGTAGATATTGGTTCCTGTACCTATATATTGGATGGCCATATTTCTTGGGTCACATCGGTCGACTTTTCAGCTGCGAGCGGGCGTATCGTATCTGGTGCATACGATGGCACCATCAGAATCTGGAACATAAGTCATAGCAATCACTTGAATAGGCTACACATGCATGGCGACAGTCAGTTACTCTCTCACCCGATGGTAGAAATTTTGCATCAGGATCATCTGACAACATTGTGAAGATCTGGGATACAAATAGTGCTGTCTGCCTTCAAACATTGAGTCATAGCACCTTTGTTTACTCAGTTGCATTCTCCTCTTATGGCAAATACATCGCACCCGGCGGAGACTCTGTTACTCGGATATGGGATGCCATCACCGGCATCTGCATGTAAACAGACACTTGCTTAAGCATATCCATGTGGCATCTCATGGATCCGGTGGTTATCTAGAGTCTCTTCCTAAGAAATGGAGAGCTAGTTTTGAAAAACGCCTCTGAGCTTTGGAAGGGATAGTGAATGTCCCAACTTGAAGTCACTGAAAACTTCCGTGCACGAAAGTGGCAATCACTCCATATGGACACGAAAATTAGCGTGGATGGTTCAAAATCTCAATTCTATCTCTTGGGTTGGAAATGTCAGCTTCGAGCACAGAGATTCCTCGTTTCATATGATTAAACGCGATGTTGAGGAACAGGGTGAATCGAAGGTGTTCAAGCTTTGCACCCCAGAATGATGACGCCACGTTAAGATATCATATTAGCTATGGAAATATGGGAGGCCTAGATATGGGTTCGAGGAAATTGTACAATAACAAAATTTCGGAAGCCGCGCCACACACAATACCAGTTGGTCCGTCCATAGTTGCCTATACTTCTAAACAAAGGTGTAGCCAGAGATGTAGCTGAAGAGCTTTTGCGGCTACATAGCTTAGGTCTAACCAAGGGTATAGAAAAAGAGAGGTAAGTTTTATCGCGCAAACCACCTACCTAGAGCGGAAATACTGCTCTCAGGGCAGGGCGGGAAGTATATTATTGGCTTGACAGGAAATCGCAGATTGCGGATATAGAATATAAGATACCTTTCATCTAGTACTACTTCGTTCAAGTTAAGTCCCATTTTTTTTTATAATAGTATAAATCCGAGTCCGATACGAATATGTGGCTGAGAATGAAGTTTGTAATGAGAGATGTGATTCGAACTTTGAGATTAAATCTTTGAATCTGGTATTGATTATCTGGCCGAGTTCCTCAGACGTAAGATTTCTGCGTTCATACGAGGAAAACAACAGCTTGGTAGGGTCGCAGTGACCATTGTCCACCAGTGAAATGCTGAACAGCTGTACTGGTATCATAGTTATCAAGGAGTACAGCCTTGACCACACCGAACCCATTCTTCTCCGCATCCCAGTTAACATTGTTCTCGGTCCAATTACAAACAACCAAGGCTTTATCATCCTCGTATTGTCGGGTGAATGCAAAGATCTCTTGATTTGGTTGATCGATGAGTACCCAATCTCCATATACGAAGACGTCGAGGAATTTCTTGCGCAGTCCAAGCACAGAGGCCCAGTAGTGGTATATCGAGTTAGGGTCGTTTACCTGGGCTTCCGCGTTGACTGTAACGTAGTCTGGGTTGACAGACATCCAAGGCTTGACATTGGGACCAGTGAATCCTCCGTTGGGAGCAGAGGACCATTGAACTGGGGTACGGCCGTTGTCGCGCGATTTCTTCTGATACTCGACAAGCGCGCTTGCATGAGCTTCGGTATCTTCGGGTCTCTCTTCCAAGATTCTGCTAGATGGTTAGTACTGAGATGGAGATATGGCATATGGATAGGCTTACCTGTGCCAGTGATTGAGGCAGTCAATGTCCTTGTATTCTTCGATGCCCCAGGAAGTGGGAACGTTGCCCATGCCTATCTCTTGCCCCTGGTACACAAAAGGCGTTCCAGACTGCAACGCTAAAGCAGTAGCTAACATCTTAGACGCGATCACCCTATGCTCTTCACTGGCATGGGTGTATCGATCAACGCAACGCGGTTGATCGTGGTTCTCCCAGTACAGAGCATTCCAGCCATCGTTAGCATACATGAAAGTCTGCCAACGCTGGAAGAAATTCTTCAGATCTGTGAGTTTCCAGCTTCCGGGCTCGAACTTATCATATGTGCCATGATCGATATCCACATGCTCAAAGTTGAAAATCATGTTGATCTCGTTACGGTCAAACTGAACGGCCTTGAGAACTTCAGCTTCATCTGTGACAAAAGGCATTTCGCCCACACTGAAAGCGTCGTACTCCTTCAAAATTTTGCCAATTCCCTGCAGGTGCTCGTGTAGCCGTGGTCCATTTGCGTACCACTTGTCGGCCCATTGCCAAGGTGTGCGGGGGTCCTTGATGGGCGCATCGAGGAAGCGCTGATCTTTGCTGATGAAGTTGATCACGTCCATTCGGAATCCGTCACAGCCCTTGTTCAACCAAAATCTGATAATATCATGCACAGCATCGATGACGGGTGGGTGTTCCCAGTTCAGGTCAGGTTGTTCAGTGGCGTAGAGGTGAAGGTAGTACTCGTCGGTGAGCTCATCGTATTGCCAGGCGCTCCCTGGAATAAACTCAAGGTCAGTATTGTTCTATATAGAGCTCTGCAGGGAAAACGCGTACCTTGAAAATGCGAGACCCAGTTGTTGGGAGGATGGCGGTTTCCTTGCTCATCATAACGAGCAGGCTTCCACACGTACCAGTTCCGGTACTCGCTATCCTTGGAGCTTCGTGATTTCTGGAACCATTCGTGTTGATCGCTAGTGTGGTTGACGACCAAGTCCATAAGAAGCTTCATGCCCCGATCATGACATCCTTTTATAAGATTCTCAACATCTGCGACCGTGCCGAACTGCTCGCCAATTGCGTAATAGTCGGCGATATCATAGCCTTCGTCAATCCGAGGGGACTTGTACGATGGACACAGCCAGACAATATCAACGCCAATATTCTTGATGTAGTCTAGTTGAGAAATAATGCCTGGAATATCACCAATGCCGTCATCATTGGAATCTTTATAAGAAGCAGGCCAGACCTGGTAAACAGAGCACTCCTTCCACCAAGCGCGATGGTTATTGGGCTTTGCGGGGGTTGCCATATTTAATGTGAAGAATAACAAGACGATCAATCGGCAAGGTATGGTTGAAACAACTCATGGAATTGGAGCCGGGGATCTTCACTTTATGGTATTTGCTGTGCATTGTCGGACTGGACGCATGTACCCACGCAGCTCATCCCACCGCGGGGCATTGCGGAGAATCATCGGACTCTCAGCGGTTGATACACACCGTTCGTCTGGGTCTGGGTGGATTGTTCTCCTGTTCCATACTTCACTCGCTACAGAACAGATCTGTCCTTTCAATGCTGTTGCCGTCTTCAAATCATAAGTGCAAGGCCCCGGAATGAGTGGATCACCCCCCACCCCGCTGAGATGTGTTGATGACGATGATGAAACAGGTGGAGCTTTGACCTCAACATGGAGTAAGTTTCCATCAAATTTCGGGTTCTGTGTTCTATAAATGTACATGATAGGTTGGTAGTCGGTCCGAGTCTGTTCCAATCATGGTTCGTCTTGCTAGAGGTCCAACATTTTGAAAGCGCCCAGGTGGTCAATAATGTAGATATGTTTTAGCAGGTGTCCTATGTAGTAGATCTAACCTAGTTACCACGGGGGAAAAGGCAAAGAAACAGAATTTTCATACTTGATTCAATTATCAGATATCATCACATAGAAGACTAAAAAATCCAATATCTCATAACAGGATTGCACCTAAGTAAAACATGTACATATAAGTTGTTGGTGGGTCTAATAATGCCTTGGAGGACTCGAGAAGGCGGTGTCGCATTCTGCCAGCTGCTATCGCGTATCAGCCAGGTGAAGCTTCCATTCATCTTGACGACTCTTTCAGAGCATTCTCAATTGTCAACTTTCCCCATGCTTATCTATTATGGCTCATCCTTATCAAGACGATAACAGGAATTATTCCGGCTCGTCGCGCCGGGCATATCCTCCTCAAGATTATGGCCGCATGTATGACGACGGCTTGTATGACGATCGCTCACGTTCGCGCTCGCCTGGCGGTATACGCTCCTCCCCACATGGAAATCTTACTTGAGACAAGCAAGCCAAAGAAGTATTGATTGATTCTGAACCGTGACTGATTGTTCATCTATTTTGGTACTGGCTCAAAGACCACTCCCGTTCGCCTTTAAGAAACCCTACAGATCGCAGACACGACTACCCCAGGGATCCGGACCCAAGGTCTCGCTACAGAAACCGAGATCAAGATGATTATAGACGCCGATCATCAAGATCGCCACCTTCACGCCGAGGCAGACAGTCATATCAGGATCGTGACAGAGAAGGCTACCGCTCGCCTGGCTATAGCCGCAGCCGCAGCCCGAGTCGCAAAGGTCGCTCTCACTATGGCCAAGAGAGTCGCGAGATCATGTTAGAAGGATTTCCAGTGGATATGACAGAAGATGATGTAAGCGAGGCCTACTCCGGAAACGCCGTAAAGCACGGTTAGAGATTCATGACACTGACCGACGGGCGGTCACTATAGATTGGACAGGAACTCCATGATGCATACCATCTTAGTGATCTCGACGATATTCGGGTCATTCGGGATAGACAAACAAGTGGGTTATAGAACTGGGGCCTTGATTCCGTTTTACATGCTTATGAATATGATATTCGCAGAGGTGTCCCGACAGCTTGGGTTTCTTCGATTCAAGACAGTGGAGGATTCAAAAGAATTTTTGGAACAGAATCACCCTTTCATTCATCTATATGGCCCGACCGGTGAACGGAGCACAAAAGTTCGCATCGCATATAGCAAAGAAAGAGAGGACCGAGCTCGCGTAAAAGCCGAGGGTGACTGGACTTGCAGAATGGTACACTCAATTCCCTCGGAACTTATAGATACTGGACTGACATGATTTATCTTAGTGTGCGGTAGTCAACTTTTCAACTCGTGGAAAATGTTTTCGATGCAATGCACCTCGACCTGGTTAGTATGGGATGAGATAGTTTTTGCTGTGCAATGCTGTGCAATGCTGATGAAATCCAGAACTTCCCCCTCCCAGTGCTCCTGGAGCTCCCGCAGCAAAGGTCGTGAACAACGGCGACAATGATGCCGCTCCTGAAAACCAGCCATCTCAATTCCTGCTCTTTAGAGGACTTGAATCATCAGTGACCGAGGAGCTTCTTGTCAAAGGCGTTGCAAAGCTATATCGACCAATCGGTGGTAACGAGACTGGCTCGACCAATCAGAAAAAAGGGAAAGTGGCATCAACAACCGGAGATGCCAATCTCGGAGCTCGCGACGGCTCTATCAGACGTGTGCTGCTTGTTCGTGATCGAAGAACAAACGAGAGCTGGCGTTATGGCTTTGCTGAATTTGCTAGTGCCATGGTACGTTGGCCTACTCCTTCCTGTCAGTAATAGTGAGGGTTTCTTTTCTAATATCACTACCCACAGGATGCCCAAGATGCAATGAAACGTCTGTATTCTTTCGACAAATTCACAATCTCCTCCCGGCAGGTGATGGTCAGCTACATCCACGCGGGCGTATTTGTGCCGGTTCTGGATCCGTCGGCCGCTTCGAGTCATTTCACCTTCAGCCCACTCAACAATGCTTCCTTAAAGCTTATGTACTGGGACGACGATGCGTATGTCACTGAACTTGTGGTCTCTAGCGAAGAAGAAACTCGATCCAGTCAACCCAAGAGCGAAAAGCCTATTGCAGGTCAACCAGATGCGCATAGCAAGGCAGTTAAGGATAACGATAAGGCCAAGAAGCGAAAGGCCGACGCCACAGCCAACGAAAAGGCGAAGAAGATGGCTATGCCATCACATTTGCAGTTTTGGAGTAACCGCCACGCCGAACTTCACGGTATCTCTGAAGGCGATGGAAATCTTCCAGATGCTGGATTGGAGCAGGGCAATCTCCCTGATGCAGACGCGCCGCCTGCCCAGTCATATGCTGATCTCAATCGAAACTGTTGTTATTTATGCATGCGCCAGTTCAAAAGTACAGCTAATGTCAACCGACATGAACGACTTAGTGACCTCCACCGGGGAAATTTACAGAAAGAAGAATGCAGAACTCGTGGAATGGCAAAGTTAATCAAACACGGAATCGTTCCACCATCTGCAGAGTATCGGGATCGCGCAAGAGAACGTCGCCAAGCATTTGGTCGAGGCAAGGCCGGGGCGCGACCTAAACCAACTGCACCAAAGCAAGAGGACGAGCCTCCAGTGCAGACAAATTCCAAGGGTGCCTCTCTTCTCAGCAAAATGGGCTGGTCAGAGGGTACCGGGTTGGGTGCCCAAGGCACTGGAGTTACAGCTCCAATTGCTACGGAGATTTATGCACAAGGTGTTGGGCTAGGCGCACAAGGAAGCAAGATAGGCGATGCGGTGGAAGAGGCCGGACGGAATACTCGTGGTCGATACGACGAGTTCCTCCAAAAAACAAAAGATACTGCTCGCCAACGTTACGATCAGATGAACCGGTAATGGGTGACGTGATGGCTCGATATGGTCTCAGGCAGGAGAAGACCACATTGTACTATACCAACATGCCGCATATGAGGCTTTTTCCTTCTTTATTACTGATCTCCCCAGTAGATCAGGGCACAAGATGCATTTTCATGAAACTCTCATCAGATAATGATATTGTAAATGGCAACGCTATGCGACCATGCAAATATCAACAATAGAAAGAAGAATATACAAGAGTGGTGTGGTATCGTACAAAGAAAAGAGCAGAGTGTATCCTATATCCAAATATCCATATCAAGTCGCCGTTGTCGGACTGAGCTACCGCCCATATCCAACTCATCAGCCAGACCTTTATTCCTTTATTGCGTTCCAGCTTCAACAGGCTTCTCCAGCTGCTTCTTCGCGCGCTCCTTCTCCACTTGCTTCTGGAACCGATCCCCAAGGACGCTAGTCACCCACTCTGTCACATCAGCCTCGAGCTGCTCATCCGATTTCCCAGCATCATCAATACCTCCATCCATCGCAACCCTCATAAACCGCCTCGCGTCATCCAGCCCATTGATATCAAGTCCATACATAACCGCACCGCCGGTCATCATGCCGAACGAGAGAACGTTAATGGTAGCAAGGTTGAGGGCCTCAAAAGCCTCGCCGGCCCCATTGACTTTCGGTTGATGAAATAATGAGCTTGTGTAGAAGGGAGGAATGCAGGCGATCTGTTTCTTAATGCTGGCGCGACGTGTGATCCAAACGGAGAGGGAGAAGAAAGCGACACCGCCGACTAGGAGTTTGAGATTTGTGTTATTGCGGGGTGAGGGAGGAGGTAATGGTCTTGATTCGGATATCAATGATGTTGATTTTGATTCTGGCGTTTGTGAAATTGGAGAATTTGAGGGTGTTTCTTGAGTCTTGGGAGTGTTCGAGTCGGAGTTAGAGCTAGAGCCCCAGCCGAAGAATGAGACCATCGTTGCTGGTGGAGGTGACGGGACCTCTGAATGCAGAATTCCGTTTCGAATATATGCAGGTTCGATCTGTTTTCTTATAGAGACTCAATTTGAATATGTGATTCCGTAGGGCAAGAGTGAGTGAAGATCGGCGTGTTCGCGAACACTGACGAGCGGCGGTTGAATCTGCGGAGGCGGAGTCAATGCAGATCGATCAGGTGACCAGCCCGGGTTGTATGGGTCTTGGACTCTTGGGAACTTCATTCTGTCAATCAACGAATGATCGATTGGATAATCAAGAAAGTCGTGTATATCTCATGTTATAGCCAGACTTTGGTTATTCAAGGCAAAAACTTCATTCTCGTTGACATGGATTGAAGTTGGAGGTGCAGAACTCCCTCAATGCCGCATTACGCCAACCCCAAAGAAGAGCCCCGATTGAAGCCGAGAACTGGGTATTTTAATGAAGAATGGTTTATCAGGGAAAACCAAGTACAGGATGCAAAAATTGCCGAAAACGGCGCATCAAGGTAAAAGACCTTGAAGCTGATCATCCAAGACAACAGACTAAGCTGATTTTCTAGTGTGATGAAACTCGTCCACACTGCAATGCATGCACCAGGACAGGTCGCGAATGTCCAGGTTACTCGCATCCGTTTGATTTGGTTTTGAGAGATCATACGGCAGCTTTTATGAAAAAAGCAGAGGCCTCAAAGACACAATCTAGGGCCATCAGCAAAGCAGAATTAAACTCAGATGGGACTGACTCATGTTCCGAAGATGCATCTACATCTACAAGGCCACCTTCGCCTGATATATCAATAATATCTGCAAATTCCATGCCTCTATATAATCCACCACCTGCAGAAATTTATCAGCCCATGGAAGATACTGTTGTCCCGCTATTCTTCAATTCCTACCTATACCTACCCAAAGATCCTCATATACGCAATGGGTTCATGGAAATTTTGCCTGAGCTGTTTTCAAATGCTAGGCCCGGCTCCCATCTTCATACGAGCACATTAGCTGTTGCTTTCTTCACATTAGCAGCTTGGACAGGACAGGAGCAGTTGCTCAAAGCCTCGCAACGATATTTTATGGAGGCTTTGCCGAAGATCAGAGTAGCATTGCTGTCCAATGATGATAACGAATATAATGACATTCTAATGTCCATTATGATGATGTCCACTTATGAGGTGAATATCACTATCATTATACCCGAATATTGGATAAACTAGCTGACTCGATATCAAGGAATTCGTTGCAATGAAAGACTGGGAAGCACCCATGAAGGCCCACTTGAGAGGTGCCATTGCACTTATCAACAGCCGGAAGACTAAGGCAATAGAAGGTCCTTCATCATCGACACTTCATCAAGCTGTTCAAACTCAAATTGTACGTTCCCTTGAGTATTTACCTTGATATCGTCTGACCTACTTCCGTAGATCAAAACTACCCGTGGTCTCGAGATGCCAATGGTCCCAACCCCAGAAGTCTGGCCACTAGCACAAACCAAAAGCGCCCCTTCTCCCCGTATTTTCCTCTCGTTAGCTGCGTCGGAAATAGTGACACTACGCCAATTATGGGAACAGATGAGATCAGAGCGACCAACCGAATCCGAGGTCCTATCCGTCCTCAACAAAGCAACACAAATCGACACCAGCCTCGTATCATGGAAATACTGGGTTCCATCAAATTGGAACCCCGTCGCAGCAAGCATAATCCCCCAGTCCGTCCGTGACGCCGGACTCTATAATAATCTATGCGACTGCTACGCGGACATGTGGATAGCTTCAACATGGAACACCTACCGTGACTGCCGCATACTAGTACAGAGCATCATGCTAAAATGTCTTCGCCTCCTGCCACCAGAAGCTCAAAATGGAAACAGAGTAGCTGCGGTTCAATCAACAATTCAAAAGCTTGCCGATGAGATCTGTGCCTCTGTACCGTTTTTTCTGGGTAGTCAGATGGAATCTGTGCAGATGAAGTCGACCCTTGTTCAGTATCCGTTCGCTGAAACGCGACCAGTCACATCGACTCACAAGCAATCTGCTCCCTTGATGGGGGCTTGGCAGATTTTTCCTTGTTTGCGGAATCTTCAGCCATCTGATTTGGGGTTGCCATCGAGGCAGGTTAAGTGGTTGGAGGAACAGATGAACAGGGTGTTGGTCATTTACTTCCAGAAATGATATAATTCCAATAGAGCCATCTATTTCAACGAACACCCATTCATGTTTATAGTATTCAAACTTAATACCCCGATGAAGGTAAAGAAAGCCAGAGCGATAGAATGAAGAAGTCCGAATATTATGCTTTGTATATCATTAATCTATCCTCCATGCTAGCGCTAAGAACCCGATATATTCGAAAAAAAGTGTACACCATGCAAGAGCGCCATAAATGCTATATCAGGCGCAGTAAACGAAAACTTCAGATCGCTTGTACGCGACCATGAAAAAAGAAACCAAAACCAAAGACCGGGACAGAACAGAACAAAAAAACAGAACAAAAAATATTATCGAAATATTCGCTCAAAAGAGATGCAAATCATAACAGCATAAATAGTAAAGGCGAAACAATGTAACCGAAATGTTTATTTCATCGACCCCGTCGTAATAAGCATATCTGTTCGACCAGGTCGAGTAAATCGATCAATACCGAGATGCTCTTTACCATCACGGCCAACGTATATTCCAAAGCCGTACATGGGCAACAAGCGCTCAGAGGGTGGTGCAACAATAAGACGAGTAACAAGGTCAGTCTTACTGCGCGGCTCACGGAGAAGCTTATCAGCAAGAAGTGGAGACTGGTATAAAAATGTCATAAGATCGGATAATGTGCTTATGTCATGGGGTAAATGACGACGGCGACCTGGCCAGATAGCTAGAGTTGAGACGGCGTATAAAGCGCAGAAGGCGATAAGAGCGTAGTAAGCTGGCACTAGGGCTGAGATGCGGACAGCGTTGTCTGATGGATACCAGAGGGCGATGAAGATGCCTCCAGCGAGAATGGGGATGGAGACTGAGATGAGGCTCATGAATGATAGCCAGGCGACTTTGTAGTGGCCATTGATGATGGCCTGCATTGTTACTTGGAATGGAAGAGAGGAAGGGTAGGATAGGAGAATGCTTTTGTCGGCGGAGGCACCGCTAGGTGCAGAGAGTTCGACGAATGGCTGGAGGGCACGGAAGTAGAGGTCGAGTGGTTGCCAAGCGAGGAAGAGGACGTTTCCGATTAAGGCGGGGATGAAGCTGTATAGGAAGTTTGAGGAGGAGAAGGCGGTTGTGGATGGGAGAGTTGGAAGTTTTGGAGGGAATCCGCCGATAATGGCATTGTTGACGAAGCTGACGGTGACGAATGCAATGAATAGAGCGAAGACAATAATGGTCCAGCTGATTACGGCGGGGCTGCGAAGAAACCATGGAATCCAGCGGTATCGAGTGAAGGGCGAGTACAGATGGTGGTCGAATGGGTCGTTGGCGAATGCACCGTGGTGTTCGAGATCGAAGCGAACCTTTGTCAGTCCTTGGGGCTGCTTGTCCCGACTCTTCTCGGTCTGATGAAGCGACGGAGTACGAATTGGCGCATCAACTTCTCCGATACCGTAGAATATCTCGGGTTTCATTGACAACTTCCAGTATCCTAGGCGGAGGACGCGAGAGTCAAGTGTGTCTTTAACTTTAGGGACTGTCTCTGAGTGTTCATAGTCGTGGAGAATGTTGGATCTTTGAACGATGGAGACAAGGTCTGCCAGACAAACTGGATCCCACATCAAGCCAGTCCATCCTCGTACAAATCTGAGCAGTACAAGCACGAGGCCAAGAACTAGAAGTCCATAAGATCCAACTAATGTCCATCCAACAGATTGCACCGAGGCCCATCTCCATACACCCTGACCATCGATAATGTAGTATTTAGCTTGGAAAAGGCAGCTAAGAAGAGGGATGGCGAAGAAGTTCGAAAGCCAAATAGTAAACAAAGAGAATCCGAAAAGGACTTCGCCATGTTGAAAATGCGAAAAGTCAGGGAGGAGAAAGTTTCGAGGAAGAATAGGTAATCCTTGCAAAACATTTCCTCGTTTGCTTTCAGACGCCATAATAGCAAACGGCGCTGTGCGATAAACAGCTGCCTGGATCACAAACATCCAGAAGATGATAGGCGCAGCTAGAATCTGAGGAAGAAACTGGAGTACGAAATACCGGGTGCCGCCTTTACCTTCATAGCCCCAGAGCCCTTGATGTCCATGAGACCAGACATTGCAGAAAACTATCCCAGCGATCATGAGAAGACAGCTGAAGATGGCGAGTAAAAGAGCCCATGGTCGAAGTACCAAAGGTAAATAGTCAAGAGCAGGGTACATTAAACTTTTCTCTGGTGGATCAACGGCAACAAATGATTCGGGATCAATTGAATTCGGCCTTTGCGGTAGAGCTTGTGGGGAGGGCGACTTGTACTTGGGTCGTTGAGGTGTTTCAGTATATCGAATCGGGGTTCGAGTGCGAGTGAAGTATCCAAGTCCTTCGTCCCACACTAAGCGATCAGCAGGGTATTCATCTCTAGTGGTAGATACTGAATCCTGTCGACTTGGGCCGTTGGCTTCCTCCTCCCGAGTAAGTTGGTTAAGTGCGAATTGGACATAAGGTGTGTCGTCCAACCCAGGAGTAGGAGCCGGGCCAGCATAGTCACTTGGTACACGGCGAACAGTCTCATCTGACTTAGGACTGATTCGAGCAATTCTATCTTCACCAAACCGAACTGTACTAGTGGTTGGTGGCCGAGGAGATCCTAGATCTTGAGCAGTCGGTTGCTGTTGACGTGGTACCGTCGGCGAAGACGCCTGAGAAGACGGATGAGAATCAGGAGTCGCAAACCGCATTGCAGTGATACGGCTCTCCGGACTTGAAGATGTTCGTGGTTCTGAGAAAGAGTAATAGTCGTCTGATGCAGCGATAGATCGCGCGGATTCTGTTTGATGCACTTGGGGTTTGTTAGCTGGAGATGCGTCAGCAAAAGAGCATGAAATATGAGCTTCGGAATCTCGAGCTTCATAATCCGAGTTTCTTAAGCTCTCATATTTTAAACACGACTTGACGGGCATCTTGTACATACAGTTGACGTTTCGTAGACTAAAGTTTCGTGGACCGGGAGAATTCGACATGTCGGTCGTGGAATGTGAATGATTGATTCCACAGGCGAAAATTTTTAATCGAGAAGCATTCCACACAATGGAGCTCCAGTAGTCAATGAGGATCTAGAAAAAGCTCGAGGTGCAACTCAGTGGGCTTTTGTTTGGCTGTTGCTCTTGCGGTGGGCATCTCCCAGCCTCCCCCAGCCACCACGTCGTAAACCGGTACGAAACAAACCAATAGGGATGATTGAGACATGGGAGGTTGTCAAAATACGGTAAAAATGATAAATCATAAAATTTAATATCGAATCAAAATCCGAGGCAAGGTGATCAGCCTGACGTCTTGTCCTGTCAACCCATAGATTCGCGGCCCGACTCCTCCCAATCCATAGATGTAGTGAAGCTTGGCTTGACACACCTAGGTGATCTACAACATAGACTTTCAGCAATAATTAATACTAGCCTACACTCCTCTTCCAGAATATCTAGCATTAAATTTGAATATTTATGCATAGAAAAGATGAACCACATCTTAGGGCCTTGATTTTCGATTTTTTGCGGTCGGGACAGCCTACGCAGAAGAACTTCAATGTTGACCCACTAACAAATCATCAAGTGTAATATCCGAGAGCCCCATCTTCAACGCCCAACCCAAATAATTACCATCCTAGATTATGCCCAGACGTAGGGATTTCCTCCACGATTGACTGAACTTGACTCGACAATTTAACCTTTGACTCACTAGTTGTTTGGGCAAAGTGTAGTGTTCCCTTTCCCCTTGCTGCCACACAGCGTGGCTGGGCCGCCATCCCGACCACCCGCCTGGGATTTGAAAACACGAGGCTACCACCTATATAATTAGCCAGTGGAACCTGATCATAAGGTGAAAACTTGAGGTTGACAAGAATAAACAATTCACTTTGTCGCTACAATTTGTGCTGGTGGTTTCGCGCTTTGTCTTGGGTATCAAGTCATGTTTGATGGCGATGGCAGGCTTAATGTAAAAATCCCAGACTATTTTTAGCCATCCCTGTATTACAGTAGGAAATTGGCAATATGTACACAATTCCATCATATCCCTGACTTGCAAAATTGTGAGTTGCTCAATATATTTACCAAGGGCAGATCTAATGTCATCTTAATGTAATTAAATATCCACTTGGTGGCGACGAATTTCCAAAGGACTTCAAGTTCAAGCTCATCCCATCGATACTAGATACAATGATTGTGGCAAATATACAGAGATCAAGGGAACCCGTCGCCGACGGCATCGAAAAAAGCCATTGGAATGAACAAAAAACCTAACAGGAATGTGCGAGTCGGCTAAAATAGACTGATACACTGCATATGGGCAGCAATGGATTAGTTATGAAGAAGCTGAGGGCAACATGAGAGTTTGTTCTTCAAAATCTACACCTGGATTGCATACTATTTCACAGAAGCTAATTTACAATTATTTATAGTATACTTCAAGGAAATAAGGTTGAAATTGTACAAGGCAATGTATCCTCCTCATTCGATTGAAACCAAATCGTTGGCAATGAACGCCTAGGAAAATGAGCCAATGTTCATCTTGCGTGGCTCAATGAGCATGAGCATGACCATTATCAAATCTTTTGTGGTAATATTCTTACCAAAGCTGAGCACAACCTACTAAACGTTTTTCGAGTGGAATACGAGGGCAACTGAGAAGTTGATAACATTGAGAAAAATAGATATAAAGATGCCAGTGTAGACAAATTTGTACATGACTGCGTAGGAAAGTCTGCGAGATTTTCGAATTATGTAGAATCCCGGGAAGACTGCTGTAAAAAGCCATCTCTCCTACTATGCATTTGAAATAAAAGAATTGAGTCCTGATGCCAGGGTTATGCGATTTGATGGAGAGTTCAAGTTTTTCTCTGTATGAAAATACTAGTATGTGTATACCTTAACCAAATCCCACCTGGGCATCATGATCTTATCAAGGCATATCTCGACCCAGAGATCATGATCATCGCGCAATCAACTGAATACTTCGACCATTATGCGACGAGACCCTGTTAAGGTCAGCGATATAATCACAAGGAAGCAAGACACGAAGCGGAATTCTGACTTGCGAACATTCCCAGCTCCTCCGACTCCAAATTTAACATAGTGTTCTTGAACATGCGATTCAGATCCACAGCTTGGGTTATCATTCCGGGGTGTCATTCCCCACGTTTGAACCAGAGTTGCCCTTTCCGAGAGTAGAGAGGAATCCCCTTCATCGCAGGTCTTTTTTCGTCGTAGCCAAGGCCATAATTTCCAAAGGCAGCGCATGATGCATAAAATGATTAATTTGATTTGCAGGATAATATGACTAAGTCTATGCCAAGGCGTTTCACTTGATCTTGCTTGTTAAATCAAACAAAGATATGGATCTAATCAAGATGAAATAGAAGACATTTCTCTTTTAAGTTGCATCTGTTCTGTCATGAGGAAGTGTTTGTTGGGTTACGCTCATGTTGTATGACATGGATGTTTAGAGCTACCATTTTTACTTCCTTCGATTCTCGTAGCGTTTAAATGGTCTAATGGTATGTGAAATAGAGAACCCTTTGAAGTCATTAATTAACAAAACTATTAGTATCTTTACCAAGGTTATCCAAAGACAAGGGAAGCAACTAAGAAGCGACCTCATGTTCTAAATTTACACACTTTCCTCCCGTCCCCAGACAATGCGACAATGGCATTTGGGTTGTCTGTGTAACCTACTATGTAGTATTCTTCGACTCTATCTGTTTGCATTCCTAGTTGAATAACGTAAAAAAGATGATAAACAAACTATATCTCTGTGGTATAGTAATTGCCGAGAAAATGCCGATTTGGCTAGGCATGAGAATTGTCATAAGCTTAATTCCAAGCTTACTTTCCCCCACAGGTACGCACTTATCGTGTAATAGCCACTCTGGAAGGTCAGGGGATGACTAGCAGATATAATTCAAAAGAAGCTCAAATAGCCGATTGGTTCAAACAGCTTGCGCATATCTCTATGTAATCCGAACCACTTGACACATCTCAGATCGGGTCGGGGCTTCTCCGTAGCAGATTTGCCATTCAAAAAGCGGCTGGTTTTCCCCCGTCGGACTGCGGCGTGCAGGATGGGGCTTTTTTGGAGCGTTTCTACGTTGAGACTTTTCTTATTGGCTAAATAAACAAGCTAGCCCTGCATTTGGCACCCGTTTTTCCATCTAGCTTCCAAGATTGTCTAATTAGCTTCGGGACGCTTTGTTTGTCTGTGCTTTAGTCTAAGAAAGTACGGAGTATGGATACGACCAAGGCATTGAAATGTTTGAATATAATATCTAAATCGAGCCTGTGATATTTGGTTAAGACTAATGTACTGTATTGAGATCAGTAGAATATTGTTTCAACACTAAACTTCGCATGGCGTTTACTCTCATGTAAGTAGACGCTTCTTGGCCCCCATGAGCCGCGCCCAAGCGGGGCTTTAATTATCACCGCCCATGATCACCAATTATTTTTGACATCTTGCAGCCGCGAGACCTCCATAATATGGGTGCTTGAGGACTGACAACAGTGGTTGCCATTATATTCTTCCTCGCTTTCACCAGCCAAGCCGCCTTGCTCTTAAAAAGGAACACCACCGTTGCTCTCCCGGAAGGAATCACTTATCAAAAAGATGCAGAACTAATCTGTACCCCTACAGGATGGACCGACATCCTTTCTTTCTTTCTGGGCAACTATGGCGCTCACGCCACCACTTTAATCACTTTGCCAGGCGACTCGACGCTTGCCGGCATCGTCAACATAGTCGCGGCTCTCTTTCTTCCAAATACAGGGGTTAATAGGGGGCTTCGCACTATTTTTCGACACGCTGTATTATGGAAAGATCATCTGCAACAAGCCCAGCGAGCAGGTGCTTTATGTATGGTGGTTCGATATAGAGCATGGCAACCTGAACCTGGGAAGAAGCTGCGGTCTTTATTTTATTTCCCTCATACGCTAGGTAGAGATGCCAGAAAACCACCTGAGTCATTGCGTAGACATGGATAGGTCGATCGTCTCCATAGTCGTTATATGGATTACCGCTGCCGCCCCTCAGATTCAGTGATTAAGAAGCCTGGGTCTTTTATTCAGATATCCTTATGGACTCCGAGTTTGCAGACTTTGTGGATCGTTTCTAACGCCTGTTTTAGGCATTATGTCTTTCAAACTTGATTCGTATATTAGAAGACTGTTAGTATTGATCCCATTCACGATTTAAAAGAGTCAAATTTGCTGAAAGACCAGACATATACACTGCACTGGATTATAAGCTTAAGCTATCTTATCGCAATTGGGGCAATGTCCCACTTCAAAGCAGGCTCAAGTACTGTTGCGCAAAGAGTGTGGATGATGGTATGGCTTGCTGTAAACATGTGTACTAGCAACGATGATTTTGAAGAGGAAGAGATTGCGTCCTTTCTCATAGACAGCTCAAAAATAATAAAGGAACGTATGCAGGGGGAGCATTACCAGCATAATAGTCGGCCAAATTTATCTGTTCGTCCATGGCAATCTTTGTTTCGCTTCCTTTGGATGATTGTTAGGAACGGCGCCATCTAGGCTGTGTCAGTCGGACGGCTGGTTATTGTTGGTCAAATGCTCTATGCATATGGATCGTGTATAAGTTTAGAATGATTGAGTCTCGCCCTTGTTAGCTATCTTCATATCAAAGTTGTGTGCAAGGACTAGATTCACAGGAGACTTAAAACGATGTCAAAAGTGGAGCACATGGGGTATTTATGACATATGGCCCCGTTAAAACTATCAGAAACCTCCAGGATGGGCCGATGGTCCGTGTAGACCGTCTAGATTCTAACTGTCGCAGATCTCGTTTCATACAAATCAATCGTTAGAGCTTCCTTGGGTCGGGACCCCGATGGGCTAGAACGCGGAAATTGCCAATTTCGGGGGACAAAGAACATTTAAGCTTCGCACATTCGCATGCTTTGTAGTATATGCGGGACTTGTATGCGAGAATTCTCATTTCCACTTTATTAGCCATGACCCGCCAAAGGACTTTATTCTCTTGTTCTTTGAGAATAAGACTCGTCTATTTCTCCGCCTAGTCAGGAATTGTGGAGCCCTTGTACAGGACTGGGCACGCTAAGAATGTGTTTAGTGGTGTGACTCGTGGGGAGCACAGTGCATACACCATCAACGGGACAATTGGCGAGTCCACAAGGCTTGGCATAGTCGGTCCATGGGATCTATCCCGAAGCAACCCCGACCCGGAAGAGCGAATAAGGGAGAGAGACGGGGGGATCTGTGCACCGTGGTCAGCCTCACCCGGATGGGTTCTGGAATGGGAACAAAGAAATCATGGCCAAGAAAAGGGGCCAGAAGTAGAATACAATGAAATAAATGAAGTCGAAACTGGCGTTCAAGTTTGTATGTAGACTGTAGATGATCCACGAGAGGAAGGAGCGAGTCTCTTTGCTCTTTCCCGTGAATCAGATCACAATTGCTGCCTGAGGTGTCAAACTCCCTGACCACGGTTTCCATTCTTCCTCGACTCTTTCGCCTCCGCATTTGCGCGCGCCTCTTATCTCTTTCGTTCCTTTTTTGACTTTCTTCCCTCTCACCTTCTTTTTCTTACGTTCATTGCCTTACCCTTTTCTTTTTCAGACTCTTGTGGACGAGAGTCAAGTAAAAAGACAAAGGACTCACTATCTCCGATCTTTATCCTTCTTCATTCCCGAACCCCTCTTCTTAGCAGCCCTGCAATGACCCTGCCAATGCTAGCTTGAATCGCAATCTCGCCCTCATCGGACTCTGCGCGCTATCTGCAAGTCTGAATTCCATTCGTTTTTGTTCCAACTAAAGAAATAGAGAGAGAGGGAGACACGACATAAGGGCGCCAACGATCGCCCTCTCCCCTCACGATGTTACTCAAACCCGCAACACCCCTCACCATTTTGCTCTTCATCACATTTGCGCTATTGTTGATCACCTGTATTTCTACTCCGATCGTGAAGGGAATCCCCCTGGCGACCTATAAAAAGGTTGATTATGGTGTCTTTGGCTATTGCGATGGAGACAAGTGTACTGGAATCCACGTCGGATACACAAGTAGTAAGTTATACCCGCAGTTATTTCTATCTTTTTTCTTTGGTTTCTGCCTGCTCGGATGGCTGGCTAAGCTTTTTGTTCCTGTTTTTAGCCGGCGATGGCGACGACTTCGATCTTCCCTCCAATGCTCGTAAATCGCTCTCCGCTATTTTGATCGTGCACCCAATCGCTGCCTTCTTGAACCTCGTTTGTCTCTGCCTGGCCGCGGCGGCCCACTTCCACGCACCCTCCCATTCTCCACGCTTCCTCCTAGCTCTGCTTATTTTGCTGTTGCCGACACTTTTGGTTACCCTTCTTGCCTTCTTGGTGGATATTCTACTCTTTGTACCTCACCTAAAATGGGCTGGATGGATCGTACTCGCGGCCACTATTATCTTGGTCTCGTGCGGAGTTGTAACATGTGCGATGCGCCGGACCCTCGTAAGCCGCAAGGCTAGAAAGCGCCGTATCGCTGAGAATGCCGAAATGAGTGGGGAGAATTACTATAATCGCCAGACTGCCGCTACAGCTGCTATCGCAAATGAACCTGAGCCGGTCACAGAAACGAAGGAACCCGTGGTAGCTGGATCCACATCCGATGAACAGACCTTTGCGACGTTCCGCACCAATACTCGGGACAGTGATGATGACCGCATGCCGCTTAATACCCATACCCCGCTGAATGAAGGCCCTGCTCCCCCCAGTCGTCGTGGAACTCCGTACCGCACTCAAGATGAACAGGGCTTGCCCCCGTCAGGTCCATACGGAGCCGGTCAAATGATGCGGAATCCCTCTGATCCCCGCCTGCGTGCTCAATATTCTGATGGAAGCATTGGTCGACAAGGCACTCCACCTGGCTTCCCCTCCCGCGGCCGAGGTGGTTATCCTCCTCGAGGTGCGTATGGACGTGGTGGGCCTTATAATGGAGCTCCTCGTGGTCGCGGTGGCTATATGGGCCCAATGGCTCCACGGGGTCGTGGTGGAATGCCGCCACCTCGGGGCGCTCCACGAGGTGGCTACCGGTATGAGACTGGACCTGGTGGTGGCTTTGATGCGTACGGCCGACCTATGCACGCAGCCGATGACACATATGAGCCCCAGGGTACAGCTGCCATGGGACCAATGCGCGAGCCCTCCCCCGGGCCGATTGGAATGGCAGTCTCTCATGATAATGTCGGTCAAGCGATTGAGATGACGCCCCAATCACGACACCACCTCGATCATCATGAATCCATGATGAGCAGTGATTCTCAACCACATGCTTTATCTGTGGACGGTCACAACATTCCTCTTGAAAGCCCAACAAGTTTGTATAGTCGCGCCGAGTAAGTTTCATCTGACGCAATCCAAGTCTTCTTTTACTAAACGTTCATACAGATCCTACGTTCCTGCTCGTGCTGGCTGGGGCGCGGATGATGCTCGTCGTACTTTGTCGCCTCGCCTGCCCCCATCACCGGTGCATGCGACAACAACACAAGGCACCGCCTACTATGAAGACGTGGACCCTCGATTCGATCGTCGACCTTCACCCCAAAATAACCATAAACTACCCTCATCCCTCACACCAGGAGCAGCGCACTGTATGTTTTCCGTCTCGTTCCAACTGCATGGCTATATTCATTGCTAACCGACCACTAGTTTGATGAACACTTTTAATGAGTGGTCCAAGTTGCTCCTAACCTGATTCCGCACGTCCCGACTTATATTCTTTTTGCGATACCCCTTTCTATCTCCCTTGCCACCTGTGATATAACCTGTCGATATTATAATGGGTTTCCCGCCTCTTCTCGAGTGCTTCTTATCTCGGGTTATCCGGAAGGCGAAGTTATAAGGTGTTTTGATTTGAGTTTCCCTGGTGGCACTTCACGTCATTACGGAGCTTGTTTTCTTCTTTTTTTTCTTGGATTAAACTTTATGAAAGCAGAAGCTGGCTCTAATCTGCTGTCCCTGATGATGATTTCTGTGTCAGCCCGAATGTACAGATACGGGCGACACAAGATGTACAGAGATCGATTTCATGGCTTCCTGTTGTTTTCCAGGACCAAAAGCACATAGTGTGAGTTCCGTGTTTTCACACTGCTTTGGGCTTGAGATCATGTCTTTTACTTTCTTTGGGGAGTTTTTCCTATATATTTCAACTCCAAAATATACAATCCACTTATTTTTCTCCACTAACTGGATCTACTTATCTCTTGTTCCTGAACTGCATCATTTTGTGCACGGTTACATGGATCTTATATCCACCACACGTGACATGACGTACATGCTCCGCCCTGATTGGTGAACTGTGCATTCCTCGATTAGCCATTGTCGATCATGACGGCCACGCCTGCCAAAAAGCTTGATCCTTGATTTTGTTGGCCACTAAGCTAATTTCCGACAGACAAGCACTTGAAGTCTCCACTTCTAACGTTCCCCCTTCTCTCTTTCAATCATGAATCTACCGCCATCTGGTCATCAACTATTCAACTTCGCCTTGAGTCTCTTAACGTCTCTATAGATCAAAGTCCCGAGTGGGTCTGAGCACTATGAATGACCCCGGGTTAGACGATGCCATCGCAGACGAGGCGAATGCCTTGGATGAGTTCTCCTCCTCAAGTCGACGGGAGGACAACAGTGCCGCCGCCAGTAATGAAAAGGCACTTGAACAAACTTCGCAGGATGCATTGTCGGCCAGATGGTGGCTTGCTAGTACTGCGTATCCACTGGCAGCTGTATGTGTATCCCGGAGCGTAGATGTTATACAGTGGTTCTAATCTTCATAAAGGGTACCTTTGGGCCAATGGCCAGCGCCTTCAACGTTTGTTCCTTGGCCCAGACATGGCGCATGGCGCGAGACAGTGAAGGCGGGTACGAGAATGTGACTGATCCAAAATGGTATGTTTGAATGCATCTAGATAAATATTTATGAATTCTTCTCATGACATCAATCCCCAGGGTCATCTCTGTGAATGCTCTTTCGTTCTTTTGTGCTATAGTGGCGAACGTGTTTCTATCCTTGAATATGGCCCGTCGAATAAGATTTTCAATTGCTCAGCCGGTCATTATTCTTGGATGGTTCATCGCTTCAACACTTCTCATTGCGATTATCATTCCATTTGGAGTGACAATGTACAAACCAGATAATACGAATCGTGTGTTTACTCAAGCATATTTTTACGCGATCTTTGCAGCCATCACCTACTTTGTTATTGCATGTCTCATGATAGTCACGGTATACGGAGCCAGGAAAGGTCATTACAGTTCTGAATTCAAACTGAGCAACAGCCAGCGAACCTTAATGCTCCAGACCATTATATTCTGCTTCTACCTCCTCGCAGGCGCGGCAGTATACGCGAAGATCGAAGGCTGGCGTTTTCTAGATGCAGTTTATTGGGCTGACTTCACCGTACTCACTATCGGTGTGGGAAATTTGGCCCCTGCAACTCACCTTGGTCGTGGACTGCTTTTCCCATTCGCCATTGGCGGAGTTGTGGTACTTGGACTTATCATCTCGTCAATCAGAACGTTGATGTTAGAGCGCGGACGTCAGCAAATGGCCAATGCCCTTGCGACACGCACTCGCAAATTTCTCGTGAAACAAGCAACGTCAGAAAACAATCGGCTTCGTGGTCTTGTACCGGATCTCCGACCAAATGAGGAAGACAATCATCGCGACCGACAAAAGCGAGAATTCATCACCATGCAGCGGATCCGCCAGATAGCTACTGTGCAACACAAATGGATCTCTCTCACGCTGTCCTTAATAGTATGGATGGCTTTGTGGCTTATCGGCGCGGTAGTATTCTGGCGGTCGGAAACACACCAGGCATGGACATATTTCGAGTCCCTCTACTTCGCATACGTCACTCTTCTGACAATTGGATACGGTGATATTTACCCCATGAGCAGTCTTGGTAAATCATTTTTCGTTTTCTGGTCGCTGCTCGCTGTGCCCACAATCACTATTCTCATCTCGAACATTGGCGATACTCTTATCCATTTCGTTCGCGATCTCACTTTATACGTTGGAGAAATCACTATTTTACCAGGTGATGAACCGTTTCTGGAACGCCTCAAGGATATCTTCCGAATGTCTTGGTCCGACAAATGGGTTCAGGAAACACTCGGCGAGAAGTCTACCACCCAAGATGTTCTCAATAATCCAGACACAGATGGTGACCCCGAACAAGCAAACTACCGAGCTCATCGCGCTCTCGAAACAGAAGAGCATATGAAAGAAGACTCAGCGCGGGCTCGGGGCGATATCACTGCTGAGAACGTACATCACTATCACTATCTTCTTTTTCGGGAAATTCGCAAGATGATGGAGTATACACGGAGCAATCTGTTGAAGGAATTTGATTACCTGGAGTGGGAGTATTATCTTGCTCTTGTATCTGGGAAGCATAAGCCTGCCACGGATGATCAAGCTATGAATAAGGAGGATGAAGAAAGAGAGCGGATGTTTTTTGAGCAGTGGAGTTGGATTGATAAGAAGAATCCCCTGCTTGGAGAGAAGAGCGAGGTTGAGTGGCTACTTAATGCGTTGACAGAGGCGCTGGAGAGGGAGTTGAAGACTGCTAGTCGGGGCTATCATACTCATCAGCCCGATGAGCCCGATGGGTCTAGTGAGGCTACAGCTGGGAGCCAATCACAGGAGAAATGAAGTTTGTCTACGTATTTGTAATTTAATACTTTCTACCCAGCCCGAGCCCACGGGTAAAGTTGTTTTCTTTTATATATATATATGATTGTTCGAAACCAGCTTCAATTTTATTTTCCTTGCAAAATTTCCTTGTGTCATATTAGTATGTCCCGTTATAACCTGTTATTGAGCATTTCTTTCCTTCTTGTATGCAGAGACATTTCACAAAAATCCCGAAATCCATAGCCCTTAAGCACCCTTGGAAAATCATGATGAATCTGTAGGACTAAAAGAAGGCGCGTCTTTGTCATGATCTTGATGGCTTGATAATGCTATTCTTTGCGCGATAAAAGTCAATAGGGCTCACTTCCGGAAATGGGAAGACAGTGCATGAGCTTCTATTACTTGGTCGACCGCATTTCCTATAGTAAGGGGCATGTCTTCCATATACTTCAACAGAGCCTTATTATCATCCCGTAGATTCCGAATTAAGAGCTCCTGTGCTCTGATCTGTCTAGACATCAAACGCATAATCAGTGTATCCTTTCACAAAATAAAGAAGCAAAGATATGTACCTACTGATTCAAAAGAGCCAGCTGATGAGACCGCAATCGCGACCTATAATTATCTCGATCCCGAACCTTTTCCATCACCTTATTTCGCACCATATACCACCGTACCAGCTTCGGCGTCGCTCCAAGGTTCCAAGCAAGTCTCGCAGTTGTCAAAACAGCAGCAAGAGAAGGAATTTTCATAGCCCAATGCTCCTGGTCTACCCCATGCTCCCCCCTGCTCCTACAAAACCACATGAAGACATTATGGTGCGACCCAGGCTCGATTTTGCTCTGCCCACGAACTTTCTGTGCTAGTTCCTCACCCCCAATGGCCCTAGCTAAACTGATCATGATACTGATCTCGGTTCGCCAGAGGCTAAGAAAGATTTCTCGCACTTTTTCAAAGCCTGGTTGGTTCTCTATTTGGGTTTCCATTAGAAGGGTTTCTTCGATTGTCGCTTTGACGGATTCGTATGTGTTATTCATTTCGGCGTGGCCGTTTTGAAGAGTCTTGTAGCGGACATAGATGAATGCGAAGATGGCGGCCAGGAAGGTGAGGATTCCGGATATGTCTGCGGTGGTTGATAATGGGCTGTCCTGCATTTTTGGCTTTCTTTGTTTTATTGATTGGAGGGGTGTGCAGGTCTACCTTCTTTCATGTCGGACGAAGAAAAGGAATGCAAAAGTTATAAAAAGCAAACATTGAAACGAAAGCAAGGAGATCAACAAGTTCAAGTTGCACAGAAACAGACGCACATGTAACTAGTTGTTTGGCTTGTTTGCAATGAGGCTCTGCCTTCGAAACATATACATAGCAGAACACTAGTTCAATATTTTTATTCGTTTGCTTAAAACTTTACAATTGTACTTTTAACTTTACTAAAGATGTTCATATGCATCAAATTTCAATCAGTGAAGATAATCTTTAAGCTCGGTCCAAGTTCATACAATAGAAACAAATCTATGGGTATACTCTGTCCGTGACCTTTACCATCATGATTGCAGGATTCCATTCATGTAGAAGGCGATACAATGACCTTGAAAATATTCGCCATTACACATACTACCAAATAAGTAGCTTGAAGCCATAGCGACTGACAAATCAATACGTAGATTCATCTAAAATAGCTTCCACCATCGGTTCGTACACAACCTAGCTTATTGACATCTTAATATGTTAAAATATCATGATATTGGCAGATCAAATCCACTACGTCAATTTCCCGAATCTTGTTATTTAGACCGCGACTGACCTTTCAACCAAACGCCAGTAGGCTGGTGCGCCCCACATTCGCATCCTTTTACCCCAGATAATGAATGGGACAAACACGAGCGTGGTCACGAATGCAACCAGACCAGCAGTAATGAAGGAATTTTGCATACCCATTGAATCTACCCATGGAGTCACGCCATAATTGAAACCGAAGTTTAACTGTAAAATGTTAAGTTATGCGTCGGGAGATGGAATGTAGGTCTTGAGTAGTCACTCACTGTGTTCCGAATGAGAACAACTGCAATGAGACCCTCACCACTAAGTTCATGGAACGAGTCCACAACATAGGTAATGGTGAGAGAACCCGCAGCAGGCCCCACAAAGCCAATGGCAACCATACCGATAAGGAGTGCCCAGTAGTTCCATCCCTGAGCAGCACCGACTCCGTAAATTATAAGTCCGAGTGGAGCTAGAATAGCTAGTGAAACAAACATCCACAATCTGGATTCGGGTTCCATGACACCGTTATTGGATTTTGCAAGACGTATGCTTAGTCTGTCGGCAAGTCTGCCGGCAATAAAACCTGCAAAGTACGTACCGACTATTTCGGCAATGTAGGATAGGCCAACATTCTGTAATCTCCGTCAGTAACCAGTGCATGACATGTGTTAAAAGCCGTTCAATATCCGACCTACCGCTGCGGTCCAGTTATAAGGTAGAGCAGTAAAAGCTGCACTATTTACTGCATTGACCATGGCATACCAATTAAGGAAGCAGCCATAGCTGAATCCAGCAAAGACGATAGAGGGGAACCGGAACATTCGAAGGGGCATATACATCATCTCCAAGAAGGTGTTTCGCCGACCATTAAGAGGTGTAAAAGGCATTAACTTCTGCCAGTAAGTCTTGGTCAAATATGACTCCACCACAGCCTGGGAAAGCTGTCGAGTGATTGTCGACTGGTCTTTTTCTGATTTATTGTCTTCGCCCGCGGTTGGTGTGGCTGCAACCTCGATCTCGTTGTTGATCTGTTGAATTGGAAGTACTTGTCGATGGTACATAGTCTCCTCCATAAAGAAAAAGCAAACTAGGAAAGCAAGCCCATTCAGGATAGCGCAGAAGAACAGCACCCACGGCCACCCCATGGTGTCATTTATGAAACCAGCAGGAACCGCTCCCCACTGCCCGCCATAGAGAGCCATTGCATAAAGACCAATATATGTTCCTCGTTGATGAGTGAACCACTATTCCATTCAAATCACATTAGCTCTCATGTGGGATCATCATCTAAGAAAAGAATAAACATACAAGATCCGTCATGGAAACCTCAGCCAAAGCCTCAGATGGAGCTCCAAAAAAGCCAATAAGGACTCTAGTGGCGATCCAAGTCTCGTTAGTGGTTGCGTAGCCAGCCCAGACATTCATCAAACAGGTACCGAGCAAACAGCTAAGATACACTCCTCTCCGACCATATGTGAGAGCCAAGGGCTGCCAGAAGAGCAAACCCCAGCCAAAAAGCAGGTACATGTATCCGGTACCTTCGTTGAGGTTGTCGAAGCTGATGCCGCTCTCGGCATTTATGGGTACAAATACCGAATAGCATGCTGAAGACGAAACACATATACTCCAGGTGAACAACAAGACACAAGTAGTGGCTAGCCATTTGCGCGACTTGGACCAATTGAGCGGGTCATTTGGATCAGCACTTGGCGTGGGTGTGAGTACGATGCCATTGCAGACGTTGATGTTGAGTTTCTTTGCGTGAATGTCGCCGTCGATGTCTACGAGATGCACCGTGCCTGGTGACTCTCTTTTCTGGTCAACTAAATTCATGCTGGTCTTCGTTGTGATCTTCGAGTGTCAGTTTAGTGGAATCTTTGAAGAAAAGAAAAACAGAAAGCAGGACAATGCTCAAGAAGACCATGTCACATTGTTAAGCCTTGGAATGCCATGGGCGTAATTGCTTTTCCAGATAAACGATGTCAAATTACTCTCTTATCCCCCACTCTTGCCATCGAGTCGTTGTCGAAGCTGCCAGATGCCAAACCTTATATAACAGTAATTTAGAATCCTAATAGTTGGAAATAAGCATTTTACAAAAGAATAGTACTAGGACATAGGAAGTAGCCTTTTTCAACAACCCCCACTTTTGGGCGAAGCACACTTGCCATTGCAATAAACATGCCCCACTTATGAAAGCCAGATGCTGATATCCAAATCACTGGATTGAACGGTATTTATCCTCCAGGGCTTGTTTATATCGATTTCAAAAGGCTTGTTGAGCATGAGCGGAATTGAAGTATTGACAATTCTCGTGAAACGCCTGATGCCGGTGCCAGTGGTGACACGGCGCAGGATCGGCTCAGAACTTGAAAACGTACGCCCATGCTGCGGAGAGTCAAATATAATGTAGTATATGATATATATATTGTGAAGGAAATATATCGCCAGAGGAGTGAAACTTTCAAGTTGGAAGATGGAGTGGCTCGATGAATTGGTAGTAAACTCGGACTTGACGAACGGCCAAGTAGAACTTGTTCATGGTTTGGTAAGAAGAATGAGGGATATATACTCCGTAGCCTTGATGAATATATACCTAGCCTCGATGAATGTGGTGTGAATGATTCATGGAGGAGCTCAAGGCTGGATACTGGCTTCAAATATTATATACCGGAGAATTGCTACAGAAGCAAACGAATAAATCGGAGATATCCTACAAATCAAACAGCAAACAGCAAACAAGGTAGTCATTACCATTATCTCGTTCAAGACTATGACGAAGAATCAAGAGAACGCCGAAAGTCGGAGACGAAGCGCGGGAATTTGAATTGAATGATCAAAATAAAAATAGCAGCAGACTAATCTGCTAAGATGCGCAGGGGAAATGGGGAATGGGTGACTAAGAAAAGAAAAGAAACGCTTATGGGAAATGCCGGTAAGGAGAGAGAGAGAAGGAAAGGAAACAACAAAAGAAAGTGGGACAAAGTAAGACAAAAGAAGACAAGACATATAACAACATAACAGCTTTTCTATGTACGCATCCTCGCACCGCATTCATCGGAATACGCAATTCAATGCTAACGCTATACCCAACTCTTAGATTCGAATGAAAGATCAGTGCATGCTTCGGCTCGCTTGGCTCGCACGACTGGGAGATGTGCGACTAGGCTCATCTTCTTCAAGAACATCACTTAACCGTGTAGGGTGGCGATGGCGAGGGGTGACGGATTCCCAGCCCGAGTTTGAGCCCCAGTCTGAACCGGAGTAGTCGGCTGTTGGAGGGGGGTAAGGAGCATGGACAGGCGCGGAGGTGGTTGCTGTTGTATACGCGCCATCGGTGACATATTGTTGGTGTTCACCTTGGTTGTCGTACTCGTCACTTGCCTCGGAGAGAGGGGCAGGGTATCCGTAGCTCTGTCCTGGCTGAGGGTGGTCTTGGTGATAGCCGTATTCCTCCTCGCCGGCATCGCTGCTACCGACGTAGGATACCTGATCGGGTTCTGAAGTTGTTGGGCCGGGGTAGGGGGCGGTGTTTTCGTGGGCGTACACGGGTTCTGTATATGGGGCTTTGCTTGAGCCTGGGTTTGTGGTGGGTTGAGCCTTTTGTGTCTCGATGAAAGGATCAGAGCCGGTAGGTGACATTGGGACTTCGTCATAGTACTGCTGGGCTGTGGCTGGGTCGGGATCGGCCTGGTAATTGGTAGCTGGTGGGCCACCGGTGTATTGGCCTTCGCGGGTTGGTGGACGAGTGTTGCGATTTGAGGCACCTGTGACCATTGGAACAACTTGGACACCACCAACTAAAGTAGGCTCTCCGTTTCGGAGAGAGTTCGTTCGGTCTCGCTCTTCTTGCTCCCGACGACCGAGCTCTTCCCATGCGCGACGGGCCTCCTCTTTGGAGATCTGAAGTTCGCGACGCATTTCGCGGAGCAAGTCCTCCGCACGAGACTTGTCCTTCTCGGCATTTTGGGCAGCAGCAAATGCATCTGCGTGACCTTGGCGCTCACTCTTAAGCTGTCTCTCAAGGTCCGCTTGTACTTCCTTGGCACGTTCTTGCTCGGAGCGTGTGTCGAAGAACCACCGTTGGAACTTGCGTTCAGAGGACGCACGCAAACGCTGTAACTCAACCACAGCATGGAACAAGTTCGCCCCAGCAGCTGACAAGTCGGTAATCTGGCGGGCAAGCTGTTTACTGATCGGATCCGATTGCACATCGTCCTTATTTTCTTCCATTTTCCGAACCCAGTAACTCGTCAATCCTTCCCAGTGAGAGGAAAGTGTTTCCCATCGTTCGAAAGCATGCGGGAAAGAGACACGCTGTGGTTGCTGAAGAGTACCCTGCTGACCAGGAGGAGGTTGGGCAGGCTTGGAAAATCCACTGGTTCCCGTTGGGTCACCAGTACCAGCCGCAGTAGCGCTCTGAGGCCGTCCCTGCGGTATACCCGAGCCAAGCTGCGGCTGACTCGAAGAAAGATGCGGTTGATTAGGATAAGCAGATCTTCCACCGACCTGCGCAGCTGGAGCAGTAGCCCGAAAATTAGTCGCAGCACCTGGTGCAGTACCAGGGGCGGGAGCAGCATCGAATTGAGTTTCTGGGTCCCTGAGTACACGTTGAGGGCGTGCACGACGCTGGGAAACCGAGTCGCTGGCAGCACCAGCACCAGCACCAGCACCAGCATTAGCAGTAAGCTGTTGTTGGGCCTGAGCTCGAGCCTGAGCTCGAGCCTGAGCCTGCACCACAGCAGCCTGCTCCTGCTCCAATTGCTGTCTTTCCAAGTCCTCCTGTTCTCGATCGCGGGCCTCCTGCTCTGCTTTCCGACGTGCCTCGCGATCTCGACGCTGTCGCATGATGTCTGTTGGTGTTCTTACTCCACTGGGAGGTTGTGTGGGTACCTGCATTGGAGCTGGGGGTGCACGGGACGCTCCGTTCTGCACTCGGCCGTTACCCATGGGTCCAGCAGGACCAGCCACGCCTACCATATCTGACATAGAAGCATTCACTTCTTCCCAATCGAAGGTGAAAGGTATCGGGCGACGGATGGCGTCCTCAAGGGCAAAGAGTATTGCGGAGGCAGTGCGAGATGAGACTCCGGTAGTTCTGAGCGGCCAGTAAGAGGTATTCAACAACTGATAAGGGTCGTCGACTGTCGAACCGTTCTCATCCGTTTGTGCTTCTGAGTGGGCTGGACGAAGTGAGGTGACGCTACGATCTGGATCTCGGTGTGCGGTAGGCAGACGTGATCGTGATTGCGCCGGAGGGTGGTATGCAGGTTGTCTTGTCTGGTCTAGTGAGAACGCTCTACGATGTCCCAATTGAGCACTATCGGGATGGCGGCGGGTTCTGCGCAAGGTACGCTGGGATCCAGTTGGGGATGAAGGACGAAAATCAGCTGAGTGGGAGGATGAAGGACGAGGTACAGATGGTTGCTGGTGCTGCCGCGGGAAATTCGTAAACGTTGAAAGGTCGTAAGCGTCGTGGACGTCGTTAGAGGCTCGGCGAGTGTGGCGAGACACTTCTGACGGATTTTGGTATGACAAGGCGAAGTTGAACGACACTGCGAGACTTAGTTGCGTCACTGGAGCTTGGAGCTGAAGACTCCGAGGTTATCGCGATCGCAACCGATTTTAATCTAACAGCGCAGCACACAGTAGATTATCGCTCTGTTCCGTGGAATAATTATAAAAATTATATAACAATAAACGGATTCGAAATTAAACAACCCAAGTAGCAGGAGTTGGATTGAAGGGAGAGTAGGAGAAAAGTGGACGGAGTGTTGGCGTGTAAAGTGGTGGCTGGTTAATTCAGATGGCTGGGGACGCCGCCGCGGCAGCTGCAGCTCACCAAATGTGTCTCGGGGACCATGAAGCGCCTACACTCTGAACCGGTCAAGCTTCCAATCGAGTGATGAAGAGAAAAAGTGAAACGATTCAACTTCATCAATGTGCAATAAAGCTAGACAATTGGAATGGAAGATTGGAAAATGCCAAGGGGGAATTCCGAGTTGATTGACAGTCCGGAATGCTTCAACACCCTTTTATCCCACTCTCCAGGGCTACTCTCGTATCCTCTTTTCGACTCGGTCTCCCTTCGACTTAATCCCAGGGTGATTAATAAGTCCTTGAGGTATTAGATTCCCTGTGGTGCTGGTGGTTCCTTGTAAGCCCTTTATCACACCTTGCGCCAGTCCAGATTGGAACCCTTCACAAAGGTAACTCACCTATTTTCTGCAGTAGTCAGGGATGGTACTGGGTCGTCGGAAACTCGGGGGAAATTGAATCCCAGCCAGATTGTATCTGTGGATTGAAGAGGAGAAGGTGCTAAGAGTGGAAGAGTAAGATCATGTAAAGATCTAGTACCGAAGGACAGAGCCGCCACAGGTTGGGTTTGTTGATGCCTGAATTGTGTTGGCAAAAAAGTCGAATTTCTAATTATATATAGGGAAGAAATAGGGAAAGAAGTAAGGTAAGAGAAGAATTCCAGAGAAGCGAAGTGAAGTGAGAGATAGAGATAGTATCTAAGGTATTCGATCTAAGTATAGTATCTCTGTATATTCGAGGCAGAAATCGAAAACGAGCGTTGGCTGTTATAGCCTTCTGTAGCTCACGAAGTCAAACAAGAAAGAAAAAAGTGCGAAAAAAAGGAGAAAAGAAAAAAAGGAAAAAAAAAAGAAAATCTAGAACCCACTAAGGAAGATCGTCCGGTATCGACTAGACATTACTACAGTCGAATTAACTTGGAACTAGGAAAGTCCGCTATGACCAGAAAATAGTGATGCGTTGGCACGGGTTGTCGGGCATCCATAATTAATTAATTCTCTCTCTTCTCTCTCCCAGAGAATGAGAATAGCAGAATTCAGATGTCCCCCTACGACGAACAAGAACATGAAGTTAATAAGGAACACAATCAGGGACAATAAGACAAAGCAGCTTTGGATCCGGTTCCATTGGCTCCAGTGGTTCCATCGGTTCCAATGGTTCATCGCACCGAATCGTATTGCAATTCATGGAACGAACGGTTCTTTTCCAGAGATCCTTGGTCTCGATGGGTCTTCTTTGTCAATTAGCCGATGGGATCAGCCAGATGGAATTGAACAGAATCTACAATTATATCGATGAGTATCGATCAGCATCGACCAACCTCTATGTTATCCTGATTATGTCCTGTTCTTCGATAGCTCGGAAAGTCTATCGTCATTGGATTCTCCGCAACCCCACATAGTCTACTTAGTTCCCCGGCTGAGGTCCAATCCTCATCATTTCAAGTTGCTGGAGAGTGGTAGAGACCTCGAAAGCCCAGGTTTTCGACTTCAACTGCGACTACACTGTCCCTCGCGCACACCAGGAAAACAAAACAAAACAACTACTCTAATCAAGGTACTGTACCTAGCCACCATGGCCACGTCAAGTTGTAGCTACAGGGACCATTGTCCCCACCTAGATCAGAAATACAACATAACGGAGCAAGGACAATCAGGACACCAAAGACATAATAAACATCCCCCGATCGCTCGGTCTCGACCGATTCCACAGGTAGTAATGTACACTTACATGCAAGGATCAACCAGTTCGTCAGGACTCGGAACATTTCCTCGGGAGACTCGATAGACTCACGGGGAAAGGGTGCCGGTGCATGGCGGGAATAGCGCCGTCCCTCCCGCGATCGAGAAAGGGGACGTTCACGTCCCAATATACAGGTAGGTTTCAACCATGCCTTGCAGCCTGCAGAACATCTGAGATCCCTGGGACCCCCCGGAATTGAGCTTTGGATCTCCGGCTGTGTTTCAGTATCTCCTGTGTCCGCTGTGTCGGGCCCCTGGAACAAATTGGCCAATTATCATGTAGAGACGTAAGACAGTTCTTTCATCGGGGATCTGGGTGGTCTTCCGGTCCTGAAGGGGAAATAGGAGAGCAGAGGGAGGATTATGTTCTACTTTCATCTCCGTGTTCACTACTAGTACTCACTTTTGATGTATGGGATGATAGGGCCGTGGATCATGATCGAGCGATCGAGGATCCAGTGCGAACTTGAAGTAAATGCCCCTGACAACGGGATGGAACTAACATCCTGTGCACATTTGAATTGGATCTCCTTGAAGGGCCTTCTGCGAGGGTGAACTACGGATCTCATCTGGAGCTGGAGTCTAGACTCAGCTTCAACAATTATTCTCAACAAAGAAGCACGATATCAAATCTTTCTACATGTGGCTGCAATAGATTGTTGCCATCCAACAGCTAAGGAATGTGACATCTGCGGAATAAGTGAGGGTGATGCAGTATATGTAAATAGAGTAAGCCATCTCAATGCAAGATGAGCACCGACTTCAAGTTCTTCACAACTCGCATGAACGGAGGATATACAGTACCTTGAACATTTGAAGATCTTGTCCTTGGCGATCAGGGGTCAACGGCACCGGAAGAGGTTTTATGCATCCGTATCTTTCAAGTTGTTGCTTTGCTGCAAAGCTCCATCACTGTACTGCGGGATAAATGCAATGCATAACAGACTTTTCAATGGAATGTGGAGAATGTCCAAAAGGGACAAGAAAACAACAAAGATCGTTCGTTCCCCTAGCAAAGTAAATCTTTGGAGATTGATCTGGATCAGTTTCAGAAAGATAGCAAGCATATCGAATGTATGTGGTTCTGGATCTATTCGATAGTTAAAACCAGACAGCCTCACACCAAGGTACGAAGTGATCCATGTTTGAAGATAGAAAGTATAATTCGATTGGTTCGATTCAAATAGACAGAGCAGAGAGTAATTCTTCACCAATGAATGGTTGGGTGGCAGGTGTTGTGGGTTCGCCCCCGGCGCTGATCAAATGTGATATATCGACTGTCAAGCGTGTACGAGTCGCTTGTGCTGAATGAACACACAACACTAGCGCAGCGGCAAAAAAAAAAAAAAAAAAAAAAAAACACTTGACGCACAGAGAAAGTTAGGATCTCTGTCCCGGAGACACAGAGGACTGGCAAGGTTGCTGCACAGACATCATAATGAAGTCAGTTTCGCGGGGATCCTATCTGTACACTACAGCTGAAACGAGCCACATGTACTCCGTAGAACAAGGAACAAGATTCATGGGGTGTTACGACTAAATACGAATGAGGGGTTCAAAAAAGGAATAATGGGCTGTTTAGCCAGCCACTGCCAAAAAGCAACAAATGTTGTGTTGTGTGTGTGTGTGGGAGCAGGCAAACAAAACATGAAAGATTAGATTGGATTTGACGTGTGAAAGCGGGCCATAGCATCATGAATCCAAGCGATGGAACGGTACCAGTTGGCTTTTTGGAAATCTTTCACTGTCTTATCTTAATTAAGGCTCGAGGGAACGTAACGAGTCAACAACGTTGCGCGGCTCCCAAGAATGAACTCTTTGGAATGGAGGAGGGCTTTCAGCTAAAGGGCGTATGTGGCTTGGCCTTCCACGACGATCCCCTTCGTGTGGTCTAGGCTTTAGTTCTAGGTAGTGGCTGATCCGAGAAGGCCAGTCTGTCGGGCCATCATCATGAGGGGACCCAGTGTGATGGGGAGGCTGATATCTCACATTCCCTAACAGCCTCTGCATGGGACTTTAGGGGACGCTGCTGGCCGCTGGTGCAGGATGCACGGTGCTAATGGCTCCTCCGAACAGCAGAATTTGTGGATAGAGAAAAGCGAAAATAGGAAAGGAATAAGAGGCAGAAAAGAAAAAAAAGAAAGGAAGGCGATTCATCAGGATTGATGTATGATGAGATCTGGAGGTGGGACGAGGCCACTCGTGTTACTGCGGTAGATTAGACTGGAGAGGGGATTCTCAGGAACACTTTACTGTGTGCTATAGTAAGCTCGTACGTTGTTCTCAATAAACATCCAACAGAGACAGAAATCATCATAATAAGGGACTTTTGTAAATGTTTTATTAATGGCCCTGAGCCCTACGGAAGTCCATCCGCGCCCTTGCTGAGGCACTCGGGAACTGGTCCTTGCTGCAACGCCATCCCTACACCCGCGGAAGGGGACGTCATGTAAGGTCGGATAGGTCATGATCGTCTGTGCCCCCCGATGGGTTCTTTTGTTTACCTGCATTGGCATGCATCTGGATCCCTCCCCGGGGAAAAAAAGTGGCCCTGGTGCGAGGAAGAAAGGAGGGGGAGGGTGGACTCATAGTTATTTTTGGGCCGTGTATAAACAGTATCCCCTTCCACCCTACTTCCTTTTCCCATTCTTCATTCCTTCTCTCTCCACCGCGACCCAGTGGCAACAATCTGATCTTCTCCTTCGGTTCTGTTCTTGGTTAACTGTGATCCATCTCGTGTGAGGATCATCCAATTCCATTGTATCCACTTTCCTGTTTACTTCGGAACCACAGTCCATGGCTCAAGGAGATTGTCACTGTTCCGGTGAGTTGGATGTATTGCAACGAGACTTGAACAGATCTCAATCTACTATTTGCTTGCCATCGCCTTCTCCGGCTAAGCACGTTTCGACCTATCTGCCTAAAGCAGGACCTAAGGTTCTGGAGGAATCCAATTCAGACCCATTCTATCTTGAACAATCGCTTGCTGCGACACCAAACGAAGACAGATACATGCCGACTATTCGCGATGAGAGATTCAGTGGAGAAAATAGCCAGTATTATACACTTTCCTTGACCAACGGGAAAGATCAATCGTATCATCATCGGGATCCATCGCAGTATACTGGTCCAGATCGCTCCACACTAGCACAGCTTGAATTGGAAAACAGCCTGCGATTCCATCGTTACACATCTTCCACCGAGGAACACCGCCCTTTACACAGCAGTCAGGACTCCTTTAGCTCAGTGAGAACTGACGCTACTGTCCCTGACCTCACGCCAAGCAGCTCATTCTCATCCACCTATTCCTACTCCTCCCCTGCTTGTCCAGACGCCGTTATTAAGGCTACAGAGAAGCTCTATCAACACGCGTGTCAAGCCCAAACAGACACTCGTCGCTTCTATCTCCCAGCTTCAACTCCACCAAAGTACTCCCTGCCGCCTCCTCCACCCGTGGCTGCCCTCACTCCGGCCAGTACACGTCCCACCACACCTGCTGAGTCCGCCAACAACTCAACATCTACTCTCACAATGAAACACGATACACCCAGCATGTCTTCATCCTCAAGAAGACGCAAGGCGCACCCCACCTTACCAAACCTCTCCAACGCGTCAAGCTCTCTTAGCTCCCGCAGGAAACAATCTAGTCCTGGAACGCGTCCCCCCTTGGACCCTTCTATGATCTCGCCTCCAAGCTTGATCAACCCAGTGACTATGGAACCTCACGCAACACACTTCGACAAGGCATTATTCATCCCGTCTCACGACGTTGCTAGCCCTATCCCTAGTCCCTCAGCCAGCTCTCCTCCTATCTCTCGGCAATGGACTGCCACATCCATGGAGAGACCATCCACTTCCACAATGGACGCTTACTGTGAGCAGTCGGTGTGGGAGTCTGATTCAGACAACGAGTCAATCTCCAACAAGTCTCTTTCCCGTAAACCAATCGATACACTACGCAAAGTTCGCAGTCGCGCAAAGCTCCGCGCAGCAAAGTCTCAACCTCGCCTCCGTCAAGCAACCCTTGACGATCCAAACTCTGAACGCTTCCCATGCATGCCAGACGATGCTGTCGGCGAGCACATACCAGATGCATTTCGTGGTGTTAGCCTCGACCGTCCAAGCACAAGTCGTCCCAGTACATCTCGACCCAGCACTAGCCGCGATGGTTTCCGTGCTCATCCCCTCCAGACTCTCCGCCTCGTCGCACCCTCTACTACCTCCCTCATGAAGCCTCGTTCCCGCCACAACACAAGTCCCACCGAGACAGTGAATGAGTCCGACGTCGACTGGTCTACTGCCGCCACAATGCAAGCCAAGGCTCGTCAACGGTCTGATACTCCTGAATTTGCCAAGTCAGACAAAGCACAACTCACATCAATGTGCTATGAACAACACTCCCAAGCCACCTTCCAAGAACCTATCCAGGATGAGAAACCCTTCTTCCGTCGAGTCCTGGAATCCCTTCGTTCACTTAACTGTGCTCGGCCCTTGAAATCCAATACCACGACTACTATCTGACATCCATGACTTAGACGGCCTCTATCCCCGGCGTTTTTTCTTTGGCTTGCGTTCAGGCGTATTCTGGGCTTTAAAATGGTTCATACAACAAGTGCTTTTTTTTTCTTTGCTTGGTGTTCATTTACGAATACACTTCAATTTTTATGCTTCATGTCTTTGGAATAAAAAATTCCATTATTCCCATCTGGGACGATTTCCTATCAACGAATCCAAACACGCTTTCCGATATCAACGACATCTCCGTACAACGACAACGAATTCACGGACGAGAACAACCCTGCCTTCTGGCGATGACTATCTGACCTGACGGTCCTGCTATCTTTAATTTCCATTTTCATTTCCATTTCCATTTTCATTTTCTCTTCTTACTCGAGGTTCTTACACCTCTGCCAGTCTTTACGTCATCATGTCTTGCATGTATCACCGCTATGTTCCCCATTTATCACACGATATTTTCCACGGCCTCATCAATGTCTTATTGACTCCACACGTCTCTATCTTTTTTTAAGTTTTTATTTCCTACTTTTTATTTTACACGTGTCGCAGAATAAGTTTTCCATATATGACCTTCATAATGATATAAAATATCGGGTTAAGATGGCATTTCATCAATTTCTGGTTGGGTCGAGCGGGGTGCAACAAAAGCATACACTACATTATACGAATTATTACTAGGATTAGGATAGCATCAAAAATGTCAAAATGAAACATTACAACATCTCCGTTCTCCTTGTTGTCTGGGTGATTTTCACATTCTTGAGACCCAAATACTACAGTACTACCGTCCACCCCCACCATGTAAAAAAAAGGTCTCATCTGATATAAGATATTCGAGAATACAACGGAGTCATTTCTCCATACCTTCTTCTGGCGCCTCCCACGTAAGCTTAGTTAGTTCGAGCTACAGTATAAGATTAATTTATGGCGGAGGTGCAACTTGACAACGGTACTTTATCTCTCTCCCTTGACATTTGAAGCCATGATCTACATCATCTGCTCCTGGCACGTATATAGTGTACAATATAATAGTAAGTCTAATTAATTTATCCACACTCTGCTGCGGTGCAGTCCAGGCCATAGCTATTGCCCCACATAAAATGAAACTATTCCCATCTATCATATATATGTCTAAGTTAGGCTCCAGGCGACGAATATGACAGCCCGAATTACAAAAGTACTATACAGCCTTCAGTAGTCGTGTCAGCATCCCCACTCCCTGGTTAAGCAGGGATGTGATCCGGATTCCTGGGCCCGTCGCGCCAACCTTACAGGTCTGATCTGAGTTCTTAGCTTGGTGGTTTCTTCTTATTTGTGAGGTCATGATGTTGTTTGGATGGCAAAAGTACTAGGTAGTGCTGCTTTATTCTGTTTTACTCTTCGCCCTGTATACTAGCCCTGATTGCTTGCTGGGATTTAGTAGACATGAATTGATACGAGCATGCGAACCTTATTGAGATTCGCTTTTATTATTTAGATTACTTTGCTCGTGATGTAATTATTTGATGTTTCAGGGGTATTGTGGCACGTTCATGGTGGCATGGTTCCCATGTTTATTTTGCGCTCGTATTCATTTAGATACTATTAATTTTCTTCCATGGCTGGGGCATGGGAGGCTACCTCATTTTGCATTGGTACTTATTTTAGCTTACTTGAATTTTCAACTTGAATATCAAATATTTACTACCTAGAGATCCATCCATTTTAAAGAATATATTTTCGGAGGTTGCGATATTTACCCCCAGGCCATGGAGTCTAGGAATCCACCCGCAGTTGAGCTGCCCAGGTGAATCCCAACAATTGGAAAAAAGAACCGGAAGATTCTTTCCGAGGAAGCTACAAATCCTTTCGATCTGCTCGATGGAAGAAATAATCAATTCTCAGTCGAACTTGTGGCAAAGTCGCTGGAGTGTTTGAGTAGATTGATCAACCCGTAAAGCAGCAAGACCCACTACCCCGATTAGGGAATCTCTATATGTACAAAACGCCTATCCCTTGCGTCGCTAGACTTTTCAACGTCTCAACGTACTTTATTCTAGGGCTCACAATCGAGAGAGAAAATAAAGTTGCAGTAGGCAGCTAGGCAGCCTAGATTTAAATTGTTGGACGTCAAATCCTTGTAGCCCGAAATATGAAAGCTCATCGATAAGGATATCAAGGCAAATCACATTCTGCTGTCTCCATTGAATACATAAGTGCTCAGTCATATATCGGATATGCAGTCTGCAATTTAGTCAAATCAATCAGGTAGCTTAGGTAGTACCAGTTTCTACCCTCGTTATTCCTTCCCCAGGGGCTCAAAAGTCCTCTGCATCGGCGGGGCCGGTTTGCATCATATGCAAGGCTGTTCTCTCCTGGTTCCGTCGGCTGCACCTCCAACTCTTCCGCTAGACAGAACCACCACAGTGGGTTTCAGATCTATCAAAGTTTGAGTTTGCTGTAGCCTAGATCACCAGGAGTCCCGACCGGTCTACCAGGTAGCTCGAGGATGCGTATTGCCGAGGTGCAGTTTGTGTGGAATCCAAACAACGCTGTATCATATATTCCAGCTTCTCGCCCATTCTCGATCCGATCCACACGATCTGCTCTGCTCTGCTGCATTTTTTTTAGACCTGACATCTGAATTACTGTAGAGCCCAACAGTGACGCAGACACATCGTATATTGCCCGGGAAGCTCGAACTCGTCGTCTCAACACAACCCAGACAACAAACAAGTACCTCCCTGCGCAAAAGATCATGATGTTTCAGCGAAACAAAGCCGTTTTCTATAAAACATAATGATTCAGACGTCCCGGACCGGCCGCCCGCCTCGACTCCCAGGATCCTTGCAGCTGCAGCGGGTCTATCGAGGTTTTCGGTCTCATCACAGGAAAAGGTAATCGTGCAGCAGAGCGGGACGGCCAGCGGGACTGCGGCGCAGCAAAGCAGCATGGTCCACCCGTATAAGCTGCAGAGGACGTACAAAAGGACCATTCCCCATGGAAACGAGCGAGACAGCGTCTCCACAGAGCCCCATCGGAAAAGGTACGAGCAGCTCAAGGAAAACCAATTGGTCATGGATAGGGTCGTGAAAGCTTCAGCTCCGCTCACCTACAGCGCCCTTGTCTCCCTGGCTCTGGCTTTGGTTCTCCTTCTCCTTCATCTCCAATGCCTCCATGTTCTCCTCCCACCGCGGCACAGCAATTTTTTCTTCCCACTCGCTAATCACCAAATCTCCCTTCTTACGCAACTGCTCCTCAGGTTTCTCCCCTGCTTCGATGTTTTGTTGAATCTCGCCTGAATCAGTATCAACCCTCGATCCAGACGCAGGGGCAGCTTCGAAGCCCGTAAACAAAGCTTGCAAATCCAGTGCCTTCACAGAATCCTCGTAAACACGTAGCACTTTTTCCCTCCTCTCTCGACGCGTTTCCACGCTCTCCGCTTGACCATTCTCAGTTGCTGAGCTGGACGTGGTACCCCGCGCTGTGGGTTTTTTGACTACAGATGCACTGCGTTCTTCGAGGCCGCGCGTAAGCCCTTCAAGTATACCTAGGACTGTGCCAGCTCGCATACCCAGTTGTGCACCGACGGGGAAGGCCGCGTCGAACCCATCTTGGACACGCTCGCCCTTTGACACTGACACTCCATCGCGATACCCCGCTGTGACGTGTTGGCGGCGAAGAGAAGGGAGATCCGATGGCTCGACTGAGGTAGAGGTGGCGTTGGCACTTGTCGTATTGTCGGCCTGGATGTGCTCTCTGCTCTCTGGTGGTGGGGAGGAACCGAAGATGTCGTCGAGGGAATTATCGACTGCGGGGTGTCCTGTGGTGTCGTCGGTGTGGGTGGAGGTCATTGTTGTAGCTGGGGAAGCTGGAGGAGAAGGACCAGAGCTGGAGCCGGTGTGGGTGGAGGTCATGGCCTGATATGCGACAACTTGTAGATTGAACTGAGGTTGCTTGTGTCTGTCTACCTAATGTTCTTCTTGATCGTGGTGGGAGCGGAGCGATAAGATAAGAGAGAAAAAAAAGCTGTGATCTGTGGATCCTCGTTTTCATTGCTTTTGCCATGGGCTACAGCGCTAGAGCCACCCCATATGTATTAATACCCTATTTAGTAGCACACGTAACTCCAAAAACCTCACAAGCTTTTATGTTCCTATACACTACCTAGACACGATCTTACAACGGTGGATACTAGAGACCCGTGGACTCAATAGCGGAAAGATAAAACGCGGAAAACGGTAAGGAATAGAGCTTGGCTATACATAATTACAAATTGGTAACCAGATGACAGTACACTAAGGCCGAAAGTAGTAAAGCGATAATGCTCCACTGTCACAATATCGTGTCTAGACAGTGTAGTAACGGCATCTAGTACTATAACATTTTGAATAGTTATTGACCCCCCCCACCCCATATAAACAAATCACCCTTCCTGTTTGGTAGCCACTTGGCCTTTATCACAGACCATTGTATGAGTATCGGATCCAACCTCCAGACCATTAAGCGTTATGCCATCTCCACGATCGTATCCAGAACCGTCAAATAGTGCAGCTAGTTCAATTTCAGTCTTACCTTTCGTTTCGGGAAAGAAAGTAAATATGATGAGAGTCTAAATACATCATGCGTTAGTAGTTTTCATAGCTAAAATCTTCATTTGGTGGAATTGCACTCACCCCGGCAATAAGCAGGGCAAGATAAAAGATGTAATAGTAAAATCCAATCCGATCCAGTGCAATCGGGTTTACATATTGATTAATGGTCAATGCTGCCTGCGACACAGCTACCTGAATACTCAGTCCTTTAGCACGAATCGAAAATGGCAAAATTTCTGTTGGGTAACAATACAGAAGCGGATTGTTGGCCAAGTTGAAGAAGGCATCGTAGAGAAATAGAAACACGACAACAGCATAGGAGGCTCCCTTGTATCCTCTCTTGGAGTATATGGCTGAAGATATAGTGAGAGGCACGTTGGCGAAAATCATGCCGATAAATGAGGTAAGCCAGAGAGTTCGTCGGCCTATTTTATCTGCCAGCAAAGCGCCTGCCAAAGAAGAAAGCAAATTCCATATCTGTAGGCCACCATTGATACCAGTCTGCTGTGGTGTAGAGGTGATGCCGATACTGGTCAAGATAGGACTGAAATAGTATGAGATCACTCCCTGGCCATTCCAAAGCGTCAATAAAGCTACTGTAGCAACCAAAGCAATGCGGTTCCTGTTGGCTGGCGAACGGTAAAGGCTCGACCAACTATTTTGACCACAGGATTTTACACCCCTTGAAGCCTCCAGTGTCAACTGTATCTCTTCCATTTCTCGAATGACAAGTTTGGAGTGCAAATCACCGTTGCTGTGATATTTTGCAACCAAGATCTGGGCCTCTTCTACTCTGCCGCTTGCGCAAAGCCAGCGAGGAGACTCGGGCAGCCCAACAAGGACCGAAATAATCACTAAAAGGGCTGGAATACCCTGAATGAGGGATGGAATCCGCCACGACCAGCTGGTAGACATATAACCGGTCCCAAAGGTTGTCCATGCGGCGATGATGGACCCGACATACCAAAGTACGTTGAACTATAAGAACCACATCAGAACTCAGTTGATAAGAGAAGGCCAAAGAACCCCGGACATGGACGCAGTACCAAAGAGGATATTATACCGCGCATGGACGGGCGAGCTAGCTCGAACAACAACGATGGACCAGCAACGCAGGTGAAACTGATTCCAAGACCGATGAAAAACCGACCACCAATAAACATATTGGAATTTTGTGCTGCGGTCTGAATGACCGTACCGATAAACGTAATGCTTGCACCAACCAACATTCCTACTCTCCGTCCGAAATAGTCGGCAGTAGGCGAAGCTATAAAAGCACCCACAAACCCACGGACGAATACAATGGCTGTAATGAGCCCGATTCGTGAAGCATCAGGGTGACCCATATCTAACGGTTGGATGAATGTCAGTCTCTTTGACCAGAAGTCCTATAAAATAATCACGGACCTTTAACCCAAGGCGTCATGGACTGGAAACTTCCGACCACACTTTCATCATAGCCAGTGGTCATTTGCGATACAAGGATAGTAGCCTGCCATGCTAACAGCTTGCATAGACCAGTATCTTTCCACCACTTTTCAAAACGACGATCATTGATTTGTTGAGTAGGGGCAGCCATAGCAAAAGAAAATAATGTCAATCAAGAACGATTCAACACAGATACTATTCAGTCCATGTACAATTTGTGAATGATCTGGCAAATTTATATACTTTTTCAGTGCATATAAGCCAAAAATCCATTTTCCTCGCCTGGCTGTTACCTATAAGCGCAATCTCAGAGTGGTCCAAACTTTTATCAATGTCGATAAGTGGTTCAGAGTAACTCGCCCGAAGCTCGCGCGAGGTTGCTTATCTGCGGGGATTCAGCGGCCGATTCCGCCCATGAGTTGGATTAAGCTTGTACCTACAAAGATATAAATTTGAAATAACAGGGCCCCTTTTGAGAGGCAAGTGGCTAATTGCTCGCAAATTAATCACCAGTCCCAGCACCGCACAACTTTCCTGCCAATATGCCTCATCCAACGAGCCAAAACATAGTGGATGACTCCAAGGTTTATGGAGACTGGCGAGATGAACTGTTTCAAAACGGGTATGTCGTGATCAAGAATGCGATCCCAAAAAAACGATGCGATCATTACATTGAGAAGATGTTTGAATGGCTGGAGAGCTTTCCCTGGGGATTCGACAGGAATGACCGCTCGACATGGACCGACCGTCACCTACCTGATCATATCAAGGGAGGAATGTATCACGGGTACCGTGTTCAGCATGAAAGATTTATGTGGGAGGCGCGATCGTGAGTCTTTAAACTGCGAAAGATTGTTCTTGGTTCTAACAACCCTTCTTGTAGAGAGGCAGGGGTCATTGCTGCCTTCGAGAAACTCTGGGGAACAGACAAACTTCTGGTGTCATTTGATGGTCTGAACTTTGTTCTTCCCTCTGGAAAGCCTTTGCCACAGACTCAGCCGTGGCCGCATATTGACCAAAGTCCACTGAGAGAGGGAATGCAGTGTGTCCAGGGTATCTTAAACTTCGCCCCCAATAGCCCCGATGACGGTGGACTCCTTGTCATGAAGGGGTCAACGAAGCTGATGCCCGAGTTTTTCAAGTCGCATCCAAAGATCATGGAAAGGCCAACATGGGGACCTAGCGATTGGTTTGGCTTTGAAGAGGATGAAGTGAAATGGTTCGAGAAGAGAGGATGCGAGATACACAAAGTGAATGCGGATGCTGGAGATCTTATTCTCTGGGATTCTCGCACTATGCATTTCAACTGCGTTCCGTCATCTCAGAACATACGTGCCGTTATATGTGGGTATCCTTCCCAGAATCTCACTGCTTGGTTTAACCCGCATCCTTGATAGACGCATGCTATACGCCAGCTTCTTTTGCAAAGCCAGAGGTCTTGCAGCACAAAGGCAAACTATTCGATCAAAGAATTGGAACGGTACCTCTCCTATTTCCCTCTGATCATGACTGTTTACTAAATCGAGGGATTGACAGACACATTGGCCTCATGACAATCTATTCACGGAAACCAGTCATGTTGAGCGCCCTGGACAAGATGAGAAAGCCCCAAGCCGCCTATTTGAAGAACCTCTGGAGACGGATCTGATCTTGAAACTGGTTGGAAAGGTCTCTTACTAAACCCCTTCAACAAGACTAGAGTTTGCCATGTTCAAAGCACATGTAAAATTTATTCAATCCAATGATCCGAGCCATCTTGCGTGGTTTTTGTCAGGCATGCAAGCTTGAACAGCATTTGTAATAGTAATGTGAGTTGCCTCACAGCTAATGGCTATCTTCAAACCTGATAGGGCTGATAAAGTGATAAGGGGGTTTTTAAAGTTCTAGCCAATCATATTATGTAGTTGAGACCAATCACGGAAATCCAATTTTAAATAGAAAAGATTTATAAAGCGCTTTCCCCCAATTCCCCGCATTTATTGTTTTCCTTCCGCAATGTGTCATCGAGGGTGGGGAAGAGAATGGCAGGTTTGACTTCAATGGCCGGTGCAAGAAAAAGCCAGAGGGCACCAAAAGCTTGCTTCAGTTGCTCCAAACGCCGCGTCAGGTGTGACAAGAATGTCCCGTGCGGTACCTGTGTTGAACGAGGCCTTGAGAGGACATGTGCAAGAGAAATAGTGAATGTCCGGGGTAGACTAACGAGGTATGTCTGATAAGACGCCGTGTATGTGGAATTTTCTCTAATTGAACACAAATCAAGCCAAAGAGAAATGGTACCATCTTATCTGGAGTTGCAAGAAGAAAATGCGCGGCTCAAAGTGGAATTGCTCAAGTCGAAGGGGGCAAAGCTATCTAAATGGCCGTCTTCTATGCGGCCGATGCGAGAATGTCATCTTGAGAGATTAGAAGACCAAACCAACCTCCAGTGCGGCAAGAGTAATTATCGCCGCAAAGTGTGGACGAGATCAAATATTTTCCTGCCCACAAAAAGCTGCAGCAACACACTTCTACAGCATGGATTTACGTGGACCTCTTGGATTCATTTTGCCGTTCATATACAAAGATTTGAACTTGAGCACGAATCTGCTTGGTCGGGTGAGCATTTTCTTCACGGTGACACGCTTTGGCTGGCCATCTATTTTGCATTCATTGCGGTATTGAACATGAGCTAATCTCATTATGAGAGGAAGGACTGAGCTGATTTTTGAATTGTGTACAGATGAGTCTAATGTTCATGGATGAGGATGAAGCCATGAGAGCCGGAGTTCCTCTAGGTCAGATCCCATGGAAAGTCCCGTTTAGGTCATCGAGTACTAACTAAAGTAGACAATACGTCTGAGCTAATCCGTAATTGGTATGATGCAGCAATTTACTTTCTCAATGAAGCCGATTTCACACGAAACCCTGACTTTAAGACTGTACAAGCCATTGCCATTCTTCTTGGACTGGCAAAGAACGTCGGGGATTTTGATCTTGAGCCTGTCATTCAAGCGGCAGGAATACGCATTGGACAGATTTTGGGAATGGACTGCGAGCCTCCCAGAATATCGCAAGATCCTGTTATCCAAGAGATCAGCCGACGGACATGGTGGACTTTGATCATCTGTGAATGGCTTTCTATACCGACTCGTCCACCATGCATACATGAGGCAGATTTCAATGTCAGACTTCCTTTGACCCTGTCTGATGAGGAGTTAAGTACGCATTTGATCAAAGAACCAAGCATGGCAATCGAAGGACCAAGACCAGTCAATTACCACAGTGCTATGATCTCGTTAGCTTACTCCAATTATCGCTTTCGGTTGCAGATGGCTGCCACCAAAAGTCTTCAAGGTGATAATCTACTGGAAGATCTTGTTCTCACGACAGATGAAGCTTTGGCCAATATAATTTCCCAACTACCATCGCATCTTCTCGAGGCATCTGATGATCAGACAACAGCAAGCGAACAATATCCACCCTGGGTTTTATGGCAGCAAACAAATTTATCGCTGTCATTCTTGAACTATCGAATGAAAATCAACCGAGTCCTGCAACATCGATGGGCTTCTTCGTCAGATGTACTGCTTGCCAGGTCGAAGGCGATATGCTTAGATTCCGCGAACGCGATTGTATCATTGGTGAAGCAACACAAGGTTGCTCTAGCACGCCATCGTCCGTGGTAAGTCTTGAAAGGATTCGGAACTTCAAATCCCATTTCCGCGCCCATATGGTCTTTTTGGTCGACCCATGAAAATTGAACTAATCGATCATTGATTCTCAAATCCAGGGCAACAACCTCGGCTCTATTCTCAGCGGCTCTGACCCTTGCGGCGGAAGCAAAGGGTTTAGATAAGCATGCTTCAAAGGAGTATATGGATAGGATTCAAACATGTCTTACATTTTTGAAATATATCAAGGATCACAATGCTCTCGCTATCCGAGCACTGGAGGATTTGAAGGCGTTTTGTAAAGAATTGCTGTGAAGTCATGTTCAATGCTCAATCACATTTATGTATCGGGTTAAAACGCCCGCCAACCCAGCCTTCAACAAACAGGGGAGAATATCAATGGTACTATTATACCATCGGTATTTGCTGAGGGTGATGGGAGAAAATCGGGAATCCTCGAGCCTACGCCACAGAGGTAGAGCTGGTGTCGATCAGCAAAGGTTTGACTTCTCTGGATTTACGAGTCTGGATGAGATGCCTGCAACTTGAAGTCAAGTGAAACGTATGCAGGTATTGGAGTATTGAACACCGATAGCCAATGGCCAAAATGATCTGTTGGCTCTCGCATGCTATCGCTTTTGCATACATGGCGTCAAAAGTATGTCGTCGCACGGATTTTGAAAATTTGTCAGCATGCTCAGATTTGTCATCCATCACATCGTCACCCGCCTGGCATTTCAATGCCCGTGGTAATCAATCCCATGAAATCATGATGGAAACCGTAGCCAAAGCCTCTCTCTTGGATGTTGCACCCGCCAGAGCCCGTTGACAGTAAAGGAAAACCTGCAACGATTTTCGAGTTTTTTTATTTCATCTATGTTGTCAAGACTTGAATTTTGTAGATCCTGGAGGTGTTCAGTGGAAGTTAGAGAGGCCAACTGAAGAGGTGAAAGAGAATATACTATCTTTTGCAAGATTGCTGGAAGAAAAGGGGCAAATGGAAGAGAATGCCACGCAGGCGTCTTTTACCAGGCCATTCAAGACTTCATAAAAATCATAAAAAACCCATGGGGGGGGGGGGGGCAGGTCTACTGGCTCCTCTGTGGTATGGAGATCTTGTCATTATTTATAACTTAGCTTTATTACCAATTTGATGATTTACTTTTTGCACTCTCTTACAGTCTAGTTGATCTGGACTTTTTGTGTTTTGTATTTGAACTCGTCTGTTCTTATTTCGATGTGTTCTTCAAGTTTTTGCCCTGCACGCCTTGTGATGCTATCGGGTGGATCCACTTGATCCACTTGCTCATGGTTCATGGTTCACTGTATGGCAGCATGGTAGGACGAGACACTATAAGAAGTCTTGTACAGAGCATATTATGGTATTGGAATGTTTTAAATGTTCATTTCTATTGATTTTATCCGTTAATAAAATTTACCAGAGCTGGATATTCTCACACGTTAATATAACACATGACGCATACTTCGGTCGACCGGTCCAACTAACTATCCGTCAATTGAGCCCCCATCTTCTTGTGCAATTCAGTGTGAAATTATATTTAGTCCACTCCATTCCATACCTTCTTCAATTCCGAGCCCAAGGCGATCTAGTCTATTCAATCTTCACACCAAAGGCCCACCCACAATGGCCCGCCACAAACTCACATACTTCGCCATCACATCCGGCCTAACAATCTACGGCACACACCTAGGTCTAAACCATCTTGAAAAGAAATATCCCAATCAACCACTGTCAACAGGAAGCAAAGCGCTTTCAACACCAGACAAATCAACCCAACACACACCATACACAGATATCTACGCAGCCCGGATTCCGGTAGCAGCACTATTACAATCACGACATGCCAGTGCATCAGGACCACAAAACACAAACCCAAAAACAAAAGCAACACTAGAAAAAGCCTGGGCACGAGCCCTACTAAAATCATCAATTCTCAAAACCGAAGCATCATTATTCTCCCTATTAACGCAATTCAAATACACACCTGGAGATCTCGAAAAGCCACTCAAAAAAGATACACCCCTTGTACAGGGGATCATGATCATACAGCGAGAAATAGACGCAGAGCCAGACTCAAATGGTCTACTTGTCTCGTGGAAAATAGCAGACGAACCACGGATCTTCTTTGAGAAGATTGCTGGCTGGGGATATCCGTGGCGCCTTGTGTGGGGGGAAGGCATGAGATGAGTGTTTCAGAGATATTTGAGGTTGAGGGGGAGGAATTCGTGGATGTGAGGTTTGCGTCTGCACATGATTATGAGGTTTTTGGGGCGGAGGGAGGATTGAGCGAGCAGAAGATTTTGCCTGAGTGGACTAATCGGTTGCACCGGGGGTATGCGAGGTTGATTCTTGATTTTGCGGTTAGGGAGTTGCGGTGAGTTTGGCAATATGTGGACGGGTGATTGTTTGAGTATGGGTTTGATTTGATTTGTTGCGTTGCATATTACATCTCCTTGAGGAAAGTTTACTCTACTCTACTCTATATGTATAGATTCATAGATGTTGATGTCTAAGAATTTGTTTTATTCAATCTATTAAGACTATATCTGTCAAGCTATAGAATACAAGTGGAGCACACTGTGATCATCACATTTTATAGATCACTCGCGCGAACCTGCACCTGAAGTCAATCGCCAAGCACGCAGTGGTAAACTCTGAAGCTTCGTAGCAGCAGGTCTAATAAACCACACAAATGTGACAGTGCCGATGAGTACACAGATAATGTTGGTGAGGTAGTATCCATCACGTTCAACAACACAAGTGCCACCACCATTGACACATCGGTTCTTCTCTGGCTCGAGGGCACAGGAAAATGCGGCTGTAATCAGATCACCTTTCAGTGTATCGGAGGGCGGGGCAGTAGTGGGTGGAAGGCAAGTAGCTTTCGTAAAGAAGTCCACTAATTTGAGCACAAAGATGCGAGGGAATGTTCCGCCCAAATTGCAGACGCTGTGAATATGTTAGTAAAGAGATTTGAAAGAAGGTGGAATTGGATCAGACTAACGTTGCAAGGAGGGTCATGTATGTTCCGCCAATGGCTGGGTCTGCAATACGTGCGTGGAAAGCAGAAATGGCAACGAACATGACTGTGTTCATGAAAGTTGACACGACATGCTCGAGGATGATTGTCATTAGATACCAGAAGGGAACCTCTGATCCGCTAGGATAAATCATGACTGTAAATTGGGCAAAGGCTGCGGCGGCCAAGCGACCAACGAAAGCCCAGCCCCAAAGTCGCATGGCTCCATATTCAGTGGACCATTTGCCGGCATAGTAGCCTAGCATGATCTCGAAGGGGAAATCGATCAAAACGACCAATGCCATGTTATCTTGGCCAAAGCCCTTGTCCAAAAGTTTTAAGCTGGTGACGCCGTCGTTGGCCTGGAAGCCAATCTTGGCAATTAAATGAATGAGGATGATAGTTTGAATGTTCTTGAGCTTCAAGACGCTCCACATGCTCTTGTAGACATCAAGGATGCTATCACGCTCCTTGGTGCGTTCTTCTTTCTTCAGGAAAGCTAAACACACGGTAACAATGAGGTATGTCCAGCCCCAGAAACTCAAATAGGTACCAAGAGACAAGAGACCACCTTCGGCGGGGACAGCGCGGAACCAACGGTTCGCAAAGTCCTTGGAGTTGAAAGCCAGGAACACGGTGTAGGATAAGAAGTGACCAGCTGTTAAGCCAACAGTCTGGGCCGTAGAGGCATAGGATATGTTAGGAGGTGACATGAGGCTAATTGCCCAACCATCGACCGCAATGTCTTGCGTGGCGCAGAAGAGAACCAGCATGAACCACCAATATGTGAACTTCCAGACACCCGCACCACCATTGGCGCCAGCCTGGGCCATCATATCCTCAATATGTCCACCGAGGTAAATCATAGCCAGACCCGCAATGACTTGAACTGGAGTAATCCAGCTTTTACGGCGACCAAACCGTGTGCTCCACACGGCATCAACAATAGGACTCCAAAACAGCTTCAGAGAGTATGGGTACGAGGCGAGGGAGAAGATACCGATCTGGCCATATGACAGATACGGTTTTAATAGAAAGGGTACCGAGCCTGTGGCCAAGCCCATTGGTACACCTTGTAAGAAATATAAGACGCATAATAGGAGGAAATTGCGGCGATCGCTGGCGGGTAGGTTGTGGAAGCTAGTCGTCGTCTGGACGGGGGTTTGCGGGACGACTTGGGGTTCATCGTCGAGAGAGAAGTTCTCGTAAGACATTAGGCGAGCGGTTCGTTCTGCGGAGGATTCGGAGGAAGGAGTATCACGCTTGCGCATTTCAATATTATTCATGCTGCCGTTTGTATGACCGTTTTGGCCCGTAGCAACTTTGAGGCTCGGCTTAGAGCGGCGTTTAGAGAGGGTAGCGTTCTTGCGTGGCATTGAATTGTATAAGGGTCAGAAAGCCAGTTGGCAAAGTCGTGTTGGCGGAAGATGCCGATCTATTTCGAAAGGAGAAGCGAGAGAGTCTTCGAGTCGAGAATCAGGAGAAAGTAAGTAGGTTGGTGTTCGCGGCTTTGTTTTTGGATGAAAGGAAAAGGGCGAGTAATATAGGTAGGTCAATGAGGTGAGTTAAGGGCGAGATCCGCGCATGTTAGGCGGGAGAATAGAAGGGAGTAGGTGGCCGATGCATGAAGGACGAAGGGGGTTAAAAAAGAAAGGAAGTCCTCTAAGAAGAATGCATGGAGGTTGGTGGGGGAAGATCCGAAGCATAGGAAAGTTTGACCGAAGCGCGTGGAGAGGCAAGCTGGCCTCTTACTAGTTAGCCGGGGCCGGTTCTGCCTGAGGGGCGGATCTTCCTACACCATGCCTCTTTTGAGTTGCTTGGTCAGGGTCTGAAGGATCCACTCGTTCTTATCAATTTGTAATCTACGACTACAGTAGAAACAGGACTGCTAGCTATTGGGGGGTGTTTTTTTTTAGGTGGGACAGTGACACCATGCACGCGACGAGATCGGCGTGTTGGAGTTACGGAGGGACGTGTCTCGCGCATGTAATTTGGAATCCTCAGTTTGGACAACATCCGATTCCGATTGTCATTTAGTCTTGGAAATGGCGTCGAGAGAAATACGGTAGACATTCAAATTTAGAATTTTTGTACGAAAAATAAGAAGAGCGTATACCGGTCAAGTGCCAGGATTCATGTTGCTTCGACCCTGATCTGGCGTCGAGTGTAGGTATGACCACGTGACTACATACAAAGTAAACAAAACCAAATCAAACAAACAGATCAACAAAGTTGACCTACATTAACATTGAATACCTCCAACCCCTCCCACCTTACACCAACCAGAAACCAAGAGCATACAATCTCATAAATGCACCATGAATACACGCGCAAACTCTGGAACTCCAGATCCCCAAGCGGCACATATAGACAATGAAATCGCTTCAATCCGCACCGAAAGTAAGCATCCCACAGCAAAACCAAGCACAAAGATCCAACCCTAACATAACATTAAGTCCAAAACCTCAAGCGCCGAAAAAGATTCCTCTCATCCAGTCTCCTCACATCCAAAAACATCCAACCCCTCCTCAACAAACCCTTAACATCACTACACACCGAACTCTCCCCCCTCGCCGAAGCAGCAGACACACACTCCGAAACAAATCATTACAGAATCGCTTTCGGAACAACCGCATTCCCATTTAAGGATCCCTCTCCTACTGCTCCTAGTGAGAATCTGCTCGGTATCCGGATAGATGTTAGTACGCGGAATGGAAGGTTTGCGAAACCGTACTATGTCCTTTTGCGACGGGAGCGCGTGAAGGCTCAACAGGAGAAACAGTTACGGGTCCATCGACATACTATTCCGGGGTTTATATCTGTTTCGAAGCTTGAGGGGTTTTATCTTCCTTCTGCTTTTGCGGCGAGGGGGGTAGAGGTTGCGGATAGTGAGGGCAGTGATGAGGAGGCGGAGGCAGAGGCGGGGCCGTTGAAACAGAAGAGGGTTTCGGTTAGGAGGCAGGATTTAAGGGGTTTTGTACGGGAGCTGAGGCGTGAGCTTACGGCTTGGCATTTACGGTGTGATGCTGTGGAACTTTTACGTGAGAGACTTGGTTTGAGTGAGGATGAGAATTCGGATTCTGGATCTGTGGATCGATTGTCGCCGGAGAGTAAGGCGGGAATTGTATCGTTGGCTGCTACTACGTCCGAGACGCGGTATGTGCGATTAGAGTGGGAAGATGGACGTGTTGGGCGATTTAAATTGACTAATACCGGTGTTGTTGAGAGGGCGGTTATTATTGGGGATTCGGGTCGTGATAAGCAGGTTGAGGATGCGATGACTGGCTCTGGGGGGAGAATCGAGAGTTTACTGGAACGGTTGAAGAAACATGCCCCGACACCTGGATCTCCATGATTACTGTTTTGACATGCTGTCTGTTATGATTCTCATACTTGTTTGATTTGTTATACATACCCCTTTGCAATATGAGCGAGTTCAAGTTTTAGTTCCATTTCGAGTTAATTAATATGATAAGCAATAATTTACATTCAATACCTAATCTATAGAGCCATATTATGCTGTTAATGCAAATGCATCAAATGCTATGCACATCAAACAAAGAGCCGCCGCAATGCGAAGTATGGACATGCTGAATTCAATAACAGCAGAAAAACAATCAGACAAAAAAGAGAGAGAAAGAAGATGATTACAAGAAGGGTAAGGGGGCATCAAGTCAATAGAAAGTAGCCAATTTGCAAGGGTATAGCATCACCACAATGGATGCAGATCAAGCCAAGCAATGCAGAAAGCAAATATTAGACAGGGTATACATGGTACATGACAAATCATAGACCACTTATTAAATGACCAAGGGTCACGTTTCTTCTGGTCCAAGAACAAAGAAGAATGAAGGACTCGCTCAAATGCGATTCTCCGGCTCAGGTCCCTCCTCAATGCAGAACGAAATAGGAGGTAAAGGACCATACAGATGTCCATTTTTATCCTCCAATTGACGACGTAAGATGGCTTCTTCAAGATTCCATCTGCGTCGAAGCAAAGTCTTCTTTTTCTCCAATGCATCTATAAGCGAACTTTCTTCTTTGCGATGATCAGCCTGCAAAGCAGCAATAGCCTTGCTATTTTTTTCAGAGACGTCGTCTAATTCGGTTTCCATTCGATCAATGGCTTCTTGGAGCCTCTTCTCTTGTCGTTCGCGAAGGACCTTGATGCGGGCTTCGTGGAGCGCATCCATGGTTTCATGATCATGGTATTGTTGCTCTAGTTGTTCGAGTTGTTGTCGTGTGATCCGACGCGCTGGGGTGGGTGATTCAGGTACTGGGATTAAGGAGTCGGATGATGGATCTGCGGTTGCTGCAGGGGATGGCGGGGGGCTTGCATTCCGGAAGTAGCCTTCCATGTGCTTGATGCGGGTGCGAGAATTTATCTTTTCGCGATCAAATTCTCTTTGTTGATCCATTTCTACTGCAAGTTGGCGCTCTTCCATGCGGATTGCATCGACATCGTTCTATTGCATGAAGTTAATATGGAATACGGAGACAGGTAAAGCGAGAAATGGGGTTAGCTTACCTTTTCGCGTTTTTCATCCTCCGCGCGCCGGTGTTCAGACTGTGCTTCAGAGATCGCTGCTTGATGTCGGCGTCGGAGTATACCGAGTGCCGCATCTTGGAATGCCATGTGTCGACACTTCTCCATCTTGTGTCGGCTGAGCATCTCGCCCAGTTCAGGATCCTCCAGCGTTCTCTTCACTGCATCCTCGTCGTAGGTAGGGATCTCGATTTTCGGAAGAGACTCCGTCGTACTAATACTACTGGTGTATACAGCATGACTAGTCGGCGCCTCTCGCGGCTTCTCTAGAAAGATCTGCCCGTCGCCTTCCTCTCCTCTAGATACACTAACTCGTGCATTGGGCGGTAACATAGCGAACGAAGGAGCTCGCTTTTTGCGGAAATGGATCCGTCCAATCGCCGACTTCAAACTACTCCGTCGCTTCTCTTTCTCCTTCTCCTTCTTATCAGCCGGGGGTGTAACGAACATCGAGTTCCGATTCCCCTTCACACCCAGTCCATCCTGAAGTCCCAGCCCCGCATTAATATTGCGACTCTCACTAGAACAGAAGGAAGTCGGTCTAGTTGACCACGAAGCTAGCGATCGCGTACTACCCGGCTTTGCGCGTTCAGAACCAAACGTGATATGCGATAGTGAAGATCTAACCTGATCAAGCGGGGAGGGAGAAAGAGACGGCGAAGCAGGTTCTAACGAAAGCGAGGGTGTGATGGAGCCGTCGCAAGCCGAGTTTCGATCCGTAGATGATCCAGACGATAATGCCGGCGAAGAGAGATCGATCATTCCATTGGCGATTGTGGCGGCCAGCGGCGCTGAAGCGTTGATCTCCGGAATCTTTAGACCGAGCTGTCGCGCCTCGTCGGAAAGCTGTTGCGCCCGCGCTTGTTCGGCTTCCGTCGAGGATACCTGGAGTACCTCTGTTCGATATTTCTCCTCATCCAGGACTGGAGTAGGCGTTGTTGGTTGTTCTTGTTGATCCATCTTATATATTGGTGGCGATGACGCCTAGCCGGCTGGCGCGCATTGACCGTGGACGTGAGGGGCGGATATTTTTCGAAGAGCGCAGTGCAGTGCAGTGCAGCGCTTCACGGGAAGGAAATGAGTGGACTCGCCCACGCGAGGTCTTCGTCGGTGGACGAGATGGAGGGCCAGAGGGACAGCATTCGCCGTTTGGGCACGGATTAAGTATAGAGGGGCTTGGATTGGGCGGGAGACCTTGAAGTGGGTTGAACGGTGAGTGAAACGGAAACAGGGAAGAAAAAAGCAACAATATGTGTAAGGACAGGCGCGAAATTGTAGGGATTCTCTTGAACCAGTGGGTTAAAGGGGAGTTAGGAAGAGACGAAGAACTGCCCACTTTTAATTAATTATCAGCTTGACCGATCACGGTTTTTTTTTCTTTATTTTTTTACTTTAAAATGAAATGAAACCCCCAATAACCCACTGGGGCGACCCTGATGCAATCTGCCCACTTGGCACATGTGGTTTATGGGGCTAATACTTTCGGCCCGTCTCAAGCTTGAGACAAAAAAAATCCTGCAGAGACAGACTATTCTGAATACGTTCTCTCCTATTCTCTTGAATTACCCAACTAGGGCTTAGGGTTGTTTTAGAGGAGCCGCGGTCCAAAAGCTGTGAGCCATGGAATTCAATAAGATGGGTCAGGTCAGGCACACGCGGCAAGCGGAGACGGTGGAGGAGGAGAATAGGGGGTTGATCATGGAAAGTACGGAATACGGCGTAGCGGAGTAAATAAATGAAGAAATAAAAATATATATACAAAAAATAGTATAGACGGAACATAAATGCGGCAATTCAAATGTTTCAAGACTCGTTCAACATCTCCACTGCCAACCGATAAGCCTGCTCTTTGGCTTCAACCTCATGCTGCGGGGAACTCGACCTCGTGGACTTGTCCCACCCATGAGCACAACCAACCATGCGCCGACAGACCACATGCCGACCCTCTAACTTCGATAGCTGCGCTGCTAATTCCTCCCCCTCAGGCGCAAGAGTATCCCCATCAGCCGTGATCATAAGAACCCGTCGCGGGAACCGTTCCACCTGCGCAAAGCGAGGGGAAATGCGCGGGTCACGATGATCAACACCCACAGGGATGTAGCAACGATTAAACAAGCTAGCAATAAATGGAGGAATCTTCTTTTTCTCCTGTGCATTAGGAGCAACCTTGTTACCTGTACCGGGACTCAGATCAGTCACGGGGTAAAAAGCGATCAGCGACCGAAAAGTCTCTTCGGGAAACAGATTGGCCGAAGCGGCCAGAACGAGGTTTGCACCTGCACTGAATCCAGAAAGAGAGACACGCGCGAGGTCGAACTCATCCGGACGCCCGAGGACATAGTTGATTGCATCCTGCACATCGTTCAATGCGGCGGGGAAAGGGTGCTCGGGCGCCAGCCGATATGGAACATCGAGAACAGTGTATTTCCTGCCCGTGTTCGTTTCGTTGGCTATGTGACGGCAGTAATCGTCGTCTTCGCCATGCTGAGGAAGTAAAAATCCACTACCATGGAAGTTGATCAAGACTGGTGATGGGGTTGAATTTGAGGATGGTGTGCGGTAGATGTGAACTTTAATGCTTCGTCCAGCATCGCGGGATGGAATATGACGTATTTCGTCAGGATGGGGGTTAATACCCCCACGAACAACGTAGCCGAGAACAAGGACAATGCCTCGTAGAATAGCTGCGAGGCATCTGTCGATACAATATTGGATGGACATTTTGGGCGTGAGGTGGAGTTGTAAAGGTTAAAGGAAAGCTGGACCGAGGCAGGCGAGTTGAAAATGGAACCGCATGTAGATCTAAACCCACCAAGTGCTAGTGCGTCCAAACTGCCACTAGTTTATACTCAATTATTTAAAAAGGGAGGTTGGCAAAAGTATAATTCATCTTGGGTTTGGCATTAGAATAAGATACTGTAGTACTTTAGTGTGGATGTTGCACCTAAGCCCTGGGATGAAAAATAGTGGATAAATTTTGGCGATTTCAAATCAGTACGGAGAATTCGGCAGACCTATGGATTAGGTGCAGAGTCTATGTACATCTTAACTCGCGGTAATAGGTGATCGAACAGCTTAATTAAGCATAGAATTTATCAATGTGATCTGCTGCAGGGAATGATAGCTATGGTACGACTCGAGCTGCGTAGCATTAAAAGAAATCCGTGGCAATATATGAAGATCACATTCCGGGTCAAGGTTTACCACGGCTCATATGGATGCCACGCCCTGTGGCTCTAAACATGCTTTGTCTGATTCCTGTCTATATTCAACCACCGCTATTAATTCTGTTTGTCTGATGTCAATTCCATGGTACATATTTGACCATAGGATTTCAAGTTTATACTATATTGAAAACAGGTCAAGTTAAACTTCCCAGCCCTTGCCAAGGGTCAAAATTTTCATATTCCGATATACATTTTTAGTCTAAGAATCAAAGACAACCGTGCAAATACTATTTTGACTACCTAATTGCATATCCAGCTGCAATGTTGTGCATTAAGCTGTGTATATGAAGTTGAGGAGCTCAGATTGGAAATCTCCGACCCTCAGCCCTCGTTAACACAAGCGTTGTAGCAACACATTAAACCGTTGGCGTTACCAATATAGTTATCTGGTAACATCCATATATAGTCAGAAACCATCGCTCAAGCCCTTGAAAATTATTTCCAAGAAAAAAAAAGGTAGTTCGAACTTACTTGTGTCGATTGAAGTCGAAACATATGCCCCAGCGCCATTGCCACATGAAGCTTTGAGAACAGTGCCACTCAACGACACATCTTTGCACGACGCACCGAAAGCACCGCTACAAAAACACCATATTAGCACTGTGCATCATTACAAATTAAATGAAATGCTGTTTCATTGTATCTTACTTCTTCATAGCAACAAGTTTTCCGCCCGAGTTGCCAAAGCATGATCCAAGATTGATTTGCGAGTCGACTTTATAAATGCCGCTGTTTTCCCGGCAATTTGCGAGGAGCGTATAATAGGTCGTCTGACGACCGGGGTCTGTAAAGTAGATGCTATTGCAACTTGCTGCGTATCCTGAGTTGGCGGCCACTTCAAGTGACAGGGAGCCCAGAAGCACTAGCTTGATTGCGGAAAGGGTGCCGAACTTCATGATTGTTGAATTTGAAAGAGATCAGGAGACTTGGATGTTGGATGCAGAGAAGTCTCAGACAAGAAATCAATAGTTTGAGGAACTGGAGCCACTTTTATAACCCATCTCTCGGGTAATTCAATGTCTAGAATGATGAATCTAATCTAAAGACGAGGGGAAGAAAAGCCACAATGTAACATTTAAATACAACTTTGATCATTGAGATCGAGTAACTGGACCTGCATAGTATGAGATAGTAAACGGAGTGAGCTCCGGATATACTGAATCCATATCTCGGAGACTCGGCTAGATTGACTAACTGTGAGTTGGACCCGGGGGCCATCTGTGTTAGGCTTGGTGAAAGGGGCCGCCAATGCTCTAAAGAGTCGCTTCAGACATAGCGTGCACTAGAATCGAGACAATAAGCCCTAGCGAAGCTTTAGCTTGGCTACTAACGATTCCTTCCTTCGTATTTTAGCTTATCTGGATTGCTTCCACGCTCAATAGTAGGTGGGGAAAAAGTCGAATATGCCTCGAATATGTGCAGTGGAAAGGAAAGTCTGTAGAAAGTATTGATAGAAAATTGACAAGACAGGTTACAATAAACACATGATATCTGCTATGGTGTTCCTGCTTCTACCAAGCAGACGGTAATGCGGGGAATTATAGTTCGTACTCGTAGCGGATATACCTCGCCCCCAAGGCAGAACGGCGCTATGTCCCCGCAAAAGGCTAAAATAGTTTAGTTCGCGGACCATGGAGTATCCGAGGGATTCATTCACGGAGAAGTCTCATGATTATTCATAATTTTGACTCTTTTACTATTAACCCCCCTTCTATCGATTCATATTCGGCCAATTCCGCCCCTGCAATCGAACAACATTGACCATGCTAAAAAAGATCACGTGAATTCTGTTGTTCTTGAGAGGGCACAAGAATCATACTAATATCTTGGATGAAGCTAGTGCAGGGCTCCATGACGTACAAATACGCGAGCCTTGATAGGGAGTAGTAATTGATGCCTTATCTCTATTTCCCCGCGACAATTTTGATCCATATTAAGAGAGATATGTGGCTTTCCGCCAGTCGAAACTAGGCTGATGAATAGCTCCGGTGGGGGCTATAATCAGATATCAAGTACCATATTCTGGCAATTCTTACTTTCTTACTTTATTCTTACACTCGATATCTGTCTTTTATCTTGATTTGTTAATTAATGGTCTTGATTTCTTATGTCTGACCACTTAGAAATATGACGAGGAGCAGCTTAAGCAGAGTTTAACGAAGCTTAAGGGTGATTATTAGACTTTTAAGAGACATCTGTAGTAATGGTGCCTCTATGACCCAAATATTTATTTTACTATCTGCGATGCTCTTGAGCGTGAATTCCGATGTCCCACACTACAGGTTAAATCTGGACTGGTTCGAATTCTAAGTTAAATAGCCGAAGGCCGAGCAGAGATTAAATGCATATGGCCAAGCTCCACATAGTACAGACAAGAGATCTGGGCCACGACGTACATACTAGTAGTAGTACCTAACAATTATCAACAGGTATTTGGTTTGTATGCGTAGTACGTACAAGGGCCGATAGCGTCCAGGGCCAAAATTAAACACAAATACACCTTGGAAGGCAATATTCAGAACACTCATATTACTGTTGTCCCCTAAAATCCATAACTTTAGATTCTCTACCTCGGTTTTAGACAGAGATCAGTGATCTCAATTTGATGTTATTGAATTGATATCATGTCACTGGCGTTCTTGACTTAAGTATGTGGTCTTCGTGGTAGATCCCATACTGTGTGAGACCTTGATATGCAGCTCTAGAGATAGCTTGATTCTATTCATCAAACAATCCTCCGATGATCGGAAAATCCGGACAAAAGGAGCGTGCTCGCTAGTTTATCGTATATAAAGCTCCTCCAGCCCGCACAAAGTATAGAATGTACTCTGTAGTCCTAATCCTCGCCGTCAAAGAACATGACATAATCTTCAATATCGGCGCTATGCACCAGTCATAGCTCCGAGGTTATCTCCGCAGTGGGAGAGTGACATCGGACGAGCGGGTACAGCTCAATGTTAGTACCCACATCTACCGCCGCAACAAGCCGATCCGCCAACTGGCCACATGGCGGGGGTACTTCATCTCTGTACTGCGCACTGGACTGCGACAAAGAGTCTAGTTTGAATTTATCAGAGGGTTCCAAAATTTGATAAACAAAAAAGAAACATAGGGATCTAAATTCCAGAGAATAATTCTACTCCGCACATCGCCTCTTCATCTCACCAGGGATTAAATTGCGCTGTTCCGCATTCATCACCGGTCGCATCCCACCACCCCCACTTGTTGCGATTGGCGGCATCCTCGGCTTTTCTCCTGAAACCCTCTCCGCATATCTCGGACAAGCTTAATACTAGCTAGCTTCTGAGGTTGAAACATATTCACTGTGACATACCCTCCTCTCTGATCTGAAAGAGAGCTCAGAACCGCAAACCCCTCACACAATAACGTGGTTTTCACGTGTCAATCGCCCGTGTATACCTGTCATCAACCATGACTCTACTCGGCGACATGGAGCCCGCGGAAGCTGAATCCGTCTACTTCAGCGAATACTCAGCACCAAAGGCTCTTCCCAGGCATGAAGCGCTCGCCCGAGCCTTCATCGATCTGCACGTAGAAGACAACCGACGTGTGGTCCTAGTCACATCAGGCGGAACAACAGTCCCCCTAGAGACACAGACAGTGCGCTTCATCGACAATTTCTCCGCAGGAACCCGTGGAGCCACCTCCGCGGAGTATTTCCTGCAGCAAGGTTATGCAGTCATCTTCTTACATCGACAGTACAGTTTGCTTCCGTATTCGCGACACTACAGCCATTCAACGAACTGTTTCCTTGATTTTATGGATGAGGCGCCGCCGACTGCTGACTCGGCTAATCCGGATCATGGATCCATTGTTGTTCGGAGCGAGTATCAGGATGAGATGCGTGATGTTTTGCGCAAGTACAGATATGCTAAGCAGAATAATCGGCTGCTTTTGTTGCCTTTCACTACAGTCGCGGAGTACATGTTTGAATTACGGGCTTTGGCTAAACTGATGCGCCCTCTTGGTCCGAATGCGCTGTTTTATCTTGCCGCTGCTGTAAGCGATTTCTTTATTCCGAGAAGTCGGATGGCAGAGCATAAGATTCAGTCGCAGGAGATTCCTGCTCATCTGCAGGGTGATCCGGTCACTGAATCGGAAGAGATATACACCGGTGAGAATGAGACTCAACCGCCGAAGAATCAGAAGAAGCTCGTTGTCAATCTCGATCCCGTTCCAAAGTTCTTGCATCGTCTGGTTGATGGTTGGGCGCCCGATGGAGCTATGGTTGTTTCGTTTAAACTCGAGACAGACCCGTCTCTACTGGTGTACAAAGCGCGCACGGCATTGCAGCGCTACTCCCACCACTTGGTTATTGGAAACTTGCTCTCCACGAGGAAGTGGGAGGTTGTTTTTATTACACCTGATCCGCCACATGAACGTTGGATTCGCGTTCCCAAGGCCCGTCGGAGCAAGAGTATCTCTGGTGTGGAAGATCAAGTTGGGCTTGCGGAGATCCAAAAGGGCGGAAGTGCTCAAAAACAAAAATCACAAACGGATGAAGTGCCTCCAAGTGATGAAACTCGGAATGGTGTCGAGATTGAGAGTTTGATCATTCCCGAATTGGTTAAACTACATGACAAAATGATTGAGAAGAAGACTCAGAAGACTGAGTAATGTATATAGATGATAAATAATACAATTTTCGGGATTTTGGAGCTCAATCTTTTGAAACTACTCGTACTTCGCACGTGTTTGACGAGGCTACGATGTCAATATACGCTTAATTCAACATGCGACGTGTTTCATGGTGGTTGCAGGTGTGCAGGTGTGGCCCGAGCCCTCCACGTCATGTAGACTAGTCCTATCGTCTATCGTCTATCTGCTAGTCGATCTATCTAACTAGCTCGCTTTTTTTTTACTTGACTTATAATCATCACCCCGTTTCAATTTCAACCATTTCATATACCCCCTTTTCACACGAACTTTATAATCAGCTCATTCTTTGCAAGGCAAGGCTGGCCCGAACTTGAAATCAGGGGGTGATCGACAGCAGGGATCCCGATGATGATCAAGGGGCACAACCCACGGAACAAGCCCAGGGTGTGTCCAAGTCCAGAGATACACCAGAATCAATGAGAAACCACACAATCCAACATCCCTTCAAGTTTCATCCTTCATTGCAATCCCCTCCGCAGCGACTACCAAGTCCTCAAACAAAACCCCCTACAAAGGGTACACAGCAAGTATATTAACCCTTCCCCGCCACAAGCAACCTCCCGCATAGACCGAGATCCACCGCTAACGCGTCCCGCTGTGTCAGCCACTGAAAGGAGACGCGGCCTGGACGATCACCACAGCACAGGTGCTCAAGTTATCCCGCCAGCAAGCAGGATCCTTCTCCAGGATGCCCTCGCACCCAGTACTGGGCCATTGAAGCAATACCATACCGCTGGAACGCTCAGCATGGTCACCCGCCGCCAATTCAGCCGCCGATTCGCAGCCCTCGCCACCGTCGCCGTCCTCTTCTTCCTCTACCACATCTCCTCCCTCAACTCCAGCTCCGACAGCTCCGAATACACATACAGCGAGAATGTCGAGCTCGATGCGAACGGGGAACCGGTCCCCTTTTGTCCGCCGTTACCGGGGATGCAGGACGTGCTCGTCGTCATGAAGACAGGTGTCACGGAGTCTCGCGAAAAGGTTCCGATTCATTTCTCCACGACTCTCCGATGTATCCCTCACTATGTGATATACTCTGATTTCGAAGAGGAGATCCAGGGCGTGAAAATCCATGACGCACTCCGGTCAATGGGTCCGGAAATAACAGAGCGCACGCCAGACTTCAATATCTACAATCGCATTAAGGAAATGGGCCGCAAGGGACTGGAACAAGACGATTTCGCCGATGAAGCCAATTCAGCCATTGGGAAACCAAACAATCCAGGCTGGAAACTAGATAAATGGAAGTTCCTTCCCATGGCGCAGGAGGCGCTCGCTTATAAAAGCAATGCGAAGTGGTTCGTTTTTATCGAGGCGGATACATACGTTTCCTGGCCTACATTACTCTCTTGGTTGGCAGGGTTCGATCCAAAGAAACCATGGTACATCGGGACAGAGACACAGATTGCGGAGACAATTTTTGCCCATGGCGGATCGGGCTTCATGCTCTCTAACCCGGCGCTTAAAGCCGCGGTGACCGAATACAAGTCTCGAAAGCACGAGCTCCATCTCTATACGGATGAACATTGGGCTGGAGATTGTGTATTAGGTCGCGTTCTCGCTGATGCAGGCGTGAACTTACATTTCTCGTGGCCGATGCTCCAAAACTCCAATCTAGGCGAGCTAGACGAGTTCGCGACGGATTTATACCGATTACCCTGGTGTTATGTTGCTGTTGCATTCCACCATCTCTCACCACTTGATATTGAGAAGTTGTGGAAGTTTGAACAAAAGCGATGGCATGATGTGTGTACTAAGTTCCCTACCATTTCAATAATCTTCGTCACCTAGTATGGATATCTAACAGCTTCTAGAAAAACAAACGAATTCTCCTTCACAGCGACCTCTTTCGTGAATGGTTATATCCCGAAATGGCCACACAACCCCTCCGACAAGGCTGGGATAATCTCTCAGACGAGGAACAGCCATTCGTCACAAGTTTCGAAGAATGTCGAGATGTCTGCGGTGTCCAGAAAACATGCGTCCAATTCGCTTTCCGCGATGGTGCATGCTTTACTAGTCCCAGACCGCGTCTTGGAGTATCGCGCCCGAATAGCAATACTGCTTCTGCGTGGTTCACCAGCCGCATTCGAACAATGATGGATAAAAATGGGCTCTGCAATGCTCCTCAATATGGTTAACTTAATCCCGATATATTCTCATATCTTCCCTTTTACCCGACATTCATCCATCATACCATGTCAATCAAGATGGCCTGACACGATGAGACGTCGCTTTAATTTTGGCTATTGTCTTACTACTTTTTTATGATTTTTCTTTTCTTTGCACTGCTGAACTGAAGTGGGAAATTATGCATGGCGTCATTGTCGGATTTGAAATCTTTGATATCTTGGGTCATTGTCTTATTATGTTTGGCTGTTTCTCTGCATGTGACTTTCAATTCCCTTCTCGGCCCTTGATACTTGGATTTACCGGTGATTCTATCTGTGAGCTTGCATTGAATAAAAGGTTACCGGGAGTTTGTATCGGAAAAGCATACTGAGATAGTTAGGTATCTCCAATCTGTCTGGATTGTGGTCTGAACTCAAAATTATAACTGGTGCTAAACAACATATAAGGCTATACAGTAAGAATACAATGAGAAGAGCGCATTGTTCAACTTATCAGATCAACACGATCACAAGGGTGGACTGTTGGGATCCTCCAGGCATTGATCGATGCGCATAATTTTGAACCCTGCCGACTTGATATGTCGAATGAATTGTGGTAGATATCCAACAGTGCTTGGATTTAAGAAGTGCATGACAGCCAAGTTTCCACCACGAGCAACACTGCGGTAGAATGCATCTAATTGATGTTCAGGCGTGGATGTATTTCCCCAGAGCCAATCTTCGACGTCAACACTCCAATTGACAATGTATGGATCTTTAATGCGGGAGGCAAGTGCTTCTCGCATTCGTGCACCGACGGTTCCGAAGGGAGGACGGAAATACCGAGCTGAATTATCATGTTAGCTTTGTGATAATGTTTATTCGCCCGGTGACTTACATGTCAGATTCAATTCATCATGGAATGTTTGGATCGTCCGAACGACTTCCTCATCAATATCTTGCAAAGTTGGAAGAGCCTCCATTCTTTGAATTGTCAGTAAAACAGTCGAATGGCACACGAAGTCAGAGTAGCTCACTTAGGATGAGTATTCGAATGCAGCGCGACTTGGTGTCCTTTCTTCATCATCTCTCGATAGAAGTTGGTAAAGTTGGTTGTTGGATCGCGAAGTCCAGCACCGACAGCAAAAAAAGTCACCTTCACACCTTCCTCGTCGAGTATCCTCATTACCTCCTGCGCATACTGAGGCTGGCCATCGTCGATACCAAATGCAAAGGAATTAGGTCGAGAGCACCGCAGAATCAATTTGCCACTCGGAGCTTTCTCCGGTATAATGAACTTGTTGTTATTCGGAGATGGCGGTGGAATAGCAGACACAATCTCAACCCGGCGCAGAGTAAGGGATACATTCGTATAAAAGCCCGAGAAAGAAACAGACACAACACGGTTATGATTGATATGAAAATGCGAGAGGGGAATAAAGAGTTCGGTCTTCTCAGGTGAAGCAGAATTTTGCTCATTGTCGCCATCGTCCTCACGCGTATCATTGCTCGGCACTCGCTGTGCCTGTCGCCTCGCATTTCGTCGAGTAATTGTATTTGGTGCATGAGTATTCGTGTCAGTTCCAGTATCATTACTAGACTTCTCATCGTCTCCAGACAAAATTTGCGTTCTCATCACGTATCGCGAGGCCTGCACGCTGTCTGGTGTACCTGGGAAGGGACTTCGTTGCGGGTAACACTCGGTGTTGTGCTCATTCAGCGATACTGTGAATTCTTCGTTGCCTTCAAAGACAACATGGAGGAGCTGCTTCTGCCATGGTATCAAACTGAAGCATCCGTGGATGTTGAACTGAGTATGGAAGTTCTGATCGGGGTCTGTGGGGAAGAGTCGAATGAATCCCGGCTCGTGCTGCACGGGTAGATCTTCGCCTGGGCCATGCCAGAAGCCCAAGTCGTTGTGTGTTGGGTTTTGGAAAGTATCGATGACTAGAGCTGGCATGGGAGTTTGGTTCTCGGGGGCATGGAATGTGCTGCCATTTGTGGCCAGCCAGTTTGGTGTTTCGACATATGCATGGAAATGGGCCGTGACCGCTGGAATTAAAGGGCAAATAATTGAACACAAGACTTGAAAGGAAACGCGGAATGACATGATGGAGATTGGAGTCTTGGTAATAGTCCAGCTTTAAGATGAAGTTCATAACAGGTGTCCAGCTGTCGGGGAGCGAGGCCAACTTAGACTTGATTATGACAACATGTCTGCTGTTTTGTGGGAAGTTGCGATGTTATCACTTACAAGGAAGGCGCTCAAGTATTTGGAATCGGCTACATATAGATTTCAAGTTTGAAAATAACAATACTTGAGCATCAATGACTTGCAATGGACTTGAATTCGGTTAAATCAAACAAATGAAAGTAAAGCCAGAACGTCTGCATCTTGGCCGAAATAATGAACCTATTAAATCCCGAACATAGAAATATGAGGTAGCACAGTTCAGTCAACTTCAGAGTACATCCCGAACCATAGCTTAGGCAAGCCAGTAGAATCCTGGGAGTAAATCGATGCCATTTCGAACAAAAGTAGCCTCCTGTCAAGTTCATGTACGAATCCTCCGGAGCCATAACGCGTACCACTTTTCGATTGAAAGAAGAAGAAGAAGAAGAAGAAGAAGAAGAAGAAGAAGAAGAAAACAAGTCAACATGATCCATTTTTACCCGACCCGGGAACACACTGTCAAGCCAGTCAAAAGGCTAGCAGGAAGGTGCTCTGGTTTGCCTGATGAAAGGCTCCTAGCATGCCGGGCCAGCAGTCCTATCTTCTGGCCCATTGTCCTCCTTGGGGGCCCACTCCGAATCGATCAAGTCACCAGCATCCTGCTCATCAGCATTGTCGCTGACCTTAAAGGCATCCCAACCGTCATCTCCGGCATTTTGGTCGTCATTCTGGCCGGCGTTTTCCTCGTTATCGGAGTCATCGTCTTTGTCGGTGTCGTCATCAAACGTGAGATCACCTTCAGAAGGTCGGTAGCCCTCAAGAAAATCCGGAATCTTCTGGTTGCACTCCAACAAAACCTTCACAAGATTAGAAGCGATCTCCTCATCGCGATCATTGTAGAAAGAAGTTGCAATTCCTTCATTTCCAATGCGAGCAGTGCGGCCTATACATATAGAAGTTAGATGGTCCATGTCTCTGATGCCTAAGCTAGAATACCCGAACATACCGATTCTATGAATGTATTCGGTGATGCCACCATGTGAAGCTTTGGGCAAATCAAAATTGATCACATGCATCACATTCACGATATCTAAGCCTCGGGCAGAGAGGCCCGTAGCAACCATAATGGGACATTGTGCGGACCGGAATGCACGGCTAAAACGGTTAACATAAGTGAACATACTATTTTTGTGGGGTTGATTCTTACATCGCATCTTCACGTTCACGCTGAGTTCGTCCTCCATGAATGGAGGTACTTGGCAGCCCTTTGTTATAAAGAAAATCATCCACAAAGTCGACCTGGTCTTGTCTGTTGACAAAGATCAAAGTGCGGATGGGCACCATGCTCAAAAGAAGATCATAGAGTGCCTGTTTCTTCATACCATCGTCAATGTAATGAATCTATCCATCGAAATTGAATTGGTTAGCAACGAAAACTCTCCAGTACATGAGCCCTACTTACATCATGCTGCACGTTTAAGTGAGAACTGCCTGGCCGACCGATACGAACACGAATGTGGTCGCCGGCAAGGTAAGTACGCGCAAGCTTGCGGCATTCTTTGTTAAACGTGGCTGAGAACATCAAGTAGCGATGGTCGTCGTCCTCATTCATATCTAGGCAAGGGTCAATTAATGCGAAGACGCAAATCCCACGGGAAGCAGTAAAAACCTACCTCCTCCGGACATGATTTTCTTGAAGTCTTCCTCCCAGTCTGAATCCAGAAGCTCATCGGCTTCATCAATAACGGTGTACCTGTATCAACCTTCAGTGATTGTGCTTAACTATGAAGCCAAGGGATACTTACTTCACGCGCCGAAGTGACAGGAGATGAGGTTGTCCCATAAAATCAATGATGCGACCAGGAGTTCCGATCAGAATGTCGCATCCTTTCTGCAGCTCTTCTCGTTGAAAGCGCGGAGGAGCGCCACCATAAGCAACACAAGGTCGAAGCATAGAGCGATAGCACAGACGTCGTGCCTCGTCAAAAATTTGAGTTGCCAACTCACGGGTTGGGCAGACTACAAGCACTAGAGGCTCGGCCCTAACGGCTGCTTGAGCTTCATCGTTTGGATTAGGCCGTGCCGCAGCCAACTTCTTGGCCTTTCCCATCAACTTGGATAGAATGGGAATCAAGAAAGCACCAGTCTTGCCGGAACCTGTTCAAGTCAGTAGAAAGTACATTTGGTTCAGGGGTTTCCACTTGCCTGTCTGAGCAATTCCAATTACGTCCTTTCCCCGGTGAACAGCTGGCAGAGTGAAAGACTGGATAGTGGTTGGCTTATCATAGAGACACAGCTTGACATTGTCTCTCATGACGGGATGAAGCCCGGCGTCGTCCCACTATGAATTATTAGAAAGAAAGGGCCAAAAAGAAATATACTGAAGCACTTACCTCCGCTACAGCATCAATATCCTCCACACTCTCACAGGTGACGAGAGGGGGGTTGTTCAACCTGTCCAAGATCGATGTAAGATATGAAGCTTAGTCAAAGGTATTATTGAGAAGGACTCACTCTTTAAGGCGCATGCCTGCACGGGGAATGAGATCACCCTCGAAGAGTTGCTTTTCCAGCTCTTCATTGCGAGGGCCGACATCTCCAAACTCCTCTTTCCATTCGTAACGAACAGCCGCACCAGCCCAGTCTTGATTTTCCTTATCACCATAGCTGTCATAGTTGAAGGGAGTAGGGTCCCGCCAGGCACCCTTGCGCGCTTCCACGTTACTCGTGTCAGCCGGGTTTTCGTCACCATCAGGGACATCGCGAGTGTCGGATGTATCCTGGACGTTGGATACATCCTGAAGTACATTGCCCTCCTCGGTATCTTCCATGGTTGGTTAAACTGAAATTTGTTTGAAGACGCCGTTTCTTCTTTGAGTAACCAGTTCTGAGTTAGTTGCGTTGAGAGTGAGAGATGGAGAACATAGTTGAGACATACCAGAGAAGAGATCAGATACGCGTGGATATCTGGGTATACCACGTGTTCCAGATGGAAGCCGATCAAGTTAAATGGGCAGAGGTGTGTTCAAGTTGTGAAGGAAAGAAGAAAGCAAGTGAAATGGATCAAGATATAAACAAGTGACGTTATGTTGGTGTGTTTGATAAACAGTCAAACGCTGTCAAAACAATCAACCCAAGGCAGGCACGACCCAAAGCTGTGAGTCCTTTGTAAGTTGCCCAGGTGATCATTGGTGTACAGGGACTTAATGATGAAGAGACGATGTCTCCTCCGTAAGAGAAAGTAGTATGCGTATTAGACAGAAATGTACACATGCAGATGTATACTGGTGTATACCAAATGCCACTGGCATTAAAGACTTCCGATATTGATCAGTGCAATTGCACAAAAGTCTACATACTAACAGATCTGATTAATTGTTCCCAGTCAAATTTGAGCTTTATTTCATAATTATTACATACTAGCTTATCACGGTGTAGATCAGGGCTATATACAAAACATCTGCAGGTCAAGCTATAGATAATTGAACTTGAAACTTCAAGATCAATCAAAACATTCGTTAGTTCTAACTAGAATGCTAAAGTATGTTTATGTGAGTAGCGGCTCGGGGTTTTCGACTGGTGCTGTTTAGGCCTCATACTAGTATTACTTTTTAGTATTAGTACTCTCCAGCCCTGGAGAGCTTCTTCAAGTTTGTTATCCAGGTGGATCATATCCATAAATATATTTTTGCTGCACTACTACTACTACTAGTAGAGCGCAGATAGAGAACCTGAAAGACACCTCAACAATTGGTAACTTCCAAAGTTGAACTTGAAACTGCCATCTATTTCTCGTCTTTCCAAGATGAACTTCAATGCTCAATATTCTACTACAGTATATCCCCTGTCACTGATCTCGGGAATGTAGTAATCACCGATCGCCGGACTTGGCCCCGTTTTGACCTCGGAAGTTGCGGTCCTCGGCATCGTTTGGTCGGATTCAGGTAAGTGGATCCCTTGTTCCAGTCGCGGGTAGAAGGAAATATACGCCGTAAGCGTGGGCACGGGACCCTTTAGACCTTCTCGACATCTGGAGCTTTGGTGATCCCTTTTCTACTTCTCCAACCATTATGGCTCCTTCCGATCGCCCCATGGAGCCCGATGGCCGTCGCAGTCGCCTCGAAGAAGCTATCACCAACCCGGGCGCAGTCAAAATCAACGTTACGGGCGCATTTATCGTCGACGACGACGAGCCTCGGTCCCGCAGCCCCATCGAAACCGACGGCGTGCATTACGAAAACAAAGACATTCGATTGCCTCACCATACAGGCGTTGTGAGCCATGTGGCTGTTGATGTGAGTTGTCCTTTGATGGTGCAGTGTGCCCCGCACTGCGACCGAAACCCCCGCAATTCACTCAAAGGGAAAAAAAAAAAAAAAATAAGGAGATCAAAGAAAATAAGCAAAGGAGAGAGATCATGCGACTAGGACAAAAAGGGACTGCGGCTGACTCAAATCAATTGTCTAGATCGGTGGATCGCTAGTCAAACTAGTTTACTTTACTCGAGAGTTGGATGTGGCAGACAATGGGGGGCGATTGAACTTCATCAACTTCGAAACTCACCGGATCGACATTTGCATCAACTTCATTCGACAATTGAAGGAGGAACATGAAAAGCGTAATGGTCCGGCCCGGGACGAGTTATGTGTCGTTGCGACAGGAGGTGGTGCCTACAAGTTCTACGACAAGCTGAAGGAGGCTCTCAATGTGAACATTCTCCGGGAAGAGGAAATGGAATGCTTGATTATTGGTGAGCTGCGATTCCCCTTTGATTATGAAATGTCGACAGATGGCGCGATGCAGAAACAAAAAGCAAAAGCTAACTCATCCCCAGGTTTGGATTTCTTCATCACCGAAATCCCCAATGAAGTATTCACTTATAGTGACACCGACACCGAACCAATGCAGTTTGCCGAGGCCCGACCGGACGTGTACCCTTATCTCCTGGTCAATATAGGGTCTGGTGTTTCCATGATCAAGGTTTCCGGACCAAGACAATTCGAGCGTGTGGGAGGTACTCATCTGGGTGGTGGCACATTTTGGGGGATCATGTCTTTATTAACTGGTGCTCGAACCTTCGACGACATGCTGGCCATGGCGGACGTTGGTGACAACAGTGGAGTGGACATGTTAGTGGGAGATATATATGGAATGGATTACAGCAAAATCGGCCTCAAGAGCACAGCTATTGCTAGCACCTTTGGAAAGGTATTCCGACTGAAGAATGCTGCAGAGAACGGGGCTGAAGACGGGGAAGGTTTGATTCGTGACGACGATGAACACACGAATGGTGGTGTTAACTTCCGCCATGAAGACATGAGTCGAAGTCTTCTATATGCCATCAGGTATGCATTGAACGTACCCATGAATTTCCTGGATGTGCAGCTAACAAGATACAGTAACAATATCGGGCAAATTGCTTATTTACAATCAGAAAAGCACCAAGTCAAACACATTTACTTTGGTGGCTCTTTCATCCGCGGCCACAGGCAGACAATGAACACCCTCTCCTACGCTATTAAATTTTGGTCGAAGGGGGAGAAGCAGGCATACTTTCTGCGCCACGAGGGTTACCTCGGCGCTGTCGGCGCCTTCATTCGTCGACAACCTCAAAATTGGGGTCGACGAAACAGCGTCGACGACGTGACGACACCGCAGGCGGTTAAGAATGTCGTCAACAGCGTTTTAAATGAACAGAACGGTTCAGAAAGCACATGATACAAGCCACAAGCTTATCGCTTCCCTGGATTTTGAAGAATCAAGATACCCTATGAACAGGGATTCAGTCGACCTTATGCTCAGACTCTATCCAAATCATGCTTGGTCAGATAGAGTGACTGAGTGAGTGGTCAGGTAAACGTGCGAGTGGTTCTCTTAACTGCATTCCTCTAGGCTCTAGCAGAGTGCACAGCATACATCTCACCAAAATAAATCAACGATATACCCCTGCATCTTCCCCATTGAACATACTAGACGAGTCTCTACCAGGTAGAATGGCGACAGAAATTCAAGGTGTGATATTTTAATCAAATTTGATGCAGATTTACAATAATACTCGGTGTTACCTCCATAAGCTAAACCGCACTGTAAAGCACTCCAGCCGAATCTATCTTTGAAGATTATGGTGTAGGTGACAGCTGGAAAAATAGCAGTAAAGCAATACTGCGAAGCATAATACAAACTGGGAAAAAGAACTGGCGGATATAAAGTTTATTTGACGAAAACTCGTCCATTCAGACTGAGAAGATAATATAGAGTTAATGAATCCGAAAAAAAACAGGTGAGAATTAGTCTCAACTACGCAACTGCACTGGCCCCTTGTAGCTGAAAAACAGTATCCGTGCCAAGGACACTAGACCGCTACCGCTATCTAGTGTCCTTGGCACGAGTATAATATTTTTGGGTCACCTGTCTCTATCCGAAACGCTCGGCCTCTTGGTATCTGCACAAAGCCACTTGACGGAGCGTGGGGATTCGATAGAGCCAAAAAATCGTGTTTACACTAGCTTCTTAGGTGCACTCTTGACATAATCGACTTATGCTAGGAAGATCGAAGATACAGTCGAAATATTGAGAATAATTTCATCTTTCGCCGAAAACTAAAGATGGCGATTGAGGAGCTAGAGCGCAACAAGGATCTCTTTCAGGAAAGATTACTTGCAGAGTTGAAGAAGATCCAAGCCACACGGGCTTGTATAGACATAGGGAGCCTAATGCACAGATTGCCCTAGTCGACGGCCACATGTCATGTCCGAATTATGTGACTGAGAGACTGGAAACGATTGTCCAGAACCCAACTATAAACGAGTCGAATGTAGCCGAAAGAAGGAAGACAACTAGAGGGCGTTTGCGATAGCGATATATGCAGCCTTGGGATTGTAGTTACTGGTCGAAAAGCAGATGACTAGAGCTGGACCGCCACGAATCCTAAACATCATCCGGTGTTAGTATACAGTATATTCCAGACAAAATTGGCTCTAGGCACTTACAGGGTCAGCCACTCCCCAAACCGTGATTCCGACACACTTTGGCTGGTTCAAACAGGCGTTGACAACCTGTGAATTAGGTGATTAGCAAGGAGTCATCATGTCGGTACTGGAATTGCAGAGGGAAGGGGGAAGAAAGTGGAGAGATCATCAAACACATAAAATGACAACAGATTGATACTCAATATACGCAAAATGTAAAGGTCGACAGGCAATAACAAACGAATGGATTGGTACAGTATACAGGATAACTAAATACAGGTGGAGAAGGAAGATAACTAGCTAGAGGCCACGTCCACATATAAATAAGCAAGGGAGCCACAGAAAGCTCGGGAACTTCCAGCACACATATTGTAGAGAATAACATCTCCGGGGTATGCCGTTCAATACATCCCAATGAGGCTCTGGGTCATGATGTCAACAAAGTCCTAGTATCAACCTCCATACACGCATCTTCTTAAAGGCAGCGCCGTCACACAAAACTTTTTGTCCTGTTGTTTTGTACAATCTCGTCCGAATATAATTTAGGTGTTGAACCTAGATTCGGGCCAATGTTTTTATAAAAGGTTAATAGATAACAGAATTGAAAAGACAGAAAAAATAAATGAAAATCAATAAACAAAATTCACAGAAAAGAAAAATATCGAGATAATGAATGGGGTGTGGATAGTGCTAATGAGTTAATGTCAACGTTAGCGCCGGTCCTAGTTCCAGGTAGGCAGAGTATCGAATGCTATTCACCTTGGCTCATGTCTTCGCAATGGAAAACTTGAGTTTCAAGTTGATACTAGTTCCCCATCAAAAAATGGACTCTCAAGGTTTTCATGTCCACCGTCCGCTTCGTAAACGGCTGCGACGTTGTATATGGAACCGTTGTTGGCGTAATTCGCGGTTGTATTAATACCGATCTGTATCCAAGCGAACAGACCATCGGTAATATCATTCCCAAGATATAAAAACTCCGGGAATGGATCGTAGTCATTGTCTGCCTGCCCAGGGGCATATGCGTCTTCCGCATTGGAAGTAACAGGTTGTGTATTGGCGTCATAGGGATAGGTGGCTTCAGCAGCATCGCGTAGGACAGTATTGTAGAAAAGCTGTCCAATATGTGAAACGGATCCCGTTCCGATTTCTAGAGTGCCATTTGGGTTAACAGTCACATTGCTGTGTACTAAGAGATGTGTGTGTGTTGCCCGTCCGTAGTAATGACCAGGGAAAATGGTGTCGAATTTAACAACCCCATCTTCATCTGACGGCTGGACACCACGCAGATATGTACTATTCCAACCATCAGCTGCTTTATTGTCAAAGCTCGCATTCAAGTCTATATCGATACCGCTATTTATTCAGTCAGTCGCCTTGCTATCATTTCCTATAAAATATTCGGCACTTGCCTATAGACACCAGTTGCATTCGAATTCCAAACATCCACCCATAACCCGGAAACAGGCTCACAGGTGGTAACATCAATGTACTGCAATTCCAAATGTAAAGGGATACCATCACACCATTTGTCTTCGACAACATTCTGGCGTATTTGTTCACCAACAACATAATACGGGCCTGACGTTATGCTTGGGGACAGAATGGCACTTGTATTAGCCGAGAAGATGTCATGTTCCGGGGTGTTCAGTGTGTAGTGCTCAATTCCAGTCATGTTATGATTCATGGCATCATACTTTTCGAGAGTGTCGAGATCGCGGCGAAATTTCTGTGCTTCTGCAAGATAGAAGAAATATTAACGAGATTCATATATATGAGAATTATACGTACTTCCCACAATACCACGCTCTTGGCGAAGTTTCTGGACAGCATTCGCACGACGAGAAATGCTTCGTGTATGAAGATCACGCGCTTCAATGGAGGTAGAACAAGCATCCAGCGACCTTCTTGCGGCAGCTGCCATAAGACCCCGAGCATCAATATCATTCTTGACAGTTGTAGCATCATGTACTTCTCCAGGGTGGCAGAGAGCATGAGCTACAAGGAAGGAAATCCCAGCTAGAAAGCCGGTAAGCTTTGAGAAGGATTGCATTCGGAAGTCGTATTTTCAAAGCACTTGAGGAGAAATGCAATGTTGTTGACAGGAAATCATGCCTTTATATAGGTTTTGATTCAGAAGATCTAGGGGGAAAGTTCCAGATCAGGTCTAGAGAGTAGTGTACGTACACTCACACTACTTTGATCTATCCATGTGGGATCGACAGGGTCGTACGCAACTTTCAATATCCATCCTTCTCGGCGTGTTAATTCCGTACCCACCTGCCAGCCTACCATATGTCTACTTACGTATCTACCAGGGCTGAGCATACAGGCTTGCTATCGGGCGGTAATGGCTGCGGGGGACGCAATTTTCCAAATAAACCACTAATATTGAAGGATTACAAACCCTGTAGTCGCATTGGAGTTCCACCATACCAGGAATACCATGCATAGTAGCAGATTACGTGGATTGTGGGGTTGTGACCCTGTCTACGAATGCATAGCTAGGCCCTATTTTCGCGAATTGTCCCTCCTAAGGTGAGATACCGAGTAGATCGATTTTTCGGCCCCCGTCTCTTACCTGTTCTGAATTTGAATGATCGATACCAGAACAGCAAATCATCATGGTTTCAATTAATGTCTCTGCATCACCCATTGTGATGTCTTAGATGATGAAACATTTCTGGAATGCCAAAAATAGAGCTTCACTAAAAAACAGGGTTCACAAACGATGGCAGCATATGGCAGACTACTTTCTCTAGGGACAAATGTCAATAATTCACTACGAAGGTTTTTGACAACGCAGAAACGTAATATATACATTTAAATTAGAAAATTCAATATTATTATTATAGTGAGAGTTTATTGCATATTAAAGATTATAATAAATGTATAAATGTAAATTTATAATCAGTAACTTACTACTAGTTTGGTTAGTAAGCCACTTTCTGTGCCGTAGCAATTCCGACATTAGTACGGTAGTAGACCCAGTACGTACTCCGTAGTCAGAAAAGGTTAGTTTTGCGTGCCTAGATTAGCGAACCCAGTTGCTAAAAAAGGTTAGTTTTGCGTGCCAAGATTTGTAGATCTAGTTGCTCAAAAAGGTTAGTTTTGCGTGCCAAGATTTGTAGATCTAGTTACTCAAAAAGGTTAGTTTTGCGTGCTCAGATTAGTAGACCCAGTGCGTATATCTCAACTCGACGATCTATCATTGTCATGCCTAGGCCAGACGACGGGTTGGCTAATCTATTGCAACCACGTAGTTCACAATGACTTAACGGCTGAACATTAGCCGAAGACGGCCTCACATCTTTAACTCCAACTCTTATCCCAATCCATGTCTAAATCAAAATAGAAGGAAGCATGCATTGACCCCCAGTCGGAGATCCCGGAGGATAAAGAGAAAAGAGAAAGATAATCCTAGGCGCATAATATAAAGCTGGCCCGCACCATTGCTGCGGTTATGTACATGGTTTGTGATGAGTTCCCGGACAGTTGACACTACGCCACACGACAGCACCAACCTCCGCCGCGCAACGTCAAATTTTGGTTCAATACCGGTCATTATACACATCAAGCACCCATAGAATTCATCGAAAACTCTCGCCGTCTTTCTCACCTCCTTTATTCTTGCTGGCGTCCCTTGTGTGGTCTCCTACTGTCGGACGCGCGAGGGCGATGGCTGCTACCCAAACAAGAGGTCATACTGGCCACTATTATCACCGCCGTCATCACCACGATAGTGTGTACTTGACTCCTTCGAATAAAAAGGATGCAGGAGTATGGATTACACGAATTGGGTTGCTTGTCAACCTGGGAATGGCAATTGGCAAATTCATCGGAGGCTACGTTTTCCATTCGCAAGCATTGATAGCCGATGCGTATCATGCGCTGACAGACTTGATCTCCGATTTTATGACTTTGGGTACTGTAGCCTGGTCGCTAAAGCCCCCGAGCGAACGATTCCCCAATGGATATGGGAAAATAGAGAGCTTGGGGGCATTGGGCGTCAGTTCGTTATTACTTGTTGGTGGTGCATTGATGGGCTTGAATGCCGGTCAGGCTTTGCTGGCCGAATTCACACCGGAAGCATTTGAGGCATTTGAGCATGCCGGTCTGCTAATTCATGGTCATTCACATAGTCATAATTATGGAGTGGACGTGATTGGACCTAGCATTCATGCTGTCTGGCTAGCAGGAGGATCTGTTATGGCAAAGGAGTGGCTATATAAAGCTAGTAAGATACTTACTTTCCCCTCTTTTGTTGGAACAGCAACAGTTTTTTTTATTTCCGCTCTCCGCTAACGATGATGACCTTTGCTAGCAATGAAAATCGCAAAAGAGCGGAAATCTTCTGTCCTCGCCTCAAACGCTGTTCATCATCGGATAGATTCCCTCACAAGCGTCGTCGCATTAGTTACGATCATTGGTGCACATATTTTCTCTAATGCGGCTTGGCTTGACCCTGTCGGAGGCTTGATTATTTCCTTGATGGTCATCAATGCGGGCTGGTTGAATACAAAAACGTCCCTCCTCGAGCTTGCTGATACTACAGTGGATAGCGAGATCAAAGAAAACGTTCGAAAGGCCGCTTTGGAGACGATTACGCGAGAATCCAGTCTAGATGGTGTGGATATTTGGGATGTGCAAGGATTTAAAGCTGGACAGAACTTCCTGATGGATATTGAAGTAGCAGTCGCGGGCTCAACTACGGTACAACAGTCTCGACAGATTGAAGAAGTGCTGCGGGCCAATATTAGTGCTCAGGTTCGCGGTGTGCGACGAGTTAAGATCCGAATGATACCTCGGGAGTTGGAGAAAATTGATTTCGCAGAGGAATTTATCCCTGGCGATGTGAGCCCTTGGGAAAGTCTCGAACCTTGAAGAGCTCAACCACCAGTCGGATCATCAATGCAATGACACCGGTCATTCTGAATCGAACAAGCACCGTTGATCATGTCATATGAAGCATACTAGAAAAAGACCCCTTCCTAGAAAGGAGAACAGACCTAGGTCAATCACGGATGTAGTGGAATGATCGCTAGATACTTTATCCAAGATTAGTCAAGAATAAATACTATAGTATAGAATAACCAACAGAAAAGTTGGATACAAAGGAGTAAATATGCTCTCTTGAAAAGAAACATTCTTCAATAGTAATATTTCCCATTAACTCACAATGGGCGTCTAAATGGCCACGCCAGATATCTCGAATATCTGAGCAGTACTATTCGCAATTGACAGCGAGATCACTCCTTTTTCAACGGTAAAACTGTCATCCCTATCGTAGAGCTTATTACCAGCAGTATCAGTTAACCAGCTACTGACCTTGGCCCCATCAGCCGGAATCTGAGAGAATGCCGACAGATCAAAGTTGAACTTCTGATCGGTATTCCAGTTTGCCGCAACGAGCACAAGTGTTTTTCTATCTTAATCGATAGCCGAGATAACATTGCTTGAGGTGCTGTTGAAAATATGTATCCTAGAACGTATATGGCGACTAAATTAGGCCAGTATATAGTATTTTGTGGTGGCGTAACTAAGGGAATTCGATGTGATATCGCTATTTATGAGCCCCTAGCCGGAGCCATTAACTATCTGCTACTATACCTAGATATTAGGCTGTAGTTGTGTAATGTCTGTTATAATAACTTGTACAAGTGTAGCACCAGTTCTATTACTATCACTGTATTCACTATCCCAAAGCGACTGCCCTGCCTGATTAGCTGCTGCGTAAAGCCTAGAGCGGGGTCCGGACATGCCTTGATAGCTGTGTGTTTACTTATGCTATATATATTTTCTCTTTGATTTAGATATGGTGCTCCACCCGTCCAAGGCGAGCTCAAATGTGTTCTTGTCGGGGGCAGCGATGATAGTCTGATCCAGACCAGGGGCCTTTATTTCCTGCTGAAGGATAGGTATAAGAGACGTCTGAGAAGAAGCGTTAAAATAACACCCCTCCTAGGTTCCTGTAGATTTCTACCAGTCGGATACCGGCTTATTAAGTGCCTCAATGGAAGTGAATATAAGACCCCAATTATCCTGGGTATATTTGGCTATTGTAGAAGGTAAATAGTATGATTCTGATATTGTGATATTGGCAGATTGCTACTACGATCTGAGGCACTGCTAGGATTCAGATTGCTGAGCTGCCACCACATTGGTGAATTGGAGAAGATCTCAAAGGTATTAGCACCTCTGATCTTTGTATTAAGCATTATTGTGCGCTGGTTAGCATCCACGGTCCAGTTCCAACTAGAGGAACTGGGATCAGCGCTTAATCCATCCAACCAGTACCCTTCGATCTGTTTGGCAGCGGGAATATTTGGCGAGGCTACCATCTTGACGGTGTCGTTGATTGTGTTCCATGAGCAAGCACCTGTGTTGTAACGTAAGATTTTTAACCCCAGGCCAGGAAGAGCCTCGTCGTCCGGATTCCAAGAGGTCGGATTTCTGGTAAACACAACATCTACCAAGTCTGCCCGGTCTCCGAATATGTTAGCCCACCAGGCTAGAGACACTCCCCAGCCATTCCAGACCTCAGGATCATGGTCAGCAGTGAGTTGTGTTATTTAAACTGCGTGAGCAAAAAGCATGTTAAACGCCCAAATAAAGGCCATAGACGCTGCCAGACGAGAAAACACGGCAGGCATACTAGTATTACTAGCTCCATATATATATATAAAAGAATCACTTCAACCTAATGTAATAGTAATATGAGCGCAACTGAATAATTTAATGTCAACCAACTGTTACGGGATGAATCTCACCTTGCTGTCCTCATCAAGGCACAGGAATTAGAGTAGAATCAAACATAAGTAAAGAAGGAGAGAAAAATATCCATGGGGCACATCATGGTGTTAGATATAAGATTCCCGGAGTTTCTCTTAACCGCTATTATTCAGCGAGGGCAAGGCCTGAGTCTTCTTTAGGCCAAAAACGTGACAATAATTATCCTTGTTCGACTACTTCGATATTCCACCACATATTTTTTCCAGAGTTAAGAGCATCCTTCATCAGTGCTTTTACCAGAATACAATTACAAAGCCTCCGCGACTAGGGCTACGAAAATATATATATAAATAATACTTATACTTTACCCCTATTCTATTCTCGATAGTGAATATAGGTGTAAAGCACATGCATACGAAAAAATAAGGAATAAAACTAAACATCGCGCCAAGTTTGAACGTCGTTTTGAGATCGAAGTTATGCCAGAAGTTTTGACATATTGTGATACAAAGGGATTATTTCGGAGGCGACTTAGACAATCTACTAAATCTGAAAAGATACTCATTTCAACACCCAGTAATTGAATAATATTTGGTTTGTTGTAGGTATAAAATAGCTTTAAATTCAATATAGAGGAGAAAACCAGCATTGAGGTGTCCATTTCGTTCAGCTGTCGGGTTCAGCTTTTCTCAGATATCGAGAAGAATAGATGTGTTCCTATTAGGCTTCACACCTTTGTTCGACAGGTGAATACAAGTCCTTATATGATGATGCCGAAATTCAAGGTGTACTCTACAGCTATGCTCTCATGGTCAATTGTCGACATCCTTGTGGTAACATTTTATCTTCCTGCCGATAGTACATCTTGAAATTTCAGCCCAGAAGGAAATATTTTGTTATGAGACATCTTCAGATTCGAAGGATGTTAAATTTATACAAGGACTAGTCAATTTCCATCTCTATATCCGTCTCTCGTGCGAAGCAACGTATTGACCCAACCTAGATGCTTCTTATTCGCATATTGCCTCTGATATTCGGATGAGCTCCGTAGGCCCACTATATACAGACACAAAGCCATGCCAAAAGTCGCTCCACCTCCTGAGGTCCAGCCATGGGCCTTTTGCATACACTCACATGCAGCTATTACTCGATCACTGTGTAACTCAATGCGATAGTTGTACAATAGTGGAGATGACCGAAGGCGAGACAACTCCGATAGAGAGACTATCAGGGCTGTGTTATACAATGCAATAACCCGCAATATGCACACATCCGCCGTAGGCAGCTTTCTTCTAGGGTAACCAGACGAAGATGGAAAGGGTTGCTTGTCGTTGTTATCAAGGTCTTGTGGAAAGAGCATGTTCTGAAGCCACCAATCTTCCAATTTCGAGATGTAACTCTCTATTTTTCTGCAAATATCGTCTGGCCTGGCTCCTGCCAACCTAGATTCGGTTGATGCCAATTGATTATTAAGATCAATTCCTGTTGGAAAACAGAGTAGTAAATCGACGAAATAGTCAAGCGGAGTTTTTTGAACATCTTGAAAAGGAATTGACAGGTATTCATGTAAAGTAAAAGATGACTGATTATAGTTTGGCTCAATTAGTCGCATAACTGCCTATATAGTCGTAGTCAGCGCTTCCATCTTCTATTTCCAGATATGAAATTCTCACCGTGTATAGTCTCAAAGTCAGAAACAAAAGGCGGCTTAAGCCCTTCCGACAGTTTTCCAAGCCTTGCATCCGAAGGATGGAGTTCGCAGCAGTCAGGTGTAGCATCCAAGTATGGAGTGGGGAGCCAATCATTACTTGGAAGCGGAACAACAAAATTGGTGCACAAACCAGACTATCAGTCGATAGAGGATTGGACTGACTGTTGCTCATTGTTCCCTTCTGCACGATTCTCCTCAGGCTCCTTAACGCTGTTCCATACCACCGATGGGCTTCCATTTGAAGCGCAATGTTACCTGTTAGATTGCCGTAAAACAATAGTGCCACCGCGCGGATGCAATGGACAGTCGGCATCGTGGTCGAGGAAGACACCAACTGTGGAAGTTCTGACAGCCAGAATGGAGGATTTTTGTCTTGTCCAGGTCCACAGGAGTGCATATAACATGACACGAAGAACTGCTCAAAAGTGGACATTGATAATAGGTGATTTGTAGAAACCAGCCCGGAAGCATGAGCTGGACCTTGTAGGTCATGAGTTTGGTCGTGCACGGCAATTGAATGGATAAAGTAAGCGTCTGTTCTAGGACCTGGACAAGGTCGTTGCGAATGACGACATTGTGAACATGCGGGAAGTTCAAGATCACACTATAGTCAATTTCCGTGTTAGAATCACTTAATTATAACCATATCTTGAACTGATTAGAACACTTACTTTTATCTTCCGCTGCTGACATGTCATGCAGGATCTGCTTCTTCCACCAACACGAGGCATATACTATTGCGGTAATAATCTTAACGGGAAGGGAAATATCCCGGTGAGTATAGGGTTGATAAATAACTATTCGGAGACTGGAATTGATCCAGCTAGGACGTGTCAGGAATCGGGTCTAGAGTACAGTAATCTAAGAGAAAATATCAGTTGCGGAAAAGTCAACAAATATTAGAAGTTGTGTTGGATTTGGGGTAAAACACACCTGTACGGTGGCTTACTAGGAGTTCTGCTGAAGGCAAAATTGTTAATGAATTTATGAATGTTTGAGTAATTTGTTGAGACTTTTTAAACGCCACTGTACATCAGGGGCACAATCTAGACTGACGTAAATGGGGCCACTAACTAATCCCCAAAAGGATAGATGTTTCAACATGTTATGTGTATTACGAAACCATGAAGCTAGCATAAAGAACCCTTGGAAGTTGATAGGGTGCAGTGGGGGAATTGTGGTTCTTCTTGGAACCCCGAAAACTGTAAAGACAATAATGTGGAGAACACTCCAATACTGCCAAGAGTCTAATTACTATGACCGTCAGAAAATTCCCATAAAAGGGTCTATTTTTAGCACTAATTTCTTAGCCATTATACTCTGTAGCGTCTTTCCAATTCTTTTGATGCCACCTTTGTTTGTACTTATTGAAGGGGGAAACGCCGTCTGGCACACGGTGAACAACCACGTAAGCGAAATAAGCAAGAAAAACCCACCCAACGCGTCAGCGCATCATCTACTGCGTGATGGCATCAACAGAAGTAAAATAGGAGAGATGTGTGTTATTTTTTTACTATCTCTAGATTTGATGTAGACTTTGCCTTTGAAAAATAAATACTAGAGGAAGAGTCCGCCCTAACGCGCCTGTATACTTAATTACAATTACTTACTGACGATTTCCAGGTTATAAAAGTGATCTCTGACTATAGTATTCTGCTCTTATAATAACTTTTATAATTGCAATTAAGCTATTACAAATCCAGTCTTATCAAAGTTATAGATATCATCCGGATCGATACTATTTTCAAAGATTATTTTTAAACAAGATTGAACCACTCTTCAATAGTCTTTGGGTTTTTGTATTTCGCATTTTCATAATTATAGCGTTATAAAAAGTGAGTAGAGAGTTCAGGGTGTCTTTTCACAAACTTATACACCCAATTTTTGCTAACTGTTTGGACTAGGGTCAATCTACGCGCTGCGAGTAATAGATCTGCCATTTCGCGGGCCATAGAAGGCCTAGGGGGTGATCTATGTGTATCTATAGAGAGAGTCCAATTCTTAAGCGATTCTTCTTCAATTTGTGTTAATTTATATGAATTAGCACGGATTTCAACACGATTTTGGATGCCACGGAGACGCGTGGCAAGGGTGGACTTCGGTACGTTAAAATAACGTGCTGCTTCACGAATAGAGCCGATTTCATACTTTTGAATAGCTTGGGCAGCTAATAGGATCCTACCCCCCTGCTCTGTAGAATCTTGGGTGGATTGGGTGCGAATTGGTGGCATAGTGGGTGGTTGAAGAGAGAAGGTCATTAATTGACGCGCTTCTAGTGGGGTATCCAGCCCGGTGGTGTGTCGAGCTCAGTGGTTAATTACGTTAAAAGGAGATTATGATAATATAGGATAAACTCTCTAAAAGTCATTAGCCAATTACAGTCCCTCTCTTTTCTCTCTCTTTCCTTTATCTGTCTTCTTAGCTCTACTTCCTTTAAAAAAAAGCGTCTTATAGTCTAAGGACCTTATTATTAATATAAGAGACAGGATAAGTGACTCTTTATTAGTATTATTAGGTATATTATCCTCTCTAGGCGGTATAACGATATAATAGCAGAATTTTTATTCTTAAATAGTCCTATAAAGGACTTATATTAATCCTCAAAAGTAGAATAGGGGTATTTTAAGATAGAAATATAATTAGCACTTCGAAGGACAGAAAAAAATTAATAATAATTTAGAATAAACTATTCTTATCAGTTCCTAACAAGTAAGATGCTAATAATATCCCAGGAAAAGACATAGGTAAGCCTAGACTAAAGCATCGTGACCGCAATAACACACCTATAAGGAGAAATCAGTATAGGGAGGGGAAGGGCCACGTTAGCGGTTCAGGCACGTGCAGGATGTTCAGGTGTAAAATAGTGGGCTTCAGGACATTCAGGTGAAGGGGGCTAAACAGGCTAGAGATTAGGGCGGCAAGAGAAGATTTCCGAACGAATCAAAAAAAACTGGGTGAACAAAAACATACAACAGTCAGGATTCGCATGTGGTCACCCACCATACTACTAACTGACCGGCGTGTGGCTTAAGTACGGCTGAGCGGACGGGAAGCCCTGTTCTCCACACCCTGTGGTCGTATGTACTGTAGTCATACAATTGAGAGGCTATATGCGATTGAATTTATAGACATACCCTATTTGAATAGTTTGTTGCAACTCCTATTAAGATATATTGGTGTTTTGGTAGGGACGATCATTGGATAGTATTTTTAAATCCACTGCAGATTGAGCCTTGTCATCTGCGCTTCGCCACTTTGATTGTTGCCGTCTGCTTCGAGGATGGACCGGGATGCAATATCGAATTGATGAAACAGGGATAATCTGGGATAATACTAATAAGCATCCAGTGGGATTGATGAGTAGGCTGTTACAAGCGGACTTTCTGCCAGAATTTATCAAGATGCGATATATACGCCGTCGACGGCTTGATCTCATAATCTAAGTTACCCTATTGAACTCATCGATGACACTCCTAGGCTTTTGATACGGCCCAATACTCTTCCACTCCATATCCAGTCCAAATCCTTCTGGACCACCAACTCGTAATCCCCGTTCATCTCCCGTCCACAGTGGATGGGCAGCCATGCCTATAACATGCACACGGAGGCCATAACGAAGATCCTGAGATCCTATCGCCTCCCCATCTTGTCCAAGAATAGAAATGAGATCCGGAACAGTGCAGATTATCTCCTGACGAGAGGAGTCGTCAGGGTTAGCAATATCCGCATAAGCAGCATAGAGGAACTCGTTCTGGAATGGAACTATCAAGCAGAGGTTCTCATCCATGGCGTCGTTAGAGTCGCCGTTGGCTGAGTTCTTGAGATCTTGTTCTTCGCTGCTGAGCGGTATAATAGTGCATTGACCCGTTGTGTAACCATCGCTGATATCTCTCTTAACATCGAAAATTTTGCCGCTGTATAAGAGATGACCGGGGGTAGTTTCGAACTGGGAATCAAATTAAAAAATGGTTACATAGAGGAAGGGCGGTTTGACTCACAATTGCGTCGACGAGGTTAGATTTGGATTTCCTCGCTCTGTGAATGGCACGTCCAATGTACCATGCTTGTGATACTGTGTTCGGGATGGCATACTTCTTGATTGCCTTCCCAGTTAAGGGGGTGGAAGCAACGGCGATGCTGAGCCCTAGATCCACACACTGAGATCGCAGCATGGTCTCGACCCGTCGGTTTGACTCAGCTTTCTGTACGACTTTAATAGATGTTTTTTTTTGCAAAGTATGATATGAAGTGGTATTTACCAAAAGCACAGATGCGTTTCCTTTGCCATCAGCCACGGCACAAGGAGTAATGGACTCGCCATAGACATATGGAGTACCTAGAGAAAGCGTCATTAGATGATTTTGTATTAATGAAGAGTGAAAGGATACTCACAATGTTCCATGGTTGGGAATGCGCGTCCCATCAAATCACCATCCACCACGGGAATATCGTAATAGACGCTTGTGGGAAAAGTGGAAAGCCCATTTCCCCCACCGATTTCATCCGCCACTACCGCCTCAAAATGAGTATGGCCACCCATCTTCACAGAATAATCGATTGCGTCTGTAATCTCTGTTCCTGCAGGCAATCGCTCATTCCCCACGCTGGGCGCACCATACCATGATCCGAATACACAGATGTCTGAATCTTTGAGGTAGCTTGCTGATACAACTCGCATTTTCTGGTCAGAGTTTCGAAGATTTTGCAGGCAGTTTAGGTATTCGAGGTACGAGGATCCACCCCCGCCAGTGCCGAGAACGCCAGTTCCGGTTGCCATGAATTCTAGGTCGAGGGGAGAGATGTACCAGACACCGTTGCGTACATCAGGTCGATAGGTCTCAATATCCATGAAAGGAGAGAACTTCACGGAAGGTTGGAGCGGGTCGGAAGCCTTGCTCTTCGTGAACTGTTTTTCCGCTTCAGGCTCAATCTCGTCGATGTGGACGAAGGGTTCTCCGTTGTCGCCATTGGTAGACGGAGAATACCTGTCAGATAAGGCCAACCTGCCAACTGCCTTGACAACAAACCGTGTGGCCTTATTGGTGACGTATTGAAGAGGAAGTTTGTCCACAGAGACGATGTTTGTGTCAGCTCTATCTGCACCACGAGCAACGGCAGCCTCGATAGCTTGCTGCTTCGCGTCTTCTAGCACAACCTTTTCGTCCCTATCTGCCAGGACCTCAATGATGTCGACTTCTCCGGCAACCATGGCAATGGCAGCGCCAACGGCATTTGCAGAGTCGTGATGTGGAGGAATTACACATTCCGCAACCCCTTCCAGATCATCCATGTGAATTATTGAGCCGCCCCCAACCAGGAGAACGGTTACCGGTAAATCGGACACTTTCATGTCTTCCACCGCTCGCTCCAGAATCCTTTTGATCTGTACCCGTGCTTTGGTGACAATATCAGGAGAGATGGCCCTTGCTCTCTTCACGTCTCCAAAGGATGTTTTGCCCGAGGCCACCACGATATCACTGGTAGTCATCACATCGCCGCCAAAGACCAAAGCTTGGGAAGTCAGATAATGACCGACAGATTCAGGTCCGACTTCAACACGGTCCGAATCTTGATCGTAGACAACACGACTTCCTCCGCCTAGGCCAACGCATAGTACCTCTGGCATCGAAAAGGCAGTGCGCACGCCACCAACTTCAACGAAGTTCGGTGCCTGCCGAGGAAAGCCGGATGGGAGTAAGGCACACACATCACTGGTTGTGCCCCCAACATCGATCACGAGAACTTGAGTCTCAGATCGAATCTTGCTTTCACCACGGTCCAATGAAGCCAGGTACGCTGCGCCGATCATACTATTCGTTGGACCAGATGCGAAGGTCTTGATAGGCAGCTCTGCAGCGGTAGCGGCATCTGTTAATGTACCATCATTCTGAGTGAGGAACAGTGGACAGTCCAATGAGAGTCTTTTCATCGCCTCGCAGAAGGCACGAACTGTACGTCTAGCGAGGTTCAAGATCGAGGCATTCAGTATAGTTGCATTCTCGCGCTCCAAGAGTCCCACTCCGCCAATCGTATGAGAGCATACTACTGACAAGGACGGCTCTTCCTCTAGCATCAGTCGCTTGCAGGTCTCTTCATGAAGGCCTTCAGCATCAAGGGGGGAGAAGACGCCCACCAAAGCCACCTTGTCAATTCCAGCGGCTTTGATAGACCGAACTGTCTCTTTGAGCTGGACGTGATTGAGTGGTGCAATCTCACGGCCGTCAATTTCAAGTCCTATCTGTGTCAGGGTACCCTTGTCTAGCCACGTGGGACCCAGCCACGTGGAGTTGATTATTTAACATACCTCCATCTAGATAAAAGACCGGTCCGGTCATTATATCTTTAAGCACTGGCGGAAAGTCGGAAAATGGAGGATACTTCGATCATGATTAGTCTGTATTTTCTATATGTCATGTCTTGGAATATGCGAATATTTACCATTTTTGTAAAAGGGCCACAGAGACGAACGATCGCTACCTTACTTAACAGCCGTGCATCTGCTTCCACGACCGCATTCACAAAATGGGTTGTGCCGATAGCCACACTGAGAATATCACAGCGCGCGACAGATGTCATTTCCAAGACATTTTCAATGGCTGTATAAATCCCCGAGGTGACATCGACTGTTGTAGGCGTTTTACTTGAAGCGCGTACGCCTCTAGATTCCGTCTCCGATGCCGAGATGTCGATGATGGCGGCGTCTGTGTTGGTTCCACCTACATCAACACCAATCCGGTATGGGCCAGTTCCACTAGTCATGATGAATGATTTAGGGATAGATCTATCGTCTGAAGTAAAAGAGGGGGTGAAAAAGGGGGAGTGAGCGTTACAAAAGAAAAGCCATGACCTCCGAATGGCGAACGCAGATCTAAGTCGTTTGACTCGATATTTACGTATTCAAAATGATTAGAAGAGATAGACCGGGCCGGTAGAAACGCACTTCACCTTTAGAGGCAAGACAAGACGCCATCCGCCTCCCGATTAATTTATTCCTTTGTTATCGCAAGCGAAGGAAGCGAAGGAAGCGGGCGAAGGAGAATGTTTGTTTGGTGCACGCCAACTGATAGGCGGGGTTTGCTTATCGTGCCAATCGCGGCCTGTTATTGGTCAGCCGCGTACCGGTTCCAACTCAATACGTTCCAATTACCAGTAATTTACTGTCCGCCACCCAGAAAACACGCAAAACCCGGGGTTGCTCTGTCATACTAATACCGGCAGCGAAGTGCGGAGTAGATCACACTGTAGTAGTTTAGATAGCAGGCACACCATTATTTAGTTGCTTGTGTGCTTTTTTGTGTTCCTTTCTTCGCCAGTTTTTCTTTCACTCATTATGTCGGTCACGGCATTCCTAAAGAGACTCGAGATCAGTCCGGAGGGTGGAGTTATTCCTGACCGATGGATCAACAATGATATTAAGCCTATTGAGGCTGGGCGACGCACTTGGGGTCACTGGACGTTCCATAATTTTTGTATGGTCGGTTCCACTGTTGAATGAATCAATCGGCTAATATACTCTCAGGGGTAATTGTCAACTCTAATATCTCAACTTATATGACCGGCAGCTCCCTGATCGCACTTGGGTTGACCTGGTGGCAAGCGATAATCGCTATTGTTGTTGGCCAGCTCTTGGCGACGGCCTTTGTCATCCTGAACTCTATACCGGGTGCCTTTTACTGTTGTATGTGACCCACTACCAGCAAAACTTAACATCTATTAACCTCCACAGTGGGGTTTCCCGTGGTAAACCGATATGTCTGGGGCATGTATGGAAGCTCGTTTGTGATCTGGAATCGCATTCTCCTTTCTATTGGTCAGTTCAAATTTTGACACCCCCAGTCTCAACCTTATCTCAACTTTATTTTGCTGACTTTATTTTTCATAGTATGGTGTACGCATCTCCCCATCCTACCTATTGCCCATCCTACCCATCGTGTAGACCTAACCCTTGAATCCCAGACGGCTTTCAAGCATGGATCGGAGGCGAATGTGTGTACGTGTGCATGCAAGCAATATGGCCAAATATCGAGTCCCGCATCCCCAATAGCCTCTCCGCCTCAACTGGAACCACAACAGCAACCTTCGTCGCCTACATAATCTTCATGGTCATCTCATTACCATTCATCTGGATCCACCCCTATAAACTCAATAAATTCTTCTACGCCTCCGCGGCCACCATCCTCATTTTTGAAATCGTGCTTCTCATCTGGTCCCTCGCAACCATGGGCGACAGTGGCTTTGGCTCAACACTCGCCAGCGGCAGTACAAGTACCAACGGATGGAATATCGCTTTCGGGATCATCAGCACGATTGGAAGTATTGCTGCTGGTATTCTGAATCAGAATGATTATGCGCGTTTTGCTCGGAAACCTTCCGATGCGATCTGGGGCCAAGCGGTCAGTTTCCCGTTCTATGGGATTACATGCTCGATTATTGGCATTCTGGTTACTGCTGCCACACAGGATCGGTATGATGGGGCGAAGTGGAATTTGCCTACACTCCTTAGTGCTGTTATTGAGCATGGGAGTTCCCGGTCGAGGGCTGCGGCTTTCTTTGCTGGCGCTGCGCTGGCTCTCTCGCAGATTGGAGTGAATGTGCCAGGAAACTCATTGGCGGGTGGTATGTATATCTTGCGTGCCCTGGATATTTATTTCTTACTGATGATACCTATAGGATTTGACTTGGCTGCGACCTTCCCTAAGTATATCAATATCCGTCGGGGTGCATATCTCACTGCTGTGATTTCCATCGCCTGTAACCCCTGGAAGCTGGTTAACACCGCCACAACATTCCTGACGGTGCTGAGCAGCTACTCCGTTTTTCTGGGTCCGATGACTGGCCTGATGATCTCGTCCTACTTCTTTGTCAATAAGGGCAAGATCAAGGTTGAGGATCTATTCATCGGGGACAGTTCAAGTATATATTGGTACACATGGGGCGTGGATTGGCGAGCTGTCGTCGGAGTAAGTGTTCCACTCTTTTTACTTCCTATTCTACATGGCTCGATACAAAGGCAGAAGGGATTTTGGGAATCAAAACTAACATTGAATGTTAAAACAGTGGGTTTGTGGAACCGCACCTTCATTACCGGGCTTCATCGCATACGTGAATCCAAACATTGCTGTCCCGGTAGGCTTGACACGCGTATACTATATTTGTTTCCTCTCGGGCTTCGCGATTAGTGGTGCAGTATATTGCGTACTTCACTTCTTGTTTCCCGTGGCTGCTGTGGTGGACTTTGTTGCAAGGGCACCTGCTGCTTGTGTGTTGATGGACGAATACCGGGAGCAGTGGGACCGTGAAGATGAACTTGGGACTGTGCTCACCCCGCCGAAACTAGTCCTGGATTGATGTCGAGCTCTCCTCTGTTGAGATTAGCTCTTGATACACATATATGTTTCAAGGAGCTTCATTCATGGGACACAAACATCATGGTTATCTTTTTTGTAGCCAGCGCTTGAACTATATTAGACAATCGCGTTAACCCCAAATGTACACTGTTTTTATATGGTAACCCAATGTTTCGATTTCTTAAAAATTCCTATAGTCTGGGATATAGTCTAGGAAATGGTCTAGGATATGGTCTACCGCGCGGATAAGGCTGCATTGAAAATATCGAGAGAGCTGTAGAGGTCTGCGTTGTTTTCAAAGCTCAGGTCTGAGCGCAATGAACATTCTCTTAGGCAGATGAAGACCTCACCCTCAAATTATAGGGTTATAGCATGGCCTTGGCTATATTTTCTTCATTTCGAGGCCGGCTTTCCAATAAAATAATCATCTTCATTGAAGGGGAATAACATAAAGAATTAAAGAAGCAGGTGAAGAAAAAGGATGACCCGGAGGAACTGTTTTATGGTAAGATGGAAGTGGGGAGTGAGGGATACGTGGAAGACACAAACGGGCAGTTGTGCAGGGTTTGATTACCCTCAAGTGCCCCGAATCGGGCAGAGCTATCCCTTTCATTCAGGGGCAGGTCATAACATATGCCTGGCGAGAAAGCCCTGGATATCTTCTTTGTTTCGAGTGGATATAGGTAGACGGAAAGTATACGATATATTTTCCAGTGGACCTAAGTTCCTAAACGAATGACCTGCTGTGCCTCTAGAAGCTGAAGATAAACACCCGCCACACCCCACCGCATATTGATCGCCACAAAGCCCTCACGCAGACTCTTCACCACTTCGGCCTCTTGTTGTGATTTTCTGCCTGACCGCATATGCGCTCCACATACCTGGTAGCCAAAGTACATACCCCAAGGGGATATGTCCTCCGGGTCTCGCCCTAAGAAGCATTGACGCTCGATGAGGTTCGCGTTGATCTGGTTCGTTATCTGTTGCAGGACGACTCTTCCTCGCCGGGAGTAGTCGCTTTCGACTTCCTCGGCCGCATTTGAGGATAGCCAGGGGGTATATAGAGCAACGAGGGCGCTAGGTCGTTAGATCAGGTAGAAAAATGGGTCTGAAAACCGGTGTACTAACCTATAGATAAACGTGATTTGATCATAGTCCGGGCAGTCAATGTTTAACGCAACAGTGAGCATCGAAGTTAGAGTACGATCGAGTTGCATCCAGCTATCATCCCGGCTGGTATAATGATTGGAAAGGTAGTTGAGAACTTCACCTAATAGTCGGGCAGCCTGACACACTAGGGCAAATTTACTCATATGTCCGGTCATCGGAGACGACAGGGTGGAGAAGCTATCGGGCCTGACGATCTTATTTGGACTTTAGCATTTGTATAACGATAAACCTGTAAAGCAATTGGAACAAAGAATTAAAATACGTACCCCCCTGTCCCATGCGGCATCATCAGCCGGTAGCAGATCATCGAGTTTCGGATCAGGGGTAGCAAACGGCCGTCCTGGACAGCCAATGCTCACGAAACTTTTCCATTATTAGCATCCGAAATTAATCCAGGAAGGCAGGTGGCAAACCGATCCAAAACAACGAGAGCCCACCAGACTCTCCGCCGTTCCTCGACTTCCACCAGAGTGATCACTCTTTTAGTGGAAACTCTCGGGCTGACATTGATACCTAGAGCATATGCATATCTCGCACAGGATCCGATTGTCAGAAATGCAGCTGGATAAATTCCATGTCCTAGCTCATACAAGGCGACCAAGAGCCCTGCTTGCAGAGCTAAGATGGAGAGCGAGTCTTCAACCACCACATAGAAATGCTTAGTTGCATGATACAGAGCAGTGCGAGGACTACGCGGGCCAACAGGTGGGAAAGCCATGATAAGCTTCATCGCCAGTAAAAGCAGGACTACATCGGATCGGGTGTGAAATGAGGGCTGCAGGTACAGATCGTAGAACCGTTTCTTCGAGATAAAGGGCATCCACTGGTGAATATGGCCGAAGAACTTCTCCGCGGTGATACGGATCTCATCTAAATTTCCTAGGAGATGTAGAATGTGTGGCGTGGCGGGTGCTACTGCATGAAGCGTCTCCACTTGGCCATACCGCAGTAGGTCTGGGTCTAGGAACAAGATGGTGGGAAAACTAATCGTCTGGAAATCCGAATGCTTGTCCTTCGGAGGAGATGGAAACCATTCTCGCTCTGGGGTGGATGTTGTCGCCGAGCGACTAGTTGCCGGTGGCTTCCAATATTCGCAAGGCTGGTCTCGTCTGCATTGTCCTCGAGAGTCAGCTCTACTGCGCATGAGACTACAGCGGGTCGCGCGGCTGTACTTACTTGGTGCAGTAGGCACACCGGGGAAGTGCCTTGTCACATTTCCTCTTGCGTGACCTGCAGGATTGACAAGCCTGCGGGGCCGATTCCAGGCTGGAATTAGCACTCGGTGTTTGCATGGTGAAGGCCACGATGTCACGGTGTTTGGGATTTGGGAGATAAAAGGAGTTCGCTACACCAGTCAGACCGATGCGACCGCAGATTTACAGGGTATGAAATGATTACCTGGGTTGGGATGGCAGGAGGGTCACGGCGGAAACAAGGCGGCCGCCCCATCGGCCGCCAACAGATGGAGCGTCGGAGGCGGACTTAAAATATGTCGGCCGCAAGCCGGGGGAACGGACGGAGATGACAATTACAAATCGACGTGATATCTTAGTAACTAAAATTTGCCTGAGGGATTGCAGATTTGGTAAGGTAACATAACCAAGGATATAAGACATAAGTAGCTGGCACGACTCGCTATGAAGCTTGCCGTCACATAATCCATTTCAAGACTCTACCGAAGCCACTGTCTTCGATTCAGTCGACCTATATCCATCTATATTCATCTATATTCATCGCATATAAATAATCTTTCATTATGGGTTCGCCAAGTCCCTACGCCGATGCGCATCAAGACCCCCAGGGAGCCGGAGACGCCCGACCAACCGCCCTCCAAATCATCAAGGACGAGGGTGTCGAAGACAAGCTGGCCGGCAAGGTTATAGTGATTGTGGGCGGTACCTCAGGCATCGGCGTCGAGACGGCTCGCGCATTGTCAGCTACCGGAGCGACTCTATTCCTCACGGCTCGTAACCTGGAAAAGGCTAAAAAGAACCTCGCCGGAATTCTAGAGCCGGGAAGGATCTTTTTAGTCCCTATGAACCTCGATTCATTCAAAACTATCCGGGCCGGGGCGGGGCAGATTCTCTCTGCCTCGAAAAAAGGTCAAATAAACATCCTGATCAACAGTGCTGGGGTTATGGGAGTCCCAGAGCGCAGGCTCACCGAGGATGGGTTCGAGTCCCAATTCTCAGGCAATTATTTGGGTTTCTTCCTTCTCTTCCAGCTGCTGAAAGACGCTTTGCTGGCTAGTGTAACCCCCAAATTTAGTTCGCGGGTGGTCATTGTCGCTTCATCAGCCCACCGAGCTGGTGCCCTCCCGGCAAGTGACAACTACAGTTTTGAAAAGACTGAATATGACCATGAGGCTGCTTACAATAACTCTAAGCTGGCGACTGTGTATCAGGCCAACATGATCGAGCGTCTCTATGGCAGCCAGGGACTACATGGAACCAGTCTCCACCCCGGTGCCATCAATACTGACATTTCCCGCAATTTGCGCAGGGAGGTCCTGGATTCGATCATGACCAATCCCTATGTCCTCAAGATCCTCAAGTCTTCAGAGCAGGGTGCGGCTACGACTGTCTGGGCAGCAGTTGGCAAGGAGTGGGACAAGAAAGGTGGCAGGTATCTCGAGGATTGTCAAGAGGCGGAGCGTGGAGAGGACGATGGTCAGACCTTTGGAGTCGGATGGGTTAAGCAAACTTACAGTCCCGAGGATGAGAGTCGTCTCTGGAAAGACTCGCTCAGACTAGTTGGCTTGGAGGGCCAGTAAGACTTAAAAGCTCTGATGACAAGAATGGTGGAGCTTCTATCCAATGGGTGTCGGTCCAATGCACTCACTGCATTGGGATTTACTTAGCATTCTTAAGTAAAGGAAACAAAAAGTGGGGACCCTACATTGGGGTGTGTCTTGCAAGTACACTAGAAGCACCTTTACTCGTACAAGGACACTCAAAACGTGATAAGTTCTAAGTTAACCATTTATCTAATCCTAGTTCAAATTTCAGCATCCACAGTCTACTCAATAGTTTGTACTAGAAATGTGTCAGCCGATTTCTAAAAAACAATAGTTACGAAACCTCAAATATAGCTCCTATTCACCCTTAAATCCGTCAGAAAACAACAAAAGAACATATAACAGTCAGGATTTGTATATGACCACTCAGTACACTACTAACTCACCGGCGTGTGGCGTAAGTACAGTATCAGCTTCGGGTACAATATCAGCTTCAGCTTCAGATACAGCTTCAACTTCATGTACGGCAGATATAGCATCAGTTTCAAGACGAGAAAAAAAAAAAAAAAAGAAACATACAACAGTCAGGATTCGCATGTGGTCACCCACCATACTACTAACTGACCGGCGTGTGGCTTAAGTACGGCTGAGCGGACGGGAAGCCCTGTTCTCCACACCCTGTGGTCGTATGTGATGTGTTAAGCTTTGAGGCAAACTATATAGGCGAGCAAACAGCTTGTTAAACGAAACCAAAGTATTCTCGTTGTTCTTGTTTTCTTTTGGCATACTCTCAATCGAAAAGAATACCAATGGAAAATGAAGGTCTCTTCAAAGATTCCAAGGTCATGTGTACCGTGACGTATCTGAAGTACTGATGGATGCCTACGCGCATGCAACGCATTTCTCATTCACCAACAGCCCTTGCTCACTTCCTCTGCTCTCACTTCTATACTCTCACTCCCCCATGCAATCGCCACCACCTTCCACCACTTTCATCTCCTAAATTACCCTCTTCGGACAACTTCACTAATTTTCTTCCTCTTAATCTCTCATTGCCAGGTTTACTGGCTATTACCCATTTCCAACTTGCAGCCATCACTGCGATGAAATGATTCGTTCCAGACACTCACAAGACTTCTGGTTTACGACGAAGAACACCGAAGATGGGTTTGCTGAAATTCACCCAGTAGATGACCCCAGATATCGACCTTCTAGGGGGAGAGATCTGGCGGTTGTCATCCCCTCAGCTACGCCCTCTCCTCTATCTGAAGTCAATGAAGAGCTTCTGGAGAACTACGAACCAAGGCCCAATTCCCAACCGCCCAGTGAGACTGCTGGCCTCAACGATGTGACGATGACAGATTTTCCCGATAACTCGTCACTCAAAGCCCCAACACTAGGCTTTGGTCGCCCTAGGCCCTTTTTGGGATCCTTCTCGTCAAACGTATTGACTGGAAAGTTCGAGGCTGACGATCCTCCGAGAAATAATGAGACTCGACCATCTGTTGGGAACCCAAATATTCAAGGCATGCTCAACTATTTTCGCATGACTTCTTGTACCAAAACGTCCAACCCCACGGTTGAGATCGAAGACATTATGGAAGAAGAGACTCGGTCATCTGATAGCCCGAAAACCGCCAAAGATCTGCTAGCTGCTTTTCAAGCAAAGCCATCTGTTAATAAGTTCAAGCCCGCGACTGAAATCGACGACGACATGAAAGACCCTGATACATCTGTTTCCCAGTCAGCGAGCACTCAAGAGAAGGATTACAGCCCGGGCGCCTCGCGTGTCAGCTATGTTATGTCGGAGGAAACTGGGCTCTTTGAGATTCAAGAAACACAAGGTGAACCTCTGTCACCATCAGATTTGAATCATTCATCGCGGGAGATAACAAAAAGCAACCTTGTTACGAAACAACTTCGAGGCCCTAAATGCAAACTCGGAGATGAACTTCAAGACATTTTGTTGGAGTGGCACCAACAGAATCCATCTGACCCTCCTCCCTGTCAATGGAAGGGTCGATGGGACGGGACAAAGAAATGGGACAATTTTCGAGTCTTTAATCGAGATAAAGAGGAATATGAAGTGTCCATTTACAAGATAAGACTAAAGCATGCGAAATCCGGCACCTATCTTGTGAGCGTCTTGCAATCGGAGTACGGACCGGACGTGCTTTCCGGAATATCAACTGAACATCGCCCCAATTTAAAGTCTACCGGCTATCAAGGCGACTTTATTACTGCTTGGCTTGGTCCGAAAGACGGCTGGGAAAAAGAACCTTCCGCCATACATGTTTGGGCACCCGAGAAAACCAAGGTTGAGTATCAAGCCAAATGGTTTGATCTAGAACAGGGTAGCAAGGTAGCCTTGTACAAAGCTCAGAAGTATGCGACTAAATCTCCGAAATCTCCGGTCACCCCGAAGACACCTTCCCCAGCCATGGTGAAATCGATTAGCTCGGAATCTGACGAACTGTCTACGCCCTGTAAGAAGAAGGTCAAGCGCAGAATTGATTCTGATTCTGATTCCGAAGATGTGGTTGGACCTACTACCAGAGTTTGTCGACGTTTATTCTCACCCTCGTCGATTCGATTCAAACTAACTTCCAGCAACTCACTCACTGTACGTATGTTTCCGTTTGATGAAAAAACCGACGTTGGTGCGCTTTTCAACAAAACTTGTCAATTCTACCGAGATGTATGTTGGACAAGCGAAAGGGCACTTTTGTGCCAAGTCCCAGGCGAGGAGGAGCTGCGTTACGTTGGGTTAGAGGACGAGGACGAGTTCGCTCTACTATGTGATGATATCAAGAGACTTTCGATTCGTGCAGAATCTCCGCAGGTAATTGAAGTGAAGCCTGCTTTTCCGGTAGGTAGTCGGAGCTGTTCTCTGTCAGGTTGCCCGCAAGGAGGGCACACGTTGATAGATTGTTGAGAATATCTGTGCAACCGTATCTCTTATCAAACTTACTGACTAAACCAATGTTCAATGAAAACTCTCCCAATTTACTTCCTTTTTCATACAATAAATAGAAAATACACTCTGCGTACTTCGTACAGAACTAAAATTACCCGATCCGGAAAGAAAGACTGTCATATCACACGTGACTTCGCATCGACCCAACACGTGGGATTGCGTGTACAGCAGCTCAATGCCAGCTCACCATCAAGGATTAAAGCTAAAGTCGGCCATTCAGAATAAGCATCATAATCACCATGACCAAATTCTAACCCAGCTACCTCGATGACTTCACCACCCTCATCGCACTCTTCAATCCCTCCGCCCATCCCCGTGGACACGCATCCCAACCGCGCCCAGCCTCCTGAGCTAGATCGAATCCCCGATCCCAATCGCCTAGCACCAGAAGATGCCTACTTCGCGCCATCGCTAGCAAGAGCCCGCTCTGCGCCATTAAATTACGACGACAGTCTTCGCTCGCTGAGTAGTGATGGCACTTTGCGACCTCCGCATGGGGTGCTGGATTCCGGCCGAAAGGAACCGCGGAAATTGGGAAGTACGGGTGGACGGCGGAGGAGGAAGGGAGCTTGGAAGAAATTGCTCTGGGTGAAACAATCTTGTATGATTGATTCCTGGATTTTTTGGCTTGGTCCTCGGCATTATGCGCTTTGTACTGACTGACTGATGATTTCTAGACCCGGACAACTACACCGATACCGAGACATTTTTGGATCATCTCCAGCGAAACCCGCGCGTGCGGCCGTATGATTTCTGGCCTTTAGTATCTGATTCGACGGTCATTGTGCAACATGTTTGTTCGGTTGTTATCTTTGTGTGCTGCTTTGTTGGAAATGTCCAGGACCGAGTGAGCCCTGTTTCGATTGTTTGCTGGGGAAGTGTTGGCACAGCTATGGGGTGGATTCTCTGGGACAATTGGATCTGGATAGAACAGACAGAGTTGTCTCAGGCGGCCAATGGTGTGCTTGGTGACGATGGCTCTAGCTCAAGTTCCGTTGCGAGTGCTCTTAATCCAGCTGGCAATGATGTCCAATCCAATGGCTTGAAGGGCAGCCCGATTCATGGACTCGGACTGACAATGGCTGGAAGTGAGTCTAAAGAACTTTCGCCACATCGACCGAACAAAAACAATGGGTCCCTCGGTGCCTCAGAGGCAACATCTGGATTCGGGGAGTTCACTTCCACTACTGGTCGCGACATGGACGAGCAAGACATAGACCGATCTTCACTTTTCTCTTCGCGCAATCGACAGCGCCTCTCGACCGTCAAATCTGCGTTTCTAATTTACTTTGCGCTACTGGGATTGAGTCCCATTTTGAAGTCACTCACCAAATCTACCGCCAGTGATTCTATCTGGGCGATGAGTTGCTGGCTTTTATTCATGAATATATTCTCCTTCGATTATGGGAGCGGCGAGGGCGCCGGAGCCACTACAAAGTTCCCAGCTTCTTTGTCTACGAACGCAGCTGTCATGGCCTCAACTGTGCTTGCGTCTCGCCTGCCAACAACCACTCACGTGTTCAGTCTAATGCTTTTTGCCATGGAAGTATTTGGATTGTTCCCCATATTCCGTCGTCAGCTGAGACAGAAATCATGGACCGGCCATGCGGTGCTCACGCTTGCCTTGGTTATCATTGCTGGGGGTGCCGTTGGTATGACTCTCAGCGGTGGGTGGGCCTCTGCCATCATTGGCTCTGTACTAGGCAGTATGCTGACTGCGCTTACAATGGGCGGCTGCAGTTGGTGGCTCATCAGTCTCCAGAAGTACAAAAATGTGGTTATTGGTCCATGGGATCCAGCTCGGCCCATCATTCGACGACACTGGAATTAATCAGATGGTTTACTATCGTTCTATTTTTGTCTGTCTTGGATGAACTTCTGTTCTTATGCTTGTTATTACTACCAGCCATTATTGTTACATACTACATAGGCGCGGCGTTCTGGGTTTGCTCGTTATACCCCTAGATTACTGGATTGGACAATCTATTGTTCTCGGCTTCAATATAGACTGCACCCCAGACCAACAAAACACCAATTTGTAGTACAAAAATTCCATGCCAAGAACTTAAACGCGCCTTGCCCCGTTCTGGCCAACAAAAATGACCAGCGAGTCGATTTTATGGATCGTTTACTGGAGTCGAATAGTCTCTGACGCCAGAAGAATGCAAGTGGGAGGGATATGAATGTCCTGGAGATCTGGAATGCGGGCGAACCATGAGCCTCGAACACCCAGTCAAGTACCTTTCCTATTACGCTCCAATAAGCAGAACAGCTTACTCTATTCATCGTTCGAGAGAGATCTCCGATCTAGTTGCCGCAACAGCTGCTGAAGAGTGAGGATCCCACCTGAACTTCGCCTTGGACGACGGCTTGCCCGGCATTCCAATTATCCCCTTCGGAAGTGGCGCCCTTCCCCGACATTACACATCTGGGTCAGTTGCTTGGATCAGGTTCCACTCTTCTACAGGGATGGTATACATGCTCCGTTCATCTGTGCCGACGCTTCGGCCGGAGAATCCCAGTTATGGGGGAGAGCGCCTTTGGCATGTTTATATGGAGACTCCCTGAATTGCTTTATACGCGCCTCTTTCACATATTGGTCTCATTGATTCTTCTCCTATCCTTTGGCCACTTCGTTTCTACAGCCTGACGCTGTTCTCTCGCTTTTGACAGCTGTGTTCATTCTACAGCGTCTTTTTTTCATATATTTGTATTTTCTATTCTTCATTACCTGATCTACAGGTACCATTGTGTGGCCGACAAAATGTTGAAAAATCTTGCCCTTGGCCTTTTGGCTGCCCACAGCGCTGCCGCTATGCGGTTTGCGATGTATGTTGATGAGTATGTAAAAACAGCACGGCAATATTAATTATGGAACTTTAGCTGACAGCTCAACTTCAGATATCACACTACGGATCTTCCTGGCACAAACCAAACAACAGATATCGATTATGCCATCATGGGATTTGCTCCGTCGAAGATTTTCAACTCCGACTCAACTCCGTCTTTCACTCCCTTCGAGTCTCCTGAAACTATGCGCAAGCGCTTCAGCCCCAACACCAAGTTGATGATTGCCATCGGCGGATGGGGAGATGAGTCTGGCTTTTCCGATGCCGCAAAGGAGGCCTCCACTCGCGAGCGCTACGCAAAGAACGTGGCGGCAATGCTGGATGCCAACGGATTTGATGGTGTCGGTGCGTCATTTAAATTTACCTGCTCCATGCGAGGAAAACTAGATATTGACCATAACAGACATCGATTGGGAATATCCGGGTGGCAACGGCCAGGACTACAAGCAAGTCCCCAACTCAGAAAAGACCAGCGAACTCGAGACCTACCCCGAGTTCCTGGCTGCTGTTCGCAAGGAAATCGGCAACAAGACTCTCTCCATCGCCGTCCCAGGACGCAAGGCTGATCTGCTTGCTTTCAACAAGGACACTGGCCCCAAGATCTGGAAGTCCGTTGACATGGTCAACGTTATGAGTTACGATATCATGAACCGCCGCGACAACGTCACCAACCATCAGTCTGGTGTGGCAGACTGCTTGGATCTCGTCGAGACCTACATGGGCATGGGCCTTGAGGCTGAGAAGATCAACCTTGGCTTCGCCTATTACGCCAAGTGGTTCACTACCGACCCCAAGTCCGACTGTGATGCCAACCCTCTCGGCTGCAAGGTCGTGAAGCTGGAGAACGACGACGGCTCCGATAATGGCAAATCCGGCGCTCTCACCTTTGAGGCTAGCACTGTCTCCTCCCCACCCGCCAACTTAAAAAATAGCACCAATGGCAAGTGTGGTTTTGGCGAGGGCTCCAAGTGCCCTGATGGACAATGCTGCAGTGCTTACGGAAACTGGTTCGTTCCCTTCCCTAAACTTCTTAACAATAATTCAAATGACTAACAATCAGTTTCAGCGGATCTGGTGATGACTTCTGCCAGGCTGGCTGTCTCTCCGACTACGGTACATGCAAAGGCATCGACATCACTGACTCCTGGCGCCGCGCCCAGAAGGATGGAAAGACCGATGACAAGGGTGGTGGCCAGTACTACTGGGATGCTAAGGTTAACCTCTTCTGGACCTGGGATACACCTGAGATGATCGCCCGCAAGTTCACTGAGATTGTCGAGGCTAAGAAGCTCGGTGGTGTTATGGCCTGGAGTCTGGGTGAGGATACCTACAATTTCGCGCATCTGGATGCTATGCAGCAGGGAATTGAGTCTGCTGGTGCTACGGAGGATTCTGATTCCTAAGGCATTTGAATCTTTTCCTTGGATGTTCGCTTCAGGTGCGGGTCTAGTTCTGCTGATCTGTGTTCCATGTTTATTTGTGATCATACTAAAATTAATTTATTAATTACTTGCAAGTTTGTCGTTATAAGCCGCAGCATTTGATTCTGCATTTGACGTAACTCCTGATCCATTCAAGGTTCCACATTTGCATTATCTCAATTAATCCTAATCGAGACTCCTAGAAGTTAGAAAATGGGCAAGTAGCTAAATAGAGATAACTTATAGGTGAGTATGAAAGATTTATTGGGTACACCCAGCCTCTGAGATGAAGCAGAATGATATTCCCATGTCAAAGAAGCGACTGCGAGTGTTTCTGAGCTATCTGCATACATCCAGAAAGATAAAGGGTTCCTCATTCTTTAACAAAGAAGCTTCAAGTTTGAGGGGCTATAAAGCCTCCTCATCACCAGTACGTTTTTCCCATAGAAACTCTCCAGATACACCCACTCACTCACTCACTCACTCACCTACTGGATATCCCACGGATACACCTCATTTTCAAGAACACCGATTAGGTATTCAGACAAGTTCGGCTTTTCCAGGGTTCGAAAAAGAGGCTTGCCTAGTAGTGATAAACAGTTATTAACTCTTCGATATACCCATGTGAGCCCAGGCCCCACTGCACACATGTGCATCAATAATATCTGGAGTACTACTATACTATACTTTGAAGGGTCCCAACCTCAGGCTGTCAGTAGTTGATTAAATAACCTTGGGAACCACTGGCAGTTGACGCCCCCGGCCAACTTTTAAAGAACTCGTTATAAATTATATCTGTACGACGAATGACTATATTTCCTATGTTTTCCATACTTCCAACGTTCGACCGCTGGCCGGTCCCCTGGAGCTGTTTCGGCCTGCCTATGGATGGGATTTGTTTTCCGGTTATATATGGTCACGCGGCATAGCTAACTTTCTTCAAAAGCATTCAACATGCTATGGATAATGCCTACTAGGGATTGGGAACTTCTTTATGTTGCGCCCCTTCTCGACGTTCCAAACCCGATGTTCTCGATCTTGAAGCTCTGCTAGGTGCTTCTAGCTTGAAGTTAAATATAAAAAATCGACGTCATTCTGGCTGTCAACCTAGCTTTGTTCACTTCAGTCTTGTTACTAGTATATATGACTCACCTGCCCACCTAGTTACTTAGGGAACATGATGGTCTCGAGCATGGATTCAGGAATGGAGATTTGAAGTTGCATTCATTGATCCATTATATCTTCCAAGGCTTATATAGCCCCTCGAGGGACCAAGCGCTTACTCTTTTACAACTCGATCAACCTTGGAAGAATACTCCGAGCCGACTTCGAGAAGGTTGGGAAACCGTCGTGCTTCGGGCACGTAGTATGTACCAGGGATTTCTTTACTTTGCCTACGCCCACTTGGATGTCATACTGCTTATGTGGGTTGTTTGCGCGACACTCACAAAAAGACTGACCCAGCCCATGGTGGTACACCTGTGAAATATCTTATTTCGCCTGTGTTAGATTGGGGAGCACTATAACTTGCAAGCATTGCAAATGACTTGAAGCAAACAATTATTTCTCTAGCCAGTATACAGGTATTTTGGATCATGGAGATCGATGCATCTATCACAGATTATATGTGGCAATCAAATCAAAACAGCTGAGAGCACAAAGGAATAATTTTCTTATAAGTAGTAAAAGATTAAATAAAATTGAATGAAGGAACTGGGTATCAAGAATCCATACAAAGAAAAGAAGAAGCGAAATAAAAGCGAAGCAAAGGGAATTTCATCGAATCCGCCGACCCTGCCACCAGTATCTCTGAGTCTCGACCGTTTTCTCCCGTTGTAAATCACCCAAAGCTCTAATTTGTCTCTCAGGGCCCAATAACTTCAACCGACCACGTCCTCGCTCCGGAAACCGTTCTGGAACGAAGAATTTGAAGACAAGCTCCAGCAGCTCCAAGATAAAGTATGCAATGGGAACGAGCACGAAGATAGATATACCCACGCACTCTGGGCCATGCCGATCGAGGAGATCAAGAATATCAACGGATTTGCGATATGCCGATGCAGCCGACTTGTGATGCGTGAAGGATACCGATTTCCCCAAGAAGATGCCATATTGCGATGAGCTCTTTGAAGCCGACGACTTTAAAAGACCTTGCTGTGTGATTCTCCGATCTGAAATATTAAATTCCTTCTCGTTGGACCGAATAAAAGGTAATTCCTCAAGTTGTCGCTGAGACACCGTGTACTCTTCGAAAACAGGAGCATCTGTGCCATGGTACTCGATTTTCTTCACGGTAACTTGCTGCTTTTGTGGGTTTCGCGAGTCATAGGATGAAAGAGTAGAATGTGTTTGGTCGCGGCTTTCATGAATAGGTAGCGCCAGGCCTAGACTGGCGAGGCATACTAGGGCCGTGAGTGTTTTCATGGTGAATTGGGGGTTATTCCCCTCTGTAAAATGGGGGATGGCATTAGGGAAGATGGGCTAAGCGAAAGCAGCGGGTTATAAGCTTGACCTACACTAGGGATATGGCCAGTACTAGTTCAAAGTTGCATTAAAGACTAAAACGCTCGATGCTTCTTGTTTGCCAGCAGCTTTGGCATGTGGACGTTCCAGGGCGCTGATTGGTGGGTTTGAGACGATAAGACGCATGCGGAGATCAAAGTGGAGACGAATTGGGTTAAGCGTGTGGATATGCATGAGAGAGTGTTGTTAGTCATGTTAGTGCTGGGGAAAAGGTGGATAATTAATTAAGAGTCGTATTTTTTGCTGTTTTATAATCTTCTTTTTATAATTTGATGATCTGTCCCTTTTAGGGTCTGAGGAGTCCGGGGTTTTGCTGCTTCTGGGGATGGCGTTGGGCTTATCGGACCCCTATACTAACACGGAATGCGGAGGGGGACGGTGAGTCCGTGACCACGAGGGGATAACATGGTTTAGTGAAGAAAAGTGGTTCTTGGCATTTTCTATTGTAAGGCAATAATACCCGATTTTCTGGTATGAACATGGTCATGAGGTTAATAACCACAGGAAACAATAATAAAAGAGAGAAGATAAGCGAATTGTGAAACTCGCTAAATTCACGACTGCAACATTCGGACCTAGTTCTCCGGTGCGCCATCTTTTAAGATAATATTCTGCATCAGCCCTGTGAAGCCTTCACCAATGCGGGATAATGGTGCCTCTACGGCGATGGGTGCCCAGACAAAAGATTCTCCGTTGACGCCGATCCTCGCTAGGAATTCCATCGTCTTGGATTTGGTCCCTTTGCCAGAAACGGTTAGGAGGGTTGTGTTGCCTCGTCCGATTAGACTGATATCAGTCCAGGTGTTGATGGGTAGGGTATAGTTGAGAGAGTATGGGGTTCCACCACTGATGAGTGTTGCGTTAGAGATGGTGCCATTTCCATTCACGAATGTGGAATCTGGGCCGGCAAAAAGGGTGCCGGGGGTGTGCAAAGTGGGTTTCACTCTAAATGAGAGGGTATAGTCGCGTCCCTTACTGCCAAGAGGTGTTTCAACATAGCACCCATTCTCAAGATGGAGGGTCTTGTCGGAAATCTTGCAGCCATGAACCGTACCATGGTATCCGTTGCCAGACTGGTCGTTCAAAGTCGACAGGTGCGAAGCGTCAAAGTTATAGTGAAAGATGGTATCGGAGTTACTGGGGATTGCACGGTCAAGGTTTTGATCGGGAACAACAGCATGGAGAGAGTCAAAGACAGATAAGTATTCTTGTTCGGTAATGTTCCCACCCCACTGTTTATCAGCGAGAGCAGGTAGAGCATCACGCCAGGAGTAATACGCGGACAAGACAGTCGTAGAGTTGGGACCATAATCATTCCACAAAGCCGCAAGCTCGCCAAGCACTCGGGGATTATTCCGACTAGGATTATCGGTTTTGTTTGAGCTGTCAAATACCACCGGCGAGTAGGGAGAACCGTATGGGCCGTTGAAGATTTTATCCAGTGTTAACACTTGCGCGAATGAACCACTCCATCCACCAACAAGGTATAGGTAATCGTCGGAGTTGAGGACATTATATCCGTTCTGAATGTAATCAAAGTACGGCTGATCAGCGCTGACATCCCAGTGTTGATATGAGACGGACTTGGAGACATTAGCACCCTCCTTCGGCGTGAAGGTACCCCAAATACGCATTGACTTCTTATTAGACGTCTCTTGTCGGATAAAAGTGTTCATCTCATTCACAAAATGGGTGTAGTCGGACACGAGGCTGCTGTCGTACTCATCCGCGCCAATGTGAACCACCTTGCTGTGAAACCAAGGCAGAAAAGTGCGCCAGATGGTCTTCATGGTAGGAATAGTCTCCGGGTGGCTGATATTGAGCATGCTCAAATCTGCCAGACCTAGCTCAGGCTTCCACTGCACAATGACCAGAGCATGACCGGGTGCCTCAATCTCAGGTATAATAGTGACGCCTCGCTTCGCGCACTGTGTCTGAATATTGTCAAATTGTTCACGAGTATAGGACTCATTGGCTCGCTTGTTGAGTCCCGCCACAGCATCGTCATCCGACCAGAGTCGAAAAGCAGCGTACAAGTTCAAAGATTCTTCGCGGGAGTAAGCGTCAACATTATTATAGAGGTTGTCGCTTAGATGGACGTGGAAGGTATTCTGCTTGAAAAACGAGAGATACGAGCACATCTCTATAAGAAAGTCTTCCGGATAGAAATGCCGACCGTCATCGATCTAGTGGCATATGTCAGCGGATGATACAAGTGAAAGTCAAAGAGAGATAAATTACCATGGCTCCTCGAGTTCCCCATCCTGGCGCATCAACAGCTGATCCCTTAGGAAGGGCCAGGTCCCCAGTGGTAGCAATTTGAATAATTGATCGAGTTGCCCACCATGCACCCAATGGACTAGCACCGGTAACAACAACTCCCTGGCCATCGACCGACAATTCATACCCCTCATGTGTATATCTGCCAGAAGCATCTTTGAATTCGGTATTATTTCCCAATGTCAAGAAAATGGCATTCTGTTTGCGCCCATCGCCCTTTGAGACATGAACATTCAACCCAAGGACCGATTTGAGATCTCCCTGAAAAGTCTCCGCAAACTCCTGCAATGTCGGCGGAATCAAAGTATCTCCCTGATGATCGATAGCATCGACATAGCGAGAATCAACAACAATATCCGTAATCTGCGAGAGATTATAACTGCCTCCCGTCTCTGTAAACGGAATAACAGGAACCGTAAGAAGACGAGCCTGGACTAAAAACAACCAATTATCAACACAAAAGCTCTAATTGAGAAACCAGAAATAAAAACAAGCATTCACGTACCGCCCAGCCAGAACGAGGCACTGGCAACGTAAAAAGAAACCCGACCCAATTTCATTCTGTTGTACTACTAGTCGCAAGATCAAGTTCCCCGCCGAGTCGAGTCCGGACAACAAGCGGAATATTTATGCTCGGCAAATTAAGGTGCGGAGAACCATACTAGCAGCCATGTAACATACCTTTTGTTTTGATAGAGTCACATTGTGCAGACGAGACCTTGCGGTGCGACCTTTAGAGAGGGGAAGCGATCGACAGGTAATGGCTGAATGTTTGCGCAGGTAGCTGCGTCGATCACTTGGGGTTGACCAACCAGGTTGCGAGTAATTATCCGAGAGGTTTGGAAGCGAGAGCTTAGGTCGGAGAATATATTATGCGACCATGCTGTTTAATATGGATGTTCAATTTGTACTTGTCTTGGTACGTACGTCAGTGAGGGGGTGAGGGGAGGTAAGGAGGAAGTCACGGTGTAGATCAGAGTGGTTCATGTTGTTGTCGGGAAGATCCGATCATTGATTTAGCCTCTGCACGGGGATGGGATGAGTTTTAAGACTTAAACCTTTTTATTCAAATGTTATGCTGATTTCTAAGTAATTCGAAAACAAACACTTGATTGAGGACTGGAACTGTTGGAAAAGTTTCGAATTATGAATTGTATGTAAAGCAATATGATTCAAGCTCGGATTATTCACGCTTGCCCGGGCTTTCTATGCTTCTAAAATTGAGTATAAACACTCGCAATAAAGAATTAAATGCTTTAAACACGACAAAGACGACCATTTTGATCAGGAAGACCATCCACGCTCTTCACCTGCCAATGCTCACTCCCAACACCTGTAGGAGCATAGAACAACCCAGTAGGATCATATCGCTGCTTCAACTTATACAAGCGATCGTAATTGCTCCCATAAAACGACTGCTGAAATTTCGGCTCCATAATATCCGACTCAGACATATACGCCCCAGCCTCAGGGCACGTTGCACGCCACTTACTCAGAACATTATTTGTAAGGTTATTCATCGTACCATTGATCTGGGAATTAGTAGCATTGCTAGCCCAAGTGGCCGAAGTAATTGCGTGCATAAGCGTCTTTCGGAAGGCAGGATTTGAAGAGTCCTCCGGGTATCCATTAGGAAGCTCAGCCTTCATGTTGAAAGCAAGGAGAGGGTGGCCCATGCTGACGGTTGATCGAATAGCACGCAATGTTGCGTTGAACTTTGAATTGTCTTCCCAGTTTTCCCGGGGAAAGAGACGACTCCCTGTCATCATAGTGACGCTTCCGATTGTTTCGAGAGGGAATCCAGCTGCCCAGGCGGGGTGGAAGGAGTCATAGTGGGTTGTGTTTGGGGTAAATGGAATACCGAGAGCCTTTAGATCATTGAACCAGGGCTTTAACAGGTTATCAAACTCAGTCAATGTATGGTTCACTGCGAAGAAAGGGTTCATCAAGAATTGGAACGAGTTCGGACCAGTTCCTATTATCCAGAAGTAGGCGTATGTTCCGGCATCTGCGTGGGCTGGGAATCGCTTGAAATATGCGCGGACTCCGGACCAGAAAGTTTCAATGGAGACGTTGGCACCAGTTGTGAAGTTGAATGTAGAGACTGTGACGCCGACTTTGGGGTGGACTCGAGAAATGATGGAGGTAACAACGCCATATGTTCCTAAATAATCGTTAGAGGAATCATCCGAGAAGCGAGAAAATACTAAGTTAATAGGAACTCACCGCCACCGCCACCTCGGATGGCCCAGAAAAGGTCAGGATTCGTTTCTTCGGTAACTGTCACAAATTGTCCATTGGCAAGAACAACTTCCAGAGCTAGGACTTGATCCGCAGCCAGACCATAGACACTAGACATAGGAGAGTGACCGCCACCAAGCACGTACCCTCCGGCGACGCCAACAGTCTAAAAGCGAAATCAGTACTTATTTCATCGAGTTGAAATCTATGGTGGACATACCTTGCCCTCGCCTCCGACAGCAGTGTAGCCGAGCTTCTCAGCTTGCTCATAGACCTCAAAGGCCTGAACACCGGCGCCCATCTTAACAGCCGGACCTTGATAACCTGAACTGTTATATTTCTCGATGAACTCGAGATCCTTCAGATTGTGCGTCCAGACACCAAGCCCACCAGCCCCGGTCGACTTTCCATTGAAGTCATGTCCGGTGTTCTTCACCACGAGCCTGAGGTTCGCATTACGAGCGAAATTAACAGCAAGTTGAACCTGCGCCACGGTGCTCACATTGACAGCATAGCTGCTGTATCCGCCAATGCTGCAAGTTGAAGTTGTATTGATGGCGGTAGGCAGACAGGTGCGGCCCTCGAATAAAGGCCACATTATAGAGGCGGGATCAGCATCACTGAGAAATATTAGTTGGGCATAGCTAAAGATATGTTAAGTGAAATTCAACTTACTGCTCATAGGAAACTGTCCAATTAGTAGAGATATATTTGCACTTTCCACTGTCGTACTCAGGCCACGATGGGTAACACGATGCAGCTAGGGGTACAGTTTTGATAAGTGCACCGCCTAGGATTTCGTCGAACTGCGACCATGTCGAATCTGACGGCCATGACTTGTCTCCAGGCAACAGTCTGCACCGTTTTCTATGTTGATTGTGTCCCACCGAGGAGTTCTGGAACCCAAAAAGGGCAGTCTGGTTTGGCTTGAGCGCTGCGAGCGATTTATTGGTGACTTGGAACGTCTCGCTCTCGAATAGCGGCGCGCCGGCCAGAGATATATCAGACACTCGTTGACCAACGGCAGAAGTAGCTTGTCCTGGTACAGCCAGGAGCAAGGCACCAAGCAAGCCCGCTATTAAAGATTGAGGCGCCATAATGGAAGGGGTATGGTATGGAAGTATCACACCGCACTTCCAAGATCGACGGGAAGATTGCCGGAAAAGAGAATTGACACCCTTTTGTAAGACGATAGTCCGATAACTGGAAAAATCAACCACCTTGCCACGCTATTGACAAGTGAAATCTTCTCCACTGCTAGGAAGCTGCCTATGACATCTTCACCCGGGAAGAACCGAAATTGTCACTGATGCTGGTACTCCACGAGCCAGTCATGCTGAAGGGTCTTCCCCAGGGAGTTGTTCGGGGCTCCACTTTTTCTCGACTTGAGCGAATCTCGAAAGATTACCATTCCAAACTATTCCACGAGAGCCTCCCAGAAAATCTAACTTCTTTGTTTTAATTCGGTACAGAGGACTGGAACAGCGGGTTTGCCAGAATGTACTTTAGTTCCGGCACTCGTGGCTTCATGTTCTCTCGGCCATATGAAAAATGGGTCTCAGACGGATGGGTGGAATCAACACCCTGTTCATCTCCCGATCGGATCGGATCTCCACTTGGTTGAGTCCACTCAGGTCTACTATACATACTCGTGTCTCGGTATTTGAATGAAGAATCTCGGAGTAAAGATAAAGAGCCTCACTCAGCGCGTTTATTTCCTTTGCCAGAATATCTGGCCCGATAGAAAGGCAAGTAGCCTCGTAATCCTCGCAGTCTTTCTCAAAAAGTGACTGAGGCGTCTAGTTGAACTTGCTCGCCGTTCTATGTGAAGGACCCTTGTATCAGGCTTAAAGCGGCAATTTTGTTTCACGCTTGCCTATACGGCATATTATTAAACTCCTTTGCAAGAGAACTTTAACAAAAATTAGCCAAGAGTAACGCATTTCGAACTTGTTGCAAGGGGTAGAAGCGAATCATCCCTGTCGCCACCCGGCTGTGGCTGACGGACCACATCCCCTATCAAGGGGCAGCACCAAGCAACTATCAACATCCGAGGCTCTTTCCGAAATTGTATCTTCATTATAAGGCCGAAACACATCGAAGGTCAAAAGACCATTCATTTGTACAAGGGAACGGGGTAGAGAAGATCCCTCATCCATGGTTCAGAGGGTGATCACTCAATCCGGGGCAGTGGATCAATGCAACGCAGACTCCCCCGAGCATCCGAACGATGTTATAGCTTTCAATGCAAGTTTGGACTCTAAGACCTTGGATTTTTTTTCAGGTCTAAAAGTACTAATGGTCAGTGCTAAACTTATTCTTATGGTTACATTTATCCCCCATTCATTCCAATATGTCAAAAGTATCACGTTCACATCAATGCTTGACAAGCCCACAAGAATGTACAAGGCAACTAATTCACCTGATTTCCCAACCCCACAAGAGAGGATCAAGTTACCGACCTATTCTTCCGAGATCCAGCTCGCCATCCAAAAAAAAAATTAGTGGAGAGTGAAGTCATCCACCCCCTACCTGATTGGCGGCCAGAGTATCCCAGCCATGGAAAACGTTTAAGAAGAGGGGCTTCCCTAAATCCTATCTCAGACAAAGAATTTCATCCTACTAGGAACCTTATCCGAAAGATTGATCGCCAAGGTTGCCGGGGAGTTTGCGGCTGTTGACTATGGTGGCGGATACCGTGGTGGGAGTTTATAAAAGTCGTTGTCAGGAGTTCAATCTTCTCTTTTCTTACTTTCGGTAAGTGTCGGTATAATGATCGATTACCATCATCAAAACACTGCGCTAGGAATTGTGGTCGCATTCCCTGTATTAGGCGGGATTGCTGTGCTTCTCCGATGCTGGGCTCGGTATTTATCTCGATCTGCGCTGACAAGTGGTGAGTCTGGTCCACTTCATGCGCGCTAGTAATGATCTGCGTGTTCTGCCTGGGTCCTTGTACTGACTATTTCATTTTTTAGATGATTATTTGATTCTTGCGGGTTATGTACGTCTTTCTCATCTTCGCGAATATCCAGATTACGAATCATCAACTAATAAATGCAACAGATCCTTGCAATCTCGCAATCAATTACGGCATGGTACTATATCAAGACGAATTATGTCGGTATTCACATATGGGATATCCCAAAGGATCATGATGTCCAACAGGAGTTAATTGTGAGTATCAGTATCAAACTGCTTGTCTCGAAGGTCACAAACTAACAATGCGCTCACAGTGGAACTATGCCAACCAACTCCTCTACAACCCATGCTTAACACTGATCAAATTGTCTATCTTGATGTTCCTACGACGACTGGACTCACGATCCCGCGTCGTCCAAATTCTCATCTGGATATCACTAGCAGTGATAATCAGCCTATTCATCGCCGTCTTATTCGTCGATATCTTCCAATGCCACCCAATCGCATACAACTGGGATATGACCATCAAAGGCGGAAAGTGCATCGAACAAGGCGCATTCTACGTCTCCACAGCGGCCCTCAACCTGTTCACGGATCTAATGGTGATTTCAATTCCCATCATCATTACATCCCGTCTACAAATGCCCCTCCGACGAAAAATCGCCGTATGCATCATTCTATGTCTAGGCGGAGTGTAAGTTCTTCGCCTATCTCTACGCAGCTGAACTCATCTAATTCACAAATCAGAGCAACGGCCGTCGGTGTCTGGCGAATCGTCATTCTAGCGGAAGCCTTCTTCCCCACTCATGCACCCAAAGATCCAACATTCAGCATCGGATTCTGTAGCTCCGCCGTCGAAGTCAACGTTGCTGTTGTCACAGCCTGTGCTCCATCAATGAAAGCGATCGCAGGTAAATACTTGCCTCGTCTACTTGGTACATCACGTCATGATGAGTTGAGCTTTGGTACAACCAGTGGAGGATCAATCGGCAAGTTCAAGCCCTCGCGATTTTTTGGCAGTAAGCGGTCGCAGGGATATTCGAATGATGACGATGATGGGTATGAGATGGCGGATCCGAGGGGAGGACATAAGGTTGATGTTGTTGGGGCTGGAGATTTTGAGTGGAAAAAGTATAAGCGGGGAGATGATACTCCGTCTATGTCGTGTGGGAGTCGGGAGGATGTTGATGGAATTGTGAAGACTACGGATGTTTCTGTTAAGTATAGTTCGTCGCATGCGGAGGATGGTCGGTCGCGCGATGAGAGACATCGGAGTGAAGATAGTTTGGTTTGATGTATACTACCCTTTCAAGTTTCATTTTCTGAACATTTCTTGTAAATGACCTATACATTCGATTTAATTGGGTGATATTTTGAACTTAAAAGTATATTCACTACGAGAGCTCTACCTCCTTTGCCCCGCACGAGGGGAGTACTGTGGCTATACCGAGCCAAGAGTATCATGATCGCGTCGGAGAAGGCTCTCATTAATATTGGAGGATACCAAAGCCGTTCAGTTCGTAACCTTTCCTATCTTTTGGCCCACTAAAATTGATCATATAGGCTACTTCATGTGTTAAAGTTCCTGCCGATGATTGATAATGCGGGGCTCTGGTACCTCGGAAGCTTTCCCCTCTTAAGCTTGACAAATGCGGCTTCTTTCGATGATACATCTTCTATTCTACAAATAATCATAGTCTGATTGTAAATCTAATCCAAAATGGCCAACAAGTACGAGCTTCCATTCAAGGTATGTTACTGTATTTTCTTATCTATGTCAGCAGAGCTTTTTTCTCTTTTCCAAGCCCAGTGGGGCACTCGGCAAGATGTCCGAAGCTGCACTCCGAAGCTGCAAAGCTGACAAGATACACTTTAACCTGTCTATAGCTAGCCGATCCTTCGCTGCTACACTTTGACTCATTCGTGGGCGATAAATGGGTCGAGTCAACGAGCGGAAAGCGCTTTGAGGTTCTAGGTAATCAATTCAACATCTCATACAAATATCGCGAACCTGTAACTGATACCGTTAAGATCCGGGAACTGATAAGGCATGGGCAAGCTGTCCCACAAACACCGCCGACGATGTCTCCGCAGCTGTTGAAACAGCACACGCTGCATTCGAGGACTTCCGAAAAGTGAACCCCCGGCAGCGAGCCAAGTGGCTGTTGAAATGGTACGACTTGACCGTGCAGGCAAGAGATGACCTTGCCCAGATCATCACCCACGAGACAGGAAAGCCTCTAGCCGAAGCCTACGGAGAAATGGATTATTCACTGGGATTCCTATGGTGGTTTGCAGGAGAAGCGGAGCGTATTCAAGGTTCCGTGTCACAGGCTGCCATACCAAATCGCCGCATCTTTACTATTAAGCAGCCAATCGGTGTCGCAGCTGCCTTGGTGCCGTGGAACTTCCCCGTCGCAATGGTGCTACGGAAGGCTGGTGCCGCTCTAGCGGCAGGCTGTACCATTATTGTGAAGCCTAGTCCCGAGACTCCCATCTCGGTTCTAGTCCTAGTTGAGCTTGCCAAGCGAGCGGGAATTCCTGCTGGTGTCTTGAATGTCTTGACCACCGATCTGGAGAATACACCACCGCTGAGTGAGGCTCTGTGCAAGCACCCGCTCGTGAAGAAGGTAACCTTTACGGGATCGACGAGGGTCGGTAAGCTTGTTGCATCGCACTGCGCACTAGGCCTGAAGAAGGTGACTCTCGAGCTTGGAGGAAACTGTCCTTTCATCGTTTTTGATGATGCCAACTTAGACCAGGCGCTAGACCAGCTTATGACGTTGAAATGGCGCCATGCAGGACAGGCTTGCATTACTGCTAACCGGATATACGTTCAATCGGGTGTCTACGATCGCTTTGCAGCACTGCTGAAGGAACGTACTGCTGCTCTAGTCGTTGGCCATGGATCAGCCAAGGACACCACGATGGGCCCATTGACAACCCCGCGTAGTATTGACAAAGCTCTCGCTCAGGTCGAGGATGCCCGTAACCATGGCGCAAAGGTGCTATGTGGTGGAAACCGTGTTAGCTCGCAACCAGGGTATTTCTTCGAGCCTACAATTCTCTCTGGAATGACGGATGAGATGCAAATTTCGCAAGAGGAATCCTTTGCCCCGATCGCAGCGCTTTATCACTTCGAGACAGAAGACCAAGCGGTGAAAATGGCGAATGACACCAGCATGGGATTGGCGAGTTACGCATTCACCAAGAACATCGATCGGATGTGGCGTTTGTTGGAGAATTTGGAGGCCGGAATGATTGGAATGAATACCGGTGAGTGTTCTGTAGAACTTCCAAGCCCACGATTGAGAATTTGCGCTCTAATTGACCCCACAGGTAACCAATCGGCTGCCGAATCGCCGTTTGGTGGGATGAAGGAGTCGGGGTATGGCAAGGAGAGCGGGAAGGATGTTGCGGTGCAGGAATATTTGATCACGAAAACGGGAACCTTGACGATTGAGGGCCAATACTGAGTCTTCGATTTACTGAAATAGTGGGGCTTATCTGTATCTGCGTCCGGGATTTCGATTTCGATTTCTATCTCTTGCTTTGTTGTTCTCTCTTCGGCTCGTTCCGACTTACCTGGTCCGAAAATTGGAATTTGATTCGACAAGCTCCAAGTTCTTAAGTGTTTTTGCGGGAGATCGGCCTCCTCATAGAAGTATTTCAATAAAGCTCGTAGAATTGGCAAGAATAGTACCGAGGCTAGGTGGGTTTAAACTGCTTGCGGTGGGTGCTGAAAAGATTGAAAGTCGTGGAGTTGGCCAAGTTGAGTATGGGTTGACGATGCACGGACGCCGCTATGTATCAGGCACTTTCCACGACGACCAGTAACATATCCACATGTAGAGAGGAGTTTTGTGCTTCTGACCGAGAAAATAATAGTAATACGAGCTTGGTGATTTTTGGATTTTTTTTTTTCTTTTAATTTCAAACCCCGTCGGTTCGAAGCGGGAAGACCCAGTTTGAATCTTGGGTCCATGGGAATAGTTGGATCTTTTCACTCCACACTCTCCTCTCCGACCTCATTCACCACCATGGATTCCCTGGATAGCCTGCGACATACTATTCACAATCATCCGTTAATTGACAACCATGCACATAATTTATTGAATCAGGAAGCTGTCACCGACTACGACAACTATCCACTTGAGTCCATCATATCCGAAGCCCACGGTCAAGCCTTGAAAAATGCTCAGTCGACTTTGCCACTGATACGCGCGACTAATCAACTATCTGAGCTCTATGGGACACCATGTTCAAACTGGTCAGATGTCCTTGCTGCCCGCGATCGATGGGTCGAGCAAGATTATGAAGGTTTTGTCCAACGAAGCCTCGAAGGAACTCATGCACTACTTCTGGATGACCTTTTAATGGACGAAGATGATGAAGATGTTGAGCCATACGCCTGGCATGACTCATTTACAGCTTCAGCGACCAAGCGCATTGTTCGGATCGAAGCATTAGCAGCCTCGCTTCTGAAAACAATAATGAACGAAGAGCGCGACCCACAAGAATCCATTTGGAACAAATTCCGCGCGAGGTTTTTGGCATTACTTGAGCATGCGATGGATGATTCTGCCGTTGTGGGATTCAAGTCTGTGATTTGTTATCGCACAGGCTTGGATATCGACCCCCACAGGGCCGACGAGGCTACGATGACAGCCTCGCTTCACCGCACCCTTGACTCGGGTACCAAGAGATCGGGTTACCGTATCGAAGACAAGCCGTTAAATGACTGGTTGGTCCACGAAACGCTACAGGCTATTACATTGAAGAAGAGGCAAGGGGTTTCTAAGCCACTTCAATTTCATACTGGTCTGGGCGACAATGATATCAGCCTTATCAAATCGAATCCTGCTTATATGCAGCCCCTGATCGCTCGGTATAGCGTTGCAGAGATTGTATTACTACACTCTTCATATCCTTTTACTCGTGAGGCTGGATATCTGGCCTCTGTTTATCCTAATGTCTATTTGGATCTTGGGGAGGTATTCCCAATGGTCAGCCGAGAAGCGCAAGAGCAGATTTTAAGACAGAGTTTGGAACTAACGCCCATTAACCGCTTGCTGTGGAGTACGGATGGTCACTTTCATCCGGAAACATTCTGGTTAGCCAACAAACAGTTCCGTCAAGCTCTTGAGAAAGTGAGTTGAAGGTTCAATAACGACAGTTACTACAGACTTGCTAATCATATCGATTACCGGTATAGGTTTTCGTCGAATATGTCCAGCATGGCGATTTTAATGTGACGCAGGCCAAGAGCGCTGTCGCTGATATCCTATTTCACAACTCAAATCGCCTTTACCAATTGAATCTCGACCCCGAACACAAGCCTGGACTCGCCACTCAGTCTTTAATAGCTACCAACGGTCCAAGCGCACCTGACCCATTGAACGCCTTTTTACAAAAGAACCCGGATATCAAATATATCTGGATGCAGTGGGTGGATTACACAGCGACACTTCGAGTGCGAATGTTTCCTGTCCAGGAATTCATCCTAATTGTGCGACGGCAAAGACGTGTCGGGATCTCACTTTCAGTCCTCAATATGCTACAAGACGATACAGTTCTACCAGAAGGATCAGCTACGGGCCAATTCTACATGGAACCCGATTTGAACAGCCTCTACATTAATGGAAGTATGTCTACACCAGCTGCCCCGAGTGCCACTGTTATGACGTTCTGGCGGTCGGAAGATGATAAGCCCCTGGAAGGATGTCCAAGGACTACCTTGCAGAATATCGTTGATTCTCTACACACCGAACACAAGATTGATATTCTGTGCGGCTTTGAGATTGAGGTAGTCTTTCTCAAGCCACAAAAGGATCCACAGAGTGGACGGATAGTAGCCTATGAACCCGCCACGAGCAATCATTCTTGGTCTCAGATGACCGGGGACACAAGAGGAATGGTTCATATCCTGGAAGAGATTACACAAGTTTTATCATCGATGGACATTGAGCTGCAACAATTCCACGCCGAGTCAGCTCCCGGTCAATTCGAATTCGTCCTCCCACCAGCCGCGCCATTGGATGCTGTAGATGCTCTCTACACCGCACGACAAGTAGTGACAGCCATCGCAGAAAAGCATGGTCTGCGAGCAACACTTCATCCTCGTCCCTTCCCCAGTGGAGCTGGCAGTGCTTCTCACACACACATCTCCATCAACCCAGCAACACGCGAAGATGAATTTTTAGCCGGAATCCTCGATGTTTACTGTGCAATTACGGCTTTCACTCTCGCGCAAGATGCAAGCTATGAGCGTATTCGTTCCGGTATCTGGGCAGGGTCGGAGTGGGTGGCATGGGGCTTCCAAAATCGAGAGACACCAATACGCAAGATTAGTGAGGGCCACTGGGAATTCAAGTCCATGGACGGCTTAGCAAACCCCTACCTTGCCGTAGCTGCCATTCTCGCCGGTGGATATTGGGGCCTATCACGGTCGAAGCCACTGGTGATGAAAGACTGTGCTGGTATGTTTTTTTATTTATTTCCAACCCTGATCTGACCTGATACTGATACTGATGTTTTTGTTTCATTTTAGTTGATGCTGCCACGGTCACCACGGAAGAGCGCGAAAAGCTCGGAATCAAAACTCGAGTTCCTAGATCCCTCAGTGAGAGCCTCCGTTATCTCCAAAGGTATTCCGAGTTTCAGGAATTACTCGGATCTGCACTTGTGCGCAATTACATATCGGTGAAAGTGGGGGAATCCGCCCGCCTGGCGGCCATGTCAGAAACGGAACGGAGAATGTGGCTCTTGGAGAAATATTAAACCCCATGATTTAGTCTAGATATCAGCTGGTAATTTAAATGAGATCTATTGAAAGCTGAGATGGCTGCTTGTTTTGGAGTTATGGAGATTTCGACGTCCAATACTAGGATGCATTGATTTACTATGTCATCTTCAAGTTCTTACGACTGATAATGTTAAATAGAAATTTTCTTCTAAGTAGCACCGACGAGTAGGCAGTTTCTGGGGGATCATGCAGCTTTAATTTGTAAACCAAAATACACTAAGTAGCACGGGTAGGAATAAATGCTATGCCTTTCAATATATTCCGGGCCATGGAAGTCTACTAGTCTTTGATACTACTACATCATTCAAGCGGATAGGAAAGCGATTATAGATTTTTCTATACTATCCTAAGTCGCACTGATTTTGAACCAAAATAGCAACTCCACACATCATGATTCCTCATCAAATCATCACTCCGTGTCCTTTATCACTCGGGGTATTCAATCTAATAGATAGAACCACAATAACAATCAGTAGCTTGAAGACTGATAAACAGGTATATAGTTACAGCTCACTACTTTGGACAGGTAGATTTACAAGCACCAAAAGCCTTGTTGCAAGTAACAACCGCAGCAGGTGGATTTGCCAAAGGCGCACCCCATTTATGACCAGCCTTTTTATAGCACTTCTTCACGGCTTTCTCGCAAGACGAATGGCATTTGCTGCCAATTGATGGCGCTGCGAGGGCCTCTCCAGCCAGTAAGAAAGCGGCGAAAATGGCTAACAGATACAGCTTCATTATGTTGATTTATAGAAATCTTGATGGAAGAAATTGTGGGCTCTTTTGATCGTGCTGGTTTTTGATTTGTAGAGTTGAAATGAAAAGACGAATATCCGAGCCAATAAATAGTAACAGCAAAGTTATTTCCATGGCATGGTTGACTGGGACATAATAATGACCAGTACATGATCAAAACATGGTCAGATGTTAGAAAGTTGGAACTAGCTCCGCATCAAAAACCCTATTACAGATAGGTCATCTACTTTTATGCTATTTTGAGTTCAACCTTTTTATCATAATTTTGTTCATTTTAACTAAGAGCCAAAATAGAAATTTCCTCCAATATGATCATTCGACAACGATCAGACCGTCGCACACCACATACATGAATCCCTATCGCAAAGCCAAGTCAGATCTGGTACGTGAGTCAGAACCAAGGAGCAATGAGGGGTGCTCCTACATGTAAGAATAGGCAATTGTAAGTCTCAAGGAGTCGGCCCGAGAAGTACAGCAGCACAGGCAGCTTGGCATGTTCCGTATGCCGTATTGCACGCTACAATCGTAGGAGGGGCTGATGCGCCCAGGGTAGCACCCCATGTAGCGCCTCCGGCTGCGTAGCAGGCCATTACTACACTTGCACATCCAGCCTGGCAAATTGCATAGCCTATTGGACCTGCTAAGACATTGGCGGCCATGAGGGGGAGCGCGGCGGCAAGGATTGAGAGCTTCATTGTGTCGAGGGTTGGTTCTAGGATGAGGAAGTGGTCTTAATGGTTTGGTGCGATTGAGGAGTGGATGGAAGTTGAAGATTGGTTTCTAGATATGTTATCAGGCAGGGCTCTTACACTTAGGAATGTGAAGTAGAGAAACACCTTATATCTAGGAATGTGAAGTAAAGAAACGCCTTATATCTAGGAATGTGAAGTAAAGAAATGCTGTTTGTAAGCTAGAAGTTTCTAGGGAGAAAAGGGAAATACTTTTGATCCTTGTCGTTTGATAGTATATTACACAATCGTCATTCGACTTTGGAAAGAAATTCTTTTTCATGAACATTGAGTGCCTTTTACAAATTCTCAAGAAAAGAAAAGGATCAGAGAAAAGAAATGAGGGATCAATAATTGATTTTAAAAAACTTCCCAAGACCAAAAGTCCCAATCAGGTGGTCTCTGGGGAATATTTCTTGGGTTCCTTATTGCAGATATTGGCAGTCATGACCACTGGACGAGACTGAAATTTATGGAACTGGAATGTGTTGGGGTAGAAATATCAATAGACCCGGAAAAAATTACAATTCCTGATATGATAAACAGGGCAAGTCACCGTCAGAACAACACAGGCCAAGAAGTCAAAAATCTTCCGGCACAACTTTAAAGAATGATAACTTGGATGCGATACTTCATTTGACTTGTTCTTGCTTCATTAGATTTAAAAACCGTGTACCTCTATTCGTCATCCAACTGAACCATGACACTCTTTGTTTCCAGAAAGTTTCCCAGACTGGAATTCCATCCCTCACGCCCGATTCCACTAGCCTTGTATCCACCGAACGGCATATCAGGGAAATTGGTTGGACTTGTACAGTTAACACCAACACTTCCTGCCTCCAATTTCTTGGCCATACGCATAGCACAGCTGATATCCTTCGTGTAAACCGCGGCATAAAGACCATATTCGGTATTATTAGCCTTAGCAACAACTTCATCCTCTGTGGAGAAGATATTGATGCTAACGACTGGGCCGAAAATTTCTTCTTTCATAATCGTAGCATTCTCCGGCGTATTCACAAAGACAGTCGGCTGAACAAAGTATCCATTTTTGTGCTTCGATGGCTCCCCTCCAAGACTCATTTTAGCCACCTTCTTTCCTTCCTGGATGTATCTTTGGATTTGATTGAATTGAATCTCATCAGCTTGTGGACCGTGATTGGTGTCTGGTAACAATGGATCTCCGCTTTCAACAACAAAGGCCATTTGGAACTTTTCCAGGAATGTGTCGGCGATAGATTCATGGACGTAGATTCTGGAGTTGGCCATGCAGGCTTGTCCGCTGTTGAACTGGATGGAGAACTTGGTTTGCTGAACGGCTTTATCGAGGTTACAGTCCGGAAAGATGATGGCTGGCGATTTTCCTCCTAGTTCTAAGAAAACATTCTTCAGGTTGGACTTGGCAGCTGCCTGTTGAATTAGACGCCCTGTTCTACTGGACCCCGTGAAGCTTACGACACGGACATCCATATGGTGAGAGAGTACGCTTCCAGAGATGTGGCCATGGCCTGAGATAATATTGAAGACACCGGGTGGAAAGCCGACCTTTTCAATCAATGTAGCTACCTTTGCAGACTGTACTTATATCAGCATATTGAACTTGAAAGTTTCCTTTCTTCCTGCCTCAAACGATCGACTTACAGTCAATGGCGCCTTCTCGCTACTTTTGATAACAACAGTGTTACCTGCCATCAAAGCGGGGGCAGATTTCGAGATCAAGAATAGAAGCGGTACATTCCATGGGATAATTCCCGCAACAACGCCATACGGCTGTCTCAGGGTCATATTCACGAATCCTGGATTATTCACACTCGATGTTCCAAGGACTTGATAACCGGCCTCAGAGTAATGATCCAAGTCATTGGCTGCTACCCGTGATTCAAAGTAAGCAGAAACAGGGCGACCCATTGACAATGCTTCAAGTTCTGCGAGTTCATCGTGGGACTCTGTGATAAGAACTCCCAGTTTCTTGAGATAGAGGCCTCTCTCCTTTGGTGACAGAGCAGACCAAGCTGGGAATGCAGCCTTAGCAGCAGCAACTGCTGCATTTGTGTCATCTTCGGTTGCTTCAGATACTAAAATATAGCTTTTAGAATTTGATAGGCACTAGCTGTAGCTGATTCTTCGATGTGGATTACCTTCGGTGAACTTTTCGCCCGTAGCAGGGGAACTCAAAGGGAATTTACCCCCATCAGAGGCTTCGACAAACTGCGGTAACGAATATTAGTTGTTGTCTCGCTTCTGATTGGTTTGGCGCATGAAGTATAGACATGCCTTGCCATTGACGAAGAGTCTAGTCTCGAAAGACTTGCTTTTGGGGTTTTGAGTAATAGTTGACATGATTTTGGTTTCAATTGGGAGTTCTTTGCCGAGATATGAAAGTTTAAAGAGAAAAACGGGACGATGTGGACGTATTTATCTTGCTGGTGGCGATCTCTCACCTCCAGGCATCCGGTGGGGTTGGCCTGAAAGCGGATGGTTAACTGGAGATGCGTCAATGACTATGGAAACCTCAAGTTCTGATTCGATCGATTTACGAAACCAAGGCTTTTACTATAGAACCAGATATTATTATGAATCGAAAAAAATGTACCAGGGAGTAAATTCGGCATTACAAATTCCTCACTGGATCCTCTCGGTTTCGCCTCAGATCTCCGGCGTCACCTTCGGTCGCACATCGCGCACCAATGTTTAAGTCCGGGAGGCCCTCGTTCTCCGGGGATATTCCCGCCAACTTGAATTGGGTGAGTCTCGTTTTGACTAACCATGACATTCAATTGGCTTTGTCCTACGTACTCTTGGGACGACTTGATGAACTCCAAGTTTGCCATTATAACGCTCAATGGAATTTTGTGGCAAATCCTCTTGTGCACTTCCAATATATCTTCCAATCGCTATGTACTATCACCTTTCTCAGCCGTAGGGATCGGAATTGGAGCTCCTGGAGAATCTTCCAGTCTCGCTGTCAAGACCTCAACCCCGGTTTCGGTGACCAGCATGGTATGCTCTGCGAAATTATTAGCATTGGACTTTGCACACCATATATACGTTGTACTCACCAAACTGAGCTGTCCATTTTCCATCCACCGTCGTGTTTGTCCAATCATCAGGCCAATATACTTCTTTCGGTTTTCCAAGCGTCAAGATGGGCTCAATCGTGAAGGTCATTCCAGGTTTACAAGCACCTGGCACTTTGCTCTTTGCATAATGAGGGATCCATGGTGGTGGATGGAATTCAGTGTTGATACCGTGTCCACCCCAGGTCGCGTGGACGCTACACCCACGCGATTTGGCATGTGCCTCAATGACCTTTCCAAAGTCTCTGAAGAGAGTGCCAGGCTTCACGAGTTTGATCGCCATGTCCAAGCATTCACGTGTCGTTTCTATCAGTCGAATGGCATCAGGGTTTGCTCTAGCTCGATCACCAACGTAATAAGTTTCGTTTAGATCAGCATGGTAGCCCCCGTGGTATATAGAGATGTCAAGGTTCAGGATATCGCCGTCGAGAAGGATGCGCTGATCGGGAATTCCGTGACAAACGACCTCGTTCGGGGACGTACACAGCGACTTGGGGAAATGGCTATAGTTCAATGGCGAGGGATAAGACTGTCATTGTTAATATCTGTATTCGATCCATATGCATTTTGAACACTTACATCTCGCTCGATGCAAGCATTGTGGCACACTTCGTCCAGGTAATCCGTCGTAATGCCCGGTCGCACCGCTGCCGCGGTGATGTCCAATACCTCACGCGCTAAGCGACACACCTTGCGCATAGCCTCCTGTGCCTTGGCATCGAGAATCTCAATCTTTGTTCGGCTTAAGCGCTGTTCTGCCTTCGGTATACCAGTCTCGGACCAGTCAGGGCGTCTGATCGACTTGGGAAGGGTCCGCATCGGGGACAGAGGGTAGACCGGTCGAACGGACCCGGTGAAACGGTGGGCCGGGAAAGGATTGTAAAGTTCGCTACCTGGATCAGGTTTAGAAATGATCTTTAGTGTGAGGATTGAGTGGAAGAATACCATTTTGCGTCTTGCTCTGGACCGTTTTGTGGGTGGTTTTGTGTTGAGCCTACCCCACGAGTTGGGTCAGCGATGAGGCTACCATTCACTTTCACGAAAGAAAACCCACCCAGTTCTTCTTGAAACAATCCTGCGAACAAAAGAAGCTGTCTGTCATGCCCAGCTTCAAGCAAGTCGGACACTGTAAAGTTCCTGCGTCATTGGGGCAGTCGACTCCGAGACACTTTCTCTTTACGGGCGGGTCGGAGGTGGTGTTGGTCATGGTGAAATGCTTTGAAATGCTATCTAAACAGACAATTCCAGGGATGGTTCAATATAGTCGATTGTGTTCAAGTCAGTCTCACCCCGCCAGCAGGGATTTTGCTGTGTGGGGCAGCAGGAAGAGACCGCGGCCAAACGGGGAAATCACGTCGCATACATCAAGAATACACGTGACGAGAGGACAATGCGACTCCCATATAGTTCATGGCTAAGAATCCATTGAGCTCGGCCAGAGTGCCTTAATTATTCACATAGCAAGCAAAGTTGCCTGCAACAAGTCGCGCAGCACACCAGTTGATCGACAGCGGATCTGGCCCGACGATCCCCAATCATAGCTTTGCGTGGGTCCAGCTCAGACGCAACACAGTGAGAAACGATTATATTGCAATAAGGTCAGGGATGTTCTATTAATAATACTCTTATATAAGAGCTAAGTGTATATTTGCGGGTTCTATCGGAGATAATGTCCATTATAAAATCTTGGAAAATACACATTCACCGCACTTAACCGCCGGGAATACGTCAGAGTCAGAACTGATTCCACATTGGCGGGGTATAAGTGCCAGTACCCGCCCCCAAGCGAACTTTTTCTCGTTTTTACCAACCTCCAGGGATCAATTCGCAATACTAGCAGATTCGTGGGAGAATGGCTGCTCAAGCTCCCGTTGAGGAGCTCAAGAAGCTCAACGGTGTGTTATATGTCCAGTAAACATGGTAAACCAGGAGGGCATGCTAATAGAAGCTTTGCTCTACAGTGGATGCCCCATCCGATCAGAAGAACGGCACAGAAGGAACTACAACTGAAGATGCAGGAGCAGAGAACTCAGACGACGACTTCGATGCAGACGGACCTGTAGCCGAAACCAGTGCAGCCACTGGAGGCGCCGTGAAGAAAAAGAAGAATAGAAAGAAGAAGTCCAAGTCCAAGAAGAAGAAGGCGCAAACCGACCCACCGTCAATCTTGATGTCCCAACTATTCCCAAACAACACCTACCCCAAGGGCGAGGAAGTCGAATACAATGACAACCTGAATCGGACAACCAACGAAGAGAAACGCTACCTGGATAACATGAATGCCGACTTTCTTTCCGACTACCGCCAAGCAGCAGAGACACATCGTCAAGTACGCCAGTGGGCGCAGAAGAATATCAAACCAGGCCAAACACTTACCGAAATCGCGAACGGTATCGAAGACAGTGTCCGTCGACTTGTGGGCCACGATGGCCTAACGGAAGGTGATGCGATAGTCGCGGGTATGGGCTTTCCGACAGGATTGAATCTTGACGACGTTGCGGCTCACTACAGTCCTAATAAGGGGTGTAAGAAGGTCCTTCAGCAGAACAATGTTATGAAGGTTGATATTGGCGTTCATGTGAATGGAAAAATTGTCGATAGTGCATTTACCATGTCATTTGATCCGATGTACGACAATTTGCTTGCGGCCGTGAAAGACGCAACGAATACCGGTATCCGTGAAGCAGGAATCGATGTCCGCCTCGGCGAGATCGGAGGCTTAATCCAGGAGACTATGGAGAGCTACGAATGCGAGATCAACGGGACGACTTATCCCATTAAGTCGATTCGGAATCTTACCGGTCATAATATTCTGCCATACAGCATTCATGGCGGAAAGAGTGTTCCATCTGTGAAGTCAAATGATACGACTAAGATGGAAGAAGGTGATGTTTTTGCTATCGAGACCTTTGGCAGTACGGGTAATGGTCGCTGTGTGGAAGATGGGGAGGTCTCGCATTACGCTCTGAATAGTAATGCACCTAAGGTGGACCTGCGCCTCACATCGGCTAAGTCACTGTTGAATACTATAAAAAAGAACTTTGGTACTCTTCCTTGGTGTCGGCGATATTTGGACCGGATCGGCCAGGATAAGTATCTACTGGGGGTATGAATAGCCCACGACTGAAATGGATTGTTCCGAGTGGCTAAATGATGAACAGTTGAACAATCTTGTTAACAACGACATTGTGAAAGATTACCCTCCTCTAGTAGACAAGAAGGGATCATACACGGCCCAATTTGAGCATGTAAGTGATTTCCTCAAAGTCATTCATTGAGATAACCTTGTTAACCTATCCCATCCAGACTATCTTGCTCAGGCCGGATATGAAGGAAGTCATTAGCCGTGGGGATGATTATTAAGGCTGTGGAAGCGCTCGTCCATAAAATCCAGAAAGGCCAGGATCATACAGACCGCCCGATCGCTCGATTGGTAGCGGTATCCCGGAGGACAGGCCATGAAGCGGTCTGTTTGATGCAAATCCATGAATATAATCGAACAATTCCATCCTACATCCCAAATTCCACAGGCGATACCCCAGAATGGTTCTTCATGGCTCCTTCAGTCTTCACACTCCGAGAAGAGCTTTCATCCGAAAACAGGGGGAAAATGCAGAAGACAACTTGAAATAAAGATATTCCTTTGATTGAAGGGTTGTATTCTACCTCGTCAGTAAATAAGGACATACGGATGAAAAGGATGAATATGTAGATGTGCGGATATCAATTGTTTTTAAGAATATAAATTATTTCCTTTTAGAAGTACATTGGGTAGACTTATAAAAACTATGCCTGATCCAAGACGTGTAAAGGCGGAAAGACTTTTAAAGACACACATCATTTGCTTGAACCAGCAAAAATGCAGTATATCAAAAGTAAGTCCAAAAAGGAGTATAAAACGCCCGTTGTGTAGCTTCTCGTATATCAAGCCAACAACGTCCGACCATATGCAATGTGAAATTCGTGTACATGCGTGCCCTATCCGGTAAGGGAAGGGGGGTAAGAAGAAAAAATCAACAAGAAGAGTCCCGCCTGTTTTTCGTAAGGCCAGGCTTGAGTGTTGTGGCGGTGATATTGTAAAATCGCCGACTGAGCTTGTTGTCTCAGGGAAAAGTTGCGATGAGAGAGCAACTGGATGGGTCCAATGCAGGTAGGTAGGTGGATCGCATTGGATGGAAACGAAAGAAAGTAGAACATTGAGTATGTTCATATAAAAATTTCGCATTGGCAAGGAATTGGAGAAGCTAGATGTCGGAAAGCTTCGGAAAGGACTGGAATAGTCTGCAGAAACAATCATACAAGTTTGAAAAGGGAAGAAATTGCCAAATTCGCGAAGCAAGAGTTTCCTCAACCGGACGAGATCCCAATTGTGTCAACTCATCAAGGATAAGGCTAGACTGCCGACTTTCGTTCAAACTTCAATCCATTCTTCTCCCACTCATCAAGAAGGCGAGAAACCTCCTTGAAGGAAACGGGTTTGGTGAGGAACATATCCACGCCAGATGCCAGTGCTTCTGATTCGTCACGAGAGCTGCTCAAACCAGTCAGGGCGATGATAACAGCTGGCGTCCGCCCATCATGATCTCTTTCTAGAGACCTAATAGCACGAGTAGCCTCAAACCCATTCATGACCGGCATTGACATATCCATGAATATAATATCGTAGCCAGTTGGCATCTGCTCTACTGCCTCAACCGCTAGCTTGCCATTCTCTGCTGCTCCGAGTTCCGTGAGGCGACGTTTCTTCATGAACGTCATCATCAAATTGAGATTAATCCGGTTGTCATCAACAACAAGAACACGGGATGGTCTCAGTGGTTCCCTGGCGGTTTCGGCCAAGGGCCCAGGCAGAGGTGCTGCAACTATGTCCCGTGGTGACGCAGTGATAACTGAGGGTGAACCGGGAGAGATTTCTCTCGTTGATTGCGGACCAGCGCTGACATTCTCTGTGGTGGCATCTGACAAAATTTCAGACAACGATGAAAAGGCCCCAGTGGGTGCCGAGGACCCAGCAGTCATAGAATTGGAATAGCTGCGAATTGGCATTTCCATCGGGTTTTGCAAAACAGAAGCTGGAGTAACGACCGCTGACTGGCCATGTTGAAGACATTTCAACACGCTCCGGGCAAGCTTATGAGGCCCGCATGGGCGTCGAATAATATCAACAGAGGATGAGAGAGGGAGCCACTCTGAGCGGGCCAAAGTGTAGTCAATTGATCGATCACAGAGGATAAGGAGGGCCGGAAGTGCTGCTAACATGCTCTGTCGCAATTCCGGTAAATCCGATTCTTGGACAACCAGGATGTCAATAGCAAACGTCGGTGGCCAAGGAGCAATTTCCAGATCGAACCAATCAGTCATGAATCGCGCGATTTCAATCCAAGGATCGGTCAGGTTGGACGGGTCAGTGCCCCAAAAGGCGATCTTTTTATCCGGGTAACCTTCCCGAAGGAATAGCGTTTGCATCAAAATTTCCTTGTGCTGCATGTTGTACGCGTGTTGTTCAATAGCTGGACTCTCCTCGCCCACTGGCCTTGCCAAGGGCAGAGATACGCGCACAATGGTTCCTTCACCTGGGCGACTGCGGACACGAATATGTCCATTTAGGGCCTTCACGAGACTGCGAACGATGGAAAGTCCCAGTCCTGTCCCAACTGCTAGTGAGTCTTCCTGGGCGAACGGCGTATACAGTTTACCACGCAAAAACTCTTCCGAAATACCTCTGCCAGTGTCGGCAACTGTCAAAGTGACGATGTCTTCCAGTCCTTGTCGTCGCGATCGACCCTCTGAATGACTGGAGGCCTCTAAGCTTAAGGTGACTCGTCCTTGGTCGGTGTACTTCATGGCGTTTCCAAATAGGTTCATTATAATTCGACGTAATGCTCCTGGCTGAGTCCTATAGACCCAATCATTATGGGCCATGTCGATGATTACATCCACATTGGATGAAGGGATAGGCGCTTTAGCGCTATTGCTAGACATGACCACCGGCATGTCGGCTGCGGCACTCGATTTTCGGCCATAGGCATGCCCCAAACAAATTCCCTCCACAACTTCCTCGGCGAGGATAGAAAGATCTGTGGCCACATATGTGTCCAAATGTGATGCCAGTTTATCTGTTCCTTTCAGATCAAGTGGAGACTCTTTACTCCGTTTCATGGATTTCCATGTCCGCTCAAGCGAAACAACTTTACTGAAATCGAGGACTTGGTTCATGGTGTCAAGCAGAGTTCTGCCACAAGCATTCACTGTCTCAAGTAATGAATCCTGAAACTCGTTGAGTTGGGTGCTGTTTAAAAATTCCGCTGCGGCCAGAATCCCATGGAGTGGACTTCGGAGTTCATGCGAAATACTTCCAATAAAATCGCCCTTTTGTCGATCGGCTATTAAGGACTCAATACGGCTGTACTCAGCCATTACAGACGTTCCAAACCCAAGAACTGAGCTTAGCTCGACAGCTGATGTAAAAACTTGTGTCTCGTCGGTGGTCCAGCAAAAGCAACCCGAAAACCACTGGGAATTCACCGCATTCCATAATGGCACGAACATGATTTGAGTAGCATTTGGAAAGTATTGATTGAGCCAAGTGTTTTCCGCGGCTCTACGTCGCTTTGCGACGGGTTTAGAGACTTGGGGTAGTTGGTTATTATCGGATGGGGAGCGACTTGGGCCAGGAGATGCCCGGTCCCTAGGCGTCTGATCGTCATCATCGGATATGGAAAGAAATCGATCCTGGTGGAAAGACCAAAGTTTCCCTTTCGGATAACGTCGAAGGAGCACGGCTAAGAATGACCTATCCAAATTCGCGACCGGTGTCGTTGAATGAGCCTGGCCAAAGGAGAATGGAACTTCATTTGTTGATAATGAAAGAATGGAGGCTGGTCCACTACCGTCACTAGAACAATCGCTCCCACTGTCCACATCTAGGAAAGGGGTATTATTCGCCTCAAAAAATGCTACACCGCCATCACTGCTCAGATCAAGACTTTCCCGAAGTAGATTTGCAGCGCGTCGAAAGCACCACGAATTGCCCTGTGAGTCGTCCGGAGGGAGCATGTTGCGGCTACTATTTGTAATCCAGTCTGGCAAAGAACTCCCGGCTCTAGATGTTCCCGCTCCAGATGTCCCAATGTCAAGTTTCGACTCGGAGGCACCAGAGCTGAATGAACGTGCTTCATTACTCAAAGATCGATCGTTCGGTGGACTTTGCGATGCAACATTAGATGCATTGTCCTGGGATCCATTTTGCGAACAATTTTCAGCGCTATTCCCTTCACGAGAGCGAGAAGAGTCACCGAACATGCTCCTTCGATTATTTGATGACGGTGGTGTCATAGAAGTTGGCCCAGCGCTGTCCGCTCGAGTTGTGGATGTGCCGACAGTACTAACAAAGCTGGAGCTTCCTTCCACGAAAAAACTCAACCCTCGCGATAGACGAGCAGCCCGGCGGCCTTCAGTGGCCTGGCGACAAATCTTCATGTAATCCATCACTAGCATAGATAATGATCCGAGGGTGTCCTTCTCCAGAGTTGTCAATCCACGCGGCTTTTTATCTAAGACAAAAAAACACCCCAGGTTGATGTTTTTGTCGGTAGTCAAAGGGGTTCCAGCGTAAAATTTGAAGCCAGGCTCGCCTGCAACAAAGGGGAGACTCCTATATCGCTCATCTTCGGACATATCTTCGACAACAAGATGTTGATATTGAGCATTTTGGCGATCAGACGGAGGTAAAGCCGTCGTGTCCTATTAAAGCCAGTTAAATGTGGACATCAGGAGAATGGGGACTGACGGCTCTGTACTGCCTACACTCACCTTGCAAACATTCCAAGAGTCTCGACTATCGGCGGCACCCAGCCAAATCCCGTCCTTGTTATCATGCAGTGATGCGTCATTTAAATTTAGAGACCTCGTCGCTTCAGCTATCACATGTTGTTTATCTCGATCGAGCACGCATATGAATGCACGCTCCACGTTCAAGCGCAACGCGGCTAATTGCGCAAAAGAAGTCAGGGTATTGTTGGATGACCCCAGAACCAGCGCTTCCGGGCCAAACGCCGTTGCTGGGCGCGAGCTACCATTGCTGCTAGTAGCATCTGATACATCAGCGACTGGTGGAGTGCCGGTAGGGAGTGATCCGGCCAAATTAGACGACGGAGCTCCGCCAGCGGAAAGCCATGATGGGATTGCGCCCAAGGGACAAGTGGGTTGATAGTAACGGTAAAGCTCCCTCACTCTGCGATCCGCATGATGTTGAGTCTTCTGGTTTGCGTATTTTATATCCATGTTATTCCAATTGTGCCGAACCGATGAGGATGTAGTCCTGCATCCTCATCCCTCGCGGAGCTTATATCGAGGTGGTCGTCGGTTTTCGTTGTCTGAGGCTGTCAGATTTAACGGACTGTTAGGCACTTGCGGTCGAAAGGTGAACTTGGGTTTCGGTGGAGGGAGCTCGAGGGTGACACGGTCGACGCGATCGGTCTTTCGAGAAATCGAGAATGCAGAGCTGTCGAGATGTGTAGAGGAGAGGAGAGTGAAGTGAAGACGCTCAAGTGGTCAGTTCACCCCACTAGGTTTTCCATGAAAATTGTGTAGCCAACACAAGTGAAACGGAACCACGGGAAGGGGCACAGCACCAGGACGCCCATCTGTCAGGTGGAAACGTACCATTGAGGGAGAATGATTCCAGGGGATGTGATTAGTGAGCCCGACATCGATACGGATTGTAACTCGATCGGCTGGGAAGTCTGTCCCCACCGCCTCCTCACAAGCTACCGAGAAGGAGGGGGCACAATCCCCTCTCCCTTGGGCCATCAACAATGCAGGGTGCTGCGCAAACTGAATCCATTCAAGAAACTCCGTTTTTTCATTGGGTCCAAAGATAGAAGTGGAAGATGATCATCCATAATGGAGAGTTCAAGCTGGAGCAAGCTGGAGCAAGCAAGGACGAAAGAGAAGAAAGCCACCAAGCCATAGCGGAGAACGGCGTTCCCAATGCCCAATCATAAGCTTTAAAGTTGGAAGCCTCAGGTGTCAATAGGATTCAGGTACAGTGGTTCGATTTCCACCAGAATCCACCCCACAGACACACAGACACACACGCATACACGCACACACACGCACACAGACATACTTCCGCCCCAGAAAACGAATTAAAAAAAGAAGAAACTATTTCTATCCTACAGTTTGACCAAGATCTGCAATATACCAATCATCTTCATTGGAAAACATGAGTATCTGTCTGCTTCAAACCCCATAACGCCAGCAACACCAGCCATGACGACACCCCAATACATGTGCACTGCATAGTGAAATGCAGCTCCCCTTTTTAAGGACTAGTGGACGCCCATTCAGCCATCGCATCACGAGGCGGTACCAGTGGCATGCTAGCGCCCGCTGCCGCTATGCCACCGGCAGTACTATTATCGCCCCCATCGTAGGTGGCGGTGGCGACTTTTTCAAGACGGGTACCGATACCGGGAATTAAGCATATTTTGCTAGAGGTCGATCGCTGCGCAATGTACCGATACATAGGAACTGTCCTAACAACTTTGCTGACGATCATTTAAGAATTGTGGCCGGTGACGGCTCCCCAAATATACGCCACCCATCCACCAATAGTAAGTAGTAGAAGGGCTCCAAAGCATCCCATAGAAATCCGTCGAGTTCTTTGTGCATGCGTTACGAGGCTGCACTCCCGGTTGGCTTGGATAATTTCAGCCCCCGACGTAAGTCGTTTCTTTCGGGACCATTGCAGGGGCGCCAAGTTTCGACTCGTGAAGGATGCGATCAGCAGTGCGGCCCCGACGACACTGGACGCTGCTGCCATGAAGAGGTATACCTGTACCACGCGGCGGTAGGAGTTGTCATCCGCATCTTGGAGAGCTCCCGTGATAATACGGAGAATGATACTCATACTATTCTCAGTCAGCTATTTGTTCAGATGTCGAAAAGCATTTTGTTCTCTTTTATTAACACTTACGCGTTGTTCATTGTGACCTTTAGGGAATACGCGGAGCCAAAAACGGACTGGTACCAGAGCGTGGTGCGAATACTATCAATGATGGTTGTCGGACCGAATGACAACGCAACTGCATAGATGCCGAAAGATGCGCCCGTACCGGCCGTCGAGGGAGTATAGTTCAGCAGAACCATGCTTAGCATCATTCCCAGACCGCAAATGAACACTATCCCCCTTAGCCATTGCATTTTGCTTTGGAAGGAATGATAAATCTCGACTTACTGGCTGTTGCTCTTTGGCCAAAAACATCGATGAAAATTCCCAAGCAGGGAACCAAAAGACAGCCTTAGTACTTCGTTAGCTAACAAACACTGCTGGGGCAGATGGATTTGGTCCACTCACCTGCGTATTGAGACAATGAACTATACCACCCAGCTTCTATGGCGCTGACATTGAATCGTTGCTCAGCCAGCTCCGTAGCATTCTGGCTGAAGATACTAGCAGTGCTCGTTTGGAAAATGGAGAAACCCAGAACAGCCCAGAACATCCAAGGTAGCTGGAAAACCTTATGGAATTCGAATTTCTTGTTCTTTTCCGTCAATTGTTCGTTGGTTGCATTATCACGGCGTCCGCGGAAGTGTCGTTGACTGTATTTATTGAAGAACCAAAAGACTCCCGTGGCGACATTGGTAAAGAGGTTCATGAACACAGCTGTCCAAAATGACCAGGCAAAATTCCCAGTATTCTATCCAAATCAAAATCAAAGACATTTCATGAATTTTGTGTCATCCTCCAACTCACCTTTGCAATAATGTTGGCTGTAGATTTGCCAATAAATCCACCAACCTTGCCAATGGCCAATTCAAACGCCAAAGTTGAGGCGAAACCATTGCTCGGGGCAAACCACGACGAAAACATTTTATATTGTGCGACCTGGGTTGCGATATCGCCAAAAGCCAAGATAATTCTGCCCCCAATCATGAAATTGAATGATCGCACGGTTGAAGCCGCTGCAACAAGGATGGATCCGATGGTATAGATAATATTTCCATAAACGATCATTTCTAGTTCAAGGTTAGAAAACATAAATCCCAAGGTTTCTCTATGATGGACTCACCAGCACCACCTATGCGATCGGTGATCAAACCACTGGGTAGGAGCAGAACCGTCGCCATGAAATCTTCACTAGCTTCCAGGAGTGAAAACTGCACATTGTTGATATTCATTTCCTAGGCGAACCAAACTCGTTATTTAAAATCCTTGTTGGTCTCTTTGCTGGTCCAATTACCTTCTTAATGGTACTTTTCATGGCGCTAGTCACGCCGGAGCTCCAGTGCGACCCAAAACTGATGCATGCGATCAAAGCCACGGCGACCAATTTCGCCCATAGAGGAGGAGGCTTTTTACCATTATCCCCATCAGCATCAGGATATTCATCCACGGTAGAGCTCTGGCCGTCGCCCGGTAAAGGCTCCGAAACCTCATTCAACGCCAACTTGGAGACTTCCTTATCTGCCATGACTGGCTGTTGTATGTGTGACAAATCGATGCAAAAACAGCGAGATTAGAGGATGCCATAGCTACTTATAAGGAAAAATAAAATTCGCTCACCCACACACCTGGGCAGAGAACCATTGTGCCAAGTAAAACAACAAGACAAACGTGCTCCGAAAAACGCTCTGTGGTGGAGCCATATCAGATAATGCGATCAGATAACGGACAAGCTCCGGTGAAGCTTAAAATGGACCACCACGCGAAAGAAAAAATAAACTGCGGGTATTCTAGGAGCCTACGTAACAAAAAATAGCTTGGTAACCGGGGTTTCTCTGTGACTTCAAGTGACTCCAAGTAACAGAAGATTGATAAGATTGTTAAGCTCGGAGCTTTACCTAGAAAGGATTCGGATCAACCATATTCTGGAATAGTGGCTTGGTTCGGAGGAACGTCGGAAATATCCTATGCCCAAGAGATTCATGCCAAGCAACGCTAGACTGGGATACACCTGTTTTGTCTCACAGTAGACCCGGATATCCTTCGGGCTTGAGTTATCTTTTGTGGTATGACCTTGCAAGGTGATGGTCAGTTGTGTGGATCTAATGGATCTTATTGTTCTTAAGCTATCCAGGCCACATGGAAGGCGATTATGTGGATCTCGATCTAACGTTAAAGCTGGCACCTAGTGGGGATACTTGCGTATAACAGACAAGATTGATGAGTATTAGGGCGTTCAATGGACTAAAGGATCCACCGGGATTGAGGCTTTTAATCACAAAACTCTAAGACTACGGAGGCGTCCGTGGTGAAGTCCGAGGCTGCGTACATGCTTGGCGCCCAGTAAATTGCAATTTTTGCCATCTGGGAGGATGGTTTTGATTAATCGTGCATGAGAGTCCTAAATACAACGAAATTGTTGCTACCATTCTTGATGTGCTTATCACTACCTAAAATGGACCTCTACAACAAGCTTAAAATATTATTAACCGCCGAAGTATACTATCTGTACTAGTAGAAATTTCATATATATAGAATAACTATAACTCTTAAATGACTGAGGCTTTTATTATCTGAACCTCCTATAGGCGCACTGGCAAAATCTTGAATTCACACCACTCTTTAATCCGCCTATCAGCCAAAGTCCAGACTACCAATCCATTCTTGTTGCTCCCGGGATCTTGCGGCCTTCTTGTTTTTGTTTTCTTCTCTTCTTTCTTTCTTTCTGTCTCTCTTTCTACTCGGTCCAAACATTGAGCTATGCCATAACTTATAAGTATATTTCACTGAATATCAACCCCTCCTGGACTCCATATTTCCTCAATACTAGTGCCTTTACAGCAGAACGGTTGCAACTCATCGAAGTCCACTCGCGAGGAGCATAATTCATGTCTTCGAAGGGAACGCAGGTTAGGCCACATTCAGACCCCAATATCCCGGAATCTCCAGCAGAATCGCAGTCATGATTATTATAGATTGTGCATTCGGTTTTTGTGAACCAAAATAAGCCAGGCGTTGTTGTGTTGCTCTGATCGCAGCTTGTCCAAGACAACCCTCCATTTGTGTACCACCGGCACCAGGGCTTGGTATCGGAGGAGTTGGTTGATATGTCCCCCCTGCTGATGTCTAGGCATTTGGATGGACTCTCGTTTGTGCCTTGTAGCACATAATAATCGCCTTCACAGTTACCTTCGCTGTAGATAGTGGTAATCCATAAGGCGGTAGATGAATTATCCGATGATGTTTTTGTGCTTGTAGTGGAGGATTTGGCTGTTGAAGTTTAATGCGTGGTCGAGGTCGAGGTTGAATGTGTGGTCGATGTAGAATGCGTTGTCGAGTTTTATTGTGCAGGCATTGTCGACTGCGTAGTAACTGTAGATCGACTGGTATCTTTGGATGGTACATAGACAGGCGACCTTACAATGATAATCGTCGACTGCCAGTGACGAATGTTGTATCAAAGACTATGACAGTATTCGTGCCCTTTGATTGATATGAGGATAGAGGTTTGATGTTCACCGTGGCAATTTTTGAATGCTGGATGGTGGTCGTAGTAGTTGATCCAGACGAGATTACAGTAGAGCTAGGAGCCATAGTGTTTGTGCTGACAAGAACGCATTTTCCGATCGATAAATCGCACTATTGCTCCAGTCATCTTGAGTCATACCCTAAAGTGGAATGAATATAAAAATACCTTTTCATCTTGAGACAAAAATGGGTTAAGGGAGCTCAAATCAGACATATTATCTGGACGCGCAGTACCAGGGACTTGAGGGCCACAAAATGCTTGTGGAATCGCCACTGGCATAGGAATCGTACCAGAGCTCAAGCACATAAACCCACCCAACACTAATTCATCACATCCACACCAAGCATATGTCGCCTTGTTATAACTCTCTAGCTCATCTATGGTGGTGACGTATCCTTGGGAGATAGAACCTCATGCAACATGGGCTTGAATGGTATAGGGTAGCAAATACCGTTACTTCCCTGTCTGGGGGGAAGTTCGAGTGTACCAACTGAGCAGCAAATTGGTTTTCCATCTTGTAAGGATGTGCAAAGAGAAAAATCTGTACTATATGCTTCAAGCTCAGTTGTTGCTATACCACATTTACTAGCCAATGTGTCACAAGTGTCGCCAGCTCCGACGAGAATAGATGAGACCGCCTCATCTCTTTTCTATAATATTCTTACAATCAGTTCTCGGAGAAACACTAATCTCAATGCTGTGGTTGGTCTACATACCTCCAAAATATACGCAGATGCAGGCTCAAAATACCCTGAGACTATCCTACTCAGGATCAAAAATTTAACTAGAACTTCCATTTAGCCCAGCGATAGCTGATAGTCATTCGGTGGGGTTTTCGATGTTTTTCGGGCAACAAAATCAAGACTTCCTCCCATACCGAGTTAGCTGGACTTACACCTTTCAAATATGGGAACCTTCGACTGTGAGAAATCAACACGGTAGCCGACTGAAAGTCTACACTCCTTGTAAAGTGACGTAAGCTCACCTAGCTTGCCATTCAAAGCATGTAAACAAAGCCGAACTGAGCACCATTGTGATCAAGTCTAAATGTGGTAAATTATGTTGTTTCGTCCCAACAAAGATGAGTTTCACAGCGTGGGAGTGAATACCTCATCGTGACCTTTCATTTTTGTACTATCCAACGACTCGAAAGACATGGACCAGGTACCCTGTTGTTTAAAACGCCACATTAAGGTCTCTTACAGTTCAAAGACTTTTTCATTCACAGCCAGACTCGGAATGGTGCTAGTGCCATTTAAATAGTAGTAAACAAAAAGCTTCAAGTTGTCACTTACAAGCGTGATCATTGTCCTCTTTCTTCTCAAGAATTATGAAACTTGGTTTTTTTTTCGTTTTTCTTTATTTAATCATTTCGGAGAAATCGGCTCCAACATTCAAAAGTCATCGCTTAGTAGTAGTGATTCCAAGGTTCTACTACTACCAACTTGAAGATGTAAAACGATTCATTTGATGCCTGAGGTTTAATAAGATTCATGTAGTTACTACATTGTTTGATTCTTTTAAGTTGAACAAGGCAAGTTTTGAAAGTATAGTACTACGTAGATCTGATTTCGGATCTCCAAATATATTTCCGAAATACTATTTCGTACCAGATGATCTTTAGGAACATTTGAAGGTCGTTATGATTCGAATCCGATTCTTCCATCCAGGCATCATCTCCACAGTTACTATACTTTCAATCATGAAAACCGACTCCTATCTCCGCTTGCGATTGCTATCTTGGGGACAATAACCATGTGCATTGAGTGGTTTAATTTGCTGCTCCACAAGGTGGTATCGGGAGTGTAGATCTTGTCCAAGCAAGGAAGCGGGACACAAGACATCCTTCCCAATGAAGAGGAAGACAGACGTGGAACAATAATTCCCCGGAAGTTAATTGGAGAGCGGAGAATCGATTGATTCCGCCAAAATAACCCCAAGATCCTCACGCGTCTGTCTTTCTGAAATGGTTTCTCTTTTTCATTGATCGTTGACTACGACTCCTCAACTTTGGCTGCAGTCACGAAATCCAATTGGAAGGAGAAATCGCCGGTAGCCCGGAAAAAAGTTGTATCTTACCCGAATATTCTTATCTCCCGCGACCAGTCACCATGAAGAACGTTGCCGGAGCCGCATTGGTCGGCTTTGCGGCCGTTGCCAGTGCCAATTCCTCCAGCCCTCCTGCATCTGAGCCGACCGGGGCCACATATGCATCTGGATTTGACATGACCAAGAGCTGGGCCAATTTGAGTCCTTATAGAGATGCAGATGGCTTCGGTGTTCCCAAGGGAGTGCCGCAGGGTTGTGAGCTGTCCCAGGTGCATGTCTTGCATCGTCATGCTCAAAGATTCCCCACACCTTATCCGTTGGATGGAGCAGGGATGGAAGACTTCGCAGCCAAATTCACAAACTATACTAAGGCCAACCCCGACACAGTAGTGGGTAAAGGTCCTCTCAAATTCTTGAACAAATGGGAGTACGTTCTCGGCGAAGACACCTTAATGGAGAATGGTGCCGCGACCGAGGCTACCTCTGGTGCCAATTTCTGGATCAACTATGGTAGACTTTTGTACCGCGCTGGCCGGGGGAAGGTCGCTGCGTGGAACGATTCCTTGAATGTGTACTCCAATGGCACGGCTCGCCCCAAGCCAGTGTTCCGCACCACGTCACAGGCCCGGATTCTTGAAAGTGCCAGATGGTGGATTAGTGAGTGGTTTTTATCCTTGTTAATGAAAACTCTGTTCAATGTGCTAACATGTCATCAAAGGTGGCTTCTTCGGAAACAGTGGCGCAAATAGTTCTTATGATCAATACGACCTTGTTATTATTCCCGAGGAAGCGGACTTCAACAATACCCTAGCATCATATGAGCCTTGCGCCTCTGGTGATATGACCGAAGGGTAAGTACTTGAATCGCCGGAAATTACGAAGATTATTTATTAAACTTATTAATTATAATATAGTGATGACGCCGCTGAAATTTTCATCAACCGATACACTAAGAATGCTCTCTCTCGATTTTCATCTTACCTACCTAGCGATTTCAACCTAACTGCTCTCGATGTGCTTGCTATGCAGAACATCTGTGTTTATGAGGACACTAGTCTCGGCGGCTCATCTTTCTGCTCCCTCTTCACTGAACAGGAGTGGAAGGACTTCGAGTACAACATTGATGTTCAATACTACGGAGACTACGCCTATGGCTCCCCTACCGGTCGCGCTCAGGGTATTGGCTACGTTCTGGAGCTTGCTGCTCGCCTGCAACATAAGCTCATCACCTCCAGCGACACTAGCATTAACTACACATACGACAACAATCTCGAGCAGTTTCCTTTTGGTCAACCCTTCTACATGGATATGTCCCACGACGATATCATTCTATCCGTTATCAACGCGCTCAGTCTCGAATATTTCAACTATGGTCCCCACGGGCTTCCCGTCAACATCGATCATGCGCCCAAGCGCAACTTTACATTGAACCAAATGACTCCATTTGGTGCACGATTCATGTCAGAGATTTGGACCTGCCCGAAGAACACATCCTTCAGCACTCTCGATCCTGTTCTGCTATCTAACCCCAACCTTGCGTCGGAGAAGGGCACCACTGACTACATCCGGTTTGTTCTGAATGGTGCCCCGTTGCCATTGAAGGGCCTTCCGGGCTGTCAGTCCGCTAAGGAGGGCTTCTGTCCTGTTCAAAAGTTCTTGCGTGCTGTGCCTGGTCTGAAGGAGAAGGCTGAGTATCAGCATGCCTGCTTCGGCAACTACACCACTGGAAGCCAAGTCGCTGATGGTGCACCCGAATCTTAGATTAATGTCAAACGAAGATTGGAGCGAATTTTGGCATGGATATCTACTAACAATAAACCACTGACGTTCATTGTTCTTTATCTAATGTCAATCAATCATTGCTCTATTGCTGTATGTTTGCTTCACTGGGCCATGGAGGTTCATTCTCCAAACTACCATTCTTCTGCTATACTAGTATCGGTCCCTTGGTATACCGATGTGGGATCATAAGCAAAGGCAAGGCAAATGAAATATTTAAATTCTATAAATGGACCCAGAGTCTAAAGTAAAACATGACACATTCCTATACATAAATTCTTCTTTCAATCACTTATACAATCTCAAACTCAACTGTGCCCCATCCTTCATATGTGCCAGACCATTGTCCAACTTTCATTGGGATAGCCTCCAAACAGCTTCCAGGCATAATAATTTGACCAGCCTCAAATTCAACACCATATTCAGACAGTCGGTTGATCAGCCAAGCAACAGCTGCGAGAGGGTTACCAAGGATGTTCCTGGTGTTGCCTGACATGACCTCTTTGCCATTGTGCTCCAAGTAGCCACGGCAGTTGCTAAGAGTCAGATCGGTAATCCTGCGAGGAGTACCACCAAGGATGATAGCACCAGTAGATCCATTATCAGCAAGAGTATCGGGGAGATCAATGGCCCAGTTCTTGACACGGGAGTCGATGATCTCAATAGCGGGAATGGCATAGTCAATTGCACTAATAACGTCGGCGACGGTGACATTTGGTCCCTTGAGAGGGGCCTTCAGAACAAACGCAGGCTCTAACTCAACAAATGGCTTGATATACTTGTTGAGTGGGATAGATGTGCCTTCGTACTCGAAGGAGCTTGCGTGGAGGAACCCGTAGTCTGGGTGGTCGAGGCCGAAGGCAGTTTGCATCACTTTGGCAATGTTGCCAAGCTTATAACCGACCAATCGGTCGCCATTCTTAACCGCATAAATAGAGTTGATCTCTTGGACCTTGAAGCCGCCGTCGGCATCTAGGCTGGGCCAAGACTTGGTGGGAGGATCAATAGGAGTTGTTTGAAGACGGGCTTCACGCAGAGCCACCGCAACATCGTTCAAGTCGAAGGCTGACATTTTATTTTGGGAAATAGGAAGATTGTAAGATATTAAGATATTAAGAAGCTTTGATTGTAAATAAAATCCAACCATTTGCTGGCAGGAACACGTCTTATAGTATATTCTTATCACTTAGTACATCTATTGACGATGCCCTCCCGCGGTTTCCTGAACCGAAATCGATGATAACCGAGATAAAATGGAGTATTCCCCCACGCTAGGTCATACTGTCTCTATTCATGACCCGAGACTCCCGAGATTCTCTAGATACTCACCATTTACCATGGGTACCAATTAGAGGGACGGGATGTACGGGATTCATGACAGCTAAGGCTCTCTCGGGTGACAACCCGAACCCGAGACCCTTGGACCCACACAGGGCGGATTCGCGGTTGATATCATCCAGCTCCATCATTGTGTCCACCTGAACCACATCAGCAAGCGGATTTATATTTAAACCAGAAATCGGCACTCACCCGATCCGAGTGGATTTCCCCAGCTTCGTACTGATTATCCAGCCTTATATACTATCAATCCTGGGGTCTCCAACGATCGCCAGATGCGCTCCATGATATCGGGAACCCCCGAACCGAATAGGTTTCTCCAGCCCAGGTAATGTTTTGCAGCGTCAGTCCGAAACCTCCAAAGTTCCCCAGATGAGACTCATACCGAGGCCCCACCCAGCCGAGTGTCTATTGAGATATTCGTTTCTCTAAATCTGCTTTACACTACTCATTCCCAGCCCCAGATGAACCACACATCGGGACTCCTCCGACCCGAGTGGATTTTGATACTGTTTTCTGCACTGAATCCCATGTCTCCCTGTCGGATGACACATAGATGGCAAACAATATGGGGTTCAATCTCGGATTCTTGCCTGATGGCCCACAACACATGGCCACAAGACCTGGAGGAAACCTGAATGTGGAGTGAAAGTACGCGAAACACCACAATATTCAAATTATATAAACAGATCGAGTTCCAAGACTTCAATTCTGTATTCTTCAATTCCATTCAACCAAAATCCTATACCCGGAATACACAAACCCAAACAATGGCTCCCTCAGCTATCTACAACGATGACGTTGAACCCCCCGTGGTCATTGGTCCCTCAACCAGAAAGGCCACTCGGCCAACCAAAATCCTTCCTCAGTCCTTGATTGACGGAGCTAAACTTTTCAAGCGCGATACTTTTGATCCTGCCAAGCACTTGAACCATCGCACTCCTGAGTCGATCATGACGATGGAAGAGATCGGATTGAAGGGCCATGGCATTTCACCTCACGCGGCTACTGCACCGTTCTCACTTTTCTCCGAAGAGGCCATTCGCCAGATGCGTGCTGAGATCTTCGACGAGAAAGTTCTCGAAGAATGCCAGTATGCCTCTTCATTTAACACGAATATGATTCGCGGCATGGGCCCGGCGTAAGTACTTTGCTAATCAGCTTCCTGTTTTTCAGCGAAGAGGTGATAGCTAACATCGAGTGTCTTCAGTCGCGCCCCTTTCACATATTCTGCTTGGAAGTCTCCTGAGGTTTTGGCTAAGATCTCTGAGGTTGCTGGTATCGAGGTCGTTCCCTCCATTGACTTCGAGATCGCCAATATCAATGTTTCTATTCGGGATGAGAACGCAAAGGTGGAGCACTCCGTGGATGTCATGTCTGACAACGATCTCCCTGCTGTGGCCTGGCACTATGACAGTTTCCCATTTGTCTGTGTGACTATGCTCTCTGACTGCACTGGTATGGTCGGCGGAGAAACCGCTCTTCGAACTCCCGATGGACAGATTAAGAAGGTTCGCGGACCTGCTATGGTAAGGAACCCGCTTGGAAACACCGAAATAACTTTACCGGCTGACGTAAATTGATTTTTAGGGAACTGCCGTCGTTATGCAAGGGCGTTACATTGAGCACCAGGCTCTCAAGGCTCTCGGTGGCCGTGAGCGTATCAGCATGGTCACTTGTTTCCGTGCTAAGTCCCCCTTGGTCAAGGATGAAACAGTCCTGGTCGGAGTCCGTGGCATTAGCGACATCTCCCAGCTCTACACACAGTACACTGAGTACCGCTTAGAGATTCTCGAAGAGCGCATTCGCCACCAGATGAAGAAGGAACGTGAGCGTGAGATCGCTAAGCGGCCATTTAACATTCCTGAGATCAAGACATTCCTCAACCGGCAGAAATTGTTCATCGAGTCCATGTTGACCGAGATCCAGGAAGTGGATTAAACAAAGAATTCAAGAATGAAAGGCGGCATAATAGATAACATACTTCGCTGTGGAATAGACCATTGTATCGCATAATGAAAATCAAATGAATTTCTCATTTTTTACAGCATATTTTCCTACACACAATAAGAATAAAAGTTCGAGTATAGCGGCTGCCCGCTTTTGCCTCCCTAGTTTGATTAAGGTAACGTTCTTCTTAATTGAGGTATTACGGAATGTGAAATGACTCTATATGTACTACATGAATCAGACGTTCCAAGATCGTCTCAAGTAGAGCGCTAGTCGGCAAATTGAACAATAAAGAGTCTGAATGATGCATTATACGTAAATAGATCACAAAATTCATCATGCAATATTTACTATGACATAAGAAACCCCAGGGAGGAAAACAGTGGCGAATCAATCATCGTAGAAATCAGCTTTGATATCAGGTGAGGGTTTCTTTTGTATGGACAATTATTCCGTCTCTGTTGTTATGACTCTTTCCTAGCAAGGTAGATGGTAGATCAGGGCTTTTGTGGGAAAAGTCTCTCGGGTCCCAGCCGAGCCAGAACCACTAACTGGTTTGCCTCCCAAGCGCCCCAACTTTTGCCGATCGGGGTGCACCCCCAGGGTGACTCCGAGTTAGTCCGAGACGCCAATTGCGGGGAGCGTCTCCAGCCCACCAAACCCAATTGAGATTTATGGGGTCCCCAGGAATCCGAGTTTTCCTAGGAACAATTGCTGTCCCTTTTATTTTTCGCATTACGGGTCAAGATCCCTTAGGATAGTATATAAGGCAGACGGTATTGCCAAGATACCCAAGTTGTGAAGTTCTGCACTCTGGGCAGCACACTTTTCTTTTCCCCAGTATGGCTTTCAATAGTTTGAAGATGTCTGAGCAACCTAATTCTGAACTTGAAGACAAAATCGATGTCCGTGGTCAATTAGAGGCTGCTACTGTTGACGATGTGTTTGGAGAACTCACGGAGAATGGCCCTAACTATCGTAATGTGAGTGCTCATTGTCTGTTGATTTACTCGTTGCCACTCGGATGTCCTGACTCTCTACTAGGTTGGATTCTTTGGAACCGTCGTTCTCATGATGAAGACTCAAATTGGCCTTGGTGTTCTCGCTATTCCCTCTGCCCTTGAAGTTCTGGGTATGGTACCAGGTGTGATATGTCTAGTTCTCATAGGCGCTATGACTACTTGGTCGGGGTGGATGATTGGTCGTTTCAAATTGAACCATCGTGAGATGTACAGTATTGATGACGCTGGTGCAATCATATGGGGAACACCAGGCCGAGTTATCTGTGCAGTTGCATTCTGTTTATGTATGTTTTCCTCCCCTTCTAGGCTGGTGGTGAAAAATCAAACAACATGACTGACACTCTCCAAACAACTACAGATTACATTTTCAACAGTGCCTCAGCGATTTTAGGCATCGAGATCGGATTAAATTCAGTCTCCTCACATGCTACATGTACTGCCGTCTTCTCAGCCATTGCTGCTATAGCTGGCTTCGCATTTTCTAGCGTTCGCACACTTGGTCGTATCACCTGGTTGGCATGGGTTGGGCTACCATGCATTATGTCTGCTAGTAGGCATCTCTGATCTTTTTATAGTCATTGCTATTTGGCTTTGAGAATCTATTTACTGACATAAAACAGTCATCATAGTTACAATTGCGGTCGGCATTGAAGATCGCCCTGCCTCTGCACCAAAAACAAGCGAACCATGGACACCTGATTGGGTTGCTGTTGCTAATCCCGGCTTTGCAAAGGGGATCGCAGCAGTTGCGAATCTCCTATTCGCTTTCTCTGGAGGACCGGCCTTTTTTGCCATCGCGTCTGAGATGCGAGACCCCAAGCACTTCGGCCCAGCCGTTGTGATTTGTCAAACGGGTATCACCATAATTTATACCATCATTGGATGTGTGATATACTATTACTGTGGCACGTATGTTTCTTCGCCAGCTCTCGGTTCAGCCGGTGGCTTGATCAAGATTGTCAGCTATGCCTTCGCTTTACCTGGCTTACTTGTCACCATGACAATTGTCACACATGTAATAAACCAATCGCGCCCTGGGATGAATTTTATAATCTTATAATGCACATTTACTAACAATGCATTCAATAGATTCCCGCCAAATACTGTTTCGTTCATATCCTTCGTGGCTCCAGGCACCTCGCGAGCAATTCCGCTACGCATTGGATTACTTGGCTGAGTTGCACATTTGGAACAACTGTCATCGCCTACATCATTGCCAGCAGTATTCCTTCCTTTGACGATATGGTATCTCTGATTGGTGCCTTCGTCAGCCCAACAATCTGTCTCATTCCGTATGCTGGAATGTGGCTATCCGATAATTGGCACAAAGGTCAAGGCCAGCGAAAAACACCATTCTGGATTTTCATGGTTGGCTTTTGCGTTTTTGTCATTGTCATCGGCCTATTTATCACTGTAGCAGGGACATATGGCTCGGTGATGAATATCAAGGCGTCATACGCTGCGAGTGGTGGCTCTGCTGCGTTCTCTTGCGCTGACAACTCCAACTCTTCATAAGTGGAGAACTTTCTGTTTGCGGTTCAGTGGAAACTGTCTATTTTTCACTGTAGATTAGATTATAGAAATATGTATATAAAGAATAAAGATATAACTTAACATTGATTATATGATAAGCTGCAAGCTTGAACTTGAAACAAACCCCTACTATGCAATATGTTAGATTGAAACGCGTGGATGCATATCGGGACAATCGGATACTAGAACTATCATTTACATGTTTCAAAGTCGAGAAGAGCTATGAGCAGATTCAATATGTTGTATACGTCGATTAAGATTATAAGTCTGACGGAGATATCCCGACGCCATCAAATTGAAAAAAAAGGGCGATGTCCTTGGCTGGGCAGTTGAACCTAGCGAAGCTGCGAGGTCAGCTCGAATATTTCCGCGGGCTCTATTCAAACCCGTCCAGGCCCACTTGATTCCCAAAAAAAACTTGTTACTGAAACATAAACAACGTCAAATTTATGGGCGGAGTCCACTAAAAACTAGCGGACAGATGACTCGAAGTGCACTGACAAGAATCCACTTTTCCTGTCGGTTATTCCGGCTCACCGACCATGACAACTATACGAATCCAAGTAACCCGTAGGCATGCCGGGGTCTAGGGTCTAGCTGGGGAAATTGGGGTACAGAATATCCGGAAGCCCCAGAGGCTAGACCCACAAGACTCCCGAGGCCAAAGCCACTGTAAAGTGGATCAGCAGCTCGCCATTGGCCTGCCCAACAGGGACATGGAACCCCCTCCACGGGTCACTTGGGGTACCCGTCCACAAAACTGACGCAGGAGTACTCGGGCTCGAAGCCGATCGGTAACTCGGAACAACCTCAACTATCCCTGTGGGCATCATCCCAGCATTTCGATGCGGAAAGGGTAAATCAAAACGCAGTTATGGAGTACAGTTGTATTTCGGATTTGGACCGAGTCAATGTGTCAATAATCGGTTCATGGGGGTTTAAATGTTTACCCCAGATAATGTAGATAATTTCTTGTCTCCTCCACACTTTCACCTTTCCTCTTTCATACTTTCAATTCCAAGATAATCTTTTCACTATGCTTGACGTTATTGTAATTGGTGCTGGATTCAGTGGCCTCCAGGCTGCTTATTCTGCCAAACGGGCAGGTCTTTCAGTCGCTGTTGTCGAAGCTCGCGATCGTGTTGGTGGAAAGATCTGGAGTGTACCGTTAGCTTCCGATCGAGGCTGCGCGGAACTGGGTGGTGCATGGATCAACGATAGCCTCCAGCCGCGTGTATGGAGCTATGTAAAGAAATTTGGGTTGAAGGTGGTGAAGCAACGTCTTGAGGGGACTGCTATCATGCAAGAAAGCGAGAATGAAAGGTCCGAATTCCCATTTGGAGTTGCTCCGGAGGTAAGCTATTGAGATTGATTCTCTTCTTTCACAGTGTCAGTTTCAAGTGCTAATACCCACCGTCACTTCCAGTTCACACCCGAGGAGAAGGATAATCTTGCGTTCATTCGCGACCATTTTCAAGCCGAGTCTCTCAAAAAGGGTTTGCCGTCTGCGGAGGTGGACAATATTTCTCTCGCGGAGTATGTTCAAAAGCTCGGTGTTCTTCCCAAGGTCGCCAAGATGGTCAACATTTGGTCACAGGTTATGCACGGATTAGAGGCATCCGAGGAATCTGCTGCGTGGTTTATCGATTATTGTCGCCGTAACAAGGGCTTCATGGCGATCCGCGCGGATGATTCCACTGGTGGTCAATATATGCGATTTCAAGATGGTAAGCCAACTTCATGCAAAAGTTCGAAATTCAATTGATACTAAATATTTTTTAGGTGCTCAGTCAATTGCCAAGGAGCTAGCCAAGCTCATCGGGCTTAATTCGATCTATCTTTCTTCTCCAGTGGATTCAATTATCGATTCCAAGTCCCATATCACCGTGACAACTCGCAATGGAAAAATGATCACATCCAGGAAGTGCATTATGTCCGTTCCCAGCACTATGTACAAAGAGTTCAATATTAGTCCCCCACTACCCGCAGACGTTCAAGCTGTTACAAACGGAACAGTCTTGGGTGATTACAACAAAGCAATTGTTTGTTACGATAAACCATGGTGGCGCACCGAAGGATTCAACGGATATTTCGCGAGTTACTCTGGCCCATTAACATTGGGTAGAGACACATGTGTCGAAGAAAAGAATCACTACTCTCTCACTGCCTTCGTCAACGGCAAGCCCGGAAGAGAATGGAGCAGGTTGCCCCCACATGCCCGCCGAGCTGCAGTCTTGAAACAATTATCCAAGGTTTTCAAGAGTAATCCTGAAGTCTTCCGTCCAATTGAATACTTCGATCAGATTTGGCAGCATGAAGAGTTTAGCCGAGGCGCTTTGGCACCGGTACATGCAATTGGCCATCTTACCAAGTATGCTTCCGTTTACGGTAAGCCCGTTAGTAACCTTCATTTTGTCGGTACTGAGTATAGCCCCGAGTGGAAGGGTTACATGGAAGGTGCTCTATGCACTGGTGAGCAAGGAGCTGAGCAGGTACTTGAGTCTTTGAAAAAGATTCCTGCGAAGATTTGAGACTTCAAACGTTCAAGCTTATCTCGGATTTCTACGTGTGTCTTGCATTGTCCAATAGGTCTTTTTTACAATGTAAATATAATCATATATCAAATTCTATACATCATATGAGATAACTGTGTAATCGGAGCTTTTTGCCTCATCTAATCTTCCTGTTTAATTCTATGCCAATATCCATACTCCAAACGGTAACGCAACGCTCATAGAGAGTACATGTACATGACTCAATAATTATACCGCCAAGGTCGTAAAAGAAGAAAGGAAATACCAAAAGATGCAAAGTACTAATTAAGAAGGTATTGCAAGCTCCGAGGCTCTACTCAATGCCCTGTATTGGCGACGCCGTAGGGTCCAACACGCTATTGTCTGCCCCAATCTGTTCAATAATGGATAGGAACTCATATGAAGAGATTCCGATATCATCCAACAGCTCGACCCCATTAGGCATCCGCGGAGCCTGTTGATAACCATGCATATCGTATGTATCAGGGCTATGAAGATGCGCTGCTGATTCATCCATGTGACTTAAATGATGAAAGTTAGGCTGCTGTTGCATATTTGCTTCCTGGTCGATGTGATCTGGAGTTGTAAGGAGTAGTTCCTGCAAGCCATATTGCTTTATTCGGACCGCCAGCTCATTAAATAACCCTTCCAGATGCGTGAGCTCTATCTTTCGAGAAGATGCGAGTCTGTTCCCCTTTGAGATCATCTCATCCAGTATGGAATGTGCCTTTTCGCCATACTCTTCGCCCTCAATTGCGTGTGCGAAGAGCGTTTTGGCCATCATCAGATGGAGAGCTGCTCCGTATGTGACTTCCATTTCGAATGGAAGGAAAACCTCTGGTGGGCAAAGTATGTCAGCTGGTTATAACTTTGAAGGGAAAGAAGGAAACTATTCACCAAGAAGACTATCTTCGTCACTTAAAATCTGTAGAGTCTTGATAGCTGATTTTATCCCTGTGGATATCAATGCTTTTGTGGGAGCCAGAAAGCTCTGCCAGTCATTTTCCTGCTGTCCTAATCTTTCCAGTCTTTCTTTAAGAACTGAAAGGAGAAGAGGACGTGTTGCTATCATAACGCACTATCATGGAGTTAGTTACAGTCCGCTCGTAGGGCCAGTCATACTTGCCTGATGATATAATAATGTAATGTATCGTGTCCCTTTCGGCATAGTCTCTACCGAGGCTGAATTCTTTGGATGAACTATCTCCTCTATCTCCCGGGCATAGACAGTCATAGTCTGCAGAATAGTCCTCGTCTTGTCAAGGAATGTGCCAAGTTCTGTCTTCTCGTCTTTATAGATAGCTAGAAAGGTTCTATGTCAGTTTCGTCTTCATGGTAGGAGCCTAGTGCATCTCACAGGATAAAATCGACGTGAATAAATATGACAACTTCACGTGGAGACATAGGGTAGCATCATGTCTTGATCCCCCTCTAGTAGAATTGAGAACAGTCGTAATATCATTGTCTTGAATAGTCATAGGAAGGCCCAATGAAGAGGAGATATGTCGATCCATCACGTAAAGTGTCCACCAAACATTTCTGCAGCGATTTACTGTTTTGAAACCAAGCTCGTCTTCGGGAAGATCCGTATGTAGACCATCAAGCTGCGCAATTCTTATGGCTTGGACAACCTGTTGGGTGTCAGGAACTGGGATGGTCTCATATATCAACAGAGGCACTTACATAGACGTTTGCCAGTTCTCTGTGGTCAATTGAGTAGAGATAAAGCCCAGCCAACGCCATCACCTCCACAGCCATGAGACCCTTGGTCCAAAGATCTGTATAATCAGGCATGAGAGACATAGCACGCACAAAATATTTGGAGCCCGGGGGGTCTCTACTATTCCGCGATCGCAAAAGAAACGCATTACCAAAGGCAAGAACCAGCAAAAAGTGAACAAACCAAAGGCGATCCTCTGTGGCTTTACGAAGTGAATTATTACCGTAGAACTCATGCAGGTGAGCTGTGAATGCTTCTTCGTCGAAAAAGCGATAATGTTGGTCAAGGTGGTGTTTCACGGTGTTAAAAAGATAAAGAGCGTCATCATGCGAAGGAAGTCCACTGATGTCTGGTGGGTCTTCATTAGGAGCTGCTCTCCATCTCAATGGGTAGACCTCTTGATCTAGGGAACTTGGGACCTGGTATGGGGACTCGAGATGTAGGTTTTCAGCCATCATGATAGAAAGACGAGTGGTCAGAGACCATAATGATGTCGGTGCCAACCAGGCTGGGTCAAAGTTAGCAATCGTACCTTATCATAATTGAGAGCGAAAAATACTCCAGCCGGTTTTTCCTTTGTAAAAGCTTTTGACTGTTCTAGATGGTAAAGTAAACGGGTTGGCCCACACACTTCGCGCGTGGTCAACCGCATGATAGAGTGGCAAGGTTTCTTCGCGATACCCCGGACTTGCTGCTTCGACTGAGTTAGTTCTGCAAACAAACAGCAAAGAGAGGTTGGCATACTAGAAGATGCTGAATCGAATCTGATCATGGGTCCAAATGCAGCCTCAGCCGATCTCTTCGATCCAGGAGAGACGTCTTGCGCCCGTGGACCCGGCTGGTTGTTTTTCGCTTGGTCAAGCAACCTTTGCAGATACCTGAAGAAAATTTGTGTTATTCCTTATTCTGAACAATGCTATACATGGGAATGCAAACTTCTCGTCAACCATTATTTTGTTTGCATCCGCAAATTGGCACTTAACCCCCCGCCGTTGGCAGTTGGCACATGGTTCAGAGCCGGAACATTTGATCTTACTTTGTCGACAAGCAACGCATCTAAATGTAATATTTTAGTATATTACCAGAAATAAAGCGTCCATCCATGTAAGGAAGGGAATCTCACGCGTTGGAAGTCCGTTTCGACCTCTGTGTCTCGCTTTGTACCTTCGATTCCATTGCCTCGAGCAGCGACAAAAGAAAAGAACAGTTGACTCTTTCAAATGGAGGGATGTAGCATGGTCTGGTCTAGTATCACGCGAGATCTCCTCATGAGGCCCTCTTATTACGGGAAATGTGGGTGGAGGGGCAACCAGTTTCCCCGTGGCTCCACATCGGCCATTTGAGGTATGAGTTGGAGACCCCATATATTCCCCGTGTCATTACCAAGGATAGTTGGCGTATTTAATGCCTTACTCGGCAAAGTATCACGACGAAAATAATAAGCTTTGGGCGGAAAGATATTTACAACAACGGGATTTTAGACAATTGGCGCCACATGGACACATGTGGCGGCTGCGCTACAATACAGTCGCCAAAGAGTTAAGGAATATCATGTCACTGACAAAAAAAAGTGACTTATGCGAAGTAACTCTTACTTCATTTTCTTTCTTGCTCAGTTGAGACCTCTATGTAACATAGCCGGTAGGTGTGGGGATGCCATATACGGGGTTGTCAAGACGTGGAGAAGAGACCAGAATCCACCGATTGTCACGAGGACACCAAATTTTATATCGTCGAGAGATTCACGGGCGCTGATATATACAAATTACGGACTACACGCCAAAACACGAAAAGAGCTGTATATTCGGCTTGCTCGGCTTCAAATGTGTCAATGAGAGTTTACGCCATGACCCTCGGAAAGAACTCGCGAGTTGCGTCTTGGCGGCGGAGAGTTCCGACCGTGCGCGTTTTGGCCCCCGCGATTGTAACCCGTTTAAGCAAGTGGAGATCGGATTAACCTCCGATACTGTCTGGAAACATGGGTATCTCTTTATTTCGCGGTAGTTCACATCCTGATGAACATTGAGCGAAGCATGGCATTAACTGTTAGTAGCTCTTCGGTAGGGAAAGCTGATACCGAGCATTGTTTACACTGTTATGGTGGATGTTCCGGATGTATACTCACTCCGTAGATCTTGAATGTTGAGCAATAGGTAAACGAAGACAAGTATAAGGTCGTTGCCGGATGCCGACCTAATTCTTTTGTCAATCCGTATCATTGTACAGATTTATCGCGAACAGATAAGTTGATGGTAGAAACAGGTAAAAATTTGGCAGTTGTTATTTAGAATAAAAAATCGTCATCATTTCTTTAAATACATAGGTCTATCAATAGTGTGAAATTGCAATTTTTGTCATAACTCGTGACCAGTCATATGGCCATCGAGGTCCCCATGGTGCTAACCATTCCCTGTACTTATGACCTTACAGGTTGGCGTAGATAGTATTGATGCCACCAGTAATGGTCATCTTGACGTTGACATAGTCTTCAATGCCGTACTTACTGCCCTCGCGGCCCATGCCAGAGTGCTTGACACCACCGAATGGAGCAGCGAAGTCGGAAATAACACCAGTGTTGATAGCGACCATACCGAACTCCAATTGCTCACCCACACGGTGAGCGGTACCAAGATCGCTAGTCATAAGGTAGGAAGCGAGTCCAACCTCGCAGTTGTTTGCGCGAGCAACAACTTCGTTCTCTGTGCCGAACTTGGAGATAGCTGCAACCGGACCGAAGGTCTCCTCGCTAGCCACCTTCATAGAGTCCGTAACATCGCCCAGAATCGTAAGTTCGTGGAAGTTCTTGCCAACAGATGGCAATGCGTTACCGCCAAGCAAGACCTTGCCGTTCTTGCTGATAGCGTCCTGGATGTGTTCCTGGGTCTTCTCGACACCGTTGGTAAGAGGGCCATGTGTGCTGGCAGCATTTTGGCCATTTCCGACCTGGCTCTTCTTCACCTCTTCAACGAAGCGCTGGCAGAACTTATCATAGATGCCTTCCTGGACGTAGAAGCGGTTGGCGCACACGCAGGTCTGACCGGTCACCTTGAACTTGGCGATGACGGCAGCAGTAACGGCAGTCTCGAGATCGGCGTCGTTGAAGACGATGAAAGGAGCATTACCGCCCAGCTCCAGGCTGAGCTTCTTAAGGGTGTTGCTAGACTGCAGCATCAAGATCTTACCGACACGAGTGGAACCGGTGAATGAAATCTTCTTGACAGCGTTGGACTCGCAGAGAGTCAGACCGAGAGATGGTGTGTTCTCGAGAGCTGTGATGACATTGAAAACACCCTTGGGCACGCCAGCGCGCTCGGCAAGGGCAGCTAGGAGGTTTGATGCGAAGGGGGTGAGGCCGTCAGACTTCATGACGACGGTACATCCAGCAGCCAGGGCAGCGGCGACCTTGCGGGCACCCATAGCTAAGGGGAAGTTCCAGGGAGTGATCAGACCACACACACCAACGGGCTCCTTGGTAACGTGGATACGACAAGAAGGATTGCTGTGAGGAATGACATCACCGTAGATGCGAGGAGCTTCCTCGGAGAACCATTCGAAGAAACCAGCAGAAAAGAGAGCCTCGCCCTCGGCATCACCCTTGGTCTTGCCGTTCTCAGCTGTGATAACCTTGCCGATATCCTCCTTGTTCTCACCAATAAGCTCAAAGAGTCGACGCAGAATGCGACCGCGCTGGCGACCGGACTGAGCGCGCCATGTGGGGAAAGCCTTAGCAGCGGCTTGGATAGCTGCGTTAATATCTTCTGTGTTGGATTCAGGGCATGTTCCGATCAGGGCGTCGGTCGCCGGGTTGTAGACATTGAAAGTCTTGCCGGACTTTGAAGCAACCCATTGTCCATCAATATATGACTTCTCGACAAAGAGAGAAGGATCTTTCAGGCTGGTAGAGAAAGACATTTTGGAGATTGTGTCTTGTTTACCTCACGAGGGGTCGCAAGGTAGTAAACGAGTAGTCGAGGATGAAGTAGAGAAATCAGGAATGTTGTACAGAGGAAGAAACGCCTTCGACTATTATAAGTTTTTCTTCTCCCCACGAGCTGCTAGCAGAGCTTCAAGCAGTTGTCATACATCACCGAAGTCCCGATAACTATAGTGGGGGAGGGGAAGCTGCTCGGCCCAGAACCCGATATACCCGAGGCCACTGTAACTGCCCCCACCATATACCCCCCTGGGCTCCACCATTGGTCATATGGTTCAGGGCATGGGGAATATGGTAATTCGAGGTCACTTAAGTTGTGGATGACATATTTGCTGCAGATCTAATGGGATGAGTGTGCATCCATGAGTGAAATCCAAGGCTCTTTTTGCTTATTTATATCATATTCCATCATGATGTTCATGATTATGATTAGTTACTAGATGTCGCTAAACAAAATGAATTGCTGGGATACACGTATGAGGTGTCGACAACTTGCACGTATTTAGGCACACATACTACTAGCCAAAAGTAAATGTACATTTGATGTGCACAGTAAGCTCGGTAGCTTGAAGGTCGCGGCGATGGATTGTGTTAAAATGAATATAACTTGAAGTTAATTTCCCATGATTATACATCTGATTTTTTCTATGTACCAATGTACCAAGTATTAACCTAGTTTAGTTCTTCGTTTTCTCTTTAAATTCGGACTTGGAAGATCTATTATATTTTTGGGCGTCAAGATTCGTTGCCCGGTCCGGGAGCATGATGCGCACCAAATAAGCGTGCGCTTGTTTATAAGTGATCACTCTCTAACTGGATCAAGTCTCGGGTCCTTCTAGACAAGATCGGCGTTTTTCTTAGCGGCATTTTTCATCATCTCGTTCATGAAAGGGCTGCGTGCACGTACTTCCTTCCCCCACACAAACATTAAAGTCGGGACAAGAGATAACACCAACGATACAAATGCAAGCAGCGTGCTTGCCCAGTTGTACCCGAGTGTGTTGTACATACTCATGGTAGCGAGGGGCAGGAATGCAGAGAAAATGTTCTCACCCGTAGCCACGGCTCCCATCGCACTGCCAGCATACTGACTATACGCATCAACAACATAGTCCGACACACCCGACACAACCAGGACGCTGCCAGCTCCCACTAAAGCCAAGCTGATAGCTGGGGCGATCCACGGTATAGAGGTATATGATGTCCAAGCATACGTGAACATACCACCGGAGATACCGAAGATTCCTCCTGAGACAGCCATATACAGTCTTGCTTCCGGAATCGGTACTCCAGGGATCTCAGTATTGCGTGACGCGGACGCAAAGTAAAGCTTTCGTGAAATAAAGTTTAGTGACCATCCGATACACTCGCCGATGACGATGGAACATTGAACGAAGCCAGTCCGTGAAACACTCCAGCCATATAGCCCGATAAAGACCTGCTCAACAGATTGCGTGAAAATAAATAAGGTACCCACTGCAAATGCAGACCACATGGTTGATACAAATAACACCGGCTCTGTCATAACAAGGATAATTGGTCGAGTGGAGCTAACCCAAAGGCTCTGGAAGTTCAGCTTCGATGCCGGTTTCTCATTTTCGACATGGACCGAAGCGCCATTCTTCCGCAGTTTTCGTGCCCGTCGCTCGAGGATTGCACTACCGCGCGATTCGTAGAAAAAGAAGTAGTAAATTGGGAACAGAGCTGCGAACCAGATGATTTGCATATAGCTGTTCCACCTCCATCCCAAAGACTGGTAGATAGCAGCCCCCATCACAGGGCCCATACTACTTCCAGACATATAGCCTAAAATATACAGGCTGACAGGAATGGTTCGAGCATATTCAGTCTCCCATAGGTTCCCAACCACACCGGCCGCCGTGTTAGCTAAGATCGCGACGCAACCCCCAGCAAAGAAACGGGTAACGATCAATGTGGCAAAGTTTTGGGCGACGGCCTGAGGAATAAGGAAGCAGATGAGAGTCAGATATGTTCCGAGAAAGACGGGTCTTGTGCCGAAATCTTCTGATATAGGGAGTATGAACAATGCCGAACATGCACCACCAGTGGCCCATGTAGTGACTGGCCAGTAGGAATTCGGAAATGACTTTTCAGTGATATGGAAGAGATCGGAGATTTCAATATGGCCGACTGTGATGATAGTCCCGTTCATCATCGTGAGAAATGTAGTGAAAGCAGCGAGACATGTTAACGCCCATTTCCGTGAAATTGGCCAATTGAAGGGGTTTTCAGGATCATGATGGCCATCCCAAGAAATCGTGTTTGTGTCACTGTCGCTGGAATCGGAATTGATATGTGTTGATTCAGCTTGATCTTGAGTAGGCAAGCTCTTTTCTTCAAAGACAGTCATATCAACTCGATATATATACTTTGAAAGAACCCTTTGTGTGATTTTCCCAAAATGGCTTGTTTGTTCTTCCAGGTGAGTGTCCGATTTGAAACCGAGGAGTATGAGTGTGTGTTATTTGGTTCCTTTCAAGATCTTGGGCGAGTCTATTTATTCATCAATCGAATTTTCCAACCGGGTTTCACAGATCCAGACCTCCAAGTATTACCCTCTTTAGGAGGTCCTGGCAGTACATGATGTGGGGTGGATACCAATATGCCCCTCCATTGTTGATTTGTAAATTGACTAATACCATTAGCCTTGGAGGATCATTCTTGCAAGCGAAAGTAGTACCATATTCCCTGAGTCGGCCATTGGTCCTTGCTTGGCCAGCTTGGCTGCGACTTTGCGTTAAAACATGCGCGTAGGGTCCGATAATTGTCAACCGGATTCTATGAATTTCTCACGCCGTAGTTCTCGGTGATCAGAGGGGCCGATATACACCAAGTCGCCGGGTTCTAGAGCGAGAGTAGGAGAATACTCGCGTAAGGTGTAAAATGAGACGTTCTCGTTATCGCGTAAGGCTGTTTGTCTTAATGGCGCTAACCAATTATGGGTAACGGGAGGAGAGCCGAAAACATATGGTTTGTCTACAATTACATCTAATTATGTATTTTTTGTTTTCGTTTTTCTTTCTCCCTAAAAAGGGTGCTCATATATTCATTGCCCTCAAAATTTGCTTAAGCCCCTGTGCTAGAAACTTATCAAGGCCCAATAATTATAGCCACAATCATGAAGATGTTGGAGAAACCCGAAGATCCCGAGCAGAGTGGACCCATCAAGAACCCTCGGGTCCAACCCGAAGGCCCCTGGGTTTCATTGGCAATAGCGGCTCGACGCCTAGCGGACCCCTAAATCCGACATGCCCGATATCCCGCGAGGTCCTATCGGGAAAATCGGGGGCTTGGTGCCTGACACGAGAGAGGTCAGTTGAATTATACGACATTCATTATTGAATAGTCGTACTTCCTGACAGTTACATTAGTAGTTTATAGAAAGGTCTCCATCATATCTTCCTGTCTCTCCCCGCACTCTTCATCTCCACAACAAAATCAAGCAATCTACATCTTATCAAAGCTCCAACTCTCGGTATCAAAAAGCAAATACTACTATAGCAATGTTGGCACCACATATCGTCGCGTCTGCTGCAATTACCTTTGCAGTTCTTGCGCCTTTCGTCCCACCGGCCATGGCATCCGCAAAGTCGCGATCTGGCCAACGTGCTTCTTACTATCACCACCCATTCAAGTATTTTATTCTTCCCTATCAACATCTCATCATGCAAATTCTGACTTGCTTCAGAGCTTATCCTACTCGATGCTTCCATGCGAGGTAGCCAGTGCCTCTTGCCATCAACTATCGACTGTTGTTATGAACGACAGCATTAATTGGCGACATCCTACACTTATTCAACGACCGCATCATGAATTGGGAATTATTAATTTGATTTTTGCGCATATAATTGTATACCGTTTTCTTCGGCGGGCTTTGGTAGAATCATATACTAGGGTATCAAAAGGGCGCATATGTGAATCGAGCTTTTTTCCCTTGCCAATACAGAGACTTTGCGAATATTTACTGAATTATCTCATTAACACTATGACCCCTTTGAATAATTTAGTATATAGGCACTCAGAATAGTTACAATGTACTCCAATTTGGTGCAAATTTACGTCAAACATTTGCTCAGTGAGATAAAGCTGATAGACATTCGGTTGTGAAACTTGGACGCGTACAGGATTCAAAAGACACGCGCGGCACAAAAGTATTTCATAAGCAGTAAGTCAATATGGATCGATTGAAAGCTATGCAAAGCCGAAGTATCAAAGGAGCGGTATCTAGTTCAAGAAGACTTTTCGTGCGTTGCAGCTTAAATAGATCAATTGATGAAAGTCATCCAAATTCCAAATTCCATTCCAGGATTGACGCTTTTCAAAGCCAAAAAGCAGTCGGAGACTCAAGATTTAGAAGCCGCCAGGTCCACCGCTGCCACCACCGCTACCGCTACCTCCAATGCTGCTGCTGCTGTCACTTACTCCACCAGAGGAGGTAAGGTGGGCAGCATAACTAGCATCGTAACTGGCCGAAACGTTCACACCCAGGGTAACCCAGCCAAAGATTCCGTCCTCCACAGTGTCTCCCAACAAAGCGTACTCGAAGAAAGGGTCAGAAGTCGAGTCTTCAGTCTCATCTTGAACAACATGATCATCGATGTTCTCGGTGATAGAAACGGTGTTAGTGTTGTATGGGTAAAGAGCCTCGACTTCATAAATCAGGTCCTGGTCAAAGAAAACTTGGCCAATATGCGGGATAGAGCCACCAGTAAGAGTGTTGTTGGACAGGACTGTAGCATCGGTATGGGCGATGACATGAATATGGGTAGTCCGGCCAGAGTAATGACCGGGGAATACAGTCTTGAACTGAGCCACTCCATCGGAGTCGGTCTTCTGCAATCCACGAAGGGAGGTCCTGTTGAGGTTGGCTGCGTCGTTGCCGTTGCCGTTTGAAGAGCTCTGAATGCCAGAATAGACACCAGTGGAGTTACAGTTCCACACATCCCAGTATAGGTCCTCGATCGGTTCGCAGGTGTTGATGTCGATGAATTGACCGTCAATGTACAGCGGGACGCCAGGCTCATCGTCGGTGAGATCTTGACGAATGTATTCACCCTTCACCCAGAAGGGACCAACTTCTCCCTCAGGAGCCAGGATGCAGACAGGGCTGTTTGAGAACAACTCCGATTCAGAGGTGCTTGAAGTAACAGAAAGGGAAGAGTGGTGGTCCTTGGAGACTGTCTCATTGGTGTTGCGAGCATGAATGGTGTGTCTCTTGTTTTTCTGGAGAATGGCACTGCGACGGGTGCGAGCACGTTCATTGAGACCACGCTTCTCAAGGTGATCGGCACAGAGGTCCAGCGAGCGACGAGCATTGTGGAGGAAGTTCCGTTTGGCAACACGAGAGTACGAGTTGGGCTCGTGAACTCCGGGATGGGCCATTGCCAGACCGCAGAGGGCAAAGCCTGCAAACTTGGAGAAATGCATAGCAAAAGAATGCGTTTTAGTAGCTTGAGAAGGACAATTTGGAAATTGAGGTGCTTGACAATGAAAGCAGCCTGCGAGCTGGGATCGTATTTATAGCCCTTGTAGTATACAAGCAAATCGGTACAGCGATGCCATTATCTGAATTCACATGGTCAATTGACTCGTCAGCGTCGTCGTCACGGAAGTCGCCCCAGGCCAAGACGCTTAACAGGCTGGTGCTAATCTCAGGATCAATCTGGCTTGAAGAAAGATATTCCTCCAATTCAACAAACGCTTGGCACTCTAGCAGTCACGTTCAGGATTGCGCTGACAATATGGCCCATTTTGATTGGACTCTAAAGTCGTCGAGGTGGATTGAAATCACCCCGATGCTCCATTTGCCAAGGTCCTTGATGTAAGTAAATGAGTGAATCCGCCGGTGAAGCTCCAAATGATCTGCAGCCAAGCCCGTCTAGATGCAGGAGCTGAAATCTCAAAGTATCAGCCATAAATTGATCATTCCTGCGCCAGTTATTGGAATCCAAGTATTTAAATAGTCGATATTTGTGTGCAATTTCGCCGATTGTCTTTTCGAGTCTTCACTCATTCAAGCTTTGATGATATCCCATGGATGCTGCGCACATGGTATAGCCTTGGCGTTGAGGTAACTACAATTCTTTGCCAAGATTTGTATTTTATAGTGATTGCGTGTATTTTAAGGGCTTGGCCCGCCACACACGGGACCCCAGAAGCTCTATCTTCCATAGTGGGGATAGTTAGCAATATATGAAACGCCAGTCGCTGAAGCATTCTTCAGGATGCGCCGAGACGCAGATCATAACCAAAACTCGGAGGATTGAACGTCCGCTGACTCAGATATCCCGCCACTATCATTGGCCAAGACTATAATTCAGGTCTACGCGACACTCAACTGGTGTAAATTGGCTGTGCCATTCGCCCTTGCAGCGGGATTTTTGAACGCCTCGGGTTCCTTGCGCACCTCATGGATACCGGTTCTTCGGCATTAACTGGCTCGAAATTGAGGACTGCTTGCGACCTATGTCGCCTTCGTAAGGTTGTTCTGAACATTCAATAGCATTTTTTTTCTCGAGTAGACGGCTACTGACATCACCATTCTGCTTCGGACGACTATAGATCCGCTGCGATCGAGCTCAGCCTGCCTGTGAAAATTGTCACATAGCGAGACACCCTTGCATATTCACCCCGCAATCCAATCAAACACGGAAAGGCCTCCGCGAGTAAGTGGTCCCAGCCATGTTGTTGTTTGCAATAAACCCCTCCTAATTGGGTCAGTGAACTCTCCGCCACCCAGGCACGCGTGCGGGAGCTTGAAGACGCTCTGAAGAGAACTCAAAACTCCGCATGTCAACCTTCTGACAGCCAGCCATCAAATGTCACTAGCCAAGATCTTTCTCTACAGCCACATGGTCAGCCACCGCCATTTAACTTGGATGTGAGCTTCATACCTGACACGCGGCCTCTTGAAGCCGCCATTTCGGTAATTCGGTCACATCTCTCACACTGCGGCCTTGGGACCCCTGATTCATCCATAAGAGCAGACTTTTACTCCGCTGTCTATCAAAAAACCGGATATGTGTTTGATTTGGAAGACTTTTTGCTGGGCGCGACACAGTCCTCCGAGACAAAAAACCTGACATCAAACAGAAGGCCGGTCATTTTATCATGGCCATTTTCAAATCTCGTTCAGCTTTGTATAAATCACTACATTGAGAGTGGGCTATACTCCCTGTTTCCATTTGCAGATGTTGTTTCCTTGCAATTTCTTCTCGATTCCCAAGTGCTGGATCAATCGAAACATGCCCGTGCATCCAGTCGTGCTTGCTTGGCAGCGTTCACGGCCAATATTACCATAATGCATCGGCACAAACCAGAATTTTCTGGTGCTAATCCGGATGCTTACGCCCAAGCGGCTTTCACCCTCATACCCCAAATTATCACAGAATTGGCAGATTTGCGGACTCTGGAAGCAATTATGATGTTGGTAGGTACTTCACCCATCTAAGATCGAAATTTCTCCTCTAAATACTCTACAGATCATCTATCTTTCGCCTCTTGGCCAGTCCCAACCAATCGATCTCTTATTAGGAATTGCCATACAAACTCTATACAGTCTAGGGGGCCACAAAAAGAAATCTTCCCAGGGAACATCGGACCAAGCCTCCAATGATCGGCATTTGCGCGCTCTTTTCTGGCTTTGCTATGGTATCGACAGCGAACTCTCGATTCGAAATGGTCGCCCACCTTTACTAAATCATGACCACTGTGACCTCGATCTACCCGTCAATTATGCCCAAAAGTCCAAAGAGCAACATTTCTACTGGAAACCTCTGTGTTCCGACGAACTTCTATACCCGTCAGACCTCCGGTTCAACCTAATCAAGACCAAAATATACGCCATGCTCTATTCCGAGAAAAACGCACCGCAGTCGGAGGCGGGAAGAATACAACTAATTCGAGAACTGGACAATGAGTTGAGCGATCTCAGATCCGAGTTCCCTGTCAACTGTCGTCCGGATGTCTTCGCAACTGAAAACACGCCGAAATATGTCTTCCACGATCTCAGCATACGAGGAGTCAGTATTCATCTGGAATATTATTATTGTCTAGGCCAGATCCACGGCGCAAATAATCCATACAACATATCTGCTGCTGGCTCCCATTTACCTCTGCCATCTAGCGCGGAGATTACTTACGAAGCCGCGCGGTCCACACTGATCTACATTGGTCGAGTGAGGCATTACATTAATTATCACACTTTTTGGTACGCCGCTTACTCTACGTTTGTCAGATCTTGTTTTCATTTGTTTGTCTAATCGTCCATTTATTGGATAGGATACATGCCGATTTTATTCTTACGGCTATTATCACACTCTTTCGGTTTCTCATTATGCGCCCTTCTGCACCAGGCTTCTCCAGGGATATCCAAATTATGGAAGAAACAGCACAAATATTTGCGGAATTTCTTACTTCTGATGACCCCGAGCGAAGGGGTTTCTCACCTTTCTACTTGACCCATAGGTTTATCAAATGGTTAGTATTCCTAGCCCTGGGATCTCATTCCAGATAAATCCATAATAAATAGTCCAGTACATATAAATTATTATGAACTTAGAGTTGTTGTTTTCTTCTAATTATGGTTGGATACTAAAACTCATTCCTTCATTCCAAAGAATCTAGGAACAGTGTTTAAAACAATCACCAAGGGTAGTCCTCCAGAGCACATCAGCAGTTGAACTGCGATTCTCCAGATGCAGAGGACAACCCATTGGGATCTCCACACGAAAAGAACCCGCTTATAAAGTCGCGTGTCTTTATGGTCAATGCCATATATCTCAGTCCTTATCTCAACTGTTTGTCTCATTAATCTCATTGCGTCCTCGTATCTAGCAAGAGAGTTCCAAGTGTATGCCAAGTTGCTCATGCATCTAATTGTTTTGGGGTCTTTTTTGCCGAGGAAACGAGTTGCAGTTTCCAATGCAGTTACCTCAAGAGCTTCAGCCTCATCAATTCGGTACTGACCACAGTACATAGATGCCAATCCTCCAATCCTGAGGAGTGTTGTCGGATGGGTCTCTCCAAGAAGAGCTTTGCTAGCATCTAGGACCTCCGTTTGCATTTCTATAGCATCTTTCCATCGGCATTGGAGTTCGTAAGTCCTAGCCAAGGCGGCTAAATAGTCGAGTGTCATTGGATTCTGATCTTCACTCAATTTCCTGTGCAGATCTAGAACCTTAATTTGCAATTCTTCGATTCCTGTGAACCTAGATCGATTTAAAAAAGCAGCGGTCTTCCTCACACTAAGTTATTTTTGTCAGAATTTTTGTTCTTTGAGTTGTAGTCGTCTCAACACTCACAATGGGCGGTCTGGAGCTTTCAACAGCCATCCTCTATCACGACGGTGTCCTGCTAGATTTGACATGCAGCGAATTGTGTGGGAGTGGCTTTCTCCTAGTACTTTTTTGCAAGCCTCAACAGTCTGCAACTCTAGTATTTCTGCGTCATGTAGCCTACCTTGCCTGAAGTATGTGATTGCAAGGTTTTCCATGATTGCGATGACATCAGGATGCTCCTCGCCAAGCATCTTCTTTGCTTTCTCTAAATACTGCACATTCAGGCTCCCCGCGTTCTCTAAAAGGTCGTGGTCTAAATAAGTACTAGCTAGGCTTCCCAATAGCTTGAGCGTTAACGGATCATCATCTCCTAATGTATTCTTTCTTATCTCCAGGGCCCGTATCTTCAGTGATGTAGCGTCCTGAAGCCTACCCTGCCGTTGGTACGTGTTGGCAAGAGAGTGCATATGTGAAACATAATTTTGATGTTTCTCTCCGAGAGTTCTTTTATAAATTTCCAAAATTCCCAGTTGTAAGGACTCGGCTTCACGCAGCTTACCCGCATCTGCGTATGCCAATGCTAACATTTCACGAGCAGCCATACTGTACTCATGTTCGCTGCCCAGTAGTCTTTCCGTTTCTTCATTTGCCTTCAGAGCCATTCGCATCATCTCCGATGTATTTCCACTCCAAGAAGCGTACTGGGCGCCACTGATGAGCAAGCAGGCCCATTTCTTCACAGCTACTTTGAGTCTTGGTCGTTGAGACATCGCGGCTTTGACATGTGGAAAGAGTGACTGGCACTTCACCCAGCGAGAGTTATCGCCAGTTCGAAATTCGCGTTGAATATTCCATAAGAAGTGAGCTTGCCAGATATCCGCTTCGCCGTACGCTGCTAGCCAACTCCTTGTAGCTAGCTGCACCAGCCGGTGCATCTGGAATATCTTCAAGTCTTGAGTCAGTGATATAAATGAGTATTCTCTCAATACCGTGATATCATCTTCAAAGCTGTCGTTACAACAAAGATTCTGTGTTTTGCTTGCATCATCAAGGCTAGTGTTATATGTATCTTGAGGGACTGACGCCATATGATTGACAATCCCCTGTTTTGCGAGAAAGTTTCTCAGACATACAAGATCACCAGGCGGGTTTTGAAGCGCCACCTCGGGAATTCCCTGTCGATCAAAGAAGCTCATAAGAGATAGCAGATCTGCAGCAGATGGTCGGATCTTCTGAATATGATCGAAGGATATCTGCCAGGTGGCTAGGATGGAGTTTCTTGCCTCCCAGTCTCGCTGCCTATGGCCAGCTTCAAGATTTAAAAGCTTCTGCTTTTGATCGTCACTCTTCTGGAGCTCTTCAAGGTATTGTTTCACTGAGCAGCGGGGCGCCCGTCGCTCAATGTATGCCGTTGCCTGTACAATAGCAAGTGGCATACCTTCCAATGCCTCCGCGAGCTTGATCATGTCATCATGATCTTGCTTCGTAGTCAACTTTTTTTCCACAAGAGCGACAACCTGTGTCGTGTCCATTGGCTCGATTGGAATGATATCTCGAGCATTCGCTATATTTGTTGCAACCCGTTTGCTTCGGGTAGTCCAAATGATCGAACCATTGGCGCAACGAGGGATGAACGTCAGAAGTGGTGGTCTCGGTATAATACCATCCTCTTCGGTCGATGGTTTTGACATCCACTCTCGCAAGAATTCATCATCATCCGCATTATCTATAATCATGACCCATCTCTCCTTCAAATCCTGAAGCCAACCACAGACAATCTCAAAGATATTCGATGCAGGGTCTTGGCGCCCTGGAATTTTTGTGCGATTGGCAATTCGCCAAAAACTTTGCTCGAACCGGGCGGCATTACTGGCATGAACCCAGAAAACCCACGTCGTAGGGGACTCTTCTCGAACCCTGAAAGAGTATTCGATAGCGATTTGGGATTTCCTGGTTATTTTTCATTAGCGCCGATCAGCCGAGGTGATGGGCCTTGCTTTGAACGCTCACCCGACCCCACCTAGCCCCATCAAAACTACGACTGATTCTGGACCGGAGCATTTCTCATGGATGTGATCGACGAGCGAACCTCGGTGAATGAAGTCAGGATCACGCGGGAATGGGACGGTGGATAGCGGCTCTGGTTGTTGCTCTTGTGGTTCTGTTGTGGAGTTACCCGTGTTAGCCTAGTTCAACAAAGACAGCAGCTTGTTTCCACGGTACCTATGATCGTATGAAAGTTTGCAGTGATAGGCCCTGTGTTTTCACCTATCTGAAAGCCCGAATTTGAGTGCCCAAATACCACAGACGATGCCATTCCGTGGTATATGTGTGGTTTATGGCGGCGTCTTAAGGGCGTCAAGTCGCGAGGTCGTGGAGATGCCTGGTGTCTTGCAGCTTCAGTCTTCTGATTGGCTGTAAGTCAGCGCCATATTCCAACCTATTCCTTTAGCTCGTCACCGATATTGAAGATCGACTTCCAGTCATTTCGGAGCAGTATACTGATTTGGGCTTATTGGGTAAAAATTCACCCATTTTTGAGTGGTTTATTCTTCACTCCATCACATCGCTGTCAAGGTTCGAAGGTTGCCAAAGTGCAACGTGACTTGGAGCATTTGTTTGAACCATGTGGAGCCATAATCAAATGACTATTGGTGGGTCGACCCGGTAATGGATCTCTGCCAGTGCTAATGCCTCAGGCTGCTATGGAGAGATAAATCTATTCATGATGGGTTTATATCACTTGCTGAATTCTGAATAGTTTCTCGATGATCTTACTGCGATTTTTCGTTCGTGGGTCAGCTTCATTCGTTTATTTGTCACAGTATCTAAAGCTCACAGATACGGACGGGCACCAATCAGCCAGCCACCAAATCCCCAATCACAATTTACATTCGTTCAGGTGGGATGCATCATGTTAGAATGTGCATTTGTACCACTTTGGCACAAATAGGATGGCGAGGAGTCAGCATGTCTCCCACATAAAAGCGTGTATTACTCGCCACGTGGTCTGAAACCACTTATAATCTCACGTCACACCTATGTGGCTGCTGCAAGTGCTACTCATGCATATCTCCGACTGCATGTAATCAGCCAGTCGTAGCCTAGGTATGCGTGCTTGTTTTATCTCAAATCGCAATTGTCATCCCTTATTTTTGCTTAATTTACATGAAAACTTGCACGTATGCTGATATGAAGTAGCGTTTTGCCAGTCTTTATTCTTTTCTCTCTCCGTGGTTCTGTGATTTCTCATATCTGCAGCGTGTCATTCTTATATCTACCAAGTGATACTTCCTTGGGGGATTTTAATTGATACATCCATCATAATGGGTACGATCAGTCAAGCTTCATATCTATATTCCCAGTTGAAAGGAAAGACTCTACGTATTCCTAACCTGTGGCCGATCTTTGAAAAATGGCCATGTGAAGTGAGTCCGTATCTACATAGACTTCGGCAGCATATCGAACATACTCTTGAAGGGTGAAAAAATCCATTCTAACACAAATACTGATGCATAATCCTCTAAATTACAACTATAGCACTATTGAGGACCACAAAAAGCTAGACGCGCTAAAGTCGTGTGATTTTGGCCTGTTAATAGCTTGGTTTGTCTCATTATATCTCTGTTGATTTTGAACTCAACTCATGGTTTTTACTTAAGCTCGTTCCCTAGCGCAAAATGGGATGAACTTCGCGTTTCAGGAATTTATATGCTGTGGACGTTTTTATGGGACGATGAGATTGATGATGGCTTTTATGAGGTCTCTCAAAATGAAGCTCACGCAAAATCATATGTTCGCCAGTCATTGGAATATGCCCATTCTATCCTTGGACTTACGAAGACAAACGCAATCAAACCAGGATACGGCACTGAGGATTCCGCGTGTCCCATTTCCACGATGGTATACTTTCGAGATGCTTGCCAAATTATAACCGAATTTTTAGATACAGGTTCAGATATTACGTATACCATATATTTGGAGTGAAATTATGACTAGTTGAGCTACAGATCAACACCAGCGACCGTATGAGGAGATTTGCCATTATATGAATTGGACTACAAAAGAACAAGTCATGAACGAATCCGGGCAAGTGTTGACACCAGCACAATACCTAGAACTCAGGAACTGGACTTCGGGGATATACCCCGTCATTGCAACGTTCGAGTATGATTCAAAATGACCCATTCCTGTCTTTAACAAATATTGCAATTTTCTAATTTAGTTGCCAGATACATCACCAGGACCAGATTCGACCAAGTTTTGATGGACTCGGAACCCATGCAGATTGTTTGGAAGGCAACGTTTTCCTTTGCATGCTGTATACGAGTTAAACCCCACATAATCTCATTTGTATGGTACTATTACTGACAACTTACTCAACTGCTAAGAATCAATGATATCCACTCTGTTGTAAAAGAGGTGGTGAGTGAGACCATTCTTGCTCGAAGAACAACGCCACCTCTGATTCATTCCACTTTCCCAAAGCATTCTGGATCCGTCCTCAACGCCATACCCATTTTCTTCCACGCCGATCGAGAGAGAAATCTCGACAATACCATGAGGATTCTTGAGAGGCTACTAAGGTCATCAGTGTCTAGATTTGACCAAGCAGCCGCTGAGCTAGAGAGCCCCCTTGACGAGACAAGTATGCGCGTACAGATACAGTCATATCTTGACATCTGTCGTACTACAGTTACCGGGCTTTTAGCCTGGTATCTGGCAACTAAACGATATGGCTTGGAATGCTATAGACAGAGCGATGGATGCGTGGCACTCAAATTGTAAGCCGTTTTAATATATTCGGCATTTAAAAGCTGTCGTCTCCGGGGGGTGTTTACCAACCGCAGTCCGGACCTCATAGTTCAGTTCAATCAGATCTTGTGTTTTCCCTCGTGGGTCTTAGTTGAATCTATACTACGATTTGAGCAGTCGGTTCGTAGGCCAACCAGAGCACCCATTTTTAAACAGGGCAGAAAATCCACGCAAGCCAAAGAGTGAGTCCCGCGGGCAAGGGATACATAGGTTAGCGGGTATTATGATGCGATTCATCATGTATATCCAGAGAGCTATACTCAAGCTTGAACTCGAAAATAATGTTCGACCTGAAAAGTGGAGTGCATTTAGTTCTTTTCCCTATTATACTAGTAGCAACCAGCGATTGATTAAAACCCATCCCTTGACTATGGAATGAATGTTTTTTAAGCCAAGTTCCGATGGAAATTTAGGGGACCTTGGCAATGTGTTATTTTATTAAGTGTGCAGGGATCTATTTAATCAGCGTGGTAAAGTGGCGGGTTCAAGAGCCGAGGCCCTGACAAAAGTACCATAGACGTGCGGCTTCTCCGAGGTTCATCCGAGTGGAATCGGGACATTCCAGGGTTACACTTGACTCGATTCAGCCTTATATATCTATTCTTGCCCCTTCGAGTGTTCCAAATATCTTTCAGCGGCCGCAATGCGATTCTGTTTACCCCAAATAAGCATCCGAATGTGCAATGAAGAAATGTGCAATGAAGAGATGAACAAGGACAAGCAGCCAAGTAGAACAAACATGCTGTAGGTGCCCATGCCACTCACACGGTGTCACCGAGAAGGCCAGGATGGTGCCACAAATTTTTCGCACAAAGGCAACTGGCACGAGCACATCACCGACCATGCCGCGGTATGAATCTTGCAAGTAGGCCAAAGACATGTCACACATTCCGCCAAGACAACCACCCATAAATCCATCACCGACAGAGTTGATAATCCAAGGCATCCCTCTTGAGATTGTAAGACCATACATAAAAATTCCAGTCGCCATGAACAGAGCAGGAACAGTATAGAGATATAATTGTATTTGGGCTCTTAGATTCCTACATTCCTCTTCGAAAGACGTAGGAGCAACCAATCAATGCATGGGCCTCCAAAGAACGCATCAATGAAGCCACCGATCGCAGTTGGGATACTCAAGTTTCCAACTCCAATGGATCTCATGAGAAAGGGCGGTTCAACATACAGAGTCGATTGGGTAATAACTAAGATGGCAGGGCAAGCGATTTTAAATCCATATTGAATCGCACCCTATAATTAATTTCTTCCTGGCCACTGTATTTGTGTGGCCCAGCAGGGATTGATACAATCTCCACACGAACTAGATCGTAAATCGTGAATCATGAGCGTCAGGCGGTCACATCTAAGTTGAGTGTCTTTTCCAAGGGTCTGGGTATAGTCTGGGTCCACTTTGGCTCTCATTCATAATTCGTGGAAAGATACCAACTTTAGGCTTGGGCCAACAGTAGTTGATCGGGGTTTAGCCGGAGGCGCCGGAGGATCGAAGGATCTGGAGACAAATCGACGTCCGAATGACCTAGTTTTATGTAATATAAGCGTGTTGGCTATGGAAGACAAAATTTGAAATGTCAATTGACGAATCTAATACATTTTGAAATATAGTTGCTGATAACAATTAAACTTAAGAGATGCATGTTTGCAAGAAAGTGTAGAAGCGCTTCACAGAAGACTTTAAAAAAGGGGCTCAGGATCTTTCAAGGACAACATAATTATGAAGCGTCAGCAATGATTACCTCGGCAGCCTTTTCACTGACCATATAAATGGGCAACGCGATATAGTACCCGGGGATCTTGGGGAAGATAGAAGCATCGACAACCCGAAGGCCATCAACTCCACGGACACGGAAGTCGGCATCCAAGACAGCGTTCGGATCGCCATCTTCTCCAATGGCAGCAGTACAGCACGCGTGATGTCCCCATGCCTCACGCTTAATGAATTCCTTCAGCTCAGCTTCGGTCGTAACATTGGGACCTGGCCAGACTTCGTCAAAGCCACCGTCAAGTGGAATCAGGTCTTCGAAAATTGTGCGAGAAAACTCCATAGCCTCATATACAGCCTGTAGGTCTTTGTCGTCGCCACCATCTGCAGTCACACCCGTATCGAAGGAGTTGAAGTTGATCAGGGGGGTATCACGAGGATCGGTCGATCGCAATTGTACGGTTCCAGCATTGTTGTGGCTGCGCGCTTTGAGCGTAATCCAGGTCCAATGCTGGGCATCCTTGAGACCCTCATAGGAGTAGTTGGGATAGTAGCCTGGGAAGTTCACGGGTGCACCCGAGATCAACAGGTCAGGCTCGTTTTCAGCGACTGAAGACTTGTGAATAATAGCGATAGCAATGCCATTGGTACTGTAGGTACCTTTCCACAGTGGATCATTTTCCCATTGGTCGAGACAGGGGTCTGGAAGTGAATACATGAAAGTGCACTTCTCGGTAAGTACAAAATCGGTTGGAGACTTGCCAACAACGCCGGTCTCGTATCTATCTTGAAGATTGGCACCCACGCCGGGCAGGTTAACCAGAGTCTTGATTCCAAATTTCGAAAGTTCTCCTTTCGGGCCGATACCACTCAACTTTAATAGCTGAGGAGTGTTGAATGAGCCAGCAGATAAAATGACCTCCCGAGTCGCATTCACGCTACCAGGTATACCAGTGGATGATGTTGTGGGGGCTCGGGGATCAGCACGGTAGAGACTCTGTCCGCGAAGATATTCGACTCCGGTAGCCTTTGGTTTGCTTCCTGTGTTATCGAATTGAACCTTCGTCACCAGGGTATTAAGTTGTATGTCGAGATGATACATCCGGGATCCATCATCGTTCACGGCATTGACTGTTTGAAGAAGGAAGTCCCGGGGACCTGTTCGCTTGTATTCAGGAACGTCAACTGCAAGGGGGACCTGGAAGGGACCAGTCTGGTAGTCACGCCCAGGAAGACCATTGTTCAAGTCACGTAAGAGGACTCCCGCAAGGCCAGTCACTGTATCAATAACTTTACCCAGTAGACCCTGGCCTGCAGCAGTTGCGCCAGCCAGAATCAAGGACAAAAGCTTTTGGTCCTCAATGACGAGACGCAAGTCCGTTAAACTTGTTGTTAACCAGCCGTCAAATCCGTGGCCCACAATGCTGCTTGGCAAATACCTGTTGCGCTCCAATCTCTCAAAGTATCCTCGCATATTGGCAGCAGACCAAGATTCGTTGCCCGTCACTGCTGCAAGGTTCTCCCAGTCATTCTCGTAAGGGTAGATGGTGCTATTCAAAAATGGGTTAGCACATGTGATTGCCACTTCGGCCATTATTCTCAGGTACGTGAAACTCACATCATGGCATTATGAGCCGAGCAACCACCAAGTGTTCCGGCGCGAGGGTACAAAATACCCAGAGGCTCCGACCCATTTGGTGCGTTGGGCCCAACATGAAGATCGCCAGAAGGCGTTCGATATGTCATCTTGGAATCCTCCTCTTGACGAGTCAAGTTTGAGTAGTGGTTGACAAAGTAATCCCACTTCATAGGCGTGTATTCAGTGGACTGGAGCTGCAGAGCTGGGACCATCTGCCTGGTTGCATTCCCCTGGTCATCTCCCGCGTCGAGAAGTAAAACCTTGTACCCAGCAATGGCCAGTCGTGCTGCCAGAGGACCACCTCCAGGGCCAGAGCCAACTACCACGTAGTCGTACTCTACATCACTGACCGTTCCTTTGGTCTGATTAACGTTTCGTCTGTGTTCATCGTGATATCGATGACTTGCCCTGTGGTCATTCCTGGCTTGAATATCAGTTTCTGTATGCTTCACATAGGAAAGAAGAATAAGTGATGATGGAATAGGACCATGGGACATACGAGGCTAGAGCTATTGAGAAAGTGGACAGCAGCCCAAGTGCTGCAAAAAGACGCATCTTGAAATGAAATTAACGAAAGGTCGAAGAAATATGCGAAAAGAAAGTCACGCCAACAGAACGGCAAATAAGAAAATAAGGAAACTGTATACGAATGGAACGAAGGAACACAGGTCAATGAACAACAACTCGGAGGCTTATTGTCTTCTTGCTTTATTATAATAATTCCTTCACAGCCCCTGGAGGTCTTGTATAACGGGGTTCCCGATAATGCTACTATACCCATTCAAGTTCTCCCAACCCTTGGGTATTGATCGACATTCACTGTTGCTTTTCATCTCTGCAATCTACTCTTTCTACACGACCGTTATACAAACCGTTTTTATGCAATACACGACCAATACATATTTTGACATCTACGGAGTATGGAGTTCCTGCTTGGGTTCCCTGGGTGGCTCTACGGGGAAAAAACCGACAGCTATGTGGGTCCGTCTTTTCGTATTGACCCAGCTGTTTATGTGCCGTCCTTTTCTGGAATGAGGATATGAACGCCGGTATTTCCAGCTACCTACGACTCAAAAGAGAATATAATTCAACTCTGCGGGGCTGTTCAAGCCTCAGGGGTCCGAGACCTCTCGTGCAAAAGGCTAGCCGCCATCATAGACCGTTGAATATGTCGATCACGCGGCATGTCAAGCCACTAATTACACAGTCAGGCTAGTCCCTTTTCGGTTTCTGGTTCGCCATGATATTCCATTAAAATCCTCTTTTGGATGGCTTATCATTGTGAACTAAAATACGCCTCCTGTTTCAGGATGGGTGGAGAACATGTGTGCGGTACACACGTTTTGTGAGACTAAGCGATACGACGGGCCGCTTTCAGCGAGTCTGTGTGTTTGGAGCACGAGTTAAAAGTCCACATGGAAATTTTTTCAAGGGGTTCATAGAGCGCAACGACAGTCATTATTCAGGAGTTGATAAAAGTTTGAGGTTGCTATTGATTTGCACGACTAATGATCGCTTTCCACATGTCTTTAAGAAATCTATGTACTATTGTTAGCGTTGGAAGTATGTCAATGCTTTTTTCCTCGAAAGCATGTGGAAACTGATAGTATCTACTAGCAAATCTTTGACGTACATTGAAATTTTCCGAGCCCCTTTACATTATTATTCAAGTCGATTGATATGATTGCCATCTTTCGGAATTCAGTAGCGGAATGGCCTGGTTTTTTGAAGATTATCTCTTATAACAAAAGTCTGAATATAAAGAAAATGAAATATAAATGGATTAAGATGAATGAAAGTCTTTTGCACAGCTCTGCTCCAGATTTGGTTTTTTTTGTGAAGAGAGTGGTTTTTGGTCCTCCGTATTATGACCTTTGATAATGGAGTCGGGTCACACTGGAGTTATCCATATCGCCCAACTGGTAAAATTGGCGGTCATTGCTCTTGATCTGGATATCATGGTGAACATAGATTGGACCCTCATGTCGAGATCCGCCCATTCGAGACTGGGAGTTTGCGCCATAGGATCTTATGTTCTCAGTGTCGCCAAAGAGTTTAGGAGATACCCGGCGAAGTAAAGATCGAATAGCAGGTAGACATGCACAAATGACACCAACGTCACATTCAATTGTGCTCCAGTATCCGATGGTGACATAGTCCCCTACACCCATGTCAGTTTAGAGCCCATTGTAATCCAAACAAATGCTAAATACTTACATGTGAGATTAGTAGTTGATGCAAAATGAATGAGCGAGTTCAGTCGCAGAATGCTGACAAGGGTAACACTTGATTCGTCATTAGCACATTGCGTTTGAACATATCTAAAACCGGCACCACTTACAATAAGCCCAGTCCAAACATGCACATAACATAGACCTTCTTCCTCACTGACAGATTAAGCTGATATAGCTGTCGTAGAGGAAGCGTCATGACCAGTATATCCAAAATCATGTTGATAGCGGCTGCAGACCATCCTTGCGCATTGATATGGTTGCATTTGTAATTGCTTTCTCCATCCCAATGAAGCCATGCACCTGGCAGTGGCCGGCATTGAAAGACTGAGATTAATACAAAGACGATCAAATAAGCGACGTTTAGACCAATGACACAGTATGTAATGATTCGAAATCGCTTTTCGGGGAAAATTCGGAGGTAAAAACAGCAGATCGATATCTTGGTCATAGGCAAAACACTGAGGTATATTAACTCATCCCAGAAGTAAATCTATTTTTATTGATAAGTTAACACATGATCCAAATATCTCATCAGAAGTTTAGGGGTACAAACATAGAGGACTCGCGTGATATTGTCGAAGGGAATAGTCCACATGTCCCTACCCAGTCCGCTGTCGGCCACTATAAGAGCAGTAAGCAAATGATCAAACTTATCGATGTAGTTAGAACATCACATACAGACAACCGAGAGGGCTGAGAGTGGGATGACCAAGAACTAATAGTTGTTAGCCTGATTTTTGAAATCAATCATCTTTGAACGCCATATCTTACCATGGTCAACATCATTGTCCAGTCGTCCATTCCAAATGTCCCACCACAGCACCTAAGCCGGGCCACCATACGAAGAATAAATGCAATAAGTGCTATCACTCCACCGATAACTCCGGCATATGACACAACTTTTGTGCGATTTCGAATTGGAGCCCCGCATGCTGAAGTTGTAACATTTTTCGTAGCTTGGAAGGTCAGTCGAGCGATAAGTTCCAATTTGATATGCGACTTACTCAATGACTGTCGAATTGTACAACTGGTCATAACACACCCTTCAAGGACATCTGCGTAGTGTTTGTCCAAACATAGGCACAGTTGATCCGTTGGCTGGCAGGAACTTTGGGCTATCGAGGACGCCATGCACTCCAGCTTCAGGGGGGTTAGTTTTCCGGCTTCTGTTCTGTGGACATATCTGCATTTATTCAGACTTACAGCACATGGAGGCAAAGCAGCTTGTAAAGCCGTCGCCCCTGCTAGGGCAGTGCTTGCAAATAGCGTGGCAAGTAAAACCGTGAGACGCATCGTGGGGAGAGTGAGCTATGTTTCATCTAAACAAGTTTTGGTAGATGGGGAACTGTTTTATCCCATGCAGATGAACTTCGAATAAATTTTTAGATCATTGTGAAATCTTTTCTATGATTGTCTTTTGTTTTGCCCCTCTATCTCAACATCCAGGGGAAGGTTAGATCTCTTTTCGCCACTTGCCGAGAACCGTCTCGAGAGTTCCTGCATGTCGATCACTATAAATTGCAGGACTGAGGGAGTAGCTCGAAAAATGCCGATAATTAATCTAGCCCTAAAATAACATGTATTCCAATCCATAATCTTGCCGCTAGTAAAGGTACTGCCAAACGGAATAGGATATTGACATGTTTTGCATTCGCTAGTAGTATAGTTAGGCTAGGATCTACGTTCTATACGAAGTCTCTTTTTTCTAAGCTAGTTTTCACCCTAGCCTTCATCTAACCGGCTTATGCCAGCCATTGGCAGGCCAAGACGAGAAAATACAAGCCCAGACGGCATCGGATCCACCTACCAATTAAGCAACTCCATGAGCCGCTGTTTAGTATCCGGCACTTTGACCCTTCGTCCCACTTTGAAATTCTCATTTCCCGCGCGTTAAGGTGTTCATCGCCCATTTAATTTCTTGAATAATCCTAGTGTCTCCAGTTGACAAGCCAGCCACACAGAAGCGATCCAATGGTCACTCTAGGGCGTTCTCGCCCAAACTTTCTTTCTCCGGCTTCTCCACTTATTAAACACCTCCTTCCTTTCAAGGACTGCTTACTTCGTACTTGTTCTTGAAGGTTCCCCATCGCTGTCTCTCATACACTCCACTGAAGACCCCTGATCAGCGCTGTCAATTAACTGGGTTAGATCCGAGACCACGCGGGGCACGGGGAGAAATTCCCCTAACTGGACGAGATCAACATCGGCGGAAGGAGTATCCGTATTCCCGAAGCTGAGACGCTACATGGGTGATATTTCCGCGAGTCGAGGACCATACACGGTCTGATGCTAGTGAACTTGGGGTCTTTAGAAATACTCTTGAGAAGATCCACAGCTTCAAGTTCCGAGCCGCCCTCAGGAATATAGCAAAAATACCGGACCAGGCGTGGAAGTTCCAAGGTTTTTTACCGGTTATGAGTGGGGCGGCTCATTTACTCTCTTTCAAGTTATCAGCCCAAAATATGCCTACTTTATGAAATTGCTGACCGTTTTCGCTGCCTCCGTTCGGTAATGATTGCATGTGGACTCAAGCCGAGGAACCCTTCAGGGGGCAGAGATTAGATAGCATAAACGTCTAAGGGGGAAGAAACTCATATTTTCTAGTATAATCCTTGTTCTATGTTCAATTGCTGTCCAGTCGTTTATCATTGACTTTTTTTTTTCTTTTTCTAAAGATTCATTCATTTCATCGGAAATTCAATTGGATTTTTTCATTATGCGTGTTTTTGGAGCAGAGCAGTTGCTCTGGTCGTTGACATTTTCCAATATTGTGTCAGGTTTTCCTGATGTAGGAAGCTTTCACGATGGGCTGGGCCATAAGAATTTGCACAAACGATGCCCATTTGCCGATGAGCAGTCTCCAGAGAGTGCTATTCATGAAAAGAGATTTCTTTTCTCTTCCATGAACTCTCCTGTGGATAGTACGTTAGCAAATATACACGCTCGAGGGTCAGATGCTAAAAAAGATGATATAGTCACTGGAGAGCACGAATTTCAGCCCCCAAATTTTGAAAACGGTGACCAACGAGGTCCTTGTCCTGGCCTCAATGCACTTGCAAATCATGGGTATATTCCCCGACATGGCGTTGTGTCGGTATGTTAGGTACGCATCATTTTTGCCATGGGCTCTTGCTAATTGTAATGCAGTTTGTAAATGCGGTCACGGCCATCAACGAAGGTTTGTGTTCGCCACGGTGTATATTAACATAACATGGTCACTAAATCGTTTATCTGCTTAGTATATGGCATGGGAGTTGATCTAGCCACTGTCCTCGCCATCATGGGAACTGTCTGGACTGGCAATCCACTATCTCTGGATCCAGGTTTCTCCATTGGTGGACGTGACACAGGTGTCAATAACCTTCTTGATAATCTTGGGGGATTACTAGGTGAGAAGCCCTATACTTTGAATTTTTCAATTATCTAATTCATATTTTCTCCGCGACAGGTGATCCCCTTGGTCTCGACGGCTCTCACAACTTCATCGAAGCGGATTCCTCCAATACCCGTGACGATCTCTACGTTACTGGAAACAACCATCGCCTGAACATGGACAAATTCATGGCTTGGTATAACATGTCCACAGATGGCACTTTTGACATGGATCTCATGGCAAAGCGCGCAAAGATCCGTTTTGAGGAGAGTATTCAAACCAATCCCAACTTCTATTATGGGCCAGTTACGGGTTTAATTGCACGCAACGCGGGTTACATTTTCTCTGCGCGAATGTTCCGTAATCACTCTCACGAGAATCCAGAAGGAGTTTTGAGTAAGTTATATATGATAAATTTTTGATCCAAATATAAAATGCTAAAAAAGTTTGATTTTGACAGCCAAAAGCAACATTCGGAACTTCTACGGAATTTATGGCGATGAGGGTAACCTGACGTACCGTGAAGGATGGGAAAGAATTCCCGAAAATTGGTACAAAACACCAGTGGATTATGGCCTTCTTCAGCTGAACTTGGACACCATTGACTGGATATTGAAATACCCAGAGCTCGGCAGGTAAGACTTCGTCCAGAAATCATCCTCTGTGTCTCAATCGTTCTCAGTTCTAACCCTGTTTCAGCATTGGAGGAAACACTGGTACTGTGAACAGCTTTGCTGGGGTTGATCCTGCAGACTTAACAGGCGGTGTCCTCAATCTGACCAGTCTCCTTGAGGGCAACAATTTGCTGTGTTTTGTAATGGAGGTGTTGAAGTTCGGTAGCCCCAACGCACTTGACGGCCTATACAAGACCATTGCTGAGCCCCTAGAATTCGTCACTAACCTCCTTGCGGTTCCTTTGCTGAACCTTACTTGCCCTGCGTTTGAAGAACTTCAGGTTGGTGGCAAGCCTTTCTGGGAAGCGCTTCAGGATGACTTCCCCGGTGCTTTAAAAAGTAAGAGCGCTTTTTAGGTTGTTGATGTCCGTGGAAATTATGATTGTATCCGTTGGTAACAATCATATTACACCTTCCTTTTTATCTACAAATAATGATATCTATTTATTTATTAATTCAATTTGTATTCATATTTTGGCTTTTTTTCTCTATTCTTGTTTCGGAGAGATTTTTGTTTTTTGCATTCTTGCACCTTGTAAAATTCAGGTGCTGAGTCTCATCTGGCTGTCGGGTATAGCCTCAACTTGACACATTTTCTTCTTATAATACGCTCTTAAATTTCCAAAATTGTTTAGACAGAAACTACTTGTTTAAAAGATTAGAACGTCGAATTACTTCATTCAAACTTCGCAACTAAATAAATCACAAACAAAAAACGCAGCTAACTTCAAGTTGTCAAAAGTTCCAGCTTTGGAGCCCATACAACCATATATAGAGAAAAAAAGGGCCAAAACATTCATTTAACAAAATTGAAACTCAAAAATTAAAAAACTGAAGCGCAAAAAGAAAATCTCGAAGGGGGATAATAACAAAAGCGGGGGTTACTTCAAGTAAACCAATGTAAAGGCTTCAAATGTTCTATATTGATCCAACTTTGAGAAGCACTATGATATCATAATTCTGGTTTCGAAACGGCCTATTTTTACTTGTCGCTTTCCTCATCGCCTTTGTTGTTGTCTTTGCTCTTCTTTTGCTTTTTGTACTTGATGTTGACCCAGGCCTTTTTCTCATCAAGCTCTGGTACCTCCTCCTTTTCGAGGGCCGTGGGAGTATATTCGAGCACTTTTAGAGCGCCACTGTTCGTACGCTTCAGTGTACCACTGGATGGAAGAGTGACAGGTGGTTGCTTCTTATGATTAATCACATCACCCGTTGCACCCTTACGACGAATGATCATTGTAAAGCTAGGTCTTTCCAGTCTGCCTAACGAGTTATCACCAGACCATAGTTCATGGCCTTCGGGATATCGAGCTTGCATAGTTCTCTTAACTGTAGATCTATAATTAAAGCTGTCAATCAACGACTCGATGATCCAAGGCTTATTATTCAGATCTGGCTTATTATCTTTATAATGAAGAAGTACCTCGCCAAGAGATCGAGGAGTCCACCAAACCTCATCATTTTTCGGGTCAACAGATTGTTGCTTTAGTAGCTCATCAAATTTGTGCTCACCAGCAAGATTAACCCAGTCCGTATCGATGCTTCGATCCTTGTCTAGATCACAGCACAGGTCAGAAAGTCGAATCAGATATGGGCAGAAAGGCTTGTTTCCCCGAATAATTTGAATGTCGGCGTTAGGTACCATTGTGAATGGTGTTATACTAGCCCCATTCGCGTCTTCGGCGGCTTTTTTCTCTTTCATTTTCTCGAGGCTCATGCGGAAGTATTGGACCAGCCTCGGCAGAAGCGTAGTAGGGATTATTTTTTCAACAACATCGGGCAATTCGTCTGAGTAAGTTTGAAACACTACTTCTAGTGCCTTGCGCTGCTTCTCGCCTCGATCAAAGTATTTCTCTTGATAATCACGGAGGACAATAATTTCCAAAAAGATCTTGTAGCAATAGTCATCGATCGCTTGGTGTGCGGCGAGGTCATTAATTCCGATTTTGAGCTCATCCAAAATAACATTTTTCCTTCGACGTTTAGCGGATACCGAACTGGCTACCGGAGAAGTGCTTTTGGAGGAGGCGGAACCATTTGCAGCCATTTTGAGGAGAAGTGGTGATTGGTAATTGTAGAGTAAACTTGTGCTGGTTTGTGATAATAGATTGGAATCAGTCACCGAGAGATGTTGGGCACTTAAGTAGTTCTTCAAGTTTATTTAATAATCTACATACTTGGAATTGACCTTTCAATTACAAAGAGACCGAAAGCTCATCCATTTCAACCTTAAGAAAGAAAATATTGATCCTAACTTAGAACTTCTTTTGGAAATATTATCAAAAGTCAAAACCTGGCTTTGGTTCTCCAGTCAATAATCAAAGCACAAGGTAACATTATCCATCTTGGGAAGTGAGAGCTCAAAACTAGGTATCAACGTGAGCCTTTCATGTGCAAAAACACAAAGAACTCATCCAGACTTCGTATGTTGGGAAGAAAGACTTAGAAAGAGTCCGGGGCGGTAGAAGGTGCGGTTGGTGCAAAGAACTTTCATTGGGAATTGGATTTCAAAGAAACAGCGAGTCTTTGAAAAGAAAATTCGAACACCACACGAAAGGAAATTTAGGGTGAGTTTCCAAAGTAGTTCTCATACTAGCCCGAGCCTACTTGGTGTTGAGACAGTTGAGGAGCAAAGAAACTCGAAGCATATGGCCATTCCATAGCAGTCATGTCTATCCCACGTTGTCACTTTGTGTGGTTCAAATTTTATAAGAATGGCAACGACCCATATGAGAATATCTAATACGCATTGCGATGACAATCTTGGAGCTAGCTCTCTCCTCAACCTGGAGCCATACAGTATTCAAATGTTAAACACCGCAATATTGTTCAATCAACCAATCAGCGTCAAGATGTTATCCGCTTGCGGGGAGTCACGTGGATTCGCCCCTTTGCGGCCTCGAAGCAGGAAACAGATCAACATGAGTGCCGCGTCAATCACTTCATGTTCTTCTTCCGGTTTGCGTTATAATATTTCCAATTCATCTGAGTCCTTTTGGTTTCTTGGTTTCGTCCTTCCTTCAATTTCTCTAATTCCTTGCTCGCGTGACCCACCACAAATCCTTCACAAACAATATTGGGACCATCAACTTTTCAACCCTCGTGGCATTTTCACACTTGTCTCCTACAACACCGACCCGATCGAAGCATCCCCTTTTCAATTCACGCCTTTCACAATTTCCCTTAAGCGCCGAAACAAAGGGTCGCTCTCGCTCATTTCGCGGTAATATCCGCTATTCAATATGAAGATTCAATCGTCCTCCCTACTACTTCTCCTCCTTCCGGCACTTTCAACAGCCACAACAAGCACAAACTCAGTTGGCGATTCATCTGATCGCTCATCTGGCAAATTCTCGAACATTGATACCAGATATGTTGATACAGACTCGCTTGCGGCCGCAAATGCTGTAAAAGGGTCGCTGGACGTCCCTGTAGACGGCAAGGATGGCAGGCCACATGCGGGTCCCTGGGTAGAAACCAGTGCGGAAAGAGACCGCAAGAGTGGTAGAGCAAGTGATGATTTAGATCTATCTTCATCAAAATTTGACTCCAAGATCCCGTCATCCGATCACCTCAGCACAGAGGAAGGGAAAATGATCCCGCACTCCAACGATGGCGTTATGGATGACCCAAACCGAACGGGTCCGAAAGAAGGCACTCGTGGCACGGAGGGCGGAGTATCAGAGAAAGGGAAGGGAAGTCAGTATAGTGCTGAGAAGGTGCCTGGAAGCCCTAAGGAGGCACTACCGCTGCCACATAGTGAGAAACAGAAATTTCCCTCGGACAACGATGACACTGTAGGCAGCGGAAGTCGAACTGCTGAGGGGGCGGGCACTCTTGGCATGCTGGAAGTAGGTTCAACCCCTCATTTCCTTTTACCTCGTCTGTTAGGAAGTCTCGAAATTCCATACTAACTTCCAATTCTAGAAACCTGCCGATCTGCCCGACAAGCCGCACGATATCCCTCATCCAAAATCTCCTTCCCAGGCCAAAGACGATCCCCTGGCTGTCCAGCATGGCACGCCCGGTTCAGGTTCTTATCACAGCTCCTCTGGCACCTACCAACATGACATGGGTGCTCCCGAGGAAAGCGACGGACTTCATTCCCTCATGTTCTCTTTCACCATGATCATTGTTTCTGAAATCGGTGATAAGACCTTCCTTGTCGCAGCACTCATGGCCATGCGCCACCCGCGTCTAGTCGTATTCACTTCTGCATTCTGTGCCTTGGCTACCATGACAGTCTTGTCAGCTGTGCTTGGACATGCCGTTCCTACACTCATTCCAAAGGGCCTTACTAAGTTTATCGCCGCAATCCTGTTCCTTGTCTTTGGTGCCAAGATGTTCAAGGAAGGCCGAGAGATGTCCCCTGATGAAGGTGTTGGAGAGGAGATGCGGGAGGTTGAGATGGAACTGGAGGAGAAAGAGCAAGAACAAATCCGCATGGGTCGCCGTCGTTCATCTGTTACCCCTCAGTCCCTCGAAGCTGGCCGTGCTCCCAAGGCTCGTGGCTCGCACAACCGCCTGCCCTCACCCCCCGAGAGCATCTCCTCGTCCTCCTCTCGTGGCTCATCTCCTCACCCTCAGCGTCGCTGGAACGACCTTCTGAATGGAGTCAGCAACCTCTTTTCTCTTCTGCTAAGCCCTGCTTGGGTGCAAACTTTTGTTATGACTTTCCTTGGTGAATGGGGTGATCGCAGCCAGATTGCCACTATTGCGATGGCAGCTGGTCAAGACTACTGGTGGGTTACAATTGGAGCCACTGTTGGCCACGGAATTTGTACTGCTGCCGCCGTCATTGGTGGACGTGCGATAGCCGGTCGTGTCAGCATGCGTGTTGGTATGTTTTGTCCCCGTTACCCTTCTATTCATTTTATTCCAGAGCTAATTTGTTTTCAATAGTGACTTTGGGTGGTGCTGCGGCATTCCTTGTCTTTGGTGTCATTTATCTTATTGAAGCGACATTTTAAATCCTTGCATGGGTGCAAGATAGGCTCCCTTTCTTTATTGTACTTTACGAGGTTGGGCGGTGCATCTCCATGAAAAGTTGAAAGTCTGTGATATACATCTACTTTCGGCCTAATGATATAATATCGTCCGTGGTCAACGTCATGGCCAAATTTTACACATTAAGAACATCCATTGATATCTTCTTTTAAAACACCTATGCGTTAGTAATCAAAAACCTCGCTGTTATTTATTGCCTAAGGCAACGAAGGCTCACGTGGTCTGTATCACGTGCCTTTCCTAAACTAGTAATCAGTTGGTTAGGGTGGTTAGGGTGTCAGGTCTTGGCACTCACGGGTCAATGGTTTTACCGTGTTCCTACCCTAGCCTCCCTCCACCCTCGTCTTACCCCATCACACTCATAACACAACATCCCCGTCCAGATTTACGCGTTTACTTGCATAAAAGGACTTATCGAAAAGTCTCGGTCTGTTTTGACTTGATTCTCAACGTTTATCGCTAAATTCCGGCCATACTCCTTTCTTCAATTCGATCCACAACAAACGCGGTCTCGACGACTGTCAGTGGTAGGTGCCCACACCGCCTAGGATGTCACGGGTCTCAGCTGAGCCCCTGTCCTTGCGACGAGTCACGAGAAGCCAAAGTCGAGAAGTCGATAATGATCCGCAGAGCTATCATTCTAATGTCGGCTCTAAAAGTTCCTTCACACCTATTAAGAGGGAGGTAAATGGCAGTAGTAAGTTTTTCACGTGAATTTCTGTACTCATCCCTGATTAGTTCATGCCCTTTTACTACTTGCTTGTGTCTACTACTACTGAGATCACGTGCTACTGTTGAACTACAACACTTTATATTCTCTACTTGGGCATATTGTGGTTGTGGTTATGTTGTTACTTCTCTCTTCCTTTTCGGGTTGCGAGATTTTCTCTGTTTAAATCACTTTTTGCCCTCCGACTCACCCACGAAATGAATGAGTGATTCTGACCTTTGCAGGACTGAGCGCTGTGATTGAACAATCACCTCTGCCTTCGCGCCAAACGCCGGTTTCCACGTTTGGCTCCTCTGTCATTCCTGAGTCTCCTGGAAATTCGGAGGGCAACACGAACATTTCCGGCACGACCTTCCTGGAGCAACCAGATGATGCCGAGTCGAACGATGAAGCTCCAAATGACCCTCTGCTCTTGGTCGACGAGCTTCCGGATCTTCAACAGACAGCGTCCAAGCTAATGAGCCTAATGGTATCAAACCATTCAGATCCAGTCAACGTCGTTAACGAGGCAAGGCGAATGCGCACCGCTGATTCCAGAAGCCCAGAGAGCAGACGTTTCAAATCTCACTGTCGCAAGCTCGTGGACAGAATTAAGCAGTTTAGCCCCCATACATTCATTGATGTTCATCATATTCGCAGTCTGATTCCTTCGGTCCCTGGTCAAGATGGCTCTGGAAAATGGAGCCCGACCCCAGCGCTACATAGCGCAAACTGCGCGCGGCTGGCGTTTGAACTACTGCTATCAACTGCCGATTCTCAAGCTATACGGCAAGTTGTCGCGGGATTGAATGAGCATTTCCCTGTCTTATTCTTAGATAAATTTGCAAACGATGGCTCGATCGGGACTAGCAATACTGAAAAGGCTGCACTTGAGCTTGCTCTTGAAATTCGAACACAACATTTCATCTTTGAGTTTGAGAGGCTTCAGAACGAGAAGAACTTTGATCCAGGATCCCTGATTCAATCGGTGTTCTACGATGGTTCTCTGCACCAGGGTAATGAGTTGGACTCTCGCTGGCTCCGTGGTTTTGCACTGGAGACTTCTTTTCAGGATGAAAATGAATGTCTGCCAGAACGCCTCCATGACACTGTTCTGGATCGTATTGCCGAACTGCGCCTTGACATGTTCGACGATGACGATGCACCCAATATCGCAGGCTTAAAGGCAGTATTCCCCTGGAAGCGATTTCCCCTGCGTGTTGCTCGTTTTCTTCTGAACCGCGACCGAGAGATTCGACGTGACCTGAAAACACAAGCGAATTTCGATGATGTCCAAGACCTCCTCGTGAAGATTATCAATGGCGAGGAGCGTGTTCCTACTGCATCATCTGTATCTGAGAATCGTATGGACTGGTTTTCTTCGCCTATCAATGAGCATTCTGTCCAGGGTCCGTTGTCACAGGAACCTCAAAACGCCAGAACTCAACGGCAACAGGTTCAGGAAACTCCTGCCTCACAAACCTCAGCCCCCATGGTAGCCACCCGCCCTGCCTTGCCCTCCCCATCTCCACTCCGATCTCCACTACAATCCTCCATAGTACAACACCGTCCAATGAGCCAAGCCACGAAACCAGTAGATAAGAACCCTCACCGAAGAAAATCGGCCAAAGGTTATCTGAACATGGAAAACATCAGCCGCCTTAAACAGCGCATGGATGGCCATGGATCGCCCTCACGACAAACAACCAGGGCTCCTGAAGGGCAGCCCACGTCACATGAAGAAAATAATGTTGCAGAACATGATTTCGGCAACGACACGACTTTACATCACGACGCGGACGACCTTGACCTCAGCGGAATTCCTGATGAATCAACCACACCCCCGGGGTCTGCTAGAACAAATCAAATCAGCCATAATGGCCGATTTTTCGATTCGCCGAGACCAAGTCATACTGATCGCCAAGCATCACGCGCCCAAGCCCAGCAGACACCACCTCGCACGTATTTCGATCGCCAAAACAACGCGTCCAGGGTATCTCCGATAAACGAATCCGATACAAAGAGCGCAGAGCGACGACCCGCTCAACCCAGTGATCTCAATCCCAAAAAACGTACTCGGCAAGACACAGATGACGAAGACGAAGACGAAGACGACTTCGAGCAAGATACCCGCGTTACCAATGTCAAGGCGAAGCGAGACGCTAAGCCCAAGCCACGTAATGTTCGCCCTCGCCAGGAAACAGAGGACTCAAGTGAAGCTGGCCAACAGCTCCGGGATCAACTCCTTGCGTCTAGTCAGCAACAACCAGCGACTCAAAGCGGGCCGATGCCTCCTCCCTCGAATGCAACTGTTCCTCCACCACCGGTGCAGGAGCAAGCACCACCTAGCGAACCCGCAGCGTCTGCTCCTCACCCAGCCACCGCTACCCAGCAGTCCAGCTGGGCATATCGAAATGCGCCCAGGGCAGGATCGTCTACTGTCGTTAAGCGCAAGGGTGGGAGATGGTCAAAGGAAGAAGATGAACGACTTATCACGCTCATCGCTGCTCACGGTACTAGTTGGAAAGACATTCTTGCACAGGACAAAATCTGTCCTGCGAGTGATGGTGGGCCAGTTTTCACAATCAGGGAACGTTCAGGCGTCGATCTCAAGGATCGAGCACGTGTATTGAGAAAGCATATCGAAAAGTAAGTTGTCTTGTTTGTCGGCTTGCTGAAGATTATTTGTGCTAATACTATCCATCATAGGGCCGGGCAACCTCTCCCTACTGGGTTTGAAAGAGTGGGGAAGGTTACCTGGTAATGAGCTGCTTGTACCAACTCTTGTGTATTGATATTCTGTTTTGTTGGAAGGCTCTGTCCCTTTACTCGTGGTGACTTTTTTTTTTCTCCTTTTCCTTCCCCGGTGTTGTCGGCATTAGCAGGATGTTCATGATACCCAGTCGCTTTTCTCAGTTTGCAAGAGGCGCTCTCTTTGATCCCCTTGGAAATTCCATGTATGTGCGTGTCATGGCTCTATTTCAAGGTGAATCCATACATAATCCCACCTACTCTTATTACTTGATTTTTACTATTTAACTATTATTCTTCCTATCATTACAACTCAATCACCAAGCTACGTCTTTGAATCCGAGGGAAAAGATTGCCGAAAAGGATATCGAAGTCCATTCGGATAACTAAGTGTAATCTAAGGATTCAATCCTGAATCCACAAAAGAATGTTAAGATACAAAAAGTCAGGTCACAGCACAACAGGCCAGACACCGCTAACACTTCAGAACCCGCCAGCGAGTCCATCATGTGTAATACTATCACACATTAAACCCAACTTGTCTTACCGGTAGACAAAGTTGAGATTAGCACGATATGTAGTAAGTAAAATACAAGGGATCACAGTAGTGTAATAAAACACACCGGTCTCTCGTGTACACGAATCTGTACAATGCTCTCATCAAGAGCAGACAGGATCCTCAATGGTCGCAGCCATTTACAGAAGCAATCCAAGTCCAGCGACAATAGCACCGGCCACAGGAGCAGCGCGAAGGCTGTCCGCGGCGTTAGAGGTGGGTGTGGGCGTGGCGGACGAGCTCAGAGCAGTGATACCTCCAGAGGGAATGCTAGACTTCGATGGAGATGGGAGAGAAGTGGTACCCTTCGTCACCATGGTCGAGGCGCCAGTCACAGTGTTGGTCGCGGCGTTGGTAGCAGCGATGATGATGCCACCGTTTGTAGTTGCGACAGCCGCGGTGGAGGTAGGCCCAGAGTTGGAATCGGAGGCAGAGTTGGCGGCGGCTTCAGTGTTGTTGGTGGACGAGGATGAGAGGAACTTGTTGGTTGTCAGGACGGTGTAGGTGTCTTTGCCACCACCTAGAGGAAGAGGATATGTTAGACCTGGTTCAGGGTTTCCATTTTATTTGGAAATAATTATGCGCGAGGGGATAGCAAGATTCTATCCAACTTACATTCATCCTCAGGCCAACCAGCGCAGGCTGAGTTGCACTTATCATCGTCAACCTTAGCGGTGGAGAGCGGGACAGTGCTAGTGCAGCCGCATGTGGCTCCATCCTTCAGAACCGCAAACTGGAAGCCTTCCTCCGTGCATTGCTTAATGCAGTATTGGTGAGTTTGGAAAGTAAACTGTTTCACATTCGTCAAGCCAGCGACGTCGGAGTAGCAGCCAAGGGTGCTCATGGAGGAAGACCCAGCCACCAGTGGGAGGGCGAGAGCAAGGGATGCGAGAAGGTGCTGAAGATGCATAGTGTTATTTTTGTTGTGGTTTAAACGGTTAATGAGAGTTCAAGACCAAGTAGGTCACAGATGATACGATAAAGGAAAAATAGAGAGAGCGCGTGTTGATTTGTGTATAGCGAAAGAAAGTTGTCGAGTATGTGGAATGCGCAGATGAAACGAGAGAACTGTAACGACCAGCGAGTAGACAGATACAGAAGAACAAGAGAAAAATAGAAGAAGCAAAAGCTTTTTGTCTACGCCGCTGGATGTCTCACTTTTAAAAAGATCTGACAACTAGCTCCCTAGTCGGCTCCCCGGGGACAGCAGGAACCCGTGGACCCATTAATTTATGGATCATGAAACGGAGACGATGACATCGTGAAGCGAGACGATCAGCTCTGAAACACTAATCTGAGGGACCTATTGAACTCTGCGCGGTGGCTTATTGGTGTAGAGTGGGGATCGTCGAGACGATCGGCGTCCCCAGAGTGGACAATATTTGTTGTGGGAACGAACGAGTCACAGAGCTTGACAGCCTTGACGAGTCAAGGGAACACCAAGCACCCCTCGCAAGCCTAGTTCGCCACATTTTCATGGATTCCCTCCAGTTGGAGCCCCGTTTGCTGTGGGGATGCTGCATTTTTGCGGCGTCCGCCCTTCAGCCCCCTGGAATTACCCCTTTCCGGGGGAAACTTAGAGTGCTAAGTGGCTGATGGCATTGAGAAAGGAACGGACGAACCAGTGCGCGAAATTATGGTAATTTGGAAGCATTAGGGTTCCTAAAGGTTCTGGTCAATATTGCTATGACGCAGTTCTTCCATTGAGCTTCCATAATGTTTCTCGCTTCATCCCGTGGCTCCACTCGGTTCTTCGGCACTAGGAACCAGTGAACCACAGAATCGGGCCTAGCAAAACATTGGGCTTCTTGCTGAAGGTGTGGTAGACAGAGTTTGCACTGATACTTCATAGACAGAAGCATTCGCGAAACCAGCAGGTCATCCATCCCATATAGCTGAGTATACTTCCATCCTTTCAAGTTATCATGGCGACTGGCTTCCTACAGCCGACCATCGGCAAAGCCAGTATAAACTTGCCAATTAAGGCAAAGAGCGGCATCGGCCGCCACTCTCGTGAGGGGAAGAGTGAAAGATAGCGCCCATGGCGCAATGCCCTTATCTTATTCAACAGTGGTATTCCATGAGTCAAAAGGAATTGAGCATCCTCCCACTAAGAGTGTAGATTAATTCCGTCAAGATGAAAGCTCTTTCACTCCTCGGATTGGCAACCCTGCCATCCGCCATCGCATTGAACATCCCGGTTCAGCAAATCCTCTTCCCCGAGGCAGATACAACACCCCGCAATGCAGCCGTGAAGCCCTCTGCTCGCGAGACCTGTCCGCAGGCACAGAAGCTCGCTGCTCCGAATGACGGCTTACACCCAGCATTGACTTTCCTAGAAGATGGTGCATTCCGAGCTCGTCAGGCAAAGCGACTTTCCCAAGCCGTGCGAGTCCCAACAACAGTCGGCGATTTCGCGGAGGACCCATACGACGAGGCTTTTGCGCCTTTCGTAGAATTCCAAACCTTGCTGAAGAAGTTGTTCCCTCTCGTGTAAGCATTCTCCCCAATGATAAGCTAAAAGAGCCAAAAAAAAATTGATATCCATTAGGCACTCCCAAGCCGAGGTTGAGCACATCAACCGCCTCGGTTTAGTCTTCACCTTCAAAGGCGCAGATACAACCCGCAAGCCAATCCTTTTCATGGCCCACCAAGACGTAGTTCCAATCGATGACCCATCTGACTGGACATATCCACCCTTCGATGGTGTTTTTGACGGCGAATGGATCTGGGGCCGCGGCTCAAGCGACTGCAAGAACGTCCTTATTGGCCTCATGTCAACATTGGAGGACCTTCTCTCCCAAGATTGGAGCCCGCAGCGCACTATCGTCTTCGCCTTCGGCTACGACGAGGAATCACACGGCTGGCTAGGCGCGGGATCAATCGCCCCCGCTCTGGAAGAGAAATACGGCAAAGACAGCTTCGAGTTCATTCTCGATGAAGGCGGCATGGGACTCCAGAGTCTCGGCTCAGTCGGTGCTGAGTCAAACAGCGGCGAGGTCTTATATGCGCTTCCCGGCGTTGGAGAGAAGGGTAGTATAGACCTAGTACTTGAGCTTGCTGTACCAGGCGGCCACAGCTCCGTACCACCTCCTCACACTGGCATCGGTATTATGGCAGAGATTCTGTATGAGCTTGAGCGACAAGAACTTTTCAGTGCATCGTTGGATGAATCGCACCCCTCATTTGGGACGCTTGGGTGTCAGGCACGGTACTCATCTGAGAGTGTTGAGCCCTGGTTAGCTGAGAAGCTTGCCGCGGGTGATGCGGCAGACTTAGCTGAGTCCGTTGCAGAGTCTCGTGGTGATAAGATTCGATATACTTTACAGACGTCGCAGGCTGCTGATCTGATTCATGGAGGTGTGAAGACAAATGCGCTCCCAGAGAAGATCTCAGCCGTTGTCAACTACCGAGTGGCCCTGCACCAAACGCCTGATTTGGTCCAGGAACGTGCTGTGCGCATCATTGCCCCCATTGCTGACCGCCACAATGTCTCGCTGTCGGTTCATTTCCCTGGAGCTTCGTTTAGCGGCGAAGAGGAGGGTGGTGACCGTACACTCAGCCTGTCACCGTTGAGCGATCCTCTTGTCCCAGCGCCTATCTCTCCAACTGATCCGCTGACATCCAAGGTCTGGGCTCGGTTCTCTGGTGTAACTCGAAGTGTTTTCGAGTCGCATCCTAACCCGCTTGCCAAGTCAGATGCAGAGGCTTCATCAACTCCAACTGTTGTTGTCACTGGGGATGTCATGACTGGGAACACTGACACGCGCTTTTACTGGTCTCTGTCGGAGAACATTTACAGGTGGAGTCCATCCCGGGTTGGTGGGACGTTCAACATCCACACCGTTGATGAGCGTATTCATTTGGATGTTCATTTGGAGGGCATGATGCTTTACTATGGTATGTTTCAATTCTATTTAATTGTCTTCCAGGGGGTTTTCTAACGAATATTCTGCTAGATCTGATTCGTTCTTTTGATGGATGGGATGAAAGTTCCCAGTAAAAGTTCCACGCTTGATGTGAATTTCGAAGCGATTCTTTTTTAAAAAGGTTTTTTGTAACGATGATGGCATGCACATATGAAGTGGATGATTTACGGAGCTCGTAGCTGGTGTTATGAGGAGATGTGTAGTCTATGGAGTAGTAGAGTAACGAATGAGACGAAGAATGATTGACTACTTTAACCAATCCAACGCTCGAAACATCCGAGTATCTACCAATTTCCACTTTATTCACACGTTTATAATTATCTAAGTCACTCGTTTTTCGCTATACTCGATGGTTGAATGTCGTCGCTTTAAAATGAAATACCCACCTGGTTAAGAATTTGCAAGCGAATGTCAATGGATCGTTGGGGTTGGAAAATATCCAGAAAGTTGAGATCTACAACGTCTACTGATCAGGAATTGGAGAGTAATTTTGTCCGGAACGGAGTAAAATTGAGTATACCTATGGGCAGGATATTTATCACAGCCAATTGGGGGCATCGAGAGGCACAAAACAAACACACAACCAACGCACTTGACCGTTAACTCTGAATGAGCACGGCTCTGAGGATGGGTATCAAGGGTGTAACAAAACAACAAACATTATACGAGCCTTGACCATAAAGGCGTGGCAGACTAATGAATGGATGGCGTCCAGCGCGTCGTCATGCCCGTCCCCAGGATTGACCAGATCAAGGGGTCCTCATAATCTCACGGGTGGGCTAACAGGCAGAGAAGTTGAGAGCGGAGCGCGGACTAGGTATAAAGAAGATAGAATGTAAAAATAAATGCACAAGAAGCGAAGGTGATGGTCTTTTACTGGGTGACCAGGAGAGGAGCGAACGTGCCGCCTACAACGGGGCGGGCGAAGAAGAGAGTTTGCGGGTAACTGAACGTGGTTAGCAAGGGATCATGATTCGGAGGTGAGGTGACAACATACTTTCCGGTGACAGTATCGTACAAGTCAGTGAAAGCCTTGTTGGTTGGAGTCTCGTTGATCCAAGTGGCCAGGTGCTCGATGAACATGTTGCGGGTGTCAGTCGACGCGATGGCGGCAGTCCATAATTCCCAGTCGGCTGCATTCTAATTAGTCTTGAAATTTCAAAAAGAATACAAAATATAAGCAAACTCACCCTTGGTCTCAGTGTGGCGTGTGTCGAGGGGGACGCCATACTTGTTCACAATGGTAGGGTAGAAGTCACTCTGCATCTGGTAGACAGAGTCAGGCACCAAGCCCAGACCCAGCTGTGCGTCCGCGTAAAGGTTGTACAGGAGACCTAGAAACATTATGTTAGCATAAGAGCATACTCGTAGATCAAAGAATAACTTACCATGGCTGCTCGCGTTACCGTAGTTCAGAGTGGTGTGGGGTGGAGAAGCGTCTTTGTTAATGGCCAGGTCCTGCCATTTTGTGATGTAGCTGTGGGCAATACTAGAATAGTTGGCCGCATCGGCAGTGTTGCCCGTCTGTTTTGCAATAACAGCCATAGCCTGGATACCAATCATACCCTTCAGGGCCAAGTTGGTTTGGTTGCTAATATGACCGGTTAGTTAAAACTCTGAAGTTCGGACTTATTTAACTTACGCTAGAGACCCAGCAAAGTCATCCGTCGAGATTTGGTTGGCAGGGTATAGAGCGTCCTCGATCAGGTATTCAGTCCACTGGGTCAGGAGCGAGTAACGTTCTGTCAAGTAATCCGTGTCCTTGGACTTCAATGCATATGCAAGAGTCATGATAACCATGTTTCCGCACTCTTCCAAAGGCATCTTCTCATCGGTTCCATCAGAGTGACCAGTAGCATTTGGATAGTTTGAACCCATATCATGCATAGCCCAAGCATTGGGGTATTTACCAGCTAGCTGGTTCTCGTACAATGGCTCCATAACTAGCTTCAATAACTCGGGGTTGGTGTAGATGAAAAATGGGTAAACTGGGAACATGACATCTACGGTGTTTAAGTTTCCATCAGACGAGATTTCCTTAAGGAAAAGGTACATCTTGTCTTCAGTGCCGCAGAGCTGAGTGGCACCAATTGCCTGTCGGGCCGCCAGCGAGGTAAGCGCGAGATAGTCATTACCGCCAAGAGCAGTAGAGTCCTGGGCCACCTGGTTGTCGAAATCGCTAGCGAGAGAGCTAGATGAGCTGTAATCTTTGTGGAAGAACGACAATGCTTCCAGCTCAGTGTCGAAGTAGGCCTTCCAGAGGGACTGAACGGGAGCGTACGTCGAAGAACCTTCATACTGAACGGCCTCATCCTGAGTAAGACCCAGAGAGAAAAGCGTGCTGACGGGAGTTGAAGACACGGAGCCCAGGTTGGATGCGAATGCAAACACCGGCCACTCATCCTGAATAGCACGGTAGTTGGTGTCGGCACCATTGGTCAGTGTACCATTGGAAGAAAACTGGCCACGGACCACGGTATCCTGGCCAGATTGACGTGTCATTTTGCCGTTGGAATCAGTAGCCCAGTACCAGTAACCCCATTCGCCCTGCTGGTTGACTTCGGAGAACGCCAGTTGTGTCTGACGATAGACCTTGTGGTATGCAATATCATCGGTAGTGCCATAATCCCATTGAGCAATTGCACCACGGTCTCCCGATACCCACTCTGTAATGATGGTCAATTAAGCGACACTTTCAAGATTTTCGTGTTCATATTTAGGACTTACCAGCAGAGATATCAGCGTATACCTGTACATCGTGCTCCTTGCCATCGAGAGAATTCACTTCGACATTGAGGTAAGAAAAGACAAGAGATTGGCGTTTAAGGTCATTGGGCGTAATTGGCGACATGAAAGTGATGTTCATCTCCACGGCACCGGCAACATCCATAGTGAAGATGCTCTTGGTGGAAGTGTATTCCAATGCCGTTTGGTTGACTGTCGTAGTTCCAGGCAATCCCATCCAAGTATAAGCCACGCCATCAACGCGAATCAAGCCGCACCAGCCAGTTACCTGGTTCCTATACGCGTAAACTAGATCAGTCAAGGTTCAATGCGCGACTGCAGATCGAAACTTACTCCCAGAACGTGGGCCATTCGCCAGCTAGATAGCCTCCATCACCACCGTCACTCCCAGCATCAAGCCAAGTGCTTAAGTACGGCGACCTAACTGCAAGAGGCACAGCTGGGGGCCGAGCAGGTGTAAATGTCGAATCTGCGCCAACATAGGCTACAAGAGACGAAACCAGAAGACCAAGCTTATACAGCTGCATTATGCCGGTGAGTCGGAATAAGGATTGGACGGGTTCAACGGATCAACCCAGGAGCTTGTCCTTTTTTGTAATATTTATTTGTTGACAAAGGAGTGCAAACAAAAGGAGAAACACAAGGATCCAAATCAAGAGCTTCGAGGAAGCAAGCTGCACGAGCGCTGGGTATGACAGGGCAGACGCAGGAGGGATCGGCGTTGTGTTTACAGGAATGCCAGGGACATTTTTATACTTGAGTCCATCGGCCAGCAGCGCAAATGAAATGAATGCTAATAGGTCCGTCCCGGGCCCGCATGCCACAATGCTCCCTCCACGGCCAAACGAAAGGATCAGGTATAGCGCGATGGGGGAGATGATTTCACGGACCAGCAGACCTGCATGTGTAGAAAGAAAGTTCCGAAAGCGCAAGTCGGCTGATCTCCGTCAGTGCCCAAAGAAGGTGAGATCTTATGCAGTCGCTTCAGCCATATGGTAAGGGAGGGAAGGACGGGATGTGAGGGGTTGGGTAGGATCCATAGCAGTGCAGGGGGTGGGATAGGGGGGGAAACCATGCTCGTGGAGACATTTCTCTCTCAAAGGGGAGATGGTGGAGTTCACCTGGATGGACTAACAAGACTAACTCCGAAGGAATGAGAATCCGTCAAAAGTAAATCAATATCAAAGGTCGCATGGAACAAGCAGCGGTCTATGCGGGATCGACGACCAGTAGTATCCACGAGCAATCAAAGCCCCATTTTAGTCTTTCACAAAACAACTTGCAGATGACTGAGCACACGGAATGGCGCAAATAAAGATGCGGAGGAAACGAGTGTGGTGGTACTTTGATTGTACTTTGAAATAAAGAAAAAAAGGACTGAGCGAATGAGTGGCTGCATGGTAAAGGAGAATGACCTCGAGGGAACAAATGTATTGGTTTTGCTTCTTTGGGCTCGTGAACGCGTTCATAGGGCAAGTATGTAACACATCGTGAGGAAAGCGCCGGCTGAGCATGATTGCATCATGCGCACGACCTTCTCTCGGCAGTCGGCTTGGGATCAATATCATAACTCTTGGCAATATATGGGTAGTTGTTCGGTGTTTTAGTGCCCGACAACGTCTGCGGGGCAAATAGTGATGACCAGAGCCCGGACCCCGGTGGCTGTATAGACATCATCCTGTTTGGAGTGCAACATGGCCAGAGAGAGAGGCACGACATCGAAATTAGTGATGAGTCGATCCCACGGGGACCTGCAGCGGTTGATCGATAATTCCTCATGGCTTTTTCGAATGTCCAAATCAGATACGTTCCCCTTGCAGAAGAAACAAGCTATACGCGTCAGCTCTCCTTGTGAGGGCCGTGGAAGACAGTCCGATCGAGTAACAGGTACTTGGTCCAATGTGTAAAGTGGTCGCGTGAGGCAAGTACCAGGTACCCACTCCGTTGCGGCTCCACATCCTATTGGCACACCCTTGCCGATGAGGGACATCTGTGATACGTTAGGCCTAGTCTTCAAGGGAAATGAAGCCCATGCGCACCTCACTCACGATTTCCCTTAAAATCTCCACCGTTTCTAGTTGTGGCTAATCTTCCGGTGCGGATATCGTCTGGTATTCGATTGGAGGAATAAGATGAAAGAGTTCTAAGTGCTGAGGTGAAAACGAGACTGACTACGGAACGATGTAACATATTTTAGTGGCGCCGTGTCTGCAGAGATCCATATTGTACTGTCCCACGCAGTATAAACGGACTATACAATTTTGAGCCAACTCCGAACACGAAATATGGACACTAGCGCATATTTCTTCGCATTTTACATTTATCCGTCGGAAATTGAGTGTCGGACTGTGCTCAACTCACGGACCTGCTAAGGTAAATCTTAGTTTATGTGTCAGACGTGCAGCTGTGCAGGTCTTGCATCTGTACTTCGACCTCACCGCCGCTAGTTTTAATGAGCAATATCACCCTGTTCCATCCGAAGAGAGGGGAACTTGCATTGTTTGATTGGGTTGAAGGTCCGAGCCCAAGAAAGATAGATTGGTTGACGAAACCTTACATCCAAGGCCATGTACATTTGAGGTTTGCGAGACGATTCACGGCCCCAAGCGCCCCCCTTATCCAGTAATCTCGATCGTCATGCGTAACGCATGTCTAAAACGTGGACCTCAGCCAATAGATTGAGTGATAGATCCAAATGCACATTGTAAGTGGCAGAGAAGACGGATCGCTCAACCTGCCGAAAGCCGAATCTCAGATCCTGCTGTCTGAGATTCCAAAGACATCAACATCATGCATAATTCCGACATTAGACCGACTCAACCTGAGGTCACTTTACAAGGTCATGCCAAGACTCATTTCAAACCTCGGTTCACATTAGGAAAAGTCATGTCCTTGCACAGGTGGGTAGGTCTTAATGAATGCTCACCATCTGACGTTCTTTGACTGATTACTAGTAGAAGATAGACTCAAAAATGGGGAGCAGAATGCCCCGCGCCCAATAGTAGTGCCTAATGCCCACATCTCTTTCAAAGTTCAGAGCATCCGTCACTACTAGTATAGTACTTCAAGTTACTAGCTAGTGGGGTATAGGAAGGGTACTAGTAAGAAGACAAGTCCAAACCTTGGAATATGCCAGGGGTTCTAGCATTGCGAATCGCACTGGCAGCGTTCAAATACTACTGTTCAAGATCAAGTTTTTGAATACCCATTTTTCAGACCCATTGTACGCCCTATATGGATACTATATATATGGAGCATCCATGACTTGGAGTCCTTCAAGTTGGTAGGTGATCAGTGACTAAGTGGTGCACACTTACATTGGTAGTGCTAACTGTATGTACTATGAAACAACAATACTAGTAGGTCGTATCTAGGCAATAACATTGGAGCTTGAAGTGGTTGATGGGTGGTAGTGCATACGGTCGATGACTGTCCGCGACGATAGGAGTTGTAAGGGTCAATTTCTATATGCAGCGTCTTAGCTTAATACGTATTAGATTTGTAGATCACAGGAAAATAATATATCTCTAACAATACCCATAAGCCCAGCTCATACTAGAAAAACCTGATTGATTGTACATATGCAGGTCGCAGGACTACCAAGGTTAAACTAGGAAGTTCTCAAGTATACCCATACAGATGTACCTCTGCAAAAGAAAGAGTAATTTGAGGTATGTCAGGTTACGAATCTACATAGATCGACGCAGCGATTGCATATAGCTCTTAATAGAACAGGAACCGGCAAATTGCTATACAGCGAAAGAATCATTCATAATTCATCCAGGACTAAGGTGAACTCGGAAAATTTTTGATTTTTGTTTCATTCAGGGGAATCTATGCACAGGCTTGAGAAGTGCCAGGGCATCGGAGACCCATCACGCGTCGTCTCATGCAGCCCAAGTCAAATTCCAGCCACTTAGGCGGAAAAAGCGGCGAAAACCCAGTTCAAATAACACCGAACAACCACGCGCACCGAACCAAAAGACCCATTTTTCCATCGAGTCCCTTAGATGTGGGTGTCGTAGGGGATAGGGGTAACGGTCTCGGGGACGTTGCCGGCCTGGGTGACGAGGTGACCGTCACGGGGACCAACAGCCTGGCGCTTAAGGTGAACGTGGATACCCTTCTCCTTGGCCTCACGCTTCTTCAGGGCGTTCTCCTTGACACGGTTGATGAACTCCTCGCGGGAGCGGGAGTGCTGGACGTGCTCAATGCGGACGCTGATGCGCTTCTCGAGGTAGCGGTTGTCGACACGCTTGTACAGGAGGACACCGACGGAGGACTTGGTGACGTTGTAGACGACACCGGTCTTACCGTGGTAGACCTTGTGGGGCATACTATATTCCAGAGTCTCAGTTATTATGTCCATTTGAATGGGAAGGGATTGTGGATGTCGGATGGGATTTGGGAGGATTCAAGGTGTTGTGGCTCATGCCGAGCAATTGGGCGAATGAAGCGCAAGGAAATTTGCGGATGTGTACTGACCCCTTCTGAACGGCACCGTTGACCTTGATATCGACAATATCTCCAACACTGTTAAAATTTGTCAGATCCTCCATTATTTCAAATTCAAAACTTTCATATCGAAATTCGGCTTATCGGGATCGTTCGTACCGGTAGGTCTTCATGTAGGTAGACATGCGAATCATACCATGTTCCTTGAAGTTACGGCTGAAGGCATACTGTGCATTTCGTTAGTATGGTCGTTGCATTTCCTTCATTTTTTTCGCCATCGTTTCAAGCCAACTATATCACGCTAAACACGCAGCGAAATGGCCGGGATAGAGAGTTGTAGCATTTCATTCAAGGGGGACGTACCCGAGTGCCGGCACGCAGACCGTAGGAGTGAGGCATGGCGACGGTGTTGGTTGGTGGTGAATTTGGTGAATTGGCGACAGCGGGCCTTTGGTCAAGATTGAAGCTGAAGCGGAACACCCGATGGTTTGTGAGGTCAGGTGACTGTGGGATCCGTGACCGACTAGCCCTTGCCCTAACACTCTCGGGAGCATGGCACTATAACCTATTTGGGACTAGCGTCTTCCACTAAGCGATGGGAGAATTGGACTTCATGATTCTTCGCGATTAGGAAGTTCCTTCTTGTGTGCTCAACCTCGCGACAACTCAGCAACCATGGCCCCGTGAGTATACCGACATCAATGGAAATGAATTATCGCAATATTCTAATGTTCGACATTACAGTCGCGTTTCCTCCAAGACCTACAAGGTCCCCCGTCGTCGTAAGTCGAAATTCTGAATATTCATCAAAATCACCAAGTCTTCAATATGCTAACATCTATGTCACAGCTTACGAGTCGGCCCGTCTGTTAGTACTCTCCGGCCACTGATCAGAAGCGTGCTTCTGTTTATGTCGTGATGTTCCATTATCTAACCACTTTTTAATAATAGTGATTCGGAACTGAAGGTTGTCGGCGAGTACGGCCTCCGCAACAAGCGTGAGGTGTGGCGTGTCCAGCTTACCCTCTCTAAGATTCGTCGTGCTGCTCGGTATGTGGAGGACTGGCTCGGGATATGAAAATTATTCATGATACATGAAAGAATGCGAAACTAACATAATTTTCTCACTAGTGAGCTGCTCACTCTCGATGAGAAGGACCCCAAGCGTCTGTTCGAGGGTAACGCCTTGATTCGCCGTCTGGTGCGCATCGGTGTGCTCGATGAGTCCCGCATGAAGCTCGATTACGTTCTTGCCCTGAAGGTCGAGGATTTCCTTGAGCGTCGTCTGCAGACCTGCGTGTACAAGCTCGGCCTCGCCAAGTCTATCCACCACGCCCGTGTCCTGATCAAGCAGCGCCACATCCGTGTCGGCAAGCAGATCGTCAACGTTCCCTCTTTCATGGTTCGCCTTGACTCCCAGAAGCACATCGACTTCGCTCTGTCCTCTCCCTTCGGTGGTGGCCGCCCCGGTCGCGTGCGCCGCAAGAAGGCCGCTGCCGCCGCTGGTGGTGACGGTGAGGAGGCTGAGGAGGATGAGGAGTAAATCAGCATCTAAAAATGAAAACGGGCGTCCGGTCGGGTTTCGCTTTGGGCTTAACAAAATTCTGGGTCCTGATGACTGCAGCATCGAGCGCTTTATGTTGTACGATCATGCAAATACAATGATTAAAAATACATTCCAGCCAGATGGCTTAAATTTGGAACCCGAATTTTTCTCATCCATGTCGCATAATACCGTAGATTCTCATACTATATACACGTCGAATTGTAATCACTAAAACACGAAACGCCAACGCCTATCTCCATTGCCCCCCACCCAACCTTGTTAATCATTCGGTCGTGCTATCGTCAATTAGAATACTGGGGTACTCTACCCCTCCACACCCACCATCTCCTTCAATGTCTCCTCGGCACCTCTGTACCAGCGACCCATTTCTTCAGTTCCGTCCGTCTCGCCTTCCTGCTTCTTTCTCCTTGCCTCACGAGCCTGCGTTGTAGCCTCCACCTTCCTTCGCTCGAGCACCGAACATTCCCTTTCAATCGCTTCAGCCTCTCGAGTCTTGCGGGGTAGCGAGTTCTGCACGGCGGCAATCTGGCGGTTTAACGCGGCCAATTCCGCTTCGCGATCAGCAAGTAGCTCCAAGGTCGCTGGAAGAGACATATTCTGTGAAGATCGAGGATCTGAGGTATCCATGCTCGCGACTTGCTTTGCGCGGAGACCGGCAATAGTAGATTCAAGGTTCTCAATTGACTCCGGTAGACTAGCGAGCTGCGCTTCTTGAATCTCAACTTCTTTGTAGCCTATGATGATAATCAACAATGTCAGTGACTCGGTACGTATAGCAATCCCTCAAAGAGCATACTCACGGCTTGCGAGATCCCGACTCATCTTCTCCATTTCCTCAATCATAACGCGGGCTTCCTCCTTCCGTGCCTTGAGCTCGGCCTTCACCTCCGCTAACTGCGCCTCCAATTCCACGTTTTCATTGTGTCCGACTATCAACGGAGGATCGCCTACAATAGCGCGTAGGAATTTCTCTTTCGTAACTTGCTCGACGTAGGAGAATCGCAATTTGGAAAAGAGCTCCTATACGATAGTCATGAAATTTAGCCATTGCCGCTTGGTGCAACTTCACGTCAGAACATTGTATGCTAACCTTGTAATGTGCTAGATCGGCCTCAAGAGAGGCAGGGGTAGGATCATTCAGGTTAAAAACAGAGATATCTGAGCCTCGCTTTGCAGGCGAGGGGTTCGTGTCTCCGACATCTGAGATGGGCTCTGCGATCTTGATGATATTCAAACTTTGGTTCAAGTCGCCCTGTTCTTTCCTAAGGGCTTCGAGCCTTGATAATGCCTCCGATGCACTGACTGCCATATCTTTTCAGTAGATCAATCCTCAATAGACTGATTGGAGGGACATGGGATTTATCTTCTGCAGCAACCGCGGAAGCAAAAAGCGTAAACAATCGCGATAAGAAGGCGGTCAGTCCGCCACTTTCTTTGATCTGCAGGCGCGATCAGCTTTGTTCATTCCCCACACGATGTGATTGCGCAACGAGTTCCTCCAAAGGTTTTCTATGGCTCCTTCATAGGATGAATCACTGGATCTAAGACATCTTCACTTTGGCAGCGCCTTTTGAAAGCCTGCTCTACACTCCTCCCTTTCACATCCATCAACTTCCATCAGAGCCAACATGGACGACGATTACGTTGCACAGGTCCTTGCCAAAGAGGCGCGAGAGAGTTCTCAGAAGTACTCCAGTAATGGACTCTCAGCATTTATGCCTTCAAAGTATGTTCTAATTCGAATTCTCACATTCAACTACTCTTCTGACTTGATGCCTAGACCGACAAGCAATGCTCCCAAACCGAATACCCGATTCCTTCGCCATCTTATCAAAGAAACAGACAGTCATAATACGGCTCTGAAGCGCAAAGAAGAAAAAGAAGCTCGAGAGCGAATGCGTACATTAAAAAAACAGTCCGCAGCAGCCAATGAATCTACCTCTCACTCGCACAGAAGACCTGATCGAGCGTCTACACGCGGTACCGAAGGTCCGCGCCTGGCCCGCGCGGACCAACATCGATCTCATGGAAGGAGGAATCCAAGTCGATCTACATCTACAGAAAGAGACAGGTCACGACGTCATCGGCACCGGGACGAGAAAGATCGAGATAGAACGCGAGACGGCCGACATGACCGCCCAGAGCGACGAGGGTATCGTAGGGCCGACTCATCTCTAACAAGACGTCGAGATAGAGAGCGATCATATTCTCGATCTCGAAGTCGCTCTCCACGCCGAGAAAGAGAACGAGACCGAGATCGCGCCTCCAAATCCCGCCGTAGCGAACGATCACGTCGATCCGAATCCCCATCTCATACTCATTCATCCCATTCACAACGCAAGAGTCGAGAATCAGAGCGTCGCTCCAGACGTGATGAGCACACATCTTCTCGCCAGCATCGCCTCACCCCACCGAAATCGGACGAGCCCCGTGAATCGAAGTCCTCCTCAACAACCACAACACAACGCCGTGACGTTTCTGAAGACTCGGACCCTCTAGAAGAACTCGTCGGCCCTCTCCATCCTTCGACAGCCAATTCTGAAGCGCCTATCCGCTCACGAGGTCGTGGGGCCTACAGATCCAACACCAGCAACATCGACGCACACTTCGCGTCTGACTACGACCCCACCCTAGACATACAACCTGATGAAGTTGAGGGAAATAACACGAAACAGCCTTCCCGCCGCCATGTGACAGGTCTTATGACCGGCGAGGACGACTGGGAAATGGCTCTTGAAGCCATGCGCGATCGCACGAAATGGAAACAAAAGGGCGAGGAGAGGCTGCGGGCGGCCGGGATCAATGAGGGTGCCATTGATCGCTGGAAGAAGGAACCTGCTTTTACCGGTCTAGATGGGGAGCGTCGGCCTGAAGATGTAAGATGGTCGAAGTCAGGTGAAGGCCGTGAGTGGGATCGGGGGAAGTTTGTCGACGATGAGGGCCATATCGATGTTCGTGCTGCATGGCCTAAGTCAAACTAGAAGTGAAGCTTGAAAGATGTCAATTACAGTCAATATTTTTATCACACAATACATCATTAATACATATCCTAGAACATTAATGTCGCTTCTTGACTTATAGATACTGTACATCCGTATAAGTAAATATTTTCTTTCGTGGATATTAGATCCACTTCAACCACAGATAGAGACCCGCTCATTCCGCGGCTTTGTCAGTGCGGAAAACTTCCACATCGTGATTATGATTATATAGCAGGCCACACTGACGACATCGATCCTCATTTTTAATGATTGTGATTGCTCAGGATTGCTCAGCGATTAGTATTAGCTAGAGTGCTGATTGATAAGATTGGCTCCTCGAAGACAATTTGTACCTACTTTCCCCCACCCGGATATTGCTCATCCAGGAATATATAGCTGCGGGGCAAAAGACCACAGGACCACATAAACGTTTGAATATCTACCTATTCCAAGGCTATTTCTACCACCACCGCTACCTATATCCTTCAAGTTGGCCATCAGTGCCATCAAAAACACCAGAAACACATACAAAATGCCAGATCAATATTCCTATTCATACCCATCACCATTAGAGGGATATGAGAACCTCGACCTGCTATCCGAGTAAGCGCGTGCACCAGCACATCATGATGTGCACCTGAAAAAGAGCCTCAGAATGAGCATTTTGAATAGGCTGACATCAATGATTGAAACAGCGAACGGAACGAGGATGGAAAATCCCTCAAGAACCCCACAACCGGAACTCTCAGCAAAGCCTACGAAGAATTTCCCGACCCGCTAGCCAAAGACCGACGCGGTGGCTTCGATATTCACATCTACCACTTCCAAGTATGACGGCAACTTGAATCTCAGGAAGCGATAGAAGCTCAAAACTACCAGTAGTTCTTGAACTAACAGCTACCCAGAATAATCCAGATCAAGTAACATTTGCCAAAGCACTCCATGAACGAATCAGACGAGAATGTAAGTATTCCCTCTACATTGAAGACCACAATATTGTCATGATATACATGCATGCAGTCTCTCAGTCTCAGACTAAGATTACCTGTCCTGTCAATTAAATACTTAGACGTCTACCTGGGATATACCAACTAACGTATCATACAGTCCCCGAATTACGCATTTACAGATTCTTCGATAAACCCGTCGGACCACACCCCGTCGCCATGTTCGAAGTAAATCTGTTCACGCCAGCGCAGTTTGGAGCCTTCATTCCTTGGCTAGTTATCAATCGCGGTCCATTGAGTGCGCTTGTTCATCCGAATACGACTGAAGGGGCAGATGATGAGGAGAGAGATCATACGCAGCGGGCGACGTGGTTGGGGGAGCGGATTCCGTTGGATTTGAGAATTTTCAAATTGCACCAGGAGGCTGAGAGGAAGGAGGAGACGGGAAAGTTATAGAGATGGCTATGGAATCACGGTGTCTTCTTCAAAGGACGTATTACTATGTAGTTGATCTGAGATAACAGAAAATTTGTAAATGCGAACAATAATTCGTTTGATTGATTGGCATCACGTAAGACTTATTTGTCTTTTTGGTGTGATAAGCATGACTCTGCATAACTTATCAGATGAACAAGAGATAGGGATCTCTGCGATCTACGAGGCTGATCCTAGATCCTGAACACAGTTCTAACAACCGCAGATCATGATCATGATCAGCGGAGTCCATGCACCGCGATCCATATCATCACCTGAGCAAATGACCAACCCCGAGTCCACGTCACGCCCCCTCCGCATATGATGAGTAGAAAAAATGTACCAGGACCCTGCATCTATCAAATTCTCAGTGTCAAATCAGAAACCCTCACGTCCCACCTGCTTCCACTCATTGACCATACACACCATGCACATAACATTCCGAACACTACCTCACAATATGAACCTAATATCATAGAGCTGGTAGCCAGTAAATTCGAGCTATACCGAGACATTCTATGAATCATCTACCTGGTAGGTTACCTTGGATGCTTTACTCGGAATGCACAAGACTGCAATATCTGCTTATGTCTTGTGACGAAGATCATGCTGATCTATGCCATAAATGTAGATATAGATAAAAGCTCTCAGATCGATCTAACTTGATAAAAAACCGCATAACATGAAGCTATAACTACCCCAAGATAGAAGTCCTTTCTCAAATCGAAAAAAATGCACCTAATACAATACCTCGCATCCCTCATCCCACTATCCCTCTTGAACCTGAAACCAACACTCGCATCCTCATCCCAAACCACAATCATACCTCGATATGTCTACGACTACGGTAAACAATCTAATAGTAATTCTATTTGCACATCTACCTATCACTCATCAGTCGAAACTACATAGCTCCCCTAGTCTGGCTTCACAGCCAAGACGCATACAAACCAAGCGATCTCCAAGCCCAACTAGACAATACAACCCCCCAAGTAAACTGGACATCTATCCCCAACACACCAACACCACTAACACTAGATAACCTCGATCAACTCAATAATCTAGGAAACACAAGCGTCTACCTAACTACGCACGGTGGTATTGCTGAAAGCCCCCAACCAGCTTGGTGGGGAGGTATCACACCAGATCGCGATGGACGTATAGAGAATGGAACAGGGTGCGCGATTATAGTCGTTGATCATGGGAAAGAGAATGTAGATGCTTTCTACTTTTATTTTTATGCGTGAGTTGTGCTGAATATTCGATATTTGATACGTGATCGTGATTGTTATTTCTGACAGAGAGCAGATATAATAAAGGTGATAGAGTATTTGGGAGGGAATATGGGGATCATATTGGTGACTGGTGAGTTAGTATTTATCTCATGATGTTGGAAAGAATAACTTCGATACTACTAGTAGTGCAATGTATAAGCTGACTTGGTTAAAAGGGAACATAACATGATCCGCTTCTCAAAGGGAAAACCCCAAGCAATGTGGTTTAGCCAACATGCCAGCGGACAAGCATTTAGATATAAAGCGCTCGAAAAACGAGGCCAAAGACCATATGCCTACTCTGCGAACGGGACACATGCCAATTATGCGATAAAAGGGTAACCTCTACTCAAATTAACTCATCCATTTTAAGATTCATGCATAAGTATGCTAACCTCAAAACCAAGTCAACACGATCATACAATCCCCGGCCTAAACCTCCCAACCGGTTTCGTCCTAGACTATACCAATAAAGGATTCCTCTGGGATCCAACCCTAAACGCCTACGCATATATCTATAATCCCAAGAGTAAAACGTTCACGGCAGCTGACCCTGACTCGAGATCACCGGTTGGGTGGCTTGAGTTTAATGGGAGATGGGGTGATGCAAGACCTCGGGGGGAGAAGACGATCTTTGGAGAAGCGAAGTATATGGCTGGGCCTAATGGGCCGAAGTTTAAGGTGTTGGATCGGAAGCATGTTTGTCCTTCTAGTCCGTGTTTGGTTTTCCCGTTTCGGACTTGGGATGTACTTGAGCCCCAGCACTGAGGGCTTGGGAGTTTAGTGTGTATTGTGCTAGGTTGTTGGAAAGTGGATTCATGGTTAGGCTCTATCTATATGAGTTTGTATCTTAGGTACAGAATTTTCAAGTTTTAGGATAGACTAGTTAGACCATTTTAGCAATCGAGGTTAAAGGCAATAAAATCTCAAATCTGCACGCGATACTGTAGCCCCGCAGTCGGGTCCACAATGGAAATCACGCGAAAGATCATAACAGAGTGAGCCAGAACAGATTCCATAATACTGAATAAACATTACCATTGTGATCTTCTATATTGCTATCTGAATACAATGGCATTCACTGATCCAGGGTTCACAATCAATAGACCTGACGCGTCCCAGACAGGACCATTCCGCGGATTGTGCGAGCCCCACTTGATCGAGTCGCGTGGCGGTTGGATGCGATCGAGAATAAGTAAGCGTGCAGCGATCGACTGTACATTAGCTGCTGATGGGTGAATTCTAATTCTAATTCAGTCTCATGTTTCATGTGTATCATTTGAAGCGTTGATTATAGACTGCAGACTAGGTGTGATAATTGGTTGTGGGATCACGTTTTAAGATTTGGAGGGGCGAAAGGAAATGAGCTGGAGGGGAACGGGTGGACGAATAGGCTAAGCCAAAGTAAAAGCCGGAACTTGGAACCTTGGAGGTCATGACTCGGAGCTAAGAGTTCTGTTTTTTGTGCGGCATAATACAGTAGAGTGGGATCTTCTCCTTTATATGGGTTTGATCCGAGCTCGGGGTCCATCCCCATTACTAGGGACACTGTAGTAATGAACTCCGGTAGTTCATGTACCCACCCCAGCACCCATTTTATTTTTTAATCTTAAATTTTGAAACACGGGACGTGTTTTGCTTTTGTTCAGCTCAGTTCGGTTCAGTCCAGTGGTTCCTTGTAGGAATGGGAATATTATCTGATCCAACCAATTGATGCTTGATGTTTGTGAACAGATGCTGCACCGAACAAATCCCGGCTGAACCGACAGAATAGTGACTCTAATTCGACGAGTCAGATCAGATTGCCAGCGAGTCTTACACCTGAAACCGAGCATTAGAACAGCAGCGAGAAAGCAGAAAAGAGAAAAGCAGATCGTGAAGCAAGTGGAGTCCAACGGCCCCTGGCGTCCGTTAACGCACGTGCCAGCTGCCTGTTCAGGGGAAGACCTCGTGGTAGTCAGTATACATAGATGGATTTTTAATTATGCTATATTTAATTAGATATAGAAAGAATCATCGCCTCCTGTTCTTTATTTACCCTGCTCCTGAGGCTACGAGGTACAGGTTATAATGCTGGTATTCATCGACACCAAGACTTCCCCTCCGGGCCTTAGCCGCCCGCCGGCGTGGAGCGAGTATCCCAGCAGTCCACACAGCAGCTCCAAGTGGGGAGAGCGTGGTGGGCTCTGGACCAAGTCGACATTACCCCTGAATCATAATAGTGCCCTGAACTCGTATCAATACAGAGAGAACATTGAAGAGAAATGTTCATACCCAAGAACTATTATTGTAGATACTACATACTAGATATTTATGAACTAGATTAAACCTCAACATCATAGTAAAGGCAGACAACTTGAACACAATACAAAGAATAATCAACTTGAACTCCATAATAATCCGTAATGATAACCTGTCCTACACTTACAATACTCATATGTACTACTCTCTGTACATAAGCCTTGCAGTTCATCTCCGCACTCATTTTCTTTCCTCTTCTCTCTACCCACTCCTTTCCTTTCGTTTCCTTGCTATTTCTCACCTTAATGCGCCGCTAGAGTCGGACGCTGTGAGCAGGCCGCTTCCCAATTTCCATCTTTTCCATCTCTCCAGAAAAAGTCACGCTAAAAAATACAATTATACGGGATTGGGAAACTTATTTTTTTCTTTCCTCTCCTTACCCTTCAACCCCCCCCCCCGAATTTCAATTCCAACACCTTCCCCTTGCTCCGTGACTCCAGTAGACACGGTTCAGCGGAATAAAGTGCATAACACGACAACTCACACTGGTTGAGAGTTTGTTACGATTGAATCGACTCTGTTCTTTGTTCGCTCGTTTTTTGAACTTGGATCTCTTGTTCTGCTGTCGCAGATACCGTTCGGTTTTTTTTTTCCTCTAACTTTTTTTTTTCGTGATTGGGTCCTCCAATTGTCGCATCGAACTATTGGATATAAACGTGGTTGCATTTGTGACGTACAATTGAGATGTAAGTTTCCCCTGGACCAGATGAGGGGTTATTTACCCGAAGATATCCAGATCAATAATGGAGAAGAAAGAGAGAAAAGCACAGAAAAGAAAGAAAACAAAAGAAAACCGGCTGATTGGTGTTATGACTGCAGATTATATTGTCGCATTACAACAGAACCGTAAGCCTTGAAGCCTTACAACAGAAAACAAAACAAACCCAAAAACATACGCAAATACGAAAATGGCAACTCCAACTTCCTCCCGGGCTCCGTCCGAAGTACCTTCTAGTACTGATCAATCCCTCAACCCCAACGCTCGCCGTACCTCCCTCGGTTTCCTCCGTCGCTCCAAATCAACCGAACCCCTCGGCGAACAACGCAAATCCTCCGCCAGTCGCAAAAAGATGACCAAATCCCAACTGATGGAAGAAGAAATCCGCCGCCAGCGTGAATCCTACGCGCCTAAGATCGCCCCGCGCCTGCCAGACTTCTCACCCGCCCCGCAGCTGGAGACCTTCGGTGGTGAAGAGCGTGATACCCTCAATACCCTCAAGGTGGAGCCAAATCTACCTCGTCCCCACTCGGGTGTTGCGGCTACTTCTTTGGCGTCACCGACTGACTCTATTGATCCTTATGCGAGGTCTGAGAGTATGACCCATCGTGGTCGGTATAGCTATGCTAGTAGTGCGGTTAGTACTGTCAACAGTCCCCGTCGCGTCCGTCGTCGCAAGGACCCCACTCCATACAAGTAAGTCAACCATTCAACTCTTGTCTATTACTGAGCCCTGTGCTTGCTATGGATAGCATGGTATTCTGCTCTGTTTAAATTGATGTACTGACAATCACAGTGTGCTGGTCGTTGGTGCTCGCAACTCCGGCAAGACTGAATTCCTCAACTTTCTCCGCAAGTCGTTGACAATGCCCCCGCATAAACACCCCTCACGCACCCCCGAAGAACTCGAAGAACTGGAACGCCAGACATCCGTCTACGAAGGATTCACCTCCCAGTACCTCGAAACCGAAATCGAAGGCGAGCGCGTCGGTCTCACCCTCTGGGATTCCAATGGCCTGGAACGCAACATTGTTGATCTGCAGATGCGCGCCGTGACAGGCTTCCTGGAGAGCAAATTTGAGGAAACTCTCGCGGAAGAGATGAAGGTTGTTCGTTCCCCCGGTGCTCGCGACACTCATATCCACTGTACTTTCCTTCTTTTGGACCCCGTGCGTCTGGATGAGAACATCGCCGCCGCTGAGCGCTTTGCCAATGGCACATCCAAGGCCACCGACACCCCTGTCCTGGGCGTCTTGGATCAGAACCTAGATCTACAGGTGCTGCGCACTATTCTGGGCAAAACCACCATTGTGCCTGTCATCAGCAAGGCGGATACTATCACCTCGACTCACATGGGATACCTGCGCAAGGCTGTCTGGAGCAGTCTCAAAAAAGCCAACATTGATCCTCTTGAGATCCTTACCCTGGAAGACCAGGAAGAGTACAGCTCCTCCGAAAGCGCCTACGATGAATCAATTGCAGAGAGCGAGCCTGCTCAGCCTACGCAAACCGCCGAGACCACCGAGCCTACAGATGGTGCTGCTGAGACCGAGGCCGAGACCGAGATTGAGAACAAATCTACCGACGAGACCAACGAGCAACAAATTTTTACCCCTCGCTCCCCCTCACAGCGTAGCCGGAAATCCACCGGTTCGTTGAACATGGCCAATCCCCACGTGCCGTTCTCCATCCTGTCCCCGGACCCACACTCCCTTGCATCCGGAGAAGAACCCGTCGGTCGCCGATTCCCCTGGGGTTTCGCAGACCCATACAACCCCGAGCACTGTGACTTTGTGCGTCTTAAGGACTCCGTCTTCACAGAGTGGCGATCAGAACTCCGTGAAGCCAGTCGTGTTACCTGGTACGAGCGCTGGAGAACCAACCGCCTCAATCGTAACGGTCAACCTGCGCCTGCGCCCTCGTCTAAACCACGAGCCAGCTATGGTGGTCGGACAGGCCCTGCTTTCGACGGTCGGCGTACACGTTAATTGATTCTTCTACGTGATCACGCCGGATGCAATCGGATTGCATCGTTTGCCTATCTTCGTTTCGTCTCCTTGTCTTTTTGTTTCTTTTTTTTTTTCTTCTACTCTTTGCCTTCTCCTGTTCGCATAGCTTGCTATTCCGCACATACCCCCTTCCCATTTCTCTCGCTCTTCTCATCTACTGAGAAGAGTTACTATTCTTTTTTTTGTCTGTTGTATTTTCCTTTCTCCACACAAAATGTGTCACCTCGAGTGTCTCCTGTACTCCAGATTCGTGTTTTAATTCGTGGGTAATCAATTTCGTGGAATCGACTTTGTGCTAGTACTCTATACCTAAGCTTGGAATACTGACAGCCTTATTGCATCGTAATCATCGTACCTGACCAAGCAAATGATCCTTTAGCGCCGCCCTAATGCACCCAAGAAGCGGCTGAAGAGCAAAGAGCCACTCAGCACCAATGAGAAACCGCTGGAATACACTGGCGGCTCCATCCACCTCGTTTCTGCATCAGCAAAGTCAGCTGGGGTTCAAAGGCAATTATACCTGGATGAACCTTGATTTAAATACTCGATCTTTCCAGATTTCCTTCTGACTTTAACTTTACTCTTCTCTTTCTCCTCTTCCCTCTTTCCCTATATAATCCAGGGAATGGTATCAGCAGCACGGCCCAGAAAAGGCAGAACAAGACAACCTTGCACTCAGTGGAGCCGAGCCCCAACCTTCTCTTCGCACTGATCATACCCACCCACTCACTCTACTCAACTCTGTCGCAAACCCTTAAATCAGGGTCCTGTGCCCGCTTACACCAGCAAAGAAACATTCTGGACCAAGACCAAGATCAATTTTATTTATTCAACCCCAACACCCCACCTACTATAGTATACTCAAGTAGGTGCAAACACATCTCCAAATCCGGCAAAAACCCCACAATCAACCAGGGACAAAGCGACGGACCCGACCAAACCAACAAAACAAAATGTCGCTACAAGTCAACGATCCACGGTCGCGCTCCAGATCCCCAGGCCGAACACACGAGCGATCCCGTTCTCGTTCTCGTTCTGTCTCCCGTGCCCCGGATACACTGGACGTAGCACCTTCTTCATCCCATCAACGTTCTCGCTCCCCCGCTGTCGTGGAGCTAGGCCGAAACGGAAATGGAAATGGAAGCGGAAACGGGGTCTCGAATTCGAGTTCCAGTCGCAAAAAATACGACTCAGATGATGAAGCCGAGATCGAGCGTCAGTATATGGCTATGAAGGAGTCTAGAGCTCGAGAGCGAGAGAGGGGTCGTGAAGCCGAGGATCGCGATGCAAGGAATGCGAATGCGAATGCGAATGTGAATTCTACACGTGCACCTTCGGCACGGTATGATTTACCCCGCGATCGGGACCGCGATCGCTATGAGCATTCAGACGACGAGAAAGATCTTCGGCCTATACAGCCTCCAAGACCATCGTATACGCAGTCGCAGGCACCACCACCCCAACCACCACGTCCACCTCCTTCACCCTCAGCAAGAAATGGATTCGGAATTGGTCGTGGCCGTCGAGACTCTTCGAGCTCCGAGAGCTCTGTCGATGACGATTTAGCCTACGGCGATACCCTAGGTTCTCATCCTAGTTATGCGCGACCGGGTAGATTCCAATATGCAGCGCCGGGACAGATGATGTCGCGCGAACCACCGCGCCCATCTAGACAGACGGATTGGGCTTCTGTACCGGAGTGTGAGAGGCCGGGCTTTGTGCCGCCCATAAACACAAACACAAACTCACAGGGAGATGTGATGCCTGGCGCGTTTCCGGGGAGTGGGCCTGTACCTGGTGCATTTCCCGCGCCGGCTTCGACATATGCTGAGGTACCTGGGACTGCTGCGCCGAGTTTTCCGCCCGTGCAGTATTCGAATTTGAATTCTGCGCAGGCCCAGTCGCCGGCACAGGGGCATGCAAGGACTCTTTCTGGACAAGCGGGATATGCTCAACCTATGACTTATCAGTATGCCCAGGTTGATCCGAATGTGCGGTATACTTCTAAGACGACGCCGAAGCCATCGTATACTGCTTCGCCTGAGGCGCAGTTTTCGAAGTTGGCGAGTGATCCTTATGCTCATTCTCGATCATCGAGCCAGAGCCAGGGCCAGATTCAAGGCCACAGTCAGAGTCAAGGCCATTATCCCAAACAGCCCGAGCAACCTATTTATCCATACAAGTATAGTCATGAACCTCAATTCGGTGATAAAGCACTTCCTCCGCCGTCGCCCAGGGCGCAGGCGCAGTCTCGACCTCAGGAGCAGAAATTTGTGGAGATCACACCTGGTGGTGGACGTCGTCCACACAGTCACAGTCTGTCCGTGTCAACGAATAATCTTGCCGTTGCCGGTGCGCCTGTTGTAGGCCAGCATCCACCTGCTAGCCCCCTTCTCGAGGCATACCACGGTACATACCAGTCTATGTCACCTATGCCCTCACCGATTGTGATTCCCTCCGTTCGCGACGACGACATCTCCGATCTCGAACCATTAGATGGCGACTCTGGCTCCGACTCACGCCGCCGCAAGAAACACACACGCACAAAGTCCTCTACAAGCGAGAAGGACCGCGAACGTGAACGTGACCGTGACCGTGACCGTGAACGCGAAAGCCGTCACAGAACCAGCAAAGAATTACTCATGATAGAGCGAGACCCAGACCGCGACCGCAAAGACGAAAAACGCCGCAGCAGTTCCAAAATCCGCCACTCAACCTCAAACCGCGACTCCAATTCCTCCCTAACCCACCGCGATGACAGCTCCCTCGTCCTAATCTCCCCAACAACAGGTCGAAAACGCGTCTCCTTCTACGAAGCAGACGCAGACGCAGAATCAATGCAAAGCGCTCTAAACCACACCAGAAACATAGACAACAAAACAATCATCCAAGTCCTACCCCGACTAACAAGTGACGAAATCCTCCTCCTCCGCCAAGAGTACAAAAACCGCGTAAAAGTCCACGGAAAAGGGATAAACCTCGCGAAGCATCTCCGTCTCAAACTTGGAGCTTCCTCTTTTGGAAAAGTAGCCTATGCCACTGCGCTGGGCCGCTGGGAATCAGAAGCATATTGGGCAAATTGCTACTACCAAGCTGGGACATCGAGACGAGAACTTCTCATTGAGTCGCTTATTGGGAGGTCAAATGGTGCTATAAGGGAAATTAAAAATTCTTTCCGTGATACGCGGTACGAGAATAGTTTGGAGAAGTGTATGCGGTCTGAGTTGAAGGCGGATAAGTTCCGGGTTGCTGTTTTGCTTGCTCTTGAGGAGAGACGGATGGATGAGAGGGAACCGCTTAATCATCGGCTTGTCCGTCAGGATATATCGGATTTACATCGCGCGCTTGTTTCGAGGGATGGTGGGGAGACGGCTATGATTCATATTATTGTTTTGAGGAGTGATACGCATTTGAGGGAGGTTTTGCGTGCTTATGAGGGTATTTATGGGCATAATTTTGCGAAGGCTATGATTGCTAAGTCGCGGAATCTGGTTGTAAGTTGAATCTTCTCCTACTCTCTTTCCTGTCTCCCTCATTCTAGCCATTCTTTTATTCCACCTACTCCTTTCGATCCCCTCCCTTCCAATACCCAGATTTCTTCTCTCCCATCTATCCTTTCCTCCAATCATGATCCACTCTAACCTTTTCCTCTTATTCAGGGCGAAACACTGGCACACATCCTCAACGGCGCAATCAACAGACCCATGCGTGATGCTCTCCTTCTTCACCAAGCACTTCGCGAATCGAAATCAGGACGCGAACGCTCTGAACTTCTCATTTCACGTCTTGTCCGATTACATTGGGAACCGAGACATCTCGAACAAGTGAAGATTGATTATCGGAGACGATATGGGGAACGCATTGAGGAGGCTATTGCGGAGGAGGTGCTTACTTCCAGTAATGGGGGCGAGTGGGGGGAGTTTTGTATTGAGCTTGTGCATAGCTCTGCTGCTTGATATCCTCATTCACGTTCATGGGATTCTTGGTTTTGTTTTTATCTTCGTCGGGATGAATGAATTGATCGTGATCGTGATTGGGATGGTGCTTTGTGATTTGTGCATAGATTCAAATGTTATAGTTACTGTATCTATAAGATCTGGTTGTATACGAATACGAGGGCGGTGATACGTATCATGAGTTAACTTCCAAGTCAATCAAGTAATTGTTCTTCAACTCTATTATTCAATAATTCAAATAAAGAATAACTATGAATCCAAGTTATTGTTCATTACATCTTAAGCCCGGAGCTTGTACGTGTACCCGGGAAAACAGCTGCATGCACGGCCACAGCCACGAGAAAGATTGATGCACGTCTTCCAGTATAAGAAATAAGGAAACAACCTTGGATCCTTCGAATCCTTCGAATCCTTCGATCGTCTGTGCCCCACTCTTAGCTGCAAGGGTGAATAAATTGTATCTGAAAGTTATGGAATCGCCCGGGATCATGTAACCCATACCCTGTACCCAGGTACAAACACATGCTACACACCCGCTAAGCAGCGATGAGATCAGAACTTAGTGGTATTAAACGAAAACAACGAAGGTGGGGAAAGGAGAGAGGGAGAGCTGGGAGGAGAGCTGGGAGGTGGTGAGTGGATATCAAGATAAAACAGCATCCATAACAAGTAGAACGGGAAAAAAAGGCATGAATATTCGCGTAAGCTATTTATTGTTTTCTGTTTACATAGCATATTCCATCCATAGCTTAGTTAGCTTCTCCCATCATCGTCTACACACGATCATTCCAGACCCCCTTTCTGAGTCCCAGTCTTTGATGTGTCCTGACACAGACCATTAAGATCAGTATCGCTCACCAAAAAAACTACTCGCAGTCCCAAAAACCCAACTGAAATCATTTCAAGGAGCAACACCCGCATCACCGAGATCATTCACTCCATTCGGACCCCCATATCTTCCGACAGTATTCCAGTATCCCTCTCCCTTATCCCGACAAGTTCCAATAACACAGTAATACTTCGAGCCCTTTCCGTTGCTGTTCGGCGAGACAAGTACCGATGGGTCTTCGATGACATTAGATCCACCAGTACCATCGTCGCAGTACAATGATATCTGGTTTTGGGCCTGGTATTTTGTGTGTGCGGCATTGTACCATACACATACTGTTTCGTCTTTCGTTCCGCCACAGGTGTAGGAGTTGCCTTCAGTGTATGATTTGTCAACGCTGAATCCGGCATTAATCCATTTGTATAGTGTGAAGGTCGATGTGAAGGAGAAGGTGTATGCGGTGCTGTCTGTTACGGAGGCGGAGCAGGATGAAGATGTGCCGCAGTCGATGTTTTTCTGTAAATATAAATATTAGTTAATTGAAATCGAGTTTGAAAAGAGAAAGAGATAGGGGTATCATGATATGATGAATGATAGATACTTACACTGTACTGTTCAGCAAAGTATTGCTGTTGAATTACGCTCTTTATAGCGACAGTGGTCTCACTGGAAGAACATGACGAGCGCTTATCAACATTCTCAAGTTCATTAAGATCACTCTTAGTGACCGGAACAGCGGAGCTACGGTCCACTGGTCCAGCTTTGGAAGTATCAAGAATCTTAACACCCTTTGCCAAATCAAATGCAGTAAGATCACCCCCAAAACAGGCCTGAGTCTCATTAATTGAGATAGGTCTTCCCACAAACTTTGCATCCATGGTAACAGTGCAATCCAGCTCAACCTCATCATCACTGTAGATGCGGTTACATGTTGGGCCACCGGAGTGCTCAGCCTTAGAATGGATTGGGTAGGTTTTGCCTCCAATGGTGATTTCTCCGGAAGCTTTCTCGTCAACTTTGAACTGGATATGTTCGGCAGCAAAGTTTCCATGGTCTAAGGTGTAGTCACAGGTGTGACCGATAAGCTGCTTTGCGCCGTTGAATGCGGCTATGCCGTGCTTTTCATCATTTCGGTCATGGCGATAGAGAACGTTGATGGTTGTGTTCTTTGATGGAAGGGCATGGGCAATGGAAGAGAAGACAGTCACCGTTGAGGTGAGGAGAGGACCGAGACGCATGGTGAATAAGACCTCAAGTTAGGAATAGGCCTTTGAGTGGAATGGAATGGAAACTGAATAGATTTTCAGCGTTTATGAACGTGTATTTATACCTTGACTGAAACTTCAAAGCCATATTCATTCTACACTACTAGTCTTGTCGCCCCCAATCATGATACCCACAGCCTGATGCCACCTTTGAACGCGAGCAATCGGAAATAGAATAGATCTGCGTGCTAGCTCTTCCTGCGAGGATAACTGCGAGAATAAACTGTGGAACCTTTCTGTTCCGATTCCCGGTTCTCGAGATTAAGAGAAGGCCCACTTAATGTAAAAGATAATAGGTAGAGATGAGTATTAAATAGAATAATCGTCTTGGAGATTCGAAAACATCCGTCCCAACTGCAGTAGCAAGAGGAAGCCCGGGACACTGCAGATTGAATGTCTATATTTGGTACTACATGCACGTCTATGTACGCTCTCCTTCAAGTTATTAAAGTGTTTTAGAGTTATTATAAGGCTTAATTAAAGGGATTGGCTTTCTTGATCCTGATCTTCGTGGGTATTCTTCGGCTATTAATTCGCACTGCCAACCTCTTGTAGCTAGTATAGAGCGATCACCTCGGCCTACTTACTTTATATGGCTAGACTGATACCCTCCAAAAGGTCCCACCCTTTATTCCCATTTATCATTTCATGTCCCTTGTAAATGTGTGGGGTTTTTGATTTGCACCCTACATGTGGATGCTGTGGACCCTCGCGAGTTGTTGCACCGCACAATGTACTCTATGTGGCTAGTCGGTGGAGCCTCCGGGCACCGGTGTCTCAGGCTTCAGGAACAACTATATCTCGCCTAGAAGATGGTAGTGGGGCAAATTGTGGTCTAGCAGACAAAGAGAAATGCTTGAATAATTAATTATGCTTGGTGATCCCTGGTACTTCTGTAGGATGCCTTCAATAAGAGGAAAGTATAGAGAGTTTCATTGGCTCGGCTTCAAGAGACGGACATGATAGCGATGATGCATTCTAGTAAAAAAAGGGTTGCCATGTATATAGGTTGTATTTCTCATGATGTTTCTCGTTGGTGTTTATCTCATGTTCCATTTAATGTTCAACAGCCTGTTGCAGTATGTGTATGTGCGCTATCCGCACTTGGAAGTTTATTTGCTTTTAGGCTTCTTCCCTAGTATTCTCGCAGGGGATGCCAAGAATAGTAAAGTCATTAGCTGATTGATATATATCATCCATTGACAGAGGGTTAAAATCATGGGCATATCTGCAAGTGCAGCAGCTAGCTCCTCTGATTCGGCAGATTTGAGGCTTTGCAACTGTATATCTGCCGATTTCGATGTTTCTTCGCGGGTGCTGAGTGGATTATCCAGGCTTCCCTTACACCGTTGCTGTCTGTTCCGAGCGAGGTGTGATTGGATGTCACTATGCAAACGCTGTGCACTGACCAGGTCGTAGATATGGTCTCCCGGCGTAGCCGGAATCTTGACCTCAGACTCTCGTATAGACGGAAACGGCTCGGGGTTTATCTGGGAAGAAATAGTCTTCAGCGCTTCAAAGCCCAGAAGATGTTCTGGCTGTTTTTCTTGTGTTGTAGATGTTTCAAGTTTTTCTTGGCCTTTATTCGTTGGAGTAAAATCACATTTTGGAGGGACTTCAGAGCTGGATTGAAAAGAAACCGGAAGTGAACCGGGCATTTGGACCCCCAATCCTTCCATATTCAACCTCTCCATATCTAGATGAAGCCCCTCTGCAATATTATCTAGCCGTTTCGTTGGTCTCTCATTTTTGTCGGGAAGGACTAATATGCTCGAACGAGAATCGTCTCTGCTGACCTCAGAGGGGAATTTGAATAGTTGTTTCACATTACTCTTCAGCTGCGCGGAACGTTTTCGCAGCTTTCCCTCGATCTCAACTCGAATAAAAAACGGCCTATCGTCGTGTTCTAAAGCACAGGCAGTTTGAATGACACTACTGTGTGTTGGTTGAGGTTGCAGCTCATCTTCCGATAGCTCCCATTTAAGTGTTCGATATGTCATACTATGAAAATTGTTCTCATGCCGACGGTCTTCAGCAGATCGAGATCCAGGTAATATGTGGCCTGTAAATATCCACCGACTGGATGACATGACAGAGCGTTCTCGCTCATACCCTAGTCCGCCACCACCATTGCCAAGCACATTGAACTCGGGGGTTAGATGCATTGTGTGTTTAGTTAGCATCTGTGTAGGCTTTCCTTCAAGTTGCTTAGGACCAAAATAGTGGGTGAATTGGAGATTTTTGGGAACATCTGAATCGATTTCAACTGCCGGTTCAATGTCAATCGCCGGGTATGGCTTTTTGGACCCGGCTTTGTGAGAGCGCGAGAGCGGAGCTCTTCCTGTCGCTCGTAGTGTCGATTGCGAACCGCTCTTGTATTGCTCTAAAGTTATCCACACAACTGCACTTCGTAAACAGCAGTCATTCGGTTGAGAGAAGGCAATATCTATGTAAAGAATACCGGCACGATTATCTGGCGAGTGTAATACGCCCAGTTGTGTCTTTGAATGACGAAAGCGACAATCGATATGAACGGGCCCTAGCTCTTGGGAGCACATGCTGATATTGGACTTTTTGTCAAATGCGTTGAACTTCGGGCCATATTTCCGACCAAATCGTGTCGCGGACTGACCAGCGGTGCGTGAAGATTCAGACTGCATTTAGAAAGTGAATTTAGTAAACAACAGCGCTATGGACAATTTGTGACTGTGATTGTGAATCTTTCTTTCGAAAGACGTTTGTGTCGTGCGCGACAGAGCGTGTCCAGCCTTCCTAATTAAATGACGGGTCGAGGCGGGGCGCGGGGGGTGAGGCTGAGGTTGAGGTGTGTGTGTGGCCACTAAAATCTTAGTGGCTGTCTTCATGACGCAGCTGTCAAATGTTGAGACTTCTTTCGCTATGAGAATCTTCGACCCTCACCGTGTTTTCCACGATTTATCCCATCGAATCGGCAACTAAAGGTGCTTAGTACTTGCATTTTGAGCGACACGAAGAAAGCTATGCCACAACAGGCCGTCGTGCCTTCAAAAAGGGACTGGGGTGACGAGAGTGACGAGAGCGATTACAGTGAGACCGGTGTGTCAGTACGTCTTTTGCGACGGGAGCGAACTCAGATATGGAGACACGATCATTCTTTGCGGCCTATCAACAACAAGCGCGACCTGAATGACACCCAACAGTCGCCTGCGGCTAGAGTTGTGGAGAATAATGACCGGCTGGGAGAAACTGCAGGTGATCATGAAGGTCCTCGGCACGGACATCGACGTCCTTCTGCCGACACACAAGACGACATCAACAAAGGCAATGAACTTGATGAACTTGATCCATATCCCCTGAACTTTTATCCACCACATGATTTTCAAGTCATTGATCTTGCTGCCAAGACCCAAATAGACAAGACTATTCAATTTGCAGTGGATATATCTGAGGATATTGAGGGCCACTGTGAGGAATTATCTCGATTGAAAAGGTGGGGATACTTCAGCATGGCACTCGAGTATTTCGAGTCCAATTTACAGCAGCATCTCGATCTACCCATGGTGGCTATTGAATATGCCGATTTATTGAGTGGGCAAGGGTCCTACAGGGACTTGACAAAATGTCGCCTAGACGCCCCAGAGACAATGAAAACCATTCCACCATCCTTTGAGCCCTCGCCTAATTTATACAAAACTCATTTTGACCTTCTTATTTTGAATGCAAAAATAGCTTTTCAGAGCTTAGCACCAGAAGATTTAGATTCATATGATCCGGTTGATTTTCTATTCGAAATAAGCTACGAAGCTAATTTACGCCTAGAAGAGAAGACTGACAGTGGCCGTGACATACCATTTAATTACACAGAAGTAATGTTCCCTTACCATATAATTTATTGGAACATGTTCTAACACTCAAATGATGAACAGATCCAGGTGCTGCGAAACTGCTTAAATCTTGGGGCCCAGATGAACAGAAAGAATGGAAGTAACAAGTGCACACACTATCTCGTGCACGACAATTGGCACATTATCTACAATGATTTACTCGTAAACGAGCGGATATGGGAATTTCATGACTTCTTTATTGCAATGAACAGGTTCTTTGGACCTTCAAAAACGTGGAAATCTCTATTCGGCACCGCATCTTCGACAAGAGATGACAATGCTCAATTAAGCGCTGTATTTCAAAAGTTCAAACAAGACTGGGATCTGGCGGAGTACGATGAAAGTACTGAATTGGCGTTGCTGAGCATACTCACTGGTCAAATATATGAGATGTACTATTCTCGGAGATCCTACTATGCAATCAAGCCTGCGGTTGCCAGAGAGATCAAAATCTTTTTACAGCAAGCCAGCTTGCACGCTGGTAGAGTTGAGAGCCACAGCGCTCATCTGATCAAAACCCGCCCATACCTGCAATGGAGAATTCTGACAGAGACTATCAATCGAAATTTGAACTGTTATGTTTTCCAAAAGGACAGAGATACAGAAATTGAAACTATGCCAGGGAATCTTTATGATGAATGGCCACTTCCAATCTATGTACCTAAATCCACAGAAAGACCACACTGGCCAAAGCCAAATCCTGCATTTCCACCCAATGAGTCACTCCTTTGGGTCTTGAAAACCTGTCGCGACAATGGTGATTACAAGACCGAGGCCTCATGTCTCTATGAACTAATTGCCCGTGCGGAGAATCCCCGCTCCTATTTTGAAGAACTGGACGATCTTCTTCTGCAAAAACAGGGAGACTATCGTGCATACTTGGAATCTTGCATATCGCAATATCATCTCTCTACCGAAGAATCATCATCACGACGGCTCATTCAAAAATTGAAAGAAGCAAATGTGCAACTCGCGTCTTCTTCCGAAGAAGAACTAGACACTCTGCGCATCGCAGGACTTCAAATTCAAAACGCTCTCTGTTACCAATTCCCTGAGCTCTGGCCTGATATCAAACAAAACCTGAAACTCATAGGTAAAATGGTTCGTCCTGAACTCAAAACAAATCCCCTTGATATTCAAGGAAAAACTGGAGAGCAAGTTCCAGAACACGATACAGGGGCGCAAAGGGATAGAGACGATCCAATAATTCACAAAGAGCCGGGTTCATCGGGGTTGTCTTTCAAACCAAAGCGAAATGGCGGGAGATCTCCGGCCCGGACTCGGCCAAATGACAAATCCAGAATATCGAAACAGAGAGGATACGGAGAAGCTTCCACAGAAATCCATAAGAACAATACTCGTCGTCGTTCACCGAGCCCACATTCTAACATCGAGCTCCTTATGAGCCAGCGCATCCTCGAGCGCAACGATATACGCCAAGATATGGATATTTGGAAGCAAAAGCAAGATATCGAGCGGCTTGAACGAAAGCTTGACCGATTAATGGGCAGTCTTCACAATGAGACGACGCAAGGTCCTCAGATGGAGCCGAATATGACTGTAGCGCAAGATAACCCACCTGGTGGAAGCGGTGAAAAGAATATCAATATTCGAAAGCCAGATGAGCTCCTAGAAGAGGTTGGCAATGCTCAGGTGACAGAAAAGAACACTCAAGGTCTGGATGATCAGACTCAGATTGGAAAAGAACATCAGCCAAGGGTCTCGTCGGACCAGGAAGAACCTCTGTCGACAGGCAACGGCGAAGCTGAAAATCCATATTCTGGCGAAGAAGTTGAATGAATGTAGCTTTAAAACTCATTCCTTGATCAACTGCACATAACATGTGGCCATTTGTTTTTTCGACTGAATTCAGCCCTGAAGCATCTATCATCCATTATGTAGGAGGCTGCATGGAATAAATTGTGATGATAGCTTGCACGTTTCAACATACAAATATTCATGCTGGCGATAGGAGAAAAGGAGAAAACGAATATGATATACGCTCCAGCTTGGCTATTTACATAAAACTGTAGTCTATTTTGTAAGGAGAATATGTCTGTAATATGGAATCCGCACTTCTACTAGCACTGTACGCGATCCTGGCTGCAGTGTCCTGTCGGTTTTAATTTAATCCAAAATACATGGATGATGTCTTAAATTCCAATAAATTCCACAGTAAATATTGTTCACTAATACTCACTAGACAATACTCGTCTCATAGAAAAATCAGGCCACCCATTTTCATACATAGGAGTGCGCTATAGTACGCTTTGATCGCTGCAATGACCGCTTTGATCGCTATTACGTGGCTAGTGTGTGTGTGGCTAGTGATGGAGGCGATCAGACTTTCTTGTGCTTTAGCGCTGAATTTGAATTTTATGATTCTCAGCAGAATCCCCTCGGTGGCAAACCAAAAAGGGAATTAAAAAAAAACCCCTGCATTATACGCTGCACGAATGCGTAGATAATGGATAAAGTACCGCAACTACCTAGTGTAGTACGTACAGGGGTAAAAAGACTAAAGCCCGAAAATCCCGCAATCCCCGGCTCCAATCTTCGCCGTGAGCCTCGCCACCGCCAAGAGATGCTGCGAATTGGTGACGAGTTCTAGTTTTGTGCTAGTTTTGTGCACTACCTATTTTGCAGGACGACGGGTTGACGGGGCTCAAGGGACTAAGTTTGTCGTGTAGATTAGTGAAACCTGCTGTGGTCACCCTCAGGTTCCTTCAGTTTCGGGTTTGTAAAGAGTGCAATACTTTTTCCATCTATATCGAGGCATTCGGCTTGCCAAGGGCCTAGAAGGGACTTGAAATGGTATCGTATTAGAGTTGAACTATTGGGGATGTGGTTGGATGTCTGTCGCGATTTCAGACCTCCATTCTGTTTGGAAGGTTTCATATTTGCTTTTTCTCATCCCAACAACTCAGGTTGACGTTTCTGCCTTGACAAAAAGCAAAAGCAGAAATCATTGCGCAAATTACAAGTTACTGCGCCTTGTCAACGGTTTCGGGTTTCATTGCGTACATGATATGGAAAGATCCATGCTTTGACAGCTCAGTTATTGTTCACAGACTCTGTAGAAAAGCAAATATGACCGATTGCTGTCTGGCCCCGGCGATCTATGTGCTCCATGATTACGAGACCACAGTTTTGTATGCTATTGGATTCCCGACTCCAGGTTGAGCTGGAGAAAACGCCTTGGGCCGTGCCGAAGAATACTATTACTATTATTATGTATGAGCGCCTTTGCCCGCGACCGTCATCTTCATTCCAATCTCATTTCTTCGCCCATTGTCTTTGCTACTGTCGATTTTTATTTATTTATTTTCGTTCTCTTTTCGTTGAACATTGAATACACTGTACTGAGCACCTGGTACGTCAGAGGCGGGTAGAGAAAGGCGCGCCCGCCTACATTCCCGATCTTACTCTGTATGTATTACTCGATAGTAACTGCATCTTAATAATTTTTCATGATCATGTTACCACTAACATCATTGTGGAGTCTTCACACTGGTTCTAGACTCATTTCCGGGGATTTTCATTTATTTTGATGTTATTTGATTTTACTTTTTGTCCTGGAGGGATCGGTGTACAGTCCACAGCTGAAATCCTCCGAATCGTTTGCGTTCCATACATGTTCATGCATCGAGGTATGACAGCATCTGAAAGACTCCGTCTCGAACCGTTTTTATTAATTATGTGCCTACAGTGATCTCATTTCCCTGGACTCGGGAACTGTTCCCTGATCAGCCGAGTTGGTCCAAACTCGTAACCTGGCATCTGGTACTAAGTTCCAACCTTACTAGCTTAATGAACTAGTGTAATGGCGGTCTACCAGATCCCATACTACGCTCTGTCTTTTCCAGTTTCAGACTCTTGCAGGCTCATTGGTTGAGATACGGTAGCCGGGGTAAATAGCGGTGGAGATGTTTGAAGAACAACCTGTTCGCCCTTGCCCTCATATTCCTATTAATTTTGATTTGACTCAATTTAAACTCCGTTTTACCCTGTACCCAGGTAGATTCAACAATTTCCCTGGCGGTGTAGAAAGTAGTTGGGGGGTGTAAGGCACAAAGTGGGGTGGGGGTGATGTGATGTGCTGCGGCATTGCTGGGGATCGCCCCACAGTATCACCGGCCAGTATGACGAAGGACAAGGTGATATGGGGATAAAGAAAGCTCATGAGTATATCTGGGCACTAGAAATGTAAAGAGGACAAAGAATTAGATTGATCTATTGATCTATGTGTTCTATTTCTAATATAGCTAGGCAGATGCGTTCATCTGGTATACATGGATCAAGTATTACCTAAAATTCCAACTGTAAGGTGTTGAGATTTGACACAACTTGAAGCTCCGCGTTCTTTGATTTGGGTTTTCTTTTTCTTTGTCTTTTTCTTTTTCTTTTTCTTTTTCCCTTTGATCCATGCACGTATCCATACAATGGGGTTGGTCCCAGCCCACTGGGACTCTTCGCTGCAGATCCCCGTCCACCCCAAGATCCTCGGACTTTACCTTACACTCTGCAGATACCCAGGTCCTCTCCCACCAAGCCCGAATACCTGTTACCTGGGCATCTCCCATCTCGCCGCTCAGTAGTCGAGAAAACAAAGTGGACATGCACTCGGTCTGTTCTGGTCAACAGGATGGACCTTTTTCTTCACCGGTGTTTCGTGTTTTCACGACACTGCGGACGGGCCCTTTTGTGCCTGGATGGATGCGCATACTTCTTTCGGTCCGTCGATCTTGTGACTTGCGTCTTCGTACTTTTACCTTAACCCAGAAGTATACTGGATCTATAGGAGATTATATCCATCGTCAGCGCGCCACACAACAGGTGCGACCCTGGCAGCCGATATCCACTTCTGCATGCCACCTTTGCCCCATTGAGGGTCCATTGTTTTGTTTTATTGTTTCAATTCATGACTTTGCCATTTTTATCTCTGCTCTTTGTGATAAAGTAAATGCTTGGAATATTCTAATATAAATAAATAAATATTCAACAAATCAATCGGTCCAGCTCGCTTGTACATTTCTGGAACCCTCCGTAGCCACCAAGGCACATTTAGGCATCCTAGGCAACAAACGGGGAAGCACGTCCATGAATTTGACATTTTCTAGGAAAGACCAGTGCAAACCTTTTGCCCAGTTTTGGGTTGAGGCACGGCAGATCCACTTCGATCTACATGTAGTGGGGTTAATCACCCTGCTGCGTTCTTGACATGTACTCATTTTCCCCTGGGCTATAGTAGTTTACACCCGGGTACCTCTCGATCATCGATGTCATGGATGGCTATGCCACCATTTTATCGACAATAAAAGGGGAAGCTTCGTCGCCGTCGTTGAGTCATTGTTTTATTTATAAACATCCATTTCCTCTCAGAGCATATAAGTCAGCCAGTCGCAGCTTCATACAACTTCGAACTTGCTTCGAATATTATCCTTCTACTCGTCGATACACAGCGTCTCTCCTCGACACACCAAAAAGCTACTAGTAGCTCTTCCGAGCCTCTCAAACTCCATTAAAATCCAACTTATACCAAAATGAGCAAGCCGTAAGTTTCTTCAGATCCTCCACGCCACAATCTATATTGTTTTTTCCCGTCGCCGCTAACACTACCTATGATAAGATCTCCAATAGACTACGACCTGCTCCAAGTCGGAGCATGGGCTGACTCCGCTCCTTCATACCCTTCCGGGTCAGCTACTCTTGATATATCCAGCTCTACAAGCTCCGCTCCTTCATACCCAAACACAAAACCTAGCAATGGTAGCTCCCCTTCGATGGAAGCATGGCTCAATGCCCCTTCTTCGTCGCAGCCGTGGAGCCCCGCGCGCCGTTAAACTCCAATCCAATAATTACTTTCGAGGGATATCTATTTCCAGTGTTATGGTTTGGTCTGGTTTGATTTGCGATGTTCCACATAGATGAATGGTTGGTACATAGGTGTTTGGTTTTGGTTATGGTTTTGGTTTTGGTTCTAGGATGGGCTGGGTTGGGCTGGGCAACCAGACAACGATTAACGGTACTGGTTTTAGCAATGAATCATTCAATCGGGCACTTTCGGCCCCATGATATGATCTGGATACGGGATGGAGTTGGGTTTGGTTTCCGGATAGATTAGGGGTCTGCTGGTTATGGAGTGTCTGTTTTCTTCTTGTCATTTTGTCATTTCGCTGACTACATATTCACCCCGCCTTTTCTCGTTTTTAAAACAAACAAATAGAATTTTTGACTTTTTCAAGACTTTTTCAAGACTTTCTTGCTATCCCCACTGCAGGCCCATGCAATGTACTCCATCCTGCAGCATGCCATGCCAGGGGAAATTTATTCGCCTATCCGATTGGGAAACGAGGCAACATAATTCTTTCTTACTCTTGACAAGATATCTCTCCCTCGTTTTCCTCCCCGCCCGTGGCAGTTACCTGGGAACGTATGCATGTCGAAGATTGCCCATACTCCCCCCACAAATACCTCTGAACAGATATAGTCCCATTTACGAGGAAATAGATCGTGCCATGGAACCTTCCCGTGTGGGTCTTAGATCTGAATTCCTCGGAACATTGAACTTTGGTCTCCACGATTCTGTAAAGGGTCCGTGATACGAACATCACAACGACTGAAAAAATCCCCCAAAGCCACGCAAGGCGACCGGCCTCTTTTACAATCTAACATTCGTTTATGAAATCAAATCAATAATGTAGATAATGAATCTGATCATGAGATTGCGCCCGGATCACCCACATGCAAAAACCGAGGGATCAAGGATCAAGTCTGTAAGCTTGCAAGCAGTGGAGACGATTAAGCTAACAATATACCCCCGAAAAGAAGTTAAAACGAAAGAAAAAGTGTAAAAAAAGAGACTTTCAACATTATAACGCCCATTATTGGCCCGCTAATAGGGTGAATCCCCGAAGCTTTAGTTCTCCTCCTGACGGCGTACATAATCATCGATCCGCGCCGCCGGGCGCAGGATTAAATCTCCCCCTCCACTTGACTGATTCAATTAGCGAAGTCAAACGCCTACTTTGTTCTTGATCAGATGAGTGTCCAAATCTTTTCACCGGTGTGCCAGATTGGCTTTGGGCTTTTGAAATTTGGTGGCTGGTCGGGTCAACAACGAAATCAATCTACTATGCCTTAATGTTGTATAAGCTTCAGTTGGAGGCTGAGCGATCTTGGGCTTGTCTTTGTGGTGGTGGTCATTTCGCCTCGTTTTTACGGGGGAGAATAGGAGTCTGTCTCATTTCTAGTAGACCCTTGTCTAACTCCATCACTTTTAGGCGGTGCTGGAAGATGGTTTTCGGGCGCTAAAAATGGGGCCAAGGACAAGGCATTCAACGAGTTAGAGCCAGTCGATTTTCTTACGCCCGACTGGAGCAAATCATGTGTTTGATGATATAATAGGATTCAATATTCCAAGGTTGTAATTTGGTTTTCCAAGATCCTCTGATTTGTTTGTTCTGATAGGGGACTAATCATCTTAACGCCCTACTCACATGTCCACTCTCGGGATTCATGCGAAAACAGTCGCCCCACCTGTGGAGTAGTCCGTAGCCATACAAGGACCAGAATTAGCCAAGAACCAACAGAACTAAGAGATCCGGACAGACGGGATAAGTACAATAGGTTTAATGGATAGTGCCCAACGGGACAACGAATCGGGTCAGGGAAGTGAGTAAAAACAAGTAGAATCTACATAGATATAGCCCCTTGTTTTTTTTCATTTTCATTTTCATTTTCTCTATTCTTGCAACCAGCAGGCGCGGTGTGGGAGCTCTCAAAACAGTCGCTTGCAGCTCTCCCGCACTATAGACACGGATTACTGCTAAGGGGTCCACCGATTAAACGATGATGTCAAGTAGGAAAAATCCCTGCCTATATCTTATCAACTATTACCACTGCGCCTCGAGCGGTAGCCTCGATCGATCGCCTCATCTTTGGGAAAATTGGGGAAAGGGGAGATACCTCCGATCTGCGGGGTGATGTAGTAAGTACATCGGGAGTGACTGCAATTTCGGATGTCGGCATTGAGGCTTTTAGTGCGAGGCATTAAAAACGCGTCAATTGCTATGCACGGAGGAACCGTTCGAAAAGCAGTCAAAGCCGTTTAACTGTCTCTGATCGGAGTGATGATCCCCTCGTGTAAATCCAATCAAACTATTGCCCCGTGTACTTTGAACCTGCCAACACATCCGCTACCCCCAACGAATGAGATTAGTTTCCACAAAAATACGGTGTACAATATGTACGGTATCTTTGATCATCTCCCTTTCCCTCTTTAACTTCTATTTGGGCTTTCGTTCATGTCCCTGCAAGTCAAGTACCTTTTTCACACACAGTCTGCTGACTTGAACCGCGACCAACCTCCGGATTTCCCCTACCTTTCTGTTATGAAATTTGGGGGTTGGAACTTCTGTCTAGCGAATCGCGTTGAAAAGGGGAGAAGTGAGAGATCCTCTCCAATCAGTATGATTCTAAATAGCCTTTCCCACCGACGTGCCACAGCGACCGTGAACGGAATCAAGGTATTTCACGGAGTAGGCGTAGACATGGACCCGGTGATAATACAACAAATAAGATCTAATCCGGACAGACCGAAGGCTTCGAGAAAGAGTCTAGGTAGATTCTACAATATTCATTGTTGGATCAATGGCATTCATCAGGGGAGGGTGAAATTTGTGCCTAACAATAGATGGTGCCCAGTTGATGTCCGACTAGAAACCCTAGACGGAGGGGAACAGGGGAATAATAATAATAATAATAATAATAATAATTTAAAAAGAATTATAATCAAGAAGATTTTTCCGTGAAAAGTAAAAAACCAAAAAAATAAAAAACCAACAGTAATACCACATATCCAATAGCATGAAAGAATCACTTCCTGCAGGAGACTTGAAACGACATTTGTCATTGAATGAAGATTTTGGCCTCACAGTGAAGCGCGTGGGATGCGGCTCTAATACTCCAAGTGGCAAACCCCACAATTTGCGATCGCAATCAACAACAGTTTGAGAAACAGTTGATTTTACAACTCTGATCGCAATGTTCACCCATTTTCTCCGTAATATGATGATATAGTCCTGATTTTCCCGGTTTACCCGATTTATTCATCTGATCTGATGTCAATAGGTAATCAGCCGGGCTGTGCATCCTTGCTCTCATATTCTGTATCCGTAATGATTATACACTAGAACAGCGTAAGAAAAGAGAAAAGGCCCCCAGCGTTACTGCATGCCTCATTCAAGTTTTGGTGAGGCATACGAGGCATTTTCCCCTATAGTTGCCTGCGCTGACGGTTTGCAAACTGCTTTATTACTCGATTTTTTCTGTCCCATAAAGCTTCGCTTTATTGTCCATTCCTCTGTCGCACTTTTGGTAATCCATGCGCCCCCATTCCCCCTTCCCCCTTCCTCCTTCTCTCTATCTTATCCGTATCTTATCTGGAGACTTAAGGGAGGTCCCGTCATGACAAAGCCACATCCTCTCCACTGCTCCACTGCTGCGGTCGTCGATCTGTTGTAGCTACCATACCCGGGTTTTTCTTAAAGTTTATGAGTTGGTTTGGTTGCGCTTCCCCCTCTGCGTATACATAAAGCGCCACATTTCGCAGGCCTGTCTGCTTTTAACTTGACTTTTTTTATTTTATGATCCGATTCTGCTTTTCGACTCTTTCTCTCTTCCACCTTCGACCTTTGGCTGGTATTCATCTGATAAACCCGTGAACGCTTGCTGGGCCATTGGTCTAAGGTGGTTGAGTATAAATTCTTCATTTAAACTGGGCATACATCTTGACTATATTCCTTCCGTGTTCAACTTCCTCTGTTACCGTCCTGCGCCTGCTTATTATCCTACTCCTCCTCTGACTCCTCTCCACTCCTTATAAACCAACCAAAAAAAAATTCGATTACAATCATGGCGGAATACAACAATACCTCGATAAACCCAGCAATTATTTTCTCGGGGCGGAACCAACGGTCATCCCAGAACTTGAATAACAATGAGATGAATGAACAAGATGCATTGTCCAACCCATACATGTCAAATAATGATGGTCTCGGCTGGCCGGGAGGCTCCAACCTCATGACTGTGAGTATCCAAGATGACTACCGTACCCTTTGATCTACATGTCTTTTTCATGTCGTCGCTGTTTCCGCATCACCCGAAATACGTTTGGCGGTGGAAAGAGAGTTCCAATTCATCCACAGATTAGAACTGACGGTATGTTTTCAAGGAATCGGGCGGATCTTCCTATCCAACTAGTTTTTTCACCGAAGACACAAGCCATACTAGCGACAACCCTGAGTATCGATTGAGTGCTAGTACTGTGCTTCCTCAGCCACCCGAGCCTGTCTTCGGCGAGATGATGGATCACCATGATGGAAATCCACATCCTCTTGTTTCAGTCGGAGTTCAATTTCCGTACGATTTTCCACCACACCAAGTTCCACAAATCCTTGATTCAGATCTACATGACTATCATGGAGACCTGAACGACACCGAGGAAGACTCGCCCTCACCAGTGGAAAAACATCAGGATATTCAAGAGACTGTGAATCTAGAGAGAATCGGAGTGCCTGGGCGACCCGACCATCCTTCAAATATTCTTCCCCAACATGAATTGCTTCAAGAAATGTACTATGGTCTTGGTAATAAATTTTTTCAGAGGTTGAATCCTGGAACCTCAAATGAGGACAGTCGCGAAAGCCTAGTTCAATTCCAGCAAGGCCTTGATACTTTGCGTCAAAATGTCGATACAATGCTCCATAATCATGAGCCCAAGGTCTCCGTGGCAGAACGACTTCTTGACGTCCCAGGCTCTTCAATGCCTACGCGCAAACATCTATATCGATGCAAGATACCGAACTGCACATCCGACACCACATTTCCGAAGGTGGAAACATTCAAACGCCATATCGATGCTCAGCATTTCAGAAAAATCTCGTATTATTGTACTCAGTCCGGATGTGACAGATCTGAAGCCAGACGGGATAAGCTCCTCCAACACTGTATGACGAGGCATCTGATTAAACCAAGGAAGAGTGAAGTCGATAGAAAAAAGAAAGCAGAGAAATGTCCAATTGTGTGTGCCATCTGCCCAAGGATGACTCGCTCATGGAATGAGTTCTTGAATTGCATAATCGGCCACTCTGTCGTTGAAGATGATGCGGTACAGGGTGGGCCGTCTTCATCTGAACGCGACAATCAGGGAAACGGCGATGCTGACGCAGCACCTAGTAACGGATCATTTTTTCCAAGGACAGGAGCTGCGAGGCTAGGAGGAATTACTACAAGCCAAATTCCAAGCGGATATGGAAATGTCACCGCAAGACGAGTGTCATCGTCGTTGCTGAGTCCGAACAGTCCACTTGACTCCGATACCACCGCCTCTGATATGTTTCGTGGCTTTTCTGACGGCATTAACCTGCCCCAAGCTCCCCCAAACGGACTCCAAGGGGTCCAAGAGGGACGTCGTAGCTCGGACAGTCACCTCCATCCTGATGTGCTGCAGCGTCCTCGGTATCCTCAGCAGCCCCCTCCACCGCCTCCCCCTCGGCCACGACAACCAGACATGGGTCTTCAAGAACGGCTTCAATGCCATGCGTGCGGACATCTTTTCAATCAGAGATGCTGCAGACAGCAGAATCCACGCGAAAGGTGTCATGAATGCGCCGCAAGGATGCATGCAGTCAGATTGCAGATTCCCCAAGCCCACTGGTCAAACCGGCGCGGCCCACTTGATGCCGTTGCTCCCATGTACCAGCAGATGCGGAACTATGGGGCTCCGATGAATGTCCCCTTTGGGGAAGTCGTTTATCAGCCCCAGCAACCACCGCACCAAAGGCCATCTGGTGGTCGAGGTACAAGCTTCCCGGGCTATTTTGGCGACCACTACAATGTCTCGATGCTAACAAGCATCAATGTGCCTGGCTTGAGTGAAGGCCATATGGAGAGCCTACTTGATTCAAAGACCGTAAATCCTCCATTTGGCTTTACCTGGCTCAGCCGTCTACCTATTCGCGTCCCATCCCCGAAGGGAATGATCAATGTGCCTCGGAGTGCAGGTGCCATTCCCCTGGATTATAATGGTATGTACACGAAGTCTTTTGTATACGTATACACGTGCCTATTGGGTTTGATCATCTTCGGATTTTGAATGATAGCAGTCTCGCTAACCTTTCCCGCTATAGTTTTAGGTCCAGTTGTCCTGCCCCAAGTTGACCTACCTTTGAATACTATTCAAGACAATCAGTGTCGGTGTCCCTGTCGCTTGAAGGCACTGGAGCGCTCCTACACCAAAGCTCGCGTTGAACTGGCTCCCGGGAGGGTCCTCGATGTTAAAATGAAGATCCTCGCCAACGACCGATCTAGCCATCCGCTTCGCACACGCGTAAGAGTCGTCGTCAAGCTCCTAAAGTTGCGCTCGTCAGTCGCCCGGCCCAACAACAAAAAGAAGACAGAGGAAGAAGCTAGAGCCATCAAGAAGGCGCTCAAGACCAGCCTCGATGTCCCCGATGCTGAATCCGGTTCGAAGTCCCACTCCATCAAGTTCATTGAGAATATTGATGATATCAATGACCCCGACGGTTCAGACTTGGATAGTGACGACACTTGTTCCGATTCCGATACTGAGTCCGTCACCTCTTCTGTCTCAGCAACATCCTCAATCTCAGAATTCTCCGTCCAAGCCGAGAGCAAGCCTGGATCCCCCGATGTATCCGGCGAACCATTCCCCAATGAGTTCAACAACTTCGATGACGGCTCCCTCCCCCCATCCTCATTCTCTGATGACACCCACGACCTCGACGAAATAACACCTTACCATCACCAAGGATGTGATCATCCCTTCTTCACTGACGAAGCCGAAGAAATCTTCGCCGAAGACCTCGAAGAAACCGAATTGGAGGTCGCCCTTGATCTAGACCTTCAAACCTGTCTAAGCAGACTATCTATTCCGACAGATGGTCTCGTTGACTTCGACCAACCTGACCTCGACCAGAAGATCACCGACCCCAACCACATTTTCCAATATTTCGTTCGATACATACTGTATGTGATCGTTGCATTGAGTAATTCCCGAAAGCATGGCTCGCCTTCTCTTTTAGAATAACGGAGTGATGTGATTATATGCCCTACAACCAAGATACCCCGAAGTCCCTGTCTCTGTCTCTGTCTCGATGGAACCTTGTTACCCGGACCTGTTTTGCTTTCTTCTTTACTTTATCTTCTTCGATTTATTCTGCTGTTTTTCTTATCTCATATCCTGTTTTGGTTTTGGTTTATGCGCTACCTATCGTTTACCTACCCACTTCACGGTGCTGCCATGCGCAAGCTGGCGGGGGTTTATTTTCTTTCTGAACTAACGACCTTTTGAAACTTGAATTTATTTTCTCTCCCTTTATCTTGTTTACTTTGGTGGTGCATCAACTTGCACAGAGAATTGTTAGACCTCACGGTCGTGTGTTTTCGCCTGGGTGGTCAATTTGTATTTTACGAGTTCATCAGATTGGATACTTTGAACGCCCGTGGTATTAATTCATTTCAAGCTGCATTACCCCCCCCCCCCTCAAACTTTGATCCTGCAAGCTCCGTAGCTATCTCTCAAAAATACCACCTATGACATAGGTATACGCTCCTCTGTGTGGATTAGTTCTAGATTCACCCTGCATTGCATGCATTGCCTCAATTCACCCTGCACAGCCCAGCGAGCCTAATGAGCTTAACCCGCATATGATGTATCATGCACAGGGTTGTAGCTTAGGGAAGCGGAGTTTGTATCTCCGTAAGCAGGAGATGAAATCATTCATTGAGGCTGCGTTGAGTGTTCTTGCATAGCCCCACAGATGTTCGTGGGACCCACTGATGGGCTTTGCTTAATGTTCTAGCTAGATCTAGATTGGATTTGGGTTGTTCTATATTCTATCTGTGCTTATACGTATTATGATACAATATCTATATATCACTGACAATGTCAGGTGTTAGGTACTTCCTCTATGACCAAGCAAGCACCGATACCTATGTCTAAGGATCTTCTGAGGCTGTGACAGCTTCAAGGTTGATTAAGTTGTTGATAGAGATTCTCTGAAATTGAAAATGTCGAGTTTGCGTCTTGAGCCTTTAGAAATCCTATAAAATGGAACACCAGATCTCCAATACAGTTTGCGCCAAGCCAGCGAGTTTGCAAAAAGATAAAAGTACAGCACATGAATAGGAACAGACATTTGAATTGCATCTAATACACGAAGGAAGAAATGAAAAAGGAAAAGAAAAGAAGACATGGAAATAAATGTCTGAACTGTGTCGTGCAAAAGATACGATAACTCGTCCTTTATACTCACATTTCTGGTTCCATGAGGGAGACCTTGCCCCGGAAATTTATGGATGGAAATTGGGTTTGGGGGACCTGGATATGCGAGGAAGACGAGAGAATATCGAGATCATCAAAGGTTCAAGAAATGCGCACCAGCACTGGTAAACTCCGGAGCCAGTTGTCAAAAAGCAGAATATTCAAAGATAATTGCAAGTGGGTTGAAGATGTTACTCTTGTCGACTTCGCTTTGCGCCGTGTGGGTTCCAAGATGCATCGCCGCCGCTTCCTTGGTTGTTGAAGAAGCCCTGATTAAAAGCTGGGTTCGGTCCTTGGAATCCTTGACCTTGAGAGATACCACGAGTCAGCATGGTCGGATGAAAAGAGGATAGGTGTGGAGTGGAAATAAGAATGACCCAATCAAGCAAATAGGAGAGGCCCCAGGAGTTTACTTACCCTGCATACCCATGTTTCCACCCATTCCACCCATCATAGGGTTCATGCCACCACCCATTGGGTTCATTCCCATGCCCCCAGCCATAGCATTCATGCCCATTCCACCGGCCATAGGGTTCATGCCTCCCATATTACCTCCACCACGGCCACCACGCATGCCACCAGGTCCACCGCGCATTCCACCCATCATGCCGCCCCGGTTGTTGAAGCCGTAATTTGGCATGCCCATGCCACCACCCTGGAAACCTCCCATCATGCCAGGACCGCCGCCAGATTGGAAACCACCTCCCATGTTATTGTTAAAGTTGCCGCGGTTGTTGAAGTTGCCCATATTGCCTCCCATCCCACGGTTATTATTGTATCCTCCCCGTCCACGGAAGCCGCCGCCACCTGCGTTCATACCCATACCACCACCGCCGCCGCCACCGCCGCCAAAGTTCGCATTCTGGTTACCAGCATTGTAGTTGTTGGACATGCCACCACGGTTGTTATCCTTGCGCATCGGGGCATCCTTGGGGAGTGTACGGAATGGGTTGGAGTGGGGATTTGTGTAGTGAACCATGTATTTGCGGCCGCTGGCACTGAAGCTCTCGATTTGCTGCTTAGTGGCTGTTGCAGCCTGGGGGGTGGTCAATTCCACAAAGGCTTGTCTGTAAGGATCACGCGACAAAGAAATTAGCTTTGTAACTCTCAATTGAAGTAACGTAGAAGCGAAGCGACAAAGGCTTCACCATATGTATGCGTGCGCGTGTTTTGAGCTCTTACCCTTTGCTTTTTCCATTCACCTTGTGCTCACTGAAAGTGACATCCTTCAGCTCATCTTCACTGTTGGCCTGGTTCACCCAGCCGCGAACATCATCGTCTGTTGTCCACCAGGATAAGTCTGAAATAAGTAAGGCAGTTGTGGCATCAGAGTCTGCCTGGCGGTCATCGAATTCTTTTCGTTTGACACCATGTGGAGCTGCTGGGACATCATTAGGAGTGCTCTGTTGAGGTGGCATTTTGTAGTCCCCATTAAGTGAGGGGACGGGCTTGGAGTCGATGTGGGAGTCCGCCTCAGCGGGCGCTCCATTTTGGTTCCCACTATTTTCAGGCTGCGATGTTTGCTGCGGCTCATCTAACACCAAATCAGGGTCCTCGCCCTCTTGCTTGATGTCAACATGCTCATTGGTATTGTAACCACCGCCATCGCCATAGATGTCAATGTCGAAGTTATCATCGTCTGCCATTGCGCACTAGAGGGTCCCGAGGGTTGGGGGCACAGGCTCAGAGCAAAGATTCGATTGAGGATAAAGAGATGAGAGAGGTTGGATATACACAGGTTCTTCTTGTTTCCTTCTTCTTCTTCTGCTTCTTGAATCAAGGAGAGTACATGTCTGTCAATACAGGCCATCGATTAGCATGGGAAATAAAACCCAGCATTCAACCACGACAACATGATAAATCTGAGAGCGATGGTCTCTCTGCCATAGTGGCAATTGAAACCCAGTGTAGAGATGAAAAAGGCCAAATAACGAAAGACGCGCAAGAAGATAGGAATAAACAGGAAGAAAAGATAGACACAACCATACGTACAATCCAAATCGACTTGCCCTCTTAAATTCAGAATTGCCGATCTCAGGCGCGTACAGAGAGATGCCCTTGAGCCTTCGGATACAGAGAAAAGGGAAAGGGGGGAAGAAGTATATCACAGACCAGCCGTAACAGGCACAGAGAGAACAGCTGCTTGAGCAGAACAAAGGAGATCAGAGTAGCAGCCTTCCTACCATAAAGAAACCGCGTTGGTGAGATTGATGAGTGAAGGGGAGGAAGATTGAGCTGTGGAGCTGGGCAAGCTGGGGATCCCGGAGAAACTATGATCCAGCCTTCCCCGAGTTCAGGCCAAATTGACTGTTTGAAGTGAACACGCCAACTCTATCCTTATCTCTCCCTCTTTCCTCTTCCACTCCTTTTCACCTTTCCCATTCGACTTTCTCTCTTTACTATATCTCATAATTTCCCATCATGTCCGATACCTTCCAAGAGCTTGCCGATATCCCCAAGGACTTTGTCCGGGAGGGTTCCCTGTTCGTCCGCCGCTGCACCAAGCGTATGCCAATCCCCGGGTTCCCCATGATTACTGCGACAGGACGCTGACTCTATCTACAGCCGACAAGCGTGAATTCATTAAGATCAGCCAGGCCGTTGGCATGGGTTTCCTCGTCATGGTACGCCTCTACTCCGATCCCCAATTCATGGGGTTACTACATCAAAATACATGGAAGCTAACCGAGTCAAATTAGGGTGCCATTGGATACTTCGTCAAGCTGAGTGAGTGCTATCGATGAAATACACATTGCTACTAGGTCATTCCGAGCCATCCATGAAGCTAACGTTGGCGATTCCTCTAGTTCACATTCCTGTCAACCAGGTTCTGGTCGGTGGCGCATAAGCGTGTCGCTCCGCCAAGTTCGAAATGATACGGTGTTGCAACGAATCGGGAGTCGAGGAAGTAGATAAACGCGCTAGTTACGGGGGATGAGTTACTTGCAAAATGTTCCAAAGGTCACCAAGGAGCCAGCCGGTGCCCAACGCACTGTCAGGGGATTCTGAAGATCGTACCAGAACCCTTCTGAGCCAGTGACACCACGTTGTGCATCATATTTTTGTCTTGTTGTCGGCTGGCATTGCATGGTTGACATACTCTTTTATTATGGGCGCGATGAGAGGGAATGCTTCATCGTCCTTGAGATACCACATACTACTGTTTTTTGTACCAATAGGGATCATTATTTCTCTTGCAATTCAATTTAATTGACGACCGTCGATACCCAAGTACTCTCTACTATCTTGCCTTTCATATACAATGTCGAGATTAATACAGGAGAAAATCGAAGCGTGCTTGTATATTCGTCTAATCATTATGTCAACAGTTGTGATCTTCGGGTATGCGGGCGAGTATCCACTGTGCACGATATATGATCCCAAATGAACTTGAAAATGCTTTTGACCCAATTCATATCACCATGCCTCATCCTCGTGTTCATCATCTACAACTAATCGGGGCACAGGCCGGCTGCGTAATGGTCGCCTCGAGCGAACGGGAGGCGCGTTTTCCTGGAAATTATTGAAAGAAGGGACAAATCTCAACTTGTCGTCGTAGCTCTTGCCAATGGGTGGCTCTCCTTCATCATTATCTGCACCGTCATTCCATGAATGAACTGTGCAAGTGCCACTCGCGAGGCCCCATCCATTCCACGAGGTTGCTATTGTGATTTGAGATTAGTTATGCCACTATAAAGACCGAATAGGACAGTCGCTTACCAGCAAGGACTGGTGCATTCGGGTGCCAACTTGCATCCCGAACACATGTCCTCCACAGCATGTCTCCACTCATTTCATATTCTGTTGCAAATACATCCGGCTCGCGGGGCCGGGAATTCAGGGTCGCCTTCCCGACATCGATAGTTCCAGCCAGAGTGGCATCCATATTGTACACGTAGACCTTACCGTCTTCACTGCCTGTATATACATAGCGTGAGTTTGTGCTTCCGGGTGGCGAGAAATGACAACGAATGAGAGTTCTAAGGACACGGTGGCCGCGGAACGTAACAACTGAACAGTCATGCTCATGTGGCTCATAATAATCATGTGGGTATGGGTGAAAGCGGTAATCAAAAGCAGTAGTGTAATCGCTAGGGTCAACGGTTTCGAATTTGGCCGTTGTCATCATCTTTCGTAAATCCCAAAGCTTCATAGTTTGGTCCTTGCCATTAGAAAGAACGTATCGACCATCACCCTTGCTGTCAACGTATGTCAGGCCCTCGGTATGACCCATAAATACACCCGCCTCGCGACCATCGCCCATTGAGCGACGGTCCCAGACTCGCAAGGTAGTGTCATCGGATCCCGAATAGAGAATATGAGGGGATGATGTGTCGCCAAAACAGACTGCATTTACATGGTCGTGGTGGCGGTCGCGTATGTTAAGAACTGGTTGTTTAGTTTCGAGATCATAGACAATGACTGTATTCTCGGATGTGCCTGCCACAACTTCTCGCCCGTCTCCCGAATAACGAAGAGACCATATCTGCACAAGGAAAATTAATACCAAAGATAAGACAAAAGAAAAATTTGTGACCAAGGGGCTTGTCCAAACGTACACCAAAGTGCGAGCTACCCCAACTTCGTCGCCGACGTTGACCTGGCGATAGCCCAAAATCCAATACTGTTGGATCTGAATCATCCTCAGGATCTGTCGTTGCTAGGTATGCCTGGCTGCGTATAGAACTGTAAACAAGATGGCGGTTATCCGGACTCAGCGTAGCATCGGTGATAGTCCATTGGCCAAACGGATAGTCGACGGTCTTATAGTACTTCCACTCGTGTGGATTAGATGTATCGTACATGCGAACTTTGAAGTCTTGCGCGCAGCAGAAAAAGAAATTGCCATCGTCGGAAAACTGGCCCGAATAACTTCGAGAATCGAAATGAATAATTTTATCGGCGGCGGAGCCCGGAATCATTTGCTGAAAGTGACAAGTCCTGATTAGCCGTGATATCCTTGCGTTACTCCTAGTCAGAGGACTCACCTGAGCTAGTGACCTGTCAGCTCTCCTGCGCACTCCGTATGAGTCCACACCAAGCTCTCGCCACATGAGGTTTTTCGCAAACACATTCTTGCGCTTCTTAAGGCGATCGACGAAGTACGGATCCGTGCCGAATTGACCCTCGCCCATTAATTCAACTCCCTCATCACTGGGAATCTTCGGGAACTTATCCGTTCGGCCGCGTTGTCTCCCTAGCAGACGATGTCTCATGGTGTCCATATAAGTGCCATTGCCATCGGATTCCTCTTCCTCGGAATAGACCTCAGAATCGGCCTCGAACTGGTTCGCTGATAATCCATGAGCGTCAAGGATATTTTGCAGGCCGCTAGATGCAAGTAATTCGAACAACCGTGCTGCGGGAACTAACAAGGGCTTAGTTGTGGCTCTGCGACCATTGAACCCCTCCCACCAGCCTTATCAATGGATAGTTATGCTTACTGCGCGTAGGCCACCCATTGTCTGCTCCGACAACCGGATCATCCGCTGTTAACTCAATCTGAATATTTCCAATTTCAATGCGAGGGTTCTCTATAATGGGGTGAAATAGTCAATCCACTTCCTCCCAATTGTATCCGATCAAGAAGACCATGATTCGTACCTTCTGATATGGCGAGGACCGGCGCCTCATCCTCCGGCTCTGCATCTTCTTCCCATCCTTCATCCTCGTCTGAGCCTTCCAGAGCTGGCTGGTAATCCATATCTAAATCGTCGTCTTCCTCCAGCCATTCCTGTGCATGGTGCCAGACTGGCTCAGCTCTTTCCTCGTCAGAATGGGATCCGTGGTTACTCATTATGTAGTGGATTGATGGGATGAGGAGAGCTTATCGATAGCGGGCATCATCACGATAACATCACCGCTACTTCCACCACCACGGTTAGTCATCGCCCCGATCCGAACGGCTTTAAACCGCTTAAATCCGTGTTCTTGTCGATCATCTTTAGTGGCGCATCTAGTGAGTACATGTGGACATCAGAGAGTTGCTGAGAGATTCAGGTTAGCATCTTGAATATTCTGCCTTATGGAAGAACTTGACGCGACCGAGTTGATGGCAATTGGGCTTTCCCATGACATAGAGCTCATCTATAAACAGCATGTCACGGTCTCCTGGCGCTCTACAGTATGCAGAGAAGCCCCCATATTTCATCTCTCATCACTTTATCTACTACATGAAATGCTTCAATGGCACTTCTAGCACATACGACCACAGGGTGTGGAGAACAGGGCTTCCCGTCCGCTCAGCCGTACTTAAGCCACACGCCGGTCAGTTAGTAGTATGGTGGGTGACCACATGCGAATCCTGACTGTTGTATGTTTTTCTGTTTTTTTTTTCTCTTCCTGTTTCATTACCGCAGCGCTTAATGTTGCCTGGAGGTCCATCTAGGGCAATGGCGACAAGAAATTTATAGCAGTAAGTTTTTGTTTCAGAATCTCTACATTGCTTATCATAATGCTCACGTGTACCGCATGCATGCCTGTAACCAGGCCACACCAGCAGCGCCGACTCATTAACAATCGACGCCTGGCTGAAACGCGGTCTCTAAATCAACCCCGATGTTTACGGATGGTAGCGGTACATTATATTCATGAGGATTCGAAGGATTCGAAGGAATAATTCTACTACTGCCACGTAGATAGTGGCATCAAACCTCTCAAACACCTGGGAAGCTTGGCTACGGCTATCGATTATAGTTTCATGATGATACCTAACTAGTCTAGTACCTCACAAGATTCCAAGGTGGGAAGATCCGTCAATTTTGGGCGGCGGCCTGTCTGATTCCACATCGTATCCTGAATTATCACTCCTTCGATCGAAACCACTACTTCATTCCATTCTTAATACGAAATCACATATTGACTAACCCCCTTGCCACACACAACATGGCAAGTTACAACAAATTTACTGGATTTTGTTCGAAGCCTCATTATTATAGGGATCATTTTACCAAGGAGAGTTTTTGCCGCCTGCGGATTGTCGAGAAGGGCAAATTACTCGAAATACTTCGTCTCGATTACCATATCCGTTTGCTAGCCCAAGGCGAGGAGAGCTTGAACCACAAAGCTAGAGCCTGGAAGAAGACCATAGACATCGGGAATGATATGGAACAACTGCCAGCAGGGGACTTTGATTCTAAGATAAGGTCCGCTCAAGCACAGCGTATAAAGAATGAGTATACCATGTTTAGGCTGGTTTCTGAACTTCCCTCATGGGTGACAGAACATCTTTATAGCTTAAGACGTGATCGTCTCTGGTATATGCGCAAAGAAATGGTTCATGACTGTGCAGGCCGAGGAGGATGCTGCAGCCGGGGATGTGGATGCTTTGCTCGGAGATCCTTGTCAGAGAAGACGACAACCAGAGGCCACTGCACTACGGAGTGTTGGTGCTGTAGTAGCTTTCGAGATCCGAGCCTTACCGATGAGGATCAAACATCTATTGCACTTGATTTGAACCAGCTAATGGAAAACGCAAGCTATGTTCGAAAAATGGCGAATTGTTATTTCCGTCCGCTGAGCTTGACGCATAAGCTTAGCAGGGGAGTTGGAAATGCGAAGTCCGGGTTGAAGAGAATTTGCACTGTGGTTCTACCAGGAATGAATCACGATGAAAAATTGAGGGTGCGGCCCACGAATGGATTCTGAGATGGAGGAAGAAGGCTACTGCGCGGTTTATTGAGACCTTTGCATCGATGATTTCTGCCGAGATGTCTGCCTATGGCAGCGAGTCTTTCTTTTACATGATTCGTGAAGGAATTGCTATTCCCGAGCCTCATCTCTCCTACCAAAAGGATGTTAGCGAGAATGATAGTGCTGGAAGTGATGCTTTGGTCAACGAAGAGATGATGAGTGATGATAAAAGCGATAGTTACTGGCTACGGGCCATCTGATTCAGGCTTTGACTCCGATAGGGATTTCTAAGGGCTTCTTTTCAGCTGCATGCTGGTTGTTATATTTGGTTTATTATGTTGTTTTGCTTTTTTTACGCTCTTTTTGATCATTTGGTTTTTTTACTACCAAATTGGTCTATGTCTTTCTTTTTTGTTTGTTTCTTTTGTTTTGCTGCCCTGGGACTATTAGCTGTGTGTCTGGGTGGTGTATAGTGGGGAAAGCCTACACTCTGTTAGGAATGACCCTTACGGTCGCGGAGTTATTATCCCCTTTTGTTTCTTCCAGCTATATAGCATCGCGTTGCGATTAGTTCTAGAATAATATATACAAAACAATTCTTACACTCTTTTGCTCGCATTCTGCAATTCTGATTCCCCGCGTTGACCAGGGAAAGATATTGATGTTTTGCTGTGGGTTTTTCTGACTAGTATTCCAATACAGGCCTATTTCCCCTCTTCACTATTTATACAAGATGTCTCTCTATTGGTCTCTCTATTGGTCTTTCTACTGGTCTTTCTACTGGTCTTTCGGGTAAAAAAAGTCCGACGGTTTACGAAAAAGAAAAGACAGCAGAACATCCTTCATCCAGATTAGACTTGGCTACGAACCTTTTCTTTGAAGAAGGAAATGGACCCTGGAACTTCAAACCAGCAATAGACATGACTAAGAAATAAAGAAATAAATGTTTTTAGCAACACGCCGTTCTTCATTTTGCATTTCCTTGGGTGTATCTTCCTCGATAATAGTATTTTCGGGATTATGCAACGCTAACTTTGGCCAAAAGTATCAGTTTAGCATAGAGACGCGATTGTACAATTCATCAATTAGACTCAAAAGCCTGAATATCATAGCGGGGGAGTCTGTGCCATTCAACAGGGCTGGATAACGACGAGGGGCTGAGCTTTGAAGCACATGACGAGTAATAAGGTAGACGATTTTCCGATGGTATTTGGAGGGCGAGTAGTTGCGTCATTGCTGCCTCCACGCGTCTCAAGTCCAGAACAAGCTTGATCTTCAACCAGGTCATGAGGATCAACATCTCAGTAGCCACGAATGGTATCATGGCACCATGACTGGCGTTGATACAGTAGTCGACAGGTTCAAAGATATCTGTATCATGAGCGATCTCATCATTTGAAGGAAAATTAACAAAAAAGCTCCTGATGGAATCATAAACCTGTTGGTCTTCGTTGAGTCTGGCAAGGGTTGTGATCATAGAGCCTTTGAAATCTGGGCGAGGCAGTAGCAGTATCTTTTCACAATACTCGAAACATTCAAGGCGAGCTCGTACAGTTTGAATAGTATGGATTCTTTCTAGACAAATCGGTAACAATGCATTGAAGAGATTTGGCTTCGTGTCCAAGAGATGTAGACGAGGTTGGATTCGAGGGCCTTGCGTTCTTTTTTCACTGCGTTGCAGATAGCCCGGTGAGCCTGACAATGTTCGTGTTGGTGATCTACCCCGCAGTAACAAATGGCACGACGGCCAGAACAGAGTCGAGCTCCTTGTGTTGTCTCGCAAATCACAAAGCCTGATGGAAGGGCTTTTGTGACTTTCGGCAGTGGGATGCTTTCCAGGAGCCTGAAGATCTCTGCCGTAGTAGCGCTTCAGTTGTAGAGTAATCAAGACAATGGTTGTACAGTTGTAGTTCAAGTTGGAGACACTAGATTCAGGAACATGTAGGGTAGGCAATCAACTTTGAGGCGGTGCGAGCAGGAGGAGATGACGGCATAGAGGGTGCAGGCTGCATCCATGCGCGGCGGTGATGCCGGCGGTTTTTTCTGTCCGCCATTCGCTAACTTAGATAGCCACAGGGTTGGGAGGAATAACCTCCCACCACCACCACCACAATTCTGAGCCAGAATACAGTGTCTTCCTCGTTCTTCCTACCCCTACGTGCATGCCTAGTGCATGCCAATAGTGCCATCAAGAGAAAGAGAGGAGTGCATAGTACTAGGTGCTAGCTATTTGAAAAAGTCACAAACATGTCAAAATATGGGAGACCATACCTTAAATTCCACTGTATGACGCTCCCCGTAATCATAGAGGTGTGAGTATATACATACTTTGTTATGAGCCCTGGGCGGTGTGTCATGGCAGTACTAGCCGGGGCGGCTGCCAGCGGCAGTTCTGCCGCAGGCCCACATATCTGTGAATAGTTTCCTTCCAGCATTATTTCCCTCTCTATAGCAATATCATAGTATTCGTGCACACTACTTCCTAGTAGTTAGGACATTTAACAGTACCGTGACCGTGAACGGCTCTGCCGGCTCCTCATTCTAGAACGTGGAGTCGAGAAGATCTGATTGTGGTTGATCTGACTTGGCGGCTGAAATCCAAAGTGGGGGCAGAAAGCCTCGTACTGGAATGTGTAACAGATATCAAGAATGTGATCTTCATAAGTCAATCACTGGCCAATGGTCTTTCTTACTTCAGTCGTCTGCAGATCAGGCCACTACTGGCATGCTGCATGTTGCATGCTGTGTGTTTTGTTATTTGCTTGGCGCTTGATTTTTGGACTGCAAGATGTTACTTCCAACGGCTACCTTGACGACATGGAGCGTTGCACTCAAAGTGACATTGGAAGGTCCTGGTCAATATCTCTTGGCCTGGGCATTTTGCTTTTACTCTATGTACAGGTGGTCATTGCCAAACAGCGGTGGGAATGGTAGGTCGGTGTTAGAGAACGGTGGAACTCTAGATAATCATGCTGTATATGTATATCGAAGCTGAGTCTAAAATTGAAAAGCCGTAGGTACATCGTTATTTTCGTTGAATCATTATACACAGAGATAAATGGACCTCCCTTAGAGCTCGTGTGGCGTTGTCTGCCATCACAATTCCCAATAGACGTGTTCTCTCAAGAGTCGAAGATGGGCCCAAAGGCCGGCATACCGCTAGCTCTTAGCTCATAAACAATCTTCTTCGTGAGGTGTGGATTGCTTATAACGCAGACAGCCTCGGCATCAAAGTCACGCGCCATTTCCTGGATAGTAGGAACCATATCAATCCGCCCACTATTACCTGTATCAATGAGAAGAGGGTTCGGATCGAGGCGGTGGACAAGGCTGAGGACATCAGGTCCGTATGTGCGTTTCGGAGTCCGAGTCTGCCAAATCAGTCGCAAGTGGGGATTTCGTTTCTCACTCAGAAAAGACAAACAAGGCCCAATGCCAGATCCCGTCGCGACCACAACCACCCGACGGAAAAGGCGCATGACATGGATGAACCCATACATCAGCACACCGCGTTTCCAAAGATGCGTCGGCTGCTCCGCAATGCATCTTGCCGTCCAATCACCTGCTCGCGAGACTATCACAGACCAACTCTTGCTATCTGGATCAGGGAACGTGGCGAAACTGTGCCAGTCTTTTAGAGGGTGATTGGAAAGGCCGATGACCTTTCCAAAATTGGTGGATGTGTGGTCGAAGTGGAGTCGCGTCGCGTGGGATGACAGGGCTTCGGGCTTAACTTGGACTCGGCGGAGGAGAGTCCACGGATGTATGATGGTAAGAACGATCAGAATCACGACCCAGAATGCGGGGAAACGGATAAGGTATTGGCCGTAGGATAAGCCTTGTGCCTTTCTCGCTTGATCAGAGAAGACCAACAGCAGGGTAAGAAAAAGAGCCACGGCTGTCCATGCTGAGAATCGGTGGATCAACTCGAAGTAATCGTGTCTTTTCGCGCGGAGGGTTGGATGAGCAACTATAATGATCCCAAGCAGCACACCGAGTAAAAGATAAGCTATAACTATGATAGGCAAGGTGATGGTTCCCGCCGCGTTATTCGCCCAGTATTCACGAGAGATCAACCCTACGAGTCCAGTATACCACAAGAAAGAGGCGACACCGCATCCACTGTGTACGCCACCGTAATGATATGCCTCTGCAGCTTTTTTTCGTAGCCAAAAGGGGGCCGAGACAGAGACACGGCACACAGTCAAGAAAATAGCGTTCACCACCATGGGATGACGAGCAAGGCCGCAGACTAACAAATTGATTCCCGCCGCATTGACAAAGGCCAGTGTCTTCTCACGGCTGGACACCATGATTATAATGAAGGCAATCGCATTGGCAGTGTAAACGAGTGTAAACAAACGTCTATAAATGCTGAAAATGTGGTATCGCAATGAAGCAAGGCTCGGACGAGACTGCTGAGACTCGAGGTCTTTTGTTGGTGAGAAACGATTCCAATCCCATGTTTTTGTGTCCACACTCAGAAATGTATCGATGGAATTGGCAAAGCTCGGTTTACTCCTATGAATTGGGCGAGGCTTCTCAACAGTTGGCAACGACATCTTGTAAACAAGAACCAAGTCCGTATGAATCACCAACTATCTCCCAATGAATGGACCACACCCCCGAGCACATGAAAAAAGATCGATAGAGTTCGTTCAGATCCACGAGACGATATAATCAAGGAATCAGACCGATCTCAATCGCGTTCAAGATCATAGGGGCTGGGCCAGGTGTTTGTCCGCAGACCCGGGGAGGCCCGGCCGGGCTAGTCAGCCCCAGACCTCTTAGGCCCTGTTTCTTGTCTGATTTATGTTTGTAACAACGACGGCGCCTTAACTTGAACTAGCCCGACCCAGGAGTGGAGCTTGGTGGGTCACCAGCCGCCTCTCTCCGCGGCTCTACGCTCCTTTGGGTCATACATATTGTAGAATCAGGAAAGGGGGCGAATGCATGGCAGCATCTCGGAGTGGGACCTAAGTAGGCTTCAAATTGCAATTTGTGCGTGCAAATCGATATTAGAAACGGCGACCATTGACGAAAAACCATGGTTCATGACGGACCGAATCCGAAGTCTTTGAAATTAGAGTTGTACCATGATTTATTTGACTCCATCCACAAACACCTGCCCCCAACAGTTATGTACGGCATCAGAATGTTGAAAGCAAGATTTATGGGCCTTTTGTCGCACGAGTCCCGAAAAGTTGTCTGACTTTATTAGCGCGATGACTAACGTAGTTTAGATTAGCTCATGAATCGAGGAACAATGAAATGCAGTAGAAACGTGTCTTCTCCGTTTTAAGTGGAAGGTTGACGGCCCGCGTGGATCCGCCGCAGCCGAGCCTTTCAAAACACTCGAGGTTATCTCCCCCAATCGGATTCATCAACCTTCTTCCGTTCATTTCAATAAGATAGTTGTGTACCTTCGCATGGACTAACGTGCAACGCGCCCCACTTACCCTCCCATGTGCCTGGTTTTATGGTCCTGTCTCCTGTCGTTATCTGCAGCTAGATCCCAAAACATCATACCATCTTGACCATAAATGCGAAATGCGAAATGCACAGGACAGCTGCATGGAAGGTCATATACCTTCGAACGTGCCATGGTCCAGTCTGCAGGGCTCTAGACGCCACCACATGGAAGTGAGGGCCCCATTTTCCATTTCTGAGCCTGTACGAAATCCTTTGGAAGTTTCAAAACGCACGGGGCGCACGCCCTGGGCTAAAAATCTGTCTGATCCATTCCGTGCCTGGCGTGGGAAAAGGCAAATCTCAGCCTAGCTGTCTTCCAAGGTGGCGCTGATTAACTATTGTTCCTGTCATTTCTCCTCAATCCTCCCACCCAATTACCCTTCGCTTGCCCGTCGGTGGGTCACAAGTGGGAATCAGCATGGTTTCTCCGGAAAGCAAATAGAGTGAAAGTCCTCGGAGGGAATTCCAGAATTCTTTCTACCCTGGTTGCACCCCTGCAGCTGCTAACTAAGACCAAGCCCCATTCCTTGATTTTCTAAGGAAGACGGACTACGGACTACGGATTACAGGAGTAACTGTGCGATCCAGCCCTAGACCCACCGTGCAGACTACTGTCCCATTGACCTTTGGGCTCAGGGGGTCAAGACCTACCCACTTGATTTTGGACGGTTTTGCGTGTCGCACACCATATCGCCGCATGGCTTCCTCCAGCCTGACAGGGGACGACGAGGGCGCGCCTATCTTTGACTCGCTCGCCAAGTTCTACACCTCGGTCGCTATCGTGTGGACCGTGGTGATTTTTTCTGGTGCGGGCCTTCTCATTGCTAATCGTCGTGAACAATGCATTCGCATTCGCAACTTGTCGCTTCTTCTGAGCGCCGTGGGGTGTCTCCACATCTATTGGATCTTATGCCTGGTCGCCTACTCCATGAATGGCAGATATCCTTGTGTGGCAGAGTACTGGGTAATGAGCATCTATCTTCCATTGGGAATGGCTCTATTCCAAGCGAATAGCATGCAGCTTCTGAGTATCTTCGGTATCCAGGAGAAATTGCTTCTATCGACCCATCGCCCGTATGTACCTCACTTAACCAGTCGCACCTATTCTTCAGGACGATATTTGGACAAATGGAGGCAACTGAACCTCGTCCAGCGAACTGAGTTTGGTATTGTGGTTGGAATGGTGATTCAAGTTAGTACCTATGCGCCTATGCGCGCGCGCCCGGCCGGACACTGTTTGTTCACCTCTCTGCTGCTGCTGACACTGACATTTTATTAATAGATAATTCTGTCGCTTTCTATCTTCCTCACTTCTCGAAAATTTCAAACTTTCGGCACCTGGGATATGCGGGTCGGTCCTTCGGAATGTCGACGCGGACCGGAATGGTGAGCCCCTCAAGTGCGCTATACATTGGTTAAATTGCTCTGACGTGGAAGTTTTGAAGGGTTCCATCTATCCTCTGGCAACTAACATGGTCGTGGCTATTTGCCCCGTACATTTTGTGGAAGATACGCAATATCCACGATGTTCATCATTGGCGGCTTCAGATCACAATTTGCCTGATAGCTAAGTATGTGCCCACCCTAATCTCGCTCTCAAAGGCCCAAGCAATACAACGCAGCAGTTGGAAGGCCATCGAATATCAAACTGACTTTGCACAGCCTACCCGGCTCACCTATGTGGTTTGCAGCCCTATATTCTTCGACTCCAACATGGGAGGCTATCAACAAATACTGGGTCCCAGCCCTTTGGTAGGCAAACCGCAATTGTAATGCAAATCACAAAATCTGACAAGGATGAACAGGTTTACTCCCGGGATTGTGATGATGGAAGCTGTGACTATTTTCTTCCCACTTTACGAAGTCGTGATCTCCAGACGGCGAAAAGCCCACATGCTCGAGCAAATCCATGTCTGGACTGAAAAGAGCGCCTCAAAGATTGACGAACCTGATTCCGGATTCTCACGCAGCCAAAGCGAGATCAGCGGCCCGCACGTCCCCGAAATTTATTCTCGAGAGGCACTGGAGCAATGTTTACTCGATGACCCGGGTACACTTCTCCGTTTCGCCGCAGCCAAGGAGTTTAGCGGCGAGAACATCCTCTTCCTCAACTACGTGCGAGACTGGAAAGCTGCGTGGGCAAAGGTAGGCGAGTCAGAGCTGGAATATGACTGGGCGCGGGATCCGGATAATCACCGACAGCACATGTTCAAAATCGCAGTTGAGATCCATGCGTCCTGCGTTAATCTCGAGACTGCTGAGTTTCCCATAAATATTGAGTCTCAAATTTACTCCAATCTGATGGAGATGTTTGGCGAGGCCTCTCTCATGCTTGTACGTGATGCGCAAGGGAGTGCCTCGCGATACTACAGGAATATGCCTGATGGCTACCCGATGTCGACGCACAGGAAGAAGTTCTCGACCGTCATCACCGTTGAGGAAGATAAACATGCCCTGTGCTTCGATGCCTTTCCTTTTGAGACCCACAGCATTATGCATGTTGAGTCACGGCTTCCTGACTCTGTGGTTATTCCTGGGAGGTTCTCGTCTAAGGTTTTCGATCAGGCAGAGAAGTCTGTCAAGAACTTAGTTTATACGAATACGTGGCCCAAGTTTGTGGAGTCTTCTTCGAGTACGTCGTCCATTCATTCGAAATGAAGAGATGAAAACCTGCTTTTGTATATAGTAAAATCTGACGACTTTTTTGGGGATTCTCGGTGTTAATTACTTTACAATTTGAGCTATCAGCGACTCCTTTATTATCAACTTTATCTGAACCACTTAGAAGAGAGCATCCTCCACAAGATTCTCTGGCTCGGCAGGGGATTGTAAAGAAGGTAGTCGTACTCCTCGAGTAGTATCATCCTTCGAACTTCCTCGAAGTGGTGATTTCATACTAATCGTGAGTGTGCATGCCCATGTGTGAAGATAACCTGTTTTTCAGAGATTGGAACAGCCATTTCGGATCTACACTGAAGGCCCGCGGACTTTCAGCCAAATATACTATGTAATACTAGTATCTATACACTCCCCAGGTAGTATAAAATATTCAGGTGCCAGTGGGTGAATGTGGGTCTGCATTGCTGGACTTTGGGGGTCTTTTAGACCACGAAATAACCGCTAGCTAGCCATCTTTTTCTAAACCGTCTTAAAATAAACTACGGTACGACATTGGTTCGTTTTGACGAACGGTAGTGTAAAAAAGCGATTTTATATTAAAACCCGTAGTTTATATTAAACAGTTATCCTATAGTTGCTATTCACAAACAGTTTATATTACATTGGTATTGAAAAAGGTAACCCTTCGGCTTTCTTTTTACTAACGTTTTAGTCTGGTTTCTCTTTACGATCGGTTTTTTCTTAGTTTGTTTTTTTTACCTACACGGTTTTCTTTTGGGTTGTTTTAACAAATAGTTTATACTAGGTTTATTTTAGGAGACAGCTTTCGGACGGTTTGTTTAACAAATAGTTTGTGCTAGGTTTATTCTAGCAGACAAGTTTCAAACGGTTTAGATATTATAAGGTCATACTGATAATATTTTAAATCTAGTAGTCAATATGATATCACCATTCCTGAAAGCTAAAAGACAGAATCCTGTCCGTATTGTCAGGGAACGCCCTAAACCGTATCAGAGTAATTAAATAACCAGAGTAATAGGTACAGGAAATATTCATACCTTGAACTTACTAAGGATGTACCTAGGTAGTCATCTTAGAATGATTGCTTTGTGTTTTTGCTTTTGTTCTTGCAACCTTTAATTTAAGCCTTCATCCTTTTTTGTGCGGGGGATCGTTCATCACCATCCTGTTCTCGAATCGCTATTGTGCACCGCCACCTACTCTGGACTGCATGTACATGTGCCTAATTTGCATATTGATTGCATAATAAGTGAGAACCGTGTTTTCTCAATTCAATTGAAGTTCAAGTTATGTACTACCTATTACTGCCTTCAAATTTCCAGGTACTCCATCGAAGGCGGATCTGACGTTCTTCACATTTGCATCTTAGCTCTGTCAGTATTGATACCGGAAGCTAGGATTCTCTCGGTCTGTCAAATCATCAAAAGCATTATCCAGGTTGGCCTCGGAAGCTCTCGAATCGTTCTCCTAAATTATCAAGTATTTAGTGCCGTGACTGGCCTTTCAGAGGCTGTGTGGACTTACTTGTAATAAATCACGCTTCATATTCTGCCGTTTAAGATGCCACCGAAGAATTGCGAGAAGAATGATTATGCCGACATAGCATCCCATGTGAACCGAAAAACATGTAAAGTACCTTGGGGCATCTTTTGATTGGAATACCTGAGGTCCAATCATATTCCCCACTGCCCAGGCAAGGAACAACGAAGCAGTGCTGACTGATTTCTTAGTTTGCCCAGCAACATTCCGGGAGAGCAAGGACATTAGAAGCACGGTGGTGCCCCAAAAGGACAAGGTACACCAGTAGGCGATCAATAGGCCGATCTTCGTCGAACTAGAAATAGGTACGGCTGCTACTTATTAGTTTGAACTTCAGACTCGGTATTCAGCATGCTTACCCATAAGAACGGCTGTCCCAGCAATGTTCGGTATTAAGAAAGCCTGCATAGTCTTTTAATATCCTTGGACGACTCAATATCAAATTCCACAAAATTCCTTACAAGTTGAAACAGAATAGTTTGATTGTAATGGCGAGATAGCCATGCTGCACTTAGTAGTACTACACATTGAATGGCGCCGTTGACCATAGAAAGTAGTTCAGTCTGGAGCTCAGTGTATCCAAAGTTCTGAATAATAATTGTTGAGTAAGATCCCAAGCCACCAGTGGGGATTTGGATACTGAAGATATCTGGTTATCACCCGCACAATGAAAATGACACCAAGACATAAAACTCACATGGTTTGAATCAGGATGTAAAGCCAAATCTGAGGATCTCTAATTGCCTCCTGAATATGTCCCTTCTTGAACTTGCGATTTTGAATTCCAGTCTGATTGGCGCGTACTCGCTCGATGATGAGAATCCGATCTTCCTCCGAATAGCATTTCGCTCGCATGGGACTGTCGGGCATCCACCAGAGGACGAAGAAGGACCAGAGACAAGTGACGCAGCCAAGTAAGACGAAAAGGAGTTGCCAGGATTTTACAACGGGTGAGTGAACATGGCTCATTCCGTAGGCGAAGAGACCACCAACAATACCTTGAACACCGTTCTAGACTAGATTAAAAACTTGACTTGGCTCCAACAATTGAAACTTTGGACAGGCGGTGAAACTAACCATGCCCTGTATATTATACCATTAGCGCAGTCTCATACCATAATGCGGATGGTTGAATGGGCAGAAGATATACTCACATACCAATAGGCCACGATATGAGCCTGCTCCTCACGCTTGTACCACATAGATGAGAGGATTAGAAATGTTGGCTGCGATACAGCTTCAAAAATCCCAAGCAAAACCCTCAACGCGCAAAGTATAGCGAAGTTAAACCCGAAGACATTCATTGTCAGAGTCAATCCCCAGAGGAAAATGTTGGCGGCAAGGTACTTTCCGATAGGGAGTTTTTGGACTAGAAGATTGGTCGGATACTCGGCGAAGAGGATACCAAAGTAAATAACGGTATGAAGCCAGGAATACTATTCCAAGTCAGAGCAGGCCCTCGTATGAAGTTAACTGGTAGAAACACCCACATCTTGCCCTACAAGGTGGGCATCTTCCTGAATCCCCATGATTGCCGCAAAACTGATTGCATTTTTATCCAGGGATTGAAGGAAATACGTTCCAGTCATAACGACCAACACGCGTTTGTCAATCAATCTCCGGAGACGCTTGCTGGTCGTCTCGTCTACTTCAACTGAACCCGCTGCGACAACATACCTCCTCAGCTCCTCATCGACTGCTGTGTGCTTGTCTGGAAGGATATCAGGATCTGGGGACGCAACGCGTTCCACATGTTGCTCAGTTGGCTTTGATCCACTCATCGCGTATGCAGTAAGCAGTAATAACTAGGAATGGAGCCCGTGTATTAGATTGACATACCCCACACCGGCAAATGCATTTTATACATACCCCAGATGTCGCCTTCTCCACACAATGAAAATTTGCGGGGGTGGAGACACTGAACCCGATCGCCGAACAGTTATCCGATATTTGAAGAATTTCCAGCCTTCTGAGCCAAGCATTGAGTTTCCGATCGCGCTGCAAAAGTCTCTTTCTTTGTTAAAGTTATCCGAACACATGTTTCCTTGGACGACCCTTTCGGAAGTCCCCGACCTTTACTCAATGGGTTCTAGTATCACTGGGGCGAATTTTGGATTAGGACTTATCTGATCATTGAGCGCTCGGACGATCGTATTGTTCGCGAAATGACTGGTGGAAAATCATCGTGGCTAGAATCCTGCGCGCCACACAGACGCCGATCTAATGGGTTAGAAACTAGGTAAAATGGGCTAAACCGGGGTAGCTAAGTGAGGGGTTCTTTGTTAAACACGAGCATCGTTGCTTTTCCGAGAACACAATTATCGGAAAACTCTGCTACTTTACCTTCTAGATTCTGATTGATGGAAGTCACTTTCTTCCCCAACACTGGCTTCCGATCGCTTTTCCGGGGGTGCTATTTAATACAGCAATATGGCAGCAAACACCGATAGTTGCAACTCGAAGTCGTGAACTGATTTACTAGAGCTGACTTCGTGCAAATATGTCAGTCGACGACGTACTTTCTGTGTTCCTCGCCAAGGATGGGGTAGTCAACATCCCGTTCGAAGTGAAAACGCCACTTGCCGAGATGAGCTTATCCGATACTAAGTCCCTGGCGCTAAAGCTTGTCGATAGTCTAGTTCACTTGAAGGATGACTCGGGGGAATTTCGTGTTCCAATCGCAACCGGAGGTTTCAAGGTTGACTCCAAATCCTGGAACAATTGGGAGTGGACACAGGGAGTTGGGTTGTATGGAATGTGGATGCTCTTCGAGGTTACCGGAGATGAGACAGTCCTAGCCCACATTCAAAAATGGTTCGATAAACAATTCGAAAAGGGCACGCCAACAAAAAACGTGAATAGTATGGCACCTATGCTCACTTTAGCCTATCTCTATGAGAGAAGCAGAAAAATCGAGTACCGAGGATACCTTGAATCTTGGGCAGAATTTATCATGGATGGGATCCCTCGGACAGAGGGTAATTCAAAGTCAGCCAATTTCCATGAACAGGTCTTTGCTAACATCTTCGCGTAGAGGGTGGTATTCAACACATCACATTTCGTCAAGTGAATGAAGGGCAACTGTGGGACGACACTCTTATGATGAGCGTTCTGCCACTTGCCAAAATCGGAGTACTGCTCGACCGCCCGGCTTATGTTGAAGAAGCCAAACGACAGTTTTTGCTGCATATCAAATATCTGACAGACACGCGAACTGGCCTGTGGTATCATGGCTGGACATTCCTGGAAAGGCATAACTTTGCCGAAGCTCTTTGGGGAAGAGGCAACTCATGGGTCACAATTGCGATTCCTGAATTCCTTTCTCTCCTTCGACTACCTCCCGGTGACCATATTAGGGAATTTTTGGTCTCTGCACTTGATCAGCAAGTACGTGCACTAAAGAAGTACCAGAATCCCAATGGACTCTGGCATACCCTCATTGACGACTCAAGTTCTTACCTGGAAGTATCCGCCTCGGCAGGATTTGCTTTCGGGATTTTGAAAGCAGTTCGAATGAGATATATCTCGAAGGAGTACCAGAGTATCGGGCTAAAGGCCCTCGAAGCGGTTATAAATAATGTCAACGAGAAAGGTGTCGTGCAGAATGTTAGTTTTGGAACACCGATGGGGCCGCGCAAGGACTTCTACAAGGCAATCAAGCTCACCGCCATGCCTTATGGTCAAGCAATGACAATGCTGTGTGTAGTGGAGAGAATGAGAGCTTTTTTGTAAATAGAAACAATTTTGAATACATACTATCTGGAGAGATCCTAGAAAACATCAAAATCTGAATCAAGCTCATGAAAAAGTGAAGATGATGACGAGTAAGAAAAGAAAAAATCCGTGGGAATAATCTATCGGTAGGTGATTCTGGCCGCTTACAATCTCGGAGTAATCTCGAATTCTTTTGAGAATATCCTGGATGACCTGGATAGCCTAGTCGTAAATGTGGCCATCCCTGACACTCAAAGCGAAGAAGCACACGCAGAAGTTACAGTGAAACTAGGTTCAATTCGATAAATATGACAAAGTTGGATTCAACCCAATAATACATATTACACGAAAAATGTCACAGGCCCTCTTCTGCCATCATAAAAATAATAAGCTTCATCATTAGAATCCATTTCTCTCTTCCACCACATCCTTGGAAGGCTGTGCATGTCTTCAAATCCAAGCCTGAAGGGATAGTTACGATCTCTATGGTAACCAAAAAAAGATCAACAATAGCGTCCTCGACAAGGCTCTTCCAGTTCATACCAGTGGAAGCATATTCGGGGTTCTCAGGATGCATAACCACTTCTGCCGCCATGGCAGAGCACCGAACCAGGGTCTGCCAGCAGTACTTGAGATATTTTCCAAGCGCGTCTCGATTTTACGGAGAGGATGACGAGGTACCTTAAGCTTGCGCGGTCGCTCCTCGTAATCTGCGGAAATCAAGATATCCAAGGCAAGCTCGACTGGGATGCCCAAAGAGCATAATGTTTCCCGAACCTCATCAACACCAGATGAACAGGGTTCATACATCGATATATCAGGTAAAGACAATGACAGAAACTCGTCAATTGACACTCTCGTAGATTCCTGGCAGTCTCTCTTCTTCTCTGAGAATTCTCCGTCCTATGAAAGTTTCCCGCACTGTTCTGGATGTTTTTTTCAATATGTGCCGTTCTTCTTCAAAAAGCCCATGCTTTGCTTGCGGCATATCTGGAGACAAGTACGACTTGACCCCTCCATAGCGAAGAACTGAGCGTGCGGGTACGTTAATAGGTCCGGAAGTATTGAAGTCCCGCAGTTGGCCAGAGTCTTTTGATAGAATTGTGCATCGCCGTAATCATTCTGCTTTGTTTTCCTAGAGCCAGAATTCCAATGCTCGGGGAAACAGTAGGTTACATTGAGGCAGATGTAGGCCTGAAGCATTTGTCGACAAATGGGCTCCCATCTGAGATGAGATCGCCTTTTGAAGTCAGCATGGCACAAAATAAGGTTTGGTTTTGAGGGAAGGTAGACTAAATGAAAGATCAGAAGGGATGGAACAAAGCTTACACCCTCGGAAAAACCATCCATAGCACCAGAACTCCAGATGGACATTCGGGTAGCCGCAGATACGCAAAATTGGATCCATCTCTCCATAAATAAGAAGCGTTTGCACTATTTGGGCATTAAAGTAGGCTGCAGAATTCGCACGAGTGTGACTTGAATATACCTGATTTTCAGGCTCCCGCAGGGACGCAGCCATGAGCCTTTCCTCGCGAGGAATGAAATTGCATTTGCATATATTAAAGCCCGAACGATCCCGACTAAAATCACTTCCACGGCATTCATCGGAAGGAAAATCCCTGTGCAAAGGCCAGTAAGAGTTGTACCGCCATCGACAAACTGTGAGTGATATCTTTCGAACGAGATCTTCGTCTAAGATCATATCTGCAGGCTCTAGGACACGGTAACGATCAGGATATTTCTTTCTTCCACAGGCTGTGTGATCGCCGAGATTCTCAACAAAATTTTGAACAAAATGGTTAAGGTCATTTGCTTGGTTTGGTTTCATGCGCGGATAGAAATTTGTAGCGAAGTTGTCATTAGGCGTCGGTGTTTTCCATTCTAGGTTAGAGGCAAGAAGGTGCCATGGGATATTATGCGCTTGATGTGCCGTCTTGATTCATATGGAATTCGAAATGCTCAGAAAACGAGTTATATGAGTGTTTTGGTAAGATCTAATAGTTACTCAGGGAAGCCCATCTTGATCTGTGAGTTTATTTTGCGTTATCTAAAGCATTAATAGTGCTTGTGATGACATTTCTTTCTGAAGATCTATTCCATTACAAACTTGAAGAGACCCAAGCGAAGTATATGTACATAAAGAGAGCTGACAGCTATCATGTGCAAAAGAATGTAGGAGAAATAGGTTTTGCCCTATCAATAATTTGTATTGTTGATTGCAATGAAAACTAGCATGAGGTATTTAATTCGCACCAGACTCTACTCAACCATCACTCTACACAGATAAGACACAGGAAGTACTGAAATAAACCAGCATATTCAAGGAACAAACTCTTCTGTTATAGTGAAAATATTGTATTCCACTGCTCCAGCGATCTTTGTCGATGGTTTAAGAGCTGGTGGCGTATTTGGCGGCTACAATGTTGGCCTGTACCGAATTCTCGGTATCATCCGATGGATAACCTGAAGTCATAACACCTTCATAGAATGTACCCTGGGCACCGTTGCTGTTGTCACCGCCAATACCCAGAATAATGGCTCCTTCTTTCTTCATTGGGCTGTAACCAGTCGGGTAGTCTCCGCTCCAGTATGTTCCTAGTGAGCCAGATGTAGCATCGCCACCACGGAGTGAAAATTGGCTTGGCTGCCCTTTGACGATAGCCGTGACAAAACGAAAGGAAATTGACGGGTTGGTTGATGTCACATCAAAATTGTCTCCGGCAGATAGACCATTCTCAAGGTCAGCTAAGATCCAGGGACCACTTCCGGTGCCGGTGCCATATCCAGTACCAAGTCCAAAGTAGATCGCCTCCATATGGGCATCACCATTGTCGTCATTGTTTGTCTCAGCATTACCGTAGTCAAAGCAGCATGCACCGTTGTAATCTGTTCCATCAAGAACGGCATACATACCCTCTGCTTCATCACCGGTGGCTGTGCCCACAGCGGTATCACAGCGGTATCCCATACCTGGCTGGATCTGGACACCGTAAGCCTTCTGTCCGTTGAGCGTGACAGGGGCTCCAGTTGCGTCAGCTAGGTTGTCTGGTCCACCTGCTGCACCTCCTGCAGGAGCTTGAGTAAGGTGGTTGGTATTGCCAGTCTGGTCGTAAATTATAGTAATGTTGCAGGTCGTTCCATCACAGAAGCTGTCTTGGGCAGCGGCATCGGCTACTGAACCAGCAGACACGGGTGAAATATCAGCTGTGGTGCCGTCAGAAGCCCGCGAGACTTGGTAGAGTGGACCACTGTAAGCATCATACAGAGCGCGAGTGGTGCTGTGGCCTGCAACGCAAGGCGTATCACCAGAGGCGTAGATATCACATGGACCGGCTGTGACTAGGGATCCCATGGCGACGAGTGATATAGTAAGCCTGAAAGAGGGCATCATGGGCATCATGATTCCAAAAAGTATTTCTTTTTTGAAGAGATGGACAAAAATGATTCGAAAGTATCTGAATGCTCTCTGATTCGAGCTAAGGCGATGGTTTAATAGACCTGATGTTGCGGGGTAGTGGGCATCTCTCAATCAAATAGCATCGTCTTATATACTTTTTGAAATCAAGTATAATTGATTTTTACAGGGAGGGTAGCATTCTCAAAGGTTTAGAGCGGCCCGTTCGCGGACATCGCGGAAACATTGAATCCTTGCATGACTTATGGTAGACGGAATATCGGGGTCGCGTAGATACTATTCGTTATAGATTTTTGGATACTTCAACTAGTAGATAGTGATGTACTAGTAGTTGGGCGAAAACAAAGATACTCTTTCATGAGAAAACCAGGAAGTCAAAAGCAGAAAATCAGGGAGAAAAGGAAGCAAAAGAAAGGATCTGAGGTATATTGAATTAGCTACCAATTTTTACATGAAGAAACTATCCTCAATCTTGACGCCCACTGGCGGGCTATGGTGAGACGTATGACTAGGCTTTATTGGGCTAGATTATGGCCCAAATTTCAGCCACTCTCACTAAAAGTGGTCCAGTGCGCCAAATTAAAATATCTTACTTCTTTCTTACCTGGGTAGGAACTTCCCTGATTAAGCTAGAGAATATTGGAAGCCAATTTCAGCACGACTACAAATATTCGGCCTACGGCAAGAGTTGTTATAGATATCAAGACTTAGATTCTGCGGTCTTTCTCTGAGGGTAGCCCCCAAGGGATATGTATGACTTTCGCGCTATATCCAGATTTTAGAGTCCTCAGTTCTCAGCTCTATAGGGAATGCGTTCATTGTCCAAGCTAGTTTTAGCCGAAGTTACATCGTTTATGAAAGAATTATTGGGCCATCGATACGCTCGGCCACCTTGCAAGCTTTAACAGTGTGCACCAAAAAGTAGCGACATATCCATATTTTTACTGGTGGGGTGCAAATCCGAAAACTTCAAATGTTCAGTGATGTCACTTGGGCATCTGAGCGTACTTCTCTGATCAGGCGGGCTTACTGCGGGGGCGGGGTAAAGCGTATCTGAGATTCGGAACTTTCCCTAATTTATCCCGGAGTTAAACCGGCAAAGAGCAGAATGAGAATGGCTGCTCTTTAAATCAATTCGAGTTCTTCTGATTTGTTTTCCTAATATTTCCAGAGTGTCTCAGTACGCCCGATTCGGATTAAAAGCGCCGCAGTAAGTACCATCGTATGATGACAGCGGACAAATCCTTCAGGAATTCCCGTGCAGATCTTTCGGCTTTTAACCATCAAGTAGTTCTCAAGTATCATGAACGAGAAACGTATCACCTGAGGAGGATGGTGGTAGTCAGCAGATCTGCAAGATCATTATTATGGGATCATATTAGTTCAGCGTGCTGATCACCGCGGGATCTAACTGTGGGGCTACCACACTTTTTGCTTGTTCCAAGCCACATCAAAGCCATAATGCTTGATATCACAATAGAAAGGTAAATTGCTTTAGTTTTCACCTGTCTTTCTGATCTTCTGCTTGGCCTGTTAATCAGTTGATTGAGCTATTTAAGCCTCTATCTCCACATTGCCGTTTCCATCAGATACCTGAATCGCCATCATGTAAACTACAGTTGGTCATAGTCACAAGTCTTATTGGGGAAACGAAAGGGTTTCAAATCAAAACAATAAACGTATATGGCCTCAGATTCAAGAAGAAAACAACAGTGGTTATCGAACGAACAGAGTCCTATGGTATCATGCCACGAACTATCAAGATTCAGCCTATATGTGCGGGTGATAGAAGTTGGCTTACCCTAGGTAGTTAAAAATACACAACTACCGGTGCAGCGTACATACCAGTCCACTGTCATTTATCGCGATGCTAGTATAATCTTATGATATGTATACATTTACGTCACTCCACGCCCGCAGTGACCACGTGTGCACAGCTTATAGCATCATGATTACAGTCGAGCATAATCGTACTCAGGTTATGGGAGGCTACCTTCATACAAAAACCAACTTCAGGTATTCACATCTACACCCTTCTTATACAAGGGTAAAAATTATGCTAATCATATTCTAAAATCGGACGTTGACTGAGCATCTCAATGAGCGATTTGGTAGTCTTCCGGGATCTCCGGCCATGTATCAATGCCATCTAATATACCGAGTGCCATTCCACCACTCAGGTGAACTTGGATATGACAGTGAAGTAAGAATGCTCCAGGATTCTCCACATGATATCGCACAGCCAACCAAGTAGGCCCGGTTGCAGCAGCAGGGGTAATATATGTGTCTCTCAGCTGTGGTGTTTTCAGATTGAAGCTTTCTGGGATGTATTCCATCGCCTCTGCCACCGAGGTATAATTCCAAGCACCTTCTCCTTGACCAATGACGTAGAACTTATTAGAGTGTTTATGAATTGGGTGGGGCGGCTGGATTGCCTCAAATACATCAAAGATGAGATCCACCCAAGTGTTGTTCTGAGTTCGAATGGTCATATCACTATGCCCGAATGAGCTATTGGGGTAGAAAAGCAGAGGCCGAGCATTTTCCAAGGTCAATGGAAAGCTCGAATTACCTAACATCCAACGGTAGGATGTGTCGCGGTGACCAACTCTCAGTATATGAGTTTGCGCAACATCTAGGGATGGTGCCTCGACAGGGAAAGGAACAATGGCTGAATCGTCGAGGAAAACAGTGTTTGCAGTAGTATTCGATCCAACTATGTCGATAGAAGGTGTTGATTGGCCCTTTTCCATATGTCTTGGAGAGGTATGGTTTGTTTCATATGACAGTGTGGCTGTGGTATTCAGGATCTGATTAAGGCCGACAGTAGATAGGCGGATTGTATAGTCACCGGGGGGACGGTCGAGCTTAAGAAAAACAGAAAAGCGGTAGCCATTAGCAAGCGACATGGCGTCGACTTGAAGAGGCTCGATATACCGTCCGTCAACAGCATATACAAAAGCCTTGTGTTCATCAATCGAGAACATCATGGTGTTTGTACCAGCGGTGCTAATAAGATCATAGCTCACGTAGCAGTCGCGCGGGTCGACTCTGAATGCTTCGGTCGGGCCCTGGTGAGAATGGCAACTATGGAACATTGTCGGTACGAGCGCACTGAAGTTATGAGTAAAATCCCCTTCCATCGCCTCGACTGGAGGGACACATCCAGTATCGGTGAGATTCCCTCCGCCAAGAACGCCTTTCTGCGCAGCCGTGGTGTATTGATTGAGCGTCTGCTGACTCAAGCACTTGATCGATCCCTTGCCGTTGATCAACAGAGCGTTGACACAATATGCGTCTAAATGCGTGGCCTCTTCTGCGCTCCATGTCTCCTCGGACGTCAGTTGGCGCCAATCTGAAAGCAGGATAGGCTTGGTATGCTTCTCTGCCCCTTCAATCAACATTCGCTCTCTGGTATTGTTCGTGATGAGGTGAAAAGGCCTCTCGACAGTTGGAGAAGCCTGGATATGGATCGAACCGTAGAGACCATCGTCAATCTGGCCTCGAGTATGAGCGTGGTAGAAATAGGCACCATATTGTGTGGCTATCCACTTATAGAGAAAGGTCCCGCCCGGGGGAATAAGCTTCTGCGATAGTCCGGGAACTCCGTCCGACCATGGTGTACCCTGCTGGTGGATTCCTAGTGGTACGAAGTCAGTAATAACTCAAATCGACTTTGTGGTTGAGGGCCTCACCATGAAAATGGACGGTTGTCGCGTTCTTCATTCCATTTTTCACGTGGAATTCGACATTGTCGCCCTGGTTGAGCCGAAGTTCTGGTCCTGGAAACTGGCCATTGGCGAAAATCATTTTTCTGGGTTGACCAGGCCCATCAAACCAATCTTCCCAAGTTAAAGTGACATCGAAATTAACAGTTTTGCTATGTACCCACTGTATCAAGCAAGACACAAGAAAGAGGCTCAAGTACCTCATTTTGGACGAAAATGATCCTGCAAATATAATTTTTGGGGTGGTGCAATTATTCTGGCCTTGAAACAGAAGGAGGAAGCAAGGAGCCTCAAAGTACTTCACACACAAGTGAACCAATACCTTGGGCCTGGGCATTCATGAATTAAACTGGGCGCCTTAAGCTACTGTCTGTGCATCGTGACGATATAAGGTACAGCTGATCTATCGACGCTCAGGACCCAGGTTGTTTCTGTTAATAGGGTCTGTTTTTTCAGCTCCAGTGGGTCCAAAACACATTCGGTTTAGTTCTAAGCGATCACTTCCATAAAGGTACGGAATCTGGGCCGCTATGCCGCATAAACAAGTAGCGTCCGTCCCCTTAAACAAACATTTACCCACTTTCTCATACGGTTCGCTATCGCCCTACTCTATGAACCTATTCGTTCGTGAAAAAGCAGCTTCTGTACAATGACGTAGAAGGGCTTATAGTACGCCATGGCAATGGCCAATTCTATGACCGCTAGCACAGAATATATCAAGTGCTGTGGTTTGCTTTCATCTCTTTTAGTAGCTCCAATAGTGGATCAACATAACGAGAAGCAGGTCAGTCTATGTAGGTGAAATCGCAACGAATTACATAGTGCGCATTCATCACTATTCAGAATAGTGAGTGACCATTACTATCAGTCTCTTCAATGTACCCAGTCTGGTTGGCTTTTTGAACACTCGAGAAACCCACTTCTGTACTGTAATTGTGGTACAAATCAGCGGTTTTTGGGGTACTTTATTGGCCTTACCGCGTTATAATACGTATCAAATATGTTTCAATAGTACATGATCGGGCTGGCTGCAGGGCCTATTGATGCGACTTGGAAAAAAAAACTTTGGCCAAGGGGCCAAAAGATTTCGGCTACTGAACCACGTCAGCTAGATCTTTCACACTACTGGGGGTAGAACGCCCCGAGGAGTGCAGCCCCTATATGATTGGCGGACAATCCAACTGTAATGCTTCACCGACCCTTAAGGTTTGCAGCTGAGGCTCGGCTAGTAAACTTGTAGCTAACATGTTCGAATAGAGTACGCAGTTCCAAGTTGCTACTTTTCATGATGTACTATCTTAATACTACCAGTAGTAGTACATGGTAGTTTCAACTTGGCCTCTGAGAAGGTTCAAATTGACATTAGTGCTTGGCAGCAACCTCATTTACAGAAGAGGTTCTGCTTTTCAGCGCTAGAATGACTGTCCATGTATTTTCTTAGTATCATACGAAAAAGCTCAAAGGACCGACACTACGCGCATTTTTATTCTAGAAAATTCTCTAGCAACCAACTGTACACGTTTAAATTATTCATCGAAGACAAACCCCGAATGCATATTGAATCACTCGAGTATCATAATTCGAGTGGCAAGTATTTCCCCCAGTTGACTAGAATCATTCGAAACTCAAAAAGTCGAGGAATTTTGGAATACCATCGATGAGACCCACCAGCGAGAGTTAGTAGCTTAAGTTGCCAACGTGGTGGAAAAGCTTCAAAGGTTAGATTCAGACACTCTGGCCAAAGAACTTGCCGCAACCCCTTTCGTTACAGACACAGACAACTCTCTCAAGGCCAGCAAACTAGCGATCGGTGGCCCAGCGCTTAGGTATTTCTCAGATTTTCACAAGTTTCTCTATGGGCTTATCCTGGATGGAAGACCCTCTCCTTGCAAGTTATTGGAACTAAAGGATGGGATTTCACTCCAGTCTGAAAATGAAAATATAGGGCGGATTGAGCTATCCCAGCTTGAGCTCGACGAGTTTCTACACAATGTTGTTCTCTGCCATAATGATGTTGAGCCACGTAACATTGTTGTGAGAAATACCTCTTCTGGGAAATACGACGTGGCGGGCATTATCGGGCATTATCGACTGGGAGATGGCTAGCACGTTTCCATTTGCCTATGGATATGGCGTGAAAGTTGGTGCTCTGAGCTCCTCGAATTTGTACTTCGATTGGTGTAATCTGTACAAAAGCCTGACTTCCCATCTTTTGCCTCCAGCGGAATGCCATACAAAACTCCTCAAAGCACTCAGGATAATTGATGAATCCAGAAAGCGATCTATGGCACGGAATGTTGGCGTTCGGTTTCAGAAAAAGTGGGTTCAGAGGGAACAGGTGGAAGAATCTCCAGATCTCCGCCAAGGTTGGATTCGGAAGACGGGTGTGGAAGCCCCGGAGGCCTTTACCAAAAATGACCAAAATACGCTGGAGCTTGAGACTCTCAAGGAATTAGGACTTATTCAAGCTATGAGGAAAACAGTCAAGGCTACTTCTTGATGAAAGAGTTTCGCCGGCTCTCTGTCAGTGACTATGCGGCATCAAATGGCGGCCATCACAAGAGTTTTTATATGATCCAATACTTTGCCAACAGATTCGAAATTGCCAGAATGACCAAGTCTCTAACTTTGTAGAAATGGAAGAAGGGCTGCGTGCATGTGTGCAAACAACGAGAGTCATGTTGACCGAGATAATACATGTTTGTTGCCGCTTACTATTCTAGTCCAAGCCCCTGTAGACACTGTTCAATCAACGATGAGAAGCTGAGATAGACTGGGGCGGGCGCTAATGGCATTATGTAATTCATGGAGAACACGAAGAGAGGGACCCTGCATCCTGCACACTGGTGCCACTTTTAGGACTATGCAATAGACTGACCAAATACGTCCAAAGCCAATTCCCAAGGCAAAGCACCTCCATGTGCCTTCGTGCGAGAACTATGGTGCGCTTTGGAGCTCCTACGTCCTCGACTCCCGGTCACGATGGTCCTACCTCGAGCGCACGCGCCGTGCGCTGCCCCCGCCCCACATGTTAGGGAGATAAGATTGAATATGGCTCACGGCCCCCGCCTCTTGAGGTGGCCAGTGTCTTATCTATGCAAAAGAAAAAGAGGCGCTGAAGGTTTGGAGGCGAAAACGACCCTTGACGCCCTTTCAAAGTGCCGCGCCTCTTGACCATGTAGACAGCACGATACCACCAGCGACCGTTCTTTTAACACCTATTGCCGCTTCCATTAAATACTAATGGGGCTGAACAAGGCTGAACGAGGCTTTGTCTCAAATTATTCAAGTTTCTCCGGGACCCTGCAGATCTACACAGCCCCCGAGTCAATCTCCAGCTCTAAATGTCACTTTCCTCTCTCCGCCCCAACTTCTTTTCTCTCCTCATTATCTTTCGAGGCTACATGTATGTTTTGACTACATATTTTACCTCAACATAATACCATGACTCATGATCAATCTTTACAATACAGTGATTCACTTAATCCTAGAAATCATGAGTCTTATCAACCAGAACAAGAAAACCCTAATCTAGGGCAACCAGGCCATGTCGACGTATCCCCATCCAGCACGCATGAGCCTCATCAACCACAGAAAGAGACCCCCAATTTACAGCCAAGCCATGTCCAAATATCCCCAATCAACACACGTGATAGCCGGGGAGGGAATAGAAAGGCCTTAACACCAGAATCTCTGCAAGAAAAAATCCAGACACCCCGGCATTATGACTGGGCAGGGTCCTGGACTTGGGAGATTGGGGGAGGCGTTCTCAGCGCCGTGGGCATCATTCTTTTGTTAATCTTTTTGCACTATGTGAATGGCATGACGTATGCCCACTGGCAATACATCATTTCGCCAAACGCTGTTGTGTCCGTGATCTCTGCTTTTACGAAAGCTTGCATGCTTGTTCCAGTATCATCCTGCCTGGGCCAGTTATAATGGAATCAGAATCGACGAAAAACTCCAAAGCCGCTATATAATTTTCAAGTGCTAGATGATGCGAGCCGTGGTCCTTGGACTCACTGTTTGTGTTCTGGAAAACCAGATCACTATTAGCCATTGTGGGCGCAGCTTTGATGATTCTTTCAGTTACTCTGAATCCATTTGCTCAGCAGGTCCTCTCTTTTCCATCCAGAGACGTGGAAATGCATAATATGACTGCTTATATCCAAAGACTCGAGGACTATGAATCTACCTTGAATATTGTTTACGAGGGAGAGACCGTGTCTATACTGGATCCTACGCTTCAAACCGCGATATTGACTGGTCTGGCCCAAGTCAACACGCCCCTTGAGCCGATATGTCCCTCTTCTCATTGTGAATATCCCGACTTTTCCACTCTGGGGATATGCTCCTCCTGTGAAGATGTGACAGAAGCAGCAACCCAGATCTGCAGGCCATTTTCGTTCAACGAGACCAGCAATCTTATGACTCTTTCTATCAACTCATCTGACACCTTTCGGTCTGTTCACGCCAATTGCTCTTACATGTCTCCAAGTGGACTCGTTCTTACTCCGGGAATTGGCGTTACATCATGGGGTTCCAAGGACTCACAACTTGAGGTTTCCCGCATATACTTCAGTTCCGTCGCAAGGAAAGATCCTACAACAATCGGTTCCATTTTCATGGCCAAATACAAAGAAAGGACTCTTTACACCCCTGAAAATATTACCGTCCCTGAACGGAAGCCTCCGATGACTGAGTATTCAATGTCCCTGTGCGAAAGAGAATATATACAGAGCCATTTCTCAGGCACGGACCGTCCCCTTCAGCTTTCAAGGAGTCAGACACTGACTCCAAAGACCCCTATAAGTTTCATTGGACGACTCAGCTGGTCCCCAAGGATACACGGACGACTTTTTCAATTGATGCAAGCTACAGCATTGATTCATATACCTGGAACAGCCTGCTCCATACTATGAGCATTTTCAATACCACAAGCGCACAAGTAGCGGAGGGGAAACAGGTGTACGATTAGGTCCCATTCTCTACAACAGCAACAACATCACCGAGTCGTTTCTTTCCATGGCCACCAGCATGACGGACAATATGCGTTCAATTTCAAGTACCGGAGCCAGTCGTGTACCCGGTAAAGCTTTTCAAACCGAGACTTACGTCCATGTTCGCTGGCCATGGATTGCTCTTCCGGTGGCATTAATCGCTTTTTCGATTCTGCTTTTGTCCGTTCTCATGATCGTCAGTCGTGGTCAATCTGTGCTTTGGAAATCATCCATCTTACCCCTAATAGTGGGTTGATTGGAAGCGAGTCCTGAACATGAGATTGCACAGGTGCGCCATATGGATGATCTGCAGTCTATTTCCAAAAAAACTGAAGTGGTGGTTAAAGAGGAGGATCAGTCTCTTGTGTTCGAGGAGCAATACTAATGGCATACATGTCAATGATTTATATACGTTTTCACACTTGGTTATGACAACCCCTTGACCAGCAGAACATGAATTCTACGCCAAGTGTTAGTATTTCAAGCTATAGATTTCTAAATCAATCCAAAAACTTTTTTTTATATTTTAGTTTCAAAATCGAAGGCCTGGCGCCCCTTCGTAGGACCCACAGGTGCTGTGGTGGAAGATACGGCAGAATTGATAATCTAGATTTTTCCAATTATAGAAGGCGGCATGGGATACTAGCGAGTATGTTTGTAACCGTCTCAGTCTGTCAGAGAATCAAAAATGCGGACAACAAAAAGATAAAACATACAACAGTCATATCTAAGGTGGTGGTCACCTAGCGTCCACCAATCTGGCGTAGGCGGCTCGCCGCCCTATTCAGGCCTCTTCAGGGCAGTCCGGGCAGATATTCACCCACCTGAATATTCAGCCTGTACAGCAGAAGGTGGATTTTCTCTTTTTTAACCGCCATCCCCCGAATTCTGTGAGTTTTGTTCTCTTTTCTCTATCTTCTCTGAATTTCCCATCAAATCATAATGTCTACCAAGTATGTTCCAATGTTAAATTTTGTACGAAATATCGCGGACTCTGAAGAGTATAATAATAATGAAATCCAATAGAGATCCTACTATGGACCGAAGCTGACTACAGCACACATTGCTTCTTTTTGATCAGTTAGTAGTGGCTGCTAGAACAAAGATCTTGCTTATATAGATGTCACGGGCCAATGCCCGATGTCGGTCACGTGTGTCACGAGACCTTGGCATATTGATATGGAAGCACAGACATAGAAACTTTCTCTTCTTTAAGCTTTTTGTAAACAGCATGTTGGCTTAGTTAGATTGAATTTAAGTCTTACTTCAGCCCTTCACACTGGATACCCCAATATCATCAATTATATTGAAAAAACATGGCTAATTCCATATTAATACAGATTTATCCGATATTGGACAAATAAATATCTTTATTTAGGCCATACAGCAAAATCACAGGTTAAAGGCTCCCATACCTTTATAAAACGTTATATTAAGACGCAAAAATGTGATATTTTGACCCTTTAGTCCCGAATTTGTCGTGGCATAAATAATTAGCTTCAAAACATAGAAAATGAGCCTAAAAAAGACAGGATAAATAGTCTCGTATTTACCATCAAACATGCAACTTTATTCAGCCAAATCACACGCAAAATATCACATTTTGCACTCAAACAAATTAAAAATCAGATGGATATAGCTACCCGATACACCCCCGAGGCACCTCTCTCGCTATGCAGTTCCGCGTTTACCAAAACAATGGGGCTTCCGTATACGCATCGGATCAAAGAGTGGCTAGATGCCAATCAAGCCATTCCCCTATCAGCCATTCATCCCTTTTGGATAGTTGATTTAAGCTCAGCTAGTGAGCTGCCGTTGTACGAGCCGCGAAACTTGGTATCGAGGGCACCTAAGCGGCGAGAGAATCAGATCAATACAGCTGCGGCCGCATCCACGGCCGCGATAGCTTCAAAAAAGCCGAAAAAGGCAAGCAAATGCTCTGGATGTGGCGTTATTGGACATACCATTCGGCCATGTAAATAAATAGGAGTTTTGGTCTAATAAAGTGGTGTTTTGGTATAAAATGAATACTGTGTCTATATAGAATTCTTTTTGATGAGGTTCATGGAGGGTTTGCACGTGATTAAAGGCTTCTGCGGTGTGTCGAGCCAAAATGGCATCATGGTTACCACTACTTTCATCTACACCAACGCGTGGAACAGATTTTGATCGATACAACGTGCCTCTACTCACTTGTTACAACATAAGGCTGCACCCAGACTTATGATCATACTTATAACTGACTTGCAACAAAGCTCGCATACCGCCATGATGATCAAGGAGCGGCCATCGCTCATGCTTCGCAAATTCATGCGACACCTTGCCTCGAAAGGTGCTTCGGAGAATCATACCTCAAGCCAGCGTCCAGAAGGCCCCTCATACTCACCAGAATCTTGCTGGCCATATGGGCCTTTTCAAAAACAATACTGTTTCTTCTATGGGACTCTAATGGACCAATCAACACTTGCAAGAATTCTACAACTACCGGAGCCCCCTAGCATGCGACCAGCTAGGGTGGTAGGATACCATGTCAAGATGTGGGGACCATATCCTGCCTTACTTTGTGGACCGCCGCTTCACCCGGTTGATGGCCTGGCATATGAAGTCCAGTCGCAGGAAGAACTCGAAAGACTAAGCGCCTACGAGACTAGCAAGTATCGCGTCAAGCCTTGCATGATCGACTTTCCTGGAGAGAATGGTGGCGAGGAGGAGTCGGTTGAGGGTAATCTCTTCATATGGAATGGGGATCCCAAGGAACTACATGAAGGAAATTATGATCTTGAGATATGGTCACAGAAACAGCAGCCGAGGGGAACATAATAGAAGGGAAGACGACCAAAACTTCTACCCTGGCCTTGTGCGAGCCTTGTACTTCGATGCTACTGCCATCCACTACATGAAATATTTGCAATGTCCATCAATATGATTGTAGTCAATGGAAACGTTAGGTTCAAGGAAGGATTAGAACAATAAGGTGTCGAATTTGGGATGCACTTATAGAAGCAAGCCTAGGACTCAACAAGGTTGAATGCTGAAATCAAGTATTCCAGCTTTTCCATAACCAAGTTCTTCTCATTTTTCTCCCTCTCTTTGGTTTGTTGAAGAAGTTCTTCTTCTATTGTCAAATCGCGAAGAGCCCGTGGGACTATGTATCCCCTCTTTCCTTGGAACAGCATTTCAAGGAGACCGCGCCTAGAGCCAGGGAGATCGGTGCGCGTGATGAATTGATGTAGACCCTGGACAGTTCGAGCATATTGAATGAGGCCATGGTGAGACGAGGTCATCTTCGATGCATGAACGAAGGAGGCAACGAATTCAACCCATGGGGTACAACCTTTTGGCTCGGTTGCTCCGGGGGCCTGGCGAAACTCGATGGTTGCTTTTCTTCCCTTGTATAGATTTGTGAAGTTCCAGGAGAAGAACCTCCGGCCGTCATCATTCATCAAATCGGCGATTTCTGCAGCGCTATTGCACTTGTCCACAAGAGCGCAACAAGCCCTAATGCTCTTCCCCCTGAGCATCGAGTTTCCACAGCGATTGTTCATAGCCCACATGTTGCCCCGCCGATGTTCTGGAACAAGGGCCTCAATGGCACCCTCAAAGTGAAATATACATCGACATATCGACTTCAGCGTTTTAATACTCCAGACAGGATTGTTCGCCGGAGGTGAAATGTGGACATGGAGACCACATGACTGGTTGCATTCGATGGAATACTTGCGTTCTATGGTTGCGAACACTTGTGCAACATCTCTGTGCCATGAGCTTTGCTCACTGTAGTTGAATACTGGAGACACTGATTCCAGGGGCCCTAGCCATCATTAGCTGTCCGCTAGCAGAAGAAGGAGGCATGGGGAGGCTTACGCTGTCCATCACTATAAGGGCGAATTGTCACATCGTTTGTGACAGACCATTCGGCGTATGGAGCTGAAGTAGAGACTTTGTCTTCATCTTCGCCGGCGTTGTAAACGGCGTTGCATAGTCGAGGCGTGTTGCTGCTGGTATTGCACTACGCGACTATATGGTCTGCGAACTCGAAGAGGCCCCCGGATTCGTCGTAGTCTTCTTTGAAGGGCGTCAGCAACATCTCCATCTCGATTCCAATTCTGTAGTCGGTGTCCATTTTGGCTTAAGAGGAGCATGAATCCAGTAGCAAGAAGACACACAGGCAACACGGAACAAGATCCTAAAGGATCGAGCTCCGTGGATGAGTTCGCCGTATAGGTCCGTTCCTAAGTAGGAAGGCACAGCACATAGAGGCAGTAGCGTGCTTAACGAGGGTTGCCCTATCCCAAGTAAAATAAGATCCAATGCAATCAATGCAAATTACGGTTTTCCCAACCTTGGAAGGGCTCACTACCAGCCTATATAACTGAGCGCCGTCCTAGCTCAAGGCGTCCGCCGAGGGCGAGTAGAGCTGTCTCTCACCTTGGCCCTCCGTGTTCCCCCTATTACCATGCTTCCATGTCTAGCAACTCTCTTCATCCATCACAAACTTTACATTAGACTCTCTGAGTATCATGAGTACATGAAGCTTAACATGATTGCGTGACCTCGTAGATATCATGGTGACTTTCGCACTCACCACTAAGATCTAGGTTCAAGAGTCCGAACTTCGTTCAAGTAATGGTGACTTCTGGATTTTTCATGGTTACTATCGGCCTATTTCCCAGTCCTGCAGCCTCAGTTACCTTATCTCATTGTAAGGTCGCCAGTTCAATTCACTTTTAATGGGTCAAGTACCCTGCGTTTGGCTACGGGAAAGCCCCTCAACTCTGGTTATTTCCATAGGAGCGAGCCATTTGTTTCCGCATCTTCTTTGGTCAGAATCTTCACTGCGTCCTTAAAAAAGAGATAACCAAGACCAGACAACACGGTTGTAATAGCCACAGTAAATCTATTTTCCGTGTCAGCAAAAGGAAAGATGCGACGGGACGCGGGGCCGGAAATGAGGGAGGGAAAGTCTGGTTGAGTGACCACGTCAGCGCTTCAGGGGTATTCAGGGCATTCGGGTGAAGAATAGAGGGCCTTCAGGGCGTTCAGGTCAAGGGGCTAAAGAGTAAAGCAGCGAGAGCAGGTCTCAGAATCCAAAACAAGAAAAAACAAATACATACAACAGTCAGGATTCGCATGTGGTCACCCACCATACTACTAACTGACCGGCGTGTGGCTTAAGTACGGCTGAGCGGACGGGAAGCCCTGTTCTCCACACCCTGTGGTCGTATGTGCTGGAGAGAGCTTTGAGGTGGGTTATATGATGCAAGGGAAATGAGGATATAGGGGCTTCTCTGCATACTGTAGTAGGGCCCATGGCGTCTTGTTCATGAGAAGCTCTGTCATCCGCTGTGGTTATATCGTCTCGCATTTGGGTTCACATGTTACCCGTTTCTTCTCTCGCCGCTCTCTTGCTTCTTTGCGCGCCGCACGTGCTGACTTGACGGATTCTCCTACATCAACCATTTGCTGGACAGTCACGCTCCCTGTATCGGCGAGAACTTTGCTCACTAGTTTGGTCTAGTTTTGGTCGGTGCTCGAAGGTGGTATGGGCACTGGAGTGATTATGACGATGCATGAAGCAACTATCTGCGGAGTGAAAGATGTAGTGACCCGGATGACATTGGTGCCAGAGGCATCAACTCCATCATCCATCCTTTCTTCCCGATCAGCACCGCCATTGCGCACTTCGTTTCACTTCAAAGTTCTTTTGTTTCCGGGTCAGAACAGCTTACGCAGAACCTTATTTAAAAAAACCTTAATTTGTCACTAAGTGGCTGAAATTATTCCCCTTCTTCTTCTTCTTCTTCTTCTTCTTCCTCTTCCCTTTTATTGGAGCTCTCATTCATACGAGTCCTACTGTCCCAATGTCAACGCGTCCTCTACAACTACGTATCGTGACTGTCTAATATTGAAGCAAAGATATTTCAAATCTCACTTCAATGGCCGCTTGCCTGCAGCCTAGAAAGTGAATTGATTGTGTAACGGCAAGTTCCGGCTCGAGCTACCAACAAAGACCTTGTACTCCCCACTCTGCAAGGCCCACTGCTGAGCCTCAACATCCCAGCTACTCAGATCACGTCTGGTCAGAGAAAATGAAACAGTCTCACTCTTGCCAGCACCGACATAAATCTTCCCAAAGCCACGAAGTTGACGAACAGGTCCATTTGGAATACCAACATACAGCTGCGCAACCTCATAACCATCAACAGCACCCGTGTTCTTAACAGTTGCCTTCACAATAACAAGCTCATCCCACAGATGCGGATTCCCACCTTCAGCAATCTTAGCCGAAGGAGGATGCTGCGTGGTAGACACACCGGTCGCTTTCTGGACTTGAAGACCAGAATACGAGAAGCTACTATACGAAAGCCCGTACCCGAATTCAAAGCGCGGCTCTATGTTTTTCTCATCAAAAGCACGGTAGTCGATGAACTGGCCCTCCGAAAAGTCAGATTGAGGGAAAAGCCAATATTTACCCTCGGGCTCAGAGGGAGACAGGATAGCTCCATAGTCACTGGATTTCTTGGCGACCGTGTATGGAAGTCGACCGGATGGATTAGCGCGGCCGTAGAGAATATCAGTCAAAGCGCGTCCGCTATCTTGGCCGGGGAGATGAGCGAAAATCACAGCTGTGATGTTTTCATTCTCAATCCAGTCTTCAACAACACGAATGCCAGCATTGTGGATTATGACCATTGTGTTGGAACATTTGCTTGCCACATTGGTAATTAGTGTGTCGCTGTATTCGTCAGTAAGGCCTGGTCGATCCTCGCCTTCTGTTGAGAAGTCATTAACGAAGACGAGACAGGCATCGGATGTGGCGTCTACGTCGGGATCTTGAGAACTAAAGTCCCACATCACGGAGGTATTGTCTTCGTATGCTTGACGCTGGATCGCGTCAATTGGAGCATCGATGTATGCGGCTGAATTGGCGCCCGAGCCTCCACCAACGTAGAGGGTATTGTTGATGAAGGACGGGCTTCCCTCTGGGTAGGGTATAGCGACTTCCAGATAAGCAGGAGCTTGCGCGTCGTAACCAAATACAGAGATGAGGCTTGGAGATTTCAAGGGGAGGGCGCTCTTCGTATTCTTTACAAGAACGTGTCCCTCGACTGCGCCTTGGAGAAGGACATCCTTGGAGTCTGCTGATTTGCCGATTACCTTCTGGTGAGGAGCTGTGATATCTGTTGGCATTCCGATCCCGGGGTGTGGAATTCCCGAATCTTGCTTCAGTTGGTACCACGTTGCGATGATTCTAGGCTTCTGGTCAGTAAAGATATGGCACTCGTTTACCGGTTACTCCTACCTGGTTGCCATATCATCAAGCCGAGAAGCCTCCATAGTTCCATTTGTGATGGCAATTGTTAGGTTATCCCCCCACAACGTAGTGTCAGGCATGATCATATCCAGACCCGCATTAGCAGCGGCGATACCAGCATGCTGCGCTCCCCAATCGGTTACAACGTAGCCTGTACCTGCTTAGTCTTTGCTTGAGGTTTACAACATGAAAAGGTCTACTTACCCTGGAAACCAAGCTCAGTCTTAAGAAGTCCGTTGAGAGTCTTGCTGTTTTGACAGCCATAGCTGTTGTTGATCCGCTGGTAGGAGCACATGATAGAGGCACTACCAGCGAGCACAGCATCTTGGAATGGCCAAAGATACAGTTCATGCATAGTCTTGTCATCGATATTCGAAGAGACAGCTTCCGTGTACTCTCCTTGCGCATTTTCTCCTGGGTTTCGGTTTGTCTCCTGTTCATTGCCAATGTAATGCTACTCTTGTTAGCTAAGCTCACTAAATTTCATCCAGAGGTTGGTATAATAGGTACCTTGGTGGATGTTCCAACACCTGAGGATTGTACACCTCCGATGGTCTCATAAACAAGTGAGCCAGTGAGATAAGGATCATCGGAGAATCCCTCCCAGTTGCGCCCGCCCTCGGAGATACGGCCTAGTGGGCCTACCACAGGTCCAAGTAAAAGATTGACACCCTTTCGGCGAAACTCCGCACCCATGTGTACCCCGCGCTGCTTAGCCAGGTCTCTATTCCAGCTAGCTCCAACATGGATACCACTAGGCCAACTGCTGACATAGTCGGTTCCTCTCTATTTCGGGTTAGACTGATGCAGGACGCGCATTGGTGTCGGCAATACATACCAAGCCATTACCGGCATCTGACACACAAAATCCGGGGAAATCGAGACGCTCAATAGCGGCAATATTCCCCGAGCAACCGTTACTGACGGAAGATCCGGCAGTAAGATTCACTTTTTCCTCTTGGGTGAGTTTTCCCACAAACTCTTTGGCCTTTACGTAGGCAGAAGCCCAGTTTCCAGTTCCAGCCCCGTCCGCTAGGTGATGTCAGTAGACACACTTGGTCCTAAAAATGGAAGAAGTTACGTACGTGAGGGATATACCGGCGGAGACTGTCCATAAAAGTAAGAGTCACTGGTGATGTTCTGAGCCTGGCAGCTCAAACCGAAGCTAAGCAGAACTCCTAGAGTACACAAGTTGATTCCCATGATGGCGCATCCAGAACACTTGGTCCAGCTTTTTTGTCTGCTGGCCTTCCCTTTGCTCATTTATAGACAAACGAGAGCGGGGGCTCTTGTAACCGATCTGAGAGCCGGAGATGAACGCTTCTGAGTATGCTTCCGTCTTTAAGGTGCATGCTCGGATATTAATTCACCGATGATATATCGAAAGGTCTGAGCGTTGACAAAGACTATTGGATGGGAAAGTAAATATTGTTTAACCGAAGATGTAAGTATCGGAAGGTCTAAGCGTTGAGAAGGACTAGTATTGGACGGGAAGCGCGGTTCATTACTCTATGTTTTCTTTTGCATTTGGATACATCCAGGGAAAGGGCGAGTCTCATTCTACGGGAGAACATTCCAGTCCCGTATGGCAGGCAGATACACAATCAAGACTCGGAATTACATTCTTCATATCAATTCTAGGGATTTCAGGCATGTCGCTTTTGTGGCTAGGTTCAAACATTTCTTATTCAAGTCCTCGCCCAGAACAAAACAGCCAGTAGTCCATAAATTTAACGAAACAACGCCAATTGGGGAAAGTAGTGCCGATCAATATCAAATGCCCATAATTTCTGACGTGATAGAGTACCAGTGTAATGTCGTACCGGATGCCGTCCCAGATAGGAAGGGTAGTCCTTGTAGTCGATCTCTCAGCACAGATCTAGGGGTAGTATCGTGGTATTGTTTGTGCTGCTTGGCGCGCGGGGAAAGCCGCAACCCGCACCCACACTAAGACTTGAGGACTGTGTGTTCTCTGCATAAATCCGTTTCAGATAAGCTTTCTTTATAATGAAGCTCCTTTTGTACGAAAACGGAATTAGAGAAATGCGGATAAATTTTATATATAGGCAACATTATAATCTAAATTTGCCATAATCATCTTCTCTCATTAATGTTTCCGCTTATAATGTTTTAACACATAGAAGAACAGATTGTGACATGTTGATGTACGTGGATTATAACAACTTGGTTGAATTGCTACCGACACCAGACACTTAGATTCCCGCCCCGCTAGATTTTCCCCGCATCAAATTGGTTGGTCCGAAGCCCGGAGCTCGGGAATAATCAGTACGACCCCCGAGATTGTTTTGCTAGACATCTCAAGTGCTCCGAAGATGCACGTGAGATGTCATATCCGCAGTCCACAGCGAATGAGTTCCATGAGTCATTGCAGTCTTGAGATTGAGCAACACTGATACGTGAGGATCACCGAGTCATCGATATTTATACCATAACCACCGAGGCTCTGACATCTTGTTTCACACAGTTTATGCTTATCTCAGGTTCTACAGGCTCGTTCCACTTGCCCCACTCGCCCGCCGCGTCTGACTTTCGTTTGTCAAAAACCTGAATCTAGCAATATCATGGCCGATCAACAGCACGACCCAGCCAGATTCAAGGATTTCTATGTTCATAATTTGCAATACAAAGTCGCACATCAACATAAAATTCTTCTCTCCATCCTTGTTCCGAAATCTTTAGCCACAGATGGAGCCAATATTCCTACGAGGAGGCCGTTGATCACCACCTTTCATGGCGGCTGGCTGGTTGGGGGAAGCCGTCTATACTCACCCTGGATCGCACCTTGGTATCTAATTAATACCTCCTTACATGTGTTGCTCATGATGCCTCGGCAGAGACTAATTGTTTTATCGCGATAGGCTTCTAGACCTTGCTTTATCCCGACAAGCTATCCTCATTTTCCCAGATTACCGTCTTCTTCCAGAAGCGACGGGTCTTGATATTCTCTCCGATATAGACAGTTTTTGGTCTTGGGTTTCCGAAAATCTCGAATCAACTCTGCAATTCCTCTATCCTCAGCATGGCATCAAAGCTGATTTGGACCGAATTCTTGTCTATGGGGACAGTGCAGGCGGTTATTGCGTAGCGCAAAGCCTTCTCCGCCACCCAGAGATGAACTTTCGAGCTGCCATCATGGCGTACCCAATGGTCCACTTTCATGACCGATACTGGAGTGAGAAATACGACAAACCGATCTTTGGTACACCTAACGTAAGCTATATTTTATAGTACCTCCTCATTGAAGAAGACAACGCTAATCGAATTTAATGCTCTCTACCCAGCTGCCAGAAGCCATTGTTGAGGATCATCTAAAAACCATCACACCCACCACAGTCTTTTCTAGTGATGGGGACCCAGACAAAGTCACAACCTCAACCAGAATGCCTCTAGCGTTGAGCATTGTCCAAAATGGAAGGTTTATTGAGTTCCTCGGATGTGAACCCGAGCTCTATCCTATCGATCTTTTACCACAAGCCAAAAAATTGCCTCCATTCATCTGGTTGTTCCATGGTAAACAAGACTCTGCAGTGCCTTTTGCGCAAAGCGAATATTTCTTGGAACATCTCAAGAAGCATGCTCCACACACAAATATTAGATTTGATACTCTGGTTGGAGAGCATGGCCTCGGTGGTGAGGAGAGGCTCTCAGAGGAATGGATTCAAAGGGGAATTGAGGGTGTTTCGTCAGCGTGGTGATGATTCTTTTGAGCTGAGGATGCATTTTTCAGTCATGTAGCATGCAAGGGTGCCACTTAAATGGAAACCATTCCGTGGTGACACCGTGGCTCTGTATCCGCCCGATCGATCATGATATCTTCCAACTTCAAGTGGATTGTCTACATATGATCACCGCTTCACTACCGTGTCAGTTCATGATTGTTTATGCATGTAGTAGTAGATTATATATATTTCTCCTGGGCTGAGATTACAGAGATTGCAGAAACTTGAGGCTGAGAGCCCTTATATCCTGTTTCTTCTTCCTGTCACACCCGTGGACATACTGTTCAGTTTGAGATCAAACGACCTTGAAAATTTTATCTTCAAATTGCACCGCATCTACATCGTAGATGTGCTTTGACGCAAAGCCGAGTGACCAATATGATCCACTTTATAGCAGTTACTAGCACATACGACCACAGGGTGTGGAGAACAGGGCTTCCCGTCCGCTCAGCCGTACTTAAGCCACACGCCGGTCAGTTAGTAGTATGGTGGGTGACCACATGCGAATCCTGACTGTTGTATGTTTTTTGTTCACCCGTTTTTTTGAGATTCGTTGGGTTTAGTGCCCTTGCCGCCCTACTCTTCAGCCCGTTCAGCCCCATTCACCTGAATGCCCTGAACACCACTATATTACCACTGAATATCCTGCACATGCCTGAACCGCTGACGTGGCCTTCCCCTTGCGTACTGACTTCTTCTCGCTAGGTGCGTTATTGTGAGGGATGTGAGACAATGTATAGTAGCTTTCCCCGTATCTTCCCGTAACGGCAACGGTATACATTGGTATATACACCGCAGTATACAACGGGAACGGTATCGGGAACTAACCCTGGCCGTTCGTACATGACTGTGTTGGCCGCCACACTGCGGACGGTGCGGAGCATGGAATCTTCTGGTTATAGAATTTATTAGCTAGCTGCTATGTATTATATTAACGATGAGGATCGATCGCTGGACTTGGAAGGTCAGCGATTGATTCCTGTACTAAGTCGAATAATATTACTTGTGACCTTGGCTGCGGAGCATCTTGAATTCCTTACATCTTCTCTCTTCTATTAGCTTTGTATTCAGCCCGACACTTGTGTGTGCTGTGACAGCAGGGACCGTAACTTATTTCTATAGTCAATATCATCGTATTCGTACATACTACTTCCGGTAGTTAGGCTATCCAACACTAATCTCTGCTAGATTCCGCTTTTCCCCCTACTTTCATTCCTATAATAGTCAGGAAGTTTTATATATGCATATGCATATACACAAAGTTAAGGATTGGGCCCCGCATATGGGGCCATTTTTTCTTTTGCTTATATAGTTCAATGTTGTATCATTTGACTTATACGGTTACATATTTATGCATCTTGCTGCATTTTTATATCTTTCTGTTTAGCTTACCGGTGCTAATACACCCAGCCAATAAAAAAAAATTCTTTCATTCATAGAAATACATAGAATCATTGGGTACAGGAGTGATGCAACGGAAGTACAGGAGGGATACAGGAGTGATCCAGCAGGGCATAAAACACTATTAGCTATACTACTTTCCCCCTCTAATATAGCCCTGCAAATTTGCTCTTTCAAAAATAAGCCCCAACTTGAGAACTTTGAAAAGCCCCCGATTACATGGAGGTTGTCAGTAAGAAGGGATACAACAAAATAAACTCAAAGGCCTTGCCAACGCCATGCAGCACTTGCAATCTCCTCTAGGGAGGAAATAGAGATCACGGGGTCGGTCTCTGGTGGCTGAGGAGGTCGGCAAAGAACTTCTTCGAACAAGATCTTTAGCGGTAGGGTGTTTGGTACTGTATTTATAGGCTGGCCAGGGCTACTTGGCGCTCGGGATACGACAATTGACTGACGGGTGTGAGGTCGGTATTGGCGCTGACCGTTCCGCATATAAGTGGGCGGTTGTTGGAGTACAATAGACTCGAAGGTGACTTCGGCGACAGCTTGGTTGATGGAAATGATGATCACCAAATTTACGTCTCCCTTGGAGTTCGATAACCACCAAGCAGCGTCCGCTCGTAACTTGTTTAATGACTCGGAGACTCCGACTTCTAACACGATAGTGGGCCAGGTGTCGTTTCGACTTGCAGGCAGATCTTTCGGAATCCACGATCCATCTGGTTCTTTCGAGCATCGGGTGCCTTCTACTCTTGCGCTTGACAGCGACCAAAGTGTGTTTTTCATATTCGAAAGAAACGTAGCAACGATGAATTGTGACGTAAACTCCATTGCAACAGCATCGTGAGGCCTTCCTGGCAAGGTGATGATCATGGCTCTTGTTTCCGGGTTATACATCTGGTGACATGCCTTCGAGAATTTCAATTTCGCCACATCTGGTGGCACATTGGTGAACCTTGCATACATAGTCACGAATTTTGAACCCTTCCGAAGACGATCCAGGATCGAGCGAATAGCCTGGGGTGATGATCCTATTCTATCCATTTGAAATTCCATATCGAAACAATCAAGATGGGTTGTGTCACTCATTGCTTCGGCGATAATCGAGGTTGGACCAGTGTAGGTCTCCGGAGAGAAGGCAAGTTCCGAAGTGACCGCGGACATTTTGGGTGATCTAACAAACACTAGTCCCGATTAGTCTTATAGAAGCCCATGGGTAGTCAATCGACGACTCATTCTTACCGCATGGACCACAGGGCTTTTCTTGACATCTGCAAAATGTCTATAGATGGTGTACATGTGGATAAGACAAAATGATCAAGCAATGGCAAGGATATTGCATATGGAGTTCTAGAAGGAAGGAGCGATTTCCCACCTTTTGGTATACCGAATGCTCCCCATCTCAACCAAGCCCTGCCACTTTATTTCTTCAAAATGACCACCCATATGTACAGTTTATTCAATCTACCCTTCCAATTTTTTATTATTCTATACTAATGATATCCTATTCGAGATGGGTCTCATTCGGGCACGGCAAACCCAGGCCTGGTGCTTCCAGGTGTTCCATTTGGAGCGCAGGAACTCCGCCCAGGCGATTGGGCGCGATTTATCATCACTCGACTTCACAAACGCGAAACGTGGTGATGTCCCTAGCGTCGAGACCCTGAAGAAGATGGTGAAGATGGATCTGCAACGCGAGTTCATGGTTCGACACGGGCGGCTCTGGAACACCAGAAGCATGATTGCAAAGCTCAACGAAGGCTCTGAAAAGGTGGAGACTGCTGTTTGTTTTGTGGTCGGCACTATTAGCTACGGCGATGATGGTTGTGAGTGATGCAAGCAGAACCTCGGTCCACTTCCCTTTTGTGTTCGCATCTTTACTGTACCCTATATGACAGCTTGTGCATGCTGTCACTTCAATAAAGATGACAGTAAATGCAGCTTCTATGCCCCCCCCCCCGCCCTGACTACTGAGACCCCTGAGGGTCCTAGCGAGATCGAGAAGATTCACAGTATCTTTCAGCAAATGAGTACAGAGTTGGAGGTAGTAAAGGCGGCCATCAGTGATCTCAACAAGTACACAGGAAAAACTATGGATGAATTACTTCACACCCACGACATCACTTATATTCCCGATATGCAAGCCCACAGCGACCTTTTCACACAAGGTCAAGATGCAGAGCGTGCTCTGGCAGAAGCAATGGTCACTCACAACACTTCAGTGCAGAACATAGGAAATAAGATCGAAAAGCTGGTTGATCGGGAGACAAACGAGACGGAGCAGCGGCGCCGACGTAAGGTGCCCCGAAAACCTCGCCCTGTTCGGAGCTATTAGTTGTCATTTTCAATTTCTTTTCTACAGCAGGGCAGATCATGGATTCAATGAGAAAGAGCAGCAGTGGGGGAGAGAGCCCCATGAACCATGTGCCGGGACTTGATGATTTGAATTTATTTTTTCTCCAAAAGTGTAGGTCTCCTTTACCTGAAGTTGAAAAATATTCTAATAAATCGAAATCATATTCTCTCTGAAGCCTCCGAGGTTGTTTTAGGATAGTCTATGCTACTTAATACCATCGCGAGACAGATGTATCCAATCTAGGCCGCTACCTTCAAATGTTTAGATGAAGGTTCTTTAGCTACTTCTCTTCCCAACTATATATCCACTTGTTCTTCTATATATGTAGAGCTTAAATTACAGATAGCTGTGTGTTAGGCGGTAAAAAGTAACGTAGGGCTAAATGGGGTAGAAAGAGAGCTCTAGAAAACATTGGTTGTGTGCAAGTGGAACAGGTGGACTCAGCAAGTTTATCCAGGTGTTCCGCCCGGTGCCAGATGGCACGGTGGTACACTATGGATTTCACTTGAACATATTTCAGCATTGTCCATGGCTATCTACAAAAAGAACAGGATGTGGAGAGAAGAAAAAGAGTTACGGCTGGGGAAGATTAGGTATTTGGTTATACTGAGAGCGGGAGGCCTCAGGCTGCAGGGCTTTCGTCATCCCGCATCCATATATGGAGTATAGGAGGGAGTTAGTAGATAGATTTACATCATTTATCATCATTACTATTCCATCCATTCCAGTCACTATCCTAAAATCATGATTAGTAGGCATGTCCTCTCACTGAATTCCTTATAAATATCCCCCCCAAAAGGCGAAAGTGTATATTTATAAACTATGTAAAATTTCAGGCGGGTGAATATCTGCCTGAGCAGCCCTGAAGTAGGGCTGAGTAGAGCGGCGAGCCGCCCACGCCCTAAACGTCGGCAGCCGTGGGTGCTAGGTGACTATCGACATACTAATGACTGTTGTATGTTTTGGTCTATTTGTCTTTTGGCGATTTGTTGTTGTACTCTTGATGAATAGAGTACTTTTGTTTTATTAAATATTAACCACTGAAGATAATTCAACTTTAGCTTTTAGGGTAATAATACAAGTTAGGTAAAAAAGGGATACTATCAGATATAGAATTGCCATAAATATCCGTAGTAAGTAAGGCTTACGCCTTTTTAACTTCATCAAAATTAAGTGACGGGACTAAAGCGAACTTTTTGAATACTAATATAAAATGTAGCGTACGAAGAGGAGAGGACCTTGATGTCGGAGCGAAAAGGGGACGCGCCGGGCGACAACAGTCTCGCGATATCCCATATCATTCTGTTAGTGCCATATGATCCACTTTATAGCAATGACTAGCACATACGACCACAGGGTGTGGAGAACAGGGCTTCCCGTCCGCTCAGCCGTACTTAAGCCACACGCCGGTCAGTTAGTAGTATGGTGGGTGACCACATGCGAATCCTGACTGTTGTATGTTTTTGTTTTTGCACCTAGTTGACCTTGCTCTTGCTCTCTTCTCTTGGCTAATCAAAATTCGTGCAAATTGGAGAGGTAGCAGACCGTGAAGATGAACGCCGTTGATCTTCAAAAAGCACGGTATCTTTTAACGGGCATACAACGGAGGTTTCAGATATAATAAAGAGAGATAGAGAGAAGCGAATAAGAGGGGCAGGCAATATGGATATGGGAGTGCTCCAGGGCTTCGGGAGTGTCGCTGTTTTAGCATCTTACAGGTGAGGTACTTTTCTGACCCGCTGGCCGCTAGAGTCCCCGGCGTGGACCCTGCTACTGGTAATTTAAAGGCAGGGAAACATTATCCTTGTTTCTTCTTCTTCTTACTAAATGAGTGAATTAAAATCCTTCAACAAATACCATAAATTGGATTTCATTCTAAAATCGCCTTCCAACAAGTTATACAATACAAATTTCGGTCTTCGGCTCATGCTGGAAATCTTGATTCCTCCCTCTTTCAAAAATCCCAATTCTCTTCAAATCACCAGTGCTCAGGTCTTCGCATTTCACAAGAATCAATCCTGTCACCCCATCATTGGAATCTTTCTTCATGGTGATAGCTACACACAATGCTAAGATAGGCTCACAGGGCCCTGTTTCATCACATCTACCTTCCACATTGCGAATATCCGTACCATAAAGGTATGTACCTTCCGGGTCGCCTTCAATGAGATCCGTATCTATATTTGACGTTTCAAAATGGTGTTTATGTTTTTGAGCGGCTTCCTCAAAAGTCACCGAACAGTCATCTGGATTCAACGCAGTGGACACCGAGGTTATAGACCCTGGAATAATGAAGACATTCGATGTGGATGGGTTGAACCATGCCTGCTCGAAGGTTCAGCTGCGCCGAACGTATTTCTCCAAATGGGTTTAGTCTGGGATAGATGGGCTCTGTTGAACAACTTTTGATATCACAGACAACATCAGGCGGGTTTTCATCTTCAGAGTCAGAATCGAAACCGAAATCGAATTCGAAGCTAATGACTCCACCATCAAGACTCGCCCAGGACCAAGAAGGTGCCCGGTAGTCCTGTGGCCTGTGAGTTGTAAGGTTTTCCCATTCGGGTAGTGTTCTATGCCAACGTGAAGTGTACCATGTCAATTGTCTCGCAAGTTCGTGTTGCCAAAGTCCAGCGAAATACCCTAGCCCAAGGGCTTGAGAGAAAGACGGATGAGAGGCAACACTTGCGAGTATATTTCACTCATCACGCTCAAAGGTTGTTGATCGAAGTGAGTATACCGTGACGAGTCGAAGCCAGCAAGTCAAAGCATTCTCTTTGTTCGAATGACAGTCGCTTTCTTTGTTGAAAATAGAGTGTGGTTCAGACTGTATTTCTCATCATCGTCGTTGTAGCCACAGTCAAGGCCGTGTGGGAAATACAGAGAGTTTCCAAAGTTCTGTACACTATTACCGCATCTCCACATCATGGTTTTTGAATTGAAAATAAGAGAACGGTTGCTCAACAGCTGCTCCTGCAGAGTCCAACCTCGTTTGGCGATAGGCTCAAGGCGCTCATCATAACACGCGGCGTTCAGCTCATTTATGGACATTAACCCGAATATCCCGGGTCCAATGCGGGCGGGTATAGAGTAAAGGTGCTCAGTTTCCGCACGAGGATAGAAAAAGTCTTCATGTGCACTGGCAACAGAAGCCGCAAAGATTGTCAGTGCAGATGAAGGGTATAACACCTGCATTTGTCTGATATCTCTGACTTTTTCCTCTCCAACATCTTGGGCGATACACAAAGCGTCAACTCATAAATATGGAATTGATAGAGCGCGAGTAATTTCCACGGCATTCCGAATGGTACGCGGCAGACTATCCATATCCAGATCTCAAACCCGACTGCACTTATGTCGCTTCCATCTCTTTTGCAATTTGTATCGGATGCTTGCTCGTTGTTGAGGGCAATGATTGAATGGTTGGCTTTTTGGCGAGAGCGGGCGTGAGTACAAATTGTTTCTTGCTTGTCATTGTAGATGAAGACCCAAGAGTTGACAAGTGAATCGAACTCAGACAGTATAAATGACTCATCAAATGGCATCTTTTGAGTCTGACTGAGGATTTTGAGTCCCTTGGGAACAAATTTCTTGGTGTCGGACGTTACTTGAAGCACTCGGGAGCAAAGCCCAAATAATAGTGAGACAGAAGTGGCAACTCTAAAAATGGACGATTTTCCTCCGTACTGAACTATATCAGGTAGTCCAAATTACACGAATTCACAACTGGAGTTCCAAGCCTAAGAGAAATCTTGTAAGGAATACAGTTTTAAAAACATAGATATTTTTCATACATCTTAAATGCAATGTGTTGGTATTCAAGGTCAACTGTCGGTGCATTATTTCTTTGCCTTTAGCTCTTGAGCTTTTATCATTCCAAAATAGATAACTACTACATCTTTTTATCAGTTAATGAAAGACAATTTAAACAGCCGTTATGTACTGCGAATCATCATATGTCATATTTTCATGAAATTTGACACAGAATCACGACCTCCACACATCATGCACACTGGGCTGAATGGGGCAGCCAGTGGGAACGACATACACTCTGTTGTCTCCACTCTCCCAAGTGACAGTACCGTTGGGCTCGACCTTGTAGTACTTGTATTCAAACGCAGTACCGGCTTTGATCAGCTCAACGCTGCCAAACCACAGGTTATTCGTCTCAGTATAGAGACCCGCATCAAACGCAAATCCATCGCTTGTATCCCAATTTCCAAGCGCACTGACGTTGCCGCTCATGTAGACGTTCTCTCCGTAGTAGGTATTTTCGATAACATAAAATGTAACCGGCACAACATCGGTTGCTGGGATACATCCTGCGGTGGAGGTAGGGAATGTTGCGGTGGCAACCTTGTAGGTACCTGTTACGGGAGATGCAGCGCATTTGGACGGAACATCATTGGCAGTCTTCTCACCCCATGAGGCAGGAACGGTTGAAGCGCGGCGTTGGATGGATGTCAAAAATGAGGCAAAAGACCAGGTCAAGTCGTTGGCTGATAATGGGACACTCGTGTTCCGGTTGTATTGCTCAGCCAATGAACCGTTGGATGGTGTATACTTCTCAACCAATCCAACAAAGCCGTCTGCATAGGCGCGAATGGCAGATGTGAGGCTCTTATAAGTCTTGGTTCGAGATGAGTAGGTGCCTGCCTTGATAGCGTAATCGAAGTCTCTGAAGAATGCTAAAGAGGTCTGAGTGACTTCAAGGGAGCCAATCTTGTTCCATTGGTATAGGGCATCGTAGAGCATTTCAGCGGCTGCCAGATCGGCGAGGTACCTATATCAATCTTGTTAGATTGCTATCAAAAGAGTGGCTATTCGTGTTCGAGTCGACTCACCAAGGATTACCCCCTTGGTAAACATCCTCCGGGTAGCGGCCGACACTGGCAGCAGATCCTTCCTTGATACCATCATTGACCTTGTAGATTGAACGGAATGCATCGACGTAGACCTTGTGATTTGCAAGGGCCCTGGATGAGCAGGGCTGGAATGTTGAGTCGTCACACGACGCTTCTGGGTCGAAAGTATGAATGCTTCCCAGAACTGAGTTTGCATCAATTCCGGTCCGGGCAGTATCCATATTGATATTGGCAGTGATGTACTTTCCGTTCCAGAAGCTTTGTAAGAAGCAAAGAACTTGGGAGGCCTGAGAAGAGCAAGCAGAGCATGTCTTGCCAATCTTCTTCGCCAGAGCTGCTCCCTGGACTAAAGCACGATGCTGCACGGCCAATGTGAAGAAAGACGACCCGTCTTGCTCCTCCCACAGGTCAAACCCAGTCTCATTCCAGTATTGGCCGACATATGCTAAGTCATTTGAAATAATAGGCCATATAATGTTGACCACGTCGGATTTCTCGCCGCGCGAAACCAAGTAATTGGAGTAAGTGATCATGGCTATCGCACGCAGAGCCGGTCCATCTCTCTGAGGGCGACCCCAAGAGCCAGTGAAGGGGTTCAAGTTAATCTCAAACTTAGGTTCACCGAGACCTGTGCCGTCTTCCAAGGTACCAGAAGGATTGGATACATTCTGCAGCACTGCTTGTGCGGAGACGTAGTTCCGGATGTCGGTTTCCAGTTCGGCTCTGTTCAGTCCAAAATGAGAGCTACCACTGTCCAGCAAGTCGATCAAGCACTTGAATGTCAGAGCTGAGTCGCGAGTCCAAGTATAGAAATCTGCACATGTGAGTTAGTATCAAAACGTGTGCTCACTGCCATGCTTTATGCCTTATTTACTCACAGTCGGGGTTCGCAGTATTGGGACTTGCGATAAACAAACCAGCAGCAGTACCGGGAGCCTGAGCACCCCTGTTCCCGAGGTTGCCCATGATACCCTGATATGATCGGACACTTTCTTTCGTGATATAAGAGTCCAAAGAGGCAGCTGCCATCTGCCCTCCCAGAAGGAGGCCAGCAGTGCTGGCGATAAGGGCTGACCGCATCTTCAACCACAAGACGTCCGTAGAAAAAAGAGAGAAGTTTGTGGTCCATTCAACAACATGATTCGCGACTATTTGTGCATATTTATACTCCATTTTTAACCCTCTCCCCGCGTTCGTCAGCATGCACGGCAAGTCTGCCCCACTCAATTACCTCAATTACCGATAATTTCCCGTTCTCCGTTGAGCGCTATCCCCGATTGAATGCTCCCAAGCCCGAGTTAACTTACGTACTTTAAACTTCTCGGCAACTTTTGCCGGCGTGAAAAAACCTACAGATTTTCTATTGGTTTGAACGTGACCGAGAGCCGTTTAGCTGGTGCTTGGTTTACGTCTTTTACGAGGTCACTTCTCCGTGTTTCGGTCCCCGAAGCGGGTGATGCCGAAGAGTGGGGTCATGTCCGAAGCTTAGGCACAGCTTCATAATCCTATGGTAAGTTATTTACTTCATGCTACTTGTTTCATCTCTAAATTTTTATTATTGTTCTCTGGAGCCCTCAGTTGAGGAAGTGCAGTTATAAAACCCGTTGAGAATCAATACGCGATAGCGTGGTGGAAAGGCGGTCATTTTTGGCGTCAAGGGCTATCATTTTCGGCCTCGTTTTCACGCTTCACCATATTCTAGATGTAATTAACTGTAATTGAAACTACGTCCCCTATCGCGCAGGGGAAGATAGGCTAGTATGTTCTTGGTTTCGAACAGACTAGTAGTATTAACAATAATCTGTTGTTAAGTTGCAATAGTCATGTTATTGGATCCAGCGGATGCTTCATTAGCAGCAATTTCCTTTTTGCAAACAGCCCAAGCAATACTGCTCGTCTTTGGTACTCGGGCAAAGCGAAGCTTTTTATGTCGTGGTTTAGCCCTTGAGTGGCGAATCACGACGTTGCAGGTAAGGGGCAATGCATGAAATTAAATGATAAAATCAACGACAAATCAAATCTGTTTATTGAAGATATCGACCAGCCCTGCTTGTCGATACTGCATTGTTTTATGTACTGATCGGATATGTCGCACAGCATTGCTTTTGTGGTTTTCACTAGCCTTGCGTCATCCCATTTGTGCTTTTTCCTGTCCCACATAATAAGTGATCTCGTAAGATCCTCTTTTTTTCCGTAAATACTTCTTCACCATTCCCATGGCAAAGAGTGCCCGACTTCCCTCTGGTGAGAAACTATGTGGAAGAGCAGAACCCAGCTGGACCAGAATTACGGCTCGGTGGCGACCATCAGCAAAATCAATGACCTTCATCAAGAATCATGGGGAGAACAACCGTGCATTGAAGCTCTGAGCAGCTTTTCAGATTTAGAGGAGCAAGAGGATGAAATCAGTGGCAGATATATGTCTGCGGTTGTTTTTGCTATCGCCTGCTTCACGATAACGGGTATTGTTTTCGCACTGTTCCTCGCATTCAACATGACCGTGACATCTTCATTCGCTCATTAATATCATGATGGAGTACACAGGTGCAAGTATCGTTACAGTGAACTAGTGAGCACTATTAATTATGCGTGATATTTTGACGATGAGAAACTGACTCTATGGCCTTTTCAAACGAAACAGGACGAGTATACCTCCATGCGAAGACCCGGCGGCCTTGAATATTCATGAAATGCGCATGAAATGTACCGAGACACTTCATACATTCATTCCGGGTACATCAGTTGATTCAAAAGTCTTTTTCTTTCGGCGTTTGGGAATAACACTTATATTGGGTTATGATCACGGCTGCGCATTCCACAAAGATACCACATAATACTCGGGCTGCATTGACGGATCTCCGAAACGTTTACATTATTAATCGGGCGCTCCTATAATAGCTCTTTCAAAACCTGGTCCACATTTTGTCGCGCATTCTTCAAACCATCATCCACTTCTCCGTTCGCATGCCTTGATTTGACCTCGTAATGGAACTTGACAAGTTCCTTTGCGCGTCGCAGATCCTCTTGCCTTTTCATATCGGAGCCACTTTGTTCCACACCATTGTTCGCAGTAGAGTCATTTGGTCCTGCGATTGAATGGTTGGCACTGACTAGAGAAAGGGCTTCGTTGTGGCCCTGTTTGGGATTAGATTAGAAGCTGTCTATGCGAACAAGGGATTGCGGCGGCTGAAGGTGGAGGGGCAATTTGGATGTGGCTGAGTGGGGCGGAAAGGATGTCCATCGCCAAGCGAGAGGGGGCTAGACACTTACGCAAACTCGTAGAGATGTAACATCGGATAGAATCTCTGCTACCTGCATTCTGAATGGATGTGTATATGTCTTGGGGAGTTGTGAGGTTAAGGCGTTGATGACGTGCCGGACGGGGGTCTTGGCAGTGTTCGCTCAGTATGGGTCGCCAGTGGCTGTGGGCGGATATTTGCGCCACTAGATAGACATGAACCCATGAACTGCCCGTTGCGGCTTATGCATTTCTTATTAACAAAAATTGGTATTACATATGAGGGTAAATCTGAGTGGTTTTGAAGGAGAAGATTGTCATCATCAAAACCACCTTGTACATATGGTGCGGCCAGCTTTTGGTTTCAGCTGGTTAGGCCCATTGCCCTGTCCCTATTTTCCCTTTTGATAGTCGATAAATCCAGATCAAAAGTGTCAAGCCAACGTCAAAGAAGTCAAATACCAAGGCCCCACCAAATATTATGGCGTAGTATGTCCACGAAAGGGAGTTCGACAGGGTCACTGTGGTAACAACGACAGCCCACGGCAACATCCATAAGAAGTTCGATCCGAGTGCTTGGTATAAATACCAGCGAGGAGATGTCGCAAGGAGCGCCGCAGCAAGTTGATAATTGAGTCCGTAGAATATGTACGTCCAGTCGATTGCCTACAGAATTAACTTTGTTAGAATTAGGTCTTTCTAGTTGGTATTTTGTAAGACTTTCCTTCCACATTTTTTGCGTTATCTCTGCCACTGGTTTTGATCCGGATAAATAAAAGGCGAAAGATTGTATACCACGGATGGAAAGAGCGATGCACATGACTGCCTCGAATATCAATGCAATAATGCATGACATGAAGGCAGGCCGTAAGATCCCTTGAACATGTTAACTAATGACCATGAGAGGGGCTTATAGTACTCACTTAGAATCTCAGCTCTTGAAGCTTTTGGGTACTGTGCCTCTCGATCGGCTCGGAATCGTCCCCAATTATGACCAACAAAAGCGAGAGTAGACGCTTCGAGAGCCTGGACGGGTACCATGATGAGCCCCCATCTAATTGTCGTAAAGATACCCCAGGCAGTAGCATAAGTTTCGCCGAGTTGAATTATTCTGTTGATGAGCCACAAGTATATGGCATTTCTAATTGCTGACTCTGCGAATGTCCAGAGGCTTGGCCGCACTAGAGTCAGCAGATCATCGAAGCTTACTTTCAATCGTCCACAATGGCCATCATCTCCTCTTTTTCGTTTCACAACAACCAGGCCAAAATAAATTAATCCGACAACAACGGAGACGACCTCACAGACCAGCCTTATAATAGCTTGTATGACGATAGTTGGCTTAGAGCTACCGACGTGAAACCTTGAAATGAAGAGCAGATCAAGAACGATGTTGATCAAGAATTTGGCTGTGCTGATCATCAAAGGTACATCTGGATTATCCAGTGCCCTAGTGGAAGATGATAGCGCAGCTTCAGCAGAGGATGTCAATGCTTGAACTGAAGACAGCCGCACATATGTGAGAGAAGCGTGTCGCACTTGAACTGGAACAAATGCGGCAGCCAATCTTTTTGCGGTCGCAAGAAAGATAACACTCATGAGAAGGCCCAGAGTCGCGGTGGCCAATATCATGGTGCAAGCGAGGTTTAACCGGGACTGAATGGTTCGGGTGGATTTATCGCCGATTACAAGCCATGCTGAACGAGGCAGTCCATCATTGATAACATTGACAATCACGCCGATGTAGGTATACACATCTGTTGTCACCACTAGGCTTGAGTCGATGTTGGCAACCCACAACTTGCTGAGTGTGCTGTAAAGTGCTGGAGGGATGAAGGCGAGCAAGTTGAAAATCAGTGAGCCCGTGTATCTATCACTTCGTTAGTATGCGCTTTTCTTCTCTGACAGGACCAGCTTTTATTTCAACCCTACGTCTGTCGATTCCAAAATTTCAGATCTCGTCGCCTTGACATTTCGGCGACTTCGGCTTCCGTACCCCAACTTGCTCTGTTAGAGTTCACTATTGAAACTCGAGTAGTCCGTCCCATACCTTGTGCTTGAAATGATGATAGAAATAGGTGGGGATTTTTGAGCGGGGTGAGAGGCGCTAAACTGATAGCCCCTCTCTATAATACATGCACTCTAAGAGCTAAGAGAGAACTTCCAGATGCGGTAAACCTTCCAACTCATTTGCCATTGACTGAAGGGATAAATCATTTGTTTGATTGTTTTAGTTTGGAGCATTTATTAATCTTTAGAGATATACGATATTATAAGATTCAAGATAATCTTGTTCGAAGCCATGCGGTAAATGGGGCAAAGAAATGCGTTTCGCGGAACTCAGGTCGTTCACAAAATGATACAAGGGCATGGTTTCGCTGAGCCTCGGTAACTTCCGTCACGTGAAGCAGCTTCGCTTGATCCACAGGACAAAGATAAGGTGGCTGTCTAGTATCTTCACAGAGACATGATGTACCTTGCATACAACAAGCATAATAGACACAGTGGTCAATTCCAAAACAGTGGCCAAGTTCATGACTCGTTGTTCGACAAATACGGCCAAGCCAAAGTGCTGTAAGTGATTCTTGAGACATATTAGAATTATCAATAGTGCTACTGCGGGTGAAAGCTGCGTCCAAAGATGTCACTGGTGACTCTGAGTCTGTTGAAGCCTCTAGCGTCTTGGGCTGGTGTCCTTCGGTCGGTTCGGACTTCCCCGGTCGTTTCGCCTTAGGCATGGACGTGGAGCAACATGCAGATATATAGACGGCACAATGTGACAAAGGCCAAGCATGAACTCTCTCAATAAACTGAGCTTCATCAAGATCCGGATTATATCGAACACTTGAAACCACGGCCACCCTACTTCCACCATAAGCCCGGCCGCAGATGAATGTGTCATCTTCATCTTCATAGAGGTCGTGATCTACCAGAAGCAGAAGGGCATATGCATCTTTTGGCAAAATACTTATAGCGGCATCAAGAAGATCGTTGGTATCAAGCTGTCGGCGATAAATCCCGTCAGGGCATGGTCGCGTACGAATACGTACACATTCCTTTGAAGTATTGAGGCCAACATACCCAACTTGTGGATGTTGCTTTGACGTTATTGACGATTTCCCTCATCCCACATGTGAATTGTAGGGCTGTCCGTGGAAGAGCTTTAACTGGTAATCCATGGTAAAAAGCTGATAAATACTCGCAAACATCTGGGAAGTTTGGTGATTGAGTCTGTGTACCCTTACCAAGCCCCTGAGGGCTGGTCCAGGACTCCATGAAGCTGACTTGATCATCGAATGTGGGCGGCGAGACCACATAAATAGTCCTTCGTTTTGAAGTGACTGGATTTCGGTCCTCTTCATCGAGCCACTCCTGAAAGCTCTGCGTTGGGTACTTCGAGTCCACCGCCAGGTCATCGTCGGGGAGAATCAAGGAGGGGGGAATACATTTGGATTATCATCTAAAAAAGGCTTCTCTCGAGAACTAGCACCCTCTGCGTTAGCTGCTGCAAGTCTTTCGGGTTTACCAGGCCGCTTGAACCCCGCGACTCTGGCATGACTCGAGGATGTGTAGCGGATGGACGAATGTGTACAGGGTGAGCTGGATATTTCAGACATTATCAGAAGTTGTAGTCCGTAGAGCTTTTAGCGTAAAGTGAAACGGCTTCGAATATGTAAGAGTTTGACGGACAGTTGCGTGGTTGCGTGAGCATTTGAAACGGCCCCAGGCAATTTGCGGCTCTGGAGGTGAGTGGGGAAACCTCCTTTGGCCTAATATTAACATTTACCCTCTCGCACATGGTTATCCGCACATTTTTGAAGTATATTCTTCATAGATAGAACTTGAACCTTGGAAAAATGAGTGGAGTGACGATTGCAAGATACTTTATATCATAGTAGAAGGTTTATTTATTAACCTTGAAGCTGCAGAGGAGTGATAGGCGCTAAATTGAGAACCCCTTTGGCTAGAACACATGGATGCACCAGTCGCTAAGAGCCCTGGAACTTCAAAATGTGACAGACCTGCCAGCATATTTGACATGGAGGTACAGCGACATATGTTTCTGTAAGATTGAGTGTTAGTTAGGTGACCACTAGCCTGCCTGGTTCATAAGGCAACCTTGGAAGCACGTAAAGTTAGTTAGTTAACTAACTAGTTAAATAGGCAGTAACTATTGGTTCTCACCGCCCTCGAAACCGCGCATCATTTAATCTTTTGCTCTCTCTCTCTCTCTCTTTCGGGCTCGTCAACTTCTCTTTTTTCTAGCCTTCAAAAATGGCTGCCCCCGTGGATGCGAAGCTGCTCCGGCAGACCAAGTTTCCCGCAGAGTTCAGTCGCAAGGTAGACATGACCAAGGTGAACATCGAAGTGATGAAGAAGTTAGCTTCCCCGGATTTTGATCGCGACGACACACCCTGCTAATGGCTTCCGGCTGCAGATGGATTGCAGGAAAGATCTCAGAGATCCTCGGCAACGAGGACGATGTTGTCATTGAACTTTGCTTCAACCTGATTGAAGGAACTCGCTACGTATGCGGCCCGTCCTTCATAATGCTGCTCTTAGTCAAGCTGACGGAATTTCCAACTAGCCCAAGATCAAGGAACTTCAGATCCAATTGACTGGGTTCCTTGACAAAGATACCCCAGGTTTTTGCAAAGAGCTCTGGCTGCTATGTCTCAGCGGACAAGAAAACCCCCAGGGTGTTCCAAAGGAGCTGCTGGAAGCTAAGAAAATGGAGCTCATCCAAGAGAAGGTAGTTCAAATTCGACGAATTGAGTATACTTCCTACTGATTCCTTTTTACTATAGCTCGAGGCTGAAAAGGCCGCCGAATCCGCTCGCCGACAGAGAGAACAAGACTCAGCCCGAGAGCGTGAAATGGATGATCTCAGAAACAGAGAGCGCGGAGATCGTGGACGAGCAAGAAGAGGCCCTGGTCGTGGTGGTCGTGATAGCCATGATGACCGTGACTTTGAACGACGGAGATCACGCTCACCTCGCAACCGAAGCCGGGATCGATACCGTGAACCCCCACCTCGTCGCGAATTCGATTCTTACGTCCCATCTAGCTCCAACCGAGGTCGCCGCCCAAATCGGTCGCCTTCTCGCTCCCGATCCCCCTCCCGTTCCCTTTCCCGTTCGCCCCCTCGTAAACGCCATCATGACCGACTTGATCGTTCTTCAGACCGCCGCCGCCGAGCCTACAGCCGATCGACCTCCCCGAAACCCCAAGACCGCAGAGAAAAGAGACGGAGTTCGGAACACGGTGATCGACACAGGCCCAACCCCCACATTGATACCTCCCGCTCACGATCTCCCAGAAGAGACCGGCGGACACGTCGCTCAGACTCCCGGAGCCTAACTTCCCCATCTCGGCACCGCCGTCATAACAAACACTCCGACTCAAAGGACCGTTCACACTCTCGATCACGTTCCCATGAAAGAAGTGCAACGTATCGTCGACACGAGTCTCTACACATGAGTGAACAGCTTAACCTGGGGTTTACTCGTCGTCACTTGATTGGCGGTCCTGGCCGACAACGCAGTCGGAGTCGAAGTCGTACTCACGATCGTGGCCGAGATGGACGACACCACAGCCGCAGTCCGGCAAGGGAGCATGCACGCCGACGCTCTCAGGACAGATACAGCCCGCCCGCGCGCAGAAAACGCGCCTCTTCCTCACCTGCCCGCGATGGAAAGCGGCAGAGATTTACTGACCAGCCATCTGAATATTCTCATCGATCCCCACCGGCTGACAATCAACCCCATTCAGAGCCCAAGGACCCAGATGATGCTGATAAGGTGGATAATTAAGCCAAAATTCAAGGGAGAAAAAACATGTACTCGCATTTAGCACATCTGAACGTTCAAAGCCTCATATACACATTCTTAACTAATAATTTCTTGCCGAATTTATTGTCGTTTCAACCCACTTCCCATACCTTATGCACTATTCAATCTGTACCTTCTTTTCTACCCGTTAATCCCCCTTCCACAGCTCTGATCGAGTGAACCTGATTCATCTTGGCAGGTCTTCCATGAGCAGGGGTTCGAACTTAATCCAATGATGGTGAGCTTTCTTAACTTTGATTTGACTTCATCCTCGTGATAATGCTATGACACAATCCTCCCGAGTTCCTCGGAAAATTATCTCCACTCCAAACCTACTCCAGGTTTTCCAGCTCCTTAGTTTTTTAACTTCGTTGATACCTGCGCGTTTGCGTTAGTCTTGAACACTATCCTCATCCCGGACCTTGCAGATCGCTCCCTCTCCCGTTTCCAACTTGGACTGGGAAGAACTCTCCTCGGCTCTTCTCGCGTGCGGGGCTAACGCACGATCAATCACATGGAGGGGCAATATGATGACTGGGTCCAAAGGGTCCAAAGCTCTGCAAAAAGCAAAAACACAATGCTGAATGGGGCCAATCTATAAGTACTTAACTCAGACCCATCCCGAGGTCGCTGTGATTTCGGGTTCATCTCACCACATGCTACCACGATCCGATCCGCTATAACAACCCCGCTATAGCTCGCGATGCCAGACCCCATAGCTATTCCAGAGGGGTATGTCGGAAATCTCGCTCCATTGCAGCAGGAGAAGCTGGTCCAGTTTTGGAAAATCATTCAGCAATCATGGGATTCCACGTTGACCGGCCCAGATGCCGATGCTAATTCGGTAGCCGGCTCGACAAATACAAAATCACACCGACGGTTGTTTTCGTTCGGTCGATCGCCAGCTCAGCCTACAGATCACGAGCTTTCCGCCATTCCGGCTAATCTGCTTGCCTCTTTAAAACAATTGGGGGCCGCCGCAGGAGATCTCAGGGCCATTAATTCCCTCTTAACCCAGTTACCTGGCGACGAGCTTCGAAGCGCATTCCTGGACATACTTAAACAAGACCACGCCGACGCACTATGCTTGCGATTCCTGCGAGCGGAGAAATGGGATGTTCCTAAGGCTTGGATCAAGTTTGTGCGGGCGCTGAATTGGCGCGTCAATGAATATAAGGTCGAAAAAGAGGTTATGTCAAGAGGAGAAGCGTATGCATTTGAGAAGTCCAAGCTGGAAAAAGATTGCGATGAGAAGAAAGATGGAGAAGGATTCATGCTCCAATTACAAACAGGAAAGGGACACTTACATGGCCATGATAGAGATGGTCGCCCTATCTGTGTTGTTCGAGTGCGAACTCATCAACCTGGTACGCAGACAACAAAGGGGTTAAATGACTATATCGTGCAATGTATTGAGAACGTACGCCTGTTGATGGTCTCCCCTGTGGAGTCGATGGTACGTCTTGCGGGGAGCCGAGTTCCAAGTTTCCAGAGGATCCACCATATTTAGACTTCAATGGTTTGCGGGCTAACAGTGGAAATCATCGTCCAGGCTATTGTTTTCGATTTGACTTCGTTCGGCCTTTCAAACTGGGTACGTGGATCCATTGAGGTGGAATCTCCGCGTCATCAGCCAACTAACCATGCGGAGTAGGAACTTGCCCCGGTTAAATTCATTATCGACTGTTTCCAAGAAAACTATCCAGAATCATTGGGCGCTATGATCTTCTATAATGCCCCTTGGATTTTCTCAGGTGAGATCCACATCATCCATATTGTACGAATCCCTTCTCTAATGCCGCGCGTTTGCAGGTTTCTGGAAGATCATACAGGGTCTCCTCGATCCCGTCGTGGCCTCAAAGGTACACTTCATAAGTGGTCCCAAAGAACTAGAGGCACTCGTTGCCCCCGAGCATATCCTCAAAGAGCTCGGAGGCGATGAGAACTGGGAATGGGAATATGTGGAACCCCAGCCAAATGAGAATGAGAGGATGCTTGATACCGCCACTCGGGACTCAATAATGGACGAAAGGAAAGCACTGGCTGAAGAGCTATTCCGTCTAAATGCGGCTTGGGTCTCAGGTTCTAAAGATGAGCCTTTGAATGAGAACAGGGACTCCGTGATGAAGCAATTGTCTGAGAACTACTGGCGGTTAGATCCGTATGTGCGGGCTCGTAATATTCTAGATCGCACTGGTGTTATACAAGAGGGTGGAAAGATTGATTTCTATCCAACTTCGCCGTCTACTCCTCAGGCCATTGAGGCTGAGGCTGAGTCGAAAGTGCTTGTCAAGGAAGCCAATGTTGCCCAGCCGGTATCTGTAGCAGCTTGAGCTACTACTTTTCTGTCTTCTGTTGTCCTTGTTTCGGCAATTCACTCCGTTTTTCGTTTCTTGACACTTTTTTTACTGTTCTCATATTATCCATTGGTCCATTGAATGTCAGTACAAGTTGCAGTGTAGGCAGAAGCTCGGTGTTCGAGATGTTAGACATTTAGGTCATAATGTGTATTAATGTCTCGGTCTAGTTTTCTCGGTTGTAATTGTGATTTTCTTTCTCGTACATGGTTCATATGCCTTGTGATTTCCAGCCGCGAAGAATAAACTTTTGTTAGACCGGTTGTGGTCTGCATGATAGAATGTAACAAAGTATTCTGAATCTTTATCATCACCATTGAAGACTTGCCTCATCACGACCCAAGCAAGAGATAAAGAAAGCTTATCTACGGAAGCACGATCTATTTTTTTTTGCATTTAGTGCTAAGTTCAATTCCGCTAAACAAGTTGCGGGAAGATCTCCCGTATACGATCCTAGTGCGAGATAGACTTTATTGAAAAATCATAATGAATCCTTTTGGCTATTCTAGAATAGTAAATCACTTTTCTCTTGAAGATCCCAAAGCAATAAATAATAAAACTAAGACTCGAAGCAATTGAAGTCAAAGCAAACAAAAATACAAGAAGTAAAGGAATGTACTCCATTGAAAGAAAAATGGGAATCTCAGGTCTTAAGAAAATAACAAGCAATCCTCACTTGACAGAAGAATAACTTCTGCCAAGTGCTATCCAACACAGTTGTGGCCAAATTTCCCAGAGCAGATTAACATTAGTTGGAATTAGATATCTACAAGCAGGACAGAGACAAGGAATCCGAATCGAGTCCCCATTATATCAGATGAGTTGGGGTCTGACGGTTAACCTTGGCTCTGCATTGGAACAAGTCTGCACGCCACACCATCGAGGCTGAAGGTCATCTTGTCATGAGGGATAAAAATAGAGAAAATGCGTAGAAAAACAGTGGCGTCTAAGCCTTGTAAAAAGGAAATTGTGTGAGCGTTTATTCGCAACCGCAAACGGTCTTGGTGACGGTGACGGTTTCAGGGCCACCGGGGACGGAGCCGGAGCCAGATGGGGCGGAGGTTGGAGCTGGGGCAGGGATGGTCTCGGTGTATCCAGTACTCCAGGCGGGGACAGTCTCGGTCCAGCCAGTGCTCCAGGCGGTGCTGATGGTCTCAGTGTAGCCAGTGCTCCAGGCGCCGCTGAGGGTTTCGGTGATAGCAGTGGTCCACTCAAGGGTCTCGGTGGTACAGCCGCTGCCCGGGGCACCGCCAGAGCCAGATGGGGCAGGAGCTCCAGTAGTAGCAGGGCCTGAGCCGGAAGGACCCGAGGGAGCAGGGCCGGAAGGTACAGAGCTAGTGGCGCCAGGGCCGGAGGGAATAGAGCCAGAGCCGGAAGGAGCAGGACCGGAAGGCACAGAGGAGGTAGCACCAGGGCCAGATGGGATAGAGCCCGAGCCAGAAGGAGCAGGGCCGCTGGGGACAGAGCTGGTAGCACCAGGTCCAGAGGGAACGGAGCCACCACCGGAAGGTCCAGAAGGAGCAGGGCCGGAAGGCACAGAGCTAGTAGCACCAGGTCCCGAAGGAATAGAACCTGAGCCGGAGGGAGCGGGGCCGGAGGGAACAGAAGAGGTAGCACCAGGGCCAGATGGGATAGAGCCCGAGCCAGAAGGAGCAGGACCGGAAGGCACAGAGGAGGTAGCACCAGGGCCAGATGGGATAGAGCCCGAGCCAGAAGGAGCAGGGCCGCTGGGGACAGAGCTAGTAGCACCAGGTCCGGAAGGAATGGAGCCTGAGCCGGAGGGAGCGGGGCCGGAGGGAACAGAAGAGGTAGCACCAGGGCCAGATGGGATAGAGCCCGAGCCGGAGGGAGCAGGGCCAGAGGAAGGACCGGTGGGAGAAGGAAGGCTGGGGGCGGAAGAAGAGCCGGAGGGGCTGCCACCGCCAGAAGGACCACCAGGAATGCTGCAGCCGGTGAACCACTCGATGATGATGATTTCAATGGTAACGCTGATGTCGATGCTCGTGCAGCCACCAAGGAAGGCAGCAAGCTCAGCACGAGCCTCCCAGGACAGAACAGTCAAGCTCTCGCCGGCAATGAGGAGACCAAGAGCACCACGCAGGTTCACGCTGAGCAGGGAGATGATCTCCTCAGTCAGGAAACCAGTGATGTCAACGAGGAGACCGGTGACAATGTCAACGGAGGCCTCAGCAGTGACGGCAACTGAAAGCCAGAGCAGGACAACGGCCTTCAGCTCGACACCGAGGGAGCAGCTGGAGCCAGTGAGCCAAAGAGCAAGGGAAGTACGGAGGTCGACGTCCAGAGCAGCGGCAAGCTTGCCCTCGGCACAGGCCTTCAGGGCAGCACGAACGTTAACATCGATCTCGACGTCAGCCTCGAGGTAAGCGGCGATAGAGGCCAGAGCACCGGTAGAGAGAACACCAGACTCTTCGACGAGGACCTCGATGGAGGCACCAACGGAGAGGGAAGTAAGAACATCAGTAGAGATAGAACCAATAGCGACGAGATCAGTGGCAGCCTCGCCCTTAATCCAGGCGAGAACAGAGGCCTTGAGGCCGACTTCCAAGCCGCAGTCGGAGCCGGAAACCCAGGCGAGGAGGGAAGCCTTGATATCGGCATGCAAACTGCCAATGATACCACCAGCAGCGCAAAGGTTGAGACCAGCCTTGATGTCAACATCCAGCTCAGCATGAGCGGAAATGAAGGTAGTGAGGGAGGCCTGGGCAGAGGCACTCAGGACGAGAGTGGCCTCGTACTCAGAAGACTCGACGATACCGTCGATGGTAACAAAGATGGACTCCTTGGCGGCAAGCTCAGCGCAGGTGGGGATGTAGACGGACAGAGCAGCAATAACGCTCTCTTCCAGGGTGGCGACGGAACCCTCGCACCAAGACAAGAGGTGAGTCTTGAGAGAACCAGTGATGACGGTTTGGCTGCTCAACCACGTCTTCAGCTCGACACGGGCATCAGCATGGATCTTGGTAGCACCACATCCAAGAAGACCACCCTCGAGGGCGGCAGCACCGTGGGCACTCAAGCCAACGAGCAGAGAGCCGGATGATTGGCTGTGGCCACCCAGACCCAGAACACCAGAAAGAATGGTGTCGATATCGGAACCAATGGAGCCAAGGATTTCGGCAACGAGACCGAAAGTACGACGCTCGTTAGAGACGTCAGCTGGGTAGGCAAGAGCCGAGCCCGCCAGACCGGCGAGCATAACAAGAGAAGAACGCATTTTATATCAGGAGGTGATAACGAGTGTATGTAGGCGCAATAGCGTCGAAATGTTTGTACAAAAGGGTTCTAAAAAGAGACAAGAGAAGAAAAAGAAAACGGTGGAACGACTAAATGCCGTTCACAAAGGAATTAACGATAGACTGGTGAAGAGGTGGAAGAAGGTGAAAAGGTGGAGGAGAAAAGAAGATAATGATGAGCAATCGCAATCTGGGCGACGATCCTCAATGTTTATATACCCCTGATGATAAATGGGAAAATCAAAGCCCTGGGAAGCAATGACCAAGGCAGTTGCATCTCCACTGTCAACATGATCCACGCTGAGTCGGGAGACCCAGAGGATCAGGTCATCAGACGAATAGAGGGCTACCCCGGTCTCGAAGGCTTAGTCCACATTTCGAGCTATCTGACCCCTTAGGCTCGCGGATATCGGGAAGGTAGACCTGGATCATCCAGGGCAATGTGGATACAGGGCTCAAAGGCTTCCAGTGAGAAATCACAAACAGGTTGGATATACCATATCCGTACCCACTTGTGCCCGCTCGTGCCGTTCATCTGTGGCAAGGTCGTCAGAAAAGGTGTCAGATTACATTTCATCTTGGGATTTGCATACCGACTATGGCCCACACAACCCTTGGATCTTTGATACCCGACCCATTCATTGCAACACACGTTGACCGGAGTATCTCGATCTTCACAGATGAGGATTTCTGCACATCGTACTCACGCAGTCCAATGCATAAGTGCGGCCCAGCAACGAGGAGCCGAATCTCAAGCAGGCAACAACAGCGAGGATCGCTACTTGCGATGCGGTCATTTCCCACCTGCTCTTTGTTGACTAGGGAGACTAAGGGGAAACGATCGTCGAGACCCACTCAAACGGTTTGATGGCCCATAACCCGAGAATTAATTTGCGGATATGGATAATGTATTTCCAATTCCCCTTTTTTGGGACATTGAGGCTAGCCCTGGACCAGAGATTTCTCTCCTTCATTTCATGGGACTCGTCCAAACGAACCTCTGCAGGGGTAAATCTCGAGGAGTATAGGCTTTCCGAGTGGCTGATTGTGGATCAGCCCAATATGGCTTGGAACCCCGGGGGTTTAGACAAGGAACATGCAGAGTGGTCTATACGCTTTTGGGATAAGGGTGCGTTTCGTTCGACGATGTAGTCCCACCAAGAGGAGAGCTATCGACCGACTTCCGTATGAAAGACTGTGGTCCAGAGCATCTGTGGTTCTGGTTGATGCAGCTACTCCGTACTAAATCCGAGAAAAAAACACGAAAAAAAGAAAAGAAAAATCGAATCCTGCCAATGGGTGTTTATTTTTGGTTCAAGATTTGATTTCGATTTTCCAAGATTAAATTTTTGCCTTGTTTGTTATATCCGTACCCCATTCTTCGTACCTTTGATACGTATAGCTCTGGCAATTGCGTGGATAGATTCGCAGCCTTCAATGACGATCATCAGGATTATACCCCGTATGGAGTAATGATTTTAACCCTTCCCGTACTACCGCCTGCCAGATGCCATGCGAGTGCGGCAGGATTTCGGGAATAGACAAGTTTTGGGGGCAATTATGCAGGTGGTAGTAGTCAGCATGCTTGAAATGCATCTCCACAATCGAATCCCGAGGGCTGTGTTGGCTTCGAAGCAAACAAAACCACCTTTCGTTAATCTCCAGGCACTGGGATCATTACAGGTTTACGACCTCCACTAATGTACGCCACGGTTGGAATCGTAACAATAGTTCAGGTTCTCCTGCAGCTTCCTGCATTCCCACCCCCACTCAGCAAAAGCCGTGTCGCAGTTCTTTTGCAGAAAGACCCATAGCTCGGACAAGAGCAAAAAAAGGCCAAGTGCCATTTGAGCTCGTTCCTAAAATTGGCGTCACCCATAAAGCTAACATGCCAAGGACCAGGGGTTTCCTGACGTCCCACACGACGGCGGGCTCGGCGAGGATTCGCACTAAACGCAATACGGAGTAGTGCGACTCGGAACGGAATTTCGGTCTCCTGAGAGGGGAATGGGGAGGGGGGAGCACCAAGCTCAGGCTGTTGTTTGTTATCCTTTAAGCTTCTCTGCGTGTAGCCCCACAAACTACTGCTCCAAAACGACCCTAGCCTGTCGCCCGACGCCATCGAAAACACTTTCGGCATGGTGAACCAGTTCGTTCGACCCTGATCCAGAGTTGACCCTGAGGCGACCGGGGTTTCATGACTCCCGTTGTTCTATGGTTCTACCAGGAACGCTCTGGCTAGCCTCTTTTAAGGGGTATGAGGCTTTATTATGCTTTGGTGGAGGCTTGCGATGAGAGACAAATTCTGACCTGGAGAGTATGGAGTACAGTGCTTTGTTCGAACTTGTCTCAGCCCACCCGACGGTAAGGTTTTGGGAAACCCAAAGATATTCATCGTGATACCGAAAACTTGAACTTCATTAGTAGCCCTTGGGGCAAATTGCGATGCGTCCGATTTGGAACCAAACGCAGTGGGACAGTTGTAAGAAGTCTTTGCGGTCGGTAACCGGCGGAAGTGAGCAGGCAGCCATCTCCCCCTCATTGCCTTCTCCTGAGTCCATGCAGCACTTAGCTTACTTCATCCACTTTTATTTTTTCTACCCACTTCCCTCCTCGGTATTTCACGGAGAATTCAATCTATTTGAATTTTGATCTATTGATTAGCTTCCAAGGGATCATGAACGTATCAATTGACTCTATTTTAGTCCTTTGAAACACCTCCGGAATGCTCAATCTCGAACTCCTGGAGGACTTTTGACCCGCTTGGGACACCAATGGCGTACTTTGTCCAAATTGTATTATTTATCAGATTATCCACTGAACAGACTGAACAGTGCTCCGTAGATCACATCCATTTTACGATTGAACTCTTCGCTGTCCATACATCCATCCCAATGCTTATCCTAATCCTAATCTGGAACATCCAACCGAGACCTGCATGAAGGAACGATTGCAGAGTACAGGGTAAATGATTGAAGGATCAAATCGATCGATCCATTGACATCACATGAAGGTGTGCTCGTTCTCGCCTGTTGCTTTGCATTCGTGCAGTGGATCGCATTGCATTGCACCTCGCGTGGCAAAAATTTCCGTCCTCACGCAGACATGCACGGAATTTCTCCGAAATTATTTGTTGTATCTCATGCAGCGTGACAAGGAAGATTATTTCTTCCAAGCGACCGTTAATATCAGCAAATGGTTTGGAAAATTATATCACGGCTGGTTTAGATCTATATTTGAGTTTGGACCCAAAATAGGCCATCTGTGGATGCACCACAATTATAACCATGGGACGACCATTATTAAGTACCTGCGAAAATCAATATCCACTATTCTAAAATGTAAACACTGAAAATTTCAATTCTAGAGGAATGGATTCACATGTGATTTTGAAAAAAAAGTGAGAATCAAACAGTGATATTCACTATGTATTCTGAGTATCCAACCTTGAGAAAGGGCCAGCATGGACGGATGCATTCAACTTGAAAGTTCTTGCAGAAGGTACAGAGTACTACTACTAGTAGGTGTATATCAATTCAACTATGTAGGTAGCCATAGAGGACTGTAGGGCATTTATTTTCGATTGACAGATTCCACATTGTTTTTCAGCATCCTTGTCTTCCAATGCCTTCACGATCGGTCGCGCCTCGTGTGCAAGCTACTGCAATCTCACCAACCACATGGAGCACTCCGTATCAATGAACCGACCCGTGTGATCAAATAGTCCAAATAGTACGCAGGTGGCGCACACTTGAGGGGGCCTCCCCTGCCAAAAGAAAAAGGTACGTACGCTATGAATAGAAGCAATCCCTGACTCGTGCCCCTGCCCCTTTACTGACCGCGAGCCTGATCAAGACACCATAGTAACAATGATAATTACCATCTCTATACGCTCCTCATTCCATTCAAATTGTTCACCGCGATCAAAAACTAGTTCATCGTTTGACAGGTCGCTTTTTCCTTCGCCTCCAAGGATTCTAGCCCATCAAAAGACCACGAGCGACGCTATATCGAGCGCCTCTAACCATCTCGTTTCCTCCTACACAATCAAAGGATCGAAGCCAGGATGCGTATTGGGGAAAAGCCTTCTCTAGTTAAGCATCTGTGTCAAACTTTTTACTTTGATTGGATCTTAACAATCAATACATTGGTAACGCTACCAACTCTCGCTAGAACATCGATTGCCCTGAGCGATCACCGAATATTGCTTTCCCGACACAAACCGGCTCGAATAATTTCATCGTCAAATTTAAGTTTTTCCTGTGCTCCGACCAGTTTGTTCGGTGATGTCAAACCATGCCTACATCCACAGCAGGTGCCCAGGTGAAGTCGACATTAGGATACACTATGGATCGCTCCATATTCAAAAAAGCATCTAGCCCATGGATTGAAGTACCAAGATCAAGATTCCAAGCGCTAACAACTGTCAAGCAGCGTTAATTGTATCCTCCTGGGCACTGCAACGTTGCAATATACTGACCACAGAGCGCGCGAAGCCAAGCCTTGATAAGGAAAACCTTAGAATCAACGCTTCTCGGGCCTTTCTCATCGAGGAATAATCAGGGTCTCGAGCCCTGTAATGAAATTGCTCATCAGCCACCAGGGCACGGGCGCGACTCGTGTCTGCGACGATTGAGGGTTTCTCAGTTTGTTCTATCAGCCGTAATTCACTTTCTTCTGTATAGCGCATAGCCCCTCACTTTCGAACATCTGATTTTGACCTGTGAATCACCAGGTTGTACTGCGCTTTCGCAGTCTGATAGTCTAGAAATATCCACGAAATAATTTCTCCAATCGTTTCGATCCCAATGGTCTTGCTGTCCGACTCATTTCAACATGTACATTCTCCGCGCGAGCTGGTGGCTTGCCGCCTGCATGGGAATCTTAATCGCGAGGCTTCCGACATAGTAGTAACCTAGAAGTCGATCTAATATTCCCGCGCAATGAAATATATCCGCCCACTGATTCCTTCCCTGTTATATTCGCTTTTCGAAATGTCGAGCGCGCGAGATACCTAAATCCCAGATTAAATATGACATATGGAACCTAGCCAACAACAGCCTCTAGTATGATCGTTCCTATGACTTGAAAAGGGTAAACTGGACCAGCCAAGACCCCTACTTTGCATTTGACTTCTTTCATTCTATGAACAATGAGGCTCGATGGACAATCATCTGGACTTTGGACAGGCACAGTTGTAACGAGAAAACCTTTGAATCTGATCCTCATAACGCTAGAATGATCTCCAACTACACTACCTTGTCGACCTTGTTCAGCTTCCGAGATTCCACTGCTAAGGTAGATGTCGCTTTTATTACGACTAACAAGACATGCTCCGACGAGTTCGGGATGACAATCAATGTTACCGACAAAAATGTGCAGGTCCCGGAGTGGGTGACTTGGTCTGGTGATGATTACACCAATAATACATGTGCGGTGGTGGAATCTTCAAGTCCGGACCCTTGTCAGGTTCATATTGAAAATGCTAGTTTTGCTAGTATGGAGGCTTCTTGGCATAGTCAACTATGTACCACGGTCATTATTTATAGACCAGACGATTGCCCGGCGGATAAAAAGAGCGCTGCGCAACAGGTGGTCGTTGCTGGCGTGACCTGCTTCCTAGCTGTAGTTGGAGCATCGAGGTTTTTTCTTGTGTAACTAATTTTTTTTTTCTGTGATGAGATACGCTAAAGTTAAAGTTTGAGTTGTCATTCAAGTTGGATTTGCATTGTATAACCTCTTGAGGTGTAGGTAGAAATTATGCAACTTCATTCTTGCAAGGTTCTAGTTAATAAGTCCTATTGGTTCATCGCCGGACTCCGTCTGAATCAAACGATGTTTTAATGTCTATTGTTTATTCTTCCTGTGGTCTATTGGACTAGTACTAAGACAAGTCATGACATTCTTCAAAGTAAACGAAGACGAATGTAGTTAACATTTACGGAAGGCCGAGATGGCATCCTGGCAGCCCGGGCGGCCTAGTCGTATGATTTTTCCTTCTGGTGGAGGAAGCCATTAAGTGACACAATTTACTCTGTAAAAATACTTTCTACATAGATAATCGTATTTTGCTCCCCGTTGAGGCGCTATTGCTTTTTCTTGCAGTTGCCCGCTCCAGATATGTTGAGTTGAATCTTCAAATCGATTGATGGGACTATGGGGCGGTGGGAACACCTTGAAGCTGTCGCGGTTTTTGGAAATCCCCGACACCGCATCCTACACTTATATACCACCATGATATGGATTCTTGTACACATGGGCTTATTTAAATTCTTTAGAGCGCTGTGGGGATTTTAGGTCATAAATTGGAACTTTCTGATTGAACCTGGAATACAGCCCTGGAGTGTACGTCACTGGCATGATGTTATGCAGATTTGTAACGGTAGTATATATACACATAGAACGTGAAGATGTCTACGGAATTGCCAGTGGTTCAAGCCTCGGAAAACCAAAACCTCAAAGAATCGAAAGGAATGCAACCTCACAATTTGGCTCGCCAGTAATTTAATTAGTTAGTAGTCTACCAATATTGAAGCTAGATAAAGTATATGGTTATGCAAGAAATAACTTTGGATAGCCATGAGAGCGAAGATTGTACATTAGAAGGGTTTAATTGCATTGGCTGGTTGGCCGACTACCTTGGTTCATTCCTCAACGTTAATGCCAGAATAGGCTTGGCCAATCACTCATGAGAAGAGACCATGGAGCTGGAACTGTCGTAGATTATGCTACTAGCGATGCTGGCATAGTTCATTCCGACATTCTTTGTTGTGGCTATTGCCATGACAACCGCACAAACACGTGACCTATCCAGCGCGCCCGCGATCCATGGAACATCAGATTAATTGGATCTTTCCCCCGTCGAGAACAACAAACATCCGACATTCAATATTCGACATCTTCGGGTCGCCGAGGGCTGCATTGATTGCCGACTTCAATGTAGTGCGCTAGTCGCCATGGCCTCTCCGAATTCCCTTTCTTCCGCATACAACAGCGGCTTGTACCAGCCACCATCCCGACCGACGTCCCGATCTACAGTTTCACGTTCGGAGTCCAGAAGGGTCTCCCCAGCCCTCCAGCATGCGACTTCCAAAACATCATTGTCGCGCCACTACTCTGCCGGTGACAGCTCCGACGAAGAGGTTCCCGAACCAAAATTCAGCGCGTCTGTAAAGGCACTTTTGCATGGCGATGGGTTAGGATCATCACCACATCTGCAGAAGGGACATGCAGCATATGAACGAAGAGCTGCCGCGTTGGGATCAAGACAGCCAAGCCATTCGCCAAGGAACTCTTCACCACACGATAATTCCAGTGGCAGCCCAGCACCACGAGTTGTTCGTATTCATGCATCTCGATTTTCCCGTGAGGGCTCTCCACTATCGACTAGCCAAGGTGCGGGATCAGAAGTTCATGATCGTGCCAGTGACTTCATCACACCTGCACCCCGACCGCGCACTGTTCGGATCCATGCATCTCGTAGTCAGGAGCAATCCCCGTCGTCAATGTCGCCGTCTCTTAATCGTTCGTCGGAAAGGCAATCGGGTGATGAGTACGGCAGTGCTGAGCGGTCTGATAGCGACCGGAAATCACGCTATGAGGAGTCACGCTACGAGGATGATCCCGCCTCCCGTATTGGACCCTCTTCAGTCTTACGTGGTCGCAATTTAGATGAATTCGGTCCGCAGAGCTCCTTGCGCGTTAAACGGGTTGGTCGATTGACTGGCACATTTCTCAACGGTCCCGCGCGACGAGGAGTATTGCGCCGACAGAGCGAAGAAAACAACGAAGAAAACTACCTCTTACATGATGGCGCTGGAGAGAATGGAGACGCTGTTTATGATAACATGGAGCCCGAACTCCGCGACAGCGCGAAGCCATCTTCACCTAAAGTATCTTGGGCGGATCCAAGCCCACCACATGAAAGTGAATGGCGCCGCTCCAACGAACCTGCACCTACAGCAAGGGACGAAGGCCCTTTCTCGAGATCTTCTTCACCCAAATCTTATGGATCCCAATCAAAGTCAACGCCGGCATCATCGGATCAAGGCTCTGGCTCAAGAGAACAAAGAGAACAACCTGCTTTCAAGGTTCCCTCGCTACCTCCTCTTCTACCTTCAACAAGAGACCAGGAGAACGAACCACCTCCGACTTTCAAACGAACGAAGCCACAGGGCTTGGGTGTGTTGGATAAACCCGACAAGTTGTCATCAATGTACGGCACCGATCAAAAAGAATCTGCCAAAACTCCAGTTGGAGACTCACCGCGAAAAATGCTTGCTACCAGAAGTAATAACACACCTCATCGACCCGCTCCCCCACCACCGAAGATGTCGGTTCTTGAGACTGCCACCGCAACTGGTGGAGCATCCACGTCTCAGTCCCGAAAAAAGCGAACCCAAGTATCTATCAACCACAAACATTTTACTCGACTAGACTGTATCGGCCGCGGTGGTAGCTCTCGTGTATATCGAGTTATGGCAGAGAACTACAAAATATTTGCATTAAAACGAGTTAACCTTGAAGATGTCGACCCTGTTACCCTGACTGGATATAAGGGTGAAATCGATTTACTGAAGAAGTTGGAAAATGTCGATCGTGTGGTGCGCCTATTCGATTTCGAACTTAATTCTGACAAGCATTGCCTTAGCGTCCTCATGGAAATCGGTGAATCTGATCTTGAGAAGATTCTGACATACCGTCTCAACGCTGAAGATGCCGTCTTCGACATCAACTTCACCCGTTATTACTGGAAAGAGATGCTTGAATGTGTACAGGCTGTCCATAATTTTAACATTGTTCATTCCGATCTCAAGCCGGCCAACTTCCTTCTGGTCTCTGGCCGGTTGAAACTCATTGACTTTGGCATTGCTAATGCCATCCAAGACAACACTGTGAATGTTCACCGAGAACAGCAAGTTGGAACGCCAAATTACATGTCTCCCGAGGCCTTGGTAGACTCCAATGCATCCCTCGGATTACCTGCAAGTGTTGGTAAGATTATGAAGCTGGGAAAGCCAAGTGATGTATGGAGCTTGGGTTGTATCTTGTATAAAATGGTGTATGGTCAGCCGCCTTTTGCCAAAATCGCCAAATACTACGAGCGCATCATGGCAATTCCCAACCCCCGTGTACAAATCGACTTCCCTACTCATGGGATCGGTGGTGTTCCCGTGCCCCCTGGATTGATTCGAACTTTGAAACGATGTCTTCAGCGTGATCAAACCCTCCGCCCAACAATTGAAGAAATGCTCGGCCCCCGAGATCCATTCTTACACCCCGATGCCCAGCTTGAGGGTGCCGTCCCTGTTACCCAAGACATGCTTGGTCGCATCCTTGCCAATGTTGTGAATCACTGCCGAGCGCGCGGTGTTCCCAGGGAGGAAGAACTTGCTGTATGGCCTGCTGGATTCTTTGCCAAGATTAAAGCAGCATTGGAAGAAGAAAATTCCTGACACCATTGACTGGTTATCATTTCCTTTGTTTTCATATTCCACTCTCTTTTATTTGCGTTTCAGAACGACTTGATGACTGGTGTTGAATGGTGTTCTTGTGTCTTTGTTCTTTTCAAACAGCCTAGGTGGCTTATCTGACTGAAATTTACGCTACCAATAATTGCGTTTCTATCCTTTTCTTTTTATTTTCGCATTGGTCTTTCACCCTTGTACCCACTCCAGTTAAGCGATTCAGCGAAGCCTGTGGATTTCACTTCTGTATATCATTTTCTCGGACCACATTTTTATCATTGCATTGGAATGACAAGCCAGGTTGGCAGACTTGTTTGGAGATCTGCCATTGGCGCTATATTTGGTTATGACTTTAATTGAAATAGTCGATTTGGATTCGACTTTTCATTCGATATAGTAGGCTTACTTAGTAGGGAGTAGTCCGCCAATTAGCCCTTGCGCAATTCGTGTAAAAAGCAGAGCGTTTTCTCTCCGGTTGAAAATGGAAGTCTTAGTAAAGCCGAAGATTCATCGTAGTATATTTGTTCAATTGCTTTAGTAAATCGGATCTACCTAAATGCATTGAACATGAAGTATGCAATGTACTTTTCGTTCAAAGACTAGTTATTAAGAAAAAATGCGCCAAAACACCGAATGAACAGCATGGTCTACATCAACCGTATGAAACCATAAAAACCAAACAAAGTCGTGTCTAGGACACGTTGGTATCGAAGACAGACTGTCGTCTGCCGGAGGTGATGAACAAAGGAATGGCGGTCATGCGGTAAGAGCGAACATCTTAGACGAGCAGAACACTAGATGCATTGTTAGTATATTGATCATAACCACACTTGTAGAAAGAAATAGAGGGAAAGTCTTACGCATTGACACAGCCATCGTTCTCGGGACTTTTGTAAAAATGTCAGTATACATCGAATAATTCATCCAGCGAATGAATCAACTTACACATTCGTGATCTGAGCCCATTTACCCCAAACAACCTTACCGGTGGTGGTGACGAGACCCAGTTCAGAAACGTTAACCTCAACAATTGTACCCTTGGTCAACACACCAAGCTGAGTATATAGGGGGTTGGAAGGGTTCTTCTTGACGGAAAGAATGGGCAACTGAACAGTAACACCAAGCTCGGGGCTGAAAAATATCCACAGTTAGCATCAAACACCACTTCCATCCGCAGGTGAAAAAGTAACATACTGAGTGACATTGGCCTTCTTATAACGCAGACCCATAGGGCGAATGAATCGCTCATACTTGACAGGTCGGCGAGTGAAGTCATTTCCAACAAAAGTAGGCTTGGTAATCATTCGCTTCCACGACTTCTTGTGTGTCTTCTTTCCGGTGTTGACAACCTTGAACATCTCTTCCTCACTAATACCCTTAACCTTAGGCAAAGGCACAGCAAACTTAGCAGCCTTCTCAGACCGCTTATCCTTAATGGCACTCGACAATGCCTTAGCATTTGTAGCCTGCGACCGATCAAGCAAGTACTGAGGCAGAGGAGTCTTAGATGGCTCATCATCAGCAGCAGATTTGACGTTCTTCTCTTCCTGGGCCTTGATGCGTTTCTTCATCTGGATCTTCTCCTTATGGCGCTTCTGCTGGTAGAGCTTGGCTCTCAGACCACGGAGGTTCTGCGCATCGTAAGAGGCCTTGTGGCCCTCACGAGCGGTACGCTTGCGGGCACGCTCATCATGGTCGAGTCGTTTACCGTGCTGCTTTTGCCAGCGCTCGATGTACCTAGGAAATTGTTAGATTGGGTGCGTTTTTTTTTATCGGGTGGTTGGTGGTGGGGAGGTACGGACTCGTTCTGAGGCTGTTGGTGGAAATTTTTCGTTAGTCAAGTTCTTCAATTAATTTGATGTGTTAGATGGAATGTGGGACGTACCATGGTGAATGCTGAGTGAGTACAGACAGCGGGGTGTTATGAGATGGGTTGGCCTGCAAGATCTAATCGCAGCGAAAAAAGTTGATTCGGCGGCAAAGATAGCGATGCACGTGACTTTCTTATCGACGCTGGATGAAAACACAAGTTATAAGATGCGTATTAGTGCACGAAGCCTTGTAAAAATTTCAAACGAACAGTAATAGATTTATAGAAATAACTCCATAGAGAATCTCTACGGAGTTCTATTAATCTAAATCATCTCAATAAGTCCAAAATCTATACCCAGTAGTGATTCCATCAAATTCACGTGACTATACGGCGATCGAAGCGGCCACAAGCGCAGCATCTGATTTTCTCGAAACAGAAAGCCGCTCCAGCATCCCAAACCACCAAGTCTTCAATTCCTCCCGCAAAACGTCCTATCCCAGGGAAGGAACCTAACAAAATGTTCTCCCGCTCAGTACTCCGGAGCTTCACCTCCGATATACGCCTAACAGCACCATCATCAATTGCCTCACCATTCACGCAACGCGCATGCCTGCACCAAACCGCCTTGCTCCGATCTCAACAACAACCACCCCAATCCTCATCCACTTCTTCAACTTCAACCCCCGACTCCCCCCTGTCCGCAATCCCACGCGCACAATCATCCATCCCAGATACCCAGTCCCAAAACACACCCCAGTCTCAACTACGCGATGACATCCCCGTCGAAAAACAGCCACTGCCACCAACATTCACTTCACCAGTTGAAGTCTCCAAGACACTGATGGAGCAACTTCCCCATCTTGCCGGCCAAAAACCACACTACGTTGTTGCCGAACTTCACGCTAGACCCTTCCTCTTAACAGAGGGTGATCATGTCCGTTTGCCTTTCCTTATGCCTAAGGTGAAGACTGGTGACATTTTGCGCTTTAATCGTGCTTCGGCGGTTGGTTCGCGCGATTTTACACTTAAGGGGTCCCCGCATGTTGATGAGAGATTGTTTGAGTGTCGGGTTCGTGTTGTTGGGGTTGAGTCTGAGCCTTTGCGGATTAAGGAGAAGACTAAGCGGAGACAGAGACATACCAAGACTGCTAAGAGTAAGCATCGGTATACTATTATGCGTGTTATGGATGTGAAGGTTAAGAGTCCTGAGCAGCTTTTGAAGGAGGGCGCTGTTGTTGTTGAGGATAAGGGGGATTCTCCTCAGGTTGAGACTCGGTCATAATTTGATCAGGTTATTTGTCGGAACGTGAAGGCGAGCACGAATGCGATTCGTTCTGGTTCCATTCCGATTGAATGATGCGCTTAGCATATTGTACAGATAGATGGAATTTGGCTCATCCTTTGTATGCATTGTATTCTATATCAATATCTTTCTTCTTGAGGTTTCTTAATTTGTACTACAGTATTACTATTACATGAGGATGATAAAAGTGCTTCGGAAGGAGTGTATTTGTCTTAATTGAATAAATCAATAAATCCCGTATATATGTCTTATTCGTAAATCATAATCATAGCGTTTGGAAAGAAGTATAGTATGTACATAGATAGGTAGCTTATGCAAAAGACGAAGGTCTCGGTTCTGATATCCCAATCTTCCCAGCCTGGAAATCTTGCGAAATATGACTCCCAACCGTCCCCTGCGACGAAGGTCGATCATTTTCAACTCCGACTTGGCTCCTTCGGACTTCCTGCCAGGCTTCCCTCTCATCGCGAGCAGGCAAATCAGCAAGCCCAAGGATATTTTCCTCATCTGCTTCAGCTTGGGAAGTTCGACAAGCAAGCGGAGTCTGCTTCGGAAATTCAGACATGCCACTACCTCTATTCCTGGTACTTTTCCTTGAAGCACCGTACAACCATCTAAAAAATGGTCGTAGAGTAGGCAGACAGGCACAGATAATCCCAACAGACTGTTCAATAGAAGACCATGTTGCCGGCTCGATATTCTTATAAGTACCATATCCTAGATTCTCATAATCGAAGCTCGTGACTCGGAGGATAGATACGATGACGACACTAGGTAATCTATTAGTATAAGATCACGATGACGACCAATACATTGTACGGGTGAACCGAGGGGGTGAAATATCTTACAAAGCCCCCAAAAGAAAGATCCCAGTTAATATAATCTTCTGCCGTAAAGTAGTCTGTAATCTCCAGGCCATCGGATAAGGAAGACAAAGAATCAAAATATAAATGATAACATTTGCAACTCCGCTCCAGCGCCCAAATGCACCGATATTAATACAATGTCCTTCGTAATCGGGGTTCCAGAGCTTAGCAATAGGCCAACACTGAAATATAGTGACGAGTGTATTTGCGAGCCAGTAGGCTATCACTATGAAGCCTGATATCCAGAGTGTCCATCTGAATCCTTGGACAACACCGAAGATCCGATAGTATAGGAGGAGGAGCGAGGCTTTGGTGAAGACTGCGTTGAGGAAGTAGATCAGTTGGAGGGCGAGGAAGACCTATATATAATGTTTTGATTAGAATGGTGGTTTCAGGAATATAGACACAGGTAGGTATATGAATTGGGTATCACTGTCATGTGTGCTTACCTTTCCAAAGCCTTGAACCTTTTCGGGAGGCAGATAATAGCTATCAGGTCCGTAATAATCAAGGAGTATTTGAGCCCATTTCAAAGCTACCATAGCCCAGTTCAGAATCTGTAATAAAAAATTAGTCAATAAATTTCTTCCTCATACAAATTCCTGAGTAACGATGATTTATGTAGATGTAGAACCTGAACTCACCAACGCAATCACAATAGTATGATCATCCCACCACAACCCAGCTCTCGAAACATGTCTCGCAGTCAACCTCAAAATAACAGCCAACGTAGCAGGAACAATAGTACTTATTGTTCCTACATAGATATGCCAAGTAATATCATCACTAGAAGACGGGGTAGTACTAGATTCCATCCCGAGGTGCTAGTGCCAGTGCCGAACTTTGTCCGGTAGGCTAGATGTCGATGCCGATGCCGATGTCGATCATGCACGATGGGATCCACATCTTTATATACAATGTATGATTTTTTATTTACGCTAAATTTAGCTGGGGTAAACGGTTATACTAAATCTTGAAAATGGAAAGGAAATATTTAGATCGGATCCAAGATTTGTATATTATGCTTGCTAAGCCTCCTTGTGCCGGTGCCGAGTGTTCTCTCGGCCGGACCAGTCCGGATGGTGCCGTCATTTTTTGTATGCGGTATAAGGTTCGGCTTGCCGCTGTCGGGCGCCTCCGGGATTTTCTTTGGTAGTGATGAGGCTGAGTAGATATCTGAAGGCGTATAGAGTGCGTCTTCATGGGTAAATGGTAATTTGGGTTGTTTGGGTACCTCGGCATGAGATTAGATCGTCATTAAGATGGATTGCTTGGTGGTGCTTAGATCTTAGATCTACTATCTACTGGAAGATTTCGGGAGTGGTGACGAGAACACTGAAATGAAATTTGGTACATTGTAGTATGCTTGTTTAAAAGTCGGTCGAGAGTATCTAATAATAGTAAGAAGAATAGGAAGTTGAATGTGTTCAATAGTCGTAATTCATTTCATAATTCGATCTAGGGAGCAAAGCCTGGCTCCGTCTATACAGTAATCCTAATCCATCCAATCCATCCAATCCAATCCAAATTCATTGCCAGAGTAAATTCCAGCAGGGTAGTAATAGTCCATAAATCAAATCAAAAAGAAGCGTGGCATAGATACATAACGCCAAGCTAAAAGGCCATTCAAGTGCTTCATGTAAAGAATTTCCTTTCCATAACGCCAGGGATATTTCGCGATTGTTAACAAGAGATGTGAGATGATGAGGTGATGTGTCGCGATGAGGTGGGGGTATATTTCGAGGTTGAGGGTGAGAGTGAGGTGCGGGTAAAGGATTTAAAGAGGTGGCATGGACATATCATGATCGTCAATGTCACTAACCGATGTAGCTGGGGAAGCAAGACCAGAGATAACAGATGACGATGCGCCAGTTCCGCCGAGAGCGTCGGGATCGCCCATGGCCTCGTCATAGGATCCAGGCATATTAGGGAAGCGAGTGGTGGTTTGTTTCGATGAAGCGATTAGCTCATCGATACTCGGCTTCTCCGGGACGTGCTTGTCAAGTGTCGTTGCGTTGTCGAGACTCTCGAGAGCAAAGCCCATGAACTCGGCGTTCTTGTGACTGACACTGAGTGTCCATCTGTACTCGCATAGACGGACGCGGTAGAAGTCCGATTCCTCGTTAGTGGGGGCAGTGATGCGCAGCAGCATGCCGAATGATCCGATAAGAGAGAAATTAGTTCGTGCTGAAGCGGGCCAGAAAGAGCGCAGGTGAGCGGGGCGGAGACGGTTGACGAAGTCCATTGCGGAAATGAGGCGAGTCTTTGCTGCTGAGCGACAGATATGAGCGAGGTAGGAGTCTGTGCCGTCTGTAGCGAGGGAGCGGACGATGCAACGGTGCAAGGTGATTTCGGTAGCGAAGTATGCGAGATGCAATGCTCCGTTTCGCGCATGCTCATCTGTGATAGTCTCGACTAGCTCGCCGCTGGAGGACTCCATCTTCAAGGAGTTTGGGAGGGATGAAAACCATTCCTTTAGACGGATTTGGGCTGGCTTGGCTTTTTCCAGAATGATTCGTGTGCGTTGGTTCCCGGCGGCGTTGAAGTCCTCTGAGGCCTGTAGGGTGTAGAATCGGTCGAGAATATCGGACAAGATGGTTGTCAATGCTACCATATGGCAGAAGAGTAAAGGGCCGTGGCCAACAGCTGCTTCGTCGTGTGCTGAGGCAGTGCCGGACAGGAAGGCATCTGAGAAGTCCTGCTCCACGAGATCCTTGACAGTCCAGTTGAAGGCGAAGATATGCGAGGGGCGACCATGGACCAGTGCGGACCACTTATCCTGCATGTACAAAGCCCATGCGAGACGTTTGCGTAGACCCTTCTCCCACGTCTTCATCCGCCAGGTTGAGCAGTCCTGATGTAGACCGAGCTCAAAACCAGCAGTCACAAGTTGACCGTTCAGAGACGACGTTGCTAGTGTTGACTTCTGAGTCAATAGCAAGCCAGCTTGAATGGTAGAGATACTGGGGAAAGGCAATGAGTCAAGGAGCAGTTTTAACGCTGTGCTCTCCAATCGAGCTGCATCAGGTCTTCTCTGCGAAGAAGCACCGACATCCACAAACTTCAATGTCAACACATATACAGCAGCAAGCAGTAGAGGTGATAATTGGCGACGTTCACGGTATGATTGACGGAATGCATCTTCAATCAGAATAGGAAAGGAGGGATGAACATGGTCAAAGAACTTTTCAATCAAGGTTGAGCCATACGGAGCAACCAGGCTCTCAATGGCATCTAGTGAGACGGCCTGCGAATCACCAACGGGAACAGTGTTAACCACTCGCATGAATGTACAATCATCCGCACATCTCCGAATTCGGGATGAAGAGACAGAGAACTCGTCATATTCGTCTAGGGGCAGAAACTCCAATAGTGCCGGCTCCAACTCAGTGGTCATACCAATATGTTGAGTAGTCTGGTTAAAGAAGCCTGGGCGAATCATGGCGTGACTATGTCCCGGACGAGGGACTTCCTCTGTAGCAGAAGGTGTTGATTGAACCGTCGACGGTCTGCAGAATGAGTCAGTCCAAGTCATTTCTTGTGGATCCACTTCCTGAATGCAATTGGGAAGCCATAATACATACCGCTTAGCTGAAGCTGATTCAACGTCTGGTACCGAGTTCGAGAGCTTCCTCTTTTTGGTTGGAGCTTCCGCTTCGGCCGTTAAGGTGAAGGTACAATCTTGACGATGGAAGTCACACGAATAACACTTGTTCACCAATTCGTTCATGGCGCAACGACTCTTTCTACGGAGACAAGCGTCACAACTTGATCCATTCCGACCCAGCGATCGGGGTAGTGTCGAGTTGACCGAGATCGGCGATGGGGAGAGGTTGGGTGTGGAAGTTGTTGGCTGGGGTCGACGACGTAGATCGGGTGAATGGTGAGGTTGGGTATAGGGCGAGGAGGTAGTCGTGCCAGCCGTTGACGAAGGCTGGATGGTAATGACAGTAGCCATTAGGGAGGAAAGTGGGCAATGCAGGTCAAGATAAAGGAAGGGAAAAAGCGGGCGGTAGTCAAGTAGATAGTAGATAGTAATCAGAGATAGATAATTGTTCAACTCAAGGGCCAAGTCCGGGGGGGGGGCCCCACGAATCTCCAGAAAATTGAAGATCCGATATATTTTCTTTTTTTTTTCCTTCTAAAGATATGAATTATTTGAGCCTAAGATTGTCATCATTAGCCATGTAATTCGTTGGTCGTCCACATATGGGGAGATAAGGGAAAACGTACAGAGATAGAGATAACCTTGTGCTTATCAGGAGATTCTCTCGCAACAATAAAACGAGAGAAGAAGAGACTTATCTCCGATGATCAACTATATAGCTCTGGAGCTAATAAGCCTAATATCAGGAAATTTAATTCAAACAAAAAAGAAAGAATTCTTATATCAGGTTGTTGATTAAGGTGACGATCGTGCTAGACACTGCAACAGGATTAAATGCCGGATGGTTCGCTCCGTCATTCCTGGACTGATCCGGTTCAAAACGTATTGAAGATCCAACAAGCCTAGCGATGAGAAAAAAGAGAAAGAAGGGGGGGATATAGGGAACATGATGACATCGATATAGAGGGCATCCGTATGGACGAGCTCCCGAGCGTGCCAGACGATCGCCTTTTTGCTCTCGTAACAGAATGTCGCCTCGATGCCAATTATGCCTTTGAAATTGTCAACTCTGATAAGACCCCGGGTCCTGATTGGCTTGACCGGACGAGCCTCCATCCTTATTACGTACTGTTAAATCCTCCTTGCTCAGCTATTTTTGCCCCCTTATGATACATAGAGTAGAACTATAATTGGAGGGAATTGACTATGGGAGAACTACGTGACAATTACCTGGTCAAAAAAATATACAACATTTAAGAAGCTAAGGACTCCCTGACGAGCTATCGTGCCCGTTTCATCCCCGTTCATCCCCGTTCTGTCCCGAATCACTGGCTACGAATAATATTGCTTATTCATAAGCAATGACTGACCCCCGACCAATCAGAAGCCCATGATAACAGTCATATAAAGGAGCCAATCACATCCCACGATGAAGTGTGGGGTTGCAGGGAAGATCCCAAACAGGCAAGAAGCGAACGGAGCACAACCACGGCTAACGGGCTGCGACTAACTGCCTTGATGACTGTTGATGAGTTTAACTGGTGACGCCCCACAAAAAACACCAAACGGAGATGGCAAAACGATCCCCGGACATGTGAGGTCTTCCTCTAAAAGACTAACCCGGTGGCAACCCCAGACCTCCACAGCGTACACTATACTGCAGTACCCTGAAGGATGGAAAAACTCGGAAGATCACTTCGGAAATATCGGACTTTGCTTGCAATGGCTATACAATAAGCATTTTTCTTTCTTCTATGTATGGGTGTAAGCTATGCTCTCGATCCCGGAAAATCCCCTAAAAAACGCCCAACGCCTTGCTGGTAACCTAACCCCATCGTCACCCAAATTTCAGTTTGCTGCTCTTCTCTTTTGGTAATCCCGTTAGAGGCGGTCAACTCTCCTCCGGCTCTTACCTAACAGTAAACCCAATGCAATCAATTTCACTTCCCCCCAGCTGCCTCGGTACGAAGCACACTATTTCCCTTCAAATATTCCCTTTACCCAACTCGTTTTGTCACTGCTTACTCGGTGAAGTTACGCAGCTTGGTGAGCTCATCAAGTAACTCTTGCAAGTCACTGTCGGAGATTTTATTTTGGAGACTGGGGATAAGAGACTTGGCTTCCTCCGCATTGTCACAGCACAGACTTCCTATGAAACAATAGTCTGGTCAGTTTGAGTTTGAGGGATATGCATATAAATAGTAGGTAGCATGTGATATCAAAGTGCCCAGGTGGCAGAGGGAAATGAATGGCAAGAATTCTCGTATCATGATATCTTGTCACTGTTGTTTATACTCACCAAGTTGTGACCGCTCAAACATCTCCAACTCCGTATGCGAATTCAATAATCGCTCCACAGCCTTAATATTCTCTTCATCCTTGAACCGCGCAAACACATCCAGATAGAGAAGCGTCTTGGTTAAATTCCTACACAGAACACAAATCAGACCCCATCATTAATGTCTTTCTCTTTCTTTCTGGTCCGAGTTCCAGCTCATCATACATACTCTGGCTCCTCGTACTTGTTTCCCCCGCGTCGCTTATTCTCAAGCACTTTGTGGATAACGAGTCGCGCTTCGGATAGTGAGAGGGTGTGAGTGTGCTGGTCGGCGCCCAGCTTCAATGTGGATGCAGCCTCTAATTCGCCTTGAGGCACGGCACGCTGCCGGTATGTAGCTGGGGGCAGCTGGACGCTCATATCGATGGTGAGAGCTGTGGATGGAGAGCTCGAGAACTCAATTAGTTGAATATGGTGTCGAGGAGGTCGATGATCGCGCGGGGCCGGCCGGGAGATGTGAGGTGCGGGCGTTGAAGCTATACGTCCTTGGACAGCTGAAACGCGATGAAACTGCAGATTTCCCGCCGGCAGAACAAGGCGGTGTATCATTCCACCGCTAATCATTCCTAATTATGGGAGTATACAGTAGCCCGGATTAGGACGCATCTTATCTCTAATTTTGTAGACAAGGAATTTTATTTTATTTTAATGAAAGGTCTATTTGCTTGGTGAGTAGGGTATCGATTGACTATTTGATCTATCTCCATTTTTACATCACTGAACGCCTCATAATATGCATCTATCTGTCCAACTCTATACTTTTCGGAAGGCAACTTCTCCCGGTAGACGGAAACTAGCGCAGAACATTTGCTTGTTGGGGCTGACCAGGCGGACATTGTGAATAGCCAACTCGATAGCAGAGTTTCCACTTCCTCCAGCTCGGTCTTCGGGAGTAATAGTATATCCAATACGCTCAGACACTCGCTGGCAGATATCAACGTGGTCATCTACCTCGTTCTCAGAGTGGCCCGAGAAACAGTAAACGTGAACCATAGGAAGGGCCTGAGAAGTATAGGGCGCGAAGAGCGATTCATGTCCCGCATAGACACCCTGGAAAGCGTCAAGGAATTCAATAGCATTGGCAGGCAGGTTCATCACGTAGTGGTCGAAAATAGTCGGACGGGTATACGTTTCACTAGGCACTGGAGGAGCTGGAGGAGCAGCAGGAGCTGAACTCTGAGGCTCCGTAGCTTTGCGCTTGCTGTCTCCTCGTCGCTTAGTCTTAGGAAAGATGTTGACAGTGACGGGTTCCGATTGGAGAAGATCCTTCGCGGAGGATTTGATAAATTCCCGACCGTCCTGGTTAAAAGCAGTGACAAAGTCCTGTACCCTGTTTCGCGGAATGGCATCTTGCATCACTTCATAACCGTGTGGGTTCAGGTCATTAGCCCATACGAAAATCTTTCGTTTACCAGCTGGAACAGCGAATGGACCAACGCCAGCCATGACGTCGCAGACCATTTGGCCGGCCTGGAACTTCTCGACTAGTCGACGGTGCTCGGTTTCGAGACGGCTATTCCAGTATACGCGCGCATAGTCGAAGTGGAATTCACAATCTTGTTCATGTTGGATAACGTTCAGATCGTTTTCACCGGCGAGGATTTCGAAGGGGAATGTACGGAACTCGCTGTGCGAGCCAACATCTTCGAGCTTGTTGATCACGGTGCGGATACTGGAGTTCTTGTCTTTAAGGATCTGCGCAATGAGGTATTTATATGGGTAGAATTGTTCGCGGAGGTTGAGATGCGCTGGTTCAGTTAGTATGGCGTCTGTCGCATTTGGTACTGTTGGGCAGAAACCTACCAACGTGCCCCACTTGTGTGAATCCCTGAGGAATTTCCAGCGTGTCGTCCTCTGGTAGAATAGAACTGATAATATCGGCTGACAATAGCAGTTAGAACCGATACCAACTCAATAAAAAGTAAATATGTATGTCATGCCATACCATAGGACCAATAGTCATATTCCAAATCCACCTCATAAGATGTAACAGCAGCAGTTCCCTTCTCCGTAAGCTCGGTAATAATAGGCGACCAAGTAGTCTTGTCTAAGCGCATCAAACAGCATTAGCATCGCCCATCCAACCCAGCGACAGTTCCGCAGCTCTCGATCGCATTCACACACCATCAGCCTTCATGTCTTCCCGCAACAAAAGCGCCCTAAAAACCCCATCCTTATCCGTAACCTGGCGCACATTGCTAAGTCGCGGTACAGTCAGCAGATCATGACTCTTGAATAGAGCCGCACGCACGACCGAAATGTCTTTATCCTTGAAGACCTTCGCGGCGGCGAGTGGTACGGTCTTGCGGAAGAAGGACCGGTCGAGCGTGCGCATTGCGCGATTGACGGGTGGGCGGAACATGGCGGGGAGCTCGCGGGAGGACTGCGAGCGTGTGTCGTTGACAGACTCCATTGAAAGGAGGCGAGTGGCCTGTGCACAAGTTGAGATTGACCTCGAGGTTGGCGGCGTGTTGGAAAATGTGTCAAGCGTTGATAGTGGATTAGATTCCTTATCGGGCACGTGAGGTGCGGCAGCTTTTTGGTGGATGATGATTGGTTGGAAGAGAGAATGAAGTATAAAATCAAATATGAGGAAATGTAGTTTGAAAATGAGATTCTGGAGTTGTGTAATGAGTAAAATGATAACTAGGAGTAAGCATAAACCGTAACACAAATTTTACAACAAGCCTTCCACTATTCTTCTCAAATGACCTTCCTTAAGCTGCTCAATAGCCAACAACTCATTATCCAAATGACTTGAAAAATCACACCCATAATCCTCCGTCCAAGACCCAACAATACAAAAACCCAAAGTCGCCCCATCTGCATCTCCCCCAGATCCCTTATCCCACTCCTCAAGACTTTCCCGCCTAAGTTCCTCAGTATCCTTACTAACAACCTCCCACTCAACCCCATCCTTCTCCTTAGCATATCCAATCAACTCATTCTGCGTAACAACCGCCGACTGAACATAAACAACACGATTCACAGTCTCATCCTGATTCTCAATAACACCCAACACAGCCTTCGCCACATCCACCAACAGAGTCGTACTAAATCTCACATCACCCCCATTATACAATGTAGCGGCATGTCGCGACAAATCCAGAATAATCCCAGCTTCAAGACACCAATCCAAGAACAAGCCATTGGCAATACCCGTAAATGTGAAGTGGGGGTTATCATGACTCTTCGAAAGAAGATATTTTTGCGTTGCGACTTTTGGTGCGCAGACGGGGAGCTCCATTGCTAGTGGATTTTGGGAGTCCATGCCGAATTCTGCGGGGATGAATCGCTTTACGCCTGCGGAGACGGAGGCGTCGATGAGAGGATTCTGAGCACCGATTGCTGATGTGGCGAGGCAGGATATGACTACCTCGGGGTTGGTTTGTTGGAGTGCATTTTTTAGGGACTGGGTGGATGTGAAATCGACTTCTTTGAGGATGAGGTTGCGGTGTTTTGGGAGCTTTAAGGAATTGCCGCCAATTCTGGAGAGGGCCGTGACGTTGTAGTTTGCTTGTAGGAGGGCGCTTAGGATGGGGATGCCAAGGTTTCCTGTCGCGCCAGCCAGAGCAACATGTTTGGAGGTCATATTTGCTTGCAACTGATAGGATTGGATGAAGCCAAGATAAGATGGAGTGATGGATGGATATGGTTGACGCTAATGCCATAGAATGATAGTTTTAAAAGCAAACAGATAGGGATAGCTGTCAATTATATCAATGCATTTATAAAGCTCCATTGGTTCATATTTATGAGGACGCGAGGATAGTTACCTCTAAAATGGTTGGTTTATCAAGCATTAATCAGCGGAGTTGATCCTTCTGCTAGTTTTAATAATAATCAAGTTGAAAAGTCGCCGAGATTATGGGAATATTCGGGGTAATGAACAAAACATTTTAATAGGTAACCTGGATGAGGAAATGGTTTGATAATTTAAATGAAGGGGACAAATATCTATTTTTATTCAAGTTTCAACTCTTTACGCACTGTCTCTCATGCAAGTTTCGCTCGCTCCGCACACTGAAGCGGGATTGAATGATCCTCGTCGAATAACTCCCGACCAAAGGTCTCCATACTCATCCAGCCACGGTAGCCCATCTTATTGACAATAGTTTGAAGAATCTCGGTCACAGGCAAGAGAAAGATTGAATGTTGTGTGTAGGTGTGAATACGGAAAACTAAATCAGACATACGCACAACTAGAACCCGATATTGTCTTCTATTCCGTACCTACGCTCAGCTTTCGGACCTATGGTGGGTACCCACGCTCAACTTGAACTATAACAGTCCGCCGCGTGCCTGTCACAACAGAATGAGTGAAATTTCCCAATGTCTCTCCCGTAACATTTTTCGCTCGCGTATCTTTCCTTCAATGCATAATACGAACATCTTACATCATATGGTATCTTTTCATATGAATAAACAAAGGAATAAGATTTGTAGGGTTAAACTCATGAACTTGAGCGTGGTACGCTATTGCATGTACCAGATCACAAAAAAAAAGGTCCAGATGCGCTAGGCTTAACATGAAGAAAGCTTTATTCATGTGCTAACAACAAAATTGACAGTCGTTAAATCATAAAATGTAAGCAAAAACCAGTATCCCCAATCGCACCCGGGAAACACCACAATCACATTCCCCCACAACATCTCAAGACTCAATCATAGAATTATCCAACTCAGTCTGAGCCCTCAAATTCGTAATCTTCTCCTTTAACCTCATAATCTCCTCATCCTTCTTCTTCACAGCCCCCCTCAGCATATCCCTCGCCCTAACAGCCCCCTTATACTTCTTATCCTCCTGATTAACCCACGAAACAACCTCATTCTTCGCAGCATTCGGAATAACAACGTCATGATTATCCAATATAGCGAGCAGCTCCTGCGCCAGCTCCGACGAATCAGATCTTGAGTCAGCACTCAATACATCCCCCTCCCGATACTTTGTCGGTGTAGGCGTCATGCAGACTTCAGCCGACGCGGGCGGAATGCGCGATGAGAAAGAGAAGGAGTGAGAGGAGTTTGGTGTTGCGAGTATAGATGAGCCGCTTGTAGAGTAGGATTGGTCATATGCGTAGTCTGATAGCTTGCGTTTGCCTGGGGATGGTGTCTTTGGCGTTCGAGGTGTTTTGTTCGGTGTGTCTGGGTTTGCGCGGAAATTTGGTTGCGAGATGAATTGTTCTTCGTTGGGGTGAGATTGAGAGAGCGCCTGTGTTAGCTCGTCGTTGTCTTCTGAGTCGAGGTCCCAGCTGAATTCATCGGTGTCTTCTGCCATCATTCGGGCCTTTGCGCTTAGTGGAGTGGAGGGGGGTCGTGAGGATCTGTTGGTTTTGGTTGCAGTTGTGGTATCTATGTTTCTGCGCTCTGTTTGTGGAGTGAGTAGGCCGTGGCCATTTGGAGTGTATTGGAAGGATTTGGTAGGTGTTTGGGTTTGAGTGCGAGGGTCTAGCTCAGAAGTGGAGTTGGCTTTCTCGACTTCTCTTTCCCTGGGTTCGGCGTCTTCCTGCCATAAAAACAATGAACACCGATTGTCCCATGGCTTTGGGCATTTGTAAACTAACATCGATAGCGTAGAATGTAAGTAAGAAATCTTTTCGCATTCTTTTGCATTCATACTTACACCATCGTCCCTTGTTGGGACCCTCCTTCTTGACTTGTAATCGGATACATCGATCTCGGGGATCGCAGTTACAGTACCACTCATTGTCTTTGAGGAGACCATTCAATCGGGTGGATGTACGAGGCGAGATGGGTGGTACTTTTGAAACAGAATGCATTGTATCGTACAGTCATGAACGTCTAGCGAGTACAGAGGAAAATGAAGTTGAAGTTGAAGTTAGCAATGTGTCGCCATGGAGACTCTTATCTTATCAGTTGCGCCACTTTGAGTGAGACAATTCCCCGCATTTTGTCTTTGAATCCCGCGCCCTACGACATGATCATCCTTTCAAAGATTTTACTTCTTTCATCTATTTGATTCTGTTCTTATTCATGTCCAAAGAGCCCAGTCATACAGCCTGTCAAGCTCAAAGGAAGAAATCCACAATGAACGCCGCATCCTAGCTCCCGAAAGGAAAGTTTACACTTGCTTAGCCCCCGAAAGCCCAATGTCGTCATATCAAACTCCACATCCACTATCGCAACGAAAAAGAAAAAAGCTGTCGCTGTCGCTGGATCCCAACAACGCAAGAAATTGTTGCAGACGTATAATTCCTGCGACACAACATACAAATGCAATCCATCACCCGAATACCAGCTCTATGCCATCAATCCAAACGAATACCAACACCAACATCCCACCGGCAAAAAAAGCCATCCAAGAACGCATAATGTCCCAACAAAGACAAACACCAGCATCCCTGATGAACCTACCAAAAGAACTCGTAATCCACATCTCAACCTTCCTCCACACAATACGAGACCTAAACGCCCTCTCCCAAACAAACTCACCCCTCCACACCCTCCTGACAATGACCCTCTACCGCCGAAACGCAACACAATCCCCCTCGTCCTCAGCCCTGCACTGGGCCGCAAAACACAACTTCACAAACACAGCTCGTCTCTCCCTAGCCGCAGGCGCAGATACCCAAGCCATAACAGACGAAGAAAAGACAATAAAGGGCTGCACTCCCCTTCTCATCGCAGCATACCACGGCTGTACAGAAGTCCTATCCCTCCTCCTTCAAAACGATGATATAAATTTGAACCCAAACGCTCGAGATATAAAACACATCCGACCCCCCATTTCATGGGCCGTCAAACAACGCCATCATCCTATCGTTCGGGCCCTCATACTCGACGAACGAGTTGATGTAAACCTACAAGATAGAAACGGGGACACGGCACTATTACTCGCCGCCAACGCAAGTAACTGGGACATGGTCTCACTCCTAGTCGGCAGTGGACGTGCTGATCCCCGAATTCCAAATCGCCAAGGCGCAACCGCGCTATCAATAGCATCCCGGGAACGAGAAGCCGAGAAGGACGTGGATTTACTCTTCGCAGCTCATCTACGACTAATACTCGATGAAGATTCTTCCGAAAGTCACGTACAACATGTATTCTTTTACGCGGCTATAATGGGACAATTGGAGATTGTTCGGTATTTAGTTGAGTTTTTTGGAAACAAGCTTGATCCGAATGGGGGCACGAATGGGTATGGGAGGGGTGCGTTTTCAATAGCGGCGGATAGAGAACAGGTGGATGTTGTTAGGTTTTTGATAGGTTGGGAGAAGACGGATCCGAATCTTAGAGATGGGTGGCTGCATCAGAGTCCGTTGTTTGTTGCTGTTAAGGAGGGGAGGGTGGATGTTGTTGATGTTTTGGTTTCTTCTGAGAGGGTGGATTTGGAATTGGTTGATGTTCATGGGACGACGCCGTTGAGTGAGGCTGCGACGAGGGAGAATGGGGATGTTATTAGGAGGTTGGTTGGGGGGGATCATAGTGATAATGGTGGTGGTGGTGGTAGGACCAGGAGGAGGCCGGATCCTAATGCTAGGGATCAGAATGGGGAAACGGCGTTGTTTAAGGCTGCTTCGTTGGGGATTTTGGAGAATGTCAATGCGTTGTTGGAGGCTGAGGGGATCGATGATTCTCTTGGGAATGCGGAGGGTCAGACGCCGTTGGGGATCGCGGATGAACTTGGTTTTTCACTTGTAGCTACGAGATTGAGAGCTTGAGAGGGGTGTATAGATGTATAGGTATAGTTGCACATTGTTCGGTTTATATTTAGCCAATCCTATTGGATCTATGTAATGGAATAGGGATAGGGCTGTCTTGTCTATCTATGGTCATGGCTCCAGTGGTATCAAGGTATCAAGGTATCAAGGTAACAATCGTGGAGAATACTAGCGAGAATAGCAATATCCCATTTGTTGGTGTTGGTATTGAATACAGGATTGAGAATAGCAACGAGGTTGTTGAGATGGTCGGTCTTGATTATAGGTATGAAAGCTATGCATGGACTCCTTTATCGGGATGTTTAGTCGGCAAGTGTGTGGCGGAGCATGACAACGAATGGATCGCCGAGTTTGAGAATTTCTTGCACTTCGGGCTTCTCGGGTTCGCCGGCTGTGCGTCGAAGCTGGTCTTGTTTTTTGGCTCGTCGGCGACGTTCTGTGGCAATAGGATCATCCTCTTCGTCATCCTCTGTAGCTTCGTCTTCTGAGTCAGATGCCTCATCTGAGATGGTGAGATCTTCCAAATCGCCCTAAAGAATTGTTAGATTGACTCGTTGAACACTAAATGAGAGTGAACGGGATTAAAAAAGAAAAACATATTTCTAAAACATACCTCGTCAAGACCAAAGTCGCTTCCCTTGAAGGTAGCAGAGCCAGGGATCGTGTCCGTTGTGCCCTCCGCAGCCATCTTCTGGCGAGTCTTATTCAAGTGCCAACGCTTTCGGTCCTCGTGCCATTTGATCAATGCATTTATCTCGGTCAGAGCAAGATCTTTATCAACCTGGTCGACACCCACAGCGCCTTGGAACATGGCATTCATGTCCAGTTTACCGCCCTGGGGTCCCTTGCGCAGGAAATCAAGAATCCCCTCAACCCATGTCATAAGGGACTGGAAGAGTCCGTTGTCATGAAGATGTACCTCGTGGATGAACTTGTAGAAGTTATCTTGGTGACGAGCACAAAGGTCAATAAATGACTGCACTGTCTGATTAGGATCAGCAGAGGCATCTTGGCGCTGGGCACTCTCAATGACGGCGATAGCGTCGTCTGCAAATTGTGCAAAGTCTGTAACACTGCTGTATACATTGGCGGACTTGTAGACTCGGACGAGCGGCTCATAGAAGATTGTAAAAAGATCGCGGAAGAGTTGCAATGTGGTGGGCTCTTCGATAATGCCGAGCATCATTGCCTTGTCGCGTTGGCGGGTGAACAGCTTGAGTAATTGCTTCATGTTTGCGAACCACTGGGCACCTTGTTGCATTTCCAGATCCACATTATCCACGGCATAGTTCCAGGCGACCCACCCGTTGAAAACCTTTTCAATCTGCTCCGGAGTGAGCTCAGGTGCGATCAATTCCGAGCGAAGAATAGCGACGATGATGTCTACATCTTCAGTCTCTGCCTCTTCGCGAATCTCATTCTTAATCGTTTCATCAGCTTCGACGAAACTCTTTAGTTTCTGAGCAAGAACCTGATCTTCCACTTTAGCTGTCACGGAAGCAATATTCTTTTGGAAGTCTTTGATGCTTTCATTCAAAGTCAAGGAGAACATCCGTTGCAGCAGGGATCTGGATCCGAATGGTTGTGCTAGGAAGAGGTCGAGAACACCTGACATGACGGCAGCAGGGTTGGCGATACGAATCACGTTCTTCAGCAGGGTATATGGAACAAGTCCATGGATTCTCTTGGCTTGTGCAAAGAGTTCTGGGGAATTATCTTCAGCAAGGAATATGTGATATACAGTTGCTGCGACTTCGATACGAAGCCATTCGGCAAACTTCTGATATTGAGGGCTCAACTCTTCGATGGAGGGTTTCTCGCGGATCTCCGCAAACAGCTTTGTAAGACCATCTATCTCGGGGTTAATCGGTGTCAAGATGGGATGATAGGAGCATACTTACTGCTCTCCACAATGTCCCTTCGGAACTTCTCCATGTAAACGTCCAGTTCTGCAGCTCGCTGCCTAGCAATCTCGTAGAATCGCTTCTGTTCTTCGATTCTTACAGCATCCATATCTTTCCGTTTCTGGACATCGAGCAATTCCTCTTCGTTCAGCTTGATCGGTCCCGCTGTTAGGAACTCCTCTACTGATTTCGACTCGGCAATGCGCTTGTTCTGTAACAAGGTGCGAAGGAATGCGCGAAGTGACACACGCTGCTCCTCGCGATAGAGAACAGTCTCCCTGGAGACATTAGTAGATACACGACCTGACTTTGCAGATCGGAAAGATCCTTGAGAAGGCGATCGCTTGTGAGTTCCACCGGGCGCCAATGTTCGTCCCGAGGACCCATTTCCATCCTCAGGCATACTGGCATCCTGAGTTGAGAGAGAAGAAACAGAAGAAGCATCATCGTCAGCTGAGGAGCCGAACCAGCTAGATGTAGTTGATGACTTGTTCTTCCGGGGCAAAGGAGGTAAATGTTTGCCCGGGAACTCAGTTCGAAGTCTTCGGTGAAGCTTGACGAATTCACCATATCTTCTACCGACATGGAACTCGTCCTTCTCATCCCGACGAACTCGCAAAAGGAATTCCTGCGAAGGCAATCGTTAGTAACTGTCCTCCTTTAAGACGAATCATAAAAAGGATAGCATAGCTTACCGCATGAGGATGGTATCGAACAGTCCGCTTTACAGAAGTAACTCGAACAGCAGCAACATTTACATCCCAGGTATTGATCGCGTGGCCCTCGGGCATATTGACAAGAAGGCCCTTCTCATTCGCGCCACGCTCCACAACCTCCATCTCAGAGAACTGAATGCGCTCTTCATATCCCGACGCAGTCGGTACACCCGAGACCATCATCAGCTCAACAAGCTTCTCACATTTCCTTGCCAGTTTCCGACGCTTTGTTTCCTCCAATCTATCCTCCGATGACGAGACATGTTTATTCGCGAATGATTCGAGGAACTATACAACAGCATATGTCAGCATAATTCTCATATTCTGATTCTTCCGTCTTTGTCGCGCGATAAGCGATAAGCGAAAAGCAACAGGAGAATACTCACCACTTGTAATTTGTCCTGCCAGAACTGTTTCTCCTGCGCTTGATCGAGAAAAGGGAAATTGCGAACATGATGCACAAAGATATAACGAAGAATAGGAAGTTCCGAGTCAACGGGCGCGACTTCACCGAAATCCGATCGAAAGGGGGCGCCGAAACGTTGCAGTGCGGTGGGGGAGTTGAGCTCGGAGATTTCTCCGCGAACTTGTCGGGCAATGAGTTCTCGTTTCAAGTCTTAAGGGTATTAGTATACGTCCCGAAAGAAGATAATATAATATAATATAATTCATGACGCTGCGCATAGCATGGATCGGAGCAAGAAAAAAGAAAAGCAGACATCAGCTTACAGTGCTCTTGTTTGCCAGTCAGGATCTGTCCTGGAGGCGGGGCGACAGCTTGAGACAGCTCTCCGCCCTGATCGCCGGGGAATGCGGGCTGAGACTCTGTCATTGTGCGAGTCACGATAAGTATGCGTAGCCCAGGAAAATGTCTTCGTGAATGTCTTCAGATATGTCTGTATGTGTATGTTGTATGTATGTAGTTGTGAGAGTGGGGAAATTTGTCTGCCTGGAATGGAATTTCTTGGGGTGACGCCGAGAATTAATAGTAGCCGATCACAGCCCCATCAGCCTTCCCAACGAGGCTGATGAATGGAGAAAGGTCGCACGCCAAGCGAAAAAGTAATTGGGGACTTGCGCGTAGTCTTGGAACTTCCAGTAAGTGGGCAGGGAGAAGATAGAACGTTGGCGGGGAACGGGGAACGGGGAAAAGGAGTTGAGTAAGTTGAGTTTAGGAAAAGCGGGTGGTGAGGTGATGTCGTCACCCGGGTTGATCTCCATGGCGTTGGCGTTGGCGTCGTAGGGCTACCTATGGGCTCGGGCGCGGGCATGGGATCGCCACAACTTGCACCTATGAGATTCATTTATTTTCATTAGAAGTGGAGATCATGGTGAGCAATCCGGCTATGAGGAAATTGTTCTACCTATAGATTGGTTCAAGTGCCTCTTGGTGTTGAAGATTCGTAATTCGCCAAGTCTTACATACTTGGATCAATGCGAAACTAGACCTAATACATGGTGGTATGGATAACCGCCATGGCTGAGGGTTACTAGGGCTGACATATTTGGTGCCTCAGAGATGTAGGGATTCGGTGGCCAATGAGTTTTGAGATATAACGAATCGAAACGAGCAGGAGTTTCGGGCGATAAGGTGAGATTATCCATTTGCCTAGATGGGACTCCAGGGCTTTCTATAGTGGGGACATACATGGAGAACAGAAACTTGAAGAACCATGGCTTGAATGGAAGAGGAGATTGACATCTTTGATTCAATGTTGTTTTGATCATAAGGATCAACTATCTACCGACTATTGCCATTGCTATTGCCATTCCTATGGGCTGATGGGACGAAAGCCAATCATTTCAGAGTCAAGAGTGAAATTTGATTCATGTTAAATCTTTGACCTAACTGTGCTAGATAAAGCAAATGAATGGCGTAGACAAATCCATCAATGTCTTTCGCAACCTCGAACCTTCCCATCCGACAAAAAAAGATTGGCATGAATAAAAAGCAGAATAATTGCAACGTATTACATCGTATCGCTTGCGGAACATCGCTCAAAGTAAAACATTTCCTTCTCAGGTTGACCTAGTGAAAGCAAATTTTCTGACATGAAGACCAGCTCGGACAGTAAATTTGTTTATTTCATGAACTCCAAGTCCAGGCCGTTGGAAACGTGGGCATCCTGATTTCCATACTGGTGTGTCTCGGGCCAAGATTGCATACCCTGGAGAACGTGGTCATGTTCATTGAGAGGTGGGAACATTCCCTGGGAAGTGGCAAAGTGGCGAGTGGCCTGGTGCTGAGCGACATGGGGCTGGATTTGGACCATGTTCATGCCATTTTGCTCCCCGTAAAGAGTGAAGTCAGATCCCTGAGGGTGACGCTGGGCATAATCGTAATGCTCCATACCAGAGCCCGGGGAGTACAGCATCAAATTAGCCTGAGCACGAGGGGAGAGACCATCAATGTCCTTCATAGCATGTCCCATGCCCATAGCACCAGGCTGGTTGCAGACATTGTCGGACATGTGCATAGCAGTGTATTCCTGATTGCCCACGTCGGAAAGCTCGAGACGACCCCATTCAAGGTCGAAGTTGAAACCGTCGCTGTGCGCAGCCATGGGTGAATCGTCGTAAGCAGAGCCAGAGACATTCATAAGGTCGGGAACGGAGTTGGCCGATGGAACCGACATGGTGTTCATTGACTGGCGATGCATTTCAAGAGCGGGAATAAGTTCATTGGGATTGCCAGACTGGAATTGGTTCTCGAAAGAATCCAGGTTCAGCGATGGCATCATGATGTCGCTGGCCATGCCGCTGGAGGCAGAGTATGGCGATTCATCAAAGATGTGATTGTATTCGTCGCTAGGCACAGGAGGGTCATTGAAGTTGAATGGCGGGTCCTGGAACAGGGAAGGCCTTGGGGACGGGCTAGGGCCTGTACCTGAGCCAGGCGTGGAGAAGCCCATCGACTTGGAAGCGGGGGTAGAGACGCTAGGAGTGCGAGAAGCTTGGATGGAAGAACCACGCTTGCTACCACCGCGGGCATTGTTCTTGGACCGAACATAAACCCAGCCATGGGCCTTCTCCATATGTTGCTTGCAGTTGCTCTCACGCTTGGAGGCATAAGTGCAAGGCTGGAAGTTGCATTTGTACATTGCAGGAGCATCAGAGTGCTTGTCGTTCATATGACGATCGCGCTCTTTCTCGGTGGGCCAGCCAAGCTGGTAATACTTGCACGTGGCGTCGGTACACTTCCAAGGGCGAGAATGAGTCTTCTCGTGCTTGGTCAGGTCACACGGACGTTTGAAGATTTTGTCACAATGAGCACACTTCTGGTTGATATCCATCGGTGGGGCGTTCTTCTTGCGACGAGCCATGGAACGCTGGACGCCTTCGTCGACTCGTTCGTCGAAGCTGATATGACGCTTGAAAGTCGGAACGCTGGCATCGGTCTCGTCTACAGGACGACCGGTAAGCATAGATATGCGTTTTCCTTCGTGCATAACAACGAGCTGGGCCGGCTTGCCATCCTTTGATAGACCACCCTCGAGGACAGCGCCTGTAATCAGCGACAATTGGTCGTCTTTGGTGGTAGTGGGAGCATCTTTGGGAGCATCCTTGGCGTCCTCGGCGGCTCTAGCCTGGGCACGCTCTCGAGAAACTCGAATCATTGCTGCGTACCGTCGAACCTGGGAAACAAGATCGAGGAAGTAACCGTTAGTGTAAGGGCGATCAGCTGGAAGCCGCTGGTCGCGGTCGTTGAGATGAGAAGCCGAAGTATGCAAACACTGAATCGTAAATTCCGCAAAGCTGAGGTAAGCGTTTCGAGTACTCGAGAACTTCTGCCAAAGTCAAAATATATGAGCAAAAAAAAAGCCTTATAAAAAAGTCCCACCGTAACACCTTAAACACCATGACTCCAAAAAGGGGAAGATGAAGACTTACCGGGGCTAGCCAAAGGAGGGTTTTCTCCAAGTCCCGAAGGCAAACGATTTGTTTGTTGACAATACGTTTGGGAATAGACTTAACCAGTGTGTGGAATGGTTTAAGTTTAGGCTCTCGCAAGATGGGTGCCAACATATACTTCTCAATTTGTTTACAGGCGGACAATGATAATTGCCGCTTTTCAGTTGACCCGGCGACAAAAGTTGAAGTTGAGGTTGACCCAGAGATTGGGGGCTGCGGTGAAGCGGTAGGCAGCTCTATAAAGAATTAGTTTCGTTGTTAAAACATGGTTGCTTTCCTATTTGGGATGGGAGGGGTATCAATCTTATTGAGGATCAATGGATAACAATAGCCATCAACCCAAATAGGAATGCAATCAGCCAGCAGCCATAGCCACAATGAATTCACATGTTTTGACATGGCTTCGATGTTTGGTTCATTGACGCCGCTTCCCGAATAGGAACATGTTTTCAATAGGGCGGCAAAGGAGGGCAGAATCTTACCTGTTTGTTCATTTTCATCGGATGAATCTTCATGACTGCTCACAGATGTTCCAAGACCACTGTCAGACTCATGACCATGCTCTTGTGTTTTCTTCACACCCTGCGAGACAGATGGGCGACGAGAGTCACGTGGTGAGGGGTCTTGATCAGCATGATCGTTTGAAACGTTCCCAGATGTTGGCTTCTCTTTGGATGCCGATGATTCTTCATTTGAATCCTCTGAGCAGTCCAAAGTCAGACGGTTCAGAATCGACGTCATACGCTCTTCACTGGCAGTAATGGCCTCTAGGGAAGTAGGGCAGCGACGTGGAAGAGAGCGAATATTCAAGACAGGATCACCTCGATCGTTTGATGGAGGGGAAGTGGGGGTGTGGAATGTCTCTCCCTTTTTCAAGCTCATTTTAGAGGAATCTGCAGCCGCAGTAACTAGAGATGGGAGGTCTGCACTTATGACCGGCCGGCGGCGGGGATGAACGCGACTGGAGTCCGCGTGGGAAGTCGACATGATGGGCTGGACGACACCTTGGGATTTGATTGTTAGTCCTAATCCTCCCGAGGCTGCAGCGCTGAAGCCTAGTTGATTGGTTCCACCGATATGACTCACGAGGATGGATCAAGCTAATACGATATAATAAAAGCTAGCGTTTGAGTCACCGACTTGATGGCCAGCGTGGTGGTATGGAATCTATAAATGAGATGCTGTGACGCCCTTCACCAACAAGAGATCAACCCAGTGTCGACAGCTAACCAGCAGAAGACACAACCAAGTGTCCTAAGCCAGATTTCTCGACGCTGAACTTGAGGCTTTGCTGCCTTGGAGGATGATGTTACACCACCAATATGGACGCGGTTGACAGAAGAGATCGATCGAGTGGATCCGTTGTGATAACGATGAGATGAGAAAAGGATCACAAAGCGAAGAAGTTTTTTTTTTCTTTGTGGCAGTGCCAATATATGTAAATGCGATCGGTAAATCTCAATAGATGATAAATAGTTGATAATCTGGAAGAGGGAAAAAAAAGGTTGAAAGGGGAAAGAAACTGCAAACTGGAAACTGGAGAAAAGATGGGTCCTTTGGGGGACAGCGAGACCTTTGCCAGGGCGAGAGCGTAAGAGGGAATGACGGATGAGTGTCTGCCTGATAGACGAAGTCCGCTAAACCCAACTAGGTATCGCGTGGATGGCTGAGCACATAATATTCCACCATGATTGGATGTAGCGTGGTTAGTGAAATACGAAACTCAGCCTTGGATTCATGAGGATTTAGGGGTGAACTGTGGCGGAATTATGGGCCCATGTGGTAATCACAGTGTAAATTACACGATCTTCCCCTATCCGCGGCATCCTAAATTGGAAACCAGGACGGGGTCCGCGGATCCCCTCTGTTGCGGCTCAATAGATCCGTGTCAGCAAGTCAGAAAAATCCGCCTGCCTATGCAGTTGTCCAAGAATATCTCATGCTGACGATCAAGAACTTATCTGTCCTCTTATATTTCCCTTTTCTCCCATCTTTACTTCCCTACTTCTACAGGTTAATCCCATGCACCACACTATAAACGACAGGCCATCTTACAACGTAAAAATCAGATGGTACAAAAATAGTACAAAATTAGTACAAAAATAAGTCCTCGGCCTTTCGGTTCCTCCGATCCCCTGGAGAAAATCAACTGAACTGTTATTCCCAGTGGGGCCCTGGCACCCTTCCACCTTCAAATGTTCCACACGTGAAATTTAGAGCCGCTCGGAAATCCGGATCGCTCGGCCTCGTATTCTCTTTCCCTGGATTGACTAAATTACTGTGGGTTACGTGGTCGCGGCTGCCTACTGACTACTGTGCTCCGCCGATCCCATGCCAACTGGCATCTGCACCTGCACTCCGCCACCGGCTTGGCCTAAAACTCGACAGGTCTCATTTGAACATGGAAACTTTTAAAAACTCAAAATAATGCTTGCTATCCGTGAATGCTACTCTACAATTGACTACTAACAGTCTTATCTTCTTATTTGCTACTCCGTATAAATGCTTGTTTTACTATCTACGCGTCCCATTTACCTTATAGTCCTGGAAGACTCAAACGCACTACCAAGCACATTCTCTAAACCGCCCAAAGTACCGGGTCAAAAGTACCTACCCTTCTGCAATTACAATCTGCAACCTTCCGAGAATGTGTGTGGATGTGGACGGTCGGGGTACATTCCATAACCATTTCCCAATTCGCATCAAATCACGCCCTAATCATGATTACGTATACACTAAAAGTCCAATGCTCGATACGAACGATGGAAAAAGATCTGCCTACGCAGTGTGGCATCGTTCAACTAACAACTAAATTCCAGGCACTCTAATTCTTCTTCATCGATCTAGCCCTTATCATCTATGGCCCGCGGAATATGCGATCGGAATAGGAAATTTAGTTTAAGCTTTGCTGACCCGCCCGTTCTGCCTTTTTACCCCGTGAAGAACCTCCAAGTGTCAACAGTATACAGATCCCGATGGCGCTGACGCTCAGATCTCATTGCAATTGCCATAATCATTCATTAGATTAATCGAATCGCTACTGCCTGGATTCCTAGGTGCTCGTCGTGATCTACCTTGACGTGGTTTGTAATGGACAAGCTTCCCGCGGGCAAATGTGTCTTTGCCAAGCACTTTGTTGCCAATAGGAATTTGTTAGCCTACGGTATCAGGCCACCTACTAAGTTAGATGCATCATTGATTTCCTGAGGCATCGGCGGGAGTTGAAGTAACTAGCATTTGCGTTGTGACATTCTAGTTCATCTTGAGGTGATTGTCATTTAAGTTGACCTCTACTAGTAACACTATTATATAGGTAGTATTATTGTATGTAGAATATTACGATTGTATATAGGATATTACGATTATAGGAAGGATACTTAGTACTATGGACTGGGGACCCCCTTAGCTATCAAGCCAAAAGACTACTGTATCTGGCAACTGCCAGATACTCCCTAGGTCCACTATATACTATGCTACCAACCATGCTTAGTACTATCTTTCCTGTAGCACACCCGGCTACTGCGGCATGTCCTTACAAACAGATAATAAAAGAAAAGAATAGAAGAATAAAAAAAATTCAGTATTCCTACTATTGTCATGAGCCCTGCGGACTAAGGTGTGGGCGGCGGGCTACGGGTTCTGCCGCAGGCCCACACATATCCGTGAATAGTTGCCCTCTAGCATTCTTCCCCTGCTCATAGCGATATCATCGGATTCGTGCACACTACTACCCGTAGTACATGCCAATTAACAACTATACTATACGTTATAAAGGCTTCAATAGAGGTAGAGATAAAGCTAATATATAGCAAGATAGGAAATGTTATTGGTATTTTTAATAAGTTTAGATTACTCGAAAAAATATACTATATACTAAGTAACGATAAATTGCATTGCGGTGAGAATTATATTATACTACTGCAGGACACCAACTTGAATATGAATGCGGCTAGTCCAAGTCGTGTTTGGTCCTGACCGTAGGGTAGTAAGGCACAGCTAGTATTGTAGTGAAGAGGGGAATCCTGCCTGTGTCAAAATTATGCACAGAAAAAGACCCACCAAAACATCTATATTATTTCCTGTCGACACTGGACTGGAAAATACAGTATGGTAGCAAAAGATCCAAAGAGTGTAAAAGTGTGTTATTCGAAGCTATTTCCAGCACACACTGCAGTTATATAACATGCAATAATCCAAAAAAGCGGATGATATATGTATCTCCACGACCCGTCCGGCCCATTCAAGTTTCTGATTGGACAGCGGCTTTTCCCACTGCAGTAGGTAGATTGCTTTATGTATGCAGCCTTTACTAATGTCTTGTGAGTCCTCCATACCGCCATCTTGCATTGATTGCCAAATTCCTCTAGAGATTTGAAAAGCCTGCTCGTGATCAGGTGTGGCCTGAGATTGATCGACAGTATTACTTCTTGCTACTATTGCTGCATCCAGGTCTCCGGTTTAGTTGAGATCACAATTGTTATCGATCACACATGCGACCAAGTAATCATTTCAAGTTTTTGCCAATAAACTGGATATTGCCGTACAAACAAGCTCATGAGAATCTATTTATTTGCCTTGTTTTCTCTCTCCGCATCCATTCTTCTCTATTCAAGTTCTTCATCTTGAATATTTCTGAGTTTTTACCCCATGACGGTTATCAGTTCATCCCTGGACATGGACATGGATCTGGGTTATATACACAACTTGAACTGGGACTCTGACCCAAGCAGATCATCCTAATTAGTATAGTATATACAAACTTGAATCTTCCTGAAGGTACCACTTCCAAATCTAAGGAACATTAGTTAAAACCAACCCTCTTATGTCAAAGGTCCATACAATCAACAATCCTACGTTCAGCTCCGATTCGAGAAACAGACCTGTCAATTCTCTATTACCATCTGACCTCGATTACTGCAGGACGAATATGCCTTCGAAACTTTCCATTAACTTGAACGGGTTGCTGCGACTCTAAGTATTCTGAGAGTAGTACTACACGATAATGCCCCTCTATAGCAATTAGTACTATATACTCCCAAAGCTGCCAGTGGTTGATGACCATGTTTTTCATTTCATGTGCGTTGGAAATGGAAACACCTTCGTTTGAAAGTCTATTGCCCTCAAAGCGTAAGGCATCTCAGCCTCCACATTTCTGGGCGACACTTAAGAGACCACGAGTGAAGGATACCCAGCCAAACCCCGGCTCAACTTGTGCCGTGTGAATGTGCTCCTGAATCGGCCCAATCCACCCACCTTTGATGAACTGGATGACATTCACTCGGACCTGCAAGAACAAACTTCCGAAGAAGGAGTCCGGAAGAAAAGAAAAGAAGTCTCATTAATGTTTTCTCTATTACCGAAATGGGCATCGTGGGGTTGATCTCAGCTTCTCTGATCACTGCAAGAACTGAATATCCACGTGTTTTCTTTTAGGCACTCCAGTAAGTTGGCACACGTCCTATGAGAATTCAGGCTACGTCTTATCAGTCTATGGGAATTCAGTGAATGCCTATTGCTTCACATGACATAACTAACTTTGATATCCTTTTTGGGTCGCTCAATTACCTGCCTGTCACAAATGGGCCATGTCACCTGAGCCACTTGAAGCCGACTGAGGTATAAATACTATCTCTCGCTTCTCTCCAGAACTTTCAATCTCCAAGTTCCCCTTCCCTCTCACCCTGCCGAAGATCATCTTCCACATTTTTTCCGCAAAGATGTAAGATTCAAAGATATCTATTCCTTGCAAAGGTCATCGAATCCATGGAAATCAAACAGAGAGCCAGGTTCAGCCAGAACAATATGGCCCGCCACACCACTACCAGCAGATATTAGAGTCTTAGCTAACGTGCCCTAGGTCATTGTCTACGAAAAAACAGCTCGATGCACCAAAGAAACGGCGTCGAAAGCGCCATCCCAACGATTCAAAAAGAAAGGCGAATAACAAGGTTCGCATGGATAAAATCAAGGAAAAGCATAAAAGGTAAGTAACAAGAGATACGACCTACTGTTATGTATTTGGACAGTTAACGATTATCTTAGTCTCAAGATTACAGCCCTTAGCGCCTTTAATTTCCTAAACCTCTTCGATGACTAGGGATTCCAATAAGGCAGTTTCCATTTGAAATTTTCAGCTTTTTTTTTGAAAGATTTAAGACGTGGACCTCGGATCACAGGCCGAAGATCGATCGACAACGTCATAGGAGGTCGCGACTTCAGTAAGATATCTAGACATGAGATCTGGCCGTGTAAAGTTGGAGGGTAGATTTCACTATTAGACTCGTGAATGAATTTAACTGACTCCAGTGCATGTCTTAAAATTAATGCATCTTCTGTGATGTATGTTGCTGCCATATTGGAATGTCCCTGGATCTAACCCGATTTGGATCAATGCTGGACCTCGGCTTCGGAAGTGGCAGAATAACGGGCGGTGCCGAGTTGCCCGCGTGAAGCCCGCCTGGTGATTCCCCCGGATTCTGGATCCCGCTACGTCTTCTCCGCGTCTACATCTCCTCCTGTTGGGCTCCTTGCTTTCTCGCGTGGGCGGTCTGAAATACCTATACGAAAGTTCAGACTTACACAATCCCTGCAACCCTTTCTTTACAACCCCTCCGAACCTTTTCCGACGGCAATTGGAGCCCCGAACAGTCATGGACTTCGATCACTACGGGCAAAGCTCCCAGCAACCCAAGCAACGGCGCAAGAGAGCTGGGAAGAGGAGGCAGTGCAACAAGGCCCCGGTTCCTGCGCGTTTATCTCTAGATCCCCATCTTCGAGGAAATGTCGGAGTCCTTTCCGAGGATATTGCGAACGGTCTGTTCTCACAGCAGTCACTACTAGGTGAGTAACGGTCATGAGATTGCAACAGGGTTGGTGATAGGTCGTTTCGCTGACTGGATGAGCTCATTTTGATAGATGCCGCGACTGGTGATGGTGTACTCTATGTGGCAGTTTCCCCGCATATCCACAGCCACATCCACACTCCGATTGAAGAGCAACCTTGGACGATTCTCCCCGTTCGCGTCCAACCTGCAGCTAGATCGCAGGACAAGAACTCCCATTCAACTATCCTTTTTCCAGAATCGGCAGACTCCCTCCAGTCATTCCTCTTATCACTCGGGAAACTTGACTCAGCGCGTCAATCGCTGCAGACCCACCGCAGCGTCGAAATTCGAATTCTCGATGTTGCACCATTGCACCTAGACACAATCTTTGTTACAGTGGAGCGAAACTTGTTACGGAATCACGACGATGTGCAGAACAAATTTGGTGGTGGCTTCACCAATTCCGGACCAAACGGACTTTGGCCAAAGGCCGGGAGGGGTCCCGAGAGCAAGCGATATTCGAAGAAAGAGGCCGCGGATGTCCAGCAACGGTTGACTGCGGCTGTACGTGAGGCATTGGCTATCCAACGAATCGTTCATGTGGGGGATGTATTGCCCCTTCCATTACCACCGCACCCTATAACTTATGCGCCCGCCCCACCGGCCCGGATCTCCTTCTGTGAGCCGGTTTCGCAGGGGCTTTTGATGCCTGCGACAAAGGTTGTTTTGGTACAAGGCCGTGGCCATGGAAATCGCACACAGCCAGCGATGCCCCCCAGATCTGCGCTTCTAAGACAGGTAGCTGAGGACGAGGCTGATGACACTTCCAACGAACAATTCTTTTCCGCCGCGGAAGATAAGCCCGGCGAAAGTGGGACAGAGATGGAGACAACATCTGCTGCGGATGAATCCGAAACTGAAGGGTCTGCCGGGTCTGCTAGCGATTCGTCCGATGACTCGTTGGAGGATATGATATCGCTCTCGGCCCCAGAATTACCACAGCCGCCATCAGGTGTGATGTCTTCTATGACATCTGCGACTCCGCGCGCAGGTGGACGACGAATGGATGGAATTCACACACCGGGCTCGGTTGCTTCTAATTTCACATCTGCTACCATGCGACCGGGGCGTAGTGGAGGAAAGACCTTCAAGGTCGAGGGACTTTTGCAACAAGTTCCAAACGAGGTGTTACACCCTCGCCCTCGCGATGATGAAGACGTTGACTCCTTTGTATTTGTCGATATCAGCACACTGGCTAAGATTGGCTGCTTCTCGGGGGATTGGGTGCGAATCGAATCCGCCGAAGAACCACAGCTCAACATGTTCGCATCGCTTAAATTCGGGAGCTTCAATGAATCCCCAGAGGATTCTGGGGAGTGGCGACCTGTGAAAATCTTTGGCCTCCCAGGACTTCCATCACCGAAGCCTCGATATGCCATCAATCCTTCGGGAGGTCGCAGATCGAGCTTCTCGCAGCGCCCGCAGACACGTTTGACCCCGTCAGTCTTCGTGCCACCGCTACTACTTGGTAATATTGAAAACCCCAAGTATCTGCGCATCTCGCCTATGTCATTCCCCGTTGTCAGTGCTCCTGGAAAGTCCGGTCTTCTCAATCATATGAAAAACACCGCTTCAAAGAATCCCCCATTGGCAAAGGAAGTCACTCTGCTAAAGGTCTCAACCCCTCTCTCCATGGATCGTGTTCTCCAGCCAGCGCTGTTTGCTGGCCTCAAAAATTACTTTGAATCTCGTCGACGCATCTTGAAGAGCGGCGATCTGGTTGGTATTAGTGTCGACGAAGGACTTGGGCGAGCCGTATTTTCAGGAACTGCCGGTGGTGATGCTGCTAGCCAAGAAGATGATATCACCGCTCGATTGGGCCAGGGTAGTGTCTCAGACAACTCTACACCTCGTAAAGTTGGTGTTGCTTGGTTTCGCGTTGGCCAGGTTGCCCCGATCGCCGTCGAAGAGTTCGAGGAAACCGGCGAGGACCAGTGGGGCGGCGTCGCTGTTATTGATCCCTCTAGTACTCGTATGGTGCAAGCTGGTAGCGATGTTAGTCGGGTCCCCGGAATTCTTGGCAATGGTTGGGAATACTGGCTTGGAGCTAAGAAGATTCCTAAAGCTGTGAACGATGCGCCAGCGCCTCATGGCATTATTACAGAGCCCCCTCAGGCATTCATCGCTCCCCTACAGCAACGAATTCGGGACTTGATGGCCGCCGCCACAAGCCCGCGCGCAATTCAGCTTGGCATGAAACCCGTGATCATTTTATTGAGATCTCAACAAAGACACATCGGCAAAGCGACCGTTGCAACACGAGCGTGTGCTGATATTGGTCTTCACACATTTCCCATCGAGGCCTATGACATCTTAACCGAAGGTGGTGCGAATGGTGGTGATGTCAAGACCGAGGCATATCTCAAAGCCCGGGCCGAACGAGCTTTCCACTGTGGAGCAAACTGCACCGCATTGCTCATCAAACATATTGAAGTTTTAACAGCCGATCGGATGGTTACTGCCATGACGGAGATCGCAAACGAGGCCCGCGTTATCATTGCCACCACTACCGATGTTGAGCAGATTCCGGAAGGAATTCGCAGCATGTTCACGCACGAATTCGAGATGGGTGCTCCAGAGGAGAAGGAGCGTGAAGGCATTCTCCGGAATGCAGTGGCAGAGCGTGGTATCAAACTAGCAGCTGATGTCGAGCTTGGAACCGTTGCATTGAAGACTGCAGCACTTGTTGCAGGAGACCTGGTTGATGTCGTGGAACGAGCCGCCGCGGCTCGAACTGCTCGTCTGGAGTCTCTTGCGGAGGCAGCAAGCAAGCAATTATCTGGGGCTTTGGTATATGTTCGGGATGTTTTACTCGCTGGAGGCGATGGGGCGCGCGGCGTCACCAAGGCCGACTTCGATTCCGCTGTTGAAGCTGCGCGAAAGAACTTCGCTGACTCCATCGGCGCTCCGAAGATCCCCAACGTCAGCTGGGATGACGTCGGTGGATTAACCAATGTTAAGGATGCATTGGTTGAAACTATTCAGCTGCCGCTTGAGAGACCTGAGCTGTTCGCAAAGGGCATGAAGAAGCGCAGTGGTATCCTCTTCTACGGTCCTCCGGGTACTGGCAAGACATTGCTGGCCAAGGCCATTGCCACCGAATTCTCCCTTAACTTCTTCTCTGTCAAGGGTCCAGAATTGCTCAACATGTACATCGGTGAATCCGAAGCAAATGTTCGTCGTGTCTTCCAGAGAGCTCGAGACGCCCGCCCCTGTGTTGTGTTTTTCGATGAGCTGGATTCAGTAGCTCCTAAGCGTGGTAACCAGGGTGATAGCGGTGGTGTCATGGATCGTATTGTGAGTCAATTGCTTGCAGAGCTGGATGGAATGAACGGCGGAGAGGAGAACAGTGGTGGTGTGTTCGTTATTGGAGCCACTAATCGCCCTGATCTGCTCGATACTGCTCTTCTCCGACCTGGTAGGTTTGATAAAATGCTCTACCTGGGTGTTTCAGATACGCATCGCAAGCAAGCCACAATTCTCGAGGCACTTACAAGAAAGTTTGCTCTCAATCCCGAGGTATCCCTGGACAGAGTTGCAGACCGACTTCCTCTCACTTATACCGGTGCCGACTTGTACGCCCTCTGCTCCGATGCTATGCTCAAGGCTATTACCCGGAAGTCTACTGCTGTTGACGACAAGATCAAACAACTGCCTGGCGAGCCTGTTACCACGGCATACTTCTTCGACCATCTTGCAACTGCGGAAGATGTAAACGTGAATGTTACCGAAGAGGACTTCGTATCGGCGCAGCAAGAGCTTGTTCCTAGTGTCAGGTAAGTTTCATAGATGGGTTGAAGGACCACCTTCGAAGACGATACTAATATTCCATACAGTGCAAAGGAGCTTGAACACTTCGAACGAATCCGTCAAACCTTCGAATCAGTCGACAAGCAGAAGAAAGATCCATCAGCCGCTCCACAGACTATTGCGGATGCCATGGAGGCATTTAACCTGGGAGGAGGCGAGGATGCGGAAATTTCAATTAGCAATGGAGACGCTTCTTTCGGAGGCAGTATCCATGATCGCATTAAAGGGTTAAAGCAATGGCCTGGAAGCTCTGTGCGAAGTGTCAGTGGCCAATCCACGACAAGCAGTAAAGGCAAAGGCAAAGGAAAAGCCGTAGCCAGCAAGAAGGGCAAGGGTCCTGCAAGTGGAGCAGATTCTGATGCCTCGCTCGAAGATGGAGAAATGAATGGGGTGACTAATGATGACGACGAGGACTATATTGTGCGAACTGATCATCTTACAAACCCTATGGAAGAGGTTGAGTAATTATTCTCTGTTGTTTTTTTTTTTCATTTTGTGGTCTTGCACCTGGGCAGCGTTTGCTTGGGACACCATATTTACATTTACATTTACATTTACAATATGCTGAGTGTTATCTTAGCCATGTATACAAGTTTAGACATTATGAATATTATTTACATTATTGTATATTTTATGCCATGGAAACAGGCAACCTTGTGGTCTCCAAGGCTACCAGTGTAGTAGTACCTCAGGCTCGTACAGATTTGTTTACTTTGCTGCTTTATTCACTTCCTCAAGGCTCCAACCATCCAACTATAATTCTTTGCTTCTGTTTATTTCTCAACATGTTTTCTTCCCTCTCTTGTTTCTTAATCTGTTTCTTAATCCTTGCAATATCATCAAATCCTTCCATCTTGAACTCTCATTATCTGTTCTGATTCTACTGGGTTCATCATCAACATGAGTAACCTCGACCAACCACCCCCACTAGCCAGACTCAGAGTCCCAATCCTGGTTCCTCCTCCAACGCCAAGATTTCTTACTCCAGATTCTGTCAAGATTTCCCTTCTTCTTTCTCATCAAAAATGGTTCGAATACACAGACCCTCTGACCTGGAATCAAGATGTGCTGAGAGAGCTTGTCGCATCCCCCGAGGTCTACGAGCAAAACAGCATGCTTGTTTCCTACAAGCCTCGTCCCAAGATTGATAGGAAGGTCGAAACTTCTACATTGGATCTGGGTACCTTGAGCTGTCTGTCTTTAGAAGTGATCCAAGAAATCATGAACAACATGGACTTGCTCACTCTGGAACGATTCGCCCGAACCTGTCGTTATGCCCGCATAATCATGACCTGTCATCCAACTTACAACTTTCTAATGAAACACTCTCCTCACGTCCGCGATTTACTCTCCAACACAAGGCTTCTGTACTGGCACAGTATCCTCAACATCAAGGCCGAGCTTCAATTCCCAAAATGTCGCTCCTGCGACTCAACAGCCTCATACCTCTACCTTCCAACCTGTGAGCGCATCTGTCCAACATGCTGCAACCACAACAAAAACTACTGGTGCATTGACATCCACGACGCAAAAGTCGCGTTCGCCCTCGAGATTATCGACATCAAATGTCTCCCGATCATCAGAATCAAGCCCCAAGGCAACAAATCCCGATTCCCCGGCGTAATGAATGCAACCGAATGGCTATGCCCAATCAAATGCGCCTTTGAATCAGCTCTCAAACGCTGGAAAACCATCTCCGGCCTCCAACACGCCGCTCAGGAAATTTCGCCAGATAGATACGATGACGCGACTGCTCTTGAACGTGCAGATGCTCGACGCTACCGATTCTTTCGCTCCCCTGTCCCCGAAGTAACAGGTGATCCGTCTCTTAAGTTGAAGGCGCCCCGTCTTGCAGCCGGACATTCTTTAGCTCAAACAACTGCTACTATGATTCCGCATGTTGAGCGGAGCTATGATGTACCTAGCATGCGGTATATGTGTAAGGGTTGCTTGTGGGCTTATGAACACAAGCTTCGTCCTCGAAAAGATGTGTTGGAGTACATGGGGTTGGATCCGGGGTTGGATCCGTTTGAGATTGTGAGGATTTTCGAGCGCAGAACTCATATGTCGAGAACTTGGCCCGAGATGGTGGTACATTTTACCAAGTGTATCGGGGCGGGCATTCCCATGTGGATGAACAAGTGTAATGAGGAAGATAAGGTGACGCTTCAATTACAACACCAGACCCAGCAGCAGCAGTGATTTTAGGAGTCTATGGGTGTTTAGGATCGGGATTTCTTATGGATTTAATTATGTATTGCGGCGATGAAATTAACTCTGTAATATGATAGCGAATTACATTTACCTTCGAATTTTGTTTATGATTATTAATTCCCGAGGAATCAAGGCTAAATTATTGGTCAGACTGTGTCCTGCACATCATGATGTGGTGCACGATCGGACTCAACAACCGCGTTGTGCATGGGCAGTGCTCATTGCACAGCAAACATCTCGCTGCCAATCGTTGTCTGCCACGCCGTGCATCAGGCTGATTTGTAGAACGCCTCATCTTCCATTTGTTTGTCAGGCAGACTACCGATTGTGGAATACACTTGGCAGCCATAGAAGTACTATATTATGAATTATGAGGGGAAAGAACAGGTCGTAACTTTACTTACTCACTTTAAATCGACTCACAAATCCCAGTTCCTTATTCATCCCATCTTTCTCCAATCCTCTATTTATCCACCCCAAAACGCCAGGTAATTATACTTGGACTTATATATGATCTTGAATTAATGATCTTGCATTGATGCTATCCTCGTGAAGACTCGAAGTCACTACGAGTCCCAACTGCCCCACATCAAATCGGACCACGGTTCAAGCGCGTTCCTGGCCTGGGAATGCTCCACCGCGACAACTCCACCCCAACACAGGATATCTGGCTTCAATCCCAGCTTTGCACGCGCTATAACAAGGATGGAAAAGGGAGCACCGAAGGCGGCGACGTCTTTCTCGTGCCCGAAATGCAAAAAGACGAATTTTGTCAGCTTCGGTGCATTGAGGGATCATTTCACCGCTAAGGAGCACCCTTTTCGTTGTGGGACTTGTGATCGTGATTTCAAAACAGTAGAGGCTGTTTTGCAGCACTTTCAGAGACATACAGCATCGGTCCCATCAGTTGCATCCGTACCACCAGTTCCATCCGTGCCATCGGTTCAACCTAGCCTTACTAAGGCGTCGAAGGGAACCCAAACCGACCAGCCCAATAAAGTCAAGCCTGGTTATGCTTCGCAGATCGAGCGGGATCTCCAGGTAATTCAAGCAATCCAGGCCGCTCAAGGATCGAAAACAAAGAAAGCAGCCAAGGCCCAAGCACAGAAAAGCGGAAATATCCCGCCAGCGAAGATGGAACCCATCAAAACGAAACCAACTCCACGCCCGAAGGAAAATGCAAAAGATGCCGAGGTTCTCCCAGCGGGTAAGTGGAACCAGGTTATCTATCTATCCCTCTATCCCAGGGATCCCCATTGACCATCCCGGTTTTGTAGACGTCGGACCATGTGAGACCAACCCCGTTCTCCTCTGTCCGCCCGAGCAGGAAACGCTGTATCGTCGCTTAATCGGTAAATGCCATGGCGGTAGTCGGCTTTACGCGCATGGCTTCACAGTCCCTTGGAATATAAAGAGTACAAAGAAACAGAATTCAAAAGGCTCAGTCAGTACTCAGGACTTTATAGAGCTTCCTGATGCATCTGAAGATATAGCACCGGGAACAAAGAAACACGCCATCGTTATCGACTGTGAAATGGTTGAAGTGGCAGGCGGACGCCGAGAGGTGGCTTTTCTCACCGCGCTAGATTTCCTCACCGGTGACATCCTAATCAATCACTATGTACAGCCCCGATCGAAGGTTACGGGCTGGAACTCTAGATATAGCGGTATAACCTCTCGTGCTCTGAATCAAGCTATGAGAACAGGGAAGGGACTTCATTGGGATGAGGCACGGGCAAGATTATGCAGCCTTGCTAATAATGAAACGGTCCTTATCGGACATGCTTTAAACAACGACCTCGATGTACTGGGGATTATTCATCTGAATATCGTCGACTCATGTATTTTGACATGCGAAGCTGTGTATCCGGATTGGTCCTTCGACAAGTCTCTCCCTCGTACCTGGGGATTGAAGAGTTTGACCAAGGAGCTTCTGGGCTATGATATACAGACTAGCAAGCTCGGACACAGTGCCCTGGAAGATGCGTATGCGACCAGGGAAGTCGTTATATGGTGCATTACGAATCCGAAGGAGCTACAGGAGTGGGCACGGAAGACTCGGCAACTTGAAGATGCGCGACAGGTTGAGATTGCACGGAAAAGAGAAGAAGAGCGCCAGAAGAAGCTGGCAGAGGCGAAGAAGCGTAGGGAGGAAGCTCAGAAGAAAGAGGAGGCCAGGAAGCATAAGGAAGAAGCTAAGAAGCGCGAGGAAGAAGAAGCAAAAGCCCGCAGTGAATATCTGCCAAGACCGGTGGTCATACCCAATTTTGTTCCTATTCCGAGACCTGTTCAAGTTCCTGTCCAAGCGCCCGTTGAGGCGGGGGAGAAGATCGACGAGAATTGGTCTGATATCGGAGACGAATTCGTACCATTGCTTTGATTCGAGTCTTTTTTCTGTTTGAGAATGCGAACTGTTCGGGCGGACCATGCTGTACCTCCTTACCTCGTTCTTCAGCTCTTCTTCTTGCAAGGTTGCTGGCATTTGTTTACTATGACTGATGTATCTATAGTTACATTTTTAACCCCTGAAAAATGACTTCATGAATAATGCGTCCATGCACGAATGATCATCGACTGATACTTTTATTAAAGTTATTCATACAGAAACTTTTAGCTGTTGGAGTATGTGGCTGTGCCTAGTGCGCTTAGGCGTGCTAAACCTGAATGGGTACGGGCCGCTATGGTCGTAGCTGGTTGTACGACATCATGTGACAGCAAGATGCAACTTAGTCTTATTATTAACCCGTCACAAACTCAAGTACATCTTGACTCCTTAATAACAACACTCTTACCAGCGACTTTTCAACAATCTCAGTCAATACGACTCAGCTGCATTCCATAACTGGGGGTCGACAAGCAATTGGCCCCCATTCCGAAGCAGACTCCACCTCGCTCCGAGACTCTACCCTGTTAAGCTCAAGATAGCAAAGGTGTCAAGTCCCGAAAACACAACACCCAATGTGTCTTACAAGTTATAAACCTCTTCTGATGAATCAGAACCTCGCGACATGGTCTCTCTGCCTAGGACACTAATACCTGCTCCTCGCCTATCAGCCGCACTACGTCTTGCCCAAGCCGTCTCAGCGTATGAAGCTGATTTGACACGAGACCAGAAAGAGGAGTTTAACCATCATCGCTTACGTGCGAATGAAAAGCCACCCTCAATTCAAGATGTAATGCGACTTACCGCGGACATTGATGAGCAATTGTCTAGTAAAATCCGTGGTCGTTGTCTGGGTACTCGGACAACCAATTTTTTGCAATGTGTCCAGCAATTCACGGCTTTGGGCGACCTGATTGTGGGTGGTTCGCAGAATTTAGTCGCGAGTGGGGTGTGGGCGTTGGTTCGTACGTCGTTGAAGGTTTGTACATACTCTACCCTCTGGCTTGATGTTAGAATGTATACGGAGGAGGGAGGACTTCATACTAACATTGCATTGTTTACAGTTAATATTGAACTTTTCATCTTATTTTGAGAGAATATCTAGCCTTTTCATGGTTATTGGGCGGTCGGCACCGCGATATGAGAAATTAGCAATTTTGTATCCCCGGTCGAAGGAGTTGCAGTCCTTTCTCACGGAGTACTTCACAATCGTGGTTCAACTTTGCCATCGAATTCTCAGATTTACTCAGAAGTCTACACTTGGCAGAATTGGAGCCACGTTAAATGACTCTGATTTGATTGGGTTTCAACAGCAGCTAGAGTCCAGAGCTAGGGATATCAAAGATGAAGTCAATTATCTTATGGCGCAGAGGATAGAAGAGCAAGCGAGCTTCACTACTCATGTATGGTCTAGAAGACCATCTAAGGAGATTATCCACCAACGTCAGATGAAGGCTTACTTCGAGGTACTGGATTTCTGTTCGACGTATGACTACATGTCGCCGTGGAAACAGGCGCGAAGGCTTGGAAATACGACTTTGTTTCACCTGTGTCTGCAGTATTTGACTTGGCGAGAGCGCGCATACTCGAGTTCTTTGATTCTAACGGGGAGACTTGGATCAGGCAAATCGGTCTTGTTGGCAAATATGGTAGACGACCTGAACTTGCATTTTCAGGGTCAAAACACAACAGTGGCTTTCTTCTTTTGTCGTCATGATTTGCCAGAAAGTCTCAAGCCGCGCGCAATGATCGGGTCTATAGCTCGTCAGCTCCTCTGGTCAACACCTGATATAGCTGAACGAGCTAGCAATTATACTCTCAGACCACAACTGGATGATTTTGAAACGATACGAGGCTTACTTCAGGCTCTGCTCCCAGCTGGCTTTAAGGCTTACTTGGTCATCGATGGTCTGGATGAATGTGAAATCAACGATCGACAAACTGTGATTCAAGAGCTTCGCTTGCTGCAGCAACGGTACTCAATCTGTCTTTGTGCCTCTGTTCGAAAAGAGCCCCGAGACTTGTACGACATTGATATTGTCTGGGAGAGGTTTGAATCTTCTGTCGTGGGTGCTATACCTGATAATTCGAGTGATATCGAATTGTTCATTGGGGCGGAACTCGAGAACCGTATAAAATCTGGACAACTGACGATTGGAAATCCGTTGTTGATACTAGAGATTCAAGATGCTCTGCTGAAAGGGTCACAAGGAATGTTCCTTTGGGTTGCGCTTCAAATTGACAATCTTTGCACGATGTGTACAGACGAAGCTATTCGCCATGCATTAGATGATCTCCCATCCACACTCTCCGAAACGTTCGATCGAATACTTCGAAAATTTGACTCCAATCTCGCGCGATCGTATCAGAAAATGATTTTGGAAATTATTGTTGCAGCCCGATATCCGCTCACGCCAGATGAGCTACGAGAAGCTCTCAGCGTGGTCCCGGGTGAAACTACGTGGGAGCCGTCTAAACAAGTCAACGACATATTTAATATTTTGACATGTTGCGGAAGTTTATTAACCATTGATGAAGAGCAAAATACTATACGGCTCGTTCACAGCAGTGTCAGACAGTTTTTGATTGAGTCCGAGTCAGTGGATACTTCGAGATTTACGCTCAAGGAAGCACGGAAGCGAATATCTGATATAGTTATCACGTATCTCAACTATAATATTTTTGAAACTCAGTTGTCGACACGAGTTACTCCTAATATACAAGTTGATTCGGCGCCTGCGAAGATCTTGGGATCGAATTTCGAAGTTCCCAACGTTGTGCGTGAACTTGCAGTGAGCCTCTTGAAGCTCCGAAGAGCACCGGGGTTTAACATAACCACGGCGCTTGATCAATTCAGCCCTCGACAGAAACATACACCCGATCATAGTTTCAGATTCCTTTCATATGCTAAGTCCAATTGTCTATTCCACTTCACTACTACTCTGGAATCTCAGACACCTGGTCATGTCGACGAGCTATTCCTCAGACTGCTCAGCGGTACCATGTTGGATAAAAACACCACCGACGGGCAAAGATTACTACTGGCATCTGCAAAAAAGGGAATTGAATCAATTTTGAAGCCTCTGCTGCATTCAAGCCACTTAAATCCCAATTCAAGAGATTCATTTGGTCAAACTCCCATATTTCTCGCTACTGCCTCTGGACATGAAGACATCCTTACCTACCTCCTCAGTATAAAAGCAGTAGATCCAAATCTCAAAAGCAAAAAGCAGCAAACACCCCTCCACATCGCAATCGAGAACACACACATTTCAATCTCAAAGACTCTCATCCAATCAACCCGAGTCAACATCAATGCCAAAGACCACTCCGACCGAACGCCCTTACACTACGCCGTCCAAAACATTTCCGCACTCCCAATCTTCAACCTCCTCCTCGGCTCCCCCTCTATCCTCTTCGACGAACCAGATATCCAGGGTGACGCGCCTCTTCAAAAGGCCCTCGAAAAAGGCAACACCCTCGCCTCAAAATCCCTCTTATCAACCGGAAAAGTGAAAACAAACACCGTAGACCGACACGGCATTACATACCTCCACTTGGCATCTAAATACGATTTCACAGGCGAAATCGTAAAAATTCTTCTCAAAATACCCTCTACAGATCCAGACGCAGGGGATAACAAAATGATAACACCCCTTCATCAAGCGGTTAAAAGCAAGAATCTACCCGCTTTAAAGGCAATTCTGGAGTCAGGAAGAATCAATCCTCCATTCAGGGTGAATGGGCGCCGTCTCAATCCTAATAAATGGACTGTTATGCATGCTGTAGCTCAGTATGGAGATGAGGATATGACCCGTCTAGTATTGGGGTTTGAGCAGGTTGATCCTAATTCGGAGGATTATGATGGGAAGACACCGTTGCATTATGGGTGTTCGGCTGATAATTTGCAGTTTGTGAAGTGTATGCTTGAGTTTGAGAGGGTTGTTGTTAATAAGAAGGATCATTCGGGGAGAACGCCGCTTCATGTTGCGTTTATGCATAATAGTTCTGCTGTTGCGGATTTGCTTCTTGCGTCGAAGAGGGTCGATCCCACGGAGAAGGATAATGAGGGGAGGACTCCGTTTGATTATGCTGAGATTGGAATGTTTCTTCCGGGGGATTAGAAATGAGTTGTTTCGACACTTTCATGATTGATGCGCTAGTGGGAATTTAGATTTCCTAGAGGCTGGGCTTGGACACGATCTGTAACTTTACGACCATATCCCCTTGTTGTGTATATATGAGCTCAAAGCTTGAACTGGAGACAACTTGAAAGAATTTGATAAGTGCAATACATATGTTATTATTCTAATGCAACGTGGGTATCATGCAACGTGGGTATCATGCAACGTGGGTATCATGCTAGGCGTTAATGCAGTCATTATATAGAACATTGGAAAGGATGTCATATCACGTCGATCCCTGACCGTGCTCCTCATTCCAACGATCCAGAATCTTCTTCACCTCCTGAAATGCAACGGGCTTCGTCAAGAATAAGTCCATTCCAGACTCGATAGCCTTCATCTCATCAACGATACTACTGAGGCCCGTAAGAGCAACAATAGTAGAGGGCCTTACTTGATCTTTGCGTCCCCTTTCAAACGCACGAATAGCTCGCGTGGCTTCAAATCCATTCATGAGAGGCATAGAGATATCTGTGAAATGTTAGTAGGGAACAAACAGAAACATGATTGAAGAACTAGACCTACCCATGAAGATTATATCGTAGCCCTGTTTATCAGCTTTGACGGCATCTAGAGCTAAATTGCCATTTTCCGCGGAGTCCACGTATGCTGATTTGTGTTTCTTTAAGAATGCAAGTATGAGGCTCAAGTTGATTTTGTTGTCTTCGACCACTAGGATGCGAGCACCTCTCTCCATTGACTCTGGTTGAGTTGTCTCTTTTGGCTGTGTGTTTGGTTGAACCTTTTTGACTTCGACGGCCGGCACTTGGTTCGTTTCCTGAAATCCTTCCTCCAGTTTAGGGGACTGAATAGGCTGTTTTTCGATTTTCACGTGTGCAGGGGGCTTTGGTAAAATCGCTAACTCCGAAGGTAAGTTAAAAGACCTCTTCTGGTCGAGACACTTCTTTATAAATCTGGCGAGCTTGTGCGGACCCCAAGGCCGATTGATGATATGCACATTGCAAGATCTGATTGAAGATGTGGCGCGCGTTGAATCTCCACCGACATACTCGTTGCTGAAGATAAGGGCATTGGTATTTCCGGCGTTTCGACCATTGATATATTTGTCTAGAGGAGCTCCATCAAATAAGATAAGATCGGCGGGTGAGTCTGAACAGAAATGGACGATTTCTAAACCAAACCAATCGGTCAAATATCGGCAGACGGTTGACCAGGATTGAAGCGAAGAGACATCTTCGTATTTCGCATTGATTATAGAGACGGTTTTACCGGAGTGGGTTTGGCGCAGAATCTTTGCATCATTAGGAGCTACCTTTCGCTCACGTGTCTCAGTTGGAGAGGGCAATGAGCCAAAATGAGCTTCTAGTTCTTGTCCTGGGCGGATGAGAGGTAGAGAGACTTTGACGGTCGTTCCCTTCCCTATTTGGCTTTGAAAATTAATGGTGCCGCCAATAGGTTTAATTAGGCTTCGGACGATGGAAAGGCCGAGGCCAGAGCCCGCGGCAAGTGAATCCTCCTGGACGAATGGAACAAATAATCTCGATCGCAAGAACTCCTCGGAGATGCCTCTTCCAGTATCGGAAACTGTCAAGGTGACCAGGTCTTCCTGGGTGTTGTGTCTTGAAGAGTCTTCAACTTCTAGTCGGAATGAGACTTGGCCCGCCTCGGTATATTTCATTGCGTTACTGAAGATGTTCATGATGATTCGTCTTAGAGCTCCAGGGGGGATATGATAAACCCAATCGTTGGGTGCAATGTCAATTGTTACTTTGACTTTCGGGTGAGTGGAGGTTGAACGTGCTGTCATGCTATGCTTTGTTTCGAGGGATGATAACAAATCGGACGATGAAGAGAAATGTTGATTATGGTAGTGACCTAGAGAGACTCCATCGACAACTTCTTCGGCTAATGTTGAGAGGTCAGTTGTGACATATACGTCTAAATGTGTCGCGGATCGATGCATATTTTTCAGCTCCAAAGTGGTCGTTCTTCGGCGATCTAGATGTCGAAATCGTTTTTCCAATGATAAGATCTTGCTGTAATCTAGGACTTGATTCATTGTATCCAAAAGCGTGCGGCCACAGGCATTGATCGTGTCCATAAGGGATCCTTGGTAAGGATTCAATTCGGTTGTTTGTAAGATTTCTGCTGCTGCCAAGATTCCATGAAGCGGGCTTCGCAATTCGTGTCTATATCGTTTGTCAGCTATCGACTGATAAGATTGATCAGATACTTTGGGATGTTCGGACTTACGATATACTTCCGAGAAAGTCGGCTTTATGACGGTCGGATATCAGCGATTCGACTCGACTGCACTCGACCATCACGGATGATCCAAAACTTAGCAAAGAGCCAAGTTCCACTGATTGATCAAACACGTTGCTCTCGATGTTATTCCAGCAAAAGCAACCACCAAACCATTGTGAATTGGCAGAGCTCCACAATGGAACGAACATCACTTGTGAGGCACCTAGAAAGCAATCGTTGAGCATCTTGTTCTCTTTAGTCTTCCACTTCTTCGGTCTTTTTGATCGGACATAATTTATCCTAGAAGCGTAGTCCCTCGGCGAGCCATCTTCGCTATCAGAGCTTGAGAGCTGGCCATCACGATGAAGAGACCATATATTTCCTTTCTGATACCTGTTAAGAAGACGATGAAGAAATTCTTCATCCATATTCGCGACCGGATACGATATCGGGACCTCTTCATTGGGGCCGAAAGTATCCTCTTCCGTGGAAACAGCCAAGATGGAGGCGTGCTTTCCGGTCTCTGCGGAACTAGAGAAATCACTGTCACTATTCAGGTCCACCATTGGGTCGTTTCCAGCCTCCAGGAAAACGACTCCACTGTCTCCTCCGAGTTCAAGGCTTTCTCGGATGATATTTGCGGCGCGTCGAAAAGTCGTCCAATTTCCTAAGTTGGTATCGACACCATCATGTTTAGACTGAGACCCATTATCAGAGGATGATGTATCGTAGCTTGATTGGCTGGACGGGTCAGATCCGTTGGGATTTGACGCTGCCGAATACCCGGAGCTACTAGAGCGAGATCGATGGGAGGATACGCTGTGAGCTTTTCGATGTCTAGAATTTCTGCTATCTCGTGATGCATTGCTTGTCTGCCGACTCAAAGTTCCCTGGGATCCACTTGACACCTCGAAGCTGGATCGACCATCAACAAAATGGCTTATTCCTTTGGATAGACGAGCGGCTCGCCTACCTTCTGAGGCTTGGCGACTGACCTTTAAAAAGTCCATGATCAACATTGCCATGTGACCCATGGACTCCCGATCTTTATTTGAGAATTCGGGATGGGGCTTAGTGTCAAGAACAAAAAAACAACCGACGTTGATGTTGCTGTCTGTAGTTAAAGGGGTTCCGGCATAGAATCTAAAGCTGGGATCTTCTTTGACTAATGGCAGATGCTGATAACGTTCGTCTAGGGACATGTCGTTCGAGATGATGAAATTGTAGTCGCCCGTGGTCCGATTAGAGGCAGGCAATGCAACAGTGTCCTAAAATTGTGTAAGCGACGTATAAATAGGCCACCGGAAAGCATTCGCCGGCGTAAGTCTATCTTACCTGGCACATGTTCCAATTGCTGACGTCCAGCGTCGAGCAGCCATTGTAAAGGCCTTTACTTAACAAGTCATATTTGTCTGTGCTTTCAGTCGTTTGACCGGCCTGTGCGATAATAAATTGAGAGTCTCGGTCCGATACACTGATCAGAAGGTTAGCCATGTGAATTCAATCTACGCTGGGCAGATATTCAAGAGGTTAGGTGGTTTACCTAATAAAAACGCGGTCCATACCCAAGCGCAGAGCAGCCAGTTGAGCGAATGAACCAAGGGTTGAATTTGCGTCACCCAATATTAATGAATCCGGCATGGAATTCATGGGAGCGGCAGCAGGCTGGGGGCGGGTCTGCAACGCATTTGGCGATCGAGATCGAGATCTATCTGGAAATTGGAAGTCATTCTGGTCCTGATTGTCGGGGGTTATATCCTCGTCGATCGCATCGAGACGTTCTGGTCGAAAATATCGATAAACCTCGCGGGCTCGACGGCCTGCATTGTGCCCATCGCGATTAGCCGTAGCAGCGGGAGATGACATGGTTGTCGCCTTCTATTTCAAGGTACGATTTGTGAGATCAGAAAGACTGAAAGGCTAGCCCGCCTAGAATCCCGGCGTGTTGGTAAACGGGAAATTCCAGCCGAATGGATTTAGAGTGTGGCAACTAAGCGCGCACGGCGTTAACCAGCGGCAACACTATTACTTATGTCAACCAGCCGAGGTTCGACAGTCCAGAGGGCGAGAAATGCTCAAAGCAGGAGCGATATTGAATGAATTTAGGGAGAGAGTCTAGACAGACGTCAAGATCCATCGTGGGGATATGAGGATAGTAGAGATTTTTGCGGGTCGTGGGGAGAGGGAATGGCTGAAGCGGTTGGCTAAGCGGAAAAGGTAGCAAGAGCAGGTATTATTGGCGGAAGGTCACGGCAATCAAGTTATATACGCAGTAGTATGAAAATTACGATGAAGACCAGAACCAGGTATGGGGATTGGACCCGCTTAAACGGAAAAAGCAACAGGGAAGGGGGAAACCGAAGGATGCGTTGGGAGGAAATGGAGAAGCAGAAGCAAACAAGGACTAATCTTGGAATGAGACGTTATACTTGGTCCGCTAGTCCTGAAATAGTTTAGCGCAACCAGAAACAAGATATTGGTCTTTCAATGTCGGCAACGCTGCCACCAATCAGAAGCCACCGTTGCTATATACACTTCATGCAACAACTTATGACTCTCATGCCCCTTGAGGGGATCTGTTCAGGCTTTTCTGATTCGCGGGATCTTTAAAGAGCTGAAGTGGCACATAGGACTTGAAAGTAGCTGAAACCTTGATGATCTACACCGTTGATGTAGGCAGATGAATACTATCAGGTTATATACTCCGATCTGCCTCCAATGGTAACCGTTCTTGAGCCACCCAAGCCACAATATACAGATAGCGGATACGTCAGTTGTCCCACACTAGATACGATTGGGTTAATGGTTTGATGTGTTAGAGGTCAATCTCGTGTTTCACACCCGAGGCCTTTGAGCTGGCCAGACTCGACCTGCAACTGGAAAGCTCTGGATCCACTAACCACCCCCCAAATTCCTACCCTATAGCTCCCACAGCTCAACTGCTCATTTAGCCCCCCTCTTGCACCGTTAGCTAGCACTCCTCCCCATTGCCATTTTTTCTCAAGCATCCTCCAAGCTACGTTTGTGGTCTGTGCACTCTGAGGATCCCACCAAAATGTCAGAATTCTTGTCGACGTCCATCATGGGCGTCAGCTTTGAGCTCACGACTCGGTAAGACTGGATCTGTTGCCCAGGAAATTCGGGCACTGAAAACTTCGCTGCCAACCTCATCAAGCTAATTCGACTCCAGATATGACGACCCCTTACCTGTGGAGCTAGACGCATTCGGCCTTATATGGTACGCGATTCTATCTCCATCGCTTTTTCCCACGCGCAGAAACGCGAAAACATGGATGCTGACTTTGTCGACTAGCTCTGCAAATGACCGCATTTTAAAGAAATTGGTCGCTATTAAGAAAGTGACGAGGCCATTTGGCTCCGCGACGCTTGCAAAACAGGCTTTTCGAGAAGTAAAATTGCTCAGATATATGCAACATGAAAATGTAAAGATGACCTTCAAGTTGTCACCAGCATGACTTATTCGATGAACCCATGTTAATATTCTTTACAGATAATTGGCTTGTCAGACGTGTTTATCTCGCCGCAAGAGGATCTGTACGTAAATCACCGGTCGCAGACTTCGTGTTACCCAATTGACAGATTATCAGATATATCGTGACAGAATTAATGTGGACCAATCTTCAGCAACTAATTGCGAAGGGACCAGTCCACGATGACTTTGCTAGATACTTCACTTATCAGATTTTGGTTAGTGGGAGCTGTCCACCTATATTGACGTCACTCAATCTGACAAATAAACCACAGCGAGGCTTGAAATATGTTCATTCAGCTGGTATCATCCACCGGGACCTTAAACCAAGCAGTCTTTTGATAAACGAAAATTGCGACCTACGTATCTGCAATTTTGGTCATGCTCGATTGCAAGATCACCAAATGACAGGCTATGTCGTCACAAGATACTACCGTGCTCCAGAGGTCATGCTTAATTGGCAAGAATATAATGAGAAAGTCGATATTTGGAGCACAGCATGTATTCTTGCTGAGATGTTGCGAGGAAAGCCTCTCTTTCCGGCTACCTCGCACGCCGAACAATTTAATCTATTCGTTCAGCTTCTGGGTAGTCCGTCCGACCGGACCGTGGAAAAGATTAAGAATAAAAATGTAAGTTTGGGAATTCCTCGGATTTTTACACTTTTATGCCGATATACTCATCTCTGTTCCTCAGACAAGAGACTTCGTTCAGAATCTGCCCCAGTGCAAGAAACAGTCATTTAAAGAGACATTTCCCGAAATTAATAGCTCAGGTATGATTCATTAAGCCACAAAGTGACGTATCAACACCAAGACTAACCGAATCAGTTTCTGACCTTTTGGAAAAAATGCTTCTCTTCGACGTGGATGATAGAATGAGCACAGAAAAAGCTCTTTCCCATACATACATGGCACCTTATCATGACCCTACCGATGAGCCGGTTGTCGAATCCAAATTCGACTGGCGCTTCGACAATGCAGATGTATCTATATCTGCATGGAAAGCTGCAGTGTAAGTATCTAACTAAATTTCTCTGGGACAAAGCTAATTATCTGGAAACGAAAGATTCAAAGAAGTTATACTCTTCCGCCAACATTCCACACAAGCGAGATACCAAGCCACATTCCGGAATGCAATTATTAAAGCAACTAATGGACATCCAACGCCAGAAAATGAGAGCCCGGGGCATGTCAAACCGGATCATTTAGCGCCAACCCAGGTGGCTAATTCTGTTACGGCTTTTCCGATCCATGAGATTGAACATTTCCTTCCTGATGACGCTGAAAACTTTCTCGATGATGACTATTCCTCATTTATTAACGACTTTAATTAATGGATTGGCGTTTGTTCCGGTACTCATTCAACTTTTAATACTCGAGTCTATTGATGAAACACCCATTTTATTCTTAAATTCACGACCGCATTTGTGTCAGAGATCATAAGAAAATATCATTAGTTATGTCTCGAAATACCAAATTCAACTATATTGATACTACTCTAACTGATCCTTCCGATATGGTACAATCTTCACAGGATAAGCAAGGCCATAATCTGCCTCACTCGGTACAGCAGCAATTCCCTCTGCATGCTTCCCGCTCGTCTCAAGCTGATCCCAGTAATTCCGCAGCACATTACCCAGGGGGGTGCTGACAACAACCTCCACGACATTTTTGCCTTGGCGAAGGAAAGATCCAACATCCGCTCGAGCCCAGGTGATATCTAGGGTTGGCAACTGGTGCCCATTCACCGTTACTCGTGCTGTATGTGTAACCGGTCCAAGATCAATGAATGCGCCTGAAACACTGGTTGAAGTTGATGGCCAGGTAAATGTAGTTGTGTAGTATCCTATGCCGGAGACATTTGTAAGTGATGATGAGATCTGGTTCCAGGGTACGAGCGAAGGGGTATGGAATGTTTGATTTTTGCGTGTTGCTCCTTCCACGTTGTAGAAGTCTGACAGCGGGGACCATGACTCGACGGTCATTGACCAATTGCTGAGTGTGAAAGGTTCATCTGTCATTGGAGATAAGGATACTTTCTTGCCGTTTGACAGGTTAACGGTTCGGGATTTTTCATCGTAGGATCGTAGGACACTGAGAAATTTTCCACTTCCGGTTGTTGGGAGAACAGGAATAGTGGTATCCTCAATATGAACGGCTGCTTTGGCATTTCTTTGGAATCCAATAATTGTAGATTGATTCCCAGCTAATTGTATGGGAATGGTTGTATGTGTCTTTGACTGCTTGTACGCCGGGATCGGCGTAACCTCTCCTGACCAGGCGTCGTAGAAGAAAGGCACACCGGTTGACTCGAATGAAATAGAACCAGAAGATTTGCTGTTATCGAAAGAAATACCGGTCGCATCATTGTAAATGTAGACGTAAGAAGTGGCATCAGTCGTGTCCTCTCTCCACATGGTATACCAAGTACCATTTGAGGAGACTGAGCTTCGTGGAGTGATCTCAAGAGATTGAAGAGTCTTTGCAAGGTCATTCGATCCAACGACATGGACATTCTTAAGAGACTTGATCCCATTCAGTGATTTTATGGCCCTAGTGGCGGCAGATGGGTTATATCCGCTAAAGTTGGATGGCAACCCTCCAGAGAAAATGATTGGGAGGCCAGAATGAGCATACTTAACCAGCTTATCCACGCCGAGGGTCGTGATTGTCTCGTTTGATCTGACCACTAGAGCCTTGAAGGCCTGTCTATTCGGTGCAAATTTGCCGTTGGAAACGTAGGCTTCGGGAAGTGCGAAGTTATCGGGACTCAGATACTCGTAGGTATAACCTAAATCCAAGTTTGACTGGTTAGTATAATATAATCTATTGCAGAACGTTTTCTGAGTCTTACCAGCATCCAACAAATCAGTTGGTTCATAGCTTGTAGAGACGGTCGTATAGGTTGTCGATTTTGACCAAAACGCAATATCGACTTTAGGAATTCCAGTCTGTAGAATGAATTGGTTTCTGGAGACCCAGTTCAAAAAGTCCGAATAGAAAGCAAAGGCAGGTTGACGGGGTCCATGCATCTCCGAAAAAGCATAAGTGAACGTTGTAAAACCTGGCCAAGTTGTGTTGCCATAGTTTCCAGAATTGGGAAACCCGTGAATGATGAAATTGTTGACAGAAGCTGCAAAGGACCGCTTGAATCCCCAGATAAGCTCCGATATGGACTCTTGATAGGCACCACCGTAAATAGCACCAGCCTCGCTTGAGATGATACGCTTGCCGGCGAGATTTGCTGGTCCGGCGAATTGCCGATAGCCATCAATATTGTTACTGAAACCTAGGGTCTCGCACTCGGGGGCGTTTACATGGGGCACATTGGCAAGCATGTCCAGGGGGAGGTTATATGCTACTTGTGCCGAGAATTGGACTCCTAGGTCATTGCTCCATTTCGTAAGGGCTTGAAGGTACTCGGCATTGAGTTCCGTGAGCTAATTTGTTAGCTGGAACTATTCACAGGCCAAGCTGACAAAATTAAGGACTTACTGTTTGTTGATAATCGACGACATGGCTCGCGCCCGAGTCTTTTTCATCAGTGATGTAGGTGATATTAGAGGTTTCTCCACCAGATCCCACCAAGAGGGGAATATACTTGGCGACATCGTATCCCCGGTTGGACTTGAATGTTTTCTCAAGGCTGGGCGTCCAAAAGGTTGAAACAGCGTACTCCTGGCTATCCTCCCACAAATAATTTCCTACATCCTGGATACTTGAACTGATCTCCTTGTTCAAAATTGAGTCCTTCCAAAAATCGATGATCACTTGGGCACCGGCAGAAGAGAAATGATCAACCACCCATGATCCATTCTGCTTGTAATTTGTGACTGGTGACTGTGGCACGGCTTTGGGGACTGATGAAGAGGTTTGGTCGGCTACTTCGCGGAAATCGGAGTGAATGAGATAGTAGGCGAATAGAACAGTCTCGGTCCCGGACGACTTGCTACTTGATTTGATGTTAATTTTTCCATTGGATGCGATCATACTCGTAACGTCTTTTAATGAGCTCTCGTAGAGGACTGCCTCGGATGAAGTGCTCGATTTGATCGCGCCAGTTGTTGCTGCGACCAATTTTCCAGATCCCCAGCCGGGAAGCGTACCCTCAAAGCCTTTGGCGCTGTTAAAGGTTGAGTTATGGGCAGCAAGATCCCAAAGAAGACCTTCATCATTGTATGGTGCTGGAACACCCGCACCCTGATTAGGACCATTCCCGAAATCGATTATTAGGTTATATTCCTTTGCTACTTCGAGGACCTTGTCGACCATTGTCCCTAAAATGGGTTAGAAAATTGTTCAGCGACAGTCGAAGGGTATGCTTACTCCAGGGAGCGCTGCCAAAGCCATACACAGTCCAGTCTGTTTGTAATGGTGCCTGGTTTGCTCCTCCGTAACTAGATGCATCTCCATACAGATAGTAGCCTAATAGTTCAATGCCTCCTGCTCCTGCCTTTCCAATTGATTTGATGTCCTCGGCGACAACGCTTAGATTCATAGATGCATCGTTGGCCCAGTACCTGAACCGTGGTCTCACATTAGATGAAGGGTTTTTGAAGGTGCCATAGCTAATGTCGGAATCGACTTGGTCATTTGTGCCAATCGCAGAGACACTTTGCGCGGCCACAACAGCCGCCGACAGAAAATTTACAGGACGCATTCTGGTCACATGTGTTGGGTGACTGGTCCAATTGAAAGAACTAGTGTAACACTCTCATATATGCTTGGAATGATTCACCCAAGTCTTCGTAACCCGCCCCTTTATTACATATGACTGCCCCTAAGCGAACGCCTCATAAATTGTTCCCGGCATAATGCTGAGCCGAACCGCGAGGGTCCACGAGTGTGGGGTGTGAAGTAGCGATATTCAGCCCAGCATAGTAGTGATCTGCTCATTCCAGTGTCAAGGCCCGGTACGCATTAAGGCACGCGAATAGAAGAATTCATTTGTGGTTCTTTTGTGGGGACGGGAAATCCGGTCGGTTCAGATCGACCTACTGCCGATGTGCACGGCCAGGGGCGCACGTCGAGCGTATAAACTTGAAGCCACGCAGAGAGCTTTCTATCACCATGCATGGTGAAAACGCTTTAATCCCCGCACTTACTCGCTGGTTCCCGGAATAAATTAAACCGAAAACCCGGGGAAAGTATCATGCGGAGGATTTTAGTTGCATAAACCCCGGATTCTTCCTACAGCCTGCGTTATGGTCTTCCAACCAGGTTCGGCCCCACCTCGTCAGCAGGGATGCGGGGCCCGGAATTTCCGAGCATTGGCATTTCCTCCACCATTGCCGATAATCAAGATCGAGAAAATAGGATATTCCGCCGATCTTGGATGTACCTGACTAATGCTAGTTTAGAATTTGCATGAATATGGCCTGCCTTGATCGCGCATTGGGTATTTTTATCGCTTGGTTTATGGAGATGTCATCTTTTAAATTGTCGATCACCTTTGTGTGCACCTAGTACTAATGGAGACTGGGTATGTTCAGTGAAGACTAAATTCCAAACTTGAAGCACTCATTGAAATCCCCACTAAATTCACTTGATACACGATGAGCACACCGAAATACGTTCCGTACTGTGCATCTCCGAAAAATATCAGACCTATGTCGCCATACCAGCTGTTCATCTACGACACAGTAATGGTGGAAGATCCACTGCTCTCATAGCCCTCAGTAGAAACAATTTGGTAATTGTATGTGGTGCCCATACTCATTCCAAGGCTAGCCCAAGCATTAAAGTGATTTGCGGTAGTCACAGTGCCGCTAGAGCGCTTACTCTGGCGGATGGACCAGTATTGGTTGAAGGTAGCAGTACCGCTGACAGAGGGCTGGTCAACCTGTTGGTGCTCGTAGATATCGTAAACAGACCCATCGCTTGTGACTGTTCCCATATGAGTCATTGCGCTACCAGGGTTGTAGGTCCCATAGTCTTCGAGGATGTAGTACTCCACCAATGGGCTAGTGGTCCAACCATAGACAGAGAGATAGGCATTTCCAGAGGGACTGAATGTTCCCGAGAAAGTAATATCCCTAAGGAAGAATAATTGTTAGTTGAGGCTTTCTATATTCTAGGTCATATTCTAAGTAACCTACCGGGCGCTACCGGTCGACCATCCCTTGCCGGAGGTAAAGTCACCACAATTTTCCCAAGTGACACTATACTCGCCCGCGGCGCCGTTGGTATAATCGACAGTGCCACCACCGTTTGTCCAGAATGAGTAGTAATAGCCGTTATTGGTGCCGGTCGTGCTGGAAGTAATGGTTTGGCGCTTGTCATGGCGCTTATGGTATTCACCTGGAACAGCCATGACGCCGGTGACAGCAGCGCAAGCTAAGAGGTATGCGGTAAATGACTTCATGGCGAAAGAGATAATTCAATAGTATGTCGCTTCAAGTTCAAGTTTGGGTAGCTGGAATTTGCAGTGATTAAGATAAATTCGTTTCGGCGCGAAACAAGACCCTTTATATAGGTCTTCGCAGTATTCTCGATGCAAATATTTTGCAGGGGCTTTTTATCCCCCTCCTGGTTTCTGGTATATTAACCGGTAGGCTATTCTTTTACAAGAATTATCCCCGTGCAGCTATTCTGCAACGGAAGCTATTGTGGATAAAAGTTCCACAAATTGTCTGTCTGAAACGCCATTCCCAGACGCCGGTGTCAAGCTAGGGTCTTACTCCCGTTCGGGCCTAGCAACGCTGAACACGTCAAGAAGGGACCTTAATTTGGACAAGTGTGCTCTAAAAAAGCCACGAATAGCTACACGGTAAAAACAAAAAAAAGTACCTGAGCACTGCAGAGTTCGTGGAGAAAAGAAATTGCCCGGATCCTTGGGGCATGAACTCTATCTAGGCTATTATGGATCGTGTCGATCTATCCTTCGACTCGGATAAAACCCCACAGGAGGTTGTCATTTATTTAACAGTCACCAATCGATAATAGCCTGTGGATGTGTTATGGGATATGATCACTTTGGACGCCAGAACTGCCGGCTTGATGCCCCGCCCCACCATTCTTCAGGGGAGCGCCTCGAATCCACCCGGTACCTTGGCATTTACTTTTCGGTGAGAATGTTGCTGCATCGCAGGTTTTTTGGACGATTTGCACTGAATTGATAATTTTGGGGAACTTGGTATCTCAAATCGGCGATCATTGGCGACAAGTTTTTGATCTGCATCTCAAATCGAGCACAGAGGTACTATAAATAAGGCTAAATTGAAGCATAGGCAAGAGTTTGAAAAACCAGAATCGATCGGCTAAAGCGACCAGCGGGGAAAACAGGAATGGTGTGCTTGAATACACTATTCTATAAGGCTAATAATGGACATAAAAGTATGATCAAGGTGTATTTATGCTGCAGATACTCTTCCCCGGATCGTTTCCCATGGTTTTGGTGAGTTATCAAGCGTGGTAACAATTCGAACATCATCATCAGCGAATAAAGAGTAAGAATGGGAAGACAAAATGCAGTGATTTTTCCAGATGAAATTCAATAAAAAATCATAAAGTGTTATGTAAGATATTGCCATCACCATAGAAGTTTTTTCGAGAGATTGCTGTCGTGTCCTGTCATGTTCTTCACTACCACGTAGTCCACACCCAACTCAAAATCTCTCTCCTCGAAATTCTTCTCTAGCACTTCAGCAATCTTTGATTCCATCGGTGCAGATACTCCATTTTGAGAAACATTCTGGCGTCTTTTGTTTCTTCTCATTGGAGACTTCCTTGGCTACAAAACGCACGATGTCCTCGCTCTACCATCTACTACTCCACTTAGGAAGCAAATGGGCATAAGACATGGATTTGATATACTAGGTAAGTTCAGAAGCTTTTGGAAAACTCGGTCAATTCTTAAACCGTCTTATGTATTTGTGCAACTTGAAGTGTACGGTGCAAGCCCTGTAGACATGATCGAAGCTAAGATCATGATATGTTCAACTCAGAATAGAAAAAGCTACCAGTCAAAAGAAGCAATATCGTATCCCATCAATGATCTCTTAAATTGCCACCCATATAAATGCAAATGCCTGCGGAGACTCCATTCATGTCAGGCATTTAATCGACAAAGGTTTTATAGTAAAAGAAGGAACCTTTGACCGGTCGGGTGACTCTACGGTTAAGGAGGAATTCCGGCTCTCGGTTTAAAGGGCGAAGTTAGACTTGGGTTTGATCAAAGAAAAGGGGCATCTCCGTAGTGTGGCGTCGAATTTCCAAGATTTCATTCAGTATCCACATCTGACTTGAAGTCATCTCCAATCTGAAAATGAATCTTGATAGCAGCCAGTTGGACATGAATAAAATAAATCACGTACACTGAAGCCCCCACGTCGTCAGCGTTCGGCCCAGTTGGAGTGGCATTTCCGAGGCTATGACGCGTTCTCCCCGCGTTTGCGATCCCGCATTTGGTCGATCAGCCAGCCTCGCCAATATTTCCAGATCGGGCCTTGTGAGTCCGTTCGCCTCTCAAATGCGTCCAACCCAGCCAATCGCTGGTTATCACGGGTTGGTAGTAACCAATCAAATACCAGAGTTTTTACACCCATGTCGGAATCTTGATAACGACTCAAAGGAAACCCGCTTATTCTGCCGTCTTCAGGTGCGCCCGATGCAGATCCTCCACACTCCCCAGATTTTAGTCTCGGACAAATGCCGACCCATGCAAAAATTTTACCCGGATTGCTGCTGACCACAGTGTCACAACCAGTTAATGGCGCTATTTCAGAGGTCATGGATGGTGGTACGACGACGGAGTATAAAACCAGGCGGGTTCTCCCCGCAATTTCTCCCGCATTCCCCCCGCAATTCCTTTTCTCCAGTGTGAATAGCTTCAATTATTTTTCCTCTTGCCTTGTACGATACCAATGGGAATAAAAAACGAGAAAAGGCCCTATTTTGGCCTAACTGGAGGATGGCTCACCTTCTGGGTCACGGTATGCTCCCAGGAACCCAGTTTACTGATATGTGGACTCTATTGACACACTATATAGGTTGCGTGTGCAACGGATATGTCCCTGTTTGGCTATGATCAAGGTGTTTTCAGTACGTTCTTCACTCATATTCCGCCCATCGTTGTACCCACCTGCGTACTACTAAATAGTACATATTTGGCTAATACTGGACATGACAGGTGGCGTGGTGATCACAAAGGACTTTCTTGAACTCCATAACCTCGAAGGACCGAGCAAGACAAAGACTCTATCCACAGTAACGGCAATCTACGACGTCGGTTGTTTTCTCGGTGCGATTTGCGCATTTACTCTTGGTGAGCGCCTGGGTCGAAAGAAGTCCATCCTAGCTGGATCCACAATCATGGCCGTTGGTACCATTCTTCAGGCATCATCCTTCAGCCTTCCTCAGATATTTATTGGTCGAATTATCTCTGGGTGAGTTTGTCGCTATTAGAAGAATTGAGGATCCATACTCACAATTTCCCAAATAAAGTATCGGAAACGGTATTAATACTGCCTGCGCGCCGATCTGGCAGTCCGAGACCTCCCAGTCGAGATGGCGCGGTCGTCTGGTGACTTTTGAAATGATGATGAATATTGCTGGATATGCGACTGTGAACTGGATCAATTATGGCCTCTCTTTTGTCGGGGGTGCAATTGCTTGGCGGCTTCCCATTGCTTTGCAGGCGATATTCATTATCGTTCTCTGGTCTACAGTTCCCTGGCTTCCTGAATCACCAAGGCAAGTTCAATTAGCATAAATTATTGCCCGAAAGCTTCTAACTGTCTTTTAGATGGCTTCTTATGCATGGCAAGGAAGAAGAAGCCGTGGAAGTCATTAGCTGCCTCGAGGCGAAAGACGTCGACGATCCCTTCGTTATTGCGCAGCGCAATGAAATTGAGTTTGCAATTCGTTATGAGCAGGAGAATGGCGTTCGCTGGCGAGACCTTCTCAAGAAAAATGAGAATGATACGAAAACACTCCGTCGCCTGCTGCTTGGTGCTGGAAGTCAATTCATGCAGCAATTCGGTGGTATCAACATCATGTCGTATTATCTACCTACCGTTTTGGAACAGGCTGTTGGCATGGAAGAGAGCATGGCACGTCTACTCACTGCCTGTAACGCTATTTCTTACATGATCTTCTCGGGTCTGGCGGTTTTGTTGATCGAGCGCATGGGGCGTCGCGGACTGATGCTTCTCTCAACTGGTGGCCAATTTTTCTGCTTTCTTATCATCACTATTCTGTTGAAGTTTGCTGAAACGACGAGCGGCGATGTTACTCAGAAATATGGTTCTGCATCAGTCGCCTTCTTCTTCTTGGTATGTTATCTCTCTTGACATTGCAATATTTTCCCTCGCGACTCAACTAACGTTTTTCGCATCTGCAAAGTTCCATGGTGCGTTTGGTATTGGAATGTTGGGTATCCCTTGGCTATATCCGACTGAGATTAACTCTCTGCCCATGAGAACAAAGGGTGCTGCCCTTGCTACTGCTACCGATTGGATCACCAATTTTGCCATCGTCGAGATCACTCCAATCGGCATTCAAAGTATTGGCTGGAAATTTTGTAAGCCATTCTCGTGCAAAGTTATATGAGTATCCCAATACTGACTGAAATTAGGGATTGTATGGACGGTGACCAATGCCGTTTTCTTCCCCATTATCTATTTCTTCTACCCAGAAACAGGTCAGTATCTTTCTCAGGCAAAGTGCGAATGCCTTCTCTAACTTTTGCATACAGCCAACCGCACCCTCGAGGACATCGATGCATACTACCGATCCAACCCATCTCTTATCGTTACTACTGATCATGATGCTATTTGCAAGAACCGACCTCAAAAATACATTGACCATGAAGACGAGGAGGTTTCGAGGACGGCGAAGAGCAAGTCCTTGTCTGACCCTATTGAAGCTGACCATGTCGAGTTCACCGACCCACTTAGATAGACTTGAAATACCTACACTTAGATCATTTATGACTGTAGACAGTTACGATTTATACTTTACAACGATATGTGTTTTATGCCAGAATACTAGGAGCTTCGTGATATGGGGTGTGGGATGATACTGGGGTTGTAGTACATTCTATAAATATCCTGTTTTCGTTGAGCTACGTATATTCTACCTATTGAAATCTAGAACTTACGTATCTTTATTGCTACTACTTCCCCATTATTTACTTAAATTCACTTCAATTCACTTCACTTCCAATGCGTTCATACAACCCCTCTCGTTAACATTCATCCACCACTCTTTTAAAACATCCCTCCATCCTTGCCCCAAGACATTCAACCACGATTCCTTTCGACGATCGTCTGCTACTCCATGTTGATTTTAGCAGCAGACATGAAGAGGGACACCTGGACGAAGAAAGCTGGTGACGATTCACTCAACGAAAGCTATCTCGGGACCGCAGCTCCCAAGCCAAAGATGGATGCAAGCCCTGCCAGTGCGACCTCATGCAGTGAAAATACCACCAACATTGCAATGCCTGAGTTCAAATTGGAGATCAATATTCGCGACAGCTCAAACATCACGCCCATCTGGCTTCCTCCAACTCGCTCTTCCACCCTTTACTTTTGCCCATTCCATAAACGTCACGTCCATCACCACCCAGAGGCATGCTACATAAACCCAAAGACCCCAGAGCAACGTCGTATTAATGCAGCCACGACCGCAGCATCCAACTCGAGAGAGCCAGCATCCAAGCCAGAGAGGGAGCTAAACTGGGTAGCTGCCTATGGAAGTTTCAGATATTGGGAGAGCATGGTGTACCCCGGTACTGCGCCTACACACTTCGTGAGCATATGGGTCGCTGCCCTGGAGGGGCTGTCTTACCAAGCAGAACGCCGGATTTATTCTTTGTTCCCTATCTTTCAGTTCTTGAAGGCTGTAAGCGCCTGTAATGAGACACATGCATGGCTGAGCAGCCTTCATATAGACGTTGACGCTACTGCGCCTCCCAAGGCTGTTCTGGAATCGATAACCCACAAATTCATTGCGACTGAGAACGCACGGCTTCAGTTTCAGTCGGGGCCTAGAAATTCCATCCCTGGTGTGCCCAACAGCGTGGAGAATCAGTTTCCACCCCCAGCAAATTCAACAATTACTTTCTGCCATTTTCACGGGCGCCATGCCTATCATTCAATGGCGGAATGTCATCTAAATCCTCATCGAACTGCGATTCGATCGGGCCCCGGATCGTTTACGCCATACAGTCAAGGAGGTCTGTATACTTTCCAGGTGCATCGTAAGTACCCCTCTTATGGCCGTGACTTGCCAGGCAGGATTTGATTTTTTTATCCCTTTTTCTGAGAAGGCCAGGTCTAGCACTGGAGGGATTATTGGTGGACTTGGTCACTCAAAATTAGGATATCTCTGGATTTCGGAAATAACATGGCTTCCGAGCTTTGCTACCTAACATTTGAACTATCTACTTCCTCTGAATCACTATGGCCTTTCTAATTTCTATTTTTCTGCCTGTCCTACTCAAGAGATAAACTTATCATCTTCATTTAAGCTTAATGTTAAAAATTCTAATATAGCTACATGGAGGAGGTGGTCGGCGGCTGACGGTGTTTGCTTGGTTTGACCCACTGTCGGTAGCGGACCAATCAGCTTGGTCCGAGAGTAGCACAATGTGCAGATGTCTCATAGATACAGCAGCTCAGCTTCCTCTCTCTTTCCCTTTTCAGCATTGATATTGCTTATTCTTCACACCATTCTTTCCCTTCTGGTAAAATTTCAGGCGGCCCAACACAAATTTCTCGTAATGATCTGCCTACACTTGTATGTAAATGAGGTTATTCAAGCTTTCCCCGATAATGGTAGTCCCGTGATCTAACAGAATTGCCTATAGCATCCCCGTGTTATTGCTGCCTTGCTCTTTCTCTTCCCTCTCTATTAGGCGTCTTTTTCGCCCTCTAATTATATAACCTTCCAAGGGTTGTGACTTATAATCTATCGTTTTGCTGAACACATTTAAAATATCACATTTTGGTGCGCCACTGAAATGAAACATCAGAAAAATCATGGTATACTTCAAAGGTCTAGATTTGAATAGTAGACTGTTGCAGTCCATATTTCATAAAGCAGCCCTCTGTGTATGCATATGGATGTTTTATGATATCTATTGGGGTGTTTACAGTATTGGTATAATTGTGATGTTAACTAATTAGATATTATGACGGATAGAGCTATAAATTAAAATGGCTAACTGCTCTTTTGTTCCATACTAGTAGTAGTAGTAGCCTGGGCCGCTCATTCACTTCAACTTGAAAGCCCTGTACCGCCTACAGTTGCCTGTTCTCACTTCCAACTTGAAGATCATATCCCCATAACTTGAACCTGTCACCCCTAACCAACCTTGGAAAACATTGTCAACTTGAACTTCAAGATGTCGACCAACGTGAGGGTTCCAAAACCGAAGCGCAAATGTAAAGTTCGCTCGCCAAGGAGCTATTCACGGAGCGAGGATGGCCTATGCACTGGCGAGTATTCACGGGGCTTTGAAACGGCTGAGATTGTCCCAGCAGTCCCAGGTCGTCCATCCCGCCCTTCAATCAACAAAGCCATCAAGCCTGGGAAAGCCACACCGAGTGGTACCTCGAATGAACTACTCTTTCATGTCAAGCAAAGGAAATTTATGAAGCTGATGAATATCACTTACACCGGTCAAACGACGCCTTGTCAATTCGTCCAAAAATGGCGCGCCGTCCTTCATAAATACTTGGGGCCTTGGCCACACTCCGAGGGCTTAATGCTGGGTCCGATATTCTACTTCATCCAGACTGTACAAGCAAATCGAGAAACTGAAGCATGGGCGAACGATATCAAAGTCGACAGATCCATGCCCCTCGGAGCCATCCTGGCGCGGATCATCAATGATTTTCTCGCTGTTCAGACTGCACGACTCTAATCAAAACAAGCCAAATCCCTGTGCGAGAGTGGGAATTATGATATCCCTCGTGGCTCACTAGATTACTGCATTTTTCATCAACAAGTTGTTCATCTCTCGACTGATGAGTGTCGCCTTAATCCCGACAACTATCCAAACCTGCCCTGATCAGCGAAATACGCAAACATTCTCACGTGGTGTGATAATCAAGATGCATCGGCATAATGTCCGGGGTTGTATGAGCTGAAAAGGCAGATAAGAAGTCTTATTTGAGTTGAACAAGGAGTTGGAGCAGGATGAGATCCGCAACACAACGCCATTTTAATCATAATAGCTAATGTCAGTTGACGACTACAAAATAATAACAGACCCATTCTCAAAAAGTTCGTTGTCACCTGCCATAAACAAAAATAAAAAGCCCACCATCAACTAGGTCGATCAACTCCATCTAATTTAATTGACTTTCCCCAAGATTCCCCAGGGAGATCTGCACCCCCCGCCATTCCCCATTGGTAACTCAAACGGCTCAGCTGTGGGGTGATGTAATACGTACACAACGTACGCGAGCTGATAGACTTTCTCACATGACTGTGGAGATTGAGTTTTCGGATGCAACAATACTCGATTCAGGGCGTTTCATTGGTTCCAAAATCGAGGTACAATTCCTACCGAGGTGCATTGTCGATTACAATACGCCGATCACCTTCGAGGCTCCAGGCTCCGGCCGAGCTCCAAAATCCGTATCGACTCGAGTCGAGTCGGGATGATGTCGGGTTCCGCTGATCGGCGTCGGAAAACATGGTACTCCGGATGCAATACGGGAAATACGAAATTCGGAGAATTCAAGTTGGAAGCGGGTTTCTTGTATGTAGTTGAATGTGTTCGTCATTTAATATTATTGTATCGAACTTGTCTATGTAGGCAAGATCTATCGATCGAATCTACTAGCTGGATATCCAGTAGAGCTCTGTACAGTATAAGCCGTAACGCCGTAATCCATGAAAATCAACACACCACCCGCCTCAGGGGAATCATGACTCGAGAGTCGACGAGGGTAGATCAGAACAGAAACAAAAAATAAAAAGCATTACATCAATCGTCAACGTCGCGGGACGTGGGCGGGCATTGTAAAATTAAAACAAACGCCGTAGGGGGTCCAATAACAGTCGTAAGACAACGTCTAGTCTAAACTGTTTCTTCAAAGTCTAGGATTCTATCAAACTCTAGTGTTGATCGAGGTACCACCCGGCCAGCGAGTCGAGCATCTCGTCTCGCTGGTCTGTGGATTCGTCTTTGAAAAGCTTGCGAACATGGGGGTTTAGCCTCAAAGTTCGGGAAAGAAGTTGTGCAGCTGTTAATCCATCGCGGCTGGTATCGCGGGATTTGAGACTGCTGACATCGAGGCCGTCTTTGAGATCGTCTACAAGGTCGGTGATATTCTCGCCGCTGGTGTGATTCTTGAGCTCGGCGACGACTTCAGCCAAGCTCTTGCCGCTTCCGGTTTGGAGGAAGCTGCTCAGTGTGTTTTTGAGGGTATCCAAGAGGCCGACGGTAGCTGAGAGAGGAAGCTCGGACATCACTTCCGTGTAATATGGGACTTCTGTTCCATTGTATGTTACTGAGCGGGTGACGGAGGTAAGATTGAGGCCGCCGCTGCTCTTGATGGATGGGAGTTGATCCGCCAGGATTTGTTTGATGTGTTTGAGGATAATGCCAATGTCAAGAGATCCCTTGAGTGGGTTAGAGTGATTGCCGGGTTTCAGGGTCAAGTTTTCGATTGTTGCGTTTCCAATGGTGAGGTTGCCGCTCATGACATCGAGCACGATGGTACCGATCTCAAGTGTCAGGATTGAAGGGTTAGGAAGAATAACGGTACCATTCAGGTTAGTGCCGTCCGCTTCAGCTGGAATTAGAGAAGCATCGTTGATACTGAAACCTTCAAAGGAGTTCAGTGCTGGGTAAATGGTTAGTTATATTGTTTCAGACTATTCGGGGTTTCAATTAGGACGAGGCAAAGGTAAGCTTACTTGGTGAAAGAACACTCTTATCCATCGTCACCTTTGACTTCAACACGCCCAAAAACGAATCGGTTGTTCCCTTAACTCCCAGGGCCGTTTCTTTCTGGTTCACAACTTGGCGAACATAGTCCGTCCAGACGGTCGTGTTCAGGAGTGGCGTAGATTGATCAGTTACACCCAGTGTAGTATTTCCGCGAATAGTCATGCCAGTCAGATTGGCCTGACCCCATGGCTTGTCTGCGCCAATGTCGGCAATAAAAAGATTCAAATCAATGGGGTCAATGCGGACGGGTAGGGCGATTTTCAAATCCAGCGCCGATAGAAGAGTTAACTGGATGTGGTTCGGTAGAGGCTGCATAACAGCTGCGCTGACGAGGACCAAGTTTGATTTGTTGACGACAAGCTGCGAGATAGCGGGGATTGCGACCAGGAAGCTGTAGGAGTATCATTGATTAGCTTGAGCTTCGCTAAACTCACAACACAACATAGCTGTGAATTGATTGCGTGAACTTACAAAACAGGCAGGAAAATAGCTAGGAAAATAACATTTCCAATAAGGTAACAGCACCAGAATCGCTTCCAATGACGCGAAAACTTCTCCTTGCGCGACTGTGTAGTCGCCAGCGAGAGACCGCCAGCTGTCTCGACCTTCTCTAGCTTGGAAGCATCGCCGACCCCTGTAGGAACCAATGGCCCACGGTGAACACCGAGAGAGTATTTAGCATCATCGGCGCTCAGGTAAGCGGGTCGGTCATCTGTGTTCTTTCCCATTGTGACGAGGGGTAATTGGAAATGAGCTTCTTTATTATCTTGTCGCAACCCTCTCTCACGCACTCTCAATTGATCACAGACGCGAGAGAGACAAAATCAAATCACGAGAATCAGGGACGGCGATCGCCTATATGTATCGAGACGGTCTATCGGAGTGGGAAGGGAGGAAATTCCGGGGATCGCCTCTTGGGGGGTAGCATTAATTAGCATTAACGTATAGCACGCAAGCGAAATAAGCCCTTTTTTTTTCTTTCTTCTTTTCCGTCTAAGTCGTATGGAGAGCCCCCGGACTTTCCATTATTCGGACTAGGGATCCATCAGACCTCCTTGAGTGGAACCAGTCATGAAAAGCAAAAAGTGGATAATTGTCACGATGCGTCGGAGCACTCTTCCCTGTCCCGGACAGGATCCACGAGTGTAGTGGGCTGGATGCAGCAGGGATCGGCAGAGGAGATGGCGATCTACTAGGAACCGCGGCTTACCGTCAACCAAGAACGAGCAGAAAAGGGGGTTTGGATGGGGTTCACATGGGCCGAGCGGGCTTGAGCGGGTGGATCCAATAGTGCGGATGGTGGGTGGAGACGATGATGCTTGGGACGGATTTTGGGGGCTTTGATTGTCTGAGAAACTCGGGATTTTTGGTCATGCTGATTTGCTTGCTCATTTCCAAGATTTTTTTGGGTTTTATTTTTCTGGGGATTTCTTATTTCTCGTCATTTTTGCGGGGGTTGAAGCCTGTGATTGTGGTTCTTTCTTCTTTTTAACATATTGGATCCGACGTCTGATTCTATTCATACCCACGATTACCCGACTATATCATAATATTTACGAAAATTTCCTATACCCTGTGCGCATATACAACCTCGGAACAGAGCAAAGAGATTACAAAAAGCAATCATGTCTCGCTCTTCATCTCCCCCATCCCCTATAAGCGACGACGAGAAGCCAAATGTCTTGCCAACAATGAGTGATTCCAACGTCAACACTTCTTCCGGTCGCCTCCACGCCCTGGAGCAACTGGAGATTCTCCCACAGATCCTCCAAGAGGGCATTCTATTCGCAGGCTCCGGCGCTGCACTTCTGCTCCAAGCAGCGCTGCCCGGAATCCGCGCAACCCCAGACGAATCCTCCAAGGATCTAGCGACCGAGCTCCTCGACACTCTCCAAGAACACATCAGCCAAATCTCCATTTTAGTCTTCGGCACCCCCGCTGAGCGAAAGTCTCTCCTCGCGCTCCTCCAACAACAGGATGATCGCTTCCTTCATAACCCAGCCCAGGCCCGTTGGATAGCGGCTACTCTTTATGCCACCGCAACAGACTATTACCAGCGTGTCTACGGTCGCGTGGACTATGACACCGCTCAGCGCGGATATGACGAGTTCACCATGATTTTGAACTGTATTGGCATGCCGCAGGGTATCTGGCCCGAGTCTCGGACTGCATTCTGGTCTTTCTGGGATGATCAGATCGGTCGCTTGGAGGTCTCTCCAGATGCGGCGAAGTTTGCCAAGGAGCTGAGAGAGAGCACCGATATGCCAAAGTGGGTGCAGCGCATTAAACCTTTCTTACGCGTTGTTACTATTGAGATGTTGCCGCCTAGGATTCGGGATGCGTATGGTTTGCGCTCTACTGCTACTACAAGGGCGCTATATCGCACTTGGATGGGTTTCTCGGTCGCCGTTTACCCTGCCATGCCTAATAAAGTACGCTCTTACCCTCTAAAGTATTATCAGGATCGATTGCGTGAGAAGTTGAACGTGGTTTGATTGGTGGTGGATGCTTGAAAAGGCACTTAATAATGGGTGCTTTCTCGTTCTTCTTATTTGAGTTTTCTGTATATACCCGATCTATGAGATACGCTCGTTGCGACAATGAGATTTATGGTTTGTAACTCGGTTTTTCCCTTGATCCTTTCATGGTTACACTTTGTTTTAATAAAATATGTCAATGCTCTATACTCTTTTATCCTTCTCGGTAGTTCACCGATCTTTTTACTGAAAGTTAAAAATGGGGAATCTATGACTAGCGCATGCTCACGACATTTAGAGCCTTTTTGCATCGTTTCAAGAATAAATTGAGTGCTTCGATTCTGAAGAATCGTCAGTACTAAATTTGCGATACTTGGTAGTGGGGCATGTTGCTGAAAATCTAGTCCTACTTTATTCTGTCCGTCCTCAGAACGATATCAAAATAATACGACCATTTTGACAGGAAACATTATGAGGTCAGAAACAGCTCGTCTTGCTTCCTTGACCTGACATGCTGACCTGCATTGATGGCTGGCTCCTTTGCCCCCGCTAGCGTGTACTGAACACTCAAACGTGTCTGGGCCTCCCAGAGCCTCGGACCACTGTAACCGAAGGACTCTGGTAGGTCGGAGAAAACCTGTTATCCATGAGACATCACTGTATTAAATCCGGCATAAGCGGAGAGTACCACTATACAAATTGTCCATTTACAATGCATAGATTAACTCGGGTTCTAAGACATGCCCGAGAAGTAGACTACTAACAACCAAGCATTTGATATACTCCTCCCATCCCAGCTTAGCACTTGGCAACTTCTATTGATCTGATTCAAGTTCTGCTCTACCCATCCCAATATGAAATTAAGTACACTGATCTACTTTTTAACAGCTTCAGCTGTGGCAGCCGACCCACAGCCTGAAAAACGAGATGCCACCAGCGTTTCACCAACAGCAACAGCAACGACAACAGGTGGATTTAACCTAGCATCGCTGGAGAACGCCATGTTCGTTTTGTCTTCCTCCATCAATATCAAAAATGAAGAAATGCTAACCCTCTCTAGAATAAACTTAGCAAACCAAACAGCAACAGGCAACTTCGGGAACATCTCTCCACCTCCCAAGACCCTTCTCGGCGAGATCCTCTCTGTCGTCCCAATGTCAGTCGTCGGAGAGCTGATGGACGCAAATTCTCGCAGTGCCCTCGCAAGTGAGCTTAGTGCCGGCAACACGCCAGCCTGGTATTCCAGTCTCCCCGCCGATGTGAAGAGCTACATGGCTATCGTGCGGTCCCAAATCTCCGGAGGTGCCTTAACAGCTACTACTGGATTGGCATATCAGACTACATCTACGACTGCGAGCGGAGTGAGTGCCACCGGTACCGCGAACACAGCGACCGGGGGAACGTCAACATCTAGTGGGATGGCGGTGGCGGCGCAACCGACCGTGTTCGCAGGGTCTATGATTGGAGCATTGGGTGTGCTTGGGTTGGCATTGGCGTTATGATAGCAACATATGACCAAAATCACCCAAGTTACCAAAAATTTGATGTACCAGGAGAAGTGGGGCTGAAGACGAGCTGCGGGGAGTTGCAAGCTATGATGATTAGGGAAAGTGGCTGCCGGGCCTGCAGCTGGATTATGCGCCTGGATCACGATGGGGCCTATTAGTCTGGTTTTTTTTCTTTTCTTTTCTTTTGATCTGCTGTTATTGAGTTTTTTATTTGGCTTGTTCTCTCTTCCTTTATCTTGCATCAGGATGATCTGGAATGAGAAGCTAGAATTACGTGCAGACACGATAAACGACGTGATGAAGTGCATGACTTGATCGATTTTTTTTTTCGTCCTTCTTTACTAGTAATTTTTTTGACTCAACCACCGCAGTACATACTATAGTTCTAGGCCATAATTTGTTCACTAAAATTCATGGTTCCTGGTTCCAGGAACTAGGACCGAACCATGGTGGCGCACGCCTCCCCTTTTCGCGCAGGCACATGCATCTTTATCAGTTCCTCGGTGCAAATGTGCCGCATCTATTTAATTTGTTTCTTACAATTTACTCAAGACATCATCTTGCATCGATTAATATCGAGATTCCACGATTCAGCTTTAATATGCTGATAGGAAGAACAGTCCCCCCCACCAATGACTATCTCAGTGCAACATCTAGCCTTCCACAATGTAGATCCCTACCGAAGCGAACTTTTGCTCCGCGGTGTGTTGTGGAGCCGAAGACCTTCCGTCCGAGAGGGGTTAGAACCCAGGACCGAGTACAAACTAACGCTAGCGCAACACTAACTCTGCCCTCTCCACTTTAACCAACCAAAAACAGGGCTCTGATCCCCCGTAAGGGTGATCATTGCCTATCCTCGGTAGTCTGGGGTGAGACCTTGGATGCGGGGATGTGACTAGCTCAGCTCGTGTATTGTGGAAACGAGGCGTCAATGACTTTTTTCCCAAGAGGATTGTACCTTCTATCGCTGGCAGTGGTAGTATATTCCGGTTCTGAATGGTGATAGGTTCAATCTTTGGACTTGGATTCTCACATGAAGCCCGTTTTTTTGTGTCCGTGATCGACCTCGGCGCTGAATCCTATTCTGCGATCGCTCGGCGAGATCCGCTGCCATTCCGGCTTGAATCTGGATTGTTACTTGCTCTCCTCTGCTTGTGATGAGTTGCATTGACCGTATTGGCGAGTCATATCGGGGAATTTCTCTCATGGTTTCTTGGTCTGGTCCGGTCATGATGGCGAGGTCGTTAATCTAAGACATCGCTCCTGTTGGTCTAGATGAATGGAATATCCGGGTGGAGAACGCCATATGTACATACAACCTAATAACTAGTTAGGCTTGGAGGCTTTTGTTTTTTTAATTTTTTGGTCCTAGTCTTAGTCTTAGTTTTAATGCATAGACTCTCTTCTTTTTGTCTCACCGATCTTCAGCTGCTTTTCTTTCTTCCCAGATCCCAGGCTTAATCACTAAACACTGACCTGCTCTACATCTCAAAATGCGATTCTCCAACTTCCTCCTGCCCCTCGTCGCGGCTGCTCCTATGGCCTTGGCTGTCGCCGCCCCGGAGCCTAACCCTGTCGCTGCGCCTGCGCCTGCGTCTACTGGCGGCTTGCTCAGCACCCTCACTGATCTGGAGGGACTCTTGACCGAGACAAACCTCAACAACCTGCAAATTATCATTACCAACGCCGCCAAGGTTCTCTCCGATGACAATACAAAGACACTGCAGACTATTCTGACCAATGCTGGTGATCTGTTGACCAAGGAATTTGTGGATAATACCACAACGCTGATTGGGGATGCTACACCGGTATGTGATTTTGCCTCTTTCATTTTAGATATTGTCTCGGTTGATTAACGGTATACAGCTTATTGAGGATGTCTCGAAACTTCTTGGTTCTCTACTTGGATCTCTATAAATGAATTGATAAATGGATTATAGTTTTTAGTTACGATAGTATACGAAATCAACGGCATTACACAAGCATTCCACGATTCTGTAGAATATAGGGTCCCATAGGAGAATGAGTTATATCAATATGTGCTTGAGTAGGAGAACAGGATGTATAAATGCTAAGGAATTGAATTAATTCGATAAGTGTTGGTTTTGTGGTACTATGGCCAAATGTCGGATAAGTGACAGTCGGCAGCTAGTAAGAGTCATTTTACAAGCCCTCAGGCTAGTGAGCATCATTCCAAGTTGACTTTTACAAGATCCATGCGGAAAGTAAAGATCAAGATTTAATCCCCGCGAGCGGAGAAGCTAGTTGTTGGAAGATCGATCCTGCAAGCTGTCAAAACTGACACCAGTGCTAATCCATGCACGATCGACAGTCGATCAAAAGCATCATCAACAAATCCAACGACAGCAGCACACAGCACATACAGTTCTACAGCCCCCTTATCAACCCTACAAATTGAAGAAATAAAGATAATAAAGATAAATTCAATCTCAAATTGGATATCTCAGCTCATAAAAATCATAATTGAAAAAAAAGAAGAAACCGAAGTGTCAAGAAGAACGACCCTCAGAAATCAGAAGATAAAAGCAGCGGTGATAACGAAGATTTAAGCACCTTGACGCTTAGCCATATCAGCCTCAGCACCACGCTGTCTCACCTTCCCCTCATCATGAATATCCTTGTACTTCTGCTCGTCCTCCCGATCCCCAGTAATAGCAGCAGCAAGGCCACCAACAGTACCCTGGGCACGGTTCTGAAGTCCCTCACCGAAATCCTTCAACTGACCCTTCGCCTCTTGCTCCTTACCAGCGGCATTCTGTTCAACGCCTGCTTGGCGCAGAGACTCGATTCCGGTCAGGTTACCGATGGACTCCTTTGCTGAGCCGACGGTTTGGTCCCATGAGCCGGTGGAGCGGTTTGCGTTATCGGTGGCTGTCGCGCCTGTGTTGGGGTCTGCTGCGACGGGGCCGACCTTGGCGGTTGTGTGGGAGTTTTCGCTCTGGGCTTCGGATTGAGCCTTTGCAGCTTCTCCTTGGGCCTGGGGGTGTTTGTTAGTTGATGTTTACTGAGGGTGTTGGGGTTGGGTTGGGTTTGTTGCTTAGCTTACCTGGGTGGAAGAGTTGCCTGTGAGTGAGCCGACGGCGCGCTGGGTAGCGCCTGTTGCGGCGTTCACGTAGGAGCCGAGAGTGGAAGAGTTACCGTCAGACATGGTGGTAGATGTATGTAGATGTAGACGTGGATGTAGTGATGGTAAAAATGGTAGATGGTAGATGAAAGGTTGAAGTTGGTTGTGGGAAGTTGTATTTGTAGTTCTGTTGTGGTGTTTGTTTGTTTATCTCACTTTCTACTCATGATTCCCCTCTCTTTATATAGAATCTCTTCATCTCCATCTTCCAGGTAAATAACAAGCCACTACGTAAGCCACCAGGAAATAACATAGATGACGTCATGGACTGATGTCATGCACGTGACCTGATCCGGTTCTTGGCTGAAGCTTGAACTTATCATAGAAACAAAGTGCGTCATGGAAGAGAAAGAAACGGGGCATAGAAGGTTCTACTGTATACAGTGGGCCAGTTATATTATAATTTAGTATGCGTGCATGGCTGTGTGTAGATCTTTGAACTGTGACTGGATGTCAATGATGAAATTGTACAAGAGTAGCACATTCTAGTTGCTTTTTGTTGAGAATCATTTCCTTTACAAGCTTTGAGAACAGATACATCATAAGAACTTAGGAAGGAGAAGGAATATGTCAACTGGTAGTGAATAGTTGAATGATAGGGTCTAATTTGTACCCTAGGCCTAGCGCCTGAAGATCTACTTCTGCTCTTGTTGAATATAGAAAGTAGAATGTAATGCAGTAATGGGCATGAAAATCCCAAATGCAAATGCAATGCTCACGCAGAAAACCAAATCTTAGAAATCGAAAATTGTAATCACCAGTGACAAATGCCACCTTCGCTATCATCAGATGTCCATGTACCACATAGACCAACAACCTCCAGATGACCATCTGGATGTTCGCCAACTTTGCTCAATGGTGCCGAGCCCGCAACCACGGGCCCATTACTGAGGAGCCGTCGAGCCCAAGTTTCAATAGCAGGTTCACCAGTTTCATCACGAGCCTGCTTCAAAAACGGGATCAGTGCAGTACCACCCGTACCCCGAAGCTTCTTGCTACCAGTCGGCACGGCCGTAGCGAGGTTCTGAGGGGCAGCCTGCTGTGTCGTAGTAGCTTCCATTTCCTTGCGAGCTCCACGCGCCTGCACAATGATATACCGCGACACGATCTGGATATGTTTATCGCGCATAGAACGTAACATAGACAAACAGGCATCATAGGCAAGTCGGAGCGCAGGGTCAGCGCGTCGAGACTCCACGAAAGAACGAATATTAGCGATTGAATCGATATGTTCTAGGAACCGTCTATGAGGACCAGGCATATAAGCGCGCATTTCATGAATGAATCCATGTCGCGTCTTGGGAGCATCCTGAGACGAATTGTTCGTGTTTGTGTTCACATCTTTCCCAACACCAGTTGGTCGGTGCTCAATACCAAGCACGATATCGAAAAACTGAATAAGAGAGCTCTGTGCATTGCTCCCGCCACCATATTGTCGGTACTCAGGCTCGTTCTGACCATTATCGTATAGAAGGCCGTGTGGGAGCCCTGCATCAGCCATGTTCTTGCTTCCGGCGAGATAGGGTCGAATGCGATTGTAGAATATGTAGGGGTCGCAATTATCGTACATACGTTGGAGAAGCGAGGTAATCTCATCTATCATTTCGGCGAGACGCTGCAAACATTCGGTGACTACGCGCGATTTGCCAGCGCGGGCGGCGGTGATAGCTTCCAGCATGAGTGGGATTGAGGGGGCGCCCCGAGCTTCGATGGCTACGGAGACAAGGTAGAACCATTGTTCATCTAGGGATCCGGTGAATGTTTGTAAACAGGCGAGATTGTCAAGGTCGTCTGCTGGTTCGTCGGGAAAGAGTGGCTTATAGTTCCAGAGGCATACGCCTGCGTATGTCGCTACTGGGGGAACTTCAAGGCGTTCACATATTTCAAATAAGGGCACGGTGAGTTGTGGTGGTACTCGCTGATATTTGTTAAAGGTTGTTTCTGGATAAGCGAGTGATACGTGAGTGAGTGAGAGTAGCATACCTCGCTGGGTCGGTCACCACCCCATACATAGCCGTGCAATATGAATACCAGGACGACGTATGCGCGTCGCCATTCAGCATCTGTGTTCAAATATGATGTTGAGAGTATGGGTAAACGGTCCACAAGGGATCGAACGCGTTTACTCAGTAATAATGGTTGGAGGTTTGCTGCAATAGCCTCCCATTTGGCATAGTAGGGATCTGACAGGGACTCTAAAGGTGGCTCTGGTGACAGGAACCCGTTTTCAGGGGAGATGCCGTAGTCTAAAGGCGAAGGGACTGGAGGCAGCATGGTGACTGGGGCTTGGGAATAAAAATAGAGAGAATAAGGAAGATAGGCACGTGTCGATATAGGGTAAGTGAAATCAAAGAGACAGTATCAGCCCATTCGGATTTCAGGTCCCGTTGATCCCCGGGTCGAGACGAGGATCCCGAGGTCATGCAACTTCCAAGTACTGAAAGTAGCTTCTGAAGCTGTGATGTTGGAGATGTACTTGTGTGACAAGTGATAACTGGTTGTTGGTTGTTGGTTGTTCAAAGAAGAGCCAGGAACAAGGTCCCCAGTAAGAGGGGTCGGAAAATAAGTGGCGTACTTCCAGTGAGAAAAACTTCCTCGAGTTGCTCCGAAAAGGCTATTTTCCCCGGATGTGAACGGAGCCAAAGAACGGGGAAATTTAGACTTTCCAACTGCTTGATTTCTGATCGAGAAGGGGAAAGGGAAACTTAAGAAGGGAGGAATAAGAAGAAGAATCAGAAGATAAAGATAGAGATAATATTATTAGACCGTTGTCGTGTTTTATTCACTTGTAACTTTTTTCTCTAGCGGTGATAAATCCGATGACCAGCAGAGATTTCCCAACTGGTCCGGCGGGATGACCGTCCGAGCACGTAATAATTCACCGCGAGGCATTTCTAATCCTGGATCCAGATAAGTAAGATCTGGTTGGAGTAAGTCATCAGCAAACATCGGGGGTGGCTCGGGGCCTTGTCCTGGGCCGCGTTGGGTCCGATATAGGATGACGATGGGTGACAATTTAGAGGGGGGTGAGTCGAACAATATTTGGGCCAGGGGCGGACACGCAGGAAACTGGGATGGCAGGAATAAAGGGGTGGAAAAGCGGGCCAGGGGGATTAAAGGGAGAAGAACGATGATCTAGGTTGATTTTAGATGAGCTCTGAGCTTATATATCGAAGTATGGGAACGGGCCTCCACGTTGAAGTGATGCGCACCTGGGTGGGATAGACTGGGTGTAAGCAATTTGGGTGCCATCTAAGAATCACTAGCGTGGGTGCTAGAGAATGAACCGGAGCACGGTGGATTAGGCGGGTTGAGTGCGCGAATATACGGGTTCCCACCGGAGTCGGAGTTTAAGCGAGAGGGGTGAGCGCAATTCGCTTTGCCTACGCTAAAACCGGTCTACGGTGAAAGGGCCAATCCCCACTTGGATCAGCCAACGTCACGTCTAGGCAGAGCATGCGGGTAATTACGACCCTGAAATAAGGAGATCTTTCCAGATGTCGCCAAAATTACTATTTGCAAACTGTGATCATTTAAGAAAGGACTCTTGGAGCTGCTTTGGTCTTTTACTAGTGAATTTTAAGACTGTCTGGCCAATTCACCAAAGGGGCTTAGCGGGGATCTGCTTATGTAAATATTCTGCCTGAGGCTGAAACAAAGGTATAGCACAGCATCGGGAAGAGATTCATGCTAAGTAGGGACGAGTTCTAGAAATTATCAATAATTATATGTATGAACCAAAAAAACGATACACATTTACTATCTCAACAAAAATAATCAAATGTTACCCCATCACCATCCACCCTTCCCTCTCCACCACCGCTTAAGCCGCCGCCCACCGAATCAACCCTGACTGCCTAGAGTTCAGGCTATGAGCAAAATCAGTATTCATCCATATCAAAAAAACAACGTATTCAAGGGGATACAGAGATTACTCACACAAGAGAAAGATCGGTACACGCCAGTGACACAAGTACCAGCATCAATAGTACGAGAGTAACCAGCACAGTCAATCGACTCAAAGAACTCGCACTGATCAGATCCAGTAGCTACACTTGCAGAGACAAGGTTTCCAGATCCACAGTCCGTCAACCCATCAGCCATACTGCGCTGTTGACAAGTAGAGGTGGAATCGCCAGAATCAAAGTTATGGCACACCCCGGAGTCGGTGCCGTTGTAGGCACGCCAAAATCCAGTATTTCCGATGATGTTGCAGTCTGTTGTTCCGTGGTAGTCGACGGCTTTCCAGGCGAAGGCAGTGGAGGCAAGGGAGATGGCTAGGGCGGAGATATTGATGAACTTCATTGCTGCGGATAGAAGGGTTGGGTTTGACGCGGGAGCTTGAGAGGTGCTTGGAGTGTATTGTTGAGGATCTTGAGTTTGGATTGAAGAGAATAGGAGGACTTTGTTGACTTATTTATATTGTTTTCTTCAGTAGATGACTATATTGCTATACGTATTCAAATGTCTTACTTGTCCGAAATATTCAGGGCGCCTTAATTTGACGATGAAGAGATGTCTTAGCCGATGGTCATGTTGGCCCCAATAGCTTACTTCATGCCCGATGAAGTACATATCACACATCACATAACATCCATCATTTACCAGTTAACCCGTTTCTTCAGATCACGATGAGAGCTATATGCAGTATAGTGGGTCCCCGTAGTAGGCTTTTTGTTGATAAAAAAGATTTAGGTGGTACCAAGCTGGCTGGCTGCGGCTCTTGGCTGCTGGCCTTGAAAGTCCAAAAACAAATCCTAATGTTTCACAATCACAGCCACTTCTATACATTCTTTTTGTATCTTTTTCTGGTCGACCTCATATTTCCATAGGCAGTGATATCTAGGTATCTGGAACCGAGGTCTACGGTATACAATTTAAACAATCAATGTTGATAGGAATGAAAATGCTAACTTTGAAATTTAAATGGCACGCCTGAAGCTTCCCCCGCATTTGAAGGAGCTGCGGAAAGGAACCGCGGAAAGTCTATATATAACACACTAGCATAGCTAAAATGGCCTTAAATAGGCCTAACTGTGGTCGCCTGACGAGTGGGACACGTCAAATCATGACGACTCCTTATCAGAACGTTCAATGTTCTTCAACGCCTACATATGTGCATATGCACTTAATTTCAGACTGTACTAAGACTTGTCTTAAGTATTTATTCATTCCCAAATCTATTTTTACAATTGACCTTGCAGTGGTACTAGTGTCTACGTACTGATTAAATGATTGTATCATGCGATTAGATGTTTAATTTGAATTCAATGATATCATGGTATCCACCTAATTACGTTCTTTCTCTCAACAGAACTACATGTCCTCTTCTTCAAGGTCGGTAATGCGTTTCACGCCTCCAGCAGAAGTACCCCCGGGCCCGGGTAATTCAAGCTCAAGCTGTTCCTCGCCGGTACGATCATATTTTCGTTCCTCGATCACAGGAGCCTCGCCCAGATCTTGATGCGCCGTAAGTACGGTCGTAGTCCCATCGGGTTCGGTATGAGAAGTGGTTGAGTATCGGTGGCCGCTTGTGGTAGTCCCCTCGTTCGCATTGGTTGACGAACTATAATAAAATGAAGAACTGGTATATGACTGGGGCATGCTGGCGTCGGTAGACTTGGAGAAAAACTTCAAGTTGGATGGAGAATCGTAATTTGTATGCAAAATTGAGACGTTCGTTTGATATCGTAGGATCGTATAGCGTTTATATGCAGGTTAGACAAATTTGAAGGTGGATAGATTGTCTTTGTTATATAGATACTTGGTGTGGATCGTGTGGCAAGGGATGATTTCATTTGCCATCCTTGTCTATGCTTCGACGGTCTTGACTGGTAGAGGCAAGGCACGGTCATCAGCTCTGTCTCCAGATGGCTTAAAGCGGGCACAAATTAGATTGATTAGGCTGAGCCTAGAACCTCGGAGTGGGTTTAAGATGTTGAGTTTAATAAACATGTGGCATCGGTGTCGTGGCCGTTTTAATGTAGTATTGTACCCAGTTCCACTGGTGTTAGCTGGCGATTATCACGTCGCCTGGGTGTACCTTTGTTTCATTTTCATTCCCTTGGGACTGCGCGGATTAACTTGAAGTGAAGCGGCAAATGTGCAATCAATCCCCAAAGCGGAGCTTCCGCAGCTATTTTAAGGCATGAAAAATTCAATGTTCTTTGAGCGATCTAAACTATAGAGGGTAGTAAGTACCCAGGCCGTCCCGTTTTGGTCCGACTACTATGTAGGTGGTTGTATTTTAGTATGCAATGGACGCCATACGCAGGAGAAATCGAGGTAAATCATCAGTTTAAATGATAATTTACAAGCGAATATATAGTGTCTTATTCTAAGAGGCTAAATGCCATTATTTGGCGATCTTTAAAATGGTATTTTTGTTCATCAATCATAAATGGGCTCTTACCAAATCATTGCGTCACAAAATGAATAAGCAGACTGGACTGACCCTGGAACCATGTACAAGTTCAAGTTACTGCTTTCAACAAGAACTTGTTCATTTTTCCAAACTTGCAGTTCACGATAAATTCTATTTGCCACTTATCTGTATTCGGTTTATCTCATTGTTTGGTCGCTGACGACTGAAAACAGGAAAATGTAGTAATGCTCACAGTGACGTTGTACCCCGGGCCCAGTGTATCTCAAGAAACTTAAAGTGCATAGGTGGTGTTCAACTGCACATATATAAATAGGATGAGAGTGTTGCAAGACATTCTATGAATCTGCCTGTTACTTTTGTACTATCTTTATTTCTGACCAATTATAAGTGCCCAAGATGACCGATAAACTTGAAATCCCAAAGTCCATGCGCGCAGCTGTAGTCAAAGACTTCAATAAAGGCTATGAAGTTCGCGACATGGACGTACCGACTGATCTCGGACCAAACGATATCCTCGTCAAAATCGCAGCTGCAGGCTACTGCCACACAGATCTTCAAGTAGAGCAAGGTGTCTACGAATCATCCGGCGCAAAACCAGGTCTTGTCGGATCTCATGAGCCAGCAGGTGAAGTAGTGAAAGTAGGCTCAAACGCAGATCAATCCGGCATTCATGTCGGCGATCGCGTGGGCTCAATCAATACCTATGCTTTCTGCGGAGAGTGCAATGCATGCAAGACCCAGGGTCAGCAGCTTTGTGAGAAATTGGTCGGGATGCTGGGATTGACTATCAATGGTGGATTCGCGCAGTATATGAAGGCGGATGCGCGTGTTGTTGCAAAAATCCCAGATTCTGTTCCATGGGCAGAAGCTGCGCCGTTGTTCTGTGCTGGTGCGACTGTTTATGGTGCGCTGATGGCGTCGGGTATTAAGCCGGGACAGTGGCTGGCTATCATTGGTATTGGGGGACTTGGACACTTGGGTGTTCAGTATGCTAAGGCTTTGGGTGCGAAGGTTATTGCGATTGATAATCGGAAAGAAGGTATTGAGACTGCGTTGTCGGTCCCGGAGCATTTGCGACCTGATAAGACTTTCGTGGTTGATTCGGATGAAGCGGAGAAGAAGGTTGTTGGAGAGCTGCAGTCTTCGTTTTATGATTCTAACCCTGGTGTTGATCGTGTTGTTATCAATGCCGAGGCGCGGAGCTTGATCAAGTTCTCGCAGCAGTTCTTGAGGAAGGGTGGTGTGTTGGTTGATGTTGGGTTACCGTCTGAGTGGACGTTGGAGGTTGATCCTTTTGCTCTCTCGTTTAAGGAGCAGACTGTGAAGGGGAGGTTGATCTGTACACCCGAGCAGAGTCAGGATATGATTAATCTGCATGCGAAACATGGGTGCAAGTGTTATATCGAGAAGACTTATGGGGTGGAGCAGATTAATGAGATGTATGAGCATTACCAGAGGAAAGATCTGAAGGGTCGTTTGTGCATGGTCTTTTGATTGTTGATTGGATGCATTGCGAGGAGTGAGGAGACAAGAGAAGAGGAGCAGGTACTCGGGTATTGGTTATTTGTATTCATTATTCATGTCGAACTATAATATACATGCAGTGATTTAACACGTTTCCTCAATCAAGTAGCCCGGGGGTGTTTCTTGATCGGTCGGCGGCGAAGATTGGCTCGAACTTGGACTTGCGCTCGAACTATCCCGTACCCTCCAGTTATATTCGAGTAACTCACTCACACGATTCGGGAAGTCCGATCCCATGCTTCCCATAAGCTTGAATCCTTCTTGAGCCCACATGAACTCCTCCCGACATTGAAACTCCAAATATACTTTCGCGACCTGGCCGAGCGAAAATATTGTAATATTTGAGCCCCACGCCCTGTGACTTTCTGACAAGCAAAATGGTATAGCACGACTGATTTCATCAGCGTAGAATTTCGACTGCTGATACTCATTGTCGTTGAAGATATTGAGGGGAGAGGGCGATGTGAAATAAGTATAACACCATGCCTGGCCGATTACACCTTGAAGTATAGATAATGCAGCCCAGTAGAGCACATGTATCCTGGCGCAATCAAGCGAAGAAAAACAGTAGGATGGCCCGAAAAAATGTTCTGCAGAAGGTAATTTTGAAATTGGGGTGCCAATCCATGGGGCACCTCCGATATCCTCGACTTCTTTAGTGTACCATGCCATTAGCAAATTCCTATGGTCGATGGCGTCAAATAGTAATTTCTGGCGAGTTTCGTGGCTGGACATATTGATTGTCTCGACAGCATTCAAGAGAGGTGCCATGGCCGACATTATTTCGAAAAGTTCATCAATTGGTTGGTATTCTTCGGGCGGTATCGTATAAGAGAAGCCATCATTAGGAGCAGCCACATCATTTGGACCATTCGATTGTATAGGTGACAGGGATTGCATCTAGAAAATTTGTTAATCAATCAAGTTCAACCCACCGCACAATTTTCAAGGTGACGTACTAATCGCAGTCTATGAAATGCCAAGTATAAACTTTTGACGAGAGGACTGTCGCTCGCTCGATTGTAGTATTTTCTTAGAATTCCGTTGGTCACAGTTATTTGGTCAAGCCATACTTCAAGTCCTTGGGGACAATGACAGGTCTAACTCTTGAGATTAGATAGCGTCTAAAATTTCAGTGGAGTAGCACTTACCACAAGGATCTGGAAAAGAGCGATGGTATATATGAGTGCGTCGCTGTAAATTTTTCGTTTCCGGTTGAGCTGATGTGACATATGTTCTATTGCACTGTTGTACAGTTGAAGCCCATAGTGGTACATGTCTTTGCTAGTACCGGGTTCATCTTTTTGGTTCATTTTGCTAAACCAGATACAAGCTTTCGCTGAAAGTGCCTCTTCAAGCATCATCGGTTTACTTGGAAGTTTGGATATCCCAGCTAACAACTTATACCAAGGGTCAATATCGATGCTTCCCTTCACGTCGGTTGGGAAATATGCAGCGATATATGAGGAAACGATCTGCTCTCTCCTGGACGGACCATCACTAAAAACGATTGGTTTTGCGCGAGTAAGATATTCAACCGCGTCTGCTTGTTGTAGCGAGGTTATTTTCTTCTCTTTCTTGTCGGATTTGTCGGATTTCGTTAAGGCTTTTTGATGAAAGAAAATTCGATTCATCGCATATCCTTGACATTGAACCCCTCGCTCCAGGCAACGCTGACATTCGGGTTCTTGCTTATCACACTAATGCCACCGTTAGAACTAGAGTGGATACGATGTTCTGAAGGATTCGATCCCACCTTTTTCTTCCGCTGCTTACAGTTGAAGCAGCCCGTAGACTGCCATGGTTTCCCGCCCATTGGTGAATGCGCATTTGAATGAAGACTGAAGCTCGGGTTGTTTGAGAGGGGTGAATTATGAGGATAAGAGCACCGGGTGCTTCGGGGTTCCAAGATTGTGGAAATGACCTAACTCGACGATCCAACGACTCCACAGTTGAACCCCTTTTCAAAGCCTGACGAAAAGGTTAATCGAGGAAAAACTTGCCGTAGAAACGGTTGACCCCAGGATTTATGGGCTAATTTGCTAGTGAATAATATAGAGTATCCATGATTGAAAAGTTCAAAGGTCAGAGGCATCGTGAATACTATAAACAAATGGCTTTTGGATATTACTAATGGCGCAGGCAGCCATGGAGACTCCTCTGCTTATGCCAAGAATCATTTAACCTAGCACCTATTCCAAATTTTATGTGGCAAAAATGCATAATACCCATAATGTAACAACATTGAAGTATGCAGAACAATGCCTTAGTCATCGCTGTGGTCATCAGAGTCACTGGTTAAGACACCATCATCAATCTCCATCTTTTTCATCTGCTTATCACCACTGCGCCCTTTCTTCTCCGCGGCAAACCATGCTTCGCGGCGTTTAGTTTCACGTTCTTCTTTCCTTGCTTGGCGCTGCGCTTTTTCGTGCTGAGCGGCCTCTTGCTTTTCATGTAACTCATTGATGTAATCTTGCAGATGGGTGAGATCTGAGCGTAGTTGCACGACCTCATCTGTTGTGAAATCCCGAAGCTTGGTGTGAGCGAGATCCTTCTTTTTCAGGGTTTCGAGCTCTGCCTCTAGTTCTGCAACCCGGCCGTCATCAACTACAGGGCCATTGGAGGCAACGGGAGTCTCAGAGGCAATACGTGGTGTCTCAGCGCCCGGTTGGCGGAATGCAGCTAGCTCCGCAAGACCTGCTTCGATCATCGACGTGGGAATTGATGCATGAGTGAGGGCTTGGGAGAATTGAGTTGGTTGCCGAGACCGTGAATGCGAGGGGGCAATCACGTGGGTGTTGAAAGTGTATGCCGCTGGAACCGCACCAGGAGCATGAGCAGGGTCTGAGAGTGCACCATCATGTCGGGGTTTCACAATGGTATGGCTTGTGCGGTTCAGATCCTGCGAAGAAGTTGGCAGACCAGTAGGTGGCAGCACAGCCAAATTGGTCACGGGGTGTGTATAATCGGCGACCGAAGCTGTAAACTTTCGGCGCGCAATGTTCCAAGATAGAACCTTGCCGTTATCGTGCGCAGACAATAATGTAGCTCCATCATATGAGAGTGAGATAGCTCGCACGGCGCCCGACTCTGCAGATGGAGGAAGCCATCGGTCTTCGGTGGACACTTGTGCGGGAGTTGATTGTATGGATGAGTCGTGGAGAGAGTTCTGAGTGGAGTTGCTGCGGTAGAAGTCGATTGATTGAACGCTTCCATCCTCGTATCCAACGTATCCGGCTCGGTCTACTGGATCCAAGGCGATGCAGGTGGCTGAGAAAGGGAGGAGATATGTTCGCAGGGCGCGCGCAGTGTGATAGTCCCACACAATGGCTGTGTTGTCTTTCGCAGTAGAGACGACGATATTGTTTCGGCCATTGCTATGTCCCACGGCCAGAGAAGTGATCGCCGCACGATGATTGGAGAATGTTCGGATCGGAGAATTAGGAGGCTGTCGGTTATTGGCTTGAGTGGGGTTGGAAAATGAAAGGATTCCTGGTAAGGACCAGACATGTACACTGGCATCTGCGGAGCCAGAAAGAATGAAGTTGGAGGTGGGGTCAACGACGAGGGAGGTAACCGGTTGGAGATGAGAGGCAGTGGTAGCCACTTGCCGTCCTGTACATGTCTGAAACACGCGGCGCGAGTTAGTTTGAGACGATTTTACATATGGTACATCCAGAAATAATCAAAGTGGGGCATGGAATGGGAGGAAGCGCAGAATTGACATATCATACCTCCCACAAAATTAGTCGGCCGCCTTCAGTACCCAGTACTAGCACATCACCATATTTAGCACCCGCAACAGCGATACTGCGGATTCGCTCCGGAAATGGAATCAATGCCTCTTGATTTCCCTTTTCCCTACTGTAGACATGAACAACAGCCTTTTCAGCCTGAGCGCAGAAGATATGCGACGGGCTCACAGCCAAACAATTGGGTGTGGTTGAGCTCTTCTTGAAAGTGGAGCGGAGCTGAGAAGATGGCTGGAATTCCTGCACACAGATGCCGACATCCCTGAGAGTGGCGGTCGGAGTTTTAGCGGATGACAGCGTCGCCGCTATGAAGGATTCGGAAAGCATGGAGAATGGGGCGCTTGCATGAAAGATGGGAGGGAAGAACAGTCGAAACAGTCACGGTTCATTCTTTTCATTCTTTCCCGCAACTTTTTTTCTTCTGATAAGTCCGATTGATAAGGTGTTTGCACTGTTTGTATGTGGATACCGCCTACCAGGAAATGTAGTTCCCGTGCAACTAAACTACACTACGCCTCCACGGGGTAAAGACTAGATGTGATCAGTCCTAAACTTTGGCTTCACCTCCGATCGGGGCTGGATCCACGGGTGCAGCTACTTTAATTCCTGCTTATCTTATAGGACCATCGATTTAGTTTGGACTAACATCTATCACTTACGGCCAGACCAGCGGAGCTTTTCAATGGACCTGTCAACACAAGCCCCCAAGAATGACGGCGGGGCCCGCGGAATGAAGATTCTCGAACCGAGATGAAGAAAAAGTTGATTTCCATGATCTATCGAATTGGAGCAATCACTAACTACAGTATGCACTAACATGGAAAGTACCCGCGCAAAGCGATCGCGAAAAACAAAGACTATGTACAGAGATGAATTCGAGCTAGGACGAACTGTTAATATCATTTGATATCCAAGTTTCAGACATCTGCCAAGCATGATTGACTCCGATGCAAGGGATAGCAAACCCCATGAAGGGGTCTCTCCCATTGCTGTTGCAACGAGACACTGCAGCCAATGAAGACCCGCTCGGGTACAGTACATTGCACCCTGTGGTCGATCTTGTTGCCCTTGTGAAGGGCCATGATTCGCTCTTACCCCCCTCTGTATCCCATTTGTCTCATTCTTCGTCTCCACCAACTCGCCGAACTATGACGGTGTTAGGCGACCGGGGAGGGTCCATCCACGTTGACGGAGGCCTGCAGGCCATAAATGTTGTCCAGGGCCAATCATGGGCTGCCGCCTGCTTAGATCTCACCTCTCTCGGGAATGCAAGGACGGCGCGACCTTCATTCTCAACTATTATTATGATGGCCCGTGCCTGGAGAGGAGCTGAGCTCGTTTCGTGCCAGAGGGTAAACCAAAAACCTTGAAGGGGTCACTTCCATCTTAACTTGCTCGAGATTCTTCATGGCAGGATACTGAGTTCCTTGTCAAGGGGTGTGCGCTACCTTGAGTTTCCTGGTGACCCTATCATCCTTGGATTTAATCGAAACTAGCGTCATTTTGATTGTATAAGGACATATTGAGCCCCTGCCCCGGGCGCAGCTTCCATTGTTTGCAGTGACTGTTTCCATTCTTCCTTTTGCCGCATCACAATTCCACCCAGGTAACTGTTGTGCGACCGCATGTTGGTTTTTGATTTCTGAATTTCAATTACGACCAGGCCTGTTTAGTCTAAAGGACGCACCATGTCCGCCATGGACTGTGGTGCCTCCAAAATGGCTACCCATGCATGCTTCCCGGCCCCGATCCAGACACACATAAGGAACGAAGATTCTTATTCGTCTGCACCAAGCCACGATGCCATGGCAATTCCTGACCCCATCCCATCGCCACGCCGATGGTCTCCTACATATCAGCCCCGAAGGAGGAGCAGGCAATTTCCGACATTGTCATTCGTGCCGTCCCCCACACTCCCACGCGCAGAGGCTCATGAGTATTCAACAACATCTCTCTCCCGGCGGCCTGCGAGTCGAGGCCCATCCATCATATCACCATTCCGATCCGTACGCAGAATGAAAGAACCATTCCAGTTAATGCTTCCATCTTCCCCAGCGTCTTGCGATAGCGCACCCACGTTCCTTCCGAAGTCAACCAGAGAATCCAAACCACTCTCAGGTGGTCATACACTGCGAACATGGCGCTCTGATCAAAACCTCACGTCCTCTAGCATGTCAGCATTTGGTTTGTTGCCCAGTCCACCAATCTCGGAGTCTCGGCCAGCAAGCGCCGGAGCAGATTCATCCTATTTCGCATGCAAAGATCCACCGCTAGAAGAAAGAAACAGTGTTTCAACAGTGCCTGAAGGTTCCAACGAATCCCCAGCACAGAGTGACCATAGAATACTGGTGGAGGATCCTGAGACAGAAGACGCAATGAACTATCACGCTTACCGCCCTTCTGGATGGACTGACGAACCCTGCGAACAACCCGAAGAGCCAAAATGGGCAGAAGTGACCAACGTCCATGAAGCACATTCGAATCTCGTCCGACAATGTGAAGCCAATGACTCGAGCTTTACCAGTAAAGCTCGCGACAGACGATCAAGTCCCACTAAGTCGCCTGCACAGCTCCCCGCTTCAAACCATGTGCCAGGTAGTTCCCCAAGACCTCAACGGCCAAGGACAGCAACTGTCTCAAGTGAAGCCAGTTGGATACCAAGTAACTTAGCGTATTGTGAAACATGGCTGAAAGGCGTCCCTTTTGATCCGATGACCGGAAAAAACGAAAGCGTTAAAGAATCCAATCGTCGCAAAGTGCAAATTGTTGAGCAAGATCATCATCCAATGCCGAAAATAGACGTCATCCCCGGGGTCAAACCCCTCGCTCCACCTCTGGTAAGTGTCATTCGTGCTCCAACACCTTCTTCCAGACTACAGCATGCTAACAATGAGTGCAGAGATTTGCCGTTGCAAGCAAGCCCAAAAATAAACCCAGATTGGTTGAAATCGCGCGGCAATCGTCCCCTTCAATGCCACCACCGCCGCCGCCAATCTTGAACCCGCATCCTCTACCAATGACACCAGATCAACGGCAAGAGGAGGTATCTGCTTTCAGTCCAGATACACCACTGAATACGCCATTAGACATGTCGGATAGTGGTTACGGGACTCGGGAATCTGCTTACTCTCTAGAAAGCTATGAAGATATCAAAGATGACGACGCCTATACTGATCCTGGGTCATTGACATCAGACAGTGTAACATCAACCGTCGTGGGCGAACGGCCTGATACCGCGCAGGGAGAGCGCAATAAATCACCCCGCCCGGAAATCCGGTCTGGCAGTGTCAGCCCAGAAGCAACATTACGAACAGACCATATCCCTAGTCCTAAATCTAACGGACCTAAAAAAGAAGAACCAGAAGAAGCAACTCCATGGGACGAGGCAGATCATCAGTGGACCCTGGATGATCACGAATGGACCTTGGATGAACTTGAACATTCTGTCAAGGATTTCCCCCGTCATATGCTTCGTCTTACTTCACCGGCTATTTTGCATGTACGCAAAAGCGATGACCGGGATTTTCTTCGACCATTCCGCACCATATTCCCAGATGTCACAGAGAGTTTACTGGACTGTCTCTGTGCAGCGTTAATCGCACGCAACTATCTCCTCTCTTTATCTACTTTACATCGTCATAAACCTTCCTTATTGGCACGAACCGATACCTATGGGATCGATGCCATCCCCACAAAAGCATACAGCACACTTGGTATTCAAATTCCTTCTGGATCACCTGGACGTGTGAAAGACCGCGTCCTTGGACCTCGGAGTACGGAGCTTCGCCGAGAAGTCGAACGAATTATTGACAACTTGCTATTTGCTATATGCGGTAGATCCGACGAAACACTCAAATCAGCCATTGAAGTCCTAGCACAGGTGCTAGAAGTCAATGCAACTTGATGCATTCGCTCTATTTCCCGATTTAATACTATCATCTCCTCATTTTCCCATCTACAACTGACCTCCTACCAACTCTCTCTCTTCTTTCCTATCTCCTATCTTCCGTTCTTGACCTTGACCTTATATGGTCCTCCATTCGACAACATGTCACCATTTCCTTACTGAACCTCACTGGATTATTCCCCACTTCGACCGGCCTTATCTATTCCTGTTCTATCTTAATACCCTTGCATCGCGCTTCACATTGCGACTGTCCTTCAATTTGCGTGAAACATGTACAATTAGTGTTCTAGCACCATAGTAAAGCATAATCCATAATAGTGCCCGCTATAAATATTACACAATTCCTTGAAACCATCTCCATTTTAGTCCTGAATAATCCCCGGTGTACAACGGAGTTCGACGGGATCGAGCTTGCATGACCCAGCGGAGCTCCCACTGTCCAAAGCTTAGTCACCCAACTTTCCCGCGGAAAGTCCGCAACACCCGATCGATATCTTTCTTCGAAAGCATTACCGGTGCTTTGCTTCAAGTTCTCCATACTCACCCAAGCACAATGGCAGCACCAACACGAAGCCTACGGCATCTCTCGTCCGTACGGACATCTTTCTCTCACCCACCATCTACAACCTCTTCATCCCTCAACTCTCTCGGCCTCCGCACCTACGCCACCACAGATGCCGGATCCGCCACCAACACACCGGGCATCACACGTCGCCGCAAGACATCCTTCCAAGACAAACTCAATGCCGGTCCTTCATTCTCTGAATTCGTCTCCGGGGGCGGGGAAGAAGCCCCCCTCGATCCATCCGAAGCCTACGCCCTGAAAACAGCCATGGTAGGACCAGCAGGCCGAAAGAAGGAAATGACTCGTCTCCCTTCATGGTTGAAGACTCCTATCCCCGATTCGAAGAACTATCAGCGCTTAAAGAAGGATCTCCGTGGCTTGAACCTCCATACCGTCTGCGAGGAGGCAAGATGTCCCAATATCTCCGACTGCTGGGGTGGAGGCGACAAAGCCGCTGCAACAGCTACAATCATGTTAATGGGCGATACATGTACTCGAGGCTGTCGATTCTGTAGCGTGAAAACAAATCGAAACCCCGCACCACTTGATCCTCACGAGCCCGAGAATACAGCCGAGGCCATTTCCCGCTGGGGACTGGGCTATGTCGTTCTGACTAGTGTTGACCGAGACGATCTGGCTGATGGAGGCGCGCACCATTTCGCAGAAACCGTTATCAAGATCAAATCCAAGGCTCCCAATATTCTGGTCGAGTGTCTTACTGGTGATTACCGAGGTGATTTGGAGATGGCGAAGGTTGTTGCTAGGTCTGGATTGGATGTGTATGCGCATAATGTTGAGACTGTTGAGTCGTTGACGCCTCATGTTCGGGATCGGAGAGCGACGTTTCAGCAGTCTATTAATGTTTTGAGGGCTGCTAAGGAGGCTAGACCGGATCTGATTACGAAGACTAGTCTTATGCTTGGGCTTGGGGAGACGGATGAGCAGCTTTGGGATGCGTTGAGGCAGTTGAGAGCTGTGGATGTGGATGTTGTTACTTTTGGTCAGTATATGAGGCCTACGAAGCGTCATATGGCGGTTGAGGAGTATGTTACGCCCGATCGATTTGAGGCGTGGCGTCAGCGTGCGTTGGATATGGGTTTCTTGTACTGTGCTTCTGGGCCTTTGGTCAGGAGCAGTTACAAGGCTGGTGAGGCGTTCATTGAGAACGTGTTGAAGAAGCGTCGGGGTGGTGATATTGCTGGTGCTGGTGCTGGTGCCACGGAGGGTGTTGCGAAGACTGCTCTGCCTAATGAGGCGACTCGATAATTCTGGGCATTTCTCATTTCCCAGTTTTGGTCGTCTGTTTTCTTATTCAACAACATAATACAGATGCATGTTATGAATCATATCTTCATTCAAAATGTGATTCGTGACATGCACCTCGGCGCTTAGATTGCATCTTTCCATGGTTCTGGTTCTGGTTTGGGATTTCTTTTACTGATTGCTTCATTGAGGCTTTACTTCAACACTACCTGTTTTGTATCATCTACCATCCACGATTTTTTGTACAGTGCTGCCGCCGTTTATTTTGCATCGGTGGATTACAGGGAGTCTTATAGTTTACATCAAAAAATTAAAGAATTAGACAGCCTGATGTGTTCCAGAAACTGGTTATCAACCGTCGTGTATTTGGCAATTGACTACGTACCAGCTATATAAAATAAAACGTATGCCTAGATGAGTCCTAAATCCAACTATTAAACACCTGCTACGCCGAGGAAATGGCGGGGCTGGCTTCGTACCATTGAGATCTGCTGGTCGTCCTGATCCTCGTTGAATTGAATCGAAACATTCATGACAGCGGTTATCGAATCAATGAGAAATGAAAACATGAATGCGTTAGCAGACGCTAGACGGGTTCTTTCTGAGCTGCGCACGCGATTGATTCGATATGATTTGAAATAGATATAAATGGGTATTGTGCAGGTTCACAACAAAACAAGGAACCTATATCTTGTTAAGCTCGGCAATATCCTCCTTCTCCAATCCGATCAAGTGAAGAATATCAACAAGACTCTCTCCGTTAACACGAGTAGGCGCCTCAAGCTGCACCTTAGGCTTAGCGCGCCAAGCAACACCAAGACCGGCCTCGTGGAGCATCAAAAGGTCGTTAGCCCCATCTCCAACAGCCAGTGTCTGGGCAATAGGGATGTTGTTCTCGGCAGCGATAGACTTGAGAAGGGAACGCTTCTGCGCAGCGTCGATGATAGGTTTCGACTCGACCAGTCTACCGGTTAGGGTATTTGTCGCGGTGTCAATTTCAAGCTGGTTAGAAGGTTAAGGTTAGACTACGGTCTACTTTTGTTAGGGATGATACGGGCTGGGCTTCTTACGTGGTTTGCGACTGCGTAGTCCAGTCCTAGTTGACCTGCTAGCCAATCGGCTAGAGGCTGGAATCCACCGCTCACTACGGCCATCTTGTAGCCTAGTGCTTTTAGGGAGGCGCAGAGCTCGCGCGCACCGGGTGCGATTTTCAGGATGTGTTCGAGCTTTTTGAGGACGTCGGCGGGGACTCCCTTTAGGAGGCTGACACGCTCTTTTAGGGATGCTGAGAAGTCTAGCTCGCCGTTCATTGCGCGTTCGGTGATTTCCTATACTTGTTTAGTCACTGGTTTTACGTATTATCCCGATCTCGTGAAGTAAAAAGTGAACGTACGGAAACCTGTTTCTCAACACCAATGAACTTGGCAATCTCATCGATTGTCTCGTTCTCAATCAGTGTGCTGTCCATATCAAACACTACGAGACGCTTATGTTTGCGGAAGACACTTTCCCGCTGCAACACAACCTCGACGTTCCACTCGCGCTCGAAGCGCCAGATACTCTCGTGCTTCCGCAGGTCTTCAAAGGAGAGATACTCTGGGTCTGGCGGGGGAGAGAATGTTACCTCCACAACGTGAGGCTGGGCGTCTCGATCCAGACAGCGGTGAGAGGTATTCATGCGCTGATAAGGTGTAGGCAGGGACTCGAGGGTCTGCAGGAAATTGGTCAGGCAGAGCTGCGACACATACGGTCCGTAGATGTGATCCAGCGGCTCTGGTTCTGGGACTGGAGGTTCACGAGGGATTTTCTCCATATCAGCCGTTGGGGCGGAGCCCTCTGGAACCCTGGGTGAGGGCAGCTTATCGCCTGGTGCGGTGGTTGCATCTGGGTGGAAGTGTGGGTGGACGGGGTTAGAGGATTTGTAGAAGATTGTTGCGACGATGCGCGGGGTGCCGGTCTCGAGTTGGTTAGTTTGGTGGTTGAAGATGCTGTGAATGACGCCGCTGTCGTGGACGCGTTCTGGGTCGGGGTTGATTGGGTTGGCGATTGTGAGGTGTTCCTCTAGTGAGGAGCCTAGCACTTCACCGATGTTCTGGCTGATTGAGGGTGGGGGCTTGTATTGTTGGTGGTCTTGGATGAAGGATGAGCTGCGCATTTGGCCTAGCGAGGGCCGTTGGCGGGAGGTGGATTCAGCCATGGCTTAGGCTTTAGCGGGTCCTAAATATAGGGAGTCGTGGTGTTGTTGGACTGATAAGTGGTGAGAGTAAAAAAATACGGAGTAATGCTGATTGTCACGTGGGTTCCCTAGGCGTGCGTCGTTTCCGGTTGTTGCGATAGCGGAAGAAGTGGGAGTTGGTTATTGGCTGGGAGGGGTATATGAGGGGTTTAATATGTTTGCCGTGTCGGATTTAGGGAGGATTAAAATTAGATTAGATCCTTGCAAGGAAAAAATTAAAATATTCAAGCACTGAAAAAAGAAAATATTGAAAATTAGTACTAATTGAACTTTATGCTAGAGGACATGTACAAGAGTGATAAGCAGAAGGTGGGTTGTCGATCCCAGGAACAGCACTTGGTCATTTCGTCACCATCTGTTGAAGAGGAAATTTATTTATTTTTCCCACTAGGTATGAACCATGGCGATATATTTTTGTTAGCTGCAATGGATAGAAATTCTACTACCAGCCTTTGAAATTGTTTTCATCACAAGAAATGATATAGGATGGCAGATCAAGTAAACAGTATACAGTACTATGCTGAGGTTTAGGGTTGGCCTGATGCACGTGAGAAGCGACTACACCCCACCTAAGAGCTGTGTGAATAACTTCATCTACAAAAAATGCATGTATGACTTCGCTTAAAATTGTAGGGAGTTTAAGATACGATTCTTGGTCTGTGGGATAGAAATAAAGGAAATTTTGCATCTATCATATGAAGGTCATTATCATGTCTCTGCCCCGTTTTAGGAGTCTTGAGGTAAAGCCAACTCTCTATATACATCGAGGAGAAGTAGGCATATTTTATCTTTTGGGGTTAAAAATGGCCCCAGTAATATCAAATCATAAATGTGCATCGGTCTTTAAAGAGCCAAATTGCACCGCTAAAAATGGAACAAAGAATATTATTAAAACGCCAAAGAGGTATCATCCAAACGCCAGGTAGTATGCGATAGAGTATGCGAGACACAAGGAGCAGACACGATCATTGGGCAGCAGTGAGCTGGGAGTGCAATGCAGATGTCAAGGCTTCCTCCTGACGCTTGCGCTCCATCTCCATCAGATACTGGGCATACTTGGAGCGAGGGTTGTGGATACCACACTCGGTCTTCTGCTGACCCTTCCAGCGACCAGAGCGCTCGTCCTCGTTATCAGCGACGGGCTGGGTAGAGTGCCAGTCACCGACACTCTTATAGCCACGGTCGAGGAGTTCGTTGTATGGGACGTTGTTCTCCTGGACATATTGCTTGACCTGGTCGAAGGACCAGTTAGCCATAGGGTTGATCTTGATAAGACCGGCCTCGTCGACTTCGATGACGTCGAGGTCACCACGCTTGCCACCTTGGCTGCGGCGGCGACCAGTCAGAACGGCGTGGACATTGAGTTCGCGGTAGGCACGCTGGGCAGGCTCAACCTTGGCAACCCAGTCGTAGAGTTGGTCATCAGCCTCCCAAAGCCGAGCACCATATCTGGACTCGAACTCGGCAGCGTTCTCAGCACCAGCAGGCTTGTAAACATGGACATTGTTCAAAGGGTAACGCTTGCGGACCCGGTCGACCAAGTTGAGGGTCTCCTCAAAGTGATAAAGTGTATCCAGGAAGACCAAGTCCACCATCTGAGGGCGGGGAACATCCAACTTGGACAGCATGTCTAGGGTAACCAGGCCTGTCATACCAAAGGCAGTGGTCTGGAAAAGATGAGGGAGTGATGTGATACACCATCTTAGGATATCTATAGTGATTACCAGTTAGGATGGAATTGGACATTGGAAGATGGAAGGTAGGAATTGCAAGTATAGCGGGGTTGTTGCACTTATACAAAGCAGCATAACATACCTTGAGGCTCGAGGAACTGCAACTGGCGGTTCAAGAACTGCAGATGGGGCTTTGTGAAGACAATCTCGGGAGTATAGTCTTCACTAGAGCCACCGGAAACATAGCCAGACTCAGTCATAGCATCGTTGGGAGTGTCGATGGCCTCGATTTCCGAGTACTGGGGCATCTTGGCGGGCATTTTTAGGGAAGTATGCGTAGAATATAACAAAGCGAGCAAAGGAATGCAGAGGTTTAGAGGTTATGAGAGTAAAATGCCTTTGCACACAGCATACAAGGAGAACAAATGCACGGAAGATGGATCTTTAAGGACAATTGGAAGAGATTGGAAACAGGAACTCGTCAGAGTAACAAGATTATAAGGGAAAGCAGGGGATATGATGTGCCTGGGTATCCCGAGTGCCGGCTTCGATCATAGATGGTGCAATTGCCTTGCTCTGTGATTGGCGGAGAGCAGGTCTGAAAATTGCCCACGGATCCACTTTGGCTCATCGTGAGCACGCAATATCTGCGCTTCGGGTTCCTTTGGTTTCCCCTACCCTTAACAATCACAAAGCCCTAAGCTCGTCCGTTTTTCCACTTCTTTCCAGGCATCATCAACTTCTGTGCTGCCGCTGATAAATCAATCCCCGAGGGCACGTACCATACGGAAACTGTAGGATGCGTAGGTACATATACCGGTTTGCATTCCCGGGGCTGACCAATCCCCACTGTAGAGCCCTACAGTACAATAAGGGTCTTGCGTGCTTGCCTATCATCGGAGATTAGCCCCTCTTCTAGAAGATAGTTTAAATGGAATCTGCGTGTTACCCGTTTCTCCTCCCCTGAGCACGCCATGATCTGCGATGTTGTCATTGTGAGGTGGAGTGACGGCACCTCGCCAGCTTCTCCAGGTTATGGTGGGAGTGCAAACATGCCAATTTTGATCGTGTGCGACCGTTTGTGCCGGGCGGTGAGATTGAGATTATGTGATCTGAAATGACAAATCACTTCCACGAACGCCATGGATATGTACTAGTTAAGTGCCTGCTGTCATAGGAATAGAAAAGAATGGAAAGAAATCTGTAATCCTATGCTAATTATCTATGTGTTAATTCAAATATTGTAGTTCCAAGTTGTCACAAACGATACCGCGATCATGATGTACATATGTGTGAACACATGCCGAAGAATACCCGTGGATATATAGTATGTGTCTTCATACTAACAGTCGAGCGAACTTGAAGCGACGAATCCATCGAATGAATTCGTCAATTTGGTATTATCTACCCATGGACAGTTATAAGCTTTCAAATGTTCCTAAATAAAGTGAGCCCAAATTGAAAAATCCAGCAATAGCCAGTTTTATGTATTCGTATAGGCCAGGTGAAAATGCACATGTGGGCTATAGTCAGCCGCTGCGGGAGATAGAGGCTTAACTAACATAGCACCTCCAAATTCAAAAGTTACAATTAGCGTGTTTGAACTTTGGATAATTTAACCAGTACAAGCAAAACCCACAAAACTGATTAATTCAGAAGCACCGAAGCTATCCCATATTTAAAGATCCCACCCAGCAAATATAAGTGGATCCATTATCTTGGTGTGCGGAAGAATACCCACTTGTGGGTATTCTCCAGGTGGGTATTTTCCGCAATGACTATAAACATACCCCAGCAATTTCGGCACCTAACGTGGAACATAACGTGCTAAATTGTACAAATACATACGAGAACATTTCTCAACCCTACATCCCATGTTAGCATATATATTGATTTCAAGTTTGCAATACCTTCATCTAACGAGAACGAGCAGGCTCATGTTGCGCATTTCACACCGGGGCATCGCTATCCCAAGAAAGCACCTCTTCGCACCCAACAGTCTTCAGAATAGGCTGTCAATAAGGAAAAACCCTTCCACCTACACTTCACGTCAATCAATCATCCACAAAAAATGCATTTCAACACAAAAAATACCCTGGGAATCTCGCCATGACCGTCTCGCCGCACAACGCTTAAATCGCCCTACGTCCCCAAACCTCGGAATCTACAAATGGACCTACGTTTCTTCTGCATCGATACTCCATCGAATTACTGGTATTCTACTATCAGGAAGTTTATACGCGCTCGGAACACTGTATTTGGTCTCACCGGCTCTTGGTCTCAATCTTGACTCAACAACCCTTGCTGAAGGATTTGGATCATTACCCTTTGTCGTAAAAGTGGGTCTCAAGTTTGGATTATCCATGCCATTTACTTATCATGCTTTCAATGGGATCAAGCAATTGGTATGGGATACTGGTTCTTTACTAGGGAAGAAGCAAAGTGCAAGGGCTACTTGGGTAGTTTTGATTTGTTCTATCGGCACATCTATGGGAATGGCTCTCTATAGATTTGAAGAGAAGACCGAGTCAGACTAGTCGAAATTAGAGTCCAAGTCTTTCGTACTTTTGTTAATGTGAAAAAAATCATGTTTTTTCTGATCGTCCCTTCAAAAGATGGTGTATCTGTGTCATGGAGTCTTTTGCAACCTCCCCCGTTTCAGATAATGGTTTTTGTAACATAAGCTTGTCGAATACACATAGATCAGGCGCATGATGGGTTATTCCTGCTCGGTAGATCTCTTGCTGACTCCATTTTGATTTGAGATGGTTCCAGAGACTCATCCATCTAGAGAGAGCTAGGTCGATTTGCCCTTTTGCGTCTGATACATCGCACAGACTGGATCTTATATTGAAAATAATTGGTTGAAATGCTTGAGATGTTCTGGGTTAGTTTCAGTTCAAGCGATGTTTGAATTCTGTCGATCATGGGTACTCACAAGAGATGACAGTAAATGTAGCAAAGATGTTCAGGTTGTTCATTCGTGAATCTCCCTCCCCTTTCCACGTATCTGATAGAAGTTCTTGTATGAATTCGTTTAATGGCGGAGGCCGATCGTGTTTTCTCTCATTTTCTGCCCATACTGCCCATGTTGTTGGATCTCGGATATCGATCCCTCTTTCTTCAGATGGGAGATCGAAACAGAACTCGGATGGTGTGAATTGCGGGGGACTATTGAAGAACATAATGTTGTGACAGTCCAGCATGGTGATAGATGCCATGAGCCTTGGCTACATCAGCACTATCCAGCATAGTCAATATAGAGCAGATTTACAGACCTGATACATGTCTCATTCCTCAAGAAAGCCTCGTAATTTAATGGCCTGCTAGAATCATGCCATGTATTCTTGACCTTTGTCAATGATGTCGCTCGAGCAATAGAAACCAATGCAGGATATCTTTGAATCCGTACGCGACGTCGAGCCTCTTGTTTTGGACTGGCTAATTGAATGAGGATTACCAGGATCGCTGCCTGGATTATTTCGATATCATCCTTTGTTAATGTACTGCTGTCTAGATTGTTTTGATTATACACAAGTTGAAGGAAAGTCGGAGTCTCGAAAACGGCGATTTCTGCAAGATCAACATATGTTACTGCCTGGGCTTTTGCTTGTTCGTGGGTACTGCAAATGGCGCCTAAGAGGAAGAGTGGCAGAAGGAGGGGAGTCGATGTAGATCCGAGGTTGAATGATGATTTCAAGGCAATGCGAGATCGAGGACGAACCGTCTTCTCGAAATAAGCTTGGATGAACTCGCCTACGTTCTCTTGGTTGAAGAATGCCTGTTCGCTGTCGCGATCAAAGACATACTTATTTCGAGTAATTGAGGAATTCACTTTTGACAAGCAGTCGATCATCCTTTCTGCTGCTAGCTGTTTTTCTTCGAGGTCATCTAGCCCCTCAGGCAATGGAGACGACCGAGACGAAATCTGTTCTGGGACCGGTCCGAAGAAAAACGCCCAAGAATCGTCGAGAAAGAGATCTCCGATATTAGGTTCCATTTCGAGACTTGGAAGGCCATCATCCACTGGCACGTGTTGGTCATTGGACTCGGTGGTTGACAGTAACGAAAGAGCCTGGTTCACATCCCAAGGAGTGCGATTACTAGGCGCAGAATAATTCAAAAGGAATGGAACCGACAATTGGCCCGATCGCAACGAGGCTGTATTCCTCGTGCGCTGATTTCCACTCGATACATCTTGTATCTGTATCTCCGGCAATGACGTAGGCGGGTCATTTACCTGATCATGAAGTCGTAGATAAGAACACGAAACACCTTGCCTCTCACATGAGAGACAGGGTAAATTGCCATCACAGGTGCTTCTAACAATAGCACAAGCATCGCATGCAGTCTTGCGACGTCCAGCTCGATTGGGTTCGGGCAATGTACTGACCCGGGTACATCCCTTGTAGTGTCTCCGCAAGGAATCCCTGAGAGAGTCAGTAAACAGTGCGATACTGTATAAACGAACATATGCTTACTTTCTTGAATATCTGCGTCCGCAGAATTCACAATTTACGTGTGTTTGAGAGCTGTCTAAAGGCCATATAGTGGTCAGTTTGCCATTTCCGAGCTTGAACGCCGTTCGGCAGAGACGTACGCGATGACGCTTCGTGTCTTTTAAGATGGTTTCGGCTGGTGAATTTTCGCTGACAAAATGTACATTGGTGGCCTGCACTCGAAATTTTGTGGAGTTTCATCGCTGATCATGCTATGAAGCTATTTCAGGGGCTGAAACGTCAGAACAAGTGGCGCTCGGGCGGGCATAGAAGTTGCGTGGTTATCCTATCCGCCTTGTCATACTATGTAGATTGAGCCGGTGCTTGGCCATGTACTTTATACGTTATAGTAGATCTTTTTCCCACCAAGAAATCCAGAAAAAAGAAGAAAATATCCGTACCATACTAGCCCGGCGGCAGAACCCCCCAAAAAAATGAATGGTGGCAGATTCACCAAAAGAAATCGACTCTACTGGGGATCGAACCCAGGATCTTAAGCTAGTCCTTGAGCATTGATACTAGTAGGAGGCTGTTTCTTTGAATTAGTCATAGTCGGCGAAAATCAGGGGTTGGTCACGTGACTACCTTACGCCGTACCACTTGGCCACAGAGCCGGGTCTCAAACCTTAAACGTATCCGTGCGGTTTCGACCATGGGATACTTTTCTCGGCTTTACATATGGGAGAAAAGCACGGAATGGAGATAATGCACATAGGCAAAGATCGAGATATTAATGCACCTCATTGCTATTAAGAAGTCTAATTTGAACCTCTTTCTGCGACACGTACATTCTACTCATATTTGGTTGGGGCGAGTACTTGCTTACAAACTGACTGCTGGAAAGGCAATTCTGAATGGAGAAGACAAGATTGGAGATAGCGTAGCCATTGAAGCGGCCCACTAGAAAATTACTTGAAGTTTACATATTATTTATAGATGCTCTAAGAGCAAATGCTAGTATATAGGCAAGATTCTGGAGAGTTAGTCAAAATACCATTGTGCAGTACTCTAGATTTAATGAAGTTAAATTGTCGAGACTGACAATCGCAAAACCTGGCTTCGGTAAGTCCAGAAATCCACTATGTCTACTCATTCAGATTCTCAATTTCAGTCATTTTCCGTTCGATTTCCTTCAAAACTGACTTCTTTCCTCCCGAAACGAATGCTGCGATCCCAGGTAACTTTTCCTTCCAGAATTTCCATCTGTCATGGCTGATTGATGATTCCCCATTATAAAGAGTGCCTGGCTTGGTCAATTTAACGATCCGCGCCAGCTCTTTTCCGTTTATACTCGCATAGATGACTTCGCCAGAATGGTAAATCCACTCCTTCATCAGGTCGACAAGGGGATTCATTGCAAATATCCGTTGATGTGGCTCTTCCAATGCTTCCCTAAAAACCCAAACAGGATATTCAAGTCCAACAATCATCTTCTTTCCAAAAAGTCTAGCCATGAGGGACTTAAGGTTCAAATTTGATTCAGCGATTTCTTCATCGTAGTCATCGTCCATATGAAGGGGTACTAGCAGAGTATGAATGAAGATTAGCTTCACGAAACGTACATAACAGAAAAAGCAAGAAATCTTACGCATAAAAGACTCGGCCATGCAAGTTTCGAAAATAGGCATATCTTTCCAGAGCTCGAACGTGTCCTATACGAATGCCAGTCTCTTCGAACTCAATCATAATCATAACCAACACTCAGGCATGTACTCACCGAGGCCACCTTAACCTTTCGCGCTGATATCTGTCTGAGCTCTTCCACGAAATTTACCAGCCTGACTTGTCCTATATGATTTGGTGGCACCTGACTAGCTACCTCAAGAAACGTGTACCAAAGGGCCCACAAAAATTCTTCGACTTCTTGCCTGCTTTGCTTCTTGTCGTGTTTAGAGGGGGGAAGGAGGTTATTGATCTGGGCCGCCAATGTCCCTATTGTTGGGGTCGATTCAGATTGACGAGGAATTTGGCGGAGGTGGCCATTGACCTTGGACACCAATATCACTGTCCTTGGCTCCGACTGATTTTGAGGAATTCGGCTGACGAGGTCAGGATATGGGCCACCAAATCCCCAGTATTTAGGATCGATTCGGGTTGAGGAACTTCCTTCAGGATGTTGAATAAACTCCGTCGGAGATGATCTAGATCTTCAGGCTCAATAATTTGAAAAGGCACGTCTAAATATCTTGCATCGACCTCCATGGCATCGATTTGTCCCATGGCGAAATTAGCGAAGCGACGAGCGCACAAAGTAGACGAAGAAAAGTTGGCCGGGCCTGAATGGGAGAGATACAAGGAGAGGAGATGCCAGTGGATGCCGAAACTGGAAGGTGTGATGGCAAATATCTAGCTCTAGGTGTGCTTATGTACCTACCCTTCATCATGATTCTGCCGGAGGCCGCAACCCATAAAGCTATACCAAAGACACCGGTGATGATGAAAGGGCGAATGTTCCTCGACGAATCATAATTTTCTAAATGATGTATGTATATCACATCAAAGGTTTATAGCGCAATGTGTACAAAGGGAACCATAACCAATCCTTTTTGCTCCACCAAAGCCCAAAAGTTGTAAGGTCACTGTTCAATCCCCGGCGAACATGTATTTCCGCGAGATCTTAGTTGCATGCCCCTGGTTCAAATTAAAAAAAAAACGTAAGCTTTCGGTAGCGGGCCAACTTGAATGGAGCCCCAGAGAATTAGATGCGTGAGGCTTCAAACTCATTGGTCTACGTATTGCAACCTGATTGCTTTGAAAGAATTGGGCGCCTATTTCTTTGATCTCAGCTGCATCTTCTGGCGAAGGGCTCCATGTAGCATGGGCTCATGACCCTAGCAAGTTGAATGATGAATCTGTTTACTACAGACTCTGGTCAGTTGGGATTGGAACTTGAAGCTACGAAGCGGCCAAACAGTGGCAATTACAACCGTCAGATTCACCAATTCTGTCGGCTATAGGACATTCATTTTGGTGGCGTATTGATTTGTTGTCACAAATTCATCAAATAAGATTGAAAAAGTAGTATACCGGACAAGATTGAAGTATTGAATAAATAATCATATATATCCTCCTAGTGGTAGACCAGCTCGAACTTGAAGCTTACTGCAAATCCACGGAGTTTAGAGTACACTGGAGATAATTTTGAAAGCTTCAATACTATTGAATCGAGACTCAAAACCTCCCCTCAAGTCGCAGACATGTCCTCTGGAGAATCTGGAAAACCAAGCCCTTCAAGTTTACCCTGGCAACCCTCCTCGTCATCAAGCTCAGTTTTGGGTGGCAGTCAACTGTCATCATCAGCAACATCCACCCAGTCATTTGTATGTGATATTGTGACTATCTCAAGTATATGATGCTAACTATAATTTATGATCAGTGGATAGCTCAAGGCCTACCCCACGGCGAACCTCTACCCTTTGTCACCAAAAGCGCCACATCAGCATGCGCAAAAACGGCCGACGAGCTACCGGCACAAAATAACTTTTATCCAAAGCGCCATCTAAACAAGGAAGGGGCATTCCCTCCAGGATCCTATAAGCCAGGTGATCTTCGAGAAGTTCCCATTCGTCCTAATAATGGGGATTTTAACAAATATGCAAAACATCAACAAGGCGTTGGAAGGGTCATTGCAGTGAAAGGAGAACACAAAAACCATATATTTGCTTTTCATGACATCCGGAAGGGAGAATCTGGAAACAATTATCGACCTGCAGAGTTTTCCTCACGGAGCGAAGCAGAGAGAAAGGACAAGGAAGCCCGCGAGGAAGCCATGAAAGTCGAGGAAGTGAATGAAGCATGGAAGCTAAACCTTGGAGCAATGAAAATCACCTAGAATTGTTCAACAAAGAATACCGGAAGGGGTTTCCGAATAAATATTTTTGATAGCTTAAGTATTTAGGAGCTCTATATAATCCATGTTTGACGATATGATTCTGGTAAAATGCAAATTCTTTAGGTGAAGTTTGATTGGTGGCACCTCATTCGTATATTCCTGGATTAAAATATTGATTGAATAGATTGGAACCATCGCCAGTTACAGATCAATATTAGCCTCGAAGTTACCACGAACTGTCTTCCGTCTTATGACGAAGCTGGAAGTACCCAAGTAGTGACCGACTCGCTCGGAATATCACCGGACCATTCCTCACCACTCTCTGTAGTAAGGGTCACGTAGACATCGTTATCAAAGAGATTCTCAATAACAACAGAGCGGGTACCATCCGGGTTCAATGAGGCCACAGATTGAATCCCTCCACCACTAGAGTAGGTGTAGCTGCCGGTTCCACTCAATATCTTGGCACCATTTGGAATGAATTTGCTAAATTGAGCAATCATGTAGTAGGCCGTCTCGAAGGTATAGCTTCCATCATCGTTGACAGTGACTAGACCAGTGCAGGTGCCGCAACCACCAGAGGTAAGGTGTGGACCGTCGTCGGAATTGGTGCCGAGGGTCCATGCAGTCACGCCAGCAGCCCAGTTTTGTAAGGGTCCCATGGTAAAGTCTGCTGCTTGGTTCCAAGATCCAGTGGATGGTGTCCAGCATTCTGTCATGTATTGATTGACGTTGGGGTTGGAGTTGTGGAAGGTGGTAAGAACAGTCCAGTCAACGTCGGTGGCGTAACAGTGCCATGCGACTGAGTCAACATATGTGCCTGCAGTATCGACGACAGTCTGTGGATAAGATGTTACATCTTGGGATATATTAGTGTTTATAATTTAATGAGAAGAAAAGAATCAGAGATGAAAATACCTGTGTTGTGGTCATATGCCCAAACCTTTGTGTTAAGGCTTGCATCAGAAAGAGCAGGGCCGATATAGTTCTGAATCAGCTGCGCAGACTCATCGGCGTATACATACATGGTCGGGTATCCTGATTGACTATTCAGAGGCTCATTCTGAATGGTAATAGCATCGATAGAGACACCTAGATCTTCGAATGCCTGGATGTACTTCACGAAGTACTGAGCAAATTCTGTGGCATAACCAGAGCTCCCGGTACCCGAGTCCAGATAGCCATCATCCAGATTGTTCCCCGTTGTGTTTCCATCAATGACTCCATTGATTTTCATCCAACCAGGAGCACTCCATGGTGATCCAAAGACAGTAAGGTCAGACTGGGAGGACTTCATCGAAGCTAGCAGTTTAGCCATTGCGGTTCCGCGGTCGCCAAGTCCAAAGCCAGACAGTGATGTATCTGCAGAACCACCATTGTCGTCATAAGTATAAGCTGGATCTCCAGAAAGATCGGAGGCGCCGATAGTATGCCTCATAAGAGCAAAGTTGGCGCCCGAATCAGTCATTAGATCATTGAGAAGATCTTGGAGGTTGGAGCTAGAAAGGGTATTGAAGGATGTGACTGTCGCGTCGGTAACAGCACCACCAAATCCAACGATAGTCTGTTTGTAGCCGGAGCTTGTGTCGTCAATGGTTAAATTCCATGTTGATGATGAGCCTGGATCTCCAGACCCTTGAACCGGGGCAGTAATTGAAGAGAGTTTGTAGCTCCCATCGGAGTTGGAAGAGTAAGCAGATGCTGAAGTGGCTCTCCCTTCTAATGCATAGCTGCTAGCTGCCAAACCGAGGATCGTCGCAGAGATATGCATTGTGAAGAACTCAAAAGAAGGTATTTAGTATAACCTTGTTCGTTACTATACCCTGTATTTGACTTGAGAAGTGGGTTTATGTGCGATTTTATAATATCCATGCTCTCAACACCAGTTCATTTAAAGCGCCACGATCATAGTAGCGACCGATATATTCCCGTTTTGTTTAAGCGACTAACTCGAGAAAGAACATGCATGACGCACCCCCCATAAACTGGGCAAGTGAGCGACCAATATGAGAGGTGGATTGTTTTGGATGCTACATTGAACGGGGCGGAGGCTTGATTTTGGGGTCAAAGTTAAAATAATTAAGGGGATGATCCTCGGCACTACATTTTATTCCCGAGCGTCCAAGCTAATGTGTAACCCGACAATACGACAATACGGCCACCGCAAGCTAGTTTGAACGAGTTCAGTGAGGGGTTCGGCTTCAAGTTGCCGTAGCGAGCTCAAAGTATGGCCTGCCTAATGTAGAAAATGGTTGAACGGGAATTTCGACCGCTGTTTCACATTCAAACATGATCTTCGCCTCTCAATTATTGTTCAGGCTATGCTCAGTGGTTCATTTTTGGTTTCAAATTCAGCCCACGCACTCCTGCATTTATAGAATGAAAGCCAATGGATGGGATAATATGGCATAGTGATTGTTAGTTTATATGGCGACTTTTCTACAGATAGCCGAACTAGAAATTATGGTTCTGGCTTGTTTTATGCGATTTGTGCACAAAGTTTACTAGGTACCACTGCACATCAAGTCCGATGGTATATACATACATATTGGCAATATTCTTCAAGGGAAAATAGAAATTAAATTAAGGTACTGATCAGTGATTGGGGGGAATTTAAAAGAAATTTGCGCTTGCACGTCTCATGAAATAGAGGTTATCAACTACTAGTAGCGGTGCCGCCCAAGGAACTCACGTTCGGTGTTTTTCGTTGGTAGAACGTACCTTTGCCCCAAGACAGCGACCAGGATGCCAAATACAGAACAGAAGAGCCACAAGCGCAATGGGCGCAAATTCGAGACATGCAAAGTAAACCTCATGTGTTGATAGTTTTCCTCCCAAACCTTCAGCTGTCTCAATAAGACGGAAGATAGTTCGCATATAAATCATGAGAGTGGATACGGAGAAAGAGAGACAAAACACTTGCAGCCCGTGTTCTCTAATCGCATGGCGAGCGCGAAATTCGAAAGCTGCCATCAACATAACAAAAATGCTCATAGCAAAGACTTGGTACGCAAGGCCAGCGAGAAGAATATTGTTTGCCGTCGTGGGATCCTGGTGTCGAGACTCCTTAACGCCAACCAAAGACGCACCAGCAACTTGTATAATTGTTGAGATCGTGTCGGAGGTGATGAAGAAAGCTAAAATGAAGGTAGGGCGTAAGAAGGAGTACTTATTTCCAAGCCTAGCTATAAGCGCCGAGAGAATGGTGTATACGCCAGCAGCAAGGAATACTGGTGCAGTAACGATGAAGAAATAATTGAGCACGAAGTAGATCAGATGATATGGGTCTTTTTTGGCTGATAGGCTCCTTGCGATATAGCCTACTATCTCGAAGACCAGACCGGTGGAAAATGTCAACCACCACCAACTTCGATACTTGAAAGTTCGTGCAGTATGAGTGATCAGGTGAAGAAAGAACCATGAGGCTGCAAAAGCTGCGATGGCGATCGAAGGTGTATACCCATAGATAATGATGCTGGTATCATTTTCTCCGCCAGGATTAGGAAAGTTCGGGTCCACATAACCAAATGCCCGTGCTATACATGAATATTTAAGTTTTAACATTCCAAAATTGCATTGAAACTCTTTATTCTCCCCAAGATAAAACATACCGGTAATATTCCATACACTCATTTCGCATCTCACGCGTCCTTACGCGCCTAGATATGAATATAACTACCGCCTTTTCGCGTCAGATGGTGCTGCGGGCTATAGTAAGGCCAGTTGATCCTCTGCGTGATTTTGCTTCGGCTTTTCGATATTTGACATGACACGAAACTGTGGGGGATGTCCTGATTTTATTCCGTGTTCTTTTTTGACAATTCCAAGCTTCGCTTCGTCGGTGGCGTCATAAAGAGCTATCGCCAAGTAGCCAAGACACTGAAGTTCGTAACGGGAACAATATACCCGCTGATGAGTGCTGTGATTCGCAAGAATGGGACTGGCAGTCCCGCTTTACCAAGTAGCCGAGATTCGATCGCGTCCCGATCACCAATAATCGATCGAGCGGGAGTGTCAAAAATCATGTGCCGATTGAAAGAGAATATGTAGAGCAGCATGGGGCAGACGGCCAACCTAAAAGGATAGAAGCGAGAAGTGGAGCCTGAAGCGATGCATGATATCTATCAAATTGAAGTGTCAAAGCTCTTAACACCTCTGCCGCAATGTGGGTAGTGAAGCGGTTTCCCATCCTGCACCCAATTATAAACCTAAGAAGAGTATGGACCAGAAAGACTGGCCTGTGGAACTTGAACAATTTCATTTTCAACATCATGAATATTAGATTTTGGGTAAATACCGCAGAATATCAGTTTCGTTGCCTGATTCATCTAGGCGACTATATTGTGGGCCTATGATGATTGCAACCCTTTCAATATCACGATCACAACCAAATTGCCGTTGCCTAGTATGGAATTATTATTTAAGAAGCACTCATCGCAGACCACCTGGGATAGAAAGCAATCTACTTTATCAGAAACTTTACTACAGTCAACAGTCAACAACCACTTTCAGAACAAAATGGACTACAAAATCGAACTAGTGGTTGAAAACGACCTTCCCACTCTGGGCCATCTGATTCACTCCGCAAAGCTCGCCCTAAGTATCAATCGTCTTATCTTCCTCAATTGGCCCAATGAGATATTGCAAAGCTCTCTTTACTCCCAGGCTGTGAAGTCAGGTCATGAGAATGCATCTGCTGAGTGCTTCAAGGCCGTCGACAACAATACACAAGATATAATTGGGTACATTGTGCTGGCAAGAGTGTCGCCTGAGCCCGAAGAAAAGAACGACAAAGAAGAAGACACTCCGACGCAAGTCCCGCCAGAGGGGCTGAATCCTCCTCTTCTAGCTGAAGTTAACGGTGCCGTGGGTGGGGTCGTTAAAAGCGTACAGGATAAAGACCACTTTGGTAGGTTATTTGACTCGCACCAATTATTGCAGTGTTGCTAATAGTTTGAATAGAGGTCAGATACATGTGTGTCAAGCCATTCGCGCAGAGACACGGCATTGGTTCCAAGTTGGTACATATTGCGCTCGATCGGGCTAGAGTTGCAGGTATTCCACTTTTTGTATGCGCCGAGGCACCTTCTATTCCGTTCTTTACTGCACTTGGATTCAAGGAAACGGGGCATGTCGATATAGATCTGCGGAAGTATGCGCCTGATAACAGCGGCTTTGGAATATTCCGACTCGCTGGAATGATATGGCATCATTGATAGATGATGTGACGGAGGAAGATATAGATGATATTTGAAGGAAGGTTACAACTTTGGTTTATTGATGCACATGTGACTGGTCGTCATTCATGAGTAGATACAATTGCGCGAAAATTCGCAGCCGCGATCGTTGATATATCAAGACCAATATATGTACGAATTCATCTAGGGACATGGCCGAAGAAGGCTCCAAGAATATGAACTACCGAATCGTAAATCCGCCATCAACGCGGATGTCTGCGCCGTTGATCATTCCACTCGAATCCTAAAGTGAAAGAATTAGCAAGGTCATAACCTTTGAACATGATACCAAAGCTTACCTGACAAAGGAAGACAACAGAATCGGCAACTTCCTCAGGTAATGCAAACTTCCCAGTCGGGATAGTTTTCAAGAAAGCTTCTCTCACAGTCTCCTCACCCCAAGCCTTCTCACCAAGAGCCGTCCACGCCACGGTCGGAGATACAGAATTAGATGTAATACCCCGACCTCCCCACTCCGAAGCCATACTCCGTGTCAATCCAAGTAATCCAGCCTTAGAAGCACAGTAAGCGCCATGTCTATGGAGCGCAGCATGCGCTGCCTGCGACGAAATGCTGACAATTCTACCCGGCGGCGGAGGCGCAGTAGAAGACTCGGCTACCTTTGACGCAGCAAAGTACAAACGTGCAAAAGCCTGAGAGCAAAGCATTGGTCCAAAGATGTTTGTTGTTAAATGCTTCAATGTCTCTTCGGGTGGTGTGATCTCCATATCGCTGAGAGAGACGTATCCTGCTGTGTTTATCAGGATACTTGGGAATGCACGGTCGGCAAGAGCCGAGGAGTCCGGCGCCACTATATCCTTTTGTAGTGTGTCGAAGACTGACTGGACAGACTCTGGAGATGTGATGTCGCATTCATATGTGCGGATGTCGTCGAAGTCTGTACTGCTTCCGTAGCCGGACTCGAGTAGTTGGTCGCGGCGTGCAGCTTCAAAGGGTGCATAAAGAATTGCAAGTCGAGCACCTTGCTGTCGTAGTTTTTGTCCGATACTGGATCCCAGTCCACCTGAAATCTCGATGTCAGTCCAGTCCTCTTCCTTTTTAGAACATTTTCTTATTCCCCTCTTTCAAGTCAATGAATTGCTGATTGCTCTTACCTAGACCTCCGGGTAGAATGGCTAGACGACGCGCGAATGCCATATTGTCTGCCGATCACACTGTGACTGGTAGAAACGAGAATCTAACTAAGACTAACTTTGGACTGGGGTGAAAATTAACCGAGAAGGGATGAGCTTTTCGAATGGCCTGGTCCTTGCGTCACTCCAGGTTCAACCCCTCAAAGTGAGGGGAAATGTCTGACGGGTTTGGTAATGATATGTGGATCTGACGTCAATGCGTTCACGATAGGTAATTTAGGCGGTGCTTCGCTTTTGTTTACATATCAGACTGGTTACGATATCTGTTTAGTTGAGGTTTTATTCTACATGCTAGCTTCTTCCAGCTTAACTAAATTATCTGATGTCGACCGATGTTCATTGGGTGTCAGCTGGGGACATACCTACATCGTAGTATCTTTCGGGCATTTGTTAGGGAAATCCCCTTAGACTCTGAACGATTTCGAGTACCTCGTCATGCTTTATTCAAAATCTATCTGTATAACTGTATGATCAACGATTTTGCCGGCTTCCAAGGTTGATTGAAGTGGATGCTTCATCTCTGAATGAGTCATCCTCAAATACGAGAAATAGAATGTTGCACAAAATTCTAGTGCCCTACATGTCTTTTCGGTGAACATATTTCTACCTCAAAAAGATGGCCGAATGCTTGGGCTTTATTCGATATCTATATCTGAAGGCTCTCGTTGCAATCTCGCGCTTTCTCCTTAAACTCCTTGCCCCGACGCCAAGCTCGAAACCGGACTTCGCGTTGCGAATTCCCTCTCGCGACAAGTCCCGAGTCATTAAAGTCCATGTCTACAAACCACGCGCAGAAGAGAATGCCCAATCAAAACCCGCGCCCGTGTTGATCAATTTATACGGGTCCGGCCTCGCAATACCTTTGCACGGTGCGGACGATGACTTTTGCCGACTCATTGCCGCCACTACGGGCCATGTAGTGCTAGACGTGAACTACTGCCTAGCTCCCGAGTACCCATTTCCTAACGCGCTCAACGACATAGAGGATGCTTTAAAATACGTACTCGATCGCCCGACCGAATACGATCCCTCGCAGATCTCTATTTCCGGCTTTTCATCGGGCGGTACTCTCGCGCTCGCTGCCTCAACGATACTTCCTCTTGGAACATTCCAATCGCTTATCGCGTTCTATCCTGCGACAAATCTTTACCAGGATCCAAGTTTGAGAAAGGCCCCGGTATGGGGAGGGAAGGATCGTTCACCATTTTGGACTAAGATCTTTCGAGAATCTTATATTCGAGGAATGGATGCTCGTGATCCAAGAATTTCGCCTGCATTTGCTGATACGACCAAATTTCCGAGTAGAATTCTCATTGTGACAGGGGAATTGGATGCATCGGCTGTTGAGGCGGAGGAGTTGGCTGAGAAAGCGAGAGATGAAGGGCGCTCTGTGGGGAGAGAGGTCGTAGTTCGGAGGATGAAGGGATGTGGACATGCTTTTGACAAGAAGCTCACTGGGGAAACTGTTGTGTCGGCTAGAAAAGAGACATATGAGCTCGCTGCTGAAGTCTTGAGGAAATCTCAGGAGGTCAGTGGCCAATAGGTTATTCAATTTGCAGTTTAGATTACGACTGTCTTTGCTTTACGACCGTGGAAGTAGTCTGGTGCTGCTTGTAATCAGAAGATGTTAAGATATTGATATTGAATACCTACAGAATCATAAAGCAAGAACCATGCATCCTATTTTGGCTTGGGACCCGAATGACTATACCATCGAATGGATCAAGAGGATGAAAGTGTTCAGGAAGATCAAGCAGATGAAAGAGCGTACGGAGATAGCTATCATGGAGTGGGAAAAGGAGATAGAGAGTATGACAAAGATGGAGGGCAAGGGAGAGGTGAAGAGGGTGGAGGTAATAGATAGGATTAAAGAGATCATCAGAGAGATGGAAAAGCTAGATATCGAGTGGGAGGAGAAGATCAAGGGTATGAAAGAGATGGAGAACAAGGAAGAGATACAGGATATGCGGGGAATGAAGAGCAGAAAGACAATAGAATGGGAGGCCGAAATCAAGAAATTGATAGATATGGATGGGTAGAAAAAAACGTCAGGCTGGATATTGACGTATTTCCCTAGCCAGAGCCTGCAAAAATTGTGATACTTGGTATTATGCTCTCAGAAGGTTCAATGTTCTCATATAGTAGTACTTATACTAAGTCTATTTATTACATTCATACCTGCCATGTGTATGTGTGTAGCAATAAATGCAGAAGATCCACCAAGAAAACAACTGGGCAAGCCTTTTTCGGGCTTAGTGGGATTATCCAACGTCTGGGGAGTGTATGAACCGCCCGGGGAGGAAACAATCCCTTGGACGCTACAAAACCCGCACAATTGTTTTAATGGCATACAAAGATTTTACGAGGCTACGGGATTACGGATCAGAGTTTACCTGCCGGTATGCTGGCCGTAAGGGATAATCCACAGGGACAAGACAGTGTAGATACGAAAGGCAGGAGCGGGTTTCAGACACATCTGTCATCGGAGCACCTCGCCCATGTCCTCAGGTAATACCTGGTCCATATCACAGCCGCGAATGGAACTGTGGGAGGCGTTCTGTGTTGAAGATGTACAACAGAAAGTTCACCCCATCTCTGTCCCATGAAAACCATCCCGAGAAGCGCAGTAGCACTTGCGGCGGCAAACCCTGCTTACAAAAAGAAAGTTAGAAGCACCTGCCCTCAGGTCGGGCCCGAGAAGCAAGAAGCCGAGGAAGAGGAAGGAGGAAGTCAAGCAGGCATGTCCTTTCGCTGGTATTGTCCAGATCAAGTTCTAACGGTAATGTCTCAGAACGAGCCTTGCTAAGCAAAGTCTCGAACACCCGTCATGCGTGCTTCGTCGTCCATAAGGGACATACTTACCCATCGTCTCTAACATAACAAGAGACGGTTCACTATACACGGCCCTACCGCCCAATTGGTCCCTCACTTTTCAAGTCAACCGCTCAAACTGCCATCATAGCATTTGCGGTGGGTTCTTTTGTCTCGCGCTTGACGGAACCATCAGTCTCTGACGCCGAGTCGGATGTCTCAAGATGTTGGAACCAATCGTCCTTAGACTTGCGCCACCATTCTGCGAGAGCGATGATGGTGACACCGCCCATGATAACGATCGCATAGTTGAATAGACTCGAGTCCCTGTCAATCTGGCTGTCGGCATACTCCGGAGCACACAGGACTGCGAAAGCGAAGCCATTCCAAACAAAGGTGACAATGGCAGCGATCAGACCGAATCTGCCCATATCCCAGAATCCTGGCTGGAAGGACTTGCGGGTGATAAAAGTACGACCAAGACCAACGAGCCCATATGCTGCAATGGAGCCTGCGGCGGATGTGGAGATCAAGCTGGAAAAGGCGACTTGAGACGGGAGCTGCGTGCAAAGAAGGAGAGCAGCAATGGTTGAAATGAAGATCACAGCATTGTGGGGCTGCTTCGACTTCGAGACCCGAGACAGGACATGGCTGAATGGGAAAATTCCATCGCGCGCCACAGCAAAGACCAGTCGTGAGGCAGCTACCAGCGAGATTGATGTATTGAGAATGGCACCGACCATCGATACGATAGTCATGACGACGTGAGCACGAGGACCCAGCGCCAAAGCATACATGTTGATAAATGGCTGGGGAGCATTGGTGTCGTAGAAGACATCAATAGGTGGCATGCAGAACAGGAACAAAATGATGATAGGTAAACCGCAAATCGCCGACGCGACCGTGGCCCAAAAAACACCCTTGGCAGCTGCCTTCTTAGCCGAAACAGTCTCCTCAGCAACGTGGCCAGACGCATCCTCGCCCACCAGGCAACTAGCAGTCATGAACCAAGATAGAACCCAGTTCAGACTTGGTGTTGTGTCTCCACCATTGTATGTCGACGTAAACACATACTCGGCGGTTTGGAATCCATAGGTTTGCGAAACGCCAATGGGGAGCCAGATAAAGTTGAGCAGCATGTCAATGACGATGATGATAACGCCTGTACGGAATACCCAGGAGTACATGCGCGACGGAAGGAAGTTCAAGCAAGTTGCGATTCCCAGGAAACACAACGAGAATGCCCAAGCAATGGCCCGTGCACGCACGTCGGAGGTATCGTATGGGAAGCTTGTCGAAGGATTGAACACGACTATTTCCGACACGAGATAATTCGCAACACCAAAGGTATCCGATGCAAGAAAAGCCGTCCACGCGACCAATGTCCATGCCGCCACGAGGAACGAAACGAAGCGCCCAACACGTCCACCTCCCCAAGATCGGAATGCCCAGTAGTAGATTGACCCCGCGGCAGGGTAGCTGGAACAAGCTTCGGCGAGACAAGCGGCGGTGATGATCGAAAGAATGCTACCTGAGATCCAGGAGCTCCACCTATAGGAAGACATCGTTAGAGAAATGCGACCGCTATTGTTATCCAGCCTTGGCTGCGATTTACTTACATAGCCGCAGGCCCCCCTCCACTGATAGCGATATAGAACAGCACACGAATTCCTCCAATGCAATACAAAGCAGAGAAAGAGCATGCGAAGTTATCGAAAGTTCCCCAACCACGCGCCAGAACAGCGCGATAGCCCAACTTCAGCAGTTCGCGATCATCTTCATTCACAATTGAGTCGGCGTGGTTCTCGTCAGCGCGAGCATATTGACTCATTTCGGCTGCGCGGGGGGCAGCAGCAGTATCGTGAGACATGCTTAGGGTCTCTCCTGATGGGATTCGAGTTTGCAAAAAATCAAGTTTCCGGTTTCGCGGCAGATTTTTTTGGGCGTTGAGATATCACGTAATCAGATACGGAGATTTTTTGGGACGATCCTTAACCATAACTGGTTGAATAACCATGGGTCATTGGATTTGGTAAAATCTTAATTTTAGAATACGAGATGTGGATATTTACTTTTGCTTTTGAAGTTTCGACTTCCGAAGAAATCTTAGCTAGACCTGCACTTTTCTATATAGGGTGTAGCCTCTGTCAAGTCATAACAGCAAAAGTCCAGAGCCTACGATTACCGAAACGAAATCGGTATAGGTAGTTCAAATGAGTTCAGTTCGTCTTCAAGTCATGACTATGCTAATTTCGAGTGGCTTTGTACTATGTACTTCCCATCGAGTAACCTCTTCAGCGCTGTGGATGGTCGCCTATGCCGATACTACTATATTGCCACATGCTCACTCTTCTTCTCTTTCACTACTTGGAGAGCTACTAGTACGACGGATGCGATTATGAAATCCATTTTGTGAGTGGTGTTTTCTTATTGATCTTTAAAAATGCAGCTGCTTTGATTGGCAGTTGTGGTATTGGAGAATAATAAAGCGTATTCCAATAGAATCGTTGACTGCGCATCTGGCATTGTGAGCTTCGAACAAGACCACCCCAGACACCTGTTGACTCACCGCTCCTTATCCACCCCGATGTGTCTTCCCCTTCAACTCTGGTAGACTCAATCTATTATTGAGTCCATTGGCTGGTTCCGTTCAAACAGATTCAGTGGTCCTTCTTGTGGGAAAGCTCATCGTTCGGGTTGAGACGTGCGACCCATCTACAGCAGGGTTATGGCCCGGAGAAGCAACAATTTTAGCTTGGAGGGCACTGTGGATTTCTTCACGACTCCGGCTCATCCAAGCGGGATATCCATCTCGACTCAAGGGGAATAGGACCAAATTTTCATGTCGTGTCATGAAGTCTCCGAAATCTGGAGGCTGGGAAGCCGTAATTATATCAAGCTCTTGTGCAATCTGGCGACAGTATGTTGTAAGAGGGAGGTCGTTGACGTCTTGACCAAACGGATTTTCGATTTCGCTGCCAATTGTGAGGAGACCGATGATTATGTATGCGGCGACTGTGAAAAGTTAAACAATTTAGCGTAAATTTTCATATAAGTGGGACTGATAGAGGGAAATATACTCATTGACGCTGGGATCGTGGTCCAGTTTAGGAACTTGTACAATTGGAAAGGGAGGAGCATCACATAGATCCAGGAGATTTGAGAAATTGCGATACTATATGCAGCTGGTAAAGGCGTGTCTAGAACTCGCTCCGTTCCGGTAAGTATCTCATTTAGAGTATTTAGCATTGTCACTGTACGTTCGCATCAGTACCTATGATCACACATTGAGATGCAATAATGCCATCAAGATATTAGCTCACTTGTTTGTCCCTGATACTGTGCCAGAGTCAAAGTGCCATTCTTTACACACGATTCAACATACGCAGATAGATGAACGAGGATCTCAAGCGGAAGATGTCCCAGTGGCTTCTTAGCTCGCTTGACAAGCTTGCGTGGGTTGGATCTGGCGAAAGAAAGACCCAAATCCTCTCCTATAGCCTTCCATAAGGTCTTTGGCTGAGGACACACAACGCTGCGATCGTGTGCATCCAGTGCAAATGTATCCAGGTGTCCTAAGAGTCCTGCGAGGTCTTCGTATGCGACATCAGGCTCAAATCGAAGCTTATGTTTCAAGGCCACGGCAAAGGCAAGAATAAGGTTCATCGCGGATCTGTACATTGACTTGGTATTAATGTATTGGTCTGAGTTTGGTCATTTGACCTACAGTTTTCTCAGTAAATCTTCCTTTCCATCTTCTCCTTCTCGTTCGCCGAGGTGTACCCAAATCAATCGTGCTAGGTTGCGTGATGTCTGGACTAGCGAGGCCCAGTACTTGCGGCCATCTGCCCATCTGGCATAATGTTAGTAATTTGGATAGCCGCTCAATTCATCCTTTCAATTGCGATAGAATATACCTTTCGTATGCAGTTGAACCTCGAAATGACAAAGATAATCCCACCACGAAGCCCAGAACGGTGAGTAAGATATTATTGATGCCGACTATTATTTCCGGAGAAACATCAGTATACCTATATTCCCACTCCGGGCCGCTGACGAGGAAGCCTCACGATTATGCCAATAATGAGAAATGCAGGTAATAAGTGTCGCCCAACTTCCAACAACCAATAAAGGTATGATCATTTGAGGCATTATACTTCCCTGAACTCGCATAACAATTGGCCATTTGGAGTGCTGGGTCATGTTGCGGGGTCCGTGCTAAAAACATGCCGACGTCTGTCAGTTATGAATTGCACTACCTACACAACGGAAATATCCTAATCGACATACAAAATATCGCTCTAGCTCGCTTCTAGGTGGAGGATGAAACTGTGATTCTCGCGAGTCTGCTAGGTGGTCCATGAAGCTTGGGCGTCGTGAGAACCGATCAATAAAGTCATGTTCCTTCCTCGGAGAAAGAGGAGGGGTCGAACTGGATTTCTCTTCACCATTGTTTATATGAATTGGGATGGGAATATGATTTTCATTCTCGACCATGGGGAGTCGATGTTGCCCTATAGCTGAGCAGCAGCCGTCGTCGGACATAGTTATCCAAAATCGATATAGAGTTATCAGATCTAGATTAAAAACAGGCAAAGACGCGTTTTTTGAGAGAAGCCGTTTGTGTCAAACCGGAGACTATACCTGAGTGAAGACACACTTTGAAGCTGCAGATAAAATATTCCAAGGGGAGGACTTATAAAGTAAAGACATACACAACGGCCTTCAGTGTTTCTGATCTGCAGTCACCTGGACATTACAGATTATATCCATCGAATGAGGGGATGTTGGGGATCGACAGCCAAGTGGAGCTACAACGCCACTTGCCATCTTTAGAAATCCTGCAGCCACACTGATCTTAGAATGATACGCATGAAATACTACTGGCCATTCCCACGCCCGAAACTAGAAATGGGTTGAAAGAGAGTTCATGCGCTTTTCTCGTCAGAGTCTTGGGAATTCTATAGTACATCTTAGGCAATAATTACGATCATTCAGTACATCTGTAATTATCATCCATGCCTCATTATGGCTTATGTAGTGCCAGCTGGCACATTCCATTACTTACAGCCATGGTGGTGTCTAGTAGTACTACACTTCTCAAAAGTAACCTCCTGGCTTTAATCAACTCATACTAGTGTCTGCAAGTGTAATGCTCTAGTATACCACGAGATATACATTATATAGGTAAGAGTTTTCCAGGCCTCAAGAGCCCGATCTCTTCTATTTCAAGCACCCGTTGTTCCTCCAAATTATACTGGGTCAAGTTATATGGACTCTATAAGGGTTACATCCGGGATAGTAGTATTATATAGGACTGGCTCTGAGTCCACATCAACCGTTACTCATGCAAGCATACTACTTGATACTAGGCTGTCTCGATTCCGCAAACTTGAAGTACTACTTGGCTAATCCCTTCTATATCTACTACTTCACTTTCAATGCTAGTACTTAACGTCTTTATATTTTATAAATAACCCCCTCAAGGTCATCTTCAAGTTCTCTATGCGCCTAGGGCTCATCTTCTTTGATAGTACTACTCATCTCATACTATTCTTTACCAACCTCAATTGCCCAGTACAATAGAAAACTCTCTCAACAGAAGCGACATCCACCCACGTCCAACTCTCTCGAATCACCCACTCGAGTTGACCTTCATAGTCATCGACTTTCTATCACCGGTCGACGCTTCATGCTTTGTTCTATACAATTCCCACATCATCAAGCGACTTGGTTCTATCTGTCACGAGGCTTCCAAGGACTTTGAGACTTGGTTCGTGCTCCTGGGGAGAATCTTCAACAACTTGAACCGTTAATCTTGTAAGCCTGCTTGGTAGGCCGTCTCGATTTCACGAAGTCAAAGCATTTGACTAGTTCCTTCTATAGCTTCTCCTAGGCAATCATGTATGGATTTACCGCCACTTAGGCATCACCTTCTTTACATTACTTGTTTACTTACATTATCTTTACTCTCACCACCCATTCTATATTCACTGCCTGTTTGACGTTGAATATTGTCTACCTTACATCTACTGCCTATTTACATTAAGTGCCTACTTGGCTTTCAATGCCGAGCTTCTTTATCTTCTATAAAGCTGACTTCTTCAAGTTATTCCTAAACTGCTCCATCTCTCTCGATACCAACTTTTATCCTGCGCTGGACTTCTTATTATGAACCTCTTCCATTTCTCTCGATACCGACTGCTTATTCTGCGCCGACCTCCTGCACTCGACTCGAGTTACTTGGAAGAATTTGTTATGGGCTAGACGGGCATGACCTCTGTCTGAAATGCGCTAAGTTGCATCCGTGGTCTATGTTTGAATCGAATGTTACCGATCTTCAAACAATATGGCTCTGCAATAAAAATGACATGATGGATTGTATGTATGTTCAGTTTTCAAGAAGACATGCTCGTCTAGGAACGTCGTTTGGTCTCAGTCGTTTAGGACCGTCTGTCGGCCTCAGTCTCCAAGATTTGGGCATCGCAAATATCTCAAGTTTGCATGTCGACTATTCGAATTTTATCTTACTTAGATCCTTGTACTGCACATATATTGAGTTGAAAATCATGACTTCGGTCTTTTTGTTCTTTCATAAAAACTTTCCTACAACGCTAAGTGTTCTCAAGTTGAAAATCTTGGAGAACCAATAAGAAGCAAGATATACATTACTCTAACTCATAGCACGTAGATACTTAGCTACTTAGCTACGTCAGGTATGCAAAGACCAACATCTAATTGTGACACAAACTTTGCAGCAGCCTCATGAATCTCAACCTGCTCCCTAGGCCATCCCAACATAGTCCCAACAACGTAAATATCATGCGGCACACCCGGCACCTCAAGATACTCAACCCGATTACCCAATCTACTCATCGCAGTCGCAAACCCCCTCACGCTATCACATAGAACCTCCGCTCCTCCAGCCTGCACAAAGATCGGAACAGGAGTAACAAACGGATGCAAAGCCGGCGACAAAAACGGATCATCAAGTCTTACGGTCTCAGGCGGCGCGATCGCTCTCGCACCCCATGCCATCATACTCCCGAAACAGTAATCTGTCTTGATATTCCTGTGTGCCTCCACTGCATCGGTATCACCCTCAAAACTATACTCGAGCGATGGTGAGAAGAGCAAACATGCTTTTGGAGGCGGGTATGAAGCGAGCTGATGATCTGGTATATCTTTTATAGAGACGAGGTACCGTAGAAGTGCGACTGCGATCGTTGAGCCTGTAGAGTCGCCTGCCAAAACGATTCGGGACGGCGATATTCCCATATCTTTCACGAGGTAAATATATGATGTTATCGCATCCTGCATTGCGCCGGGGTATGGTGTTGGATCATTCCCTCCTGCAAGACGGTACTGTAGCCAGAAAGAGCGAGTATTGTTGCCCAGTTTATTATTTAGAAGTGTAGCTGCTGGTCCCGAGTCCTGCGGTCTTCCAGTAAGCCAGAGGAGTGAGCCAGAGTGAAAGGATAATACGACGAGTCCCTGCTCGTCTAGTAAGGATTCTTTCGACGGGAGCTCGGGATACCATGTTCCGCCGACCGTGGCGGGCTGGATATTATCGCTGGTGAAGGAGCCAGAATATACAGATGCAGGCGCAGGATCAATGGTCACCCATCTTTCGCCGAGTTCTCCCGCCTCAAGACTTAAAGATTGTGTGAAACCTAGCTCGGTGACGATTTGGAATCCCCGCTCTAAGAGGCGGGTCATGCATGCTTGGCGGTATGTCCAGTTTGGGTCTTGTCGACGGGACCGTGGTATATAGTAGAGACTGTAAAAGAGACCTTGGAAGGCACCTCGTAATAGAGCGATGGGGATCCAGATTGCGAATCCGGGCTGTCTTGTTCGCCAGCCGCTTGGCACCGCATTGTCTTCTGCGAGTGATCGGGCCATTGGGCCAGGTTGGTGTGTTGAGGTTTTTGTGAGGGGTATCAATCGAGAGTCGAGGGGAGAGGAGAGAGGAGGACGGCAGACTGCTGAGCTTTCGTGGATTTTATCGGAGGGAAAGTGGAAACATGGATTTTGGCCCTTTCGCAATGTAAGCCTAAAGAAGTAAGCTGTGAGCTGTGTAGAGATGACGCGCTAATGTTGGGGATCCACTGTGGAGCCACCAGGTATCAGCGTGTCCGATCCGGAATAGGTTAGCTTACGCCCCCGCGTGGCTTGGATGAGGTTTCGTCGGTCAAGGCTCAAGGCTTCGAGGATGGCGTGATTTTGAGGCTCTTAATGGGTGTATCTCTTATTTTTGAGAATTTGGATTGAAAATGGAGGGGTTTGAGTTCTTGGGTGCTCGTATTCGGGTTATCGTGGTCGTGTTAGTGATGTACACGGGTTCCAAGGTTACTATGTGCGACCGGGATTTATTCTACAGAAAGAGTAAAAATATTGAAATATGTATTGATTGATGTTTAATATGTGTAGCTAAGGCTACTTATCCTTTATTTTGCTGCTATGTGATGATCTGGTAACAGAATCAGTTTGCAGCTTCATCGTAGCCAGTATCCCCATTTGATAGCTTGGTAAAAGGGCTTAGCCTCCCTGACAAGAGATCCATTCGACTGATCTGGCTGAGGTGGCTCGATGGGGAATTTTTTATTGGGTACGGATGGTTTCTTCACGCTTTGCAAAGATGATAGATTTGGGAAGCGGATTTGGGGATCAAAGCTTATTAGGACCAAAGCCTTGTGTCCCATTGGTAGACCCGCGCATTGGATGGAATAGATGAGCGATCGCTCATCGGAGGTCGCTTTAATAGTGTTGATTCGGGAATCAGGACAGAGGATCTGCTGGAGTTCTCGGGGGCAGTCATCTGATGGCCACATGTGAACGCCTCGAGAAACGAAGCGCTCTTCTGAGCCCTCGACGGGCGAGCCATCTTCATTATATTGTGTTGGGCCGAGGAGGAGACCCTTGGTGCCTTCATCTCCTACTTCGTCCACTGGACACTTGCGTTTTCGGGATACCGTACGAAGTCGCAGACGGTCTTGCGATCGGAAGCCGTCTGCTTGGGGAGCTGGATCATTCACCAGGTCAATAAAGGTTGATGCAGCGTGGTTGTAATTGCGGTGTTTTGTGCGAGCTGCAATGAACTCTTGTCGCTGTGTTTGGTCTTGGGTGGATTCATATTCTGCGTGGTAGTCGCGACGTAGCCGTTTTGCTGGTCGGTGCTCATTGGAGTTGTCGGTCGTTTTTGGGCAGTCGGGGCTATTATTTCGGAAGGTAGGAAACATTGTTGGTGTTTCAGTCTCGCCATAAGTAGCGAGAGCCTCCTCGGGGGTGGGGAGAGGTTGGGTGTAGTAGGTGCGGTGGTTTTCGCTTTTGCCATCAGGCCATTCGCGGCGACATTCTAGTATAACTGGTCGGCCGGTGACCTCATCTGTGCGAATAGAAAGATCGGTCCACATTTCGTTAATAGGGCCCTCGCAATGCTCGCGACGCCATAATCGATCATTCCAGCAGCGACGATTATGGCGAGGTGCATGACAGAACCAATGGTAGTAAGAAGAGTAACGCTCATCGTCATCTGAGGCAACTTGGGTTGACACCGCATACAGGTGCTCGTTGTAGATCTCAAAGGTGAGGTATTGACCAATGTCACCATCTCCGACGTGAGCAAGAGGGAATACAAGAGATGGCTCATCCGAGGCAGTAAGATCCACTCCGTGAATATCCCAGACTCCATCTGAGCCACCAACTGCAGAGAAGAATCCGTACCACAGGTAAGTCCCGCAGTGTCGCACAAACAATGGGGCAGATGAAGGGATGCGACCTCGGAAAAGTAAGCGTTTCTTTTTGGGGTTGTCTGTGCGTGTTCCTATGTCAATCGCTAGCAGCATGTCTTCCTGGGCAGCAAAGTCGTCCACTCGAAACACGATAATGCCATCTGCATATCGAAGCAGCGATACCCGATGCACTACATCTGGGTCCGGGCTGCCCGGACCTGGATGCAGGCGACGAAGGAGACCGAGTAAGTTGAAGACACGTTCCTGCTTGTCTGCAGCATGCACATTGAGCAATCGGATATCGTTCCCCGCTCGATAGCACAGGAACCCTTGATTGTAGATGAAATCGGCCCCATAGGCTAGAACGCAAACCGAATACGGGTCTGCAGTAGCCACCGCCTCATGAATGTCAAACCGGTGCCCAACAGCCTTACGGTAGGTGTAGCCAGCCCGATTTTTCAAGACTGATTGACCCTCCGTACTGAAGAGAAGACTCCTCTGTGTATTGAAAAGTTAGTTTTGGGCTTAAGTGGGGGTAGCGGTGTGTTGGCTTATCTTACCTCGACTGTTTTACGGGCGATGAGGTCACTTTCGGTAGCATCGCGGAGAGCGCGATTGGTGCGGCTCAGGTGGACTAAATCGCGATCGTCCAGCGATGTCGCGATTTGGTAGGAAATGTCAAAAGGAAGTGAGTCAAGGCTCAGTCTAGATGACATGGCTGCGAAGAAAAAAAGGAACGCAAAATAAAAGCAAATTAAGGGTATGGGAATTGGAATTGGAATGAAAATGGGAAGATAGGGAAAGTGGGGATGCGAGGTTAACGGTTAACATGAATAATCCATGTTCGAAAAGTTGGAGACAAACAAATCAAAAAGGGAAAGAATGAAAGTTGCTTTTAATATTGAAGAAGAGGGAGTGTTTCCACAGGGACGGGCTCTCATTTATGAACCAGCCTCCGTTGAGCCTCACTTGTGAAGTTGCAGGGTCCCAAAGCGGGCAATGTTTTCACTTCGCAGTGAAAGAGCGCGGCTCAGCCTCCGAGCCTCAAGACCTAGTCAAGCCCCAAGCCCGATCGGCATGCCCACGCAATCTGCTGAGGACGGAGTTATCAAGCGACACCGAATAAGATTTTCCACTCCCTACTTGCTTATTTGAGTAAAATTTACGATTCATTTATTCCTCTCATTGGCTAAGACCAATTTTACTATTAAATTTTATACTTTTGCCCTTGTCTTTGTCCCCTCTTAGACATTACTCTGATGCGGCTCTGCCTTCAAATGTTGTTGGGAAACATCCTGGGGCATTCCGATTGGGCTAAACAGTAAATCAAGGGCGGAATGCGGATTACCACAGCTGTATAATTGCGCTCGTTATTGAAATTTATTGATTATGCCAATATTTGTTGTGGCCACTAATCATTCTTACTCGCGTGAGGGCTCCATGCCATGCGGCTCTTCGCGAAATTGGCCTCTTCCAAGATTTCCTTTCCTCCCCGAGCACCCACCCACCCACCCACCCACCCACACCTACTTTATGATCGCCAATGCGTCTGAAGGACTTGTCGGCCATTCGTCTTGTGAGGCTCTCATGCCCCCATTCATCGTGTGATACTTTTTATCTCAACCGGATTCTCGGTTTTCTAGACCAGTGTGATCTTTCCCTACCCAGTTAATGAGTAGACTTCGGCGTTGACTTCGCCGAACACGAGAACACCAACTTGTTTCACCCCGCACTTACTCGTTTGGCCAGCCTCGCTCGTCATAAGACTATACCAGAAGCATATAGCTCTAGCTTGAGTCCGTAACCCTTCATCCTGCAGCTTGGTGGATCTTGCGTACGAGTCCAAGGAGGCTTATGTCATGATCTATTTTTAGTCCAATATTGGCTGTATACCGATCATGTGACCTGACCCCGGCTCTGTATTATGTCAGCACCTCGGCAGTCGTCATTGCCAAGACTTTTTCGGGCTGCAAAAACATTGTTGCCTTGCATCACCGTAGGGCTGAGTGGGAGGTTCCTGACTGCTTCCATGGAAATCTACTGGTTTGGAAAACTACATCTTGACGGGTCTACTACGATAAGGTTTCTCGACGAAGCACTTTCTGCAATTAGCGGCCGCCTTTCGTCTTTGATTTGGATCCGAAGTCTTCATTCTGTACAGCCCGTATAACGAGTCTCTCTTTCAAGTTAATCAAGCCGAGATTTGCGTCGCCCCACTGGTCAGCCAAGCCCGATACTGCCGATACTTTTTGAGGAGATAAAAACCTTTCTGTGGAGATCCCACTTTCTTTTTTCGCTGTCTTTTCTCACCTCACGTTCATATCCTATATAACACGTGGGCGAATAGCTTTCCACATTTCTATATTGATGTCGTACTATCCACCACCAGGGGCTCCTCCTTATGGGTACCCTCCACCACCACATGGTCAGTGGCAAGGCCAGCCTCCCCCTCAGCCATATGGTTATCCCCCGCAACCATACTATGGACAGCAACCTCCTTATCCGGCGCAAGGTAAACAACCGCCGCCCCAACCACCTAGACCGTATCCAGGTGCATATCCATCACCCTCACCGCAACCTCCCGTGTATCATCACACGCCAAGTCCCCAACCACCACCGGGTGGCTTCAGACCGTCACCTCAGCCCTATGGACAGGCCCCACCTCCTCACCCGTCGCATCAGCACCACCTGAGTGCGTCTCGTAATGGTATGTCTTCACCGCTTCGCATTCGTCCCAAGTGTCAAGATGCATCGACCATCTACTGACCGCTATAGAACCTCGACCGATCTCGCCAAATTTACCTCCACCGCCGCCTCAAAATCTGCAGCACTTCGGTTCAGGCGCGCCGTCTAATTATCAGTTCCAGTACTCGGCCTGTACTGGACGCCGTAAGGCCCTTTTGATCGGCATTAACTATTTCGGACAACCGAACACATTGCACGGCTGCATTAATGATGTAACTAATATGTCTGCTTTCTTACATGACCGATTTGGGTATCGACGCGAGGATATGGTTATTTTGACTGATGACCAACGTAATCCAATGAGCATTCCAAACAAGCAGAACATCATCCGTGCTATGCATTGGCTTGTGAAGGATGCACAACCCCATGACTCTTTGTTTATCCACTTTTCGGGTCACGGTGGTCGAACACCAGACTTGGATGGAGATGAGGATGATGGATTCGATGACGTTATCTACCCAGTCGACTACCGTACTGCCGGCCATATTGTTGACGATGATATGCATGCTATCATGGTACGTCCATTGCGACCCGGTGTCCGATTGACGGCCATTTTCGATTCATGTCACTCGGGAACTGCCCTGGATCTACCATATATCTACTCGACACAGGGTGTGCTCAAAGAGCCTAATCTGGCGAAGGAAGCCGCCCAGGATCTGTTTAGCGCCTTTAGCTCTTACTCACAGGGCGATCTGTCCAGCATGGCTAGTACCGCCATTGGATTTTTCAAGAAGGCCGCTAACGGGGGCCAAGCGCGTCAGCGCACCTTAAAGACTAAGACGTCACCAGCAGATGTGGTGATGTTTTCCGGGTCCAAAGATACGCAAACATCGTAAGTGGCTCAGTGGCGTGCGGGGAGATGATCCTTAATCCAATTAATCCCTGACTAACCCCTTTTTTTTACTTTGATTCAATATAGGGCCGATACTTTCCAAGACGGACAGGCGCGTGGAGCATTGAGCTGGGCGTTTATAAAATCTCTAAAGCAATGGCCACAGCAATCTTATCTGCAGCTATTGAATACGATTCGGGCGGAACTCGACGGGAAATACTCACAAAAGCCGCAACTCAGCAGCAGCCACCCTCTTGGTAAGTTCGAGATCTGCCGTGCAACCATAATTACGGATTTTGGGGCTGACTTTGAGATCGGCAGATGTCAACTTGCGCTTTGTTATGTAAACTACAGGTTTCAAAGAAATGAGAAACGATGTTATGGCCCTATATTGCTGTGTATATTTTTTAGCCCATTCTTTTTTCTCTTTTCCTTTTTTCCGCCCGTAGGAGTTCCGACCCTTAGCCACAATCATTCCTTGATTCTTGTGGTATTGGTCTCACTGCTAAGATTTTAGGTCAATCACCCCCTCTCTCTGTTTGTGTGTTTGTTTTTAAGAATGGAGACGATTGTCGTGCGGGGGGTGCATAGTGGATAGCTGTAATTACAGGACATGAATGGCCCGCGATTCATGTCCCCTCCACGGACCTCGTGTGTATTCCGATGCGTTGCTGTGGTTTGTTGTTGGCCCCATCGCAGTCTCCATTGCAGTCTCCGCCACGGACTTCTCCTCGAACGCTGGGGAATCAGCATCTTAACGCCGAACTCTTCCCACCCCCTGATTCATTTCGCCCAACTTGGATATTCCCCAAATTTAAATCTCATTTCGAGCATCGTGAGCCGTTCAATCCTTCATGACTCCTGAGATCTTCATTACCATTCGCTTGAGAGCCTCGTAACCGCCAAAGGTCTGTATGGAGTAATCCCCCTGAGATTCCCATGGTCCAATAACATCATGGCGGCAGAAGATCCCAAGACCCGCTTTTTTCTCTCTTAATGACCCACGGTCCGCTTTCTCCTTTCTCCTGCTACGGAGTTTTGAAACCACACACTGTTGGTTCGAGTTTTGCTCTTTCTTTTTTTTTTTTTTTCTGATGTGGTGTGGACTGAGATCTCGGGATCATAAAGTTAACCGCCGATGTAAATGTGGCTTTTCCCTTGCCGCGTCACCGAAAGGTCCTCACGCCAACCCATGATGTGTCAGATTCCAAGACAATAGTGGACATCGAATGAATCTGATACGGGTCCTCCACTTTCGTCTAACCAGAGCGGGTAAGATGGGGAGAGAAAAGGTCCCGGGACAAAAGTAAAAAAAGGAGGGAAAAAAATTAACTAAAAAAAAAAGTCTTCGGGAATCTACACTCCGACTACCGTACGGAGTAAGCTGCTTTGCTGCCATCTCCACGATCTTCCCGTCTAATGACTATCACGACTATCCTTTTCGTCAGTATTATGCAATGGGCGACGTTGACCCCCATAGGATTCGCATATTCTGGGGCGATTGGGGACAAAAAGAGACAAAAGAAGATAGAAAAAGATAAGAAAGGTAGCCTTGGACAAAGAGATGAAACATTAATTACAGTCATTCTATGTGTTACACGGGCCGGTGCCTCTTTAGCTTGGGAAACTAAAATGCTCAATGTCTTTGAGATCCACTTTTAAGTCTTTTTCCCAATTGAGATTCCTTAGCTTCTTGAGCGGATGCGAATGGCGCCTTTTTTTTTCTCGTCCTTTCTGTTCCATAGTCTTCGTATCACTCCTTTCCTGTAATTTTTCTTTATTTTTTTCCCTTTCATATTGATTCCTCCCTATCATATTTTGATCGAGTTTCTCTCTTTCTTTCTTTTCTTCTCCCCTTCTATACAGGAACAGATCAGATCACACCCCTGTTCTCCTTAAACACTTGTCACATACTCCTCCTCCATACTCGTCCTAGTCCTGTACTAGTACCCCATACAGAAAACATATCCTCCCTGTCTATCCCATCTTCCTCCCCCTCAACAGGAAAACCGCAAAAATGTACACTTCCTCTACAAACAGCTCGTACTCTTCGAGCAACGCCTCTTCAGACCCAAACCTCCCATATCAACAACCTCAACCAGTCTCAGCCATCTCCCTGGGCTCTCAACACCCTCGTCGCACGCCAATGGTCCCTAAATATCCTCGTTTCTACTCCTCTCCCATGGAAGAAGCCCCAGACTCAACCCCACTCAACCTCTACGGCCTCGAGCAACGTCCCCTCTCTATCATCGAAAAACCAAAGCTTCTCCGCCGTGTCTCCCACGCCTTAGACGATATCAAAGAGGACTTGGCTTACCAGCTTGCTGACAGCGACGCTGCTGCAAAGCTTAAGCGCCGCTCTACGCTCTTCCTGGATGGATCTTTCAACGCGCCCAGCAACGCGCCCAACTCCAGACCTGGAACCGTTAATGGTCCCCCTCGCTCAAGACCGATGTCGATCATTTCTATGGATACCTGGTCTGCGCCGCAGCGTGGATTGAGTCGGCGCCTCTCCAGACGTCTGTCTATCTTTAGTCGTGGTAAGGGCGACACTCGTCCTAACACAGCTAGTATCTCTACGCCTAATCTTATTGGGTCTTCTGCGCTGGCGAACTAAGTCAACTACAGCTACCTTCTATTCTATATCAACATGAATATTGAGATGCCGATGACTATTTTACTATCTTTTGGACGGTGTCCCTTATCCGCTACTGGGATGGTGCTCAATTAATTTGTTGTGGGGCAGAGTCGGGTCCATCGGACCATGGTGGATCCATGGCATGATTTGATTGAATTCAATGGACCGGAAGCTGAATTCTCAATTCTATCATCATGAGAATATTCAAAGCGACCGAGCTATCTCGGAAACTTTGCGACAAAAAACAAAAACAAAAACTATCCGACCGATGCGATCGGCTGTATATACTGCCTTGTGCAGTAACGATCATTTTACATTACATTACATGTCACAGACATTCACACTTGCAATCCGCACATGGGAAAAGGTGTTTGGGAGCGATGGATTTATTATTTATTATTGCGACATTTCAAGTTGCGTTAATTGCGTTAATTCGGGCGGCGTTGTATCAATATTGTTCGTTTATTGTGTCATATTCATTGGAGTGGGGGTTGTCTTACTTTTTTTTCTATTTTTGACCCCGTTGAAAGGTTTACATACTATTGATTCCGGGAATCTCTATGGAGAAGTCTATCTATTGACTTTTTGATATTTCTGCGCATAGCTTGGTGTTTGGGTATCGAATCGAATCAAATCAAATCAAATCAATTTAAGTTGAACAAACTTCAGGTTTTTGATAAGATCCTAAGGATCGATGATCCATGGATTGTCTAATCCTCGTCCCCGGGAATACTGTTCTACACTAGTAAATGCAACCCTACATGAGATTGCATAATTCCCACTAACTATGAGATAAATGCACACCATACCCAGTATATTTACTCAGACATACTGTACCTACGACGTACTAGTTCTTACAATAACGCGATATAGTTCACCTTTCTATGCACCCGTCTTTTCCAAGGTTTATGCTTGTCTCACATCAAGCCAATGGGCGCCACATGCGCCGGCTGCGCCGTGCGGGTGGACCGACATGCGTCAGCAGACGCCTCGACTAAAAATAAAGACAAAGCGTCCCGGAAAATCTCTTATCTATGCACATTGTTGGGGAAGGAAGAAACCTAGCTTACCAGAAAACAGACTAGTCTCAGCCGTTTTTTCTCGGTACTTTTTTTGTGGCGTCCACTGCCAACACGGATCTTTGTTTGTGTCCATGGTTTGTTTGCGCGGTGTACATCATGGCTTTCGTGGACTGGCTTGTGTGTGCAGGATCTAGAGCGCGTATGTATGCCACCTGTTCATGTTGTGTTTGGAGCTAGTACGAAGTGCCGTACATAATGGATATTTGGAGTCGCTAGCTGAAGTCTGGTATGTGTATACTGTATGCACGTACGCAATTATCGGGTGATATCTCACGTGTCAGAAATAGAAATAGTCGATCATTAACTCTAAACTTGTTATTTGTAGATCTTGGTTCTTCGTCGACGCTCCACTATTATCTCCACTGTCTACACTGCGACTGGTCTAGTTGTTTAGGCAGTTCTTTTTCTCGGGGAGATTTTTTCATTTTGTTTCACTGTTGGTTGAACTTTATCCACCGTTCTGTGGCTCATTATTCTTCTTTCGGCTGGCCTCGTGTTTTTGTACTCCGTATTGATTGGGACTTGTTCACAATTGTGAAACAAGCTTTTGTGGGTTTATGTTGTTTGTTGCTTGGGGGTGGGTCGTGACTCGTCAATGATGAGTATGGGTTGACGTGATGTATCATACGGATGCTATTTTGGTGCCTTGCTTGGATGGCTGCGGGCATTCAATAGGTGTGCTCTAGCTTTCTCTTCTTTTTCTTTGTTCACTTTGGGTTTTATTGAATTGTAACCATGTTGTTTGGGGTATCTAGTGTGCTTTCCATAAAATACCAACGTAGATGGTCACGGGCAACTGTGTATGTACTTTTTCCTTCTTGTTGCCGGGTGGACCTCGGTTGCTAGTACGGGCGCTTTCAAATGTTTATGAGCGCAAGATACTGGTCCATAAAGAGGCCAGCGACAAGCATCTTTGATTCTGAAATTGAAGCATCGTACTATCTTGACCTGAAACAACTGAGTACTAAGTTAATGCTAGGTAGAAGTAATCGGTAACTACAGCGAGCGAAGATGCCCACACTGTTCCTTCATCAAATAGAAAAGACGTGTCCAAGGATAAGAAAATCAATTGATAACTCATAAATACTAAGTCATCTCACTCCTTAGTATTGGACAGTCACATCATCATAATTAGCAAACTTCGCCTTAATGAAAAATTTCAACTGGTTCTCAGAAATAATCTCATCCTTGCGTCTCTCAATCTCCTCCACATCCCAATTAACAGACACATATCTTCCAGAAAGATACTTCTTATCACCACTAGCCATCCACACGCCAGAACCCCCAACCAACTCCGGTGTATCATTTAAAAACGGCGCAAGGAACGGCACGCTGTTTGCCATATCAGTTGCGACGATACCCGGATCAAGAACGACAGCCGTGATGTCGGGATGCTCGGAAGCGATATAAGCCATTAGTTTCGAGAGAGCAAGTTTTGCCATGGAGTATGCGCCCATTCCGGGTGGATTGCCGAGACTTGCTTGGGATGTTATGGTGATAATTGATGTCGGGGCAGAAGGACTGGATCCAGTCTCCTTGATAAATGCCTTTGTAACGAGGAAGGTTCCTTTGACCGTGACCTCCTATTGTGGGCCGGTTAGTGTATGTTCTGAGTAGTAAAGATGAATTCAACTAACGTGGCAATTCCACCATGAATCCAAGTTTGATTCAACGGTGCTGACGAGGGGGGCGAGCTTCCCCGCATTATTGATCAAGACGTGCGGAACACCGACTTGGGTTGTTATCTCTTTAAATGCGTTGTTCACGGCTGTCTCGTCAGTGACGTCGAGGGGGAAGCGAAGGACTTTGATGGCGGGATTTATGTCGAGGACTAGTTTTTCTGTTTCGACGAGGCCACTTTCTGAACGGCCGATAAGCACGATGGCTGATGCACCTGCTTGTGCAAAGGAGGTAGCGAAACTCTGTAGGATTGTCAGCATTGAACGATCATAAACAAGAGAAACAAGATGATGTTTCTTACCAGTCGTCCTAAACCACGACTAGCGCCAGTGATAACGATGACCTTGCCCTTCTGAGAAAGTTCTGGACGAGTAGGATCGATGGCGGGATATAGAACGCGGTAATTCTTGGTTGTAAAAGCGAGGCGCCTTGTGCCTTCATCAACATGTTCCTCGGCCATGGTGTATAATGTATGTTTTTCCCCCTGAAAATGTATGATATTTATAAGGCGAGAACAGGAATGCAAAAGGGGGGAAATAGATGAATGGGGGAATTGAGCTGGACTTATATACTTCTACCTGAGGGCTTGTGCTTTGGCATCGGAGTTTGGCGCGCCGTGGGTTGTGGGTTTTCCGTTGTGGGGGCCAGAAGGGTGTGAGAGTCCAGCTCATTTACTTATTATGGAAAGAGGTATTTATGATCCTTCTTGCTTACTGTTTTATGGCTGACATATGAGTATTTCGATTGGATTTTCAAAAACCATAAATGTGCTGGTGGCCTTGGTGTGACGTGCATATCTCTCGTTGACATTTTTGTCATACAGTTCTACCACAATTCCCTAACATGAATGATAAGCTGTTGCGGTTGAAATTTCCTCCTCTTTATGCTTCTACTACACTATAAACAATCCATCTATCTTACTCATCTTTCGTGGTTTCAATGGCCCGCAGCGTCAACATGACATCACGAACCAAAACAAGCAGTATAAACTTCCTTCCATTTCAATCCCCCAGATTGGAGCACAATTTACCAAATTAACAGATACATACTCAAACAAACATATAACCACAACAAAAAATAGACTCCCCTCAAACAAAAATGGCCACTACCCCCTCAACATCCCCCAACAGCTCAAACCCCAGCTCTCACAACGACATCCCCGAAGACAACCTCATCCTGATAGACGAAGAAGAAAACGCACTAGAAGAAGGCCTAGCCGGAAACATCGTCTCATCTCCAAAGCATCCCACCCGAAACCTAGAATACAACGCTATCAAAACGCACAATGGCCAACTATACTCCGGCATGGCCATCGGCGGCTCTCACACCTGGAATTACGATCAGGGCACATGGAAGGAAACAAAAGAAGAGCCAGATCTTTGGCGTATAGACTACCAGACGAATAAACGGCGTGCAAGAAATGCACCGAAGGGAAGTGGAGCACCTGTTGGAACGGAATATCACTGGCTCATCATAGGACATCAGGTAAATACAGCCTAAAGTCACCTTCAAGTTCATTACAGACAAGATATTACATGCTAATAATTGTTGATGTTGATTCTAGCATGTCCGAAAGGTCGACGCAAACACATATGAAACCCATCTTACCGGCTCGAAGTATAAACTGGCGCATAAGTCGGTTTCGGCGGGGACGTGGTCGATACCTACTGTGCAGGGACAACGAGAGCGAGAGCTGGAATTATTGGATGATGCGAAGCGGAGAGTGCGGGGCTTGCCGCCTGTATTGGCGAGTGAGAGGGTTAAGGGGGAGGAGCGGCTTGAGCAAGGGCAGCAGCGATTGGATACGTTGTTTGGGAAGGTTCAGAGGGGTTCTGGTGGTGTGGGAGAGTGTGATGGATCGAGAAAAAGGAAGAAGGTGTGATTCTCCAGTTTTTGGGTCTATTGACTTGGGTCTATGTTTCCCGTCTCATGGTTTCATTGTGTGTTGTGGTGGTTTTGTTCTGGGGATGTCGATCTCGTTCATGCGAGTATGCAATTAGTGTGGGGATATCACGCAACCTGGATTCTTCTGGGTGAGACTGCAGTTTACTGTCATGGGTGTGGTTAGTTATAAATCCTGAATATTAACTATGATCACTCGTTTTCTACTATAGAGGAATTGAAAATAAGTAAAAGTAAAAAAGTAAAAAGTAGATATGGTTTTTATTGCAAAGAGATGTGTGGTATAAGTTGTGTGCTAAGTAAAGCGCAAAGCCAATCAACGCCGTCATGAAAAGAACGCCAAATAGCAACAAGAAAGGGATAAGAAGAGCCAGGATAGCATGTCAGATGAAGCCAGTCCGAGCCATTTCAATCCCTAGTAAATCAACCCAAGATCATCGCCCATGTTGAAAACAAGTTAGAAAAAAGAAAGCATTTTGAATGCCGAGCATCAAAGCCTGTTCATGCTCTAAAATTGCAAAACGCCCATCCGTATCGGTTTTATCGTGTATCTGTCCCCAATCTAGGAACCTGCCCCCTTGCCACTAATCTGCACATCTACGCCCCGTTTACAGGGTCACACTTTCCAGGTCACGCATGACGATCCCCATTTGCGCCCGCTTGGCAGCCTCGGCGACGAGATTAAAGTCCTGAAGGAATGGTGCGGTCGCTTTGGGACCGCCTAGGCTATGAACTTGGTGCGGGTAGACATCTGTGGCGGGTTGTGTGCCGGGTACTGTTTCCGATCGTGGGATGGTATCGGGATTGATACCCTGTGATGCGACTGGAAATGTTGAGGTGGAGGAATGGTTCAATCCCTGGGCTAGTGGTTGGCCTTGAGGGAGAATGGGTTGAACGACGCCAAACGAGGTATTTTGCAAGGGAGCGGCGAGGGTTTGATTTGTTTGCGAAGGGTTGCCGAATGGGTTGGCAGGTTGAGAGACTGTGCTAGGGAGAGTGGCTGAGGGAGCGAAAGATGACATGTTGGCTGCGATGGAGGAGGTAGAAGCGGGGGCTTGCACATGGGTTGATTGCGTTGAGTCCATGTTGCTTGTGGGAGGGAGTGCTTTTATGCCAGGCGCAAAGACGAGTAGATGTAGGGTGTATGATTATTTTGGGGCCGCAGGATTGATGATTTAAGGAGAGAGCGAGTTAAAGCCGCGGGAGACGAATGGCGTGTACTATCACAGCCCCACGGATAGTTGCGATGGCGTCAGGTCTGGATGAGATTGGGGCGGGAAAAAAAGAAAGATTCAACAGGACTGACGAGGGGCCGGATAGAGGAATAGAGGGTATTGTTTCCCAGATCACGTAGAGAGGGATGGTCTGAGACTGATATTGAAAGGGTGCGAACAAAGATAGGAGAGAAAGAAACCAGGAGAGAGAAAAGAGAAAAAGGTGATAGTGATCAGTGCAATTTCTCCATTCTGATCTCCGGAGGGGCCGATGATTAACCGCGTAATTACCGTGTATCTCCACTTCTCTCCACACATTTCAACACTATGGAAGTGGCAAATTACATACGGGTAATACGGAAATGTGCCTCGGCCGGAACATGTGTATGGGGTCAATGGATGAACGATTAAGAGATGATGATTCCTATTGGACGCCACCGAGGTGTGAAGTTCTATACAGACTGAAAACTATGGGAAAAATATCCTTGAGAAACACCTTGCAGTCTGGAATGGCATTGTAGACAATACAATCCCTGTCAAGGTCGTGTCAATGTAGGTCCTTTCATAATTGTGGATTTAACTCCTTTTATTACTTTACCCCATAGAATGGGTTCATACATGTGGATTAATACTCTAATCACACACACCAATAAAACAACTCTGTGGATGTCTATTGTTCCTGCAGTTCAAAGAGACCGAGCGTATCAAAGAACTTCATGCCTCAGGCAACAATACCACCCCGCCTCCGATAAGCTGATAAAACCAACTTTTTTTTCTTCTTTTCAGTGACGAGTGGCATTCAGGACCCAATTGCAATGGCCGACGAAGATTTCGAGACAGGCGATCTCTTCAAGGACCCTGAGGGGTTCTACCAGGAAGAGAAACAGCCCACATTTTCAGAGCATCATATGCTCTCGGGACAAGCTGTGCGCGTCCGTCTCGTCGGCGACCACCCGCTCTATGTATGATCCCCGCTCATACGATTCCCAATCTACATGCCACTCCCCAATTGCATAATCCCACTAACCAATCGGTGACTCCAACAGGGAAATCTACTATGGAATGCCGGTCGCACCAGTTCCCACTACATGGAAGAGCGGGCCGACTCCCTAATCCGCAACAAAGATGTCCTCGAAATCGGTGCTGCAGCTGGCGTCCCTAGCATTGTCAGCGCAATTCTCGGAGCTCGCACCACAGTTATGACCGACTACCCGGATGTGGACCTAGTGTCGAACATGCAATATAACGCCGATCTGTCGGCTGAGAACATCCCCTCCCAATCACGGTTATATGTCGAGGGCTACAAATGGGGTAGCACTGTGGAGCCTTTGCTGGCGCATATCCCTTCCACTAATGGTGAAAAGCCAACTGGGTTCGATACATTGATCATGGCCGATGTTGTTTATAGCCATCGCGAACATCCAAATCTGATCAAGACTATGCACATGGCTCTCAAGAAAGATCCGAACGCTATGGCTTTGGTTATCTTCACGCCTTATCAGCCTTGGTTGTTACCGAAGACTGAGAAATTCTTCCCACTGGCGGAGTCTGAAGGTTTTACTGTGACTAAGATTTTCGAGAAGCTTATGGATAATGTGTTGTTTGAGGATGATCCGGGTGTAAGTTTCTTTTTTCTCTTTCTATTTAGTCGTTCTAGCTTGCTGACTACTTTCAGGATGAGAAATTGCGAAGAACTGTTTTTGGATATGAGCTCCGATGGGCACCTGAGCGGTTGGAGAGCAATGCTTAAAAGTTGGCTGACTTGATACCCTGGAATTTTGCACAAAATTCATATTGCACAAAATTTAAATAGACAATCGATAGACCGCGCCGTTGATGCTATGCTGATCCAATGGTGTCTTTCTGCCTTTTTAAAAGCTCTGTGATTTGTTCAACCGGTAACAAAATAAAAATGCGTAAATAAATGCAAAATGTCCGATTGCAGAGCTGTCATATTGATTCAGACCATAGACGAAAATAAATAAACCGCAGGTAGCAATATCGAAAACTGCATGTCTTTAGCCAGAGCCGCTGCCGCTGTATAGATCTTAGCGGCGTTGTCCCGCAGTCACATGGCCCAAATTTAACCCCGCGGGAAAAAAAAGTTCGCCGCAACAAACACCAGTAGACATTCACCACCAACAATGCCGGTAAGTTACCCCCAAATAACCCCCTGAGACAATCTGCTCACGCCCTATCAGCTCGTAATCCTAACCGGATTCCCCTGTTCTGGTCTCAGCTACCGCGCCAGCCAACTTGCCTCGCTTTTCGAAAAGGCGCAAGACGAACTCTTTGAATCCCAAGACGCTTCCTCGCCCGTGACGCTCAAGTCCCGATTCAATATCCACGTTGTCCCATCCCATGATACCTCCAACCCACGAATTGTTTACGATAATGCGCGTACAGAGAAGCAGGCTCGCGGCGTGGCCTATGCCCGGGCAAAGCGCAATCTCGCGCGAAACAACATCGTGATCCTCGATGGAATGAACTACATTAAAGGATGGAGGTACCAGCTCTGGTGCGAAGCCAAAGCCGCAGGAACAACATGCTGTGTGGTACGGCTTCTTTTCCCTGTTCACCCTTCTCTACCAAAGCGAAAAATATCACTAACTCCGAAATAGGTGCATATCGGAACACCAGTGGACCAGTGCGTCGCAAACAACGACGCCCGACTCAAGCGTCAGGCGTCTGAAAAGAACCCCGAACCCGAATCTGAGCCTAGTCCCTCCGATCCCACCATAACAACCGACACAGAAGAGCCCTACCCAACAGACCTCCTCAACAATCTCATCTTCCGCTACGAAGAACCATCCACCCACAGCCGTTGGGATAAACCCCTCTTCACAGTCCCCTGGGCCGACGAAACACCACCAATAGCAGACATCTTCCACGCGTTGACAGGCGTCATCCTCCCATCCGCCGAAGCACCACCCATAACACCAATGACTGATCTCACCTCCTCACTCGAAAACACAAACCTCTCCTCCGCCGCAAGCGTAACAACAACCCGCACATCATTCACCCGCGGTGGAAGCGGACGCCCAGGCGCTCTCTCTCGCCCAAAAGTAATCCAGCACCAAGCTACAGTACAAGCCATCTCAACGGACTCCGGCGCACTTTACAGCATGGAAAAATGCACTTCGGCTATCGTTACTGCTATTCGGACTTTTACGCTGAATACCCCCTCCGCAGAACTGGCTGTTGCTCAGAGCTCTGACCGGAAGGGTATTAGTATTGAGGTTCCGGAGTCGGAACTTAAGGTCTTTATACCCACGCATGTGGCTACAACTGGTACTACGGATGAACTTGCGGGTGCTGGGGGTATTTTGGCGTTGCCGAAATTGCAAAGGTTGAGGAGGCAGTGGATTAGTTTGAATCGGTCGTATATTGGGAGGAGATATGGGAGTGGAGATGGGGGGTTGACGGTGGATCAGATTGGGGATGCGTTTGTGAGGTTTTTGAATTCGAATTTTGGAGGTGAGGATGATGATTCGTGAGGCTGTTCTCGTTTCTTTGCGAAAGATACGGATATGCTGCCAGTGATTGGCATGGATGATTGCATATAGATCGAGGTTATGAGTTACGAGATTAAGATATTATCATTGTTTGTATTCTCTTCTTCCTTTTTTGTCAATACATAGTATGAGGATGTCAATAATAATACAGTGAACATCGACGTCAATAACTTGAATAAAGTATCTTTCCAAGACTACCTTCGGGCCTTCCAAAGTTCAAACTTTAGAAGCTTCCGGGTTCCCCGTTCCAACAGCGGGTGTGAGAGTATGTATGCGGCAGTGCATCGGACGAAAAAGGATATAGAGGGTTCCCCTCCCCATTCTACTTTTCCAAAGTTAAATCTCAAAAATCAGGAGTCAGAACTGAATTCATCATGTCTATCGAATACGTTGGAATCCAAGTCGTCTTCGTGCACTCTATACCTGACCTTCAGGACATCATATATACAGCCGCCCATTCAAGTTACAATCCACCTGGGTCCAATTCCCCCTGGATATATTCCAACTGGACAAAGAAGCATTCTCATGCGTCGACGCGTGTGGCGTTGACAATTCTCTAAGATCCATACTCGAATCTCCAACGATCGTAAAGGCCTTCTTTGATATTCGAAACGATTCAGATGCGCTTCTCTCACACTACGGCGTCTCCGTTGCTGGTATTGTGTCCTACCGAAGATTGAAATTAAAATAGTTGTAGGTTGCAAGATTGAGAAATGGGAAGGTCAGGATCATTGCATGTCCTGTTTCTTTCTTTTTACACGGACGCGGTTATTCTGATTAAGGGAATGAGAGAGGTCAGTAGCTGAGAAACTAAGGTATCTAGACGCCCAATGATTGAACAAAATTCATTAAAACGGACACACGAGTATTTAAGCTTGTGATCTGGTGAGAGTAAGTCCTCGTTTCTTCTCTTCTCCCCACTTCCCTCACCTCTCCCCATCTCTCATAATCCATCATCCTACCACTAAACATCTCCGAATTTTTCCAACTTCAAAGCTCAACGCCTTTCGATTGTGAAGCTCATAATGTCTACCTCTCGCGTGAATATCGTCGCGATAGACACCGAGTCTGCCCTTCGCCCACTCATCACAGAAGTGATCCGCGATCGTCCCTTACTTTACCTCCACATAGTCGGACCAGAGCTCGGTGACCGTCACTTGATCTCCATCATGACGCTCTACATACCTTCCAAGAACGTCGTCTACCTACTCGATATCGAGGAAATGAGGCATGTAGCTTTCACGACAACCAACGCCGACGGAAAGTCCTTGAAATACATACTCGAGTTACCATCTCTCAGAAAAGTGATTTTCGACATTCGACATGGTTCCGACTCGTTGTTCTATCTCTACCAAATCCGCGTCAAGGGCATCCGCGATGTGCAGCTAATGGAGACTGTTTTGAGATGGGGTCGACAGGACACTCTGGGTATTCTCTCCGTGGCTATGCAGAGAAATAGCACATTTCCCGAGGCGCTGGTTAAGAAATGGTGCGATCTTAACTCCAAATCATCGTACGTTTTCAACCCTCTCTCAGGGGGCCGGCGAGGAACCTTCGGTGAACGCCCTATTCGACAAGATATCATGAGATACGTTGTCGCGCAGGTAGCGGTGTTGCCTGATCTTTACAATGTTTATTGCTCGAAGCTTCAACAGTCTGATGAGGCTGATGTGAGAGCTCGCGTGGCGGAGGCAACTCGATGGCGACTCATTATTTCACAACGTCCTCGAGCTCAGAGTGCTTTGATACTTGGGTGGCGGGGACCTTGGGATGATGCTTACGATCATGCTGTGGAGAATGGGTACAAGACTCCGATTCAGATTGCTGCGCCGGAGGATGGGGTGAATTATGGGGTTTCTTATGATCATGATGAACCTGAGGATGATGAGTATGGTCTGGAATGTTTTGAAAAGGTCTGGGACGTGATAGGTCATTGTAATTCTCCTGGTCCGATAGACGAGTCTATTTAAGGCTGCATCAATTCTTCTCGGTAGAAACATTCATGAGACTCTTGAATGACAAATTTATTATTTCAAGTGTGGCCATAGATATGTACTATTGTAATCCTATTTTGTCCTTTCTTTTGCTGCGTCTCGCCCGCATTTCTGCGCCTCGCCAGGGAGGTATATCGCGGGCAGATCAAGTCCACAAGTAGTCGCTTGCCAAACATTTGACACGCTTCTGGGCATTATAATTAAATATATAATAAATTGAAGAAATACATATGGTAGGTTGGTTTCCCTAGGTAGTTTCGGGGCGGAGTTTAAATGTCATTGACACCGTTTGCCAAGCGGCGTTTTCCATTCGCACACCTGCGGTATGTACCATGAATGTTGATAGTTGGGAATACAGGACACAAAAGTTTGGCCCTTATATCAACCAGCTCGCATAGCTCAGTTGGTAGAGCGCATGACTAGTATCACACTAATGTGCAATCATGAGGTCAGCGGTTCAAATCCGCTTGTGAGCATTTCTTTTTCTATCACAGATATTCTGTCTCACTGTCTCAGACAATAGGGGAGGGATACCCAGCCAAGCTTAATCAAGCTTATCTTGTCTTTCAATTTTTATATTAAATCTCATTGCCAGAACAATTAATGGGGTTACAATGGTTAATTTCAGATAAGTACTGTATGTGGACTTTGTAGAAGCATTCAATATTGTTCTAGTGAGAAAGCCCTGGTTCGGGTTCTTAGCTTACGGTTTACCGACCGGCGCATCTACTCCAGGGCTGTATGGATGGATCAATTACTGGGTAGTAAAATGTGAAATCAAAAGCTTTCAATGATATCAGAACTATACAAAAAGCAACGCGATCTCTCGAGTTAAATAAAATATACTCAAAAACAAACAAAATCTTGCTATAAACGAATTCCTCCTTTTTAGTTTTCTTTTTTCTTTATCTTGGGTTGATGAATCACATAGCAGTGCTCCTGTCTATGTATGGTTCGGTTCAAATGTCCTCAAACCTCTCACATTCCAGTGAAGGCCTGATCTGATGTTCCTGCGATTTTCATCGGCAAGGATTGGTCTCAAGGAGAAGCAGCTGGATTGCCCGGCTCCAGCGCATAATCCTCTAGTTTCCCTCTGGGTCGCCAGGCGACTCCCAGAACTGGGGCAGGTGCCCCAGCGCCGTGATTTATTGCATTGTTTTGAAAAAATATTCAAAGACAATGCTGTTGATTCCGTGGAATTCATATGTTAAAAAGGTAGGTCCAGTCCGGTAATCGAAGAAGTAGCACGATAAATCAACCATCGCACTTTCGGTCCAGGGTATGGTAAGCAGAAAAGAAATCCTCCGCAAAAATTAAACGACAAGGTAACTGTATCCCGTTTTCTGTTGAATTTCAAGCACATAAATTGAGATGAAACAAACGATACTGGGGTATACAGCTACTGAACAAAGAAAATCATTCAAGCGGGAAGTCCGTTGGGAATGTTAGGCATGACTTGGCTCGCATCGATCTGGCGGTAGTTCAGGCCTAGAGTGAAGAGTTCCTGGAGGCTAGCATTGACCTTCTCGTGCATTGAGGTATCCTGGGGACTGATGTTGCCGAGTTCCTCGAGCAGACGGCTACGGCATTTGTAGTAGTTGTGCTCGGCTGTGCGGAGACGTTGTCCATGCTGGGCGGAGGTGTGCGTGGCCTTAACGGGGGTGGACTGGTTGTGGATGGAGCGGGTGCGCTTCATAGTTGGGGCAGGGGTAGGTCCAGTAACGCTTCTTCTCTTGCGGCCGTTGGTGGCGGGGGCTTCCTTCTTCTTGGTTGGGAAAGTGGCCGATGGGGAGGTCTCTGGGGAACTGTGGCGCTCGGAGGATACGTAGTCGTGGACACGACGCATGTGGTCGTATAGGTTCCATCTACGTGGGAATCCATATCCGGGAACGGATCGCTCACATCCTTCCCATAGGCAGAGGTGGGGGTTGTCTCCATGGCCGTGTAATCCGTGGGCTTCACGTTCGTGGCGGAATAGGCATGCGTTGGAAGAGAAACGGAGTTGGTTACCCACGCAGGCTGGGACCTTGCAGCGGTATGGCTTCAGGTGGGAGTCCAGGTACTTGCTGTGATGGTGATGTTGGTTAGTTTTTCATTCTGGTTGGAGCATTGATGGGAATTTTGCGGAGGACTGACTGGTAAGCGCATTTTTGCGTGGTGGGTGGATGGTTGCATGGCTTGTCTCCGTTGGCAAATGGGCAGTAGTACTTTCCGTCGCTGTGAGTGGCAAGGGAATAATATTGATGCTCTCGCGGGTTGCGGGCTTCAACTCCATCCTTGGAATTCCGGCGGGCTGGCTCATTCATGGACAGTGATGGGTAGAAATCCTGTTCGGCCTTAACATCGGACTGAGCACCATGTAAAGTCGACCGACGGGCTGGCTTGGAGGGTCTGATGGTCCTGTTTTGAGGGGATATATGATTAGAACTTGGATCGAGGGAATTGTAGCGTTTGTTTTGCTTTGTTTTCTTTCTTTCTTTGCCTACCTGTTTGGGTCCTTCTCACTGAGAGGAGTGGATGATGTGTTGGGGAAAAGTGGCTCCGATGGGCTAATGATTCCTTGGTTTGCCATGGGCGATGTTGTGAAATCTCCGAGGAGGCTGTCATCAGCAGGCATGAAAGAAGGAAATCCCGGGTGTGCACATGAAGAAGTAATGGGAATATCATTGCTAGCTTCTGTCAGAGGTGGGGAAACGGGCACAGTCTGGAATAGACTTGATGATAGTTGATCCAGGGTTGTTCCAGGGTATTGGCCATCAGACATCATAACATTCCATGATTCAGGTCCTGTCATATAGTGACCTTCATCAGTGTGGGAGCTGTGTGCAACAGACAGGGCATCATCCGGTGAGCCTGCCTGAACACCGCAGACATCATTATCCATGGAAGAGAGATCAAGGAAGGAGTAAAAATCCCGGGGATGGTCATTATGATCATGTAGATCTGGGACTGCTGGGAAGTCCACGCCTGTGTACATAACATCATTTGGTCCGACCGTGGGGGTCATCAGCTGTTGAGACAGCGAGAAAGAAAGCATTTGCACCTGGGGAGATTCCTTGGTAGAGATGGCCTGATCAAGAGATTCTGTAGTGTTCATAGTCCAGTCTTTCATGTCCTGGGGGTTTCCATGGCTTGTGGCAATACTTGAGCATAATGACGAGTTGTCATGGCTCGACATTTCATCATCCTGGAGTGTTCTTGAGGCCATATTTGACATTCCGTGAACCATGGAAGTGTGTCTGGAAAGAGAAGCCCGCTCAGGGGTTGTGCTGATCCTGGGAGACATTGTGTGTAATTGTGAAAGTCACTGTGAAGGAAAAGCATCATCAAGTCAGTCATCTACAGTCACATCTATAGAGTTGAGTTTTAAGAAAAGAAAAAAAAGCAGAAGGCAAAAAGCAAAGGAAACGTGAAGAGGGCTCCAAGGTCCAGAGGATGTTGTTAACCTATGAGCTGTTAGCTTGAGTTTAGGTATTGAAGACTCGGTCGGCAGCGGGACACACCAAGGTCAGATATAGGAGCAAATGCAATCCACGCCGGAATTATGAAGGGATCCTAGGATAAGTCTTGTTCGTGTCGAGTATCATGGTCCAGGTATTTTTGAGTTAGGGCCTATTTCCAGTGGTTATGTTTTGTATGGGCCAGGTGTGAATCTCAGCCAGGTAGCTACTAGTTGGTGTCAAGTAACAGGTAACAGTAAAGGATCCAGGGAAATCAAGCAGTCAATCAGGGCGAGTCAGCATAGGTATATGCATGACTGGTTCCATCAGGTCAGTGGCCTTGGTAAGTTGTTGTATCAAAAAGAGTTCATTCCATTGGAAAGAGCAACATTAAGCTCATAGTTGGATACCTAAGGATAGGTCCGTCCTGTCTTTGAAAAAGGATTCCTTGCGTATAAGACCCGGGATAGAAAAAGGAAAGGCCTTGGTCAAACGGTCAAATGATTCCAGGGATTATTCATATTTGTCCAGGGTTTGTATCAACAGGCATAAAATCCAGATGTTGGGGGTTCCATTGGGTTAGATGATCCATTAAGACGGTCCATAAGGGAAGAAGATATGTCCATGGGGTTTTTCCATTCCACATCACACCAGGGTTGGGTGACGGGAGTCCAAGGCAAGTTTAAAAGATCCAGACAGGTAAAGAAGCAAGGCAAAGAATATCCAGATATGGTTCCGAAGAACGTGCAACATTAAGCACTTCATAAGAAGAGTCCACTCAAATAGCGACCGGCGCCAAGGAGTTGTCCATGAAAAAGAAGCATTATTCTTTTCCAGTTTGGAGCTGTCAGAACGACAGTGTAAACCGGGTAAAATGTCCAGGTCAAGTTTCAAGTTTCAAGAATCCGGGAAGTCCATGGGAATTTGATTTTGCAATGGCATGCAACTGTCGAGATCCAGGGCAAACAGAATGGCGAAGGTACAGGTCCAGTAGATAGAGTTGCGAAAAAACAAGCGCATAGGAGACGAAAAGGCAAAGACAGTGGCAAGGAAAATGTGATAGGGACTACCTGATGTGTTGTCGAGTCGACGTGGGAGATAATGCAGACTGAAAAAAAGCCTAGGAGATAACAAAGCAAATCCTGTCCAGGGAAGATGGCAGTGGGAAAAATCCTTTGGGCAAAATAAACCAGGGAGAATTTTTTCGTTGGTAAGTAAGAAAAAGGAGGCGTCCAAGGTCCAGACACTGGTGGCAAGATGTAGGTACAAGGTTGGGGGGTATATGTATATAGACTGAGAAGTGATGCAAATTTGGTCAAAATCAAACCAAGTCGTAAGGTAAATGGGTATCCTGGGTTATATGTAGAAAGGAAAGAAAGAAATCGAGGAGGATCTTGGGGGGTTTACGGGCTATTTAGTAGTAGCAGGAAGGATAGGGGGGAAAAAGAGGGCGGGACAACAGTTGTGTCTTCGGGATAGTGGGGTGGGGCCAAGTCAAACATGGCGTGTGCCAGGGCTCGCAGCATGCAGCGTGCAGGAGAGTGTTGGCACCAGCGAGAGCCAGTACTGAAGACTGGCGGTGATGGCATCTGCAGAGTAGGTTTGCGAGTGGACACACCCGAGTGGATGAGAAGGAACGGGGTGTTCTAGCGGTGAGACTAGGCCAGCGTCTGTATTGCTTGGCAATGTACGTAGAGGATTATGATTGGCAACTTCCCAGGGCTGACGCTGCATGATGATGTCCCATTTGGACGATCGGCAGGTTCTCCGCGCGTGGACAAGGAATATCTTTGGAGGAGAGTTGTCCACGTCGGACAGTTACGGAATGAAACGATGCAGCTGATGAGGAGGTTACAATGCTCCATCGATATGACAGGGGGTAGGCTATACCGAACAGCAGTGACAGCGGCTACGTTGACTACGGATTGACAACACAGACCCCTCTCAGGAGAGAGATCGCAAATGGAAGACTCAAAATGAAGACTCATAATATTACTTTCTATTTGACTGGTTCCCGGAGGTGCGGGCCGGGGCGAGCAGACCCACGTTGGGCAGCAATGCAGCGTTGGGTATCTGTTTCAGTGGATCTAATTTGGAATGATCAGCGACTGGAATTCCAAAAGGTTGACAAAATGAATAGCCATGCAAAAATAAAAAAAAATAAAAACAAGAGACGAGAGACGAGATCAGAAAGGTTGAAAGATGGTATAAAGTTTTTCGTTCAGTAATCCGAAGATTTCAGGTGAACTATGCTTTTAATTATTTTGTTCATCAGGAGATTCTCAAGTCGAGGAAGAGAGGGGGGTCCGGTGTTCGGAGAGAGCACGGATCCTCGCAATCAAACCGAAATTGCAAAAAAGGAAATTGCCAAAAAAAACAAAAAAAGGTAGGATTCCGAAACGAGACACGACACGGCTTACCTGTGGAGCTAATGAGTTGCGCGATGACAACCTGTTGGTGAGCTATAACATTCATCTGATGTTGGAGAAGGAGAAAGACAAAAACCACGAAAAGAACATTTTGTGCGGCTGATCATGTGATGTGTTTGTGCTGTTTGGATGCTATCCGGATTGGGCTTAGCCTCTGGTAGTCGATCATCTCCACTGATCCCGAGGTTGAACCTTGGATCACTACAACGGCTGGCTTTTGGCTGGAGATCTTCCAATGAACTGGACAGGAGGCCGGTTACGCCGACATTCATCTCGACCTGGCACTTTGACCAAGAATCAGCGAGAGAGCCTTTCCAAACCACGCCAAGTAACGCACAGAGTACCCGCTGCAGCTGTCCCGTTTCCCGGGTTTGCAGCTCTCCCATTCCAATCTCAGGAACATGTTCATGCTGCAGAACCGAACCAGTCAGTGAGAAATTAGAAATGCATTTGCATCTGCATAGATATATCATTATGATGGAGTACCAAAAACATGTTCCCCGCGTGACTGTACTAACCTGGATGCGTCACCCAGATCTAAAGTTAACGATGCCAATGCATCTCAACTCAAGGCAGATTCACGACCAGCTCCTAAAAAACCAGGTGTATTGAAACACGCGCTACTCCAACAAACAGACTGGGCAAACTTGTCTTTGGCACGTCCACTGGATATCAATTTTGCTTCAACAGAGGAGCGCGAGCGTTTCGGAAAGCGGAGAAAATTAACAGACAGCGACCGGCAACGCTTATCACTTGACAATGCAACTCGGACCCTGCCAGGATATTTCCCATGTCACAAAATCGGTGTAGACTCTTCTCAACAGGATATTGGACACATCCAAGTCCACATCAATGGGCAACCTGCCGGTTCTCATCCGCGTGACAAGGGTGATAATCAAGCACCGAATACTCTCCCATCATCACATCCAATGCTTCTAGATGACGAAGGCGTTATCTCGCCTTTCCAATCAAGCTTACCTGGATCTCAAAAACTTCCACAGCTAACCCCGTGGAATCTAGCCTCGTATCGGCTCTCGCTGCCGCCAAGCCACAACCGTGCGCCACTTCGTATGCAAGAGCCACAACCCACAACCAAAGATGACATGATAGAAACGTCCAATTCTCTTGACACCCGCTTATCCCAGAATTTAGACTCCGCAGAGAATTATATGAAGGACTCAATGCATCACACTCAGATGGAACCAATACAAAGTCCGTCTCCCGCAAGCCCGTATCGAAATACGCACAACTCGCCTTTAGAAAATCACCACCATTCTACCCTTGGCGGCCAACTCTTTGCAAAACAGTTACAACTGAATATCACGCCATTCTCATGTCAACAATCTCCCCGTGACTCATCTCGTAGCCCCTATGGAATATCCGCCCCGTCACCAACACTCATTCTTGCCAATGCACCAAGCGTACCCAGCGTACCCACCACACCCAATGCAGCTGATATACCCGATGCATCCAATGGGACCAAGTCTTTCAGTTGGCTTCCAAGCCTGCGTCCACTTCCATCTTTCAGGAGTCCTATGAACACTCGGGGCAGAAACCTTCAACAAGCCGCAGTTCATGAGACCCCTAACACAGTCCCGCCGAGCCCATCCTTGAATGTTACAAAGGCTACTACCAACCCCGCAGCAGTGGAAATATTCGGTCAAATTGTTCAACTTGAGGGGGGGAACAACTTTAAATTCTCATGATCCATCCTGAATTTGTACTACACATAGCTAATTTCACATGGATAGCGTCAAATATATGCTTCCCGTCTTAGCTCGTCTCTGTCACAACTTAACCCACTAGTACCAAGAGAAGAGTTCTTCCAAAACTGTGTCTCAAGCGTAACATAGAGCAACAAACCCGTCGGTTACTAACCACAAACAAGCAATCAAGTTCTTCCATAATACAACACTGTGCTTCATGACATGCGTCAATAATCAAACCACCTACCTCCATTGTGGGTCCATCACGTGCCGATAACGACATCTTATCCACCCCCAGATCCACCAGCCGATGCAGCTCTCTTATCCAACCCCCAACCTTGGAACATTGCCTTCAAACCAGAACCTCACTGGCATCACTCAATCACCTACGGAGTAACCGAAAAGACTCGAAATGATGCTCCAAATACTCCTCCCCCTTCTCACCCTGGCAACAGGCACCCTCTCCCTAACAATAACCCCCCAATCCACCGACGACACAACCCAACTCCCCCTCGTCATCTGGCACGGCCTAGGCGACGACTTCGAACGCGACGGCCTAAACAGCATCGCAACACTCGCAAAAACAATCAACCCAAACACACACGTCCACATAATCCACCTATCAGACACCGGCTCCGGCGACAGACAAGCCACATTCTTCGGCAACGTCTCCGAACAACTAGACAGCGTCTGCACCCAACTAGCATCCGATGAAACCCTCCAATCCGCACCAGCCATAAACGCCATAGGCTTCTCCCAAGGCGGCCAGTTCCTCCGCGGCTACATCGAGCGCTGCAACAACCCCCCGGTGCATAACCTAGTCACATTCGGCAGCCAACACAACGGCATAAGCGAGTTCCAACAATGTGATTTAGGAGACTGGTTCTGTAACGCTGCAGAATCTGTTCTTCGATCAGGGACCTGGGCAGATTTTGTTCAGGGGCATATTGTTCCTGCGCAATATTTTCGAGATATGAATGAGCTTGAACCTTATCTGGAGCATAGCAACTTTCTCGCAGATATTAATAATGAGCGGCGTGTTAAGAATGGGGGTTATAAGAGACGGTTGGAGAGTTTGAATCTTTTTGTTATGTATATGTTTGGGAATGATAGTGTTGCTGTGCCGAGGGAGACGGCGCATTTTGCGGATGTTAATTCTACGGATGGGACTGTTGTGGGGCTTAAGGATAGGAGGATTTACAAGGAGGATTGGATTGGGTTGAGGAGTTTGGATGAGAGGGATAGGTTGGATTTTCGGACGGTGCCCGGGCAACATATGGAGATTTCGAGGGAGGAGTTGGAGGGTGCGTTTAGGGAGTTTTTTGGTCCGACGCAGAATGATAGGATTGTTGCTAATGCTGCTGCGGCGGCTGCTGCTAGTAGTAGTGGGCTTGAGTGGGTTGAAGAGGAGGAAGTGAGGTCGCCGGGTTTGGTTGTGCAGCCAGGTTCATTATGAATCCAAACTTTTTAGTTGTCAGCTTCAAATGTTTATTCGAGTTGTTATGTCAAAGTACGCTATGGTATGGAGTCTATAATGGCTGTTCGCGATGTGCACTGAATGATTTAAAGTTATATCCCGATGGATGCATCGATAATGGTCGTGATGGCTCAGCTGAAGCTGTGACCTTTAATCTGCTGTTCTAATTCATATATGTACTACTAGTACAGCACTCGAATCAGTTTATATCTATACTATAGTATACAGGTATTTGAAAACTAGAAGCAGAAGCAAAATTACTCGAGCAGAAGCTCCATTTCAACTCTAGCACCATCTATTTTGTGTCTAGTGACAACGTAGCTAGGTACAGTGACCGCGGCGAATTCATCACCACAACATCCAACAAACAAAAAATAAGAAAAGCGAACCGGACGCGGGTTGATAAAAGAGTAAAAATATGCAGAAAGAAAATAGTGTAAAAAGATAGAAGATCAGGTACCACGAAAGGAACAGAAGGAAAAAGAAAAAGAAAAGGTGAAAAGAGCAGGGAAACGAGAAAAGAGAAAGAGAAAAGAAAAAGAACGGGCGGATGAGAGAATGGAAAGGCAGATATTCCAGGCCTTAGACTGGGATCAATCACCATGATCAGAGGGACATAATTGAACGATGATTGATGATCCCAAGAACAAATACAAACAGCAGAGCAGGTTTGATAGAAGAAGAATCAGAAACAGAAATTATGAGCATGTACATTGCAGGCAGAAAGGGAAAAGAAGGAGAAGATATCCGGAAAACCGAGACGCTGGAATCGGGAATCAACTATACAGGGCGAGGGTGAGGGCGCGGATAAAGGAGTACACGAGAGATGGAGATCAGTAGGGGGGACGTCCAATGCCACCACCGCTGACATGTCGTCTGCTAGAATAGCTTCTATTCAGTGGTGTTTTGGTTGCTGTTGACGGACGGTCTCCATTGGTCAATAGACTGTTCTCTGGTGCCAGGAATCCATCTAGGAGCTGTTTAAGTTGGTCTCGTTGACTATTGTCCAAGGCGGAGTCGCCATTTGCGTCGTGGTAAGCACCAGATGTACCCGCAGCGAGACTGTTGCTACTCCGGCTCTTGTTGCGGTTTAGAGATTTGTTGCGCGCGTGCATCTGGTTTTGATCGCCATTGCTCTGACGCGAGTCTGGAGCAGTGGATGGACGCTCGATGAGCAATGATCGTTGAGAGTCATTGGGGAAAGTACCTGGGATAGATAGGTTTGCAGGGATAGGTGGGACGGGTGGGATTTCCTCGGAATTCACACGGCCGAGACCATTGGATTGTTCGACCGTTGTTCTATCACCCGTAAGAGCAATGTATGAGGCTGGGCGAGGTGTTTCCGATCCGTCTCCATTATGGTTGCTATCTTGCTGGTGGATCGATGAAGAGTCTGGGTCCATTTCGGATGCGGGAAAGTGGTCACTGATCATGCTTTCACTGCTGGAGGAAACCACGCTGACATTCGATAAATCAACGTGACCTCTGAGTGGGCTGAGCTTCCGTTGTTGACTATCGTTGTTCACTGAGAGCACGCGGCGCAGCTCGGTCACACGCACTGGGGACCCTCTGCTGCTAGAGCTGTATTCTGGTGTTCGTATGACCTCGTGAACACTCATTCGGCGATTCTTTTGCGTAGCAGAGCCAGCAGGGGAACCGTTTGCATTGCTGTTTGTGTTGTTGTTGCGAGACATAGTGCCACCGCGAGACCCACTGAGAGAGAGCGTTCTAGCACTTTCTTTCTCAACGGCAGCTAAGCATGACTCTCGAGACCAGGAAGACAGCATATGCTCTTTAGCTGGGGAGGGAAGACCACTGTCCAATTGTGGCTGGGAGGTCGGGGGCTGGCTCAACACGGGGAAGTTGAAGCCACGAGCTGGAGAAGTTGGGGGACTCTGTGGGGGCGAGGAGATACTTTTGCGGTAGGATTCGTCAATCTCACTAACAAGACCCTCGACATTTCGGAAAGGCGTCAAGCTATCGGACGAGACAGACTCGTATTCAGCGGATTTTTCAATATCGGCAATGAGATCGTGGACAACAAGTGGCGGTAACCGAACGTGAGATAGCCACTGTCTCTTGCTCTGCCTCCTTTCAACCTCATTACGGATTTCGACGCCAGCGTGAGAGGATCCAAGCTCGAACTTCTCCGACACAGCTAAGAGGTATCCGTGGACAAGACTTGCAACATTAACACGGGCATTGGAGGAGCCCAAGTCAACAGAAGTAAAAAGTTCATCTTGAAGCTTCAAGACCATAGGAAGACCGAACTGAACCGCGTTTACGCCTAGATTCTCGACAAGGCTTACCAAGAGAAGGTGCAGTAGAAGAATTTCAGACTCAGCAGATGCCGCCTCAAGGGCAGAATCATAGATAGCCAGGTGCAAAAGTCGAAGAAAGATAGACTGTGCGGCCAGAGAAACCATTTCTCTTTGATTACCTGGAGCCGAGGTGCTTCGTCGGTTTAGTTTGTCCGTGTGCTCCGGCTCACGCTTCGAGGCGGGTTTGACGTATTTCGGCGCGTCATTTCGCACCTTGAGGTCATCTTTGTTGGTTTCGAGGCGAAGCCAGGACAACAATGCCTCAGCATATGCGTAGCGAACATCACGGTCACCATCTCGGAGAAGAAGCTGTGTTCCTTCCCAGACATGAATGCCAACTACATTTCTTGTTTCAGACTCGGAGGAAGATTTCTTCGAGTTTGCTACAACAAAGATGGCCTTGACGGCTCTCAGAGCAGTCACCTTCGCAGCAGCATGCGAATATGTCTCTCCATGGGCCTTGTCTCCATTAGCCTCAGACACAGATTGCGTGGGTGCCACAGGGGATGCGGTAGATTCATGCACAGTAGCCAAAGTAGAAGGTGCAGCACTATCCTGGTTGACACTTGGTTTGAAGCGTCGAAGAATAGCTCTGGTCATGTCTGCCACCTGGTCACCATAGTAGATATGGGTCGCCAGGTTTCCGATACATTGTTCTAGGAGAGCAAGTAAGCTCTTTCTCCGATCGGAAACAAAAAGTGTGCTCTCGGGTTGATTCTCTGTCTTCTTTTCCGCCTCGGTATCCTCGTGGGGAGACAAAATCTTCGGAGCGTAGTGGATGAGACCATGCAAAATATCCATAACGCTCAAGCCAATCATGTTAACTGAAGATTTCAAAAGCCAGTCCACCACAGATAGTATGGTGAATGCCGAGTCCAGGTCCTTTTCTTTCGGGCTGGTATCCAACAAAATATCCATGGCTGTCATCAAGATCACAAACCGGATCTGGACAGGACACCAATTTGCAACTAGCTCAATCAGAGAAGTAGCCCAGTTTCCACCGCGCCCTTCCCCAACTGACTGATCCCGTGTACTAGACCGAGGGAACTGCTTCTTCGAGATGAACTTCAGGATTATAGATGCCGCAATCCGCATTTGTCCGCGGTTACTTCCAGAAACAATGATCTGCTCGAGACAGCGTAGAGCAAGGAAACGGGCATCCATCTCCGCTTTACGGTCAACATCCGCAGCTGTTCCTGCTGCAAGTGCTGGGTCGGCTTCTACTGTGTCCACTGTGTTTACCGTTGTCACACTCATCCGTCTGGGTCGAGCTGGATCGTTATCGCCATCCTTGGTATCCTGGAGCTTAGCCCTCAATGGAATTAGAACATCCTCGTCCTTTGAGTAGAGATTTTCTAGAATAACAGGTAGAATGATCTTCAAGGATGTTCCTCCGTCGGCGGAGAGGCCATCGGAGCTTACCACGCTTTTGATGGCGCGGAGACCAGCATTTCTCCACCGAATCGCTACCGGAGGGCTGACCTTCGTAGGTGAATATGACTCGGAGGATGGGTCCGCGAAACTGGCATAGAGCCGGACGACTTCTCGGTATTTCTGGGCGATTCCCTGTTCAGCCGCGATGGTCGCGATTTCCTGGTGTCGGCAGAAAGTCTCGAAAGTTGCGATTGAATCTTCTACCATGGACACCTCGTTTGATCGCAAAACCGTTTCGATGACTGTCAAAACGTAAAGGGCATAAATGGGGAGGTCGCGTGGGACTTTTTCGATGAGCGCGGTGAGAATATGGAGCGCGACCTGCACGTTGCTGTGATATCACCATGTTAGCTTTTGCTTGGCTATGCTGTCATCTTGCTCTGCTCTCCCTTGCTTCAAAATGCATCCTCGTCAAGTCGTCTTATCTATCTCTGCCTGACTTACCCCAATCTGCGCCGCCAAACATCCTTGGCCACTTTCTTCTCGAGAAAGCCGCCGACTTTGGTGAGCTTACTGCGACGGGTACTCGCATAATATAGCAGGTACGAGAGTTCGCTTGGATTCGGCCTTACCTCCGCCACGCCTTTCTGGTACCGGGGATAGCATTTCAATGTCAGGACCTGGTGTTTTGGCCGACATGACTGGCGTACAGACTCCATGCTGCTGTTGATGATGGGTTACCCCCCAGGGGCAGTCCGCGGGTAGGCGTGCGACGATTTTCACGAGGATTTCGAGAGTCGAGTGTGATCGAGGAAGAACGTCACTGCTGTTGGGCGGCCATAGGGGAAGAAAGTTGGCAATGGGGGCGAACGTTCAGAGCCACGTTGGACGGGAACGGCTGTCCGATGAGGTAGTTGAAGGCCGATCACCAGGGGGTGGGGCTCAATCCACGGTCTGCGCAGAACCAGGGAAAGGACAGTAAAACGGAGGGGTTGGATTTCAAAGACAACTTTTAATTAGACTTGGGATTGAAATTGAATTTATAAAGGGGGTTTTTAAATTTAAAAAAGGAAGAGCTCCCCAGTAACACGAATCAGGAAATTGAAGAAAAAAAAAGAAAAAAAAAGAAAGAAAAAAAAAAGTTCGAAGCGAAGCCCTGTTCAAGAGACGCACGATGGTGTCAGAGTGTCAGACATTCTAATTCTACTATGATTAACAAACTTCTTATAAAAAATACCCCAAATTTATGAACTGGAAAATGGGGCTAGATTCAAGCCAATTAAAATGTACTCTATTGAATTTCATAGGTTCAATGTTATCAATTGCCGCGGTACACAATCCAAGACGAAAACGGTGCGATCGCATTACATTGCACTGTTGTATCCCAGGTTGTCCAGGTGTATTCCCTGGAATCCGGCAACTTCGTACTGGTCAGTTTATTGCTCGTTCTCAACAGACGCTTGGTCCTTGCCCAACCCCGCAAAGCCTGTTTAAGGAACCAGTACAAGGACAAGCACCATATGGGAATTCCTCTCGAGAATAATACGAACCCTAGATTGGGCCAAACTCGTACCTGTTCTCATTTGATCGACAATATCCCGGCCGATCTCAACCAATGCCTCGGTCACACATGAAGCCTCTGGCCCCGCAATTCAAACTTGAGTTTCTGAAAATGCCGAACAGCTAATAGTAGATCGATCTGCTGCTGTATGATCGTGGCTGTGCGACACACTGTGCTCTGTTGATGGATTAAGTCGTGGAAAAGACAATTTGAGCTGGTCGGCGGGATGATGATAAGCGTAGGAAATCACCCGGAGGATGGGGTGTTCCGCCACAAAGCAGGGCTCAAATCCTCAGGTCTTGGTTCCATTTGGCTCCTCCTGTTTCTCGGCGGGACCTGCATCCTCGGCTTCAGCAGCTGGTGCATCAATAGGTACATTGACCCCTGCCAATCCTTCGATCACCTGAGGGAGAATGATATCACGGCGGAAAGCATCCTCCTGTAACAGGCGTAGAGCGCGTAGGGTCGGACCGGGGTGGGTGAGAAATTGAGAGTATTCAGGAGTCTTCCAGTAAGAATAAAGGTAGGCAAGGTATGCGGCGAATGCTTGGGCATCGGGGGAGGAGGCAGAATCGTCGTCGTCGTCGTTTGCTTGAGAGATGCCCAGCAGGTTGGGGTAGGTGACTGCCAGGTGCGATAGATAGTAAGGATTGGCGAGCGATGAGACAAACTCCAGCTCGAGAGTGAATCGGGGATTTGTCAAGGCTGGGGCAGGAGGTACGACAGGCTCCATGATGAGAAGACAGGGTAGGTTGAAGGGTGTTTGAGAGACGGAAACTTGAAGCTCCGTAGCTTTTGCGATCGAGGGCGGAATGCCAAGCCTTGACCACCTTTGTGGCCCTGCGCTGATAGTCAAGCACACACTTTGATTTTTAAGTTGTTTTGCCGATTTATACATGAATTATATTTTGTGTAAACTTCTTCTTAGATAGAGTCTTTGAATCTCACCATTATATTGGAAAGTTCCCCTCCAGGACTTGCCCGCCTATCACTATATATGGCCAATAGTAAACAAAGAGCCCTGGAGGTAGTAAGAGATTAACCCACCAGCAACCTATATTCTTTAGTAGTAGTTCATAAAGTTCGCTATTTTCAACTAAAGTGAAAATAAATCAATAATGACCACGACATGGATGAAGTTCAGTCTTATACTATATGTTATCGATTTGGAAAAGTAGATAATTTAATTTAATTTAACATTTTAGACTTCCAAGATGTTTATGAGTGCTTGGAAGAGCTTCAAGCTTAGATTCTCATATTGTTGTACAATTTTGTTTCTAAAATAGATATTAAGTAATGTACAGCCCTGGAGCAAAGACTACTGATTTCAATATGAAGAGATAAGGTTATCAGCAAATGCGGGGATTGTGAATTCGTTGAACTTTTTCATCTTCTCTTCTTATACTCACCTACCACTAGCCTCACCTTGGAATTTCAATCATTTTGGAGACTTAAAGCTCGCAATTGCCGCCATACAAGAACTTGAAATACATCACCTATAATGTCGACCACACAGTTCAAGCTCTTTTTCCGCGTCCCACCATCTCATCTGGACATTTGCAAGAAAGCCGTCTTTGCAGCTGGAGCCGGAACATATCCAGGCGGCATGTATACCGAAGTCAGCTTTGAATACATTGGGATGGATCAATTCCGTCCTAGTGCATCGTCCACTCCTCACACCGGTCAGCCCGGTCAACTCGAAAGGGTGGAGGAGTATCAAGTGGAGACGTTATGTGTGGGCGAGAAAGTTATGCGGGACTCTGTCAAGGCTTTACGAAGAGCTCATCCTTATCAACAAGTTGTGGTTGAAGTGGTGCAGCTGGTAGACATTGGGCTGGACGAAGACGATCGACAATGAGATGATATGGTTTCGTGCATGCGGCTCACGCCTTATTTAGAACATTTTGCCCATTCTTCATATACAAAAACCCATGTACAGCTAAAAATGGACCTCGGAGCAACCATACCGCTACAGTATCCAATTATCTGTGCTTGAGAACAGACTGTTGCTAGAATTATCCAGAATCAGGTATTTGATGCCTGGTAAACGAGGCATAAAAGAGATCACCGAAGAAATCCGGTTAATGAATATTCCGGAACCCACTAGGTACGAAATTAGCTACTGTGATTGGCCAATGGATCAGCCCTACGGGATTCGGCACTGAAAGTTTCCTCCACAGCCTCAAAAATGAAGAATTCACTGTGGCTCATGACAAAAGAAGGGTTTTGCCAAGATCAATCTTCTATATTTACTCTTTATTTCGTGGCGCATGAGATTCGACACGTACGCGTGCGATCGTGCCGCTTGATCGTGCCATGGATCAATGCTTGGCGATGACGCACTCCACATTGGAATTTCTATATAAAGCGTAGAGATGGATATAAGGTGGATTATTTTTTATTCAGATCAATTGAACTTCATTGAACATAACAAAGATTTTTACACTATACATTGATACACCAAATATCGACTACAACTTGAATAGCTCGAATTCAGTCATCTTCTTTCATCCCACTTTACAATATGGGTCTATGCATGTCTAGCAGAATGGGCGGCGGAGGCAACTATGGTCCTCCTCCTCGCCCACATCATGGTGGCTTCGGTGGAGGTGGTATGGGCATGGGTGGAATGGGTGGTGGTATGGGCATGGGTGGAATGGGTGGTGGAATGGGTGGAATGGGCGGCCATCATGGACATCATCACGGTCCTCCTGGTGGTGGTGGTTTTGGAGGCGGCTTTGGTGGTGGTGGTCCTGGATTTGGTGGAGGTGGTCATCATCATGGCGGTGGTGGCTTTGGAGGAGGCTTTGGAGGGCCTGGAGGTGGTGGTGGTGGTGGTTTCGGAGGTCCAGGTGGCGGCGGTGGTGGGAGATGGTAAAGGGACATCAGCAGCAACCTTATGGATAAGAATGATCTTATTCGCTCGCTACTCCCTGCTCCCGTCATATCCTGCTGTGACCCAAGGAGAATCACCACATCATGTCAATGAATAAACGATTGCAACGAACAAACGAAATATACGCATACTACCTGGCTTGGAAAGTCAAGACACCGAGAGCCAACGACTGTCAAACGAGGGCCCCACGGCAGAGAAACATCGATGACTTGGATATGAACTTAGACGACCAAACCTACTTTCACGGCCAAATATAGGGATATATCACCACATGGCCTTTACAACCTTCCACCAATCGACTCTACAGCAGCCAAAGCTTGTTTTCTTCGTCAGCATTCGCTTGAGTCACCCGCCCATCTCATAAGGGCATCTTGTGATGAAATGAACACTCCAAGTTTTGCATCATTCGTCACTTCATATCTCAGTTCCGAAACTACATCTATCATACAATCCAAAGTCAGCGATACTGTTATACGGGCCTGTTGAATGCATGACAGACAATTAGGAGGACGACAAACAATTTGCAATCAGACTCACTTGGACTGGGGACAAGAGAAATGCTCTTATTAGTTGTATGAGCGGAATGAACCGGGACACTCGGGCGCAATGGAACCTATCAGATTAGATTTATACAATGCTCTGATATAATCGCAAACAAAGAATTTCCGGACTACCATATTTCCGGACTACCGAATTTCCTTTCAACATTAATAAACGAACTAACGAAATCCCTCGTAGACTGTACATACAATTGATAAGATGCTAACCGCTCAGAGATTCAAGATATCTTCTGATAGTATCTCTTCATCTCAGGCCCATTTCAGATTAGGGGAAATAAGAATAACATCGTAAATTGTCGCATAGTGAACGTCTTAATATCCATAATAAAGAAATATCCATTGAATATCCCGGCGATCAACATGCATCCGCCTCGGAAGATGATTGATCGGACTGACATCTGTTGCCCAACTTGCCATAATGATACAGACAGGAATGATATCAGGGAGGCGGTAATATTATACCGGCTCCCGACGGCTATCGGTTCCCGGAAGGCGGAGGTAGCAGAGGCGCCGATGGGGGCTGGACCTGCTGACAGGTTTCATTCTATTCGAGTAATTCATTCCAGTATAAGTTGAAACTCGCCAATGAGATATAGCGTTTTTTCGGGTGTTTTATCTGCCTGGCATCGGTCGAATAGCTGTCTGCTGACAACGTTTCTTTGAATAAATCTTAAATTACGTTCCGTGTAAAATATTGACACCCAAACACATTTTACCAGCATCCAGCGGTATTATGTTCGTATCATTGAAAGCCGATAGGGACCTATGAAACCGAGACTTGAAGCTTGGGAGCGTTGCTCAAGCCCATATGATTCCCCAGCTTTTTGTGGCAAACTACCCCATATCTTCATCAGTCAAGTACCAAAAATGAATTGAATACTACAACGTCATGATATATCATAATCATCTGGATTATCCACATTTCATGGGTTAAACCCCACAACCCCGGGTTTGAACTTGGCTGTACTCTATAAAATGTGGAGTGTTACGAGAGAACGCAGTCATATTCAGGGCAGCTTGAACGATCCGGTGTGGCACGGATGTACGACCGACCCGGAAATTGAGTTCTAGAATAAACGTGCAGATAAAGGTGTTAGCTACGAGGATCCCTATTCGTTAGTTTCCTTGCCACGAACCATTCAGGTCTTACAGATAAAGCCCTTCGGGACGGTTGATATAAGACCAACCGATCACCTGATCGGTGCCGAACTATACACCCCGCTGATAATGGCCACCTGATTGCGATATACTCTAGGGATTATTGTGCCTTTCGGGCTGAAGAACCGTGAAAGGAGTGAAACAAGGTGTTTGGCCCCGTGGATTCCGTGTGAACCTGGTCGTGGTGGCCAGAATGGTTATCTATATAGAAGAGCTGATTTCTGCAGATAAAGTGTAGTATCAGACAATCGAACAATTCAAAACAATCAGTTCTATCTATCTCAGACTTAACTGATCTATTACATTCATCATGTCTTTCTTAAGGAATTTCTTCGGCACTACACCTGTCACTCCTCAGGAGAAGGAGGCGAAGACTCCCATTCGCGCTCTGCCTGCTTCTTGGTACACTTCCAAGGATATGTACGAGCTCGAGCGACGAGCAATCTTCTCTCGCAAGTGGCTCCTGACAACACACAAGCACCGCGTCCAGCCCGGTGAATCTGTCAAATATGACGCTGCCGGCTTCGAGTTCCACATCGTGAATCACCAAGGTGAGATCAGCGCCGTCAATGACGATCTCTCTCCCATCCACACACATCTCGACCGCAATGGTTTCGTCTGGGTCAACCTCGATGCCTCCGAGAACCCCATCCCCTGGAACGAAGACTTCGAAGGCGTTGACGAGCAGCCCCGTTTCGACCACTATAACTTCGAAGAGTACAACTTCGACCACTCCTGGGAAATCGAGGGTGCCTTCAACTGGAAGATCCTCGCAGATAACTACAACGAATGCTACCACTGCCAAGTTGCACACCCTGACATCCCCACAATCGCCGATCTGCACTCATACTACGTCAAGCCTAAGGACGGCCACATCCAGCACTACGGTGCTCAGCGCGATGACCAAATCGCCAAGGGCTTCCGTATCGCCACTACATACTTCTGGCCCAATGCCTCATTCAACATTAGCCCCAACTTCTTCTTCATGCAGCGCTTCACTCCTACAAGCCCTACCCAGTGTGTAATGCGCTACGAGGTCTACCGACACAAGGACGCGACCGATGAGGCCTTCACTCTCATCAGCGATATGTACAAGCGTATCATGTCCGAGGATAAATACCTCTGCATTCACTCGCAGAAGAACCTCAACGCCGGCGTCTTTGTCAATGGTGAACTGCACCCAGAGATGGAATTGGGTCCTCTCCACTTCCAGAAGACAGTACGCGATGTGGTCAAGGAACATCGTGAGAAGGAGCTGATTGTTGGTCATGAGATTTGGCCTGCTGCTGAACTCTCGCATCAGCGCACCGAGGCTAATAAGGAGGAGGTTGCTCCTCTGTGCACGGTCATTGAAACCTGGAGCGCTGAGAAGAATGAGATGCAAGATACTTTGCAGGGAGGTCTTCCGCCAGCGATTGCGGTTTAAATTTGGATTGCATTTGGGAATAATGGGTAATGATAGCGTTGCTTACAATTTTTTCTTCTCTCTTTTGAATTTGGCGTTTCATTTATTGCATTTGGTAATCTAGATTCTTTAGGTAGATTGCTTTACAGGATTTATATAGTCTCGAGTAAATTAATCTCTCTCTCTCTCTCTCTCTCTCTCTCTCTCTATCATTTTACCTTAAGGCGTGAATGTATGATATTGCCAGACTACCTGTATTCGGATTTGTAAAACTGCAAGGTCAGCCCGAATATGGACAATCAATGTCGTACAACGGGGGATCCGCGACGTTAGTGCCCCACGCGGTACCGCGCAGAGTCCGCTGTGCATTAAAGACCTTGGCTAGGAAGGTCAAGACACGGAGAGGGGTTCGGAATATTCGTCAAAAGGAACAAAAAATATTAACAATATTAAAAAATAATAATTAATCGGAAGTTCGCCCGTAATAGCTATGTTGCACAAATGCAGGTTGAACTATATCCTTTGAATAAGCTCGGAGATACGGCGGACCGGTACTACTATTCTAATTAACTCGGCTGTAACTCGTCCTGAGATAGCGACAGCGGCGGCGGACTAAATGTACACGATCAAATTGAAATTGAAGTTAGAATAGATTCTTCACCCGGTGATAAACCTCGGCTATTGATTCTCTGTCGGTGAATTTAGTTTTGAGTTTGTCGAATTTGTTCAGATGGTCAGCCCGAGATTTTAGGATCGCCAAGTATTGCCATGATCTGACTCCAATATGAACCATTCAGTATACATTAGAAGTTCTAAATGAGCGAGTCGTCGATACACTGCAATATTGTCTCTTTATGTGAGTACCTCGAACTTGAATATTTCATGAGTTGATATACTTTATTGTTATTCTAACCTACGGGAGTGAAGGGCATAATGGACAGTCACGGTCTACTATGTTCAGCTAAAATATGCTCAGTATGAATGGATTACTGGTGGTTACAATGGAGCTCGTTCCAGAGAAGTCTTTTTCACATTTTCAAAAGTAAAGAACCTAACTCTAGCCCAAAAGAAAACTTTCTTTTTTTTTTTTTTATTCTTTGAAAAGAAATCCAAAGAACGTCCAAAACAAAAAACCAAGACAAAGGCAGCATGGATGGGAATCACAATTCTGTCACCACAGCCGTACTCTGTAAACAAAGCGTAGTCGTGGACCTGAAGGAAAAAATCTCACAAAACCCACAGGAATCCCCTTTCCCGTGCTAGGATCCTAGCACTGCGTACCTATGAGCAGCAAGTGATAAATTGGCAAATTGGAAATCAAGAGTTATTTTCGATTTCAAACCGAAGATCATGAGATCTGTGATAAATGAGTTCAATACGAGCTATTCGGCGAGTTCCTCGAGCAAAAGCTGCAATCACAAGATAACCGACTGTACGGCCGATCCGGATACCCAAAATCGCTTCATACTCTGGCGTACCACGTTCATAGGTCTGTGATCCAGCCTCCCTCCCGAGAGTTGCTAAATGCGCACGAGTCTGGACGTTTATGATTATGGTGACAAATATTTGCCTCAATGAATCGGTTGTGCCATACTCATCAAGGTACAACGTGTTGAAGATAGAGCCAGTATGAGGGATTTGGATATTAACAGGATGCCGAGCAACAGTGGTAATTACCATGATCCCCTGAGCGATCATACCCATAAAGACTGCCTCCCGATCAAACCGAACGGTCCAGCCGATCCAGGCTGGATGGGGGACACTCTGATCCCACCATTGAAACTCCGATGCGGTCCGGGCGGCAACCCTATATCGTCGAAAATGGGTTGACATTGTACTGAGAGCATCATAAGTCAATTCTTCATTTCGAACGGGACAATTTAGTTTATTAGCATGTTCGATCAAACGAGCGACCCGAGAGCCTATACCACGAAGCTCAAGAGCGGGCATGAGGAGGTCTCGTTCTAAAGATGGTGCTGTCGTTGATGGGGACCTTAGCTCAAGTCCTACAGGTTCTCCAGCAGCTACACGTCTCTGCAGTTCCCCAAGTAAAGGGAACAAGTCCACCCATTGCTGAAGAACTGCGTCTGAACGGGGAGGAGGAGGATGAATTTGAGATTGAGCAGGGGGCCATTGAGACGCAGCAATCCACCAGTCTCGCCAGGTTTCTATTTTTGGGAGTTCAATGCCGAGATGCTCTCTAAGAGCGGCATTCAAATCGAACAAGATTTTCCCAAAGGAAATCCATGCCGAAATCAATTTGAAGAAAGGCCAAAGGGGCGCTGAAAGTACCCAAAGTAGAAACCATAGAACAGCTACGTTTGGAGCAATGCCTCTGGTCGCGCTCAGGTAAAGGTAAAGCTCTAATAAACTGGCAAAGAGCCACAGAACCAAGTAACAGATCCTAAGATACGAATTAGCCATGATGATAAACCAACCAATATTGTCGAAGTTAGCGAGTACGCTGAAGAAAAGAAAAGAAAACCTTACATGGACCCAGAATTGCTTCTTTTATATAGAATTCGACCTATGTCGCTCTCGAGCGTCTTTCCTCGGGCCTTTGTTGTCATCTCAAATTTTTGATATCGTTTGAGTGCTTTGTTCTTTCAAGTCGTTCTTTGGTTTTAATTATATATTCCTTTAAACCATCAGTATTTTCAAATGAGAGGCTTGGGCCACAAATATTTTCCTTTTGAACTTTGAAGTGCCAGTGGAGGCATACTCGCATGCGGATCTGGAAGAGCTGGGTTCAACTTGAAAGCATCCAAAGGCTGCCAGTGCGACTACTACTAGTAGTATGTATTCAATTTACTATCACTTGAAGTATTCTTGTAACTTCCGAAAATATACCACTATAGCAGGCATACAAAGCTTTCTCTTCTGTTCTTGTGGCGAGAGCCAAGAGCTGACTGTCTCAAAGAGACTGAAATACCGACGGCATTGTCGAGATACGAATAGGAGATGGGTATCATTAGTTATGGAACGGTCAGGCTCTTTTTGGTCAAGTAAATGGATATACTAATACTAAAATACCATGATTTTGGGTTATCGGTTATCTGGGAAGAGATGGGGAGCTGTACTCGCACCGAATTCTTTCCAAATGCGTCATAAAGAGAGATCAAAGAATATAACAGATATCTACCTACTAAGCGAGCTACCGAGTACATATCTAGCTGTTTCATCACCATAGACTAGGAGACTTATTCAAACTGCCAAATTTAGTACAGTACGTTGTGAAACCGTTGCAACCACCTCTACTCTTCGAGTGACTCTCCAGGCTCACCGCCAGGAGACACTAGAATACTTTAGGAATAGCCCCGGAGTATCAATATTCCTGTACCAGTCTCGATACTACCATTTACTTTCATAAAGTACAGCGCCGTGTTTCGTAACAGTATTGGCAGGGTCGATCGTTATAGCCACGACTAGCTATGACCGTAGTTTCGTCACTGGAACAACCCCATATAGTACTATAATTCGTCTTTTTTCCATAATAGCCGATGTCTCTGGTCCCATGCCTGCTGGTATAATAAACCAACTTGAGCAGCGCCCTCGGCCGCCAGATAGCTGTCTCGTAGCCGTCCTCCTATGATCTCAACATCACCAAGAGCATGTTCAAGGCTCTGCTTGATTAATGATCCGTCAAACCCACTCGTCAGAATAAACGCTTTATCAATTTTGGTAGGGGCCATGTCATCCCGAATATCTCCGGTAGGATTGTCTACACAAATGTCAGCTAACAATTTTACCCAGACGGCCCACTGGCAACGTACTCGCAGCAACGAGATAGTTATGAACATTCTGCGCAATACTTTGAATATATCTCATCTCTGCTGCTTCGACATCAGCCCATGACAGCACAGCGGTGGCGTCGGGGTCCTTCAGATGCAGAGGGTATTCGTTATGGTGATGGTCCTGGTGGTCCTCGGCCCCCAGCACTTCGCGATCAATGTTTTCTCGTATCAGCACACGCGCCTTCCGGACTTCTTCCTGCAAAGCGGCCTTGGATCCACCGAGCAAAAGCCAAGTCTGTAGGATTTCCGATCGTTCAATGGCCGAGCGGGTTATATCCCGATCGAGACCGGCACTTCCCCAGGGGTCCATGGGGAGGCGCCCATTTCGGGCCATTGGCCGGGGACTCACATTGAGACTTCGCAGGTCCAGATAGTATTGTCCTAGGTCCATAATGACATATTTCCCGTCCGCCTCTCGTGGAGTCCCATTGCTGCTATATGTTGATGCGGCCATCCGGCTCATGGGCTCCACCAAAGGCATGATGCCAACCTTCCGGCTCGCCTCGAGGAACAAATCGACCAGGGTTTGGTTGAAAAAGTCCGGGAGGGCGATGACCGCCGATTGCATATCAATGTTGTGCTTGGTGCGTGCCTCTTCCTGCAACCGCGTGAGGATATCGACAAACGCATCCTTCACATCATCCAGCGTGAACTCCTCTAGTTCCGACCTCTTGACGCTGCGAAGCCGAGCCGTGATGCCGTGCCAAGCACTGCAGACGCACTGCCTTACCCAAGACAGGTTCGCTGTGTCATGGCTACAACAGGTCAAGGACGATACGAGCCTTGCAAACAGCTTTACCACAGCATTGGAAATGCCGGAGGTCCCTTCGTTCTTCCGGCCATATAGGGCGTCGAGCGTGCCGTCGCTCCATGATTCTAGTCGCAGCAGGAATAGATAGATGTTGAAGGGATCGCCTAGCTCAGGTTTGATACAGGCTGGCAACGTCACATTATCACTGCTATACGCATGTGCGACAGTTCTAGGATTCTGGTCAATAGTCACCACAAGGGGGGGGGTGGCGGCTTCATCAAAGCGATTTTCGACACGCACATCATCTCGGGCCCGAAATCAATGCCAATGGCCTGAGGGCGGGCTGCAAAGATTGTGTCTACAAGGGATATAACGAATCCCCCGCAGAGAACCCATCGCAGCAAACACACCATGTCGGATTGATTGGTATACCACACAGGTCAAGCAAGGGTTTCAGGCAAGGCGAATGGAGTCATGATTTCCGTGTGAGTCTAAAAAATGCCAAGGGACATTCGGCGCTACTTCACATCCAGTGACACACCACCAATGAAGTGATGAGTTGCCAGCAAAAGTGAAATGAAGCCCCACCTCAGCTTCGCCTCTGGGTAATGGCGGTGGATGGGCATTGGAGGTATCAGATGTATTGATTTGAAAGTGAATACATGACTGAAATTACTGTGTAACCTACGTACGAAAGAATACATACGCAACTCCCGGAAGAACTCCAAATACAGACTAGTGTGTTTCGGCACAAGCGGCAGAAAAGTTAATCGGAGAGTGGATCAGTTGCACCGGTTTCGCGACGTACTGTACCAACATGGATATTTCAAAAGGCGTGCTGAACAGCCGGTATGCTAGCTCATGATATACGCTGTAAAAATTACTCTCGCCTTACCTGCTTCATAAGCAGTTTCCATAATACCACACCAAGGAATATACTTGACGTTTTAAGAGAGATAAAGAACTGATATACTAGTACGTCGATTTCAAATTTGTGCTAAAATGCAAATTAAAGTTAGTGTTTGGCAGCGGAGATGGAGATAACGTCGGATGATATGTAAGTTCATTAACAACAGGTGTGATGATACCACTGCGCAGTACTTGTCAAGCTTAGAGGTCAAAAAGCCCCAGCAGCCGCTCGTTGAAGATATCTGCCCCCGGACTTTGCAGGGCTTGGATGATTCTATTGCCACGAACAGCGCTAAGCCACCCAAGTGGGTCATCAGCCACCTCAGTCTCATTCACGCCGTCTGCTCTCTTTTCCCCACGTCGATCAACAACATCCATTCCATAAGTCCACTGTCCTGCTGTCTCAATTCTGATATCGGTTTCGCGACTCATATTCCAACGTGTGTTATTGGATGTTAAAGCGTACCAAATTGGTAGTGGATCATGCTGTACAACGCAAGAATTCGACGGATCCTTCTTATGAAGCCCGGTAAGATATGTATCAACCAAGGTCGCGAGAGGTCCCTTCTCATCTAGCTGATTGGCAATTTCTTTGGAGAATCGATCATAGTTCACGCAGTTGGTAAGCGTTATATCTAATGGGAATAGCTTGATATTCAGGCGTTTAGACAAGTTCTCGGGATAGATTCCGAGATGACGCTCAGGATGGGTAATCGGCGGCATGGTGGAGTTTGGTTTATGAGAAGAAAGTGCGAATGATCGTGCACATGCGAGCGGATCATAAAACGTGTTAAACTCGGCCAACGGGGAGGCGTTACCGGGGTGGTCGATCGTACCGCCCATGACTAAAAGCTCCTTCATTCGCAGTACAGCCTCGGGATCTTCTGCTGCAGCCATGGCAATGTTTGTCATGGGTCCAAGTGCAATCACTGTAATTGTGTTCGGTGGGTTTTCCTTCAGAACACGGATGATTTCCCGATGCGCGGGAGCCTTTGAAGCTTTGAAGTACTTGAAATACTCGGGGTCTTCTTTCGGAGCAGGCAAATTTGCGTCGAAAAGTGATTTCCAAGAGTTGTCTGGGGCAAACTCGGGGTGCTGGATATTAGAAGTCTTAGCCAATTATCGCAAGTTTTCAAGAATGAATAGATATCATACCAAGGCGTAGAAATTTTGCAGTCCATCTGGTCCATCTTTATGAAATTAAAGTCAGATGGTTGAGTATAATTATCAAGATAGCGCATGGACTCACGAAATCCATCGGTTTGGATCACCACAGGTTTACCAAGTGCATGTCTGGCGCCGAGACTGACAAGAGGCTTGAAGGTTCGAAAAGCTTCAAATCCTAGCGGCAGGCCTCGATCCCCGCGCCAACGCATTTCCATGGACAGGATATGGAACATTGAAATGATATTTTTCAACGCCTTTTCCATATTGACGTTTCCAAAAACAGCAGTAAAAAGCACTACTTCCATCACCGTCGGCAGCGCAGCCATTGCTATTAGCATAGCCGTCATATCATCGCCCCCTAGTAGTTGCATGAGTAAATTTATATACAATTTAGTCTGTAACCTGTGAGTGATGAACCTACCGACATCTGTGTCAATAATGACCCGACTCGCAGCTTGAAGCGTATTATTCATTGAATGTATCTTTTATAGGCAAGCACCTCGTTGAGAAATAAATTCCCGCCTGAAACTGTGATGTTATCATGCTCTTTATATTCATAGAGGGTGGAGTCCTCGGATCTTTTCATCAGATTCTCCCCATATAGATATCTCTTTCAGGCCATCGTAGGCTATACACATGCGGAAATGGAAGGTAAGGGGTAGCGCTTAATCATATTTTGCTGGGCATTGGAGTAGCCAAGCATTTCCCCGCAAATCCTTCTTCCTTTTGCGTCAACCCCCGCAGAACATGTTGCTTGCGTCATATCAATTCCAGTTTGGCTAGATTTTGCTGTAACTTTATGCCACATTCTGGTGAAAGAGTTGGGGAAAATATAGATAGTACGACAAAGTTCTTCTGCGTGAGACTTTTCAACAATACAAAAGAATCGAGTCAACCATTCTCTATAATGTATTGCTGGTGAGTTGGAGAGAAGATCTAGCAGATTTTAGACGATCGGAATAACTTTACAAATCTTCGCTTGTTTCTCCGGCTTTACTGGTGGTTTCATAGGGCGTTAGTTATACCTCAAGGTCTATTTAATATGGAGGAAGTATTTGCAATAAACCCTCGGAAATATCTAGACGCCCCCGAAATCTGCATGAACGCGAACATCTCCGGGAAGACTACTATGCACGGCTTTGCTACCTTTGTTCACGAGGAGATTCGAAAGATAGCCTAGAAAAGACAAGAGTAGATGGGCCATAACGACAGGCTTTTAAGCGCTGTAATCATACCGCCCCTGGAAAAGATCAAATGATTCGGTGCCGTGCAATAATCACCCTAATATCATTGGTTAGAGCAGAAGACGTGTTTCAAGAAGAGACAGATATGCTATACAGGTAATACCCAGATATTGAAAAGTTCCCAAGCCATCAAATTGTATCAATTTAAACGTAATAGTGTGATGGTCCACTTTGATATTTCGTGATGAACGGCAAGCTCATCCACGGGCACATACAGCTCCGTGATGCTGACAACAATAACCCAAGCAATAGCTAACTAGTACCATTCTTAGTTACTCTTTATAAACTAAAAACGGCCATCGTCGTTTATAATTCTTTCGGATAGGTCAAGCTTTACGACATTCCAATATTTCTGATAATCAAGAAGTGTAGCTTGCAAGATGGGTCTTCCTCTTTCAATAAAAAAATCGACTTTAACGCCTTGGTGAAAGTCTTCGCTGCCCCATATAAGTTTCCCTGGCAAGGCACCAGAAATGTACAACTTATTTCATGCTTTCTCAGAATTGGGAAATGTAGAGGCTGTGACTCACCGTTGTGTTTTCCTATACACTCGTCAAGCTCTATTCCAGATTCGCGGGGTCTACCATCATCGTCCTTGAGTGTAGCACGGAGTTGACTTTTTTTTTCGAGGCGAACGTCTTCGGCATCGAGGTTGAACGTATAGTTGAATTGAACCTTGAAAATACCATTCTCGATTGTAATCCACTCATACAAACGGATAGATGCTTCAACAAGTAAATGCCTTTCCTCTAACAAGTAAGCGTGCAACATTGGTACTTCGTCTTCAAAGGCAAACCTGGCAGGCCCGGCATTTGTCGCAAAGCCCTTGTGATCCCATGTTAAAACACCTAACAGAATAAAAGAAAAACGCACATTAGCACAGGCGGCACTGAAATTGGAATCAGGAAATAGATATGAACTTCTCACTAACCCTTAACATTTTTAAGGTATTTGTTCAGGTTGACCTGAGCGACCACAATTTGCTGTTCATCGTTCTTAAGTATAGCGTCGAGAATATGATTATCTCGGATGCTAATAAGCTCGACGGCTTCAGGAGGGAGGTTGGGTGACAATCTGGGTTGCGGTTATAGGCGTGAAATGAACGGAGTGGGAGTAAAAATCGACGGAGTTCAGAAAAGTAGGGAATAGAGAATTATAAGAAATACGATTTACCGCATAATCAGCCGCTGCTACCTCTTTATACTACATGTAAGAGATAACGTATCGCTCATCTTGAACCGATCAATTACGGGAAGAGGAGGTCAAAATTTACTGACTCCACATATCTGCAGGTCTAAGCCTGGAGTAGCTGAACATGCATGCGGAGTGGATACCAAGCCTGTCATAGGTCAACACTCAAAAAAGTAACTGCAGATGAAGCTGGAAAGTCACCGTATACCTTAAACCACCTTACAAAGTCCTGGTATGTGAGTTCTCAACATCACTTACTGTTCTAATACAGAAAAGAGAGATTATAATAACCATGAGATTCGAGATGAATAGAGAATAAATATCGAGATTCAAGATTAAGATCTCACAAGACCCACCATCAGCCCCTCACCAGATCTCCTCCCCAGATAACCGGCCAATGCTTAGCCCACGCTTAAGCCGAAAACATGGCTGGGAAACATTTGAAATATTGTCGATCGGATTGAAGCCCATAAGCTTCTTTTCGTTTGGACTGATTAATTAAGAATTGACCATTGTGCTCAATTTTAATCCGGCTTTCCTCCATTTTCCCTCCAACGCGTCGCTCCCTTCCAGCTTCCCGAGCAACTTGAATCCGATTTTCAGTACCGTCCATGGTCCAAGCCGAAGACGAGGGACATGTCAGTTTATTGACCCATTCATTATCTATGGCAATTCCACATATTGGCGATCCAATAGGGAATATTGCCAATGACATGCAAGTCAGTCTTGAATGAACCCGAGAATCCAGGGTAGGAATAGTCCACCGGATAATCGGGAGCTTCGTAATGCCAAACTGCTTTACGGTCACCATTGCATTTTAATTCAATTGCTCTGGGATTCCCTATAGGATGATATCTCTCAATTGCGCACCATTGTGTTCCATCGTCAGTCAGAGCTGCCCACCATTGACCTTATGAGAAGTTAGTAAAAGACCACTTGAGCTAGAAAAGAATAGACACGACCATGGGAGCGATTGATATGGATGGAAAACTGAACACAAGCAAAGCTCGGTGTAGCAAGGCTAAGGATAGCTATTGAATAATTCTTAACATCAGAGAGATGCATTATTGTGAGAGGTACAACAATGGTCGAAGGAGGCTGAAAGTTGAAAATTGAGAGCGAGATTGAGTCGAGACGTTAACTTTCCATGGATTGATGCAAAATGGGAGTGAACATTGAGTTTGGGAACCTCAAGCTATTTAATTACCTATTGATTCCAATTGCGTACGAGGCAAAGTACAAAGCGAGGGTAGTATACTTCAAGTGGCACATTTCCAATTGAGTCACCAAGATCGTGCTACCAGTGAACGTTCAATGCTACAGCCCATGCGTCCAGGGCAAAAGAGAAGAATTTTAGGTTCAAGACCTAGAGCCATTACTCCATTTTATATCTTGATATCGAACCTAACTATAAGACCTAGAAACTACTATGTCTACTTGGAAGGTGCGGGTTTGAGGAGTTAAGCTTGTCCCGAACAGTTATTTTACATTTGACCTTTTCAGCTATTCATCTCTATAACTTACAATTCCTTTTTTCTCCAAGTTCTCGATAATAGGATTTTGTTCCCAGATCTGCCGTCGATTTATTTTAGAAGGCCGAGCTGAATTTGCGCTAGGTTATCCCTAAAGCCTTAAATCATAACTATCCGTTGTGGTCCAAATGATCATATATTATCATAGACGCGGATGTTACGATGAAATTAGATGTCTGTTGATTACATGTGTGTTACGTGGAAATGGTACGTTGATTTAATGTGGCTTCATCATTTGTATTCTTCTCTTCTCTTCTTCTGTCTCGAATATTCAATTTGGCGGCGGTTTAGCTCAGAGGGTATGGATCTAGCATCTTCCATTTGAACCTTCACTCCCCTTCGTCAGAATACTACTTTATTCTTGCCTTGTCATTTTTCGTTCTAAATGCTTGTACTAAGGCCCTGCCGTCGGCTTCTTCGCACCACCGAGTTCTTCCATCATCGGGATTGCCTCACCTATAGATCTTATGGATTTTCGTGTTACTAGCTCCAGTTCTTGACGTATGCGAACAATTCAAAAAACTAGCCGTGCCTACGGACACTAAAGTACAGCCCCCCCCCTGTTACATTACTGACTGCGACCTAGTCACCGACGGTACCTCATGGGAAGTCAAAGATACTGTCCCTTTAGTGCAAAAAGCTATGCCGGCTCGCCTGGCTAGCTGCAGCTGCATTTTTGCCATGCGGGATGAGATTTCGGTGTAAGAAAACTCTGTAGAAAGGATCCCAGTTCGCCGATACAGCTAGTAAAAAATTCCAATTGGCCGTGCCAACGTATTCCAATCGCGATCTAAGCCGATGAGCTTTGTCAGATTATAAAGAATGGCTCAAACCAGGAACCGGGCATAGGTCGCGTGGCAGAAGGAAAAGAAAAGAGAGACAAAGCGATAGTTCCAGTAGTTCAAAGCATCAGCCTCGTACCAAGTCGTATATGCCTAGTGCGCCTATGAACTATTGAAGTAATGTGTGCAGCGACGTGAGATGTGTCTCATATGGGGTGCTCGTCATCGATCCCCAAGGGATAAAGTGACGATAGCCGGGGCTCGGCCTGAAAGTGGATCATCAGCGTTGCTGTCATGGGCCGTGCGAGATCGCACTATTGGGACCCTAATCTCAGGGGGAAAAGAAATGCGAAATGCAGAAGGGAACGAAAATTAAAGAGTCTACAGGCCCTGAAGACAGTAGACACTACTCCGTAAAGGGGAAAGGCAGAGAAATTAGGGGAAATGGGGATCATCGCGTGTGCAGATGGAGTCTCAAGGTCCATATCCACATTCCCGCGGACCGAAATGACATCAACTGAAGGTTGGGAATGCGGACGTCATTCCGATCAGGGGAAATATCATTTGAAGAATTCGAGCAGACCTGTTTTTTGATGAGGTGCTGTAGGAAGTTCGGAGTAGAGAAGCATGGACGAGTGGTTCAGAATTAGGAACTGAGACGGAACCTCGGGAGGAGAATGGTGGGAAATGTAGTGGAGAAGGAGGTTTTGAAGTGCTTGATCGACAAAATCCCCGTCCACTAATATTTTTGCCCCCTGGATGTGTGGCCAGGTCAAGTTTCTTGCAGGGAAAGGAAAGAGATGAGGTTGTATTGGGGAGGTGTGAACAACTATGGTATAGATACTAGTAGATGGGGATGCATAACAATACGTACTCGGTCTCAGAACACAATTCAATTCTATAATTAATTCTCCTTATATAAACAATTCACCAACAACCACTAGTTAACTAGCAGGATAATGACGATCCCTCTCATTTACTTTACTAATTTACGTATGCCTGTTGTTCCCGTGTCCCTTTTTTTGCCCCCCGCGAACTTCTGAACTTCTGAACTTCTTAACTCTCTCATCCTTTTCCCCTCCCCTTCTTTTATTGCTTCCATACGTCTTTGTTAGCTCTGTTTCATCACAGACTGTCACAACCTCCTGTCCACGCACGCTGTGACTCGTGCGACACCTCTTCATCCTATCGACGCACGCCATCTCCCTCTCCACTCTTCCTCCGTTTCATCTCATCACTATGAATGCCCCTCCAGCGCTCGGGTATCCGCCCGGCGTGTCGCTGGCGCCAGGTGCGTAATTGCATGGGATTCTAAGTGGATTTCTCATTCACCCCCTGATGATCGATTGTGTCGCTGTTCCTTACCCCTGGGACTCGGGCGGTTGTGAGAGCGTGTTTGATCACACTTAAATCAATCGCGCCCGCCCTTTGGGTTGCTGCGGTGTTCCCTTTCACAAACAAACGACTGTAACTAACAGCCTGCTTTGTGTGCTGAAACAGGCAACCAAGTGTCTCCTACAGCCGCCAACTTCGGATCTAACAATCCATTCCGAAACCGCGCTTTGTCGCCCTCAAATACGTCAGCGACCAGCAGCAGTCGCCCGGAACGCCCCAGATCAACCAACCCTTTCCTAGACGACACAGAAGCCATGTCACCACAATCGGCTCCTGGTTTGTCTACAGGCGTCACTATGTTTTCCCCGACCGAGCAATCAGATGCGACCAACAACACTAGGGATCTTTTTGTATGTGCCGAATCCCGACCGGGGAGACCAACAAGACCACGGTCGCTAACTATGATTTAGGAGAACCTCTCAATCAAATCCAAACCCACAGCAACGGTGACAGCTGTTCCTGCTCCTAGCCCGGCTCCCGTACCTGCACCGGCTCCAGCGCAATCAAATGGTGCTCGATCCTCCCGTGATCGTGAGGGTGAATCCAGAACCCGATCCAGTCGTCCCGGTCCCCCTCGCCCCCGTCCATCAGGGCGACCTACAGAATCCCGGTCCAAGGATAAAGATCCATTGGACATTTTCGCCGATCCGCCCAGGCCCTCCAAGTCGGCCACCATGGATCCCCAGGGACGAACCCCTCGCAGACCCCGCCGTAACTCCGAGTCGTCTGTGATGGAGCGAGCATCTAAGCTGTTTGACGATGATGATGAGAAGCGCCGCCGAGAACGCCGCCACCGTGAACGTGAACGCCAGCGTGATGGCAAGCCCCGCTCATCTCGTAAGGACCGCAGATTAGACATTATCGACAAGTTGGATGTGACAAGCATCTATGGTACTGGAAGTATGTCTTATCCCCTAACTGAGCACTCCTGTTCTCCTTTCATCCTCCGTTCTTGCATACTGACTCAATAATCCAGTGTTCCATCACGATGGTCCATTCGACGCATGCAATCCCCACCGCAATCGCAAGGGTGCGCGCACCGCGCCCATGCAGGCTTTCCCCAAGAACTCGACCAATATGGCTCTGGGTGGCGCGGGGCCACTTAACTCCAACATTGACCTGAATCAATTCCACGGACGATCAGTCGAGGGCTACAACGACTTCAACACTGGAGTTGTACGCCAGCCAGAAACTGTCAGCTTCGACGCCAAGGCGGCTGTGGACTTGGTCCACACCTCAGAAAGTGCAGGACTTGGTACCAGTACATTTTTGGACGGAGCACCGGCGAGTCGTTCTGCTATTGCCCGTCGTGAGAGTGAGGCCGAGAAACAGCTCCAGGCTGACGGCGGACTCCAACGCAAGAAGAGTTTGGCCCAACGTCTTCGCGGAAAGAGCGGCACAGGACGAATCGCTTCACCGGGCCGCATGGGCTCTCCCCTAGAGGGAGGAGGTCTGGCATCACCACCACAACTAGGCTCAAGCCATTCTGCCTCTTCCCCAGGCAACGAGAGGAATCCTTACTTCCAGGACTGCGATAACGAGTGGGACAATAGTAAGGGATCACGAAATGCGGAGGCACGTTTGGAAAGTGGTGGGCGTCTTCGATCATCTAGCAGCCCTAAGCAAACAACTGGTTTGGAGCGCAAGGGCACCAATGACCGCACAGTTGACGATGGACAGAAACTTAACCCTGGTGGTGGTGGCTTTTTGAACCGAATGAAGAGTTTGCGCAAGCCACGACCAGAGCGTCGTACCAGCGACTAAGCACTCTGATAGTCCCAACGGATAATTGGAGCCGATGGTATTTTGATGAACTTCAGGGTCGCCGGGTAGTAATTGATGCTACTATTCACGTCCTCAACCATTGGTATTCTATTTTATCTTCTTTATCCTCATGAGCATAACCCATGGGGACTGATGATTTTCTATGTGTAATACCCGACATTGAGCGCCACCAGCATCTGGCGCTCGACATGGCGTTAATCTCACGGGAGCAGGTTGATTGATATTGCTTTTGGGTTTTCATTTTCGAATTGTGTTTTTCTCTCTTCTTTTTCCTCTCTCTTTTGATGTTTCATTTCCCCCACGGCAGCATGACACATTAGCCATGGTGCGTAGCGTTAAGATGAGGAGTCTCGCTTTCCTGTATTTTCTATCGAATAGTTGCTTCGCCTACGGGAAATTCCATTCTTTGCTAAATTTAAACTTGGGTCTGCATCTTTTATAAAATCATATCGTGTGAAGAGGAGTATAAGACATCAATTGGTGTTTCGCAGCATTTCGCGCTGAAGGTGGGTGAGTGAACTTGAAGGCGGAGTACTATATGGACCTAGGGTTCAAGTTTTACATTATGGATCGCTTCCATCATTCAGTGACCAAACCCAACGAATCTCGAATGTGTCAGTATGCTAAGCGCGTAAATTTTTGATCTCATGAAACCGAAGACGTGACTCGATGACTGGCACCATGACCTCAAGATGTCTTGAGGCTGTATCATCTAAGCGCCGCATGATACCTGCCCAACCTTAATTTGTGAGATATAATATTGATCCCCCTACATTTACATGTTCACTATATCAGTCTGATACCTGATCCCGATAAGAATAGTTCAAGATATTAGAGATCAACGACTTGCAAAACAGGGAAAGCACTCAGCCTCGAACTTGTCTGCGTTAAGAGCTATGGATATAATACTGGCACATCATGATGTACATTCCAAGGACCCTACCTACACATGTAAATTTCTAAGGTTTGTGTGGCACACGTATAAATAACCTACTTGCTAAAATGTTCCTTTGATGAGCTTTCTCAACTATAATATTACCCCCTACTTGATGAGGCTGATACCGCCTTGTGCAACTCATTCGTTTTAACGGTATGCCCTTGAACATTCTAGACACACTTTGTTTCGAAGATTTGTACTCTGCGCTTACTTTGGAAGATGCTACTAGCTAAAATGATGTGTATAGACAGCACTGGATGGTTGTGTGGATGAATTGAGTATGACTGTTTGCAATTTGCAGGTTGGAGAAAGGTGATAAGGAATTTACTTTTTGTACGGTTGTAATTGGTGTTTCACTAAGATTTAGAGCAAAGAGATGTTCTATTTGAATGATTCTGTTATCGCCGAATTCATCTCCATCCGACCTTCGATATCATCCATTGGTCGGGCTCTTGCTTGGTCTGTCGTTCCGCGAAAGGATCTCATGCGAAAGTGTAGGCTAGGGAACCTCCCTACCTCGCTAGTCTTATCTCTCATATCAGATATCTTGTAATCTGCTTCTGTAACAGTGTTCACTCTCTGGAGTTTATCAGTTTATCGCCGCTTTGAAAAAGGCCCAGGAAGTCCCGGGCCCGCGATCTAACGTATTGACTGAGTAGACACCACAAAATGCCTGCCGTAATCAACAGCGCCACAGCTGCCGTGATGACCATAGAAGCAATAACAGTACTACTTGGAACTCCATTCATGCTGAAAACACTGGCTGCAAGTCCGGTAGGCAAGAAGAACGCCGTGACGTAGGTAAATAGAGTGATATTCTCGGCCTCCGTTAAGGACTTTTTGGACCGAATGGTCTCTTGTGCATTTGTTACAAGGGTAATTAGGAACTCAATGCGGGCTGTCATTGCCTTGATGTCCCTTATATGGCCCTCAAAATCTGCAAGTTGCTTATCGATGGATTTGCGGTATTTTTCTTCGTCGCTGCGCGTCCACCGTGGACGTCCTCGTCCTCGTACACTTTCTCGACGGTCCCATTGCTCAATTAGTGCTTGTAGACCGATGATGTTATTTTTCAAGATGACCAATAGTTGGAAACACTTGAGAAGCTCATCAGGTCTGCGGTCTTCAAAGCTATCGCTGGAGAAGATCCCGGATTGTAGTTCAAGCTTCCCAAGGATAACATCTATGCTGTTCCATACATTGGCCAGAATACTGTTAAATAAGATCAGCTCTAGAACCTTACGCTGCTGCCAATGTTTTTCTTTCTGGTGGCTTTCATCCAAAATGGAGCTTTCTGTCTTGGAACAAGTGTGGACAACATGACATGTCCAGTATCGGTCAAAGAAATCGCCAACGATTCTAAAACCAATCACCTCATCAACTATATGTGCATCATGCTGAAGATATTTGCATCCCTGGGATCGGAGACGTCGAACTCTTGAGTCTGGTTGCGGTGCCATCTTGGTGTCTTTCAATTTGTGAAATCGGAAGTGAACCTCTGTGATCCAGCTGTTGAAAACAACGGCAGTGTCATCGTATAGATAGCTTGTATCGACCTTAGCATGTCGATCAAAGAATTGTGCAATGTCGCTTCTTTCACGCTCTGTTGAGGATACATAGCATATGGCCGCAACAGTATAATCGATTGATCGCAAATAGATTAATCGCTTTTTGGTTTTCTCGGCAGAGCGACCTTTTTGTAATTGATTCCAGAGCCCACGATACTCTTTGTGTATAACGGTCGTGATTTTCTTCTCATTTGACCATTTTTGGTGTTTTTGGCCCTTGCGAATGTCATCTACCCTGACGTAGCATTCGCCAACAACTGGTCTTCTTGCGATGAGGAGCCCAAAAAGCTTCTCATCTCGAATAGAAGGAGAAGATTCTGTCTTGATTCGCAGTATCTCCTTTTCATTGGTCGGCGGGACATAATCCAAGAATTCAGGGTACTTGTAAAGCCATTCTTCCGGGATTTCCACGATGTTACTCAAATCGATGAGTCTACCGTATGGATTTTGCCGCTTCAGCGTCCTGCTGGTTCCAAAGGCCAGGAACTTTGTTGGGAAATCCGGATCATCGCGTAATTGGCCATCAATTATTGCACCTTGAAAGGGTGATATATCTCTGGGCCTACTTGATGATCGCGGTTCCCGGGCCATTGTTGGAGATCTGGCTAGCGGACGGATGGGAACAGGACTTGGAGCTGGCGGTCTTTCTTCAGAGTCACCAATCGCATTCTCAACAGACATTATTCTCAAATTCATTCCCTTTTTTTCGCATCTTACTAAGATATAGGGAATCTCAAACCCAGAGTGGAAGTAGAAGTCTCTATATGCCTCATGCTCAAAAATGGCTGGCTCTTTTTCGTTATTCAGATTACCAGGAAAGAGACCAGTCTCAGATGATGAGTTCACAACAATCTGCTTTGAGTGGACAGCCATTTCTGAGGCGGGAAAATCAGAATCAAATTGGTGGTTGTGCTTGGCCATTTCAATTGCCAGTCCATAGCGGAGGGGGCTATTCCACTGGGCTTCATCGTTGCAGTCTTTGTCGTGCTCTGTTTGATTATGTACCAGTCTTGTCCAATACTTTTCGGATTTGTCGAAGAATCCCCATTCTAGTCCATAATAAAGAACGGTGTCCTTATCGTGGAGCAAGAAGCGAGTTTCCCGCGCACTGCGCGTCACGCTAAGCATGTGACTTCTCGCGACATCATTGTATAAAGTAAAACGACGAATATTTTCATTGCGCAGCCCATCCGAATTAAATTCCAGCTTTGTTGACGGCTTTGATGCCCCGGGTCCACGGCTGTAGAGGTTCTCTTTGATTTGTAAGAACTTCTCTAGCATCTCATTGGATGTAGTCTTCTGTACCTGCTCAACTCGAATGACAAGATCCTCGAGACTCTTCAATGCCTTCCAGATCCAGATCTGATCACTGAGGCGGTATTTGGGAATGTCTGATCCGCGCGAGTGTTGCCAGGTTGGCGTGATGTGATTCTTGGTTTCAATCAACTGATCGAACCACTTCAGAGCAAAACCATACAACCATCGACAAACGAAAGCGAGATCGGAGGTATCTGGAAACACTTTCAGATATTCTGTCGCTTTTATTATGTGGCTCGGCATACTGATTGGACTGTCATGTGGTAGATCAATTAGGCCACCTTCATCTGAAAGATCGGCATCTCTACCATCAATCCAAATATTGGAAGAGGAGGCTGCTCTGGTGTCCAAACGTGATACCCACTGGAGATGACCAGTACATATTTCATATATGCGCTGGCGTACGTCTTTTTTGACACTCCACTGGGCATGCATTTCCAACATGAACATGAAAGAATAGCTATGTTGAGTTAACAAATGAAGAATTCCAAGCCTCGTAAGATATTGGGTCACTCACTAGCTTCCAAGCATGCTGACTCTGTGGTCTCCAAAATCTCCACAAGTCAGCGCTATTGGCCTTATGGACCGTACAGTGGGCTCTGTTCGTGAAAGGATATCACGCTCGCCGCCTGGGCTCGTCAAAGCAATTGTTGGACCGTAATTCTTCAACCTATCGCTTGATATTGAACCCGTTTCATCCAAGGAATCCAAATCAATAGGAATACTGCACACGGACATTATATGCTCAAGATTGCGATAAAGGTACCAGCTCATATCTTTCAACTTCATCATTGTGGAATTCACAAGCGAAGATAGATGTGGGTCAAAGATGACCTCCTCACTTGGAATCATAAATCGTCTCCAATGTGCCTCCAACGTTGTCGTATGCGTTTTAAAGGCCGTGGTAAATTCAACGGACTCATCGCGACCCAACGGGTGCGTGATAGGAATGGGCTGAACTCTTGATTTTGTTTCTCGCTCATCCTCGGTGTAGTTCAACTGGAGCTCCTGCGCAGCACCATCTTTGAAAAGACCTATCAATACACTGACCAATTCTCGCGCATCGCAAAGCTTTTCGTTGTCATCATCATTCTTATCCCTCAAGCCTGGCACTTGCATAACAATAATCCCATGGTCGTTTACTCCTTTTTCATATCGAGTTGATTCATTCTTCTTCTCCCTGAGGTAGTCCAGGTCTTGCATGCTGAAATTCGGGTCCAAATTGATTCTCAATTCTGGCTTCTCTCCGGTAACGAGTTTGGGATTCATTACATGCATATGTTGAACCACCGTGTCATGCTGACACCATAGCCTCACAGTGACAGCGAATCCCTCCTTGGTGCTATACTTGATGACTGGCCAACGACCATCCACAAATTCGACCGTTGGTCGGTCTGAAGATAAATCATTCTGAACTAGCAGACCAAATCCACAACTTGCATCATGGGCATTTTCCAATATTAAATTTGCCCGGCCAGAGACGTACCACGGCTCTGTGCTTGCGAACTCCAATCCAATTATTCCGGAGTTTGGAAATCCATTTGAACCTTTTAATTTGCTTATGGGCCGGCAGGTACGAAGCAACGAGCCATATGCGCCTGCGGTTGCTGTTGTGCCTTGTTCGCCAAATGATATGTACGGCGCGCGGCGTTGATTACTTGCCTCCTGCAGTGGATCTACCGGTCTGAGAGACGAGGAAGCAGGTGATGGTGTTGTCTGGGAATTTTTGTAGGTGTCAGGAAATTTGGACACGCGCCGAGGCCCTGTGAATTGCAGTTAAGTTCAGTATGAGCTAGCTTGGGCTATAACGGTGGAACTCACTCTCCACCAAAGTGCGGAACTCTATATTATCCCTTTCTGGGACATCTTTGAAATGAAATGCCATGTTGTTTAGTCTCAAAGATGCGTAGTGACACAGGGCCGGGGGAATTCCCTCGAACCTGAAGCTTGCTGCGGGGCGATGAGAAGGATTCAGCCGGTTCCGTGATCAATTTGGGGGGCGGAGGCAGCTAATTCTCTAAAAGTACTTGACAGTTAAAAGGATGTTTGCTTTTTTTCGAATTATCGGGTTTCTTCAAGCTGAGGGGAGGGGCTGCTCAGCCACCTCTTTTAGCCCTTCGCTCTACGAGTTTAGCGCTTCGTTCTGCATGGCTGTGTGCCGAGCGCAAATAAGAAAAAATAAGCATCCATTAAGCAAATTTTCGGCATAAGATTGACGTGTCAGGATTGATATACATGTACGACGTACGATATTCCTGATAAATATATGTCAGCTGATAAATGACCCCCACCTCTACTCCACATCTTACTACACCAACTACAGTATTCATATAGAAGGCAGGCAGCTTTATCTTAGAAAATGAAAGGTTAAAGAGCCATTGTGATCATTTTGGGCGTGAATTTCATAGATCCTCATATTCTAATTGTAAACGCCAGTACACCGTATGCAACAATTGATAACAAGATGGTATTGAACTTGAAAAGAAACCGCAGACAACCTTCACCATGCATACAACTCTCATCATGAGATGATCCCTTTATCGTGCTGTAGACGCAGCCCGTGGTAGATGCGGGTTTGATACGGCAATGCCTGCACGGCGCTTGGACTGGGCCTTGGGACGAGCAAGTGTGTACCTGAAAACATACGTGGTTAGTATTTGTGATAACAAGAGAAAAAAATTGGATCAATATAACATACTTGGCAAACGCGCGTGCCAGTGACTTCTTGGCGCTGACCTTCTGGCTGCTGACAAATGAGTCGACGGTGACCGCAATGGCACGGTCAATGTCTTGTGCGGAACAGTACTCTGACAAGCGCATCTTGCAGAAAGATTCGGCGATACGCATGATAGCCTCGAGGTGACGAACCTGGAAGAGTCAGTAACTTATTTCAAAAACGTTGGAAGGTATCAATGGGACATACAGTAATGGGGTAAGCACCAGTAGCCAAGGATTCACGACGCATATCTGCGAAGAGACGGGCGATCTTATCTTGGTCGATCTGGTACAGCTTCGGGTGACACCTCTCACGAGCATAGAGGATGTATTTGCGCATCAGCTCTTGTGGGATCTCGCCCTCTTTCTCCTCTTCGGACTTCTTTTGCTCAGCGGCACGCTGATCAACCTCTTCTTGTGTAGGAGGCAGACGCTGACCATCGTCGTCGATACGGTAGCCCTCCTCGTCAATGAGGTGGCCATCAGCATCGACCAATTCATTCTGGTCGTTGCGCAGGGGTCGAGCGGGATTAGCTCGGTGGTGAGACTCAATCACAAAGTTAGCCAGGCGCTCATCCTCGGTAGGCTCGACCAAGTCGCGCACAACACAAAGAATGTCGAAACGAGACAAAATGGGCTCGGTCAGCTCTACGTTCTCAGAGAAAGGCTTGGTAGCGTTGTATCGGCCACCCTGGGGATTGGCGGCAGCAACCACGGCACAGCGAGCTTGCAGTGTGGTCACGATACCAGCCTTGGAGATGGAAATGGTCTGTTGTTCCATGGCTTCGTGAATGGATGTTCGATCCTGATCGTTCATCTTGTCAAACTCATCAATCAAACAGGTACCACGATCAGCCAGCACAAGAGCACCACCTTCCAGCGTCCATTCGCTAGTGAGGGGGTCGCGGCGAACACTGGCTGTCAAACCGACAGCACTGGCACCTTGACCGGTAGCGAAAACGGCTCGGTGAGCAGTCTTCTCAACATACTTCAGAATCTGAGATTTGGCAGTACCAGGATCACCAAGAAGCAGGACGTTAATATCACCACGGATATTCATCTTGCCCTGTGCTTGTTTACTAACACCTCCGAAAAGGGAGAGTGCGACAGCTGTCTTGACATCCTGGTGGCCGTAGATACTTGGGGCAATGGATCGGACAATTCGGTCCACGATATCAGGCTCGCGGGACAGAGCACGAATCTGGCGCTCATCCTCCTCGGTCAGATGGAAACCAGCCATCTGGTCGTGAGCCTTAACCACATGGTTGGCCTCAATAATGGTAGCGAAAACAGGGAAACCGTTCTTGTTGTTCAACTGAGCATCGTAGCTGTTGCGGTAGATACCAGTGATTTCAATCTCATCACCAGGCTTGGCGGTGTCAATCAAATCAGCCAGAAGAACAACTTCACGCTGACGAGGCAGACGGCCGGCGGGAACAGTACCAGGAGATTCCTGCAGAGTCAACTTCTGGAAGTTGCGGTAAACAGTCTTCTCTGAGTTGACTGTGAATGGACCACGAGACTGGCAGTTCTGACAGAATGAAATTTTCACTTCGGAGCTAGCCTCCTGCTGAAAAGGACCCAGAGTAATACCACACTTCTGGCAAAGGAACATAACATACTTCAACTGGGGGAAGACACCCGTTCGGCGAGTGACGACACCCCCAACACGAACTAAACAGTTGAGATGAGATTGACGAAGTTGGCGGAGAGTGTAGATAATGGGCACATCGGTAATGCGCACGTGAATCTCGTTGTGAATATCGTGGTATTGAGGGTAGTGGAAGAGGGTAACATCGAGAGCAACTTGGTCGAAGACCTTCAAGATCTCAGTCGGCTCGTTGGCAAGGAAATATGACAGTGCAGCCTTGGTCTCACTGAGATGGGCGTAGGACACTTCCAAGGAAGCTGAGTTGATCTCACCAAGAGTCTTAATTCGGTTACCGTACACGGATTGACCGCTGGGGTCAATGAACTCTGTCAAGAAAGCCTTGAATTCGCGGTAAATGGAGCGGAGAACTTGGGGTTGAGTAACCCATTCAGTGATGTTGGCGGCCTTGACATCTGCCAACTCTTCAAGTGACAACTCTTCCATTCCTTCGTCAGCCATGTCGATATCCTCGCGGTCTTCGTCATAGTGGTGGCGGCGACGTCGGGGCTGTCGCGAAAGATCCATCTCAAAATCTTCATCATCATTCATGAACGCAGCAGGCATACGACGTTGACGTGCCATATCACGGTCTCTCTTATTCAAGCGATCGTCCAATTGTCGGCGAGCGGCAGCATCGAGCTCATCGTGATCGCCATCGTCATCAATGTATGCTTCATTCAGGTAGCGGTCATCTCCGGGGCGGTAATCCCGCTCATAATTGTCACCGAAAAGATCAATTCCATCCTCATCTTCCGCCAGCTCATCGACATCGTCGATGTCAGGAATTAATTCGGCCTCTTCATCGTCTTCTTCATCCTCATCGAATGGCATTGGGGGAGGAGAGGAGCCGAGGGCGAGAGCTGTTCAGACTGTTAGTTCTTTGGACCCAGCCTCGCGGATTTTTGCGGTTTGTTTGCGCGGGCGTCTCTTTTTTCACGTACGACTTGATGGGGGCAGAGGCGCAGGAGATGAGATGTCATCGGGCTCTCTCGAGCGCTTGCGAGTGTTTGACCGTGGCCCGCGATTTGCGGCCTGGTCACTAGGTCGAAGAGGACTGAATTCAATTAGCTTCATGAATACTGGGCAAATTTTGCAAAATCAAACATCGGGCACACTCACTCCATATTATGTGTAGCTCAGTGAGCAAGTCTTAATCAGACTAAAAAGGTGAAATTTGCAATTAAAAGGAGAATAAAGAATTGGAATGAGGGATAAGTTTTTTTTTTCGCTCGGAAGCCCCAGCAGCGTGGTTGATAGAAAGGGAGGAAAGGGCGGGGAGTGCAGATTGGGATGCGGTAAGGAGAAGAACTACGATCTTGACTGCGACGCGTCCCCAAGTGACTTTGGGACGGGATTGACGCGACGCGTTCCAATTTTACCCGATTGGGTAGTCACATGACATAGGCCGTATATGCTCCAGTTGACAGAGGAAAGTATACAGCAGATTGAAGTACATGACATATATCCGTACTTCTCTTTTTTTCAAACTTAGTTCTTTCTAAGCTGCATGAATACATCAGAAGAAGAACCACGAAATTCCTCCCTCTGACTGGTTAACCAATTTCTACAAGAGGAGTGCACTATGGGTGATTGCTATTCCATGTGGTCGAAAGAAGCAATCGAGTTGCTGAATAACACCCCATAAACAATCAAGTTGCTCTGCAGATCTCGGTACCCAAGAGGTGAATTGCACGTTTATCTCATTCAACGTGGATCGTTTTTTCAAGGCTTCCTGCGCCAGATTCTTGACCCATGTGCAACCTCTAGCTCCCATGTCTGACCATTCCTTCGCAGAATGAATCTCGACAATCAGAATAAACGATTTAATATTTGCAGGTAAAAGCTGTGATAGGCTCTCTGGCGACTCATCAAGATGATCATTTAACAAAACTTGCGGGAATGCCAGTTCTTCTAGAAGTGAGAACTCAGAGAAATTGACAGGCCTCCCCTTGGCTGCTCCTTCTAGGTGAGGCAGCCTCAGATGGGTTAAGCTATCCTTGTGTCTGAGAAGTAAGTTCCGAAGCATAGGCAGGTCAAAGTCTCTGCCAACTCTGCCAACTTGATTGGCAGTCTCTAGCTCGGTTGAGAAGACTTGATACTAAGATCAGAGAGAGCACCTGGCCAGCTGAGAAGAACGACTAGCGTTGTAGCTTGGGCTTGAACTAAATTCAAATGAAGCTTCGTAATATTCGTCGGTTTTGGATTCTAAATTCTTGTCACTAAGTGCTCGAGACATGAGGGGGCAAAGTGCAATACTAACTTGCGGCGCTTCAAGTGTCAAGTCCGATGTATACTTTCCGTCCACGGTGAGTTCCCTAAGCGTGGAAATTTGTATTTGTTGTAGTACATCGGGAATCGATGGTGCAGCCCAGTTTCTTCCTTTCAAAAATAGGCTTTCTAACCGCGGCATATGCTGAGCACAGCGGCGAATAAATCTCCAACTTTCACCTTTTGAGTTTCTATCAAGGCTTCAAGACGCAAGACTTTCACATTCTTAAACCAAGGCAGAAAGTACTCAAACCTCCTGAAGTCGGCTTCGCAACGAGCCGGGCAAGCATCAAACACAACAAGGCCCAGATCATGACAAAATGTAGCCAAGGATGGGTCAAAATCGAAAGTACGGAGCAAATTTCCGCTGAAACATGCAGGTCGGAGAATTTTCTGGGGAAACCTCAAACGAAGGTTGCGATAGATAAGTGGAATGGCAATGCGGTACAAGTGGTGGCATGTTCGAGCCAAAGCCCAGATTGTGGACTCAGTAAAAGATACGTTTTGGCCGCAAATAAATGTGTGGCTCATGGCAGAGTTGAGAGTACATGCCAAAATTTCTTCTGGTAACATGAGCATCGTGATGGGCTCGATCCGCTCCATCGATGAAATTTTTAGGACACACTGCGAAAGACAAAATGATTTCCAGAGACATAACAGACCCCTTGGCCCGTAAGAGGTATTTGACAAGGTTCACGGTGTATATAGTGTGGATGAGGTGGAAGAGCTGTAGAGTAATATGTAGTGACGCTGTGGTAAATGTAGGGACGCTCCTCCACAAAAAGTAAGTATCGTTAAAGAAAGGATGCAGCTAGACAAATCCCTACTAAATAGATGAATGTGTCCCTGTGCTACATACTCCGTACACCGGCTCCATCAGAAAGTAGAATTTGGAGCAGGAATAAGAAACAAGGAGGTTGAAACGTGCCGATCACGAAAATCTTGTCTCTTAGGGGGTACAGTTTAGATTTGAACTGGATGTGCGATTGGTTGCTCTACCCTAACGTTACAGCTGGGCCTGTATAGTAACTGCGCTGTACACCATTCATTGGGCGCACTGGTTCTCAAATAATACCGATGACAGGTACAATTTGTGAACCTCCTTATTACCCCTGGAATTTCTATAGCAAAACTATCAGGTATTCAAACGGAATAAAATGAACAGCCACACTCGGATTGGGATTACTGGCGTTCCTCGTATTTTGCAGATCACCGATGTAGCCGATCCTTGCGCCGCGTTATTTACAAGGCTCTGATCTCCCAGGGGTACTCCGTATAGCTATCAGGGTGATACTTTCGTACTTTGGTGGTTTACAGGTCTGATTAATTCCTGAAATCAGAGCTTTTTGGCCGCCGTCCTACAAATTCCCTGCACTGTGATACTGGCTTTTGGGGGTTGAGGCCATATCTATGCTGTGCCTGTTTATTTCAGTTGGCCGTCAGATCAAGATCTGATAGTTATCATATTATGAGTGTGGGGATCGAGTCTGTGCACAAGGCGAGAGAGTGGATTGGGGGTGTATTACGGAGGCGCGGTATCACTGTCTTTCTTACGCGGCCGTCGAAATACCCGCAGGTATATTATTGTCTCTTCCTATAACATAAAATATTGAATAATATTGCTAAATTCTTGGCCACGAGGTGAGAAAACAGAAGCGATGAACCTTTTGTGGGGAAGCAGGTAATGATCCTTTAACCTAGATCAGGGGCTGATTAGCCGATGAACATAATGAAGCTATTTTTTAATACCTGCAGCCTGAGAGCAAACTTATAATCTTCCCCTTAAGATGCTGAAGTTTGAAAAGTAAGACGCAGAAAAAGAAAAGAATCCTCCAACATCTCGCCATTAAACCAGCATTTTCATCGCGTAGATGTATAGCACTGACGCGGCTAGAGACGGTTGATCCCGCATTACCCGCACCACATCGTTCCACCTGCCGAACAGTAAACATCATCTACGGAACTCGCCAATTCTTCAATCTCTCAGAGCCACAATGACCCCTCGGCCACTCCTCAAAAATGCGTGCTCCCTATCAACGAAAACCATATCTAATCCACGAACCCTCCTCCTAACCTTCGATGCCTTTGATACCCTCTTCCACCCCCGCCAGCCAGTCCAAGAACAGTACGCAGCAGCAGCCCACGAATTCGGCTTCTCGCGCACAGCCATCACCCCCGATAAGATCAAAGCAGCTTTCAAAGATGTATTTCGCTCACAAATGGCCCGATACCCGAATTACGGTCGCGCCGATGTCCTCCGCGGCCAGTATGGTGGACCAAAACAATGGTGGGAGGAGGTGATCCGGGGTTGCTTCACGCAGATACTCTCACAGGGAAATGAGAACGCTTCAGCGAAGAAAATTGATATTACCTCAGAGATGCTGGGTGCGCTACTTGATCGGTTTGCTGGTGCGGAGGGGTATGCACTTTATCCGGACGTCGTCCCGTTCTTTAAGCGCATGCGTGAGCTGAAGAGCTCCCACTCTAGTGGCTTTGATCGCGTGGTCGTTGGGGTCATTTCAAACTCAGACGATCGGATACCGGCTGTTCTTAAGGCTCTTGGGCTAAAGGTTGGCGACCTCCGCGCTGATCAGGATGTATCGAGTATGGCGTTGCCTGGGTTTGAGCAGCGCGATACAACCTCCGAACTGGGGAAGCCCGGAAAGGTCAATGATAAGGAGCCCAGTCGAATTGAGAAATCGCTATTGGATAATGATTTGAATATGATTATAACGAGCTACGAGGCCGGCGAGGAAAAACCGAATCGGTTGATCTTTGATGTTGCGGAACAACAAGCTAGATTGTTGGTGCAGCAACCCACTGGCGCTGAATCTGGGGAGAGTTGGACCCGCGTACATGTGGGTGATGATTATGCAAAGGATTATATTGCTGCTCGTGAGGCAGGTTGGCAAAGCTATCTGGTTCGTGGAAATGCGCAGGATCAGCCTGCACAAAAATTGGCTTCGTTGATGGATCTGATCCATGAGCTACGGATGGGATCATGAAGATTATGAGATGGGACGTATCTGCTGACGCCCCATTACTGTATTTATATAATGAAACAGCCATATTTGTTGCTGAGAGTGGTCGTAAAATCGAAATAGACAGGGGCTCTCTCCCTGATAACCCGCTGTAGGTAAGTTTATATCCTACGGATTTTCCAAGGTTATCATACGTCCATACGAGCCTGTCCATTCGGCTCAGCTACATTGACTTAGAATAGGTATCATGACGTGTATAAAATGATCTTGTACTACATAGTGTAGTGAGTAAAGACACCCACACCAAACATCTTGTCATAGGAGATGTCCTGTCTGCGAACCAGGATTGTCCTCTAGGGAATAGTAGGAATACTAAGATAGAGACCGGTAGGGAAGTCCGAAGGAGAGGTCTGAATTGCTAGAATATATGATCACATCTTGAATACAGAACCCCGACTCACACCGCTCTGGATGTACCATATTCCCCACTACAATAGTAACCTATTACGAACTTCCGATCTTCTTTCCGAGCAGCAGCTCCCCATCAACAGGGCTCAAGGATACCCCAGAGCTCCCATCCCACTCTTGAACCTGTACCCAAAGCTTATCTGCCCCATCAACCTTGATTCCCCTCGTCTCAGGCCAATAATCCCACGCTCCAACCGCGCTCTCATTCTTCAATTCCCCAGGGTTCTTACCCACAGCAACAGCAACCTCTCCGCATAATGGCAAGGCTCGCACATCAAGATTAACCTGCCAGAGCGCTTTGTGCTGCACAAATCCGAACATCCGAGGCAAATATCGCTCCGCGTAGATATTATCCGCCTCGGTGTTCATTTCCTGCGATGGATAGCCCGTAATCATGAAGAGTTTCGCTGGATCCTGTGTATCCTGGAAGAAGGCATGCATGGGTGGTAGAGCTGGATCTTTGTATGGGTTTGTATAGGAGCCACAGAAGTTCAGGAGTTCGGTGATCAGCTCTTGAAATTCGGGGGTGGAAATTGAGCGGGTGTCTTTGAGGGTGCAGAGCCATATCTTGGTCATTGGAGGCATTTTGGGTGGATGGAGCTGTACTTTGATTCTATCTTCGTTAATAAATATTGATAGTGAGATGAGAAGGTTGAGATGATTGAGAATTGGAAACACTTCACAGCCCTGGTGGGCTAAGGCCTTTACTTAGTATAGCATGACCAAGGCTCGCGAAATTTGGCCCCCAACATAATCCCTGTAGGTACTAGGAGTGGAAGTGGGTATTTAACAAAGGTTGGATAGATAAGCTAAACACATATGTTTTCTATTGTGGTAGAGAATGGACAGTAACAAGTCTGTAGTCCTAAATACCCTTTCAAACTGCTAAGACCGATGATTCGCCATACAAAAAGCTCCGAAATCAAACACCATGACCATCCCAAGGTCATCAAAGAGAAGAGGACAACCCCAAAGTAATGACAATGTACAAGTATGCATAAACAGTCCGTAAAGAAATCATTAAAATGTCCGAGCAATGATGACTCAGTCCCACTGGCCCTTTCCAGCCAATGCACCCAATCCACCACCAGCATGCTTGTTCAGCAATTTTGCGACATTTGAGCCACCTGTGCGTTGTTTCGTGCGAAGTTGTCTCTCTCGCTCCTTCTCACGCGCAGCAGTATAAGAGTTGACAGCGCCTCCCTTCTTGGGACCTGACGCTGCGGCCTTGGAGACCCGGTTGGTAGTTGTTGATGTGCTGGACGAAGAAGAGGAGCCAGTGGTGACCCGGCGTAGGAGCGGAGGAGGTCGGAAACCAATAGGGCCATCGTTTTTGTTTCCGGTTTGGAAGGCAAGTTTGGTGTTGCCGGACCCAGTGCTTGGTCCGGTGGCGGAATTCGAGGAGGCTTTGCGGAGCAGAGCGAGGCGGTCTACGACAGGACCACGAGTGCGACGAGGGTGGCTTGGTTTAGCGAAGTCTTCCTTGGGTTGCGTGTTTGCATCATCAGAGTGGGCTGCCTCATCAGCTCCGGAAGTATCTGCATCTTCTTCTTCTTCAATGGCAAGCTCATCTTCATCGAGGGAGGCATCTTCGTGGAAGGAGTCGTATTCCGGTGTCTCGGTTAAGAAGGATAGCGTCTCACGAATCTCAGCCAATGTAGCAGGTTTCTTGGACATAGCGCTAGCAGGAGTACGACGAAGGTTAGGGGGTGGTCGGTTCGTGGCATCTTCTCCAGATGGCTCGAGGGGGCGTTTGCGCTTCTTGCTGTCATCGTCGCCTGTTTCTTGTTCTTCCGTGCCAACATCCTGAGAAGGCTCGTTTTGGGATGCACCTTCATTTTCCTCCAAGAACTCCAGTTCGAAGTCATCTTCAAATTCCCGGTCTTCGATGGCCTTAAAGAATGCAGCCTTCTTGGGATTATCTGCAAGCTCACCCACCTTGTCGTCGGCTAGAAGGGCTTTGCGCATTTTGGCAAACTCTCGCTGCTTCTGCCGGCGACGTGACAGGCGCTCATCGTCCGAGTCGTCTAGGTCAAATTCATCGTCAGGACCGCGGCGACGGCGCAAAGCTCCAGTAGTGATATCCTTGAGCAATTTGGCAACATCCTTCTCGTCTTTGTTGCGATCGTGAACACTGGGCCATGGTTAGCTATTTCTCAAATTAGGTATGCTTTGGATTTTGAACTTACGCATTGAGCGCAGCCAGCTGTTTTTCATCGACTGTCTCCCCACTGTTGTCATTGATCATTTGCTTGTCATATGCGTTTTCCTCGTCATCCTCGTCATCACTGTTACCACCGAGACCTGCATATTCATCCTCAGATTCCTCAGCTGCCTCGTCAACAACATTCTTTGCCTTGCTGTTCTTTTTGTCGTAGGGAGTCTCCGCTTTCTTAGATGCCTTCTTCATGACATTGAATGCGTTGGGATTGATTTCAAAGTCACCCTCGTTTGTATCCTCTGTCTCTTCAATAACAGACAGATCAGCTGCACGTCCTCGGCGCAACTGTTTGTTCTTTCGCTGCGCAACAGGTGATTGACTTTGGCCCACAACCACCGTGTCGACAGTTGAAACTGGAGGGGTTCCTCTGAACCGTTTGGACGGATCAAAGGGAGAAAAGACAAATCCTTCGTCCTGTGTTGGGTCCGGGAGTTGGGAGTACTGAGAAAATGCAGGACCTGCTGGGGATTCCGAGACTCGAACCACATTTTGCCGATAATTGGGCATGAAATCAGGCTCGTCTGGTTGCTCCTGGCTATCGCGAACTAAGATCTCAGAATCTTCTTGATGAAGTCTGGGTACTGGTCGGCCGGGATCTGGAAGAGAAAAGGGGATAGTAGCTGATGCTGGCTGGCTCATTCCGTCTTGATCGTCTGCCAAAGTGCCGGCGAATGCCTGAGTGAGACCCATAGAGAGGCTGGGAGATCCCATTCCAGGGAAATGAGGTCGTTCTGCAGACTGTGCTGCGTTTGACGGCGGTCTGATGGGGGTCGAGGGCACCTGTTGCTGTGCCTCTTCTTCATCCTCGTCATCACTGACAACGCGAGTAGGTCGCTTGCGTCGAGTGCCAGGGGCTTCCTCTTCGGCATCGGATGGTAAAGCTTCACTCTCATCATCAGACGATTCGTCTGCCTCTTGTTCAAGAAACCCGTTGTTTCCGATAAGGCTTCGAGCGTTTTCCTCCTCAGCGCCAGACCTCTCCTCCTCATCCTCGGACCCCGACAATTCGTAATCACCATCATCCTCCGAGTCATCAGGATCTTGTCCATTCTTCCTGGCGGCTCTCTCTTGTCGTTTGATCTCATCAGCTTCTTGGCGCGCCATTGCCACAAGGTCTTCCGTTTCATCTTCCATGGCAGCACGCTCCTCGGCTGTTTCAATATGAACACCTTGAGCTCTCAGCTCCTCAATCCGCTCACGCCTCTCCTTGGCGGCTTGCTGGCGGGCTTTATACAGAAGAGAAGCGGAAAGCTCCGCAGTAGACATGGAGCTTGATTTGCGAGTCGGAGAAGTCAGATGGGCGAGAGCCTTTAGTCTGATCATAGAAGCAGATTCTTGCATCTTTCTGGCGGGCAAATTTTCGAAAGCTGCGACTCTACGAGCCTTGCCAGGAGATGTAACGACATCAAGGTCATCGTCGCTATCGGATATATCTTGTTGGTGTCGAGCAATCTCTTGTCGCGACAAATGAACTCGGACCGGAGGGCGTGTGAATTGAAATGGTTCCTTCTTAGCAGGGCGGGTAGGTATATTCATGGTTTTTTCAAGTATCTTCATCTCAGCCTCTGTGGGAAAGGTGGCTTCTGCAGTGACAGATTCCGTAGGAGCAGTCGTCTCTTCATTTTCACGAGACTCGGGTTGTTCTAGGTTGGAAGCAACAGTGGCCAACTTTTCAGAATCAGTAGGGCCAAGGACAGGAGACGTATGAGGAGTATCGCGCGGGTTCTTGACGCCCTCTTCATCAGATGACTGTCGTGAGCCTGCTGTAGATGAAGACTTAGTTTCCGTGGGTTCAGTAGTAGTTGTCTGAGGCTTTCCAAAATTGAATCGTGCGAAAAAGCTCTCTTTAGTAATCTTCTTCTTTGTCTGAGCCTGGTGAGCAAGTTGCATGTTTCGACTCATTCGCTGGGTTTCCTGTCGCATTTCCTCCATCGCCTTCTTACCGGCCTTTCGCGGTTGTCGAGCTTTCTGGGCGAGCTTTTGTGCTGAGCCTGGGTCATCTTCACTCTCATTTCCGGAAACAACATCGGAGCTAAATTTCTCCATTTGAGCTCTTCGAGCCGCCTTCTTCTCTGCTTCCGCTTTTTCTCGTTCCTCACGCTCTTGGCGTTTTTTAGCTACAAGTGCAAGGAATCGGGTGTTGCCTTTAATCGATGGGTCAGGGCCTTCTTCGGGCGCTTCATCTTCATCGTCCTCTTCGACGAATAGCGGTGAATTGGACCGAGCGCGAGGTGCTGGTCGTTTGGATTGGTCGTTCGCAGGTTCTGGTGATTGTGATTGAGTCGCATTGTTCTTCCTTCTTGGTGCAGTCATGGGCATATCGTCATCGCTGGAATAAGTGTTGGTCTCGGACTCAGCTTCAGCGACTGGCGTCTCGTGAACCTTCTTCGCTTGGTCTCGTTCGTTTTTTAAAGATTTGGACAATCGAGCAAAAGCGGAGTCTTCTTTTTCTTCGGACTGATTATTGCCGCCCTGCATCCGAGATGCCATACGGCCCTTTGGTCTAACGATTTCCTGCTCTTCTTCTGATTCGTCGGATTCGTCACTTAATGGATTTTCCTCTCCAAGCTGAGCAGCAGTCGTGTTTTTGGATGCGAAGTCCAGCTTCGGAATTGTGTTTTTGGGATGTGTGGTTTCGTTGTCTGACTCTGAATCACTGTCGAATTTGGCCATCATGGCCTTAATCTTTCGCCCAGGCGTGAGCATATTGGGTTCATCACCTGGTGACGAGGAACGCGTCGAGCGTGGCGTAGATGTAGATGACATATTTCGCTTGTGTGGTAATATTTGGCAAAGGGTATCGTGAAAGTGGGTATTAGGAGTAGAAATGGTTCATCATGGGAATCAATTGAATTAGAGAAAAGTTGAAAGGGTCAAATGTGCGGGTCCTTCAACAAGGGCGATGTGCATAGTCCGGACGCGATGCGCGTGCCTCGCGTTGCTAGGACCCCCACGTGATTCCTTATAACTATTATCGCTTTCTAGACCCGCTTTCTAAGGCTTTAAGGTGTCAAAAATGTCAATAAAGCAGTAAGCTTCTCTCTTGGATTGTTTCTTCAACTGTCTCCTCTCAAGCACATCAAGCTTTGTGCAGATCATACCACCGATTTACTTAATGGGAATTAGCTGTATGCTAGGAGTTCCGAGTCATGATTTGTTCATGAACAGTACCAAAATCTGACAACAAAACACCGATGCCTGTTTGAGGAACCACTGATACTTTACAAAGCTAGCATCCCTTAAGATATTACGGGCAAATTGATACTAATCAAGGCTATAGACAAGATCAATTCAAAAAGCTTAGCTCACCAGACTTCAACGAGCTATAACCGATTATTTTCGTGGCTATGAAGTGACCATGTGTATTGCGTAGGCGAAGGTGGGGCTGGGGCTGGGGCCAAATCACATCAATGAACTCCAAGGCTCTCTGGGATATAGCCTTAACCAGTACAACCCCTGCATCCATAACCTTATCGCTGACATCATCTGCCTCCTGGAGCAGTAACTTCCCGTCAGGTTGTCTGTTCTACAATATTATCACGCGGTGACGCATATTTGATCAAAAACTATAAAGAACAAAAACTGCCACTTCTATCATCCCCGCAGCATCCCATACCACGAAGGTCACGATATGGGCGGCATTCCTTGGACTTCAAAAGCATGCAGAAACTGTAAAAATAGCAAAGTCAAGGTGGGTACCACTGTACATTAGCAAGATCATCCCACTAATTGTCTTATCAGTGTGACTTACAAGAACCTCAATGTGGACGATGCATCAGACGACGTGTCCATTGCCCGGGATATGAGGCGAGATCCATTTTCGTCGAGAATTCCCAATCAGGAGTCTCAAAACAGATTCAAACAAATATCGCCTCTAATCGAGCTGTGAATCGAATGCAACCGGCGAAGATGTTTCTGGCCATTGACTCCGGCCCTACGGAATGTGTACAAATATCTTCAACTTATATCAACATTTGCTTTCCCATGGATATCCCACAGGCATCTGGGATTGATTTATACTTTGATAAAGACGCTTGGTATCAGATTTTCACTCATATTCAGCAACTCTCGAACAAATCTCAAATGCTCGAAAGGGCGGTTACTGCTATATCATTGGTTTGCCTCGGGAAGGTCGAACATGATGACACTTTGGTAGAGCAAGGAATATGGTGGTACAATTCATCTATTCGGCGCTTGTTGCATATTATTACACGCAATGAGTGGAGCGAGGAGGTCGTTTTTGCTACTATCATGTTCCAAATGCTGGAGGTAAGTACCATTGAATACATCCATGTATTTCTTTTCCTTCTGGTTATTAATACGTCCTTCAGCTTTGGTATGCGCCCTATGGCGTAGGAGCTTTCAGTGCACATATAAATGGAACAAATGCTTGTCTCGGAAAGCTTACAGAGGCTCAAACATCAACGCCTGTCATGAAGATACTAACTCGTGACCAACGAAGGCTCTCAATTGTTTGTCATTTGAACCCATCTTCTACGTATCAAATTTCAATACTGACTCATTTGACTTTTGCACAGATTGCTTCGGTGGTAGAAAGTAGCATCACCCGTTTATCTTTAGGTGGCGAACCTTCAGAGGAAGACACATTACTTGACGAATTGTTCCGTTTTCTCGAACCCGTTTCGGATCTTGTATCTGAATGGAATACAAGAAACAAGTCCGATTGGCAGGCAGCTAAGCCGGCTTTGCATGCGTGCCTTGATTATAGACAACAGGCACTCTCATGGTATGCCCGAAGAAAATTTGTTATTGAGCCTGCGTTTCACCAACCCGATGGACCCGTTACGACTGAGCAAGATCCCTCAAATTACCCTTTTGGCACACATTATTCTTTTTCCAACTTGGGAAGCGCATCTTTGCATGTCGCTTACTGGACTTTACTGGTTCTCATTGAAGACACAATCCAGAGGATTCTAAACCTGGTCTCGCCGGGGTCCGTTGATGAGGAACTTATATATCTCAATGAAAGATCTATCGGGCATAAAATGTCAGAATTCTATGCCGATGAGATCTGTCGATCTTTGCCGTATTGCCTTGCAGGTGTGCATGGTGCCTGGGGCCTCGGTTCTTTAACAGGCTTGCTCACTCAAATTGCCAGACCTTATATCGCTCTGCGGCGATGTGAAAAGCTCAATTACTGCCTAAGCATCTACGAAATGGCTAGAAACAATGGCTTGGGGATGGCAAGAGGTATGGCAGACTTTATCTTGAACTTGTGGACAAGCTTTGGTTCATCCACCGGGGAGTCTCTCAAACTCAATGATTCGGAATATATTACGACGCCCAAACATGCATCCGAGGATAACAACAAAGACTCAGAGTTACATGCTTTGGTGGAAGCATCCAAATATCCACGGAGGGTCGACAACACAATGCCTTGGCGGGTTTTCAGGTTTGTTGAAGAATCTGCGCCATCTACATCGAAGAAAACTTGAATACCCCATTGCATATTGAGCAACTTGCACCAGGTATATAGGACTCTCTTTCCATTCATGAATCTATATCTTGACAACGTAACAAGTCTAGCTCTGGCTATTTGGGCTTTTACCACCGGCTTTCTGGCTCAAATTCGAGGTCTGAACTGCACCCAAGGGCCTTCTACTGCTGAAGTCACCCACCCTTTCAATCGAAAGTCACAGTCGTCACGCTTTCTGCCACAGCACCGAGCATCTTCAGATAATCGCATATCATATCGAAACAATGTTCGCGCGATAGTTACATTCAGTTCGGTCCAAGCAAGCTTCCACCCTACACAAGAGCGCGCCCCAACACTGAAGGGACAAAACGCCTGATTAGCGATTCTGATACTTTCCTCATCTATTCCAGTCTCGGAATCGACGATCCACCTCTCTGGATAAAATTCATCAGGCTTAGTGAAATAGTTTGGGTTTCGTTGAATTGCATATGTTGTTGTGCCAACCATGGTCCCCGCAGGAAGGAATTCCTCGTCCACTATCATGCCGCCTTCAAGCACCGTACGTGGGATAGTGACAGCAACAGATGGCGCGAGCCGAAGTGTTTCGTTAATACACGCTTGGAGAAACCCACAAGAGTTAAGCTGCGCTCCTGTGTGGATATGTTCTTCGTCGGCGAAAGTGGTGCGAATCTCACGTATCAAGCGCGCGAGCAACTTGGGTTTGTGGGCTAAGAAGAAAAATGTACCAGCCATTGCTGTTGCTGTGGTATCGGCGCCTATCATCAAAATATCATTAATCATGATCTCTCGAATGAAGGAAGTATTTCTCTTACCGGCAGTCATCAGTAGCATGGATTCCACCCACAGATCCTTATTCGTGAAGTGTGTGCCAGTTTTAGGATCTGCTGTGTTCATCATAGCATAGAATAAATCCTTCTTTTCAATGTCGTTGCCCATGTGTATGCGGGCTAGGGTTCGTTCACGAATCCTAGCTCCTGCATTGACGATGTCATTGAATTTAGATGACATGAAGAATCGATCGATTTTCAAATTGCAAAACTTTGGTTGCACAAGATTCTATGATGCTGTCAGCGTTTTGCAAATGATAAGTAAGCTTAGAGTCCCATACCGTCATACCGCGCTGTGTGATCTTCAGCACCACAGATGGAAACCACCGCATGTCAGGTAAATGCAGCATATTGAAGTCATTCCCATAGCAAAGGTCACTGATCACATCAAATGTAACCCAATCACACATCGGGGCAAGATGTTTTGTGCTCGTCCATCCGTTGCCATTTTTAGAGTCCACTCCAGGTTTAATGTTCCCGAACTCATCTCCTGGTTGTCCAAGTAGATTCACAAAGTCACGAACGTTAATGAGAAGACGCTCTTCGATGGCTTTGATTCCTTCGGTGGAAAACACCTGAGCTAGGATACGCCGCCTGAAGCCATGATTGGCCTTATCGGTAACAGTTAGTGTGTTCGGTGTTTGTCGACTGGCGCTCAATGAGCTATACCCTTCGGATTTGACGACATTGGCTCTGACTGCATAGATGGTTTCAAGGCCAGTGTGAGTGTTGAAAGACAAGGCATTTGGACCGAATCTGACGAAGTCACCTGCTTAAGGAATTAGTCTGGATTCTGAATACAGTCCGAAGGCAATTGAAAATACGAACCATAGTGATCGTGCCATCTTTTACTGACTATATGAAGATCACCTTGCCATGAATAAAAGGCTGCATACCAATGTGTGATGGCTGCTAATCGCGGTCCTGGGTATTTTGACAATGGATGAAAAAAAAGTCGGTAGATAACAAGGGCAATGCTCTGGAGATCAGTCGTTAGATAAATTATAATTATTTGCTCTCGTTTCTAGAATCGACTCACGTATACAAGCAGCCCAACAGCTGTTATTGCATTGACTTTAAGGCTCATTCCGTCGAGGATTTTGGCGCAGTGCAGTCTATACTTTTTGCATATAGAGAGCAAGTTATTACACTCTAATTAAACGAGCAGCTTTGTTGAATGCATTATTGATTTCAAGTTTTTTTTTCTTTTTAAAAAATTAGCTTCTTTAAACTCAAGCTCCGTCCTTTCCCCTGTCGTCAGGGGGGCCTTATGGATCTGATCGTGCCCTTGGCGTTCATCATAGCCCCGAGGATTACCGACCATGATCTGGCTCTGCCCCACTAATATCTAGATCACCTATTGCAAATGGCATGATCGTGCGATGATCCTCTCACGTAATTCTCAGCTGCCCCACGCAGACCACACAGGACATGTTCGGTGTGCAGATCTGACAAACTAGTTCGTGTCTGAAAAGCATAACCAGATTTTAAGGCCCGAAATATCCTCGGGATCGTCGATTGTCTCTCTTTAGCTGAGACAATGATTATACATAAGGGCAACACCATAGGGCAGATCTCAAGAGCACTACGTAATGGAGGATATTGGACGCTTCTGGCTCTTTGGTTCATGTTCTATCTATAGACCTTACCTAGAGCTTTTTAAATGTCTTTCCTACTAAAGAATATTCTTTTAAACTGGGTCGAAGAACGACCTATGTGACACTAAGATCTATCTCACGTGTAAATAGTATATTAATGCTCCGGTCAAAGCTTGTCGCTGCATAAATTACTTGCAGTGGAACCCTATCTATATAGTGTGGTGTCAATGCTTTTTCTCGTGTGTCAGTATTCTAGATCCGGGGTTAATAAGGAGTGGAGTCCGGACCGTAGTAAGCATTTTGTCAATGCTTTTTATCCAGTGTCAAAACTTTTGAACCTACGACAATGCTTTCTAGGCTATATCACTGCTCTCCAACCGGGCTCATGAACCAACCCGGACTATATGTATGTTTTCAATGCAATTTTTACCCTGTCAATGCTGTTCAATCCATATAAAAAGGCCTTTACTACCACCTGGAACTCCTATCTTACGGCCCGGTTTCGGGCGTGTAAATTATCAGACAGCTAATAGGTATAAAGGGAATCTAACTATATTGTAGATTGTTGCCCTATGCAGTGTTTCACTAATCAATATCGCTTTCGTGTATCAACTTAGAAGTTAATTGAATCCAAAATCCAAAATTTCGGGGGAAAAAGACAAAACAAGACAACTGAATAAAGCTGATAACAGTAGTTCCTAACACCTTATTCACAACAAAACGCCCAGGTGATGAACGTACTACTCACAACAATTCGTCTCCAATCCCTGTTCGGCCATTTACTATCTCCTAGATTTCTTGTCATCTCGAGTGCGAAATACTTTGGTCCTTCACCAGTAATCCATTTCCCCCAACCACCCCATTGACCAGTCCGGGTGCAAGAATTAAAGCCTCCCTTCGTGGAGAAAATTGAACCATTCTCCGAGAAAAAGTTCTTCAGCCACTGCCCAGGATTATCTTCTGGACAAAGCACCATATTGTCTTTATTCAAAGGTCTTGGCTCAAAGCTAACTGGCTGCATTATTTTGAATTGAAACCGGTTTTTTACTTATAATAGACGTTACGTTTAGTAGGTGTGATGGCAAAGGTTTTGATTCTGGACTCTTCATATCATTTCATATCATACCTGGAGACTATTGTTTCTCTTATTGAGCCAGAGAGTTGTTGTAATATGAAATCTTACATATCGATGGCCTGTGAATTTGCATTTGTGTGAGAGAGAAAAGAACCCGTTGTCGGGTGTCGGAGTACACAGCCACATGGGATTCCCGGGTGGGTCTCGAGCATTGATATCCGCGTACAGTCAAAGCCCACTAACGGTACACCCTCCCATCCCAAGTAAACTATGTACCGTAAATGGATTGTACCGTTTATGAATGATGACATAATATTAAAACTATATAGCCCTAAGCCCTATTGCCTTACCGTTAGTGGGCTTTGACTGTAATCAGTGGAAGACATGGTTTGTAATATTTCGATAAGGCGAATCTTCTTGTCGAATGTAAGGCTTTGAATGAACAGATATGAAAATTCCCGATATATGGTGTATAACACCCTTTTGTCGGGATGGTCACGGTATATATATTCAGCTTTGGAGTTCCGAATTCCGGGTTTTGGGGCATTATGCATTTAGAGCGTATAGCTCGCCATTTAGAGTAAGAATGTAGATTGCGACACTGGCTACAGTATCTCCACTGGTCATTTTGAAGTCGGTGCATGGACTGTTTTCTCAATGATGTGATATTACCAAAGAACGGTACGACGAATGGAGTTAGTAATGGTTCCTTTGGCAGGAGCTTGGATATTTCGGATGATTCAAGGCTATGGAATGAGTTGAAACATGCGAATGCATGTCTACAGCTCATTGAGAAGCATACTTGGTCTGGGATTTGGAGAAGGCGGAAGATGATTCCCATCACATCTGAAGGGATGCGGTCCAAGTTGTCTTGTTTGGGGGTGTTCCGAGTAAAGACTCTTTTTTATGCCATCGTGAAGTCGGAAAACTGATTTACAGGCCATTTTGAATCGTTCTGTGTAGGTCAGTAAAGGGGGTTTGAAGATAAACGATCTCGTCCTTGACTGCCATTGGGTGTATTCGAACCGCAGAGCTATGGGTAATTCGGATCCTATTAAGGATGAAGAAAGTCAATCACATACCCGCCCTTTTTTTTCTGCTAATTAGGAGTAGTAAGGCCACTGGGGAGCCAGTGATCGGGTGTAAATAGTGGAATTAGGGTTCAGCCCACACATCGCGATTCCACAGTTAGCCATCTCCGAGGGGAACTAAGCCATGCTTGGATGTTCAGATATAATTCTATAGAGTCTGCATATAATACAATAGTAATGAAACCAAAAGAAGGCATTAGGCCAATTGACAGAAAGTTGTTTGTTGCAGAGTGGTACGCTTCTCATGCTCCATTGCCATTGTGCTCGTAATACAAAAGTTGAATAAAAGGTTTTTAAACGAGAATGGACGCCGCGCCGATTCAAAGTAGGTCACAAGAGGAACAAGTAATCGCGAAAAAAAAAAAGTTGATATCGTAATCCCCTGCCGCCGAAAGATACCTAGGGTTTTGTTATGTGTACAGAAGGAGATGCCTATTGTTTTCAATCAATCAAGTCTTTTTGCCTTGCTAATGATGGCGAGAATGATATGCCGCATTCGAAAGAAAATGAAAGCTGTCTCTGAAGAAGAAAAGGATAAGAATAAAGAATTACAAATATTTCGAAAGGGCTTCAAACTTAGATATCGATGTCGATATCCATATCCAATGCAGCGATGTTCTCATCGTCAGTGTTGCGGTAGCTGATCATGAAACCGCCCTTCTTCTTTGGTGTCAGGCCAGGATTATGTGTTGATGTCTTAGGGGCATCCACGGCAGGCTTAGACTCTTCAACCTTGATGGGAGCTGCATCTTCCGGCTTGGGGATATCATCGGGCTTGTCAGCCACATCATGATGAGTCTTAGCAACAGTGCGGACACGCATGAAGGGATCAGCAACTGCCTCGCCTCGGGCGACAGCGGCAGCGGCCTTTCGAGCGGCTTTACGCTCTTCAATCTGAGCTCGGCGCACGTTCTCGTAGTTAAGTTTCTGGTTGCGGATGTTGATCTGGTGCACACGCTCGGCTTCGCTGAGTCCCTTGTCCACAACTGGTTTATTCATAGTGGTACCGAATGAGAGTTTGGGGTTGAGAAGTTCGTCAAGTTCCTTCTGCAACTTCTCAGCCTCGTCGTCGTTTCCATTGACCTTGGCGAATTTCAGATCTCTCTCCAAGTCGAATCGTTTTCGGACATTCCTCTTTTGATCAAGGGCACCTTGTTTGCGAAGCTTCTCAGAGAGCTCTTCGGCTGTGAACTGGTGGTTGATGAGGCGGTTGATGTCGTTAACCTTGCCAGCAAGCTGAGTTTGAGTAGCCATTTTGCAATCCTCAACAGTCATGGTCTTTCGGTACCGGCTGTATTCGCTCTGTTTGAATGTCAGAAATAGTTCGTTGTTACAAGGAAAAATGATGAGATGAGCATACATCTGTGAAAGCAGAATCAGAGCAAGCGATGAATGGGAATTCCCGCACAGCCTTTCCATGTGCCAGCTTGGCGTACTGATCAGTAACGAACGAGCGGCCATTGGGTGCTTCAATTGCATATGGTTTGCCTTGTGTGAATCCTAATAGAACGTGTTAGAGTCTGTATGACGTCGGAATAGATCATGCTGGGAAACAAACCTGTAACCAGACAGAGACGGTACTCATTCTGCCCAGTCTCCGAATTTGGCCCAATGTTGACACGAGCATAACAACCGATGATAGCGTCATCAAATCCAGGATAGAAGCAAACCTGTCCAAAGTTGGTGCGGCCCACACGAGCGCGGTTGATGTCTCGCAGCTCAGCAGGGGGGTCATCCTTAGGGATAGATGGTGAACGACCAACACGATCATCAAGTTCAAGGTCACTTTCGACTTCACCATCCTCATCCGACTCGCCTGAGCCGGGAGTGCGTGACCGACGACGAGAGGTAGTAGGGCCACGACGACGAAGCTCATCACGTTTACCCTTCTGCTCACGCTGGCGCTTGTAGGCGTCGATGGCAGCAGAGGTTTCTCCGACCTTGCGTCCACCAAGAGTCGTCTTTTGTCGAGAACTCTTGCGCTGGTTCTCGTCAAGTCCAGCTGATCCAGCCTTGCGTTTAGCCTGTTTGGCAGCAGCCCGCTTCTCCTCGCGCTCTCGAGATGCTAGCAGTCGACGGAGCGCAAGATCCTGGTTGTGGCGGTCAACCTGTTGAGCGCGCTCGGAGAGCATCTCCTCACGTTGAATCTCGGGCATCGCCATGATTTCTTGCTTCTCCTTCGCTGAGTAGTAGAGTTTATCGTAGGGAAAAATGGGGCGATCTTCCTCATCAGAGGCACCGCCTGCTTCAGAATCGGATTCAGACATTGGGGCGGACTGGAGTGAATCGTGGGACTCAGCCTCGGAGCTGAAAGGAAACCATGAGTTAGTTACAGTCAAACGGGGAATAAGGAGGGGGTTTGTGGACTCACACTTCGCCATCCTCTTCGTGATCGTCTCTTGCTCCCTTCCGGGATCCACGTCTTCCAGTATCCTTGCGACTCATTTGTGAAGTTGGTGGTGAATGGGAAGTTCGTGAGTGTCGTGGGGAGCCATCTTTATCCTCTGGCTGAGGTGAGTGCTCCTCCTCAGAGTCACCTGCCAAAGCCAGGAGCTCGTCATCCAAATCATCCGTCATGTTGACTGTGTTTGTCTAAACAGACTCTCTTTTCCACTTGAAAGTCTCAATTATCCCGTCCCGATATATAATTCGGGAGCCTTGCCCCTATAGCAGGTGAAGGCAGGCGTCTCGTGGTTGTTTAATGGGTGACTAGGGAGGCGCAAAACACCCCAGGCAAACTCGAGTGAGCGCGGGCAGCCAAAGTCACTGAAGACCTGTACACTAATCCGAACGAAGGAGCCCCACACGAGACGAACTGTCCAAGCCGAGTAAGAGAGACAGAAAGTGAAGTTGAAGTGAAATGTTGAGACCACAGAAGTGACCTCGGGGATGCCGTCGCAAAGTTGGCCTTTGCCTTTCATGACGTTCCGATGCCAAGACTTCCAAGCGCGCGTCTGCGCCAAGACCGCTTTCTGCCTGTTCGGGATCGTCAATTTCCGAATAGCAACGAGATATTCCCTCGAAGTTTCTCAACACGACTCATAACCATAATGGAGTCTATCCATATTTTCCGAAGATACGCCCTAGCTCAGTGCCGGCGCCCATGCCGAGTTTCCTCCTCGATCTTCCTTGATTTCCTCGCACCGACAGCTCTACGAGCTCAACGCCGACATGCATCTACAACCGGAACCTCTGGCAACCCGAAGCCTCGATACATCCTTAATCAAGAGCAGCGCGAGTACCTCGATAGCGCACTTCGTGTCAATCAAGCAGGTGAACTCGCCGCCACCCTCATCTATACCGCTCAAACTCCTCAGATCGTACGATCCCACCCGCACCTCCGACCTTTGATGAAACATATGTACCACCAGGAAGCAGGACACCTGAAGACATTTAATAACCTGGTCCATAAGCACCAAATTCGTCCGACAGCAATGTACCCTGTTTGGGAGGTGGCAGCTACCTTCCTGGGTTGGTCCACCGCTGCGCTGAGCCGCGAAGCAGCTATGGCTTGCACCGAGGCTGTGGAGACGGAGATCGGATCGCATTACAATGACCAAGTTCGGGAGATTCTATCATGGGAGGCGGATGCTGAGCGTCGAGGGGAGGAACTGGATGAGGAATTGAAGGAGATGCTTGCTACCTTCCGGAGGATTCGTGATGAGGAGCTGGAGCACTTGGACCATGCGGTTGCTCACGACTCCAAGGAAGCAAAGCCATATGATCCATTGGTTGATGCGATTCGCTTGGGTTGCCGAACCGCTATCAAAATCACTGAGAAAATCTAGCGCATTTGCGGGAGAGGAAGCAACTAGGTAATGCTGTACATATATTGTCATCTGCAATTTAAAGCGTGTAAATTAATCTCTGCATTTCCGAGCTCTTCTGATGCTATTCGCTTCGATATTCAATCTTCTCGTAAATAATATACCTAAATAAGCCCTCCAAGATGCAATGCATTCTCGGGGATCTTCCGCCATTGATTGCATATGGAAGTCTACCCTCTATGAGACTATATCGAACCCCCGGGGTGTTGCTTTGACGACATTGAACTTCTCAATATCATGTCAACGTCCGTTCTGGTCGCTCTGTCCAAGTAAGCCCAATGATAACAACATCGCTGTCTAATAAAACCAGGATTTTGGCGGCATCAACACAACGCAAATTCAAAAAAAAAAAAAAAAAAAAAGCTCACCACTGCCCGTGGCAATTGAATCTCCACGCAAAGTGCTCACTAGATGGGGGCAGGGTTGATATTTTCTATTACATTATTTACGAAAGCAAAATTTCAACCATCATTTGTAAACGCATGGAGTCACGTACCCCAAGGAGCTATTCCCCGGGAAAGTCTACGGCCACGGAAATCTCGAATAATGATTACGTTGTTTTCCGTTCAGTGCCTGAACGTCCGTCCGATGCAGATAGTTAAGAGATCATGAGCGAGAAAGAAGAAAGAAGAGTGTAGTCTTCTGCACTTTTTGAGGTTCTTTATCGATGTGCAGATAGATATCAAACCCCAATTTCCCACCTGTTCGATCTCAATACTTATTACGGACAATCGGAAAGCTTCCCTTCTATAGAGAGCACTGACACTCCGTGGGATTCTCATTGGTATCTGCCCCACATCTATACACCCTACACCCTGCAAAGACCCCGGGCCCGGGCCCACTTACCATACAGTTTTTCCCTATCTCTTTCACTTGGAGGTAGCGGTGAGCTATCTTTATCGAGTTTCGATTCAACTTTCAACATAATAGCAGACTAGGTAGCCTCAGATGTATCCATGAGTGTTGTCTAGAGAAATTAGCTTGATCGTAGGTATTAGTACGAGTATATTCCAAATATGAATCACATTTCATACCAAAAACAACTAACAGTCGGGACTGAGCCGACAAAATTGGACATATGTGGATCTATAATTCAAAACCCGGTTCAATTAGCTATATTATTCCGTAATGTAAAAATTGACTTTGCCACTTAGACTAGAGTTATTTTAAATTTCCATGCGCCCTTCAACCGACAGGGTCCACAGCCTGAGCAAAGATAGATGAGTCTAAAAGCCTGCCTGGGCCAGTCACCTCCAGGGTTGTACCACTAAATATCCACCGAGCCCTCCGAACTTCAAGTTCCGCAAACTTTCCAATCTAGTTTTCTTTACAGCGCCATAATGAAAACTGTGCAATTACCCGGATTCCCCGATCAGAAGACCTTCGTTCGTCTTTTGACAGTGTCGGACCTGAAAGAATGTATCGAAGTTGAGAGCGCATTCCCACCACAGGAGCGATGTTCTCAAGAAAAGGTGAGTTACATTCTCAGAAAACTATCGGGAATCTCTCAATAACTGCTGTACTAGTTCATCTATCGCCTGACGGTGTGTCCAAAGCTATGTCTGGGATTATTTGTTGAGAAGTCCAATGGGCCGAAGCTCATCGGGCATGTTATCGCGACCCGGATTCCGGGAAACAGAGTCACGGACGGATCAATGGAAATGCCGGATAGATGGACCGGTAGTTGGGAGTGTGTCAAGTTGAGTGGAGAGGTTATTGGGAATGATCCCGAGGGTCGATTCTTGGGTGTGCATTCCCTTGCTGTGCGGTCTGATTGTCAGGGGAATGGAGTTGGGAGGGCTTTGATGAATGAGTATATCTCTTATGTTGGGGGGTCAGTTGAGTCTAAGGAGAGTATTGTGATTATTGCGCATGATCATTTGATTAGGTTTTATGAGAGTTTTGGGTTTAAGAACCTTGGGCCAAGTCCTTGTGCTTTTGGGGGTGGTGGATGGTTTGATATGGTGAGTTTGCTGATCTAGGTGATGACTGTTTGGATTTGATGGACTAGTGCTGATGATGGTTCGATTAGGAATTGGTTGTTTGAATTGACAATAATTGAGTGATGATTCAGAGTTTACTTTTTCTGTCTTGAAATGCGCATTTGTTCGTTTGATCTCTATATCCTGTGTTGTACTAGCTTGGACTTGAAGGCGATATTTGATACGATGTAGTATGCAAGGCTCTTATTTGGAATATATGAAATCAACTAAAACAGTTCAAATTATTGTTGTCTTGCCGAGGTGACCTCAGGAGAAACATTTATTTGTCCGAGTAGCCATTCAGGAAGATACAAGGATATCTTCTGGGAACCTGTCTTCAGTTGACATACAGTTCAATAGTAGGAACAAGCCAGTTCCAAGGTTCATCACTTGCGGATCTGCTGGATAGGTAGAACATGGAATCCATATAAACATTCATTCATTTATATTCGATTCTAGTCGCTCATAGAGCAGGGTATCATAAGAAAGCAGGGCCCATCACTCTAATATATCATCACAACTGACAATGCAATCTTCCAATCTCAGAATAATTCCAGAGATATCATGCAAGACTCCCCAACAGCCCTCTACTCCGAACTAACCACATGGTCCAAGAAGCTCTGCGAGAATCGCACAACCTGCTGATAAACCTCCTCAAACCCATTCGCACCACCATAGTACGGATCCTTCACAACCTCACCCCCACCCACACGCTGATGCAACACACCACCAGGCTTAAAGTCACCAAAAAGCCTCACATCCGCAACCTGAGCCTTCGCACCCTCCTCCACAAGCGCAGCCTCCGTCGCCGACCGCGTAACCTTCGCGCCCGACTTGGCATTCGTCTTCCGCTGCAACGACATAATCACCGACTCCTGGAGATCCAACAGGTCCCGCAAATTGCTCTTATCCATTGCTAACAGGTAGTCAAAGTGAAGGAAATCGGCCTTTGTGACCTTGCGAGCGGCATGGGAGTAATTGGTGATGTTGTGTCGGCTTAGGGTGGACATTGTGCGGGAGTCGGGGGGCTCCAGGCTATGGTAGGCGCCTGTGCCGGCGGAGTCGATCTCGCCGATGGCGGGGTGCGAGTCAGCTAGGTTTCGGAAGACACCTTCGGCCATTGGCGACCGGCCTAGTTGTGAGGGGATTGGGGTTAGTTTAGAGACATGGGGCGCAGTGTAGGGCTGTCAATGGTGGCGGGGTGGGTGAGGGGCAGTGCACGTACAGATGTTTCCTAGGCAGACGAATAGAACGCTTACTGGACGTTGATCGGAGGATGTCATGATGGAATTCCCAAGTGTGAAAGAAAGGATAGGATTGTGCGAAGTGGGATTCAGGGGGAGCGGGTGTCCGACGTTGTACGGAGATATGGTTGCTCTTGCAGCTCCGGGATCCGCGATCAATGACGATGGATTTTTTAAGTATGGGGCTAATACATGATCTATGGTCTATGCTAGGGATGGCAGTATACTTGATACATGTGCTTTGATTTTTGTGACAGGCAAGGGATGTTATACATGTACTCTAATATTTATTAAAGGCCATGTATGATGCTATTCGCTACTCCACAATTATAAAATGTACCATCTGCCAGTTTATACTTCCTATATTCATCTATTAATATCAAATGTTCTGCCTAACACTTTCTCTCTATAAAAAGAAACAGAATAAGACTCTGCAACATGCGCCACACACTGCCACACACTATACGAGCGGTCAGCCACGGATGACATAAGGCATTCCTGCCTCTGGTTGGCCTCGTTGGCCCAGGGACCATGAGTGGAGTCAACCTTCATGTGCATTTTCACTCTTGACCACGGATCGTCTGTTTCAGGAATTCAGGTCCCTTTGGTTTGGTAAATTATTATTCAGGGCTGATTTCTGAAAGAGAAGAGAAAGGAAATTAAGTCTTCCATTCTCTGCGTCTCTTTATTCTCCGAAGTACATACAACATTACCATCACTCCCAATATCCTCAATTACATCTGATCCACTGCGGGTCGGGCGCATGCACCCCGATTTGTCTGCCTCGTCATTTTGCGATCGTCGGAGCAGAATACTCGTAAACACCAAACAAGAGGGGGGGGCAGATCTCCTCCTGCATTTTATTCTTTTTCATTTGAACTTTTTACATCTGCGACAGACTTGCTCCCTGCAAATATCCCCTGGTCCCCATCACTGTTTAGTGAAACCCCCCCCCAATCATCAAACTATTCTGAAACGGTGCCGAGAGTTTAGATCCGTCTGTCGGACTAGTGATTCTCTCATCCACTGAACACTGGCCTTCCCCCCCAGTGCTCCTGGCGCAATCTCGAGCCGACACACTTCTCAAGCTAGCAGCCCCTAGGGCCGAGCTCAAATCTGCTGAACTCAAATTAAACACTGGGGAATATACGCCATGTCCTATAACCGACTCGGTTAGTCGCCCCCTCTCGCTGATTACCTTTTTTTCTTCTGCTCTCGGGTGTCTGCTGGCCTTCCCCCTTATCTGCATTACATTGCCTTGTCGAGCATTGATAGTGCAAGAAGACTGTGGTGTGCGACATCGGGAAACAGCTTTTGGAATTCGTTTCCAGTGCTCAGGAGCATTGTCAATTCGAAACAATAAGCTAACATGCGTACTCCAGACCCCTTCGGGGACGAGAATCGTTCTCCCATGATGAACCCATCACACATGAACTCTTATAACAGTCGCACTCCGTCGCCCGGTCGACCCTTAGATACATACCAGCTTCAGGATAATCCTTATGCGCCGCAAGGTCATTTGCCTATGCCCTCAAGCGATCGCCTCGCCGAACAACCAACTGTAAGTGTTGCGCAGGAGCAGAGCACCCCCAGAAGTTGAGCGCGATAGTCGCAGCGGCTAATTACTTGTCCATACGCATAGTACTCCGTCGAGAATATCCCGAATTCATATGGCCACCATGAGGCATATGAAGCCCACGAGCAGCCTTATGGCTACGGTCAATACTCCGTCGACCCCGAAGCCCATCATGACGCCTACTATACCCAACCCTACCAGCCTTCACATACACCCGGTGTGCATGATGACTATGATCTAGGCCATTACCCCGAAGGTGGTCACACCCCCTACGAAGACAATGCGCCCATGCTGGAGCACGGCGAGAACCCGTTCGGACCGGACGAAACACTCAAGCCAGAGTATGAGGACGAGCCCCGACCGACTCCCAGTCCCGCTCCTATTCGCCGTTGGAAGACCGTGAAGGAAGTTCAACTGTTCAACGGTAACCTCGTTCTCGATTGTCCCATTGCTCCGAAGCTGCTCAGCCAGGTTCCCCACGCCGAACCACCAGGACGTGACGAATTCACCCATATGCGATACTCTGCCGCAACTTGCGACCCTGCGGATTTCTTCGAGGAGCGATTTACCCTTCGACAGAAGTTGTTTGCGAAGCCGCGCCACACAGAACTCTTTATTGTAGTCACCATGTACAACGAGGATGACTTCTTATTCGCGCGTACCATGTCTGGTGTTTTTAAGAACATCGATCACATGTGCTCGCGAACAAGCAGTAAGACTTGGGGCAAGGATGCATGGAAGAAGATCGTTGTCTGTGTTATCAGCGATGGTCGTGCGAAGATTAACGCCCGTACGCGTGCTGTGCTCGCTGGTTTGGGTGTTTACCAGGACGGAATCGCTAAGCAGCAGGTTAACGGTAAAGATGTGACTGCGCATATTTACGAATATACCACCCAGGTTGGATTGGAGGTCAAGGGAACTCAGGTCCACATGAAGCCCCGCTCGGGTCCTCCTGTGCAGATGATTTTCTGTCTGAAGGAAAAGAACCAGAAGAAGATTAATTCTCATCGTTGGTTCTTCCAGGCGTTCGGCCGAGTGCTGGACCCTAATATTTGTGTTCTTCTGGATGCCGGTACAAAACCGGGTAAGGACTCAATCTACCACCTGTGGAAGGCATTCGATCTCGACCCAATGTGTGGTGGTGCCTGTGGTGAGATCAAGGTCATGTTGTCACACGGAAAGAAGTTGCTGAACCCCTTGGTCGCTACACAGAACTTTGAGTACAAACTGAGTAACATTCTTGACAAGCCTCTGGAGTCTTCGTTCGGATTCATTACTGTGTTGCCCGGTGCCTTCTCTGCTTACCGCTACGTCGCACTGCAAAACGACAAGAATGGACAGGGTCCACTTGAGCGATACTTTGCTGGTGAGAAGATGCACGGTGCCAATGCTGGCATCTTCACTGCGAACATGTATCTTGCTGAGGATCGAATTCTGTGTTTCGAGATCGTTTCAAAGCGTAAGTGCCGCTGGCTTTTGCACTATGTCAAATCGTCGACTGGTGAAACCGATGTGCCCGATCAAATGGCCGAGTTCATTCTTCAACGCCGTCGTTGGTTGAACGGTAGTTTCTTCGCGGCAGTTTACGCCATTGCGCACTTTTACCAAATCGGGCGTAGTGACCACAGCTTCCTGCGCAAGTTTGCTCTGTTCATCGAGTTCATCTACCAAACTATTTCTATGATCTTCGCATGGTTCGGAATCGGTAATTTCTTCCTGGTCTTCCATATCTTGACTACATACCTGGGCGACGATGATCTCCTTGGTACGGCCGGTAAAGTTCTAGGCATTGTCTTCGAATGGCTTTATCTGGCGACCCTGGTTACTTGTTTCGTTTTGGCTCTTGGTAATCGACCTGGTGGTTCGAACAAGTTCTATATGACAATGGTGTACTTCTGGATTTTCATCATGATGTACCTGTCATTCGCAGCTGTTTTCGTCACCGTCAAATCGATCCAAGAAGAGGTGGCAGACAACTCTTTCTCAGTCAGCCAGCTATTTACCAACAAGACTTTCTTCTCGATCATCGTCTCACTTGGTTCGACCTACGTTATGTGGTTTGTTGCTTCGTTCATCTTCCTGGACCCATGGCACATGTTCACATCGGTACGTCTAACAAGCCTCCCTTTTTTGACTTTGGTCACATCTTTCTAACATCTCTTCAGTTCATCCAATATATTCTTCTGACCCCGACATATATCAACGTCCTCAATATCTACGCCTTCTGTAACACCCACGATATCACCTGGGGTACTAAGGGAGATGACAAGGCCGAGAAATTGCCTTCCGCTCATCTCAAGCCCGGCGGCAAGGTCGACGTGAACATCCCTCAAGACGACGGTGACCTGAATGCTCAATATGATGCGGAACTTCTGAAGTTCGCAACCAAGGCACCGAAGGAGGTTCCGGTAATCTCGGAAGAAGACCGCCAAGCAGATTACTACAAGGGTTTCCGTAGTGCCGTCGTGTTAGCCTGGGTCTTCTGCAACTTCGCTCTTGGTGCTGTTGTGCTGAGCTCAGCTGGTCTCGAGACATTCGACACTACCAGCAGCTCAGATGGAAGCAGCACCGACGAAACGCAAAACGAACGCTCCATGATTTACATGGAGGTTGTTTTGTGGAGTGTGGCTGGATTATCCATGTTCAAGTTCATTGGTGCGATGTGGTACCTGGTCGTTCGGATGGTGAGTTCTTTCCCCTGCCCTTTATACTTTGCCTGACGGCTTTTAATATCCATATCAACTAACAATATCTTCTCCAGTTCCGTGGCGTTTGATTTGATTTCTATCACCCAAAATATTATCTCATTCAGCCTTGTCTCATCTTGTTTTCAATATATCCCACTACGTTGATTAATACCACGGCGGGCCCGGTCTGGTATAGAATGGATTTCGGAATCGTGTAATATGTGTAACGAACCCTGTCTTGACTATTTTTATCTGATGGTGTTTTGACATGATTGATCTACGTGGTATGTACGTGTTGTTTTATTGTTTTACCTTTATTTGTCATTTGTTTGGGACATGCAATGCATGTATGATTATCGGCGTTGTACGTAGATATGACACGGGTTTTGTTGATGTCTATTTTACCTCTTACTACCTACTTCAAGTTGTCCTATACAATACTAGTCTCTACCTACTAGTAGCATAGATGATGGGGCAGTCAGCTTTTCAATGCCTTCAAGTTCTCCGCTGCAACTCTATCCATCTTAATCAACTTGTAGCAGTTTCACATCGATCTCTAGAGTTAATCGAATACTAACCATCAATATTTTCAATATGTCTAACCTTGGAATCCAATATAATACAATATACTCTAACTAGCCTGATTCTTCGAATGAACACATAATCCAATCCCACCCAAAACCAAAATAAGTCCCAACCACGTCTCCTTAGCAATAACCTTCCGATCAACATACCACTCCCCAAGAACCGTAAATAAAAACGCACTCGAATTCGCAAGCGGAACAGTCAACGAAAGTTCTAAAGTATCAGATCAGTAAACAGAGCTCAAATTCACATACAACATAAACATGAACACAAACTTACCATGCTGTCCAACCAAAAGAAAAAACCAAATACTCCCCGTCAAATTAATAACCAACGGCACAGAATACGCCGGCGTCCGAAGAAGATTAACAACAGTCCAGAAAACAGAAATGAATTTCGTCTTCAACCAAGACTGTGATTGTTGAGTTCTCCAAGCAGGTAACGGCGCCTCATCGACTCTTCCATCCTCGGATTCCCGCTGCCGACTCGAGCTTCGTCTTCGGATTTCTCCTTCTCCGTCACCTTCTCCTTCCTCCCCGTCGGCATCAATTGGCACGAGGAGCTGTGATTCCTCTTCTTCGTCTACTGTTGATAAGGATCGGCCACGTGGTGTGGGTGTGCCGGTTGCTTGTTTTTCTTGTCTGGCGTTGAAATCTGCTGCTGCGCGTCTGATGAAGGGGGTTGTGAAGCCCCATGCTACGCCGACGAGGAGGAAGGAGAGGACATAGTTGAAGACTGAGGGGGCGGGCTCGGGTGGAATGCTAGCGTCGGGGTCCATGTTGTGTAATGTTGAGGTATATGTATGTACTGTATGTACTTCCAAGCTACATGTACTGATCTGGTGAGGGTTACCTTGCCGTTCCTGTTACCCCGTGGAGACGGATGAGGTTATGAATGTGGTCTGTGCGTCGGCGTGATAAGCGATAAGATAAGATAAGGTTGTTTTTAGATTGATGCGACGCGTCACAGAAGGAATGGGAGCACAATTTGGAATTTGGAAGTAGATATCCAATGCAGATAAACTTGTGCAAGAAGTTCAACTTCATTGACCTCATTAGCTTTTTTAACGTTATCTTAGGTTTTACCTATGATTATCAAGCAATCATCTCGTTTGTCTCGTGTATCTCGGATTGAGATGCTTGAAAGTGGAGTTTAAGGAATTTAGTGCTGATCGATGCAAGGCATCAATACGGATTGGGGCTTCTGCCTGAAACTTGATCCTAATGCGGTTATAAAAGAGCCTTTTTGAGTTCTAATTAGTCCTCATACCGGTGATACCGGTCACACATAACTCGTATGTGAGTCACGAAGGATTCATGCAAGGTATACATAAGGATGGCTGATATCGTAGAGACTTGCTGTAGTTTATCCAGATCAAACCCACCACTTTTCATTCTAATCATTCACCATGAAAATCCCCTCAGACCCAAAGATTGACGGCTTCGACATTCTTCAAACTCCATACAAGAGAATCGGAGAGAATGATATCCGCTGCGATGTTCTCGTTCCACGAACATCATTCCAAGGGAAAAGACCAGTGATTATACGCTGGCACGGCGGCGGCCTGGTACGTCAAATAGAATAAAGAAATAGTGTAGGAATACTAAGAATCATAGGTAACCGGCGATTCCCTCTTAATGACAATCTGGGTCCCCTGGCTCTCTGATCTAGCTCTAAAACACGAAGCAATAATCATCAGTCCAAACTACCGCATCATGCCCGAAGCAACCAGCACCCAAATCTACGAAGACGTCGAAGACCTCTGGAAATGGATCCATTCTTCAACCCTCCCCAATCTCTTAGCATCGCACTCTACACCCACCCAAATAAATCTCTCTCGCATCATGACAGTCGGCGAGTCTGCAGGCGGTTCTCTCAGTCTGTATCTTGCCTTATCACACCCGGATCAGATCCGCGCCGCCACAGCCTCGTATCCCGGTGTGGACTATACAGCGCCTGCATATACTGTGCCTCGAAATGGACCGGTGTGGGGGCACAACGCACCAGTATCAGTATTTGAGGAAATCGACAAGACAGCTGTAATTGGATCTGGTGTTTCGTCGATTGTTGGACCTGAAAGACTTGCTTTTATGATCTCGGTTTTCCAGCATGGGAAATTCGGAGAGGTTTATATGCGTGGTTCAGAGGGTGTGGAGGGAGAGGTTCTTTTTCCTCTTGTCAGGTTGGAGAAGACAAGGAGGGTTCCGAGGGGTGGGATTGTTGTTTTGCAGGGGAGAGAGGATTCGTTGATTTTGGCGAGTGAGACTGAGAAGTTTGTGAAGAGGGCTAGGGAGTTGACTAGTGAGGAGGATATTACTTTTGTTATGAGGGAGGGGGAGGAGCATGGGTTTGATATTAAAGTTGGATTGGATGAGGTTTGGTTGCAGGATTCTTTGAAGAGGGCTGTTGATACTTGGTTGGAGTAGTTCCTGTGTGATATGGATACTGTAGTATAGCTACATGGAGGAGGTTCCGGTCGGGCATGTTTGCATATTTAGACGTTTGTACAGTTAACCCACTCTCGGGTACAGACCAATCAGATAATTGGTCTAAGAGTAGGCATTCACCTCTATACATGTATACGTAGCAGAGCTTCCCTCTCTCCTTCCCCTTCTTCAACGTTGTTATTAGTTGTTTTTCGCACCCTTTCTCCATTCCGGTAGAGACGTAGGCACCCTATCATAGATATATAGTAGTTATCTTATTTTCTTTCGAGAGTAGATATTACTCAAGTGGAATAGATCGACAAACTGATATTAGATCTGAGAATGAGTGCCTATATCCATGTAGGATGACGTCCATCTCTTGTATGATATCTTAGGTCGCCTAAAATCAACAACTTGTCTGAATCCTACTACAATGCGGACACGTACAGCTCTGATAAACACAACTCAGGGTCAACCACATAGCCCGCAGAAGCTGATACTCGATAATACTCGGCTCGCTCAACCGTTGATACTTGATATCAAAATCCCAAGTCTGCCGATCCAACGCATCGGCAAACTCATCCGCCACACCACGAAGCCTCACCCGTCCAATCTGAGTCCTGAGCATAACTAGAAGTTCAGGAATCACATGCTGCAGAAGGTACGGGTCTCGAAACCCCCTTTTAGCGTCTGGGATCCAGATTGCTGTTGCTGTGGTCCGCGCTCGGGCGCATCGTTCGTATCTTAACTTGTTTTGGCTTTTTCCTCTGGGCATCCAAAGGTCAATTTGAAGGCTTATGTTATCGAGTAACTTATCGAGGTGGCATGCTTGGGCGTTTATGAATTCTGTTGGTAAATGCTGTGTATTGTCTAAGGCTGCAACGACAGTATCTATTGCTTTGACGATATCTGATCGTTTTACATAGAAGCTTTGGGAATCGAGCGACATGATTATTATTGGTTTGAATCCTGGAGGACTTTGCTAGTTTCCATTATGGAATGGGTAACATTACAGGCTTTTTATTGTCTTCGGTAGCTTCTTTGTTCTGGGGATTGGTACTTTGTACGTTGCAGTGGGGTTTTTTCCCATTTAAGACAAAAAGGGAATGAGTAATGTGATCATTAAATTATGATAGACGGGTGTATATAACAAAGACTCTAACCAAAAGTGATATCACTCAGGTAACAAAAGAAACAGAGAAAGCAAGTCTAAATCTATTGTAAAAAGGAAATCGAACAAAGATGTAGGCCGTAAAAGGCGTAATATGGACAGGAAAAGAAACGGAAGTAAAAAAGATTGAAAGGGCCGTCAAGTTTAGTTGCTTGACTTCTTTGAGGGTGTGAAGCGTGCCAGGCTTTGCTTGATGCCAGCTGTGTTCCAGCGCTTGACACGGAAAAGGTAGTAAGTCATGACAGCAATGAAAATGTTGAAAGCGATGTAAGCCCAAACAATTCCAAAGTCTCTCCAGTGGTGATCAAAGTAGATCCCAGATTGAGCAATGTATTGATCCGCAACCTCAACAGCACAGTATTCGCAATTCGATGTTGCGTTCTTGTTCGTCACTTGACCTCCAGCTAGCGTAGCGTACTTTTCAAGGTAATCCCAGCATGTTTGGCCGGAGGGAGGGTTGAAGATGGACAATTCATCTGAAGAACATACGACCTGGCGTCCATGGACCTGGGTACTAGCCATGGCACTGACCCAGTAAGTGAAAGGTGAAACACGGTACATGAAGATCCAGAACCCAGGAAGGGCGGATGGAGCCTGCATGACACCGCAGAATGTGAGGGACATTGCGAAGAGAAGGACAACAATTGCACTAGCGGTCTCGGCATCGGGCAGGGCGGCGATAGCCATTTGTCCGAATGTACCGGCGTAGATGAAGAATTGAATACAAAGCAAAAGAACAGTGCCTTGGGTCTCTGAGCTTGGAATTCCCACCACGGCGTAGAAGTAGCAGCCGAAGATGATGATACCAGTCACAATCATGTAGGGAATTTCCACGATGACTTGGGCAATTAGGAAGGCTTTCCATGAATAGGCCTTGCTGGGACGCTCACGGACCTCGTAGAGAGATCGTTGGGCAACGAATAACGGCATTAACTAGTATATAATTAGCGATAATGTTAATCAAAGAGGGGATCAATTAACGAACCTGCTGAACAAGCGAAGTAAAGATAGTGCACAGCATGAAAACAGAGTAGATGATAGTCTGCATTCCTTGAAGTGACGTCTTGGCTTGGTAGAACGAAAATCCAATGAACAATCCGGCGGCAATACCCAATCCCCACTTCGAAATGATGTAGGAAGGCATACGCCAGTACTGTTGGAAAACCCGGTAGGTGACTTGATAAAGTTGGACCCAGAAGGGCATAGCAAATTCAGTAAGACCCTCAGTCGAGTTGTCCAGTGGAACCTTCTCTTGCTGGTCCTTGTGAATGCGATCGAGTTCAGTTTGAACCTGCTGGCTTTCCTTGCTTCCTTTCCATACATCGAACCAGTTTTCACCCTGTGGGTTGCTACCGGCATTTACAACGTCAAGCATGTACTCGGCAGGGTTCTCACTATCTCCACATTCTCGGGCTCCGTGTGTCTCAAAGTAGTCGAGGAGAGTGCGCGATTGTTCTCCAACTGGACCGAAATAGACTGTTTTACCACCACGAGCCAAGAAGAGAAGTTGATCGAATTCTTGGAATAGAATGGCGCTAGGCTGGTGAATAGTGCAAAGAACAGCTTGACCGTGCTCGGAAAGGCGACGAAGGAAAGAAACAATAGACCAGGAACTCTGTGAATCAAGACCACTGCAGAACAAACAGATTAGTATGAAATCAATAGAAGAAATAAGAAGTAAGGTGCTTACCTAGTAGGCTCATCAAGGAAAAGAAGCAGCTTAGGCTTGGCAGCCAGCTCGACACCAATGGTCAATAGCTTGCGCTGCTCAACATTCAAACCTTCACCTGGAACACCGACGATCGCCTCTGCGAACTCCTCCATTCGAAGCATACGAATGACGTCTTCGACGTAATCATACTTCTCCTTCATGGAAACACTGGCTGGCTGACGAAGCGCAGCACTGAAACGCAGCGACTCGCGAACAGTAGCAGTCTCAAGGTGGAGATCCTGCTGTTGAACATAACCAGTCTTACGTTGGAAACTTGCATCCAATCCACGGCCGTTGACCAGCATATCACCAGTAACAACACCAACCGAAGTACGATGAGCCAAAACATCCAGAAGAGTAGTCTTACCAGCTCCACTGACACCCATTAGAGCAGTTAGAGTTCCTGGCTTAACCCAACCGGCAACATTGTCCAATAATCTGCGTGGTTCACCCTTAATCTCGATATCGTAGCAAACATCCCGCCAAGTGAAAACGTCAGTCTGAGGTTGAATGGCCCCCATTCCCTTGTCGCCCTCTCCTTCGGAGGAAGCCGCCTGAACAGGCTTTTCACCCACATCTTCAGAATCGGAATTCTTCTTGTTGGAGGGACGTAGTTGAGCGGGGGCATGGCCACGACGGAACACAAGAGCCTCGGCAGTACTTGTAGTGGCTGAGTTCAGCTCACAAGCAATGAAGTAGATGGCCATGAAGCCGACCAAAAAGGCAAAGAGAATTCCGACATTTCGCCAGACATGAGAAAAGCTGTATCGATAATTCAGATAGATGTAACGATCACCGTTCACAGTCAGCGCACCCGCAACTGAGCCAGTTGAGCTGCATGCGAAATTGTCTCCAGTAAGGTCTGCGTAGGAAGGAATGTACGAAGAGCACGGAAAGTCGCGACCGTGAAATTCGTTCGCAATCAAGATCTCGAAGGCGTAGTAGATTGGATTCAGATAATGAATCCATTCAAACCAAGGATGCATAGATGGTACCGGTAGCACAAAGCCTGTGTAAACCACAAGAGCCAAAATCATGACACCAGCTAGACCCATAGCCTGGGAAACTGTTTTTGTGATCGCGGCGAGCGTCCGGAATACAGCACTCATCACAAAGGTAATGATAAATGTGATGAGGAAGTAGAGGAAAAAATTTCCTGCCTTTCGCTGGAGACCCACCAGAAAGTAAAGAATGATGTTGAAGCAAACGGCGAGTGCAAATTTCACCGGAATATCAGCTATAACACCAGCAATAGCTTCAGTAAACGGGTGATAGAAGGCGTAAGAGTTGTGTTTTTCGATGATTGGACGTTGGGCATATAGACTGTTAATTTCGGACATGGCTGTCAATGCGTTGAGGAGAACCGCAAAGAACAATGCTGCGCCTTTAGACATGAAACCAGCAGTAGAATCGGGGGAATTGTAGAAAGTAGAGCCAATAATAAGTGCCATGATGATGTTACTGACAACAGTGGACACCGTCGAAGCTGCATCATTCCACAGCCTTTGGTAGGCACGTCTTGTGTTGAGCTTGATTTGCATAGGCACACTGATAATGTAAGGAGACTTGGGACGAGTATGTTTTGCTTGGATGTCACGCTTCCTTTCCTGAAACTCAATAGCCGCAGTGGAATCATCGGCCACCGGGAATTCTTTCTCGTAGGCAGTAATCTCATCCTGGAGGATCTTGTACTCCGGAGAGTTGATCCATGCCTTCTCAAAGTCTTCGGGGGTTCGAGGAACCCGAGTCTCCATGCCAGACTGTGCTTGACGCTCCAACGAGTTGGTGATTGAGGTCAGGAAGTCACCTGTAGTCTGTCTGGGAGGGCAAAACCAGCCTTGCTTCTCGAAGTATGCCTTTGCTCCCTTAGCAGATCCAAAGTATACTTGATGGCCTTCGTACAGAACAACAACTTTGTCGAAGAGATCGTAGATATTTTGACTAGCCTGGTAGGCTGCCACGGCATGAGTAGAGCCAGTCAGATCTGAAAGCAAACGTAGAGACTCGACAAACTTCAAAGCTGTAGCGGAGTCCAACCCACGCGTGGAGTTATCCCATGCACCGATAGGAGCTGCAGCAAGAGCCATTTCGGCAATACTGACCCGCTTGCGCTCTCCACCTGACACGCCTCGGATGAAATCATCTCCTACTCGAGTGTTGTAGGTATGACTGAGTCCAAAAACTGCCATCACAACTTGAGCCATGTACTTTGCGAATTCATCACGGCTCATTCCTTCAAATCGATTCGCAGGGGTCCGTGTGGCGGCTGCGTGCTCCAACGTTTGTCCAACAGTGAGATGAGGGAAATGGCGATCCACCTATACATATCATAAAAAATTAATACTGGGACTAAAATTGAGAAGTTGGTACGTAGCAGACAAACTTACCTCCTGGTTGTAAACTACCTCACCTTTGAATTCCTTCATCATTCTGATTTGAGGAATACCTATTGTGCTGTGTTAGTCGCTGATCACTGCTAGATAGCCGGACGGTTGGAAATGAGTCTTTACCATTATAATGAATCACACTCTCTTCACCCATCTCCAGACCTTGCAGTTCTCCACAAATAGATTTCATCATGGTGCTGCAACCTGCTCCAGGGCGACCCAGCACAAGCAATAGCTCGCCACCTTTGAGGAGACCATTGAAGTCCTTGAGAATCCGCTTGCTAGGTTGCTTCCGGAAAGCCTCTCCAATCCGAAGAGGCGCTGTCAACATTGACGACACCGTGCTTTGGAATTGAAGCTCCGATCCTGATCCATAGATATTGAGATTCTTGAATAAGACACCCATCTTCTTCTGGCCGTTCTCCCGACCTACATCTTGCATAGCCGCCATAATCCATTTCTTCAGATCGAATTTCCCCGATTGGGGGTTCAGAGAAGGATCATGTTCTGCGGACGAGGCAAGACGATGCGCGATTATAGAATTTTTTTGCGACTTTTGGGTTGCAATTCGTGTGAGATTATCGGCTTCGGTCGGATCGATCCAAGCGATGGGCTCATAAGCTCCTTCGTCGGCTTCATTGTTGTTCTCTCGACGATGCTCTTTTTGGAGCTCGAAATCTTCTTGAGAAGAGGCAGACATAGCTGCGGGGGTTAGGACAATGCCTTTAGGGGGGGCCGAAACAGTTTTTTAAGCCAGCCTTGTGGAAGATTAAACAATAAACGTTAGAGCCAGACTAGGGGGAGGGAGACGTGATATATGTATTTATTACTCCTAATCCGTGACTCGGGGTAATTGAAACGTCCGTTTTTGAACCATTGATCTGCCAAGTGACGCCTAGGCCAATAATGATCCCAAGATACGACCTTTGCGGGCCCAGATGCCATAGATTTAACGGCTGAAGCACGGTGTTTTCGGACGAGTTTAGTGAGATTGAGGAATTGTGGACCTCGACCTATCGGTGCCGGAAAGAGATTGATGCCGGATGATCGGGGTTCCGGACTACGCCGGCTATTGGAAAGAGCTGCTCATTGATTGGTATCGGACCAAGCCAGATCCGGGAATTGTGGAGTAAAAGTATGCAGATCGTTGCTCTGAGTGGCAGACGCAGATCCTACAGTCTTGCGGCTCAGGCAGCTTCCGCTGACTCATCGGAACAAGATGGGCAGCCTTAAGGAGTGGATTACGCCACATTCGAACCACCAATAACAGCTTGAGACCGCAATTATGTCCCCGTTAAGTTGTCTAGAACATAATGAAGAGTTTTTGAGTTATTAAATATCCCCGAATTCATAGTGAAAGCATAATTATTAATGCACAGAGATTGGATTCTTTTGATTGTTGTGAGTCTTGAATCAGGCACATTCAGCGACGGCTGCGCAGCAAACTGCCCAAAAAAAGTATATAGGTAGCCAAACAGAGCTGAGTGAATACCGGGATTGTGCGAAATTATCAACAGTTTTTTTTAGTTGTATCACCACAAGCAGATCATGCACTGACTAGCCTTTGATCCTTGATGTAAATTTGTTATAAAATCGCAGCCACTTCCCCTTTTAGGACTAGCCAATCTTTACGCAGCTTTTTAGCGGTGGGGACCTCCATATTTACTTATCAAGAAGAAGCATAATGCCGATCTGTTTTGAATATGTTTACAGAGATCTACCGGCAGGGATTGGGGGAATATACAAAGATCTAATCACCAAATCAGATATTTAGCTCGTTGTCTCCTATTTTATTTTGCAGATTATGCAATCAAAGCCCTAGAGCCGTCCTATCCATTTTTCTAGCAATTCAGCATCAACCGAGGTAATTACATAGCAGGTGCCTGCCAAGATTTATGTGGAAACTTCAAAGTTTGCTAGCGCCTGAGAAACCTAGTGAATAAGAGATATAATCCCAGTACCATGCTACGATAGAGCACTATTACAACTGCTGTTCGATATGTTCCAGAAGAAAAGCCTAAACCTTGGAAATGTTGATTGTACCCCACATGTGCTTCAATAGTTACCTTAATAGTTATGCCTGGAGTTAATACTCGAATTAACAACTATTTTTAGAATGGCACGTGTAAGGCTTCATTCCTATTAAGAAAAATGGGAAATTATACATAGTGAGCACAATAAAACTGACATCAAAGGCTCTCGGGATTTCGGGCCCCTATAAGCTGACTGATGCAGTTCGATTTCGCCCCGTGTCAGCGTAAGTGACCCGCCCGACTAGTGAGTTGCCGATCCCTCCGATCCCGAGTCTGGGCCGTGTATAGTATGTACGGGTACCTCGGGGTCAGCCAAGCATTCCCCAAATCTACTATCAATAGCTATCGGCGGTCGGAAATTTCTTCCCCCTACCCTAAAACAAATTGCTTTCCCAGTGGAAATGCTAATCGGAAGGTAACGGATACCCTGAAACCCGGAATTGATAATTGAGCTTCGATGCCCTTCTTGCGGGGTCTAGTGTGTGTGCTTTCATACACGGAGATAGTGACTCCAGATGCCGACAGGTAGAAGTTTAGATTTGGAGACACATATGGGACCAACCACGTGAATAATCCACTACTCTATCTGTCGTCTTGTTTGCCGCCCCCTATTATTTGTCTGCTAATCAGAGCGTTCTATAGACACACTTTATCGTTCATTTCATAATACAAAATGCACACGAAATTGTTTCATCTTGCCGTCCCAGACCCCACGCCAATGAGGAATCCCTGTATTCACTCAAGTGCTATGACACGTAATTTCCCGCATCTGATTACACATGGCAGGGATCATACTTCTACCCTTGTCAAAAGAACCAATCCGGTTTTGAACCCAACTGTTACCGAAGTCTCGTGATGAGGCCAAAAAATAAAACAAAGCGAGTGACGTCTCTGTACAGAGTCGGGTGTCCTGGAGAAACACAAGACCGTTACACCCCAACTCGGTGCGGTTTTAGGAGTGCTGCCTTATGGAATTAGGATCTTTGCTCAGCTGGGGCTGTACGAGGAACTCACAAATTTGTGTATGCCGACAACTTTCAATTTATTGAATTTTGGGCCTGATGAAAAGGAATTGGGGAAGTCTACCCCGTTCGGGTACCTGATGGAGTCGCTGTAGGTTTTTGGGATCGGCAATACTGATACGTGGATCTAAATGCTTTCTTGAATTATAGATTTGGGTACGCACCTCATTCTTTTGAGCGCCATCAGATTCTAGAGATTCTCTACAAGAATCTTCGCGACAATTATAGTTCCATTCCCTACATCCTTGGTTCTGTATATTGTGGATGGCACATCGTTATTCCACTATACTTCGTAGCTTATATCCTGCAGAGTGCAGATATTCCCTTTTATTATCCGGCACCAAGTGCCCTTGATCCATCTGTTGCAAAATCTCTCCCTGTGGCTCTGTTAGTCACATCCATTTCATTCCTCCCCGTTATACTCCACTCTATGGTGTTGGCCAATACCCAAGAGGGCAATATCAATAACGGATGGGCCTTGACGGCGGCGCGTTTTGGCCTCTTGGTCGGTATTTATGGCTGCAGAAGCTTGCATAAAGAGACTTTCAAAGGCCTTGACGTCGTTCAACTGCACTTTCAAACAAGAGACCTTGAAAGCCTTCGACGATTTTTTGGTCTATCTTTTTCTTCAGTAACATCATTCACGTTCTGCTATTTAGCAACGTTTTAGCGACCCATGTGCTCGCCGATCTGCCCTCTGCTGAGCTATCCTAAATTGTATCACTGAGTCTGTCTATTAATTTCTGGTGCCTTTTCACGGTTTGGGATATGCGCCGGGTTAATCTTACCAATATCTCTCTACTCGTAACTCTGTCGTGTGCGGTGACCGGCTCTATTCTGGTGGGCCCTACTGCTGTACTTGCTGGGCTATGGTGGTGGCGCGAAGCTCCTTTGGAGAGTGGACGACACAAGAAGTAAGACAGAAGAGAGCAAAACTCACATACGGGTCTACGGGGGTGCATCTTAACCCCGGCTAGCTTATTGTCTTATAGTAAGACATTAACATTTTGGAAATGGATTCCGAATTTCATACTGCGAATGAATGATGAAGAACCGCCCAGAGACTTATGCGGCTTAAATGCTATTTGGTTTGATCTATAGCATTGAATCACTGGACAACCCTGGTATCACCAGCTTTCGCTTCGATGATTTTTCAGATTTAACAACGCTGCCTTGGTAAGAGATAGAAACACAAGCAAACATATGCAAAAGCTCAATCTAATACACCGCGTGGCTAGCCCCTTGCTCCAAAAGCTCGCCCTCATCCACTTCCTGCATGATCTTCACTCCGGAGCTAGTCCCGATCCGCATAGCCCCAGCCTTAATCATTCTCAAGCAATCACCAGCAGAACGAATGCCCCCACTAGCTTTAACTTGACATGTTCCATTAAAGCAAAGCTCAGCCACAAGATGCATGACCTTAACATCTTGAATATCAGCGCCCTCTCCACAAAACCCAGTGCTAGTCTTAACGTAATCGACTTCAGCCGTACATGCAATAACAGTAGCAGCAATAATCTGTTCTCTGTTGAGTTGAGACGTCTCCAATATGGCTTTCAGTTTCGTCGGTGGAGGTGCTGCTTTGCGTACAGCCATTATATCGTTGTACACTGCTGTGTATCCACCATCCTTTAGTATAAGGTAATTGATAACCATATCAAGTTCACTCGCGCCATCCGCAACAGCCTTCCTGGCTTGCTTTGCCTTTGTAGAGGAATCGTACGTTCCCTCCGGGAACCCAACCACGCTCGCAACTACTGTGTTTGGTGCATCTTTCAGGTTCGCAGCAGCCCGGGACACATAGTTTGGACGGACACAAACGGTAGCGAAGCCGTGCTCTTTTGCTTCGGCGCAGAGCTTGTCGATTTTCTCTGGCTCGGTGGGCTCGGCGAGAAGGGTATGATCGATCAATCGTGGGATGTTTAATGGGATTTGAGGCTGCGATAATGATCTATCGGGGATGCGAGTTTGTTGACTGGAAATTAGGGCCGCCCATTCGGCATCGCTAGCTGGGACGGTCGGCATGCTGGGTTCCCCGCAAAATGGTAGTCAGTGACAGTCACGCCACTGAATGGATTGGTATGAACTATTCTCAGATTTGGCCTGGAGGGGCAGAGAGGGGGTGCCGTCACGTGAGAACTTTAGAGGCTCATTCATCATCATGACGGGCAGCTGAGGTATGTTGATAAATCCTTTGAGGTGGCGAGGATATGGCGTTGAGGCTGATATCGGTGATATACTGCCCATAGTTTGATTGAGAACAAAGACAATGTCTCGATATAATACAATGGCGTCATCTTATCGGGAGCCCCGATTGGTACAAGCTAATATGCTATAGAGAGCTATCCAAGCTTCCAATCAATAATGATATACAGAGCATAGGCTAAACGAGGCATTCAGGGAAGACAAATCAATGATAGCAGGAGTACTACATGATCTTGGGCTTGCGCAGCAAATATCCCCTATGATGATTCTGGACGGGGTAAAGTATGCTCTGAAAATCCATCTTCGAAGTATATGAAGCCGCAAAAATGCTGTGTCCGATATGTTCATTGACAGCTGCGACATTCCGGTCCTCGGACATCATCCACCCGTCCAATGCGTCTTCCTGGACCACCCGGACCGCCGCCGCCGCCACCACCACCCCCTCCAGGGCCATAAGAGCTAGAGCTTCCACCACCAGCGGAACGATTTGAGGTCTTCGATCGATGGATATTGAACTGGGAGCTCCGGGCAGCGACGTATGGGTCAAGCTATGTAATGTCGTCAGCATTTCGGAGCGTTATAAAGAAACGGAGAAGGCAAGTGCAAGCGCCAAATAGAATCAGCGACAGAGAGGTCGCGTAACAATCGGAATTAACATACCGAGAACAGGCTCACGAAATATAATCCGAGAAAGACGTAGACGCCCTCGAAGAAGCGAGTGAGACGAACCGTGAATGGCACCCTGTTAGAATCGACCATGTCAGCGTGGAGTCCCTTGCGGGGGGGATTAGATGTGATAGATCGGATTACTCACTTTGAAAGGGCCCGGCCATTCGAGAAATAAGTTGTTGAGGGTTTCTGTGAAGACATTATGGGTGTGGGGAGTGAGTGGGAAGATCAAAGTTGATGAGGTGGAGTTTATCGAGTTACTGGGGCGTGATAAGGCTAGACCCACTCCCGCGATTGGCTCTATCAGCTCAGACAAGTCCCAAGGCCAAATGTTATAGATGCATTTTATTCTACATATCTAACAACCTTTCCTCCAAGCCAGTATCATCGTTTTGTTTATTCTTCCTGAACTTGTATACCACGCGCTTGGTTTAATCGTATTGAAAACAGTCTGTCATATACTATATGGAATACTATTTAACTATCATTTAATGCCATATTTTTAGGGCTTGAATATCTTGAACCCCCAAATCTGCATATAATGACGCCTGCAGTTGATGCCATGGTGGCCATGGGTCTACTGTATCGGTTGATAACTGGGAAACTCCATTTAAAGATGAAAGAGCCCGTCGTGTAGAGGTCATCTTGCAGCTTGCGTGAAAGACTTTTGGTCTCGCCCGTTTGCGCGCCATATACCTGATGGATTGAATAGCCGGAGTTCGCCTGTCAAATTTGATCTTTTTATACTGTCTACTATTAGCCCAATGACATGACATACTAACTGCTCTTGCGACCAGAGGTAATTGCCGCTCTATCTCAGCTATATAATGTGGTAACTTTCCCACCTTAGACTGACCACAATTCACATCCCTTCATATAACTTACTCAATCTATTCTAACATTCTTGTCATAGCTCTGGGGCTTTGAACATCAATATGGCGCATTCTTTTAGTTGTGACTGCTCTCGATGTTGGCCACCGGAAGAATTTTACCTTCTGCCAGAGACTAAGGCCCTGAGATATTCCGATGGCGCCGAAAGGAAACATCAGGCGTTTGAAATCAGGCAGGCACAGGAAGCGAGAGCATATCACAGGACATTTTCGTCAGGCAACACAATCTTGTATCTGGAACTTGGAAGCTATCTCGACCCTATCACTCCTGGCCAAGAAGTGAAAATGATCCTTGTCGATGTCCTAGATCGTTTCGGGCAGGGCAAGAAATACTTCACGCCTTATGAGATACAAATAGCTTACCTTGAATGGCGGCATCATCTACTTCAAGGAAAAAATCCCCCATCCACGCTCTCCCGACTTGTTATGGGTGCAGTAATCCACTCTTCCGACTCGGAAGATCTCAAGATGCAGATCAACGATTGCTTGAGAAGCGTCAATGATATTCGAATCCTCGACGCTCCTTCTGTGGCAGGAACATTCGAACCGACCTACGGTATTTGGCAGGTACAGGTTGACAAAAGTCCCGATTCATTGATGGTTCGTTTTTCAAACGATCGGACTGCCCGTCTCACTAAGCTCCTTCCAGACGATGAAAAGGACGAAGAGGAAAATGAGTATCCGCCAGACGAGATTCCGGATTGTGTATTACGGGAGATCATGGAACGAAATCAGCCAGACGAGAAGAAAGAATTGCCTGAAGTTTTTAATCTACAGGGTGGGCCGCACATAGGCCGGGTGCGACCTCCATATTGGTCTGTCGCTCTCGCGACTCAGCCTTCCGGACATCGATACTTATCGGACGCGGTTCTGGATGAGATTCTGCCATTTTGGAAGGAGCTTTTGAATGGAGATAGTTCAAGAACTGTCAAATATTACATGGAAAAATGGCAAGGCCTCAAGTCAAAGTTCGAGGCTTGGATGGAAAAAGAAAAATCCAAGCTGCAGCAGAAGGGAATTAAGGATTGGCCGGCTTCCTATTCTAAACAACCAGATAACATGGGTAGCCCAGACGATACATCGGATGTGTGGCTTACGATCTATGAGGTAAAAGCTACAAATAAGCCATTTCAGGTTTTAAGTCGCTCAAAGGTTATTCAAACGAGAGATCGTTCGGAGCAATCACCTAGCCCGGAATCTGCTGGCTCGACGCATCAACCTAGGGATTCCGAGGATCAATCAGCTTCGTTCTCAGACACTCAGCCTTTTTCCGCTCTTAGAAAACCCCCACTTGATCAGAGCAGTGAGGTTTCAGAAGCGACCCTGCGTGCCATTCAGGAAAGCCTACGCAGCGTCATCATAGAGCAGCACTCTAGGCTCGCGGGGATTCACAGCAAAATCGATAAGATCGATAATGGGGTAGAAAAGAAGCTGCATGAATTTGAAAACAGAATGCGTGGGTCGAACAGTGGTTGGTCCCACGGACGTGATCGTTCTTCATCGCCGGCTAATGGTCATTCCTCCTCCCCTTCGCAGCAAGAAGGATCATCCACATCACGTAATGGGCAGTTGTTCAGGAGATAAATTCCAGGGGATGAACCATTCAGTTGTTTTTCAAGGGGCTCGGGATCTTAATTGTGTTGATAGAAAATTCGAGATTGGTTTCATGATGTCGCTCATGCTCATGTTTTGGTTGTTTGCGTGCCATTTGGTTACTACTGTATTTCTTTTTATATTCAAATTGCCAGAAATATGATGTATGCGTATTTTGTTAGACAAAATTGGCCATATATGAGAATGGAAATGAACGTCGATTGATAGTATGAATTCAAGTGCGTAACTCCATTCGATTGAATCCTTCGTATGTAGCATGTAGCTGGCGGATCACGTGCCGGAGCTTGCAGCTCAAGGGCGGAACAGCCACTTCCTAAGCTTCAACATCATCACCATCTCTCATCTTCAACCGTCTTTCCACGCAGTACCGCTTTGCCTTTTTGCATTGCTGTATAACTCCGTATCAACTTGATATTTTCATCTCCGGCCTCTTCCATAAACAATCGCCCCCTCACACCCACTGTCGTCATCATGTCCGACGTCTTGTTGAAGCCTGAGAAGGACTTCTCCAAGGACGCTGACAAGCTCATTCCGGAGGCCGAGGCTCTTGCCAAGGTGCGCCTGAGAGATCCATTAACTACAAGAGAGACGGGCTAACAGTTTTGTCTAGACCGATGTCCAGGGCGCCATCGATAAGTTGTTGGGATTGGAGAAGCAATCACGACAAGTATGATTCTATCATCCCCCAGATTCAAATATTTCCGAACACCACTAACATGTATTCCTGGCTTAGGCCTCCGATCTCGCTACTACATCCCGCCTGTTGATCGCGATTGTCAACACCAGCAAGAACTCCGGCGACTGGACCCTCCTTAACGACCAAGTGCTTCTGCTCTCAAAGAAACATGCCCAGCTTAAGCAAGCCACAACACGCATGGTGCAGGAGGTGATGAAGTTTCTGGATGATACCCCAAATCTGGATGTCAAGCTTTCTGTGATCGAGACCTTGCGAACAGTTACCGAGGGAAAGGTAAGCAGATCTATAGCAACAGTCAGCTTTGAATGGGACTAACTATCATCAAGATTTTCGTCGAAGTCGAGCGAGCCCGCGTTACACGAATCCTATCGAATATTAAAAAGTCGCAAGGTGATCTGAATGCGGCCGCAGACATCCTCTGTGAGTTGCAGGTGGAGACCTTTGGGTCGATGACGAGACGCGAGAAGACCGAATTCATTTTGGAACAAGTTGCGCTGTGCATTGAGCGTGGAGACTGGACACAAGCATCTATTCTCATTCGCAAGATCAACAAGCGTTATTTCAACCGCAAACCAAAGAAGAGTGCTGAGGAGATCGAGAAGCTCAAGAAGCAGGCTGAGGAGCGAGAGAAGACCCGTGGTCCGGATGAGGCTCCGATGGAGGTTGACGATGATGTGACTGATCTCAAACTGCGTTACTATGACCAGCAGATCACCCTCGCAAACCATGATTACAAGTACCTCGATGTGTGCAAGTACTACCGAGAAGTCTTGGACACCGAGGCCGTTGAGAAGAACCCCGAACAATTACGCGCAGTAAGTTGAATCCCGCCACTTGGAATCAAGTAACCATTCACTAAAGAGCGTTATCTAGTCCCTCGCACGTATCGTCTATTATATTGTCCTCTCCCCCTACGACAACGAGCAATCAGATCTGCTTCACCGCATCCATCAGGATTCGCGACTATCCCAGGTTGCCGAGGAAGCCCGTCTGGTGAAGCTGTTTACCATTCCCGAACTCATGCGCTGGCCCATGGTATCAGAGCAATTCGGCCCCCATCTATGCGGTACCGATGTCTTCGATGCCCAGCCTAAGCAGTCTAGCGAGAACCAAGCCAACCGAAGATGGCAAGATCTGCGCAAGCGTGTCATTGAGCATAACGTGCGAGTTGTAGCCAAATACTACACTCGCATCCAGATGGGTCGGTTGACCCAGCTTTTGGACCTGACCGAGGAGGAGACGGAGAAGTACATCAGTGATCTGGTCACCTCCAAGACCATCTATGCCAAGATTGACCGCCCTGCCCGACTTGTCAACTTTGCCAAGCCTAGTGATGCAGACGATGTGCTGAACGAATGGAGCAGTGATATGAAGAGCTTGCTTGGTCTTCTGGAACGTATCGATCATCTCATCACCAAGGAGGAGATGATGGCGCGTATCCTGCCGTCCCGCGGAGAGAAGGCCAAGGCTCGTTAATTGGATTATTGGAGGAGTTGTGGAAATTTGAGAGCGGGATTGCTGCCTCCGTGTAAAATATATCACCGGTAGACCCCTTTATGAAGAATCCACTGCATAAGTTAGTGGGAATGTTTATGTACACTGTTCTACAGTAGAAATTATCTTTTATCTTTTCCTCTGATTAAGACTCTATCTATATATGAGAACCTTGGAAGCCCAATGACCCTGGGAACCTACTGGACCCGAGTGCTCAGGGGATTTGCACAGTGTGCATAATCTTCAAGTTCAAACTACTGTAGAAAGGTTCAGAGTGTGAAATGCTATATTAGTCTATCATCCATGCATAGTATGTAATAGTATAGGTATTAGACTTCCATCATGTCCCCCTTGAAGTTATCAAGAGTAGGTGGCCACGAATCAACCTCCATATCGAAGTTACAAAGAGGGAGTAACCACGACTCAATCTCCAACCCCGTCATCCCAAGATCCTCACTTGATCCTTCACGAACTTGATTAGGTGACCATATGCACGACTCAACGTTCATATCAGTCATCTCAAGATCCTCACCCGACCCTTCCAAAAGAGTAGGTGACCATAACTCAATATCCATATCAGTCACGGTCATCTCAAACTCCCCACTTGAACCTTCAAGTGTTCGAAGCTCAGTATCAGTACTCAAATCCCCAACATTCCTAGTCAAGCACTGCGAACACTCACAACCCGGATCAACATCATGCATCCACTCCCAAATCTCTTTCAAAAGACACTGTTCATCAATCATAGACTCATCCACACACTCAAAATTTCCAAGACCTACCTGTGCCTCCACAGCGTCAGCCATCATATCCATCTCAATAGCACTTCTATCAACTGTCTCCGAGTCAAGAGGACAAATACTCAACCTTCCAATTTGAACAATCACCATGCCCAAAATACCGGATAAAACATGTGTTTCGGTGTATACGATTTCTTCACTGTCTTGCAGTGACTCAACTGTTGTTAAGACTGTGTTGATGATTCTGTTCACTCTGTACCGGTAACAGGCGGAGATTGTTGGGCATTCGATGATTTCGAGCTTGAGGAAGGACTTGTTCATATGGTCTGTTAGGCTGATAAGATTGAAGCTAAGGGCTTTAGCGGTTAGTTCTTGGTTTGTTACGGCTTGTCGCCAGTTTGTTAGTTTCGAGACGATTTGGCTGCGGAGGTTGCAGAAGTTTGCATAGAGAGTTTCGGAGGCCATGATGATGGGTATGCTTGGTAGGTTAGGATGATATTGTATATTTTTTTTGTGCTTTTGGGGGTAATTGAGTATAAAAAGTGTAGAATGATGGATGTGGAATATGAAATGAAGAACGCTTTGATCGCTATGATATATGCAAGTTGGAAGCTGGAAGGTAGTTATGATGATATCGTCTCCGAGGTAGGGAGGCCGGCTTTATACGATGACCTCGGGAGCATTCAAATGCCTTGAGCTAAAGTTAACTTGAAACCCATTGTCAAGGGCCCATTGTCAAGCATCCATTGTCTATGTACAAGGTATTAAATATAGAGTCAGTTTCATATCAAGAACAAAGAACTTGACAAAGCCAGTGTATATAGAGTTGGGTATAATAGAACAAAGACTCGAAAGGAGAATCATTGTTCAAGGCTCGTCATAAAGAATGCCGCTTTATCTATATGCAAGACATTATATGTATAATTCTAACAAAGAACCCATGTATAACGCTCAGACAAAATGAAGCCTTCGACGAAGGAAGGAGGTGAAAATACCGATAGACAGAAGATCCCTCAAAATGGAACATCCATATTGTTCACATCCTCTTCCTGCTCCTTAGCTACCCCATTGGTATTCTCCAACTGCTTCCGAATGAACTGCACAGCAGCATCCAGATAAGGTCGCTGACTCGGCAAAAAGTGACCACCAGGGTGCCAAACGACGGATCCATCTTGCTCCGGGTTCCCCACACAAGCATCAATCAAGGCGCGACTCCTCGAGTCATCAACAACGGCATCCAAAGTCCCAAGTACATGAAGTAAAGGCGTCTGGATACTAGGGTTCTCATAGAAGGCGCGATACCTCTCCCCGGGCGCTCGAAATCCACTATAACAGATAGCAAACTTCAATTGGGGATGCGAGAAATCAGGCATCCCGAACTGAGCAGGGAACGGGAGCCCGATATCCTGGCCCTTCTGCGTGACGAAGTGCGCAAACGCTTCTTTCCGCCCTGGCTCCAGGAGCGCGGCTACCATGCCGGCTAACGCAGCGCCTTGTGAAAAGCCGATCACTCCATCGAATGGCCCTTCCTCTTTCAGAACCTTCGCGACGCTGGCGAGACCTTCTTCAATCCCTGTGTAGAGAGGTGGGTTTGCGGTGTTGGATCGGCGCCACCAGCCGTATGCTTCGATTGAGTCTTCAGAGTCGGCAGTGTCGGAGGGCTCATAGCCTGGGATATCACTTGGTTTGAGACGAATCGGGCCGGTTGGGTAGCTTGCCGTGACATCGTGTGTTGGAAAGGCTTTCTGGAGATGTTTAATTAGGGCACGGCTTTTGGCGTGGAAGAGGCTTCCCGATTGCGTGTAGCCGTGCAGCATGAGTAGTTTCAGAGGCTGGCGCACAGCCGGTTTAGGAGCCATGGTGAGGGTATAGGAATTAGAAAATTCGTTTATTCGAAGGAGAACAAGGCTATGATTCAAGAAGGATGTATAGCGGGGAGAATCATGTGGAAATGCGAAGATGTGGAAATCCAATGCAAAGCGGAGCTGCCCGATAAGAGATAAGGAAAAGTAAAAAACACGACCCTCGGTCCCTGAATGTATTTCGTCACATCAACAAACTACACCATAACACAACTTTTATAACACATTATTTGTTTTCGTGCAAATCCCAAGATGACTACCGGAGTCGAACATTACAACTTGCCCGAGATGGATCAACAGATGGAGGATCTCATTGAGTACGTCTTTTTTTAACCCTTTCTCCCATCAAGCAGCCCTAAGCAGCACACATCGTCATACCCCAAGTTCTTCTATATGGACGATACCCTTACCCAGCTGGAACTACATGAAATGAGATGAACCCCAGCCCACATTAATCCCACAGCGACATGTTTTCCCTTTTTTAAAATCCCAGATAATATTTATACATATACCACTATAGTGCATTCGAGGCACATCCCCAAGTGCAACCACCAAGCCCACACCCAACAGCTTTCTTCCTCCTCGACTTCATCCGCAACTCGCACAAGATGCTGAAGGCAGTTGATCACTCAAAGTACGCTTCCGGTGATAGACCTGCCGCTGAGACTGTCCAAGAGGTCGTTGGCCGTAACCAGTTCTCCAATCTTCTTTTGAACGATGTATCCGGCAAGCTGTCGCTCATGACTGGCAGCGACCCGTCGAATCCAATCGATTTCGGACCTCACATTAAGGAGAAGGCACGAGTCCTGACTGAGTACTAAGCCAGCTCAACTGCCTATGTGCATCATGACTTGAATATTTGATCATTGTTTTTGTGCGTCTAAATTGATTTGCTTTTTTGCTTTTTTGTTTCGCTTGCATTACCGACATTTGGATTTAACTCAACAGCTGGCTCGGATGTTCATTGCAAGCGTTGGGTTTATGTGGTTTATATTTTGGACTGGAATCAGTTCTTGAGGACGAAAAGTATAAGTGACTCTTTGCCTTCTGCCCTTCATTGCCTTCGTTCACCTATCTTACCCTACATGAAACCTTCGTTTGACTTGTATCACCACAAACAAAAAAAAACCCTTATACCTCATCAGTTTATCTATTTTCTCTACAAAGTCGTGTACACAAAATTAAAGAGAGTATAGTATCATAAACAGAACAGAAATCAATGGATACCTATTTATGCCTCAATCCCACATATTGAAAATCAATCTATTATACATACATGTACCTGGAGAACATCCTCATCCTAAAACATTAAAGCATCCTCAAATCCACAGCGAACGGATATAGACCCTGAGAAACCGCGAAACGCCATTGAGAATGATGTCATGCGTTTTTTTTTTTCGTTCCTGGCTCCGAGGAGAGATCATCCAAACCCAGTGTACGGTTACGTAGTGCACTCCCGGGTGGAGCTAAAAATGCACGTCCATTCATTCTGCCCCTCCCTTCTTCTAACGAACAACCCTTGAGCCCTCGATTATGTATATTTGCCCCCACACCATAATTAAGTAAAAGTTTCTCTGATCGGCTGTAATGACGTTTTCTATCCTCGGTCTGGCTGAAGTGGCCCCTTTGTGGGGCGGTGGTACATACATATGAAGTGGGGACGGGGCTCGGTGTGGAATGGGGAATAGGCGAAGACATTGTGAAGTAGAGGAGTATTTGTGATGAATGTGGATTTTGGGGAATTTGGATCTAGACCCAGGAGGAGTAAACAGTAACGGTTTTTTGACAGAAGTTGTAACTCGATAAAATTGGGTGACTTCTGTCGAGCCAAGGACTACTGGCTCAGGCTATTTGGTTTGGGGACCGATGGATATAAATGCGAGGGATACTGTCTTACTTCTTGTTCTGTTTTTGGGACTTCGGAGCGGGACTTCATGACAGGTTGGGGATCTCATTACTACCTGGGTATGTAGAATGGATGTCCATCTTCTGGGATTGAATGTGCCAGCTGGTGGATTGTCTGATGTATAATACTCTTCAAGTCACGAACTGTTGACTCGGATAATGAAATGACGAAATAATGTACCTGTCAACAGGAGACAACAAGGTCATGAGAACATCTCGAGAAATATCCCAAGTGCCCGGTTGTGAACTATCACCTGATTGAATTATATGGTAGGTTGAGTGTGGTGTCGCCATTGATTACTACTAGATGGTAGACATGGCATAGTTACAATGTATGCTAGCTGGAACACAAGGTATGAAAGTGCCGGGACAAGAGGTATGGATCACTGTGGAGATGTGGCCCAGACCTCGAAATACGTGGCTTACTAGGATACTGCCCCAGGTGATCGAGCAGAGCCCAGGAGGCTCAAAAGCTTAAACTACTAGTATGCTACAAAATTACAGGTGTCTAGATCATTCCCACAGCAAGTTCAAGGTACAACTCGATTGAGTAGATATCCCAGTTTACAAATGCAACGAACAAAAAGCCAGAACAAATCAAGAAATCAAAAACACGGCACAAGGTGCCACTCGTGCCAGATATCCGGAACTCCCTGAGCTGATGCTTGTCGCTTTTTTTCTTTTGGTCGAATGCTTTTAGGGTTGCGAGGTACTCCATCTTCTATCTGTCATCAATCGGAACAAAAAATCAGAAAAACAAATCAAACTCAAACTCATCGCTGTGATATTAAACAAGAGCCGTTCAAACACCACAGCAGAAAAAGTAATAGAGCAATGCAAAACATCGATTGAATTCAGTAAAAAGAAAAGACAATTCATTCAAAAAAGCCACACGATATCCCTTGTAGGTGGAAGCGAATAAAAAGGAAGTAGTAGGAGGATAGGATGGAAATGGAAAGGTATGGAATCGTATCATATCATTGCCTCCTCGGTAAACTCCCTGGCCATTCGTCCAGGGTCGAGAACCGGAAAGAAGTTGATTTGGTATGTGACATTTTGAACGGCGGTTTCCCTCGTCGAACCGAACCGAAGTAGTGCAAGGTCAAAAACCCAGTTGGTATTTTCATCCTAATTGCTCCATGCTATTTCCCCACTGTGCGTTTCAACAAGACAAAATAAGAAAGAAGTTATTTAGCGTCTCGTTTACTTGCGGCGGAACGAGCAGCCCTCGGTCAGACGGGCCTTGCCACCGGTAGGCTGGCACAGAACGGTGGAGCAGCCGGCGCAGATGACAACGGTCTGGGCGTGGGAGAAGACGGTGGTGATGGTGAAGCAACCGGGGCACTTGACGTCCATGAAGAAGGAGCGGGGCTGGGGCACAAGGGTCTATAGGAGAAGGGGTTAGTTCGTGTCCATTTCCTTCATTATGCCTCGAGCGGCTTCATCGATAGATTGGATTGGATGGATGTGTGGTATTCGGTGATTCATGTATGTCGGTAATTGGTTGTTGTTGTGGTTGGTTGTGATAGTTGTTGTTGTTTTCCATATCTCATTCATCGCCCGTATCCCACAACCCATTTCCAAATCGAGAAGTGCCTCGTGTGCATATCGGAGGTGAAGGTAATTCATACCTTAAGCTTGTGCTTGCGGGCCTCAGCCTGAGGTGTGGGGTTGAGAAGGTCGATCGCGAGAACCTAGAAGACAAAAAGTCAGCGGGTCTGGAGCAGTTGAAGATTTTGATGTTGATGATAATTCAAGATCTCGGCTCATTTCGTCTTCAGGTTGCCGTGTCGGATGGAAAAAGAGGCTGGAAGATCGAAATCGAAGCCAGAAAAAAATTCTAGACGAGCGAGAATGACGAGGAGGGCGCTTACCATCTTGGCGGTTTAAATCAGCGAGTGAGTTGATGAATGGCGCTGACAGCGATGGCCTTGTGTGAAGCGGAATGGAACCCAGGAGAAGTTTGAAGGGATTTGTCCAACTGGGCGGTGGTAGGGTTATAGTGCTGTAGCCCTCGCTTCGCTAGCCTTTTTTGGGTGGATTTCGTGGGCTCGTCCCGCCAATCACACCGCCTGTTTGTGGTTGGCCAATCTGGTTCCGTGATTCTGCCGTCAGCGGGTGGATGACATAAGCTGCTCCAGCGAGCAAGAACTCAAGTGCATAATTGCTTTATACATGCTGAGTTACCCCATACAATACATTGATGATCTTCGATAAAACGTCTCACATTATACTCATATTTCTATTGGCACTCGGAGCAACCCGTGTCAAAAAACAATATTTACTGGCTGAAGAAATCAAAATCATTACCGTCCCCTTAAATTTGTCCTGTTTTTGTTGTTGTTTGTGTCTGTCAGACAGCATCTCACAACTGTGAACATCCCCGCATTTCGCCAAATGGCAGAGCTACACCAGTCGTGGTGATTGAGGTTGAGCTATGCGTCACTCACGAACCCGAAAATCATTAACACTACTCATACTCAACGAGCAGTATTAGTTCATCTTCTTCGACGCACCCTCCACCTGCGCCTTGGTTGTCGACCCGACCTTGCGCTCCGTCTCCTCGACGAAGGGGTACTTGATGGTCAAACACCAGATATCGATGTAGTCACAGATGGTAGTGATCACGTCGAACTATAAAAAACGAATATCAGCACCAAGCCAGCGCTCGTTGGGAACAGGGAAAATAAAACTCACCACAAAGCTACCATAGATACCAACCGCAAGACCCAAACACCCAAATACAAACTGCGTCTGACCCACCAGAGGTGTGGACCAAAGACCAACCGCCGAGCCAGCACTATCCAGAACACCAAGCGCAAGCGGGTAAAGCAAGATATTCTGATACGGAAAGCCCGACTGCACGAGATGTCCAACAATCATACGGCCCACAGAATAAGCATTGATCAACCCAACATATATACCAAAAGGAATTGTGTAATTCCCCAGCACAGCCGGGTTCAAGTACAGATATGCCGGGACAAGAGTCCAGATCAAAGCCAATGGCAACAATCCATACAGCGGCGCGAGGGGATCCTGGCCACGCTGACGGCGCACTTGCATAACGTGCCAGATACTAGAGCCAGTGGCGAAGATGAGCATAATTGCACCGTACACAAGGTAACATTGTGTGAAGGGCATTTCGTAGATCTTCTGTGAGAGGAAGCTTGGTTTGGATACGCCGAATGTCTCGAGCATTGGACGGTGCCAGAAGCTACCCCCGCCTACGTAGGCTGTGAATGCGTAGACGAGGCATAGAGTGAGGACACCTTCGACGGGACCAGAAACGACTCCCAGAGTCAGGACCTGGGTGTAGTATTCATCCCATGTTTGTACGTAGAAGGTCATTGTCGCTGGGACTTGTTAGAGAATGGCAAACTGCAAAGCTGGCAGGGGTGCACTTACATCCGAAAAGACCTAGAATCGTAGACCAGGATTGTCCGAGGTTCATTGCAGCTGCAAAGATAAGTACACCCAATCCGGTATTGCATGCATCAACACCTATATTCCGAATCAATGCCCATCCAGAAACAAACAGCATATAAGGACCGAATCAGTAACATACTGTGATCAAAGAGTTCACCCAAAGGACCACTCTGTTTTGTCCTCCGCCTGCAGGTAAATTAGCAAAGTCACTTGCACAGTTATTTGGTTGTAGGAACACCCACGCTTGCATGCCATCCACAGCGTCAAAAGTCTGGTATAAAAACAAACCAATCGCGCAACTAGCATAAACCCAAGGCGGACAATCCGTGTCCAAATTAGGATTATACCACATCACCGTAATGAAATTGATGACCACGAACATGAATCCGGTCAGGGTAATCTAGATCCGAAATAAAACATTAATAATGCTTTTCCAAGATTTCCATTTCTTTTCCTTTGCGATTTCGAGCGCATATCGCATACAGCTAGGGCTCGTAGGTATTTCGGAAAAGAGGTAGATCGAACTTACAGCATTAGGACTGCGCAAAGAAGAAAAGTTAGTAAAGCGCAAAAAAATAAATAAACAGGGTACAGGTTCAAGTTCGGAATACATATTCAAGCTCAAAGACAAATAAAGTCGAGACAAGCTTACAGCTTTCCCAACTTCTTCAATCTCCAAGAGCTCCAACCCATACTCCAACCCAACCAAACTCCGGGGCTACTCACGCCATGCTCATGGGAAAACACCCAATAACACATTTGCTATAGAACGGCTTCATTATGTACTGACTAATCAACGAGTGGTCAACCCCAGCATATTTGTAATTGCGGAGGTTAGGCAAATGGTGCTGCCGAATGTAGACCATCTCCGCAGTCGAGCTTGAGCCGAAAGGTAATCGGAATCGTAAACTGGATGTGTCTGGCTAATGCTAACGCGACAAGGAGCGTAGGTATGTTCTGTTCGTTTCTGTTCTGTTGCGTAGGAAGAAAGGAAGGAAAGAAAAGAAAAGGAAAGGGTCTTTGCTGAAATCCTCTCGTCTTGTTTCGTCTCGTCTAGCTCGTCGTTTGTGTTGTGTCTGTTATCTTGGTACCCGTTTGCCGTCAACACGTAGTCCTTTTCTTTGCAGGCGGTAGGTAGTCGGCGGTGGAGGGGCGTTTTAAATTAGGACTGGGACTCGGATAGGAGAAGAGGAGGGGGCTAGGTAGGACCCGTGGACGCGCTCGGACTGAGGGGAGGGTTTGAGGTGTAGCTCGTGAAAGCTTCTGAAGAAAAGTCGGCAAAAAAGAAGAGAGCGCCGCGCGAAATTATTATGGGTCCCGCTTTACTAGGTTGTTGGGGAGAGAAATGGACGGAGATCGGCGTGCTTCTTTCTTGTGGACAACAAAGCATGTAGTTTTGTTTTCGAGTGTAGGGAGTTTTTTATTGTTTTATTTGTTTTGTCTGTTTGGGTGTGGCTTAGTTAACGTTTATTTTCAACCGGGTTTTCTGTTTCCTGATTCTTGTTCCATGTTTGGTGTACTGTGTTCCCCCTTATCCTCTACAAGGTAAACTAGATCTACCTAATCGTTCCTGGATCCCCGTAATATTCAAGTCCCTACATATTGTATCCTAGACATCTGTGTATACCCTCCCAACCACGACGAGAACCCTAGATTCCAAGACTAATCCAAACTATCCCGTATTCATCTATTTGAAGTTAATCCTCGAATTAAATGTCCCTGGTGGCCCACGTGCAACAATGACGTTCCTCGGTCACTAGGGAGAAACGAGATGCCAATAACATGCATGATTGCGTTGGTGCGCAAAGTGGGGGATTTCCCGAGGCATTCAAGTTCGGTTAGGCTCAGGGACACGCGTAGCCGACAAGATTTAACTGGATTGAACATAGAGCCTTGGTGGTAAGAAAAAGTAACATTGAAGTGGATTGGATATGCAGCGTGACGCCATGCCTAGATACACGATACAAATGTAGTAATGGTTTCCCCTCTCAAGTCTCCAACAACATCCCAAACCTGGAAATTGAAGATGACTGGGTAGAACTCGATTCCGATTCCGTCTGTCCACACTGCATTCATATAATGATAATGAAATCGGTTGCCTGGGACAGTACAGTACCAGAAAAATACTCCGACAAGAAGAATAAGGATAACCATACATACTAGGTTTGACTTCAAGAGACGGGAGCAGAAAATGCTAGGTGGAGCTGTAGGCTCCGCAGGGTGGCCCTCGAGCAAAAACGAGGAAACAAAAAGAAAATGAAACCCAGTCCCTTAACCGACAGGGCTCCATGGCATCGGAACAAGGATTCGGCTCTGCATAGACTGAATGAGAGGAACAGTCTTGTGCACTGTCTCGCCCCATCCTTCAATACCCCAAGATTGTTCACGTCGGATCTTTCGCTCTTCCAGATTGGCGAATTGCCACAGGTGGTGTACGGTGTTCAGATCTCCGATCTGGACGAACCATGCGCCTACGCCCTCCATGACTTCTCGACGGGCTGTCAGACCACGGCGCCAGTGTGTCTCCCACTCGAGCAGGTTACCGGGGTGCAAGGTGTATGAGCGGAGTTCGAAAAGGCCACCCAGTCGGCGCGGTGGGGTAGTTGGCCAGAAGGAGAACTCTTGCATAAGCGATGTTTTCTTACTCTTGATCAGACTCTTCAGTTTGCGGTCAAAGTCGCGGAATTCAGGGTGAACGGAGATATTGTGCAAAGAGGCATGGTAACCTTCGTAGCGTTGGTACTCCCAGATGTGAACTATAAAGCAGAGGTATCGGTTGGTTAGCGTTTCGAAGAGGAAAAATAAACCAGACGAAAGACACTGAGAAAAAAATTACCGAATGTATCATTGTCTCCAACTTGTGTTCGCCAACTGCCCACCAAATTGACGCGGTTCTCCTCTGTCCCAGCCATACGTGGGTACCACTGACCAACAAGGTCGACATACTCATCGACCTTGTCGGGCTTAACATCGTGAAAAACGACAGAATGAACGTATTTACCGCGAGCGAGAACCTGCGAAAACGAGCGCTCAATATCCTTGTCGAAGTGCTGACCTTCCTTCGTGCCGTAGATCAGGGAAGAAAGAGGACCGCGCTTATTCGGGTTCTCCTGTGAATTATCATCTCCTATAGAACGATGTAAAGCGAGTAAGCCTAAGGCCTTATTGTCCAGAGCTTCAGCGGCATCATAGGCCGGACGAATTCGATTTTCTAAAGTGCTCGCATTGCTCACGTGCGGAGCAGTGGGAGCGGACTCACGGGTAGGAAGGGACGAGGTAGAGGCAGAAGCAGAAGCATTGACAGACTGACTCTCTTGCAGTTCCTTTTTCTTGCGAGCCTCTTCGAGGTTCTCGCGAAACTCCTTCTGTCGCCGGTTGAACTCTTCGGCAGAGTTCGGGGTCATGTCTCTAATTGAGGGGGAACGGTAGGAGACAGCGGAGGAGGTGAAGGGCCGCACCAGCGACTTTGCTGGGCGGAGGAAACGCGGGCTCAACATGGTATAATGTTTGCTCTTCTCTCTTGGGTTTTTGGTGGGGGGTGTTGTGTTTGTGTTTGTGTTTCACTTCGGTCTCGACGCGAGAGTCGCAAGGGAAAGGATGTGGCGATGAGTTGTGTGTTTGAAAACGGAAAGGGAAAGAGAGAAGAGGGCGGTGACAAGGATCAAGGGGGATGGAGGTTTTAATAAAAAGCTTCACGTAGGTAGAAATTGAGATGGAGAAGGGGAGAGAGAGGGAGAGAAAGATTTTGAGGGGAAGAGGAAAAGAGAGGGGGGTTGAACAGTGAAGGTCTGGAGCAAAGGGGGCAAAGGGAGACGTTGATTCAGTACACGACAGAACACGATACACGGAGGACAAGCTTCAAGAACCAATGAAAGTGGAGACTTTAGGCCAAGACAGTTGACCTCGGAGCAAAAAGCAGAGAAGCTTGTAATTTTACTTGTTTCGGGGTTGAATTTAGTACGCTGACCTCTCGAACAGGGAGGATTGATTCGATCGTATGGGGATTGTGCGGGGAAAGATGAGCTTCCCTCTACTAAGGATTACTCCGGTCTAGTTCCTTGGCTGTTTAGTCTCCACTTGGGGGGCGTTGGTGGGTAATGATGACATGGGGGAATTGGAAGAGACAGAGGAGGAGACAGTTGGATTGTATTACACGAAACTAGAGATTTGATTCTGCTATACCCTGTCGATTGCTATATTCTAATCTAAGAATTCTGGTATTTTAGTTCCTCCGCAGTTCGGATTGGAATCTGGCGATGTTGCTGGTGGCTATGTTGAAGCGGATGATCATCGGAGCCTTTGCCATTATGACGAAGGTGACTCCACATTCTTTGCAGAGAAACCCAGCCCCTGGATCATGGAGAGATTCTGATTTCAAAAAGGTGGATATAATGTGGAATTAATTGAAGCGGAATTAGCAGATTCTGTTCAAGTGTTGAATCATGATGTAACTTGTGGAGCTGTGTCCAATGTCTCATTGATGCCACTTTCATGAGGCACCTAATCGTAGATCCCGTGATGCTTCACCACATGACATATCAATAAAGAAGGTGATCGTTTGACTTGTTGCCGTAACGTCCATGTCCATGGTCACCACGCAGCCACCTTGTCCAGTCCATAGCTGTGAAACTAGTAGCAGACGCATCCTCGAATACCTTTTCGTTAGTCCCTTACGAAAGCACACGAGTCAAACACCTGCTTTACTGGAAAGCTTCAAAAGCCTGAGTTGTGTAGAGACCATTGGAATGAGGCAGAGCCATGAGTCGCTAGGTTAGCTAGCTCCCTATCCCCAGCAGGTACTAATTAAGGCCCTGGTAGGTAGCTTTGTCGAAACCGCAGAAACTTATTCCTTTCACACTGGTATGCTTTAAAGCGCTGCATACTCATTGTTTCTTTGAATGTTCCCAAACACTCCGAAATCCTCTCGAGGCTCTCAACTTGAATAAGCCGACAGTATCTACTGACTGATAAGACAGCGTGCGAGTAATGCTGACATTATCAAACCAGATCACAAGATGGATATGGAGTGTAACTCTTTCAAGTCATTTTGAGATCAAGAAGTATCAAGGATTTCGAAGTCTTTGCATGGATAAACAGTCTCCTCAGTATATGTACGGTGTCATTGCAAAGCCCACAAGATGGGTCAGATGTCCACAGATCAGGGCTTATAACTTCAGAACAGAAACGCATGTAAATTAAAACCAAATGGCTAGTAAAAGCATGATAACAGTATATTGTCTTAATGCTAAAGTCAACTAACCATGCCCTGTAAACTTGGTTTATGGTGAAGAACCCAGTCCTCCAATTTTCATATGACCTTGAAACGGTACCGGAGCTATGAATTCAACTGAAAGCAATGGAATGGGTTGTAAAGCCTCATTACTCTGGTAAAGAGTTTCATTTTTGTGACTCAAGTGCTTATTCTCTTGATCCAGGAAGTCCTTCTTCCGAGCAAGCTTCTCGCTCTCTTCACCGAGGACGTCCCTCTCCTGAATAAGTTTCACGCCCTGCGCTTTCCAGGCGGTCAGTGACCACAGCGGCCTCGAACTCGCGTTCTCGTTCTTCGAAGATCCAGTCATAGAGGGCCTCTTGTTTCTTGAAGAACTTCTTCTGGCGGGTCTTAGGGTCGATAATAGTGGTACCTATACTAGGCGCCGTGGTTAGGGTCGCGTCACTGTTACCGCCGGCGGCAGGTCTTTGGGAAGTCGAGGCTCGCAATAGCGTGGAGCTTGTCGGCGTGTGTGGTCATGCCGAGGGAAGTCGATCTACTTACCGAGGATGGTTAGAGAGGGGAAACAAAGACGTGACTTCTCGGGGCTCAGCGTGATGTTATGATCCTGGAAGACGGTAAAGAGCTTATGCAGGCGGGAGATGTGCTCATCGAAAGTGTCGGCAGCTTCTGTTATATCATCAATATATGTGCGGCACTATTCTCTGAAAGCACGCAGCATGTTGTCCATCTGGCACTGAACGTAGGCGACGGAGTTGACACTCCCCATTATGGCGACGGTTATTATTCCTTGGCCACGGTGAGAGACGATCGCCTGTAACTGGGTATCGTGTGGATGCACCTTCCATTGGTAAAAGAATTTAGCGGCGTTGACTGGTAGCAATGCTACCAAGTGTTATCGGGCCTGTGGGAACACGGAAAAAAATGAGGGAAACGAACTTGCTTCTTCTTAAGGAGGCGAGGCCTCCAACACTAACTAAACTAACTGGCTATTCAGCCTCCGGCGGTAACATACCAGCAGCTAACCAGAACAAAAAACAAATTTCGCAGTGCTATAATCACTAGTCATACATGTATGCGCTGGACTTGAAAAGTTTCCATAAGATGAAGTAATAATCCACATCCACATCAATACCGTCCACTGCAGTGTGCACCTCGATGACCCACATCATAAACTAACACACCGGAACCTTAAGTCGCATCAGCTATATCAACAGCATAGCCACGTCTATCATCACCCTGACTGAAAATCACATATAACCCCCTTCTTAATATCTCGATCCATATCTGAAATAGAGCGCCTAGGCGACGTCACAGGTGCGTTGTTTTTTAAGTTGTAAACTGAAAGTGCTGTATATACAAAGGAGGGAGATTATACTAGGCCCAGGGCTAATACTAGTCTAGTATTAGCTTGATACTGGACTAATATTAGCTCCACATTAATTTCGGATTAGAGTAAAGCCGAAAATGGTAAACAGATGAGGGGAAAATGGAGTTTATCCGAAAATAAAGCCTAGATGGTCTAGTGGTAAGACGCATACTCCATATGGCCCCTGGTGCCCTTGGTATTGACAGGAAGATATCCGAGTCGTCGTCGAAATTATTGGTAGCATTTCTCCGCAATTTCAATTAGAGTAATTCCAATGATCACTATGCTGAGCCCTAGGAGTGATGAATAGAATAGTCTCAGGAAAATATTCAATTTGCAGTTGTACTCTGGGGTATCTAATGCCGTCATTATCGAAGTGAAATTGAAGTTGATAACAGTATATTGATTGAAATGGAATGAATGTAGAGGGAGTCTTAGCTGTATGAAGAATCAGGCTGTAAAGGTCGGGTAGAGAGGGAAAGAATAAACAAAATAGACGACGTGGGACTCACGAATTATATCATCTTGGTGTGATGTTTCTGTGCCAACGATTGAACAGATATGGGGAAAGTCTACAAAAAAAACTTAAACCAAGAATCTGAAAACCTAGAGCTAATTTGGCTCAGCACTACGCTCAAGCCTTTTTCAGTAAATAATGAGAAAGAATATTTTCGCATTCGCATTAATGTATCCATAGCTATCATCCGAATCCTAAAAATATGGAAAAAGAAAAAAATACAGAAATCAATTCGACGGGCAATCTAGGTCTGGGCTGGACGAAGAAATGAAGATGGGGATGGAAGGGGAAGAACAGGACAGAGCAGGACAGAACAAACCGAATCATGATGAACACTCGAACTATGCAAACGCTACCTACGCTAAGGCGATACATGAGATGGAGTAGAGTCAGAAAGATAGAAATGGAGATGGAGATGGAGATAGAGATAGAGAGAAAATGGAAATAGAATGATGAATAGAAATAGAAAGCTAAACGGACGGTCATGTTCGTGATACCATAAGGTCGAGTTCGGTGTAGTATTGAATGTATGGAAGGGGAGGGGAGGGGACAGGGTTGAAATTGGGGCTGGGGTGGGGTTGGGATATGTAAGAAAAATGGGGTAAGTCGCTAAGTCCTTCTGGACATGTGTCAAGGGTGATATGGATAGAAGCTATCCGGGATGTTCATTTCAGTTGATTTTAGTTGGGTTGGGTTGGGTTGGATTGGGTTGTCTTCAGAACCTGAGCTGATCAAATCAGATCTGATCATCGTCCATGCGGTTCCCAATGAATAGGCTCAAAGTCCTGGTTTTGAAAATGGGCCTGATTGTACGGCGAGCTACTACGCAGTTAATTAACAATGTTTCCTTGACAGTGAGCAGGGAAGTTCGACATACTTCTTAAAAGGACTCGTCACAGGAAGCGAGTGGCTTAGATTCGGCTTCATAACCAATGGATTCAATCGAATCTGTGGCCCCTCCGAGCGATTCGGTAACGTAGTCATTGGCGGCGGGGCAGACGGCATGACAGGCGTTGGCGCAGAGACAGGTGGCATTGTTTGGATCGGGGCATGGCTTTGCATTGGAGTTTGATAAAGGTCGTGTGGCGGGGAGACTCGATATGGGCTTTGTGGGGCTGGAGAGACCGATGAGAGCGGGGACATTGGGGCACCCATGCCGCCGAATGCGGAGTCTGCCATTAGGTTTGGAATTGACATTAAGTGGGCGTTGACGTCGAAGGAGAGGGCGCCTTGGTCCCAGGGGGTGTAGTTGGAGGTCATTCCGTATTGAAAGTTCACAATTGGCGCCATGTTGATTTGAGGGGGTTCGGGTTGGTAGAGGATATCGTAATGGCCACTGTGATGACGGTTAGGGGGGGGGTGAGTGAAGGACAAAAATATGACGGTTTGTACCTACGGGCGATAGAGGAGTCGGATGGTTGCTCCATTGGGACAGTTCGGGGATAGCTGGTGTGGTGTCACGGAGTCGCCTTCGCTTCGATCAAGGTAGAGAATCTCAACGCCAAAGCCGGCACCTTCTATTACTCCGTCGACCAGGGCTTGTAAGCCGACTTCATCAATCTCGGTTCGAACAGTTTCTATTCGCTGAGCGCAGTACTGATCTAATGGTGGCGAGAGGAAAGCTTGGTATCTGTGCGGATTGAGTCTCATCCATGCACTTGTCATAAGCTAGATGTGTGTCAGTATATGGTTCGAGCCGGGGAAAGAATGAGACAGAGGAAGAATAACGTACTCTGAAGTGTGTGATGACAGCACTCGAATTGTATTCCTCATTAAAGGCATTGATCAAAAAAGTTTCATCCTGCTCGCCATTATGAATGGCCGACAATGTTTGCGCAAAGATATCTTCCGTGGCATCAACGAAGATCTCATATAGTTCTTCCTGTTGGCCGACCTGGTCCAGAAGTGTATTGAGCGATTTGATGCGATCAAGTTCGCGTTGTACGCCAATGGGATCCCGAAGATTAAACAAAGTTTCGAAGTAACCGAATGCCACCGCTGGAGGAAGTCAGAGTATGATCAAGTGAAGATTCCAGCATGAATCTGGTATAGGGCCTACCTCTCCAACCGCAATTCCCATCTCCCTTCATGATGCGGGTCATGGGATGAGTAATAGCAAGAGCCTAGGAAAATGTTAGATTTGCTGGAGATATGAAATCATAAAAGCACAGATAGAGAGGACATACGCTCGTTTTTGTAGCAAACGTGGGGTCTGCATTGGCATATTCCATGGCGATGGCATGGCTGGATTGTTTCGGCGAGACGAGTGGTCCCTGAAGATAGTTAGAACCCTGGTCTCAAAATCAACCAAATGAAAGAAATGGATGCGCACCGGAACATCTGGCTCGAATTCATTAGACAGCTTCTGGAAACGCTGCATCTCATCCTGAGAGAGAGCATTCATGTTTGACGGATTGGCCATGTTGGAATGAGCGGACGTGAAAGTGGAAGTGGCAAGACCAAGTGGAGGCAGCAGTGGTGGAGGGACTAGGGAGTCCCTGTAAAAGCCGAGAAATTTCTGTCTTTCCGGGAAGGGATGGTGAGGACCAAAGTGATTCCAGTGAAGTTGTGATAAGGACATCGCATACGGTGAGATACCTCGAGAATGGGGCGGACAAGAAGAGGGGAGATCCAGATGTCCGAGAGATCTATGTCTTCATAGATATCTGTTGAGGGTTAGAGGGAGCATCTAGAATAGGAAGAGGGGAGAACCCGGGGAGAAGGCACGCACTATTTAAACTGCAGATGACATTTCCTTGAAGAAATAAGGTGATTGGACTCCCGACTCAGAGTGCGTGGTGTAACAAGGCACTAGCAAGACCCGACAGCGTGGATAAACTAGATCGATGTCATTAATTTAGCATGCTGATCCAGAGATATTAAACATGGAGAATGCAGGAATTTTGTGGTAAAATATCATAGTTCAAACTTGTATAACCAGATCAGATCAATGAGAAAAAAAAAACAAATAACAAAAGGCAGAAAGCAGAAAGCAGAAAGCAGAAAATATAAACAAATTCTAGTCACACCCTAACCATCTAGTCACCCATATTATAGAGGAAAAGAGGGAAAGAAGGAGAAAGGCAGAGGTGGTGGTGTGGTGCAAAACCTCCCCTATCCCGATGAGGAAGTGATTGGGTTTCGTATGCGCGTCCACTCAGTGACAAGGAAGAGTGCCAACAGTGTGATGAACGGTCCAGACACGCCAGCCAGCTGAAGTATAAAGATGACTAAATGGTACAAATGACCAGGATGTCATCAATGATGTCAGGTTGGGAGCTGGACCTCATGAGATTGACATTGAATCGGAGATGAATCGGGGAGGAATGAGGAATGAGAAATGAGCAATGGAGATAAAGTGCACGAACCAGTCCGACTCCACAATGGGGGAGTACAAGGATTGATTCTTTTTTCTTTGTTGTTTTTCCCCATGAAGCCGAGACAGAACAAGACGGTCGGAAACATTATCCGGGACTCATCTGCTTATCAGCTGATGGGGAAGAGGTAAGGGGAGGGGCCAAGCACTTTCACTGCCACAATGTACGTTGTGCATGGAATACAAGCAGAACGGAACACCGAAAATAACAAAAGAACAAAACAATCGAATAGAAAAGGAAGAGACCGGGGAGTAAGAGGGGAGGGGGGGAGCTCAGACCTTGAATTCTTGTCGTGTACACGTGGATGATCTAATCATGGATGGGAGAGAATGAAGCAGAAGGAGGGTGGGAAGAGAGATAATAATAATAATAATAATAAAGTAGGGAACAAAGGGAAGAATGAAGGAATCCAAATCCAAATCAAATTGGAAAAAGATGACGGTGAACAGGGATGGGAGAGGAGAAAAGTGGAGGAGAGAGAGAGAGACAGAGACAGCAGTTGGAGGTTCAAGGTTGTGGGAATCCCGCTGTAATGGTATTGGAGGTAACGGGGTTTGCTTCAATCTTGGTCCACAACACCTCCTTCAACTAAACACAACCTTTAGTTTTTTATTTCTCTTTTCTTCTTCTTTTCCTTTTTCTTCTGCAAATCCAACCCCGGATGCAATACCCGGATGATCACTAGAAAAGGGAAAGAAAAAAAGAACCTCGGAGTGGGGAACGGCGTTATACCCGGTATCTTACACCAGCCCTGGAGTTGGCCTGAGCTGTAAGAGGGGAAGTCCAACTTTGATATATCCAGGATTGAAGGTCCGAGAGACTGCTGGAGCTGAGCTGGAAAGGCTAAATCGGCGACCAGTAAATGGAATAGGAATTCAACTCGAAGGCAGATACGTAGCAGGGACCCAAGGCCATAAGTAAGAAATTGGAAGGGACAGTGCACCGTGCCCACTTGGGGGTCGATTTCTGCAGATGCTGATCGGAATTCGCCCAAGGTGACAACACAACGTACATGGGGTTAGCAAACACGCATATTCATTTCTTTCTATTTCTTTGACTTGGATTTTCCTACCTTACAGTTCTGTTCCTACCATCCTACCGGACTCTTATCTTCCCACAGTGGAGAATTAGATAGATCATAGATTAGAATCAACATAGATGAAAATAACAATTAAAAGTACCTTAAGAATACGAAAGAATACGAAAAAGAATAATAAAATAAAATGAAATAGGAAATGCATTTCTGAAACTAATCCCAAGCGCGCGCATCCATAGCCTTGCTGTTCTCTCCCCGTGCCCAAACACGCCCAAGCCGTTTCTATCTCGGACGAATCGGACGGGGCCGGTAGTGTCCCACAATACATGTAGAATAGAATGATGAAATAAATACAATCTATGCCCTCATCTAGAATATGAAAATACAAAATATAAACCAATAAACAAGGTAGATCGACCTTCGCCCCGATCTCCAACTCAAAAGCGGGGTTTGTACTCCCATTACTGCCCTGTACTAACAGGCCGGGGTGTACCCTAGGCCTACTACCTACACTACCAGGTGCCAGTGCGAATGCGAGGTGCAGTACCTATGCACCTCTAGTACTTGACCATGATTCCACCATGACGGCCCCTATGATTCTCATTCATGATCTGATTCGCCATTCGCATCGCCCAGTACCGGCAATTTAGTCCGAGTGGTCGTTTCTCGCATTTTCTACAGTATTTTACATTGCCATCGTGTACTTTTTTCCACCATAAGACTTCCAATATTTGAAGGTTACTGACCATCATCCCACCTTATATGTACACTACACTAATCTACCCTACACACCTATATTATCTGTCCTATACTCCATGCTTGAGATTTTATTCTATTCTATTCATGCATATTACAATATTTGTATATAGTACTGTATAGTTATAATTAATGGTACGATCCTCGGTCAGCCGCCGGGCCCGTTTTTTAGACTTTATCCTCGGAAGGCGTTCTATCACCCGACTCTACGCACTGAGAACTTGATTAATAGCACAGAATCATATTTCCAGGATTATTATAACCTAGAATTCATACGGAGTAAGTAAATCATATTTTCCAATATCACAATCACAATCACCCTTTCAGCTGGGGACGTGCGAGTCTTTTCTTTTTCTATTTCGCCTCCGCCTTGGCTGCCTGGTCTTTGACCTCTATTATGGACAGGGTTCATGACAGCTGTCAGTGCGGAGTTCAAGTTAAGAATACACCTCAGTGGTAAAGTACATACTCTTACCATATTATACCCGGCACCATACATTTTACATCATTGTACCTACATAATAATTATATAGGCATTAATCGAGAAAGAACAAGAGAAAAGGAAAGCACTTCGAATAGGTAAGATTGTTCACGTTGAGTGAACTCTCTTCAATCAATTCGTACCTGCTTCAATCCAGGTACCATCTTGAACTTGAACGAACTCAATACTAAGTACGCACAGGAAGACTCGATACGAAGTACATAGTACATCATCTGGGCAGTAGATAGGTACTAGGTAGTAAAAGCACTTTCAAGATCGATCATATATTCACATGTCTGGACTCTAATAGTTTAGTGCTAGTATTTTTGTTTAGGTCCATGCACCAGCATCACCTATCACCTATCACATCAAGCACTGTCGGCATTTGCTATTCTGAGACATTATCCGAGTCCCGCTCTGATCCAACCAGAACACGCTTATCGCAGTAACTCCGTACTTACTATACGTACTTAGTACTAATACCCTCCCTATAATAGTCCTGATATAACCCTGATCCAATTTTATTTTTTTTCAAATAAGAGCCGGCGGCGGTCTAGTTTTCCATCACTCTGGCACACGGGACATTTACAGTTTGGAGTACTTTATCCGTGGCCCATGTACCGGGACAATGTAGCCCCGCCCCATAATCATGATCCTGGGATTATCAGGCCATCTTAAAATACATACGCACAGTACGGTTGGTAATGGTTGAAGGGAATTGTTAAAAGGTAGAATGGGATGAAATTAGAAGGAAAGGAACGCAAAATCAGGAGCAGAATCATCTTATCATTAGCGTGCTATGTCACGACAACTCTAATTTGCGGGGCTGGGGCTGGGACCGGTTTTGTTTTGTTTTTTTTTGTGCTGTCCTGTTCTGTTCATCCAGTTTGTTCAGTGGTCTCTTGAATTCTAGACACGGGGACTTAGGAGAATAGGGAAGATGTAGGCGTAGGCGTAGGCGTAGGCGTAGGCGTAGGCAGTAGGGATCAATAGGATAAATGGAACCTGTCAAGTAGACGTCAAGTCATGTCAAACCAAATCATATGCACTAGACCGCTCTGTCAGGACCCGATACCGTGTGGACTTTAGAAGCGACGCGGCCGATTGCCTGTTACCCGTTGCCTGTCCAGAACAAAGAATCGGTGTGAGAATTTTCCTGCTCACCACGTGGACGTCACTGAGCGGATGGGTTCCGGGCCTAGCTCCCGTTGATCCTGATGTCGTTTCTTTGTTCGCGGCTCAACCGCCAAAAGCAATGGAGCGACCGCAGGTACCAGCACGTGCGGCTGGATCTCGCTTAAAAACAAACACAAAAAATGAGGGCTGTCGGTGGCAAAGAAGAAAGAAAGGGAAATAAAATAATGTGTGGGGGTGGAAAAGGAGCAATGAACCGGTCCGAGGGGCAAAGTAGATAACAGTTCGCTCGTTCCTCGGCATCAACGCCGTTAGTGTGAGCGTTGGCCTATGTATTACGCTGCCCCACCAAGCTTGCCTGCGTATGCTTTCCCTCGTAGTTCTCTTCGGCCCCGTTGGTTCATTGTTCGCATGCCCATAGGTGACTCGTCGCCGAAGCCGGAGGCGAACATGGCGCCCGCGGCCCCGTGTGTTCCTTCGTCCGCACGGAACCCCTCACCTTTAAGGGTCGTTGTCCAAAGACTGTGTAGCGATGAGGTCCACTCTTGTAAGGCGCGTAATCTTTCCACGTCGCTGGAAACATTAACTTGCACGGTCCCATTTTCTTGGTCGATCTTAGCGTCTAGTTTCTTATCAAGAATCAGGAAACTCAGGATATCCAATACTTCCGGCAGGGCGATTTTTATATGCTTGGAGATAAATTGGAGTGAGAACCGGGTATATGGGGCTATCAGCTTGAGCACGGCCTTGGTGCGCATGTTACGGCTGACCTCATCGATGTTCTCGGCGATGAATGGATCTGCCAGGACGTCGGGATTCTTGCTTAGCACATCTTCGTAGACGTGGATGTCGTCACGCTGATAGGCGTCCACCAGGTCAGTCATCGCTGATATCCGTGGGTCGTTTTTGTATGGCTTTGTCTCTTGGGAATCGAATGGATTGATGTCTGACTTCATGAGCATTGTTGTCAAGACGAGGTACTTGAGGACTTGAATTCGTTGCATTGAGCCCGCCTCATCGTAGTTTCGGAATGACTCGAAGAAATCGCTTTGTGCCTCTTCCCAATTTTCCTCGCTCATGTGCATCTTGCCACCGCACTCTCGAATGACACCCATGATCTTTGGATGCGGGACCGCAGACCGCACTCGCAAGGCCCGTTGGTAAAGCGCCTTGAGTCGCTTATTGTTCTTCGTTTCGGCGTACATTTGTATCTCGAGCGCATAGAGTTCTAGCAGGTAGGTTCCCTTGCTGGTATCGTCTGATCCGTCTTCCTTCTGACATGCCCGATGCAATTCGCGCACTTTCTTGCTAAGTTGTCCGTATTCTTTGCGTTCTAGCCATAGTCGCGCCAGCTTAATGTTTGTCTTCAGCCATAATCGTTCAGCGTTGCTGCTCTGGAATGATGCAAGTGTCAAGGAATAGAACTCTTCCATGCATTGGTACGCTCGGTCATCGTCGGATCCCTTCTCGATGTAATCAAGCATGTTATTGATGGACTTTTCACCGTAATTGCGGGTAACGTCGGCGGCGGAGTGAATATAGGTGAGTAGTTCTCGATAATGTTCGACAGCCTGTATAGATGAAACAAGTTAATCGACATTTCAATGTTTTGATGGAGGCCTCTGGGCTACCTACATCACCGTATCGCCCGAGCTTGAACTCTAGTTTAATGGCCTGTTTCAACCCTTTGAACCCCCTGAGAGACCGTTAGCAAGGCAAGTTTGCAGATCTCGAGAGTGATTCATCACGAACCATTCGCCTTTCTCCGCTTCCATCGCTGGTATCTCCAAGAATTCATCCACGGCTTCTTCCGGATTATCCACTTTCATCTGTTTGGCATTGAAGTATTTATTCTGGATGCCAACGCTGGCATCTTCATCGTCGTCATCGGAGCCTTCGTAGTCGAAGTCATAACTATGATCAGATCGTCAGCTCAAGTTGTGGAGGAAGGTCAAGGTGGAGAAGGGGGCGCGCACTCTTCGTCGGCAGAGTCCTGCATAAAATCGTCGTCCGACATTTTGTATTATTTCGCGTAATTCAAATCAAGTGAGGGGTGTAGAGAGAAACGGGGAGCAAAGTGAACGCGGTGCTTGCGGGGATGTTGAAGGAGCTTGAGATGGCAGAGAGCTGCGAGGCTCCGCCTTCACTTATCTCAGCTCCCCGCCTAACCCGCCAACTGGTTAGTCTAGTTACAACTTACTATGTACATTCCAATCCGATTTATTTCCCTCCCCACATTAAGCTAGACAACCTAATTTCGCTTCAGTATTTGAATATATAGATTGGATTGGCTTTCCGATCGTGACTTGAAAAGAAATTCTGTCTGTGGTCTTTCAAGTTATCGTAGATTCTGACGTTTAAAGAAATATCACTACATCCATCTGGAACTTCACATAGTCACGCATGAGTCTCTACATATGTATCATTCATCATCTAGTATAGCAAAATCCCCACTTCCGTATTTGTGATGGGGTATCAATATCTAATATACAAAGTAACATCCAAGCGAGCTATAATACATTCACTTAACCCGTATAATTCTCATCCGCCGCCTCCAAAACAGCCTCAATCATATCATCAACTCCCCTCTCTTTCTTCTCAACATCAAGTAACCCAGCAGAAACAAGTCGATCAAGCACATCTCCAACCCAGTTCTGACTGTTCCAATCTGTCTCCGCATCCCCATTAGATATTCGTGTTTTAGAAATGATTTCACGCATATCCAACCCACTTGAATCGATGGTCGCAACAGGAATAACATGCGCAATATCTATCATTCATTAGCCTGGTTTCCCTTCAAAATGCTTAAAGCGGCTATTTTCAAGAACATTACTTACTTGTTGATGTAGGTAGTTCCCAATTCAAACGCTCGGAGAAAGTAAAGAACCCAGGCTCCCCTACTACCTCCATAATGGCGGTTTTGATATGGGTAGACTCCTCATTTATAGCTAGAGAAGCATTTGCACTGGTTGTACCCGTTGTAATTATGTTTTCTTTGTGGATTTCCTCGTCAAATTCAATGTATAGTGCTGTATGTCTGTAGCGGGCGTAGTCGAGTGGTGATGCGACAAAGACGAGTATGCTTAATTTTGTAGGCATTTGAGTATGCTTCCGAAGTTGAGATAGACGTGTGATGAATGTATGGGTTGATGACCTTCATATACTTGCAGACGATCTTCTCGTGGAATTATTGGATATTTCTGAATGTCCTCATAAGAGATTTGGGGGTGCTCTGCGCTTTTATTGCTTTATTCTATACTGTCATAGTCATCATAGTCATTTATGACCGTGCAGGATTTCGGCTTCGGGATGACGTAGGAGGGCTGTCGGGAGTTTGAGGTTTGTGTTGAAGTGGATCTCATCTATTAGGATCTTCAGGTCTTTATTTTGTTAATATTTATATCGAGGTAGATCTTATTTCTTTTTGTGACGACATAGATGAGCTATTCACTGCAAGTGTGGATAATGTGTAGAGCCACCTTTCTCATACTAGTACATAGTACATATCATGAAAGTATCATCTTCTCAGGAACAGATATACAAAAATTTCAATCTTCCTATCTATATTATTGTATCGTCTCGAAAATTCATGTAGAATCAAAGGCCGATCATCTACTATGAAGTAGTACTATGTAGCAGATTCGCCTATTGACCACCCTTATACTACCAGGTGCTTAATTCCAAGCAATAAGCTTAAAACATCTCGCATTGGAATTTTTAAGATATAATCCTGGAAGCATCAGATACCATGCATTTCCAATAATCCTCAAAATCGCCAAATACCACTCTATACCATATAACCAGTCACCCAAATGATCTCTGTGGACTATTCAAATCCATTCAGTCCAATTCGCTATGACGCCATCCCCGCAAGCCCCACCGCCTCCGCCATACAATCCTCGAGATCACAAAATACCAACTCCGAGTTCCATTGCCAACTATCAACCACCAATTCACCACAATGACAACCTCTCACCTCCCCTTATTCGGCGGCCCAAGGTACTGTATCAACCTGCAACTCCCCCTTGCACCCCTCCAGAAATAAACAACTAACAATAACACCCCGCAGAGCCTGGTCCCAAGATGACTGGACCTCCTCCGACGATCGAGTCCGCGGCGGCTCCTCAATCTCACACCTATCCGCTTCGTCTTCCTCCCTCGAAGCAAAGTTCCACGGTACCCTCGACATAAAAACACTAGGTGGTGCAGGCTTCGCTTCCCAACGCACAACCGGAGACCTCGACTGGGACCTATCCCTCTACGACGGAATTGAACTGGTTCTCGGACCCAGCGATGGGAAAACATACACTCTTACACTTAAAGATCAGATTTTGCCGAAAAGGCCTGATGGGAGGGACAGAAGCTCTGTGAGTTGGGAATTTGATTTTAAGTCGAAGAGTGGTGGGAAGCTTTTCATTCCTTGGGGTGCTTTTCGGCCTACGTATCGGGGGAGAGAGGTTGAGGGGGGAAAGTTGGATTTGAAGGGAATTAAGAGAGTGGGGATTATGGTTAGGAGCTTTTTTGGGGAGCAGGAGGGTGATTTTGAGTTGGGGATTTATTCTATTTCGGCTTTGAGGGGGGTTCGAAGGGGTGGAGAGGAGTTTGATGAAAAGGTTGAGTGGGCGAGGGAGGGGAAGAGAGAGAGAGGGTGGTTCTCTTGGTTGAGTTCTTGTCTTGGTCGTCGATTTTAGTATATATGGTTGGATTTGATATAATGAAAATCTTTACATACAAATAACACTACCTATTGCTCCGGTACCGGAAAGTTCACCCAATCTGAAAAGTCCATACCCGCAGGACTCGGTACCGCTTGACCGTTTGGAAAAAAACTACCCGGGAAACCAGGCTCATTGAACAAGTGTTCAGGAAATGGCATAAATCCAGGCGCAGGTTGCTGAAAGGGCTGTTGTTGAAGAGAGGGTTGACCTCCTTGTAAACCGGACATGACATCTTGTGGGGGTCCTAGGAGACGATTGATAACTTCTGAGCATCGCGCGGCGAAGCGGTTATTACCAAATGAGGGATGGGTGAGTAGAGATTTGGTGGTTTCGATATCTTGAAGCCAGTTAGATGCTTCGGGGTTTGTAGGGTCGGTCATGAGGAATACAATCGGAATGAGACCGGCTTGGAAGAGGAAGTAACTGTGTACAGTCAGTTAATGCGCTCGATGTCAGATTGTCTTGATTCAACTTACAGCATATACCAAGCACCTATCCTTGTTGCGATGTGGCTGTCCATGTACTCCGAGATGGATCCAATTGTTAGGCGCGCATTTTGTAGACAACGCACTCTGCATTCTGTCTCGCAGGGATCTTCGGTGCTCCCTTCGGAACTGACGGAGGATCCATCTGAGCTTCCGCCATAGGGTCCCCAGCGTCGAGCTGCCCAGCGCAGTAGTATTGGACGGTAGATAAGAATCATCAAATTCCAATCTCTCCACAGTAAACGGTTCCGGACAAGAGCAAGATTGTCCGGGTCAGGTTGTGTTGGTTGGACAACAAGAGGCTGTAAAGGATAATGTAGGTAAGAAGGTAAACCGGTATACCAATCTTCCATAGGTTTCTGGAGATCCAATGTCTCTTCCGGGGTGATGCTGGGACTAGATATCAACCGCTGGTAAACACGATTTGTGAGGAGATGGAAACGGGCTTGTGCAATTAAGCCAGAGTAGAGTGTCGGTCCTGTCGACTCAGTTGGAAGCGTTGTTGTTGCTGGAGTAAGAGCCTAGGAAGCCAATTAGTATGAGCCACTCGCCTCGATTGTAAATTTTCACATACATCGTCATCGATATTGAGGACATGTTTCGCGTCCATAACAGCCTCCTCCGGGAGCAAAATTGGTCTGCCAAAAGTTTTGGCAGCGCCACTATCAAAAATGAAGACGCCCCACCATAATCTGCGACGGATCTCGCGCTGGAGCAAGCTGATCTTCCAGCCGGGGAATTCTTTGTGGAGTCCCAAGCTCATTGCCATTCGAACAGCTGTACCAAGATAGTTCCAGCCTGTATTAGGCTTATTGCGTTTCTGGACGTAGTTACTCAGTAGTAATAGCGCTTGGACAAGAGTTAGGTTTCCTGTCTCGAATACAGATGCTTGTTGTAAGAATCCTCTTGCTTCTTGGTAGAAGGTGATATCAAGGTCTGAGCTGTCATCGCCAATACTCCATGCGCCAAGTGCTAGAATAGTATTGAGTAGTATTTGCCAGGCCGTTCCGTGTGGGCGTAGAGATGGTTCGTTAAATTGTGCACGGAATGTAGGTTCATGAACGAATGGATAACTTGTGTGGTAGTTGAGGAAATACGCATCAATGAATGCTTGCTCGATTAGTCCTGAGGGTGCACTCTCCAAAAGTTGCGCTTTAAGGGGAATGCCACCAGATGATGCTGAGCGGACTGGAATGTTCAAATCAAACCCATGGTCGAAAAGGGCTCTTAATGGAACAACACTTGATGAGGCGCCAAAATAACCCGCTCCTTCGGGTTTTATAGACAAAGCAGCCATTCCATCTGTCAAGTCACCAAGTGTAAGTTCTTTTTCTGCCCAGTCGAATCCGTCAGCTTGTTGAGGTAGAGCCTCTGGGGCTGGCTCTGCTCGCTCGGCTTCCGGTTTGGCTGGAGTCGAATGCCTTGAAGCGGTTCTAGATGAAGGAGACTGCGGGGTCTCTTGGTTCTGTAGAAGGGATCTCAAAGTAGCATCCAGGTCACCTCCAGGGAACAGCCTGCTCAACGCTGTTTCAAATGCATGCAAACGATCTTCAACATAGGTCAAGTGTCTACAGACGTTAGTATTTCTTGTCTTCTCTGTTCCGTTCCCCTTTGGCTCCGAGGACGAGAAATCTCCAAGAACTTACTGCCTTGTTAGAGGGCTTCTAGTCACTTTTGGACTATACTTGCACTCTTTGTTCAATTGTCGACATTGCACGCAGACCGGACGCTCTTTTGAGCACTGGGGTCATATCAGCGATACACCCTTTAGATACAGATAATGTCCACAGAAGGGTACTCACTCTCGACTTTCGAAGCCGACATTCATCGCACTATCTCTTTATCAGTCTCAGTCTTGCATATTAACGCATAATACTAATACATACAGCGAATGAATGAGAATCACGAGTACTAGCCATATTTATCGAGGCAGGTCAAGTCGTGTATGAATATTGTACAATACGCTCTGATCATGACACACAGCAGAAGTCATCTTAACAACAAGTCAGCTATATCCTTCAAAATGAGTATGAGGTGGCAGGCAGGTGGCTATGCCGCAAGCGTGGGGTTGCGGCATTGGTATAGCAGCCCGGGAAGCCAAGCATTGGACATGTACGAACTGCAGGGTTAAGGGGTGCATTATCAGATATGCAACTCACGATCGGCGCTAAAGTAATCATTGATCTACTTCAACCGAGCACTTTCGCGAAACGATGGATGAGTTGCTGCACCCAACTGCTCCCCTCTGATGGTGGGGAAAAAGTCATGTGATGCGCAAAAAACTTATGATGCCTCAGGCAGATACACATGTGCCGCGCATGGACCCTCGTGCCAGTACCTTTTACAATGTAAGATGTTTTCGGGTCGCGCAATTTGATGAGTTTTAATATTTTGTGAGCTCAGGGCTTAGGGAATATAAATTATTTACACTTGTAAAGGTATCTATAAGCTTAATATTGTAGGGTGTTGTAGCTAGGTAATTATGAAAAATGATGTAAAGACTTCAAGTTGGAGTATATATATTCTATTGTGCTAGACAGCCTTTGTAGACTTTCAGGCATTCAAGTTTGCAGCACAAAATAACCTCGGGGACAACATTAAATCTTTTGAATGAATGGAACCTATACTGAAAGTTACTTGTCAAATCTATTAAACTCAAATCTAATACTGTTCTTTCAAATTCATCCTTTTGCATCTAGTAGCTGCAGTATCATATGTCGTGGTAAAATCTTGGCAGAATAACGCGGCGAGCCAATCACAAGGATCATACATTTTTTCTCTTCACACGATCATCAATATCAACCCCCAGAACTAGGCCAATTTCAAAGCCGATTTGGATCAGATATAGACGCCTTTGCAATCTCAAGTCTGAATTAAGATATTATATCAGAAAAAACAAAGCAGAGAAACACCAAGGGCACCATAATGCCGTCTCAACCCCCACTACCGCCCCTCATCGCTCCATATGTATCAGCCCAGCCTGAGTCTTCACTCACACTGATAACATCGATCCTTGGGGCGACATCAAATTGGCTAGTGCTCAGATTCCTACACCCAGCTCTCAGCACATCACCAAACCCCAATGTCTCTTTACGTTTGGATGAGCAACAGAATGATGCCAAGAAGAAGGTTGTCCTGGTGAGCTTCTTGCGCGGATGGGAATTCTGGAGAGCAGAGGCAAAGAGACTGGTAAGTTTGAGAATCTGGTTTTGAATATTAGACTGTCATATAGTTCTTATCATGATCTATTTTGAACATGGAAATTTTGCCAATTCATAATATCGGTACATCAGTCACTCTATACGCAAATCGTATTAATACCTTGAACAGGGCTTGGATCTCGCACGACTAGCAGATAAGAAACAATTTGCTTTCGTGGATGGACTATCTGAACTATTCTCTGTACCCCAAACAGCAAATGCTGCCAGTCCCTCACCTTCGAACTCAGCCATCCCACCACGCACTTCACTTCCACTCCGGGGCCCATCTGGCCCTGTGCCTGGGAGAGGACCAGCACCGGCACCAGCCACTACCTTACCCACAAGTGCAACTGGAAGTGCGACAAGAAACCAAGCAGATCCAGGGATTGCGAAGAAGTTGCGCTTCACAGGTCGTGGTACCGCAGCCTTAGATGCCCTGGAGAAGGACATAGTCGCTGTCATCGACCAACTAAAAGGCTCCAATGATAGCAGCGAGGAAGTACTTTTGATCATTGATCAACCAGATTTCCTTCTGGCCGCTACAGGCCCAAGTTCGGGTATCGGAGCTACGGAGATGAGCGAATGGATCACAGGTTTACAGCAGGTGAGTCTTTATCTAAGTGACCCTTATCTGATGAAAATCAGCCACGCTAATACATCATAGGCTGCTCATGCAACTGTTATGACGATTGCTGCCGATTCCCCGCTAATTCACAATGCGCCTGCTGCTGGAAACCAGGGAGCTACGCCGGTAGAAGGGGAGCATGCTGCTTTTGCTATTGGGTCGGCGCATAGGGCAAGGTCGGTTATGCAGCTTCGAACTTTGGAGACTGGTGCCGCGAGGGATGTGAGCGGAGTGTTGAGAATCAGTCGCGGAGGCGGATTGAGTGCTGGTGGCGATACGTTGTATGAACGGGAACTGCTGTATTATATCCAACGGGATGGCGGAGTGAAGGTGTTTGGTCGTGGAGAGTCCTGAGCGCTGGTTTCTAGAGAATGATATAGATACTGGAACCTGTTGATTCTCCGAGATCTGCGTAGTCAGTATAGAGAGAAAAGAGATCCCGATAAGCACCCATAAGGTACATCGTAGAACCGGTCTACCAGAGGGCGTGGCATAAGAAAAGAACCAGAAAGGGTTAGGAAGAGAGATCTTCACATTTGTATCTGTCACGACATGGGGATATTCGCCAGCCATAAACGAGTAAAGAAAAAGGGAAATTAATGCACGCTTTCCCTTGAAATTTTATGTCACGTCTCAAAAACACATTCCAACGTAACTTTTCCCGCCTTCCCGTCTTCTGAAGGACGAGATCGACAATCGCACACACCAACAACTGCACGGGGAAAGCTTTAATATTCCGGAATCGCCATTTTGCATTTCGAGTAATATCTTTTTAATTTATCTCGTAACGCTAGGCCATGTCATGCCATGATGTCACCCCTCATTCCTTTTCCAGCCTCTCCGAGAACGAAAAACGCGACGCCGAATTTGACAACGGGAAATCTAGTTAGCCACAGAGGGGCCGTGAGCACCCTTGGGGGTACCGGTCTGGAAGCCGTTCAGGAAGCGGCGGTGGACGTGGCGCAGGGAGCGCATGCGGCCGGAACCAGTGGTCTTGCGGCGCTTGGCCTTCTCACCCCAGTTGACTATAGTTAAAAAAAAGTCGTAAGCCGGCTGTTCCAACAATGTGCGTGTCTTGAAATGTAATGACGAGAATTCGTTCCACGCGTTGTTCGAAATCCGTATCCAAATCAAAATCATAGGCACTCAGAGAAAGGGTAATGCGTACACTTGCGGGTCTTGGCGGAAGGGTAGCCACAGTTAGCACAGGTGGACTTCTGGATGTGGAAAGAGCGCTGGCCTAAAGTCGTGGAAGATGACCGATCAGTCTCAGTTCAGTCGTAAATGCAGTCGTCGACAATCCAGCCCCCGGGTCATCCATGATCGTTGTGCTCCATCACTTCACGTAAATAGAATTTTGCGACTTAGGGCCCGGTGCGTTCGATTGTCGACGATTTCGAGAGAGGTATGATACTAACCACAGCGACGGCACAGAGTGTGCGTCTTGTTGTGGCGCTTTCCGAAGCTGGAGGTACCCTTGGCTGTGGTGATTGTCAGTTTCGATGAATTCGAGATAGTTGCCGAGATTCGCAGTGCGAGGTTTCGATATGGGACGTACTCATTTTGAACTAGGGAACTGTGCAAATTAAATGTCAGTAGGTGGAACGGTGATAGCAATTATGGCGTAAAAGAGCAATATCTGGACGTACCTGGCGATTCCGTTGAAGGGGCTGTTGTCGATTTCGTCGTCGTCGCTAGGCGTATCGAATCTTCCCGCTGGGTGATGTGTCGGCTAAGCGAGATGTGGGTGCACATCACGGGACAGGGTACAAGCCCTTGCCCTACGTATCCACGTAAGGACAATATCACATGACCTCCAAATTTAGTAAGCCTTCAGCATGTACACCGCCTGCTACAACAGTACATCGGCCTTATTATGGATAAAATGGGGCAACCGATCGATGTCGATGTTCTAGGTACAGAGCGTAGCTGGATCTTGGGCCGCAATTTGCATACGCCAAATATATGGGGTTCTTGAGATCAACACTTACGCGATTTGACATTACACCATGGACGAATTTCCTATTTAATATTCATAATTTAATGCAGTATATTCAAGGGGTATTTTGGTTACAGCTCAACGCCTAATAGTACAAAGTATGAAAGTCATGAAATCACTCGGTGTCAACGTAGTTCGCCATAGGATCTTGGGCAGTCAATCGGCTGCGCTTGTAGTGATCCATTTCCTCCTCTGTGATGCCGGCCTTCAATTCTTCTAAAGTCCGCTTTTTTCCATTAGCAGCTCCCTGCTCTTCACGTTCGCGGCTCGGCTCAGGCTCGCGAGAATGAGCTGGAACTTCAGTAGATTCATCCTTCTCATCGTCCCCATCAGGTAGCATCATCATGTTGCCCTCCGCTTCAAAGGCCTTCTTGCCGTCCTCTCCAGTACAATAACTGTTCTTGACAGTAGAGCAACAGCATGCATACCCCCATTTGAATTCATACCACCAACTGCCAAAAACAGAGGTGTGATTGTTGACCATAATATCCTCCGGGTATTTCGACTTTGTAGCTTTCTTGGGCGCACCCTTAATAGCACCGGATTCATCGTACTCAACAAAACGTTCGTTCTCAACAACCATGGTATCGCGTAATGCAGAAGGCTGTGAGTGCTCGCCACCGCCATATTTGTCCAAAAGCGCCTTGCGCGAAGCCTGTCGCTTGGCATCCGAGTCCCCCTGCTCTTTCTTTCGAAGGACTTCACCGGAAGTGGGGTTGGCTTGGAGGTGGATCGGGGCCATGCCCTTCTCTTGAGACTCCCATGCATACTTCTGAGCCTTCTCAAATTCAGCTGCATCACCAGAAGCACGGATAAAGTTCTCCTCCGCAACCAGTGCTGAGGCTTGATCTTCTTGCGCACCCATATCCACCATTCGACGAGTCTTCGGGTCGTACTTGGCGGAATCCAAATCCAAATTCAAAAGATATTTAGCAGTATCTTCTCGGATACGTAGATTTCGCGTAGCAGTGCTTTGTTGTCGACCCATGTCAGATTCTTCGGCGTATCGGATATCTTCATCGGCGTCCCCGTCCCCATCTTCCCGGTCTAAAAGTTTTTGGAGATCGGCTCCTTCCTTCGCGGACTTTTTCATCGCCTCAAGCTCTTCAAACTCATCCACAACTTGGCGGTACTCGCTGGTGTCGTATCCGTTCCACCGATCTCTTTTCGCATCCCAGCCCATGTTGACATCTTGGACGAGCTCGTCTGCTTGGATGTTTTTCCCTGTCCAACGAGCACCCTGTTTGCGCGGTCGACTTAAGCATTCTTTTGTTTTATGTGTCATCGCGCCGCAGTTTTCACATGCGCCCTTTCGATATTTGGTGGCCGCAGGGCCGGCACGCTTGCCACGGTCGTACCACTTTGATTGATCAGGAGTGGCCTTCTGTAGACGTTGATGCTCAAGGTAGTCGTTTCCGGTTTCATCATCGACATAAAAAGGTTTCTTCGAAATGAAAGATGGAATGTATTCGTTGCGCTCCTTGGAGGCCACTTCGGCTGGTTTTCGTGACATGGCGGTATTAGCCTCTGAAGAGGCGATATGGGTTATTATGAGTGATGGGTGGTTTATATGAGCAAGAATATCACCCAGTAAGCCTTATAAATGCCGAAAGGCGTAGCAAAGAGGAGCGAGTGAGACTGAAGAACGATGCAGAAGTTGATGATGTTGAAGCTTGAGATTGAAGGAACGGCTGCACGTGACTGTCGCAGCGAAGACCCACAGTTTCGAGAGGCGATCTACAGATGTAACCAATTTGCGACAGATGCATGTATTTTCACCTAAGATTTACGTATAAATATAGATTTAAACCAATGGGACTTTAACTAGGGATAGATGCGAGAGATTTAGTTAATACTTTTCTTCGATTTTGTCATTATAGTAAGTAATTATTTTATTCCATGCTTAATTTGCATTATGACGGTATTACCTAAGCGACATAACGCGCGCCCAAATGAAGCGCGTCAAGATTCCAATGTTCCAGAATTCAGAGAAGTTTCTTAAACCAACTCCAAATCACCATTTCATGGCATAAGATCCTTCAGTATTCTTGCGCGATGTCGCTGATGTTTCTATTCCACCAACATCGAACCGATGGAACCCTTTCGCGTGCGCCTCAACTGCATCGACCATTACCAGGCTAGTCCCTCAGAGTTGGACCCTCCACTGCCTTTTCGAAGTGGTGTATCTGAAAAGGACTACCGGCCCCGAGTACCGGTGATCCGAATATTTGGCGCCACTGAGACTGGGCAAAGGATATGCGTTCATGTCCATGGCGCATTTCCATACCTCTACATCGAGTATAATGGGTCTTTAGAACCGGAAGCGGGTACGTACTTCGGAGGGGTTGCAAGCTTGGCCAGTCTAACTTGAACTTGACGGAATGCTAATTTACATATGGACCTCAGTGAGCTCAGCGACTCGTGCTCTCCATCTCTCTATTGACCATGCCTTGGCTGTTAGCTACCGCCGTAATGCCTATGACAGAAAGACAGCATACGTTGCACATATTACCCTGGTGAAAGGAATACCCTTCTATGGATACCACGTCGGTTATCGTTTCTTCTTCAAGATTTATCTTCTCAACCCATTTTATATCACCCGCCTCGCCGATCTATTTCACCAAGGTGCAGTCATGAAACGCCAATTACAACCGTACGAAAGCCATATGCAGTATGTTCCGCAATGGATGTGCGACTACAATTTGTACGGATGTAACTACATGGACTGCGGCAAAGTGAAATTTCGCGGTCCGGTACCCGACTATATGGAGCTTAGCAATCTAGATCATCGGTGGCATGACCGGTCCATTAGCTCTGCGAGCATATCCGATGACCCGGCCCTTGGAAAACAGAGCCATTGTCCTTTGGAGGCCGACATATGTGTGCAAGACATTCTCAACCGACACGATATCAAGGAACGACCGCTGCATCATGATTTCACAGAGTTCCTTCGACCCGTTGGTGTCAATGAACGACTCGTTCCTAGCGTAGCTGGACTATGGCAAGATGAGACGCGGAGACGCAAAAAGAGAATGGGCTTGACAGATCCTGATAGCAGCCCATTTGGACCCGAAGAGTTGATTTCCATGTCTGCGGATCCAAGAAACGAAGCTAAAGGCGGCTGGATCCACGAAGATGAGTTTCACGAGCTGGTGCTTCAAGTTGCTGCAAACGAACGAGCCAAAGATGATGAGAAGGACACTTCATTTCATACATTTGTAACTGGAGATAAACGGGTCGATGATATTAAGACTGCGCTAAGTAGCGTTGAAGATTTTTACCCCGAGAGACTCGATAAGTCTCTTGAGACTGCTTCTCAGAATATCGATAAGCAACCTGAAATATCGGTCGACGAGGAGCTTGTCCTATCTTCTCAGCCGGAAGGACACTCGTTTGAGGATGGCACGGCAGAGGGAACCCGGGACACTCTAGATGCAGGCGTCGAAAGAGACTATTGGCAAACTCAGGGAATGGTACACGAAGACAGCTTCTACGATGGTGTTTTTGATGACTTCGCTAATGAAGAAACTACCGAAGAGCATGACACCGCCCAGTCTAGGATAGAACAGCCTGTTCATAGTGCGGCAGCGAAGGATGCTCCATCAGCAGACCTAGCGGAGAACCACGAGACACAGCTGAATGAAATCAGAGAAAGTCAAATGATTATGAAGCGCAAGCATGACAATTTCGATGGTACTTTGGAATCATACTCTAAAAAGCCACGATTCTGGAGCAGTTACGAACCATCAAAAGGTTCAACCACACCAGAAACAAACAGCCGAACAGAAAACGAAAGCCGAGATGAAGCTCTGGCTCAGCCTAACTCTCAGTCATCCGAACCAAGGTCGTCCTCTTCTCAAAAAACAGTCCGACCCAAGGTACAGACGCCCAATACTAGATTGAAATTTCCCGTGGTCAAGGATCCCAACGATCCGCACACTATCATTCGATTCAGTCAAGAAGATTGTCAATTTGGCAAAAGAGCATCAGAATCTTCCCAGCCGATGTCAAGCCCACTGCCCTCGGGATCTGTTACCAACAAGCCAGAGAACGGAAATAAAAATACATCCTCCCCATTATTACGCTCTTCATCTACAGTGGTCCCTGCCACTCTCATTGATCCACACATTGCTGAGATGAAAGAGAGCCTTTTGAGCTCATTCAAATTTTCTCCATGCAATCATTTGCGCGTTTTCCGATTTGCAGGTCCTGGCACAAATGAAGTCATTGATAGCATGAATAAGTATGGCCGTCCCTCGGTCGTTTACCAAAAAGCATACTATTCCGAAGAAACTGATGTACCCGAGAGACCTCGGCAGTATGCCGGACGAGAGTTTCGATTAGAAAGCGATACAATTCATTTTCTACCGGAGTTTGATCCAACGGCAAACATACCGGGCGTGTTTGGAGAGCACATCCCGATATCTCAGGATCGTGGACAGCAACAGAAGCTCGACCAACAACTTCGACAGTCATGCACCATAAGAGAGTGGGAATTCGCAGCGGTTCCACCCAGTTATGCAGAGGTTGTCGAATGGTTTGAGAACCTTAAGAAGTCTAGTGAAGTCTTAGAGAAAAAGCCCAGAACTCCCAAGCTGGAGCCTCCGCCAGAACTCATGTCACAAATTGATGGACCCACTCAAAACCCGCACGGCTTCAAATATTCACAGAAGAGTAAGCAGACCAGCGTGGTCCACCAGACCCAATACATGAGCACAATGAGCCTTGAGGTGCATGTCAATACTCGTGGAAACCTATCGGCCAATCCTATTGAAGATGAAATCTCTTGTATTTTCTGGTGTCTACAATCTGAGGACGAAGAACTTGAAGTGAACAGCCATTTACCTGGTGTTCATGTCGGAATGATCTATCAGGGAGAGGATGAGAAGCCAGAAGCCAAGGTCTCCAAAGCTTTGAAAGTGGATATGGAATACGAGCCAACGGAGCTGGACTTGATTAACCGCCTCGTTGACATTGTTCGTTATCATGACCCCGACATTCTTACTGGGTACGAAATTCATAACGCATCCTGGGGGTATGTCATTGAACGTGCTCGAAAAAAGTACGACTTCGACATCTGTGATGAGATCTCCCGAGTGAAAGCCCAATCGCATGGAAAATTTGGCAAGGAAGATGACAAGTGGGGACATGGCCATACATCTTCGGTTCAAGTAACTGGTCGACACGCCATCAATATTTGGCGAGCCATGAGCGGCGAACTTAGCAATTTGTTGAAGTATACGATGGAAAACGTCGTATTCCACCTGCTCCACCGGCGAATTCCACATTACTCTCACAAGGACCTGACTAAGTGGTACCGCAGCGGAAAGCCTCGAGATATTATGAAAGTTATTGATTACTTTGTTTCGAGAGCACAGACGAATCTGGAGATTCTCGAGGCAAATGAGTTAATCCCACGTACAAGTGAACAAGCTCGTTTACTTGGCATAGACTTTTCTTCGGTCTACTATCGAGGTTCTCAGTTCAAAGTCGAATCTCTGATGTTTCGAATTGCTAAGCCAGAGAATTACCTTCTTGTCTCGCCTAGCAGGAGACAGGTTGGACAGCAAAATGCCCTCGAATGCTTGCCGCTTGTGATGGAGCCGCAAAGTGACTTCTACACAAGTCCAGTTTTGGTTCTCGACTTCCAATCCCTTTACCCGAGTGTCATGATCGCATACAATTACTGCTATTCAACCTTCCTAGGCAGGGCTTCCTCCTGGCGTGGCCGGGATAAGATGGGTTTCTTGGATTATGATCGACAGCCACGGCTGCTAGAACTCCTGAAAGACAAAATCAACATTTCGCCAAACGGCATGATATACGCCAAGCAGGAAGTAAGGCAGTCATTGCTAGCAAAAATGCTTACGGAAATCCTCGAAACCCGAGTGATGGTGAAAACTGGAATGAAAGTCGACAAAGATGACAAGATCTTACAACGCCTTCTTAACAACCGTCAATTAGCCCTTAAGCTAATTGCTAACGTGACATACGGGTACACCTCTGCATCTTTCTCCGGGCGAATGCCTTGCTCCGAGATAGCAGATAGCATCGTCCAATCTGGTCGTGAGACCTTGGAAAAAGCCATCGCTCTAATCCACTCCGTTGAGAGATGGGACGCAGAAGTGGTATACGGCGACACAGACAGTCTCTTCGTCCACCTAAAAGGCCGAACCCGCGATCAAGCCTTTGATATAGGTGAAGAAATTGCCCAGGCCGTAACAGACATGAATCCCCGACCTATCAAACTTAAATTCGAGAAAGTTTACCATCCCTGCGTTCTCTTAGCTAAGAAACGCTACGTCGGATTCAAATACGAACATCGCAATCAAACTGAGCCAGAATTTGACGCCAAGGGAATTGAGACTGTTCGCCGCGACGGCACACCCGCCGAACAAAAGATTGAAGAAAAAGCCTTGAAGATACTTTTTCGTACCGCAGACCTCAGTCAAGTGAAATCCTACTTCCAGCGTCAATGCACGAAGATTATGCAGGGTCGTGTCTCCATTCAGGATTTTTGCTTCGCAAAAGAAGTCCGTCTAGGCTCGTACAGTGATCGCGGTACACTCCCTGCTGGTGCAATGATCAGTACGAAACGAATGATTGAGGATCATCGCCTGGAACCGCAACACGGTGAACGAGTTCCCTACGTGGTTATCACCGGTGCGCCAGGCTCGCGGCTCGTTGATCGCTGCGTTGGACCTGAAACCCTGTTGCAAGATGCACAGCTCGATCTCGACGCAGAATACTACATCACAAAGAATATCATTCCCCCATTAGAGCGCATATTCAATCTGGTTGGTGCGAATGTCCGCCAGTGGTACGATGAAATGCCAAAGGTGCAGCGGATTCGACGTGTCGATATCTCGTCATCGGGTAATAAGGAGATGGGGCTCATGAAACGCACGCTAGAGTCTTATATGCGATCGTCTTCGTGTATTATCTGCAGATCGAAACTGGCGGATTCTTCTGTCCCTCTTTGTAAAGAGTGTCTCCAGCAGCCGCATCTTACCCTCTTTGATGCCATCACGCGTCTTCAGCAGGCTGAGCAGCGAGTTGTTGATCTTGAGGCGGTGTGTCGCTCTTGTATGGGTGTCTCTGCTATCGATGAAGTGAGCTGTGATAGTCTGGACTGTCCTGTCTTTTACATGAGAACCCGCGATGCAGCTAATTGGCGCCATTCGAGGGCTGCTTTGGAGCCATTGATTGAGCTGCTAGAGAAGAAGGGCGACGAGGGATTGGATTGGTGATTCTCAATGTCCTTGGCTTGAGTTATCTTGCTTTTGGCAGTTTGAGATTAACATACTTGGTCATTGACAGGGCACTTGATACTCTCCACGATGTTATGTTTAAACCATGAAATACAGACAACCCCATTTTATTCGTTATCACACCGCTCAATCAATTACGGTATAGAAATGTTTAAGACACATCATTGATAGTTCACTGGAAGTAACTCCGTTTCATTGATATTGCGCATGGATAATACACTTTAATCTATTGGTTGACTCATAGCTGACCCAGATAACTGCTCGCCCGTTTGCATATTCCCCTCAAGTCAAGTACTCATATGTGAAGATCTCGCCACACAATTCGATTCATAGCACTCTCTTCCACCCTGTCGCAAAGAAAGGGCGGTAAATCAATAACGACAGCGCACACACAATTTGATGTTTTAACACATAATGGAAACCTGCAAACAAACCGATGCTCAAATCCCAGCTTCAATCCTCACCGAGCATGCGCAACAAATTGTCAACAGCATTGGGCCGCAAATCACCCTCCTCCTCAATGATATCGATGGCATTTTCTACACCCATTTCAACGTCTTCAACTTCATCTCCTCTGCGTGGTGTCACATTGATAATTGAATTTTGTTCGTAGACATTCCGATTCTCTTTGTTGCTTTCACCCCAGATCTCGTCCTTCTCGTTGGTGCTATTGATCTTCTGCTTGTTCCCACCAAGACTAACACCAAGCCCGACCCTAGTAGCAGGCTCTTGTATTTCTCCCGCGTCTACTTCAGAACCACTGTCTTCAGCAGCTGTCTTGGAAAACAGGGGCGAAATCTCAGGGCTCCCGCCGACAGAATCGCTAGCTTTAGTCTCAGAAAAAGATTCAGTCTGAATAGTGTCGTAGAACTCTGCCAGAAGCTTCTGAACTTCTTCTTGGGAATAGATTTTGGTTTTTGGGCGAGGCTGAGTGGCAATGGCCTGCTCAGTATTGAGAATTGATTTGGCGTACTGGCCTGTTGCAATCTTCCCCAGGAACTCGTGGAAGATCCAAGGACAGCTGATCAACGGAGTCCGAACCTGTTCATCCTCAGAACTATGAGTGGACTCCTCGTCATCATAATCGTCAGCGCCCTTCTCTCTAATCTTTCTCAAAGCTTCAGATGTGTCATGCTGTGTGACACGATAGAGAGCCACGACTAGAGGCGCAATATCGTCAAATGAACGGCCACCGACTTCCTCATAGCATAATTTCCGGAACCCCTCGCGGAGCTGACTGGACATGCGGCCTAAGTCTTCATGAATCTTGAAGTCGTGGCAAAGTGAATTGTGCTCAAGAACGAAGGTTGACCACACTTCGAACTCGGTCTTAATCTCGAACTGCGACATAATGCGGCGCAAAGCGTCATCATACTCAGCCTTGAGCTTTTTAGCAAATACAAGATAAGCATTGCTTGCAGGAACCAGGTCACAAGTGAGGATGCGTGAGTCAAATGGCAAGTTGATATTTGGTGTGAAGTCTCCAAGTTTCACCGAGTCGTAAAGCTGACCGAGAATCTTTCTTGAGTGGTAAATCTTTCCCATGGGTTGATTCCTCTTTTCCATGAAGTGTGGCCAATTGCGAGGCTCCAAATCACGTCCCATTTTGGCGACAGCCCCTGTCTTATTGTAGTCGACAGCGTCTGAGTGTAGTTTTGCCAGGCGAATACATTTGTCATGGCGCACTCCAAGCTCAAACCAGTCAGCAAGGGCCATGTGAGCATGGGCAATCCGTGGCAGGTAGTCACACTTCATGTATGTCACAAAGAATGAGGTAATCTCGTCAACTGTAACATCGTGATCTAGATCCGGAGCCTTCTTTCCACTATATTGCATTGGCTTTGTAAACCAATCGCGTGGAATTAAGTCTTTATCCCATAACACGAGGTAATCGTCACCATCGAGATCACCACCAGAGCACATGCTAGCAATGTCGTGATCGCCAGTCTGGGGTAATACCACAACATTGTGCAGATGCCTGAGTTCTGGCTTGTCAACTGCACGCACAACACGAACGTCACCTGCGTGAAGTGATGGATTTCGAGCCAAGATACAAACTCCTTTGATCACCTCGGACACACTGTCTTTCCCTAGCCGGGAAATCTGCACGAATATCTCTGGAAGGGTATCAAGCTTCTGCTCATAGGTCGAATTCTCGTGGATATTTTCAACCGTGTCAGTGAAATGACCCTTCAGTATTCCCGTCTCATCGACGCAGCCAAACAAACTTGCGCCCTCCTCGATGATGATTCGGGCTTTCTCTTTAAGATATTTCAGATGCCATGCTTTCCATAGCTGAAGCATAGAATTGACAAAGGGCTCATTGTTTATTCTAAAACCATTGGATACCATCTTGGCAAATTTAGATGTCATTTCATTGGGACCAACGAATTTTCGCAGCAATGTAATTGCCTGAACATCGTCTTTCATGGCTTTGTTAAAATCCTTCAACATGACGTCGAGCTTGTTATGGATCGTTTTGTCGGTGATTCCCAAGGCTGAAAGAACGAGGATTAGTTGACGGTTTAAGGTTGCGGCGTTAAACTGCGACCAGCGAATTATCTCCAAACCATTGGATTCAGCTTCAAATTTGAACTGACTATTTCGGATATGTATCTCGTTTGGTCGAGGGTCTGAAGAAACCACAAGCAGGCCTTTGCAGCCACCAAGACGAAACTGAAATGCCGAAGGATAACGACCTGTTGAAGTTTTGATTTTCAATTCGTTCATAGTCATTTCGGCAAGGAACTTGGAGATTTTGCCGACTCCATCGGAGAAATTGTGACCGTCGTGGACGATATCATCATGTCTACGAATCTCAACTGGAGAGCCGAAAATAGCGCGAGTAGTTGAGAAACACTGGCCTAGTCGCGCTGAGTGTTTAGCAACGTTTCTGATATGTTTGAATTGTCCCATCCATGCTCGCATGTGAGCAGCTGTGAGAGTAGCAAGGGGTGCAAAGAAGTAGGCCCCATGCTCGCGAAACTGAGAATTCCCGAAAGCTAGGAACTCAAAATGGCGGTCTCCAATTGTAATTCCATTGGCCATGGTTCTTTTGATGCGGGTGAAAATCTCATCATTGCTGTCATTGGGACAAGAATTGATTCGGCCGTGTGTAACTTCATCCGTGAATCGAACTCGGAGAAATCGATCAGCAAACTCAATATATCGACGAGTCACACGATTGGAAGTGTCCACTGTAGGCGTATTGTAGTAGATCGTAGTTGGTGTTACTCGGGCCGTGCGCATGAAACAGCAATATTTCGGGATTCTCGACTGCCTCACCCCTTTGAACCACTCAAGGGCGAACACTTTCATAGGGCTAGGATAGTAATTCTTCTTGGTCGCCACATGCTCCAGTAGTCGCTGAGCTTCGGGCTCCCCGAGGTTCATTAGTTTCAAAAGAAATCCCTTCGTGATTGCAAATTCCGAGAAAAGTCCATGAGAGATACACACTTCGAGCTGATATCGAACAGCAAAAGGTAGGTAAACAATTTCATTGTTATACAGTTTGGTAAGGGTATGATAAGAAGTCCGGTAATGAGGAGAGTCCGAGAAATCAATCCAATCCCAGACTGCCGGGGGGCAGTTTTGATTTTCAGTGAGAGAGCTTCCATCTTGAACAACAATATTGTGGTCTTTCAATATCTCCTTTATGACGGTGGAGGTTTCCTTACTAACATCCTCTGCGGAGAATGTGACCCGAAACACGTTCCATCTACCTAAGAATTGGTAAGTAAATTAGCATTGAGTATATGAATTAGATCGAGTAATACACACCGAGGTCGATAATATGACCAGACTTTCGTAGGTTAGTAGTAAGCTTGGCTTGTCGCAGAGGATGGTGAACTATGGCAGTCTGGCGATACCAGGTGTCGGTATTTCTCCAGCTAATATCCGACTTGAAGGTGGGTTCGAAATTTGTTACTTGTCGATAGAATAGGGCCGGGGATTTGAGCACGATGGCAAGTGAGCGGTTGTTTGTTATTTGATCAAATATCTCCCAAATTCGAGAGATATCAAAAAACTTCAGCCTGGCACGATAGAAAGATGGTTTTTCTTGGGCGTTGTCCGCGGGGTTTTGTGACGTCTTGACTACCAGCTTGAAGTATATGAACATCGATCTTTGCTTGACATCAATGACGGCCTTCAAAGAATCCGAATTCTTAGAATCGAAAGTCTTAAAACCATGCAATGGAGCAAAAGAACTCTCACCCAACAGAACACCAATGTCAAAACTGGCAAGGTCGAACTCCTGTGCATAATTAGGTCTATCACATTCTTGACGGGCCTCATGGCAAAAGAAAAGAAACTTACAATTTCCGCTGGACATAACACTCCCTGACGCACTGGACTTGGAACTACCGGGCTTTGATAATTGAGATCAACGGAGAGCTTGAAAGAGTATGACCGATCGCTCCTCAGCGTGACGGGGTATGTCCCCTTATTCCAGAAGTCAGTAGCAGGAGGAGGTCTTTGTATAAGTCAGCACTGGTATTTGGTTGGGTTTTCGTTTTTTGTTTCTGTTTTAAAAGAGGAAACAGAAAACGCACGAGGGGGATCCAATGTTAAGCAAATGTCAATTGAATCAACGATTACACGTACTTGAAGCGAATTCTGCCTCGACTTTTGTCCTTGCCTTCCCGAGTTTCGAAGATATCAATACAAATAATGGTTCCTTTGTCCTGGAACCAATCCCACAAGTCGTAAGTGTTGACCTCAGCTGGTATTTCCCAAACACTCAAAGCCACTGACTCCCAATTTTTCCAGCTTGCCCATACAGGCGGTATCTGGAAAGCGGGGGCCTCGGAATCCATACGGCGGGTGGGATGCCTGCGGCCTTTGTTGTTCAAGATCTTATGCAATGGCCCGATGCTAGAGCATGGCTTGATCTTTTGGTTGGTGATGATGGTGCTGTTACTTTCAGTTTTGTTGCTGTTGGTGGTGCTGCCGCTGGCGCTGCTGTTGCTGTTACTGTGGTTGCTGCTGGTAGTGCTGTTGTTACTCATGTTGATGGTAAGAGAAGAGGATTGCGAGCGTCGCGAGAGAAGACTTTTATGCACAACGATGAGAAAGTAAGATAGTGAGGAGCTGGAGATGATGTTTCGTCTTGTATTTCTGCGTTGAACAGGCAACACAGAGAAATCCCAATATGGAAGGTACGTTCTTCACACTGAGTGGTGCTTGCCTAACAAGGTGCTACTGCAGATGGCGACGACGATAATAAATTTTTATTGTGTATGTTGAAATGAGGCCACAGGCGTAATTAAGTATTTACTGAGTCCAGTTATTATTTCAATTAAGTGATTGATTATATTCCAGGTAAAGGAAGCAGATCCATCCTGGCCACATGGGCAGCTGTTCACTTCCTTACCTAAAGATCCCCAAGGCTGATGCCAGGGAGAATTCCACTATACATATCTCTCTATTTGAGAGATATGTAGGATAAATGAGGATTCAGAACTGTGTAAAAAATGATCTTTCTGAAGGAAGGTCAAGAGCGAAGCCAAGGAAACAATCTGAGATTACAGGAGGCTCAATCTAAGAGAGGGAGGCATGGGGCAAAGGGGAGGAGAACGAGGAGAGAAGTGAAGGATAATGGGGCAAAATCTTCCAAGGTTTCTTCTTTTTTTTAAAAAAAAAAAAAAAAAAAAAAATCCCATGATTATATAGCGACCAAGCAACCGAACGACTCATCGTCATATTGATTCATGGATATTTGGAAAAGAAATCGGCTTCTTAGCATTAAACAAAGATCTGAGGATAGCACGAATAGTAGGGAAGGCAAGCATAATAAAAGACAAGCACCCATCATCAACCAGTCCAAAGACAACTTGAATATGAATATAAAATATAAGGATATCATAATGCGAAGCAATGAAGTAGCTAAGCTATTCTTTCCAGAAAAAAGTTTTTATGTAACGTTATTATGGAGCAGCCTGATCGTTAGAGCCAGAGAAGGCCGTACTGCTGAAGAGAAAATCTTTAGAAAATTCCAAATCCATATCGAGCTCAATTGCTTGCAGGTGGTTTTCATCACCATACTGTGTATCTTTCGGGATCTGTGTCAACCGTGCTTTGTTGGGGCTGTTTGTATCCACTGCGCCAAGGGCTTGACGAGCGGAATTTGCAGTTGATGGTGATTCCCGGGTATTCGGGCTTGTGGGATTGCGATTTGCCCGTGGACGTTTAGGAGTAGGGCCTCTCATCTCACTAAACGACTCATCTAGCTGGGTTTGTTCATTTTCATTTTCATTTTCATAGGCATGGCATTGGCGTATGCTCCGTCTCTGGCTCTTGACAGGGCTCTTTTGAGGAATTTCCCCAGGAGTCGGGGACTTTGGCTGATTAGTCGTGAATCCCATCACGTTCATCAATTTGCCTATATGCTGCTGAGCCTCTGAAAACTCCCGGGCCTTGGCAGCTCTTTCATCACGTAGAGATTGGATCTGCATGGTGTTATATCAGCAAAATGCGAATCAACAACACCCGTTGAGGGATACTGACTTTTTTCTCTAGATGGTGAATCTTTTTGTCTTTTGATTGAAGATCCTTGGAGGCATCACAGGCAGCTACCTGCATTGCAGTATGCAGGCGACTCACTTCCTCCTTCTGATGTTGGATCTGCCATTCTTGTAAGTACTTGATTTGGAGAGTGGGTACTTGTGGATGATATCACCTCTGATCTGACTGTCGAAATTTCTTGCTCATATTCATCATTTGTCGTCTTGAGCGCTGATTGATATTCTTCTTTCGCTTCTTGTAAAGCCATATGAAGCTTATCAGTCTCTGTGCTCTGTCCTTCCATCTGTTTAACAAGATTGTTAGCGAATATGACACGAGGAAATACTGCTCTTCAACATACCGTTGCTTTCATATGATCCATGGCCATCTGCATTTCGTCATTCTCTGCCGACAGCCTTTGAACTTCATTCTCCCTTTCAAGAAACAAAGCTTTGGTTGCCTCAAACTGCTGATTAATTTCTGTAAGCTCAGTCTTCAAAGATATAGATGTTTCTGATGAAGTTTCCTGATCTTTCGAAGCACGCTGCAAAGCTTCAACCATCTGTTGTTTTTCATTTTGGACACTGCACAACCTTTCTTGTTGCTCCTCAAGTTGATCGTCTTTCTCGGTACACGTGGCAATCAACTCTAGCTCACGGCCGCGGGCGGTTTCCCTTTCATCTTGAAGGCTTGTTTCAAAGTTACGTTTCTGGTTCTCGAACTGCTGTCGAGCCAAGTACAAAGAAGCAGACATCTCTTCCATTCGAGAACATGTAGTTTCTGCACGTTCCTCTAAACGAGCGAGGCTCTGCTGGAGGTCAGAGTTATTTTCTGATGATTCTTTTAGCTGTCTTTCCAGGTCCTCTTTATACACATTCAACTGTTTGAATTCGAAAATTTGTCGGTCGCGTTGTTCTTCTGCGGAGCGTAATGGTCCTTCGACATCATGGCACCGCCGCTCTAAATCAACACAGGCTTCCTCAATTATTTTCATCATATTATCATGGCAATTGTTTGCATCTCGCATAAATACGTCGCTAACTCCCGAGCGCCAGTCACGAGTTGGAAGCTGTGGGGTTGCAAAATCATTGTTGCTTCGCAAGGAGGTGGGACGTCTGAAGTCATTTGAATTTGACAGGATGAAAGAGCATTGGCAATCAGCGTGCGACGCGAGAGCCCGGTCAACGAAGGACTTCATAACTCCAATCTCTCTATTGCTTCCATTCCGTGAGAGCTCTGCAGCGAAGTAAATTTCGAAAAGGTTGACCAGAACCTTGTTCTGCAATGCTACCTTAGCAGAATTGCATGCTGCTTCTCCTTGGCATTGGTTTTGGCTCGCCTTAACTGGAAAATTTGCCAACAACTTGAATATGCTGTCTTTCGTGGAGACCGAGTCGAGAAGAGCAGAAGCCAATGCCGGGGATTGAGAGGCCTGGAACCCTTCAAGAATCAAGTTCGACAGTTTCAAATCGGACAGGGAATTTTTATTGGGCAGATTGCCATCCTGCACTGCCTCAAATGTGAACCTGAGAAGATGATAGATGGCTGATTCCTCAGAACACTTTTCATGTCAGCAAGGGGAAAATGAAGTTGACCACGGGGATGCTCACAGCTAAGGATTCTGCCATATGCCGGATAAGATGAGGGGGCATGACCCCCATGGTTATCCTACTTCCCTTTGAGACAAGGGCATGTAACTCCATCTCACGTATGTGACATGGAAGGTCAGCCGCCGGACGAAGTCGAGATATGAATGCGATTCCCTGAAAAATGAATTAGTCAAGGCCATGAGCTTATACGGAATTTCCTTACCATCATGTGGATTTCTCGATCCAGTCCATGTCGAGCAATCTTCTCAAACAGCTTTGTCATCTTAGACGGATTTGCTGATATCCACGCCTCTTTTTGCTCTGGTTCAATATTCTCTGCAATGTGAATAGCAAGACGAACACTTTCAGCAGCTTGGGGTGGTGTTAAATTGTTGCAGTTTGAAGAGCAGGCAAGGATCACGCGCAGGGCTACCAGGTCTAGCGTTTTTAGACCACGCTTTGCACCAAAAAAATGCCGAATACTGGAAAACCAGAATGGAGTCTTGGGTTCGAGCCTGTTGTTAATATCGTGACTTTGGATGGATGCAATACGTGCGAATGTCGCGAGACACAAGAGAACACCCATATGATCATCCAGATTTCGAAGAGTCTTGGTAAATTCTATTTGGAGATTAGACATGACTTCATCTGGAACTTCGAACTGGAGGAGTGAGCATCCTTGAAGCCCACCCATTAAGGTATGCAATGGCTTGATTGTCTCATTACACGGGTTCTTGGCCATGGTAGACACCAGTGCTGCGATGAGGTCAGCCACTCGGGCAGGTGCCACGACTTCTTGGGGGAATGGATGAGATAAAAACGAGGCGCAGGCTAGCTGAAACTGTTATACGGTCAGTTTAGGTGTCAAAATGAACAGGAATATCAAGGTCGGAGATAATCTCACGTCTGATTCACCGCTGTCGACGGCCTTTTCCAAAAAAACATCGAAAATAGCAGGATGCCGAAACAAAACTGCATCTCGAAATGCGATTTCGTTGACTGTCAACTGTTAATAACATGCCTTTTCCGCTCTCAACCCCAATGGTCCTTACCAAAGGTAGCGAGCAGTGGGAGTGCGATCCGCGAGCGCGACAAGCCTTCTACCAGCGCGTCGGCTAATAGACCGATCTGACACGGCTTTTGAAGAGCCCAGCACTTGATTATTGAGCGACTGTCATCCTGCACCAGCTTGTATAAATCCTATCACGCCGTCATATCAGTGCCTGTTTTTACCCCCAGTTGAGGTCAAGCCTACCTGCAATGATGGGATGTAAGGGGCCGTCACGATCCGCTCGATCTCGCCTACCAGACTGGTAATATCTTGAGCCATCTTCGCTGCATTTATGTTGATCGATGGTTCTAGGTTAGTATGGCTCTTCGAACATCGTCGTCAGCGCGCGGTGGAGATTGAAAGAAGCAGTGTTGATTCGGTTGCCCTGTCAACGAGCAAAAGGCAGGTTCGGCCAATCAGAGTGCGCCATTTCTACCACGGCTCTTTCGTCTACATTTTGGGCTATTTTATTAACTTGAACCTTTCAAATGTTCTTGAATGATAATACAGCTTTACATATGCGATGAATTGTCTACAAGATACCAATTGGTGATGCATCTTGACAATTGCGGACGTCCATGACTGGAGAACCCCCACACTGCACCCCCGCGCTATCGGCCGAGCTCCGGAGCGGGGAAATTCATTCGCAGCAATTGTCCCCGATGATTTCGCTTCATGCGGCGTAATGATGTCGCAATTAGTGGAATCGGAGCATTTCCGGCTCCGAAGATATGGAGGAATTGGGGTTTGAGTACTTTTTGTGCCCCTCGTCTTCCTCTCTTCTACAACTCCAAGACCACAAAATATAGATACATCCTGGCCAAGATGCGAGCGGCATTTATACTTCCTCGGAACTCTTCCGTCCCTCGCGTGCTCAATTGTCGCTCTCAAGCACTTCGACAGCAGCGATTTACAGCTAGCAGAGGCATTCGAGCTCACAGCTCCGCTAGCCAGGCTACGACAAAACAGCAGCGCAATTCTTCACATTCGGGATCATCTTCACAATCCTCCTTCTGGACACCTGCCCGAGCCTTTCTCGTCTCAGCATTTGCTGCCGGAGCTGGTTACGGCTTCGCGTCGTACAACCAAGTGCCGCAGCCTGCAAAGAAAGCGAAATATGGGTCAATGAAGGACTTTGAAAAGGTATTCCCGTGCAATTGATTCATATTATTTGATTTAATTTTACTGATAGTCTGTAGGCAATCGCAGAATTGCGAGCCATCTTAGGCGAAGATGCGATCAACACCGACGAGGATGACCTTCAGCAACATGGATATTCGGAGTGGTCGACCCTCAATGCCGAGCGACTTCCAGTGGCCATCGCATACCCAACATCTACCAAGCAAGTTTCCGAAATTGCGAAGATCTGCCACAAGTACCGAATGCCTATGATTCCATACTCCGGTGGATCTAGCCTAGAGGCGAACTTCTCCGCCCCACACGGCGGCCTGACCATCGACTTTGCCATGATGAACAAAATCTTGACGATTCACGAGGATGACATGGATGTTGTTGTGCAACCATCCATTCAGTGGATGGATCTCAACGAGAAGATTAAGGATACAGGACTCTTTTTTCCTGTGGATCCTGGGCCATCTGCCATGATTGGTGGTATGGTAGGAACGAACTGCAGCGGTACAAATGCTGTTCGATACGGAACAATGAAGGACTGGGTGATTAATCTTACCGTTGTTCTAGCTGACGGTAGCATTATCAAGACCCGCAGACGTCCTCGCAAAACTTCAGCTGGGTATAACCTCACTGGAATTTTCGTGGGCTCAGAGGGGACGCTGGGAATAGTGACAGAAGCTACACTGAAACTGGCACCTATTCCTGAGCTGACAAGAGTTGGAGTTGTGGCATTCCCTACCATTCGAGACTGTGCGTCTACAGCAATGCAGCTTATCAAAAAAGGCATCCCCATTCAGTGTATGGAGATTTTGGACGATGTGCAAATGGATGTGATTAATCGGGCGGGTGGAACAGGGCGCATATGGGCTGTTGCCCCCACATTATTCTTCAAATTCTCTGGAACCACTGCTGGTGTCGCGGATAGCATCAATCTAACCACGAAACTTGCAAAGGGTAACCGTGCCTCGTCAGTGGAATTTGCCAAAACCGAGGCAGAAGCCCATGACCTCTGGTCGGCGCGTAAGCAATCACTTTGGAGTATGATGGCTCTTCGTACCGAGGGCTCCGATGTCTGGTCAACCGATGTAGCTGTCCCTATATCTAGACTGCCTGAAATTATCGGTGAGTTTCCAAATATCGCGGATCACACTGGTGGGCAGTTTGAATTCAATACTAATAGTTACAGAAACTTCCAAGAAGGACCTGGAAGACCTCGGTCTATTTGCCAGCATTCTCGGACATATCGGCGATGGAAATTTCCATGCCAGTATCATGTTCGATCGTCAAGATCCAGCAGAAAAAGAGCGAGTGGAAAAGGTGGTATCCGATATGGTTGATCGTGCCCTCGAAATGGAAGGCTCGTGCACGGTATGATTCGCATCTATAAAATTCCATAGACCTCATAACTAACTGAACTGGCTAGGGTGAGCACGGAATTGGACTCGGCAAAAAAGAGTCACTGAAGAAGGAGCTTGGCCTGGAGACGATAGATATTATGCGCAATATTAAACGTTCTCTTGATCCCCATTGGCTCTTGAACCCTGGAAAGATTTTTGATCTGGAGAAAGACTCTTAAGGGATTCTTGGTGGTATTTACCTACCCGAGAATTATTGACGATGGGTTCTATTTCAACTCAAACATTCTATCTATAGACAGGACTCTCTCAAAATAATTTTATCCTTCACTACATACTATTTCACGGCATCTTATTCAAGTTGAGGCATCATAGCTCATGATCACTTGCAATCGCCACCTTATGAAAAGTTTATCCGTGGTCAGTATTTAGTTCTAATAAAACTGAAGTTGCGAATTTGTATTTCTTAGCAAAGAAGGGATACAATGATAATGTTTGAGGACTATATTCGATATACTCACGGAGTTGTCGGCGCAGGCTTATCCCCTAAGTAGCTATAGCGGAGTTAACGGGTTTTGCAGTTGAGACGCTCCAGCGTGACGTACAACGTAGATAAAAGAGCAAATAATGAAATCTAATCAGAAGACAATAGTCAATCACGTTCCAGAGAATCCGAGCCAGGCGTCTCCGCTTTAATGAGGACAGGACTCGAATTGCTAATAGCATTCCAGTTTCTGGAAGGAATTGGACAGTCCAACATGGAAATACAACAACCATGGCATGGAAATTTGCTTCTCTGCTGTATCTAGCAATTTAAATTCGCAAGAAAAGATTTATCAGATTTGACATAACAATAAAAAGATTCTTTGCAAACTATAAAGGTACCATTTCCTCCTTTCATGGATGGTATCCGGATCAGACTCAGAAAGGCATCAACTTCCCAACACAAGGAACAGCAATTCTACAGCTCATATTGTCGCTTTATAATCAAATATGGCATCACCATTGAAGAACATCGCCATTATTGGAGTAAGGCCGCATAATAAAGATTGATCACAACGCTAACATGCATCTGCTAGGCGAGTGGCAGAATTGGCGCAATTATACTCGAAGGTCTCCTTAAGGCTTCCCAATTCAACATTACAGCTATCTTGCGCAAAGAGAGCACTGCGGTCTTCCCTCCGAAATTTAATGTAATCAAGTCTGATCTCTCTGAGAATGACCTCGTTTCTGCCTTTCAAGGGCAGGATGCTGTGATCTCTGCGATCGGGGGCATGGGCGTGGCCGATCAGAAAAAGATCGTCCACGCTGCGCTTCGAGCCGGTATCAAGCGATTTATTCCCTCGGAGTTCTCAGTCGACAGTCTCAATGACGCTGTTCTACAGCTTTTACCTGTCTTTCAGGTCAAAAGGGATCTGATCGAATACCTCAAGACCAAGCAGAGTGATGGTTTGACCTGGACTGGTATTGCTACGTCCGGTCTGCTTGACTGGGTGCGTAATGATCATTTCCCGCGCCCTCCTTGATGATATTTTCTAAAATAATAGATATTCTCTAGTGTCTTCGCAATAGCGCTCTTGATTTCGATATTCCAAGTCGCACGGCTACTATCTGGGATGGTGGAAACAAGAGCTTCACCCTGACCAACGAGAAGGAGCTCCAGGAATCCGTTGTGGCTGTCCTTCAACATCCAGAGGAAACCTGTAATAAATCTTTACATGTTGCCTCAGTAGAGACTACCCAGATAGAGATACTATCTGCTCTGGAAGAAGCAACTGGATCCAAGTGGAAAGTGATCGAACCTACAACCGATGCACAGGTTGAAGAGGGTGCCAAGAGGCTATCTGCAGGTGATTTTGGTGGTGCATTGATAGCACTTCGGGCAACTATCTTTGGGAATAAGCCTGGCCTCAAAGGAAATTATGCCAAAGATACAAGGCTGGCGAATGATGTTCTGGGATTGAAGTTGGACAGTGTTCAGGCTACGGTCCAGCGTGTCGTATCAGACTAGGTCCTCCCAAGATAGATACACTCGATTTACTGCCTTCGGCATTCAAGGTTCTGTGTTTGTCAATGAATCCAATCGGTCTTTGTGTGTGAGTTTGTCAAATTATCAAAACCCCCTTTCAAGGGCAATTTTCCGGTCCCTGTTTTAGTTTCCTTACAACTACAATCATCGCTTGGTATACCAATATTAGACCCACTGAGGCTCCCTACATGGTATCTAGAACCATCTTTCAGATAGAAGATGTAAGTTGCATCAAGAGTTATAGTTTAGAATGCTTCTAATTTTAATTTTTGAAACTGGAAGCCATGCTGAAAGCCCCATGCCCATGTCCAAAGCCACAAGTAGTTCCCACACATTGGGCATGGTATCTCGAACAACAAAGAGGGTCGTTGAAAATTGTCTCGGGCATCTTTGCTTCAGACTGAACACTTTATACCACGTGAATTTTTGCTTTGTCCAAATCTGACGATCGCTAGTTTGAGATACTCCTCAAATTTTTTTGAAGATGCGACTTTTCTAAGTGGAACATTCATACGATTTCTTGTGAGCATCTCACCCAAAATTCGTGATATTTCCAAGCTTTAGTCTTAGGCATATATGAAGTTCATTTCATGTAAATCTCCTCTTTTTTTATTCTCAATATTTTGGACCATCTTCAAAATAACAGATGAAAGAATCTAGCATCATATGCTTTGGACCATTTCTTTCATTGGCATTTTAGCACGGAGTTTTACTATCAAGCCTCTATCTTTGATCAGACCCTTTGTACCAAAAAGCCCTTATAAGTTTGGCGATTATTCTCAAGAGAATTGTCAATTAAACTCATATCGCAAATTTTTGTTTTAAAATAATCTTCAAGACAATTCAACCAGGTTATCGTCGCACTAATATCCCTCTCCACAAAATGGTAGCCAGAGTCGCCAGTGTCGGTCCTTCTAGAGTGGAAAAGAAGTCTAAAAAGAAAAGTTCACGGAAAATCAATGACAAAGACAAGACATTAAGTTCGCAGAAGAGCACGGAAAAGGACTCTAAGTCACATCCACCGAAGAGCAAAGACAAGGGCCCTGAATTAGAGATTATAGAGGTACGATATTTCATTCCCCTGATGGCCATTCTAAAGGGGAGGCTCACATATTTCTGAAGATCGAAATTCCAGCCCAGGAGATCGACATTACAGTCCAGGAGATCGAGCTTCCAGTTGAAAAGAGACGCGCAAAGCCATCTAAAAAGTCCAGGGGAAATGCCAAATCGGACACTCGTGATTCTACCAAATCTCCTAGCTCTTCGGAGAAAAAGCGAAAGCGAAAGAGCTCAAGTCCAGCAGCTGAATCGGTTCATGATTCGGTTCAGAGCACATCTGCTAGTGCTTCAATAACAAAGCTCAAGGAAAAGAGTTCAAGTCCAGCAGGACAACCGATTTATAATCCAGTCGAGAACAAATCTCAGAAGGGGTCGAAAATACCACGGGCATCGGATCCAACTCCACGCAAGATACTAAGAGTACAAGATTTGGATCTTTGGAAGGCATACGAGCCTGAGCCAGACCTCGAACAGATTATTGAGAGGCCTGAAAAGCCGAATATTTATTACGACATCGGTCCAAAGCCTCTAGAGGACCCTTCCAAACTTCCAGAAGGTTGGACCTCAGAAGAGCTCGATCTTGATCCGGAGTAAGTCGAGATTTATATAATTGGTTTAGGTAAAATTTACTTACGTATCATAGTGACCTAGATGCTCAAATTCACAGATGTGAAGAGCGTCTACTGGCAAATATCATGCCCAAAGTCTTTAGAAACAGACTTAAACAATTGAAGGCTGAAAAGAGTGAGCGTGGGTAAGTAGAAATCTGTCCAGTAAAGTCATGCAAGTCTCGATTCATCACTCACTCTTTTCCAATTTAATAGTGACACATTGAAGAAATACCCAGGTGTTAGTTGGGATGTCATACAGCGACTTGAGAGCCTTACCCGAATAAAAGCGGCGCTTGCTGAAGACGGAGACAAGTATGAGCAAATGGCCAATGTCAAAGCATTAATGGATGCCTATGCGAGCCAGAAACTTGTCTGGAACAAGGGACTGGTGACGTATTGGACACACGGTGTTCAGCTCTCTCGGCCTAGGCCGTTTGACTGGGATGAGCTTGAGGCAATCAACAAGAAGCATAATGGAGACAAAAGCTTTTGGGTTGAAGGGGTGAGCTAGATAAGTGTGGTATCTTTTTGTGATCGAAGTTCTTAGATTAACCTTCTTTTGTGTCTATAGGTCTTGGGTCCTGCTCCGAGTCTCAACATGCTGATGACCACTTTCGGTCCTCAGGCTCCCCCTCTTCATGACTTTAATTATGTAATTTCATCCTGCTTAACCCTCAACATTTTACCGGTATCTAAGTTTATTGACAATGACAAACAGGTTCAATTACACATTCGCTTGCCCGGAGCGGCCTGGTATCAAAGTATGGAATTTCTGCACGACACTGGAGCTGCTACAATGAGAATGTTCGAACGTGATATCAATGACCTCCAGATTGGCAATTCCGACCCTCAAAGAGTTCCCGTTCTGGGATCCTTGGAGTACCGGGCTCCGACTGGTTTGATAACATTGCCATTGATTGAAGTTGAAGTCACTCTGGTTGATAATGGTGTTAGATTGTTTGACTGGGTTAGAGTAGCCACTGCCATTTCCGATGGGCGGGTCCGGGGCAGGAGCGTCCCAAGATCTGACGGTCCAGTTTTGCGGCAAAATTTGTACAGCGCAACTGCGCCTGATGGAAACGGTCGCTCACATTTCAGCAATTCATACACGGACTTCTTGGATGGGCTGCCAATCGTGTCTAGGCTTCACCCTGTGAATAATGTGCCTCCACTTGGGAGATTTCATTCGTCTTTCTCACGGCCCGTCCTCCTCAGACGCTCAAGGCCAGGCGAGCGTGATAGTTTTGCTCCCCCACCAGCTGACCCCAACGCGGTAATCCCAGCGCAAGTGCAGCCAATGAGCGAGGCGGAGGCTCGGACCCAGCTGGCGGCGCAGGCGCGGGCAGTCCAAAGGGCTCGAGATGCTGATGCTCAAAGAGCTCGAGAGGCTGCGGTTCGAAGGACTGCAGATGCCGCGGCTCAAGCTACGGCTCGTAGACCTCGTATGAGAGACAGATTCCAACACAGACTTGAAAATATGGGGCGAATAGTCACCCTTCGCTCACCTCGTGAATAACTTTGGTGTTGATGATTTTGTTGAATCGGGATCGCTTGAGTAGTTTTTTTCAGAATCCTTTATGCGTTTTGTTAAGTGTTTATTTTGTCAGTAAAGAATGAATACGATTAGTATTAGCTAGGAATTCCTTCTAGTGTCCTCCTAATGTCAACATATGGTGATTTAACAAAGTAGGTAGATCATCAGTGATTGTTACCAACTTCACACAGTATATACTACAAATGTTGGATCGTAGCCCTGGAGTGTTTCGTGTTCGGAGAAGAGACACCAACTCCGGAAGACGTGAATCCACTATATAGAGGCAAAGAGCCAATCATTTTTGGGATTTCCAATGTGGCTGACTCATCGCGGGGCCCGAGGGGTTCCTGGCCGATAATCGCGATCGGATCAGTTTGCCACAGGCACTTCAACTTCATCCAACCGCCAATTGGTAAGTGGAATCGTGCGTTTCTTGATGTTTTTGAATTACAATGTCATCTCCAAGTTGAATACCATCGGCAAAGAGAACTGGGGCTCATCGTCCCCTCCGACCCGCCTCCATGTACACTGCGGGGCACCGGAAAATGAAGAAGTCTTGACTCATCAGGTCCCCGTGGCCCATAGTCTCGAGGACATTGGGCTGATTGATTACAATAAACATATATATTAAACTTCTGGAAAGCTAACAGTGTTCAAAGAACTACAGTATATACCCTGTCTACCCTCGTAGACATACTACCAATCAAAATGGCGGCTTCCTTCTCCAAGAAGAAGTGCGGTATGTCTAAACCACCTGCTCTACGTGACGATATCGATATACAGGTTCTAATATCTTAAAGGTGTTCTCGGTGCCACCGGCTCTGTCGGTCAGCGATTTATCCTCCTTCTCGCCGATCACCCTTTCCTAGAGCTCCACGCTCTCGGTGCCTCGGAGCGCTCCGCGGGCAAGAAGTACAAGGACGCTGTGCGATGGAAGCAGTCCTCTCCTATGTCGGAAAGGCTCAGCAACCTTGTTGTGCGTTCCTGCAGAGCCCAGGACTTTGCGGACTGTGACCTTGTCTTCTCCGGCCTGAACAGTGACATCGCTGGCGAGACTGGTAAGGTTAATCGACAGTATGCGAACGGGAACCAAACAAGCTAACCTCGTACACAGAGATGGAATTCATCAAGGCAGAGATCCCCGTCTTCTCCAATGCAAAGAACTATCGCAAAGACCCCATCGTTCCCTTGGTCGTCCCCACCGTTAACCCTGACCACATGGACCTCATCCCTCATCAGCGCAAGCACTTCGGCCTCAAGAAGGGTTTCCTGGTTTGCAACTCCAATTGCGCCGTCATTGGTGTCGTTATTCCCTTTGCCGCTCTGCAGGCTAAGTTTGGCCCCGTCGAGGAGGTCGAGGTCTTCACTGAGCAGGCTGTCTCCGGAGCTGGATACCCCGGTGTGCCTAGCATGGACATTGTTGACAACGTCATCCCATACATCAGTGGTGAGGAGGACAAGCTTGAGAACGAGGCCCAGAAGATCTTGGGTGGTCTGAACGCCGATGCTACCGGTTTCAATGAGCAGGCTGGCCTGCGCATCGGGGCCACTTGCACTCGTGTTGGTGTCACTGACGGTCACATGGCGTTTGTCTCATTGCGTTTCAAGAACCGCTCTGTCCCTAGCGCAGAGCAGGTCATTGCGGCCCTGCGTGAATATAAGTCCGAGGCACAGAAACTTGGTGCCCCCTCAGCACCTGAAGAGTCGATCAAGGTGTTCGACGAGCCTGATCGTCCCCAGCCTCGACTGGACCGTGACATCTCTGGTGGATACACCGTCAGCGTTGGACGCGTCCGCGAGGGAGCCCAGGGTGGCTTCTTTGACATTCGTTTTGCCGCGCTCTCGCATAACACAGTGATTGGCGCTGCGGGATCTTCGATCCTGAACGCCGAAGTCGCCGTTATCAAGGGTTACATCTAATGTAGATACGAAAGAAAAGTGGGATTCTCAGCGACCTTAAACTATACCTAGGTACATGACCTTAAAATTCAATCAATGAAATTATAGATACATTTAGCCAAAAAAAACTCCTACGTAATTACTACAATATCAATTGTCAGTACATGGACTCGCGCGGAAAATCGGTCACGTGCACGATAAATCAATTTGCTTTCCTATTTGGTTTGATGAAAGTGCTGACATAATATGGACACGCTTCACCCGTTGCGGACTAGCGCGAATAGGGCTCACACACACACAGGTCCTAAGCGAACTCGCCCAGATTACCATTGCGACCCGTCTCATTTCTCGACTGTGATCCTCCGACAACTCAACCACACCAGGTCGACAATTCCATCAAAATGGCTCGCGGACCGTAAGTGTAATGCCACTTCGTTCAATCAATTCTCATCACTGCGATAAATTCGGACTCGATACTCGATCGCTTGCTGGAAAGGGTCATCGTTGGAGTTCAGAAAAAGAATTGCATATGGGGAACATTGAAATGAAATTTTGAATTACGAACGATGTGAATACTAACCGCAATGTCATTACAGCAAGAAGCACCAGAAGCGCCTTAGCGCCCCCTCGCACTGGCTCCTGGACAAAATGTCCGGAACCTACGCGCCCAAGGCCTCTCCCGGTCCTCACAAGCTCCGGGACTGTCTGCCTCTGATCGTCTTCATCCGTAACCGGTACGCTACAACTCGCCTCTTTCGCGCACGCAAATATCACATCGGCCTAACTAACATGAAATGTGTTCTATAGTCTCAAGTACGCCCTGAACGGTCGCGAGACCAAGGCCATCATGATGCAGCGTCTGGTCAAGGTTGACGGCAAGGTCCGCACCGACACCACCTACCCCGCTGGTTTCATGGATGTCATCTCCCTCGAGAAGACTGGCGAGCACTTCCGCCTCATCTACGACACCAAGGGTCGCTTCACCGTCCACCGCATCCAGGCCGAGGAGGCTGAGTTCAAGCTGTGCAAGGTTAAGCGCGTTCAGCTTGGCCGTGGTGGGATCCCATACTTGGTTACGCACGATGCGCGAACGTGAGTTCACACACTCCACAAGTTCCGTGTCATTCAGTCGTTGGACCAAGCTTTGGTTGATCGGCGGAGGACAATGAGAACAATCTGTTCCACATTCTGGATACAGTAAGCCCCATTTCAAACAGAACCAGGTTATGCTAATTCGTGGCTTGCAGCATCCGTTACCCCGACCCTGCCATCAAGGTCAACGACACCGTCAAGGTTGACATTGCCACTGGCAAGATCGCCGACTTCGTCAAGTTCGACTCCGGTGTTGTCTGTATGGTCACTGGTGGTCGTAACATGGGTCGTGTTGGTGTCGTCACTCACCGTGAGCGCCACGATGGTGGTTTCAACATCGTCCACGTTAAGGACGCTATTGACAACACCTTCGCTACCCGCGAGTCCAACGTTTTCGTCATCGGCCAGGAGAAGCCCTGGATCTCCCTCCCCAAGGGCAAGGGTGTCAAGGTACGTTTTACTAAATCTCTATCTCTCGATTTAAGTACATTCACTAACATTTTTGTTTTAGCTCACCATTGCTGAGGAGCGTGACCGCCGCCGTGCCCACGCTATTGCCAACTAAATGTCTTCTGACATTGGTAAATAGCATGGCCATCTTCTGAAGATGGACTAAAAAAACATTAACCAAAACTGTAGCTGGGAGACGTCGTCTTGTCTTGCTTTGTGGGCTTGAAGGATGTATCGTTCCGTAGATTCCACCATAGCAAACAAAACAGGGACGGGGCTACCGTCTCGTTTCCGAGTGATATGATACCATTTAACGTTACCTTTTTTTTTCTCAAATGATTTAATGACCGTACTTCTACTTCTTGGGTCTTTCCTTTCTTCTCCGAGCCTGCTGTCTTTCGACTTATTGCGCCTCTACCTTGCCCAATACCCAAGAACATGGTGAATATGTAGACCATTTTTATTGCGTATATTGGGATGACCCAAGTAACTAGCTAGGTAACTAACTATACGCAGTAAAATCCAGTACCAAGACGAGGCTGTCTGTGCTACTAGTAGATAGCCTTGTCAATCACCGATGCAGGCACTATTCAAATCTTCAAATTCCAAGGTTGTCCAAGTCTTCGACCCAATTTGTCGGAAATACTAGTACTATATACATACCGTGCTCGACATTGAATTAGCATACTAGTGGGCATGATATTCACTCATATTAACCCAAATTTCCCCAATGAATGGTCGTTCAAAATCCGTTTAGCATGTTTCAATATATACACATCGTCGGGTTACTAGTACTTGCGGAGGATCTACCTAGTACCCGGCAAATTGGATCATTCAAGCTTCTACCAGTCGGACGGCGACAGCTGGCCATAGCTCCCCCCAAAGCTCTCTTCCCACTGCCCAGGTGGGCCAGCTAGATTAAACATAAAAAGGTAAACGAATAAGTAATCCCAGCTCGCAAGTCGATCGATTCACAATGGGAATTGCCGAGGCCACCTCCAAGCCCGTAATCGGAGATGAGCGCGCAGAACCACCACACGGAACACCCGCATTCCGTTCGTACCGCAGTCGACTCCAGCTGAACTCACACACCTAATAACAATGAATGACCAATAAAACCTCCATAGTGAGGCGGCCATTAATTAACTCAACTCCACATTTCAGACTACCGGAGTGTCCTGGAGCTCCCACCAACACAAACTATGGAGTCATAGAGTGGGGAAACACTAGATAAAAAACACTGTGCTCTCCGGCGTTTTCCGGACTTTATTGACCCGCAGGCAGGGAAGGCTAGACTAGGGTATCTTGACTAGGCTGGGGAGGGGAACAAAAGCTCGGTAATAAATTCCAGCTTTTACGATAGGCCGTGCATGAACGAATGAATTATAATGTATTAAGACACGGAGGAACCAGTTCGCAATTTTAATCGCTGAAGGATGGAATGGTTCTGACCGGCCGCCCGTGGTCGCAGAAAGACCTTCATCGATCGGGACCGATCCACGTATGAGAAGAGAGAACGCCATGTCCTGCGCTAGGTATCATAGATCTGCAATTTCCACCACCACCCGCTTCGAAAGAGAAGAGAAAAGAGCATAGTGAGATATGTTAATGGAAGACACGGACCTTTTCAAGGTCCATCTACTTTTTATTTGAGTCGGATGGACTTATACAAGGAGACGTAAGTATTTGAGATAGGGAAGTTGGTGGAAAGGTTATCGATTTGCATTTTCACGTCCACATCTCCCCTCAAATAGCTGATCTGAGCTGTTTAAGGTAAAGTTTTCTCCGATACTTTATGTATGAAAGCGCTCGAGCGCCTGCCATTTTTCTGGGCAATCTGATATATCCAACTTCACTCCCTCGCTTCTCCACCTGGGAAAGAACTCCGGATGCCAGGGGCGGAGAACCGGGATATGCACGACAACATTTTACATAGCGCCCGCGGATTCCAGGCTGATTCTGCGATGCAACATGGAGAAGGGAGGGGTGCCAGTTGTCCATACGCCAACAGCATGCAAGTGCGCGCAATGTATCCTCGAGCCGTACTAGGCCCATCCTTACTTATGTAGTCCTGGAGATTAGGGATTCCTGACTGGCCAAGGCCCCATCTCTGCGTAGATGTTTGCTTTTCCTGGAATCCAACTAGTAACTCCCCCCCCTCCCCCTCCAAGCTATGCACACTATGCACACTATGCTACACAAGATGCAGATATACGAGTGGGACGAAGAGAATTCCCGGCCGATGTACGGGGGACATTCGGTTAGAGATCGTCGTCTCTTTGCCGTGAACGATGATCCTTGGAGTATGGGCGTTCGCGCAGTAAAGTAACGCACTTGACTATGCCGATCAACCACTGGAGAAGGTGCACCAGTAATATTATCACATGGGAACCTTGAAAGGAGGGGGGGGGGGGGGGACGAAAGACGTACCTAGATGGGGAGCAAAGGAACCTAGTAGCCTTCTAAAGCGCTAATTAGTACTTCACGCTGAGCACTAAGTACATACCGTAAAAGCGAAAGCGAATACTAAGTGTGGCGGGTTAAGAAGCGGGTCTACCTCGGTGAGGCCCGGAAATGATGATAGGCAAGAGTCAGCACTATGCTGCGCCCGTGATATGGATACGCGGTGAACGACCTTTCGAAACATCCATTCTCATCGAGGGAACCAGATTGTAGATATAGATGTGTATATATTAATGAAAGCGGTTGATGACTTGGATGTCAATTGCCATGCCTTTCCCATGATCCACCTCAAGCTCTGGAACATGTGGATCTACCGAGATCCCGTTTCCAGTTCCTTGGACCTGGGTTCATTGTAGCCGCTCCTATCGAATTCCTGAGCGTTGACGGAATTTCACGTGGCAAAAGAGTTTGGTGATGTTCTTGCATCTTGCGTCATGTATACCTGCCTAAGAATGACTTAGTTTTCATTGTTTTCTGTTTTTGGAGGTGGATTCATCCAGCGGGGCTGCATCCTGCGCGCTCCAGAAAAAGGACAGGAATGGATCCTACGTTGGTGAGTGGTGGGTGTATACCCTCGTTATTCTATCGTATTTCTTTTCCTTTTCATATTTGGGATTCTTTTTCCGATTTCATTTCGATTTCCCTTTTTTTTTTTTTTTTTTTTTTCTTGGGCACCACTCAAACCCCCTAGTTTCCCTCGAAAGGGAACGTCCTCATTCCAGCGGTGTACAAGGTGTGTTCCCCAACCTTTTTTGAACATTCCTAGTGATCATCTCTTTTGCCTGGATAGCGGGAGAAGCTTCCCGATGTAGGATCAAGGTTCGATACTTCAAGGCTCAAGGCTTCTGCGTTCTCGTGTGCGGATGGATATTCAATATCCGTCCCGACGATCAACAATCCAGGGGAACAAAGTTTAGGGCAACACGACTGCTCATTTTTCGGATCGCAATCCCTGGTTTCCCCAGATTGCCTTTTCAAGGCCCATATGTAGGTCAGAATTCAGCGGTGAGGCCCTTCTTCGATATACTTCCAGGGATGCCAGACCGCAACAATCGATGACGAGGAAAAGCAGCCGGGAGACAAAGAGGTGGATTCATGTATTGGACCAATTAGACTAGTATTCACAAGGATGATGTTATTATCAATGATTGGTGGAATGAAGATCAAAATATCAAAGCTCATAAAAACATTCAATAAGAACACAAAGAGATCGAGGCCAAGAAAATAAATTAAAAGTTTGAAAATTTTTTTTTTAAAATAAAAGCCACAGTTGATTCATTGTCTCCACTTCACGCCTCACTGCAACCATGAGTGGCTCTCTGTTCTCGATTGACTGGAACTTCATGATGATCGTCCGCCGAAACCCCTCGCTAAGGCTAGTGACATGGGCATAGTGTCCACTTTCGGTCTGCATATAAAATGATAAGAATGATTTATAAAATACGTATGAAATCATGGGAATCCCGAAATCCCGAAATCTCGATTGGGATAGGATGTGGAACCGAATGTACCAGATGATCAATGGCAATTAAGCCGTCGAGTTCAACAATAATCAAAGTCAAACAATCAAATACTATAGCTTAAAGCGAGATAGTACTGCAAATGAAAATGAAAAGGGAAATGAAAAGACAAAACAAAACAGAGCGCAGAAAGATAAGACAGCAAAAACCAGTTTTTTTCTAATATTTGTTCCACTAAGGTTGGAGCTCTCCTTGATAACCGCCACTAACGTAGCATGCCTGCCCACATACTACCTTTCTAGTCTGACCGACTAGATAGGCCTGTGATACCAAGGCACTAAAAAAGTGAGTTGGTGATCGATTAAAATTTTATATTTTATACTCCGTATACAAAAGAAACTAAAAATAATGAATCTTCCAGAAGGTTTAAAGGTAGACCGCTTCCCAACCGATTTCAACCCTAACGACCAAGTAAAAATCTGACAATCTGTTTAAATTCCTGTCATATTGTAAACAGAACTGGGCTGCAGCCCAAACGGGTGTCAAGGCATTGATGGGAATTTGACTCGTTAAGAAGCAGGGAAAGAGTATAATGCGATTTGCTTTGCTAGGACCATTCTTTACGGTGGGGACCCGCAGGTTCCCCCCCGGCCGATCTGGGGCCCAGTCCAAGGAAATACACTATGTATACGTGTTTTGCGATGCGACAATCATTACCCCCTTTTTACACAAGTCTTTCCTGCCCATCGGGACTCCCAGCAGTTTGGAACTAGGATTAGCGCCCCTCCCCGTTTTCAATGTGCCCAGTCATCGTCTGCCGTGTCCCCATTATGATTCTTCCTCGTGATGAGTCTAACGTGGCGGGAACGGAGACAGAGCAGGGGCAAAGGAAAACCGCTGGCCCTTTAGAAGAAACCAATCATCTGTGTGCTCTCTGAATATCCCGAGTTGAGGTGGGGAAAGGGGATCTTGATTTGGTCATTAAATGTATCATTTTCTCCGGTCTCCATTCCTGTTCCGCCACCGCGTTTGAAGTGCTGGTCCTATAGTTGGAATTCTCTTTTATTTCTCTTTTATTTCTCTTTTATTTTCTTATTTCTATTTTTTTCTTCCTCTTCCCATTTACAATTAGTATTCCTTCTGGTGTGCTTCATTCTTATTATTATTTATCCTTTTATTTCTCATTTACTATTTATCCCGATTTCCTTTTTATCCTATATCTGTCTCTTCCCTGCTCTTATTTCCTTCTGCACAGGCGCGGCATCACATGTACCTCAGCTGGTGTTGTACCTCAAATGCGTTGTCGTCGAGAACCCCGGCTCGGTGGTGTGTAATTCGCATAAATGCAGTCCTTCGGTGCTGAAGAATCGGTGTTTGAACCGCCTTCTAGATCAATATTATACAATCCTGGGAAAACATCATCACCATCGCCCTTGGGTAGATCCGAGATGTCCCACTCAACTACACCCACCCAACCGACAACTATGGTACAGAATGAAACTCCCCCATCTTACCAGTCGATTTTTATGCTTGAATCTGAGATCCCAGTCTTTAATGTCGGATATCGTTTATGGGAAGATGAAGCATTTGCTGTCCTGTGGGCTTTCAACATTCCAGAAATCAGTCAAGTCATCCGCTATGGCCTGTTCCGGGATGTCACCTTTCCCCGAAATTCACTTCTGAGCCGTAATGCGGACACAATTGAAGCCTTTTTGATGACATTGTCTGTTCCGGCTGAGCACCAGTCTCTCATGACACTTTCGCATGTGCAGAAGGTGGAAGAAATCTTGCGCCGCTCAAGTATACCTCCCTTCCGTGAGGTTCCTTGGAGTTGGTTTCCTCCGCTACCAGGGCATTCTCTTGACGCCCGTAGCATTGCGGCGGACATTGAGACAGAAAGTCATTTCCATTTCTGCAAGATTGAGTTCGAGGAAATCGTACGTGCATCTCTGGATTACAATGCACCCTCCGTAGAGTGGTTTTTGTTGCAGCATACTGCTCTGTACATTCATCTTATGGATCATCTGCAAGCACATCCTGAGGAAATTCCCTTATACCTAGAGGTGGAGAAGGTGCGTTTTGGACATTTCTTTTTTGTCTTTTTTATTCTTATAAGTGTATCGAGCTCTGAAGCTGAATATTCTTTCGTAGCATTTACGATCACGGAGCCCCTTCGCTCGTCGCGCTTTGGTACATTGTTTGCAAACAGTTGTACCAGAAACCGCCGTAACTATTCCCGATTCAAAGATGCCGGGATTCCAATTTATTGCTGGTCCGATTCAGAGTCTGTTCATGGATCAACCTCCTGGTTTAACGACCATTCTCAAGGTGTTTAGCGTGTTGGCTGTTCGATTTCGTCGACAGTATATCCATTCTTCGCGAATGGACTGGTATACCCAATTCGATATTACGATCTCATTTCTTGAAGATTGCCGCAACTCGACTTCTGCAAAGGATCTTGCTCGTGTTCTCACAAGTGTCGATGAAGTGGATTTCGCACCACTTTCCCGACAAAGCATCACTACCGGCGATGTCATGACGAAACGTATAGCGACCAATTGGAATAATCTTAGCCTCGCCGTTTGGGAGTGTTGCACTGCAATTCCGGATCTAACTACATACCTTAGAGATTGCACGCAGGCAAGTTTACTAAATGCAACCCCTCAGAACAAGACAAAAGAAAACCCCACCTCTAATCGTGATCAAAATCCACAGATACTCTTAATGAAACGAAATTACCACTCTCTTACAGCCATAGTTGATGGCCTCCACAAGTACGCCATCTCAACCGCCCGGTCAAGAGGCCTAAACAGCACCGTCGGCGGCATGGTCGTGCTAGACCCTCTCCTCCCACCAGTCGCCGTATTCCTCACAAACCCAGCCCAGAACTACGCATCTTATCGCCAGTACTACGGACAGTACCCGGGCATCCCGTTTCTCCTGCCGCATATCCGGGAATTCCAGCAGAAAGGCGAATCAGGCATTCAGCCTCTCCTCGATTACATACAAGATCCATTCGCAGCCAAAGGATAAGTAAAGATCGACAATTGGCGCATGTCTGGCTCCGAATTTGGGTTTCAGGATGCCCTAAAAAGTAAAGCGGATGTGTGCGGCGTGCATGGGCTGCAATTGATCATGCTATTCCTGCCACAGCCTTTCGAAAAGAGGGCTTTGATTGTTTGTTGGGGGCAGCCTTGCATGTCTTAGATTTTTCATTTGCTTGGGTTTAATGGCGGGTATGCATTACTTGCGTGTTTCTCATTAAACTGCTTCGTCTAGGTGTCTTTGGGCATGTATGTTATTTTCTTTGCTATACCCATGCTAGGAACGTAGCATTTGTTGTGCTGGGGCGTCGGGCGTTGCATGAACTTATCTGTACGAGAAGACGGGAATCCCATGAATCTTTTTTTTGGGTCTTTATTTTTTGCAATTATTTATCGTCTTTCAGTTCTCCTTGCTGGCATGGGGCCCGGGATTTCTCTCTACCTTGCGTTTTGCTCCTGCTCGTCTCCTCCGGGCTCCGGGCTATAACAAGCCTTCTTAAGACGCGTCAACGTAAGCAAGCCCGCTCCCGGCGCCTACATGAAATTCATATGTGCATCCTTGTCCCAGCCATAGTAGGTAGTATCGGCCATAGGAGTCAGACTTTAGCGGCATAGCCCGGATAAAGGCCATTGGCAAATCATTTTAATCCATCTCTCCCGCATACGTGGGTTTTGGCGTTAAACAGGACAATAGCACCGTCTCGCCATATCATGCGACGTTGCTGAAACAATGGAAACAAAGAATGCAAAGTATAATGTACAAAGTAACAGGGTGTCAGCGCTTACTTGAGCGCCTCAGCTTTGATCCAGCCAACAGGCTAGCAAGCCAAATCAACAACCTGGTAGGACCTACCCATAGCTAAATCCTAGCTTACTCTTTCTTTTCCGCGACCTTGGGCACTTGCGCTTTCCCAAAAAGTCCGAGGAAGTACAGGATTCGATTCGCGAATAGGAATCCTGTCGCCCCGATGTTTCCCCATGTCAGTGCATTCCAGCCTCCGACATCTACGAAGCCCTCCCATCCCATCGCGATATATGTGGCGTATACGTGCCCGACATCGGCTATCGCCAGACCAATCAGGTAGTTGCGGATGACTCTGGGTTCGGTTGTTGTGTGTAGGACGGCGACTCCGACGAGGAAAAGGAGGTGGTAGAGATTGCCAAGCTGGTAGGCTAGTGCCACACTGCTGGGGTGTTGGGCTGTTGGGGCGGGAACGTGGGGTGTTTGCCCGTTTATGAAACCGTCTAAATCAATTATTGGTGACAGACTTCCCATCACTCTGTGTTATTTCAAACGGGCGAGCTGGTGGTTAGTGTTTGGTTGGCATGGGGGCCGTTGCGGGTGGGTGGCGGAGAGCTGTACAGGGAAATAGGCTCAAGAATGCCAAAGAGAACATGCGGCCATGACGGGAGGATGGTTGGCATTTTGAGACTGAGTGAGGTGGGTCGTTGAGAGGTCGCTGAATAGGTAGAGATGGTGTCAGCTTGCGATTGTTTGGTTTTTGCTGGGCCTGGCCTTATTCAGGAGTTGGGCAAGGCAGTTGCAGGGTGCGCTGCTTATAGGGTCTGTTTGGGTGGGGAGTGGAGGTTTCCGCACTTCAAGATAATTGCCCCTAGTGATATAGATCAAATCAAGAAACCGGGGAAAGGTAGATAGATGATCAGGAACAAGGTAAAAATCAGGAAGATCGGGATCAAGCGTTGTTTCTCCACGTTAGATCGATCGGGGGAACTGACGTAGGTGCGGTAAAGGCTCGTCTCACCGCCCGAATAATCGTTATCGAATGTTATCAAAGCTTCAGGTTTCAACTCTTTTTTCCATCGTTCCCTAACTGCGAATAGGAGTCGTACATCATGGACGGCTCCATGGCTTATCGAAAACCAGTTTGGAAACGATAACTAAAATCTGCTAGCGAGAGACGTCTCGCATGAAAGAGTATGGATTCGAGCGGGGCTCTGCGACCCCTGGACGAAGCTCTACTCCGTGAACTGCCTCAACTACGTATCGCTCCTCTTCGGGAACCAGTCTCATCCCGCACTCTCAGTGTCCCATCTCCTCTGGAACCAAATGCAAATGGCGCCAGAGAGTCCAAGAACATATCCAAATCCAATCCAACTGGTGACAATATCCCTACAAATTCAAAGGCCGGCCTGCCAACGGTCACCGAGTTTCTCAATGCTGCACGAACCGAGAAAGCTGAGTCTTCCGCAGACCAGCAGTCGAATGTGGAGCCACTCCCTAAGCCGATCCTACCGGCGTTTGTAAATTTGCGCGCGCTGGAACGTTTCCCATTCACTTCTTCCTTTGATGATGATGCCCTACATGGCCCGCGCAAGCGACGTCGTGTAGACATCCAGCCTGAATCATTTAGTGAACATTTACAGCTTCCTGTTCCACAATCACAAAAAGAACTACGTCCTCCACCCTTTGGTCCCTTTGCTATTTTGAATGGATTGAATGAACCCCCACCAAATGCTGCCCTCCTTCCTCCTATCGAAGCAGGCTCTATCACACAACTATTAACAAAACCTTCCCGTGAACAAGCTGCGGCTGTTGACCCTGCTAGCCTAGTCTCCGCTAATAGCGCTCTGCCCGAGGGTCAGCCTGTAGAGCGACGAGAAGGAAGAATCGAAGAACTCCTCGGTACTACCCTTGATGACCGCAATGATGATGTACATGATCATGAAGACCAACGATTGACTGCATCCGAAAATCCAATCATTAAATCCGCAGTGCATGCCCAAGAGTCTTTTACGAATGAACGAACTCCGACACCTGCCCAGGGCGGTACTGAACCCATGTCCCCCAAAACCCGCGGTCGATCTCGTAAGAACCTCCGAAAATGGACAGAGGAGGAGACGACAGATTTACTCCGGGGCGTGGTAAAGTGCGGGATTGGTAACTGGACAGCCATATTGGCACAACCAGAACTCAACTTTAATAAAAGGACGGCGTCCAACCTAAAGGATAGGTATGAGATTCGAAACCTCAATTTACCAGTCTGTCCTAATGCTTATAATCTCTTTTCTTCGTTATAAAGGTTTCGAGTCTGTTGTCCTTGGGCATACCGGTAAGCCAGCAGCTTCCAAAGAAAATATACAACCAATGACTAACTCAATTATCTAGCGCATCTGATCCAAATGAAGCGACCAAGCAATTACGCGACAACCTTGCCAATGCACTTCTAAAGGCCCAAGGCGAAGGTCCAGACGGAGGCCCTGGGAAGATTCGTCTTCCGCTTCCTACGCCCACGAGCCTGGCATCTGAGCCAAGCTCAGCAACTGGCAGTCCGTCCACGAGCTCGCATAAGCCATCGACCTCGAGCTTATCTTCTGCCGCGACCAATCCAGGTCTAAGCAGTCCAGCAACTCCCCAGCAGTCCCCTCAAGAAAATGAGACACCGACATCGTCCAACAATTCGCGGTCGACCCTTGCGTCACTCGGCATCCCAGAGCCTCACGTAACCATGAAATCGAAGCGTCGCTCACGTCGCCCATTTACCCCGGCAGAGGACGAGGCCCTTCTGAAGGGTTACGCCGTCCATGGATTTCAATGGACCCTCATTCAACAAGACAAACGACTCAATTTCGGTCATCGCAGAGCGACAGATCTTCGTGACCGCTTCCGAACAAAGTTTCCTCACGTCTATCGAGATGGAGGTTCTGTCAACGGCAAAGGACTTCATCCTCCAGAACTGAGAACAGCAAACAGTGACCCTGGCCCTCGAGATCGTCCTGCTAGCAGTAATTCAACTCCCATTAGGCCTCAGCCTCCCGCGCATCGCTACTCAGACTCGCAGATTCATAGTCGCCAATCTTCCAACGCCTCTCACACCAACGCATTTGATCCTTCGTTCCTACCGCCGCCGCAGGGCTTTCTTGAATCCTCGGCCAATGCATTTCCTTTTCCCCTGGATGAAAGCTCTGCTGCTCCATCCTCTCCCTGGGAGGATAATACCCTTGCGCCAATGGTTTGGGATGATCTGGATAATCCGGATAATCCGGATAATCCATCCTGAGCCCTTTGGCCAAAGCAAGAAAGAAAAAAAAGTTTTTGATTTCCTTGTGACTTCTCCACTCATCAGATTGTCTACCTTCCATTCCGGGCTTTCTTTTGCATTTCGCATCTCGGGTGTCCTATTTCGTTGATCTTTTTTCCTTTTTCCACGTTGTTCCTTTGGTATTTTGTTTGTCATTTCTAGTAACCCCATATATCCCGCAGTACACGACGGTTTCTCCTTTTTAGTTTTCACTGAGTACATTCTCATTCAATCCATCGATGATTTGTCCACATTTATTTCAATTCCTTCATTTTGATAATCCTCACACCGATAGAGCCGTAACTAAACTTTTGCCCCGAAATGTGCAACATCAGCCTGAGATAGAAATGGTATAAGAAACAGGAAAGAGAGTCCAAAACAAACAATAAATGACCTTGGAAGCCTGGGGAATATACGGAGAAGCCAAGGCTAACGTGGATATCAGAGCATCTTTAATGCACAACTGTCTACTGTCACTCTTTCCTCTTTTCCAACCTCGAGAAGCCACGAGCAAAGCGCGAGAAAGATCAATGAAGAAAGCACCATCAGGCCAAACCCACCAAATACAATGAATAAGAGACTGCAGAATAGAAGAACATTCATTCGACCAGAGGAAATATCTGTAAAAAAACGAAGACAACATCAATTGGCAAAAGCCAGTGCGCTCAAGTTGCTTTGTAGAGAAGAAAGGAAATAAATAGGAAATAAAACGGGAACTCAAGAGACTCATCCTCATGCGGAGCATCTACCACGCATTACGATCCCAGTTTGGATCTAAAGTTCATAGTTAGCCAAGCCCATAAGAATCGAACGTTCCAAATAAGAACCCTTAACCGGAACCGCAACACATCTCGCGTTGGGAAAGAGTAAGGGGGGAAAACTCACCCTGTATGTAACTTGCCAACACCTTGCTTCCCGTCTGCAGAAGCGGATGACCCGCCACAATCTGCAGGAAACGCTGGAGTCCTTCCCGCCGATGCTCAATGACGTCGTCACTGAAACGGTTTGTGAATACCTTCCCTGGCAAAGGAGGGATGGTGACGCGCGTGCTCTCTCGCTCCAGTATATCGCGGAAGTACTCGAAGTCAGAGTATCGGCGGCGCACAACGGAGTGTTTCAACTTAAAGGCAGGGATATTGGTTCGGCAAACAATTTCGTATGAGGTATACATGTTTCGCGATGTACCGTGCGTTTGAGGATTGCGGACCTGGATTTTGTTTCGTCAGCTTCTGCAAGAGCTAGATGGGATTGGAGCTGGACACGCGACACCCGGCGGTGGGGTGTTGAGGGCGCCAGAAATTGAGGTTGGAATTTCATATAGCTTTTGAACTTACTTCAATCTCGAGGAAGTTCTCGGGAGGTCCGTAGATCTCCTCGAATGTCTGTGAGCGTGACTCCGGGACGTGCTGCATTGTGGGAGGTGGAGACGGCTTGGCTCGTTGGGTATGGAAAAGGAGAGGCGAATGGGTAGTTAGGAAATGTACACAGTCGGTTATTGACGTTTTTGAGGGGTACAATTCCGGAGCAATATATAGGCAAGAAAGCTGGTCTCCGCACGGCAGGCCACGAAGCGAGAAGCGGGGGATCGATCCAGTTTGGCTATCAGTGATGATGAACGCGGGAAAAACGGTTGATCCGTGCTTATCGGTTGTATAGAAATGAGCTGCATTTTAGGTTCGTTGGTCTTCTCATACTCGTTCTTAATAGCTATACACTTTTTTTTGTTCAATAAATATATAATGTTTCAGAATATTTAAGGGTATTGATCAATATTGAATCTTTCTATGAAGCGATCGAAAGAAAGTTGTAGATATGCAGGCTGAAGGTTACCTGCATACAAAGCCATCTCCACTCCCTAAAAATACAGATTACCCCAATTGAAAAAGGGAGTGAAAAACTTGAAGGGAAGAAAAATAAAATTAAAAACCTGGTTAAACTCTAGTATTTACAATTACTATACATAATTATATTCCGGTACAAATATCGACATATTGATGATATGCGAAAATAATTTAGTATAGTGCATTGCTTCCCCGTGGTCGGTCTTCATAGGATGGTAGTCCCGACTGATCAGGACCATCTTTCACATGAGCGACCTCTGGCTCTGCAATGTATGGTGGCGGGGGAGATGGGGATCTTGTGCGCATAGTAGATCGAAGATTCGGTCTCTCCGATCGCGGCGCAGGTGTTGGTCGACCGCGTCGAGGCTCATGCATTGGCAGTAATCTTCCTGAAGATGTATTCCGATTGCAGCTGCAGATAGCACATAATAAGGCAATAATCCCTGCAATTGAACCGACCACAATAGCTATGACGGCACCTGGAGCAATCGAATAAGAGTTATCATTGTTGCTGATATATCGTTTATTAAACCAATTGGGCGGGTTCCTCGTGTTTAAATTGGTATCATCGACAGCATTCGGCGTTGATGTATAGGGTTGTGATAATTTCTTGCAGTGAAATTGATTCGGCGGTAGAACAATCGATGCGGTGGTACACCATTGCTCGAATGTTGTGAGGAATTCTATATGGTTGAGATCAGGTTAGCTTCCAAGTTTTTGAGATCACGATAGAACACTAGCTATTATGCTTTATCACTCACCTTCAGTTGCTGTAGAGCATGAATTCATGGTACATTGATTTAGTCTGTTCAGAAACGTCATGTCTGTGCACCAGTCTAGTGCGCAATTTGCGTCGCGAAGTGGATTGTATTCTATATTCTCAACACATGATAACTGTATATACATATTAGTATTGGCTATCTAACCAGAATAGATGATAGCTAATGGGGATTTGTTGGTACTCACAGTCGAGTAATTCAAAATATTTGCATAGCGAGTCAATAGGCCAAGCGGGCTCGCTGCCGTGGCAGATACCAGGACAGTTCCTGCAACCGGGAGGCGCGCAATTTTCATGATGTTTTGGATGTGCCTTGAATATTCAGTAGTATAGCTTTGTAGAGTATATTAACATTTATCATTTCTATTCCACGAGGATAATGGTCATTATTTAAACTACTAGTATTTGAACATGATGAAGTCAGTCCAAAGGGGCTGTGGGGCGAGCGTAATAGTATAACTCAGCCCGGTTGAGGCTCAGCCACGGGTACATCGGAACAGCTCATCAGTCATCGGGCAATGACAAGTAAAGTGCGCCTGAGCTAGTATTTGCTCGTTAAGCGTTCTACCCCAGATTGTCGAAGTAAGCGTAATGACAAATATGTTAGAATCGCTAAAACTTCTTTTGACATGAGCATCAAAGCGAAAATAAAAATCAGTTTTCTTGCTGTATTCCGGCCATCTTGGAATGCAAGATTAGATCACCACCTGGGCAGGGTCGCCGGGCGTATCTGTTGTGGGCCGCCAAGGGCTACTACGCCTTGATAACTTCGGGACACACTTGGCCGCACGGTCGCCAAACTATTGTTTGTCGCAGCAAGGCGGTTCGGAGTGACGCCCCGTCGCTAAGGCTTCCTTCGCTTTTCTAAGAATAATATGTCGTCATAAAGTTGGAAGTCGTTAAAAGACATGTGATACATTTTCAGCTTCTGGTATCTAGTAGCTCAATTTGCTCATTCATATTGCCTAGAGATGGGCAACTATCTTGCTTACTATTTTTATGTTGACTTGGAACATTTTAGATAAATTATGATGGATGTCTCGGAAAATTGGTATCATAATGATAAAATTTGTATACATAGGAATGGCTATCACACAACTAACTATGGAACTTACTAATAGTAGTTAATCTATGTGCTCAACCCATACTCTGTTTCTACAACCGTATTCATAATAAACACATTTAAGAAAATTCAATATGAACCAGCCATGACAGACAAGCGGCCACCATCAGTAGTGAGGACCGATCCATTTGTAAAGCTACCAGCCCGACTTGCCATGTAAAGAATAGCACCTGCCATTTCCTCGTCCCCTCCAAAACGACGTGCTGGAACGAAACGATCGTCATTTGAAGGTTCTTCTTCGGGCTTACGAGTGGAGATCAAACACGATGTCAGTTTCGAAGGATATACTAGTAGGTTGGTATTAGTAAATGAGTGATGATATGGCAGGTAATAAGGATCTATACATACGCCCAGGAGCAATGGCGTTAACACGAATGCCAAATCTAGCTAACTGTGTACTAGCATGCTTTGCTACTTGCATGATAGCCGTCTTGCTTGCTATATATGGTGGTGGTGAGAACCAGTGACGACTGAAGGCCGAAATACTGGCCATGAAGATTACTTGGCTCTGTATAGAGGGGACGTCGCTGCCCTCCTTCAAAGGTCGACCGAACCCGCCCTTCAAGGCGTTCTGGGTCCCCGCATCCAGTAATTCAAGGAAAGCAGTCATGGTGAAGAAAGCTGCCGTGACGTTGAGATTGAGAGTGTTGTTCATGTCTTCCATTGAAAATTCGGTAAACAGCGATTGGCGCAGATCAGACAGAGAGACCGCCGGGTTGAGCTGTATTGGAGTTCCAACCATACCAGCATTGGCGACAACCAGATTGACATAGCCTACCTCTGACTTGATTCGATCTACGGCTATCTGGAGATCATCCTTAGAGGTTACATTGGCTTGGTGGGCGATGACAATGTTGGGATATTCAGCGGCGGCCTTTTCAAGAACTTCAAATCGACGACCTAGGATGTAAATCTTGTGGGCACCGTTCGCAGCCAGAGCTCGAGTAATGATCAAGCCGATTCCTGTGAATCAAGATTAAGATGATTGATAAAAATTTGAAGGAGAAAGGGAGGTACTCAATACTTACCACTTCCACCTCCGGTAACAACAGCCACGATACCATCCACCCGGAAGAGATTGCTAGAGTCTACTGATGTACTAATCATATTGGATAAAATAAGCCAGGTTTGGGTTTTTGAATTCAAACAAGCTTTGACACAACAAAGGTTATTTTTATCGGGGCTTGATGGATAATTTCTCATCGTATAGTGAAGAACCCTCATTTTAGTTATTAAAGTAAGCCCAGGAACTTCTCCTATAAATCTCGCGAATACACTTTTAGAATAAGATTATGGCCGGTAGGCATAAAGAAAATCAAAATCGACACAGGAGCCGAAACATCCGAATCTGACGTTGTACTGTATTACTTTCAAGGTTGCTTATATCTTTTTTTTGTGACATGATGTAGGCAGCGACCGACGAGCAGGAGGGATCAGTGACTGTCGCAAGTGTCACAAGCGATGAGCCAATACACCTGCTGATTGGTAGAGCTGCAAAATCTCCTTCAAGTTTTGATATGCGTACTATCTGCAGAGTTGCCTCGGGGGGTTTAACAAGTAGCCGCAGGTGAAATGCGAGAGGCGTATGTAGACGGGCCTCGCTGTTATTCTTTGCTTCTTGGTTGAGGTATAACGTATGCAGTAACTGACTTGGTTGCCCACCTCATCAGGAGTTTCCCAAGGGGCAGCGTATATGGTCTAAATTAAGAAGGGGGCCAGAGATGGGGCGGTTGGGGGTTTCTGTCAACCTTATCGGCCTTTGTTATTTCAGTCTCCTGAAACCTCCGAAGACAATTAATGGATATTCGAGTTGTGTCCCGGCACATAAGAGAATGGAGAGCCCATCAGAAAAAGTACTTTTTACCGCAGAGATTCTGGAAAATGTCCTTCTCTATCTCGATCAAAGATCACTGTTGACCTCTGCCCAACGAGTGTCTCGATACTGGCATGAAATTGTTTCCAGCTCACCTTCTCTTCAAAAACATCTATTTCTTCAGCCAGACTGGGACCGAAGCAGCAGAACTATAAACATATTATTGACGGAGACTTTTCCCCTCTGGTTTCCTCAAGGCCCTACTGAGCGACGCCATTCGGACAAGACGCAAATCAATATCATATCCTCGCGGGCGAAGAGAAGTGGTGATACCATCTTCGAAACCCTACCGATTGCTTTGCGCCATAAAAACAAAGCATTTAGACACGAGAATGCTACGTGGCGTCGCATGCTTGTTCAACAACCACCTATCCCCTATCTCGTGTCATTTTTTGTGATTGACTCTCAGTGGGGTGGAAGCTCTTTTTCAGGCCCTCATCCCACAACACCTTATGTGACCGATCGATCATTCGGCAATGAAAATCAATTACATGATTGTGTAAAGTATTGGAACTCACAAGTTGAAACGGATTCACTCAATATGGGTACATTCTACGACACTATAATCGTCAACATTGGAACCATTCCTTGGATCTGGATGATTCTGTGGGACTTTGGAGAGTCGAATGTACCTTCAAATATAGACGATTTCTCATTTGACGACGACTCAAAAGAGAACATCAGCCAGGCTTTACAGAAATACGGAATGATCGTTGTTTCAAGGAGAATACGTCAGTGCATGATACCATCCCTGTGGACCCCGGGCAGGAAATTCGTTTACGATATGGAAAGACTCAAAGCTTTGAGGGTCGATGAATGTTTACCAGAGGAAGAATCATTTCCAGAGAATCCTCCTACACTTGTTGAAAACGACGAAAAAAAATCTGGTATGCGGAGTATGTGCTCACTCTGCGTATTGATGTGAGGTCTGTTGCTACGTACTATTCAAACCATCCTTGAGCCCGCAGAATTTGCGCGCATTTTGTAAATAGATCCGGAAACCTGTAGCCACCAATCTTCAATCTTACCTGAGCCTCTTTTTGGAGAACTTCAAGTCACAATCTCGCTAACATCGTGTGATCCGGAAGTTTTGCTACTGCAACCTTTCGCTACTCACCCTCGGGGCGCAGTTTCGCAGGGAAAGATGGGACTTTATAGGTGCACGAAACGGAGGATTATAAAAAGACACTATACTCAGAAATAAGCCTGTAATAGTGGAAAAGCCCCTGGCAATTCTATTTCTTAAAGTGAAATAACATCAATTGATTTGAACATTTGAACTCACGATATCTAGTCCAGATACAGTGGAGTAAGCCTCAGGCTCCTCATGGGTCACCTCTGTCACCTCACTCTCTTCTGTTTCTCTCTCTTCATTAGATCTGCAGTGATTTCGATGTCGCGACTGGCCCGATGAATGGAATATTTTAATGTACTTCATTATGAGCATAGCCATTTGTATTCTGAATAGTGAATTTGTCTATTTAGCAGACAGTCAAAGCCTACCATGTACGATCTAAGATAATCTTCAATTCCTACAGAGGGAGCTCCTCGGTATTTATTTTTTAATTAAAAAGCCTCATTAAACTGCCTTCCTCTTCATCCATAGTCTTAACATTTGTTCGAAGATAAGGGAAACCACATGGGACAAAACCTTATCAAGACTAGTCAGAAGTCTTTCAGCCCTGATTAGGGCATTTCTTTGCCTGCAAGAAACAATGAAAATCAATCTCCCGTACCCGTGTCTAGGTATATATGGGTTTTAGCAAGGTTTGGCCATTTATGAGTGGAATTTCAGGAGATACCTTCCGAAATTCCTCCCCAATTTGGCTTCCAAGTTTGTAAATCTGCAGCTACTGTCGAAGGGATTAGCAAAGGTTTCTTTACACTCTAGACTTTTCCTTACATTATCTTTGAACTATATCCCCCACACAGATAGTTAGTTTCAATTCCTTATCAAAAAGCGAATTTGAAAAAAAGGGATTCACTCACGCCCCTCTAGGATATAAATCATTAGACGGTTTCACTTCGGCTTCGAGGCTATAGGGTTCTCTGCACTTATCAATATGAAACGTTTCACTTACCGCCTGATAATAATCATATGTATTCATTAGTTCACCATTGCAATATATCTAAATAGGATAGAGGCAATCACTTACTTTCTATTCCATTGACCCGTGTAAGTATGCCCATTTATGTATACCTAGGTTAATACCTATGCCCATTCACTTACCCGCTGTATTAAGGAATTTAGCTCATCTTTACCTCCAGGAGATACTTTTCATCCAGCATGTGGCGCTATTTGATTCACTCACAGCCTAAAAAATTCAACGTAAATATACCAAAAAAAAATATAAAATATTTATCAGGGTGAAAAGGAATATAGTTGCTCACAGCCTTGAAAATTGAACGTCACTCTGAGCACTCTTTGCTGTCCCCTAGTCAAATTATTGTAGCCGTACACTTACAAACTGGTGATCCCAATATTAGTTCAGTAGTAAAAAGATAAGGATATCAAGATTCACTTACATTCTATGATAAAATCAGTTGGAAACCACCCGGTAGATCAGCGCATAATATGACACTCACATTCTTTCCAAGTGAACTTGTAAGCCAGTTTCCCTTATGTAGCTATACCTAGGTATGGAGTATCACCTACATCCTATTCATTGATATTTGTAAGCAGCAATAAGTGTCAGACCTTGATGAGTATATGCATAGATAGGCTCTTACCGGCTGCAATTTCAGACTTTTCAGCATTTCGTCTTTCACAAAACTTAACTGGGTACAGCCTTACCGTCTAGTATATCCACGTTCGTTAACGAGACTTTGATTATCTGTAAAGCCTCTCTTTGGTTATATGCTTACTTGCTAAATATCCCATATATATCAGCGATTAGTCTGACTTAGTCTTGGACAGGTTTGTAGGTATGACTACCTCCTGGGTTATACACCATCTTCAGTCTGCGCTCTTTAACTCAGCACATAGTCTGTTGAACTCTTTACCTGCTATATAACTTATCTCCGTTAGCCATGGATACTAGACCACTGTCACGACATATACCGATACTCAGTACTGACCGCCTAATATATCGATATTGAGTAGTTAGGTTTCATATGAGATTGGTCAGTTAGCGTATGTATAGATGTTCTCTCACCATCTAAATTTTACACCCCAATCAGAATTTTATGATCATTGGATTTAAGTTGGTATCATAATCACTTACTCGCTGTGGGATATAGGAGTAAGCCTAAGAGCCATTTTCCAGTATTAGAACCTTCTATCATATGTGAGATTACTTACCAACTAATATCACCATGTCAGCGATAGCTTCCTTTTATAAATTTTGAGGCTGATGGTAAGATTTCATCTGCGTACTTCCTATGTTGTTCATGAATCAGTCAACCAAGATTCTTTTCAGTGTCCCTTGACCACAGTGATGGCCTATCGGTACGGTATAAATATCCACATACTCTCTAATTATGACGATGTGCCCATTAGCTTATCATAAATCATCAACTTGAATCGATTGACTTTCTGGTATTCATTTACATTCTATAAAGATCATGGGTTAGCTTATCGGTTTTTGTTTTTCTCTGATCCGCTAGTGAAAAGGTATCTTAATACTCACTCTCTATACCATGCAAAAGCTGATGTCAACATGGCGTTGCTTTTGTCTTGAACCTATTCATAGATGGACAATAGATAGATAATATATCCACTTACGCCCTATAAATGGCGTCCATAGGTCATTAGCTTTTGTGGTGCCTCGATCGAGGTAGAGTTCCACTTACCGCCTAAAATGTTTATATCCAGTGTTAGGCCAGTATCACTTGGTCACCATACGAATATTCATTCACTCACGCGCTAAAACCCAAAACAATTAGCCTCAATTTGCCTAACACATTGTTTCGGTGAATCAATGGCAAAATTCACCTCCTAAACCACGAATCCTGGTCAGCAAACTCTACTCCATTACTCAGAGAAATATTTCACTTACTTGCTAAATCGATCAGATCCATCAATATTTATCTCAGGCTTCGGATATAGCCGAAGGTGTTCGATTATATTGATCCACTGACGTACTATTTCGAGCATATGCGCCAGTCAGCCTTGGGCGTTTGAATGGTTCAAATGTTGATAATTAGGAATTTGGAGTCCACCGACATTCTGAGTTATGCCCATTCATATTAGCATATTGTTGCTCATTACTCGGCCGATAGATGGATAACTTACTGCCTAACTCACGTGAAAGTATAAGTTAGTCTTCGAAGATCACGGATTTGATAAGTGAAATAGGTCAGATCTACCTTCTAAAGTACCTGCAATTCAGCCAAGTTCATTCTCCAAAGTAAGTATTCACGTTGAACAATAGTTCCTTACTCTCTATTTCGTAATTGAGCTCAAGCCTGGTGAACCTTTCCATCTTGCTGGGTCACCTAGCAGTGGCACACTTACGTACTGATGAGACAAGATATGTTAGAAATAGGGAAGGAAAATGAAGGAGACCCAGGAAGTCAAGCAAGGGAAAACGTGATATCAACTTACTGACTGTACCGTCTTTTTAAGTCACAAATTCACCAGGCCACCTTGAGTTCAAAGTTAATTGTCATCGAGGAAAAGCACCTACAGTCTGTACCATGCACAAATTAAGTGTCAAGTTACTGAATTTGACATCTATGGAGTCAAACCTAAATTCACTTACCGCCTGAATTATAAATTCCCATGGATAAGCCAATATCCGGTTGTTAGCGGGAATATGATTGGATTTTCACTTACTTTCTTCAAGGTTTGATTCGGTTCAGCATTTTGCACTCCTAGAGTCAGTACACGGGCAATGACTTACAAGCTGAAGCCGTCTTCCATCAGTTTGTCTATACCTTCTCAGAAAATGTTTGATATCTCCAGGAATATCTACCGTCTTGTATTTCACATACATTAGCCAATACAAAAGGATACTCAAAGTTTAGAGATAAACTTCCACATACTGCCTATATGGGGTTAGGATTTTCTCAGCTTCGCTCGTTCATCGACAAGTAAATATGGGAATTTGAAGTTGATTCTTACCGCCTAGTTAAGAACTCGAATCCATTAGCCACAACTCGAGCCTGATTAGTTGATACCCAGTAATGGATTTACCTCCTGGTATTCCCAGGTTAATTAGCCAATCTTCACCCGTAAACTGATTTATCATAACTATGGAACATGCCTGTTCCCCCATTTGCGTATACGGTTGCCCGTCTAGCTGCACCGCCTGCCCCTGCATATTTCCACATTAGAAGATCTTCCAAGGGCACCGATGTATGCAAAGTCTTTACATTCTGCTCCCGTTAAACTCAGTATTTGCTCTCTTCCAACCTGAGATTTCCAAATATGGATATTCACTGACCGACTGATCGGTGTCAACACGTTAGCGAATTCTTTTTGAAAGTAATTTTAATAAAAAAATATCTGCTGACTTTCTGTTTGATTTCCATTCATTAAGTCCTGGAGACAGTCACATGGCTCATTTCTGGTAATATTGGCGTACACTCTGTCACATAAATTCATTAGGGCAGGCTTTAATCCGAGGATTGACGACAGCCAGTGGACTTGCATTCTGCATGGTGAGTTGTGATCATTAGTTTATTTGATTGATGGCTGAATAATATGAGCAGTAGTTTGAATACCGTCTATCAGAGTGTCAGTGCACGCCCGTTATTTAGGCCTTTCAAAGGATACTCACAGACTAATTCATGGGCACTCAGTCAACTACCCTCTCGCATCTGCAAAGAAATCTGCTTACTCCCTGTTCCGAACAAGTTGATAAGAATTTTCAGGATCTCGCAGCTGTGTTTAAATGAATATAGCGATAGACTTACTCCCTCATGTGTGGTAGTTCCTGTTTTGCTCGAAGGGTCGCCAACGGTCGAAGACCGGTCACTTTGACTTTGACTTGACTGACTCGACTGCTTGCTGCCTCATCAGGTATCCAACATTACTATAACTGATGATGTTACTGACCATGGTTCCTATATTTCGATGGCGACGTTAGATGTTGATTATTGGCGTTCAGGTGAGCTGATAGAGTTGCAAGAACTGTGCCCAATGATACCCAGGGTGAGCGGTTACTTGTGTTCTAGCTCACCAACCCCGCCCGTAAATGTGGCTGTGCCAAGGATATCAAACTGCATGAGTAGTCTAATGATATTGGGCAGCACACTTAATGCCAAGTCAATGCCAAGTCAATGCCACGTCAATGACGCCCGTCCCTTGCCAAGTCTCCAATGAAAATCATATTTGCAACGCAGGCTAACTAAGGCTGCATAGACTAGCGCTGCGTGGTGCTCAACCCTGGCGCAGAAAGGCACCAAGCATGCGTTTCAGCCTTCAAAAGGCATTGGTGCCGCCTCTGCATCCGGCGCGAACAGGCTAGCTTTCATAGGTCGGCCCGCAAAATTTTGAGAGGCTGATTGGGGGCAGGCCGCTCGCACTTCCCACCTTCGCAAGAGGTTCACATCCTTCATCTTATCACTCCCAAAATTAGCAGACTTTGAGGTTTAATCATTCCGAGGTTAACCGGTGGACTTTTTCTCGAGAGCTTTCCTTTTTTTTTTTCCGTGTACAACAATATTTCACCACAGCTACCGTAATTCGTCGATCAGAAGAGGTCCCGTCCTTCAGCTTACCCAAACAAATCGAGGTTGCACACTACGTTGAAATGTCGAAGCAGCATAAATCACTCGGCAGCGATGAAGAAAGCTCGTCAAGGCAGATAAAGAGGAGAAAGATGGATTATTCGTCTGATTTGACTTATGACGACTACTCTGTTGGGTGGCTGTGTGCACTGTCGAAAGAACAAACCGCAGCGATTGCTATGTTGGATGAAGAACACCCAGTTCTTTCCAAGCCCCCTAATGATCCCAATACATACACTCTTGGCTCGGTTGGCAAACACAATGTTGTCATAGCCTGTCTCCCAAGTGGCAGGATCGGTAACAACTCATCAGCAACTGCCGCAAGCTGGATGTTCTCCACTTTCCGGTCCATCGAATTTGGGGTTATGGTGGGTATTGGCGGCGGAATACCACCTCAAGTTAGGCTCGGTGATGTTGTAGTCAGTACGCCAACGAATGAGTATCCTGGGGTGGTTCAATGGGATATGGGCAAAGCGCAAGGACACGGCACATTCAAGCGGATCGGGTCGCTCAACAGCCCGCCCAGCGCCTTGTTGACCGCTTTGGCAAGGCTAGAAACCGAGCATGAAATGAATGGATCGAAGGCATCCCAATATTTATATGACCTGAGGAAAAAATGGCCAAGGTTGTCAGCAAAGTATGCACGACCTGATCTGCTAGAGGATGTACTTTTCAAACCAGATTATCATCATGTTACTCGAAAAGATCCGGGAGACGGTGCTGTACATTGCGAATACAAGGATGATGAAGATGGAGATGAAGCAAGTTGTCGCTTTTGCGATAAAGCTATGACAATAAAGACAAAGGCTAGAGACTCCTGCGTACACTATGGTCTCATTGCATCTGGTAACCAGGTCATCAAAGATGCCATATTTCGAGATAAAGTTAACAAGGCCCTGGGTGGCAGTGTCCGTTGCGTCGAGATGGAAGCAGCTGGACTGATGAATGACAAGCCTTGGATTGTCATAAGAGGGATCTGCGACTACGCTGACTCCCACAAGAACAAAAAATGGCAGGAATATGCAGCAGCAATGGCTGCGGCATTCGCTAAGGAATTACTCTCAGTGGTGTCAGTCAAAGAAATTCGTAGAATGCCTGTGGTTGAAGGTGATGAATAATTTTCCCTCTGAATTTTACTGTCACTAATACCCACAAGAGTCTTTTGCTGTTAGTTTCGCCTTGCCCGAAGCACCACTAGCCGACAGTTTTGTTGGTAGAGAAGATGAACTTGCATTAATGGCCAAAGATCTCCAGAGCAGTAATGCTCGCCAGGCTGTAGTGTTACATGGCCTAGGTGGAATAGGCAAGACACAAATTGCTTCCACCTATGCAAGGCGATATCGAGATTACTATTCAGCCGTATTCTGGCTTGACTGCAGAGATATTAATACACTGAAGAAAAGCTTCTTGAACGCCACAGATCGCATACTTCGCGATCACCCTTCATTGCCGCACCTCAAAAGTATATCCAAAACTAAGAATGTCGATGAAGCCGTCGATATCGTCAAAGAATGGCTCAATTCCGCAAATAACAAGAAGTGGCTTCTTATATATGACAACCTCGACAACCCAAAGCTGCCAGGAAATGACGATCCCCAATCCCTCGCCCTTGGCACGTTTCTACCAACAGTCGAACATGGTGCTATCATTATAACTACCAGGTCATCACACCTCAAAGCTGGCAAACAGATTCATGTTCAAAAGTTTCGTGAAACTAGACAAAGCCTGCAAGTTCTCTCCCTTACATCGCAACGAGACAACTTGGAAAATGGTACGCTCACCATCCATGCAATGAAATTTTCTAATACCAGATTTAGATGCCCATGCTCGAGAGTTAGCTCATCAGCTAGACGGACTCCCACTTGCCCTTGCCGCAGCTGGGGCATATCTTTATCAAGCCTCAATGAGTTTCGCCGACTATCTCTGTTACTACCGCGAAAAATGGCTCCGCCTACAAGAGAGAACTCCAAGATTGCCTTCATACGAGCACACGCTTTATTCAACATGGGATCTCTCACTGGATCGTCTTAAACAACAGAGTCCATTGTCCGCAATTCTACTCCAATTATGGGCATACTTTGATAATCAGGACTTATGGCTCGAGCTTCTAAAGAATTGCACTGATGGTGTACCTGATTGGTATCAAGAAATAACAGAAGATCAAATAAGCTTCGACAGCACAATGAGAATACTTTGTTCGCATGGGCTAGTTGAGAGTAATGCCATCTCCCATGAAAGGCTTATGGAGTCCAGCGGATATAGCATGCATGGCTGTGTACATGCGTGGACTGTATATGTTCTAAACCGCCAATGGAATTCTGAAATGGCACAGCTTGCGGTGACGTGTGTGGGTAGACATGTACCCTCGAGGCGCAGCTCTGGATACTGGGCTACGCAGCAACGCCTCATTCGACATGCGAACCGGTGTTCTTATATAATAGAGAAAGAAATTGACAGTTGGATCAATGATGTGTCAATGTTCGGACAAATAGAGTCAATTGGGAGGCTATACAAAAATGTTAGCCAGCTACCCAAGGCCGAAAAGTTGCTGAGACTCGTCCTGGATGCAAAGACAAAAAATTCTCTATTTGGCCCTAGTGATCTCTCAACTCTTAACACCATGGTTACCTTGGCCGATTTGTACAGAAAACATGAAAGGCTAGATGATTCCGAAAAAACATATTGTCAGGCGCTGCAGGCGCTCCAGGATCTGTCTCAGGGTTGTGATTCATCAAATCTTGAAATAGTCCCTGAGATAATTGATCGCCTGGGCATTGTATATTGGAAACAGAAGAGGTTTCATGAATCTGAACAAATGTTCGCGCGTGCTATACAAGAAAAGGAAAAGAGATTCGGTAAAGATGACGACTCAACACTTCACACAACAAATAACTTTGGCCTTCTGCTCATGGATCAAGGGAAGCTCAGTGATGCGAAGAAGCTATTCCAACGTTCTTTCGAAGGACATCAGGATAGATTCGGCCCCGATAATATAGCAACACTGAATGCATTGAATAATTTGGGGCTTCTATGCACTCGTCAAGGCAACTTCAAAGAAGCTGAAAAGTTGCTTAAACAAGCATTGGAAGGCTTCGAGAAAATATGCAGCGGCGAGGAAATTTCACTACTCGAAGCCGTTGACAACCTGGGCGAGCTTTACGCCAAGTCAGGAAGACGAGATGAAGCTGAGACGATGTACGAGCGAGCGTTGGAAGGATTTAAAAACATTTTTGGTTCATTGCATGGCAGATGTCAGGAGGTCATGAAGATCCTTGCGGAATTAAAACAGGCACGACATGAAGAAACATTGGAACCTCAGGCCTCATCACAATGATCACTCGTCGCACGGATGGCTGATCCGACAGGAGTGCGAGCCACCCCCCTCAAAGGGTGCATACATAACAGTATAAGATGAACCCAGAATTAATTTTGTAATTATCTAACGGTTCATATGTCTCCAAGCTTGGATGTATGTGTTGTACAGATCGTCAATGCGGGGGTCGTGGGGTACAGCGACCTCTCCGTGCATCGGGGCGCTCTCCCGACACCAATGGCCTTTTTCGCATTTGTTGAATGATCTTCTTCGGGTTTCAGTTTCCTCAAAGCAGAAGGAGCTAACAAGAAATGCCTCTCTTTTCCCTTGTATTGTGATTAGCCAAATGCCGAAGAGATGACCGTAAGCATCAAGCACCACTCATTTTCGCTCGACCTAACATGTCACTTAGAAGACCATTGAAGCGAAGCGAGTCATTCTTGCTTTGCCGAAGGGGAACTGTTAGCCAGTGATGTTGCACTCAGCTTCTGGGGAGGCGTCGACCCGAAGACAGGCATCATCATTGATAGTCACTATCCACTAGTCGGACAATGAGTCGCAGGGAAAATCCTCGCTATCCCCAGCGGCTGTGGTTCATGCACAGCGAGCGGCATCATCCTCGAACTAATTCTAAACGATACCTGCCCCAAAGCACTATTATGCGGACGCGAAGAGATTATCCTAACAATCGGAGTCTTGATTGCATAGGAGATGTTCCGGAAGAGTATCCCAGTACTCCAAGTCCCAACCTTTTTATATAACCTTCTGTTACAACCAAATACCATCTATATCAAAATCTTCAACGGTTATCTTTACCTGGCTGAATCGAGCTACCCTATATCCTCATATCTGTCTTTATCAGTGCCCTCGGAGTATTAAATACCAATACCCCGATGAACAAAATTCGACAAGGAACTCTTAAACAGAACCTACGGGAATGCTAACCCGGTTTGGTTTCCCACCCTAACTCTTAACGTCGGTTTCAAGCAAAGCGGTTTGGGACATAAGCATGAGTGGCTATATAGTCATATTCATATAAAGATGGTCCAGAATGGTCGGATTGATGTCGAAGTTGTTATTGTCGATGCGTCAAGAGAATTTGTGGCTGTAGCTACCCAAGCTGCATTAGTTTTCACCGGTGAGCGAAATATGGCTAAGAGCAACGGAACTGGAAAATTATGACTTTTTGCCTTTAGCTACCGATTGACTGGTATGCTTTAGCTTCGGGGCGTAAAAAGCGTTGGGAGTCGTGCTTTTTACTACAGGAGTCCAGCGTCTTACAGCCGCCAGGGGCTACAGTAAACCCCCCTTTTCGACACGGGCCTCCGTGCAACGGAATTTCGAAGTGCCTAATGAAAGTGTGCTGCTAGTACTTGCACTAACCCTAACATAGTAAGCGCTAGTCTATCTTCGGTCTAGGACAGCCATGCAACGTCCTGCATTTCCTCCTATAGTAACAAGTAACCTGTACTATAACTATATGGAGGAGACTCGGGACGGGTATGTTTGCATGTTTAGATGTTTTCCGGTTTGACCTACTCTCGGATATAGACCAATCAGATAATTCGTCTGGAGAGTGGGTATCCGCCTATATATACGTAGCATAGCTCTCTCTTCTTCCCTTGTCCTCAATGTTGTTATTCGTTATTCTTTATACCTTTCTCTATTCTAGTAGATTGTAGACACCTTATTATATAATAACAATGTTCTATTCTTTCTCGTAACCTCGATATCGGCATCAACTCGGCATCGGTTCGTTACATGCAGCCCCAGTTCCACGGGTAGACTATTAGATGTTACGCGTCATCCTCATCTACTAGTAAAAGGCCGAGGTATCATACAATTGATCCTGGGTATCCCCAAATATTCGAAACTTTGACTTGTCGCCGCTACAAACTTTCAAGTTGAAATACTTTATCTGGAGCACTCTACCTGGAAATGCGGAAGAGGTAGACTTGCCGACCTAGCTGGTTTTGTTTTGCACTTGTACTATTATTAAATAGCAAGCAGAATGCATCGCCGTGCCATACTTTGACTGCAGGGCCTAAGGGCACATCATATTACGCAAATCCAACCCCAACCCTGCTACCAAAACCACGTTCATGTACGTCGGCTACTTTGGAGCAACCTTGTCGACCTCCCCATCCTTAAGCCTTCCACCACGTCCGGCTCATTCGGAATCTACTTTTGAATATCTACCGTTCCAGGAACTGTGGGCATTTCCTCGGCGCGAGACACAGGATTCAGTGGACATCTTCGCAAAATCTATTTTTGTACAAGCAGAGAAAGCGAAAGGCAAGTACGTCACCTGTGTCTCTGGTATACTCACTCATGATACTGGAGCACGACTACGGACAAGCCCGCGACATGCTGCGGACTGGATCAAAGCGTATGGAAGTCCCCGTGAAGAAGCGCATGTTATCTCAACATGAAGGTGTTTGAAGAAACCCCGAAATGGAACCTGGAGAAGAACTCTTTGCTGGCTAGTAGTGGCTACCTAGATATTGACAAATGCATTGCTAACAATGAAGCTGCCTTGAAGAGTTTTGGGGAGATGCTACTCCGCTAATCTACCTAGACTTTATAAAAACCCAGTTCAATTCTGTCCCAATCATCTGTTGGTTATTTTCTGGAAACTCAGATTAATATTAACTGAGACACTTGCATCATACAATGATGTTTCTGGTGCATCCAAGTATATAGGAGATAGCGACCGATAGAAATCCTAGTTATAGTATTGCATTAGGCAAAATGCCTACCAGTGACCTCACGATATTAGTAGTACAGATATCACTGAATGGGGCTGATGATATTCTAGGAATTTCCAGTGCTCAGTGATGTCTTAGGCTGTTCAAATGTCCGTCGGACCATTCTTCGTCCCCGATACTGTGGAGCAGTGTCCTTCTTCTTTGCCGTATCTTAGCATCCGCGTAATGGACGAAGCGAGATCTGCCATTGGATAGTACATGATAATTTGTGGATACGCTGTCTATGACAAGGCAACGATTGATAGAGATGAAACATCTCTCTGTGATGTTGTACGCCATGTGTTACTTCGTGTTTCCCCCTCTAAATAGACCAATGGACGTTTGCCTTCTCACTTCGCCACATTTGTGTGTCTCTATACCTCTCATCATTGGTGAGCTCAATTTCATGAAGCTACATAGTATCATCACGTGTTCGTACTGTTGTCCTCACTTTTGTTTACTATCCGTGTCTTTGTATGCGCCCGATGCACTCTTGTGTCTCACAATGATTCCTCCCAATTCTTTCTTGCGACCGGGGTTAAAGCTCACTTGACAAATAAATTCATCTTTTATAGAGGATTTCAATCATTCAAAGAATATATGTAGCGTCCGCTGTGTGATGAAAGAAATCAAATATGGAGCTAAGGCTGGCCATCATGATACAGAAGTCAAAATTTATTCCGAAGTGTCTTCGTGTCCAGTACCACGTTCAAGGTTCAATGGATTATGTTGCTTCCTTGGTCGCCCCTGCTCTCTCACAGTGCGTCTTTAAAGAACTTTTAATAGCTTTCTACCTAGTAGGCATTCTCTTCAAATAGTACGATTGGTTATCTGAATTGCAAATTTACTTAAGAGAATAGATATATCCAATAATAGTAGTATGTTTTGTCCATAGTGGAGCAAGATTATCTTCGATGTTGCTTATCTGGTCTAATTCTGATGATTTGTTTCTACTGACACATGCTAGTGTGTAATTGCATTTGATACTGAATATTGGTCACAGCGGCCCCAAAGTCACGACGTTCGCAGCATCATGGCACCACTGTAAATTCACTGTGTTACCTCAAACATGCAGGTATTTTCCAAAATCTAAGCATCAGTAAGGAGATACCAGTTAGGTCACATACATGATTTTGATCAATCTTTCTGAATCTCTGCCTCAAAGGATTGGCCCCTGTGCGCTACTGTTCGACCCGCAGTACTGCTCAATCGATTGCCTACTAGTAGATTTAGATCAACCAATCCTGGAGATCTGAATGGATAAAAGAAGAAAAGAAGAAAAGAGGAAAAAAAAGAAAAAGGAGAGAACAGAAAAGGACCCCATTTTTTATTATGACTTGCACTTCGTCCTCCGTACGTAGTCCTTCTACTGTACATGTCCTCCTTTCCCGCCTGATGATAGGCTATGGATTTAACAAGCCTTGTTGCAAAAAGATGATTCTTCGTTGGATTTCCCCTTTAACGCACATTGTATTTGCGGGCGGGCCCACTTTTACAACGAAGACGAGCCGATTGTGGTCATTCGAAACCCCCTCGCCACATCGCAAGCTGCGCCCCAAATCCACAAAAATGACATCAAGGCCGGGCCCGACCAAGCGAGGATTCTTTTGTTTACGGAGTAAAGGGTGTCCTTCGTTAATTTACGGCCGTAGTGATGCATTCATGTAGGGTGTAAGGGCTCAAAAAACTGTCGCCACCTCTTGTGGGGCTGGAGCGGCCAAGATGGTGACAGGGGAAGATCTATTTGCCTCTTAGGGTCTCTGGCTTAATTCTGCAATCGCAATTTGGTTTTTAAAGGGGTCGTTTAACTTGTACCAGATTTGATAAAAAATGATTCTCATGATTGTCTCCAAGGGTTCAACTTTGCCACTGCTGTACACGTAATGTCCATATAGTCCGAGGCTCTGCCGTTTCGATCTTGACACGGGATATGAAGGGCAATGAAGGATTCCAAATGTGAACTCGATCACACCTGTCATGAGGGACTAGTTAGACACATGGCCAGAGTGGCTAGTTTTCGCGATGGGCTTTTTTCCAATCTCCGACAGGGGCAAGTCTCTAGGTTTAAGCTTGTTCTAACTCAGCGAGTAATAATTGCGGGATCTCAAGACGCGTCTATGGGTGCGGGTTAGACCCACTTGGCGAGCCATATATAGCCATCCTGTGTGTCACTCGTTGCGACCTGCTCTGTCGTGACATGGTCAATATACGCCACCTAAGACATGCCTCTCCACTTAAACCATCTCCCCTGACCGTATCATAGTCACCTCCACTAAAGGATCTTTCGTGTTCATATCCCTCATTTGTTGTCAAAGCGGCCCACTACTCCGCCCCCTTAGCCATTTTGTGGGAAATCGTTGCGTTCTGGAGAATAGGTAGCACCGTAAATGGGGGCGTTCACTCGTATTCGTGTCAATTTCCTACATCTTCTACTCCGTACCTAACCTACTCAAATGCTTTATCTCAAAACACTTTCGTTTCTATTTTCTATTTTTTAATTTCTACTATACTTTTCGCTCTTTTTGCTTCTTCCTTCCCTTCCTTTTCAAATACAAATTCCTGACCAAAGTCTATCGTTGGTAATACCAGTCTTAAACACATTTGCGAATTTCTTCAACCGTTGTCGATGAGCAAGTCGACTTTTCGGCCTACGGCCAGGGACAATGTTCTTTCCAGACGTGAAATCGAGGGCATGATTGCCGATGAGAAGTACATTATCATCCTCGATGGTAAAGTTCTTAAACTGGATTGTTGGGTCAAATTTCACCCTGGTGGTCCCCTAGCAATCAAGCACATGATAGGCAGAGATGCCACGGATGAAGTGAATGCGTAAGTCTTCACCAATTCATTTTCCTCTCAATTGAAGTTTTCCATTATAATAACACAACCAAGACTACACTCACAGGAAGCGCTTCAGAGCATGAAAAAATTCCAAATCGGGTCAATTGAGGGAACATGGACAAATTTCCTTCCTCCCATTCAAGGTGGTCACTTTCGCCCTTATAACGAACTCGAGGTAGAGTCTGAGGAAGACATGATTTCAAACTCTGATCTCTCCAGCGAGGAGTGCTCACCTCCACCATCTCCGCTCTTCGAAGCAGCCGACCACACTTTAAGACATCGGGTGTCGAGATCTACCATATCTTCCGTGGTCAGCACCACCCCTCCCCCCGAGGAAACCAACAAAGGACTCGGAGGATATGTCATGGACGCTCGCACACAGGACGAGATTTTGTTAGATTCCTCCAAGTACCCTCCTATCACTAGTGAAGAGCAACTAAAAATCACCCACAAATATCGCCAGCTCAATGAGCGTATTCGTGCAGCTGGACTGTACAATTGCAACTACTCTGCTTACGCCATTGAGATATCTCGATACAGCCTTCTTTTTGGTCTCTTTGTCTTCTTTTTACAACGATCTTGGTTTTGCCTATCAGCCTTTTTCCTAGGATGCTTCTGGCATCAGCTAGTGTTCTCTGCCCATGATGCTGGCCACATGGGTATCACACATGACTTTCAAATCGACACTACTATTGGAATGATCATTGCCAATCACCTTGGCGGACTCAGCCTTGGATGGTGGAAGCGAAGCCACAATGTCCACCATATCATGACTAATGCCCCAGAGCATGATCCTGATATTGAACTGATGCCATTCTTCGCTCTATCACACCGTTTCTTCGGCAATCTACGCAGCACATACTACGACAGAGTTATGGAATACGACGTGGTATCTCGAGCAGTCGTCAAGTATCAGCATTATCTATACTATCCGATTCTACTCTTTGGCCGCTTCAATCTCTATTTTTTGAGCTGGGAGCATATCATCGTGGGCCGTAGCCCCCAACACGGCGCTGGTTGGTGGCACCGTTGGTTTGAGCTTTCTGGCCAAGTATTCTTCTGGACATGGTTTGGCTACGGAGTTGTTTATCTCAGTATTCCCAGCTGGTGGAGCCGTATCGCCTTCGTGTTGATCTCCCATATGGTTACTGCACCGTTACATGTGCAGATTACGCTTTCTCACTATGCCATGTCTACAGCCGACCTCGGTCCTCTAGAGTCATTTCCTCAGAAGATGCTTCGGACAACGATGGACGTCGACTGTCCGCAATGGCTGGACTTCTTCCATGGCGGACTCCAATTCCAGGCAATTCATCATTTGTATCCTCGTATCCCTCGTCATAACCTTCGCAAGACGCAGAAATATGTCCAGGAGTTTTGTGAAGATGTGAACATCCCATATGCTGTATTTACATTCTACGATGGTAACAAAGAAGTTATCAGTCGACTCGGGCATGTCGCTAAGCAGGCAAGAATTTTGGAAGAGTGTCGAAAGGCGTGCGCGGAACAAGGTGTCTTCGCAGATCACCATTCTCACTGAACATATTCCAAGGTTTACAGGACACGTGCGATCGGGTTGTAAGGCGAAGGGCGTTTAATGTTATTTTTATCAGGTACAAACAATACATATGACCCAATCCATCATATAAATAACGTCATGAGCATACGTATTACTAGTACGTATAGTAGCTACTAACTTGAGGTGGGTATTGAACTTGGGTCGCTGTCTACCACATGCACCCAGACAAAAAATGTGTAAACCTTGGAATTACAAAATTCGCCGACGGTATGCGCAACTGTTGGTCGAGAGACTTGGGATCGGCGAAATTAGTTTCTGGTTTTTGGCTTCTTCCCATTTAGCCTCAATGGTCTAACTAACTACTTCGGGCTAGTTCGTTAGTTATCGCCTCTTTAAATTCAGGCATATTCAGGCAGAAATAAGGACACTAGCGCGTTTTGGCTTGGGTCGCTAAACTCCGCCATTATGGTTGCGCTGATTGGTCAGTCCTCGGCTATTTTACCATCAAACCCAGTTGTGGCGCCGCAAAACCTGTGGAAATGCGCCGACACGGATATTCAAAATGACCTACTCTCTCCCATCATGATTCCATGAAAGAAAGGGACATTGGTGACAGCCGGCATACACTTTTGCGATGAGATTCCGCAGTCTTGTCTTCGTGGTGTTTTTCATCGCGTTAGTAGCACTCCCGTTGCATCGATACCGAACATCGATTATCAATGCTAGCCCCCTCATCATGACAACGCTCACATCGGAGAAAGACCGACTTCATAAAGTGGCCGATCTCATGCTTGAGATATACCAAGAGCTGGCCAGAATGCGTTACATACAACCCGCGGGCATCCAGCTCGGGCCACATAACAATACCCATCTGGAGCCTGCCTACGACGAACTCGACCTGGATCCATCAGTAAAATATCTGTACAGTATCCTGCCATATATTGATACGCTTTCTGCGGGGCAAGATTCCTTCACTCAAATTGGTGAATTTGCCGACTTTAGAGATATCGAGCAGGCCGAGCAAGGCCGCGACCCATTCTATGGGGATCCCTCGGAGCCTAATTTCGAAGACGAAGAGGGCCCATACATGAAGCCTTGGGTCACTCCATTGACCAGTCTGGGCAATCATGGTAACGTGTTGCTGTATGATACTCGACGACATGTCATGTGGATTATCGATCAGGAGAGCTGGGACACGACCGATCCCGCTCTTGAAGGTTATCCGACGAAAGAATCCAACTCGTTAAATCGGAACAGCTTTGAGCATATTCCACACAGACCCGCGGAGTTAGTTCTGCATGATATTCTACAATGGTATCGCAGTTTGTATTGGATTCCAGGCGGTGGAGAGGGTACTGGACTGGAATGGGATATGTACACTATTCCTTTGGAGGAGTTGTATCGTGAAAATGGGTGGCCTAGTTCTTTCGATGGAGATTCATTTGAGGTAGCCCAGGTCAGGTCATATTGCGTTCACAGGGTGATGGATGATGAGGATGAAAACGTGGAGGCAGAAGATCTTGCATTGCTAGAACTGAAATGTCTACAGAGAGAGCTCGGGTATGCGCGCAATGAGGTGGATGGTTTGAAAGAGCAAATTCAAACAGAAGAGGAGTTAGAGTATCTTGAAGCGCTGAATAAGCGTCTTACATTATCGGAACAAAGGGTCGCTGTTTATCAGAGAGCCGTGAGCGCAGCAGAAGGAGATATAAGATAGTTATCTACTGAGGACTATAAATAAGGCATGGAAGAGCAAAATAGAATAGCGGAGAAATTTGAATACACACCATGAAACTGTTTGTACCGAGTAAAAAAATTTTTAAAGCTACAGCCATTCTTAATATAAAATAAGCGCTTAATTGTTGGCCTCCGAGTGACTGTTTGTTCGACCTGCTTAAGTGCCATGCTCGTTTGGTCGCACGTCCAACGTTACCGCCCAACTGCATTTCATCACATCATAGGATTCGCATTTTGGAAGAAAGGAAGCGAAACGCCCAACTATCGATCTGTCTTCCATTAAAAAAAAAAAATAGCGTCGCCACCTATGTTTCTTCGAAATTACACATCGTCGGTGAATAATTGGTCTAATTCTGCTGATTGTGGTGCCTTAACACCTCTTCTCTAAGCATCTCTTCTCCATACAACGGTGCCCGAACCGCTCGCCAAACTGGATTCAACTTTGATACAATTCAAAACGGAGATCGCGCGCACACCAGCCTCGACAATTTTTGAGGTAGAGTATTATAAAGAGCGCTATGCGCTGAAGGTGGTAAGCATTCTCAGTCTAACTATCCTTGAACCACACAACACTAACTCTGTAGTTCCATGACAATGGTGATCCGGGGTTCACCACGAGGGGTCGCGATAAGAATCGCTTTCGTAATGAAATCAACGCATACACAAGTCTCCATGCCTCTGGTGTTTGTGATACCGGCCTGGTCCCCAAATATTATGGTTCCATCGATCGACTTGATCCTTCGCGTCACCGATTGTGGCTCAACAGCTTTCTGAATGATAAGTTTCACCCAAGTGCCATCTTAATGGAATACTTGGCCAATTCTGAAGCGCTGAACTGCGTTGATTACTCGAAAGAACGCCTCGCCAAGGCTATGGAAGCCCTTCCTCGAGTCCTCGGCGCCTTGGTCGTCCACAATGACATCTAGCCCAAAAGTATTCTCATCGTGCCAGGTACTCCAGAGAGTGTGGTTTTGATGGATTTTGATGTCGCAAAAACATTTCCCACAAAAGGATTTCTAGATCAGGATCTAGAAATCCGTGGTCCTAAGCCCGTGCAGTCCTGCGAATGGGACATTGCGCTACTGGAAGATTTTGGGGATGCATTGGTTCGTACCCTTTTATCCTCAAGAGTTTTCGTAGGTATTACTAAACAGATGGTTGGGAGGAGGATCAGAAGGAGGGGCTTCCTCCCAATACGAAATTCTACTAATGATCGTCTGCTCCTTTTCTTCTCCCGACGGATATCAATCAAAGTATAGGTGATCAAGCAGATGTGAAATCCCGAGGTCTCAAAGACGCAAAAAGTACTTGGTGACATACTTCAAAGGTCTAGCGTTGCTGATAAGAAGAGAACATGTGGATGTAGAATAAGTTGACAAAGTGACGAATTGCATTATAATATTCTATTTACATGAAATATCACAGATCGCGGACATAACCCTGTCGAGCGACGCGTCCTTGGTCTAGAACAATAAAATAATCCGCATCCTTAACAGCTTCTATCCGATGGGCAATCGTAATGACAGTAGACGATTGAAGCTCTTCCCGAACAATCTGCTGCATTTCAAGGGAAGTTTCATGATCAATGGATGCCGTAGCCTCATCTAAAATTACGATCGGGCTGCGTCGTAGTACAGCGCGGGTGAGAGCAATCAGCTGCCGCTGCCCCTGACTCAGATTTCTACCACCGGCCTCGATGTACGTATCAAGTCTCCAGCCATGGCGGCCACAGAGACGGTCTAGAATCTCAGCGCATTGCTCATCTGAGAATTCTTCTGTAGGGTCAAGGTTGAGGCGAATGCTTCCAGGGAAGAGGATCGGATCTTGTGCGACAAAGGTAACCCTTGTTCGAAGTGCTTGGGTACTGACTTCTGCAATATTTATGCCATCTATTATAACACGACCAGTTTCCGGTTTTATTACACTGAGCAAAGAGACTGCCAGTGTAGATTTGCCGCTACCTGTGCGTCCGACTACAGCAGCTGTAGATCCACCAGGTATTCGGAGAGACACGTCGGTGAGAGAAGGTTCGAGGTGTGGTGCATATCGGATGGTCACATCCTCGAAGACGATGTCTTTACCATAGGTAGGCCATGCAGCTGAGGGTTCGATGGTTCCTGCAGACTCTTCTTCGATATGAAGTAATTCATCTATGCGCTCCACTGAAACAAAGTCCATCTGTAGTTGCCCGTATTGCTTGCAAAGCTGGTGGGTTGAATCGACGAAATTATTCGCAGCGATCAACACGAATGCCATCATTCCAGGGGTCGTATCCGTGTACAAAGCCAAGCCAATGAGACAAAATGTGGAAAATGCCGATAAAGTTTCAAAGCGGCTTATGAGCCAGGCCTGAAGGGACCAGTAAAAGTGATCCATTCCTTGAAACTTATCAACAACCGAGATGACACGATTTTGGAAGCGGCCCTCAGCACGGAAAGCGCGTACCGTGGTCAATCCATGTAAAAGCTCTCCGAAGTTGGACAGAAGAGGCGTCAAGGATACCATTTCGAGGCGTCTAAGGCTTTGCGACGTTGGAAGAAACCATAGGAATATCAATATAAATGCAATGGTGAGAGCAAGTGCGGAAGCTAAGAATGCAGGAGTTGTACTTGCGATTACAAGCATTGAGGATATCCAAGTTATTGCTTGGAATGCGATAACCTGGAATTGCTCACTGATGTTGCCATCCACCACCCCAATATCGGAGGTCAAACGGTTCATGAGTCTGCCGACCGGGGTAACATCAAAGAATCGGAATGTTGCATGACTGACCCGTTTCATGACTTGTTGAAAAAGCGCTTTTCCAGCAGAATAAATGATAACCAGCATCAGCAACTGTGCAAGAAGAAGAGTAACTGCTTGGAATGAAGCAATCGCAAAGAATGTCCATAGCCACGGGCGAACATCATCACGAGGGGAAGGCAGATCATACATTAGATCTTGCGGCAGAAAGTATTTATCGACGGTTGGCGTAGATTTTAGCATGATGTCACCAAGTACAGCTCCGCGCCACCTAGGCAGATCATTGAGAGCAACCGATGTATCATTGTAAGCCTCTCCCCATCCTTTGAGAAACCAGGATTGACCGACATTAGCAAGTCGGTATATGGTTAGTATCAAAACCAGAATCAGCCACCAGCGGTACTTTCCAGCCTTGATATAAGTCCAATAGACTCGAGCCTTAACACCCCATTCTGCTCGATGTTCCTCTTCAATAAACTTGTCTGGAACAGCATTTGCATGGTCTTCAACATTGATATCTTCAAGATCATCGGATTCCAGGTTCTGAAACAAGGGGTTGGACTCGTGAGACGTGTGATTGATGGACTTGGATATAGCACTTTTGTCGTGAACGAGGGCACCTCCTTCGCTAATTTGAATAATCTGGTCTGCAATCTCTTGGACAAGAGCCGTCCGATGCGTGACAAGAATAATAGTGCGGTTCTGCATCAGCTGGCCGGACAAACACTTGCGTACAACAAACTCGGCAGTGTTATGATCCAGAGCGGAAAGAGGGTCATCGAGCAACAATACCCGTGATGAGCTGTATACCGCTCGGGCAAGTGCCACTCGTGCCTTTTGTCCACCGGAGAGACCTATGCCATTTTCGCCTATGAAGCTCAAATCCCCATGCTTGAACTGCGCAAGATCTGGAAGAAGGGCACATGCTTCCAAGGTGTGCTTATATCGTACTTCTTCGTAGGGGGCTGAGAAGAGAATGTTGTCACGGATGCTCATACTTTGTAGCCAAGGGGTCTGCGCACAGTACCCCATCATCTCATTGGGGATATGAAGCTTGCCGCTCAGCAGATCCAGTTCCCCCAATAAAGCCTGCAAAAGGGCTGTCTTGCCAGATCCCACCTTTCCAGTGACAACTGTAAGCCCTCGGGGGAATTTTGCATTTAGGTCACTTAGCACAGGTGCTATTTTTCCTGGCCATGCGAACGAGCATGATTGCATCTCAAAATTCATATCGTCCACTGGACGTCCAATTGGAGGCTGCTCTTTATCCGGCTCGGCCATAAAGTCTTCGATTCGCGCGAGGGCAATATAGGCGTTGATCAAACTTGTTATAAGCCTAGGTAAGTCGCGTAGGCGACTCTCTAACATCGCAAATAGCTGCAACGCAGGGAATATGGTGTCAATGCGTAATTCATGGCCTGCAATCATAGTATAGGCATATAGCGCGATGACTGGGAAGACACCACTAGAAAATGCATTGACAAACCGGATAACAATATTCCATAAACTCGTGATTATGCGTAAATTCAGCTCGTGCTGTCGGGCTTCCATAACTTGGCGAAGCCAGTGGTTTTGCCACCCATACCAACGCAGGTGACGGATCGCTTCAACAAATTGAGATGTGATTTGTAAACGATTATCGGTCGCAGCTCGTCTGGTCTTCTCCCACTGGAACAGGGTCCGAGTGATCACTGCATTGAGTGCTTGGCCAAGTAGAATTGCTAGGATGCCGAGAAAGCACGATGGCCCAAAAAGTGCCCAAACAAGCCCAACCGCGATAAAAAGTCCCGCGGGGCCATCAATCAGTGTATCAACTTCCCAAAATCGCTGAGCGACTTCATAAACATCACCGCGGAGAAGATTAAAGATCTTGCCCATAGAAGCAGGCTCTTTCAGTATGGTGGGTTTCTTTTTTGAGTTCCTTGAAACGAGTCGTTTCCAAATACTAGGTTTCTTTGGTGTGAACTCGACCTCTGGAACAGATGTATCATCCCCGTCAACCTGTTCGCCGTCAACCCGTAAGCCGATGATGTTCTTTCGTGACAGTGCTTTCTCGTAGACCATCATAACCATTTCTCCCCGGGATCTTTCATAACAACGGCGACCATACCAAAGACCAAGCACCTGAGACTGCGCAGCAACCAAGCGAATGATTAGTAATATGAGAGCATAGGTCATGGGTACGCGTTTGGACTTCCTGTCATCTTGCATAGCGTGCAATAGCGGCTGAAGTAACACCGGAATCGAGAATTGGCAGAACAATTGCACAATCGCGATTGTAGAGATGATGAGGACATCGACACTGTTTGCCTTGAGTACTCGAATGAGTACCGACCCCCTCATTTGGCGAAACTTTTCATGCAAACGGCGATGCTGGAATTCGAAGCCAAGGGACCAGATATCGGGTTCGTTTAATTGTCTTTTCCTGCCGAGAGATATGAGAGGCGTCATCCACGAGACCGTCAGAAATTGCCATAGCCGGAGATTGTCCTCTGGGCTGCGAAGTTTATCGGACGGTGTTTGCCCCACCCCACTGATGTCAGATACTGGGAGAGATGCGTTTCGAAAGGGCATCAACAGGATTGTACAACAGCCAACCAATGACGCTCCGGCAGAAATGTAGCGAGCAATCACTTTCGACCCATGTCGATCCTCGAAATGCGCTGCTAGAATCGTCTCGACAACAGATACACTGAGAAAATATGACAGCAGCGAGATGGAACATGATCTTGGGCGTTTGATTGCGATCAAAGTACATATTGCAGTCTGAAGTCACGTCAGTCAGCTGGGAGGGTACTCATTGGTGTTCCACGCGAACAGCTTACCCATGACACGAGAAGAATTAAGGAGGGGATATCAAAGCCTGGTGGGACCAATTGCAGGGTTTCTGTTGATATACCGAAAGCCGAACAGCCCAGTAAAGCGACCGTCCAGTGAAGGGGTTGTTCCGCTCCGTCGGGCGGAATGTCTTGCTGCTCATCTTGTTCAGAGATGAAGGAATGCAGCCACGTTGGCCTCCATCGACGAAAGATTGGCCTCAGTAGGTGACCGAGTGTAATAAGCACAGCGACCGTGGCTGGAGCAATGGCAAGGTAAGGCAATGCACACGGGGATATCCATGCGTTGTTCGCGTCCTAGATTGGTCAGCTCCGCTCAATCGTCATGCAAGGAGATCGTACCCAAAAGTGGCGACAACCATGCCTGCTGGTGTCTTCAAGAAGAGGAACTTGGTTCATAGCTCATTTCATCGAGAATTGAAATCAATTCTTGCGGTCGCTCGAGGTACAATTGGGGGGAGTCCAAACGTTGCATTGTTGCGCGGGGATGCGGGAACAACGATCCCCCGGATGAGCGCCAACGCCGACTTGGACAGACAATAAGGAACGTAGAGCAGAACTCACCCATCTATCTCTCTGGTGATGAGAATTACAACACGGTTGGAGCCGAAGTGTGGGTAAAGAAAGCTTGATCTGAACAGCCGACTCGGATATACTGAAACTCGTAGAGTTAGCTGATAACCGAGAAGGATACTTGTTAGAAGCACCCACGTTTGATACAGAAGCTGATGGTATAATATTTCAGACCCAACAGATCTACCCAAAAAGCAATAAGCAAAAAGGAATGACTGAAAAAAATGAAATAATAAAAAATAAAAAATAAAAGGAGTGTGTGCATGATTAAAAATAATCGCACTATATCGCAAGAGTGCAGTGGGACACACTTCTGGACTATAAAGGAATCAAGCTTTTGAAAAAGCATAGCAGAGTAGATCATCGCGAACAATTAGATGGGATAAGATGGATGACAAGATCAAGTCCGTGATCATGATGGATTCAATGTAGGTTTTTGTTCCCGTTCAACTACAACTATGAGGGCAGGTGCAACCCAGCAATGTTCTTGATGTTACTAGGGAAAGTGCCATCTCACTATCTTCAAGTTGAGAATGTATAGTTTGCACTATTATATACATACTAGTTTACTAAATGAATAGTAGTTGGAAAGATGTTTGAAAACTGTTTATAAAAATGATTTAAAGACATCTGGGCCCGTGAACATTCAGCTTCTACATTCAATGTTTATAGGGATACCGACAGATACACAGCCCTGAAGACAAACATAAATTTGGACTTCTTATCTATGCCAAATTTCAACTTAAAATAGATCCTTGGTCACAGTAAATGGAAGTCTATTATTTCACTAAACTAAGGTATGACTTGAATATTAGTACAAAGTTCTGCTATACATAGTATACATCTTTCAGCTCAAGAGCGCCAGAACCACCCACTCAAAGCCCAGTTGTTCTTCGCTGGCTTCTCCTGATCATGTTTTTCACTCAACAACATTTCGGTCACCTTATTTCTTCACTGGCTTCTCCTTGTCTTGCTTTTCATTTAACAACCTGTAGACGTCGTCAAACTCTCTGCGTGTCTTCTTACTCAAATGAACAACCTCCCACGCAACCAGCGCAACTTGCCATCGTTGAACCACTCTTGGATGAATATGGTCACTGTTCACAATATACTTCCAAAGTGAAAGAAACGTCATTGTTGAACAAGTGTCAGTGCGAAGTCGATGTTGGGTTTCTGGTACTGTATGTTCGATGTTCTGTATGATGAAGAGCGTAGGAGAAAGGAATATTTAAAGGACCCTGTATTGATTAAAAATCAATGGCCAGCAGGCCGCAGCAGCATTTAGATCCCCGGTGCTGAATACATTCCCGGTGGACAATTGGGCTTAGTACCTACTACCTGCTGTCCCCCGTCACTTGTATTGGCTTAGTGCCCGCTACTACGGAGCCATGGAAACAACCTTGGAAGTTGAATGGTAATATCCAAAATATAACTAACGAACAGGAAAATATGTACTAATTTCTAGATACCGTCTTACTCAAGATTGGGCCTACTCAAGTACTGGAACTTCGACTTCGGAAGCCTTGAACAATAAGATATTGCTTTGATTCAGTAAAGACCGACAGCAGTTAATCCGTCCTGCACTATTTCATGATTACCAATCATTTCCCTCAATTCATGTCCCCGACGTAGTCGTGTAGTGGAGTTCAGACTCCACTTACTGGTGCCAGCCACCACCATACCAACCTGGGTGTCCCCATCCCCAGCCGCCACCATAATGACCTGGGTGTCCCCATCCGGGTCCCCACCATTGGCCGTTCTGCCCATTCTGGCCAGTCTGCGCAGCTTGACCAGCACCCTGAGCCGCGTCGGCACGCTTCATCATTTCTGGAAGCACCAAATTACATTAGTCACTGCTAATTATACTTGGCTTGGTCACTGTCATACCTGGCTCTGCCTCGGGGGCGGGAGCAGCGATAGCAGCACCTGCTAGGCCGATGATGGCAAGGACATAAGTGAAATGCATAGTGGCAATGTCTTTTAATTGGTAAATCTTAAGTGCTATGCAGAATTTAAGCCTTGATGATGGAACCAATTGAAGCGTCGCCAGATAGACATACCAGTTTTAGAGCTCGAGATGAAGATGGAGATGGAGATGTGCTCACGAAGGTTCTGTCTTGAGAATCTCTCACGGAATCTTGACCTCTTTTATACTTAGATATTGTCCAATCTATTCATTCAGATGACGATTGCTGGCCACTTCCATCGGAGGTTTTGGCCCCATTCCGAGATACTATACCCTCAAGGATTTGAAAATCTAATCCAGTCAGAATCTTTCCTCAGTCCCGAGGGTCTTCTTCGTGAATCGACTTGAAAGTTTTTCAATTCTTTTATTCATCCTACATATCAACATAGTACCCTAGCAGGCATTGAAATTGCCGTGACCATGCTTCGTGGTGTGCAATCGTGTCATATGGCTAATCAAGCAGCACGGGCCTTTAGATCTAGATCGCACTAGGACTATACCTAAGACATCTAGACAGCAAGCGTTTACTTTGTCTGGCTCATCGATTGTTCATTTCTATCAAGGCCAATTCTCTTGTGTTCGAAATAATTTCGATCTACCAATGCTGTGCAATTTACTATAGAATAATAAAGCTGCCAAGGGATGTGGTCTATGAGGTCGACTTGCTATCCTGGTATCATAATAAAATCTAGTCAATGCTCACAGAACTAATACAGGGTTTGCAAGACACTGAACTAGGTGTCAGTGCCGTTGAAGTCTCTAAGTGAAATCTTCGAAACCCCACAAGAACACCCAAAAGCTACCATACTCTTTATGCAATGTTCCATCTATCTTTTGAATAATCAAAATTAAAATGAAAAATGAAACGTTGTACATCATGAAGGGCGGAAAGAATAGTCCAAATTTTCCGATCTGAAGTTTTTTTTGCAAGGAACTAAATATAATAACCACTGATAGTTGATCACATCAATCTTGTAAAACTTGAAGCTAAACTTGATATTCAGCTTGAAGTCCAAGTTAGGACATCCATGCAAAGTATCTTTATTTCTTGCAGCCCAGCCTGGAAAATGCCAAACACATGATCGATCTTGCTGACTCGCCTTTAGTTCCGCATTGAGTTTTTTCTGTGTCATCGGGGGGTATGAATCTCAGTCGCGCAACATTCCCAATCTCCAATCTCCCATGGAATGACGGGGATTCCCATCATAAGTACGGTGTGGGTGTGGGCTGCTAATCCCTGCAAGCCCGGCTGACCCGTTCGTTCCCTATTAAAGTGTTCCAGAGGCATCCTGGACATGGGGCTGTCAGTAAATCTTAGTAAAAGGGGTACCCTTAACTTAAATGAGTCTAAGATGAAGAGAAAGAAAAATGCAAGGCTCCTATGGGTTCTCGTAGTAGTTCTTTGAAACATTTCCCAGAAACTCATCCTATTGAATAACAAAATGAAGTACAACAACACATTGCTTCGGCTTGACTATTCTTTATTCACCGAACTAATCATCATTCAAAATGAAGCATCTTAAAAAATGGCAAATGCATTCGGGGGGCTAGCGACTCCACCCACTACCTGATAGAACCACCTGCGCATCAGTGTTTGAACCTTGAGCAAATTTTATGAGAACGAGACAAAACATACCTTGAGTGGCATACTAGACAGGAAGAAACTATATCTCCCCGTCGCCTTACAGTGAGCAGAAAGCTTCTCCAGGTCAAACATTTCACCAATTGGTGTTCCCCAACCTGCTAGCACCCATTCATGGATGTTAAAGTTCGGGTCGGCGTGGCTACCACGAATCGGAGCGCGCTCGAAGCTAGGAGCATCACCACCAACAGCTGCGAATTGGCGTTCCCATAGCCATCGAAGCATATCCTCTGTGGCTTCAACGCCACTAAAATCTGGGGTTTGACGGTTTGGCATATCTCTTTGCTGCTGTTCGTCCAATTCATTGTAGGCGGCAGTAAATCCGCTGCGAATTAACAAAATATCGCCTTTTCTAAATTCCAGCTTGTGATCCTTCACTACTTGCTTTATACTCTCGAGAGTAATTGCCTGTGACTCGAGCGCTGATATAGAAAGAGAATTTGTTTTAGCCCAGTCGGCGAAGTCTAGAAGGACACCGCGGCCAGTCATGCCACCATGCTCGACAACAGCTATTCGAAATCGTAATATCAGCATTATTGGATCGAAAACACAATTGAGAGTAACATATCATACTATGAAGCCCTATCACATCTGAACTCTCAATTTCCTCGGTCGTATGCCCATTATAGAACTTCCGTGCTTTTTGAAAAGCTGGCTCGACGATTAGTTTCAAGAGCGTCATATGAATTGGAACACCGGGAGCACAACTAACCATAATGTCTAAAGCCATCCCATTGCGAAGACCCTTGGGAATTGAAAGTCAATATATCGTCAAAAACGCAGTTCGGATTCCGAAGCACTAGCTCCTGTTTGAACGGATCGCGATTAAAACTCGGAAATGATGGCATGCTCAGCGGCCAGTCGAGGGAAATTCGTATCCCCGTCTTGATTTCCTTTGCAGCATCGACAACTACCTCTGGCGTGAGGAGATTCAATGTTCCCAATTCATCGTTTGGTCCGAATCGTCCCCACGCATTCCCACAAGGCCCAGTAGGGTCTAACGGAAGGGCTTCGAATGGTATTGTGGCAGTCTCTTTACTTTCGGACATTTTGTATCGTTATTAGTGACAGCTCTCGGACGAATCAAACTCAATTCCCGCAATGAATTAATGCAAGGGGGCGACTGTTAAATAATCTCTCAAGAGACTGCTTCGGGGTAACTTTGATTTCTTTACCCGAATCAACCATAGCCCCGCAAGTAGAACTACCCCACACACGGAAAAGTATCCGAGTAGGATTGCTTCACATTTCCGGTTTTCTCTCCGCATTACAGAAGTGGCAGATTAGTGACCTTTGTTCAGACCCAAAGTTTCAAAATTACTGTGAAACTTTATAAAAAGCCCTCGTGGGGCCAATGTTGTGGTACTTTGAACACTTTCTTTCGTTTCAAACCTCAAATAGAAATATTTTTATATACATGCCGATGACATGAAATCGGAAGTTAGGCATAATCTTGGAATCAATATAGTCCACATTAGTTGTACTCTTACCGCATCGCTACGGGTATAATATCATATTGGAAGGAAAAAGTTCTAGTACCATGGACCTTTAGCCATTCGATTGTTTAGAATCAGTTTGAACACAAATTTCAGGGTATATTCAACGAAGCCAACGAACAGAAGTAAATAATCGAGATATCGACAAAATATTTACACAAAGACATCACAAGAAGAAAAAGTCAAATTATCCTAGACAGTGAAGTATGCAATCGTAGCAGCATAAGTTGCCAGGTTGTCGCTCACCACGGCTAGAGAGCTGCCTGCTTTGACAATCATGTTGGTGGTCCCCACTGTGCTGAGTGTGTACACTGTCAACCCACTAGTAGTACCTTCGACACTGAAGATCTCGCTTTGGCAGTCTTCAGGTGTAGGGAAGGTAGAGCAGTCAGTACTATAATGATTGAAGAAGCTGTATAGACCGGCGCCGTAGATTATGATGTCTTCACTGTTGAGAACACGAAGGCCTAGAGAGTCACAGTTGCCGGAAAGACAGGTGCTGTAGTCGGGGTCATTTAGGGTAGAGTTTGTGGGATAGGGGCTGTTAGCCGCATCTGGACTTGGCTGATAGTATCTATGAAAACAAGATTAGTATGAAACATTTATCTAATCCATTTGCAGTATATTTTCCTTGTCTACTTACGGTGTTTCAGTCTGGATGAACCCAGCCACAACTGAGCTAGCGCCAGAGAATTGGAATTGATAGAGGGAGTGATGCTCGACCCCAGTACCGTAACTAAAATAATGTCAGTTATGGAGAAAATCGCAAGGTTAATGTAATGAACTTACAGCCAGATATTTTTCCCTTCGACTAGAAGACCCCGTCCAGAATAAACCGAAATTTGAGTGTTACTAGCGTCATCAATATCATGGTCCGCTGTCCAGAACCAGTTATTCTCCAGGTATACGCCGCTTGCAGAGCTGGTAATGTGCATTGACATATACGCAACTTCGCAGGTAGCAGAGTCTGATGCAGAAGTAGGACACTGAGCGACCTGTTGGTTTGAGCCATCGAATCCACCAATACGGGTATGGACGTCCCACATTCCAGAGCCCGAGGCAGCTTCGAGGTTCCACTCAATCAAGACAGCTCCTGGAGTAGAGCCCTGAGTGCTCACGATCATATCAGACCATTCTATTGAGCCAGTGTCACCAGACTTGCCGACTTGGACCACAGGTACTGGGTTCGAAATATCAGAAAAGGTGCTACCACTAGCCATGATAACTGAGTATGCCTCTCCAACGACGCGCAAGCCAGGGGGGAAATACAGAGTATTGGTGACTTTGTATGTTCCTTGATCGAAGAAAACAATCGATCCAGAGGATGCAGCAGATGTCAACGCAGACTGGATGGCAGAGGTATCATCGGTGGTGCCATCACCTTTAGCGCCTGCGGTCCTGATGCTGGTGAACGAAGCAGTGGGCGATGCAGCGTATTGAGGCTTGGACTTGGTATAGTAGCTCTGGGACCCACTGGCAAGCAAAGCAGACGGACGTGTTGGTGCAGTAAATGCTCCCTGGAAGTTGGTAGGGCCATCGGGGGTGTACTTGTGGCCTTGGCCCCAAGCGCTGATAGTGGTTGAGCCAGATGATCCGGCAAGGATGGTACTGCTTGGCCCCTTAACAGCGACTGGAACATCATCAAGAGCGATGTTCTCCAGAATGAGACTACCATTGCTTGATGTTGAGGTCTCCCATGCTGTGGTAACGAAGGTAGAGCAATCCGAAATACTGCTGTCGATGACATTGACTGAGCCAACAAGCTGGGCACCCGCACCGCCGTTCTCAATGGAGAGCGCAGTTGTGCAGTTTTTGATGTTCAGGCCCTGGTAGGTCCAGCCCCAGTCCCAAATCTGGGAGACACCAGTGACTGCGTTTGAGATATCCAGATTGCGCATGGTAAACTGTTGGTTTCCGACATTTGCACCAATCAACCCACCATCAGTAGTAACATCAGTCATAAAGCCACCGGATCCTAAATGACATTAGTTTCAAGTCGCTATCGGCCGTAGCAGCTCAGGTTTAACATACCATTTTCAATGAAAATACCTTGGTGTTGAGTTCCTGACGCGGCGCTCATCACAATCTCAACATTCTGAATACTAGTAGCCTGTCCAACCGGCCAATGAATACCAGTAGCAGCGGTTGTTCCTGGGATGGATGTCAAGTCTAGCTTCAGGTTGCGAATTTGCCTGAAGAAGACATTGGTGGAAGTCCAGCCTTGATTACCACTGCTCTGGTATTGGTCTCCATCAATCATGCCCAACCCGGTGAAACCCGAAGTGGCCTTGAGAACTGGAATCGAGTTGGGGTTTCCAATGAGTTGTGTAAAGTAATAATCAATGATAGAAGTCGAGATCAAGTAGGTTCCGGCTGGGAAGTATACGATCGCAGGTGTAGTAGTTGTAGTCTCTCCGCTTGCGGGGCTAAAGCGACCGCCATCGCTGATAGCAAGGTTAATAGCTGCAGTGTCATCGGTTACACCGTCGCCTTTGAAATTCGTCAGTCATCGCAGTCAAGTAGAACAAAAAGAGTTACGTATAGATACCTTTAGCACCATAGTCCATCACATTACGGAAAACCGTGTAGCTTGACGGGTCGGAGTTGAAAGCTGCCAGCCCCTGGTGCTTAATGTCTTCTAGCCAGTACGAAGCATCCGTTGCTGCCGTTGCGTGAACAGTTGCTCCTACCGAGATGCTTGAAGAAGCAGGCGTCGGGACACTGAGGCTAGATGAGCCTGAGGCTCCGTCATACGGCGCATGAACTGCCCGATGATTGAAATGATTGTCCCGATGGGCCTTGCCAGCATGCCGTGTGTCCACAATGTGGGCATACGTGCACGCTAGCAATGACAAATGAGTGAGTAGCGAAGCAAAATGCATGTTGACACCAAGCGCTCGCTACTGATGATGGGTGGGGTTGGCTCATGATCACATAGAGGGCGGTCTCCTAGTTCTTATATCCGCCCGCCTCGCACTTGCAGCTGCCAGGGCCCATGTATGTGATGGATGCATGAGACGCGTGTGTCAACACCAAAGACAGGGGTGGGAGCTGGGCTGCATGGCCTCCACACCTTTTTTGGGCCATCACAGTTTGGCTATTGAAAGAATCCTACCCCGAAATACAACTTGACGCGGGGAAATCTATTGCGAATGACCCTTTAATCAGAGGCATGAGATCTAGACAGAATTAATCAAGCATTAGCTCCCATTTCTCATGTCCGCTAATGATTCAGGTTGTCACGCTGGTCAGACTACCGCATGATCTGAGTGGGAAGAATTGGAATCAACAATGCCGATCCCGCCCCACCAGGGGGATAGTTCCCCTGTCGATACATTGATGGCCGACCAATAGAGGTTGACAGCAGTGGCAGGATGCAAGCATAAAGGCGATCCATCAGGCCTGTTTGAGCAGAGCTAATCGAAAAGTGGAAAAGAATGTGACTAGCTGCAGAAATTATTGCCGATGCTATTACCGCCACAATTTACGGAGTCGAGCGAAATGGGACTCAGGGGTCATACTTAGTGTCACAGGGGAAGCCCAAGTACATTGCAGCAGAGGGAGGTGAATGCATGGAGAGCGCTTGAGGGGTCAAACACTTCATCAGCGCTTTCAGTTTAGCTCACCGGCATGAAGCATCCTGCAGGAAGATACCGAGCCTGATTTTCTCAAATCTCCGGCAAAGGAGCGTGTATATGGTACATGATGTAGTAATATTTGGTGGCATGGGATGGTGGGTCACCCGGAGGCCGTGCCTTACCCCGGGGAAATAATAAACTTTCTTCACTTGATTGGTGTGCTCAGATCACCCGCTCCAAATGGTAAGTGGTACAGAATACGAAGGACAGAGTAGGAATAGTAACCGAATTTTTCGTTTAGGACGAAGCTGAAGAACTTGAGGAAGTATTAGCGTGTACGTGTACCCACTCTGAATGCCGACTAACCTTGGCCGCCCGATCACGAATCCACCCCGTCTCACCACAGTTTAGGAATGCTATGCAAGCGCTCGTGGCTGATGGTGACGAATGCACTGTTTCTTTTGGCGCGGAGAAAAAACTTGCAGGAAAGTCCGGTCCCATTGAATCAAGAGATAAGGGACAATATGAAACGAAACCATTTCTACAAGCCAGCGAGATATTGTCTAACAATTTAATTGAAAGAACAATAGATGCTACTATAACTAGGATTGGCATTGACCATATCAATGTTGCATCATGATTTGGACGTTTGCACGTTTGAAAGACTTTGTTAAGGACACTCAATATAACCCTTGGCTTGAATGGAAGCAGCTTAACAACTACAACTATGATGGTGTGATAAAGTATGCATCATGCAGGTCCCTACCTCTATACTACTGGCACATATTTAGCTCACTCAAATTACGTTCTAAGAAAAAGTTGAATTCTAGGACACTAGCCCTGTGGGGCATCTCAAATGTTGAATGTTTAACTTGAAGCCCCTAGTAAGGCTTTTTTTTTGTATAATGGGATCATGTTCATACAAATCCTAGGCTTTCAAGCTGCATCATTTGAATCAGGCGAATTAGAGGACTGCCTCAGGCTCTACACACAGCCGAGGCAGATTTAAGCTCGGGGCCCTGGAGTCTGGCTCATGATGGCTATGGGTGATAGCTCACATCCAAACATTGAAACCAAGATTCCTCTTGGGTCACATATAGAACCTGGAAAGCTTCAACTTGAGTGTTGCGACCGTTAAACAACTTGAACACCTGCTGGGTGTCAGTGGTTAGTTCAAATACTACTAACAGTATATATACCGTACTAACCTCCACGGAAGCCACTTCAAAGTAGATTTACTAATACTACTAGTACCTTCTATACGTCCACAGAGTTGGAAAATAGTATGCGAATAATACGTATTGGGAGACCCAGGCAGATTCCTTTATATAAATATTTTCACATTTCTTAACCCCAGATCATCCAACCTAGTTGCAAATGCACCGTGCACGGAACCCCGGGGACGCACAGCTATCCGGCCCTGTTGGCCGAAAAGAACGTAGCTTTCTTGCAGACGACGTCATGGAGAAAAGGTTCTTCTATGTGCGCCCGACAGCTTACTAGCTATTCGGATACTCCATACTACTGGGAGCTCATTATTTTGAATAAAATGATTAAAAGATCGCAGTTATGGATAGAATGAGAGACTTGAAGATGATGTAGTAGTATATAGTTCATGTGTCTGGTTGCCATGCCAAGAATCTCCACGTGACCTTGATTTTTTTGCGTCGACGTTCTTGCCTTCAGTTGATTCTCCGCGACCAAAAAAAAAAAAGAAAAGCAACATCCATAACAACACAGGGTCTCTTCCCCCCTTCCATTCTCTTCTTCCCTTATTTGTTAAGGTAGCTTCTCCACCAGCTCACAAAGCTATTTACCCCTTCCTCCCTTCGATCTTGACCCTGTTCACTACGGGAGTCAGCTGCCGCGACGGGTCGCGGCCAAGTTCGTGTTAATCAAAGAAACATCAACATCCCACTCTCATCTCCAATCAAGTCCACCCTTGATTCAAGACTTCCTTGTCCTTGTTGATCGATCATTTACTAGGCTGCTGCTGTCAAAGTAGTTGCTTGGTGCATACTGATCATCGCGTGGATCTGGAAACCCGCTTGATTCCACACGCCATCCCCACGCGCAAGTGCGGTTCGCTACCGAGGCGCAAACGCAGACACCAAAATCTCGCCATTCATCGATAGCCATCGCGCCGATCCAAAAACACAAATTGAACCCGTCTGAGAGTTGTGCATGTTTAAAAGACCCGAATCGAGAGATCGGTAGTCTTAAGAAGGGGTCTATCGGATTTCTCGCGATTTGCACCTGTGCATGCGAAACCTGGCATATTATTGAACGAAACCTCATATCATACCGCTGTAGATGTCTAAACGCATAGCGGAAGGTCCTCAGGGAACCAAAGACGATATTAACCCATTCGGTATGGGCACACCAGACGAGAAGCCCCAGCGGGCCACAGCTGCCCAGTTAGCCAGCAGAAAGTAAGTCACCTTTCTTGCTTGTTTTCCTTCCCATTAGCAGGGTTGAGTTGCCGGGTTGATATTTGGGGGTGATGAGAGGAGATGAGTCGAATGAAAGCTCCCAACTGGAACTGTCCGGTGTGGCCCTGTTTACTCACATGTTTGCCTATTTCTTCATCCCCCATCTTTCTCCCCCATCTAGCCATTGTTCAAACACCCCAACATCTTGTTCCCTTTCCCAATTTGCTGCCTTTGCACACTCTATCTTGGGCGCCTAGCCATCGATGCCCCCAAAGCCATGCGCTTGACTATCAAAGTTCTGAAATACTTCGGTTTCAGAAAGCTCAGCATGCCAAACACTAAATGCGAGGTTGTGGAGAATTTAACTGACAATGACCGCTCTAGGATCAAAGATGTTCGTAAGCGTCCTCGTGGTACCACTCCCAACGCGGGTATGGCTGCACCTGCACCATCCGGAGGCGCTTTTTCGTCGTTGTCTGCTGCTCCGGCCTTTTCATCTCCAGGCTTCACTGCCCCTTCGACCCAGTCAACAGGATTCAACTTTGGTCAGAGTCAAAGCTTCCCAGGTGGGACTTCGACTCCTAGTCAGCCTGCTCAGGCTGATTCTGCACCCTTTTCATTTGGTGGTGGTGGTGGTGGTGGTGGTGGTGGCCAACCTAATTTCAGCTTTTCTGGGTTTGGCACTTCCTCGTCTGCTCCTGCCAGCAACCCTTTTGCTACCAATTCTTTTGGGGCTGATAACTCTGCTCCTTCCCAGCCAGCCCAAACCCCTGGGTTCTCATTTGGCGGTTTTGGAGACAACAAATCTACTTCCCAATCTCAACCTCCTCCTTTCTCGTTCGGTGGTCAGCAGACTGCGGGCGCATCGACTGGCCTTAATCTGTTTGGACAATCTGCTACGAATAACGGTAGCGCAAATCCTGCTGCAGACTCAATGCAAATGTCGCCAGATGCCAAACCCAAAGGCCCTACTTCCACCTCCGCGTCCTCTTTCCAAAGTCGAAACATTTTCGGAGATTCTGCGGCTCCTAATTTGTTTTCACCCAAGCCAACCCCTGCATCCACGGCTTCCAATCCATTTGGAAACTTGACTGCCTCGGCAAACGCCGACAAGCCATCTAGTGATAAGCCCGAGGGCTTTGCGGCAAAACCTGCCTTCGCGTCCCAGGCGCCAGTGGCATCAGCACCTGCCCAGCCATTTGGTTCTCTCTTCGGATCATCATCACCTGCGACTACCGCCACTTCAGAACTCGACAAAAGTGCTTCCACTGCCTTCTCATTTTCCCCAGCTACTTCGAAGCCGGCCGAATCAGAGAAAGTGAACGCATCCCAGGAGTCGACGCAGTCTAAGCCATTTGGGTCCCTTTTCGGCGCAACTTCAGCTTTCCCCTCTGCTTCGCAGCCTGAAAAAGTGAACGGAACCTCTTCTGCGCCTACGAACATGTTTTCAGCAAAACCTGCAGAGCAAAGTCCATTCAATCCATTTGCCCCTAAGCAGGCCTCAGAACAAGACACTGCGTCCCCGAAACCTTCATCTTCTCTATTTGGATCATCTTCTCCTGCATCTCAAGCAACTCCCAGCGTCTTTGCACCCAAGCCATCTACTGAACAGGCTCCACAGAGTAGTCTGTTTACTCCCAAACCACCTGTCAGCGAGCCTACTGCAACCAACCAGAACGTTTTCGCAGGATTGTCTGCTTTCAAGCCAGCTGCTGAACAGGCCACTTCCAACAACCTATTCGCGCCAAAATCGACTACAAGTGAGCCCCCAACCGCTTCCGCGCAGCCCGTCTTCAACATGCTTGGGCAGAAGCCAGCCGCTGAACCGGCTTCTACCAAGTCTTCCGGCCCTCAACCCTCCAAATCAGTCTTTGGGACTCCTTCGGAAACACCCAAAGTTTCTGAAACATCGCAGACCTTTGGGAACTTGACATCCTCAAACCCTGCGGCCGGGAACCTATTTTCGCCAAAGCCAGCTACAAAGCCGGCCTCAAAGACTCCTGTCGAACCGTCCTCTAGCAACCCATTCTCTGGCCTGTCGGCAAACACCCCTACGTCTATAGCGTCCACGCCGAAACCACCCCAGCCTGAGCCTAAGCCGTCACAAAATTTCCCAGACGCTTCTGCAATTCCAGTTCCTGACTTCGGAGGGGATATCAGCGAGGAGTTGAGGGATCAGGCTGAATTATTGTGGAAGCTCCGCTCGTTGGATGTTGCCTTCAAGCAGAAGCTTCTTGAGTTTGAGCCTGGCGAGTACTTGTTTGATGACCTTCTCATATTTTACTTGAAGGCTCGTGCCTCAATGGGTTTCCCAGTCAAGTCACGAAAGCCCAAGTCGGATACCAAGGAACAGACCCCCCGACAGAAGAAGCCCTCTGAAAAATTCGTGGACACCAATGGCACAAGCGGCTCAGCTACCTCCAACATTTTTGCCAAGTCATTTTCCTCCCCATCCTCTTCTCCGGCTAAGGAGAATGCTGTCTCTACATCTCCACAAAAGGTGGACAGTGCCTCCTCATTGAACATTTTCGGCAACTCCGCCTCTACCAGTGCTTCTCCGACTACTAATGGCATTTCTAAGGCTCCTGCCCTAACAGGAAACATGTTTGCCAAGTCACAGGCTACAATCCCTTCGGATTCCTCATCCAGCCCTGCGGCTCCAAAGGCGACAGGCAATATCTTCGCTAGCCCACAAACTTCGAAAGCACCAGCGTCTGCGCCACCCGCAGTTCCGAAATTCGGCAATGGGGCAGCTGGCGGTGGTGACTTTATGTCACAATTTGCCAAGAAGGTTGAACAAAGTGCAGCCGAGGAGAAGGCCAAGCGCAAGGCTGAAGATTTTGATTCTGATGAAGATGACGAAGCTGAGTGGGAACGTCGCGACGCTGCTGAACAAGAGAAGAAGCGCGCCAAGCTCCAGACTTCGGTTACCAAGAAGGCTGTCTGGGTTGAAGGGGAGGGATTCAAAATGGTGGATGTCACTGACGAAGCCGCACCAAGTCCTACAGAGAAATCCCCTGTGGCCGCACCATCGCCTGCCCCGTCATCTTCGGCGTCGATCTTTGAATCAACTAATCGTCCCCTCTCCAATTCAGAGAATATTTTTGGTCGTCTTTCTGCAACACCCCAGCCCACAGATGATGACGCATCTGATGATGAGGCCAAGCCTACTTCTCCCAAACGTGGAGCTGAAGATGATGACGGAGATTCGAGCGACTTCGCTGCTGCCGTGCGGAAGTCAAAGCGAGCCAAACCAAGTGAGACCGAAACGACGAAGTCCAGTTTAGATACACCTATTCCAGCCCCAACGGCTGAGGCAAGTAAGAGTCTCTTTGCTCGCGTCGAATCACCCGCCCCTTCGCAAGACTCCTCTGCAACGCCTAAGGCAAACCCATTCGCCTCACTTGGGACCAGCTCGCCATTTGGCGCCGCATCAGCGCCTGCTCCAACCTCGACACTGTTTGGCGCCACAGATAACACATGGAAGCCTAACTCACCCATCAAGTTTTCTGGGGTCTCAACACCTGCTTCCACCAGTGCCCCAACCCCCTCTGGTGGTGAAACTTCAGGGAATGTCACTGAGTCCAATGACGATGATGCTGCCCCTGGAGCAGTCTTCAACCTGGCTGAGGATGCAGGTGGAGAGCCTGGTGAAGAGTCTGTCTACAAATGTCGCGCCCGTGCTTTCATGCTCACCAAGGATAAAGGCTGGGCGTCCCAGGGCACTGGATACGCAAATCTCCTTGTCAATCAGAGCGGACGTGCGCGAATTATTATTCGTTCGGATCCTAGCGGATCTATCATTCTTAATACCCTCCTGAAGAAGGACATCGAATACGAGCGAACTGCGAAAGCAAGTATTCAGTTCTTCGTCCTCAAGGCCGATGGACCCATTGAACAATGGGCCATCCGTGTGAAGGCAGATATAATGCAAGCCTTCCACGACAAGATCCAAGAGATCAAAAACTAGACTGGTTTATTGTGTGAATTGAAATAAAATCCATGATGGAGAGGTGAAGGTGAGGGACGTTGCGCCCAATCTATCTCTGTCCTCATATGTTTGTACGATATCATCTCCGGAGTTTTTCTGCTTTTCTGTTTGCCTTCGTTCCCAAGATTTCCAATTTTTTGTCGCCATTTGCATCTGGCGAAAGTGTTGCATTTTCGATCTCAGGTTTTTATTTTCTCACCTACTTTTCTCTCTTCATCATTTACATTTTGCAATTGTACTTTAGCCCCAAGTTCTTATCAATGGGCATTTCAATCGAGGTGTCCGATTGCAACGACCTTAGGTGTGGAATCTGGCCAGGTCATAGCCCAACAAAATATTACTAAAATTTTGTTCTAATTGCATCTTGCATCTTGTACCTCTAAATACGATAACTTCATCGTCAGGTAACTGCTGAGAGCTACAACAGCTTTATAACTCATGTTTTACAAAGAATCAAGATGTGAAAAGAAGTGGATCACAATGGTATTTTTGTTTTGAAAAAGCCCCGACCGAACCCCAAGTGAAACATGGAATCATAGAAGCGAAGATGACGAACAGGTAAAACGCATTTACTCGTCAACGGTCGCGGTGTGCAGACCCTTGGGGTTCTTGACGTTGACAGCCTGGACGTGAGAGTACAGACGGTGCTCGGCACCCTCCTCATCGTTACGCTTGCGGGAGATGCGAACACGGAGACGGAAAGGCACACCCTTGATACCGGCCTCCCAGACCTTCTTGTTGAGCTGGGGGTCAACACGGACGTCCTTGGTGCCCTAAAAGAAAACGCAGAAAGCAACTAATCAGCAACCCACTCTTTGCGCAAGATCAAGACCCGGGTGTGGGAAGTCTTCAATGGAGGGGGGAAAAAACTTACCATAGCCTGCTCGGCGAAAGCACGGATCTCCTTGATGGCCTTAGGAGCACGCTTCTTGAAGCTAACGCCGTGGCACTAAATTCCGCAAAGAAGTTATAATTAGTCTTCCGCCCGAATGCCATCTGAGAGATCAAGCTCTGCAAAGTTCTGTATCGGCCATAGAGGTGGACTTCATCAAACTAATTCTTCTTTTGGTTTTTTCTTCTGGATTCCATTCCGAAGGAACGGCTGTCAATGCGAATGTATTTCAATTCGCAAATCAAGTAAGTCACGAGGACCAGTCAGTTCTGCAGTTTCCCACAGATCCTTTCCTTTTCAAGGGAATGTCATGGTGTCTGCGCCGGGTGAATGAAGAAATTATTCCTTCTTTATTCTTTCGAATGAAAAAAAAAAGTGATTCAAAATTCATCCGACCAGTGCAAAACCGCCATGCGAAAAAACCCTCTAGGCCTCGAAGAATCTACTGCGCATCGTTTTCAGAAGCGCAAATGTTCTCTGTCCACATCCAGTTGTGCCTCCACAGATCGTTCACAGATTTGTCGTCGAAGGTGTAAGGTAACGGGTTCGGGTTCAACATACTCTCTTGTGCAGGTTGATGGTGTACTCGCGGGACACCACGTCGGCAATGGCCGAACGCTGCTTCTTTCCGGTCTCCTGGACGTTGGACATCTCTGCAGGAGTGTTAATAACGTTTGAAAATAGAGCAAGTATGTAGGGGAGACTGACTGTATGGGGTCGGCGACTGTGGGCGTGAAGTGGTCGATGAGTGGAAATTCACGATTTGTGGCCGCGGATGAGTGTGGCTCGCTTAGGCTGTGGGGGTTCTGTGATTGGTAGAAGGTCACATGATATCCACCGATGTTACTTGGTGCCGTAAACTTCAGGTGTCTGATCACGTGAAGGAGAGTTGCTAATTGCACCACAAAAATGGCTAACGCCACCACGATAAACCATTTTGGGAATTCTGCCGTATTTGTATTATCAGCCGGTATTAAGGCGGTGTAATTAAAATGGGCGGTCAGGCGAGGCGGTGGACGTGCCGACACACAATAACACACCAAACTACATTAAAAAAGACGTCTATTGCGGAGCGCCCGGATATCTCTATTATCTAATGATAATTGATTATATTTGAGCTAGCTATTATTTAATGATATATGTTTATTGATCTAGAAGCGTTTTTAAAAATGAGTTAAAATGGTGTTGTTGTGGTAAATCAAATTAGGGGTAAAAATATGTAAAGTTACTACGTAAAAGTAAATAGTTAGTAGGGAAATGGCGGGGCGCGGCAAGGTGTGGTGAGCATGTGACTTGCCGTTTACGGAAAGGCGGAGAGAAGCTGATTGGCCAGAAGAGGCCTATATTATCTCAGGAATGTGAATTATTATTACTACTGTTACTATATTAATATTATAAGCAACAACAATATTTTAAACATCTATTTTAATACCTTCCCTGGCTAAAATAACTTCTCCTTTTAGAGTATTGTTATTTCTTATTTCCTCTACTACCCCTGAAAATTTGAAGCTATTTATTTATTATTATGTCGCTGGAATCTACTGAATCTCTCGTGTCTAGTCCTAGGTTATTAACTACCCCTCCTCCTACGTTCTGCGATGATTTTCTCAACACTGTCGATACAATTTATGACGAGGAAGCTTAATTTCTTGAGGAAGTATCGGTTAATACCTCCTTAGACGTTGTGCCAAGTTTCCCTTTATTTCAGCTGCTTCCGCCCTGGAAACTCGAGTATTCTTCACTAGACGAAGCTCAAATGGAGATGAATTGATTCGCAGCTACCCAAGGCTATGCAGTTGTTTCAAAACGTTTGAATTCCTATAGCGGGGTACAATTTAAGGCTATTTATTAATGTTGGCGAGGTGGTGAATATCGTGACCGCCGGACTATAGGTGTTGATACAAAAAAACGCAGAAGAGGCCGTACAAAAAAGTGTAACTGTCTATTTGAGGTTATTCTTTGTCGAGATGGGGATATATGGCTACTAGGAATTTAAAATGGTAGCCATAACTATATATCATTACCTGCTATTAATATTCCCTATCTTCGCTAAATGGTAGTAAAAAAAAGAGCTTCGGATATTCAATAGGCGATCCAGGATGGGGTTTGGCCTCGCTAGATTATAGATCGGCTTAGGAATGAAGGCGAATATATTATTGCAAAGAATATCTATAATATTAAGATGGATCTTAATAAAAAATGACTTGGTGGCTGCTCATCTATTTAAACACTTCTCCAAGATCTCCTAAATTCAGGGAATTGGTGTATTTACTATAGATCTGATGACGACTATATTTTGCTTGCTTTATTCGCCATCCACCGGACTTCTATTGGGTTTTTATGTCTTTTTCCTTATATTCTTTGGATGGATACAATATTTAAAACTAATAAGTTCAAAATACCGTTGCTTGATATTACTGGAATGACATCAATAAACTAGATATTCTCTGTTGGCTTCTGCTTTATATCAGACTCTACTACCGACTTATTTTGCTGGGTATTGTAGCAATTACAATCGGTATTAGCGGTAGAATCAATTCCTGAGCCATTGATTGTATTTATAGACAAAGAGCTTGTAATTCTCTGTGTAATTCCAATGGTTTTTATACTTAACTATATACTCTACCTATGGTATATTAATAAGTGTCTCCTTACCTATACACGTACACCAATCCGGCAGTATCTTGAATGGGAAATCAAAGAAGCTGCAAAAAAACAGGAAATATTGCCTTTGAAAAATAGATGTCTACGGCAAGAAAAGCTTTTTCGATGGGGCAAAATGAAGTAGCTCTGGCATGAAGTTGTTACTGCTTTAACCCCTTAAGATTTTGAGTAAAAATGGAGGGAATTCTAGCAAACTTACTGCTATGAGATCTTTGCTAAGCTACTTTGTTATATCTAGAAGGAATGGCTTAGTCCTCAATATGCAAAGATGTTCTTATATCATTATATACGGCAATATCTTCATTTAGGTGAGGTTGCAATATCTCGGAATGAATCTGTATATTGGGCATTTAAACGTGATCAATAGGTAATTCTCCTATTATTACTTTATAATTCTTTACTAATTTAAGATAGGGAACCTTAACTTCTCTTTTTGGAGCCTTTGATATCTTTGAACGGATAATTAAACGTTAATATATAGATATTTAATATCAGTTACACGATCAGACACTTAGACAACTTATAGGTTATCAATCCTATATATTTTTACTACTAAATCTTATACAGAGAGTCTTACTTAAAGCCATTCGCCGTCTGGAGAAAGAAATCAACACATATCTACCTATCTATACCGAAAAACCTTAAATTCCTATCTCCTGTGTATGTGGCAAAGGCAGGGGTATTCTATACATCCATCAAATTATTCTATATTATAACGAGAAAAAGCTACTTCCTCTTGATCTCTTCTATTTATAGTGGTATCTTCAGGAGGCTGATTCACCACAGTTTCATCCAGCTCTTCTTCGTATATAGGAGCCAAGAATGCAGGATGATCGGAGGGTATGGATATTGTGAGGATCGTATATAGTATCACAGGCCTCGGGGGCCCGGTAAGCTACCCGAGGCCTAGAGGGATCACAGGGGCGGATCCTAAGTTTATGGGAGCAGCTAGATGCCGTTGAAGATACTGTAGATCGTGAGTTTTATAAGCAATAGTCACAACAAGGCTTACAATAGCCACCAACTCAGCAATCTCAGAGGAGGCCGCCAACATGTGGAAATTGCGGCGTGGAGGGGCATAAAAGGCCTAGGTGTCCGCAGATCAACAGATTTGCTAGTTAATTCGGCTGAAAATGCATTTGCCGGTGTTTTTAAAATCAGCCTCTGTTTCCTCTTTGGGTTAGCTTGGAATGAGTCAACTTGCTAGCATAATAAATGTCGTTGAAGCATTAATAAAATGGATGCATTTTATATGGAGATTTTATGTGTGTGTTTGATTCCGGACCGTACTCATGCTGCCGGCAGAATTATAGATGCCTTGGTGCCTTATGGTTTTACAAATACGGCGGTGAGCTTATCATGGTGGCGTTAGCCATTTTTGTGGTGCAATTAGCAACTCTCCACGTGAAGCCTCCATGCCTTGTTTATCGGGCGAATAACATGTTACTGTTTGTGCTACTCGCTGTCTGCCATCTACATAAAACATCTACACAACCTCGAAACAATACGACATGAACAGCCACTCTCTACCTCGTTTAATTCATTGGTATCTCTATCTATATCATCTGTCTGTTCTGTTCTCTCTCCACCTATCCTGAAGAACTACATTCATTGCGATCCCTCCCCACTCACATCAGGATATACGTCAAATCGTCGCTGGGTATAGATAGGAATGCTCTTCCGAATATTCACAATGGTATCGTTATCCAAATCAGAATAAAGGATAGTCTCCTTTTCCTCCGCCTCGGTCAAAACCTTAGCACTGGGATCAATAATCAAGCTATGACCGTAGGCATGGTATGATGCATCCAAATCCCGCGAAGGACTACACAACGCCACGTAAGACTGATTATCCACTGCACGAGCACGGCCAAGCAACGACCAATGAAGAGGACCCGTAGTTGTATTGAACGCGCCGGGGTAAACGAGCAAGAAAGCGCCCTTACGAGCAGCGATCATAGCAGCCTCCGGGAACCGAATATCGTAGCAAATAGCCAGACCAATCTTTCCGTATTCAGGAAGATCAATCACAGTCAGTTCATTGCCCGGCGATAAAACATCGCTCTCCTTAAAGGCGATTTTACCGGGGATATCGATATCGAAAAGGTGTGTTTTCCGGTGCGAACCGATCAATGAGCCAGTCGGCGAGAACACCAGAGAGGTATTGTAATATTTCTTCGTAGACGGTTCGAGCTCAGGAATACTACCGCCGATCAGGTAAGCGTTGGCCTCGGCGGCGATGGCCGAGAGAGCGTGGAAGGAGGGGGATTGTTCCTTGGTTGGCGGGGAGGGATGAAGGGTCTCGGCGTATTTGGGGAAGAAATTGGTGCCGTAGGGAGAGTTGAAGCACTCTGGAAGTACGATCAGACGTGCGCCAGCCTGCGCGGCCTCGAGGACTTTGCTGCGAGCATGGCTCAGGTTGACGGTCTTGTCCGCGCCTAGACAGGGTTAATTGCGGGGAATGGGAGGAGTTAGTTGAAGATAGGGGTGGATTTACCAGAGGCAAGTTGGACCAGGGCCAGCTTCAAGGGCTTTTTTAAAAAGGCAGCCATTTTGTTCTTCAAGTTTGGGTGGGGTATACTAGATGGAGGAGGAGGAGGAGGAGGTAGGGAGGAAGTTATCCATAAAGTTCTTGGGGAAACGATCGGAGTCGGGAGCCGAACTTGGCGTGCGGGGAGAAGTTGCATTGCCGATAGAATACATTGAGGGCCATGATCATTCTCCAGGGCTCTATTGATGAATATACTATATGTATAAGATGCATTTTCAAGTCTAATTCACTGGATATGTACGTAAATTCAACCTTGGAAGCTTCCAAGGTTTTTGATCTGGTTTCTGAGCTTGATTAGGATCAGCTTGTGTACTATCTCCCCAGATATATATAGATCTATACTTCTAGCATACGACTCCCATTATTTTCACCTATACTCCCCATTTCAAGCTTCAATCTTCAATTACCAGCCAATAGAACAGTATCTCAGATGTTCGAAATTAATCAAAGACCAGAAAAGCACGACTTTCTCCAATATAATCACGTATAACCCACGGTACTACTATGTCATCACGATTGCGGGTAAAGCAAACGTGACTCTCAGTGACCCACCACGCGTCCACACTCAGCATCACCACACCACACAACTTCAAGTTCAAGTTGAACCTCCACACCTGATGTCCAGGGACTTGGGATTGTCCAAAACCCATGGCATCATATCGCAAATCCCCAAAAATGGATCGGCCCCATGGATCCTCGCTCATCCCGCCCCACTGAAGTTAAAAAAAGATGAGACCGAGGAAGTTTGCGCGTTACTTGCGCAGTCTTACCTGTCATACACAGAGAAATCCCGCCATCACTCAAGAATCTCACCAGGCACCCAGCAATAGAAGCCATGAATCCACCTTATAATACCCGAGACGCTCCCGAGCGGACAAGAAAGTCTCACACCTATCCGCGCAATCTGGATCGCCGACGCCGTCAACCAAGGCGCAAGCGGGATTCTCAACGAACAACACCTAGGAAACGACAGTGAGTAAACACCCAAGAATAAAAAACACAGGTCATTAACCATAAACTCATCAGCCTCCTGGTTCGACTATGGCCGCGACACAATTCACATGATATCGCAATTCCGATCCGAAATGCCCAGACCAATAATAGGCATTAGCCACAGCGCAGGCGCAGTCCAACTGTTTATCCAACTCCATACAAAACACCAAAAACCAAAATTAACAATACCTAACAATCAGAATCTTCGCCTCACTATACAACAAACGTCTCTTCCACTTCCTCATCCTCATAGAACCATTCATAATCGAAGGTCCCGCCAAAGGCGGCGGCCTTATGCCCCTCGAAACAGCCACAAAAAAGCCCGACACATGGCTCACCCGCGACGAAGCGATTGAAAAATCCCCCCACCTCCGATCATGGGATAAACGCACACTGCAGCGCTGGAAAGAATACGGATACAGAACTCTTCCATGCACAAGTTTCCCCTCCGATACAGATGGAGTAACAACCACAACAACGAAGCACCAAGAAACAATGACGTATACATCCATCCATCCATCCCCGAAAACCATCTGTCGTACAATTTCCCGGTGAAGAGTACCCAACGGAGCAGGAAGGGACGAATCCAGAGCGACAGATACATCGAATAGAGTCTGTGGCTGCATCTAAGCTTGTTGCGCATTTACGACCGAATACACTTTTTGTTAGTGGGGCAAAGAGTCCGTTATAAAAGGCTGGGACACATATTAGGGCAGCACAGAAGACAGGGACGGGGTTTGGAGGGAGTGGAAGTGGAGCTGCACATGCTGTTCTTGAGAAGGCGGGGCGTTCTGCACCGTTGGAGAAGGTTGGGGATACGGCTGAAGCTATGGGGGTTGGATTGCACAGGAAGTGGCAGAACGGAAAGAAGAGGAAGCTCGGATTCAAAAAGAATGGGGAGATCTTTCTGTGAAGGAGAAGTTGACGTTAACTTTGGAATGGTATGAGACGTTGGAGAAGGCCAAGAAAGAACATGGTAAGGCCAAACTGTAGCTGAATTACAAAGAGCTAGTTGTGATGTAGATACACTGGCGCACATTAGAGCTTAATGCATACGAACTTTTGTACTGGACGACTGGTGCCTTCGACATAACTCATGGTAGATCATCAATTCATGAAATCAACATTGATATGAGTGTATTAACAGTTTGAGCAGAGCATTCTTATCAGCCCTTGTAACAAATGAAAATGGATATAGTCCATACCCCCAGAATTGAGACGCACAGGCAGCTCATGTGCGCTTATTTACCAAACGCCAATGTCTGATACCCTGGCGGGGTTACAAAATTTGTATGTTCAAGCAGTATTATCCGAAGATTAATATACCCGGCTTGACAACCCGAAGGACGCAGAAGATAGTCGACACTTGACTGTCGAGAAGATTCTGCTCTCGTATTCCGCAAAAAGCTTTCATATTTCCTAGCCACCAGACATCTAGCTGCTTCGTCGCCCGAATGGTTCGAAAGGCAAGACAGCAGACACAATGGCCATGATGATGTATAAACAAGCACATATGTAAATAGGCACCGGTGTACTAGTCTGCTCAAATAAAAATGTTGTTAGCATACGTCGATTATTAAGGCCAAAAGAAATTGTCTTACATTAGCCGCTTCACCCACAACAGCACTGACAATACCCATTATTCGGTTGAGACCAATGGCCACACCATTACCTGTACCTCGGTGGGCCGATGGAAAAACCTCAGGGGTATAAGCATACAGAGTACCATAGTAGATATTCAAACAGAAAGAGATAGCGCATGTGAACCCGACATTTTGGCTCGCAGTGCGGACTTGCGTATAACAGAAGAAGAAAACCATGGTAACAAGCGCACCAATGATCATCGTTCCTCGACGACCCCAAAACCAGGGCGAGCGACACATGAAGCCAGCCAGAACGGGTCCAAAGATTCCACAGGTATTATTGATTGCATAGTTGCGCCATGTTATGTATTGGCTTGTTTGGCCGAAGCTTGCGCCACGGGATGCAAGGTACGTCGGCAAGAATACATTGTATAGAGGATATGCGAGGCCAATCAGAAGCCACGAGAACCACACCAGGGAGGTAGACAATCTCATTTTGCGTGTCGCGTAAAGGCCCTTGAAGTGGTATCCCACTTCGCGAGGGGAGATCAGTCGCTGGGACAGACCGGTTGCGTCTGCATTGCGCTTAGTCGTGGTTCCACACGCTTGGAGACGCTCTAGAGTGAGACTGCATGGACGATTGTGCTTTTTGGCGATATTGCTGAGTACCCGCAGGGCCTCGTCGTCTTTACCCTCTGAAAGAAGGAATTTGGGTGTTTCCTCCAGACGAATTATGGTGATACGTAAGATGGACAATAGAAACACAAAGGCGCCAGAAGTGTACCACACGTAGCGCCAGCCTTTGTTGTTGTCATAAGTACAATTGGATGCATCAGGGCATGAATAATTTGGGAGAAAAGCCCAAGCAAAGAGACCGGCTATAAGTTGACCAAGGCCTAGAGAATTGAACAGATGGATGTTAGTATTGATTTTGCCTTTATACAATAGTAATAGTCATATCAATCAGAGTAAAAAGAGATCTTCTTACCCCACCAGGCTGCCATTAAAGTCAACAACCACTGGTTCTTGCTCGGGAGGTACTCCAGAAAGACTGTAGTATCAAGTACCAAATTTCCACCCGCACCAAATGCACTGAGGCAGATGAAAAGAGCGAGCACGATCCAATTGGGCGAGGCACCTGCCACGACCGTGAAAATGGACGAGACAAACAGGGATACATTAAAGGCAAAGCGACGGCCAATGATATCCGCTGAGAAACCCCAAAAGATGGCACCGACCAACATTCCCACGTAGACCGCGATTGTCAAGCCTGTTGAATAGCTCGGGTGGAACTCATATCGAGCCTGAGTCGAGATAATTGACTGGATCAAAAGAATCAAGGAATCGACTGCATATCCGAAGCCGTTGAGACAGAAGAGTTTCCAATGGGTTGGAGTAAACCCGATCTCGTCTATGGCCTGTTGAGCGAGTAAAGAGTATTTCTTAGCGTTTTGAAATCCCCAAATCTAATGAGAGTGAAGCAGGAAGAACGAAGGACTCACGTCGTTGACTAGCACCATCTTGGCTGCCAGCACTTGGTCCACATTCTCTCCTCCCAGAAGATCATTCTCGCCATGATCGATGGAGCGCTCGTCGACCAAGGAGGGATTGCTGGGAGATTTGATCTTTCCGTCAAGACTTGTCGCCGCAGTATTTCCGGCAGCAGATTCAACATCCATCATGGGAATTGCCTATCGGCTTATCGACCTATGAGGAGGAGGAGGTGATCAAAAGTGGGGAAAAGACCAGGACACAAGTCAACTGAACTTGTATATAGATGGAAATCCCGGAAGAGGAAGAAAGAAGAGAAGAGAAAGAGAGACCAGAGGAGAAAAGAGGTCCACGGACGAAAGTAGCCCCACGAGAGCCATGATGATGATGCTACGGTAGACTTAGACCATTGATTGCCCTCAGATACTTTGAAGCTACTTTAGAAGCTACTCGAGCACGGGGTCACGTTGATTGGTTGTTGTGAGGGTCTGTGGCAGGTGCCTCAACAGTCTAACCAGATCCGGTAATGATCATTGGTCAGCATGGTGCCTTCCCTGTGGAGTTCAACCAATCACATCAAGCACAGTCCCTGAAGAGAGATTAGGTCAATTGTTCCCTTCTTGCTCCCTTCTTGTTCCCTCGGCTATGTGAGTGAGTGCCCCTATTCATATTGCGTCCATCCCGCAACTATCACAGTTTTTTTTTCTTTTCTTTTTCGTTTCGCTTGTTATCTGTGCGTGTGTGCCAATAACGTGGCAATCTTGGAAGTTAGACTGCCATGCACGTCATCTTCCCCGCATACCGATCAACCGAGTAGATAAGCCTACATAGTACAATCTCGAGGTATATCTTCATTTGATCAGCTGACCTCTGCAAATATTGACTATCAGATGAATGAATTTTATATAGCGTTCGTGCTATTGGACTGCAGCAGCCCACTCTAAGACATTTTGACGTGTATTCGGGAGCTCTTTCTTAGTTTCCGTCGGAGGATCATCCTGATCAAATTCTTTCTCGACCTCCAAGACTATTCTTATTCGACTTTCGAAGCTTCCTATGTGTGATTGTACACTCAAGCATAGGCATGAGGGTATTGGTATAGTAATCCTGTCAAACATAGGACTGCATAAACCAATGTTTTGGAAAGAGGGTATTATGATATAATGCTGGTGCAGATGGGGAACTTGAATGAAGCCTCACTATTGGAATTAGCACCAAACATCTATACAGATACTCAAGTTGATTAGAAATCAACCTGACCTGAGAAAAAGCGGAAAGCAACTTATTAGTCACTAGACAGGCGACTTAGTAAGATCGAAACCACAGATTTTGATAATATTTGGTATATGCGGGTTTTGATATGTACTCAATGAATTTCCCTATGTACATACCCGGGGCCGATATAGGCGTCACTTCAACCGGACTTTTTAACATTGCGGAAACTATTAACTATTCATTTATTCTATGCTTTTTATCAAAGATTCTTGCCTTGGGCAATTTTATTTTTGAAAGCAATCTAAGGCGATACAAACCGAATTGCGAAGTTGATGAGGAGGCTGTCAGCTAGCGTGTAGAACAACATTTATATTCAAGAACTTATAGAACATTGCTAGAGATATGATTCGATACAGTAGATATATCTCTGGAGTAATTACATATCTGTGGCAACTTGAGCCTAACACGATACAATCTACATGTTCGAAGAATCGCATGCTGTTCAAGTTGCCGAGGACGATGCTGTCAATTCCCAAAATTGGGAATGAGGTACAAATAAACTTGCAGTAGCTTATCCAGGGATCTAGCAATGAGCCAGCCTGTGAGGTACTTAGTCAGTGTGGATCTATCTGTGATGCCTGTATCTTCGAGAATCCTTCGTCGATCTCTAAGTAATTTTTGTCGATCCAAATACATTATATCAACTTCTATCTACATTTGCTAGTATTATAATAAGTGATCCACATATTGCATGGGCCCAATTCGAACTTCTCTTATAGATCATTAGACTATAGACTAGGTAAAGAGGTCCCTTTGCACATTCTCCAACCTCAAGAAAACAATCAGATACAGTTGCACATTCGATGGCTATTGGCGTCGCGTTGAAACCATATCGAATTCAATTGAAAATGGCGATATACTGAGCTGCTCATAGTACCATGATCACTGTGTACATATTGAAAATCACCTCCGAAAGTCATGAGCACATCCCAATCCTTTGAGCCTATCTGAATGAGTCAGGGAAAAAGTCTCTTGCCAATCCACTTGTCTAGGCTCTACCGAACACACCAGACTTTAGTCTATGACACAACCATCGCTACAATGAACATCCACAATGAACTCCCATGATCAAACAGAAATTTTCGCCGGATCAGCCAACCAACCCCCAAACGTACGGTGTCCCTGGGTTTGATCTGATAAAAATGCCTTCCCTTAATCCCGCCTTGTCTCACTCAAGTGGAGACAAGCCGTACTTACCGGGGCTCTTCCGCGATTCAGATTTACGTAACAAATGAAACACGCGTGGACAGCGAAGTGCCCGTATTCATCGATATGGCCCGTAATTAAGAGCGACGAGAAATTTACTTGGCAGCTTGGCAAAAGCCATTCGACTCTCGCAGGGCACCTTGTAATTTACCATAAATTCATAAGTTTTCTTTCTACCATACATATACCCAAGGGTATAATACGCTACACGGAATTTTACGGAATGTGGATCTCAGCGTCGCAAGCGACAAAAAACCATTGGATTAAATAGACCTTCAAATCAGATACGAGCGCCATGACCGGCTAATGAAAATTCATTTTTTGCGAAATCTAATCAGATGATCTTATCCACGGTTGGAAATGTCATTCTGGGTATAGTGGAGAAATTGTTGCATACACATAACAGAAACAACCAATGGATGATCCTATCACGCCGCAGACTTCACCTCGCTTAGACGATCGGCCCCTCATTTCAATTTGAGCGCTGGAGTTGGCGGCCCAAGAGTCCCACTGTTGACAAAGTGCTCCATGTTACGCATCCGCCACGTGTAGGCAGCGGGAGATTATGTGGAGGTTTGTGCCCACTGGTTGGAGGTGTTGAAAATGGGAACGTTTACCGGAGAATAAAAAAGTTATCAGATCGTTTCAATCCGTGGAACGATGCCGGGATCAATCCGAGTTATAGCCGGTAGGTCCAAGCTGGATATAATGAATGTATGGTCGCATGGGGCGTATACAGTAAGCTTGTAAAGCGGATCTCATTGGGCCTCGATTTCTTCTTGGGCTACCAATGATGAAACAGAGTCGGAAATGAAATTGTTGGAGCTATTATAGATTTCGGGGATGTCCGTTCTGTGTTAAATACGGTGTATTGGGATAGCGTAACTTACGTATGGCGTAACGAGACATGCAACGGACGGTATTGAAAAGAAAGTAAATTTCGGTGGAGTCGTTGATTTTACAGAGAAATTGCACCGGCTGTATTAAATTTTTCATGTTCTTGGCTACTAAGCGATGCGTTTGTAGATTGGGAGGGTAATTGGTATGCGCCTTCAATTCTTTTTAAGCTCAATCATCGAAAAACTCCCATATATAGGGCTTAGAGAGTTGTCCTTAATTAAATTTCATGAAAGGGAGCTGGGATCAAATCTGCGATGTTCTAAGGGTTATCCCGATAAATTACTAGCGTATATTGCGCTATGTTATCGATCTGATTAGACCGATAAGACTGATAAGACCGATTAGACCGATAAGATTGTCCACATCGAGAATATTGACACCTTTTTTTGCCGCTCTTTTTTCTCCCTCATTGAATGACATGTTTCCTGTACCGAATTTCAGGTGTTTAATAAGAGGATTGAATAATGACCACCAACTATGCAATGTAGGGCGAAATATTAAATAAGTCACATAGGAGTAAGTGCTCTTGAGAAAATGTACAATAAGGTGAGGGAAGGCGGTAAAGGATCTATCCTGGGAAGCGGGGTCTCTGGGTCCCTCGGTCATGAATCCTATCCAAATGAGTGTAGTACAACCCAAACACATCACAGCTTGGAATTGATCCAATTCGGCGACCGCTTCTCCACAAAGGCCCGGATTCCTTCGGCAAAGTTCGCGCCGGCATATAATCGTGGATACCACTGCTCCGCCAAAGTGGTCACTGCATCCTCAGCACTTCCAGCCTCCCAACTTAGCCGAACACCGAGCCGACCCACAATCAGAGCATCAGGACTATTCTTGCATATTTCCGTTGCAAGCTGAAGTGCAGCTTGTGCGACATTCGTATCGACTAACTGGGTGACGAGTCCCCATTCGTAAAGTGTACGGGCAGGAACCGTTTGCCCCGTTAACACGAGATGCATGGTGCGTTGCAAACCGATAGTCCGGGTTAAGCGCGGAAGGCAACCTGCCACAGCAACGATGCCTCGTTTGACTTCTGGGAGAGAAAAGACAGCGGACTCGGCTGCGATGACCAGATCGCAATTTGCTACCATTTCGAATCCACCGCCCATGCAAATCCCGTTTACGGCGGCGATAATCGGTTTTTTTCCACTGCGTCGAGGTAGTCCGGCGAGACCAGGCGGAGACATATCATTGACTACACCTTCTTCGACCATTTTATTCCATTCTGTTTTGTAGAGTTAATATGGTGCATTGGAAACAAGGGTAATGTGGTGATGTACCTCCTAGATCGGCGCCTGTGCAGAAGGCTCGGCCATTGCCCGTAATAATTCCCACCCATAGACTTTCATCTTGATCGAAGAGCTCCCAAATCCTAGCAACCTGCGAACTTGTCTCCTTGTTGATAGAATTGAGTTTCTCTGGGCGATTTAAAGTGACCTGCACGACTCGTTCATGCGGAAAGGAGACATCGAAATGATCATAATGCAGGGGTCCGGATCTGAGCGACATGGCGGCGACAAGGTCCAGAGTTCTGGAAGCCTGGAAGGGAAGCCACGAGGGAGAGATGCTACGTGCTAGATGCTAGTCTAACAAACTTAAAGCGGGGCTTGCATTGGTATAACAATGAAACAATTCACGGAGGTTAGACGGATTGTCCGAGGGGGAAACTTAGGCTGACCTGCAGAACCTAGAGAAGCCATGGAACCCCATTACTGTGGAGAACCGAGGTGTGAAAATTCCCCAATCGTCCAAGACATGCCTGTTTCAGGCCTAGTTAAGAGAGAATAATTATCTACCGAGGAATTGTAAATTCACCTTGAATTGGCCCCGATTTCGCCCCAATCCGCCTCGGCTTTCTTTCCTGGATCCTTTTATACAACAGGTTATCCGACCAGTTGTTAATCTCGGGCAGGCAACTCATTCCTTTCTTTTCTTTTGACACATACACTCCCTTCCTTATACCTGTCATATCCTCTACATATCTCCATCATGCCTCATACTTACCCCCCCGTCAAACTTCCCCATCCCTTCCTCACCGCCTACCAAGTGCGCGTCGCCGAAGAAGGTTCTCCAGCAAAGCGTGTCTTAGCATTGGAAGAGCAACCCTCAAATGGCCGACCTCTACCTCAACCTTTACACTTGGAATCTCTCTCATGGCGCGATTTGACCTCCAGCCCGGAGGACCAGCAACCCCCCTCCAACAACAACACCGCCTGGGCCCGAGCCCGCCGCAGCCCCCAGACCACCTTCCAATGGACTGAGCAAACCCCGTCTCTAGGCCAGATCTGGGGAATCGTTCATGCAATTTACCTCGCTCATCCGACAAACGAATACTTCCGCGTGACACTAGACGGTACAGGGAAAGGCACACTTCGCAGCGAGCTACTTGCGACCGGCCTAGCCATCGAGCACCCAAAGCCATTTGGCTCAAAGGAGATAGCGCCCGAGCAAGCAGAGGAGCTGTTGATCCTCCGAAGCTCATTCTGGCAAGGTGCAGCATCACCAGCAGGCCCACGACCAATCTGGAATGTTGGTGACGGGATTGACCGACCCGCGCGCGAATCTTTGGACCGATACCCCATTCTGCCGGAGAACTACCACATCACAAACAAGTTTCCCGAGGAGCCAGTATACACGCGACACCCTATCCGACGACCCAAGCCTGCGCCTGGCTCGATTGCATACAGTCGATATATCCCCGAGGTGAACGAGCACTTTTCTCTAGAGGTTGTGAACTGGGAGGATGCAGAGCACCTGAAGCTTTTCAATACCTGGCAAAATGACCCGCGAGTGGCGAAGGGTTGGAATGAAACCGGCACATTAGATCAACATCGCGAATACCTACGCAAGCTGCACTTCGACCCTCATGTCCTGTGCTTGTTTGGACGTTTCAACGATACCCGATTCTCGTACTATGAACTTTACTGGGCTAAGGTAGGACGAACCCCGACAATCCCAACTTCCGGCCATTGCCCAATATTGTTGAAATTTAATCATCGCTAACCTTGTCTCTTCTTTCAGGAGGACCATTACGGTGCCCACTACAATGCCGGAGACTACGACCGTGGCCGTCACTCCCTCGTCGGCGATGCCTCCTTCCGCGGCGCCCAACGCGTCAACGCCTGGTACTCCAGCTGTATCCACTATTGTTTCTTAGACGACCCACGCACAGCAAATGTTGTCGGTGAGCCTCGTGCCACTGGCTCAATCATCTTATCATATGAGAATGCGCAGGGTCTCACCATCGGCTCATACGTCGATCTCGGACATAAGCGCTCTGTGCACTCCATTGCCAGTCGAGAGAAGTGGTTCCAATTGTGTCCGATCTTCTGGGATGGACGAGAGCGACCACTGGAGTCTGCGGATCGCGCCGCGTGGAATGCTAAGCTCTAGGCTGCATTTTGTGTTATGAATGTTAGATCTTATGTATAGTTATTTCGGATTTATATAAGGGCTACAAGGGTTTAAAATGTTACTTCAATGATTTTGTAATATCGAATCCGCAGTACTATCCATCATAATGCCCGGAGCCTTGTTTAGATGGACTAGCATATTCTGCTGATGACGGGTCTCTTTTCCTGCCACCGATATCGCACTTCTCGCCAAGACAGAAGTCCTAACAATGAGAAGAAATTTGACAGTGTCTATTAACTTAACTTGTCGGCCAAGGCTTTCCTTTCTCTTTAAGTGAGCAGGGTTCTCTTATGGCTTGAGTCGGTGAATCTTGCAATTACGAATAGTATCGATCAGCGAACGCGACAGAATTGTGGGCCATCACCGAGGTACCGTAAGTTTTATCTAGTTAAGGATTTCAAGCTTACAGTAATTACAATCTTGAAAATACATGAGAGAAAGATAAATACCGACAAGCTAAGCCGAACTTGTGTATAATGAAAAATGAAATTCTTTTTGAACAATCACATATGTAGAAAAGATCTACATTGGCAATGTGTTGCAGCGACCAACTATTAAGTCTATATAACATATAAATCAAATGGGGAAATAAATTAAATATTGTCTCGACTGTTAACGATTCATCCTGTTTTATATTCTACCAAAGTAGGGTATGGACAGGGTGAAAGGTTCACGGGTATAAAAGATTGGCGAAAAGGAGAAAAATAAATGGGTATATTCTTTTCCACATGCCAGAAAGATGTCAAGACTAGATGACAATCCATCTAGAAAACAATACCCTTGACCTGGGGCACAGCCTTAAGATCAATGTTACGGATCATCATCACCCAGATGAAACACAGAGCCATGAGACCGGTTCCAACAGCCAACATTCTGGTCTGGGCATAAGCATAAGCGTCCTGGATAGCAATACGAGTGGGGGTTCCCACAGCGTAGCTGAGCTGGGTATCAAGATCGTCGTAGATAAGGTCGTAGTTTGCCATAGCCGCGGTGGGCAGATACTTCTTCAAGGCATAAGAGTAGGTGTTTTGCCAGATAGCTCCGGAGATAGTAGCACCCATAGCGTCACCGACGGTACCGACAACGTTCAGCAGAGCCAAAGCAGCGGCAACGTGCTGGTGATCAACAGCAGCGAGGATAGCGAGCTGCTCACAAATGATGAACACAGCGCCACCGATGGAGATGAAGACCTGACACATGACCAGGTAGCCGACCGACTGATTAGGGCGACGGAAGTAGATCATAAGACCCTGAGCGAAGATGTAAAGGGGCACAGCAATCCAGAGGAGCCACTTAAAGCGACCGGTGCGGCGAATGAGGAAACCAACTCCAAGAAGAAGCACACCGGAGACGACATCGAAGGTGTTACCGATGTATCCGGCTTCGGCGACGGTGACATCGTTAACGACTTGCAGAAAGGAGGTGAAGAGGTTATCCCAGCAGTAGTAACAGAGCTGGTAGGTAGCGTCAAGCAAACAGGCACCAAGAACAGTGCGGTTCCAGAGGAAGCCCATAGCGAAGAGACGCTTAGGAGCAAACTTCCACTCATAGATAATGAAGACGAAGAGAAGGCAGAATCCAATAACAAGCATAGCAATGATATATCCAGTACTCCACTCGCTAGGGGCACTGCTGGCAATATCGAAGGGCAGGAAGAAGAGAACAAGACCCGCCGAGAAGAGGAAGACACCGATGGCTAGGATAAAAGACTTAGTATTCTGCAGGAAGATATTTTGTAGAAGATTTTTGACTCACCATCGAACTCAATACCGTAGAAAATGACGCTCTGGAAAAATGTACGACCACTGGGCTGCTTCACAACGTGACCAGCCTTCTCGGCCTGTCTGATGTGGTACTTCAGCATGAGGTACAATGGAGCAGCAACGAATGGAAAGACGATGGCGAAAACACCGAAGCCCCATTTCATGCCAATCTGGTCGAGGATATCCTCGGCAGTCTTGGAACCAGCGAAGGCAGTAATAATGTAAGGTGAGGAGGTGAAGGCGTATGCAAGACCTCGACTCTTAAGCATAGAGGCGTCGGCTGTGAGGACATCAACAGTGAAGGTCATGCCGCTGAATCCGAGGTTGTAAAACACCTATTAAATAGTAGATATGTCAATTTAATGATCTTTATGACAGGCGATGGAGCATGCATGAAATGACTTACGTAGGCAGCGCAGAATGTAGGCAAGTTGCTGCAAGCGGCCATCATGATCAAACCGATGGTGGCACATAAAGCCATGAAGGCGAAACCCTCGGCACGACCCCAAGTGTCCATCATTTTACCAAGAGGAATGTAACAAGCAGCGGTCACAGAGTCTGCGACAATGTAGATCACATTCAGCAAAGAGTGCAATTCCCATTCACTGGTCAGATAGGGGATCAAGTTGCCCAAAACGGAGCTTTGGAAAGCATTGATAAAGTACAGCAGCCAGATGCTAAGTAGAAAATTAGCTTCATGAAGATACACATGGAATCGAACAAAAATGCCCAATCATAAGTAGACATACTTAATGAAGAGTGCAATAAGTGCATTTCGTGACCAGGTCTGGGTAATGGCCTCCATATCAGCAACACCACGCTGAGTGTTCTCATCTGGAGCCTCGAAACGGACTCCATTTTCTTCAGTGGGAGTAGGGTTCTCGGAATCGCCCTCGCTCGACCTGTTCACGGCAGCAACATCCTTCTCCGAAGTATAGAGGTCGGACTGAGGCTCGGTCTTGGTCTCTTCCTGGGTATTGACATTGACGGTTGTAACTTGTTCAGTTGACTGTTCAGTCGAGCGACGACCGAAAGAGCTGAACACGCCCATGATTATGGATTGCACAAGGCAAAAAGAAGTTCAAAGTTGAAGATGGAGATACCAAAACAACCTCCTCCAGTGGGAAAACTCTGTCCCTTATAGCAGATCTCGCCGGGACGCTATCCACTCTTGGAACAGTTCCAACTGATTGATAAGTCCTTTCGAATCGGCTAGTTGGGAACTAAACAGCGCACCGCATGAAGCCACGCAAGCCATGAACCAAAGTGCAATATTAACCAAGACATCTCATTTGCCGAAGCACGGCGGCGAAACAGGAAAAATAGAGAGTCGATCCACCTATCCACCTGTGGCGTACGCTTCCTGACGGCCGAGACTAGCGAAAAGGTTGTGTGGTCAGACTATAGCGCACGAGCATTTTCTAGCTTGATCCCAGAGTGGGGATAAGGACATCTAAGTGGATGGACCCAAGATTTTCGAGATTTCCAAAGCTCTTCGGTAGACGCTAGATAATCCTGATGGCTGATGCTTCGTAGAATAAACTACCCACACACACCCCGGGGGCCATCAAGTCCGGGCACTGATACTCATACGATATGACGCGTATTACATACCCATAATATACCAAACATACCAAAATACAATACCGGTATCAATACAGACAACACGGTATTACGGTACACGCGGTTTTCGCGGGAAACTGCCCCTCGCTCACGTCAATGCATCGGACGTTTATTCCCCACCACACCTCTTCCGGTACCACGGGTTTGCTAGAAAAAAAAGTTGAATCATTTTTGATCGAAGCGAAAAAAGGTGGAGAATTTGATCTGATTAATTTTCATCATGGACAGTGTTGTGGACCGATGTCGGCTGAATCCGAAAGAGAGGAAGGAAAAAAAAGAATCTACCAAGAGAGCTAATACAACCCACACCGGATCAGCAAGTAGCCGGAACTTTTCTAAGACCGATGATCGCAAAAAAAAAAAGAAAAGTGGCTCTCTCAAGAATCAAATAAAAATTACTGGATTCAGGTGGATTCGACAGCTTTTTCAGGCTTAGTCCCCCCTGATTGATAAGATTTTGAGGTCGGAATTCCTTCTCGAGCTCTCTTAGCTTTAGCAACCCACTTGTTCCTTTGACAAAAAAGAAAGCCCTTAGTTTTCTCTTCACTCTTTCGAGAAAACTGATGCGTTCATACAGCTGTTGTGTCTAAATACTATCTAGCACTCAACTGCTGCCAACTATCCTCTTGACTTGGTTGCCAGCGAAAGCTGTGTTCTACCCGCAACCATGAAGGGCTTCGCAAAATTGACGGACTACTGCCGTCTTTTGGTGGCTTGTAATCCTTCAAGACGGGAGATTGGAATGCTGATAGTGGGGTTCGTCATGGCGATCGCATCTGGTGTCCCATTCCCCATCATTGGTATCATCTTTGGTAATTTGCTCGACGACTTCAACTCTGCGACCTGCGCAAACAAAGATGGCACCGCGACATCCTCCTCCGAATCTTCCGACCAGAGCTCGATCAATGGCGAGATCCTTCTCATCGTATACCTGGCCATTGCACAATTCTTCACCATCTACATCCATTTGACATGTTGGACAATGACTGGCGCGCGATTGGCGCAGCGACTCCGCGAAAGTTACCTGAAGAACTTGCTACGCCAGGAGCCATCATACTTCGACAATCTACCTCCCGGCGAGGTCGCGTCGCGTCTCAATAGTGATATCCAAACTATTCGGTCGGGCACATCTGAGAAGGTCGGAATTGTCCTGGCGGCAATCTCTTTCTTTATCACTGCCTATATCGTTGCATTCATTAAGGACTGGAAGCTTGCTTGCATGTTACTTTCCCTAATTCCGGCCTATATGTTGATGTCATTTGTGGGAAGTCACTATATTGAGAAGTATTCTGGACTCATGTCAGACCATGCTGCAACTGCCGCGTCGATTGCCTCAGAGGCCCTCTCCAACACTGTTGTGGTGCAAGCATTTGGCGCCAACACTCGCTTGGAAGAGAAGTTCTCCAACGCTTTAAAACTCTCTGAGGCTGAAGGCTTGAAAAAAGCTTTGGCAGTTGGTATTCAGTCTGGTGTGTTGTACTTCGTCGCCTACGGAGCGAATGGTTTGGCCTTTTGGCAAGGTGCGAAAGCCGTCGCAAAATCCGTGGAGACAGGCACTTCGGGCGTCACTGTCGGTGCAACTTTCACTGTAATCTTTGTTTTAATTGAGGGTAAGTTGAAATCAACACGTAAACAAATGAATGGATTTCGCTAATATCGCTCCAGCGACTTTGATGTTCAGTCAAGTCTCACCATTCCTCCACCTGTTCGTTCAAGCTGTCGCTTCGTATTCGAAAATCCGTGATGATCTAGAGCGCGTGCCCCAGATCGATGGAACTTCCGAGTCCGGCATTCGCCTTCCTCAAGCAGAAGGTGGTTTCGAATTCAAGAATGTTTCCTTCACATATCCATCTCGACCGGAAATCACTGTTCTCGACAACATCAGTCTTAGCATCCCCGCAAACAAACACACGGCACTTGTCGGTCTCTCTGGAAGCGGAAAGTCGACTATAGCTGGCCTCGTCACACGTCTCTACGACCCGAACGAGGGCCAGATCACCTTTGATGGTCATAATCTACTCGATGTGAATGTGAAGGACCTGAGAAGTCATCTCAGTTTGGTTCAACAGGAGCCTTCTCTGCTTGATCGCTCGCTCTTGGAAAACATTGCCCATGGTTTGATCAACTCGAGTAACCCCAACCATGCCCATTTGAAGGAAGTCTTCATTCGTGCCGACTTGGAAGAGCTTGCAATCTCCCTCCGAGAGGGCAAGAACCTTGCGACCGAAGCCGAGAAGTACGGAGCTGATGTTGTTGCGATCGTTGAATTGGCCCAGAAAGCCGTAGTCTTAGCCGACGCAGATGGTTTCATTTCTCGTTTGCAATATGGACTTGGCACGGTTGTTGGATCTAGTGGACGTTTGATCAGTGGTGGTCAGAAGCAACGTATCTCTCTTGCTCGGGCACTTATCAGAGACCCTGCTGTTCTCATCCTCGACGAGGCCACGGCTTCTCTAGACTCACACAGTGAACAACGCATTCAAAAAGCAATTAACAACATTGCCACCGGTCGCACTGTGATTACCATTGCCCACCGACTGTCAACTATCACCAGTGCAGACAATATCATTGTCATGCACAAGGGAGTTATTAAGGAACAGGGTAACCATGCTGAGTTAATGGCCCAGGACGGTTCATATGCCGAGCTTGTCAAGTTGCAAACTCTTAGCAGCACGCCCGACAAGGACGATGGCTCGGTCAGCGGGGAGACTATCAGCAAATCCGATCAAAGTTCCGTGACTGCTGGCGATGTCGAGAAGGCCGAGTCGTCTAACACTGCCATTGAGAATATCAAGGAAAAGCTCCCCTCAGCCGAGGAAACTGCTGTTGCCGAATCCGAAGATGAAGCAGAGGCAGAGGAAGAGGAGGACCTTCCAGCCCCTAGAAAGTCCCTGTGGGCTCTGGTGAAGGGCTATGCTCCAACCTTACGTCCTCACCTCCTCATCATTTTTCTCGCCCTGCTCGGCTCCGTTATTGTTGGCGGAGCTTTCTCTGGCGAGGCCGTTATCTTCGGAAACACTGTCGGTAGCTTGGATCCTTGCAACAGCGCAGCATATATCCGTCATCAAGGTGACTTCTACGGTTTGATGTTTTGTGTACTTGCTATCATTGAATTCTTCGCCAACGTGGTCAGCTGGACTGGTTTCGGTTGGGTGTCTGAGAAGGTTGTTTACACTGTTCGTGTCCTGTCTTTCCGATCGCTGTTTGAGCAAGATCTTCAGTGGCACCAGTCAAACGGACGTTCCCCTCCTTTGCTGCTTGGCTATATTACCCGAGATGGTAACGCACTAGCGGGCTTGAGTGGTTCTATCATCGGTACCTTGTTCTCCATCACAGTCAACCTTTTCGCAGCTATCATCTTGACTCACATCATTGCCTGGAAAATTGCTCTGGTTTGTCTTGCTCTCGTACCGCTACTTCTAGGAGCTGGCTTCATGGAGCTTTTGATTCTCGGTCGCTTCGAAGAAAGACACGAGAACGCATACGCTCAATCGGTTGATATTGGTGTCGAAGCTATCTCTAACATCAAGACAATCGCCTCCCTCTCCCTCGAAGACCAGACTTTGAAAACCTACCGCAAGTCTCTTCGGGGCCCTAGAAAGGAAACACTCAGTGTGACATTACAAGCAAGTGCCTGGCAATCAACCACCTACTTCCTCGGTAACTGCGTCAACGCCCTAGCATACTGGTGGGGCGCCAAGCAGATTCTTAACGGCACCTACACTCAGACCCAGTTCCTTATTGTCGTCTTCTCACTTCTTGTCAGTGCTCTCTTGTGGAGTCAAATGTTCGCACTCGCACCGGAGCTCTCACAGGCCCGAGCAGCCATGGCTAGAATCCTGGACTTGATCGAACAGGGCTCGGATAAGATGCGCGGTCGTGTTCCCACCCATGCACCGAACCTTGCCCCATCCGAAGGAGACGTTGAGTCATTTGAGCCAAAGTCTATCCAGTCCGATAACAAGGCCTCCAGCGTTCAACTCCGGGATGTCCATTTCGCATACCCCGCTCGACCAGACATGAAGGTCTTGAACGGCTTGTCTGTTGACATCCAGCCAGGACAATTCTGCGCGCTTGTCGGCCCCAGTGGTGCTGGTAAATCGACGATCATCTCTCTCGCAGAGCGCCTCTACGTTCCTGAGTCTGGATCGATTCTCATCGATGGTATGGACGTGACAAAGACCCGCGACCCCTCCTTCCGTGAAAACATGTCCTTGGTTCCACAGGAGAGCGTTATGTTCGAAGGCACAGTTGAGTTCAATATTGGCCTTGGTGCCAAGCCTAGACAGGAAGCTTCTATGGAAGACATTGTCGAAGCTTGCAAACTCGCCAATATCCACGAAACAATCATGGCCCTTCCTAATGGATACAAGACTATGTGTGGCCCTAACGGTAATCAGTTCTCTGGTGGTCAAAAGCAAAGATTGTCCATTGCTCGAGCATTGGTTCGCAAACCTAAGCTTCTGATTCTGGACGAGTCGACCAGTGCTTTAGATGCTGAGTCTGAGAAGCTTCTTCAGGATGGCCTCGCGAAGGCTGCAAAGGGCATCACTGTTATTGCGATTGCGCACCGTCTTCACACAATCCGAAAGGCTGACGTCATCTTCTTGATTGACGGTGGCAAGTGCACTGATCGTGGATCTCATGAAGAGCTCCTCGAGAGATCAGAGAGTTATCGTGCCAATGTCATGCACCAGACAGTGGCTACCTAATCCCCATAAGTGGAAAAAAATCCTTATTGTTGTAAATCTGCATTTTAATACCTGTGCCAATGTTGCCCGTTTGGGGCAGCTTGGACATCGTCGCTTTCGCATCTGTACATAGCGTTGCTTCCACCTTTCTTTATCTCTATTACTACTACCTAGTATATATCTCATTTAGACCGATTCAAATTTCATTATCTCTTCAACTAAGTATGTCTATACTGTGACATTCCCTGAACTGGACCACATAGTAATTGAAAAGAAGTTTCACTTTAAAGAACTGATGTAATTGATTATCATGTTTGCTGTATAATAATGAACACTAGTATAGCGACACATTCAGCCAAATTCAACTTTTACCGAAGTAATAGTGCCTGCCTACTACAACCTGGACATAACGTCTTAGAAAGAATAACCACTTCAATGCTCAATCAAGACATTATACTTCTTTATCTATAGAAGATCGCGAATATATGCTACTACCGAATACGGCGATAGAAATTAGAATGTGTGTTTAACCAAATGATATTATAAGACAAGAGACGAAAAAAAAAGAGATAGGTACAATGAATCACTATTTCCAGCTCTGCACCTCTATCTAGAATACTTCAGCATCAAGTAAAGCTTCTTCCTTCTGAGAGCTCAGCTCCTGCACAGTGGCAGCCAACTCACTCAGCGCTCCGTCAACAAATTCCGCATCGCGCTCACTGCCAACAAGACCAACATGCATGGCACCTTCCTTGACATATGAAACAACCTTCACCGGCTTTGGAGAATCCCCATGGGGATTCAAAATATCCACCCTGCAACTTCCACCAGCAAAAGGCATAGTATCAAAATCATCCCAGTCCTGATGATGGACAAGAGAGTCATAAAAGAGACCTTCCTCCCATTGGGCACATTGACGAGCGATGTTCTCAAACCCGAGGAAGTCATATGCTGCTGACTCTGCGCTTTGCTTCTGCACAAATTGCAGCAAGTCCATTGCTGTCCAATGCGACTCAAAGAGAACCCGGATCGGAGTAAGCTGGTAGCATGGACCGACGATGTTTTCCACGTTTGGTAGGTCAATCGTTCGGCCTGACGTGACTCCCCCAAAGGTAATATCGCTCTTACGAAGGCGACGGGCTAGAAACAATGCCCAAGCCGCAGTAAGCAAGTTGGCAGTTGTGATGAACGGCAGTGGCTGAGAGTTCTCGATGACCTTTGTCTTGAAGATACCACGGTCGGTAGGCTGCGTAGTAGGCCCTTCAAGAACGGAAAGAGAGGAACCGTCAAGGAGGTTGCTCCAGTAGTTGATGGCCGTCTTTTGAACCTGACCATCGGAGATGCGGCCAATGTAAGTGGCGAATGGTTCATGGGGAGCAATTTGGCCTCCGGCGTAGAAGGTCTCAAGGTCTTGAAGAACTCTTGGGAGAGAAACGCCATCGTATTGTGCGTGAGACAGACCCAAGGCAAGACACTCGCGGTTGTTTCGGCCCTCGACGTGAATGATCTGGAGGAAGGAAGAGCCGAGCTTGGAGTCTAACTCTGCGTGAACGGAACAGATATCTTTCACTGATTGTTCAAGGTCATCATCGGCTAAGTGCTTGGTTAGGGGCATTTCCATATCTTCAAGCACCACTTGGTAGAACTTGGATTCGTGCTCCACAAAGACGGTCCTTAGGATTTGATGGGCTTTAATAATTTCATCGCAGGCATGGAAAAGCTTCTCTCGGTCAATTCCATCATCGAAGAAAAGCATAGTGTATTGAATGGCGGTGCGAGGTGCATTCAGAGTAGCCTTGATATCCACGACCTGGGGATCGGTCACTGGGGCGATATCTTGAATGGACCAGTTGCTATTGGCAAGTTTAGATCGAACAACGCCAGCGTTGATGTTTGACTGTCCCAACGAAGAGAAAGGCTTGTAGGGCTTGAAGTTCTGTTGATTAGCTTGATCAAGTTTCAAAACGCGTGCTGCATCTCCAAGTCGCATGTGCTGGAAAATATCTGCAACGGTCAATCCGTGACCCTGGGCGCGGAGACCTGAGACCAATTTCATTGCCAAAACAGAGTCACCACCAAGACGGAAGAAGTTGTCGTCTAAATCGATCTTCTCTGGTTCAACACGAAGAATTGTAGCCCACGCATTTCTGAGAATGGTTTCCTTCGGCGTCAGGTTCGCTTGGGCAAACGTTTTGATCCAGGCCCCTTCAAATCCGTCACGCAGTTCTTGGAGAACGGAAGCAGGAATAGTCGAGGCAAGTTTGTTCAGCAGCATTTGGTAGTCACCGAGGTGTGTCTCTTCAGGTAGTTCCTCAACAACCACGTAGGCTGAGGGTGCCATATATGAAGGAAGTGAGTCGCGGATGAATTTATCAAGCTTCTTTAGCCCCAGAGCCAGACTTGTAGGTACCGCTGTACAAGTTGTGACTTTGAAACCCTTAGATCCGAGTTCATGCTTCTCACGCAAAATTTCAACGGTCTTCTCCTTGGAAGCTCTTGGCTGTAAGAAGACGATCAACTCCGATTGCTTATCTTGCTTGGTATCGGCTGGTGAAGCCTGAACGACCGCAGTGGCAGCCCGAACAGTAGGCGAAAGATATGTCGCAAAATGCGTTTCCAGCTCAGTAATATTCACAGCATGTCCCTGAGAAGGAAGAATATTTTCTTTGCGACCGACAAATACCAGACTACCATCCTCTTGCTGTCGGACAATATCTCCAGTGGGCTGGACTTTACCGGACCGGCCAGCAGATTCCGTGCTTCCTTCAACAAGCCATTGTGGAGAGTCAATAGTCTCGCCTGACAGGACGTTGCCTTCGAGCCATAGCTCTCCAACACATCCGATAGGGGTTAAAAGTGATGGGTTTCGACCATCGACTACCCAAGGAACTACGACACTAGGATAAGTTGACCCAGGCTTAGTGTTTGCATTTGCTCGGAACTTGTTCGTGGACTGGTCGAGTGAGAGTGGAGGAGTCACATTCCACTTCCAAATTTGGTTAAGTTCGGCACTAGGAATGCAAGAAAGACTTTCGAGTTTTCTCGAGATGTTCCTTGTCAACTGGAAACAGGCTGTCTCCATCTGAGCAAGTACTCGCTCCATCTGTGGGGTCTTGATGAGAGTGCTATCGAAATTGGCGCGAATTCTGAAGCCACCCTTGCGGATTCCACAACCAATCATCAGAGGGTAAGGATTAAAGTGAAGTGCCTCTTGAACGACATCACCAACAGCAAAGCCCAGCTCGCTGACAGCGGCAGAGTCCGGCTCTGGCTGAATGACTAGGCCAGTGGGGGCTTCACACGCATGTTGAGCGTCACGGCTGACCTTTCGAATGTTTTGCATACCCAGGTGTTGATAAGGGCTGCGAGATAACACGCCCTGCTGGACAGCCTGAAGGAAAGACTCAATAGTCGTCTGGCGGTTTACGCGAATCCGAACTGGCACGGTCGCAATCAACGGCCCAACAATGCCCTCAACCCCGGGAAGGGCAATATCACGACCCGTGAGAGTCTCACCAAATACGACATCGTCACTTCCTGAGTACTGGGAGGAAACAATAGCCCATGCGCCACGAATCAATGTGGCCAATGTGAAGGGATACCCAGCGGGTGTGGAGACTGAAATAGAATGCTCAACATTCCCATCAGGGAATGGGACAAAATCTCTCGAAGGAAGACGAGGAAACTGCGGTCCAACCGCGTTCTTCAATTCTCGTCGCCAGAATTCATCCATGGCGACCTCATCAGTGTCCTTGACCCATTTGACAAACTCTTTCATCTGGGTAGTGACCTCCACAGACTGACCCTTCAAGGCATCGCTGACCTGTTTGAGAATGACCGGCTCAGACCATCCATCGTAAACAACGTGGTGAATTGTCCAGACCATGTAGTTTTTACCATTGTCCTCAACAATGGCATATCGTGCCAGACGGTCGCCAAGCTGCATTCTGTCGTTTCTGTCGTTCTCAAGATACTTCTCAAGATTGTCAGAATCTCTCCAGTAGATGGTGTCTTGAAGTACAACTTGTTGAAGACCAGGTTCTTGGAGTTGGGCAAGACGAGTGCGCAGGATAGGGCTATTGGTGACCACATTCTCCCAGGCCTTCTTCCATGTGATAAGGTCAACACTCGAAGGGATAGCAGCAACACGCTGGGCAACGTATGGCTTGACTGATTTCAATGAGAAAGTAAACAGTGACTCTTGAGTAGGGGTGCAAGGGTAGATGTCTTCAATGGCGGTCTTCTTGAATCCGTAGACCTGAGAAGCCTCAGAGCAAGCACTCTCAGCGGACTCAGAAATCATTGCAAATGCGGGCGTCTCAGTTTGAACTCCAGTATCGTCACCCAATGGCTTAATGACATCAGCCATGGCGGAAAGGGATGGGTTCCCAAACATGTCAATGACAGAAAGATCCAGACTCTGGGACCGACATACGGAGACCAGCTTCATCGCTGCCACAGAGTCACCACCTAAAGCAAAGAAATTGTCATTGAGCTTTATACCATCGGCGTCGAGCTTCAATGTCTGAGCCCAAATTCCACGCAGGCGCTTCTCGAGGTCAGTCAACTCCCTATTGGCATCAGGAGCATTATCTGTGTCCAACTCTCGCAAGTCGATAGAGGCACCGAAGGCTCGGAGCTGCTTGCGGTCAGTCTTGCCAGAGATCAAGACTGGAATGGCATTAACTGGAATATAAGCTGTAGGGACCATATATCGTGGCACAACCTTGCCCAATTCTTTGCTGATAGTGGGAAGAATAGCACGCAAGTCATCAGATGGCTCAGCGGAGCTCACACTAGTTCCACCTTGTTCTTGCATGGATGCAGTGGTAACAAATGCGATGAGGGTTGCTTGACCACCGGTCCCCTGTGGCACAATCACCTCGGCAATGACATTGGAATCTGAAGGTAAAAGAGCACGAAGTTGACTCTCGATCTCACCAAGTTCAACGCGCTGACCACGCAGCTTTACTTGAGTGTCCTTTCTTCCTGCAAATACAATGCCGCCAGACCCATCAGGGTCGTATCGTCCAAGATCACCCGTCTTATAAAGACGACCACTGCGACCCGCATAATTCCTGTGGCCAGCCACAAGCCATGAAGGATCGTTAATGAAAACACTAGCGGTCTTTTCGGGGTCGTTCAGATAACCCTGTCCGACAATAGGACCCTCGACAAGTAATTCACCAACGGCGCCGATAGGCGTGAGTTTTTCGTGGTCATTTGGATCGACGATCCACATAGCGGCACCATTACCAGGACCAATGGAGAGGTAGTCTCTTCCAGTAGCAGCGCTACTGTTGATAGTGCATCCAATGGTGCACTCACAAGGACCATAGCCGATAATGATTCGGGCATCCTGACCCCAGATGTTCGCATCTCTGGCTGGTACTGCTTCTCCTCCAAGACCCAGACCATTTGTGAGTGACTTGATCACATCAGGATCCAAAATACGGGCCACGGAAGGCGTCATGCCGGCGTAGTTGATGTTGAACTTTCGGATCACATCGTTGATATCGTTGAGTCGATCCTCATCGGATGGAATACACAGACATCCACCTTGGGTCAGTGTGCAAAGCATGCTATCAATGCTAACGTCAAAGGCGTAGGACGCAAAATCTAGAACCCGGGAATCCTCCTTGTACCCAACGGCTTCTGATCGAGGAAGAAGACTGCTGGTGTAGCTTTCGTGGGAAATAGTGACACCCTTTGGAGTTCCAGTACTCCCAGATGTGAAGATAATGTACATCAAAGTTTGTGGGGGGACTGTAGGAAGCTTCTCAATGCCATCAGATGTGGAAACTTCGGCGAATGCGCTCTCCTCCACAACAAAGATCTTGTCGCTGGGCATAATTTGTGTCGAAAAGTCGAATTGAGATCGGGATGAAACCATTGCCTTTGCACCCACCTGTGTCGCCATATTCTGAAGTCGGGCAAGCGGCAAAGTGGGATCCATCAAAGCAAAAGTTGCACCCACCTTCATCACAGCTAGGACGGCGATGACTGTCCATCTAGACTTTTCGAAGCACACGGGCAAGACATCATTAAGCTTGACGCCCATCTCCTTGAGCTTCCATGCCACATGTGAAGACCATTGATCAATTTGACCATAAGTCAACTCGCCATCCCACGAGTCTATGGCAACTTTGTTTGGCATTTTCGTGGCTCGTTCAGAGAACAATTCATGCGAACCAAAGCTATGGGTTGGAGGAAGCTCATGGTTAATGCGCCAAATCTCGTTAAAGTCGCAGTCGGTTGGCTTCAAGCCCTCCGCGATGGATACATTGGGATTTAAGATATACGACTTGATAGTGTCGGCCAATTGCTCCACATGGTGAGTGATGGTATATTGTAACTGGTTCTCTGTACTCCAAATTGATCGAATACTCATTTGACCATCTTGGAAGAGTACTTCTAAATGGATTGCACCCTGTATTTTGTGCAGTCAGTGTCTGTAATTGGAGTTTCAATAAATTCAAGACATATGTCCACTCACTTCCTCGTTGACTTCAGCGTCTTTCGTTAATGAGCCAGTACTCAAAAGGAGCGAAACGGGACTAGAAACATCTGCAAGCTCGGCTGGCTTCGATGTCTTGACATGCTCAATAATAGCTCTTGCCACCTCTTCGGTGCTGCTTTCCAGTCCAGCCACCAGTTTCTCGGTGGGCAGCTCATGGCTGGTCAAATTATTAGAGCCGTTTTTGTAGGCCCATTCATAGCGCGGCAATGTACCTTCGCGCGTACGCATGAGAACAAGAAGCCACGCCAGAAGCACGACTTCCTCTTTCATGCCTGTGAGTGTCGAGGCATCAACAGCCGTAAGGTCGGCAACTTGATACGATCGGAATCCATCTAAGTCTACTGGTTGCAGCTGATCGTGGGGATCATTCTCCTGTATGAATCCCATGTTGGCGGCCCGCTTCTCTCTTTGGACATCCAGGAGTGGATTGAAGGAGGAGAGACGTCGAACCTCGGCCGTTGATCGTTGCGTAATTCCTATCGGACTGAAAGGGTATAGTGTATCATATATAAACAGCTTGCATTTGGTTAATCGTGCATGCGAAACAACCGCGGGGCAGAAGACAATAGAAGAAAATGTTCCGTACTCTGTGCAGTTACTTCATAAAGAGCGAGATCGGCGAACTCCACTGTAAATTCCACACTTTGGGTCTAGCCGAGGGGTCAACTTGCAGGTGAAGAAAAGCAAGAAAAAAAAATCAGTAAAAAGCAAAGAATATATAAAAGTTAAGACCCAAAAAATACGCTAATTTCTGACCTGCTTTACTTATAAATTCAACGTTGAATTAAATTCCCCCTCTCGTGGTTACCAGCAGAAAAAAACATCGTCACTTTCCCACTATGCCGAGCCCGCGGTGAAGAAAAAAATTATCAGATCCGCTTGATGGTGGATCAATCTTATCCGATTGGCGTATTTAATAATATGTACGCCGTATCTGATTCAAAACGTACCAGTACAAATACCCGAAAATACAGTTCAGATGGTTTGGTCTATGCACACACCCTGGCGCGCCATCCGCGAAGTTGGCTTTTCTTGGCTCGTATATTTTCTCCACCACTATATCAGTCCACTCATTGCTTGCTCGTCTATTTGTCTAAATTGGGTCAATGTTGTACTTCGGAGTGCTTCGGCATGCCATGATATTCTTAAGACTAGAAATTCCTTCGAGATCTCAGAAAATGGGTAGGCGCATGATGCGCATGTAAGGAGAGTAGTGAGAGGCAAGCCGGAAATGTGTAGCAGTTGGGATTAAACATGTGGTCCCATTCTCCAACTCCATCGGACGCACCACTACGCTAGTTATTGTGTCGGGAAGTCCCGATTGACCCGAACAGAGACAGGACGCTGTCCGAAAGTTCTCAAACTTGTCCATTTTCGGGTATGATCGCTGAACAAGTGACTGAGATCTACATCAGCACCGATGAAACATGAAACCATCTTTTAAACGAGGTCTTCTGATGCATGTCTGGTAGCTCCATGCTTCTCTGTATCAATATGCAGCTGCATGATGGGGTTGCAGCTTGTGGGCTTCGACCCTGACTTGGAATACTGCTCCGTCCGAGCCCGAAAAGAGAGCGCGCTCCGTGCGAGAACTGCTGAAATATTCTCCGAATTTTCCACCAGAAATGAATTTAATTCTTGTCAATTGCCCTTTCGGTCAGTTAGTACCTGCCAAGTAAAACAGGTGTGCTCTTGCTGACATAGGGAGTAGACCCACTGTGTCTTGCCCAGCTACCCTGAAAATACTGTATACAACGTTGTATACGCTGGTACAAGACGTCGGGAATGCAGACCGTTTTTCCAATACGCACAGTCTCGTACAAGGTATTACCAAAGAACTCGAAACACGCAATACCGTTAAATACAACCCGTTACGTCCGTTACCACCTTGGAAGCTGCATAAGTTCATCGATGCAGAAATCTTGCTTGCGCCTTCATGTGACTCCATAAATACTCCATATATTTTGATTATGTCCACCGTATATACGGAGTACTCCGTACCAGCCACCGATTATGAAGAATCGCCAAGTCGTGGATAGGTTTCAGCTCGGCAGCACGAAATGAGAACCCGAATGAGATCACTTATGAAGTGGGTCACTCGTATAGGGGTTAGGGCATATTCGCACGTTGCGATGCCGACGGAACCCGGGCACACATACCCACGATAGCCACCATAGCCCGGTCTCGGAAATTAGTTTGATCTGATAACGGGAAGCTTGCATGAACCCCGCGGTGAGCATACAAAATTGCGGTGTCAGGATTGTTCCCAGTTCCTTGCTTCTATCGAACACCAGCTTCACACTTGCTTCACACCCAAGACAATTTAATTGAGGACATCCACAACAACCGATTTGTTTATCTCATCATTATTCCCCACGTAACACATACTACAAGATGTATTCTAAGTTCTGGCCAAAAGGAGGTCTCCCCGGGAGATTGCATCATTACGTTCGTCTCTACCCCATAACCCCTCAATGGCATATACCTTGCAACTAACAATTTTTACCCATTCAGACCGAATCCCTAGTAACATTCGAGTATACTACCGCCGCTGCCCGCAAACCACACAGTCTCGTCTTCGTCGGTGGACTAGGCGATGGCCTCGCAACAACATCCTACATGGCCGATCTCGCCAAAGCTCTCAACCCAACAGAGTGGTCTCTCTTCACCCTGAACCTCACATCCTCCTACCAGTCTTGGGGTCTTGGCCACTTAGACCGCGACACAAACGAAATCGCGCAATGCATCCGCTACATCAAGGATTACAAGACGGAGACGTTCGGCGAAGGCAAAATCGTCATGATGGGCCACTCAACCGGCAGCCAATGCGTCTTGCACTACCTCCATCGTCCGAACCCACACACCACAGCGCCAGCCTTCGATTCGGGGCTAGAGCACACAGACCGCCTACCTCTCGACGGAGCCATCATGCAAGCACCCGTTTCCGACCGGGAAGCGGTGCAGCTTTGTATCGAACACGGGTTCGGAAAGAACAGCCCGAGCCAGATGAGGGAGATCTGCGATAAGATGGAGAGTATTGCAAGGGAAGCTGTTGAAGGTGGTGGTTCATATGACACCATGCTGCCTCTTGAGCTAACCTCTGCTATTTACCCATCCAATACGCCTATTAGCTGTCGCCGGTTTCTGAGTCTATACAGTCCAGAGAGCCCCCATATTCCCGGAGAAGATGATTTATTCAGTGCAGACCTGAGTGAAGATCAGCTTGCGTCTACATTTGGATTGATTCAGAAACAGGGATTGTTGAAACATAAGCTTATGGTCTTATATTCCGGTGCTGACCAGGCTATTCCTGACTGGGTTGATAAGGAGAAGAACCTCGCCAGATGGCAGAAGGCTACAAACCATGGGGAGAAGTTTGAGATCTGGGACGATAAGCATAGTGCCATCATTCCAAATGCTTCACATGCTTTGAGTAATGATGACCAGGCTGAGCCTAGGAAGTTCCTAGTCGAGAAGGTCATGGGGTACCTTGGAGAGGCAGTGGCCAAATGAGGAATTCGATAAGAATCAATTTTCGCATATAACAGTATGGAGTTGGATTGGCATGGACTTCGGGATTCATGGCCAGTGTTTAACATCTATGATTCCCAAGTCAAAGATCAATAGCGAGTCTTTATTGTATCAGCGTTTCGAATAATTTCGGGTTCAAGCAATTTATAAAGAGAAATGAAATAACAGCATTCAAAAAATTCGTCGATCTTAAATAGAGTGTATCCAAATGGATCTGTCATAATAGCAAAAGAGATATCTAGCTAGCAGCCAGTACAGCGACCGACCAAGCAGGTATAGTAAAAGTGAAAGTGCCATTAGAGCTCTTGAGATCAGAATGGACGGGCACGACAGGGGTACCGTCTGGCGTATTTGCAGCGTTCGGATCATCATCACCGACAACAGTAAGTTTTGCAGTTGTCAGTCCATCAATCGTAACACTCAAGTCTTGAGTGTCACTACCATAATTGGCCAGTTTGACATAGTACTTCGAGTCGCTTCCACTAGATGCGACCCAGTAAACAGGCCCAAAGGCGGAGTCACTGCTCACTTCCTTGACAGTATCGCCTAGATTCACCGAAAACATTTGCTGCACGTAGTAGCTTGTGGTTTCAATGACGTCGTCGGGGCTCTGGGTGAATGGAATCAAGTTCGGCTAAAAGCGTTATCAGTATTTGTGTCAAACATTATATCGCTCACCATCTCAAGTTAAAACATACCGTCCACTGTGTCGAGTTGACGAGTTGCAAAAGAGGCGCGTAGGAAGCCATTTTGATCAGGTCACTGTTACGCTCCATACCGATCATGAAAATGGCCTCTCCCACAGAGCCCTGCATAATTGGATAGTCGACGTTGTTTTGCGCATACTCTCCGACGAGGTAGGAAACGTTTCGGTCAATATTATCAAAATAGTCGAACTGATTGACAAGCCCATCTGGTGTGTTGTAGTCATGGTAATCGACCATAGCCCCGGTCGGCATGGTAGTCGGAAGACAAGAGACTTCATTGGTACTGGCAATCAAGATCAAATGGGGATACTTGGCGTGAATAGCATCATAGAACGCCGTGAACCTTTCGGCGTAGGTAGCACATCCACCCCCTAGGTGGTCTTCATTGCCAATTTCAACCATGGTGACGTTCCATGGGTCGGTACGCCCATTGGCTGCTCGCATTGATCCATATGTTGTGCTTGAGCCACCTAGGACATACTAGAAGAATGAGCTATCTGTTGAAGACAGTTGAATGTTCAAATGGACTTACCTCGAGCTCATTCAGAGCATCATTCACATAAGGAGTCAAGTCATCTCCAGTCACAGGGGTACCAGCGCCAGACTCCAAGGCAAATCCATCCCAGATAGCCAACAAAGGTGCGAGACCCATATCTTCGCACCAGTAAAAATACTCGTCGAGGCCTATGAAAGTGTCAGCGTATCGTTTACTCGCTGGGTGTTTGTATGTCGGAACACTTACCAAGGCCGTCTGTGTTGTAATAGCCCCAAGTACCTGGAATTTGATCGAGCGTTAGTTCAAATAGTGAAACGACCTATGAGCATACATTCTTACCCCAACGACCAGGACGATCTTGAACTGGGCCAATAGTCTCGTTCCACTTCCAGCGATTGTCAAGATACTCACCCTCGCTTGAGCATAGCCAATATTAGCAATGCTTGGAAACCAAAACCTACTATATTAGACAAACAACTTACATATTATTGCCACCGGGGAATCGCAGGAAAGATGCCCCTACGGCTTCCAGCACATCAGCGATGCGAGGTTGTAGTCCGTTGTATCTGTAGATAACAGCCTAAGGTCAGCTTCATGCAGTAAAATGTGAGGAATGCTATAGCAGGAAAGCCAGAGATTCCAAGACAAACTATACCCGAAACATACCTTTTCTTGTAAGTTGTAGGGAATAACTGAACAAGACCGAAGTAAAGTGAACTGCCCGCCACCTCTGAGCCATCCAAAGACAATTGAAAATAGACATCTCCATCAGGAGCCTTCGATGTTGACAAAGAAGCATCAACATACGTGAATTTGTCACTGGTAGAAGTAATAGGAATCGAAATTGATCCATAAACTGTATCAGTACCATTGCCGACCAGACTCGCGGTGATATTGCCTGACAAATCACCCTTGATCCAAAAGTAAGTCTGGTGCTCGCTACCATCTACTGGAATTCCCCAGTACCCGGCGTTAGTCACGCCTACAGTCCCGGTGGTATCTTTGGCAACATCTAGACGCAGAGTGTGGGGAATCGCAGTGGTAAGAGGATTGTCATAGTCAATGGCAATTGTAGAATCGCCAACAGAGCCCCATGCAGTAAGGTTTGGCGTAGTGCTTTGCAGCCCATTATTTTGGAGCATTTGGCCGTATATACCCCCATCGCCAGAATGATTGATGTCCTAGATTGGAGATTGTTAGTGTTTATATCCAGCCGAAAGAGCGCCAGTCAACTTACTTCAAACATGAAGCCATACATCAGAGGACTGGAGGCATTTCCTCCATTTTTATTGACCTGAAGCGAAACGCCTTGCGCTGTTTGGAAAAGCGCACAAAATGTGGAAAGGGCGCCGAGGCCGGCTTTCAGAGTAAAGAAATTCCTGGAAGACATCTTATTATGATTGAGGCAGCTCTCGACTTTGCGAAGTCCATTTTGAAGAACCTGCGATTCTTATAGTAAACCTTGTGGGTGGGTGATTTAACCGACACTAGGCATTCCCCTGAGTTGCAATCAATTTCCCTGGTGTCGAATATTGCTTTTTACCGAGAATGCATGCGTATCGCATTCTCCATGGAGAAGCCAAGGGCCCTCCGCCCATGCAATTTAGCAGAAGTGGGTGATGTCTTGGGACTTGTCCATCGCTTCCTCACGCACCTCTTACATCCAGACATGTCGCACTTGGCACGCTGATCTTCAACTCAGCGGGGACTATTAAAGAACGAAATAAAGAGACAGTGGAGCGGAATGAAATGGGGTGGGAGTATATTTAGCTCTCTCGTTGGCTCTATGATTGTGAATGGGTCTCTCGGTCAAACCTCGGTGGATCATCCCCGACTGTAGTTGTATCCGAAGGCGGGGAAATGGACTGAAGAAGTGGCTTTCGGGCGACCCCAGCTTAATGATTATTGTGAGAGCCAGTGAAATATCCAGGGATGTCAGTCGAGATGGAGCCGGAAATGTGTCGCTCATTATTCCACAATTTTCTATCAGGATGAAAATGAATACCATCAAAGTATAAGCGTGGTTCCTGTCGGGTTCGGCCTTGGTTGCGATTGACGGAGCATCGCAAAAAGGCGACCATACCTATTTGCGCGATAAAAGTGCAGATCAACACCAAAGTTTTGTTCGGTTGCAAGTCTGGCAAAAACCCGGCGGAACAGGCTCTTTGGTCGCATAGTCACTGTAAAACAGCCCATTGTGATCCTTCATGGAATAATTGCATGTCGGATGATCCCGCTCACACTATCAAATCAATGACAGTGCTCTCTATAAATTGCAAATCCTCGGCATAGATCAGGCTGTACCCAATGAAGGAATATCACCTTCAGGTTCTCTTTGTCTTGGCCATATTGGGTTATGTGCTACACATCGAAATGATGTCATTTGGCACACTGGCTTTTAGGGAACGAACAAGTTCCGAGAGAGGAATCCAATCTAGTGTGCCTCGTGTGGACCTTAGCGTGTGTCCACTGTATAGTACTCGGACATATAGTTTGGACGCAGTGGTTTTCCTATTAGTATAATCAGGGACATTTGCGACGCAAATATTGTTTGGTAATTAGGAAAATGTGTCAACTTACCAGACTTCAAAAGCAATGTTGGAGCCCATCCCAGGCCACCGCAACTGCTGAATATTCAAGGCACCAAGAATTGGTCCCAAATCACCATCATGCAAGAAATTGTGTGTATATGCACGTTCAAGCTTCCTTCCCTCGATAGCTTCCAATCGTGAAACTATCTCTTGGAGGAAAAGACCTTCTGTTAATTGGATGTATTGAGAAGCATTTTGATTACGATGCCACCAGTAATTCCACTCCCAATCTCCAGCCCGAAAGACAGCATATGCATCTTCTTCGGTAGCACAGTTCAAGGGATCGTTTCTACTGCATGGTAAGCGGTAGCCATTGCACATACGAGCCTGGAAGTTATCAGAGAAATGATCGAAAGTAGTCATCCAATCGGTTTTGTTCGCATCAAACAGAGCGGCGAGTCGGTCGCGCAAGGCCTGTGTTGCGAGAATATGTTCGTTCCATTCCTCTTTACTCTGGATTTTTGACAGCAAGCGACTGCGCGATGGGCAAGGAAACCCCTGGTCCACAGTATCAATATTTGATGCTTGTTGATGCAGTGGAAGCGGCCCATCATAATTAGGCCAGATACCTCTCAGGACAGCCCCGGCAGACGCATGTGTTAGGGGTGATCCACTAGCTCGAAACCAGACAGCTTTGGTGTCTGGAGATGAGGGAAGCAATCCCAACTGCTCGCCGTACACTGCCCATAGGTCCCTTCCATGCCGGTATCCATCCAAGACTCCCCCAAGAGTGAGCTGTGGATATTGGCATGATCCACTGACGGAGCGAGAGGCAAATGGGTTTGCAGGATCAGTATAGGTTTCGGAGTACATAGATATCGATTCCAGGGAAGAATTCACTGTAGAAGATACTGTTATGACATGAATGTTATCGCAATTATATTCTTGATCCTGTTTTTTTATTAGCCATGAGATCACGCAAGACGGTTAAGAGGATCATTTCACCTCTCCCCCAGGTAAGATATTGTAAGGGGTGCGACGTTGATGTCTTTGCACGTATTCTAAGTAAATCAAACGCGCCTCGACGGAGCCATTCTGGACAGGCGAAGGAGGTTGATAGTTGTCAGCGGTGGGATGAGGCATTGTGCAATAATTATAAGATCCGTTAATTACGGTCGTTTCACGATCTGTCGAGGCAGTGAAGACACCACCGTAGGTGCCATATTTCGAGTTTGTAATGTATGACATTGAATCTAGAGGAGGGTAGAAAGACGCGTCGGAAGACACGCTCGCAACTGACTCTCCCACCACAACCAAGGAAAAAGCCATAGAGAGGATCTTACTCGGGTCGACCAAGGCCGCCCATATGAGTGAGAAATTCATGATCGGCAGTCCCAACGTTTGTTGGATAGAAGTGACATTGTGGTTGAATCGTGTAAAGGGGGATGCGGATGACATCAGCAGCGGGAAGTTGCGCATGACGCGACAGAGAGAGACATAGTATTTGTTAGCGATAGACTATAAGGACTTGTGCTCGTTTATTGACTTTTTGGCAAAGAATAGTTGAAGCTTATTTATCCTAATAATTGCTCCCGAGAGATGATTTCTTAAAGCTGATAGTTGTTTGTACGGGCGCTTACTATATAGAAAGGCCTACCTGCAATAAAAAAAGGCAATGAGTGTAGTATAAGCATGTTTTTCCCAGAATTAAGTCATTCCTTGAAGGTTTTGATATATTAATATAAATCTCTTCAAGTTTGTGTGTAGTTTAAGTGGTAACTTCAAATGTGAAAGTCAAAATTATCTTATGCATAGACTATATGTAGTAGTGGAGATATAGTAACCCCTACTGGCTGCGATGAGTATCAATATTGGAAGTTACGTTCTAAGTTTTAGACAGAAGGAAATCTACTTCAGGTACTCTCGCGTTGGAGACCTTTTGCGTGGATAGTTATTGATAACAGTGGGGCTCTTGCGATGTACATCAATCGCCGGAGACGAACCCAACCGCTGGCTGAATCTACATGCAATGAGTGGAAGGAATCTTAAATCCGGTATAAAGTTACCAGGATGACCGGCACATTTCCTCTTTTGCCGTTGAAGAATCTGCACAAGTCCGCTTTGGGCGCTATAGCACAGACCAGTGAACGCCAGGAACAGCCCAAATCCACCAGTCGGTGTTCTGCTTCACCTGGGTTTCAGCCCATGCGCCATCATCCCCACAACGCCTTAAGCTGCCAAATACTCATAAGATCAACCCCACATGCTATTTATCCTTATCCACTCTTTCATCATGTTCGAAAGGACTCCTTGCGGAAAGGGAAGTAAGCCGCGCTGTATCATCTTTATGGCACTATTTCCACAAATGAGCCATGCTCCGACGATGGCGTGTTGAAACCAAAGGAATAAATAGAGGCCACTTTCTTTCGTTCTTTTAACTTGAGATTCGCTCAACACTTTCGAACTCGTCTGTTAGGATTACACCATGTTTTCCCGATACTTGGGACTGCCGGCTTTGCTGTTCGCAGCATTAGCTCACGGATATGCAAATCCGATTGGTTGTTCGGGCGAATGTGTTGTTTATGACCCTACGGTCATTCGGAGATCTTCTGATGGAAAGTATTTTCGGTTTTCCACTGGAAATGAGATTTCCTATGTCACCGCATCTAGTCTCGAGGGACCATGGACAGCTGTTGGGTCTGTTCTCCCAGATGGCTCATCAATTGACCTTGCTGGAAATACTGATCTCTGGGTGAGTTTCACTTCCCGTAAGATAAAAAGATGGCATGGAAGAAAAGTCTCGCTGTGGACCCTTTTAAAGTGTCCCAAAGCCTGTCTGACTCCATTGCGGATCCTGTTGAGCTGACCTTGTTTCATTTCCAGGCCCCTGACGTTCATTATATCGACGATCTTTACTACGTCTATTATGCAGTCTCAACCTTTGGCTCGCAGTCTTCGGCCATAGGCTTGGCTACATCGGCGACTATGGAGCTGGGCACATGGACCGACCACGGCTCTGTTGGAATCGCTTCCTCCTCCTCGAAGATCTACAATGCGATTGACCCAAGCTTGATTGAAGTCGATGGGACCTACTACATGCAGTTTGGATCGTTTTGGGATGACATATACCAAGTGGAAATGAATTCTGCAGCAACTAAAACAAGTGGATCTGCCTCCTACAATATTGCCTATTATCCGGATGGCACTCATCCCGAGGAAGGATCCTACATGTATCAGTATGGGGATTACTATTATCTGTTCTACTCATGGGGAATCTGCTGCGATTACAGTGACGCCCTGCCTGCTTCAGGACAAGAGTATCATATCAAGGTCTGCCGCTCAACATCAGCGACCGGGAATTTTGTAAGTTTCTGCAAAGTCACATTACCCAACCATAAGACGCTTGTCTTAATAATAAAAAATAGGTCGACCAAGATGGCACAGCGTGCACTGATGGGGGTGGTACTATTGTGCTGGAGAGCCATGGAAATGTTTATGGACCCGGTGGACAGTATGTTATACCCAAGGCCTTCGGACGACTTTCCTATACTATGAGCCATGCTAACCATTCCCAGGGGAGTTTACGATGACCCAACTTATGGAACGGTGCTTTACTACGCCTACACAGACATTACCATCGGCTATGCGGATGATCAGAAGCAGTTTGGCTTCAATGTCATTGACTGGTCTACTGGATGGCCAGTGGTTTAAATGGCTACATAGTCCTCGACATACGGTCATCAAGGCTTTGATAATATTGTCGAGACCAACATTTCATGCCAAGCAATATACTTCCATTTGCGTCATTTTTATGTACATTTTGCAGGACCCAATAGTTGAACATTATTTCTCAATCCACTTTATCCCGGTGCGGATACTCCATGCACAATCACGGGAAAGGCTTTCAGGGTCCTCCGTTATAATCAACCAACACATTGATAGAAAAAATATCGGCGATCACTTGAAGGGGGAAAGCTATATTGGTGAAAATTAAGTCTTGGCCTGGTAGCCATATGCAAGAGCCTCGCCTAGCGATTCCGTTCACATCTTAGTCCCGCCAAGGTAACGCCGCGATGGCGCAGTCATCGTGATTAGGCAATTTCTACCGATTGCTGACAGAACAACCCATTGGTTTCATCTTGAGAATACTATCGCAGTATACATCGCCAAGATTTATCAGGTTGTCAGACGGAAGGTCACATTGGCTACCATGCTCGTATTCAGCCCCCTAGTGATTAGAATCGCTTTAGAAGGCTGACTTGGCTATTTGTCTCATTTTCGAAGTCACTTTCTCTTTTCACATCTTTCCATATCAGACTGTGAATAACGAGAGTCCTAAAAATGGTATGAGAACTATGTGTTTGGCCGATAAACCTGAGCCGCGGATCTAACATCCGTAAACAGGATGGGGAGCAATATGAATTTCCCTTCCTGCAAGAAGTGTATACACCGCAAGAAGAATCTAAAGTCGAGTACGTTGAGCCCTACCAGCCGAGAGATGCAGTGAACAGATCCTGAATACTGATTACTTCTTCACCTAGCTTCGTCTTCGTTCACGGATTAAATCCTCGCGGTCGGAATGATCATCCCTTCGAGACATGGACACATGCGAACCGCACATTCTGGCCGAGGGATTTTCTGGCGGACGATATGCCCTTTGCCAGGGTCTTTGTTTACGGATATAATTCAAACATCACAAACCCGCAGACAATGTCCACAGCGAGCATAAAAGATCATGCGAATACTCTCTTGAACTTATTAGACATGGAGAGAGGACCATCCATGGTAACACCTTCTCCCAGAATATACTAGTATCGAAGTAGGCTAACATTTTTGGAAGCAATCTATGCCACCAAAGATTATTTTCATCGGACACAGTCTTGGTGGCTTGGTTATAAAGCAGGTGAGTTGAGCATTCAAATAAGCATTTCTTCTTCTTCTTTGCGATCGCTTACAAAATCCGATTCTCATCAAAGGCTCTACTGAATGCGAAAGAAGACCCCAAGTATGGTTCAATTCGTACGGCCACCTCAGGACTTGTTTTCTTCGGTACTCCACACCGAGGCGCAAAAGCAGTTGAACTTGGGAAAATTGCAGCCCGAGTTGCTCGTTTTGTTTCAAAAGGACACGCTAGCAACGACCTACTCGATTGTTTGGAGCACAACTCTCTATTCACTCGACAGATGTCCGACAGATTTCGACACCAGCTGGAAGACTACCGGGTCGTCAGCTTTATTGAAGGAAAGGAAGTTCAAATCGGGGGCGTCGGCCCAGCATCTATTAGCCATGTGAGTAAGAGCGAGCAAAAATAAAGGAGAAAGAATTTCAATCTTAACAGCACAAAATAGTTGGTTGTAGACGAAGAGTCGGCTGTTCTTGGCTTATCGGGGCTGCGTGAAACCCAACTGAAGCTTGATGCAGACCATTCTCAAATGTGTAAAGTTGGATCCAGAGGGCCTATGTATCGATTGATCAAGGGGAACATAAAGCAACTTGTTGACCAGGCTCTCTTAGCCGATCAGGGTTTCATTCCACAACGCTCACCACATCCGACAACAGGGCGCCTTCCACCACCTATACCACCTCGCATGCATTCCAACAGTAGCACGCCCTACACGCCTCCAGGAGGCTCTATTATTGAGCCGGTACAACGAGTCAAAGGGACAATATTCGTCGCTCAGGACAAAGACCCGCGGTCTATTCGATCGGCAGAGCTGAAAAACCGCTCCAACTGGGACGAAGCCCGAGAAGTAGACTACGAATTGTTCCAAGAGCATCTGAGGACTCTCGGAACTGATCACGTCAGTACCTTAGCTATGGGATACAACCTTGCTGAGGTGGAGCTTGAAGGCAATTACTTAGCAAAGGCGACAGAATGGAGCCAGTGGGTTTCAGACAATGCTCAGCGTGTGTTTGGGCCCCGACATCCATTGTCCATGAAGATTGAAAGTCTCATGGGAGAGCTTATGTGTGCAAAGGGGAAGTACCAAGAAGGAGAGTCTATATGCGCCAATGTGCTAGCACGGCAACAGATGACAATCGGCGAAGATCATCTTGACACAATAGAAACGCGTCACCGATTAGGTATAGCCTATAACGGTCTCAACCGACGAGAGAATGCACTTACGACAGCAGAAAAGATTGCCGAAACCTATAAGCGTCTTCTGGGAGAGAATCACATTCGCGTGTTCTGCGCCGTCTTAGACACTCTGGAGTGGGTTCTTTTCAATCACGAGAACACCACGTATATCGTGAGCCTGAGGTATCTCCCACCGGACATACAGCAAGCAGTGGATACGCTACCACATATTTATGAGGAGCTTAAATCTGCACTAGGACAAACGCATCCTCTGACCATTCGTGCGTTATCCCTAGTCGGCAGGGGTCAAACCCGAGCCCAAGAAACGACTGAAGCCTCCGAGACGCTCCGTCGCGCTCTTGCGATCAGCGAGGAGTTCCTTGGTCCCGATCATCCACAAACAATGGATATTGTCAGTAACATTGGTCTCATGTATGCATTGCAAGGCCCTCAGCATCTTGTGACTGCCAGATCACGGTCCGAAGCGTTTCCGTGGCTTATCCGTTGTCTAAACTGGTGCGAGCGACGCCGAGGTATCGAAAACCCAGAGAGCCAGATTCTTCTAGAGATGCTTGGAAATCTGCATATGGCTTCTCAGGAATACGCACCTGCTCAAAAGTACTTCGAGCGCGCAATGAGTGCATATGGTGGAGCTGACAACGCTGCTACAAAGCGCATCAACACTAATCTGCGACTTTGTCAAGCCAATACTATGCTTACAGGTCGAGGAGCAGGTAGCGGTATCAGTAACTTTTTGTCTGCTTTTCAGAAGTTCTAGGGTTTATTTGTTTTTCATGCAAGATATACGCATTTCCTGGCTATTAGGATAATGAAGCATTAAGAAGAATACTGTATTAAACTGTCTGCTTGTGTGCCACGATTGCTATTCGCGTAACAAGTCCTCGCGGGGTATCATAGCGTAGGCATGAGAAGTCTCATAACATATTCATACCGTATCAACCACATGACTGACTCGTAAGTGATCGACTGCGCATTGTAGGGTATCTAGTTGGAGAACTTGTCGGGGACGTTCTTGCTGTACGTAGAAAATAATGTTAGTCTCAAATCGGGTGATTATTGTCATGTTATAAATAAAAAGGATAGTAATCTTACCCAGTAGCACCCTCGAACTTGCCACGGGCAAAGTCGGTAGCCTTCTCATTCGCGTCGCGAACCTTTTGGCTGTGGGGGTCGACCTTTCCACCGCCGAACTTGGTCTCAGCGGAGTCAACAGCTAAAATATTATTTGTCAAATGCTGCAGGAATCAATAGCATGCCGATGGGCCACTCACCCTTGTCAAGGTAGTCCTCGTTTCCAGAAGAAGAAGATTGCTTAGAGCCAGAGGAAGAACCACCGCTCAGCTTGGATCCGAGATCTTTAAGCTTATCCATAATGTGTGAAATGTAAATTCTTGTGTTAAGTTGTAAATTAAGTTGCAGTAGTTGAAGGGAAGACGAAGATCCAGGAAAAGAGAAAGCCTTTTATAAGAGGGCCGACATCATGGTGCAACCTTTTGGCTTAGTTTGGTATCGTCATTGATGCGGTCGGATCAGCCCAGGTCCTGGTATTAGATTGCTGCCCCGCCATGCGCTGTGGCTAGGTCATAGAAGCAGCTGTTTGTTGGATCTGAGGTCATAGCACGCCGATCTGATCTGTATGCGTAAAATGTTGTTGATTGGATGCTGGTCCACATTTGGTCGAAGGTGGCGGAGGGAGTTTGTCTTGGCAGACGTCATGCACCTGGAGGCCGCGATTTCTGCTGCCTCAGGCATCAATAATCAGTGTACACGAGGTACTCACAACCAATTAACAGTTGTTTTCTGTGGAGATAAACACTCGATCTGTGAACTTAGTAAATTTAGTAAAGCTAGTGAACTTAGATACTCTAGCTGAGGTCTTTTTCGATGTTGCAATCAGAGATCCAATATGCGATTGGCTGTGGCACACCCAAAATTGGGTCTGTGCTAATCTTATTCTCTCTTCCAAGGTTAAACAGCCATCGTAATGAAAGTGACCTCAGTACTGGCTGCCGGTGGAATCTTTTACACTATCAATGGTGTATTATGGAAACCCCCCCACAGCTGTTCTTTCAAGTTCCATAATATCATGATAACCGCCAGGAACAAATTCTTCTTTGGAAGACATAATTGTATATGAAATCATACCTCTTGATGAATGGATCATTTGGAGTGTGACATATCAATCTCACTGTCTTGTGTTGAGTAATATTGGATAGAAATCCAATGCGAGAGAAAAAAAAGCTGCGATCGTGATCTCTTTTGCCAAAATTGACATGGTTATTGCAGTATGGTATTTTAGAAGGTTATTCTATCGGACACACTACTTTTCCCCCTCCAAAGTATCCTTACGCTTTTTTTGAGATAAGGGTGTAGCGCGATCAGACCGCAGGCAACAAGCAGTGTCATCTATGGCATACCTATCTGGCAGACGATCATACATCCAGTATTTGCGATCGTCGCTGTAAGTAATCTATGTAGTGGGGATTTATTTGATTGTGCATGTATGAATATACATTTGTTCACGATACGATAGACGATATCGAGAACAGCTCTGAATTAATCTTAAGTATCGTCTCAGCCTGACAATCGCGGATGGGAATTTATTCCTATGGCTAGAAAAATTCTGTGGTTATGAATTCTTCGTCCTTCATGTTATCGTGCTGTTCCCGTCAACGGCGGAAAACTTTCATCCGTCTGTCTGTAGTGGGGCTATAAATAATATACCTATTTGTGATGGCGCATATGTGTTGGTAAATGGATGGAGTATATACACAAGCCTTGAGGCACCACAGACCGTTCCTTTGTGCGTCTATCCAATGTAGTCTCCTGACCCTGTTCGTCCCCGGCCTTTCCCCGACCAGATGTTGGGCCACCGGCGGGAAATGCCGACTCCGCTGAGCACAGACACAAACAGTGAAGGGTTTGACCCTTTGGGTATCATGTGGCAATGAAAAAAAGCGGTAATATAACGGAAATATGCATCCAGCACCTACCGAAACAAAAACACCATTGAACCCCCTAGCGCGACCGAGATGTGACTTTTAAGGACATCAGTGCAGGAATGCAAGAATCGACTCGGGCTGAGCTGCCCCGAGCAAAGTCTCCATCTTCCCCGCGCTCCACATTAGGACACCGAATCCCACCATTTTCCCCAGGTAGAACAAGCCAATAAGATGCACCGGAGCTCTTCAATTAGGCTATTCCGTATTCCGTCCCCATAGTAGACCCGGCAGACCCAGCAGACCCTTCGCAGCTGGGGGTTCGCTGCTCCTGTCTGCTCGTCTTTGTCTCTTCTCCCCGCGTAGTGCTTGGCACCTAATCGGAGTTGCACCGAGTGCACGGCACCAGCTGATCTCTTTCGATTTTTATAAAGATCAATTCCTCGGCGTGGCCTTCGAGAAAGAGAGAAAGAGAGAGAAGTGAGCAGCTGCCCAGGACTTTCAGCGAAATCAGAAACCATGGCAAAATCTGCCGTAGAGCAAATCGAGCATCAAGAGACCTCAGGGAAGGCCGCTGACCTTGAACAAGATGCTCTTTACCAAGCATATGCTGCGAAGAGCCCGGAATGGCACCAAAAGATGACTCGAAGTCTCTTACGAAAGGTGGATTGGCACCTGCTGCCATTTTTGATTCTCATGTATTTGTTGAATTTCCTCGATCGCAAGTAAGAGAGCCCTGCAACTGAGATACACTTCATGTCGATTTCCTTCTACCGAATGCTGACTATGCTTTCTAGTAATCTGTCACAGGCACGATTGGGATCGCTTGAAAAAGACCTTGGAATGGAGGGAACAGATTATAATCTAGCGACTAGTATTCTCTTTGTGGGCTATCTATTGATGCAATTGCCCTCTAACTTGGTTCTTACTCGCATTCGACCCTCGTTGTTCCTGGGAATAGCGATGGCTATTTGGTGAGTGCACATCAACAATTTTAAGAGCCTGTATAAAGCTAACTCATGCATCAGGGGTGTTATATCGGCTTGCCAGGCTGCTGTTCAATCATTTTCAGGACTCGTCGTCACACGATTTTTTCTCGGATTTGTTGAAGCCCCATTTTTCCCGGGTGCAGTCATGTTGATGTAAGTGCCAAGTACCAAGCTTGAGTCAAAGGGAATAAGCTTTTGACTGTCACATTTAGGTCGAGTTGGTATACAAGAAAGGAAGTATGTACCAACCCTTGTTTCCTAAAACGAAGAATTGGTTCCTGATACAGGTTTATAGTTGAGTCATCGCATCGCCTGGTTCTATGCAGGTAGCTCGCTAGCAAATGCCTTCGGTGGATTGATCGGGGCTGGTGTTTTAGGCAACCTAGATGGAGCGCACGGCATTGATGGATGGCGCTGGTTGTTCATCATCGAAGGAGTTATCACCGTCGGCGTATCCCTTCTGGCCGCGTAAGTATTTTATCCCGACCATGAGTGAACTCTTGTTAACGCGTTATGTTTATTTTTAGTATTTTCCTTCCCAACTACCCTGCGACCACCTCTTGGTTGGATGCCCAAGAACAGTCATATGCTCAATGGCGGCTCATCGACGATGCAGGTGAAGCAGATGACGCAAAGTCAACCAGTTTCAAGGAGGCATTGGCTTTGGTATTTGCCGATAAGCGCATCTACCTGTTCATCTTGCTTCAACATACTTCATTGCTGTCCCAGAACTTCCAATATTTCTTTCCGACCATCGTGCAAACCCTTGGGTACAACAACATCCAGACACTTTTGATTACTGCACCCGTATGGATTGCGACATTCCTCATTTCTCTTCTTGTCACCTGGACTTCCGGCAAAACAGACGACCGAAGTCTTCACATTATTGCTCTGATGCTCGTCAGTGTAGTCGGTGGTATTATCTCCACTGCGACAACAAACACCGGGGCCAGATTCTTCGCTATGTTTCTGTGAGTTCTCATCTATTGACATGACCATATGTTGTATCTCACTAACTTTGTTAGAATGCCAATGGGGGCGGTTTCTGCATACCAAATTATCCTCGCCTGGGTCGCAAATTCATTCCCCCGACCGCTGGTTAAACGATCTGCTGCTATTGCACTTGCCAACATGATCGGTAATACGGCTTCGATCTATGGAAGCTACATGTGGCCAGCTTCATCAGGCCCACGATATCTTCCCGGTGGCAGTGCAACTGCAGCTATCGCATTGCTGGTCGCCCTCGTGGCACTTGTCATTCGCCTTGTCCATGCTCGAATGAATAAACAGTTAGAAGCAGCGGAGGCATCGCAAGATCTCCCCATGGATTCGAATGATCCTGCCAGTGAGAGTCGGACCACGGGATTCCGTTATATACTGTGATATGACTATGATGGGCTCATTTTACGGTAACAGGTCAAAGTGAAATTGTGGGATAAATGAAATAGACTAGAACATATATCTGGAAAAAATTTGCCGCTCTATTTTCAGTTCATGGGGGCTGTTGAGTTTCAAATTAGGTCCGTAGTCGTGTGTGATCACGGTCTTAGTGTCTGTCAGCGGGAGCGATCGTTAAACAAACTTCCCCACCTCGGCAAACTCTTGCTTCTCGTCATAACTTCAAGTTCGAGTCAGCTCTGGTCATGGCTAACACGTACGACAAGGCCATACCCTTTGGTAGCGCAGATCTCGAAGTCACAGGGCTATTCAAAAGGGGCAAGCTAGGAGGAAACGACCTGCCACTCATTGTATTGATCCATGGTGGGGCAGTTAATGCGGCATACTTTGACAATTCAAGTTTCTCGTAAGCAAACACGCTGACCAAAGTGAACGATTGAATATTAATTGGATTCATGCAGTTATCCTGCTATCTTGAGTGAACGAGGTCACAATGTTCTAAACATTCAGCGATCGGGATACGGTGACAATCCCATTCCGAGGACTCAAACGCCGATCATCGACTCAATCCCTGTCATCACCAATCTGATCGGTCAAGTCTACCGAAATGAAGTGGGGAACCAAGAAGGCGTGATCATTTTCGGTCATTCACTGGGAGCAGCCACCACATTCGCAATTGCAGCCCAATCGGAACTTCCATTTCCCCTGCTCGGAGTTGGCGGCTTGGGTATTGTGCCTTCACTCGGGAAAACTGGCTTCCTCCCAGATGTCGACCCAGCACCTGAGGGAGATCGGATAGTAATTCCAGACATTGGAAAATTGTTCTCGCTTATGTTTGGACCGATTGAATATATTGACGGCAATCTTCTTACGGCGGATGCGCTATTCTCGTCCTCTCAAGCTGGTACATGGATCGTATTGCGTGATCAAAGGCCAATGAGCTAACGTTGTGGATAGGTGTTAAGAGTGAAATCAAAGAGTTTGAAGCTGGATGGTACAATCGTCTGACTAAGGAGATATTCCCAGCAGTCAAGGTATTTATCGCATGCATTGCCCACGCGACTAGCTCAGCTACTGAATTCCACAGGTACCAGTCCAATACCTTGCAGCGGAATACGAAATAGCCTGGCAAGGTTTGGATGAAGCTCAGCCCAAATTCGACCGACTTGCGAAGCTCTTTACACGTTCACCATATGTTGAAGCTGAATTATTACCGAAAGGCGGCCATAACTACGAATTCAGCAAAAACTCCCCTAAGCTCCTCGACTTGAGGCTCGAATTTATATCAAAAATGGTAAGAACTATCATCGCCCTCTCACAATTTGATGGGATTGAATTAACCCAACCAGACTGAACGAGCCAAATTATATTCTACGGCTTTTTCCTCAATCCCAGTATTAGACTTTGCTCAATCTTTATCTCCCTCGACAAAACCGGAATTTCTTGCAAACCTTCGTGCAGCATTGGTGAATGTTGGATTTTTCTATCTAACAAATCCGCTCGTATCGCCAACTATTCAAGAGGACTTTACAAAGAAAGGAATCGAGCTATTTGATTTACCGTTAGAAAAGAAACTAGAGATTGAAATGGTCAACAGTCCTCATTTCTTGGGCTACTCGAAACTTGGAGCGGAGATAACTGCCCTCAAGACCGACTACCGCGAGCAATTCGATGTGAGTTAGTCATTTGAAACATACGTCTCCATGAATCTACTGATCTTTATTTTAGTTTGCTACTGAACTTCCTGCACCCGGCCCTCATGAGCCGTTATTCCGAAACATCATTGGGCCGAATCAGGTATGCTATGAGATCCGAACACTGATGTTCGCTGGCTGACCTACCTTCGTGTCACAGTGGCCCGATGAAGAAGCTATTCCGGGTTTCCGTAACTCACTTGAGCAATATTTGGCCGAAGTGAGCAGATTAGCAGTATCATTTATATCACTCGTTGCAGAAGCCCTTGATCTCCCGCCCACAGCATTAAACCAAGCATTCGAAACTCCTCAACAGCACAAGCTCAAAATTATTAAATATCCCGCCCCAGCTACTGATGACAAGACCGGGTCCAAATTTCAAGGAGTTGGTCCTCACAAAGACTCCGAATTCCTCACTTTTCTTCTCCAGGCTACACCGCATCATGGTCTGGAGGTACAGAATAAAGCAGGCGACTGGGTTTCTGCACCTCCCATCCCAGATTCTTTCGTCGTGAACATTGGTCGAGCCCTCGAGGCGTTAACTGGCGGTGTTTGCACAGCGACTACCCATCGGGTTTCTCTTAGAAGCGAAAACTTTGTTGATTCTGACGGCAATGATTTGGGGCCAAGATTCTCATTTCCGGTCTTTCAAGGAGTAAGCCCCAATCTTTCAGCCGACAAGATCGACCTAGTTATTCCAAAGCATATACGTGAATTAGTGAAGGATGAGAAAGTAAAGTCCGACGCCGAAGCAACATTCAATCAAATGTTCAGAACATGTATCGGCGAAGGAAACTTGATCGCTCGAGTGACCAGCCACCAGGACGTCGGACAAAGATGGTATCCTGATATTCTGGCGCGCGCTCTTAAAGGCCAGCAAGATTTCCTTGCCCGATAGCCCCCATTTTTATCCAAATATATGTATGGGTTTTGTGATATCAACCTGTTCTGCCTAGATCGCCTGCGTGGGCTAAGTGTGGGATGAAGATCGGCGCCTGTAGGATTGGATAGTTGCAGCGCGTGGGCCTGTTGATGCGGGGCTGGCGAGTAAGCAAGCATGCTACTGTGACGTCCCGTATTCCAGATAGGCCAGGGGTACGTCGCTCCTTGAACTTAATTCTGGTTTTTAAGCTTCTGAATTTCCACTTTTGTTTCTATTATCATTCAGTTCGATTCAGAACTTCCGTGTTATCAACCATGTTGTGGTCGAAGTTGCTGATCGGACTTCTCTCCGCGTCAGGGGTGGCGGCGGTCTCCACCGACGGTCTCTACAGCCTCGTCAAGCGAAGACTGCCAAATCATGTCGATGACTTCCGATTTAATGTAGTTCCCAATATCACTGGGAGTGACGAGGGATATGATCAATTCACAGTCAAATCTGCGCCCAATGGCACTATTATCGTCCAGGGGACGTCTATCAGTGCTTTGTCTTCGGGGTAAGCTGTGTGATCGGACCTTTCCCGAGGTTGAAGAACATTACTGATGAAATCAATAGTCTCCATCGATACCTGACAGACGTGGCACACGTCGATATCTACTGGTTCATCGGTAGTCGGCTGGACCAAGCCCCCGCTAAGCTTCCTCACCTCCACAAGCCGATCAACGGCTCAAGCACTGTACCATGGAGGTATCACTTTAACACGGGTAAAATCTCCCAATAGACACCATCGATCTACCCGCTCTAACGAAACATTCCAGTCACTTTCTCTTACACGACAGCTTTCTGGTCATGGGAAGAATGGGAGACCCAGTTAGACTGGATGGCCCTTCGTGGCATAAACTTGCCCCTTGCTTGGGTTGGCGCAGAAAAGATCATGGTGGAGGTATTCCAAGAAATAGGACTGACCGACGCTGAGATCGCGACTTTTCTGAGCGGTCCAGCATTTCAAGCATGGAACAGATTTGGAAACATTCAAGGCTCTTGGGGTGGTGATTTGCCCTACGCATGGATTGACCAGCAATTCGCTCTTCAGAAAAAGATTGTGCATCGCATGGTCGAGCTAGGAATGACCCCTGTGCTTCCCGCATTCACAGGCTTTGTACCAAATAACATCACGCGTGTGTATCCGAATGCAAGTGTCGTTCGGTCGGCAGACTGGAACGGTTTCTCAACCCGGTATTCCAACGATTCATTCCTCGAGCCTTTTGATGAGCATTATGCCCCGATGCAAACCAGTTTCATCCGCAAGCAGCAGGATGCTTATGGCAACGTTACCAGCATCTATACATTGGATCAGTACAACGAGATGAACCCCTACTCTGGGGACTTGGACTATCTCAAAAACGTCACGCACACAACTTGGAAGAGTCTAAAGGACGTGGATCCCGATGCGATTTGGTTGATGCAAGGTTGGCTCTTCTACAGTGCATCGGAATTTTGGACTGATAAGCGCGTGGAAGCCTACCTCTCTGGTGTGGACCAAAATGACGACATGTTGATTTTAGACCTGTTCTCTGAATCCGAGCCTCAATGGCGCCGAACAGACTCCTATTATGGCAAACCATGGATTTGGTGTCAACTGCATGACTACGGAGGCAACCAGGGTCTATATGGACAAATTCGGAATATCACCCAAAACGCTTCCCAGGCGCTCATCGAATCTCCTAGCATGGTCGGCTATGGATTGAGTCCCGAGGGACAAGAGGGCAATGAGATTGTCTATGACTTACTGTTAGACCAGGCCTGGTCAAAGTCTCCGATCGACACAAGGAAATACTTTCACAGCTGGGTATCAAGTCGATATGCTGGCTCCGGATCTATCCCTCAGGAGTTATATGATGCCTGGGAAACTCTGCGAACGACTGTATACGATAACACTGATCTAACGGATGTTACCGCAGTTGTCAAGTCAATCTTTGAACTTGAGCCTAGTGTGGATGGACTTGTCAATGTAACAGGTACACACGGCACAAAAATCACATATGACCCATCATTGGTCGTAAAGGCCTGGCAGTCAATGTACCAAGCCACCAGTTCCAACTCCAAACTATGGGATAACCCTGCATATCAACATGACATGGTAGATGTGACACGCCAGGTTATGGCAAACGCCTTCATCCCGCTGTACAACAACCTAATTTCCAGCTGGAACAGTTCCAATTCCGATCCAAAGAACCAAACTCTGACGCAAGAGGGACAGAAAATGATTCATCTATTGGCCGATCTAGATTCTGTCCTCTCTACCCATGAAAATTTCCGCCTTTCGACATGGATAAGTTCCGCGCGTGCATGGGCCCGCGGAAATAAAACCCAAGCCGCCTATCTTGAATACAATGCTCGCAACCAGATCACTCTGTGGGGCCCCCGTGGAGAGATCACTGATTATGCGTCCAAGCAGTGGGGTGGTCTCCTCTCGTCCTACTATATTCCGCGCTGGAAGATCTTTGTGGAGTATCTCCAATCGACCTCCGTTTCAGCGTATAGCGAAACAGCGCTGGAAGATAAACTGAGGAAGTTTGAACTTGGATGGCAAAATCAAAATTCGAGTGATTCAGATTCGCAGGATTCGTCTGATCTGAAGCATGTGTTGACCCGGGTTCAACATAGATGGTCCTCGACATTCCACGCTGTTTGATGGTATTCCTCCGTCTGGAAATGATCCGATTAAAGTGTTTCGGCACCACAATAGGTGGAGTGGAAAAATTAGAATAACTTGAATGCAAAGTATTAATTCTTGAAAAAAAACATTATAATAGTAAATCAAGCCTTCATTTGCCTACAGAACTTCTACGCTGGTCTAAGATCTAACTCAAATGAGTATCTAGAGTGGGGGCCGAACTAGTCGCGATATGGTAGTAACTATGGGGGCCGAAACGAGTCCCAATGCGGTAGTATGCCCGAGATACTATATATCCTTGCAAACTTGAAATCGAAGCAACAATCTGAGTGTTGAAATATAAAGTGGCCGCCAACTGTGCAAATGTAGAATGACTCTCTCTCATTCAATAAAGTATCACAACTATTTGCTTAATACTAGTGGCCCTGAGTGCACATTCTATTGCAAAGATGTCTTCCGCACCTGAATATGTGATGGGAACGCAAGGCTTTGCCGGTGCCTGGAACGATGAGAACATCGCAGAGCTCATCGAGCATCTCGAAGCAGCCAATATCAAGCACTACGATACTGCTCGACTGTATCCTATCACCGACTCCGGGGCTTCGGAACGCCTTTTAGGACGTGTACGAAAGCCAGATTTCATAATCGACACTAAGATTCTCTACAAACCAGAAGGTTTATTGAGAGAGAACATGAGAGATTCATTCAACAAAAGTATTGAGGCGCTTGGAGTTACCTCGGTACGCTAATCCACCTCCAGTCCTGAAAACACTAAGCCAACGTTGGGATGTCCTCTGCAGGTCAACACACTTTACGCCCATGCACCCGATAAAGCCACACCCATCACCCAACAAGCTGCTAACTTCGATGAGCTCTATCGTGAAGGATCATTCAAACACATGGGGCTCTGCAACTACTCCCCAAAAGAGATTATCGAGTGGATTGAGATCGCCATGGAGAAGGGCTATGTCCAACCCACCATTTACCAAGGCCAATACAGCATTTTCTGTCGCCACTATGAGAAGGAGCTTTTTCCCCTTCTTCGAAAACATGGAATCACATTCGTAGCCAATTCCCCACTGGCAGGCGGCTTTGCAACAGGCAAGTTGACTTTGGCTGAAAACGATGAAAAATTGAAGGGGACGCGATTCGAACAGGTTGAAGGTAATTTGATGGGCTACTTGTATCGTATGTGGTTTGATAAGCCGTTATTTCATCATGCTGTGCGAGAATTGATTGCTATCGGGGAGAGATTTGGGATCTCCAGTCTATCTCAAATTGCTATGCGTTGGCTACTGTTTCATTCTGGGTTGAAGAGCACAGATTCGGTGGCCATTGGGCCAACTAGCACTGCCCAGCTAAAGTATTATCTAGCAGCTCGTGATGCTGGCTCTTTGCCTGACGAGATGGCTGTGGAAATTAACAATCTATATGGTCCATTGCGGGATGAAGCAACGGGAATGGTGGAATTTGGATGGTGGTCATAATCCATATTCGAAGATTGAATTAAGATTATTCATTTCTCGCATTGGAGCACCATTTCATGCGAACCAAATTCAAGTTCATAATATATTCTATATCTATCTGTCAATTTTGTTCCAAGTTCCAACTTCAGTATTTCAACCATTTGACTCTATGCCCTCCCCTCGTAATACCTTTAAGTTGCTAGTATTCTGTGTCTATGTTCACCGCGTACTTGCTGTTCTTTCGAATTCGTGGTCCATAAATGTATAGCAAATAGGGTACAGCAGTCATGGCGGCACTGATAGACCCAAGTATTGTGAGTATGTAAGACACGCTGGTAGACCGATAAATTGGGTCTCCAGCAATAGTGATACCCCCCGCGACCAGGTATCGTGTGAAAACCAGAAAGCCCAGAGCTGAAGCTGAATATGTACCATAGGAATCGATGAGATACATGTAGCATATTATAAAAATAGACGTAATGCCAAAGCCGAAGAGAACAGAGGCGAGGAGGGGAGACCAAATTGAGATAGAAGGCTACAAAAGATAGAAGTATTAGCATCATGCACCTTCATGTCGTCTCTCAGTGTTCGAACTTACATTGCTAGTCCATCCCATCCAAAACAAACTGATTGGCACTGCAGGCGCACCTCCAAGCATGGCATACCAAAGTCTCATTTCAGGGGCAATCGCAGTGTCTTTTCCCCGTTTGCAATTCTTTGCAGTCAAGCTATATACCACTGGCACCACGAAGGAAACAAGAAGAACACCAAGTAGCATGCCAGCCCAGCAGAGATTAGTCAAGCCCTCCGATATACCGTATTTTTCGCCAAAGATGAACGCATAACCTTCCAAGAAGGTGAAGAGGACAATATACATAATAGTTAGATAGAGCGACAGTAAAATGATGATCAGCTCAGAGTAAAACATGGCAAAGGGTCGGTACACAGAGACCTTCAAACGCTGAGCCAGTGTCTCTCGCTTCATCTCCATTGGAGCCCTGTATCTTTCATCTCCTGTTTCCTGTCGAAGTATGGACGCTTTCCAATACAAAATCAGATTGCCATAGGTCTCGGGCTGGAACAAGAGTACCGCAACCAATATTGCGCCACCCATGATAAGCATTATCCACTCCAACCAACGCCAGCCTAGCGTGACTGGGATATAGCTTCCGATCATCTGGCCGATCATAGGTCCTGTGAATGCGGGCACCGCATATACGGGGAAAGCGTACGTCTTCTCTAGTGAATCCCACAAGTCTGCGACCGTGCCGCCGGCACACGTCAATGGCGTTGAAGCGAAAAAGCCAGCGAAAAATCGAAAAATTAGGTGACTGTGCAGGTTTGGCGCGAGACCTGATGCCATTATAAATATCAAATATACCAGCATGGTCGCCGAGTATATCACGTTGCGACCAAAAGTCTCAGAGAACGGGCCTGATAATAAGGAACCGCATGCAAATCCGATCAAAAACAAGCCTGCCAAAGCAAAATAATTAGGAATATGTATACGAAAAAAACATGGGAAGAAGCAAGGGCTCACCATACCTGTCGCTAGAGACCCAACCACCTCGGATACCTCGAAATACTCGCTATACTCCTTGAGGCCGCACGCGTCGATTGCCGATGCCGCAGTGACTGCGACTGCTATGAGCGAGACTAGGAGGGTCATGAATAGTCTTCGCCCGGTACTTTGATTTGCAGGGTTCAAGGGATCATTTGGACCGTCCCAGCCCACGGGGATTGAATCACCAGAAATGTTTTCTTTGGCATGATGACCCCGTTCCGAGCTGCCGTTATGACGACTCATTCCACATCTATAAACCGTAGATTAGGAAAAGATTGACTTGTCGATTCTTCATACAGGATACTTACTTTTCAGTATGGGAATTTCCAATAATGTAGCCCTCGCAGCTACAGTTATTCTCCAGCTCCGATAAGTGCTCGCGAACTGACTGTCGAATTCTTTTGTATTGGAAATAAGCTTCCATCGTAGCCCAGTGCCGAAAGTAGAAAATATAAATTTAGATCCCTTCTCAACGCAGACATGAAGTTTTCAAGTAAATTTAAAATCAAGTAGCTTGTCAGATCAAAAACTAAGACATTAATAATATTATTAATAAGGGCGTGTTGTGTCTAGACCGCTAATCGGGGAAATTCGATTTTGAAGCATCGGAGATATTGCGATGTGACCCGGTGATGATCTCCGATGCATCAATTCCCAGTCATCCGATCTCTTTAATGAATATTTTCCAAAGTAATGAAACGTCAAACTCATATAAAGCTATAGCTAGTACATCTATTATCTGGAATCGTCGATATCTCGCCACTAAATCTCTGTACAGTGCCTGTGTAAATAGATGATTGCAGTATCCGTATACACCGCACTTGAGACATTGTATAGCGGGATTACATCATCTCCGATGCGTTGCATGTGGCGATCGGAGATCGGCAATGGATTTCTCCGATGATGCTGCTTCAACTCCGATCGTCCTCACCCCCGTCGTCTCCACCCAACCACCACAATATCGGACTTATGATTTCAAGGCTGGTCCGCAAATGCCATCAATGTCCGAGTCGAGATGACAGGTGTCAATTCGACCCCTACTAAACCAGCGGGGGAAACTCCCAGATCACGACGAAAGAAGCGAAAAGCCATCAGCTGTGAAGAATGTCGACGCTCTAAGTTACGATGCGATCGCCAACAACCTTGCGGTGCTTGCAAGCGCCGTGGACGCGATGCCGCCTGTTCTTTTGAGAGCCAGTCTACAGTTGGACATGTATCAACCAATAGCGACCGAACACCTGCACACTCTCGGTTATCAAATGCAGTAATTACTACGGTGGGATCTCCGTCCACGCCTTCGACACAAACCGCAACAAGCAATCCAGGCGTGCAGCCTGACGTGCCGTCTTCTGGGATAAATCAATTACCCCCAGACACTCATTGGGAAGCAGTTCTTGAAAGGCCAACCCCGGGATATGATACTCATGAAACATTGTCCTTACTTTCAATTGGCCCCCGGATGGCATTGCAAGAAATAATCGACTCTCTACCTCCGAAGCCCTGTTGCGACTATCTAGTTTCTACATTTTTCAAGAATATCTCGGCTCTATTTCCCATACTCCATGGGCCGACTTTCCTGAAGCAATATACCACTTTCATGCAACAGCCTTATGACGTTGATCTGGCTTGGCTGGCCTTGCTGTTCTCTATCTGCTCTCTTGTTATAAATACTCTAGATGCAAATGATCCCAGATTGGTATACATCTGGCCACAGTCAGTTTCTACTCCAACACAGGCACCTTCGACGGTTTCAGCATCACATCGCCTTCTCCGGACTGCGATGACTTGCCTTTCACAAGACCATTTTTTTATACGGCACAAATTCAGCACATTCGAGGCTTTGTTGATGGTGATATACAATCTTTCTCATAATGAATCTGTCGACCAGGGATGGGCATTGCTAGGAATGGCTCTGAATATTGGTATTGCATTGCGGTGTAATGTGGACCAGAACCTAAGCCCTGTTGAGACTCAAAGACGACGACGATGCTGGGCTGGTCTTTTAACACTGCATACATACCAAGGCATACTGTTTCGCGATGTCGATATGACCTATCTCCTCAACATCAAGGCTTCGCTCCCGGCAGATGTCAATGATTATAACATCACAGACGAAGGCATCTCACAGCCACCCAATGTCGATAAGCCCACACAGATGTCAGTGATGATGGCTAAGGTCCGAATTTTCCAACTTTCTACTCAGATATGTAGCCACATATCGGGACCTTTAAAGCTGGATCAGCGACTATTACGTGAATTTGACACGTCGATAGCCGAGGAGCAAGCAAAATGGGACACAACATGGATGGTGGATGGCTCTCCGAACATATTGGAAACGAATAGTTTCGCATACTGGTGTGTCCTGCAGACATACGCGCATCATCTCTATCTTCTTTTGCACAGGCCCTTTCACCACTCTAAAGGGCCTTCCTTCCTTCCAGCATCCAGGAATAAGTGTATTGCTTCAAGTGCAGCCCTAATGTCTCTCCATCGGCAGTTTTATGAAGCCCCTTTACTTCGAAATTACATATGGTTGCTGAACGGTGTGACAAGCCTGAAAGCACTTCATGCTGCTGTGGCGCTTAACTCCTGTCTTCAAGATATACCATCTGCGGCTGATATAGGTTACGATGTGGAATCTTCCCGGTTGGAGTTGGACAAGCTGGTTCTTCGCATGGAAGCCCTTTCAGAGCGAAGTAATATCTGTTTGAAAGCGCATCGCATACTCCGACATTTACAGTACGTTGTCATTCCATGCTCTACCATTTTGCCAGCTAATCATTTTTGCAGGGTTCAGTCAGGTATAGGAAATCATTCCACCGCCAACTCGGATGTCCAGATTGAACAAATATTCGAAGACTGGACTGATATACGAGAATGGACAGATGCAGGCTTAGTGAATTGGGTAGGAATGCATCTTCAGCTTTCAAGTGTATGGCTGACTTTTTTTTCAGAATATGGATGGGGCTTTCCACATATTTACAGATTGATCAATTATCCACATACGAGGAATGCGCAAATTAAACCAAAAATCGATCATGAAACGACTTGATGGCATCATACAGCCAAAATATTCGATTTTGCATGCAATTGCACGACTCTGTGTCTATGTAAAGATAAGACACCGCAGTATATCCATAACGCCGTGAAGAGGAACCTAAATTTGACATCCATTGGGTATGTAAATATGATCTTTGATTTTCAACTCATTCTCCCGCTCTTCCAATTCCTTTGAAATTGTCGAGCAGCCACCCTTGGACAAAGAACATGGAAACAAAAAGATAAGTTCTTCACGTGAAGAAGCGGGAACTGATTGAAACGCTCTTGGAATTTCATCACGTTCAAACTTTTCGATGTCTTGTGAATTGGAATGGAGAAGATTGATAATTCTACACGCAGCTTTGAAGTAGAATATACGGGATTACTCGCGGTCCTCAAGTTTGAACTGTGCCATTTATTTTATTTGAATTAATTCAATGAGTATGGTCGCTGCACCCAACATTCTGTGTGATCTATAGTTCACAAGTTATGAAACTTGCAGTAGAGCTTCTTTCATCAATTAACTTACATAGACTTTGACGGACGGATCTACCAGGCTACCCTATACTGTCGTTCTTCGAAATCTCTGCTAAATCTATTCTCAGTAAAATTCAAACACTTTGGAAATCGGCTTCGCCGAGAATAGAACAAGGAGCGCTCAAAAATTGAAGCCATGATTTTCTTTGGAGCAGCACTGAACGAATTCGAGGTCTTTCTTACTCTATAAACATATGCTCCCAGGTTAAAGAGAAGTCAAGAAATGGTTGACAGATTGCAGATGGTGACTAATATGCACTGTTTGATGTATTCATGCAGTCTTTCAATCTTGATTTCTATAGAGAAGCCTGTAGGTAGGTAATCGAATGAAAGATAGCTAGAGCTTCAAGTAATATTTAAGAGAAGAAACTTCAGCACCTTTACGAGCTTTTTCTCCTTCGCGCTTCGCACCTCCTTTCACATCATATCAGTAGATTTACAAGGTTAAGTCTTCGTCATGTCTCGATTCTTTAGACGATTCATGCCCTGGTGGTGGGATCTGGTGGCAGAAGGTCGTAGAGACCGTCCTAAGTCCATTGATAAGCTTCGTGCCAAGGGCGCTCGTATGGCCAACTTCATTCAGTATCCCGACCTGGCGGATTGCAAAGAATACACCCAGGTCACTTTTAACCGTCTTTCGACAATGGCCAAGTTCCGATCTCAGCATCTCCCAGGCTCTCCTTCACCCCCTCTTGGTGGTCTCGGTGAACTGATCGATCTGTGGCTTCAGCCAACTGTGCCCGACCTTAGAAGCTGGCGCCTCACTTTCCGTGACAATGATGGCCGCTATACGGGTCGGACTGGCCAACATGTGATGATTATCGACTATGTGACACGCCCCGCAAACCACCCAACAACGCCTCATGTTGGCGCTGTGTTCAATGCGTTGTATCAACACACCGAAGGTAGTCTCGACAGCCTGCGTCATGTCTATCTTGCTTATGTAGTGAATCAACAGACGCATAAGCTTTTGAAAACCTATGGTCGTGGTATTCATCTATTTGTTCATGGTAGCCCCGATTATGAGGCTATTCTGGGTACACGGACTGGCTGCATGGTCGCAAGCATCATTCTCGGTGGGTTCCCTCGCGGCACACGCCGAATCACACAGATCGCAGGTAACGACCGCACGGGTGAAGGATACTGGGATATGCGCTTCGATATTGAAGCCATTTGAAGATTGGCCTATCACATTCTTTTACCATTAGAACCATCACTAATTTGCGTCTAGTCTCTTTAACATTACATTTAACTTGCTAGCAGCCACAGGGGATTTCTGCGGTTTTATCTCGAATTTTCCCTGCAGATCCATGCTGCTTGCAGCCGTTGGAACGGAATTGTGATCCCCTGCTGGCACCACACTCTTTTAGGTTTTTTTTTTTTTTTTTTCCCTTTGTCCTTGGACTTTTTTTTTGGGCACTTTTCCCACTCATTTGGAGATTTTCTTTTTTACATTTTTTCTTTTGCTTCGTCAAGTTACACTTTGCTTTGCAAAATAAATGCTTTTCTAAAATTGAACTTCATTGTAATTCTTCGTAGCTTTAAACTGCTATAACGAGTCTATATTCTAGCCCTGATTCACGCATACTCTGATAGAACCTTATATACGGTTGTAATATACTAGTATACACTCCATACGGCCATAATATTCAAGTTACAGATGGGAGATCATGCTGGAGTGAATGTTGTTTAAAATTGAGATGTACATGTCGTGCACACATGAAGGTAGTAGGTCTAGGTACCTAAGGGTGGACCTCTGGGCTAGGCCATCTGCTCTGTAAGTGGGTCTAAAGAGTGGGTACAGACATGTGTTGTGTCCGCAGTGGAACTCGCCATCTATCTGCTTGATTACATCGAGGATAGATAAGGCATTTCCAGCCAATGGAATAAATCGAGCAGATCAACTCTCCCCAGTAATTCTCCAAGCTGGACAACATCACCAAAAGAAGATGGAGGAATAAGTCAAAAAAGGGTTACCCATCGGTTTCCAGCGCCTAGAATTTAACAACAATGACTCAAATGTTTCCATTTCTCTTATGCATTCGCAAATGCCCGGAGAATAAACATAATGCATATTCGACGGGTCCCAACGGCGCTAACGGCCTTTGTACATGGCCAATCGCTCCGGAATGCGGGGGCCCAATGCTTTTTACCCTTCCAAGTTGGAGTTGATTAGAAATGGAATATCCGCGGAACTCCGACTAATTCCCCGATTGCCACTAGCAAGCGAGGTCGTGTCAATTCAAATGGCTTTTCCGTTGGTTTCTTTGTTTTCCCCTCAAACCGCTGTGCCATTATCACCATGACAGATTCCGACACCCAAACACCGCCATCTGAGCGACGGCCGCTCCTCTCGCCAGCGACTGCGCAACAAGATGTGACGCCAAGTCGAACTAGCCTACACACAATAGGAACAGTGATGCTTATGGCTCTTCTGATATTCATCCAAGGTACATTGAAGTGGTCCACGAGTATCAGATGGCTTTCAGATGGCTTGATTTACTATTTACTAATTCAATTGACTCTTAAAGCAACAAATATATCGATGATGACAACCGCCCAATCTGCAATCGCCGCTGATCTCGATGCCTACGCAGAAACAACTTGGTTTACAGCTTCCTTCATGGTACATTACTGAATAGAAATTGCAAGTCCCATTATGAAGTCTAATGTATTCAAGATTGCGACCTCTAGCGTAACTCCCCTGGTTGGACGACTCTCAGCTATCTTCACCCCGCGTCTTTGTTTAGTTGTCTCCAGCACAATCTTCTCGCTTGGCCTCTTCATCACGGCGTCCGCCCCTTCGCTGGCCGTTTTCATACTGGGACGAGCTATTTCGGGCTGGGGAAGCGGTGGGTTAATGAGTATAACCATCATATTGGTACTGGATTTTGGGAGTTCCAAGAGACGGGGACTATTGATTGGACTCATCAGTTCTGGAGTTACGACAGGCGTTGCATCTGGTGCAGTCCTTGCAGGTCTTCTGACTCCCTTAGTTGGATGGGTAATATCGCGGCTCACGGGATGCTCTGGATGATCATGATAGCTAACTACTAGTCTCAGCGTGTCATATTTTGGGTCCAAGCTCCAAGCGCTTTAGTTCTTGGCCCACTCCTCTACTACGCCATTCCACCATCATCAAGTGATAGAAAGCAACGAGATGATTCAATCATTTCTAGTCTTGCCCGCATTGATTATGCAGGCTCTGTGACACTAGTAAGTCTATTGGGCGCTCTATCGTTACCTCCACTGACCAGCTAGACAATCGGAATTATTTTATTCTTGACAGCTTTGGCCTCGCCAGAGATTCTCATATGGCCCATTCCAATAGCATTGGGTGTGTTTGCTGTATTCTTTGTTATAGAGTCTCGGTGGGCCCATGAACCTATTATTCCAGTCCATATTCTTCTAGACCGTGGTGTTCTCTTATCATGCCTGGCTGGTGTTGGCTTCATGATGGCTCGATGGGCTGTTGTATTCTTCACTCCCTCCTACGCCATTGCAGTTCGAGGATGGCCTCCTGCTTCAGCGGGTCTTATTCTAGTTCCAACAAATGCCGGGTTCGGAGCTGGAGGATTGCTTGTTGGATGGCTCCATATTCGTAATGCTAGTAGCTATTATACGTGAGTTGTCCACTCTGACAAGCATACATTCCTTCAATACTAACTTCTACTTGCAGTTCATGTCTTGTGCTTTTCATTCTATTTGCAATCTCGACGGCAACTCTTTCGGTTTTATCTTCAGAGGACTCCCCCGCTGCTCTATATATGGCCATGACCTTTTTCAATGGACTTTTTGCCGGCGCCCTGGTCAACTACTCGCTCTCCCATCTGCTGTTCCTCACAGACAAAAATATGCACTTTATCGTCAGTGCCTTATTTACCTCATTCCGGGGAATTTCAGGGAGCTTTGGATCAGCGATTGGAGGCGGATTCTTCACTCGTGTTCTCAAGAAGTCACTAGAAGAAGGCTTTTCCAAACAGGGAATCACCCCCAATCCAGACCTTGTACGCACCCTTCTGGGGAGTCCTGCTACGGTCTCACAATTAGAAGGCATTGAGCATCTAGTTGCCAAACAGAGCTACGAACATGCGTTCCGCATGCTGTTTTTAGCTGGCTGTGCTATAGCATTAGGATCGACAGTCATTCAAGCGGGAACGGGGTGGACAGCTGGGGACCAGAAAGGGAACGAAGATTGGGAGACTGAACGCAATCCTTAAATTAATTCCCCAAAGGTATGATCTAATATAACTGTTTTGCGCTCTATATAACATGTCACGGGATTGTTACCACGGACTTCCATCACACATTACATAAAGGAGAAGTATTATGGTCCGAGTTGGTGGGTATTGTATTTAAAACTCAACCTTGAAGATCTTAGACTGTCGAATACGTTCGCCATAGTAATAAAAGACGAAAGGCATCGGTATGAAGGCGATGGCGAGGAATCCCAAGAGTGAATTTCCCCAACCATAATCGAGCTTCGCAAACATGGCAGGTCCGGCTAAAGGAATTAATGCCCCAATGAGACAGCGCAAAATTGTATTTGCAGCCGTTGCCGACGCGGAGTAAACAGTATAGGCATCAACTAGATACATAGTAGTTGCCATCTGGAAATTGGTTAAAATCAAGAGATCTTCCGTAATTAGTGGTGAATGTACTCACAAATGCAATGACCATCCCGGCGCCAATAAATGCCGTCCCAATGATGGGAACAATCCAGTGAGTGCCATAATATGCTGTCCATCCATACAAGAACAGGCCAATGGGTGTGATGAAGGAACCGATGACTAGAACAGGAAGTCGATACTCGGGTTTGGGCTCTCCACCATGCTTCTTGGTCAAATGCTTAGAAACTACATCTGAGGTACCACCGGAGATGAACAGACCAAATATGGAACCGACCCCGAGTCCTAGTGTCGCTAGACCCGAAGGACCAGTTCCAAACCCATACTTCTCAGCTAGCAGAACCGGAAAAGTTGTAAAGCATAAATAAAGATAGGCGTAGACAAGCGCACAGTAAAGCGACAACAAGAAAATAATTGGCGATACCAGCATCTTCAGCGGTCGACCGATAGAAAAGGCAAAAAGCTGACGTGAAGTCTTCCCAGTGTCCAATGCCGACTTGAGATTGTGATTCCCAGTTTTCTTCCGCAGCTTCTCAGTCTTTCTCTTCAAGATAACATATGAGTATGACTCTGGTAGAAACATGACCGGAACAGCGACCGCACCAATGACTATAGTCATAAGCCAAAAGGCCCAACGCCATCCTTTAGCAGGAGCCAAATATCCAGCACAGATTGGGCCAATAGATGGACCAAGAATAATCCCAATGACATAGGCCGACATAGCCTTTGCTCTTCCTTCAGCGGAGACCATATCGGCTACAGAGCCTGGACCCAGAGTGACGGGGCAAGACCCCATTATGCCAGCGAGTAGTCTAAATACAATAAGAGATCCCATACTGTTGGCTACAGCACAGGCCACGTTGAACACGATGAATAGCACGATGCAAGTCTTGTAAAGAATAGCTCTGCCGTAAATCTCCGATAGGGGTGCAATTATGGATGGTCCGAAGGTGTAGCCAATCAAGAAGACTGTAGTCACGAAAGCTCCAAGGGTTTCATCTGTTGAATTGAATTGCTTCATGATGTCGGAAGTCACAGGAGAGCTAATGGTAGAGGTCATTGGCCTGCAGAAATGTTTTAGTCAGTGATGCAATACTATATTCATAGTCTCCATCAAAAAAATGAAAAGGCGTTTCATACGATAGAAGGGTCATCATCGAAACGACCGATATGTTCAAAACCCTTTTCCTCGTGGACCAGTTAAGCGGGTTCGTAGTATCTTCTGGGCCCTCAAAATCGACAACATTGACATCATTTAATTCTTCAGAACCGCCAGCAGAACCGCGCTCAACATCTGTCTCAAGCGAGCTCGCCATTACCGACTCAGGGGATTTATCTTTTGGCTGAATCATCCTGATTCTGGAGTTTGGGCGCAAAATTTGGGGTACAGTGCCCAGGCGACGAGGGGGTAAACGCGGTAGGTAGGAATAGAGAGGATGATTTCATCGATTCAATTGTTATGTGGTTTTTTATAAGAGTTGATAGGGGGCAATCAAACTAGTATAGTATACAAATGAATCTCACTCCGCGGTACATCCGCGGTCAAACGGTGTATGTATTGTGTTGTGGTGCCTTCGCAAACTTGAAATAATCACTCAAGTCCGCGCAACTTCCGCGGACAACCATATCAGCTCATAACCAATAGTTATTATGGAATTTACAATGATTGTAGTATAAGCATAGATACCGGAAGAAAGGCACTCTGGCTAATTGACTAATTTCCTGGTCAGACGAAGGCAGAGTCACCATCTAATTCCTCATGATGTGTCCCACCAAGTTCTGCTTGCTGTCTTCCATCAAGTTCATAACGCCGATCGATAGCATTCATCTCCTGTGGAGCTTTGGCAGAATACAATTATCTGGGGATATTAGATAAATAATATAGAGAAGGCAGAATCCAAAATACTGCATGAAAAGAATCTTGTATACAGAGACAATTTATGCACCTGATGTGTAGAGAGAGGATTATGTAATTTGTTGCCTTGGTGCCTGGATATCTCTCCACGGTCGCCTTCCATGAGAGCTTCCATGTCAAAGGTTCAAGCTTCCCTTTCTCCATCGCTACATCGCTTCATCCTGTTTCCATTTCAATATCACGCCAACACATAGAAAAGTCCTTCCGTCCTCCAGCTTCTCGGATCCTTAGTCAGAATGCCCCGTGCAGTTAAAGGTAAGATGCCCTCTCAACTCTTCAAACTTCATGGCTCTAACCGCGGTCCTTCAGGTCTTCTTATCGAATGCGATCCTTCGATCAAATCCATGATTCTCAAATACGACGAAGAGCGACGTGACTATATTGTGGAGGACTTGGATGATGAGAACCATCTCGTGATCAAAGAGAGCCAGTTGGAAAACTTGAAATTACGGCTGGACAAGGTACGTCCTTGGTGAATTGATTCATCTGTCCCAATGTCTATATTATATCTTCTGTTCAATCAGATTAACCCGCAAGCATAGGACCTTGACGAGAAGATTATGCAACTGGACGAATCCGAATCCGAGTAAAGCGACCGTGGTTATCGATCGGGACATCGGGTCCCCTACAACCCTTCTTCCCTACAGCCTTGTCGCTAGAAATACTTGACTCCTCCAAGAATCCGACCGTGGATCATCGCGCATGAACCTGCCCACGCAAACCCTGATATCGCCCGAGAGAAGTTCTTCCGTTGCTTGTGTCGCAAATGAAGCATCTGGTTGCGCCCCATAATCTGTTCACATCGTACAATCGGTTGTACGGCACCAACCTTCTCAACGCTTCATCTAACAATACAAGCAAGTTTGTGCAACGAAATCTGTCAGTTTTTGATAACGGGGTGGATATGGGCTGTTTTGAAGAGGCTGGTGGGTCTTTGGCATTGTATAAGGAATGAGAGTCAATGGGATAATGGCGCATGCCGTATGTACAATGCAGAGATCTGGGCGCGAATTATGCATTCAAAGTCGAGCTCTCTCACGAATCCACTTTATATCTGCAAGTGGAAATCTCAATCTTTAATGCAGTATACCTTACAGTATGTCCAGTCTGGCGAGATCTACATCGCTCATTGAGCTCATTCAGCCTAAATGGCGGCTATGCCCATAATATGGGTTACTTAAGCATAGAAAGGTGGAGAAGGATCCACAAGTGACTAGCGGCTACTGGCGGTTACTATACACAACAAGATTGATCTCTCACTTTCGACCATTGTTTATATCTGATGATGATTGGAAATCACAACAAACAACCAGAGGATTCTCGCAATGACTGAGATGACAGCTTTATGGAGGCATTCAGACTGCTGTCTAATCCACCTCTATATAAGCCCTCTCACCCCCAACTTCTCCCTTCCATCCATTCATCAACAAACCTCCTGACTCTTCAAAAGCTTCAAGTTCCAAGCTCCGAAGGTCTTCATTCTCAAACAACTTCTCTCAAAGCCATCGACCATGTCTTTTTCTTTCACCCCAACCGCCATCATGGGTGAAATCCCCCACTTCAACCCTCCCCTCGTGCCCGTGTTTCATCCTGCCATGCTCCGTGTGTCTGATGTAGTGGATGGCAGCCAGCATCAGCATCACCGCTCTTCTCAACACGCTTCAGCCTATCGCCATTTCTACCCCAAATTCGATCTGCGTGAGAGTGATGACGCGTTCCACCTCGACGGTGACCTTCCTGGCATCAACCAGAATGCCATTACCATCGAATTCTCCGACGCCCAGACCATAGTCATTAAGGGTCACATTGAGCGCGAGTATCACCGTGCTAACCCCAAGACTACCGAAAGGTCTATTAAGGAGTCTACTGAGGCATCTGAGGACCAAGAGAAGAAAGTCAACAAAAAAGCCCTTCCTCATCGATACTTGGCTAGTGAGCGTACCGTCGGCGAGTTCCGGCGTACTTTCTCCTTTGCATCGCGCGTGGACCAAGATGCTGTCAAGGCCAATCTGAGTAATGGCGTTCTCTCTATTACCATTCCGAAGAATACGGCCTCGGCTAAGAAGATTACTATTGAATAAGCCATGGGACAATTTATTTTCCTACGTTTATTGAGCAATTGCTTGTCAGGCGTGACTGAACACGAGCTATGATATTTTATGATCTTTCGATTGATTTTCATTGAATGGTATTTCGTGACGGAGTTTTAAGGGTTGGCGTTTTTCTGTTTTCTGGTTAATTTCTTTTTATTTTTTACTTCCAGATTTACTTAAAACTTAATCCAAATCAATCGAATATTTGAAATATCCATACAATTCATAAAACATGAGTGTAATTTGTAACAGAATAGTCAATGCATCTGTATAGTATACCTCTATGACACTATACTATATGTAGTGATAAATCTCTAGCTCAACCATCTATTAGTTCTTAATCATTAAAATAAAGCATACACCTTCAACCTAGATTATTCATCGTCTGCCCAATTTCCCCGTCGTGAAGTGGGGCGCGTATCTGCGCACCCGCACTTGAACAGGAGCCGAGGCACATGTCGCTAAGTCGATGTTGCCGAACATCACTTCAACATTTAAACTCTTTTCAACCTTCATAACCACTTTGTGGCTCTACACAAATCAGTTCACAGGGTCATATACAGCCGGATTCCCATATCACAACACCCTCATTACAATCACCACAACCATGGCGCAGGATTACAGCTTCCAACATTTCAATGTTCACTTCCCAGCTGACAGCCCATATGTCGCGCACGTTGAAATCAACAGAGCCAAGAAGATGAACGCTTTCTTCGAAGCGTAAGCAACGAACCTCACCCGCAAACTCATTCCAATCAAAGACCAACCTAACAATAAATAGCATGTGGCTAGAACTAGGTCAGATATTCGCCCGCCTCTCAGAAGACCCCGCCGTGCGCGCAATCGTCCTCACAGGCGCCGGCGATAAAGCATTCACAGCCGGCCTGGACGTCCAAGCCGCATCCGAGGGCTCTATTCTCTCATCAGGAACAGAAGGCGACCCAGCCCGCAAAGCAACACACATCCGTCGCCACGTTGCGGAATTCCAATCCTGCATCTCGGCAGTAGAAAAATGCGAAAAGCCTGTAATAGTCGCGATGCACGGCTTCAGCTTCGGCCTCGCGATCGACATCTCCGTAGCAGCGGACGTGCGTCTCTGCTCCCGCGATGTGAAATTCGCAGTGAAAGAAGTCGATATCGGATTAGCAGCTGACATCGGTACATTGAGCCGACTGCCTAAGGTTGTGGGCAATTTTGGCTGGGTGAAGGATGTAGCGCTGACAGCGCGGATCTTTGGAGCAGAGGAGGCTCTGCGCGTTGGGTTTGTGAGTAGTGTTTATGATAGTAAGCAGGAGACTGTTTCTGCTGCTTTGAAGATGGCTTCGCTTATTGCGAGTAAGAGTCCGGTCGCGGTGCAGGGGACTAAGGAGATTCTGAACTATTCGCGGGATCATACGGTGCAGGACGGACTGCGGTATACTGGTGTTTGGAATAGTGCGGCGTTGCAGACTAATGATGTGAGTTCTGCTCTCTTATCTGGTATACAGAAGCGGACTCCTACTTTTGAAAAGCTTTGAGGGACTTGTTGATTTTTACTGGGCGACAAGCATGTACATAGATTTATGGGAATGAAGTTATAAATTACATGTACACCAATTAAGATACAGGGTATATTGTCGTTGCTTTGGTTCTTAATGTTGTTGATATCCATAACCTGAAACTTCAACACATTTGTCTCGAATCGCCACTTGAAATAATAAACACTGGCAGATGTGCAGATCGTTCAACGACCCAGAAACTCCCTAGTCCTCGAATACAATAACTACCTTATCTTTCCGGCCTCTCTCCCTAGCATACGCCCATGCCTCTTTAGCCTTCCCAAACGGGAATGCCTGCACAGACAACTTTCTCAAAGAACCATCATCAATCATCTCGCTCCCATCCCCTAGCCACTCAGTATTAGGAGAGACAATAAAATGTTCATAACGAACCCTCGGACGATCAATAGATTCAGGAGCCTGACCTCCGCCAAATGCCCAAGCCGGCGCAGGATCACCAACAGTAACGATAACACCATCATCCTTAACACATTCCCACGCCTTAGCTAGCACATCACCTCCCACAGTATCAAACACCACATCAGCCCCTTGAACCTCCCTTTCCCATCCGACGAAGTTATAATCAAGAACCTCATGAGCCCCTAAATCTTTCACCATTTCATGATTCCTTGCTGAAGCAAGAGCAACAACCTCCATCCCATCCATACGCGCTAAAAGTTGAACAGCCATAACACCCACAGCACCAGATGCACCTGTAATAAGCACCTTCATTCCAGACTTCACGCTTCCGTGATCTGTCAAAGCCTCTCTCGCCGTCAAAACGGGAATAGGAAGCGCCGCAGCCTCAGCATGGGAGATCGACTTCGGCTTCAACGCTACCTCATCCGGCAAACAGATAGCATACTCAGCTTGACCCTGGCCTCGATTTGCGCCAAGAAAAGCAAAGACTTCTTGTCCAACAATTAAGGAACCAGTATAGTCTGGTCCAAATTCACAAATTACACCGGATATCTCATGTCCCGGAATACGAGTTGGAGACGCGTATGGCTCAGGCCATATGATTTCGTCGCCTGTTATTCCGGCTGCATGGACGTGGATAAGAATCTGCGAGCCTTTGGGTTTTGGCTTCTCCATGGACCAATTGGGAAATATTTCTGGAGAGGAGATATCGCCTAGGATTTGGACGGCTTTCATTGTGGCTGATGGATTGTTGTTTTGAGGACTGGGTGAAAAGTAGTATTATCTTTTGATGAGCTGCTACTTTGGACTGGATTTTGTATGCTTTCATCTTTTAGCATATCCCGCAAGAGTCCGCTGGAGAGGTAACCGGAGTTTGACTGTATGGTAGATGTTGCGTTGTCGCTGCAGTTTGGATTCCCGGGTTGCCGGGTACCCGCCCGAAGCGTGAAACCGGGACAAGATGGGAAGAATGCATCCTTATCATGATCCTGCGAGGTAGATAAAGTTTAGCTGTCGATTACAAACACTGCCTAGATGAACTTGAATGAAACCTATAGATTCTCGATAATTGAATTTAACCAATGGGTATATTATTTATGATAATCCAAACTAACACTCAATTCTCCCAAGGAATATTAGGATCCAAGCCTCCAATATTATACCATCCACATAAATCCTCTATAGAATCCAAAGAGGGCAACATATTGAGATCCTCACTTGAAGTCCCAGTCTCAGACCCAAATAATCCATATTCATCAGCACTGGAAAGCTCCAGCCCTCCATGGGAATTATTCCGAGCACTCCCAGCGTGCGTCTTTGTTCCTAACCCAAGAACATGGTGGGCAATTTTCTGAATCTCCCGCACATTTCTTGCTGTTCGTGACCACAGTTCAGCAAGCGCCTTGAGACACCCGATAGTCATTCGAATTTGCTCCCTCGCAATAGTCAACTCTTTCCCCTTCAGCAGAAACCTGCAGGCTGATAGCAGGGCCAATGTCCCCTCACTCACCATACACGTAGTAAATGGGGTGTGATGGAAATTTCGAGACGGTAAGGCTAAGAAGCGAATTTGGGCTTCGACAGATCGTAGTACACGAACTGTGTGTACATTAACGAGGTCTGGTGTTGGCGTGTCTAGAGGTGGTTCCCTAGCGCAACTGGAAGCACTTTCCACGGTATTAAATTTAAGGTCTGAGAGTGGTCTATGTAGACCTATCGTTGCTCTAAAGAATGTAAATATTCAGATATCCTCGTGGTAGCAACATGAAGAAACTTACACGTGAATAAGCAAGTGAGCCTGGAATATGAGCTCGTCGATTTCTCCAGTTCTGCTCATGACTTGCTTGTGTTCCTTGGGCAAAAGAAGCATCCACCCATTCAATATAGAGTCGGCAGTTTGTAAAACCTGCGGTGAGTCTTCTTTAGCCGAAACCTTGGGGCCTATGGATATTGCAAATGCAGCGCATCGGACAGCGCTAATAAGATATGCAAAAGATGAGAAGACAATGTCATCAGGAGAGAATTCGCGACAATCAAACTCCTCCAGAGTTTTAGGCTCGGGAATATCCTTCAAAGACTCGGAGTCAGTAAACCATACAGGGGGTTGACGGTAGAGATAGCACATGTGTGCTTACCCCAAGCTCATATTCCGATTCTTCGCAAGGAAGTTCCACCGTAGCATCAATATTAGCAACTTCAAAGTTCATCGTCCCCAGAGTCCCCGTATAATAAGCATCCACAGTGTACAGCATCCACCATGTTCTCCTCCAATTTTCTCGCAATACAAGATCCTGGCCGCCGTGTTTTATTGCAAACTCCCTTTGAAACATTCCCAATTCGCGAGCAGTTTGAATTGCCATATCCATTTGCGATTTTGATTCATCTTTGTACTCATGCCAGAACAGCACCATGGAGTATAAGAGTCGGCATTGGACAATGAACGGATCCGTTGTTAATAGTTGCGAACAGGAGGCTTCAACATGATCCTTCAGCGGCATTGAAAATTCTCGCGATTTATAAACATTTCCAATCAGACGCATAGCAGCAATGATAGGTTTGAGAGAAGGCTGCTTGTTTGGATCTTGATAAACTCGAATCAAATGATTTCGAGGCAATATAAAAGGGTGTAATCCATGAAAGTTCCGATAGTATGAATTAACCAACGAATCACTCTCAATACTACCAAATTCAAGCTGGACTGGTTTCGGAGAACTCTCGCTAGAATCCTGATCTCCAAACCCCACATTCACCCCATTCAGCAATCCATAGCTATTTGAGAGATTCATCTCAATCATTCCCGTCATAAATTCCTGCTGACTTTGAGAACCCGCCGATTGCTGCGGACTAGGTATACCAATTGGCCCTGGCCCAGTCTCATGATCTTCAATCTCCGCCAATCGCTTACGTCTCTCTGACAAGGCTGCTCGATCCAACCCTCCACGACGCGATTGTGCATACTGACAATCCCGAGCGAACTCAGCACAGCGGGTACAGCGTGGTTTCTTGGCGTCACATTTGAGATGACGCGACCGGCAAGGCAAGCATGCTAGCGATGAGCGGCTAACTCGGCCATTCCGCTCTGAAGTGTTTCTGTCGGTGTTCATCCCCGGTCGTGGTAAAATAGTGCTAGTGGATGGCGCTGGGGACGCGTTCGTGTTCGAGCAGTTGTTAAGCTGTAATGCGGGTATCCGGGTATCCGGGTATCCACTCGACGAGCGGGATGATTTTCAATGATTTTCGATCGGAGAACCTAATTTCTACGCTTAGATGTTATCGATCATGAATCGACGATCAGTGTTCCTCATTTGTTCAAAAGGAATCAATTAATGTAGCCTGATGATCATGTGTATCTGCTATTGGTTCGCGATCCCCCGGATCGTCACCAGAAATCTTTTTGAACTTCGTTCTTGATGCCTGATTTAGGAGGCGAGTGCCAAGCCTGATTGTGGAACAAAAACCACCCCACGAACTAGTTAGTATCAAGGAAGAGATGGACGGGTGATGGAAATGCTACTGTGTGGCAAAGTGGAGCAAGGATAGAATGTGTGCGTTGAGCTAAGGACTAGTGCTAGAGATCTGATAACCAGAAAGCGCAAACCAAAGCCGTTCTATACGAGGGTTTCGGTTCCAAGTTCGGAGGGCCAACCTCATTGTAGCTTAGTTAACTCCAAATAGTCGGGGCCCCCAAGACTAAGACCTGTCAAGCAATGGACAAGGCTGGCTTGTAGAGCCACTCAATTAGCGCCATTTCCCCTGCGTTTCCCCTTCATTTCCTCTGCATTCTCCCTCTTAGAGTTAACCAACCTCTATCTTCCGTTATAAACGCAAGCCCATGACTCAGTGTTAAGGTCCAGTCTCGCTCAGAAGGAAGTTCGGAAACAGAACGCGTGCATTTCAGAGAGTGGCAGTCGTGCTTTTTAGTGCGATCTTTGCTGAAGAAAGGAAAACAACTTCGCTCTCCAACATCCGCAGAAGCTGTATCCTCAACCTCAGAACTCAGCACACTCATTCGAATTCCAGCTCTTGAATTATAAGGAAGGCATCCATGGAACCACTAAGAATACTAAAACCAACATATTTCACGTCTATTTGGTCCTGATAACTCCAATAACACTAAACTTTAGTGTTGTAAATTAAAATTTATTATCTTTAGCGTTGTATAGCGAGCTATATAAATGGGATCATATAATATAGTTTATATCATATACTCCGTTTAATCTTAATGCTAGTTTACGTCCCTTTTAAATATCGTCTTTTCATTTCTATAACCAAAAACAACTTAAATATACTTTTATACCTATTCAATCGGCTATCGTGCTTACAGCGATTACTCTTTCACTTTATATTTGCAGTACTTCTCCTACATAAGCTTACCTTTCATAGAAAACTTCTTATCTCTAAGCAAAAGTCCAAACGATCTTAAGTCTATAATATTAGTAATTAAACTGGTTTAAAGCTTTATTGAATATTTGTATTACCTAGTAATAATACCTCTTAAAGCAATTTTTAGTAATTTATACTTTGGATATACTATTCTATTCTAATTTATTGGAAGATAAATATACTATATTATAGTTACTATAAAATAGACTACACCCTTACATTATATAATCTATCGATACTAATCAGCTAAAGGGATTATTTTTTTTTATAAATATTAATAACTACCTGTGGATATAAAATTATCTGCCAGCCCCTTACCATTTTCTCAAAATAACCAGTTACCCCTTTAAACTAGATCCGCTAACTTCTTCTAAGGATATATTCTTGAAGGGATTCTTTCAGAGAAGCAATTGGAAAGTTTGGCTGTACGATACGATATAGATCCAAGCGCTGATCTACGATATTCTTATGACATCTTGTGCTTGTAATTGAAAGAGTATGTAATATGTAACCAGAGCATAAGTATAGTTGTATTATCCTGACTGGGAGACGCTTACAGGCGCTGATGCTATGGCCGTTTTCAGCCTCCTGATATGTCGAGTATTTATTTATCCCGACGGTTGTAAGAACTTCCCATGAGTACTTCTAGCCAAGGCTCGGCATGATTCTCAGACCATAGGTGCGGCTCTCGTCTTACTTCTCGGTGCCCGCAGGTGCACATAGTAGGAGTAACCCAGATTTGACACCTTATACTGTTCCATGATCAACGGCATTATGGCTAAACGCAGATTGGCTTCATAACCTTGAAGGATTCAAATTGGGAGTGGGGTCAATAGTTACACATATGCTTCCGTGGTGGGGGCTAGGCGCGTAATTATTGCTTCGGGTGGGAGAAATCAATGCTGAAATACAACGGATAATCCTCATCTGAGAACTGTAAGAAAATTCAGAGAAGTCTTTAAAACATTTGAATGCAGATCTGCACAAAGAAACCAGTGAGGCTGGCGCAGCTAGATGTTGTTTCGGTACGTCCTGATGTCGGCCTTGTCATGTTCCTCATCTCTATTACCAAATGGGGTAAATTTAGAAACAACATGGGAATTAAAATCCATCAAATCTAGTCTCTGGGAGGATCTCAGAGACGACCCCAGGTGATCCAATGATTTATTGGCTTTGCTCTGTCTGGGCTGGCGCTGACCCTGCATGAAAAATCATATTTGTGTACTTAGCGTGGGCGCTAACTGAAACCCAGTGGGCGAACAATAGCATTTCAGCCTCCATCTTCACGTTTCATTTATAAAGTTTCACTCGCAACATCCTCTACCTAAATTACATCCCTGCATCTCTGCGCGGGAGTGATAATGTACCTTCGGCATGCCTGCCGCATCCACTCCTACGATAACTTCATCTCTGGCAACTCCGACTCGTCCTCTTTGTCCAAGCAAATATTTCATCGCTACCAGCAGAACATATCTCATAGAAGATATTTCCTCCCAGATAGTGGGATTATGCTGCCCGACGTATGCTATACTGATCTTATGATGTACAAACCTAGTGCTAATCAAAGTGGCTTTCCAGAGGCTACAATGCTGAACCTTCTGAATACTTACAAGGTTCCTCAACGATAACCACAACATTATGCATATCAAAAGTCCCAATGACCCCTATATCTACACCTGGGACTATTTCAAGTAATACAGGGATTACAGAAACCCCAAAAGCGAATGCCAGTTATGTCTATAGCGATTCTGTGTCGATAACGTGGAGCTTGAGTGATCGCTCTACTGCTTCATCAGTGTCTAGTACAAGTCATTCAATTTTGTCAACAAGTGCACAAGCTGGCATTGTAATAGGAGTTACCAGGGGAGATTTACTGCTGTTTATATTTGCTTTTAGTTTATTTTTTCTCCGATCACGACAAAGAAACACCCCAAGACAGACCTTTCTAAAAAGGAGAAGCATCTCGGCAATGAGGAGTATGGGCCCACAACGATATCGAACCCTATTCGAGCCTCAAACTGGACATGCTGGAGATCAATGGCTCTCGACACATGGTTCTACGAGACGATTGCGATATGCTTCAGTCTCATATGCTTTATCACGATCTTTCTCATCCTAGAGGTATGTGATTTCGGAGGCTAGCTAGGACAAAAGCCTTTATCAAATACTAAAGATTCACAGATCTACAATCAACAGCCAAAACCAACACTTTCGTATGGACTTACCTTGATGCAGTCATTGCAGCAGTCGCAATAGCTTCAAAATCGTTGTTGCTATATGTTGTGGGCGAGTGCATATCCCAGTTGAGATGGATCTCTTTTCAAAACTTCCCGAGGCCACTATCTCACGTCCAAATATACGACAGCGCCAGCCGCGGACCATGGAGCGCTATTCAAATAATGTTCCATGATAAATTTCGCTCCCTAGTAACCATTGGTGCTTCAATAGCGCTTTTAGCACTCGCATTTGGGCCTTTCGTTCAACAAATAATCACATACCATATCAAGGAGACAGAACATCCCTCAAATGCGACTAAGATCAAGCAATCGCGCTTCTTTATACCCGACTATGAGAGTCTTGACTACGTATCGGATTTTCAAAATGCATTTTGAACGAGTGATTTCAGTTATGATCTACCTTGCCCGTCAGGTAACTGCAAATGGCCAACATTTCAATCGGTTGAGCTATGTAGCAAATGCGATGATGTTACCAATACCGCGCAGCTCCACGGGTGCGATACTTCTTCAGTGAATCTTCAAGTCGACGTTGAAGTCGATCAAGGTAAGGCAAGTTATTTTCCGTGTAATGTTTCATTACCTGATGGAGCATGGTCGCAGACACCAGTGGAGGTCGACATCCTCGGTAACTCCAATGGCCTGAAGCAAGTCACTTTCGGCTTTCCCCAGGACTTTTGGCTTCTTGTTCATCAGAATCTCTTGTCTGTCGTAGATGGAAATTATCATTTCTCCAACAAAGCATATTTAGGTGTGCAAAACCCTATACTTGTGTATGGACATTCCCAAATCACCCTCGAGAGCAATTGGACCAATGCAAGCTTCCGACACCCCGTGCTGGCTCCTCGTATCGAGAAAGTCACTGAGTGTCTCTCGTCGCTCTGTCTAAAAACCTATAACATGTCAGTCAACGACGGAATTTCATCAATTACGGAGTCAGAGCCCAACTTTGGCTCATTTTGGGTCCAAAGAGAGAAGAATGTGCTAACCACCATTGGTCTAGATCTTACCACCATATGCTGGAAAAAAGATTCAGAGCCTTTGACAGATCTGACCACGATTGTTTATATAAACGATACTATGGAGCTCATAAACGCTGCCCAATTCGAATTTTGCGACTATGATGTCTTTGGTCAATATTGTTTGTTGTGTTTTCCTTAGGAGAAAAATAAAAACAAAAACAAAAAAAATATGAATTCTTTTTAAAGGTTTCATTTCGAATACTATAATGTAGTATATGTCCCCATGTCAGTTTACGAGACTGGGGAGTTACACCAGATTACATAGGGCCGATCTTCGAGTTGCCCGCTTTGTACATTTCACCCCCTTGCAAACACCCGATTGGCCCCCAAAGTCTACTAGTATGACATGGCTGACTCCGAATTACTCCGACCGCTAACGTTATCGTAAGCGGGACTTTGCTTTGCATCCAACGTCAGAGCCAATTTGTGAGGCTCCAAGATCCTTGCCGCTGATCAACACTGACGTGAGGGTCCATGGATACAAGTGTCCAGTTCACCAGCGATAAAGCCAACCGGCGTCGCACTCAGAATCGTCTAGCTCAGCGCAAGTTCCGCGGTAAGTAACGAGTATCCGACACTATGTATCAAGGCTCATGCTGATCGAAAGCTTGATAATAGAGAAGAAGCGGAGAATAACAGACAATCATGATGCTGATGTGCATACGACTCAAGAGATAGCTGAGACTTTCAATATAGCATCTCAACCGACACCAACTACAAATAATTCATCTTCATCTGCCAATTCTTTGCCTTCGGTCGCAAATGCAACTGAACTTGCTGGAGCTTTGTCTTCAGATGAGATCCCTATCATCATTAATAGTCCAGAGCCGATAGATAACTTCGATTTCAATTTCGATCCAATAAGCCAGCTATTGAATGAAACCAATGATCAGAACCTCTTTCAGTTACTCGATCAATCTCACAGCGCTATTGATGACCGCCCATCCCGTCATACAATTCCTGGCTCTGACATTCGCCAAAGCAGTCCAGGTTCTCAAATAACACAACCTCGCAGTGCCGAGGCAATGTTCGGACTCATTACATCGGCAAGGAGTGACAAAGGATGGATCAGCACACTTCACATCGCCGCTCAGAAGGGCCACGAAAATATTATTCGAATGCTTTTGCTCCGTAAGAACAGCGATGTAAACAAGCATGACAGCGACGGTCGGACACCCTTGATGCACGCGATAATTGAGAACCATAAATCTGTGGTCGGCCTTTTGCTCTCTCATGGCGCTATCATTGGTCTGTCTGATTGTGACGGTCGCAGTGCACTGCACTGGGCTGTTTTATATCAGCGAACCGACATACTCCACATATTGCTCGAACATCACGCCAAGTACGAGCGCAGCTTAGATATTGATGCCCCTGATAATAAGGGCTGGACTCCACTGCATATATCTGTGACTAGGGCCTTTGAAGATGGAGTTTTGATTCTGCTCCAAGAAGGAGCGGACATCAATGCTATAGCACACAAGTGTCCATATACCGGCAAAGTGATGCCGTCAGTGGATAGACAGTCTTAATCTGGTACTAGTACCTCATGGAGCACCAATCTTTCTCAAATTTTCGGCATGAACATAGCTGTTTAGTACTTACCGTCGGAAAGTTGCCTTTATAGTTATATCATTACCTTCTTGTGTATCATTATATGTTAATTGGAGCTGTTTTATTAGGCATTACAGCACTATTAAACACACTTGTCCGTAAATGATAGTTGAATCTTAGTTTCAAGGGCGTCTCTAGGAATATCATTGTCTATTGAAGCTAGGGTTGAAAACAGATTGAAAACAATCGACGTTACTGCTCGTTTGTTTTACCAAGGTTCCTCCACGACACCATTGCCATCAAACTTGTACAGCTTTCCACTGTGGGTTTCCAGGGTAGATGCATCGATGAGTTTAACCATCCCAGCAGCACTGTCTTCCACGGTAATGACAGCTTCCTCAAGCCCAAAAGCTTTGGCGCCTCGATTTCCAATAGCAGTCTGAACCCAGCTGTTTGCCGGTTCGAAGGTCAGCCTTGCACGCAGAGATTCTTTAGGCTAGTATATGAAAAACGTAAACGTACCCTGGATCAATAGAGAATGCGTTCAACCAAGAATCTTCAACGGAGATTGCCTTGGTATACCAATGCTGAACGACCTTTGTGGGTGCATATGCTGCATTCTGCATGGGAATAAAGTTCCTAGTATGGATGGTTAGTATAGTTCACTTCCGACCAGGCCTTGGCTTTAGTGGTTGCGATGAGAGCCAGAAGCTTGGTACCGATAATCAAAACTCACTGTAGACAATATATATTAGTACTTGATGTATTTTACAAAGTATACGAATTGGACCCACCGTCAAAAAAGCAGAACCAGAGCCAATAGTTACCCATTTGGGCGCAGCCGCCTCCTCAAGGACAGACCGTAAAGCCTGATAAAGATGAACAAACCCGAAAATATTGACATCAATGTGCTTTTGAATATGTTCCACCTTCACCTCAGCTACCTTTGGCCAAGAAAGGGCGATTCCGGCGTTGGCGATCAGAATGTCAATATGAGTAATTCCCCTAGTAGCTAATTCCTTGACCGCTGCACCGGCGTCTGTAGGAGACAAAGCATCGAATTTGACCACCTCTAAGGTGGTTCCTTCTGCTTTCGGGAGATCTGTCAAGGAAATCGAGGTTGGATGGTTGGGGTCGCGGTTTGCGGCGATCACGGTGTGGTTCGGCTTCTTCAAGTACAGCTCCAGCACCCCTTTTCCAATCCCACGATTGGCGCCTGTGATGAGAACAATATTAGAAGACATGGTGCGATTTGAATGTCCCTATTAATAATAGAATAATCTGAGGTCCAAAGTGAAGATGGTAAAAATATGAGAATAAAAGATGAGGAAAGGAGAGAATAGGTCACGATAGATATTTTATATTCCTCAATCCTTCAAGTCGAGATGAAATACTATTTCTAATCGACTTCTAATTACCAAGACAGATTGTTAATCTCTATTCCTGCAAGGTCATGTTTTATGGGGTTGACAACTCCATACGCGGCCGACAAGACTGCTACTATCTGGCAGACAGCACTAAGTCTGCTACATGTAGATCCCTAGTCTTCTGATTGGTCAGAACTTCGATATTCATGCAAGGTAAGCACTTTACTGTGGGTCAAAAAATAAGCAGCGAAGAATAAGCAGTAAGCTGTGAAGATCATCCCCATAATCAAGGCATATTTTACTTGAGAATCCCTAATTTTTGTTAAAGCAACGTTCTTATGTGCTGTGCTAGTATCTGTCAAAACCGAACCTGAATATTATTCAAACACCTCAGCATGTGGTTGAGTATTCAATTCAAGACCCAATATACCGGTCATCATCTGGACACGACTCTTTGAGACATATCCAATCTCTTTCGGTTACAAAGTTTCTATTGTCATCTCAAACATAATCTTGGTGAAATCAGTACGGGGTTCCAAAATTCCTCTGAGCCCGACCTTCGCCACCTAGCACGGCTAAGTTTAGTTCGGCCGCAATGGTGCAGGGACTCGGGAATCCAATGGTTCAGTACTATCCCAGCATATTACAGCAAATCTACCATGTGGTTTAAGTCTTGATCACTTATCTTGAAGAGGTCATTGTCTACAAAACCCAATCAGGCACCCTGCCTGGACGGAAACAAAATGTCTCTGGCTTACCATGGGGCCGGTAAGTTCCTTAGGGCACGTAGAAAAAGTTGCCGAACCGTATTGCTAAGCGCCCCCATCTGGGAAAATCTCGATATAGGCGCACCTGGATCCGAGTGGAGCCATATTTCGGCTTATATTTCCTTCATTGACTTCACGTTCCTGATAAGCCCCGCGCCACGTGGAAACCTCAGGCTTTTGGTGGAAAATTGCCTAGCGGCATAATTTCTTCCGTTAACTATCTAATTAGCTTCACTAGGGACGCTGCACCACTCCACGGCTTTTATTCGTGGTTTAATCCGTCGCAGAATATTTTCCAGCCATACGGAGTATTTAACGTGCACTCGAACACAATCTGTGGGTGGATGTTTGAGTTTCCCCCCTTATCTTTAAAGGCGGGTAACATGTACCTCTCTACGCAGTACCTCGTAGAGCCATGTGAAATTTGCGATGATGCTAGACTTTGTACTACACAGGGCTCAAAATTAATAATAAACCGGCTGTAATTCGGCTTTTGTCACGTTCTCATCTCTGGCCGCCCGTCATCTATCAAATAGGATCATTTATCGTTTATTGGCTCGGCTTTTTCCTCTCGAACCAGCCACTATCGAAATACAGCAACAGGAGGGCCACCATGTGGCGCAATTTTGCAGCCAGGAATAGCGAAATAAGATCTTTGAGGCTCGGAGATGTCCTGAATCGGGTGGGTGGAGTCGCGTATGGAGATCGACCGGCTGGCAGTGAATTGGTCAGATCAGACATCACGGACAAAGCCGTTGCCACGATCAACGTACGCGGCTATCGTTCAGCTTCTATCCCGCCTCGATATTCCAATGCCATGGGTCTGGAATCGTCCAGAACCCATTTTGTATGGCTCGGCCTGAAAAGCTTGTTGTTCCTTGCATTTATGGATATCCTCGGGTATTTATGCCAGCGAGGAGCAAATATGGTGGAAATAGCAAGCCTCTTTGAAATTCTATGATAGTATCTCATTGGAGGCAAAATTCCCCTCTTCTTGTAGCGGCGTTTTTGAACTATATAACCCTGCTGATCTACTAGTAGCAGTAGCGTGGTTTTAAATTTATAACATTGGCTCCTTGATCTTGCCAGAACAGCACCGGTAGAGACAATCAATTGTCCAGGTCTGATACCTGCAGGTGGTCGTTCCAAGTGCCTCCATAGGCTTGTCAGGATGCGCCTTCTCCCTGTTCTGGCCTTCGCTGGTCTAACTGTAGCAGCTGCGACACCCGTGTCCACAGTTGCAACGACTACTAGTACGGTCTCGTCCGAATCCGAGTGCGAGTGCGTTTCAACTTCAACTTCTACGTCCAGTTCAACTTCTACGTCCAGTTCAACTTCTATGTCCAGTTCAACTTCTACGACAGCTTCTCCCAGTGAGTTAGCCCCTAAGGCTTATTTAAAATTACAGATCTTTGCTAACTTCAAAGAAGCTTCCTCCACTGCTGTTACCGTTGCCGCAGATGGCAGTGGTCAATTCACCGCCATTGGCGATGCCATCGCATACGCTCAAAGTAACGGAATTCCCACCGTCACGGTCTCTTCAGGCACCTACACCCAGACGGTCACCATCTCGGCAACCCCCACTGTGACTGTCATTGGTCAAAGCGGCAATGAAGATGATTATTCCAGCAATGAAGTTACCATAACCAATGATGTCACTGTCCTGACTATCAACAATAATGTCAAACAAGTGAGCTTCAAGAATATCAACTTCTTGAATACCGGATCTGCCTACGGAGCAATGATCCTGAAGGGAAACCAATACGCGTTCTATGACTGTCAAATAGTTTCAACTGGATCTTTGGGAATTACGGCTAGCGTGGGTCTCGGTGTGGTGGCCAATTCTTATATCGAAGCCCTCGACAAGGTCATCTATGGTTCCGCCAGTGTCTACGTTTACAAGACCGACATCGTGCCTGTTGATAGTTCTGCCCTTATTACCTACATGAAGGGCACTACTTACACCTCCACATCGGTTCTCTACAACTCCACTGTTGTCTTCGATCACGTTACTGTCGCTCAGAAGTCGGGGGTATCTAACAAAAATGTGTACCTGGCTGCGGCGAATGGGGCTGGTACTGTTGTCCTCTACCGCAACTCTGCCCTAGGAAGCCTCATTGCTGCCAGCGGCGCGCATGTTGACACTAGCTCCCAGGATGGCTACAACCTTTTTGCAGAGTATGCCAATACTGGCTTGGGGGATTATGCCAACAACGCGGCTTCTCGAGCTACGTACATGTCTGTTTTGGATTCCTCAGAGGTATCGGACTACAGCATGTCTGCTGTTTTCGCCGCGGCTTACCCCTCTTACGCGTCCTCCGATGTTAGCTGGGTCGACTCCTCGGTTCTTGATGCCATCGAGAGTGCAGATGCCATAGCAACATCAACATCCGTTTCTTCAAGTACAGCAGCTGCGACAACTTTGACTACCGCTGCTGCTACTACCTCGACTGCCCCGAGTGCCACCTCTTCGTCCACTAGCACAACTTCATCTGCCGCTCTGGCCTCATCCACCTATGTAGTGGATAAGAATGTTGGGCCTTACAAGAACATCACTGCTGCGATCGCGGCTCTCCCTAGTGACAGCAACGAATACACCATCTACGTCAAGGCTGGTACATACAACGAGCAAATCTCTGTGACTCGTAAGGGGTTGACAATCATCCGTGGTGAAACTGACTTTGAGAATGACTACACTCAGAACACTGTCACTGTTGATTACTCTAATGGTGTCTTGACAAGTGCTGGCGAGGATGAGACTACCCCAGTCGTTAATGCCAAGAACAGTGATGGAAAGGGATTAGCTCTTTACAACATCAATTTCCAGAATACCTACCCTCAGACATCCAACACTGCTGCTCTAGCTGCTGATTTCTATGGCAATGTTCAAGCATACGGATGCTCCTTCATTGGTTATCAAGATACTCTTCTGGCCAACAAGGGCACACAGGTATTTTCCAACTGTTACGTGGAGGGTTCCGTTGACTACATTTGGGGATTCTCAACTGCATACTTCTACCAGTCCGTCATTGCTGCGAACACTGCCGGTGCTAGCATTGCGGCAATGAGTCGTTCTTCTGCAACTGCCACGGGCGGCTACGTATTTGACAATTGCCTTGTTACCTACACGTCCACATATGGTAGCACTTATCAGGATACTTGGCTCGGCAGGCCTTACTCCGAATACAGTATTGTCGTCTACATGAACTCATACCTGGATAAGCACATCAACCTAGCTGGCTGGCACATCTGGTCGACTAGCTCTCCTCAAACCGACTATGTCACCTTCGGAGAGTTCAACAATACCGGACCTAGTAGCTGGTCTAGTAGCCGTGCCTCATTTGCTACAAACCTGACTGCCACTGAGGCCGAGACCTATACTCTCACTAACTGGATTGGTGATACCTCTTGGCTTGACATGGCTGCCTATGGTTACATCCCATCTTACAGCTTGACTGGAGATTCTACCACAACGGCTCCATCCACTACATCCAACACCAATTCCACATCGACTTCAACCACTTCTTCTACTGCGACGGCCACTTGGGCTCACCCTACAAGCGGTACGTTTCCTCCTACGGGAGCCGTTTTAGTTGATGTCTCTGGCACTGTTGATGGAGCTTACAGAAACCTTACCGATGCTCTGGATTCTCTCCCAGATGACAGCTCGACCCAGGTGATTTTTATGTATGCTGGAACCTATGACGAGCAGGTGCCCTCGATTGACCGAGATGGCCCAGTCATGATTATTGGGTACACCACTGGAAACCCAGGCCAAAGCTATGCCGATAATAAGGTCACAGTCACCTTCTCCCGAGGACTTTCTGTTTCCCCTCTCCCAACCGGCCACTCCGATGCTGAGACTGCAACTGTCTCTACTGCCTCCACCCAGATTGCTTTCTACAATGTGAACATTGTCAACTCTGAAAATCTTGACGGCTCAGAATCTTCATATGTCACGTTAGCCGCTTCTATCTACGGTAACCATATTGCGTTCTATGGCGTCTACCTCCAGGGTTGGCAGGACACTTTACTAACTGGAGCCACAACCGGATATCAATACTACGAATCGTCGTATATTGAGGGTGCCATCGACTTTATCTGGGGCTACTCGAAGGCCTATTTCAAGGGATGTACAATTGGTGCGAAGAGGGCCAAGTCGGCAATGACCGCACAGAGCAGGGCTTCGTCCAGTGCGATCGGTGGATACATCTTTGATCAAACATTGTTTACTGCTGCTGCCGATGCCACAGTAGACCTCACAGAGACTGTTTACCTTGGACGTCCTTATTCCGAATATGCACTGGTTGTGATCAAGAACTCTTATATGACCGATGTGGTCAACCCATCTGGATGGAAGGTCTGGTCTACCACTGATCCCCGTACGGATTATATCACATTTGCTGAATTCAATAACTCTGGACCTGGCAACTGGGAAAATAACGAGGCCGCTCGTGAGGCTTTTGGCTATGCCACTCTTCTCAGCGAGGATACATACTCTTTGGAGACTGTCATGGACTCTACCGATTGGATCGATATGACATATTGGGACTCCATTGACACGCCGACCAGTGTATCTGGAGTCAGTGCCGTATCCACTGCAACAGCGACAGCAACCGCTACATCTAGTGCCACAGCCAGTGCCGCCTATGATGGAACAACTCCTCCCAATGGTGCCTACATTGTATCCAAAACCAGTCTGGGATCAAACACCACTACCTACGACACCATCCAAAGTGCCCTTGACGCCATTCCTACCTCATCAAAGATAACACCCACGATCTTCATTTACCCTGGAACATACGAAGAACAGTTGGTTATCAGCAAGTCTGGATCTGTTGTTTTGGTCGGATACTCGGACTCCACTTATGATTACAACAGCAACCAGGTCACTATCCAGTACAACCACGGCATCGATACTCAGGCAGATGAGTCTAACTCCGATGGTGCAACTGTTTATGCTACCGGCAACTACTTTGAAGCCATCAACATCAACTTCGTCAATAACAATGGCACAGCAAAAGATATCGCAACTCTTGGATTTGCTGTAAAGTCAAGCAAGTATGCTAGTCTCTACGGTTGTCAAGTTAAAGGTAATCAAGATGCCTTGCTTATCAACGGATACCTCTGGATGTCAAATGGTTATGTTGAGGGCAATATCGACATGATCTGGGGCAGTGGTGCTGCTTATTTTCTAAACACAACCATCTCTCCTAACGAGGATGATATCAACCTGACAGCAGACAAGCGCTCCACCAGCACAACCGCCGGAGGACTTGTTTTTGACCAATGTACCATTGTTCCTTCCACTGGTGCAGGAACTATGTCAAAGATCTCCCTCGGTAGACCATGGAACTCTTATGCCCGTGTTGCGTACATTGACTCTTACCTTGACTCCTGTGTTGAGGCTGCTGGATGGAACCAGTGGTCGTCCTCTAGTCCGAACACCGATGGTGTTGCTTTCGCTGAGTATGGCAACTATGGCCCTGGCTCTAGTACAGCTAGCCGTGCTTCATTCACGACCCAGCTCAATGACACTGGAGTTGTTCAGTTTGAGCTGGCCAACTTCTTTGCCACTACTTCTTGGATTGACTTCACCCACGTTGATGGCACACCATTTGTTCCTGACACCACCACGTCTACCGTTATTTCTTCTGCTGCCATTTCTACTGCTTCCTCTACCCTTACTTCAAGTACAGTTGTCACAGATACTGTCACAGATATAGTTACTGTGAAGACTACGTCGACATCCGACATTCTGTCTACCGTCACACCAACTGATAAGACCTCAACTGTCAAATCCACCATTACTGTGACAATCACCCCCGATGCTGTTACAAAGACTACAACTGAGAAGTCAACGATCACTAGCATGGACACAATTACCGAGCCCACTACGACAACTACTAAGACCTCAGTGGTCACAGTTGATGTCGGTACAACAATCACCCCCGATGCTAAGACCGTCACTATGACAGACAAGTCCACATCTACAGACACTGTAACTGTTACTGGCAAGGCGGCCACAAGCACTGTCAAGAGCACCATTTCTGCGACATCAACTGTCACCGTTAAGGTGTCTACTGTTACCAACACGGAGACAGCTACAACCACTAGTATTAATACCACCAGCGCCAAGGGGACCACGACAACGTCTACTACAACAGTGACCACTGGCACTGGTGGAACAATTACTATCAGCACCAAGGCCACGACCGAAACAGTTACCTCATCATCCACAAAGACAGCTACTAAGACTACAACGACAACTGTCAGCTGCGACGCCACGCTCAGAAAGTTCAAACGTGATATATTGCCCCGGGATGTCATTGTCACTGTGACAGCCTATACTACTGACGTCGATGTTGTGCTCAAGACTACCACCACAAAGCTCCCCAGCGCGACAGACTATGTCACCTCTGTCGCCACAAAGACAGCCTCCGTTAAGGCTTCAACTATCACAGACACTATCACATCTGTCGCAACTAAGGTCTCGGCTACTACTATCCCAGCCGTTACCTCCACTGTCACTATTGTTGATACTACATCTGTTGGCAAGGCTACCACTCTGAAGGCATCAACTGTCACAAGTACTGTCACCTCCGCAGTCGAGAAGGCCACAACTGTTACACTTCCGGGCTCCACAACAACTACTACTAGTCTAAAGACCACCACTGTGAAGAGCACTCTTTCACTTCCTGAGTCTACTGTGACCACCACCAAGACTACTACTGTCAAGAGTACCAGCACTATCCCAGCCACTACCAGAACTGTTATCAAGACCGTAACTGTGACTAATAGTCCCTCTGTCACTATTACCGAGCGTGCTACTTCTACCTCCACCAAGATTAACAGCACAACGACAACTGTGACAGCGACTGCAACGAAGACCGCCAAGTGCTCTTAAGTGGGACACTTTCCGTGAAGCAGCACTCGCCCTTAACTCCTTTTTGCTTGTGTTTGAAGCCCAGGTGCTATAATAATAACGAAAACTTCTTGGACTATATACTGTTACTAGGGTTTATCTCAGTTCTTCACACCGATCGTTCAATAAATGCAAATATTAATATTAAATTCCAAACGTTAAACGTCAAGTTAGAACCATGATTACATCAAAGGATTTAGAAATCTAAAGCTCCGGCAAATTCTATGCAGTCGCCTCCTGAGCCTGAAGTTCCAACTGCTGTTTCACAACACTGTCAATAATGGTCTCGGGCGAGCGCCACTTGATACCAAGAATCTTCTCAGCAGCGGTGGGATAAACCTCCCAGTTTCCAGTGAACGGAGGCTGCAACTTGGATCCCAGAGAAGGATAATTCTCCTGAACATACTTCCCAGCTTCTTCCCAAGAGTTGGCAGGGTGCGAAATCAAAAATTCCGTACCGTTTGCAGCATCCGCTTGCAAAGCCTTCACGTGGGCATCGGCCACATCACGAACATGCACCCACACGTTACCGATCAAGGGCTGTTCACTGCGGAAGGAGTTATAGAAGAAATTGTTCATTCCAGTAAGCCCGGCAGCAGTCTTCTGGTTGAGGTCTTCACCGAGTACGAAAGACGGGTGCAGAGTGAAGATCTTGTAGTGCGGGTTTTCGGTCTTCAGGAAGTCACGAGTTGCCTGGTGAGCTTTGATCTTGGACACGGCGTATCGTATTCCGTGGCCTGCAAAGCCTTCTCCGAACTTCATTTCTGGGTCGACGTAGATCACTTCACCGGTGTTTTCTGTATTTTATTGTTAGTATAAGGACGGAGTTGATTAACTTTGAATCAAGAGAGTTTACCCTTTGCGACAGCCACGTTGGAGATCAGAGCATCGGGAGGTGTGAGTGAGAGAAGAGAAGACACGATGACCACCTTCTGGATTTTCGGGTGTGCTAATGCGGCATTGAGCATTGACAGGGTAGCTTTGACAGCTGGGATCACATAGTCACGCTCCAAATCATCACCACTTCCCGGCATGGGAGAGGCAATGTGGTAGACATAGTCGACATCATGGAGTGCAGCCTTCAGACTATCAATGTTGGATAGATCCGGAATAACGGCTATCTCGATATCGCTGTTGAACTCGGCATACCGCTCCCTGAGGCCAGCTTCTTGCTCGGCTTTGCGAATTGCCAGTCGAACCCGGTATCCGGCTCTCAATGTTGCAAAGACGACGTGAGCTCCGATGAATCCGGTCGCACCGGTGATGAAGACCAGAGACTTAGACATGGTGATTGTTGGTTATTGGTTGTAGGTTGTTATTTGAAAATTTAGTTTCTTAATTGAGACTTGAGAAGCTTGCTTGTTTGGTTTGAATTGTGTCCTTTAATCCGGTCTACAACAAGAACTTATACCTTGGGATTGGAAAAATCCATGACCGTGACAAATTGCATGATTACCAACATTCGCGTTTCGTCGCTGTTCCAATTTGAATTGATCGCGAAATGTGGCAAGTGGCTTTTTCGTCATCTTTTAGAAGCACTTGGCTTGTAAGATGGCAAAGTCCTTGAATCATCATAAAATTAAATGTTGAATAATCATTAATGTTGAATAACTAATCATTGATGCTGAATAATTATGCATGTTGAATAATCGGAAAATCACCATTGGTCATGCTCGGACACCAACATCTAGACATACCACTGTGCACCCACAAATTCGAAAACATCAATAAGAATGAACCATGTCTTCGTTCGCTGTGGTATTCATCCGATAGCTCTTTCAATTATACTTACCTTGTCTTGCGAAAAAGAAAACTGATTATTATGAACTCCGATCTTGCTCGGGCAACGGGATGTAACAATTCTGTGACATGACAGGGAGTCGGTTGAGCTGATGAGATGGAGAGTTATAAAGTCGAAATGGATCCAGAGTTCACTCAAATCCAATCTCGCTTCCACAACCTTATCTATAATCTACAATCTTCAACGCCACAATGCCCCTCTGGCAGATATACCACCCCGCCGGCACATTCCAGGATAATGCATCCAAGCAAGCCTTCGCAGAAGACATCACAAAGATGTACACCGAGGACCTCGGTCTACCAGCCTTCTACGTGGTAACTCAATTCCATAGGATGGACAACGCCGACGTGTTTATTGGCGGGAAGACAAAGACTACCACTGAAAAACCATTTGTTCGCGTGGTCATCAATCACGTCGCGGTCCATGTACCTGATGAGAATGCCGCGTACCTCCGTACTACGTCTCGTCTTGACGCTATTGTGAAACCTCATTTGCTGGACAGGGGGTACGACTTTGAGTACCATGTTGATGAGACTGAGAGACGACTTTGGAAGATTAATAGTTTGATTCCACCACCTTTCAAGAGTGCCGAGGAGAGGATTTGGGTTGAGAAGAATGAGGTGTTGCCTTATGATGGTGCTTATCCGCCCAATTAATCGAGATATATCATTGGATAGATAACTGTGCAGGACTGAAAGCTATGATGTTGACTGAAATGAAGTGTAAAGATTGGTTCTATAACGGGGGTATGATGATGCAACGTTGACGGGCATAGTATAATGTTTACTCCGTGATTCGCGGCACTGTTTTACTATCCCCCAAGAGATTATGACCGTCAAGAAATCAATAAACCGCCGCAGCTTCTCATAATTTAATACGATTACCTCTAATAGCTGTTATCGCTAAGATGGAAGGAGCTCTCGATCACTACCTTTTGTGCGCTTGGTGTGATCCAAGAGAAAGTCTACGCGACCGTCAGTTTTGACCATTTAAAGGGGACTTTTCTAGAATGAAACATAGATTGACTTGACCTTCTTTGGCAGTTCGAACCTTCGGAGCGACCACAGAGCTCCCATCACATCTTGGTACGTGGCGTATCAAAATTGCATTACGTTTTATTCATTTAGACGCATACAACATCCTTTCAGTTCACGACTTCTGCTGGCACAGACTGATGAAACATTTCGATCAACCTCCTTGTCTTGAAAAGCTGATTAGGGTTCGAAAATAACACGGATCCCAAGATATAGAGGTCGGCTCAATACATACTTTTCGACGTGTTTTTATTAATATAGCTAATATTCAAAAACCACATCCATCGAAGATCACGGAGAAGTATAAATTGTTCAAAACTCTTTTTTTATCATCTTCATTCTACTTCTTTCTTGAAGAACTCGAACATCCTTTCTTTTAACGGAAACACTGAACGCCTTGACGCAAAAGTATACACAAAGACAGGAACCTTACACAACATCAATCCTCTCCGACAAGCCACATCATCTATACATCTCATCAACATGGCGCCGGTAAGTCTCACCTCAGGTCTCTATAATCAGGATTATAAGAATGATTCTAGTGGTATCAAGATTCTGGAGTGTTGTCATTTCTACAGGATATGCATGCAGTGACTCTTTAAACCCGGGAATTCGCCGCTTATCACAGCAAACTCTACATTCGGCTCGGTCGCGTTGTGCACTGAAAGCTTGAACAACCCCTCATAAGTTACTAATATATCGGCGCTTCAAGATTGCAAAAGGCCAATTATCTCCAAGATTTGTTCCCTCTGAACAGAGTGTGGACGGTGCAGCGTGATATTACGGAATCCGTTGCACAGATGGGACCTCTGTAGTAAGCAATGTAAACAATGAGGATCAAAGTAACCCGCGGACAAAAACACAGACCAACGACAGCCCGGCGGTACGTTAGGCTTCGATGTAACTGCGGCAATTATAATGAAGGTTTCTTTGACATCTAGAGCTTGAATAACCAATATATAGTACATTCATGCGCTAAATGGAAACCATGATGATACATCACGCTCAAGTTTTGAGGCACTTTTTTTTTTCATGTAAAGGATAGGATCTTGCATGGGCTATTTAGCAAAATAATGTGGGTCCAGTTCCTTTCCTGTCCAATCAATACGGGTAAATTCTACACCAACATGTCGACTGCAGCCCTGAAGTACTTGAGGATGCAGTGAAAGTCTTAGCCTCAGATAGCTTCATATCATTACCATCACTCATGTTAAACATACTTTCTCCCGAAATCCCTTCCGCCCTTTTCTTGCCCAAAAATGTGGCACAAAATCACATACTACAGTCCTAATGAAGATCAATCAGTCGGGATGCGGGTACTCGGGAATCCGGTTATCCCCCCAGAACTTAACTTTTATGCATGAATAGCCGCAGAATGATTATCATCGGCATTGCGGGTTTATCAAAAATTATTGAGATGCCGAATTGCCACAGACCATTAAAAATCACCTTTGTATAAAACCTCATCTATATATAAGATCACCAGTTCTCATTCCAGTCTTCATATCATTCTCAACATATCCAATCAAGAATCCATCAACTCTCCAAAATATAATGGCGAAGAAAATAGTCATTATCGGCGCTGGCTTCGCCGGAGTCTGGAGTGCCTTATCAGCCAAACGACTTGCGACCCTTACAAATCAAGAAGACAATCTAGAAATCCTAGTCGTCGCACCCGGACCAACATTGACCATGCGTCCACGACTCTACGAGGCCAAGCCATCCGAGATGATCCACCCACTCGGTCCCATCTTCAATGCCTCAGGAGTAAAATATGTTCAAGGAACTGCAGAAAACATCAACACTGAGAAAAACACCATCCATGTTCGATCCAACGAAGGCATCGAGTCGACAATCAGCTATGATCGCCTCATCTTAGCTGCTGGAAGCTCTGTCGTGCACCCAAGAGCAATCACCGGCATCGAACAACATGCGTTTAACATCGATTCTTTGGAATCAGCGAATAAGCTTGACTCCCATCTTCAGAGCCTTGCTTCCACATCCCCAACACCCTCTAGTAGTACCATCGTGGTATGCGGTGCCGGTTTCACAGGCATCGAACTCTCTACCGAGCTTCCAAAGCGAGTAAATCATATCAAAAACGCACGAATCATCCTAGTCGGTAACGCAGACCAAGTTGGACCCGATCTTGGACCCGGTCCTCGACCCGTCATCCTAAAAGCTCTTTCCGACCTCGGTATCGAGCTAAAACTCGGATCAGCCGTGACAGAAATCGACGCTGATAGCATAACTCTCGCATCCGGCGAGAAGATCGCAACGAATACAGCAATTTGGACAGCCGGTGTACGCGCAACACCTTTGACTCAGCAAATTCCTAGCGAAAAGGACTCTTTCAATCGTCTCCGGGTAGATAAGCATCTACGAGTTTCGTCAGTCGAGAATGTATTTGCCACTGGTGATGCTGCCTCTGCACTAGCTGATTCGAAGGGCCATTACGCTTTGATGTCCTGTCAACATGCCCTTCAGCTTGGCCGGGTGTCTGGACATAATGCTGCTGCGGATCTTCTTGGTGAGCCGCTGATAGATTATGAGCAGGCAGCTTATAATTGCTGTCTTGATCTTGGTTCATGGGGTGCTGTCATTGCTGGAGGGTGGGAGAAGGAAGTCAAGTTAACGGGTGATCTTGCGAAGAAGGTCAAGTGCCATATCAATCAGAAACTTATCTATCCTCCGGATGATATTGAACAGGCACTGGTTTTGGCTAACCCGGTAGGACCTAACTCGGATGAGCTATTCAAGCATATCTTGGAACAGGTAGCATAACTGTTTTTGAAGAATGAGGTTTTAATTGCTGTTGGGGGTGAATAGTTGCACAGTTTTTGTTTAATGTCTGCTTCTACTATAGTTTGTTTTAATATTCCGGCTGTCTTCCCATAACATGTGCATATTACATTTGTTTTCAATTTTTATCTCAACTCCAGAGCTATCTAAATCATACACAAGATCTCCATACAAGTTTCTACTTTTCTGTTCCTGACATTATCAACTCAAACATCACAATATGACGGTGAGAAACAACAACACGTCCAACTTAAATGGTCAATTTATTACCCCCAGCCCCCCCCATAATTCAAATTCCAACTTAATGCCATCATAATTCCAACCATCACCCAAAGCTCATATTACATGACATCGGAACTTCTGCAGCTTCAAAGTGTGGAGAAATGCACTTAAATTATCCATCCAGTCACGAAACACAACAAGTTTCAAAATCAAGCTAGACCCCAAGGGCTGAAGGAATCAATCAACCTAATACAAGAAATGATCGTCACGCAAGGGACTGCACCGTAAATGTCGCAGAAACATAGTCCATGAATCAAACTAAGGGCTAGGGGCGCCGATCTGCAGGTGGCACTGGTTTTGCTTCTGGCACTAATGTACCCCACCTGCAAGCTACTTGATATTTTTCCGCTATTCTGAACGTCCGTGAGTCGGATGACAGCGACATACAATTTCGTCAGATCTATATGGGGCTTTCGCCGAATCTAAGAAGGGTATATCTCCGGTAAGTTATGTGTAGGTGTAGAGTTAAGTGATTATAAAAGGCGTGTCTGCATCGCTGCATGGCTAGTTTTACAGTGATACCTCGAATTCTATCCATTTGATAATTGTTATAATCCACATTGATTTCCATCATGAAGGCCGCCACAGTATTATCCTTTGCTTCGACTGCTCTTGCGAGCACGATCTATCTAGCTGGTGACTCCACCATGGCTAGTGGTGGGGGTGGCACTGGTACAAATGGTAAACTCAGCTTTTCCCTCATCATCGAAAGAAAACACAGAAGCTAACCTGCTCAGGATGGGGGCAATATGTCTCACCCTACACAACATGGAGTATCTCGAACCAAGCCATAGCAGGTCGTAGCGCCCGCTCATTCACTCGCGACGGCCGGTTCACGACCATTGCCGACGAAGTCAAATCGGGTGACTGGGTAATCATCGAATTCGGCCACAACGACGGTGGTTCCCTCACGCCAACAGATAACGGACGCACCGATTGCTCTGGGACAGGCAGTGAGATATGTTACTCGGTCTATGATGGAACGAACGAGACTATCCTCACGTTCCCTGCATACCTGGAGAATGCCGCAAACACGTTCACGGAACTTGGAGCGAAGGTGCTTATCTCGAGCCAGACGCCTGATAACCCTTGGGAGACGGGATCGTTCGTTTATACGCCGTCGAGGTTCGTTGGGTACGCTCAGATAGCAGCGGAGGCAGCAGGCGTCGCTTATGTGGATCATGGAGCGTATGTTGCGAACATCTTTGAGTCTCTTGGATCAGACGTTGTGAACTCGTATTACCCGCTTGATCATACTCATACCAGTCCTGCGGGCGCATTGGTGGTCGCTCAGGCATTTTTCAAGGCTGTTGTCTGTGGAGGTGTTGCATTGGAGAGTACTTTGAACACCACTAGTTTTCCGGGCGAATGTCTATAAGAGTGTAGATAGCAGTGCAGAAAGAAGTTCGGTAGTTTTTAGCTACCACGCGCTGTGAAATATCACAGGATATCAGTTGACTTAAATTTCATTGATTGTGATTGGGTTTCATGATAATTCGTAATATGTCCATAGCTACAATAAATAACAGGATGGGTGTTGCAGCCAAATGTCATAACAGAGAGTCGCAGCTCAGGGCCGTCACTCTGGCTTAGACTCGTCTAAAATGGCACGAACGATGCCTCTTTTTTCAACGCGTAGGTAATACTGATTCAAGTTGGTGAATCGAGCACTGAAAGGCCCTTGAGTCTGTACTATTTCTTGCAGGACTGGCCAAAGCCCACAATCATCAATTCCAAATACCGTCCCTCCCAGATAATGTTGACCCTCGAGGGACCGCTCCCAATGTCGAAGGCCGCCGGAAAATGCAATTCCAGGATTATTTTCATGATGATCACGCCAGTCCTCCAGCAAGTCTTCAGTCCAGGAGAGATGGGTCCCACCCTTGAGTACATCAACTCCAGGTCGTGCATTCTCAGGGGGTTGAGAGGCTAGGTGTTTCAAGATAGCCAAATCGCCATGAACAGTCGACCCATGAGGATCAACATACGCGGGCAGTTTCTCTCCTTTGGTTATGTCAATGTCCGCTTTCTGCTTATCTGTGATCTCGTATCGATATCCGTTTTCACTCAAGCCGAGGCGAACCCTTAGGTCTGCCACCAGGTCCCCACTTAACGTCAATCGTACTAATGAGGCGGTAACAAAATTGACGACATCGAAACCGGAACCATAGACTGCATTCCAGTCAAACTCAGAGGAACGGTTTTCTTGACCGAATGCGCGGATCAATGATTCCGTCTTTTCAGGGTCACCATGAATCGTTGCGTGCGCATTTGCTTGAAGCTTGTGAACGGCGCCTTGACCCCAAATCAAATTAGCAAGCGGGTGTAGATATGTGCCGATGTGTCTGAAAGTCAAAGAGATACGTTCACCCCCATATGCCTTTTCTTCGGGGGTTTTGGTGTTCTCAGGGCGTTTATCTGGCCGAATACCATGCAACCAGCGCATGTTTGTTTTTTCGCCTAAAATAAAAAGTGAACGATGAGGAAGTGGCACGCGTTGGGTAGTGCGGCCCGATTCTCCGTCTGCTTGTACTTCAGCGGAGGTTTTTGTGCGAAGTACCATGACACGTTGCGCGCCCAAGCTGACATTGCATATAAAAGAGCCTCGAACAATGTCCAAAGTCTTGTCTGAATGCTCAGAGATGTTGTCTTGGCCATCTCGGTATAGTTGGATTAAAACATGATTCAGAGGGTGGCCCAAAATCTCCTCAACTGTTGATCGAACTTCGTCCACAGCAGATGTGAATTTTTTTAGAGGTGGGGATTCATCAGCAGGGTGTCGATAGATTGGAATAGAGCCATCAGGTTGTATGTGACCCTGTACCGCAACCAATCGAGGGACTTGACCAGATAAATGATACATCTTTTGCCAAGCGACTTCCTCTCTAATGCGTTCAAATGTGTCTTGTGGAATATCAAGTTTTGGAACGAGGCGCGAATCTCCTTCTCCGATACCAGAACCAGTAGGTTGGCCAGTCTCTGAGGGCGGCTTTGACGTAGCAGCATTTGTGTTGGGGTCAGCCTTGCCGGCAGTGTCCGGGGGGGGAGGAGACTTCGAAGGAGCATCATTCGTCCCAACGCCAGCGTCGGGAGGTGCCTCTCGCCGTTTGGGTCGGCGCACACGAACCCGAACTTGTTTCTTGGTATCAGCAGGGACCCTAGCAGCACCGGCAGCAGTTCGATGTAATCGAGTAAGAGAGGCAATCTCTGTCAAACTAATGCTTGCATCTGGGTCTTCGTCATTATCACCGGGTATATCTTCAGGTGGCGATTCCTCCGCAGCGACTCCCAGGGTGTCCATCACACTTTCGAGACCGAGCGACGCGCCGGCAGGTCGTTTGGGCTGCGGTACACCCTGAGCAATAGCGTCTGTCTCCGCCCAATCCAACTCCTGGTACAACTCTTGTGCAGAAAGCCCGGTTGCACCCAGTATATCCGCCATGCGGCGCATGGCCTCGCGATGGCGCCCAAACTCGCGGTACCCGAGGCAATCCTCGATCAGAGTAACGGAGAACCCATTTCGGACGGCGTCTAAAGCAGTAGCGTAAACGGAGATATTCGATAAGGAGCCACATAGAAAGACCTCAGTCACAAATCTTGTTCGAAACGAAAGTACAAGATCATTCGACTCCAACGCAGAGTATGCAGTTTTGTCCAGTACGGTGTCCTGCTCGAGGTCGATAGCGGCGAGAATGGGGGCGGGGAACTGAAAACCAGAAGTATTGGAAGCACAACAGGTAGGAGATTGGCCCGATAAGAATGCCTCTGGGTCGACTGGCTCTGGAGTATCGCGATCCGACCCAACCTCAATCACGTCTGACTTGGGTATAGCATGGCGCTTAGGAGGCTCATTTTCCAAGACGATGCGATCGCCAAAGTTCCAGTCGGAAAGTGACTGTGCTGACTCGTATTTTGATCGCACCCAGATCACATCGCCAACTTTTCGAAATGCAGCTGCCAGGCCAGGTAAAGTCTCGAGGATCTCGGGGGTATTGGGGATGTGCAATGTTCCAGACGAGCGCACGAAGTCATTTTGGAAGTCGAGTAGGATAAGAGCCTTGCGCGTTTTAATGGCGGGGAGGTCACCGAATGAGAAGAAGCTCATCGTATAGACATGGTACGGTGGCGCATCCGAAAAACAAACAAGATGGAGGGGATGGTTGGAGCTGGAGAAGCGAGTGTCGGTTCTTTGGTTCTTTGGTTTTCGTGGGGTTGAGCTGAAGTGGAGGTCGACACCTCAGGCAGGAATAGGAAGAAAATCAACGAAGAACAGTCACAGTGGACTGAAATGCAAAATGCTGTCTATTATTTGTATCTGCTGGAAATCTCAAGGCTCTAGGCTGTCGGGAAATTTTCTGTGTTATTTTTGAGCCCAAGAAGTACCCAAGAAGTAACTGGCGCTCCCAACCTCACCGACTTGAGAAGTCTAGCATCAAGTTGGGTCAATTGGAGCAGTGCTATTGGACTACCAGGTGACTCGGAGGAGATAACGGGTGGGAGAAGTATAGATTGGCCGAGCCATGGTTAGATCTCGTATAAATTGTATTTGGGGGGGCTCGAGGTCAGATATACTCGTATTATAGCGGGATCGGTCTTTACTACTATAGTCAGTTAGACCACTCTTGAGGAAGCATGGTAAAATTCAAGTATATAGAGAAGTATACTCCTACTATGTCTTCTTCAGGGCTGAATTACCCTAGGCTACTCTCCAAGTTCTATATACCCTTATACGCATTCGTCTGTGCATGATTTTTCTACCTATACCCGAGGCCTACTCAATCGCATCTACCCAGCATTGTCCTAATATAGAATATACCTGATATTATTCCGGCCTGAGCAACAACTGGATCTAGATAAAAATTCAATCTTTTAACTGTCAATTGAAATATAAGATTGTCTATTTTGAGTCAAAGATGGGATTTTTGACAGCGTTGACTATAGTATGTGTCACTGGCATGGATCTACTAGATAGTATGTCCCTAGCATCAACTGTACTAGTGATACTATCTACTACTAATGCTCGTTTGCATTTATATTTGCGTTGATAATGAATGCCTCACCGTGACTCCACTGCTCGTCCATTGATCCATTATTCGCAATAAACTTCATAGTCATCTAAAACCAGAAAACAACTAGAGGAAGCCACATCATCACCAGTTTCCCACCTCCATGAGATCTCCGCTACCGAATTCAGTTCAATATAAATATAATACATACAAGGTGAACCAATCACCTCCACCAATTGACAACTTCTGGGGATCTTCATTCTAGTACGTAGTCAACGTTACCGGATCAACCTAGATCGTCACCGACTCCAGTGTCTGCGTGCGGTCAACCGGCCCCTCTAGCCAATCAGAAGACCCCCGGTGTCGGACCGGGGAGCAACAGCACTTCTCCGAAGATCACGTGCGATGACTCCCAGTTAGAGTGGAGAAAGAGCTTTTCCACCCCCCAGCCTGCTTGCATTTAAAACTCCCAGAATTCCCACCCTCTTCCCCTCTCAAGTTCATCTTCTCTTCAACTCTCCACTCCCCAATCCCAATTCCATCCACAATGGCTTCCCGTGGTCTTCCCCGTGCTCTCCGCATGGCCCGTGTCGGCCGTGTGGCCGCTCCTCGCTCCATTGTGAACGCCGCCCTTCCCCGGCCTGCTCTGGCCAAGGTGGTCCCCCGTGCCATTGCCCCCATGACCCCCGTCCGTGGTCTCAAGACTATGGACTTCGCCGGCCACAAGGAGGTTGTCTACGAGCGTGCCGATTGGCCCCGTGAGAAGCTCCACGAGTTCTTCAAGAACGACACCCTTGCTCTCATCGGTTACGGTTCCCAGGGTCACGGTCAGGGTCTTAACCTCCGTGACCAGGGCCTCAACGTCATCGTCGGTGTCCGAAAGGATGGTGCTTCCTGGAAGGAGGCCATCCAGGATGGCTGGGTCCCCGGCAAGAACCTGTTCGATGTCACCACCGCCATTGAGAAGGGTACCGTCGTCATGAACCTTCTCTCCGATGCCGCCCAGTCTGAGACTTGGCCCACCATCAAGCCCCTCCTCACCAAGGGCAAGACCCTCTACTTCTCTCACGGTTTCTCCCCCGTCTTCAAGGACCTCACCAAGGTCGATGTCCCCACCGATGTTGATGTCATTCTCGTTGCCCCCAAGGGTTCCGGCCGTACCGTCCGCACTCTCTTCCGTGAGGGCCGTGGTATCAACTCCTCCATTGCCGTCTTCCAGGACGTCACCGGCCAGGCTAAGGAGAAGGCCATCGCCATGGGTGTTGCCGTCGGTTCCGGCTACCTCTACGAGACCACCTTCGAGAAGGAGGTCTACTCTGACCTCTATGGTGAGCGTGGTTGCCTCATGGGTGGTATCCACGGCATGTTCCTCGCTCAGTACGAGGTTCTCCGTGAGCGTGGCCACTCCCCCTCCGAGGCCTTCAACGAGACCGTCGAGGAGGCTACCCAGTCTCTCTACCCCCTCATTGGTGGCAACGGTATGGACTGGATGTACGCTGCCTGCTCCACCACTGCCCGCCGTGGTGCCATTGACTGGTCCAGCCGCTTCAAGGACAACCTGAAGCCCCTCTTCAACGAGCTCTACGACTCCGTCCGTGACGGTACCGAGACCCAGCGCTCCCTCGACTACAACGGCCAGAAGGATTACCGTGAGAAGTACGAGAAGGAGATGGAGGAGATCCGTGAGCTCGAGATCTGGCGCGCCGGTAAGGCCGTCCGCTCTCTCCGCCCCGAGAACCAGAAATAAGCTCTCTCTTTGTTTTAAATAATGTTGTGATACCCGCAAGGGAGATTGGATGAAAAAAGTTATGAATGTACTATGACCTTGTTTTTGGGCTCTTCGGGTATACGAAAATATCATTTGCGGCACTGCCGATTCCAAGTTCTCTCCAATCATCTCCATGTTCCATCTTAAGATCGTAGTCATCTCATCTCGTATACCTCGACAGAAGCAAAAAGAAGGAAAAGAAGCAATTCATCGAATATCCCCGTATCAGTCAAATCGGTGTAACTCCGAACCTCCACCACCCAGCGGACAAAAATCCGGGACCCCAACTTCCCCTCCTCCACACCACCTCCCAATCTCCATTCTATACGTACTCAATACCTTCTAAGCTGACACAGCACAAAGAAACCAACCATGTCTACCGCGACCGCAGCCGAGCAAGCCCAATCTCTCACACCAGCCGCCATCCGAGCCGCCCACGAACTCATAAAGCCATACATCCATCTCACCCCGCTCCTCACCTGCGCAACTCTTGACAAGATCGCCTCAACTCCACAAACAGCTTCAGCACTAGTTGGCACACCATTCGAGGGCCAAGCACCAGCAACCCCACACCTCCGCTTCCATTTCAAATGCGAGAACCTACAGCGCATTGGCGCATTCAAGGCACGCGGTGCCCACCATGCTTTACTACGATTGATCGAGGAGCGGGGCGAAGAAGAGGTGAAAAAGCGGGGAGTTATCACACATAGTTCCGGTACGGTTCTTCCCATTCACGGTTTGGTAATAGCAAGCAGAGCAGGAATTGAGAACAATATCTGGATGTTATTAAGAGGACAAGGCTAATAACAAGTAATACACAGGGAACCACGCACAAGCCCTCGCATTAGCAGCCTCAACCCTCAATATCCCCGCATTCATCGTCATGCCGAAAATAAGCACACCATCCAAGATAGCAGGAACCCGCTCCCACGGCGCAGAAGTCGTATTCAGCGGCTCGACGAGCATCGAGCGCGAAGCAGTCGTAGCAGAGATCCAGTCCAAAACAAACGCCATCCTAATCCCACCATACGACGATTTCAACATCATCTGCGGCCAAGGAACAACGGCCCTAGAACTGGAAGCACAGTATACCGAGAAGTCAACCAAGAGTCTAGACGCAGTCATCACGCCTGTTGGTGGAGGTGGATTAAACGCAGGAGTCGCAACATACTTCTCAGATAAGACTACGCGGGTATTTGGTGCTGAGCCTAGTTTCCAGGGTGGAGATGATTGTCGTCGAGGATTAGGAGAGGGTAAGCGAGTTGAAAAGGTTTCTACATTGACTATTGCGGATGGGTTACGCACGCCGGTAGGAGTGTTGAATTGGGAGGTTATTTCTGATAAGAGGAAGGTGGAGGGAGTGTTTTCTGTATCTGAGGAGCAGATTAAGGCTGCGATGAAGTTGGTGGTTGAGCGGATGAAGGTTGTTGTGGAACCGAGTGCTGTTGTTGGATTGGCTGTTTGTCTTTTCGATGAGGACTTTAGAAGGCGTGTACAGGAACAGGGTGGAGAGGAAGGATGGGATGTTGGAATTGTCTTTAGTGGAGGAAATACGACAGTGGAGGCCATTGGAAAACTGTTTAGTTGATTATTTGGCTGTTTATACATACATCTCGGATGCTGCCGTATATGGATTCAACAATAGACAACAAACATATGCATACCTATATATATCAAAGACATAGATAACATCTATACAAGGTCCAGTTTCATTCATCCTCGGTATCATTGCTCAGGCAGGGGTATCTCAATCGCATGCTCTCGAACATAAAATGCAAAACTCCCATCATTATACGGCTTCAATCCATCTATCACACGACGAGGCCACTCCTCCCGTCCCCAAGCATTAACATAAGCCGAGAACTTACCCTGAGAAACAGCACTCTGTCTCATACTCGCATCCTTCTTCGCATCATGCGCACTCATAGAGGGCGGAAATGAACGGACCGGATCTCGCTGCACAACCAGTCGTAAAACCGGGAACGTTCCCCACGGCGCCGGGAGTGCAGATCGAAGTGCCGGCGTTCGAGAAGGAGGTAGATCATATGGTCCCAACGGATCATCCTGATCAGTAGCCTTTTTAATCGGACGAGCCCCAGATACTGTCGTGGTATAGACAACATTGCACCCGAATAGAGCCTGTAAGCGCTTCAACTCTCGAACAATCTCAGCATACAGATCAACGAAATGAAAGCTTTTCATCTGATCACGAAGTTTATCAATTTCTTCATTTGGGAGTCCTAATTCCTCTGCACGTGCGAGATTATCGCGCAATTTATCTTGCCAGAAGAATGCCGTCACGCTATCAATAGCCAGCATTTGAATGGGACGCGATGCAGAATAATGACGAGAAACGTCATATAAGCATGTATCAAGATTCGAAAGCGTAGCAATGAGAGCGAATGAGGACTGTGGTCGGAAAACATGAACGTGCTTCAAAGCAGAAATGATCACAGCCTCAATGTCATCGGTAGATACCGCTGCAGTCTCTGATTCCTGCTCTTCCTGGGCTTGAAAGGACTTCAGTGCTTTTTGCATAATCCCTCGAGCTATCATCTGTAGTCTCTGTACATCAAAACGATCATCGGCATCAATGAAAATAGCAGCTGCATCTTGTCCCCCGATAGGAATTCGGCCATACTCTCGAGGTAATACTGCAAGGGCAGTTAAATGATACAGTAACTGTGATTTTCCAGCAGCCGAGAGACTGCTTGAAATCTCGACCACGGGTATCGGTCTTTTGTTTCTGTAAGCCGAGCCAGAGAATAAAGGATTGAAATGGGCTGCCTGGTCATCGGGCAAGGCTGTTTCCTGGTCAAATTGATCGGCTAGGAGCATTTCCTCGTCATCCGATTCAAACGCCTGTTGATCCGGTTCTTGCTCCTGTAGCACAGTCTGGACCTGGACTTGGTCATTCAAGTCTTGATGCTGGCTCTCAGGCACAGGACCATGGGTTCTCAACATGAAAACATTTACCAGCGCATCAAGCATCGGGACACCCAGTGAAGGTCCTCGAAAGTCATCACTGGGATAGACATTTGCGAGGTCACGCAGGAGCTATAACACAAGTTAGCATCCCATTAATAGTTTCAATAAATGCGACCGAGTCAAAAACAAACCTCGTTCAGTCCCTCATGGTGCACATTCTCCAGCGACGTCGCACCTAAGCTGGCAGCCATTGCGAACAGCCCTCAAAGTCATGGATCACGCATGCCTCTATGACAAAACGCAATAAGCGCGATAAGAAGAAAAGCCACCAGTACAATAATATAACAGAGTCCAGCTAATAGTACTACTTTGTGAAAGAAGAGGGCAATGGCATATCAGACATTGAAAAGAACGAGGAAGTAATCAAATCGGAGATCCAGGCGGAACCGCGATAAAGCAACCTCGGGACCCCAAGAACTTTCTCTGCTCCAGCCCGCAACAACATACGAGCACCTAATCCAGCGCAACCGAGCTTCACAAACTACACAATCTACTCGAATTCCATTGGAAGCTGAATACCAGGCTATCCCAATCGCGACTGCAGTTACCACCCCATCCATAGCAGCACTATGGCACCGCTCGTCCCCGTTTTCTCCGCAGATACGCTCCCCGACCACGTTAACATCGTGCGCCGCAACTTCATCGAAAAGAAGCGCAAAGGCACGCAAATTGAGTTGAATGAATGCCCATTGCTAGAAATGACACAATACTCCTGTAACCCGCCACAGGAGGCGCTCCCACAACCAGGCCAAGTTGTCTGTAAGCCTATCGTGCGGCTGTTCCGAAAGTGAGTCAAGCTGAGGACTCGATTGTTGTTCGCCGGAACAGTGCTGATTTTTTTCATATTCTGCTTTAGGTGTGCGGATGGCTTAACTGTTGAGACAACATCATGGGAACCTTTAAGGCAAGCAGAAGAAGCGAGGACGAATGCCAAATTCGAGACGCGGTCTACAACGACTTCCGAGATGAAGTGATGAAATGCTTGAAATACATTGGGCGGAGTTTGGATTGATCTTTACAAATGCATTATATATACCATTACAAGCATACTTCAAAAGCGTGCATTGAGACTAGATGCATTCAATGTTTTCAATAATGATATGACTTGCTGCCATACGGGGTATCTCCTCAAGAAACGACTCCAAACCACAAAGCGCCAGCCCAGAAAATAAAACGCCTCAATATACCATACAAGACAAGCAAACCAACCAGATACCCTCTCATACCTGTTCATCCGTGAATATTCATTTTATGTGCGCAAAGCATCCATCCCAGGAGGAGCCGGTTTAGCCGGTTTTTCCTCTTTCCCACGGAGAGCAGTCGCAGGCCGACGCCAGAAATCGCGCTCACAATTGACGATCGGACCCATATCCAGATTCAAAGATGGTTTAAGTTTCGACCTCGGATCTCCATCAGCATGGGTACCCGAATCAATCTCCATAGCAGAATTAAGAGCTGCCGCCGTAGGCGCAAGCGCAAGCGGATCCTTCTGATCTTTTTGTAATTTCTTCGCAAGCCCCTTCACTGTCCTTTCAAACATAGTTTCCATATTCTCGAGACGTCGGCCCCAAAGCTTCTTATCCTTCACGCCAGAACTAGACACATTGTCACCTCGGTGTGCTGCGGCAGCTAACCTACGGAGAGCCTCTTCACCATGACGTCCATCTTCTGCAGCGCGTTCTCGAATTTGCCGAGGGTCATTATCTCGCTCTGTGAAAACTGCTGTGGCGGAATATGTGTGTTTGCTAGGGAAGTCGGGGAAATTCTTCGGGACATAGGAGCGATTTGTTGATGATTCCTCACCGCGCAATGCATTCAAGAAAGGAATTTTACGCGTAAGTTCATCTTCAGGCGGAGGTGATGGGAGGAGAGTCGGAATGGGAGTAATATTTTCGTGTGATTTTGTATAGGGGCGGAGGTCATCGGGAGAAAGACGGACACGACTAAGAGCGAGTTCAAAGTCGGGAGGAATAGGTTGAGTACGTCGGGATGCTAACATTGACTGGCGAACATATTTTGAGATGCGAAGAAGATCTAATTTCGCCATGCATGGTTAGTCTCAATCAATTTTTATCGGTATAGCAGCGGACTCTTCGTTTGCTCTCTTCTTCCGTATTTAGGTTTGGTCGCACGTACATGAATCTGCGGCGCTGCGCAAGCTCGATAGCGCGGCGGGATCAGCTAGCTCGAATCCCACATCCTGAAGAATTGTACCGATCGAGCGATTCATAAGGTAGTCGAAGTGGGCCTCATCTTGAACGGCGGGCTCAGACGAAGCTGCTAGGGTAATGGGCTTCTTCAGGCGGTGGTGATGATGATAATATTGTTTCGGGCGCTTGCTGTCGATTTCCTCAAAGTGAGATGAGGAGCGCTTCACTGGGAGGGCCGTCGACGCCATATCCACTGGTGCAAGCAGAGGGCATGATGGAAGAGAGAAGGAGCTTGGTTGTTGATCGAATCGGGAAGTCACGTGCATTGATGCCTGGTTTATCAGGTGTCTTCAATATCCTGCCCATAGTTATAAGCATAATAAAGGATCAATGAGACTGAGATGAAATATGTACAATGATCAAAATAAATCAATTACATTTCAATAATTCCACACTACCCATCCGTATAAACACTCTAGATCTCTCCATCAGCCCATATGGTGTCATAATCCGCCCATCAAAATCTCCAACCTCATCGACCAATCCGGAGCCTCGCTTACCGCCCGAAAGCTTCAACCTCAGTTCCCGTCCACATCACCCTACACTCTCTCCCCTCCACCACTCGCACCCGCAACAGTCACAGGTCAGTCCCAAGGAGACCGGAGCCATAAAATAGTGATCAGAACAATCAATTAACAGCATTAACCAGACACAATGCCTGCTGCTATCCCCCCAATCACTGGCGTAAGTGACAACCCCTTCAACGAGTCCGACTTGTCCCGATCGGACGAGTCGGATCGCCGCAGACAGCAATGCAGCGAGACTAACATTCACATAGATGCTCCGCCGAGGTCTGGTCCTTGACCTTTCCACCGCTTTCGGTGAGTTTACGACATCCTCGACATAGACATGGACATCGGTATCCGGACGAGTGGCATGATTCATCGGCGTTGGTTAATATGGAAGATCCGAACGGTTTACATGCGAAAACACCAATACCAAATACCATATTTTCGACACCGATGCATCATATACACGACGGAACCCTCCTCCCAACATGTATACGTAGTATACCGCGATATGAGACTAATCCATATACTTACAGGTTTCGGAACCACCTTCGGTTACCTCTGGTGGTACGGTAAGTAAACACTCTACTACAATCCAATACGACCCAAAGCCACATCTAATCACCATAATCAAATCAGGCTTCCACCTCCCCCGCGTCCGTGAGCGTGATACCTACTACGCCCGCCTGGAGGCCGAGCGCGCCGCTCAGAGCTCCTAATCGACCCACTCGTCTGCACCACTCAACGCGATGCTTAATGCGGCATACCCGACAAGATCAATCCTGAGTTTCCTTTGTTCGTCATAGAAAAGCAATACATGCAACGCAACGGCCCGGTCCTATGCTCGAGCCATCTGAAGAGTTCGACGCTGTGATGTTACTATCGGGTTGGAGTATCCGAGTTGGAGTGGTACTGGGTTGATTGTACATATACGCCGTGGTCAATGTTTTGTTTCATTTGGATGTGCAATTATCCCGTAGATCAGATCCAGATCCAGCAGCATCTATGTTGCGATGGGAACCTCGTATTAGGTGTAGATGGAGTAGTAACATACACTAGGAACTAAAGCATGCAAAGCATCTAGCATGTTACAACAATCCTCAATCCAAGTGCCACTACGACAATATCAGCCCTCCTTCATCTTTCCTCTTGAATCCAGGATACATCCGACATAACGATGCAAAACAATACATCGCAATATAGTGCAGTATAGTGCAAACTGATCTATTAAAGCCAAACGCTAAATACGCCGTATATATGGAGGTGGTAGGTCACCATACTCCTGAACAAACCGATGCTCATAAATCCACCACAGCTCCTCGCGGGGTCCCACGAGACGAGACAAGACCCTCATTTTCCCATTCATTCCCATGTCATCCCATCCACATCTCGAGTCCAAGAAAAGGGAAAATTAAGAGGTGTTAGGCAAGAAGTAGAGATAGTCCAATGACAAATCCGCCTCGCCATGCCCAATTCCGCGCGCGCACACGCACACACACACATTCTCTCTATCTCTCTCTCTGTCTCTTCGCAACATCCGGTTTTATCGAAGCACACGTTCAAAAGAAACACTCCGCACTGCACCACCAGCCATGGAAGTGCGCACATTGCGCTTAAAAGCATCGCGATTAAGACGCAAATCATCAGCCGCCTCTTTGTTAAGGGGATCAGAAGCATTCGGTTCAAGGAAAAGGAACTAAGAAAAGAAACGACGTTAGAACAGACCAGCCCATACAACACCCAATCAACCTCTTAACCACGACCATGCCCATAATCAAAGCCATAGTCATAGCAAAGGGTGAAATACATACCTGCATCCCCACAATAACAGCATTCAAATTAAGCACAGGCTTCCAATCCTCCCTCAAAATATTAAGACAAACATTCCCCTCCAGATCGATATTGGGATGATATATCTTCTGCGTACACTTGACTTTCGGAGGATCGTGAGGGAAGTTTTGATTAATGGTGAAAGAGAAGTTGAAGACGCCGCCTTTATACATTCCTTCATCTGGTTCGATGGTGAGGGTGAAGTTGAGTATATCGTCTGGATTTGGGAAGGACATTTTCATTGTTTCGCCGAGGGTGAGTTCTTGGAGGTCTGGATTAGCAGAGAATGAAGTTAGTATGGCTTGGTTTTGGTGTAAGGAAGTGGTGCTGGTCGGGGCTTGATTGGATAGGATTTGATGGAGGGTGCGTATGTCTAATGACATGACAGGTAGAGCGAAGGGAAGGATTCTTCGAGTCTGGGAGGGATTTGGATTTGGACCTGGATCTGGATCTGTCTGTATCTGTATCTGTAATTGTATCTACGCACCTCGTTGCACCCGGAGCTGTGCGGCGGTAACCTTCTTCTTTTTCTTCCCAGCAGCGCCTTCAGCATTCTCAGCCTGTTGCTGCTGCTGCTTCTATAAGTTACATTATATTAGAAAAAAGATTCTTCAAACAAGGTAAAGTGAAGTAAAGTAAGGTCAGTCGCAAGAGGGTAGGTAGACCCAAGCAAAACCTACCATAGACCAGATCTTCAACATCGTGACGAACCACGCCTGGCGCCTAGCCTAAGAGAGAAAGGAGAACGACGGATCGTGTTGTAATAGGGAGAGGTTGGAGATATGCAGGTCAAAGAGAAATTTGGCGAGTCAACGTATTTGTATAGGTGAGTTGGAAGGAAGAAGTTGGAGGCGCAAGTGGAGGGTAAGGTAAGGCAGCGTTGGTTCTTGCGGGGTCTTTATGCCCGCTATCCGGTGTTATCGCGGTTGTGCGGCTAGATAGCATGACGCATCTGCGCAGCGTCTGTGGTGCAATCCAACCTACTACTACAGTTAAAAACTGACTTTTATTCATAATTACAGTTACAGGAAAAGGCTCAAATGATAAACAGATCGTAGTCCCGATATTGGTTTGGGAAATCTACACTAATCAATTCACAATTCAGATCTCAAAAATTCATTGCGCCCCGAATGCATTTCCCTTTGCATCGCTGGTCCAACAGAAAAGAAAAAGGGAGGGGGAAAAAAGACGTCACAGTATGGGGAGGTTGCTTCCAACCATGATGATTGGGCATCCTAACATCACAGAAGGACTTGAAATAGAATGGGCATCTTTAGGTAGAATACATATGGCAATAGGACAGAGAAAAGGAGGTGAAACGGCAAAAGACAATCAAAGGGAACATATGCCAGAAACAAGGTCGTGTTATCCATTTAGCCGATTCAACGGCGCGCAAAGCAGCACTTGATACCAGTACGGCCCAGGAACCAACAGGCACCGGTGAAACGGAAGAGAGCCATGACAGCGTTGGACCACAAGAGGGCCTGGAAGAAACGGGAGGTACGGGAAGTAGCGGTGTTCTGCAGGAGAAAAGAAAGGTCAAGTTAGTCACTGTGCATCTAAATGGTGAAAATTCGAAAAGATCGAAACATACCGTGAATCCGAACTTGTCCACTGCTTCGCTGGTAATGCAAACAGCGAGGAAGGCATTGCTGAAGATCCAGAAGGTAACAAGGCGAGTACGGAAACTCTTGTAGGAATCCTCCAGAGACTTCTCTTCGTGGTCATCAGGAGCAACGAAGGGGGTGAGGGCGCGTTTTACAGTAGCCTCGAACTGACTATCAATATCTGCTTGTGGTTTGTCGGGTTCCTCTATGACTGCATCTTTACTGCCTTCATCCTTAGTCGTCGTGGCAGATGGCAGAGCATCAGCCTTGTCAGAACCCTTGGTACCCCAGGAAACATCGTGCCAGTTGCTGAACGCATAGACGTTGAGAATGTTGATGTAGGAAGATTGCAGGACAAGATATTGAGGGAAGGAGGTAAACATGTGCCATGGATCGGCATACATGAAGGAAGCGACGAAATACAGACCAAAGGTAGCAGCGAGAGCAATGATAATAATACCAGCCCCCGAAGAACCAAAGAATGACTTGAGGAAAGCACCTACACCCTGGTCAGTTGTGAAGTCCATAGGAGCGCCTCCACTGAAAGCGCGAATGACCAAATAAATTGAGTCGATAACAATGTAAAGCTGGATGAGTCCAAAGACAACAAACGATGCCAAGTATGAGAACTTGGAACCCTTGGGTCGGTTACCCAAGGCAAGGATGAATTGCAGCAGCAAGAATCCCAAGTAAACATACTTGATGACCGTGTTGATGATGGGTGTAGCTTTCTTTCCGAAGGGGAACGCAGTATGGCTGTTATGGTCACTCGGAGTGCCGACCAAGTCGATAATAACAGTAGTAGTCAGCCAGTATGAGGCCAGGGAGAACCAGGTGAGGATAGTGTTGAAGATGTTGTACAACATTTGGATGTGGAGGAAGAACATGCGGACGATGTTATGTCCACTCTTGTACATTCGGCCAAAATGCATCAGCGAATAAATACCGGCGGCGAACGAACCGTTCAACCAACGACGACGCTGGGAGATGAACTCGGCAGCACCTTCAGGGACATCAGTCTCGGCCTTGGAGGCCTTGACATAGGACAAATGCCATTTCGAGCCAGCTTTGGCGACTAACTCGAAGCAAAGGATACGATCCTCGGCCAAGAACATGTTCTTCTTGAAAATGTTCATACCTTCAATACCCTTCTTACCCAATTGCTTAGACAAAGTGTGGTCACCGTGGAAGTATTGTTCCAAAGGACGACCCATGATCGCACGGAATCGGTATGCGGAGAAAGCACCAGGCAGCACACTAACATATCCAAAAGAACTTTCGAGTGGCTTATCCAAGATATTACTGATCTTGTACTCGAAGTTCTGTCCAGCCACCAGCGGGTTGACCAAATTGCGCCAACCCTTACCCAACATGGCGTGAATCTCACCACAAGCACCTCCAAGATCCTTATCGTTATAGAAAGCCTCCCAGAGGGAAAGTAGTGACTTGGCACCAGGCTTAGTTCCTGCATCCAGCAGAATACAGATTTCGGGATTCAAAATACGGCCAAAGGCGTTAAACAGCCAACGGTGGGAGTTGATTTTCTTGCTGTTCTTTTGCTTCAGGCAGAACATCATCTGTACGGGAGGAAGGGTACTGGGACCATCATCCGTGGGCCGAATGAGTTGCTGGCTGGGTGTGACGGATAACTGGGTTGTATATTCGAACTAAATCAATTGTTAGCAATCGATCGTCTTCCCTCTGTTTGTTTTCCCACTTACAATATGAGCCACGGTCTCCTTTCCGTCGACATCACGTTTCATGATACCATCTTGGTACACACCAACAGTCGCCAGAACATCCAAAACATCTTTATCGCAAGGGTCGATACCGTCGAAAACAAGCGCAACGACGATCTTTTGCCAAGCGGGTCCACCCTTGTTCCAAAACTCAGACTTCTTGATGTTGACAATGTCGCGAATATTCTGCATCACACCGTGCAAAGTACGAGCGGTCAAGGTCTTATCCTCGTTGTAATAGGTGATGGCGATCAAAAGCTCGGTATGGCGGTTATACATGGCAGGGCGCAGATTGTAACCATTGTGCAGTGTGAATTCATTAGGATCGCAAGTAGCCGCGGTATCTGTGGGAAGAGTATTTGGTCAGTATTCATCGCTGTTGTGTTTTTTGCTGTCTTGTTGTGCCACTTCCTGGCACATTCAAGAATATTCGCTGTCTCACATACATCGCATATGGGTAAACTCTTCACTTCCTCCCTCAAGATCATTGCGATATTTGGCCTGAATGGCATTTTGAATAGCGCTAGGCACCGGATAATCGACACTGAGAACGGAACCCTGCACCAGCTTGACCTTACGGGTAGCATAACGGCGCAAGTTACCACCACCATTTCCACCACCTGGAGCTTGTCGCTGACGCCAGGCCTCGGTGGAAGAAGTCTCACTGCGAGCGTAGGGAGAAGTGGCGCGACCCGGTACCCCAAAGGCAGCAGCGGGGTTCTCTTGTCCGGGGTTATAAGGGTCGTGGTAAGCAGGCGCGGCATCTGTAGCGTAAGTTTCCGTCAAACTGTAGCCCGAGGCGGGGCGAACGGGTGAATGGCCTCGCGACTGTGGGTCATCGAAGGGAGTCGCAAAGGGGCCTTGTTGATGTGACAGCAGACCTCGGGAGGCATCTTCATCCTCGCGGTACTATTCATCTCGTCAGTTTGGGGCACCGGGAACGAAAGGTAAACAGTGCGATCAGACGCATACCTCTGAAGCTGGGACATCTTGCAGACGAGTCTCCTCGAGGCCTGAATGCTCATGGTCATGAGCATGGTCATGCGCGCCAGACCCTTGGTAGGCCATGATGGTCGCGCTAGTTTTGGAAAATTAAAGGTGAAAAGGTCGTAGGATGAAGAAAGAGGGGTATCGTAAAACAAGGGGAGTCACGTCCTCGGATGGAAGCCACCAGGGCCTTGCAGAATATCGGTGGCAAAGACCCGATGAGGACGAGTGAAACACAGAAACAACAAAGCTGGAGTTAGGGGGGAGAAAGAGGAACTAGACAAATCCCATGGAATGTGGTAGGGTATCGGAGAGATACAAGATGAGAGGGAGAGGGGAAAGGATGTAAGCAAGAAAGAAAGGGGGAGGGAGAAATAATAGAGGTCAAACAAGCCAGGATTATGAGAGATCCAAAAGGTAATTATTGTATTTATTCTGATTCTGCAGTTTTTGCAGTTTTGCTAATAATAATTTAGGATTTTTTTGAATTTTTGTTAGTTTCTTTTAGCATTAAAATAGATACCTCTAGTCTCATTAGTACTAGTTCCACTTGGTTCAAGCCTTTATTGTTCTTAGGGGGTTCCATGTTTTGATTATTATGATTAGTTTACTTGATTTTTTATTTATTACAATGATATTGGTGTTTCCAAGTTTCTGATAGAGTACAACAGTAACAATAATAATGTACATATCTCATCCCTTTCGGGTGGTTGATCATTGGTATGGGAGTCCCCGAGCCTGTCAGGGTTCAACAGGGTTCAGGGCCACCCACTTATGTACAGGGACAGAGGACCACAATCAGGGCTCAGGGTCTGTCTTGGCATATGGAATCGTATTGTCTTTTTGTTTGATTTGATTTGATTTGATTTTAATTTAATTTAATGCCAGTATTCAAGATCCAACTGGTTATATTGACAATGCTCTCCATCTATACTCCCTCCCTATAGTATCTACATAGTCACAATAGTATTTCATCTTAACTACAGAGTAAAATGGTCAGGCCTCCTAGTACGAAACCCAAACCCAAATTTTTTCTTCTCCAGATCCTCTCAATATCCACACGTCTAACTTAATTCAGGCTTGTTGCTCCACTTAGTCCCGAGGGCCCAATCACGGGTGGCCCTAGTGAAACAGGCCAACTTGGCTCTGGTATGCTGGCATTCTTCGCGTCGCCCCCAACTTCAACTGAGTACCATTTGGTGGTAGGAATAGTGTCTATGGTATGTGGAAACGGCTCGGGGAAGAGATCATGATGCATACATATTTGAGGTTCATAAATGTCGGTATTACCGTTGGGTAGGGTACTTGTGCTGGTACCTTCAGGTACATGGAAATGAATGTGGTGGTGCACTATGTGAAAGTACCTGGAAGTACAACAAGGCTGGACAATCTACTACAACTTGGAAGTATACATCAGGACATTACTCAGGAGTACCAGGGCTGAGGACAGAGTACTTTCACCGTTTCTTCCTATTCTCTCATACTCTGATCTCATTGGCACATACAGCACAGTATCCCCGATCGGCAGTGTGTTGTCTTCTCCACCGTCATCCGCTAATCAGAACTACACTCAGACTAGCCCGCACTACTCATCTCAGCCGTGGCTGGTGGGCTGCGCCTCCCGTGTCTCACATAGACTAGGCCTCAAATCTTAGTCTGTGTTCCGTGCTGACTTTTGCCTCTTGCCCAGGTGGAGGACTCAGGACCGTTGTAATACATGTGCAATCCTACAGTAACCCTGCAGGATTTTCACCGATTTTCACTGCCTCTGACTTATTCCTGCAGAGGATCATGGAACATGATCATTACATACTTACTCCCATGATATTATTCAGCCGAGGCATTTCTTTTAATTATTAACTGAACTCCCGGTCAACTCGAGACTATTTCTATTCTATTTTTATTCCAACCGCACTGATATTCTTCTGCCCTTTCATTTTTCATCTTTCACAATTCAAATCTGAATCTGGATTTTACTGGATTACATAACCCTCTCACACAACACTGTCCTATCCAATTAGCATGCAGTATTGTAGACCTGGTCCCTATTAATCTCCCGGCCCGATGATAATCCGAGTCCAGACCGGGCTCCCTCACGTCAAATGCAGCAAACAAGACAAACCAGCCAAACCAGATCCAGGTACCAACGCGTTAAGTGCGTAAGTGCGCAAGTGCGTCAGTGCCGTCGCATCACAGGGGGAAAAACAAAGCTGTAGGACACTGCAAGGTGGGAGAGGTTGGACAGATCAGAGACAGATAGCTTAGAATATAAATATACTCAATCCCATCATGGTACTTCTTTCATCTACTTTGAACTGTACATCTTGATCGAGTGGATTCTCATCTCGTCCAATTAATCTCCTCGACCCCCGCCCATCTTGCGTGTTGGTGGAGCCAAGGCTGTCGCTCAGGCCTCTCCCGTGACTGCACTCATTTCCCAGGAGAACGTTCTCCTCTTTCTCCTTTCATCCCTGTATATTCGATTCAACGGGCCTCCATTCTCCCTCACAAAAGAAAAGAACTGGACCATGTGCGGCCTCAGTCCTTAATCGGATCTCTTCTTCCATACCCATACACATATACACTCGTTTTGAATATATCCTCGACACAGTCCCCTGTCCACTTTTTATTTCATGATCTTGCATTGACGCTCACGACTTGACGCCGATTGAGCATCGCCACACTCTCTTTATCTGATTCTTCAATATCTTTGTTTTCACTTCCATCCTTCCTGCACAGTCTTTACCTACCGTTGACCGGTCGACTTGTTGATACCTCTCCCTCTTGATTCCCGCTGATATCCTCCCACCGCACCGTTCCGAATTCAACCGCCCATCATGAATCCCAACACCTTCCTGGAATTCAACCCTGCCTATTCTCTTTTCAAGCGCTGTGTCTCCTGCGAAAACAATTCGCCCTCTTGTCCCACCTGCGATGATGGATACACATGTAGCATGTCCTCGCAATCCTGCGACGCCTGTGCCTCGACCAAGTGTATCAAATCCGCAGAGAACACCAGTTCCCAGCCAAAACCCAGTGGTCCCAACACCGGCGCCATCGCAGGAGGTGTAGTCGGTGCTATCGCGGCACTCGCCCTGCTTCTCTTCTTGATCTACTGGTTCGTCATCCGCAAAAGACGTCAAGAACGCGCCGATCAACAAGAGAAGAGCAGCCAATTTGCAGCCGCTCGCTCAGGTCGCCAATCCACGCAATCCATCGCGTCCACCGTACTCACTCGTGCCTCCAACGTTATTCAAATCGCTTACATACCCGGTGTCACCAACCGTTCTCCTCCCGAGACACCTGCTTCCCTGGTCCCTCCCGTGCCCCCGCTGCCAGGCGCCCACCCAGACCAGCACTTCTTTATGCCCGGTGACCTCCGTGACTCCTCCTGGACAACCACAACAGGCCACCAAAGCATTTCACCTACTCTCCGAAGCAGTGTTGCGACCACGATTTACCGCAGCGATGCCATCGTCAGCCCAATGCCAGCACAACAAATCAGCCGATCGCGTGCAAACATCATCAGCGTTCACTCAGGTCCCGGATCAGGCGCCACAACACCAGATGGCCAAATGACACCAGTAGTGATTACACCAGCCGATGCCCCCGCCGTTCCAGCGATTACATCCGCGCAGCTAGCCAAGGCCGAAGCAATCCAAGCGGGTTCCTCCCCCGCCTCATCAACCCCACCTTCCTCCTCAATCGTTGCCCGTACCGTAATGGCCAAACCAGTCATGGTCCGCGGTACATCATTGAAGAAGAAGGACGGCGGACCCAAGATCGTTGGCGCAAGAGACCTCTCCGTAACACCGACAACAGCCGACTCATCAGCAAGCTCTAGTCAATTCGACCATCAAACCTCTACCTTTGACGGAAACTCATCCGATGAAGACGACGATACGCAGCCATCCAGCACATCCACCTCCAGAGCTACAACACCGAAGAAAGGCGTTCCAGCGATTTCTGTCGTCGAAGTCCCCGAATCCCCAGACGAGAACGAAGAAATCCACGGGCCCTTCAACGACCAGAAAGCAACTACAGCTGAAAAGCCAACCCGTAACTCACGGCATATTGAGCGGGAACCACCCGCCCGCGTGGAGAGTCCCTTCTCCGACGCGAACGAAGTGAAATAATGAGTTGTGTTTTGTTTTGTGTCTGAGTTTACTTTAGCTCACTCTCTGCGTCTTGTCTTGTCTTTTCTTCCCTGTGTTCTCTTGTCTGGTGTTTGAGCTTGGATTTGGATTTGGATTTGGCTTCGGTTCTGGGCTGGGTTATTATATCCTTCCGTGTTTATTTTCTTTGTGGATTTTTACCCCATTTATCTTCCTACTCTATCTCCCTATATACTTCTTGTACGTATGAAACCCTTGCTACAAGGCATGGTACATTTTCATTCTCATTCTCATTTCATTTCATCATGGGCGTCGGATCGTTTCTAAGTGCTCTGTACAGCGAGATAGCACTGGAGAGGATACGGAAGTCAATCGAAGTCAACCTTATCATTAGCATGATATATACATAGTAGGCCTTGAACATCTCATGTACCCTCAAACAGTAGATTCATGCATGAACAGGAGCGCAATGTATTCTTCCTGTTCGTACTAGTAGCAGTCTTCGAGCTCAAGTCCATCTAAAGTAGGCTAAATACGCAGTACATAATTCTCTCACTCGTGGAGATATAATATACTGTATAGCAATCGTCACCAGGCTAGCGAACCTATCAATTCCCAGTCCAAACAATTCACCACCTCGTTGAATAAACGTGGAAATATATTCCTCTCGCTCTGTAGGTGCAACATACGTAAGCCAGTCTATGTATATTGCTTTCTCTCAGGTTCATCGTCAAAGCGGAGGATAAACGTATACTTAAGGTGGCGCGAAAATGACTGGTTGAACTGATTGGATCTCACGCAGAGGACTCGATTTGGACAAAGGCACAGGCTTTGAAACAGTGATTTTTGATGAAGGTCTTGGACCATGACGCAAGCTGCTTCGATTCAACCCTCACAACGCAATTCGAACTCGCGAAGTCACTCGAGGTAACCAAGCACTCTGTCCGGCGACAAAGGTTCGATGACTCTCAATCGTCACAAACCCCCCTGCGTTGGTCATCAAAGACTACTATATATTGCCTTTAATATGATCCAGCTAGTGAATGCATGGAGCTGTAGTGTCTGTGTAGCACATACTGCAAACGTGGATTTTCGTGTTCAATTCGTCAAGCACAGTCATAGGATCAGTCTTAGTAGGGATCATGTATGTACTTCTCACATTTATATATGTTCGATATATATCAGGAACAATGGCGAAATTTATGCTTGACGCGACAATATAAGTCTGCAATTCTGCGGAGAACAGGTGTGCCGATTCCTCGAAGGGCGACAAGAGAAGGAGAAATAAGCATTCGTGTGCTAGATCGAGCGCGATGCGATGTACGATGCCTAGTGATATGTTAGTTTCAATGTAATTCCGCAAGAAATGTGCAAGAGAACTAACTCATATGTATACGAGATATTGTGAACTCAGACTTGAATAGCAAGTGAAATATATAGCGCATGTCTTTTCTTCGGGAATAGTGTGTATGAGACTGCGCTTGTATATTGAATTTCATCGTACCAGAGTATATAAGTTGTTGTAGTGTTGAGTGAGTTTCGGCAGTAAACAACTTGAAGTCCGAGAGCGTATCAATTTACCCGTTTATATATATGCCCAAGTGCTTTGCGGGAACTTGGGTTGGTCCAAGCAAAGAGAAACCTCGGAACTTGAACAAGTTAATTGTAGTAGAAGTATAAGAGTTGCCGAATGAGTTGAAGTAAAGATCAAGTGAAGTAGGTAAAGATGAAGTAAAGTAAAGTGTGAAAGTCGTTTGGTGATAAGTTGATGTTCTTGTTTTCAAGGTCAAGGTTCTGGAAATGCAATGTAAGTATCGAGAGTCATTTTCAGTGTTAGCAATGAATAGGCATCAGTCCATTATGATCAGTCTGCGGGTGCCTACTGCTATCTGTGTACCTTAATGAATAAATCTATTATATATGGTTGCCTGGTTCTAAGGTTGAATAAGAATTTCGATATCTATTAACTTCGTATGTGAGAACTATAGTATATACTATTAGGCACCGAAGGACCATTAGGCCGTATAAGCCACAGAAGACAGTCTAAGTCATCTTTAATACCAGAAATATCATTCTTTATGATCTTACGAGTATTAATCGCGGTACAAATCTCTTTACGCTCACAATTATTACCTTCGCTAAGTAGTTTACCTGGGAAAATAGCCCGTTCAGGGTTGGTTTCCAGCACCATCTGGTGAATGTTGTGTTGTGATAAATTCCACGAAGAATACAATTGTATTCAGTCTCGGTTCTCAACCTACGTGGGTGCATCAATCGACTGTATCGATCCACATTCCCCTCCCACGCAGCTATCTATGTCTAAAGACGTTTTTCGAGAACTGGAAGATCAGGTGGAAGAGGCATATGCATAAAAAAGTCGCGCTACTTTTGATTCGATCGTAGAAACCACTGCAGCTGTCACAACCCAATATGATCTAAAACAGAAGACAAAGAAATCCAAGTATTAATTTCAACAGAGTTGAAAAATTCAAATATGTATATAGATTACTTATATGTAGGTACAGCGTTTCCACCACACTTAAAGCGCTCATTTACAGTATCCCCTTGGAAAGGGAACATTGGGTATATGTGAAAATGAAGAGAATAGTCCATCTAAGCAATAGGAGCGTAGAAGCTAAACTTGCCCTGAGGATCATACTGCTTCTTCAGAGCATGCAAGCGATCCTGGCGCCACTTCTCAGCACCATAGATCTGCTCCGAAGTCTCAGAGCCATAGGCATAGTTGATGTAAGCACGGAAATCCTCACGACCAGTAGCAGCAGAGAGGACATCACGGAGCTGGTTACCGAGATCAGCAGCCTTGGAGGCAACATCATCACCGGTGGGCATGTAGTTGATCATAGGGGCGGCAAGAAGGTTCTCGGAGCGGAAGGCGAAAGCAGCGGACTCAGCGGGGATGTTGTGGACACCTTGGACGGGGTAGCCCTCGAACATGAAGATGGAGTTGTTGAAGGCGGAGCTGCCACGGACGGCAGGGGCGTAGATATCCCAAGCCTTCTTCTGGGCTGCGATGTTGTAAGTCTCCAGGTAGATGGGGAAACGGGGATTGGCGTATCCGAGCTTCTGGCAAGGAGGAGAGTCAACAGCAATGCTGGTCCAGGTAGCGAGGTCCTTGTATGTGCCGGACTGGGGGGTCTTGGAGAGATAGCCGATATCATGGAAAGGCTGAGTGTAGACGGAGTCAACAGTGTCGACACCCTCCTGGATGATATAGAAGACGATGACGGGGTTGTTAGGGTCAGAGTCGGCGTCGTTCATCCAGTAAGACCAGTTGGAGAGATCAGCAGGCTGAGTACCGTTCTTGAGGAGGTACTCGTTAGCAGCCTGGTAGACGGCCTCGACCTTGTCACCGCTGAAGATGATAGTCTCGATGGCCCAGTTGGTGTGCTCGATGTCATAGATCTTAGAGGTGAGGGAGGTGACAATGCCGAAGTTGTGGCCGGCACCCTTCATGGCCCACCAGAGGTCAGAGTTGGCGTCGATGGTAGTCAAGGTGCCATCAGCAAGCACGACTCTCATGGAAACGAACTGGTCGGCAACAAGACCATGACGACCCTGGAGCCAACCGTGTCCGCCACCAAGGGCAGGTCCCAAAAGACTGACACACTCGCAGGTTCCGGTGACGGTTTGCTTTCCTGCGGCCCAAAGCTCATCGGTGACAATCTTCGACATAGTTCCACCACCGATAGTGGCAGTCTTTCCATCCTTGGCGACCTCGACGCTGCTGAGTTGGCTCATGGAGATACCGACACCGTGAGACATCTTGCCCAGGGATACAAGAGCTCCATGGACACCGTTATATGTGAGGAAGGGGAGGTCCTTCTTGTTGGAATATTTGACCTATACGCGAAGAATAATGTTAGCAATGTCCTTGCCATCCCATCTTGAATATTAAGCAACATACAGTCTCGACGACATCATTCTCCGTGCAAGGAACAACGACAACGTTGACAGTGGGCTCCTCCAAGACAGACCACCGGGTAGTCGCATTCTTGAAGCCAGTAGAACCAGGGAAATACACCTTGGCACAGCTGGACAGCTTGTTTCCAAGGGTCTTCAGGTCATCATCACCGCGGGGACAATTACCATCAAGGTAATGAGCAGCGGAGACCGAAGCCCACGCCGCAATGGCCGTGAGCACATTGAGCTTAACCATTATTGACAGCAGGGATGAATGCAATGAAGGCAACTAACAATCCTCCCAAAAAAAAGTCCAATGAACTCAGGAAGCAAGGGGAAGTTAAAATTGCCAAGATATCCCCCTCTAGTTGTAAAATGCAACAATCAAGATCAAAAGAGGAAGGCAAAAATGAAAATCCCGTCGACACCACTAATATTTATTGCAAGGAACACGGAGGCCGGAGTCAAGCCGGTTTGTGTTGGAGTAACCCTGCATGCCCCACAGAGAACCACGTTTTTTTGTCGATGGGATTGTACGGAGGGGCCGGAGAGAAGCACGGAGTATACCCGTGGACATTAACTCCGAGCCCTACTTGTTACTTGTGCTTGCACCGTGCTGCACTAAAATACTAAGAGGTGGTACATAATCAGATTCCAAAGTGTAAAAATGCCACGGTTGGCCCCCAAACATGTGGGGCGATCCATCTGGGAGGCGGCGCCACGATCATTTGGTTCCATTGTTTTCCTGGATCATTTAGATTATGTCTTACATTGAGTACCTGCATGAATGAATTAATATAATTTACACTGTAGACCTGAGACAGAATGCGTTTACTCGGTATATATGTCCCTGTCTGCGTTTATATAGTGGGTTCTCTCTTGTCCCTTGAATAGTCTAGGGCTTCCATTTCTTCCATTTCTTCCATATTAATCGGTTTCCCGAGCTAACCGGCCGCCTTATTGCCGAGGCACACACACACCCTCCCCCCTACATAATATTTTGATCGGACATTGGCTGGGAGATTGTAGTGTGCTCCATCTCGCACTCTCATACGGGAAAGTCGCTGCGCTAAGAAAAGAAGCGTCTATCCTAAGAGCAGATGTAGCATCGCGCAAATCTAAATTCTTCCAGCCTTCCATCTTGTTCTCCGAATCATGCCGTATACCCGATCGTAGCATGGGACTATTGAGTTCTTGTCGGGGGTTTTACCAGGTTCAGCGAACGCACATGAAAGCCACGAAAGCCACAGATGGAACGATTCATATGTGGAAGATGCCGGATCTACAAGGTTTCCAGGGTAGATTGTAGCTCCACAATGAACCAAGCAGAGATTTGCCACACCTAGTTTATGTACCTATGCAAGATAACCCCTGGAAATCAATGTGGTGAACATTAAAAGAATTTATTTGAAATAAATGTATGGCAGAGAAGAAGAAGAAGAAGAGAAGAAGAAGTTATTTCCGCATCTAAGTTGCGCACACCGCGCAAGTTCCTAGGCTCGCAAAGTATTGGGCTAACTCGGGGGCCAGACTTAAAAACCCTCCAAAAACTACGCATGCGGAAGGCTCCCGCTTTACCTACTTTACTTAGTACTTATAGTGGAGCTTCGCCTAATACTTGTCTCTCTCCACCTGCCTCTTTAGACTAGAATTCTGACCGGTGGTTGGTCGCCCCAATGCCAATACCAATCTAGTCGGCCAGAACCAGCCAGATCGAGAGAATTTCCATGATTTTGAGCACAACGGGGCCATAACAACGTAACACTGGGCACCATGTCCTTGTCCTCGGTACAAACTAACTTACACTGTGGAAATGATGTGCAACTGAAATTTCTTTTCGTGGTATAGCGGAATCGTGTATCTGCATTTTGGTTCATGCATGGACCGGTAGTTGGCCACTCGTTTATTGTAGTCAATCCGGCTTATGAATCTATTCCTCGTTGATCCCAGACAACTCTAACGAAACATCTGTCTGATCTGCTAGACGACAGCTAGACGACAGGGAGGAAAAAGGCAACTGAATACAGCGACAGCACTGACATGAGTGGCAGCGTGCTGTAAAGTTGAGAACATTTCGGAGCATCAACACGTTAATTTCTCCCTTGCTGATCCAACCCCGCCAACCCACTTGTCAAAAAGCATGGGTTTCGGCCTGGAGGCGCGCGATGCAGCGTCCGATGCAGCGTATAAAACGAACGTCGAACTATGGACACTATACTCGATTGGCGTCGCTGTGACGATCCTTAGAACATATGCTCGAGTGAAGACTGTAGGCTTGAGGAATTTGCGGTTGGATGACTATCTCATATGGGTTGGAATTGTACGTTACGAGAACCTTAAAAGACCCCCACTCGATTTGCTTGCTGATTGCTGATCATCAATTTCTATAGATCTTCTATACCGCGCAGACAGCGCTCGCATATAGTGTTGGCACTTTCGCCGGCGGCCTCGCGAATAACAGCATGACGACGGCACAACGATCTGCACTCTTGGTTACGGATCCAGAATACCACTCCAGGGTACTTGGTTCTAAGATCCAGATTGCCGGTTGGACGACCTATGTCGCCTTGATCAATTCCCTCAAGCTGTCGATGTTAGCATTCTATCTTCGACTTATGGTAAGCTTCCAAGAGCCATCTATGAGACCGATATTGGCGATGGATATCTAACAAACAAATAGGAGGGTCTAGGTCGTCGGTATCAAATCCCCATCTATGTCGGATTTGGCTTTGTTGCTGCGAGTTTCGTCGCCAGCGTCATTACGATATTTGCATCGTGCACACCATTCCACAACAACTGGCAGATTAGCCCAAACCCAGGCAGTCAGTTCTTTATTCACCAGCTATTTCATCTCAAAACAAACATACTAACAAATATCCCCAGATCTCTGCCAACCAGCCATCGCCAAGCCCGTCATCGCCGTAACATTCGCCGCCAACCTCATCACAGACCCATACCTGATCTTCATCCCGATCCCCATGCTCTGGAAATCCAGTCTGAAAACAATCAAAAAGATAGCCACGACCATCGTCCTCAGCGCCGGTATCTTCATTCTCGTCTGCGCCACACTCAAAAGCGTCTTCCTCCTAGTTGTAAGCCCTCCAACCAACCCCATCCATCCCATCAAAAGAAAGAACCCTAACAAACCCAGGAACCCGACGACGGCGCCCAAATAGCCGACGAATGGGGCACCCGCGAAACCTTCGTCGCAGTAATAACCACTAACCTACCCATGGTCTTCCACATCCTCCGAATCTGGCTCACAAAAGCCTTCGGCAGCAAATTCGGCTCATCCCACAAAACAAACTACAAATCTCCATCAGGCGGATTTAAAAGCATCGGCGGCGGGGGAGACTACGCGAGTCGCAAGGGGAGAGGACCCGCGAGCACAGATCCGATTACGATTGGGATGACGTTCACGGAGAGTGAGGAGCGGATGATGGAGGATGATATCAAGATGAGGAATATGAAGACTTATGCGGCGCCTGTTTCCGAGGGGGAGACACCTTCTACGAGTGCTATTGTGGTGTCTAATCAGATTGATATTACACATGAGACACTTAGTAGTCGGACAAGTGAGCAGGGAGCGACAAATGCTCGCGAGGTGTGGTGAAATGGTGGATTTGGAATAGAACGATACCCTGATGAGTTATAGATTTGTAATTAGATTACAGATATCTAGACAAGAGTTTGTTTCCATTCAATGCTTCAAATTTAATTTTGCACACTTCTATCCAATTTGAATACAGTAGGAAATGATGAAGTTTAAACACTATAACAAGTATAGCTTAAGAGGATTATATCAAGTTTACAAGTTTACAAGTATTTAAATTGATAATTGCTTATCATTAGCCTGAGGTCAATATGAACTCGAGCTTAAATACAATATAAGACTGTGGATGACGTTGATTTACCTTCGGCCACTTTATCTATAGGTTCATGGGCATATGTAAACAAAACGTTCATCGCACATCATGTTGATCATACCGCCATATCTCTAGCAAATATACACCGACATAAACACCTCGTTGGATTGGAGTGCATAGAATAGAATAAGAGCAACGTGAAGGGTATCGACAGAGGCAGCCACGCACCCTTGATTGAAAATCTTAGTATCAAGGGACTATAAGGCTATGAATCACGGAACAGATTCTAATCCCATTCCTTGCCCAATCTTACTGATGAGCGCCTTCTTCAAAAATGCTTCACGCGCAAGACCGCGTGTATGACGGGACCAAGAATCGACACCAATAACACCCCGCACTAGGGCGGACTGCAATGCATAAAGTGCATGCTGAAGGCCCTCTTCTTCCGCAGCGAGGTCGTAAAGCTGTTTACCAACGACGGTAGGCGCAACCAGTACTTCATCAATAGGTGGTAGACCGCCATATGGAGCGTCTGAAGATGTGGGTAGTGCGGTGGATGTTGATGGTGCGTTAGTAGAGATGGAGGTCGCGGAGCGAGCTTGCGCATCTGCAATTGCAGCGTCTGCACGGTGAATGGATTGTTGAAGGACGGAGGTATTTGATTGTAGGGTCGAGTGGAGGTTGTTTAGAATGGCAACCTCGTTTTGCAGAGTTGCCATGGCGGCGTGGAGAGACTGCGACTGTGACACTAGCGATTGAGCCGCTGTGTCAGATTGCGAGGCCTGAGTTGCGAGTGTGTCGGCCAGGGTCTTTGAGACGGCGTGGAGGAGGGCATCTTTTTCAGGGTTTGGTGGAATTGGAGGGGCCGGTCCCATGGGTGCGAAGGATGGAAGCTCGAGTTCAAAGGGGGAAGTGAGAAGATCCTGAACTTCTGTCTTCGGAGCTGGCGCTCTTGGAGGAGGCGCCTGGTAATTGGATGGATGAGGAGAATGTTGGGGGTATGGTGGTATATTTTGCGACGCCGGCTGCTGCTGCTGCGGTTGAGGCTGATACCCAGCATACTGAGGTTGTGGCACTTGCGAATAATGGCGATGTGATTGTTGAATTGGTAGCGGCGCTCCCTGGGGTGTCGGGGGCATTTGTTGATGGCCAGGGACGGGGGCTCCGCTAACGTGTCTGTTGTAGCCTGCTGGGGGGCCATGAGATCCGGATGGAGATGTGTGATGTCCTACATATTGGGAATCTGGGTATTGCGATGACGAATATTGAAGGGGTGCCTGGCTTCCAGAGCTGGGCATTCCTGCGGGTATTGAAGTTCGTCTGACACTATCATCTTTTGGAGGCAGCGGAGGGAGAGGCGGAGGTGATCGGTACCGATCTGCGACTTGCGGGGGAAATTGTTGTTGCGAAGTAGCTGATCCAGGCTTGGGAGGGAGTTGTGGAGGAGTTTGACCCTGATTATTCGGATGAGGAGATTGGACCTGAGCTGGTGGTTGCGAGTGTCCCATGCCAAGCGGCAAGGGTGGTACTGGCGGGGGAGTTGGTGCTTGCTGCGCTTGAGGCGGAGGGGGCATTTGCTGGCGATATCGCACCGGTGGTTCTTTGGCAAATACATCACGGAGTATAGAAAGGAAATCGGCAATCGTTGATCTCTGTTGATTTCGAGTTGTAATCAGCAAGTGTCATTCTCAGTGTATGTAATATTGATCACTTACATCCCAAGCTTCCGCCCAATGCGCCAGGTAGTGATGGTATACTCGTCCTTCCAATGTCACATGTTGTCCAACACGAACCGTCATATCCTGAGGCGGCGTTACATAGACCATAGGAGGCTCACGGGGATAGGTGTTCGGTATCCAAAGCGCGATAGGAAAACGGTAGGTGGTGCCTCGGAAGAGAACAGGCAGCGTGCCTACAAGGTGAAGAAGAAGAGCCGAGAACCCGTTCTCGTAAGCTATGGTTTCGAGATTGTTAGCGATAACATCAAGACTATCATTGAATTATAGAACTCACTATAGACGTCGGTGCGAGGGGAGAGCGAGGGGTACTGGGCCAGCGCATTGGCGACATCGTGATAGGCACGGTTAGGATCGTGGTATGTTTGTTTGGGGTCAAAATGATCCTAGAAAGAGCATCAGATAGCTGCAGCAAATTATGATTGAGGTACTTACCTTGCTTAGGACCGAGTAGAGCCAAGAGAGCGTCCGCTGAGGGACCGCCATGTTGGAAGGCTGAAGGGTGGGAGGTGTCAAGTTGCGCGATTGTCCTCCGCAGCACTTCCCCGCAACGGCTTGGCTCGCCTGCCAAGATTCGCACGTTATGACACCCATAGACAGCAATCTATACAAATACGGAAGAATATCATTAAGCACATAGAAAGACACCATTGGTCATGTATTGTGATTTAGTCTTAGATTAATTTATGTTTTATACGCAAAAAGAGAAAATCCCAAGAAATGCATTATGCTTATAGCGAAGGAGTGACTACTAAAGCAGGCCGATTCGATCCATACATACAACCTAACAGAGATAGAATACACTAAACAGAATCTATAACCTTAGAATTCCTCAGACTTTCATTGATATTGATAGGATTATTTTACAAAATACAGGTAGCGACGAATACTAGTACACTTCTTGCCCTTGTACATGAATACACCTTGATTCTATTCAGTCTCGAGTACATTATTAGATCTCCCCAGACAGGCCAGAAGCATTTTGAACCAGAAGTAAGGCAAAATCTCATCTGCCTGGGGACACTTAAACTAATTAGGAGACCAAGGAGCCACCGCGAAAGTATAAGCATCTAATCAACCAGAAGATAGATCCGGCCTGGCCCCAGCTAACCGACAAGTACCTTGATACATCCTCTCCAAAGTAGTCCTCATAATTTCCAAATCCACAGACTCACTCTCCCAATACGTCAAAATTCGAATACTAAGTCTTATAAGCGCGGTCCAATTTCCCGGTGGACGAAGAGCCCAACCACCCGGATTCGGGTTTCGCGATATAAGCACCTGGCTCAGTACAGAAGCTAAGATCTGGATTGCAGCACCAAACGTACACCGCATGATATTCCAGATCCATTCATGCCGAAAGTGGTACCAGAAGTTTGGGATTAGCTCGGCGCAATTGTCAATAGCAGTTTGGGCTTGAGTGAATATTGCTGTGGAGAGTTGGGGAGATGTATGCACCCAGCTTGGGAGGGCTTGGTAGTGGATCGCTAGGTAGAATATTGGACGGTATATTCTTTCTAAGGCGATGTGGCATCGGCCTCGTAGGAAGGACTCGAGATCTTGGTTTGCGGGGGAGAGAGATGGGAGGCTGTCCAGGGAGATTTGATACCTTTGATCTGTTAGCGACGAGAAGGCAATACCTTGGCATTGTTGAGTTTGAATCCATGAATTCATTTGATACGGGAGTGAATTGAGTGTTCGATAATAAAACAGGAATATGGGTAGCAAGCAATGAAATAAAAGATACCCCATGACATACCAACTTGTGATGACTTTCGCAGCCTCGGATATTCGATCAACAATGCCGTTGACGTCGTTTAGCCAGCCCTCCTCTCCGTTCCGCCACATATCAATGAGCATGTCATTAACTGTACGTCGATTACAAATAGATCCAATATAGAACTTCCAGCCCCTTTCCTCATCGGTGCCACTAATCCCAGACGGCGCCTGAATGCTGGTAGCATTATCAGTTTCCATCTGCCCCGGCGAAGACGAATTGGTCCTCGGACACATTGGGAACGGGTCTGAATAACCCAGGCTTTCAAGACTAGAGCTCCACAAAGGCAGTTCACCTTGCATTTCACTATGGGCCGCAGTTAGGTAAGGGAAAGGCGCTTGTGGCGTTAACATATTGCTCAGGGACTTACTGCTCTGCCTGGATACAAGACCAATATAGCCGAGACTCCAGATTATGGTAATCAGCATTAGCAGTCCATTGCTCTCTGCATAGGGAGCGCAGCCGGACCTCTAGTCTGCACGATGCTTGTTGAAAACAGAACCATGCTTGTAAAGGGCGCATGGCATGTCTGTGATAGAATCCAGCAAGAAGATAGCATTGTATATCAGTCGGAGACGTATGCAATGATCCAAACCGTTGCTTGGCCGCATGAAAGTAAGCCTCAGCAAGCTCGATATTGGCGTCGGAAGAAGGTGGAGCTGGAATTCGGTCTAAATCCTCGGGGATCTCCCCTAGAGGTAAAAAAGTGGATGTGCAGCAGGCCAAAGCGCATGCAAGAAGCTACTTGAATAATTAGCCGTTGGTTCTATCTGGAAACGGGGTAGATCATAATCCTCCGGCTCGGGGAGGAAAAAAAATGATAGTAATGGTTGGATACAAAGACACACCACTTGACACGATGGGCCGTCCCACCCTAGTCCTTGTAAGGTAACTTCGCGCGCGTAGCGCTCGAGCTTGTCTATATCGACTACGGGGTTTCTCCGGTGTACCAAACGGTGGTATTTCCGGCATAATGGTTGAATATCATCCACAAGTGGGCCAATGCCTGCTTGCTGAGGTGGAGCCATGCCTGCTCCGGGGTGATCATCCAAAGAATCAAGTAAAAACGATCGAATCTGTTTCTCTGCCTCTGTGATAATTTGATTATAGATCGGCCAACGGAGCATCAGCTCTGGGGAACTGGCAGCGTATATCAAAAAAGGATCATGTTCGCACGCACGATCCTCGCCACTGGTACTACTACCACGGGGAGGATTGCTTCCCATAAACCCCATATCAGTCGACGGACTAGGATTTTGCGTCGTCAATTCGAAGAAAGATTCTCTGAGCGAGCGAGCCGACGACATAGTCGATGACCTATCGTGTTTGAGATCTTCCAATAACGAATAGATGCGGCCTAGTTGTTGCAGGATCTCTTGGTTGGCGGGATCGAACCCAGATCTACGAAACGGGCGAGAAAAGGTTTCAGTTTCAGTTTCATTTTCACAGTACAAGGCCACTTTTAAAAGAGCACTGGAAAAGTAAAGACAACCAAGCCACTCAACTTACGGGTTAGGGCGCGGCGACGTCTCAGGGTAGATGCACTCTACCCCCTGCACAGCACAGTAGCTACAGGTGGGCCGAGTATTGTCGCACCGGGTCTTGCGCAGACGGCATGTCTGACAGGCCGTTGGTGCGCGTGTCCGACTCTCGCGCTTCTTTGAAAATCTGGCGTCAGAAAAGTCCATGGTTTGATCGTGAACGGCGATTCCCGTTTGAGGAAGTGTAGCATAGAGACCGGGGAGCATCGGGGAGCTCGGGGGAGGTAAGAAGGGAGTAATCAGATGCAAAATCCCACAAAAATAAGAAGATTGTGGTAAGAGGGATCCAAGAGACGGGAGTCAACAGCTACGCAATGACTCTCCACTAGGCCCGGCAAGGGAAACAAAGAAACGGTGATGTGTCGAGGGTGGCCCGGTGAGGCGCTACTCGATAGGGAATAGAGTGTTCTTCTGGAACAAAGAACTCGAGGGTCAATGCCTGCGAATCTCCTGTATTTCGACCAGGATCTCGTGACGTTCGTGATTTCTGATTGGTGTGGCTTGAACTTGATCGCCTTTTTGACAGGGATTCTCACGAGAGTTCAACTGACCACCCCTCGAATGGCGGAGGCCATGGAATTTTTGGAAGCCACCTGCCACTCCTGACGCAAGAGAAACGTAGCCAATAGATAGATAACTTCATCTACCGGCGGGCCTCGTGTAGCCCAGGCGTCTTATTTGGGAGATGGGGAACAAATGAGAAGGATCGGATGTCATGTAGGTTCAGGGATGTTGGTGGTGGAAATTGGCGTTGCTCACCATCCGGCGTCGGACTCCGGACTTGTCGGGGATGACAAGGTCCAATAGATGGAGGGATTGGCAAGTAGAATGAATTACCACGAGTATTATAGAGACAACCATTTAGAGCACCCCTGGGAGGACTGAGTATAATGGTGCAAATATTTATACTATTGCAATAAATTCCAACTCATCCCCCCGATCAAGATCACATAAACATCGCCTCCAGGCATAGTAGATTGAGAGAGGTGGTTGGTAGTACACAACACCACAGACAGCTAACTTTACAAGGAAGCCAATGGAATCATTGTTGCATGACAGAATTCATCTACTGCAGATCATTACTATCGCTAACGTGCATAAATCAGGCGCCAATTGGCTGCGCTGGGAGTACATGTACAGAGCCGTGCCCGAAAGGCTGCAACTGGGCAGAAAAACAATCATCGAACGCCGAGGGGAAATGCAGATGGGGATGACCACGTAGACGAACCATTATCGAAAAGAGGCAGTGAAGGAGGAGGGGGAAAAAGATGGAGAGCAGAGACGAAAGGAAACCGACATGGTCATGCTTTTTTAAGAGAGCCGCTACCGAACTCTCCTCTTGCCCTTCTTCACTGGCGGCACCTCACACAATTCAGTCCAGGCATCTTCGAAGGTGGTTTTTCTGGGACCAATCTGTCCTTCATAGAAATTAAGTTGACGGACAACCTCCATGGCACCAGTACCCAATCCGATAGTTTTGCCCATAATAATACATTCCGAGACACCTTCAATCAAATCGGTACGACCGGCACCACCGGCATCGAAGAGATGGTCGGCAGTCTTTTCGAAAGAAGCGAGTTGAAGAACCGAGTCACGCATCTTGGCCAGACCGAAACGAGTGATACCAAGAACTTCACCCTTGTATGTCATCACGTCAGCCAGCAGCTGCATGTGTCGAGGATCGATACCCATGGAATTCATGACCTCGCTGATTTCATGAATGATGGTCGTACGTGCCGCTTCAATTCCAAGAACATCGCGTGCTTCCATAACGTTGTTGGTCTTCGTGTGAAGGCCATCGACACCAACAGTAGTCATACATTGTCGCAGACCGTAGCCTTCAACCAACAGAGTATTGCTAGTAGATGTCTCATCTGTTCGAATAATCGCACGTTGAGCCTGAGCATGTCCGAGAATTTGGATATTGGGCAAGATTCGCTTCAGATGTTTGAGACGTAGGAAGGGATCAAGACTTGTCGCAGCGATCTCTGTCTTCGACAATGATGCCTTGGTGGCTGGATTCATGTCCATGTAGACTTTAATCGCAGATGGAGTAGTGACAAATTTAAGATCTTCGCCCTTGAAGCGCTTGTGCGTTTTGACTGCTTGAGCGATTTGCCTGACGGTAAGTTCAAGCTTCAGGTCGGAAATCGTCTGAAGATTGATCCTAACAGTGACGTATGCTGAATCAGACGTCCAATTCTCAGTAATAGACCGCATAACATCGCGTAAATAGGTCTTTTCAATACGACCTTTCACAATGCGAGCAGCAGCAAGCTGCTCTTTGTTCACTAATTCGCAGGAAATAACTGGAGTACTGATCACCTTAGAGGCATTGATGATTTCCTTAATACGCGGAACACCTTGAGTAATACTCATACCAGCGACACCAGCGAAATGGAAAGTCTTCAGGGTCATCTGGGTACCTGGTTCACCGATGGACTGAGCACCCACAGCACCCACAGCATGGCCTGGCTCCACCTGCGCCTTCCTGTACTTTGTGAGACAGGCGGATATGAATGCGCGTAGTGTTGTCTCTGTCAGTTTTCCGGTATGGTTCAATGCCTGCTGAGCTCTGATATCAGAAGGATCATTTTCACCCCCACGAGAGGACAATTTCCGAGCCTTGTTATCGACATATTCTTGAATAGAGTCGATGAAGTCACGGGCACTCTCAAGTTGATCAATTCCATGATCGCTGCGATCCATGTACTCCAAAGAGTTGCCGAAGAGATCCTTACGGGTCAATTTAGCGCGCTCTTTGCCTAACATTTCTTTGCAAACTTCGTCAATTTCTTCAGGCAGCAGACTCCGCTCAGTGTTACTGTATGTAATTGACTCGGAGTGGATGAAGGTTCGGTCAAAGTGGACAGGCTTAGCTTTGCCTTCCATGTCCACAGGGTCCAGCTTATCGTCACCATACTGGAACTGTACGATAGCCGCAGAAGAATTTCGCACAGTATCATCATACATGGTTGAAAGATCTTCAAGAGACTTCATCAAGCGACGAGACATGTATCCAGTCTCTGCAGTCTTGACGGCAGTATCGACCAGACCTTCACGACCAGACATAGCGTGGAAAATGAACTCGGTTGGCAAAAGTCCCGAAAAGAAACTATTGCGAACGAAACCTTTGGAAGGAGGTTGACGAGCATTCTTCGGGAAATGAGGAAGGGTGCGGTCTTGGAAGCCGTCCTGAACACGCTGACCACCGATAATTTGCTGACCCACAAGGGCAACCATCTGGGACACGTTGATAGCAGAACCTTTGGATCCGCAAGTAGCCATGATCAAGGGAGAATTGTACTTGCTGAGTTGTGCAATACATTCATCACCAGCCTGCTGACGGACTTTGCTGAGAAGACCGGACAGTTGGTTTTCCATAGTCTGCAACTCGTCACAACCAGGGTACTTTTCCAGTGTACCGGCTTTGTACTGTGCAATAACTTCGTCACACTTTGCGTACGCGGCTTCAACCAGATCGTTCTTAGCTTTCACAAGACTGTCGCTTGGGTAGACATCGGTGATACCAATAGAGAAGCCCATGTTGGTAAACCACCGAGATGACAACTTAGCAAGTCGATTCATTCCCTCGGCGGCAGCGGCCGGTCCAAAGTCACGAAGCATGATGTAGAAAACATTGTCTTTCTTTCCGTCACCAACGGTAGATTTGTCCATAACACCACACATCACTTCCGAGTTGCGGATGACCAGCCAGCCATCATTCGGGTCTAAGTCCTTTGGACTTCCATCTTTTGGCATTTTAAATTCACGGCATGCCGCATCAAGATTGACCAAGACAGGGTCATCCTTGTTGGGGTGCATCAGAATATTGAAAACCTGCTTACCAGTCCAGAGCATCTGTGGCTTCATGACGGTTGGAGGTGGGAGATCGAAGCGTGTCTCTGAGCCCAGCATGTAAAGACAGATTTGACTAAATGAGCGACGATCGAAGAAATTGTCTTTGCTACTTAAGATATAAGCGGCACTGATGAAATCCTGGATAGCTGCGATGATTGGTTCACCGTTTTTAGGCGTCGCCAGGTTATTTTTCACACCCATCAACTCCATGGCTTCTGCTCTTGCTTCTTCCGTCTGGGGAACGTGCAAGTTCATCTCGTCACCATCAAAATCGGCATTGTAGGGGTTGCAAACACACTCGTTTAGTCGGAATGTTCGATACGGTCGAACCTTGGCAAAATGGGAGAGAATACTCAGTTTGTGGAGAGATGGCTGTCGGTTGAAAAGTACAATATCTCCATCCTCAAGGTGCCGTTCTACCTTGTCACCTTCTTGCAGTTGACTGGCCATATGGTTCAGATTACCAAACTTAGTGTTCATTTGCCAATTAGAGCCCTTCTTGATCACGAATCTTGCTCCTGGGTATTTGTTTGTTCCATTGCGAACGCACTGCTGTAGCTTTTGCATGTTGTATCGGGTCACCACCTCTGGGTAGGTCAAATTCCTGGCAACCAGTTCTGGGATAGCAACTTCATCCACGCGAAGATTCGGATCAGGTGAAATGACGGTTCGACCAGTGTATTCGACACGCTTTCCGGACAAATTTCCACGGAAACGACCTTGCTTACCCTTTAATCGCTGAACAAATCCACGAATGGGCTTTCCGAGATCCGCCTTATTGAGGCCGGGCACATCACTGTTGATGTATACCGCAATTTGAAGCTGCATAAAGTCCCAACATTCCATGATAGTCTGAACAGGCGCGCCCTTAACAAGTGAGTTCTTAAGGTTTATGTTACTTTGCACGATATCTCCCAGCTTTGCAGTCAAGTCATCTTCTGTTGATGCGGCGTCCTGAATCACAGACGGGCGGATACACACTGGGGGAGCAGGGATGTACTGCCAGAGGAACATCTCTGGACGAGCCTCTTTAGGATCCAAGCCCAGAAGCTCACAGTCACTATCAGAGATCTTCTTAAAGAGCTGAAGTACTCGCAGGGCGTTCAGATCCTCTTGTGCTTTCTTAAAGTGCTTCTCAACTTCAGGATTAGAATTTCGCATCTCAGCAAAGGACTCATCAAAGACAGTCTTGCTGAGTGGAGGGTTCTTTTTGACAGAGGTTGAGGCGTTGAAAGCACGATATTTGTCGTGGGTAATCTTCAGTGCACTTGTACCGATTTTTTTCACCACACCATTGATAGAATCGCAATGCTCGCATACACGTGTTTTTCGGCATCTTTCATTGATTCGCTTCGCAATCTGCATTCGGCGCAAGTTATCTAGTCCAGGGCGTCTCATTTCCCGCAGGAAAGATCTGCGCTCGGTCTCTGGGAGAAGAATTCGGGAACATTGTTTGCAAATCTCCTGGAGAATACCAATAACTCGCTTGAAGTAACCGACGTGGAAAGATGGGAGAACCAGTCGCACATGACCAAAGTGACCATTGCAATCCTTCGAATTCAAACCACAGGTCGCGCAAGTGGCAACCTTGCCAGAAATACCCATTCGAGTGTCCAGGGGACCGTTCGATACAATTTGCCGGCCATTATCGAGATCGAAAAATTTTCTGTCAGACACTTCCACTGAAGCTTGGTCCACGATATCATTTTTGGTTCTGCAAAGGGAGAAAAACGCACTCTGTTAGTGATCGCATTCTGCGCAAAGAGCATTTTAGCTCAGTCCTTGGGGCAAAACAGGAAGCTCATACAATACACCAAACTTCAATTCCTTGATAATTTTTGGGGTACGGTCAATGACCTGGGCCTTGCCCAGATCAATCTGCGCATCCTCTAAAGGCTGCATTGCGCCGTTGTCAAGGTGAGAACATGGCAGGGTGACTCAAATATGGCTCGATCGGCGTGTGCGGATGTCAGCCGCAACGAACGGGGACAGGGCACTCTGGACGAAAAGTCGATCGCGTAATTCGAGTTAGGCCTCGGCGCAAATAATCCGAAGCTTTAAAACTCTCCGACGAAGGGTAGTGAGGGAAAATTGGAGACGATGAGATGGGATGAAGAGAAGAAAGGCCGCGGGGTCGACGACGAACTTCTTTTTTTCTGCCGTCAAGCTCCCACCCAATCACGTCCAAGTGGGTCCGGAACTATATCAATTCAAATGTTGATGCATCGGCTTCAGTCACACTTCAATTTTCAAATGATGCGACTTACTAGAGAGGAATAAGAAGATCTTGGGAATAAGCAGGGAAACGTGTAATCAATTATGTAGAAAAGCATATATTCATAGGCCATGGAAAGATTTTACACATAAATTGCTTATACATTTATATTCTGCTATATTTTTTGACATTGTGGAATTTCTAAATAGTGACTATACGACAGCCGGATCAAGAAATTTGATGTTGTACGTGTTGGATTGATTCTAATATACATTTATTTATTTTGACAAAAATGCCTGGAATGCCTTATGTTCGATCACAACGTTTCCGACGGCTCGAAGTCTTTTGCGGCCCTCCTTCTGTTTCTCCAATAGCTTTCGACGTCGACTAACATCACTAGCATGTAATTTGGCCAGGACATCCTTGCGATAAGGTTTGATGGTTTCACGAGCAATGATTTTCTTGCCAACCGCAGCCTGAATGACAATCTCAAAGAGTTGTCGGTCAACGTGTTCTTTGAATTTCGTTACCCACTGCCTAGCTTGGCGAGGGACTTGACTCATATGCATGAGTCGTGAAACAGCATCCACAGGAACTTTGTTCACTAAAAGCTGAAGTTTGACAATATTGCCTGCTCGCCATGCAGACTCTTCATAGTCTAAGCTGGCGTAGCCCTTGGTGCCACCCTTTAATTTCCCAAAGAAATCATCCACGAGATGTGCCAAGGGAATTTGATATTTCATGATGACTTGACTTGAGGTGAAGTATTCGATACTCTCCTGCTCACCCCGATTAGCCTCGCAAAGCTCAATGACCTTGCCTAAGTATTCATCGGGGAAAGTCAATGTTGCTAGTACATAAGGCTCCTGAACTTCAGCAACCTTGAGTCGCACGTGGTCTTCGTCTGGGAACTTTGCCGGGTTGGTAATGATTTCCTCAGTGCCATCCTTCCATACAACCTTCACGGGGACGGAAGGAGGAGTGATGATAATGCTAGCACCATGTTCCTGTCGCAGACGATCTTCGAATACAGAGCAGTGAAGCGTCCCTAAGAAGCCCATACGGAAACCAGCTCCCAAGGCTTCGGAGGACTCTTTTTGAACAGTCACACTTCGATCATTCAATATGAGCTGATTGATGCTGTCATCCAAATGCTCAAAAAGATCAGCGTTGATTGGATAGACGGCCACAAAAACCATTGATTTTGGCTCTTCAAAACCTGGAAGAGGCTGAACTGCTTTTTCAAAGCCCATTTTCGTAAATGTGTCGCCAATCTTAGCCTCCTTGCTTCGCTTCATTCCGGGGTTGAAATAGATATAACCGACTTGACCCGCACGAATCACTGTTTGTGCTGTCTCGGTAGGGTACATGATTCCGACTTCGCCCACATAGTATTTAAGACCCGTGGCGAAGGAAACAAGCTGCTGACCTGCTCGTACCTCCCCATCAAAAACGCGCACCAGCAGAATCACACCCTTATAGGGATCATACCAAGAGTCGACCAGCAACATACGAAGGGGCTTTTTTGAGTCACCGATAGGCCTATTGAATATAGTTAGCCTTCGAGAATTCGGAATTTCAGACTTTGAAGACATACGCAGGAATTTTCTCCACAACTGTTGGCAGGATTGCCTCCACATTCAACCCAGTTTTAGCCGATACCATGACCGCATTCTCTGTATCCAGCTCGAATGAGCTTTCCAATTGACCCAGAGCCCGCTCTGGATCTGCTGACGGCAAGTCAACCTTGTTGATAACAGGGATCAGCTCAAGACCCTGCGCGAATGCCAAGTAGAAATTGGCTACAGTTTGCGCCTGAATGCCCTGACTAGCATCTACCAGAAGGAGCGCACCGCCGCAACTAGCGTAGCTGCGCGACACTTCTGCACGGAAATCCACATGACCCGGCGTATCTACCAGATGTAGAAGGTAGTCTTCGCCGTTGTGATTGTATATCATCGTACATGTCTGCGCCTTCACTGTGATACCTCGTTCTCGCTCAACATCAAGCTTATCAAGAACTTGCTTATTTGAACCAGGCTGAATAGTCCCAGTAAGTTCGAGAAGTCGGTCAGAAAGGGTACTCTTGCCATGATCGACGTGGGCGACAATGCAAAAGTTTCGATATCGGTCTAGGGGGATCGCAGCGATTCGGTGCTCGAGGTTTGTGTCTGGGGATCTGGGGGGTGCTTTCGATTTGCCTGCACTCCACACCGCGGAGGCTGTGAAAGACCGTATGAAATTATAGCGAGACGGAAATCCAGCCGACGACTTGAGGCTTGCGGCTAGAGGGTTCGGCGCTGCGCTCAGCCATCGGGCTAACAGCAGACATCCTCGCATCGGGATTCCTGCAGTAGCATGGAATTGGTAAGAACCTTCTTGGCTATCTGGGATCCCAGTTCAATGGACGTGACTCGATCTTGTCGGGATGTGCGGGCGCATTCAATCGTGGAGCATAATAATTGCGGAGTTAAGATTTGGAGGGAAAAACGGATGCAGTCACCGCCCGCGATCGCTGCGGCGACTATCGGCATACTGTAAACAAATACCAATCTCCTCTTCTCAACCTCAATCTACCGTTTATTCTCATTCTGCACAGCTCGTATCGCCATGCCTGAAGTTAAAGACAAATCCAAGGTGCACAAGCTGTCCATCAGAGGTCGGTGACTGTCATTACGTCCAAGTCTTCCGTATCAGCAAGCTCACAAGTCTACAGGATCGGCGAAGCTTGTGGCTGAATTCGTGGGTTCTCTAACAATCAATCGGAAATTGCTCAAGTGCTAATGATTTACAAGTTTGAATATTCGATTAACTCAATTCTGTGAGTTCAAAAGCGACATTCGATTAGGACCAGAAGCTCATTGCAATCCGTACGACAGATTTCAACGCGGTGTCTACCCTCCAGAGGACTTCATAACGTCAGTACCCCTCCTATATGATGCATGAGAGATTGGATCAACAAGCTGACCATCATTAGTGTCAAAAAGTATGGCCTAAACATGCTTGGTCCGTACCTTCTAAACGTATACCCTTCGATCCCTACCTCGCATTCTAACCCCGCCCAAAGTGTCGGCCGATGACCAGGTCAAAGCATATATCAAGAAGATTATGTCCCAATTGAATAAATGGATGGCTGGCGGGAAAATCTCAAAGCTTGTGGTGGTCGTCACAGACCGTGAGTCTGGTGACCATGTGGAGCGATGGCAGTTTGACGTGGGTAACCCCAGCTTCCCAGGTGCTTTTACCGGTGATTCTGACACAATATTTACAGGTTGAAATCTTCGGCAAACCTTCCAAGAGTAGAAGTGCAGGAAAGTCGGGTGATAAAGAGAATTCGGTCCCTGGGTAGGTCTCAATTATGACTACAGTAACATAAGGTCAAGGGCTTTTGCTAACGGGCAACTATCTAGGGACGCCAACGCCGAAGCTGCCGAGACCGCTGAAAAGACAGAAAAGGAGATCCAAGACGAGATCCAGGCTATCTTCCGCCAAATCACTGCATCAGTGACCTTCCTCCCTGTGTTGGACGGAGAGTTCACATTTAACGTCCTCGTTTATGCCGACGCAGACTCCGAGGTGCCCGTGGAATGGGGTGACAGCGATGCAAAGGAGATCAAGAATGCTGAGAAGGTTCAACTGCGCAGTTTTAGTACTAACAACCACCGAGTGGGCACCCTAGTCAGCTACCGACTGGCAGACTAAGTACTCCAGCTTTATTATGGTTATCCACGAGGGATGCATTGGCGTTTAGAGGGGGGTTCCTGTTGATTATTATTTGTATCACACTATGAGATCCATATGTCTTAATGAATATTGCATCATGTCGCTTGTTTGATTAGGTTGAACGGCCATAATACCAAGGTAATTCTTCCATCCTGGGGAACAAGTCATTTCCTTCTCCACTATTCCAGCATACCAATTGCTCAACCACTTCCTCAAGATTCGCATGCAGGAAAAGACAATTGTCAGTTTCTAGCCAGCCTCTCTGGGCTCTCTTGCTGGCCAATTCTGGACCATTTCCGTATAGATCATTTTTCCATAGCCCAATGCCTTTGCCTGATTCCCCTCTCACCAGCGATTCCAATGGAGTGACCTCTTCAGGTGGATTTATGCCAATCACTGAAACAAGGACATTACCCTCTGCCTTGCCCTCTCGAGTCCAAGGCACTAACCCCAGGGCGGGAAAGTGGTATTCCATGAATCTGGCTCTCTTGAACTCGTGAGTCACGACTGTCACTCGACGTGGATAACTACCAGCTTGTGACCTGAAGCGAAGCACTGAAAAGAGAACATTCTGGTAGGAATCCGTTGCATGATCCTCTGTGATAAGTCTGGACGGGTCTATATCCGAGACGCTTGATGTATCTTGGAAATAATTATTTTCTTTGCATAGGTTCTGCAACGCGTTAGTTCGAATCGTCCCCTTGGGTATCGAAGACACCTTACAAGATACGACTGCCCCTCACAGAGGTTTGTCCTTAACTTCTTAGTCGGTCCCCTTAGAGATATTATCAGTAAATTGCCAAGTAGCCAGGTAGATGTTGATAATATGCCCACCCAGAGAAAACAAGCAATGCGCGGGGATCTTCAGACAATGCCTTCAGCCCAGCTATCGCGTGTTGTATGAATGTTGGTGTTTCTCCTTCTTGGAACTCCTCGATAAACCTGCCCATATTGTATTATCAGAGCATGTAACAAGACGTGCCATCGTCTTCAAGTGAACTAACCACTCATCTTCGGCAAGCCCATGGGCTGGACCCCCAGCGTAAATAGCATGGCAGCAGACAATTATAAGATGATCCATACCCCACTTCACCAGATTGGCTAATTTTTATCACAGTTTATGCAGTTGAATGTATTGATTTTCAAACTCAATGTGACGAAGATGTTGTGCACGGAAGATCGTTGTAGGAGCCACGGCATGGGACTCGGCTTGAGTTGATGCCTGATTATGCCTGATTTCCACTGCATTTACTACATGTTTTGAAACTCGACAGAAAACCCACTTTTATCCCGATTTTAAGTCAGCAAAGAACTTCAATCAAATTAAAAATAGCTTAGGCTCTGATATGGAATTATGGCTTACGCTGATATATGTGACCTGGCATATCTAATAGCACAGCCCTGGAGCCCTGGGTAAGCAATTAAGAGGTGGCCTGTGCACGACTACGAAGTATAACATCGACGTCAAGGAATGAGCACACCTTAAAACGGAAAGGGCCACTCAATGTTTGAAAAGAACTATCCCTTTTCAAAGTATCATTTGACATGATTCTACCCGCGATCCCCAGGTACTATTTAGTTGTCCACATGATTCTCATTTCACCACCTGTATAGGTATACACTTGCGTCTGCATAGTACAAACTCTTCTTCGTGTATACTACCTGCTATGTACTAACTATCCTACCTGTAGTAAATATCAACACTAGTACTGATAATAAGTCAAGATAGATCTCAGTACATCCCAGCTTATGATGGAGATGGCTGCGTTAGCTCAATAAGTACCAACTTGAAGGTTCTTAAATATTGGATTACGAGTATAGTTTGGCTACATTACTCTCTACAGGTGATACGAAAATGAGCTTATTTAAAGTCTATATCAAGAATAATTACTGTGAGTGGCTTGAAATTGCAAGTTTGACGGCATACGTCTCCTTAGAAGCTACATGGTATTCTCAATAGGATCAATAAAGAAGATAAAACACACAGTTCTTGGGTAAAAGGGAACCAGTCAAGCGAGGATATTGGCAAACAGGAAGTAAAACAGAGAAGAAAAAAGGCTTTTTATCTTCAAAGAACATGCAAACTCGCCTACTATCTAAGCGGGAGATCTCCGGCTACCCCAGGGTTATCATGATGGGTATAAATTCCATGCTCCTCCACACATCACTGTATTGTCCTTACAGCATTCCAATCAGCTTGCTCTCTCATAACTCAAATTTATTTTTCATGTGCATCTGAATAACCCGACCTAAATATGAATACAGCATTGAGATCACATTTCTTAAGCTGCATATCATACTCAACGATTTTTCATTTGCGCTTCAGTCAGTCTTTCCCACTAGTAAGTCCAAACAAATACCATTTATATCACCCAGACATACCCCTTTAATATCTCACCGAAGGCCTGAACTAATCCCAAACGCTACTGCTCAGGTAATCGACTAGCTTACAATTTTGGAAACTTTTTGGACGTATCACGTTGGCCTTCATGTGCTGGCTGTTATCCCACGCACCCTTCGACCTATCACTAGCACTTTGTAAGGCCTGCCATGTGTCTTATCAGTAAGACCAGCATGAATTCCAAAGAACGATGGTCAATATCTTCGAATAGCTCTGGTGCAGGTCCAGAGTCTCTATGGGAGGAGCAATCTAGCATGTCTCGTACTAGAGACTCGTTGGAAGAGAGAGTCCTTCTTCCAGGGTGCCATCATAATAACAATCTTTCTCCCTTGAACACACCTCCATCCTCCATACAATCACCTCCTCCCTATCAATCATCATCATCTCCACTCTCAACTTCCAGCAGTCTACAGAACAACTTCCTCGGCGAGAACTCAAACATAACGCCCATAACGCCTCATTTGATAACCTCAAGACTTCTCAAAAACGCGTATTCCCGCGATACAAGCACGAAAAATGCGCACCCAAACAGTGATCATGAGGCAGAGCCTCGCGCACCAAAGAAGCCACGGAGGGAAAACATGCAAGAGTTTATCGGATTGCCTACGAATAATAAGCAACTTTTCCGTTCGGCTGTGGCATCTCCAACACCTCCCCTATCTAGAAGATGTCCAACCGTGAGACTGCCGGGACTTCGTGTTATCGATGCAGCCGACCCATTCAACCAAAGTTTACCCCCAAGGGTCTTCGCGTCATCAGAAGACAACCCCTACCAGGACTCAAGAGGACCAGAAAACGGGCTTATTAACGACTCATCCAACACAGAGGACAACAAAACATCCCAAGCCGCTTCCGATCCGGAATATCTCCCAGACAGCCCATCACCACGAAGTCAACCGCGAGGCCAAACCCCCGATTCCAGCAAAAACATCACCTCAAGCAAAGAAGACAACAAGAAGTCCAATCTACTCTGCGAATTCTCCCTGCCCTGCAAAATGGGTCCATCGCCCGACGGTATGCACTTCCGCAAAATAGTCTCACACGTCTTCGGCCGCAACAAAGCTTCAACGAAGTTATTCCCCGACGATGTCTGGGTATACTTCTGCCGAAAGCATTACCAACGTGCACGTTACCGAGCAGACCAATGGCCATTTACACAGTGCGACCTTCTACAGGAGTCACTCTCACGGATCGAAGAATGGAACGGAGTTGAAAGCTTCGAGCTAACGCTCCGTCGTCGCGAATCAATGCGTGTCAACGAGGCAGACGGACACGCAACAAATGGCAACAGGGATAGCAATGGTACTGGCAAAAACCACCGGGCGAGTGGAGCAGCACGATCTGAAAATTCTCGTGTTGGAACAAGCCGTATGACGAACGCAGGCCGAAGACATCCTACTGCAGTTATTGCCCCTGTGCCCGAGTGGCTGCGCAAGTCTACCGGGCCAAACAAGTCATTCACTGAGATTCGTGCCATAGTTGATCGGATCCGCGAGTATCTGGCCGGCTTACGGGATCAAGAACGAGCACAGGAGGCTCGACAAGAAGCTCGACAGGAGGCTGGGGAGACTACATCTCGAAGTAGTAGAGGTTTTCGTAAATTCAAAAAGGACAAAGAGAGCCAGCGACATCAGATTAGCCAGGTGAGGTTCCCAGATGTGGAAATCTTGCCGAGATTCCGGGACTGGGTCATCCAAGCAGGCTCCAAAAAACGGAACCAAACCGAGGACAATGGCGAGGCTGATGTGGTTGTGGAAAGAGAGGCTGAAGATGACCAGGATGAGAAAGAGGAAGAAGAGGATGCTGGTCTAGTTGGCCGAACTGGACGAAATCGAGGCCAATCCGCTAGTCAAAGACGGCGTAACGATCAACACTGGAGAAACATGGTTGAACGAGTTTCCCCTCGTGGTACTATTAGAAAGCCGCGGAAACACTAGGGCAGCAGGCTAATAATCCATGAGAATGCAATCATGTTGGAAGAAAGAGAAAAACCAGTATCCTTGAATAAGAACTCCGAATCGAGGCTAATCCCCAAGAGAGGAACGACCAAGACTGAAGAGATATGATTGATCTAGTGCAGTGAAGAAACTGGGAAGTGCTGGGAATCATAATGATAAGACTTATTGGCTTTGAATGTAGGATTAAAGCCAGTGACCAAGAAATCGACTCTCTTCATAATAATGTTGCTTTTGTCGAAATTGTATCAACTCTTGTATGACGAAATAGATGTGAAGAATAAGATACGATGAAAACACAATATTTTTGACAGATTCTTGAGCTGTGAAGACTATGAGCAGCTAAAGGTATTCGTAAAGCCGGTGGGCTATAATCTTCAAATGTCGTTTCATACAGCTGGAGCTTTGGCTTAGCCGGCATTGATACAGCAGGGCTTGTAGTGTCATTAACACCTAGGTACAGAGCTACAGAGATTTGAACACTTCATTAAATCAAGATGTAGAAAAAAGTTTTATTCACGAAAACAAGATGGCAAAGGAAAACGCCATGCCATGAAACTGTGCATAAACATCCAAGCACGCTTGCTTGCAAATAAATAGAAACAGATATACCACTACCTGCTGTACAACCACACCGCACCATCGCCCGAAGGAAGGACCCAAGATAAAACAGGATAAAATGAAATGAAAACTTAAGAATTAAGAGGGTAGATAGTGAGATTTCATAATCGTCATTGAGAACCTTGAGGTTAGTGGGTGATCATCACAAAAAGAAAGAATGAAAAAATGAACGCTTAGCTGGCGACAGCCAGTTGAGCCACAAGGTCAGAAGCAACATCCAAGAATGGATAAGGACTAGTGACCTCCTTCTCCTTGTTCTTCAGCCGTTTGCTGATGGGAGTCCATTCGTGATCGCCATGAGCACGAATGACATTCTGGTATCCATCGCATTTGAAATCAACCATGTAGTTATTCTCTTCCAATTGGTACAATTGAATATCAACAAACACCCACACGCCGTGTGAGAAGCCGGTAAGAGCACCGGGTTGTGTGGCAGAGGAGGGCGCAGAAGGTGCACTGTTCTCTGGCGTGGAATACTTGGGCTCCTTGTCCTCGAATGGAATGGAGATTCCTGAAATATGGAACCGGCGTCGCAGCTCTTCAAGGTCACTGCGGCTATTGAAGACACTGGTATTAGCCCCCGGGGCCTTGATGCCCTCTTTCAATAGACGTGCACGGATGAACCAAGGGTCTTTGGGAATATAGTAGTCCGAAGGAAGATCAGGGTATTTATTCTGAAGTGGCTTGGGCTTGTCAGGGGAAGGTGTTGCATCTGGTCCGATATTAGTGCCTGAATCAACGGGCTGGACGTCCCAGACACCGCCCTGGGCAGCGATCGCTCGATATAGATACAACATGGCTTCGTAAGGTTGGTTGCGTGAACGAATACCGAACTGCCACTTGCGAGATCTCTTGGGAGGTTGCTGTGAAATAGGGTGACCAATTGGTGGTTCCAGTCGTAATTTATCCAGATCAATTATACTGCGAGCATGGGGTTTCAGTGCCCGAGCTGTCGCCGCTTGTTCTTCGGGAGACATTTCGCCGGGTCTACCGTGGCCCTGTGCCTCGATTCGAGCAGCTTCCTTTCGGCGTACTTCATCGTCTCGAGCCCGTTGCTCTCTATTCCGCTGTTCCATAAGTTGATCGTGCACATAAGGGAGACTGGTAGGAAGGATTCGGACGTGACTAGGACGTGGCTCTTCGAAGCCTTCTGCGTCGGTTTGCTGAGACTCTTCTGGACGAAGGCGCCGTGATACACTTGGGGTCCGAGCAACGACCGGAGCAGGAGGGGCCTGAACCTTGGGGGCAGCGGGTTCTTTTTCGGCTTTTGGCTGTGCGGGTCCTTTTGGTTGAGGTTGTACGGGCGAGGACATCAGATTTTCCTCAGTGGGAGCTATAAGTAATTAGTCTGGAATGCTCAAATTAAAAAGCAGCGTATAATAAGCAAAGCTTACAGTTCGTTTGCATCATCTCATTTTCAACAACGATAGAGAATGCATCCTTAATCGCACTGGGCTCTGGGTGCCTCAATGCATCTTCAATATCCTCACGTTCGTATCCCATGCTTCGCTCGAGCTTCGACACAGCGATTTGGTGGATTTTCTGCTGGACAGGGAGCGGCTTCCCCGGTGCGAGCTTATTAGAGTCGATCGCCTTATTCGGATCGACGCCCGGTGCGATAAACTCTTCTGGTGGAGGTTCAAGGTACTTGGGAAGGTTCTTGGTGAACCAAGGGTCCTGTCGGATCTCGGGGATAGTGATTCTGTGAACTGGATGAACTTGAAGCATGGCCCGAATCAACCGAGCGGCGCCGGGAGAAATGTAGCTGGGGACGTGGAAGTTGCCTGCTGCGATCTTCTTGAAGAGAGCTGGAATATAATCATCGTCAAAGGGCAGTCTGCCAACCAATAACACGTATAGAATCACACCACAACTCCATACGTCCACCTCAGGACCTGCATAAAGCTTTCCAGAGATGACCTCTGGAGCTGCATAATTGGGACTACCACAACTGGTCTTCAAGAAGTTGCCGTCCGTCATAATATTACTCAATCCAAAATCAGCAATTTTGACATTCTTTTGGCTATCGATGAGCAGGTTCTCAGGCTTGAGATCACGGTGAACGATCTTGTGTCGGTGGCAATATTCGACAGCACAGATAATTTGCTGGAAGAATTTTCGAGCTTCGTCGTCGTGGCATTTTCCTTTTCGCACTAGATAATCGAACAATTCTCGCTCGGCGTACTCGAGGACCATCACAATGTCGGTCTTGGTGGCAATAACGGTGTAGCTAGCGGGGTAATCACACAATTAGTTCTGAGCTGCGCAATCAATCGAGCTCCAAGTAGGAAAGGGGTAATAGCATACAGTTTGATAATATGAGGATGCCTCAGCAATTGAAGATACTGAATCTCTCGTTCAACACGACCGACCATGTCCCGGGACAATAACTTGCGTCTAGATATGATTTTGAGAGCCACCTGCCGACCACTCGGCTGGTGAATAGCAAGCTTCACCTTTCCGAATGATCCTTCACCTAGTATCTTAATCGTCTGGTACTGGTCGAGTCGTTGCATATCTCTTGTAGTCGCCGGAGACTGCATCGCAGCTTCGGCCTTGGCGGACGGGCGTGACGGTGGCGGCGGCATTGCCATGGCAGAGGGGTTGGAACTTGCCGACCTGTTGGCACGCTCACGCGGACGATCAGGGTCGGAGGTGGGCAAGGGGATCGAAAGATCTTCCTCATCGAAAGCGGCAGCCATGATGGAAGGGGACAACGTGACGTGATTGATTTTCTGGGTCGGGCCCAGCGGTCCGAGTTGCTGACTGTGCCGTGGTTCTTCTATTTTTTTTCTGATCCCATGAGCATCGCCAATCAGTCGGTCTCGACTCTCTCCACAATAAAGCCGAGGGTGGAGCTAAGACAGCTGGGATTTTGTCCTCAGTCAGTTGAGAATGGTGGGGCGGAAATGGAGGGGCAGAGCTATGCCAAGGGTTAACCGAGAACGTGCACCGTGGAGATATTGGGCCCGGGTGGTGTATAAGTAGATATATACAATGGGGAAAGAAGGCAAGGAGAGACAAAATGAATGGGAAGGTTTTTTTTTTCAAGTTAATAGAGAGGGGAATCACTAAAATCTGGGGCCGCAACAAGTTTTGAGGAGAAGCCGGACGCCGCTTGGCTTTAACCGGTGGTTGGGCCTGCCCCTTGTATAATATCACGCTACGACTGTATAGCTTACGCAAATATTTACCAGACTAAACCAGACACATGGGGGTAACTTGAATACATGGGCAATTGGTGACCGCATCTGAATTACAGATATACAATTATTCATTCTTAAGGTCTAATAGAAATTTCTATTGCCACAGGATGCAACAACCCGGAGACTTCGATTTGCCTTATGAGCCTAAACACCACGATATCTAGGGGCATAGCCACCTTTTGATATTAGCTGAGATAACCGTACTTCATGAGTCAATCGTATTGATTCGCACAATGAGATACTCCAGCCCAATTCTTGTTTGAAAGTCTCCGTTGGGTAAGGTACATTAGGGCAAGGTCTGTAGATCTATAGCGGGGACTAATACAAATGACGCAGATGGCTAAAATGAAACCGAAGTCTGAAAAAAGAGGAAAGAAAAGGGAATAGACTAAAATACAGACCCTAGGTAGCTAGACCTGAGTAGCTATAATAAACCCAAAAGTTAAGTATAGGTGAAATAGTCGACTTTTATTTTCTATGCAGATCTGTACAATCAATGGCCCGCCATATACACCGATGAATGGTAAATCCAAGACACCTTGCCCAAACTCCAAGAAACCCGGCTGTATTACAAGCAAATCATGCCTTCAACATGTCCAATGCACCCTTTAACTGGAATGCATTCTGAGACATTTCAACCTCATCACGCACCCGGGTATGCAACCGATCCACCAACTTATCCACCTGAGCTGACTGCCCCAGATTGGCAGAGTAAATCTCCAGAAGATCCATCGCAACCTCCACACAAAGTTCAACAAGGCGAGGCTCGCGGATATGCTTGTAGACCCAAGACAGCACTGGTTGGAGAGTGACCTCATCGCGATCTTGGAGAGCAGTACGCAGAGCTGAACGGTGGCGGAGAGCAGTGAACATAGTAAGTTGCGAGTTCTTATCGGTTCCGGAGAGAACTTGATCCATGGCGGAGGCATATCGGCCCTTGCGCAGATCCTGCTCCCATGATGCCTCCTTCTTGCGTTTCTTGCTGTCTTGGCCTTCAATCACAATATCAACGCCTTCGCCGATGAATTCACGTCCACGCAATCGCTTCTCCCAGCCTGAGCCACGCGACTTGTTCTTCTTTGCAACTGCCCGGTCGTGTTCCTCCAATTTGCCCTCAAGCAGGGCTTCCATCTCCTTCCGACGCTCGCGCTCCTTAACCTTTTGTTGCCCAGAAAGACGAGTCTTGACGGAGAGCAGACCAGACTGCATACCAACAGCAATGTGCTTATCCTCGTATGCCAATCCAGAAGTGACGACATTCAGAGACAGAATAGGTGAGGGGTACTTGGAACCGGAAACAGCGTTCCAACCTGTAGTCTCAAAGACCTTCAAGTGACCATCCAACGCACCACTGATCAATCGCTCGCCATTAGACGCCAACGCGAGAGATGTAACAGTCTTCTGGTGATTTTGAATCATATGCAACGGCTTACCAGCCACAATATCCAGCACCGCAATCTTATTATCGGCAGCAGCCAGAACGGTAGTACCAGCGGGCATAGGCAAAATATCCTCAATTGGAGCCGCCATCTTGAAAGTCATAGCAGCGCGGCTCTCTACTCGTGGATCCCAAATGCGCACAGTACGATCATAAGAACCAGACACCAGTAATCCAGACGAGGCCATTGCGCCAGGCATGAAAGCACCACTGCGCACATAATCGGTGTGACCAACGAAGGTGCGCTGACTAGACTCGGCGGGGAGATCCCATAGACGGACCGTTCGATCATCACTTGCTGTAAGGAGAGTGGTAGGATCACTTGGAGAGAACTTGCTCACCCAGACGGGCTGCTTGTGATCCTTCCATGTCTTCAGGATAGCACGGGAGCTAACATCGAAGACCTGTACTGTGCCTGTATCATCACCCGTAACTATCACACGTCCATCAGGTCGTACATCAGTACCGCGTACTGTGTCGTCGAATCGGGTAATTGTTCGCAGTAGCTTTCGAGTACGAATAGAGTAGATCTGAACTCGCGCACCGGTGGTCACAGTGAAGACATCTGGAGGTTGTGACAAGGAGGGAAAGACCGCAGGCGAGGACGGCACGGCAGGCTGGGTGATAAGATTGACAGGGCCATTGGCGGGAGAAGGAATGAGGAGAGGGTTCTTGAAGGTGCGCCAGTATTGTTGCTCAGGTGTAAGGCGGGTTGAAGGTAGCGAGGCGAGCTTCACCTGCTGGAGAGGCAGGACGGGAGCCGCCATAATTAACTGCGGGATACAATCACAGATTCAAGGCTAGGGCGCAAATTGGTATAAAAATGAAGCGACAGTATCCAGAGTCCAAGCTTGTGGCAGCGCCGTAGTCACGAACTTTTTTTTCTTCTTTTTTATCAAAAATGCCTGATCGGGAAAATCGAGAAGGCGGTGAATGCGGTATTCAGACACCTTAATAATATGGTGGTAAGGCTGTAAGGCATGAATATCCACCACCATGAATGATTTCTGATCAATTTTAGAGTTTACTACATTCACACCCTCAATCCTTGTGTACACCACTCCCCACAAAAACTTCAGCCGTACCCAATGATATTATCTGCATCCCACCGCCCTTCCTACCGCCAAAACCTCTTACCCAGGCACGTATAGAGGGTTCCAGGTCTCTATCCCCGTCAGACTGTTGAATGAAGATATTGTATAACTTTATATCAAGTGTAGCCACGACGTCGCGGATTCACGGGGTCGGAGCAGATTTACCCGCTCCGGCGGCCCAAAACCTTATATACTCCTTAGTCTACGCAGCCATAGGCATTTCCCCTATATCTTTCCTCCAAGGGACATCTATTCAGGGCATTTACTTGAGGATTTTTTGCCAATTCTAGCTCGCCTGTAGTGTGGGGGGTTTATATAAGGATTGGAGTGTGAATGTACTAAACTCCTCGATTTTTACATTCATAATTGGAAGTTTGTTTAGTCGCACGTCACGATGCTGGACGATGGCTGGCACATTACATGTCTCGGCGGATTTACATCAGTATTGATCCCTGTCAATTCTAGCTCCAGGTGATTCAGAATACCTGATAAAATGGAAACTGCTGATACTGCACATGTGGTGCAACAAAAATGAAGATATTCGCTTTCTCCGGCCCCCTATGGCCATGTACATGAAAAGCCCATTACCCGAGTGATTGGCAGCATTTTTGTTGCTGTCGGCTTTTACTATTACGACTTGGTCGTCGTTGTCATCGTTTGGCTCTAAGTACTTATGGCATTTGCTCCAAAATAAGTCCTAAAAAAGAGTTGTAAACAACGCGGTCAAGATACTACTTTTTAAGCAGTTTTCTACAAAGCTTTAAGATATATAGTGGTTTTAGAGTTATACTAGGTAGTTTTAGACTGATATTAAGTAGTTTGCTATCAATATACTTCTACTTTACGAGGTAGAAAAAAAAAGGAATGAAAACGTCAGCGCGAGGGTTCGAACCTCGGCATCCGAAGATACGGGATTTCAAGTCCAGCGCCTTAGACCACTCGGCCACACTGACTTTGTTTCGATAAATTTTTGATAATTTGTTCTGCCTTTTTGCAAGCCTTTGTGATGTTTTTGTCATTTGCCTGTGATTTGGGCCAAGTAGTCTAAGGCGCTAGACTTGAACCGGAAATGGAGATTTAATGTCTTCGTATTCTGAGTCGAACTGCTGACTGTTCATTTTCTTTAAAATAAAATAAAAATTGAATGAATTTATATGAGGGCGAAGTGGAGTAAATGTGGGCATTTACAGACATTGAGTGGAAGTATCAAGGTTACCTCATGGTTCATGGTTCGGCGTCTGGGTTTATCCGCGTTCCAAGACCTCCCATAAAGAAAGCTTGACGTGACCTGGTACTCTAGATGTCTCGAGCGGGGGGTGGGGGGTTCGAACCTCCTGCTGACGATTTTTCTTTTTTTGGTATCCTATGCACTGAAGTATATCGAGACCTGTAATGCCTGAGGAGTGACTGAACTAATTCCACCATGATCTTCATATTGCCCCGCAATTATATTATGGAAATCTTCTAAAGTATTTCGTACTCGTACTTTTGCTCAATGATGTCTACTGTCAGCCTTGCCTCTATTTCGCGATACCTCACGCCAAAAGACTTTTCCCGGGAATGGGCCCCATAAGATCTAGGCTTCCAGATAATCACTTTTACTCTACTAACGGCAAATACCCGATTCAAATCTGTAATTATAGAACTTGGCCCCGGGCGCATACAACACAAATAGATGGATCTTCCTAGATCTATGGGGGCAGTGAAGCAGGCAACCAGAATACTGTCTGACTCGACAAGTAGGGGATATAGCGATACTATCAAGGACAGAACAATACTCGGAGTCGTGCAACTTCAATTTGTCTTACCAAGAAGCAATTAAAAATTCAAGGAGGATAAAAGTACATATTGTGGAATAGCCACGAGTAGTGTAATTGCGGTCAAGCCCAAAATGTTTTGCCTGTCGCCATAGCAATCTGATATCAAGTGGGGTTGGATTGGCTCATGCTGCAGCTTAACTGTCCGAGTGGGGGGGCACGCGCCTTGACAGCCGAGACGACTTGAAATTGAAACCGGATTCAGATACAACACTATTGAAAAGATGACGATCACTCAGTTTGACCTGTCGCCAATCGTTGCAGTTTCTGCGGCGTGCACCCCCTGCCCGCGCCGGGAATGCATTGATCGGTGGATCACGGTGGCTGGGGGAGGGGATCGGAGCTGACGCTGGTACTCCACTTGAAATCTGGACTTCGAGGTTCAGGTTGGATGGCGTATGGAAATGAAAATGGAGATGCAATCTATTTTGCGTGTTAGCTTGGCCACTTGGGGGAGTATGATGCATGGCTTGGATCCTCAACCAGAGAGAAATTCAGTGTTGTATTGCGTATGCTCTTTCCTTCTGTAGTTCAGCGCCATCATCGCTCTTTCCTCCACTTGAGACGCGATAAGTGTTTATCGGGTAATTTACATCTGGTATCGTATTGTCTCATCGCCTGGATCGACCTCATTCAAAACGTTTGATTCAGGGGAAACAGCCAATCAGAACCCCCGATGATCCGCCCCCAGCCCCCAGCAATACCGCATATGACATTCCAGAAAGGGCTTTTTTATCAGCCTCGACTTCCCCCTCGTTTACGAATTTCCTTTCTTTTTCTACTCTGCGTTTGCCTTAACACTGCATCTTAGGGTCGAGTGAGAGTGAGACCTTTAACGCTTATCCATCATGGCGAAATTATTCAAGGGCAGTCACGCAGCGGGTATCTTTGCTGATATGTCTGTCGATGGTCCTCAGATTGGTACTCTGGTTGCTATCATCGACCGCGCTAAGAACTTGCCGAATCGCAAGACTATGGGCAAACAGAACCCTTACTGTGCTGCACGATTAGGAAAGGAAGCAAAGAAAACCCCCACAGATCTGCGAGGAGGACAAACCCCCAGATGGTAAGTGAAGGTGAAGGCGTTTGTTACCTAGGAATCGCTGAAACTAATGCTTTGACACAATACAGGGACCACGAACTTCGCTTTACCGTACATGAATCTCCAGACTATTACAAACTGAAAGTCTCTATCTTCAATGATGACAAAAAGACCGATTTGATCGGCGAAACCTGGGTTGATTTGAACAATCTGATTATCCCAGGAGGGAGTCAGGACGACCACTGGCACCCATTACAGTCGCGGGGTAAATACTCAGGCGAAGTTCGAATCGAGATGACCTATTATGATACTCGGAAACAGGATGAGGCAGTGATTGAGAAACGAAAGGGCGCTGCAGACAGAGTCCAGGGTAGACAACCAGCCGCCAGCCCAACGACGTCAACAAGCTCCGGCTTGTCAGGTCCCAGACAGCTGAACGCAGTCAAACGACGGCCTCTACCCACAGATCCGTCCGGTGCAGCGCCACCTCCTCGACCGGAATTTCCAGAGCAACCACAAACTGCTGCTTCATTGCATCATCCAATGCCCGAACGACCAATCCGTGAACAAGTTCAAAACATGCCAACAGCTCCTCCTCTAGAACCCGCTCCCACTCAACCTTACCTTCCAAGACACCACTCAGAACCTTCCTACGACCAGCAACCTAGTGCTCCACCTCACTCTCGAGCATACGATCCCCATGATTACCATTACCGAGAACGCGAACATTCAGCGCCTATTGTACCTCCTGTTCCCGCTCTTCCCCCAGCTGGCTCCATGAGACGGAACACATATGAAACATCTTACGCCAACCATGAAATCCAAGATCCTGCATACGATCCACGACCATTACAACCACGCAGCCATTCCGATCACGATAACTATGCCCCACGTGAGTATCGACAGGCACCACAGGAGCCTTCCTATGAAATGGAGTTGCGCGGCAGGGCTCCATATGAGCAAAGCCGACCATCAGAAGATATATACAGCCCACTTTCGCCTCAATACAGCGCTCCTCCTATGTCTTTTGGGCCCGTTTCAACATTCACCCCCCGCAATTCAGGGTACATTGATGAGCCGGCTCCTCTCGCTTACTCGCGTCCAAACTCATCCTCTGGACCAGCTGGAGAACCTCGATATCAACCGCATGATATGCGAGCATTGCAGCCTATGCGCCATGATGACCGCGATGTTTATCATCCTGAATATGCAGGAATGCAACCGCGCGTAGAAGACGAAGATGAAGACGGCCCACCTCCTCCACCGCCAGTTCATCGATCTCGAATGGCGCAGCAATCGCAGCCCGCCCCGTCACCCGCCAGAGAGACCCCATCACCATATCAGCCTTACTCTCCTGGGCAACATAGCAATGCTTCTTCAATGCCTGTCAGTTTGGTTGCTGGGTACGAGACTGAGGAGCCGCCCAGTTTCGACGATAGGAGTGGCCGGAGACGGAGCGCACACTTTGATGATGAAATGATGCTCTCTCAACCTCCTGGCCCTGGGGCTCTTGTCCCTGTTTCCAAGACTGCCCAACCACCACCACCATCGTCATACGACGCCCCTGTCTATCCCCTGCGCACCTCTCCACGTCCCATTGATGAGCGGCCGACCTCAAGTCGGGGCCCATCTGCCAGTCCTGATACTCGGATGGTCACCCGGAAATCAGTCAGCCCTCGACCTTCCATTTCAAGTGATCGTGAACGCGGATCTTCGATCCCATTCTCTCCCGACTCATACAATTCGCTCAATCCAAATGCGTCACGTTCAGCGACGAGCAGAGATCCCACGCCTGTCTACGACTCACCATCCCAAGCGAGGGATGCAGCAATGCGTGCAGAGATGGAACCCGTGCGGCACCTTGATCAACCCATAATCGGTGACGATGGTCGCGAGATCGATCCTTCTGATCACCTTCCCACAGACACTTGGGCACCAGAGCCTGAGCGGAAGAACCGTAAACCAGAAGTGATCATTCGTTTCAAACACAATGCTCGACCTACCTCTCGCGGGAATGAAGCTTCAACTCGCAGCAGCGGGCCACCACGCGTAGGCTTCAGAACAGAGACGAGCTCATATAGCTCGGATCGACCGAGATACACAGCAAGCCATTCCCAACCAAGCGCAGAGGTAGAAAGAACACCGCCACGGGGCTATGATAACTATGGAAGTCACACACAGGCCCGAGGCTACAGCACACCAACATCCACCGAGCGTCCCCGCTCTTCTCGAGGCTCCGTGTCACCCTCCCCTAGTTCTCGCTCCCCATTATATGACTACAGCCCGGGTCCACCAATTCCATCGAAAGTACCCGTCTCCCAAGGCCCTCCTAGCTACCCCGTGACAGCCAATAACCCGAGCTCTGGAAATCCCGGCATGGATGCATTGAGTCGGGAGCTCAAGACCATTGATATTGGCTCCTCGGGATGTAGCCCAAGCCGTGCAGTCCGAAGATATGCTCCGCCTCGCGCGTCTGCATCAATGGGATACGCCAGCTAGGAGGTTTTCGTCTGATGATTTATGTACCGTTATGTATTTAGTCTTCTTTGTCATTGGTGGACACCTTGATTCATATATCCCGGAATTTCGGACGTGATTTCGAACGAGCATTTGATTTATTGGATATCTGGCATTATGGCGTTTGTGACTTCTTCTTCTTCGTCCTCCTTTCTGGATCTTTCTTTTCTTTTTACTATTTTTATTGGAATTTTCTCCACGTGTTTACATACACGAAACTTGGTCCTACGCGGCCTTAAAGAATGATACCAAGGGCTTTTGTCCCAATTTGCATATCTGAATTCTGTAAACAGCTAGCTAGACATAGTATATCCCCCATAAGCCATCCATTGAAAATGTAAAGAAGATGAAAATCCATTCGAAGCGCCAGATACGTGACTATCTAGATACACAAGCCGGAGCTACATATGAAATATCACGTAAATAATGGCACTCCCCCTGCCAGAAAAGGAGGACCTCATCCTCATCAGCCCAAGAACAGACCAAAAGATACGCAAGTTGCTTCAAGGGCAACAAACCAAGTGGTAAGGTCATGAAAGCATCAAATCCATCAAATACGCGGGAGCTTCTCGCGCACTTCCCGAAGTAGGCCCTTGTACGTATCTTTCTGCTTATCCGTCAGGCTAGATAGAGTCTCCTCTAACCTCCATCTTGATAGATTTATAGAGTGCGCTAACATCCTGTATCTCAGCCCCCAGAACTCGCGACTCTTGGATTAAAGCCCTGGTATCGGGGTCGGGGCGACTGGTCATATATCTGCATAGTTTCTCCACCATGTGTCCCAGGGTCATCACGCTAGCTTTCGGTGTCGTGTCCAGTAAGGTATGAAAGTCAAAATTGGCATACCCGGAGATCGAGTTAGTAAAACGGATCCGCTCTTCAGTGGCCGCTCTTGCTGATGCGTCTGGGTCCAATGAGTCTCTCCGCTTCGGAGTCATCAATCTAGCGAAAAGATCGCTCTCTAGATCTGGAGTGGCTTCTGATACCTCCTCCTCTGGTACATTCCTTCTTGAAGAAGGCAGAGTCCTGTGGGAGGTGGATCCGTTCTCGCCATCACTCTCATTCTGAGTTGACGACTCGAAGCTCGAAGTAGTGTACCAAGGACGGCCATGTAGGGAAAGCCCTGTAATAGTCATTCTCAACGGTAAAAGTTACCGCATTCCTCTTCAGACCAATATTCGCAGTGGCAGTCGATTTCTTCGATTGAGGACTGTAACCTTCGATGCTATTAACATCAACAATGGATTCGCCACGAAGAATAAAGCCACCATCCACAAAGTCCGGTAAGCTCGGCGAATTCTTCACGAAGCCCCCATTAACAGGCAAATACCTCTTATTAACAGCAATCCTGTCAGTCGTCGCCACAACCAAGCCCAACCACAAGCGTCATATCACTCCTTCCATGACGAACATTCAAGAGCCAATTATCCTCACCCTCACCGAAGAGAATGTAATAACGCCCAAAAACTGGATACCAGTGCACACCTCTCCAGATAACGATCACAGGATCTCCAAGAGGAACACGGCTAGACCGTACGCAACCATCCAAATCAAAGTCCAGCAGCTATCTGCGCGCTCTCTCTGTCTTGCTGGGTTTATTTAAGTATTGCATCTGTGTATATGCTGATATGTTCAAAACTTCGATACTAGAGAGACAAACTCTAGAGGCTATTCCCGAGCCTCCATAGCTCAGTGGTACGAGCGTTTGAATTGTATATATATATATATACAGTGACTCAAGCGGTCTCCGGTTCAATCCCGGATGGAGGCATTGATTTTTTGTACCTCAACACTAACTTGAAGAAGTTATAGCTCATCTCATTCATGCAACTTAGTTCACCCCACAGAAAGTAGGTCGAACTGATACTAGTGGAAAGGTATCCACTTTTGACGATCGACTAACCTGATTAGGAATAGCCCTGGTATCATGGTGGATACCGTTCCACTATCTGATTGACCTTTACTTTGTGATGTTACACAGGCTCATCCCTCACTTATATAGCCATGATTCCTCCCCCGACCTCTATATCTCAGATACACCACTTGGTCCGGCCATGAGGTGTGGTCATTTGGGCATGATTGCGCTCACAAATAAACCCGGTAAGCAAGAGAAGGCCCGGAGACGGCCAATTAATCGTGCACCGTCAGTAATTAATCGTCGACCATCAGTGGGTGTTTCATGGAAAATCATGCTCCCGAAGAGTTCCAGGCAGGTATCGAGTATTTCACATTGTTGAAGGCCTTCCAATTTCAGTCAGGACCCGTAAGTCTATTCTCTTTAAACCATGCCTCATATCCCTGTACTAAGACTTGAATTTTGTCAGAAATATCACCTGAACGTGACTTTGCCCTCGACTTTTGTTATGGACGCTATGAATGATACGAGGTTTTTGCTGAGGTTTCTGCCGCATTACCGCCTTGGACGTGCAGGCACCCAAGCTCTAAGGCGTCCCACATATGGATAGCTTCTCTTTCCTCCCATGCTTAGAACTCTCGTTTTTCGCGCGCTTTATATTTAGACATATAGATTTAGATCACCTAACAACTTTAACAAGATATTTCGGCAAGATCACACAGCAGAGGAACAGCTAAGCTAAGCTTTCACTTTCACGTCAGTTTGTTCAGCCAAGTAGTATCAAAGTCCCCTTTTACTATACACCTTCACATCCCTGGTTTAAGTTCTTGTTGTAGACTCACAGAGAACCGTCACCAAACACCCTACCAACCTAACAATTAACAGCCTACAACATACCAGTCTATCACCTGAGTATTGTTTTATATTTATAAAATCCTTCGCCAAGACCAGACCGATAATTTCTTTACTTCTACAAAAGAAATCTAAAGTATCCGAAGTAACCACCGCAATTTTATTCATAAACTTTATGAAAATGTGTTGTATATACGAAATGTGTTTACCGCAACCGATGCGCAATTACTTTTCCAAGTTTAAACTCGTTCCTCTACACTCGCTCCTTTACACGTAACCTAAACTTCTCTTCTTAATATCTTTCCCCACCTATCTTCCTTCTTGAAACTCTATTACTTCGGACACCACTCTCGTTCAAAAATGTTCTCGCCTTGCTGCTTATATTCCTACGTGGCTATGACCTCTGACATTTCACTTGGTCGTTGTCACATGTGTATTACAAACCCAATATATATTAGAAGATGTCGCCAGTATGTTGATCTCCAATCTTTGGTAATACTACTAACCTGGACGATTAGGGATCATTCAGCGGATTATGCACGTCAACTACGGGTTCTGATGCACTTCGTTGTGGGAATTTGCTTTGGGGAAGATATTTTCCGGACATGAAACGCACCTTCTACAGTCTACTTCAGTTTCCCTTATAGGGAAGATTCAAGTCTATCAGGCTTCTGCTTTGGCTTGAGGCAGACAGCTCACACTCAGTCCTCAGGAGAACTATGCTCTATCCTCGGGGTTTTTTTTAAAACGGCCTACTCTGTTCATAACCTGGGATTGACTGATCCTTTCTCACACATGGGTGAGGAGTACTGGACTCCGTGCCATGCTACACAGATCGCGTTCCGTTGGAGACCCCGTTATTGCCGTTCAGGAGATCTGCCACATGTGCATAGTACTCTCAGGCTGTTTGGCCACTATTACATTCTCTCCGATGAGGGATCATCGGGCTAGTTTTCGAATACCTCCACCCTACTCAGATAATTTTGCCTCAATTCAATCCTAATATAAATGCATTACTCACTCACAAACGGATGACCTGCAAGATTATGCCAGATATTTATCTCAAAATCCTGAAAACTGTTACTGTTCCATAGACCCCAGTTCCCATCTAGGCCCTGACCGATAGTATCCTCAGATCCCAACGGAACATATACTAGTTGATTATCCAACTCTGTAGCCCCGTTCGGGAAAGAATAGATCATGCGATACAAAAGGCTTTTAACGCGGGTTAGTAAAAATGAAATTGGGCGAGTCCATATATACTAAATCTCCGCGTTCAATTTCCCCCACCAGGATACTTAGGTTCTGAAATACCTTCGATGTACTTATTTGAGAATTCTAGGTGGCAAATGATCGTTTAACCAAAGTCAGTGATATCAGGCCCCAGAAAAATCGAAACATTCTTATCTGCCGAGTATGTTCAACAAACGGCGACTTGACGAAGATGGCGAAGAAAGTCAGGGGCAATCCTAAATTTCTCTGTTTGCTGTTGATGGTATCCAAGAGCGAAAAGAGAGGTGGCAAAATCCCCCAGTTTTCGCTATGAGAGATAACCTAGTGTAGTAAAGAAGAGACATTTCAGCTGAGTATGTATCCGATCAGAATACCTGGACATCAGTAAAAGGTAGTACACGTACTTTGCCCAGGTGTACTGTATATGTAGCACCCTTGCCGGCCATAAACACAGAATGTATAGCTTAATAACTTCGAAACCAAATTCCGACTACAATCAGTGCCACCTGGATATACCCCGCTGTGACTAACGAGAAGAAAAGGTGTTAAAAAAAAAGAAATAGTTCCAACGCAGGATTGATACACGATTCCATGATTAAGGGTTTCAAGTTTAAGAAATTTCAAACTTTATGTTATCGCTGCCCGTGTGGCCAAGTGGTAAGGCGTCCCACTCGTACATTCAAGATGGAGAGATCCATTGCGTCATGGGAAGAGCATGTGTTCGATTCACATCTCGGGCAATTTCTTTTTCTTTTTTTAATTTTCACCCAATCTTGTAATACCAAATTATATGCTCAGTTCACTGAATGTTAAAAGTATTACTTGAAAAGATGCTAAAAGAGCGTAAACTTAACCCTGAAACTGGTGAAAGCCCTAACTAAATTTCTGCTACAAAAGACATTCAGTAATATAACATAACAGTTAACGGGGACAGTTATTCACTATGCAGTGATTCTATATGTGTACATAAACGAATTTATCCAAGTTTTCAGCCTACAGATATGAAAGTCTCATAATTTCCACAGATATACCTGAGGATCTAGCAAAACCCTAGGCAAGATGTCATCTGAACGTGGCCTTAATCTCCGCAAGTAGATCCCTGACGTACTTTGATCAATAGTATACCGAATTCTATTGACCATATTGCTAGATGCGATACTTTGAGGTTGTGTCTTTTTACTTTTATAGCTGTATATAGACCTCTGGGACTGCACTTGTGGTACACGGATTTCGCAGAGATCGTTGGCACCGACCGAAGTGGCGCAGGATACTCGGACATACAGTTTGACATTAAGACCATCTAATGATTGGCCTTTCGGTCCTTATTTTATTTTATAATTGATCTATCTTATTTAACTACCAGTGACTTTTACTCTACTACACTTCTTTCTAAGTGCTCTTGTAAACATTCACCTGTACATCCTTCTACTAGCACTTAGGTATATAGCATTTTCAACGACCAACCTGTAAATACAACTCGTGACTTGGTCAAGTTGTGTAATCAATATAGGAAAATAGTCGAGAGATACTACCTCCATTGCTACAGCTTGGACATTGAAGCCCTACAAATCCAGCGAAAGATAGAAACCAGTCAAAGAAGGGAGTATTTGCATTCTGTACATCGAATTTCAGGTTGTTGTTACAAGACCAACGCCGTCCCACAAGGGGCAATGTATTTTGTTTTTCCACCGAAGATAATTAATACCAAACGTAAACAATGAACGAGAATAGCTCAGTGCTGGCTCCACTCAATAGTATTCAAATCAATACCCTCCTGCACCAGCTCCCAAAGCGGGCTAAGCTCACGCAGGAAAGAGACACGTTCCTGAACAGCCTTAAGAACATAATCGATCTCAGAATCAGAAGTGAAACGACCAATACCGAATCGAATACTGCTGTGGGCACTCTCGTCGCTGCTTCCCAGGGCGCGGAGAACGTAGCTGGGTTCCAAGGAGGCGGAGGTACAGGCACTACCGGAGGAGAGAGCGATGTCCTTCAGGGCCATCAGGAGAGATTCACCCTCGACGTAGGCGAAGGAGATGTTCACACAGCCGGGGTAGTGGTGCTCGTGATCACCGTTTAGGGTGGTGTGCTCCATGGAGAGTAAGCCTTCGCTCAGACGCTTGGATAGGCGGTTGATGTGCTTTGTATCGTACTGAGGTAGATGTTAGCTTCTATATGATCATTTGCAAGCAATTTCAAAATGTCAAAATGCTCAATGTCAATAATATCATAACCCCTGCACATATCTCATAGATTTCAGGCATCATTCCTCAAGGGAATGGAGCTACCGCCGATATCTCAGGTTTCTTCGCAGTATATAATCACAAAACAAAACAGATGAATGAGGATAGGAAAATCGGGGAGGGGGTGGGGGTTATCTTACCTCCATATCTTGAATAGCAAGACGGCAGGCCTCACCGAATCCGACAATGAGATGAGGAGCCAAGGTACCACTACGCAGACCACGCTCCTGACCACCACCAGTGATGAGGGGATCCAGACGAACACGAGGGCGACGGCGCACATAACAAGCACCAATACCCTTAGGACCATAAATCTTGTGGCTGGAGATAGACATCAAGTCGATCTTAGACTTGTTGACATCAAGGGGAATCTTTCCAACAGCCTGAGCACCATCGGTGTGGAAGAAAACCTTCTTAGAGCGGCAAAGCTCACCAATCTGGTCCAAGGGCTGGATGACACCAATCTCATTGTTGACAGCCATAACACTGACGATGGCAGTCTCAGGACGCATAGCAGCCTCCAGATCCTCCATACGAATAAGACCATTGTTCTGGACGGGGAGGTAAGTCACCTCGAATCCCTCATCTTGCAAATGGCGACAGCTATCAAGCACACACTTGTGTTCAGTCTGAGTAGTGATGATATGCTTCTTCTTGCCCGATCGGCCAAAAAATCGCGCAACACCCTTCAAACTCATATTGTTACTCTCAGTCGCACCAGAAGTGAAGATAATCTCCTTCGGGTCGGCATTAATCAACTTGGCGATATGTTCACGGGCCTGTTCGACAGCCTTCTCCGACTCCCATCCGTAAGCGTGTGTTCGCGAGTGGGGGTTTCCGTAAATTCCAGTGAGGAAAGGGAGCATAGCGTCGAGGACACGGGGATCGAGCGGAGTAGTCGCTTGCATATCGAGGTAGATAGGGCGGGTTCCTTGGTCCATAACAGTAGCCTGCTTGAGGAGGGCAGCGGAAGGACTCAAAGCCGCATCGCCAGAAGTTGCGGATCCAGGCATTTTGACACCTCCTGGGGCGACACCAGCTTTGTTCATAAATGACTTTTGTTCCTCCTTGATGGCAGTCTCGATGTTCACTTGGGCGTGTCCAGCCTTGGTCTCGGTCACATAAGAGCGAGTGGCACTCAGGGCACGAGTGGCGGGGACGCGACGAGCGACAGACCATGTGCCATTAGATGACAGATGCCTGGAGCAGGCGCGGGAGGCCTGTCTCCAAGCAGTAGGAGTAGTAGCAGGCATTATGGTGATGATGTAGAAGATACCATCCAAATGTCAGTGGAAAGTAAGGAAGTTCGCCGATGACATTTACGTTATCTCGGGAAATTCCACATTGGGTCATCTCGGAGTCAGGTTTCTCCGACTTCTCCTCGGGGGATCCGCGGAGATGAGCCTTGATGCCTTAATGCCTGATCCTCTCGCAGTTCAAGTGTTGATGCCTTACAGCTTACATCATCGGTATAGACACCCGAATACCGAGGCAGAAACATTTTCTATGTCGTCATGTGCGCCTCACCATGGTTAATCAGGTGGTGATTGTGGATTATGCAGGTGTAGACAGATTATGAATGTAGTATATTTAAACAAAAATTAGGAGAGTTCAAAGCTGCAGAACATTAAAGTCACTAATTGTCGGTGTGTATTCCTCTACACAAATACCGAGGTAGAGCTAAATACGAGCTGACGCTATTCTACACTCCTCATGAAGAAGTGGAACGCAAGATCGTCGCTCCTACGCCCAACCCTCAGCCACAGTTTTTCCACATTCTTATTCCCGGCAATCAATGTCCATAGGGCTGGTAAGGAATATACATGGAAGATCATCATCCTGTGGGAACTATGGAGTTCTACTATCCCCTATACAATACAGAGATGAGTTCCTAAGTAGTTGCTAAGTAATTGCGCCCGACCAAAACATTGGAGCCTTGTGTGTACAATACGTTGCTCAGGCACAGCAGATAAACCAGGTAGAAGTTAAAGAAGAAAAAGGATTAAACCAGTCAGCTCTTAAGCCAAGCCACAAAGACCCCATTCCCAGTCCAGATCGGGTTTGACCCGATAACTCCATTACACGTTACATAGGGTAAAAGTCAGGTACAGCCACACTCTGCCCAGTGTGAAAGTCTTATGTCATAGGTTTGAAGAACGGAAAAGGAACCACCTAAGGAACCAAGAACCACCACCCCGCCTTGATCTTTCTCTCTTTTCTCTCCAAATTCCTTGTTCCCTAATTTTTACCAGTCCATATTTTGTCGCTGTCAGATCTGTCGAAATGAGTTTCAAGGGCCTCTCTAAGAGTCTCGCCCGAGCTCCTCAGCAATTCAAAGTCAAGTTCAACATCGGTGAACACTCCAAGGATGCTGTCTATACCGACTCCGAACGTCGCTTTCAAGAGCTCGAGAAGGAAACCAAGAAGCTACACGATGAGTCTAAGAAATACTTTGACGCGATTAATGGTGAGAATGCTAGACTTCTTCTTTTCCGGCGCCACCCGGAACTCTCATACTTGTCCTATCTAAGGACCAAAAAGAGAAAAAAAAGAGAAGAGAGAAAATGGCTAACCGGAGGCATGAACAGGTATGCTGAGCCACCAGATCGAATTCTCCAAAGCAATCGCCGAAATTTACAAACCTATCTCCGGTCGCGCGTCCGATCCGAACTCATACCATGACGAGGGAAATCATGAGGGCATCCAAGCATGTGAGGAGTACGAAGCGATCGTACGCGATCTGCAAGACGCCCTCGTGCCAGAGCTAGAAATGATCGAAAGCCGCGTTATCAGCCCCGCAGACCAACTATTAGAAGTGATCAAGGTGATTCGCAAAGTGGCAGTCAAGCGCGACCATAAAAAACTCGACTATGACCGTCGCAACGCCACGCTCAAGAAGCTAGAAGAGAAAAAGGACAAGAATATCAAGGATGAAAAAGCACTTTACAAGGCCGAGAACGATGTCGAACAAGCTACACAGGAATACAACTACTACAACGATTTACTGAAGGAGGAGTTGCCTAAGCTTTTCCAACTGGAGGCTGAGTTCATTCGTCCACTATTCCAGTCCTTCTACTACATGCAACTGAACGTCTTTTACACCCTGCACGAGAAAATGCAAGGCATGAGCATCAGCTATTTCAACCTCACTCTGGACGTCGAGGAAGCGTTTGAAGCCAAGCGCGGTGATATTAAAGAACAAGCCGAGGCGTTGACGATCGTCCACTACAAGACACAGGGCGCGCGTCGTTCCAACTCTACATTGAAATCTAAGCTCGGCGAGAGCAAGGGATCTATTAATCGCGGACGATCCACCTCCAATGCTGATGAGAACCCTCCACCTCCCTATACTGCCGGCGGTGTTACCCCTAGCCCAACAGGCAGTTTCTCCTCAGCTGCCAAGAGCAAGCCTGCCCCACCACCTCCGCGAGCGAAGCCTGCTCACCTCAGCAAACCTGCTGAGACCGTTACTGCTCTATACGACTATGAAGCACAGGCTCATGGAGATCTTGGTTTCTCAGCAGGCGAAGTTATCGAAATTATCACACGGACCGAGAACACAAATGAGTGGTGGACTGGCAAGGTTGCCGGTCGGGAAGGTCAATTCCCTGGTACGTACAGACTATCTGTGGTTTCGTCTGAATATTCACATACTAATTCCTGCATCCAGCCAACTATGTTCAACTCAATTAGTCTGTTTTTTACGTTACAGCTGGGCTTTTTGTCTTTGTTCGCTCATCCACTGGCGTATCTGGTCTCATACATAGAGCGTTCTGTGTAAATAACCTTCGTTTCTTAATCACTCGCTAACTCAGCTATGGAATTGTAATATTGTTTAGCAGTACATGTGCTGTTCACGTACCATGGATTGTTTTATTTTTTGCTAATTTAACCTGGGGACTATTCCCTCTGGGAGGCCCGGAGGTTTCCATGCTTTATTGAATGTGCTACCATACATACACCCATCTATACCCTTCATCTCAAATATCATGACCTTCTCACATCTCAACAACCGGAAATAAACTCACAAATTCACAAGTTTATGCACATACAATCATGATAATGTGAAACCAGGTCTACTTATGTCGTTTTAGCCCCCAATGCAAGCGGGGTTTGACCACTCTTATACGTTCAACCAGACTATATGCTTTTAGCGCACCCGTTCAAGCCTATTAGAAGATTCAATCTGAGCCACATCGACGCTTAGTGGGAGATCGCTTCTTCGATCCCAATGAATATGACATCATTTCTTCCAAATTCCCGCCAGGGACGGAAATACGCGCAAACAAACCATGCTCGAAGCCTTCAAATTGATGCCGAGAGCCGTGGTATAGAGAAATCGAACAGAGGCTCTCAAAGCTTCAAAAGTTCTTTTCTTTTCTTATAACTTGTTCCGAACACCTGCGACCGAGTCCTCATACACACTCCACCATGGCTCCCGACACCACGAAGCTTTCTAGTCTCTTCGAGACAATTAAGAAAGAATTCCCACACACTATCAGCGAGCATGGCTGGTACACATTGACAGTGCGTATCTTAACTTGTTCTTTGATTCGATCCAAGAAAATATTCTAATTCCTCAGGCCTCTGTCCTAATCACAGCCTCAACCCCAACAGACATAACCCACCTATACAACTTCCTCATCTCCCAACCAGAATGGTCTACCCATGAACAAAGAAAGATCCTCAGTCGCCGTCTTCGAGAACAAATGCTCAAGCAATGGGTAGTAATAGGAATACCAAAAGTGATCACGGCCGTTTTCTCTCTAGCTCAAATTGAGAAGCTTGAAGATGCCGACCTATCATTCACGAGGTACTCAATCAATTCCCCTTTGAAAATGAAATATGACACCCAAAAAGGAAAAGAAAACAAAAATTTCAATCTTACAAGCAGCAGAGAAGGAGTAACCATATCACCCGAGATTAACGCCCGCGGTCGAGAACTCTGCTACTCCCTCTACGGAGAAGAAGGATACAACAGCATAATGGCAAGCTGCGGGAGCTTCAGCGCAGACTTCACCTGGGCATCAGACAATATAATCTACGGAATGTTTTTATCCGATGAAAGTATCATTAATCGCGTCGAGACGTCACTGATGGCGATCTCATGCATGCAATGCATGGGTCTACAAGGAACTTCAAAGAGACACCTGAATGGGTTGAAGAACCACGGTGTCAGCGATGAAGATATTGGTGCTGTTATTTCGTCTGCTAGAAGGATAGCAGATTGGGCTGGTCTTGATACAGCTGAATGGGTTACTGTGAATGATCTGTGAATGATCTGTGATGATGATGGATGATGGATAGGTTTTAGCGCCTTGCACGATACAGTAGAACTAGAATATCTGAAAATAGCCCGGGTTTATGTTCACAAAACAAGTTTCTTAGATATCGCTGAGCCCCTAAATTCATTATCATCTTGCATTTTCGAAGGCCAATCATGTATTCGGTTTTATTGTTTGCGGGTGATGGGCATTGGGGCGAAGAGGAGGGGTTACTATGCATATGGCCCCTCGTGCTGCGGATGCAAGGCTCGGCTCCATCGAGGATCTGCGTAAGCCATTAGACTCAATGAACTATCGGATAGCACGGATGATCTAAATTATTAACAACAATATGACTTATTTTAGACGGAATGTGAATACACTTCATGTGAAAAAGTTCGTTTCATCATAATATCATCTATATACATCGTTCAAGTTCAAGTTCATTGTTCATACCCGCCATAGCAAAGAATTCAAGTAGTAGTATCTTGCAAGTAAACAAACTCAAGAAGGAACCTCAAATAGAGGTACACTATAGTAATTCACTTCAAGTTCTCAAACCCCAGCTTCCTCCTCCTTCAACGACTCAGATGAAGACTCGGAGCCCCCAGAATGATCATGGCCATGGTTCTGATCACCATCAGACCTCCCATAATTATCCGTAGACAACTCAATTTTATTCCGAACCAAAATCCCATTCTCAGGCTGTTCAGATTGAGAAATAAAGCTTCTTCTATTATCACTTGGATTAGGAGACCACACCTGCGCACCATTCTCTACAGCCACTAAATCCTGAAAAGAATCTCTACCACCATTCGGAGTATTTTGACTCGGCACTTTCAAGAAAGAACCGGTTCCTCTCTTCTGGCTCTTTGCATCAACGATTAAATCTGTATTATGCAATGTTTCTTCTGAATCAGATTCGAAGCCGAGTTTATTGATGAAATGCGTGTATAATGGTGCTGATGGGGGTAGACATGCGCAGACGATGCCGAGCGCTGCTTCGACAAGGGTAAAGGTGACGGTGTCGATATTAACCCACTATTAAGGTTAGATATTTCTTCTATACATAAAAAGAGAAGGAAGAAAGAAGAAAGATCATACCGTCACGTCATCAGTATTGCTCACCCGAAAACTCATCACAATCCTAGCAATACCACAACCAACCGTGAAAGCACCGAGAAAAAAGACAGCAGAAACGGCAACCTTCCGCGATGTAGGAAATATTAAATTCCAAAATACAGGAACTGGAAGAACCAAAATAGCTAAATCAGACACTGTGCTCATAATCTGGGGTAAACCCAAGTATATGTGTGTGTTAGGCAAGCATTTCCCGTTAGGTGCCGCATCACCGTAGTAAGTCACATATCGTGTCCAATAGTAGTCCACCGGTGCACATTGAAAAATGTATAAGAAGAAAGAGGCAGCTCCCAAAGCAACCGCATAGGCTGCATTGAGCCATAAAGCGAGATTGAACCACCGTTGCTGAACGAAAAGTATACGTCGGTACAAAACAAGGATGGAAAGCTTGACGAAAGTAACTCCGGGAGCCCAGAGAATGGCCACAATCCAATAATTCTATGTCAACAGACAAGTCATTCAAGTTAATTATGTTCAAAGTTTTTTCTATAGATCTAACTTACAGTGTAGATGTATTGAAATCCATGCGGTGGATTCTGATCTTCATGGAGAACCCGAACCTGGTGGAGACCGGCCCCAGCGTTCAAAGCCAGGATTGACGAGACGAACTCGGCGTATACTATGAGCTGAAAAAAGAAAGTAAGATCAGTTGTTTGATTCAATGGATTTTGAGTGTGGATAATTCCTACCAAAGCGACAACAATAAAAGCATCATCGAGTCCCCATCCCTTCCTGTATGCCCGCTGAGCATAAAGTCGAATAATAACCGCAACCGTAGCCGCAAACGTCGTTATAGCAATTGCTACATATTGCTGAATTTGACGACTTTCATCCCAGTTGCTCATTTGATTATTATATTCCTGGCTTCCCTGCTTGGGTACATATTGATCCGTATATGTCATGGCTGTAGGCCAGCCAACCGGATATGAACATCTGCAAAACATCATACATTAGCATAAGTCCAAATTTCAGTAACTCGTATCCAAAAGTAAAACCCACCAAACAAATAAACAACTGTCTTCAAAGTGAAAGAATATCATTAATGAATAGTATAGAGATAGAGAAGATTGAATAATAGAGTAGTTCGGGATGAGTGAAACTCATGGGAACTGCCAGTGACAACCAGGCGATCCATCGTTTACATCGTAAAACAACTAAGCTTTGGCCCCCGACATACAAAAGGCACTAGAATATTTCGTCATCTGAAGAAGGCAAAAATTTGGAGTTGTAACCCTTCGAGTGTTTGAGATGGGGCATCTTCAAAGAATGGCCCCCAAATTTACGTCACTTCTGGCCTCGCCTGAGGGGTTACAGATATGTGAAACGCGTACGACCTATAATATGTAGTAATCATTTTTGTGCATGAAGATTGAACTCTAATTTTGTAAGTAATAAGTAGTACGTTTTTTATGTACCGGAGTTTCTATAGGTCTCGCTCTGAAAATCATGATCTAGCTGAATAAATAATTATCTTACCCGGTGGTCATCCTCTCTAACGGCACCAACCTGGTTGTAATTATATCAGTTATTCTATTGACTGTAGTGATGATATCAAATGTTGACGTTCTGCAGAAATGACTCCATCAAATAAAGTTAGAATTACTAGTAGCTTTACTCAGCCACCTGAGAAATAAGATGATCATAAGGCCTGTGATGACTCCCGATCGTCGCCTCTGTCGGACATACTGTACTTACGAACATAATCCATGCTCGACTCAGCAGTGAATAGCGTGGTCGCACAATCGTATAGCGTATTTCTCGCAAAAATGGCCCCTACCTATTGGTACTTTTGCACATTTTTTTCTCCACATTCTACTGTAGCGCCAGGGCAATTTGGCCCGTAAATAGATCGACCGGAGTTTCTATCAATGTATTCTCAATAGAATAGCCAATGAGAAGATTGGAAATATTCATGGAAATAAGGCTCAGCTCGCACTTATTTTATACTGGGTAGTTTTGTAAGTATGCTATTGCGCCATGATATAGCGGTCTGGGTGGTACTTTTTCGCTGAAAATATTGGGAAGTGTTGGGATGAGTCTCTTCAGCTGTTCAGCCTATTTTATTTACTACTGGATTATCGTGTGGTTATCAAGTAGATTGGTAGACGGGTCGACGGATGGTATATTATATTCTTTAATGTCTTTTCTAGTGTCTGTCTAAAGAATTTTTGGAGTTCTGTCTAATACAACTCAGAGTTCATGTTGTTAGGCAGGTAACCACCACCCAAGTCGATATACTGCTGCATAATGCTCCTTGGTTCCATTTGAATAATCGTACAGTAAAGCTAGTTTAGCTGCGCCGAGGTGATGCCTCAGACTGATCGGGTATCTTTCGCCACGACCACAGATGCAGTTGCATCTGATTCTCTTTCTGTGGGTATTCTGGTCCTTTCCTCTTGGTCTAATTTCACATTTCTTGAAAACACCATGACCATCAATATAAAACACATAGCAGCCAAGACAGCAGTCACCAGAAGTCTTTGCGGTTCTCGGTAGCTGCAATTCGAGCAGCGGTGCCAGCAGCGTACTTGCGAGCAACCACAATAGACAACCAAAAAATGGCACTAGCCTGATTCTTAAACTCTTTTGAAAGGTACTTCTCAATATGAAGAGCTGTAAGATCTTCTGCCACCAAGATTGGCCGGGTTCCCAGCCCAGGAAACTGGATACTGCTTGGGTAGCTGGGATAGGGCCCCAGGTTGAGCCTTATTTTGCGATGACTGGGCTTCATATCTGATTTAGCCTGGAATTCATCGTGGGGTTGATTGGTATAGTGAATTGATTGTAGATGGATCGTGGGGCTGCCCCAGGCAACCCAGATCCATGGCATCTCTCACTTCTCGGTGTAGCTTAGCTTCCTTCATGCATCGTCATCCTGCTGATTGTTCCCCTGCTCTCCCCTCCTAGAGGTTATGATTTCTTTCACAGTAGCATTTGCTTCAATTACGTTGCCATCTGTTTCCCTGCTCTCATCTGATCTTTTCTCGCGACCTCGAGAGTGCTTTTTCAGGGCGAGAAGTGTTGCGATTAACGGCTTCACAGCTCCTTTCTACGTCCCTTTTTTCGACATTCACGTGTCGATTCGCTTTTTCTCGGTTCTTTCGTCACCTCCTCCTGTGCACATGTGAGTCAATCATGACTTCTCGTCGTTTCTGGTGCGTTTCTTTGCGCGTCTTTACCCCTCTATCGATACATTTCACCGTGCTTTCATCAATATGGCTGGCTTTCATGACCTCTTTGCAGCTCTAGAGTATGATCCTCCTGATTTCTTTTCTCTCGCTCCTAAATTAAGGGGCACGGCGAACTATCTTCACTGGCGCTAGGCTCTCCTCGTCGCTTCCAGAGTCTATTCTCAAGAGATTCACGATGTTGTCCTTGGAAAACTAGTGCCCCAAAGTCTGGTTTTGAAGTCTACGCCGGGCTCAGATGACACAGTCAAAGATATTATTAGAGTGGAACGTGATCTCGCATATATTTCGAATGTTTCCGATGCCGATGTTCAGGAATGGTTCAAACCCAACATTACAAAGCCAAATCAAGAACTTGGGGCCTGGAAAAGACTTGGGGCTCTTGCTAAAGCCCGATTGATGTCTACTCTCGGGAGAAAGGCAAAACCTTCTTGAAGAAGCTATCGCCGACTTCGCCAGATTCTATGCTTACCTTGTCACAAGTCCGTCCCTTTGGTGGAGCAAAAAAACTCATCCTTCAAGAAGGCCCGGTATTTTATGAACTGAAAGAACTTTATCATACACTGATTGTGTGGTTGTCATACGGTTGTCTGGGACAAGCCCCGATGCGCAGGAGTGACGAGAGTGAGGAACAGTTCTTGAATCGAGATTTTTTCCTCGATCAAGGAGCGCCGCATGGCGGACAACTACAACGATATGTCCTTGCGTTTCCTTGAGAGCAAATGTATGGGATCAGTTAAGATGGTTTATGAAGATGAATATCACGGCAGCGTTATTGCGGATGTCCTGAGCGGTGCAATTGTTTGGTTCTTGAGGAATCAGCTCGCGCCTAAAACAAATACGCCAGCCAAGGACAATACGCCACTGCATTAGAAAGGTTCTCTCGTTTACGGCAGTATGTACTTTTAAGCTCTGGCTTTCGTGATATCTGCTCATTTGTCATTGGGACTACGGCCTTCAATGCTGATCTACTTTATTTCTCTCTCAAGTTTTCATTTCCAAAAATATGTCGTGAATCATATCATTTTTATCATACTCTATAGTCTATAGTCTATCCCCACGCTATGCATAGTAGGTAACATCACATCTAATCAAAGATAGACGCCTTCATCGAGTTAGGCTGAATGTACTCCGATGCATTGCGGAAGCTGGTGAATCCCCAGCGAATCTGACCAGCCATGGCAATCTCAACATCCAGATCCTTTGCAAAAGCCCAAGCCAAACCGCTGTCACGCTGGAAGGCACGGCCCACAAGGATCAAATCCAGGTCCTCCTCGTTCAAAAACTGCTCAGCAAGGTTTCCGCTGTTGATGGTTCCAACGGCAGAAACAAGCATCTTGTCGCCAACAGCCTTCTTGACAGCAGCCGCGTGAGGGACCTGGAAAGCAACACCAGAATTAATCTTCTGGTTGGCGTGGACACCACCGGTACTGATATCGATCAAGTCAATGGCACCTTGGGCTGTGAGGGCCTTGGCGAACTCAATAGTATCCTCCAGCTTCCAGCCCTTCTCCTCGGGCAGGCTGGTCTCAAGCCAGTCGGTAGCAGAGACACGCAGGAAGACAGGGACATTCTCACCAACCGTGTCACGGGTCAGCTGAGCAATCTCAAGGGAAAGACGGATACGGTTCTCGAAGCTGCCACCGTAATTGTCGGTACGCTGGTTGGAAGAGGGGCTCAGGAAAGAAGAGAGCAAGTAGCCGTGGGCATTGTGAATCTCAATGAAGTCAACACCAGCGGCAAGGGCACGCTTAACAGATGCAACCCAGAGGTCCTTGACCTCTTGGATGTCTTCCGTGGTCATAGCCTTAGGAACAATATCGCCCTCGGCAAAGGGAATGGCGCTGGGAGCCTTCACATTCTCAACCCAGCCACCAACAGCATTGGTAGCAGTAACACCACCCAACCAAGGAGGAACAGTCGAGGCCTTACGACCAGCGTGGGCAAGCTGAATACCGATCTTCTGGCCTTGGCTATGAGCGAACTCAACGACATCCTTAAGTGGCTTAATCTGCGAATCTTGCCAAAGACCCACACAGCCGGGAGTAATGCGGCCCTCGGGGGCAACACCGGTAGCCTCAATGATGATCATTCCAGGACCACGCATGGCAATTCCACCGTAGTGGGCCATATGCCAGGCGGTCATATGGCCGTCTTCAGCACTATATTGGCACATGGGAGCAACCTAAATTTTATCATGAGCGCAGTTCGAGGGCAAAATTAAGAATACTGTGTTTGACACTTACACCGAGGCGGTTTTGGAAGTTCATTCCTCGGATGTTCAAGGGCTGGAAAAGTTTTGGGATGGCCTTGCCGCTAGTCTGGGGGTTGCGGGCAGTACCAGCTGGAGGATCCTGAGCTGGGGTAAAGTAGGAGATGCCCTCAGCGGGCTTGACGGGGACATCAGGCCAAGTCATGATGATGGGAGAAATGTGGAGATAGATGATAGAAGGGAAGAATGAAAGGGGAGGGAGGGAGAAAAAAGAACAGAAAGGATATTTCAATTGAGTTGAACCAATTTTAGGATGATACTATGCTGTTATATTTATGTCTATCTTATCCATCATATCCACTATAATGTGATTTCTAATCCCCGAAAAACTTTTCAGGACATCAAAATAGCCCACGGTCCCTGCATGATTTCTAAGAAATGTGGAAAATTGGAGGAAGGTCCATGAGAAAATGCCATGCTATACTTTAATTGTACCTTGCAGGTACGTACTCCAATTGCATTACAGCGAATCAATGCATTTCTTGACGTGTAAAGTTTTTTCCTGCAGAAATATCTAGTTCTGAATAATCAATATGTGGGGACTCAAGTGTGTGGGTGGCAACACAAAAGTCCCCGAGCAGTTGCGGCTCGGCCGAATTCCTCGCCGAATGTGGATTGATGGACCCACTGGAATGTGCAAGGAGCATTAAAGCTTGGATTTTGGGAATTTAGATTCCGGCCCTATGGAGTATGAGAGTGAGGCAATAAGGAGTCGATTGCTCCTGTTGTGCCAGGCATTGGAGCTTCGTTCTCAGATATTGGGGACTTACTCGGGTGAAAGGAACGGAGAAATGGGCATCAACTTGGGATTCAGTATATGATCCTTAGCATTTTTTGTGATTTGCTGCAGTTTAAACAGTCATTCTAAGCTAATAATGAACTAGAGTTTTATAACTTGACTTTCTTCATCTGTCAAGCATTGCTTATAAGTAACCAGATTCTATCCTATATCGCCATGGTCCCCTTTTTATTTTTGCAATGCAATGCACATCTCAAACTTGAGCAGAATCACTGCAAATCAAAATGGCGAGCAGACTTCTGATTCGTCTGGACCGGATGTAGGTACATGTATTTCTCGCAAATCGCATTAAACGATCTAAATAATCTACTAAAGTATTCAAATAGCATGGAGCGCTGCAACCGATATAATCTTAGCGGTATATCTAGCTTTCTTAATTTGGAGACTCCAAACGCCTCGAAGAATCAAAATCATCGCATCCTTTCTTATGGGCCTTGGTATAATAGGTGCAGCCTGTGGAATAGGGAAAGCTGCTGAAAGCGGATATCTCCATGGAACCTGTAAGTCATGTATTCATAGCCAATTTTTCTTCTTTGGTTTAGAAATTCACATATTAACATATCTATATTTAGCCCCCTATGTACACACCGGTTGAACGAGTTATGCCGCTGGTTATTTTGAATACTACAGAGATGTGGCTAGTTCAAATCGGTTCAGCAGCCGCTCCGCTATGACCAATTGTTAAGCATTCAAGCGCGAAAAGGAAACCCGCAAGCGGTATCACCGTTGAACCTCTGAAACGTGTCGTTTCTAGACGGGAATCGATGTCTTCTGGTGGTAGGAGGCCAAGATGGAAAGCCAGGATACTTTTTTGGCGCCCGGAGCGATTTGATGACGCACCACTTGAGCGTTCATCATGAACAGGTCTAATTTCTCTTCAGCGAAGTAGAGTCTCAAGTCCGAGTCCCAGAAGGAAATTTGCAAGCTTTCTTACCATTATATGCGCTCTCTATTTTTGAATGGCTCAAGTCGCGGGGTAATTTATAGAAATTCACCGTTCCGTTATTGGTGAGCGGTAACACCGATAGAGCATATACCTACGGAGTCACTATAAACTAGTCTAAGGATTCATTTAAAAATGAGTATTATCTCTTTGAAGTATGATTTCTCCCATTATTGGGATACTCAATCAATAATTGGTTGTAATGTACATGATTCCCGACATTTCCACCATTTCCACCATTTCCACCATGTCCACCATAAGCATGCGCCTTAAAATGATTTCCCAGTGCAGTGAAAACTCTGCAGAATGCATAGAACCATAAGAAAGGAAAAGTTGGCAATGCACACAAAAGAGAAAGGGGTCCGAGATAAAATGATGTGCAACGCCTCTGTGTCCTCGTGTAGACACATGCAAAGAACTTGTTCCGGGAATAAAACACATGAAAAAAAAGACATGAAAAATGCGCCCAATGCTCCCTGCAAGCTAAATGCTGAGTGTCGAGAAAATCGACACGGTTGTACATTAATACAACCTTGCTGTTTGCATTGGGGGCTATGGTCAAAAAGTCAATAAAAAATATCGTTGGACGGCAATGACTTGGGATAAGATGGTACATCAAACGAAAGGGTTGAGAACTGAAGAGGGTATGAGGGATTAGGCGTAGTGTTGGAAGTCAGTGATTTCCGAAATGGATCAGAAGTCAGAATATTCATGTATCGTGGCGGAAAGTGCAATTCTCGCCCTTTCTACATTTTCCTTCCGCCCAGAATTTGCAAGCAACCAATCCATACTTGTACTGTGATGAGAGTTAGCTTTTGTGTGAAGTTTGAAACTGTTTCGAGGATGAGATGCTTACAGGCTTGGGATCATTAGACTTCGTGCGCTTTCCGCGACTCCATGAAGGATCGTATTGACCATCTGACTGATCATTATCACGCACTCGTTTGCGTTCAGGGTCTTCATAGTTATTGTTCCCCGCATTCATTTCTTGTTGACCAACAGGGTACTGATTTTGACCTCCGAATTGCGGAAACATAGCTCCCATATTCATATTCATATTGGGGGCCATTGTGGGCTGGGCCGGGGGTACTTGAGAGAAGGCTCCTGGCTGCAGCTGTTTCATGATTGTGAGAAGGTTTTGGAAGTCGACCGCTGGGGCCAGCGGCTGCGGCTGCGGCTGCGGCTGCGGCTGGGCTGGAGGGGCCTGTGGAGCTTGAGTAGACTGTTGCTGACGAAACATGCTGACTGTGCGTTCAAGATCGGACATCGGCGCCGGCATGGCAGGCTGTGGGACCGGCTGAGGCGGGGGCGTATGCTGTTGCTGGGCCGCGGGGTTCATGAGCTTGAGGAAACCCGCAATGTCGAAAGCTCCAGGAGCTTGGTTAGCTTGGGGCTGGAACTGAAGCTGGGCTTGAGGTTGGATGGTAGCTGCCACAGGGTTGGGGTTCATGGAGTTGAAGTAGCGTTCCTGACGAGACTGCAGGCTTTGGGTTAGTAATTTGCACGGTGAAACTTGTCTTAACAAAGACATACCTTGACAACATCAGGCAACTCTCCAAAAAGAACTACCTCAGGAACAGGCTCATCAACATCCGGAATGGGTGGCTCCTTGGGCGTTGGGGGCACATCAGCTGGGGAGGTGTAGAAAACCATGAGAGTGGTGGATTCGCGATGATCTTGAGCTTCCTTCTCGGGACTTATGGGAATCTCGTTACCACCGCGTTTAATGTAGTTGGACTTCTTCAGCGCGTCAGATTTCGGAATTTCTAAATTGAGATTAGTCAGGTGCATACAGCAGGGCATATTAGGCAGGCGCGGGGGAACTTACCAGACAACTCGTGATAATCGCCGTAACTTGTCTCCCGTAGGCCACCAAGATCGTCTTCCTCCAAATCTTCCAGATCTTTGTGCAGTTTAAGAACACTACCTTCTCCTTTAACATCGCCCACTCCACGCATGGAACCATCACCGGGGCTCAGCTCTTCTTCAGGATCGTGAGTGAACAAGCGGACCTCTGTTAGTGATTCATCTGGTTTCCAGGTAACGCGAAGCTTGCGTCTCTCCTCTTTTCGCAGCCTTGTTTTACGTTCCTCTTCTGTCTCTGGTGGGAGATCCTCGACGGGCTTAGCGACAACGGCTTCTTTAGGTTTACTCAGATCGGCCATAATATCACCGAAGGAAAACGCAGGTTTTGGGGGAGGTGCCTGCGGCTTCTCTTTCTTCTCGGGTGCGACTCTATTCGTACAATCAGCAATTGTGTCTTTTTGAGAAGGTTGACATGAGAGATCAGGATAAACGCACGAAGACTTCGCAGCCGCTCTCTCAGCATTGGTTGTGCCTGGTCGCTTTGAGGCCGAACTCAACGCACTGAACAGACTTGATGGCTTTGGTGCGATGATGTTGGCCCTGGGGCGGGATACTGGCGCGGTGGCTGCCTTGCCATTCTGGGTCCCCTCGGCGGCTCTCTTGACCACACCATTGATTGTGGCGGCGGATTTGCCCGCATCTTTTAGGTTCGATGGAACAACCATGCGCTTAGTAGCAGGGTGGGCATTGCTTTCTCCATCGCGGGGGCGTTTGGCGCCAGCGACCTCAACAGAGGGGGGATCTTTCTGGGCTGGAGATTCCTCTTTAACGGACTTGGCGCTCTCCTGTTTGCGTTTTGTTGAAGCGAGAGCATTATCTAATATTTGTTGCCCTGATTCCTTAATTGCAGGGCCACCTTTCTTAATCAGACGAGGCAGCAGCTTGGCGAGGTTGGTCTTCTGCATTATCTCCTCATCTACAGTCACAAATCGTGCCAATAGCTAGATTTTTAAGTCAATGAACAGTCTCCAAAGAAGTTGGAAGGCATGCAAGATCTTACCTTGAGCATGTTTAATGTCAGTGAACCATCGTAATCGGAAGCTTGGAAGCGATCCGCCAGGAAAGAATAGATGGCTGCAAGTGCCATAGGATGCTCTCCACATCTGAACGAATTGATGAATTAGCAAAGGGATATAACAAAGGCGGGCTTCAGTGTTGCATGGGAAGAAAGAAGCAAGGCTAAATGAAGGGTTGCCAATATCCTGACCCAACGCCTGTACGCCAAGCAGGTTATGCCGCCGGTATTGCTCAGGGACGGTCGCGCATTTTCCAGTTCTAGCAGGTAAATTTAGCGAGCATATCTAGAGAACCCTTATACGGGGTATCTTCAGACTGTTTTTGCTATTATTCATCCACGTAGACTTGACATAAGACACCTTAAGATGCATTGTCATTGGAAACAACTTGCGCTGGGAGGCAACCCTTATTCTAGCCGAATTAAGAGTAACATAAGTCCCGCGACAAAGGGAGTCTACATGGGAGATGCCTTCAATTCTCTCTGAGTGGATGTGTCCATGACAACCATATGCAGGTGCAAAATTGATCAAAATTGTAAAGTGATAAGGGCAGGGCGGGGAAGGGGATGGTAAGGGTAGGGAAATATTGCAAGGGGATATGTACTTCTCAACAATCATGGGGTGGCCCATGTTCAAGGCAGTGATCATTATCTGATCCATAGTTTGACGTTGCAACATCACACCTTTTTTCAACTCCGCGGCTTTCTCGTTGTTGTTATTGTTCTCTGCAAGTTTCATTTCTTGCACTTGATCCTTCCAAGAATCTCGAAGCACTTTGATAATGTCTTTGAACTCCATCAGCCCGCTCTTTACTTTATCTGCTGAAACTACTTTGTTTCGCGGAGACCACACAGCTTGCAGGGTACTATATTCAGCCGCCGCAATAGGTTCGGTCGGACGAACGGCAGGGATTGGAGAAGGTTCAGGAGGTGCTTCAATCTCCAGATCCGATTCATATTCACTGTCGCTTTCTGATTCACCCTTGGCTTTCTTTTGCGTCTTGGCGGTCTTTTTCGCTGTTTGTTTCTTTGCGGCCTTCTTCGACTCGATCACAACTTGAGGAATAGCTAAACCGCTATGACGTGACACCATGAGCCCCGGTTGGCCATGTTGTGGCACACCATGATCGAGGACAGCACCAGGCTGGGCCTCAAGGGAGATGTTGTTTTGAAAGTAGTCAAACATCGGGGCTTCACCTCGATCAAACCCAGATGTGTTTGTATAAAGCAGGTTATTAGGGATCGATTGCTGTTGCGAAGAGTGTGGGTTCGAGTTTAAGAAATTAGGGTCGATGTGAGGGTGCAGTTGTTCGGTAGGGAATTCACTAGAGAGGTCGATAGTGGAGGAAAGCATGTCGGAGGGATAACCGGTGGGGATAGTGAACTGAGATTGAGGGGCAGCCGCCTGAAACTCAGACTGCTGCAGATGTTGCTGAGGGTTGCGGTCGTGGAAGGAGTCTTGTACAGGAGGTAACGATTGAGGCTGCTGGTAGAAATTGTTTTGGAAGGAGTAGGAGGGGAAGGCGGAACTCTCAGATTCTTGGAGGGACCTCGAGTCAAATTGCATTTGGCCATGGGGATATTGGTGGAGCGGCTGCGTGTCCTGAAACTGGGGTGGCGGTACAAATCCCCGTCCCGGTTGGCGCAATGGGTTCTCTTGCCATTGCTGAGGTATCGAGTAGTGATCCAGATTGGGTTCATTTGAAGGAGGCATTTGACTTCGTTGTTGTGGCTGTAAGTGTCGTTGTTGATGTTGATGGGGTTGCGAGTGTGTTTGCTGTCTCTGTTGAGGAGCTGGATAGTTCCATCCAATATCCAATGGCTGATCCTGAGGTTGCTGAGCTTGGGACGGTTGAAGATGTTGATCACCGAATATCGCGTCCAAGGTAGTGTTATTCCAGAACTGAGGCGAGGACCCCTGAGAAGCTCCGGTATGAGACAGACCGGACATCCGGTTCTGCGCCGAAGACCGCTCCATGGTTTCCACTCGCCACAGTTCAAAAGGGACGAAAATTGACTCGCTCTCACTTCACTTTACGTTTTAAAGAGAGCTTGTTGCTCTGTATACGCCCTTTAAGTCACGTGTATAGCTCCTGCAGGAAATGCTACCGCCTGCTTGTTTCGGATCGCGGAAGATTGTTCGACCGGGGTCGGTGGAGGCCAGAAATCTGAGCGATCTGATTGGAGGATGCTGCGTGACGGGCGGTGAGGATTGAGTATTGGGGGCGGGGGCAACAACACCAGATGATAAACTGAAGAGAATAATGACGAATTATCAGGATGCGATCGTCCAACAATCACGTTTTGTACTAACGTTATAATTCCCCAGAACGCGGTACAACAGCTATAACACGGCTGAGTTATAGCCTCGGGTACGGAGAGTACTTTCGTACCTTGATTTTCTCTCTTTTTTAAACAGAAGTAAAGCAGTATTCCAGTCTTAGGTGTTGGGCTTTAGAATGGTGTGTCTGCCTTAGGCAAACAAAAATCCTGCTTGGTGGTGACTCCCTGACCTTTTCTGCACCTTTTAATGATCTCAAAATGACTGGGTACAATCCAGAGAAGGGAAAAAATAGGTATTTGTAAGAAGCCTGGACTTTCAAGGATCCTTTATGGCTACTTTTCGAGACTGAGTTTCTCCTGTGGTCTCTCCTGCACTGTTTGTATCTTGGACCCTGGCTCCAGCCGCAGAGCTTGCACTCTGCTATTTTCTCAGGTGTTTTTTAAGCTTGTTTTCTTTCGATGAGAACAGTCTGGATCAGATACAGGCAGCCTTCTATACCAAGAGCCACTCTAGCATCATAGCCATTTGCTTTACGTAGAAAATGGGGGAATGGGATGGGAAAGGGGGAGAGAATTGGGGGTGATGTGGATGGTAGATGGTGAGGTCTGAGGCGGAAGGGGGAACAAATTACTTCTACAGTAGAGGTGCGGGTAACGATAAAAAAACTGTGTCTGTACGGTATTCCGTGGCATTATTAGCCAGACCCCTGGTATCTTACCGTATTCTCGTATGGGATCTGTAACAATCTACGTACCGACCACAGAGCTGGGGCATGTGATGCGGTGTTTGCTTGGTTTGTTTGATTACCTCATCGCTGGTCGGGCCACGCTTCATGCTTGAACGGGGAAAGCGGGATATCAACAACTGGGAAGACCAGCTCCTCAATCTTCAACCTACGGGCAATTTTATTGTTTTTCTAATTTTAAATTCTCTTTGGAATTCTTCTTACTTATCTTGGAACCCAAAAAATAAGCTCCGAGTGCATTTCTCAAAACTACAGTGCCTGGTCTGCCATGGCGCATCCAATGTCCCTCCGAGACCGACAGGTCGGTATGTGATGCTTGATATTTGCCCCCTCTCCAACGGCTTTACTAGCTTGCGAATTGCTAACCAGTCTTGTAAGCCTCCATTCAAAAACTCTTGAATTTAAATCATGATCCCCACCCCGCAGAGGACTCCAATGACCCCTCCGGCCACGCCAGCTTCGTCTCCCACTCCACCCCGATTTTGAATGAAGATGGTGATCCGATATGGAAAGTGCTGGTGTTCGATAATATGGGCCGTGATGTTATAAGCAGTGTGCTCCGAGTTAATGATCTGCGAGCATGGGGTATTACCATTCATCTGTACGCTACCATGATCTTGAAGCCCCTCGATTCAAAAAACCCCGATCACTAACATGGTCACAGAAACCTCAATTCCCAAAGATACCCTATCCCAGACGTACCTGTCGTTTATTTCGTCGAGCCAAATGAGACGAACATACAGGCAATCACGCACGATCTATCTCATGGTCTTTACTCCCCCGCCCACGTTAATTTCCTATCCTCCGTGCCTCGGCCCCTCCTCGAGGATTTTGCATCCCAAATAGCCACATCCGGTGCCTCTGAACATGTCGCCCAGGTTTTTGATCAATACCTCAATTTCATCGTGGCAGAGCCTGATTTGTTCAGCTTGGGCATGGGAAACAATGCATACTACAAGATCAACAGCCCGAAAACGACTGATGAGGATCTTGATTCGATTGTCGATAAGGTTGTCAGTGGCTTATTTAGCGTCAGCGTTACAATGGGTATGTAATCCTTCACAGGTGTATAAAAACCCCAGCTAACAGAATAGGTTCAATTCCTGTCATTCGATGCCCTAAAGGCGGTGCAGCAGAGCTGATCGCCACGAAGCTTGACCGAAAACTACGGGATCACATTTTGAACTCGAAAGACAACCTCTTCTCAGGCAACCAGCGCAGTTTGCCAGGAGTTCCTTCCTCGCGTCCCGTATTGATCATCATGGACCGAAATGTCGACTTGGTGCCTATGCTTTCGCACTCATGGACATACCAGTCTCTGGTGCAGGACGTGCTACAGATGCGCCTGAATCGTATCACCTTGGATGCCGACGAGCAGGACTCTGGCAAGGGTGGTAAGAAGTCATATGACTTGAATAGCAATGATTTCTTCTGGCTGCGAAATGCTGGAGCACCATTCCCCCAAGTTGCCGAAGACATTGATGCTGAATTGACACGATACAAGGAGGATGCAAATGACATCACGAAAAAGACTGGCGCTTCCTCTATCGAGGATCTTCAGAACGACACCAGCGCCTCTGCGCAACATCTCAAGGCTGCGATCACTTTACTCCCGGAATTGCGTGAACGCAAGGCAGTTCTCGATATGCACATGAACATCGCCACCGCTTTGTTAAAGGGTATCAAAGACCGCCAGCTAGACAACTTCTTTGAGCTGGAAGAAAACATCACCAAACAAACAAAGGCACAGCTATTGGAACTGATTAATGACCCAGCCAAGGGCAGTAATTCGATGGATAAGCTCCGTATCTTCATCATCTGGTTCCTCAGCACAGAAACCGAGCTTAACCGCACAGAGATGACACAATTCGAAGAGGCCTTAACAAATGCCGGTGTTTCAGACATTACTCCTCTCGCTTACGTTCGACAAGTCCGCGAAATCACCCGTATGACCATGATGACAACCGCCGCTCCAGAGCAGCAATCCTCTGATCTCTTCCGCGGCTTCTCCTCACTCTCCAATCGTCTAACCGACCGTATCACCTCTGGTGCTCTTGGTGCCAACTTCGACTCTCTTATCTCCGGCGTCAAGAACTTCCTCCCCGCAAACAAAGATCTTACTGTAACAAAGATCACCGAGTCCATAATGGACCCAACCGCAGCATCCAGTTCTGCTATTGCCAAGACAGAAAACTACCTCTACTTCGACCCACGCAGCGCAAACGCTCGAGGTGCCATGCCCCCGGCTTCCGCTTCCCGAAACCAACAAATGCCCGGTTCAATGGGTGCTTCTGGCCCTGGAACCGGTGCCACATTTGGCCAACGGCGTCAAGCCTTCAACGAGGCTATTGTTTTCACTGTCGGTGGTGGCAGTATGGATGAGTATGGTAACTTGCAGGATTGGGTTAAGCGAACGAGTGGCCAGCAGAATCCTGATGGTACCCCTGTGACCAACCGCCCACCTGTTGCTCGGCGCAGAGTCGTATACGGAAGTACAGACTTGATGAATGCAAGCGAATTCCTGACAGATTCCTTGGTCCCATTGGGCCAGGAAAGTTAAATACGCCTACTCCTTTTTGATGACACTTAGCTAGATAATGGGATCGATTGGACGGGTTGTAAAACATATTTTTAATTCAAGGCTTTATCAGCGAACTCTATCCTTTTGTGGTTTAGGTAGCTTCACAACATGATTCAGGCCCAATTTTACTAGTAGAAGAGGCTAGACTGACAATACCACCTATATGCCGGAATCCACAATACACCTCGCACATGCATGAGTAGTGATATCCACTCCACATGGCGCAATGCATTTCCCCCAAAAGTTCAGTGATGATTGTTGTAAGTCAACTAAGCCTTTCTTGTGATCGGCATCCCCGAAAGCTGTGAACTTAATTTCAAAACTCAGTTTCAAAGCCCTGTGCGCTCTGAACATGAATACCATGAGAGAAATAAGGTTTGTCCTTTCTTGATATAGAATTGTAAGATTATAGCTTTCGCTAAAGTCACCCAGTGTTTAAATGCTAGTAGCGCGGGGGTATATATCGACTAGTCTCTTTGAAGAACATTGCCAAGTAGGTTGGATGCTGAAGTTCGCCCGGGCTTTTATCTACGTACAAGTCGGTAGTAATAGCCGACAACCTTGGAAAAGGTCATCATTAGGAATATATCCATCAATTCAATTGGTTTGAGGGGGGGTTCACTAGTAGCCGATGCATGTATACGGATGGCTTAGTGTCAGCGTTAAGATATGCAACCTTATATGTATGTCTATAGGCATATTGGTTCAGCCAGCCACTACGTCGAACTTGAAATGATGACACGGAATATACGCCTCAAAACATACTCAATTGGATGGACTGGCTGAGGTCTAATCCTCGGCCTTTTACTCCTGGAATTTAATACTCTCACTACTACACGGACAATGCCACGAATGAATAGCACTTTCCTCAATGGCATGGGAAATTCGGAATCTTATCCAGTCCCGGGTACCGAGGTCTAAGCTACTAGTACTACTATATAAACCAGCTTCTCTGTCTGATCACTTTCAAGTTGCACTTACAATTCACATCTCTTCCAGATCTGAACCCAACCGATTTGGTTTATTCTCAAACAGAAATACCTTCACACGAATTTTCCTTCAATCCATCAAATTTGTCTGACTCCGTTGCGGATATCTTCGCTTCCATCCTCGCTCCAAAGACTATTGAGGTTCAGGTTGCCGATCACAATAGCATCCACCCAAGAATCTATCTCCCCAAGCCCGACGCAAACAAGATCGTCAGACAGACCACAACTCCTGTTGGCTCCTATTTCTCCCTTTTCCGAGTCACTGAACTAGTATCAGTTGAATGGACAAAAGAAGGCAGTCTTGAAAACGAGAGCTATGCCATCAAAATAGAAAAACGGCCTATTCAAACTGGCTTGACAGTCACCAGTGGCAAGGCAAACGCGGACAGTGTCTCCGGCAGCTCAAGTTTTGCAGGCTGGGAGTTCTCATACTCTGCGGACGGAAAGAAGGAGACAAAGGCCTTCAATATCGTCGAGACCTCATCTGTGCAGACTAAGGAAGTTGAATCTGAGGTTCCTCCTCACTCCAGTGTCTTCGTCTACAGGAAGAAATTTACTTTCCGGTGCAAAGCTTGAATTGGTTTTGGTGGAGACAGGACCACTTCTCAGACGCTTCTCTATGTGTCTGGCGCAAATAATATTCTGCTTAAGGGTGAATACGAAATTAGCATCATCTCCTTTGATCAGGTTGTTACCGGAAATGAATTATTGGGAGAGGGATTCATTGGTACTGAGCTCCCTGTGAACTGCAATGGCCCAGTCGCGCACTTAGGACCATACTCATCTGTTCATCCCGTCTTAAATGCCCTATCCATATATTATCCTTGGCTGCCTGTGGTATAGATCAATTATAGGACAGTGGCAAGGAATTGGAGATTGGCAAGCAAAACTTCAAGTCACAAGTGAAAAAGATTGATCGAAAATCTTTACATCTCTTCAATCCATCATCTTTCTTTTTTTTTATATTTGATTTATCAATTGACAGAATGAAGAAGGTCGCGCAATTAAACATATTCCAAGGTTCCAAGGCTCGTATCTGTAGACACATATCTCTGTAGAAAATATCATGCGGTCTGATATCCTTCTATTAGCAGGGTGTGGTGTGCAGCGCATGTTATTGGATCCATAGTACCTGTAAGCAATGAATCATGCTAAGAGCTATTTACATCCGATTTTAGGGTGTGCAATTCAAGTTATCACGCCAAGGATAATTTTGGCACGGTGGACGCATTAACTACCGGCTTTAAGCGCAATCAGTGTATTAATTCGCTTTTTATATTACATTGAGAAGCTTTTTTCGCTATCGACTGTAAACTGGGCCATTTGAGTGAAACGAGCGGTTCCAATCAACCGGACAGAAGCGCTACCAGGATACGAGCTTAGGAGACCAATCGCCAGATTCTTTAACTCGCGCGCCACTTCTTTGAACCTTAAGACTTAACTAGCTCCGTGAGTGAGCACATTGGTTTATGGCAACGAGTGGCGAGAGTCAACTATATCCCTCAGTGTTCTGGGCCAATACTCCACGCTCCACACGCGCCACCACGATGATAAGTACGAGAACTGCCAGTGTATGGAAGTATGAGAGATTCTCAGACTTAGTCAATTACGAGACTAGCTTCTGACAATTATCTTACGAGAGGTAACGCGAATTATTGAAGTGAAGTCTGCTCGGACATGACTGGATAAGACTTTACATCCATAGACTGTTTTGGGGGAGGTTTGTGTTGATTTCCATATATTATACAGATGTGCACTTGTATACTATACGAGTTTCTATTTTTGAGCATATTTTCTCTTAAGGTCTCTTCACGCTATTTCCTGTAAATATTTTGAATGGTGCTCAAAAGGGTCGTCTGCCCAAAGTTGTTTTATGGACCTGACATCATTCGCCTCCTCAGGCAAGGTACAAACTTTGGAACTCTATATTCGACTGATCAATAACATTAGACTTCAACTCCATGCGTTCATTCTTCTATTTAGTTGATATCGCCTCATCGTTGGCGACTATGAGAGATCCAGTAAAATGTGATGTCATGAGAATATCATCGCCATTTCAAAGCGCCACAGAAAGATTTATAAATGAAAGCTACCCACCACACTCCATTTGTTTCAGTCCATTAGTACACTTGACACAATCTATAATCTTATTTTGAAGTTTATTTCAGTTCGGCACGAACTTAGCCAACATCCACAATGAGTGACCGATCTTACGCAGACTCTGGCTACCCCAACGACTACGAGCCAGACGCTACATACGACACCCTTGGAACAAATTATGAATCGACAGGCACAACATACGATCTAACAGGCTATGGCGGTTATGGGAATACAGCATCCCGCTACTCCTTGGCTGCCAGTGGCGTTGATACCAATGCCAGTGACCTAGCATACGATGTCAATACATATGATACTGGATATGGCACCACAGCCTACGATCCAAGCACTGGAGCCTATGATCAGCACCTCGATTATAGCACTGGAGATGCACGACGACATCATCGCGAGCGACTCAGTTCCACTGGAACATATCGACACCGGGATGTTGATCGCCGGGATGATGGAACTACCCATGTCCATCGCGAATACATGAATCCTAATACCGGCACCAATTACCACCGCGACTATGAGCGATGAATTAAAGCGATGAAAGTTGAGGGCTTTGGATTTGATTCCAAGTTTCTCGCGAAGAGACATGAGTCATGACTACAAAGGAAATATTTTATAAAAAATTGAAAATATATAAAAGGCTTTAAGCCAAAGGGAAAAAAAATGTTGAATAAACAATTTGTAATATTATTCTGCTTATGGGATGGATTTTGAATTCAATGTAATAATCAAACACATTCTTTCAATCATTGTCACTAAATTAGAATTCCTTACAAGCAAGCGACTAGTTCTCAAAGCCCTCCTTTACATGGTGTTTCATCCAATACCCAGCCTTTGTAAAACTCTTAGAAGGCTGTCAGCCATAACCAAGTATGAGCTTTCGAAGTCTTTGATATCCAGGCCCTATTCTCCTCGATAAAGAACCGAATTCAATTCCTAGTACACTGCATTTTGATACAAACTTCGAAAAATCCTACTTAGCTTTTTCCAACTACCACAACACCTTTCAAACGTGATAGGAATGTTACATCAGGCTCGGCGATGAAGGAACATTGATTTATCTTTGTCTAACATTACTTGGTCTGGGTCTTCGAGATATAAAAGCACACTCGAAGGAGAAGGCAAAACTACGAAATATTCAGTATAGAGGAGTAAGCCATATTATTCACACGATGTAAGAATTCAAACAAAAAACAAAACAGTTGAAGGACAGGGCGGGGAACAGGGCCATAAATATTTACAAAGGTACTAAACATCGGGTAAAGGGACGAAGATCTCGCAGAGAACAATCTGAACCTCATGTTCGGGAGCCTACCGATGCTGAGTTGGAGGCGTCGGCTGCTACTGCTGATAGGGATTCTTCTCTTGAGAGGGCTACCGCTGCTGAGGAGGCTGCCGCTGCTGCGAGGGCTGCGAGGGCTGCTGCTGAGAATGCTCAAGCTATTGCTATCGGTGATGCAGTAAAGAAACGAAAATCCGATCGAGAGCGAGTCACTGGCTCCGTTGATCCTACCTCTATATCATCAAAGCAACGAAAACTCGATAGAAAACGAGGCACTGACGCCACACAAAATCCGATAGAAAACAGGCTACTCGCCCTGCTGGCCCTGCTTCTACTGGTGGCGGTGCTAATGGCATTATTACTAACGCTATTAACACCACTTCTAATCAAAGGTCTGCTGCTATGGCGGACGCTGCTGTAAGAGCTGCTAAAAGGGCTGCTGAAGCTCAGAATGTTACTGAAGCTGAAAGAGCTAACGCTGCTGAGGAGCTTGACGCTGCTAAGAATGCTGCTGAGGGTGTGAGGGCTATAGCCGCTGCTAAAAAGGCCGCTGCTGAGAAGGCCGCTGCTGAGAAGGCCGCTGCTGAGAAGGCCGCTGCTGAGAAGGCCGCTGCTGAGAAGGCCGCTGCTGAAAAGTTTGCCGCTAACAATGCTGCTGCTAGGGAGGCTGCCGCTGCTATGAATAGTCCTTTGGGGGATGCTGTTGCTAAGCTTATTGCTGATAGGGACGCTGCTGCCAAAGCCGCTGATGCGGATGTTATTTTGGGGAAGGCTGTTTCTACGCTGTTTCTACGCTGTTTCCAGGCTTGTTTCTGATGGGAATCCTGCTACTACGGATGCTGCTTTTGGGAATGCTGTTGCTAAGCTTGTTGCTGATAGGGACGATGCTGTTAAAGCCGCTGCCGCTGTCGATCTTACTGCAACACCAGAAGATATCACACAGATACAATCACAGTCATCTCGACTACAACCGGGCTTACAAGAAGGGTACCAATATCAGCCCTTTGAAAGACTACCAAATGGGCAGTTCCGTGCATTTTCATGGGAAGATCTACCATCTTGGGCGACACTACCAACTTGGACGTCATCTGAACAAACACCATCTGGGACGACAGATCAAAGTCTACGATTTGGGGTTCCACTAGAAAATTCCCGATATAGACAAATGGCGCTACAGGAAGAGGCGATTCGAGGTGTTGAAACTGCAGGTAGGCGTCAAGCTGATGAGGCTACAAGAAATATTCAGTCTAGGATGCCTTTAAAAACGGCCGTTTACGCGACATTTGAAGAACTAGAGTCAGATCTTTAGATAGACTTTTCTTTCCTGGATCATCTAAGTTCCAGTTCTTTGCTGGATGATCTAAGTTCCATCAAAACACCACCCGTCAGGCTACCAAAGAAAGACCTTGGCCCGGACAGGCCAGATGAAGAAGAAATTATAGATGCGCAATATCTTTCGGATGGCTGGGGTCACAGGGAACCTGACCTTGACCTTGACCCTGAGTAAGTCGAATCAATGAAGACGATAAGATTCCTTCGTTCAGAATGTTGGAGTTGCTAACGAATCCCAGAGATTGTGATGCACAGATTGATAGATGCGATGAAAGGATCCGAAAAAGAAAAATGAACTGGATATCTGAGGCCCGCAAAAAAGGGATGGTTGAAAAAAGGGAACGACGCGAGTATGTTGACTACATTTCTAAGTTTATTGTAGATTTCCAATACTGACTTCTTTTTCTTACTAGAAAAGCGATGACACAGTATCCCGACCTGGACTGGGATGTAATTGGAAGGATTAGCCAGCTCGGAATAATACGAAATTTGTTGAACAAGAAGAGCGACGCTGATGATCGAGAAAATGTGGAGGCTGTTATCAAAGCATATAAAGAGCAGACTTTAAAGTGGCACCCACACCTGGTGACCTACTGGGCGAATGGGGAGCAGATATGTAAACCGCGACCTTTTGATTGGGATGAGTTTGATCTTATTCACGACCATTATAATGGGCATATCGCTTTTTGGATTGAACCAGTATGTTACTAGCCGTAAATCCTGGGTTTGAGATCAAATTTAGCTAACCTATCGATGCAATTCTAGGTACATGCACTTAAAGGACCTGTAATTTGTTAATCCGATGTAGTTCAAGGTCATAAATCTATTGGTGGCACGATATATGTGAGTCACCCAGTTTCAAGTTAATAGCATATCTTTTTGTTGCCGTTTTCCTTGGTACGGCGAGCCAGAATAGATGCTAACATCAATTGGATTCCAGATGGATCTCCATCTGAGACTAGACTCGAATCATCCGCCCATGAAATTTGAATTTGTTGACGACACTGGTGCTGAAATGATGTCTATTTTCGAGGACGATGTAAACAATCTACGTCTATGGTCTCGGAGACAAGGCCAGAGGGGTCTCCCCCAAGGGCCACGTAATTGTGGTTATGTAGTTGCGCGCCATGCTGATGGATCATCAGAAAGTGTTCCAGTCGTAGCCATCAGGCCTAATATTCTGGCTGGTGATCCGCCTCGATGGCTTGTGGGGGCCGCATTTCCAAGGGAGTGGCCCAGGGTCCCATGTATAGTCAGACCAGCAAGTCAGCGACAACGCGGTGCTAGTAGACTTCTTGGTCCATGATTGAGGACATATCTATATACAGCCACGGCCCCAGATGGCGAGTGCGGGCTCTTGGTATCAGATGGAAAAGATGGACTGGCAGGTGCCTTGCCAAGCATCAATCTCGAGGTATTTCAGCCTAGTCCACTAACTAGTGGTGGCTGGGCAGGAGTTGCGAATATTCCTCGAAGCCCTTAGCCAATGAATAGAATGGTTCCTTCATTTATATAGCAGTTTGATTTCTAGCCGATGATTAATATACTCTGGTCCTCTTCTTCTCTGTTGAATCAGAACAACTTCATATTAGTTACTAGTATGTAGTGTACTATGTTGTAGTCAGGACGATCCCGAGGCACACTTGTTTGATGCCTGAGGCATCAAGCTAACAAGGCTCCACTGTATCGTCACTGGCCCAAGTTCAACGTCTGCAACAGTCCCCCCTCGGGCGCCAAAATCCTGTGCAGCCAACTCGATGTTGAGCTGAAACGTGCCTCTACCCGCCCGTCTTCTCATGTTCCCGTAATCATGTCCCGGAGGACGTTGGGTGGAGGTCGTGTTCTAGGCACTCCGACCGCGCTTTCATCAGCCCCGTCCCCGTCCCCGCAACCGAAGCCAAGAGTGCTCTCTCCAACCGCTAGCAGCGTGTCCCTGAGCTCGCAGACATCTGCCTCGCAATTCTCATCGGAAACACAAGATCTTACCTCACGCATCTCTCTCGAGAATGGCGACACATCTATTTCAGCGGCCCCGGCCGCTCCCGGAGCTCAGCTCTCATGTCCGATTTGCAACGAAGAGATGGTATGTCCAGCACCTCCCAGTAAAATTGTGGAAGCTTCGCGTGTACTAACATTGACTATTTGACAGGTCACACTACTCCAGCTCAACAGGTACATATCAACCTCCTACTTTATCGCCTGCGAACATAATAAACAACCGGAACTAACCATCTCCTTATAGACATCTCGACGATCTACACCAGAACCTCGAAGACGACCGACAGGATGAAGTGAAGGATTGGTTTAGGGTTCAGATGGAGAAGGCAAGAAAGTTTCAACCTCTTGCTGTGCTGAACCAGAAGCTAAAGGGCCTCGACGTGTTCGAGTCGAACGAAAACAACTCCGCTCCAATTGCCAGCCGCCCTCTACCTACACACGCCGGCCCGTCCGAGATTACCCCTAAACTCCTCGATCCTGAAGACCTCATCACAAGGGAACATTGGCAGATTAGCAATCTTTACGAAACATGTCTGGAGCCCTCCTGCGGCAAACGACTGAGCGGCACCAATGGTTGTGTCAACTGTCGGAAATGCGGAAAGCTGTTCTGCGAGGAGCATACTATGTATCAAATGAAGCTTTCTCGTTCCGCCCAGCATGAACCAGTGAGGGGAATCTGGGCACGGGTTTGCGAGACTTGTTACAAGTCGAGGGAAGGCTACAATAATCATAATGGTATGCGCATGTTTAACGACCTGGATCTGTACATTAAACTTACAAGCAGCAGGAGCCACTCGAGATCAATCATCGGCATTCAAGAATATCAGAAAGCAAACGGTGGATAAAGCTCTTCTTGAGGTTTCGCGGCTCGAAAAACGGTTGACACGGCTTACGCAACTCCTCGCCAGTCTACCACCGGACCAAATACAGCCCAGTGCAGCCAAATTATTCTCCCTGTCCTGGCAGAACGATCAGCGAAAAGCCGTCGAGCAGACTATCGTGAGCTGGCAGGATGATGCGAGTGTCGTTCGGTGCCCTTTCTGTCTACAGGAATTCTCGGGCTACACTTTTCGCCGACATCATTGTAGAACCTGTGGCCGCGTCGTTTGCGGTGACCCCAATACGGGTTGTTCAAGTGAAGTTGGGCTAACCATTCCCCTCTGTAAGTGCTCCCGAGTATCTTTCTTTTTCACTGCCTGGAAAAAGAACTTCACTAATCCTCCACAGCGCAAAACACCTCAGAAAAGGCACCCGCAGGTGAACTGATCGATGTGGATGTGCGACTTTGCAAAGACTGCAAGAGTACCTTGTTCGATCGCCGAGACTTTCAAGCAGACATTACACAAAAGCCACCCGATGTCAGAGCGTATGAGAACCTGGCTCAATTTGAGAGAGGCATTCGTCTTCATCTACCAAAGTTTCAGAAACTTCTTACTGCTCTACAGTACGTATAATTACACCACTCTGCTTGGAAACTCACAATAACCCCGTAATAGAGATCCAAAACGACCACCAACTCCGGCACAACTTGCAGATGCAACGAAGATTCACAAGCGACTCATGGTTTCATTTCAAAAATATAATGCTGCAGCCCGGCGCATCAAAGATCTGCGCACCAATTCCCCAACACAACTCCGCCTCCAGAAAGCAATATATCAACAAGCCAGCAATTTCCTCCATCTCCACATGCTACCTCTGAGATCCCTTCCCGAGATCCTGAAAAACGCTTCTCCGTCGAGAGACCGTATACCAAGCCGAATGGCATCACCAAGCACCCCAGTCAACGGTTCACTATCCGGCAACAGGCCACAAAGCTCCGCGCTTGCATCTATTAAATATAACGAACGCACCGGTGCCAGCCGTAGCACCAGTAGTCTTACAAGCGACACCAGCAGCGCTGTGTCCGCACTAGAAGCAGAGGAAAAATCCCTGCGAGAGCGACTCATCGTTCTGGAAGAACAAAAGTTCTTCGTATCAGAAATGATCGCCGATGCGAATCGCCGACGCAAATTCGACGAAGTCAGTAGTCTCGCTGTGAATGTCGAAGACTTGAGCCGCGAGATTGACCGAGTCAATGGTATGCTTGCTGGGCTTGATTTTGAGGGTGTCTACACTAGTGGGAGTAACTTGCAGGTCGCCGGGTAAGAGTTGGGAAGCGACCCGTATTCATTTCCAAGTAGCATATACCGATGCATGGCGTCTTGTTGATTTGCCCTTTATTTTGTTAATTGGTTTGCTGTGCCTAGCTTCTCCCATTCTTGATATTCTGACAGGCGTTCTCGAGCACCTATGATATGCATGGCATCGGGCGTTGAAGCAATAATATAATTCAAATGGTTTTATCCTTGTATAAATGCAAATGAGATCTATCATTTATCATACAACATGTAATTCCATTCAGGGTTTCAGTGCCCTCAACGCGCGAGTAATGTGACGAGGACCTCTTACCTAGACGACCCTAGCATACATAAGTATTTTGGAGTTAAACAAAGAACAAAGTTAACAAAGAATAAGCTTTAAATGTTTTATTCCACAGTTCCCAGAAAAAGAAGAAAATGCAGAATAAATTGGCACCTTCAATATTATTAGATGCAGCAAAAAAGAAAGGATGCAAAAAAGATATCTCAGGTTATTTTTAGGAATAGCCGAACGCGGGGGTCGAACCCGCAACCTTGAGATTAAGAGTCTCACGCTCTACCGATTGAGCTAGCCCGGCAGGGCTTGTTGAAGGCCGAGCGAATTGTGACATGATAAACCGAAGTAGCAAAAAGCTACTTGCCGCACCTTGTCCACGCATTTAGTGCCTCCGCATTAATCGGCCTCAATGTCTCTAGTTCTCTTTCCACGCTTCATTGTTTTTATTCTCTTTGAATACCTTATATATCACGTATTTTTGGCTCCTACAGCACATTTCCATGTTCTTGATGCCCTTTTACCTGTAAATATTGACTTTCAAAGGATTTGTTGTTTTGCTTCTGTTTTTTCTTGTTATAGTTCCATGTTCGGAGATATATATCGATGCACATTAATTCCCAAGCGTTTTAAAAAAAAAAAAAAATTTTAATATTTTTCTTTTCACACCTATAGATATCACTCGATTCCAGAAAGGTCTCAATTGTGTAGAATTACCGTCAGTGTAACTCTACCATGGGTACTTTCCCAACCTTGAATACCTACCAGAGACAAAGCGCGATAATGGACATCGCTCGGCCGTGAACCCCACCAAACATCTACATAGTGCTATTTTATGGAGACTATTACTATCTGTCTCCACAGATTGTGTCAAACAAAATAAGCATATGTGTATATAAACATAAAACATGAGTTTTAATTACTATAAAAATAAACTCAAGGCTCCTCCTCCGAGACAAAGAAAGTCTTCTGCACATTAACACCACTAAAGAATGTCCCATGACCTTGTTTGGGATTCAAATTCTCCTGGCTACTCGTGCGACTATCATGATTCGAGGTATGAATAGTTGTAACGACCGCACGAGAATCCTCATCATCGATATCAGGTCGCCAGTATCTTGGCCCTGATCTATCACCCGACCGTCCCACATTTACACTATCAAGTGGTACACTACCACCGGTTCGCTTGCTTCGAGTACCGACAGAGCTGGGGTCCCGAAACCATCGGAAAAGAGGACGGAGCGTAACAAGGCTACCTGCCGCAATACCCAGGCTGGCTTCGACATTTGACCAGATTGAGATGTTGGCAGTTGCATCTTAATAGAAAGGGCTGTTAGTATTATGATAATGGTTTGATTGCATGGAATGAGTACAATGCTGACTTACACAGAAAATCCGTGGCCTTGTAGTCGTGGAGATAGGGAATGCGAATGATGACAGCTGCGCTGGCACTATATAGATGGTTAGCGGGAAGAACTTGAAGAGAATAGGCGTGAATGAAATGATCAACATACACGCATCCCATGCCCAAGATACTGGCTAGCGCGGCCTTGGTACGGGTATTCATTTGTAGATTCCACACGAGGAATATAGGAAGAAGGCCTAGTGTTAGGTCACAACATGTTGCAGTTACACTGTAAACATAGGCGACATTGATGATGCTGTCAAGACTCATGCAGTCTCCTGCAGGAGGCGTTGTCCGAGCCCGTTGCCAGAAGTATGAGACTGGATGACATTGAAGAGTCAACATGAACCAGAAGACTAGGCCAACAATCACCGTTACAGTGATGACAGACCAAAGGATCATTCTGTGCACGCGAGAGACGGTGAGACGAAGCAAGGCTAGAGCAATTGAGCTCTTTGCCATTCCACAGACCCAGACGTAACTGGTCTGACCAAGCCACCACCACTGAGAGATATTGTTAGATAAATGGAGACCTTGAATTTGCATCACAAAACAAATTGAAGAGAGTAACAACATACAAACATCGCGGTTTCCATTGTGCCTTTCTCAATAAGTACCTTCTGTCTCTGGCCAATGCCATATAATGCGCCGGTGATTCCACATAGCGCGAAAAGTATATTCAGTAGCTACCAAAATGTCAGTTAATGCGAAAAATGTATGTTTCCCAAGTAGTATGAATTTACCAAAGCACAAACCATCAACCCATCATCCCACCCAAATGCCTTGACAATCTTGAGTCGAACAAAACATCTCAGACAAACAGCAATAAATGAGATTCCCAGAAAAACAACAGTAACAACGAAGATCGACAAGCTGCGATCATGCAAAGGAAGCATAGTGACAATCGAAATATAGAATTTATCAATCGTAATTCATGGCCGCTGAACCTCAGGCCCAAAAAGTCGCTATATAGGCTCAACGGATATAAACACGTAGACGTATCCGTATGAACCGCTCCGGCGACTTCAACCAGGAACAAAAAGAAGGAAAAGAAGATTCGAAAACAAGAAAGAAAAAAAAGATGGTCACAGGCCAAGCATTACAACCCTGGTCGTTAGTGGCAAGAAAAAAACTGGCTAGGTGGGCCTGAGCGGCACTTGTCTTCGTGTCTAGTGACAAACTAGGTTACCAAAGGATGAAAAGGTAAAAATAAATATAAAAGTAATTTTCTAAAATTCCCTGAGGCTCCAAAGTGGATGATGCGCAGATACCAGACGGAATCCGAAGTGGAAATCACCATCGGCACGAGTCAGTTATTCGCTGATTCTACTCCATAGGGGTTATTTTAATAATTTTAATGAACCGAGCCTGTGGGGTTTACAAAGTCAAGCTAATTTGCATCAAGTGCCGCTTCCAAGCTCGCCATATGCACGACAAACAACCGGCTGGAAATCCCTGCAGTATCTGTATCTGTATCCTCCCCAGAACCGGACCAGAAAGAAGAGGGGGTTCCCCATATGCTCGTGAAAGGGGAGAAACTTTACAAAATATGTTTTTATTATCCATGGAGGCCTGATATGTGGGGAAATAAATTCAAAATACACGCGGAAGACATTTCGCCGCCGGTACTCCGACAGTTTATTTTTTCAATAGAGGCAGATTATTGGTTAATTGCTTTTTTCTACAATGCGTCAATCATCAATCGCCCGGTAATCGCCAGGTTGCGACGAAATCAAGGAATATATTATATGCAAAACAAGCAAGCTTCGCATTTCTCCTGTTGCCCAGGCTTCAAACCGTCCATCAAACGCTCGTGGGTTTCATGGCTGGAGATATCGGGGACATGACTCGAAGAGTTCGCCTGCAGACAAGCCTGTTTGCTCATTCCACCAATCAAGAATGCGTAGAAGACAATAAGTGGACCCGTTTCTTGGCCAACTCCACCACGTAGAACGGAACTAACACTAATGTTGTTCTAGTTCAAGAAAATAGGGGAGACCGTTGCCATTGTTCGAGACAAACGGATCGTTAGATCGAATCTCTTGCCGATGATCCATCCCACTAGGTCCAGTGTGTCGGAGCTCCCCCTCCACCCCCTTTTTCCGAGTCCGACCTGAAGGACTGAGCGTGTGCCACTCTGGTAGACATGACGTTCTTAAGCGACCGGGCAAAGCACATGTGTAGAGCTAACCACAGCTCGGTACGACTTTACACTTTGACAGGCGACTAGTGGCAAGCTAATGAACTTTCGACATGTGAAAATGGAAGGGCAAGGCTCGGGAAGATCGATCTTCAAATCTGTTAGGTACTAGTATATCGACGATATCAAGATGATCTGGCCGTGATTTTTCTTACGCGGCACATTTGCAATGAGATTGAGCCGTCCTGCAGTCTCGACTGGACATGTTATGGGGCTCTTCTGCGACGGATCAGCATGGTGGGAAGCGAGTCTATTTCTATAAACGTAGTGGGATCTACAATGCTACTGGGCACTCGGAGATTAGTTGACATATTTGGCGTCTCCACTTTTGTCAACCAGGAAGCTGGATGGATCATTAAGGCACAAAACACCAATTGTTTGACCCCGCTACTCCGTACCCTGTGACAGGACACAGAGAATATCGTCAGTGTTAGACCAAATAGTGACCGGATCTTGATAATGGCGTTAGTGAAGGTGAAGCGTGAATGTACAACATCCCAGACACCGGGCGGACAACTACTCTAGTGTTAAGTCATTCAATATTTGTTTAAATCTTCAACGAAATTTCAACAATCAGAATCTGCGGTATTTGCTTCAAGAAGAAGGTTAGGAGACAATGACGAGCATAAATCCAAAGCCTATCTCAGCTAGTGATCGTGAGCCATGGGAACAAATCCCACATACGGCAGACTTTTCCTTTCCCACCCAGTGGCTTGCAGCATGGACTGTTTTAAATTATCAACTTGGCATTGTCAAGCCACCACCGGCAAATATGCACGTGGAACTAGAACCGCTAGGAAAGTCTAGACCATGGCACGTTTCGAAATTCTAATAGCACAAAATGGCAACTTAGGCGGTGCACATACAAGGCTAAGTATAGAAAGTCATTGCCAAGAGCTGAAGGTTGTATCTACATCATGTCGACAATTATCTATCTACAAGACTCCAACACTCTCCAAGTACTATCAGCGTTACTTGAACCATCACAGCTCATAATCAAATGCGATTCGCTATGTCAAATATACTTAATGTGCTCACAAACCCCAGTTTCAATATGTACATACCGAATTCGCACTGAAAACGTTTCCGATAATCCAGTTCAACTGGATCTCTCCAGTTGTATTCTACCATTGAGCTTCCTTGGAGGCCTGGAATGCCTTAAGGATCTTCACAACTCTCCTGAGAGCATCGACCTCATTATTGAGATCAGGGACAACCTCAGTCTGAACCTTCAAGCCAAGAGCCTGCTCGGCCTCGCCAGCCAGCTGGCCCTCCTTGTAGTCCGCATCGGCCAGCTGCTTATAGAAGACCGCGCGCTTGGGACACCAGCCCAAAGCGACACCGAAGGCCTTCTTAGCGAGCCAGCCGTGGTGCTTGCTCAGAGTGGCGGCGTAGCCGGCGTTGAAGGAGTCCTTGAGCTCGACGGAGGGGTTCTGAAGGTTGTGGTGTAGACTTTCGACGGTGAACTCGATACCACTGTGAATGAGATAAGAATTAATACTCCATCGAGCATTGAATTTCAGGTATAACGCCACTTACCGGCACAACCAGAGGAGACCCTCGGTGGCGGTGTGCTTGCCAGTCTTCAATTCATTCAGAACAAGGTCCTGGAGGGTCTGCGACTCAGCTGGCGCAGCCAACAGGCGAGTTCGGACTTTCTAAAGGATGTATTAGTCGTTGTACACCTCGTGGTGTAGGGACAAGGGCGGGGAAGGATACGGACAGTGATGTTGCCATTCAAATCATCGATAACGAGCTTGAAGGTCTTAGGACCGAGGATGTCTAGAAACAAGCTTTTATTAGTACACAATATCTGTGCAGTACGACAAGAATAAGCTTACTGAACAAGGTCACCAAAGAATCAGCAGCTCGGAGGAACTCCTCAGTGTTGATGGGAACCTGGCCTATTTGGGCATCTTCCTCAAGGGTGTTGAATGAAGCGGCATCGACTGAGATGTCTGCAAAGGACTTGCCCTTGATGCCCTTAAGCCAATTGGAGTCTGTGGTAGCCATGATTTGAGATATTTGTGAATCAATTGGTGTAGAATTGGAAATCGAAACTAAAGACGGTGAAGCCACAGCCACAGTGTCCCCTCCCCCTCCTGCTGTCATTAACGCTTGGCACGTGAGCTGCCAGTGGGGCAAGACATCAACAAACAGTGCAAACACGGTAAGCTCTACATCACGTGACTCTAACCTCAATTTTGGGTTGGACAAGATCCAATGACGTCATCTAATAATGTTGCATCGAGATTCCCCGATACGCGCCTGATCAAGCTCGCGGACTCTTCATCCCCTCGTTCTCGTACCTGGTCGATCTTTTCCCCCGCTGCACGAAACGAACCTCAATTCTTCATGTGCATTTTAGTGCTTGACGACCAATTTCCTTCTCTGGGTAATACACCAATGCGATGAACGTTCCGCAGTCCAACGGCACCCAAACAAATCCCTCGGAAACGAGCTATAATGAACAATATAAGGGTTTGCAGACTGGATCCTATACGGATCAGAAGCTGGTAGGTGGAATGGCGGACTCCACCCCCCCTTGAAAATAGTCCCAGACTGACGGAACCTATCATATTGTATATAGCGACATGCCTCCGCCCACCATTTACATATGACAAGCCGCCGTTTCTTTATCGGCCCGATTCCAGAAGGTTGGCTACAGGGTCACCGAAAATCATGGTATCGATCACGGCTTCGATTAAAAAACTATACATCGCAAACGCTTTCTTTTAAAGTGGACCCTGTGACCTTTCATTACACCCATCAAGATGATTTTAATCCTGGATCGTCGTCACGGCCGATAGAGGAGGAGGACCTTGCCCTTACATTCACCAATACAAATGAAGGTCTTTCTGGACAAGGTGACGGCGCAGAAGATGAAGATACATTTGCCGAAGAAGAGACAGAAGAAGAACCAGAAGGAGAACTTCGCACGCTGTCGCACCCACCAGCGGAGGGAGAGTTGACAACAGAGACAGAAACGGAGACAGGAACAGGGTCAGAGACAGGGTCAGAGACAGAAACAGAAAGGGAAACAAATGGTCATGACTGGGAGGACGAAGAAGACGATGAAAGTACACCAAAGGCGAGCGCCCCGACAAGCGCAAAGACAAATAATGTATACGATGATGAAAATGCATCCTCCTCCTTTGTGACTGCAAGGGAAGAAGTCAGTAGCAGTACGGACACCAATTCCTCTACATCTACGATACATGCCTGTCAGAACCTGAGCGTTCCGGAGCAAAGACCTGTCTCCAGCGGATCTCAAAATCTGACTGTCGCGGGCTCGAGCACCGGCAATGCAAGTCCATTATTATCTACAGCATCAGCGGTGCCAAGTGAAGCCGATTCTACCACCCGCTTATTGAAAAACAAGAACAAGAACAAGCGGAAAGACCAGAAAAAGCTAAAAGGCAAGGCTTCAACTGTATCAAAATTCACGCTGCAACATCAAGAACCCGAAGATGAAGACGAAGATGACGAGGATACTCCACAAGAAATACCCGTCGGCAAAAGACATGTAAAACAACGAGTCACACGAAAGATGGCGAAGTACAACTTGGACGATAATATAATGGATAAACAACAGAGACTGCGATCCCGAATAGCGAAGACAGGAAACACCATCGCTGCAAACCGGCCACGGAGGCGCAGATTACAAGATGGAGAGATCATCAAGGCAGAACGAATGCTAGTTCTTGTGGAAGAGTCGGCCAAGGAAAAGCTTCCCGATGACTACTCTGAAAATGATAGTATTCGAATGGAAAATCGGACCGTGGACAAATGGCGCGAGTTCTTGGTCGTTTGCCGCAAAAGTTCGATGGAGCATGTGCCATTCGTTCTTCAAATGTACCGGACTCGTGTCATTCCAGACGTGGAGAACCCGAATGTCAAGACCAAACCTTACTACGAGGTGCGCATGAACCATAAAAACACTCACGTCAACCTTTACTCTTCCCTTGACAAAACCATCGTTGTTTGGTACCCTCGCAAACGTGGCACCAAAATTTACATTATCCGTCCTAAATCCTCGGCTCATGCTGTTGAGTGGTACACCTTCCTTGCTCAGGTACTAGGCTGGCGACGACCTACTAAATTGCCGATTAATGTTCCCGATCTCGGTGTCTCTTTGATATTCAAGAATCCATTCCAGCAGCTGGAAGCGCAACTGGGGATCACTCGAGATGACAACCAACACACCACTGTGCTAAGTCGATCTGGGAAATTAGAAAAGTATGCCGCCGCCGCCATAATTCGGGGCTGCATGGAGATGCTTGAAGGTCGTCCCGAGTGGGCTGAAGTGCTCAAGGCTTGGTCTAAGACCGAGAAGATGGGCCTTGCCTGGAAACGATACGATCGCCTTGAATGGATATATGGCTCCAACGAAGAAAACATGTTTGGAACAATTGCGATGCAGTCATCTCATGAGCTTGAGCTCCGGCCGCGGGCCCACTATTCCACCGCAGTAAAGCACACGAACAAGAAAATGGTAGATAAAAAGGAAGACGAACCATCACCGATAGAGGGATTTTTGATTCGCCTCACGTCGCAGAAAGGTGTTCATCAGCGAATGAACAAGATGTTCTTCAAGCGCCTTTACTTTGTCACTCAGGACCATCACTTGCTATTCTGCAGACCTGCTAAGGCACTTCCTCCAGCGCCGCCAAAACTTGCCACGGCAGAAGATTGCAGCATTCCATCTTCTCGTGATATTTTGGATCAAGCTCCCATTTCTTGGGACATTGATCCTTATCCAATTCAAAATGGTGACGTCGAATGGTTATCCAGTGGAAACCCCGAGTATGTTCAACGCCACGACGAGGAAGCCTATGCCCAATGGCAAAGAAGTCTGCATAACATCACCCATGCAGACGGGTACATAGATCTGTGCAAAGTGCGTGAGGTCCGAAATATGCGATGGGGTACTACCCCTGCTGACTCCAATGTCACTGATGGTCCTGCTGTTGAGTTTGATCCTGCTACAAGCGACTCCCGACGGGAGGATGGTTCGACCCGGGAGTTTAGCGATGAGCGTACATTTGAAATGGAGCTTGAGAACGGTTTAGTGATCCGCTTGCAAGCATACGATGCAGTCACTCGCGCCGAATGGGTCAAAAGACTAGACTTGCTGGTCAAATACTGGAAAGCACGTAGCGCCGACGATGCCGTCGAGCTACAGGCTGTCCGGAGACGTAATCTCGAACTCCTCGAGATTGATGAGGAGATGGAATCCATAATAGGCCAATTCGCCAAGAAGTGGGAGGTGAAGAAGGCTGAAGCGTCGCCACACCTGCACAACATGTGCGCCTTGTCGGGTTGCCGAACAATCAAGGTAACATAGAACCTTTAAGATAATTACACCTAGTTAGATACTAACTATAAGAACTAGATGTCCGGTCTACTCTACCGAAAACCCCGTCGCCACACCACATTTGCCCGCTGTCACGTTCTTCTCACCGACGGAAAACTTCTCATCTTCCGAAGCACACTACGTAAAGGAAACGGCGTTCAAATCCCACATATTCACCAAGATCATGAAACAACAATCGACCTGCGGGACTGTTACATTTATTCAGGTCTAATTACCGAGAACGACCTACTCTATGCCAACCAAACATTCGATAGTAATAATCCAGGCCATCATGCCTTACCTCGAGTCTATCTCTCAGCAGATTCCTTCACCAGTCGTGACGAAGACACTGCCATCACCTTTGTGATTTGGCAGCCTACTCAGAAGACCTATTTCCGTGCCCAGGAACACACGCTTCAAGGCACTGTCAAGCGTTCCTTGCGGCATGTTTCGACACTCGGCAAACATGGCCGAACAATTGTGTTTAAGGCACGCAGTCGAGTTGAGAAAGATAGATGGGTGATGAGTATCTCTTCTGAGATTGATCGGCTCCAAGAGGAGAAAAATGAGGATATCCGGATTGTTTCCCAGTAATTCATTACTAATGATTTGTTTCTTGCATCCTCTGTCACGAACACGCATAAATTCCGGGGACTATTATTAGCATTACGAATTGCATATTTTCCTTTTCTTTCGGGATCAGTATTCTTCTAGCATTGGCATCGCATTTCAAATGGGTTATGGTACGCTTTTCAGAAATACGTAAAACCCAATAGCTCCGCAAGTTAAAAAACTAGGCTAATGCGTCAAAGTAATTCGCTATTCCTTGATCGTTGACGAGAATTAAGAGAGGTAAGAATTAAAATAAACACCCGTCAGGTTGTACATGCGTGGTTGAGTTCTATGAAGTTCTAGACCCGGAAGCCTCAGGCTACGATAATCGGTCACCACTACGTCAAGTGACACAGTTGAGTAGAGTGATCGGTTTCAACCATAGCCTCACATGAGGCAGAGAGGTCAAAGACTTAATATATACCCAGTGAAGATCACAGGCCCGAGGTATACAGCTATGCGGCCATACAGTCATAGAATGAAGTGGAAGAAATATAATTATCTCTCCCTTTTAGTATACATGGTCACATATCGTCGTCGTCTCGTAAAACCGCATAGAAGACATAAGTGAGAAAGTACAAGAGACTCCCTCATACAAGCCATAAGAGAATCAAGCATCCTTATTCAAATTTGAGATATCCTCTTCTGTTGGAGGGAAGATCTGGCTGTTCACAGAGTTAGCTTCCTCAAAAAAAAAAAAAAAAAAAAAAAAAAAAAAACCGAGAAACAGAAATGAGCAATGAAAAGGGAAGGAATACTAACGGAAGAATTTCCTCATAAGCTTCCTCATCCACATCTTGAAAAAGACAGAATATGACTCGCTCAATCTTGCCTGCATTCTCGGGCGCAGTTAAGAACCGTCGAACTTCATCCGCAGCTAGATACGCAGCCTCTTCATTGGGATATCCATAGACACCTGTGCTCACACAGGAGAAAGCTACAGACCTGACTCCTCTATCTGCAGCAACCTCCAAACTGCGCCTGTAACAAGACCTCAGCAGAGCCTCGGGACGAGCAGGGTCCCGACGATACTCCAATCCATAGACAGGACCGACCGTATGAATCACACGTTCAGAAGGTAAATCAAAGCCAGGAGTAATTTTTGCATCACCAGTTTCACACCCGCCTAAATGCTTGCAAGCATCGCGCAACTGGGAACCACCAGCAGCACGATGGATGGCACCATCCACACCCCCTCCACCCTCAAGGGCACGGTTAGCAGCATTGACAATACCATCAACTTTCAGCCTGGTGATATCATCTTTAATCAGGGAGACCATATCATTCAGCGCTTGCACAGGCTGTCTGTTGGCTTGGGAAGCTAATGGTGATGCGACAGATGTAGTTCGAGTCGGTGTAGCTGCCCGGATAGGAAGTTTGCCTGTCCGGTAGAGCCGGGATAGGCTCGGGATTTCAGCCAAAGTAATCACGGAGGTTGCCATATTGAAGAAAAAGTTTCTTGCTGATTGGCGAAATACACAGGTGAGGAGCCCGGAGAAGGTCGAAGGTGAAGTGGGGGTGGAGGTTGACGAAAGGGACTCCCCGCGCCGCCGTTGGAAATTCCCCGCGTCGACCAGGGTTGGACACGCGTGGGTCACGTGGTAATTATGGGACGAAAACGGGTTCTGCGATGTTGGGCTGGATGTCAAGTGGTGAGACGGCCATCGTGGTAAAAAGGGACGCGAAGAGGATTATGAAGTTGATTATGTTGCAGATTCTTGATACGAAGTTGAGGCATTCTAGGCCTTAGCCAGGCACCCGTGCTGGCCGAACTATATCAACCATCTCCTAAATAGGTAAGGTATAACCAATCCTTCATGATTACTATGGTTGCGCAATAACTATGCACAAAAGATTTGGAAAAAAAGAAAACAAGGGAAAAAGGAAATTCACACCAAAGGCATTCATTCATTCAGATGAACAAATCTGGCGAAAGCATCTAGACCATGACTCCTATAACCTCAGCGAATGCACCTATCCACTCTCAAAAGCTAATCGAACAATTCGCCTCCACCCCATAAAACAAAAGTACAAATAAACCGGAAACGATTCCAAAAGAGACAGAACCCTGCCAGACAAGATGCAAACCTTAAAGGGACAAAGATCATACGGCTTGTGCATCCAGACGCTCCGCCTCAACAAAACCAATCCGGCCTTCCATGATAAGTATAGTCAGAAACGCAATGTGATATTGAGCATGGAATCGATCGCAGGACACTTAAAACGGCAAGCTGCATTGCATATGCGCCCTGCACGCGACGTAAAGGGGGACACGCCTGCGGTTCTTCCCATCCTTCCACCAACCATTTCCCCAGTCGATCCCCTCGTCTATCGTGATTCATCCAATGGGCCAAAAGTACCGAGCACCGGGGCGATTCTCCGTGGCCCAGCCCCCTTCTCAGCCTAGTATTTTCAAGCCAGGATCGGGATTTGGTGGTCCCCCCTCCCCTCGGGACCCCGGTTGCTCATGGGTTGCAACGGATTATGGAAAGAAACTCTGGATGGCGGTTTCGCCAAGCGCCTCGGTGACACATGAATTCAAGACAGAAGAAATTAGGAGATCGTCACTTAGATGATTCATTGTGTATTTTTGTTCAAGGGGACCAAAATTTGACTCGTCGAGGTATCGGCTTGAGCATTCAAGCTCGAGGCATCGAGGCAACCACAACCTTGGAAGTCAGCCTTGAAAGTACATGCAGCCAAACCGGCGGGTTGGAGCTAGGATTTTACCCCATTACCGAAAAGAACATGATACTTTTCCTTACTGTTTTATCCTTTTTGCCTTGTTAGGTGGGTTTGCACTAAATTAGCGTGATCAGCATAGTAACTACTCCATGCTGTGCCCCCTGTACACCGTACTTATGCATACAGACACCTGTCATTTCGGATCCCCCCCTCCTCTCTTCCAAAGTTCTTCGTACTCAAAGTGACCCGTGAAAACAGAACCCCCAATTTCAAAGGGAATACAATGAGTAACTGTGGAACTGTGGAACTCACCGAAGTCGGGGAATAGCTACCTCGGGGACCACAACAAGCAAATAAGATAGAAGCAAAATAAAAAATCTCCATTGTGGAACTCTTTTCCCGCGTGGTCAACAATGGAACAAGTAATTCCCCCTTGTTCCTTTCCCTCCCCTGTTCTGTTGTGACCCTTCAAAGCGGATGTGGAGCCAAAAAAACGGTACCCGAGACACAACGCGGCCGTTTTGCTGTCATGGAGCGGTTTAACAATCCGAGGAGCTGTGGATCTGCGGGGCCCAGTCCATGTGTCTTCTGTCAATAGTGGCGGTTGGTTGATTTGATTGAAGATTGCCGATCGTTCGGCTGTTATTGTCGCCGTCGATCGCACGGATCTATCTCATTTCGCCAATGGCCCCTAGTTGGAGTAGTTGGACCAGTCGCCTCCTTGTTGGGTGATAGAACCGGTTTGTGGATAGGCCGAGGCAAGGGTAAATCTGGTTCAACTATGGATACCATAGTCGGGGAGTAGTTCTGGGAATTGAAGGGCTCCATGGTTTGGATCATAGGAGGGTTCTCGAACCTGTTCCTCTTTTTTTCTTTTTTTTTCTTTCTCTTTCTTGCCTTCTTTATCTTGACTAGCTCTTTCTAAGATTATCATCTCTGCCGTCTTTCGTGAGTCTTGTTTCTGTATTTAGCCGGATAGGTACCTGTGGAGTCTATGTCACCCCTGGGTCTGGGATGGGGAACAAGTCCGAGTGGATACAAGGTTGTGATGGTTATTGGATGGTTCACGCTACCAATTTTTAGCAACTGAAAATAGACAGCTCGAGCACTGTAGCTGTAGCTATGGTCATTAGAAGTCGAGGGAAACAAAACTGTTTGCTTATTTTTAATTTTGTTCTTAATTTCCAGACGTCTTTTTGACTTCAAGGTTGACAAATAGTGATTTGAAATTCTTCAAGCCTTGTGCAGGAGTGTCTGGTTGGGGATTAGTCTCAGCTGTCAGTCAAACTCAATTTTCTCCTCATTTTGACATTGTAAAGCGGTCTAGATTGAGATTGCTCATGCAGCGTCCCTTTGTCCCGTCAAACACAAGGAAATCGCACTTGCAGCTTGCAGCTTGCATACATATGATGTTTTTTTGACGTGCAGAGTCTGATAATTCATATACAAATGTAGTGATGGAATCTATATCCCAAAATTAAGACGCTGATCGCATTGGAGTCATGGTTAAACGGTTGTATCTTCATCCGCAATACATCGACCCCATATCATGTACACGACACTTAGCGGTTAACCAAATGGATTTAAACATTCATCTAAAGTACCCTGAGGTCTATTGTGGTCTTGGAACCATGTACGGAGCAAGAGCAAAGAATTCAAATCAGGATATGTACGGCCGAGCATGCGTCGCACTCCTTCCGGAACTCCGTTTATAGCCTCTATTGTCAGAGCCATATTTCAAATGTTTCAAGCTGCTCCATGCGTCGGCAGACAATCTCAATTCGGACAGCATTCCTCGAAGAAACAAAGAATTCAAACACAGCCAGCCTCTCCGCAACTTCCGCTGGAAGGCTCTCTCACCCGACAACACCATAGTTAGCTAGTCTCTGCTAGTGTCCGATCCTGAGAACTTCCAAGCAATGTCGATCGCACAAACACCATGATTAAACCGCTGATCACTACCATGATTCATGCAAACGTTCCACCAGCCGCATAGAATCCTCGAGACCACTGAAACTCAACGGCAAGGTTCCGATGCATAAGCGTCGCATGAAAAAAGTCTCAACCCGAAATTTTCTCTGTGTCGACTCGGCCGAAGAGTAGTCCGATAATAGAGGGAAAGCACCGACCAAGTATAGACTCTTTGGAAGTTCATCCGTCACCGACACATCTAGCCTTCATTTTATAGACCATATTGTACTCCTGAGCTTTCGGGATTCGATTCCTTCCAGGTAGTTCTCCGTATTACGGAACCGGATGCAAACCTCGGACACAGACTGAAAACGCCGTTGCAGGGCTCGTGCGAGCAGGCGATCGACTGTCGCCACAGAGGCATTTCATTTCTCACTTGATTCGCCATGTCCTTGGTTATTCCGCTGGGCCGGCCGAAATTCGCGCTATGGCTAGAGTATGACATGTCCACTCTGCCAGATTTAATCCGTACCTTTTAAACTCTGTTTAGTCTATCAAACAGATCACAACGGGGACAGAAACCTGAATCATGTTAATATGGAATGCAAACCCACCGACCCCATCGTAGACACGGGATATCTCGAGAAAAACGGGCGCTAGTCCTCCATACGAAGTAGATTTTGAAATACAATCGTGGAGACGATACCAGACGGTTCCCGTTGCAAAATCAATAGCCGATGTTACGAACAGTATAGATTGTCCCGGCAGTGTGGTGTATTGGGCTTTTTTTGCTCCCCTTCTTATTTCGTATTTTCATGTCTCTATTGTTTTCCACGCCCCCTATCTCGTTTCATTGCCTTCTTTTGACGTTGGCGCGATTCTAGGATACGGCACGTGAAAACCCTGGAGCGATGGTGTCATCCACAACGCGTATCCACTAGGGGATCTCAATTAGAAGGAGATTTCTGTTCATCTGGTGGCTTTTTGGTAATGGGCTAGTCATTAGCCATGTTCTTCACTCGGGCCTCTGGTTCTTATCTCCGAGTGCAGTCGATTTGAATACGATGATGAACTAGTTTTAACTTTCGTGGAGAAAAAGTAAGTAAAATGAAGAGCTTCATGGGTGATCCATAATAAGAAGTGGATCTACAGTGGTGATACCTGTGGCAACATCTTCATACTCTCGATTACCAGAGGCAGTAGGTAGGGGGTCTCGGATATTCCGTAGATACCAATTGACATAGATTGGAATATATTGCATCCATACCATTGGGATTGAGCTACCAGGTACTATTCCGAGTCCTGGAGTGGCCTAGATAGTATGTAGAGCAAAGTCCATCGAACTAGGGGAGACTAGAAGCTAAGCATGATAAACATTACTAACAAACACAGCCACAAAATCCTAAACAAATGATAACGACAGCTTAATATCATTGTTTACCAGCACGATCCTCGGACTGCGGTGAGAATTCTCCGGTGACTCGGGATATGCTCAAGTGAGCGGCGCCATTCAGCGCCATGAAGTGGGTCAAGAACGGAGACTCCCTCTTTAGGATCCATATTTCAAGATTAGCGTGGAGCAAGAAGAAAGAAAAACAAAATACACACAATAATAATTAGAAAACCACAAAACAGAAACAAAATCACAAAATCACAAAAAGAAAAGAAAACGGCCGGCCCACAGCCCTGGGGCAAACCCAGGCGCTGGGAATCTCGGCAGGTTGACGCGCCAATCTGACCCGGCTGTCATAGTAGGATCGGCTTCCTGAACTCATTGAGGAATGGCGCGTATCTTCGTATCGTGCACTAGTTTCCTCCCCCAAATTCAACTTACCAGACCTCAAGC